TGATGGACATCATGCCTCATAATACTTTCAGTCCCGTCCGCATATGACGCAGAGATCTATTGGGGTCCATGGGCTTCTTTTCTTGAACCCCGCTGGCTGGTGATATATGGGGATTGATGTCGTGTAACGGCTGGCTGATGTGGCTTAGCTGAAATGGCGGGGAGATCGAAAGAAGCAAAAGATTCAAGGGCAGTCCAGGAACAAGATCCACAAACTAGAGAATTTGGATATATATGAACAGAGGTGACTGGACAGTAATTCTGAGTTAGTTACACAACTAAATAGATTGATTGTATTCAAGACTTAACTATGCTTTCCAGGTTTTGGTGCAGATGCAGGTACCATCCGGACTAAGATCGCATTGCGTCTACATACCGCTACTTTCCTTCAGCCTCGCCACGAGCTGCATATTCATCTGCAGAATAGCCACGAGGTTACACAACATATATTTGAAGAATATGAATGAGGGCAATCAGTTGATCTGCAACGAATATTCCCAAATTGTAGCACGGAGGGTTTAACTTCGTTGTGAAATGTTCCCACGTTCGCATGCGAGTTTGAATTGTCCTGGATCAATGTTATCTATCAATCTTTGCTCATCAAATGATTCAATTTGTGGCTTCACTAGTCACGAAAGCCCTTTTCTTTTGAAATTAATCCTTTGGGGCCTAGATATCTCATTCTTTAGAGAATACTAATGAGGCATGTATTGTAAATTATACTACGAGCCTCCTCGGCCCGAATGACCCGATATATTTTCGAAGTTGCACCATGGAACGTGTCAACTTTGAATGCACAACGCATGAAATTTTGAATTGATAACACTGTAACAAGTGCGCAGAGACTCAGTGGCGACGTCGCTAGATTTGGCCAATATCCCAAACATAGGGAGTATCATGATATTTGTCACGTTTCTGTTGAACCTCGGGTTCAAATTCCCGTGAACTCACTTTGATTTGTATGCGACCTTCGAACCTAAAATGCGGATCTATATTTCGAGTTTCGAGTTCGCGGAACTGAAGCATCTAGCTCCAATAAGATTCCATTTAAAAACTCGAGAGATCCGTTTCACAACATTTAAAAGCATATGGTGGTCAAAACGCGGTGATAGACATGAAGATCTTCATATATCACGCGGGTTATTTCACCCTCCCAACAATGCACAAGGAGATTGATTTAACCATGTCAGGTCGGACAAATGCAATGTTCGCATCAAATGAGCACATTCAGGAACAGACATTAATACTGTAGTTGAAATACATTAAAACCCAATTCAAGACCATCGCGTACGCCTCGAAATAACAATCACTCCCGTGTTTTGATGCATGTAACAAGCAATGCCTGAAGCCCAACGCGCTTGGCCTCGTTTCAAGAAGACAAACACATTGATAGTCCCTCTGAATTGCCGCGAAGAGAAAGTAATTCCATAGTTGGCATAGTAGTACGGCAAATTCATAGTCTAGTTGATTCTATCCAAAAGGTACGTACATGACAGCGGAGATAAAAAAGGCAACGCCCCACCGATTGGGCATCACTCTCGTGTGTTTTTGCCTGTATTGGGGGTGTGTCGCGTCCACTGCATGCAATGCATATTGACGATCGAGCAAACTTGGCTTCGTCAGCGCTACTAGAGAGTGGCAATGCGCCGTGAGACATGTACGCAGCAAACGATTCTGAGACCTCGAACGGATTGACTCGCGGATGGTCCCGCCTTGTGTTACCCTCGACTACATTGCGCACGTTACGCGCTTTGGATAGAGTTTGTTAAGGGGTTAACAAGTTCAGATAAAGAGCAAACCCCGATTAAATCAAGAGTTAAACAGTTCTTTTATTCTAATTTAGTGTATAGATTCATTAATATACATAGAATTTCTATACTCCGAGCCGGTAAAGATTGGTTACGCCTGGCCCGAGCACCCAAGACATCATGATCCCACACGCAGTTCCACGGATCAATCCCGCCCCAGTGCACGGAGGTTGCTCCCAATTCAAGCTGTGGACCGCAGATCGCACTCTTAGGAGAGGAAGGATCTCTCTGCCCACGAGCGACCATTGTGATAGTGTGGAGGGGGCTTGCATTATCTTAAGGCTGGGATAGCTTATTGGTTCCCCCACGACGAGTCGGAGGATTTTTTCCTCATGTTGACATCGCCATTCGGGGGCCATTCACCATGTGACTGGTGAAGGATGTTTATTCTTGGAAGAGCGCGATGCGTGTGAAAATTTTAAAGTGGACTGGCAACTGCAGAAATCGCCATATAATATGCAGGTCGAAGGTGTATCTATGGGGAACTTGAAGCATTGGAGCCTGAGGGAGAAATGAGAACAGTTTGTATTGTCACGGTCGCTTTTAGTAGTTTCGGTTACAAGATGGACCTAGGTATCTTTGCCCTCAAGTCTAGACCGTTGGAAAATGGGTCGTCAAGCTTACTCCAATGTTGGATTTTTATTCTTTGATTTAATTTCTCTATTTTCAAGTCTTCTTTTTCAGGCGTTGGTACCAATTTTAGGTCCTTGATTTCCTATTCCAAAGACATCTGTCTGGGAGCTGGGACCAGACAACTTCCCCATCCGTTCGCAAGCTCTGGAATAGAGCTGACCCAGTCGTATTTTTGATTTTGATTTTGATCCATTCGGGGGACCTCGATCCGCTATTCCGAGCCCTGGAGGCGTTTGGTTCTGTCTCTGACTTTCTCGCACTTCCGTCCTCTTGGCTGTGTACAAAAGTACACTTCGAATCCACCATAAAACCAAATCCCGCCTTGCAATTAGTCTAGAGCCTTGCAGGATATGTGTATGGGTTTTCTTTTCTCTCTCGTCCTTCCGTGATCGGTGTCTATAGTGGATCCACGTCAAAACAAAAACTAAATACCGTCGCCTTATGCACTTCGTATACAGAGTAACCCCCAGCAGTTGCATCTAACTATACCATACTATATATGTACGAGGCGGGTGGCACTGCAATAGACTGTGACATTAACCTTTAGCCTGGGACCGTTCTGATCTTCGCGTGATGATAGCTCCAATTTGGTGTCGCGTTTGGTGGACCCGCGACCCAGAGCTGCCAACGCGAACCTGCCTTGGGCGTACATTGGTTCCCATCGCAATCGTCCACTGCCCCACGCGGGAAGAGGGGAACAAAGAGAAAGAGAGAGAAAAGAGGACACTAAGTATGCGCAAATAAAGAAAATGAATTATAAGCAGGAAAGATACACGGAGTAATTGTACATGTAATGATGTATGTATCTCTGTAGTGGCAACAATTGAGCCACAACGACAGGGATGAAAATAAAATCTCGATACTAAGAAATACCCGAGGCGAATTCCCAATTTCACGTTGGAATTACTCATTTTTATTGACTTAAAGGTTCAAAAACCTCCATCGTCTGTTTCTCATGTTCGTTGTATATGCTTATAGAAAAAAGAGTTTCTCAACTGCTGTCATGGAGGCCGCTGCGCGGTCGATCCCTGGTTGACAGGCGAGCACCAAGGTACTCGGGAGTGATGGATCGAGTCCGTGTTTGCTGCGGGCTGCAGCACAGGGCCAGTGCATTTCATTTTCAAGACATGGCCCGCTATTAACCAACATAAACCAGCATAACCAACATGGAATATTTTCAACCCTGGGTATGATTGGTCCGGTAGCACGGGAAGGCTTTGAGGTTTTCTGGTTCTGAACGAATCAAAATTCAGAAAGTGGGTTTGGCGAGGGGGGATTATTGGGATTTAGGGATTTTGAGAGGTCTGGAGCGGTACTTTGAGAGATGCAAGGTGGGATTTATGCGTTATGATCACTACTTTCTTACATATCAGTGTGCCTTGTAAGTATATAGTTATTCATGTACCTAGGCACTGTAGAAGTCACATTTCTAGTAATTTTTTTTTTCTTTTCTTTCCTGGTGTTAGAAACGCGGGAAGAGGACTTGCCCCAGTATTCATTCCCCCCTCTTTATGGAGTGGATGTATATTCTTTTTCTTTTAGATTAAATCAATATTATCTATTTTTTATGGTTATTACAGGATTTTCTTTATTTCAGGAAAGTAAAATAATAATTAAATAAAAATGAAAGAGTTAAAAAGAAACAAAAAAACGACAGACTATTGCCTCCCGGAAATACGGAGTGTGCATGGGGCAGGTCCCATATGGCCGCCAATCAATTAACATTAACACTTTAAATTCAGTAATTATTCTGTATTATTCTGTAAATCCTTTTTTGTACTGTATCCCGCCGTCACGCTCGCCCAATATCAGCTAGTAATACGGGGCCAATACGTAGTGGAGCCCACATGGATCGTCCCGATCGAGCCCCAGAAAAGAATCAACTGGGTCCTCGAGAAACTCCAGAGGAGCTCTTATTCCCTGTAGTTCCCTCGCACCATCCTCCATCCTCCCTTTTCTTTTCGTTTTGCGGTCCTAGTCCTTCTTTTGACCCTCCTTTTGGTTCAGGTTTGCCAAAGTTGAACTTCATTGCCGCCGGTGGCATTATAACATTCATTCATCCCTTCCGTTGGTTATTCTTCGCCCTTGCGTGCGCGATCAAGTACCCAGAATCCAAAAAAATAACCCGCTTTTCTTTTTTTATTATTACTCTTTCGTCATCCCGCCGTTGCTTCTCCAAGCCTCTGGCTTTGCGGCTTTGGTCCTTGCTGCGATCTCCAAAAGGCTGGACTACTGTGTCTCCCCTTCATAGTGGTGGTGCATTACTCTATCCACGCATTGACTCTCTCCCTACGCTGTATGCATAGGGTCTTAGAAAATTGAATTGCGACTGGTCATTCCCCCTTCGGCTGGGTCCTTCAATGTTCCGGTCTCCTATGCAGGAAGTCTGCTTCTGTTTATAGTTTGATTACTTGATTGTTATTGTTTAAAAAAAAGGGTGTGTTGCATCTAAAAAAGTCCGAGACCTTGTTGAACCCTTTTGCCTCCTACCCCCCCCCAGCATTCTCCCCTCGAAAGCCTCCCTGGAATTGCACATTCCAACACAAACACCTTTGGAACCCTATAGTTCTACCACACTATTTTCGAATCCATACCAAGCTGGTCTAGTGACCCCCCTCAATTGACGATTGAATGTTGTAGGATCATCCCCAGCCTTCCGGCGATCCAATCCTTTCCCCGCGGTGCCTCCCTGGTTATCGACTCGCCACTTGTTCTCGCTAGATCTCACCCATTGAAGCATGTCAACTGCATCTATCATCGCATGAACGCCTCGGTCAGTGACCATTACGGCTATCGGAAAATACACCATCAAGAGTGGGAAAAGATATGGAACCAATGAAGCCGAACATCCCACCATTAAAGATCGCCAAGTCGAATCCGAATCTATCTGTGTCGACCACAGTAACGGACTACGACAATTATACGACGGGTCGTTTTTATTCGAATAACGGCCTGACTGAAATAACTCCGCCATTAACGCCTCAAGGAACTCAGTCAACAAATATGGAACAATCCGAACCCCCCGCCGAAGCTCCTCGGGCGGTTTTTCACAACTATCTACGCGCTTTCTACCCTTTTCATCCGGCCGGCAATGTCTCGCCATCGACCGTTACCCTTCCCTTGGACCAGGGAGACATCATCCTGGTTCACTCCGTTCACACTAATGGCTGGGCCGACGGTACCTTATTGGATTCTGGAAATCGAGGCTGGCTACCGACAAATTACTGCGAAGCATATGATCAACTACCGATGCGTCCTCTGTTGAAGGCGCTTACAGATTTTTGGGATATCATTCGAGGAGGATGCGGGTCATCGTTAAAGGATTTTGGAAATCAGGATTTGATGCGAGGCCCCATTGCTGGTGTTCGGTTCCTTCTGGTAAGTCCAGGTTGAACAAGAAATATGGCCGCTGTGTACGCCATCTAACTCACTATACAGGAGAAGTCCGAGTGCTTGACCCGGGAATCCCCGCTTGTAAAGAAATATGATGGCCTGCGAAGAATTCGTAAAGCTTTGCTATCGGACCTTTCATCACTCGTAAAGTCTGCGAAACGCTTCCAAGAAGTTGCTAATGGTATCCCCTCGGACGATGAGGTAGAGGGTATATTGGATGATATGTTACTCAAGGCTTTCAAGATCGTGACTCGCGGTGTTCGTTTTCTCGATGTATGGAATGAGGAGGTTGGATTGAGCCGCACCATCGCTGAGCTGGAATCTGCTGGCGATAACAGCAGCCAATACGAAATGCCACCCACACCATCATCAGAGACCTTCACTGAGGCTGAAACTGCCCCGATTTCCGAGACTTGCACCGAAAGGAACGAGTCTCGACAGATGACGCGCAGTCGAATGAACGCCAGTCGCACATCGACGCGCACCGAGATGCTCGATCAACCACCTCGCCCTGTATCTGTTTCTACTAAGCGTATCTCTGTCTCTCACCGAGTATCATATTCGTGTGCTTCGGCAGCTATGCATAACCAGAACCTCGCGTCAGAGAGATTGGGAACCACATACGATGCCTTCCTCGGAGTACTTGGATCTTTTATTGGCCTGCATATGCAATCCCGATCCTCCACCGAATTGGTTGTAACTACTCAGCAAGCAGTACAATCTTGTCGCTCTTTGTTGGATGTAGTTGAGGCTGTCTGTGAGCATGACACTCAACGTAGTGTCTTACTTGAGGATGCCCGTGACTCAATGTGTGAAAAATTATCGGAGTTGGTTCATGCTGCTCGCGATGTTTTCCGACCAGCTAGTTGCCAGGACGATGATTTGGTTTTCATGCCTGATCAGGGCAAGCGTCTGGTAGATGCTGCCACCGATTGTGTACGGGCTGCAGGCAACTGCCTGGCTAAGGCTCGTATGGTGCTGGAGCAAATTGGAGACATTGAGCTTGAGCCCTTAACGGAAGAAAGCAACTCCAACTCCGACGTGCCTGGTATTGTGACTTCCCAACCTGATACCCCCGCGGAGTCGGAGAAACCGCAAGAGCTCTCACTGCGACTTCCTCCCCCACCACTCACAATTCCAAACTCGACTTACTCTCCTTCCACCCCTGGCCTCACTGATTCCACCACTCCTTCATCTTTTCAATCCCACCTTGCCTCTTCCAACAATTCCGCCCATCCTTCTTTCATTTCTTCTACCTCAACATCCGCAACCCCCGCCTCCAGCTTCGAACAAATGTCCTCCTTTTCTTCATACGACAGCAGCTACCTCGAAAGTCAACCCAAGTCCGACGTGAGTGAATCCTTCGGCCGCGGTGTCACAAGTACGGGTAGCAGCTTTACCTACAACAGCCACACTCGCGACTCCGAAATGAGCGGTGTCTCTCAGACTTCGACTAGGGCCACCTCACCTGACATTGGTAGCAGCTTCCAAGTTCCATCCCTCAAGGAGAGTGTCAGCCACTCGACCTTGGCCGAGGAGAATGAGGAAACTGAGGCTCATATCCTCGAAAAGACCTATGCTCATGAGCTGGTCTACAAGGAGGGTCAAGTTATGGGTGGCAGCCTTCGTGCATTGATTGAGAAGCTCACAGCTCATCAATCAACCCCCGACGCCATGTTCGTTTCGACCTTCTACCTCACATTCCGCCTCTTTGCCACACCTATCGAGTTTGCTGAGGCACTTGCTGAACGTTTCGAGTACATCGGAGATACCCCGCATGCATCGGGTCCAGTTCGCTTACGTGTTTACAATGTGTACAAGGGTTGGCTCGAATCTCACTGGCGACATGACCGAGACAACACCGCCTTGGAGTTTATTGTGGACTTCGCCAAGACCCGCCTGGCTTCCGTATTGCCGACCGCAGGAAAGCGTCTTCTCGACTTAGCTGAAAAGGTTTCTGCTGTGCACGGCCCCGTTGTTCCTCGCCTCGTCTCCTCGATGGGCAAGACCAACACGTCCGTTGCTCAATACATCCACCCCGATACTCCTCTGCCTCCTCCTGTCCTTGGCAAGAAAGAAATCAACTTGCTCAAGCAATGGAAAAATGGCGAGTCCTCGATTACTATTCTGGACTTTGACCCGTTGGAGCTAGCTCGACAACTCACTATCAAGGAGTCGCGCATCTTCTGCTCTATTCTCCCCGAGGAACTCCTTGACACCGAATGGACTCGGAAGTCAGGCTCATTGGCTGTCAACGTTCGCGCTATGTCAACTCTGTCAACAGACCTTGCTCACTTGGTGGCTGACTCTATCCTCTGCCTCGAAGAGCCCAAGAAGCGTGCTGTCACCATCAAGCACTGGGTTAAGATCGCTAACAAGTGCCTGGAGCTGAACAACTATGATTCACTTATGGCCATCATCTGCTCTTTGAACTTGTCAATGATCTCCCGACTGAAGCGCACCTGGGACATCGTATCTCAGAAGACAAAGACCACTCTGGAGAATCTTCGTACTATTGTCGATGTTTCTCGTAATTACGCGGTGCTTCGACAGCGTCTGCAGAACCACGTCCCACCGTGTTTGCCTTTTGTTGGAACCTACCTGACTGATCTTACTTTTGTGGATCACGGTAACCAGTCTCTCCGGTCGCTTCCGACCGACGAGGGCGAGACAGCTGTGATCAACTTTGACAAGCATATGAAAACTGCTCGAATCATCAGTGAGCTCCAGCGCTTTCAGATCCCCTACCGCCTCACTGAGATCCCTGAGCTCCAGACTTGGATGCAAAATGAGCTTGTGCGCGTCCGCTCCAACGGAGAAACCACCGCCCAGACCTTCTACCGTCGGTCTCTGGTTCTCGAGCCACGAGAATGTCGCAGCAACGTGCCACCTCCAACTCCATGCGAGCCCACTTCCTCCAACCCTCCTACTATGCTTGAAAATGCCAAGGACAAGCTTGACTTGTTCTCCTGGACACATCCTTCTAAGCCCAAGTCCGTCGCGACCAATGGCTAATCTTTATCTTGACATCATACTTCTCTCCCTGCCATCTCTATCATTCATGACTTATGACCTGCGCCATATCATTTCTCTGCGTGCTTTGATTCACTGTTGTTTTATTCCATTTTTCCCGACCTCATTTCAACCATGCTACTGCATATCTTTTCCTTTCAGTCTGTTCAATGTTCTGTGAATATCTTTTTTATTATCCGGGCGGCGCTCGTGTCTTTTTTGTTTTATTCATCCCTGCGCGGATTGGCATCAGAAAAAGCGGCGACGGAAATGGGTCCAGGTTGGCAAACGGAGTTACCACAAGGGCCTTATTTCGTTTGATATATTTTTTCTATCTTTCTGGGGAATGGGACCGGAAAAGGGATTTATTATTTTCTGTCTAATCCTTTAGAAAGGTTAAGCCTCACGGCTTCTGTACAAGTGCACTATTAAAAGCTGCCTCTGGAATGCAACAAAGCTTTTATCTGATTCAAGTCCATTCTATTCTATCCAGTCTTAATCTCAGTAATCAATAGTCAGTAGTCAGTAGTCAGTAGTCAGTAGTCAGTAACATGTAGTATTGAAGTCTAACTCTAGCTCTAACACATGATGCCCTTCAAACCAAACATGCCAATGGAATAATGCGCAGTGACTTGCTTGGTTTCACCATGAAGAGTCATAGCTACTTATCCTGAGCACCACGAAAAGGTGCAAGTCATGCCCAGGACCCCGAAGGGTGTTGCACACAGGGCCCATGCAACTAGGCAAAAATCAAAAAAGAAAACTGTTTTCCCCGATTCCAAGTCAAACCACCAGAGAGTCATGTAGATAGAAGTGTCAAGTCCAGAGTTCCCTCCACCCATTCATGAGTCATGGTTCATCATGAACAAGCTTCGAGTCGTCCTTCATTTTGTGGATTTTGTGTGTGTTTTTTTTTCTTTTGTTTTTTGAAGCCCTGTGTGGTTTTTTCTTGGTTTCGAGTTTTTTTCTTCTTTTTTTGACGTTGATGATTGAAAAAACAACAACTTCAGTTCTTTCTTCTCCGGTTTTTTTTTCTTTCCGTTTTTGTCTTTTTGTATTTGCTTTGTTTTGGGTTATTTTTTTGTTGTTTGTGGTTGTAGGTCGGAAGTTTTTCCTCAGTGTTGCTTCCAAACACGTCAACACCTTTTTTTCCTTTTTTATTTTTTCTTTTTGCCTGAAGCCCCGAGCTGCGCCGAATCAATTCATTGTGATCATGTCATCGTAAGCACCTCCTTTTTTTTCTTTTTTTTTCTTTCTTTTTGGTGTGTGTGTTATCGTTCGAGTAGTCTCCGGACAACCACCCTCAAACCACCAGTGAACAAGCATCCAGATCTGTCGTTTCAAACGAGAATGTCGTCAGGATCGAAAGAACCATCTTCAAAAGCGGCATCCCAATCCCAAGCCGAATCACTGCTATCCACCAAAACTTCTGGTTGAAGCAATCGAGGTTCCTCCACAGTAAGACCACCATCAACCGGTACATCAGAATCATCACTCTCCTCCGAATCTTCAATAGTAGTAATTCGAGAATCCAAGAATGCGGGATCCAAGAGTGTTGTGTCACCAAGGCAATGAGGCCTGGTCCAAGCAAGAAGATAGGGAAGTTGGAAGGAGAAATCGAGCTTGGTGAATTGAATAACTTCGGAGAAGTTGTATTGTATCTTGTCGCCAACGTATCCAACAATGATACGTGCTTGGCCACCACTGTAGGTGGAGATCATGAGAACCTATGTTCTTGTTGGCGACTGTTTCTTTTTTTTTCATTTTTTTTTTCATACAGCATCGCCGAGGCCGTGACTTACAGGAGCGGCTTGATGTAAAAATTCGTGTCGTTGGATTCTTTTGCTCTTTTCCTTGTAGAGACCTTGATCAGTGTACTGGTCTTGAATGACCAAAGTGAGATAGAGAGTCTCGCGCCATGTGAGAGAGTTGACTTTAGGGTATTCTTTTGTTTCCAAAATGACGACGCGGTGGCAAGCTCGGCGCTTCGTAGTTTGACTCCGGTCGTAAACATCACCAAGCATTGATTTTGTGTGAGACTGCAAACGTGGGGTGAAGCTGTAGAGCTAGTCAGGTTGTAGTTGGCACAGAGAATGGATAGAATCTACTTACTGACAATGCTCAAACTTGGTGTCGAGTGGCTTGGTCATTCCTTGTATATCAATAGAACGGCTTTGCAAATCCTGAGCAAGTGCATGTCCAAGTAGTTCATCCTTTTTGAATTGAGCCATCTTGCGACGAGCTTGAACTTTGTTGCAAGCTCTGATGAATGCATTTTCGTAAGAATTGGGATCGATAAAATTGATCGACTCAACGGTGTAATTTGGTCGGAACCATTGTTTGCTATCGGAGTCAATGATAGTGCCGTCTTGAATGTTGAGTCCTCCAATGTGAAGTTTGTTTTCTCTTCGCATTTCGGCTAGGAGGCTTTCGAGACCTGTGGATTCTTTGGCAGCGGGGCGTAGTCCATGAGATAATGCATATAACAGATCGTGTCGAGAACGATAAAGCCTAAGCCACCGTGGTATAGGAAGTTTCGATTGCTTTCCCCAGGGGAAAGCTGGATCGTGGGGTTTATGTTGCAGGGCCATGTTGGTTTGTGATGAAGAAAAAAGAAAAAGAAAAAAAAAGGGAGAAAGAGGGGGAGACGGGGGAAAGGGGATTTTATAACCCCATCCTTCGAGCAGCTCCGCAGCCTTCTTCAGAGTCGGGCGTCCTTTAGGATCGGGGGACTTCTCATGAATCGCTGTAGTATGGGGTTAGACTCGGCGGGTCGGGAAGCGCCGACCACGTTATAGTCGTCGAGCCTGTCAAAAATAAAGTGCCGACACCCTCTCCGGTTAGTCTCGCTGCTCTGTACTAACTTAGTTGAGATCGGCTGGGGAAGTTCCCAGAAATTCGCCGAGGTGAACATTCTGGGGCATCTGGTCTCGAGTTCCGATATCAAAATAGAGGCTCCGACTCGACTTTCGGTCTGTCAAAATCCAGCGCCGATTCCCTCTCTGGTTAAATCTCATTTCCGTGTATTGACTTAACTTGGATCGGTTGGGGTAGTGCCCAGGAATTCGCTGGGGTTGCGCATCCTGGTGCATTTGTTCGAGCTCCGATATCATAATTAGAGACGCCGACTCGACTTTCGGCCGGCTGCAAAATTATATGGCCGTAGCAACAAATCCTTCATTGCTGGAGCTTGCCAGTATTTCTGGTACCTTCCAGTCGAATATCACAGTAGAATCGACGAGAAGCAGGTGCACGATCATATCGATAACTTGAAAATAATTCAGAGGACGCTGCGATTATTTTCGCAGCCTGTAGTTGCTGATGAGAGAATGATGACGGCATCGTAACTCCAACGTCGACCCTAATAGAAAGAGACAATAGTGTAAGATGAGTGGCATGTATCTGAGCTAATTCAGGTAATTTGTAGGAAACTAGAGAGAAATTCAAGGCAGTGAAAATAGGCTAGAGCGACTGGAGCAGAGACGCGGGGTTTACAGGTGTTGAGGCATCGGGGGAAGGTACTTGTCTCTGAAGTTAACGAGTAGTCTAGTAAAGCACTGGAAGGCCGACAGGACTCGACATAAGCCTTGAATTGTAATGTCGAGTGTTAAATCCCACATGTGCACTAGTAGATGGGGTTCTTGATGGCCCGCGGAGTGTCCGAGGCCCCGCATGAAGTGGGGCCGGAGGCTCTTACGCTTGTGTAGAGTATAAAAACGCCTTGGTCGCTGAGCATCTCGAACCACTCGGGAAAATTACTACGGCCGTTAGATCATCCAAAAAGCCACAGGCCCTTTTTTTATTCGAGTCATGTCATTCAAAACCCTTCAACAGCTCAACGTCATGACCCTCGGGGTGGCAGCCGGAGCACTCCCAGTCATCACACTTTCAAACGGCCAAAAAGTCCCCACCGGCACTGTCGGCGCCTTGCTGATGAACATCAAAACATACGATGAAGCAAACGAGGCGCAACGAGTTGAGATCAAGCCCTCGATTCAAGCGGCTATTCCTACCCTATGCCAAGTCGGTCTGTTTGATCTTTTTACCCCCGAGGAATGGGCATCAAAGCGCAGCCCTGGTCGGAGCCTAGTGGGCAAACTAGCCCAAGACTACGTAATGTAAGAGATCAAGTCTGATAGTCTTTCATTTCAATTTACACTGATATGAATGGTGACATTATCTAACTCGATTTGACTGCTAGGAATGCCGCTTGGAGAAATCCAGAACACCCCGAGCAATAGGGTCTATGGCGGCGGACCGAGCTAGGTTATAGCAGGGGTTCCTACCCTTGAATTACGTTCGAGATATCAAATACAAATTACTCGTCTTAATAGCCACTGGCTTTGTGCTGCAAAGTCAATGACCGAATTATGACCTAAATATAGAATGGCCGCGGTCGCATTGGTATCCTCTTCAAATTCGCCCCATACAAGGGCTAATTTAACCAGCAAAAAAATGCCAAATAGTTCAAATTTGAATGATAAATTACAAGTTAGCGAATGAATCAATCAACTTCTCACAAGCCAAGGTTATGTGAATTGTAGGAACAGTCGGGTCGCCGCGGCGATAATGAAACCATTGACAGATTGGGCGGCTCAAGAGCCGACTACTCATTAATTGGTACGGGCATAATATCAGCGTGAATAATAAATCTACTAATGGATCTAGATTAGATGGATTACCTGTTTTCATCCCAATTCTGATACTTCGTACTGCACGTCATCTCATGCATAAGGAGGGTTGCATGAAGCTAGTCTTGGGGTTTTCAGTCCTCGTAGAAGTTTTGTAGATTTCCATCACTTTTGAAGAGATTAATTATTATTTTACTTTTATTTATTGATGCAGATAACTTACTAGGGTGTTTTAATGCAAAATAAAGTCTTTAATCTGCGGAAGATAGGTCATTTTTCAGCTTGTATCTTTAATATCGGTTCGTGTGTGCTTTTGAACCCTAATTTATCAAATTATTGTGGTGTACAAGACTGTCTTCTGATCAATTACACCAAGCCGGGCTTTTTTAATATGTAACCGCATGGTCAGTTTCACCCGGAAATGTGTAACTATACAAATTTTCCAAATGAGGGCTAGGTAAGTGATGCATCTCGTTTACACTCTCAAGAATATTTCATGCATATTACCCCTCTTTTATCTCTGACAATCTTCAAGCCACATCAGACGGAAGGGCTGCACGAGGTATTTATGTAGAGGATAAGTCAAAAACTCAAAGTTCCGTGGCGACGACAGGGCTATTGTGTGGAGGGACCATGGGCGCCGAATGTTGCACGGATTCTGGGACTATAGAATCTGCAGATAAGAATGACTGCAATGAATTCAAGTAATGCATGGTCTCTGTAGTGTCATGTCTTGCATTGTCGATCTGGTTCGTTGTGGTTCACGTGGGCTTGATCCTTCGATGATGGCTATGTGGCTAGCTGAGAATCATGTCTTACAAAGTAAATCTTGGAATATCTGAAGCTGAATTTGGAAACCTGGGTTGAAAAGACTGTAATTGTATTCCCATATACCTTGAAAGAAAGGGTATTGAAAGTGGTATTCTTGCTACCGAAGTCTGAAGGAGGGGATGGTCCTCGGACGCGGATGGGGATTTGTGATATATCAACTTTAATACGATCAGATTAATCCAACTCCCTGCCAAGATTGTAGCAATTAGTGATGCCTAACTTTGAAGTTGACCTTGGAGGTGCACAATGGTTTGAAGTCCAGGAAATGGAAATATTGGATTAGCAATGAATGTTCATCTATACATGAAGATAGCACGTTGACCGCTGGCAGGAGATAGCTTTGATGTTCTATTTTTTGTATATACAAATTTGGGAATGTGCCTTGACCAGTTTCTTAGTGCCCAATCGCCTCATTGTCATATTGCGCTTGGAAAGCCTCTTTAAAATCCAGCGCCGAGTTCTCGGTTTCGTCGCAATCGAATGCAGGGGTGCTTTCGTATAAGGCCTCGGACTTATGGTCAGGCTGTGGTCGAAGATCTAGGATAGGAATCATGGATGGTCGCCCATGGGCGCACTGAAATGGGAATGCACATTTGGATAGCCGGGAGACCAAAGCTCTGCAATCATCAATGCTCAATGGGTCATTGAACATAATTGCACCTCGACATGCACGGGAATTGAGTAGATCAAAAATGGACTGGGGACAGCCACTCATTTTCTGTACCCAGGAATGGGGTGCAGAATCCTCTTTCACAGCGTCCATAGATGTAATATCATCACCGTATAGCTTTCTCATAGTGGATGTCATTGCTGAACCCGATGACTTCCTATTGTCTTCCTCGTTTGTCCAAATTTCTCGGCGAAGAAGTTCGACGACCAGACCAGGCTCAAGTCGACATCTTTCGGCAATGAGAGCTGGTAAAGACTTAACCAAAACAGTCCCCTCGGCGCCAGGTTTTTCTTTCACTTCATATTGAATCCCCCAGTTTCCAAAAAAGCTCAGGTATCTTTGAAAAAGTACAGCTTCCGTCGAAGATATTTTGAAGGTGGTTGGGTCGATTTCAACAGTGCGTACTTGGATTTCGTACTCCGACTCCGTTGGAAGAAACATCTCATTGAATAGCTGCTCAATCCGACATCTTTCATCTGCTGCGTGTTGATCAATCAAGACTAAAACTGTTTCCGGATTGTCAATAGCTTGCATGTTTTCTGCATTGAGTCTGGCAAGAATGTACTTATGATCCACCTGTGCTATGATAGTGGCAGTTGCTAGGCTTGGGCGCTGAAGTTTGCCCTTGAACTTAGTGATCTGAGCAGTAGCCAAGTCACTGGTATCATGAAAACCGCTACCGGCGGAAGTTGCAATGTCCAAGTAGCTTGTCTCGAGATCGAAGCTTGGCAGGGGCCGCTCAGTGCGCGTGAAAGTCGGATTGTTCCACACCTTCAGCAAATTCTCTACCCAGACCTTGTGATCAGACTCTTTTCCTCTGTCGGCGCTCGGCCTTGAGTTATCGGGTCTAGGGGGCTTGGCTGTTTGACCAGTTCGTGAATTGATCATATGAACCTTTCCAGTAAGTCGGTCAACCCAAGGGATCATCCCATCGACCGTTTGCTGGTGGTAGGGGGCAATTTCATCCTGATGTACTTCTCTCTCCTGCTCCAGTCTGTGAGATGGTCGAATTGAAGATACTTCAGATGAAATGATTGTAGCATGTTCGTCAGAAATAGGCCGGCTATTTTGTCGACTAACCAAAGACGGAGCCTCCACGTCTGGTGTGTTCAAATTATTCCGACTAAGCGAAACCCGGTTATTGAAATCCTTCGCAATCTTCACTCTGGACCAACTATTAAGATTTTGACTGGAATTAACTGCTCGAGGTCGTTGAAATGAAGGAAGCTTGACACCACTCGCAAAGCTCTCTTCCGTGCTCGGCCGTACACTGCGTGGCCTAGAGAATGATCTAGAGCGGCTTTGTTCGGTAGTTGCCTGTTGGTCACGCTCTAAGGGCCTCCCTTTTCCCCTGGAAATGCGAGGATGCAGATCTTGCTGCTTTAAAAATTCCGTAACCATGGCCTCTAGGACATCTATTATCCGTTGAAGGGACTTTTCCGAGTTCGGAGACATCTCTTTGGTATCTTCATCCATGGGGATGACGGTGCTTGTGTCGATACGTATATAAAACATCGGCCACTTGTTTATCGGCTTCGCCCACGCTTTGCTGCTTGCACTCCTGGGTGCGTCAAAGGGTTCCAGTGCATGTGATAGGCTTGTAGCAGTAGTGCTTCGAGATGCGAATCCCGATAATCCAAAGTCAGAAGAAGATATTAAACAATTGATCTCATTGAAGAGAATATTAGATCCTCCCTGTGAGAGCACGGGATCTTGACCCAGGGATATAAATTGTATTTTCTTTGAAGGGCTGGCAAGTGTTGACATTGCGGCGGAGATAGTAAAGTCAGGAATTTTCGCTGATAAAACATGCCATGAATCCATACTCCGTGAATTGATCATCCCGGATTGTGAAAGAATAGACCCAATTCGATCGAGATCAACCTCATGTCCAGGAACATTCAGATTCAAACCAGGCGGGGAGCTGTCTGAGCGGACGAATATTCTTTTGTTTTTTCCTTCATCAAAAACAACCAACCTTCGAAGTTGAATATTGGCCAACGCGAGAGAAATGAGCGAGTGTCTTAGGCGATTCCACTCGCGATCTAACTCATCTGGTTTTTGGAACGCAAGAGCTCGACTCTTGACACGGACTGGCATATTGCCAAAAAGATCGTTTACTGTAACACAAGTGCCATGCTCACTATGTTGAAGCTTTTGGTGCTCTGGCGCAGGAACCAATCGTGCCACTGGCCTTGAATGATGAACAATAAGGGAGTTTGTGGCCTGGTGTTGAACGTGTCGAGATGTGACAGTAAGCAAGGATAAAGCACCCAGAGAACATATGAAAAGCCCACGATGTCCATATTTCCCAGGTTTTTGAAACCTGGACGTGTCTGGAACAGAGGTTAGCCGTTGTTGTATATAGAGTCAAGTCTTATACAGAATGCTTACGATGTGCCTTGCCAAGGCCTCCAGTAGACTCAAACTCGGCCGGAGGAATACCATCGCCATCATCTTCGACAATACAACCACCACGCTTGAAATCCACCGTTATGTGAATCGCCTTGGCACCTGCATCTAAAGAATTCTTCGCCAGCTCCAAGATGACTCCGTTTAGATGAGTGATTGAGGTTGAAGATTTAATCTTAGTAGCAACATCAGAAGGAAGAGGTTGAACTTCTGCTCTTGAAGAAGCCATGGTAGAAGCACCAGTGGGCCTAAAACACGAAGTCGATTAAGAAAATATGCTGTCCATTGCAATGATGCTTCGGTACCAAGAACGGCAAGAACGTTGCCACTTTGTTTGTCATAGTTGTCGCATTGGGTTCGGCTCAATCCAAATTCTCTAATTCGTGAATATTTCAGAAGAGAGAACACGACGGTCAATCGAAAAAATAAATTCTGCGTTCAGCAGTTGAAGTTCAAAATCGAAGTTGAAGTGGCAAGGAGTTTACAGATCAGACAGTGACATCAAGGGGGCACATGACCTACGCGGATAAATAGTCCTGCCGCACTGTTCTCTGTTTGCCTCGGCGCGAGCTTCCTTCAAGTCCCACACTTTGCTCCTGCTCTCGAGTTGACGAGACCTGGTAAGGGTTTTGTTTTGACTCATCTTTTTGATTTCAGTATGGCTACAACTGAAGGGCCCACACGGGCGCATGGTACGTACCCAGGAGAAGATCTGGCCTTTGTGAAACACCCCATTAATGACTTCGTATACAATCAGATCGCAACGGTCGCCGCCACCCATTTTCTAGCTGGATGAAGCGCCTCGCAAGCTTCAAGGGCTCCTCCGACGCCGGATCGAATCGGTGGTCCCATAAACGACAGGCGGCTGCCAAAGCGAAGAAGAATGGCCAAGGCAACAACAATCATAACAATAACCCTTACCCGCTATCTGGGACGATGAACCGACATGCAAACCCAAGTGGCTCTTATGAAGAAAGCGAGCGCAATGGACGAGAGTCTCGCTCACGGAGCGATCCATCTCTGGTGTACTCGGCATACGACAACACCACTCCTGAACCGGGCGCAAAGTCAACCGCACCTACAATATCCACGAATGGAGACACCGCGATTTCCGATGCAGCATACTCCAAGGCAGGAACAATGGCCACCGTTGGCGGGGGTATCAGTACCCATGGAGGAGGTGAAGGTAGCACATTCTCGTCGCCCGCGACCTCGGTTCGGTCCTTGACCACTACCTTGACAACTGTGCAGTCAGCGGCACCGTCAACACAATTGTATCCTACACAGAACGCACAGAATGGTATCAGCCATGGGCACTCGACACAGAGCTCTGGGAACCAACAGGTTCAATTTTCACACCAATACCCAACCACTGCGTCTTCCCCCGCTACGGCAGTACCCCCGCACCTCATACCCCACAGCCATTCCATGACATACAGCTCAGCTACCGCAAACAATGCCCTCAACGATAACGCATCGATCCTCACTTTAGCCAGTTCATCCAAACGCCGCCGCAGAAACTCACTGGATACCAATGCATCAGTGCGTGCTCTTGCACCGTCCTCCATTTTCGGCGGAAGTCGCGAGAGCCTGCCATTAAGTGTGCTGAGCGGCAATGTCGTCGAGCCGTCCAACACATCTGCCTTCAATGCCCAGGGTGTTTTGAGCCGTCCTAGTATCGTGGGACTTGCTAGTGCCGAGCGTATCAGCGTCTACTCCTCTTCCGGGGTCACACCCATAGGCAATGCTACCGGAGAACGAGGAAGCTTTTACACAGCAAAGCAAAATGCTACAACGGGCGATGGAGCTAGCATCCGGAGTGTTGCGCCGTCGCATAGTCGCAATGATAGCACTGCTGCAAGCATTACCGGTGTGGGTAGTCCACTTGCTATGGCATCTGGTCGCGTCAGCCGTAGAAGCTCTGGCTGGGGCGAAATCACTGGTGACGAAGAAGACGATGGAAAGACAGGGGATCGGACTGATGAGAAGCCGATGATGAAACCCGAGTTCAGTTTTCCAGAAAAGCCCGAAGACCAAACATAAACGCAAAATGGGTTATTCTACGGCTGAAGTTATTTTGAAGGGGGCTGCAATAAAGACCCCCAATGAAGTTATGCAAGCGTGGGCGAAGTAATTGACCTAATATGAAGTCTTCGTCTCAATTTTCGTTCTCTGTTTTTACTTATTTTTCCTTGTTTTTATTACTCTGGTTTACTTCACACTAATGATACGATGCATGGGCCTTGGACCAGGAACACTTGTGGGCAGATTTTGCGGCGTTCTTATGCTCTGGTGTTTTGGGGATGGCCTTCTGATACTCTCTGCGGTATGAGTTCTTATTTTTCTTCTCTTTTCAACTTGTGGCGTACATAAATTTTCAGATTGGTGTGTATCCACAAAGATCGAATCAGATCATAATTACTTTTTCACATGGCATGCATTCTCTTCGACCCTTTTTAGACTGTTTACATTCAAGCTCTTTAAGCTGCAGCCCGACGCCGAATGATCATAGGCATATCGTACTGATACACAAACCAAGCATCCCGATACTTCCATTCATGCTTGGAGTCGACCAATTGAATCTGGATATGGGATATCAGCTGTTATGAAGAGAGTATATAACCAGGGGAAGGCACCGCTTACATCAAACAAGCTATAAAGCGTAGCGATCAGTTTCTTGATTTCCAATACGGCTAGATAGCGGCCCATGCAGACGCGACCACCTCCACCAAATACGAAATCAACGGTATCCTTCATTCGTCGCCGACGAAGTTCAAACTGCTCGGTGTTCTCGTTATCGCCTGGAAGCCAGCGGTCGGGATTAAAATCGTCTGCGTCATTACCAAATACCTCGTGGTCCCGATTCGTGACAAAGGGATTGATGCCAACTTTGGTCCCTGCAGGGAGATACCGGCCATCTGGGAGAGTGAATCCAGCTTCTGGAACTACACGTTCGAACAGCATAGCGATTCCGGGATTGATGCGCAAAGCCTCGGTAATCACAGCATCGAGATAGGGTAACTCTCGGATTGACTTCCAGGGAGCAGGGACGGGGAGAGAAGCGGCTGAAAGCTCAGCGGCAAGCTTTGCAGATGCATGAGGTACTTTAGCCAGATAATACAGGACTGCGCGCATGGTAGCGGAGCTTGTGTCACCACCGGCTAAGATGCTTAACATCAGCCAGTTAACGATCTGCTGGTCATTAACCATGTCGGGATGTGCTTCCTTCAGTTGGACATATTTGTCTAGAGTATGGTCGACTGAGCCGGCCTTGACCTTTTTGTCGGCTAGCTGTGCTTGGTATTCAGCTACAACCTTGAATGCATACAAAACTCCGGTTAGCGTTGGCTTCGGGCCAATCCGCTTGATGGGGTTCTTGTCGAGAAGATTGTCAATCCAAGGGATTTGAGATACCTGTTCATGAACGAATTAGCTTTTCGCGCTGCTGAAAACCAATTAATCAAATCCTACCGGTGCGAAATAGATTAAACCAGCCGTTGAATCAGTGATCAAGTTGTCGACATCCTTTTCCTGGTCAATAAAGCCATAGTGGCGACCGAAGCTAAAATTGGCAGTGACATCCCAAGCAACTACACAGGTCAGCAAAATTCCCGCTTAGCAAGCTCAAGCAGGCTCTCTTACAAAATCCGATCCATTCATCTGCTGGGCAGATCTTGTTGGCATTCACACCGTCAACAAATCTCAACGAGAGTTTATCCACAAACTTGCTGATAGTCTCGTCTATGAGTGGCTCGTACTCCAGAACCTTGGTCATACTCCAGAGGCCACGAATGGGTTTGATATTCTGGTTATGCCAATCCTCATCCTGAGAGTTAAAGAGATTTGACAAGCGATGACCTTCAATGAGCACGTCATTTGGCCTATACATATCACTCTTCAAGGGGCCATTACAGTGTCAGTATCGATATGTTGCGGTGGATCGAAAACAGGGCAATGGGATGGAATGAACGAATTAAAGAAATACCTTCTTCCATGGATTGCGAGTTGAGTAAATGATTCGAATCAGCGCTGGATCAGAAATGCTCACGCAATTCGGACCAATTTGTACAGCAGTGCCATATCTCCGATGCAGCTCCAGGTGCTTGAGATCCACACGACCACGGTAGGTATGAATGGAACGCCAGAAATCGGTCACCTTCGCCAAGAACGGACCTGGAATGCTCCTCAATGGTGATAGAAAAATATCCCAGACCAATTTTGTGAGACATAACAGTCCAAGTGCAGCAAGACCCTGTGCCCACAGGTTCGAACAAAGTGAAGCGAATACAGACATTGTATGCACATGTACCGTCGGAACAGGTCAGAAACTACAAAAGTACATGGGTGGTCAAGAGCGGGCCTCGTGGCGAATAAATTATGTGTTCTAAGGATATGTTTCAGGAGTAAACAAGCAAAGTCCTCGAACCCTGCTTTTAGATATTATTGAAGGGACTAGACCGTTAGGGCTCAGGCATTGAGAAAAGTCAATGCTCCATGATAATATGCCCCATCATACGGAACAGGGGGTCAATGCGGGTGGCTTTTTCGACCCTCTGGGAACCTTGATTCTTTTGCTTTCCGGCGTTTGGGATGTGACCTCCGTCCTATAATGAGGGAATGGGTCCTTTGGCACGGGGGAAGGGCGGGATGTGGATCCCGTGGATAATATCATCGAAGCGCCGAATGGCCTGTTAATATGCAGCCACCCCTAAGTGGAGTAGTGAAAGCTGATTTTGACAGCGGAGCCCTCTGGGCATCTGTAGCGTCGCTTAAGGTAGATTCTTTCCAAGTTTGTAGAATTGTGGCTGCATGAGATACAGCTAGCAGAACTTTGTCAGTGCATTATTGTGAGCTCGAAAAATCGAACACGAGGACCATTTCGGTATAAGATGGGCATATTGAACAATGGCCTTTGATTTTTAGTTGAGACCATTTTGAGTTTTGACAAAAGTTCATGTTTTCATTCCAGGCGCGAAACTTTAACTATTTCGACGTGGAGTAAATGAGATAGATCAGATGTCACCTCTTCCAAAACCAGACAACCATTCGCTCTAGTTTATACGAAGACCCACCATGATTGGTAAAGGACCCATCCAAACCACAGTTGACTCCTGTCATATTTCTTAAAATAGTTAGGCTATTGAAGCCATTCGACAGCTCGACCTTGATGCTTAAGTCGTTTCAAGATCCCTGAGAGTTCAGTATGTCTGTCTTGAATACCATTTATATTCTGTGGGGACTACCTTGAGGACAGTGATTGTGAGAAGTTGAACTTGTTCAAAATGGGATCCACCCAAGAGATGCACAATATGGAGGAGACCCGGGCCCCTACCCTGCAGGGTGTGATGTGGGTTATGGCGATAGTGCCTCTGATTTTCGTGACCATGCGTATTTATGTGCGAGTTTGCTTGAGGCGTGTTTTTGGATGGGATGATTTTATTATTATCGTCGCAACAGTGAGTGAAAACTCTCATCTGAGATTTTATGCTTCTTTCTCGTACATGGAAGACTAATTATAAATCTACATCACTGTTTAGGCTCTCCTCATTGCGTATGCTGCCGTATGCCAAGTCGCTACCAACCGGGGCCTTGGAAAACATCTTTTAGTCGTCGAGGAGAACCCAGATGATCTTATAGCAGTAGCTTTGCTTTGCGATATTGGCGAAGCTTTGGCAATTATGGCCTGTGCTCTGGGGAAAACATCATTTGCGGTGACGCTCTTGCGAATCGTAGTAAAGAGATGGATGATAGTACTACTATGGTTTGTTATTATCACCATGAACGTTGTCAATATCTTAACCGCGTTCTTCGTCTTTCTTCAATGCAAAGACCCTCGACATTTGTGGAACCCTGCTATACCATCCAAATGCTGGCCTTCGCATGTCTTCACAGATTATTCTTTGTTTGTGGGAGGTTAGTTGCCGGCTTGTTCTGCTTTGTTTACTATTTTATTTCTGACAGTGGTATAGCCTACTCTGGTGCCCAGGATTTTGTTCTCGCCCTTCTTCCCTGGGCAATCGTTTGGAATCTTCAAATGAGAAAGAAGGAAAAGATCGGAGTAGCACTTGCTATGAGTTTGGGTATCTTGTAAGTGAAAAGCCCAGCAGCAACTAATCTAAGGATCTCATTAACTGACTACTCAATTTTTTTTTTCAGCGCGGGTGCGGCTTCCATTGTCAAAACAATTTACTTGGTGGCCCTTTCGGCTAAAGCAGATTTTACCTGTGAGTCGCAGAAACGTCTGGAAATGAATGTTTCAATTGCTAACAATTCCGTCTAATACAGGGGAACTTGCTCCATTGCTCTACTGGGCTGGGGTTGAAGATGGTCTAGCCATAACCGCAGCTTCAATCCCAGCATTGAAGCCCTTGCTGATGCGGATATTCCCCAGCCCCTCCGCAAACGAAAACTACAACATGATTTCATATCCACCGAAGCCTGGTAAGGGGAAAATCTTTGACAAGATCTTTGACAGTTCCCAGGGGGAGCACAAGGTAGAGATCGACATTGCACATCCAGGACTTCACAACAAAGAAAGTCAAACAGCCATTCTGCAGCCCCAGTCACCTACGAAAAGGACTGAGAGTATAAACCTTACAACAGAACTCTCAGTGACGTATACACGTTCTCCGTGAAGATATTTTACAGGGTTTCTCATGTCTGGTCTTCTTTACTGAAAGGAAGTTTTGTTCAAGCCAACGACTATGGTGGATAGCAAACATAAGGGGGAGACCCTATGCTATACCTAACGATAACGTACCAAAATGAATATATATATATATTACTGATAAGAAAGTTGATTTTCTCAAGACCCTCGAAGATCTCCAGCTGTGCATGCTCGGGCATTTAATTGGACTTCCATGTTTGTCGTATTTTCGAGACCTCATAAATTATGAATGCTTATTTTCCCCCAGTAACATACTGCAAGAATACGCGGGAATGATTGAAAAATGCCAAAAAGAATAATAATGGCAAAGGTTGAAAAATTGCAAAACGAAAAAAAAGTAAATCGACAGCTGGCGGATTTGAACCGCCGCCTCCGAAGAGAATTGATTTCTAGTCAATCGCCTTAGACCACTCGGCCAAACTGCCATTGGATGAGAGAGAGCCCAGATTGTGTCTACATAAGGCAAAGGCGTATTTAGACACGCCTAAATTCCCATGTGGTAGTAGGACGTTTGCCCACAAATCTGGGGGCAACTGCAGAAGTCTGTCTAAGACTTCTTCTACATGGAAACTTTACGGCTGTTGGCCGATGCTGCGCATGAAACTTTGTAGGCTCTGATATTTTTTTCAACTGCAAAGAAAAAGCCATGAACCATCTGATGAATCTCTACAACGCAATAGCTTTGCTATTTGGATTCGGCCTTATGCCTTATTTGTGAAAGATAAAAATATACCTTTGTATATCCAAAAAATGCTACTGTGACATCAACCACCCCAAGTGGCCGAGTCGAACTCGGCTGTCTTATCTTCCTTGGTCTAGTGGTCATGATTTCCGCTTGTCATTAACACCGTCAAGCGCGGGAGACCGGGGTTCGATTCCCCGAGGGAGAGTTTCTTTTTTACTTTTGAAGTTTTTATTTACTGGTTTTTTTTCAAGTCGAACTCTTCGAACGAGGAAGATACTCGAGCGATTGTAGTTGGTGCTGTTCGAATGGGATGAAGCCCTCGAAGCGGTCGACAGATACTTCCATACAAACCCAAGCACAGACGGCGAACAAAATCTGGGCATTACTGGAGTAAGAAAAGTAGGCGGGCCCTCCCTTGCAAGCATCACCCTAACGATTATGAGGTCTTTTTACTTCCGTGTGAATTTATACGAGGGGGAAACTAATCCGAGTTATGGTTAGTATGTATGTATATACACAGGATTTTGTCCGCCGGGTGGAGCTTTCCTGTCTGGGCTGCCGCCGCTTTAATGAGGGCGATCAGGCTCCGGCTTAGTGAGTAAGTCCCGCAACGATAAGCGGGGCAAACACTCACGATATCAATACCCTTTTTCTGGCAACACCAATCTTGGTGCTCTGCGCACCGAGATCAATACCGACAACAGACATTGTAGGCTGATAGGGAGGGGTGGATTGAGGGGGAAATAAGTGGTAGATCACAAGGAAACAGAAGTTTTGGAGGGGAGAATTTGCACGCCACTCCACTCTTAATATTGGGCGGGGATGAAGGCGATACCAGGGTGTTTCTGGCGGTCTAGCAAATTCTTGAGGGGGGTATAATGAAAATTGGAAAATGAAAACCAAATGGACTATTGTAGGAATTAGAGGAATTAATCTAAATTGATTGAGTCATTGTTCTACGACTAGATACTGGCAACCTTTGCCATCCGGACTGTGCGAGCATCGAATGTCCCAGCGTTTACCATATTCCTTTTGCACCGCTGTCAACTCATCAGCAGAAAAATATTCATGACCGCCTAAATAACATTAAATAATGCTCCACCAATCCGAAACCTTGGAATTCATCTTAAGAAAGAGTTGTGAATTTATGATGTATACGCAAGGCAACTAGGCCAGCGATCTGAAACTACTAACAGTGTCGTCTATTTTCCCTATCAGAACCCTCTTTCTTTCATCGCTTATCCAACTTCCACGCACCCCTGAGATCGCTATGGTCTTCCATTCGTCAATGCTGAAGTTGAATGCCTCCTGTACGGCGCAGTAATTGTTCAAGATGCCACCGCCAAAATAAGCAGGGTCATCGCTGTTCAACGAGAATTGGACCCCGAAATCTAGGAATTTTCGAAGCGGTAGAGAAGCGATGGACTTGGCAGTGTGCAAGTAAACATTCGACAGCGGGCAGATAGTAAGTAAGATGCCTTTTATAGCGACCTGTCTTAAAAGCTCTTCATCTTCAACCAGGCGAATGCCATGATCAATTCGCTCCGCATGTAAAGAGTCGAGCGCTCCCTTGATATAGGAAACGTCGCCTTCTTCGCCACCATGAGCCGTACGCCGTAGTCCAACCTCTCTGGCCTTCTGGAATACCCCCGTGAACAACTCTGGAGGGAAGCCGACTTCAGAAGAGTCTAATCCGACTCCGTGGATCAAACCATCACGGATCAGCTCATTCGCAGAGTCAAAGGTAGTTTCGGCAGATGCTACCGGCAGGTGACGGAGAAAACACATGATGAGATGAAATGTCACCCCCAACTCGGATTCAGCACGGTCCAGGGCGCGCTTATAGCCTCTGGTAACTGATTCTACAGGAATACCCCGTGAGGTGTGCGATTGTGGATCGAAGAACACTTCCGCATGGTGGACACCATCAGCATGGGCCGCGAGGATATAGGACCACGCCAATTCGTAAAAGTCATTCCCGGTGATCAGGACCGACATATTAGCGTAGTGAATGTTGAGAAAGTCGTCAAGATTGTCGAATTGTTCATATCTCGCTGTCAGCGAGGTCGAGCTTTTGTAGTGTGGCAAATCGGGAAGAGTAACATTGTTCTTCTTAGCAAGAGAAAAGACCAGCTCGGGAGTCAGAGCACCCTCGAGATGAATGTGGTGTTCACACTTGGGGAGATTGAGAAGGAATGGGTGAAGTGGTGATTGACACATAGATTGAATGTCGATTTCGATTACTTCGCCACTTTCTAGGAGACATAGGAAACATTCTATACCTACACTACTTATTCTTCCCTCGATGACAATTGCCGAGCCCGCGGCATATACGGATCCTCCTTAGCAAGAGCTTTTCCATACTTCCATATCTTCAGAGTTTCCCCGTGGGCCTCTATCTCTTATCTGACTGCCAATGCTTTTGGAGGAGGACTTTCGGTTCTTAACTCGCCCGCAGATCAAATGGAGCCCCCATCGCGGGACGGTCTAAGCGTACATACGCGCAAGCAAACCCCGCCATGACAAAACTAGGCATTGGTATGACATTTCACGGCTTATCGTTGACTCTGACTAAATTCCTTTGTTGATGGGGCGTGCTGGGACCCTAATTTCCCCGAACTATGGGGCAAACGTTAAACAAACTTAGGCGGGGAAGTACAATAAGGAATTTGCGAGTCTGATGGTTCCTATTACCTGACAAGATATGTCTAGGAATCTGACTTCATTTATGAGCATAATTCTTGGGGCATTCCAAATCCAGTATATTCCTTCATAAATGGGTGGTGATGTGCTTAAAAAAATAATGGTCGCCCCTGTTCTAGGTATGCTTCGACCAATATAATGCAGCATCATCCACTACCTTTCCCTCCCAGCCCTCGGCCTTCAATGGCCCTAAAACTTCCACAGCCGTTTGCCCAGCCGCAAAGACTTCCCGGCAGGGCATATCGAGAGTCAAATTCTCCACATTTCCGCTCCCTGTGAGCTTTTGCAATGCTTTCTCCGAGGCCAGGTAGATCAACCGTCCAATATGAGCCCAGTAAATGGTCCCGGCACACATGGCACACGGCTCCCACGTTGAGACCATGGTACATTTCGACAAGTAGTTCCAATCGTAATTATCCGCGGCATTGCGAGCCAATTCACATTCCGCATGTCGGACATGTGAGAGCGAGAGGGATGACATCAACACGGTCTCGTTATCAGGACCTAGCAAAAGCGCTGCGAATGGTCGCTTGGAATGGATTTCTCGTCCTGATTTCTGGAGAGCGAGGCATTTGGCTGCTCCAGAAACAATTTGTTGCTCTGTCAAGGGTAGAAGCGCCAGAAGATCCGCGGTGGAATTGGATGCCATGGCCCAATGAAGAAGATTATGAGTCAAGATCGAAACGTGATTATGTGTAGGTGCAATGGACATTTGGATATTCTAGTGAGAAGAGAAACGTTCAAGTAGCAGGCAAACTATCTACAACATTAAGTTTAGACATACTTGAGTTAGTATTCTATAAGACTAACAGCGGCGGCATCCGCCGATGCAGCATAGAATGAAAAGATAATTGAAGCTAGTCTAGGAGTGACATTCCATATTGGTTTGCTTCTGCAGGGTGATGATTGTGCACAGGCCGCTGCCGTCGGATGATAAGCAGAACCCCGCATGTCATACTCTTCCCCGTCGGCACATGCAGCGGAGCGGTGGTCTTTACTGGTCCACTAGAAGAAACCTCGCATGGGTCTTTTTGTCAGATATCGGCTAACACGACTGTTTCACCCTTATCCTTAAATCTTGATACCGTAATGTTCCTTTATCTTATCAGCGAAGATTATCAAGCATTTGCAAACAGATGGGGATTCCTGAACGTAGTATATTGTAGTACTTATATTGAAAACACATTGAAGGTCTAATAAGATGTAGTTCAGCGCATTCAACGCGAACATTATTAGCTTCATGCATAGCCCATACTTGTTTTACGAATATGAAGAGTTTTATATCATCTCGCTTGCCCCGGCTGCAGGTCGAGCAGACGGAGTCTAGTTTCGTATGCGGAGATGGACAATGGTCAAACAAAGATCTCGATCCGGTCCCCATAAATATGCGAAAATGGACAGTCCTCAATTTCGTTGGTTACTGGGTGTCCGATTGCTTCTCTGTTGCAAATTGGCAATTGGCGAGCAGCATCGTCGCCATCGGGCTCTCCTGGAAAGAATCTTTAGGGATGGTTGCTCTCGGGTTCTTTATCCTGTCCATTGTCATATCCATGAACGGAGCCATTGGAGCAATCTACCACATTCCATTTCCTGTCATTGCACGCGCAAGTTGGGGATTCTGGGGCTCATATATTCCAATCGTTTCAAGATTGATTCTCGCCGTCTTCTGGTTTGCCACCCAGGTTGTGAATGGAGGAAATTCCGTGGTGGTCATGATTGGAGCCATCTGGCCAAGCTTCTTGGATATCCCAAATGCGCTCCCGGATAGCGCAGATATAACGACGCAGGGGATGGTGGGATTCTTCATATTCTGGCTATTTCAGATCCCATTTCTTCTTTTCCACCCAAATAAGCTTCGCTGGCTATTTCTCTTCAAATCTATTGTCGTGCCAATTGCATGGATTGCTATGCTCATCTGGGCCTTTGTCGGCACCTCGAACGCAGGTGATATCTTTTCACAGAGCAGTCAACTCACTGGATCATCTTACTCCTGGGCCATGATGTCGGCTCTCACATCGGTTATTGGAAATTATGCCACTCTCAGTGTCAACCAAGCGGATTTTTCGCGATATTCTTGCGTCAACCCTCGGTGGCACATGCTATACGTCGTCCTGCTCCCGGCATTCTTCACCTTCATTGCATTCATTGGCATCGCCGTTTCCTCCGCTGGACAGGCCAAATTCAACACCGAGTCTATTCCGTGGGACCCGAACGTTCTCGTATCACTCTGGAGCAATCGGGCTTGTCGATTCTTCGCCGCGTTTTCTTTTGCTCTTGCCGCGCTTGGATCTAATATCTCTGCGAATTCGTTGGCGGCAGCAAATGACCTCTCTGCCATTGCACCGAAGTTCATCAACATTCGACGTAGGCAACTAATTTGTGCTCTGTTTGCCTGGGCACTAGTTCCTTGGAAGATTCTTGCCTCCGCTGGCAATTTTCTCAATTTTATGTCAGCCTATGCGATCTTTCTTGGGCCCATTGCTGCCATTATGCTTTGTGATTATTGGATTGTTAAGCACCGGAAATACGACTGTGTCGCTTTGTATCGACCGACGGGTATTTATCGGTACTTCCATGGATTTAACTGCCATGCTCTGGTAGCTTTTGTGATTGGCACAGTTCCAAGTCTTCCTGGTTTGATGCATTCCGTGAATGCAAGCATCGAGATCGGAGTTGGGATCCATCCGTATGAATTTGGCTGGCTTCTGGGTTTTGTCGGCAGTGGGTTGGTTTATGTTGGTCTGAACATATGCTTCCCATACGTCGATGCAAATATAGCTATGGCCATCCTTCCGGATGAAAACCTGGAAGAAATTGTGCTAGATGAGAGCGTTGTGGTCTTAGATAGTGAATGGAAGGGCAAGGAGATAGGCTCATGATTAAAACAGTCACTCAGGCTGTGTTCCTCTTCACGTTCTTATCTACATATATGTACTAGTACTACTAGTAGTCCACGGCCCCGGGTCCTGGCACTCAGCCTCCTCACCCATCAGTCGCAGCCTACGTATCAAGATTCAAACGACTTGGCACTCCAAACGCGGTGCCACCAACAATTTGACAACATACATTGGCTTAACCATAATTTATCAGAGCATCCCTTGCTATTATGCTGTTGGAAATATATATTTTGATCTAGCTCAGACAGTCTGCCAGATGTACAATCATGGAATACAATGGACACAAGCACAAATCCTACAACAAATTCAGTGGCAGCGCAGCTGGGAGAAACTAACAAACCCCACGCAAAGCTTTGAAGAGAAAGAGCTTCAAGTTTGCGATATACTACCCCCAATACTATTCTCGAAAATGACTCGGAAGGGGGAGCAATGACTTGCGGTCGGATCCATAGGACTAGAGGCCCAGACAAACTGTATTGGTTATAATCAAGCTACAAGGTAATGGACACTATATTTCGGATTATCAGCAAGTACGATATAGGGAGAGATGGGAAACTGAGATTCAGTATCCTACTTACACATATATTTGCACCACTGGGGTTCGAAGCAGGTGGACAAGTGTTTGTACTGAGACAGCAGCCTGGAAGTGGGCCGCCAGATATGCAATTTGTTCCAGTAGGACACTGTTATGGGTTACTTCTGATACAAAATATGGAGATTATGGATGTGTAGGATACTTACGCATATTCCTGCTGATGGACAGAATGGCGTAGCCGCTGGGCAACTGATACATATACCATTGACGCAAGCGCCTCCTCCTGGGCCGGGAGGGCACTGAGAAATTGTTAGTTCCAAATCATTCAGACAATTATTGAATCCTCAATCAATGGATTTCCAAAAAATAGACGTACCGATTTATTGCATTGTCCACAATTAGCCAAATTGGTTGTCAAATCAGCACAGACTCCATTACAACAAGCCGGTAATGTGCCATTGCATGTGGGTGTACTGCAAGATCCACAGTGTTGAATGCTAGAGCTAAGGTCGGTACATGTTCCATTGCAACATGCAGGTTGTAGACCCTGACATGGTAGTGCGATACAAGAGCCACAGTGATTGATATCAGTGCTCAGGTCTGTACAGTTTCCACTGCAACAACCTGGTGTCGCACCAGTACAGGCAGGTCCCATACAAGATCCACAATGAGCTATATTACTGGCCAGATCTGTACAAGTACCATTGCAGCAAGCTGGCTTGACTCCAAGACATGAAATTGCTAGACAAGCTCCGCAGTGATTTGGATCGGAGCTTAAATCGGTACATGTTCCTAAGCAGCATGCAGGGTTGCCACCAGTACAAGCTGTCGCATTACAGGCACCGCAGTGGCTGACACTGGAAGATAAGTCGGTACAAGTACCATTGCAGCAGGCGGGTGAGAGACCTAGGCATGGAGCCGCTGTGCAGGATCCACAGTGCAGGAAATCACTATTCAGATCTGTGCAGATACCAGAGCAGCAGCCGGGCTTGACTCCAGTACATGGAGAAGAAATGCAGTTTCCACAATGAGTAGTGCTTGAGAACAGGTCTGCGCATGTTCCATTACAACAAGCAGGGAGTGTACCTGTACATGGTGCAGCTGTACAGGATCCACATTGATTGACATTGGTGCTCAGATCGGTACAGGTGCTGTTACAACAAGCCGGATTTTGGCCGAGACAAGGCAGAGCAAGACAAGCACCACAATGATTCACATTTGAAGTGGTATCAGTACAGTTGCCAGAACAACAAGTGGAAGCCGTTGGTGGACACTGTGGTTGAGAAAACAATGAGGGAGCTTTTGATCAGTTCGAGACCTCACGACGATGTTGGGGAAAATAAAGATAAAGATAAACTCACGACTGTGCTGCATGTACCGCAGTGACTAGAGGTGGAACTAAGATCGGTACATGCCCCCGAGCAACATCCTGGTTTGACTCCAAGACATGGAGTCGTAAGACAAGCCCCACAATGATTGGGATCAGAGAACAAGTCAACGCAGCCTCCTAAACAACAAGCTGGTTGAATCCCGGTACACTATCAGAATATCTCATTAGTTACTCGGAAGGATACTGAAGATTGGTATCTGCTAACTGTTGTACTGCAATTTCCACAGTGATTAGCGTCGGTTGCGATATCAGTGCATTCTCCACTGCAACACGCAGGTATTACACCAAAACAAGGTGTCCCGTTACAAGCTCCACAATGAAAAATGTTCGTATCCAAGTCAGCACATGTACCGGAGCAACATGCCGGATCCGTGCCACTGCACTATCAAAGGTTCTCAGGTTAATAGTCGGTTTTTAAGTCCATGAGGGATGCAGACTTACATTCACACCACAGACACCACAATTCGCGCTAGATGCGCTTAGATCTGCACAAGCTCCAGAGCAGCAGGCTGGTAGCGTACCATTGCACTATAAAGGTTACTTATTAGATCTTCCCAAGCAAGTCTGGTTTAGATGCTAGAGCTCACTGGTGGTGTGCTGCATGATCCGCAGTGTTGAGTACTTAAGGCTAAATCTTGACATGTACCATTGCAACATGCAGGTTTGGTTCCAAAACACTAGATGATAATTAGATTTAAAACACATTCAGAAGAGAGAGAAATGATTCACGGGTAGGGCAGAGCAACTGCCGCATTTGTTGAGTGATGTGGCGAGATCTGCACAACTTCCAAAACAGCAAGCAGGATTTGTTCCTTTGCACTTCGTAGATAAAAAAAATTGGTAATTAGTCCGAAGTAATTGATTATACTATGTGGCTTCATGGTTAATCTTACCGTATTATTGCATGATCCGCAATTTGTAAGGCTTGAACCAAAATCCGTGCAGTTCCCTGAACAGCAGCCAGGAACTTGCTGACCTGCACACTATAAACTTTGTCAGAGGTGAAAGTAAAGAACTTGTTGAAATATAACTGTAAAGTCAAATGGATCGTAGAATATGGATACATACAGGTGCGTTGCAGCCTCCACAGTTATTGACATCAGATGTAGGATTCACACAGTTAAAGTTGCAGCATGTTTCATTCGTTGGGCACTTGAAGAATCTTTTTAGCCTAGAGTATCTCCTATAGCAACATGAACTCAGCTTACTGGTTTCCATGGGAAGAAAGGGGCGCATAGCCAGCCAGGGTCGGCTACAGATAAAGGAGTCGCCCTTACGGTTGCGACGACGGAGGGAGTTGCATCGAAAGGTTTAGCATCACACCAAATTAATCCCGCTATCACAATTCCTAGATCGAAGTGAGCATGATGTTACCAGAAAAATCAAATAATATATTTTCTCTTCAACCTACCAAGTGTCTGAAGAAGAGTCATTCTGGTCCTGGCCATATTCGACTATGCCAGAAAGATGACGATATTGAAGGCACGCCAGATTTTTTTAACGCAAATTGAATAAAAGCCTTCTTAATATCCAGAGTATTTTGAGAAGTTTTGAGCTTAGGTGGTGCATATATCGCACAGTTGCTTTCCACATGAAAGCCTCGGTCGAGCATCGCAGGTTGGTATGGCCTATCTTGTCCTCTAGTTGTGTGACATATCTGCAGGTGTCCGCCATTTGCCGGGTTGGCCGATCAAATCGTATAGGGATCGTTCGCTACCCCATTCTTCTCTTTCAAGTGCTATGGACTCTGGTTTAGTGTTACTCTCAAAGCGTAGTCGAGGCCCGAGCTTTAGCTAGTATGATGTAACTCTAACCTGCAAGGACTATTACCTTTTGATTTTCGATTGAGATGTGGTACAAACAAAGCTTAAATGTTTCACTTCTTGTTATTCTTCATGTAACTTTACGTTTTTAAGGTAAATAAATTGCCGAAATTAGGTAGCAAATTAATAATGAGGTATTGATTCTTGCCGAGTTTGCCGTATGATATAATCCCAAGGTTTCAGTATTTACAATCAAAGTAAGACTTGCTTGAATAGAAACAATCGTTTCAATCACATAGTCTATTTTTGAAGAAAGGCCAACTGAACCGTTGAAATCGAGAGTCATGTGCTACCTTCAACGCTGTCATCCCACTGTAACTAGTGCTAACGGCAGTGTCACCTCAGAAAGCCGATAGAGAGGATTGAAAGGAGGTGATAAATAGCAACACTGTGCGTACTCAAATAATATCAATGATGGGTCTCTGAATATTTCCTGAATGGAGCCTTGGCACTTGAATACCTATTCTTCTCTAACACATAACATCAAGTGGAACACATGAAATTGGATTGATGGTATCCCGGTTCTGGGCCCCCGGATAACCCATTTTCTGGGTTTTACACTTAAACTAGACAAAAGTTGCCTCATACTTGACCGAGCTCAGGCTGAAGTGTCAAGCAGGCGAGATACATACGTAGTCGTCATTGAATTGGATTTTAGGCAAGAAATACTTGATATTTTCAGATATGCATTACTGTCATTTGTCGGTATCACAAAAGCGTACCCTCAGATCACCGCTGGAATCATTTGGTATCATACATTCATTATATAATAATAGTTCCGAAAGTCAAAATGCTCTAAACAAATAAGGTTAATGATTTATCACGAAGCCCATGGAACCTCAACATCCAGCTTGTCAGCGATCCGCAGTGCGGAAGCAATGCATCCTTCGAGCAGGACCATTCCATCCCAGCACCAACTGCCTACAAGCCAGACATTGCCATCTCCATTTCGCCATTGCTTTAAATCTACAGCATCGCTGTGAGACTTCGGGGAATCAAAAATTTCGTTTGTGACTTTTCGACTGATAGGAGTTCGCAGAGTCCGGGTAAAAAAGACACTATGCTCTATCTTTGAAGGATCAATAGGAAGAATAGGTGAAGTCGTGATGATAACCGAAGAAAGATGCTCGTGTGTGAACTCCGTTGAGGAAGAGTTGGAGCAGAGATGAATGCGTTCGGATGGCGGAAGACCAGGTTTTGATTCAAATTTCCCATCCACAACCTTGCTGCACTCTGGTAAGCGATCAAAATCGCGGTGCACATAGGCGGGCACGGACTCTGTGGGTATTATTGCCAAAACACTTCGCAGAGGAGGAAAAATTGCGCGAACAACATCGGGACTGACGGCCATAATGACATGATCGAACAGTTTCGATTCAATTACACCAGTCCGGTCGTTTTTCCAAGTCAGTCGGACTCTTGTCCCGACATTTTCAATTCTTGTGGCAGCTGATGAAAAGTGGACTTTTAGATCTTTTGAAAGTCTATCTTGAACTTTGTTGACGCCGCCCATTACAGTGTAATGCGGCTTTCGGAAAGTTTTTGCCTGGTAATCAACAATGTCGACTGCGGGGAAGTTCAACAGCGCATTGTGAGGACATGTTGTCACCGCAGACATAATGGGTAAATAATAATGCTTCAGGAAGTACTGAGGTAATCGGATTCGCGCCGCATACTGTCGAAAGGTTTCTGAAGATCGCGAATCATTGGCCTCTATCGGCTTGACGAAAGTCGAGCAGGCCACGATCCAGAGGTAGCAGATCCCGAGATATAGTGCCTCGATGAGCCATGAAAACCAAGAACAGCCCTCGGGTTTAAGTGGGGGGAATTGGTGCATGTGAGAGGAGTGAATATAGTGGGTGCGTATGTTGCGTTTCTTCTCACATACTGACTCTGATACCGTGGAAAACGGATATACAAATCTTTGTGAACCATACTCAACACCGAAATAGTCATACATGCGTTTTAAATTATCGTAAAAGCCACTTGCAAAGGCCCGCATGGGTAGATCCACTCGCTGTTTTGTCCCAGATTTGTTGGAGACGGTGAGCGATGCAGAATCAAGCGACAAGTGATTTTGCTGCAACCGTGTCAGAATTTTTATGCACGTTGGGAAAAATAGGGAAAAGAAAGCAGCGCACCTTTTCAAAGGCTTCCACATCGAACCTCCCTCGCGAGTCATTTCTTAACATGTATGCCGTGATCAAACCAGCCATGCCAGTGCCAACTATGGCGACCGACTGGCGTGATTCAACCGAAGCCTTGGGTGCCATCGGTCGTGGTCTTTACCCTCCCTGATACCTGGTATGAATTTGAGAATGAAAGAGGATCGTGTTTTGCTCTTAAGAAATGGCGAGGCCCAACAGAAAACCCACAGCAGGTGGCTCCGCTAGCCAATAAGATCCCATGTTCCCGCGATCTTGCAAGGGTTCTGCACAGTCAGTCACGCCCACCAAATCCTCCAAATCCTCGGTTATCGCGAACTTATCGCCCCCATGTGACCTCATTTGTTGTTTACGGTTTGAAAGCTCCAATCAAAGTTGGTCCATGCTTCTCGCAAATTCTTCCCTTCTTGAAAATACCCAAGGTTCCAGTGTGGGACGAACTTCTGCCACGTTCACTATCACGTGGCGAGGGACCTTGATCTCCTTCCTGTTCTCAACCCCTTTTACTAATTCAAATGTCGATTTACTCCCGGGCAGCTTTTGGAAACCGATGCGACCGGTCTCCAACTGACCGCAGCGTGCTAATCATTTAGTTACGTCATGCACAGGGCCAAAATGTTTCGAATCTTAACATTCCCCCTGTCAGCTAGGATGTTGTCCCGACGATCTATCACATTTAAGGTATGACGAGGGGCAGAAATCATAGAATGACGTACGCTAAAGGGGTCATGGAGGTATACCCGCAGGCGTTGGAGGAACAAAAACAAGTGGAGATTGACAGGGCAGCGTTGTAGCCAAACATGAATCGTAAGCACTATAACAGACCGCGGACTCCCCAAGGCTGGAGTCCAGCTCAATTCCGCCCTCCGTGCACCGCGGAGTCCAGTACTTTGTGGTATAAGAAATGGATCCCGAAGGATTCCGGGTATGCAAACCAAAGGCTTGGCGTTATACAGTCCAACGGAGGCCAACTGATCTAGTGACAAACGAGTAATAAGCGCGAACATCGAATTCAATCAACTAGACCCCACTATCGATTTCTCAAGGCTGTGTTGTAGCGCACTCCGTACTTCGATATTCCGTATCCCGCGGACTACATATAAAGAATGGATTTCGAAAACGAAACTAAAGACTTGGCATCAGCTCAGGGGAAATTGTCGTATCCGGAGTACGGAGTGAAAAAGCGAAGAATCAAACGCGACCTTTATCCCCACTAATCAAATTTCATTGTGCCCAGGTGCCTCACCCTTCTTTTTTATGCATAAGCTAACTCTTTAATGATGTATAACCCCAACCATAACAAATTGAAATGGTGGGCTGCTTCAACTACTCCAAAAATCATATATCTGTTCGGGCCTCTTTGATTCTTTGATTTTCTTTATTTTGAAGCCTACTTGCCGCATACCCTGTGAGCATTTTATTGAAATGACCGGTTCAAAAAGCTTTCGCTTAATTTTCTTTTTTCGACTTACGAAGACTTTTACCAAATTTTCCGAACTATAGACTTCCACCAATCTATCCCTTTGAGGATGCTCTTGAGGTCGGATTTGGTATATCAACGCCGCTTACTCCGTAGATACCACCGGAAAAGCCTCCAAGCATTTTTAACGAACACGCTCGGCCTCCAAGGTCTCATTTAATGCAGCCATCAACTCATCGCCCGGAATGTGATCCTCATTTTGCTCAAAAGGGCGCCACTGGCATAGTCAGGTTGACTTTGGTTGAGAAAATATCACAAGATAGGATGTTCCTCATTATGGTACTTGTGACATCGGAACAGAGAGTGCAGCAACACACTAGCACTCTACAGAAAACTAATCAATCCATCAATCTACCTGCATGAATATTGAGCCCCAGATTTCTGCACTTAAGGTTATATCTATCCTTGAGCTCGGGCCAGTCCAGAATCCAGAAGGCGGCACGAGGCACGCGGCCGTTCGCACATCACCTTCGCCCCCGGGGCCAGAGGAACCCTATGTCTGAGTCTAATCGAACGATTCTTCTTATTCAACTGTATTCAAGTCTCGAATTCAGACCAAAATGTTCAATATGACTGTTAAAGCACTGCTACTAGTCAAAAGCGGGTGTGAATATAGCTACACAAGACAACAGTGGAACTATAGCCGCCTGCTTTCGCAAAGATCTTGTTTACTGAACTGACATCGGCGATCAGCTTCTCTAAATTTCACTACAACGCCAGGGGTGCCCCACTATTCACTCTGAATGTCAGAGCCACCGCCGTCATCAGGTACTAACTTGAAGCTCGAACGAACCACTAGCTACCCCACAACCTAATCCAACTTTCCAACTTTCGTACCGATCACCCAGTATATAGTAGCTCCTTCCCCAGAGAATCAAACACTCAAATATATGGATATCGACAATAATATCAAGCTATTTCGCAGTTCAGGCGACAAGCCAAGGAGACTGGAGTCGGATTCAACACTTGTACCTAACGGCATTGAAAAAAAGGCAACGACATTAATACACGGGAAGCCGCAGGCTACATAACTGGTGGCTCGATGATACTACCAACACTTACTGGAGGTCTTATCTTGGCGATCTCAGGACATCGCCGGGGTGCCAAGTGCCAAGAAGGGTCCCAACCCCTCCGGCCTTCAGCTGGGCCCCAGAGAACTTAGTGTTGCTTGCGCGCAATTGTTGTTAGTTTTTCTTTACAAAAATAAACACTTGGATTGAGAATGATACTGTAGTGCTCATATACTACCTAATCTCCTCTCCTATGCTCCTCTCCATTCAGATAGCAAACGCGCAGCGATACCTAGTAACGACTATCATCATCTTCATGCCTTTTTAAAACAATTGAGACACAGACTGTTGTATATTCACCTTGACCTCGGAATATCATGATACCCTTTACTTCAAAGCCAACGGTGGACAGCACGCAATTACCCCTCGAGCCAACTAACGGTCCTTCACTTGATCACTCACTATACCTCCCGACGTCTCAACACAGTCCATATCAGGTTATTCCTACTTGGGCTGCTATTGAAATCAGTATTCACCTCTGAACGGAACTCATACTCACTTCGAGCGGCTCGAGCCAGAATTCTGCTGCAACCTATGTCGGAATGTGAACACAAAATTTGAGTGGTGTGGTATTGGAGGCGGGCATTACTGCTTTTGCGACTTTACAACTCAAACAGAGCCCAATTCTCTCCCAGCTTCATCGTGCAACGACGACGACAAGTCTGAACGATAGTACGTCAACTGCGGCGGTTACATCGGGCAAAAGCTCAAGCTTGAGTGCAGGAGCTATAGCAGGAATTCTTATCGGTACAGTAGTAGGTGTAGCTTTGATTGTGGCGGCGGCATTTTGGTTCATGCGTTCGCGTCCGCGCTCTCGTCCCGATCACATCCAACCGGCTGAGATGGAGACCCCAGGTAGATCGCCAAGTGAGCCAAGTGAGCCAAGGATATTGAACAAAGAGCCTCGGGAGTTATTTGGGAATGGTGAATCCCCGCAATTACCTACCTCGAATCAGCCACCCGTCGAATTAGATGCACATACAGGACCGGCACTATACAGCCAAAAGGTTAGCAATGGTCTATGAGCTTTTGCCGACAATATCACAGCAATATTTTACACATTCTGATTTTGTAGAAGAGCGTGATCATAGAATGTCAGAATGGCAATCTCGAATGGGGAATGGAGTACGGAGTGTGGACGCGAGTAAACAAATCTCACGTGGGTGCTGTTTGTTCTGTTTGTTTCAACTGTTAGCGTTGCTTGTATGGGGCCACCATAAACAAACGAACCTTTCCTTCATCAACTAGATCTACCGGGCGTCTCTTCTAACACAATCACCAATACAAAGAAGAGGTGCTTGGTAGCATTCAGTCTTAATTGAAAGTCTTTAAAGATACAGCAAAGACCATGGGATTCTTCAAATGGCTATTCAAAAAGCCCCGCATCGAGCTGTACGGCCTAGACCATGCGGTTCTTAACATCCAACTGCCACCACAAACAATGTGGATGAACATGGGTTACTGGAAGGTGTGTCAGGAATACCTATTATCTGAATTACCGATGCATCAACCCGAATTGTTTTGAAATTTACTGACATGTTAGAAGTGTACAACTGCATTTCCCGAGGCTTGCCAAGCTTTGCTCGACCAAGTATTAGAAGCTGGTCCACTGAAAGCACACAGCCCACAGTCTATCAGACTTCTCGATGTTGGATGTGGCTGTGGTGACCAGTCAGTCTACTTGGCCAGTCTACAAAAATACACCTCTACAAATAACGAGTCAAGATCGGATTCCCAAGCCATTTCCTCATCGATCAATATGCATTCCTCCCCCACCGGCACTGGCAGTATTTCTAAAATTGCCTCCTCCTCATTGTTAACTACCTACATAGGGATTACCTTGGAGCCTTCCCAATCATCAATGGCAATACAACGAGTTCAAGAGTCTCGCCGCGCTGGGAACATTCCCTCAAACACAGCAGTGGATATATTCTGCGCAGATGCCGCTAACCCCGCAAGCTGGTCTGGAGATCTTCAGTACTCAATTGAAAAGTTGACAGCGACTTCTGAGTTATTGGATCAAACAACGTGGCTTCTTGCCTTGGATACTATTTATCATTTCCGTCCGTCGCGTTTGCCCATTCTTCAATTCGCATGCAATAGTCTTCAAGCCTCTTATATGGCCTTTGACCTCGCCCTTGGGGATGATGTATCTTGGTTTCAGCGCTTTATTCTACGGATAGTTTGTTATGCGCTTGGCGCTCCGTTTGGGAATATCGTGACGAAGGATGAACTCAAGGGTCTATTGGTTAAGGCTGGATATGAACCTGGCAGAATTGAAATGAAGGATATCTCGCGACATGTTTTTGGTGGACTGGGTAAATTTTTGGAGAGAAGAGTTGAAGAAGCGTCGCCGTTTGGATTGAAAATGGGGAAGTATCGTGTTGCGAAGAAAGTTTTCGACTGGTGGGCTAGAACTGGAGTCATAAAAGGATTTGTGGTTGTTGCGAGGAAATCTTGAGTCTTTCTTTCTATTTTTTGGATGATCAAGATATTGCAATCTTAACCGAGTGATACCCTCTTAGTTTCAATTTCGAACAGGATGACGCATCCTTGGTTTAAAGTACTACGTATAGTATCCGTGCATATGTACGCAATGCGCAGGACATCTTGAGTGTGTATGTGTACTATAAACTATAATTTAATAAAACGTAAACGGACTCAAATTTGATTACCCTTTGATTAATCCCATCATTATACTAGGCTTGAGCTATGCCCAGCCGATCATATGTACAATATGTACAGCCCAAACTATGTACAAAAGTTTGACTGGCCATGTTCAACTGCTAGAAGTAAGGTGTCCAGTTACTCGGCAGGCGTGGGGCTTTGTGGATTGCGGAAAACATTATCTGGGTCAATTTCCTCTTTAATCTGCCGGAGTCGCGGCAAATTAGAGCCCCAGTATGCCTCAGCACTATTAGACATGCGCGGGTCCACATAGCCAGGATAAGCTGCATATGGCACTTCATAGTTCGTGACGATCTTATTGACACCTTCCAGGAAATCAATCTCAGTTTCAGAAACAGGACCAAGCAAATTGATCGTGTACAGCTGCAACCAAATGAGAACATCACGGTGCGCGTACGAAGTAGCATCAGATGCAATAGTGTTGGTATATCCACCTTGGAAGTCGAAAAGCAAGAACCATATCAATGTCCCCTGGTCAGTTGAGTCAATATATTCAAAAAGCTTATCAATAGTAGCCTCGCTCATCAGATTCTTAGCCGTCCAGGAATTAGACTTGGAATAGAAATGAGCCGGCACTCCACCTCCCAGCTCCAAAAACGCTTCTTCAGCCCAGTCAGCCACTAGACCGAGCCAATCTTCGAAAACAACCGCACTGCCATTAGCACCAGGGAACTGGCTACCAATATCCAGAGTTTTATATTCTTCCTCTGTCCCAAAAAAGGTGCCTGTGATAATCAGGCTATCCTCAGCTAAGGTAAGAGTTGATGCCATCTTCCATGTGAGATCGGGATCAGAGACATAGGCTTGCCATTGTTTGAAAAGAGTAGCCCGCTCCTCGGTCGTGCCGACTTTCAAACTATATTCGTATTTCACTGCAGTTCCTGGCTCAGGTTCCGTGCGAACCTTGTACTCGGTCACAATACCGAAGCCGGATGCTGCGCCTTTGATTGCCCAGAAAATATCCTGGTTCTGGGTATCAGATGCTCGCACAATGCTGGAATTTGCTAGGACAACTTCCACTTCCAAGATATGGTCCAATGCAGCTCCGAACTGCCGTGAGGTTGGACCAAGTCCTCCAATTGTGAAGTGGCCACCTGAGCCAACTTGTGGACATGTTCCATGCGACATTGCTCTTCCACCGGCATCATGGAGACGCTGCGTGACATCGCCTAGGAGTGTGCCACTGCCAATTGTCGCTTCCCAGTCTGTGCTGTCCATGGAGAATTGATTTAGGTTCTTCAGATCAACGACGACGGCACCGTCAACTCCGCCAAGTCCTGCAATAATTTGGAATAATCAGCTTCGGTTTTGTTGAGGGTTGAAATTTCATGGACTGTATGTTCCTCATACCATAATTCCCATAGCTATGTCCACCACTCTTAGGCTGTACATGGTATCCATCGTCGGCGGCACATTTGACAATTGCTGAAACCTGCTGGGAAGAGGTTGGGAAAGTAACGGCCGCGGGTGTGATTGGGATATTCAGATTATACGCATTGACAGCCGTAGACTGATAAAGAAAATCACCAGAAAACGCAACTCGTCCACTATCGGTCAATGCATACTGCAAACAGGACTTGAGATTGTCGTCGGAACTCGCAACAGCCACCGAAGCCACACTTATAGTCCACAACAAAGCTCGAAGAGATGCCATGGCTGATGCAATATGCAAGCCAAAATCACGCGTAGATGTATAATGCAATACTTCACAAGTAAACCGCCCGTCTCAGCTCCATGGTATTTCTGCGGGCCAAGCCAAGAATTAAGTAGGGCAGAATCATGTCCAGATCCATTATTTCGGGTTGATCCAGGGGTCTCATGAACGGCACATCAAATCTCGAAGCGAGATGATCCCGACAGTTGAATGGAACGTAAGCCACAAATCCCCAGACGGGTCAATAAAAGGTACATGTTGTGGAGATGATTCAGGATCTAGCAACAATGGAGGGCGATCCGGGCTCGCCGATCTCCTTTTCGAAGCAAAACGCCCCGGTCAATACCACTGAAGACATGTCCAAGCTCTTCGCAGCAACAAACCGAGTAGGAATTTGATAGACATAGTAGTGTGTTTTTTGACTGTGCAGTGTCCACATCGTGTAAGTGACAGCGCCCAGAATTCGAGCTAAGGATTCTGATTCATGCGAAGCGTGTGGATAATTTGTCCGGGCGACGATCGCATTGCGCTCGGGCATGATTGACAGGGTTCTTGCCTACAAGGGTCATTGCTCAACAGTTTAGACGATAGCTTCGCGTGGGATTGACCTGCCGAGGTGCACGTTCAGACGCTACTGTACGGCATTTCAGGACTAACATGTGCAAATAAAACGGCAATGCGGTTTGGGAAAGCCACCTTGTTTCACGGTCGAGTCGTTGAAACTATGAATGAGCTCTGTTAGACACAAGGTTGAGCGAATAGGATAGTACAGCGGACTTGGGATGAGGTCCTTTCTTTGTTCCGCGTGATCCCGCACCTTGTTGGTATTGTTTCCCCGAACCCCTGTCATGTTCATGTTCAAGTTCAAGTTCAAGTTGAACATATGGTAAATATTATGTATGTCCTTGTATTCAAATAACCACCTCAGGCTATAATGGTATGAGCATAATCAACAGCACCCTAAGACTTTCGGAGAGCTCAGGCTAAAGTTTTTTTGGAATAGATACATGCTCATATTCATACCAAAAGGCCATTATAAAAGTGGAGTAGTAAGGTGAATTATGTCTATTGAAGCAAAGTGCACTGTAAGAATAATCATCATTCGTGGGCTTCTGCTACCCCAGAACTTGCAGAGGCTATATAAAATGGCCTTGACTGCTAAATTGACAAAATAAATTTCATCGCTGGAAACATTATAAACAAGAAGGAAAATTCAACAATAAATGCCAAAAGAAACTAGTGGCACATGAGGCAGCAGGCAATAATATCGAAACAGTGTTAGGAATAGACTAGGGCGTATTGTTGTTCCCTTTCGCAGAATTTTGAGTTGTTGTTTTCTTAAATGTTTTTTTCTTTAATTTCACTGCTTTATACAGTGGTTCCAACACCGTGCTTGGCTGTGGAAGGACTTGTGGTCTCGCCGCGTGATGCAAGGAAGGTCTTGAACATGTCGGAGATCGCCTTCTCAGAGGCCTCATTGCGCTCTTCGCTGCCGTTCTTCTCCATGATCAATCCACGCAACCAGTGGTTCTCTAGCTCGAGCTGGGAGACACGAGCCTCAAGAGCGTCATTCTTATCATTGGTTTCCTTGACTGTGTGTTCCAAGGCTGCCTCGCGCATCTTCTTCTTCACACGGAAACGAGCACTGGCAGCTGTGTTACGACGGCGCTTGTCCTCATCAGCAACACCACGTGCGTCCTCCTCGGGGGTAGGCTGAGGCACCTTCTGGGTGTTCTTGCGCTTAGGGCCAGATGTGATAGGTGTCGTGGGGCTGAGGCTTTGAGCCGGAGTTGGGACCTGGGCTGGTGCCACACTCTGAGGAGCGTTCATAGGCACGGCCGGAGCCGCCGCCGAGTGAGGGGCCACAGGGACATTGGGAACGGAAGATACAGCCGAGAAAGGCGCATTCTGGATGTGGGCCTGTTGTGTGTTCACACCATTCAGAGGGGTTTGGAAATCGGTGATGTTGTCAAGGCCTCCATCTGTATCAAAAAATTAGCATCGAATAATGACACACATAAAAACAATTGCCCGATCTTCGGTGACTCGATGTGGTTAAACTGCTGCCAACCGACTAAGATTCGCTCCGATCACGTGGTATGGCGCAAGAGCGGAGAATACTCGCGTCTGATACAAATGGATTGGCATGCGCAGATCGCGGTTGAACGAAAATTTCATCAAGCGCCACAGCACATATGACCTGCAGGGGTCCTGAGAAAGTTTGCAGGGTAACAACTGCCGGCTGCATAGCATATAAGATCATTACACGCTGAAAAGGCGCCATATAGGGCCAAGTCCTCGTGAAACGAACCATGCCACCTGCATGACCAGTAGCAACCAGTGAAGTGGGCTTCAGTCATGCATGTATTGAGTGCTCCAATGTATGACCCATGATCACATCAATAATGGGCAGCATCCGTGATCATGATATTCGAAGAATGAATGCACCATGGATACCCATTCACCGGTCCTTTGTTCAACCACAATCGAGCCGACCAGGAGAAAGCAGTAGAAAGCAATGAAAAACGCAACGTAACACCCGACTTACCATTAAGGAAGTCCAAAAACTTCATATCATCATTTTGTGTAGGCTGTTCAGACACCTCGCCATGTGTAGTTTTATCGTCCAAAGAATCGAAGGCCGGCAGATCCAGGCTAGGGAAGTTGTCAAAATCGAAGAACTCGGCATTGGTGAATAGTGCCAGCTCATCATCCCCGTTGAACGCGTTCTGCTGCTGCTGCTGGAGAGCTTGATCGTAAGCTGATGGAATGGCGTTCAGATCATCCAAGTATTGAGAAAAGTTAGGCGCGCGACGCCCATTGTATCCGGCCATGGTGTATGCGTCGACTTTGAGTCGATGAAATTGATCGCGACTTTTTAAATGTAGGTTTGGAGGGTGTCTTGTTCCGTTGAACAAAGACTCGTACTATAGTTCCGGTCGGGAGCGAGTGTGACTCGAACGCGCCGGATGCGGCTCAAAGATCGAATTCGGAATTCACCAGTATCGGTCGGTGATATATTTTCGGTCGAGGGGGATGCGCTTTGATATCTCGATAATAACTTTTGCGTTGGTGTCGACGGCGATGAGTCGAGAGTTGAAAGTGGGAAGAATCAAGACCTAGCGGAGGGCAACGGGGGGCTAAAGTGGATTTTTGCCCTTTCTATGAGTTTGAGTTTGGGAAGTGGGGAGGGAGTCCAAGGCAAAGAGGGGTGCGAGGGAAGATTATTAAGCCGCACTTCGCCCCAAGTATTACTTGAATCTACGCACACCAGATGCATGGTATTCTAGTTCCATGGCTTCTATGTTTCCAGACCTGAATCTATTCATGATCTCATTAACATTTACACCTCGTATTTCAAGAGTCAACTACGTTGATTTACGACAAACCAGTTGTGTCCTCAATTTCCCCTGCTTCCTCGAATAGGGGAATGTGTGATACACTATGCAACGATCGCACAAATCTCCGCCGAAGATCGGAGGCGACTCCACTGTTTCCACAGTGCCACCGTGGAACCAAACCCCAAAATCGCTAACCCCGACTGATAATTACTAGATGAGATTACTCCACGACTAGGATAACGGTCTTACTGCTTTAACATCTCGTCTTCACCCATGCCTATTACACCTTCTGGATCGCATTCGATTAGACAATAATGCCAGGGACTGTAAAATCTAGCGACAAGCGCGGCTACCAAATCTCCAGATCGGGCATTGAACTTTACGGAGCTGACGGCCGGGAACAGAAAATGTACGGGAACCGGGCTCCGGCACCGGTGATAGGCAGGAATAGAGTTCCTCGCCCATTTGTCAGCCCACATGCTCTACACTGTGAACCAGGAAGTGGATTTGGTTGGCTGAAGTCACAGTGCAGTCATCCTGAATCTCCCGATGTCATCGCGAAACATTATTAATCAGGTTTGTGGAAAACGTTGTTCCATACTGTAGACTCCTCGATTGAAGTGTAGGATTTGGGTTGTAACAATTCAGCTTGGCCGCGGAGTCCCCCGCTCTGCGTGCCTAGGTGCCTCGTGCGGAGAATGGTACTAAGGCTGCATATTTAACATCTTCAAAGTCTCCAGAACATTCCCTCCGCGCTCGCCTAGACACTTCAATGGGAGCTACGGCGCCACCACACAGCCATCTATGCATGGAACTCAATTTGTAGTCTTACAAGAGTGACTATCCTTCCATTGGAGTCACTCAATGAATTAGCACAGCTAAAGAGTTCCGACAATATCATTAGGTCACCGCCTGAAGTTTAATCCGAGTTTAACATAGGTAACATGAAGAGGAAAATAATTTAGTGGTGAAACAGAATGATCCTCTTTGCTGGCTTCAAATTTCTTTGTCTTCAATTATTCGTTTTAGATTTTTAATCGAGCATATAGGATGTAACAGAGCACATAGATACAGTCGTTCTCGAAATTGGCTTGACACAAACAAACTTAATTGTAGTATAACTACACGGAGGAAGACTCGAGACGGGTATGTTTGCACTGTTTGCATGTTTGTGCGATTTGACCCACTCTCGGATGCAGACCAATCATCTGATTGGTCTGGAGAGTGGCATCCGCCTACCTATATATAGCATAACTCTCTCTCTTCTTTCCTTTTCCTCAACGTTTTTATTCGTTGTTCTTCGCACTTTTCTCTATTCTAGTAGATCATAGGCACCTCATCACATTAATCACTATTTCCTAGCCCTTTCGCCAAGGACTTAGCACACATCAAACATTTAGCGGGACTCATTAAATTAAAGGCCGCAGAAAAATGCATTTGTGAAGTACCGTATCTGAATTATAATATTATAGTATATATACGAGACTTGGGTGGAATCTTATAGAAGCGCAAAGTGGATCTCTATAAATCAATTCGTGGTCTAATTCCAACGCTTCTTAGTTCACTAGGTATTTATATCGTTTTCCAGCTATTACTTCTAATAAGTATTATTTTTGCCTTAGGGAGTATCCAAATAGATAAAATCTATCGGTAAACTACTGTCTTAACTAGGGTCCTGTTGTTTGTAGACAGACAACATCCTTTCGATAGTCGATAGTATAGGCCTTAACTAATGATCACTAATAATTACTGTCGTCACAGCACGTGAAAACACTAATATTATCTAAGTCTCCGTCCGGTAAGAAGCGCAAGTGTCTGAGGGTAAACTGCTCTCGAAATCTACTGTAAAAGATGATGTTCTCCGATCATACTATGTATTTGTGACTACCTCATCAGGAAGCGCGCTTCCGTAGCGCCAAAGAGAGTCCAAAATGTGGGTCATCGCGAGGTCTACACTATGCTGATAACCTATTCCCCTTCAGCCACGGAGTGTCGTTGCAAGTCTTCCGTGCACCTACTAGCCACCTACTAGCGTTCGCCGCTCAATAAATATCCCATACCTTCGCCCACAAGATGCACTAATATGCCATGAGAACGGTTCGGCAATAACGGGACCAACCCGGGGAACTGAAATCTCACCACGGTGGTGGCAGCAGGCATTTTCATACCTCAAGGGAGATGTAAAGAAACAGTATAGCTGGCTCAAATTCGGTCAGAATTCGAATGAGGGGGAGGAAGAATGGATTACGGCAATCCTCCTTCGAGCAAAGGGTTCCACTGCCATTCTAGCTATCAACCTGATCCTAGTAATGGCCGCAGGCATTATTGCGTCTAAAGGAAAAGCCAGATTCAGTGACTGTGCCTACTTGGATGCACTTTCTCCGGCTATTTACCAGGGAGATTGTTCAACATCCAGTCATTTATCTACAGTAATCCACCTTCTAATCAGCATCCTCAGTACGGGACTGCTGATGTGCAGCAACTTCACCATGCAGTGTCTTAGCGCCCCATCACGGGTAGATGTTGATGCTGCTCATGCTAGTTGAAGATGGCTTGAGGTTGGGACTTCTACTGCGTTTCGAAACTTTCAGATCATGGATTGGAAACGAAAGATTCTCTGGGTTTTACTCTTGCTAACCAGCACTCCTATCCATTTAATGTAAGTTGAAATGTACTCTATTTGGCCCAACATTTTTGTCTTTATACTAATTCGTATTATTAATATTATACTATAGTTACAACTCGGCCGTCTTTACCTCTATGTCCACACAAGACTATGGAGTTATCGTTGTTCCAAAAAACTACTCCGAGAATGACTCCTTAGTTAATGATGTCCTCTCAGAAGATGCATTTCGGGATTTTGTTGGGTTCTAATGCATCCGACATACACAAAGCTATGTTCAACGGCAGCTTCGAAACTCTGACGGCAAAACAGTGCCTAGAAAGATATGCAGTGGATCACAATACTGCAGGGAGCACTGTAGTCGCTTACATGGTCGCCGACCAGAACAATATTTCCCGAACTGGCTCCACAAGTTTAAGACCTTTAAATGCCGGATACGGGGGGGGCGTTTGGCTGGATGTGTGCATCCTCTGGCGCTTGCGGAGAGGCCGATCTCTTGAGCCTGGATTTTTACATTCAGCCCGCCTTTTTGGTGTATCCCAATAGAACATATACTCTTCCTAATATCGAGGGGCAACATCAAACATTTGATAGTGCCACTTTGAATTATGCGATCTTCCATGCCGTTGACCACGCCGACTGGATCTTTGATTTTTTGACCTTCTTGAATCATATATACCTCTATAATCCTACCGATCAAGAACTACGATCCTATATCAAAGACAACTCTACCTCCATCTGGAAGAACATCAGCTGGCCTGGAGATGTGTCTTTCAACACGGTCTGACCCACTGATAACGGTACCCTTATATCAATGATATTGACGGCAGCAGGATCTTTCGAGGATTCTGTCATGGGGGAGTACGATCCGTGGAATGTATCTATTTCACACTGCCAGAGCCAGCCGTCGACTCCGCAGTGTCAACTACGATTCATGCCGTGATACCATCACACAAGGCAGTATCACAGGAACAATTCAAAAACTGGCTGCTAAAGCCGACAAGGATTCACATGCAGCCGAATCAAAAGCATTGGCTGCTAAAGCCTGCATGGATTCAGATTCAGCCGAATTCAGGGAAACTGCCCTCGAATTGGTTCTGGCCAACAAGCAATGGTACGCAGTCAAGAAGCTTCCTGACGACAAGGATGAACTCGTTGAAGAATACAACAAGGAGATAGAGGCTCTTTATACAAAGGGGTAGGAAGCGGAGGGGTGTACACTTTGTTCACATAGAGGGATTGTGCTTCTCTTACCTCGGGTTCTTTTTGTTTGAAGAACTTTCAAGTTGATATTTCGGGTCACAAATACTGTATGTGTATGCAGATTCATCCAAGTCAAATTTATTGAAATCCACCGTGGAGTTTCATGGAATTCTACATTTTTGTATGCGTAGTATAAATTACGCCTCGGGATACTGTAATGACCGAGGCGTATTTCACCACGCTCCCCAATTTGAGGCGGGCTGCTCAATAATTAATCTGCGCTAAGGCCTTGGAGGTAGGGGCAGAAAAGAATAACGAAGAGTGTATCTGTCAAGCCGATTTTGAGAACGACTGTATATCCATTCATCCTGGAGTTGTACTATGTAGATATACGATCACATGACTTATCTACTAATCTTATCTACACGTGATGTTGTTGATGCCCCGAGTGGAGACGCGTGGAATTCGGACTGAAGAAAAACAATGAAAACAAACTAATTCTCTTCATAATCCACTATGCGATTAGTTTGATCCGGCATATAACTGCGCCCTCTATCGCCAGCTTGTTTGGTATTTTCGCTGGCCATGGCGGGTCCTAAGAAAGCTCGAATCCGAGCTCCAACAACAGCGAGCCTGCCAAACAACCTCCGTATTCCATCAACAGCACACTCCCTAATCAAGACCTTGGGCAAACTATCCCGGCAAGCATTACTTGACCTTGCCCTTGATTGGCTCGATGAAAAAAACATTCAATCATTCCCACCACATCTCCAACATGAACAAAACAACAACAACGAAGATGAAGAAGCATTACCATACCCCGCGGCAGATACCATTGAAGAAGTCCGCCAAGTATACGAGGACTTCCAAGAACGAAAAGGTGGCAAGCGAGAAGTTCTCGAGAGGATCTTAGAAGGCGACTGGCGACAAGGTATCACACTGCGACAACTTGCGATGGCGGATATCCGCCACATGGACGATCATCCAGCAAGTTTGCGCTGGACAGCTCTGGAACTCGGTCGCATCGATCCTAAACGGAACAAGTCTAGTAACAAGACAGCACCGGAAGACTGGTCTAGCAATGTACCGCGCATACAAGCAGCCAGCTTTGTCAAGGCTCTTCAGCGTGAAATCTCCCCACTCGTCAAGGCACATTACCATCTCGCCCGATCATCAGCTCTACCTCTCACCATTCTGCGCATCTTCATCGTCGATTCTCCCTACCAATCTCCTCGTCAAACGCCGGAGATCTTCGCAGACTCTTCCCGCGTCATATACGTTGCTTTCCCTGATAGTTGCCCCTTCATTTATACCTCCGTCACAGCATCGAATGGATCCAAGACGCCCACACCCATAACAAGCTCCATTGCAACTGATCCGCGCAGTCTGCAGCGACTAGTCCGCGACGCAGTTCCGAAAGCCCTCTCCCGACCGCATGAGCGGTATACCCTGAAAGCCACCGCGTTGGCGGCGAAAAACCTCCCAACCTTATTAGCTCTGCGTGGTGCTGGTCGATCAACCGCAGCAAATGGCAGTTTCAGTATTTTTGCCGATTCCGCTCTCGAAGGAAGTCCATTGGATCCTCGTCCCTCAAATACTGTTTCTGCACAGGAACACATGCGTAGTGGACACAGACCTGTCAAGTACGACGATAAGGAGAATATGAACCCCGCACAGAATGCTGAGAAGTCTTCACGGAAATCTGGGAGACGGGTATCCGGCGTGGATGAGTCTGCTGCTTTGTCACCGACGTCTAAAAAGCGTCGTCTGGCTGTTGACTCGCGTTTTGGGACGGCGGCCGTATCTCTTACTCCGGCGCCGTTGGATCGTCTGGATGTTCGTCTTTTGGATGGCCCTTCTGGTGGTGGAGAGGGGAGTCGCCTTGTTGGAGGTATGCCACCTGTATCTCTCACTTTCTCTGGGAGTGATGTCATTGGCGGAATTCGCAAGCTCGCTGAGCTGGGCGTTATTAACCCGGAACGAATGCCCAGCTGGTTGACAGGTGAAGAGGCTGTGAGCATGGCTGTTGTTCGCGAGGGTCGGCGCATCAAGAAGAATGATTGAGGAGATTTGATTTTTGTCTCATATTTATATTGCCTGTGGCGCATTTGGGATTTGCTGGCATCATTATGGCTGGATTGGAACTTGCTTTTAAATGATACCCGTAGTGATTTGTATGGCGTTGTGGAATCTATTGTTATTATTGATAATTTGGCACTCTTTAGGTTAGTTCGCTCAGATCTAAGAGAAAGAGAAAAATGGCAAGAGAAATACATTCTTCTTCTAGGATATTAAACCTTTGGTAGTATCAATGATGCCCTCCCTCATTACGCTATCATAACTCCCAACCCCTCGACGAAATAAGAAAAAGAGATATCATGCTGATTAAAATTGCTCTTCTTTGGCCGACTCACCCTTCGCGCAACCTGGAACTTCGCTTCCCTCTTAATTGTCAAGTGTGAAATCCAGCTCCTTTAGATAACAGGATCAGGATCAACTTGCCGCCCAGAGCAGGACTATTGTTGGAAAGTTGAGGAACGCGAGTACATCGAATAGTCTATTTTGAGCCGATGAATATTAGTGGACGATGACAACTTGAAATATACTAGAGGGGCATATTACAGGGTTGTATTCATACCACGTTGGAGATCGAGCCCGAACCCGACATTGCGGTATCCACCTGGCCCTATGACAGCGTTTTTTCGAAGGGCATCAACGCGCTTTTCGTTTTCGTTTCCCCACTCGGCACGACTAAACAGCCTAGAGTCAGTTCATGGTCGTCTCGAGACCTTCCCGTCGAACACTTACCAGTAAACACATCGAACACCGGAAGAAGTCAATCTGCTTCGAATCGCCCATTGATCAAAGCAGGCCTTGTGGACGTTATTACCACAGGATGATTGACACCAAACAGTATTTTCTCCTGTCTTTAACTCCATGAAGCAGATAGGACAGTCCCCTTCAATTGGCTTCCGCTTGCCGTCGTTGTCCTCTGTAGAGGTCGACTTCACTTGGCTCAGAGAACACTCTTGCCACATTTCATTAATTTCCTGCATCAAATTGATTAGAAATGAGTTCGTTATACCTCGAGGGTTCAATTCGGAAAGGGTCAGTTTTCTAGTCACTTACCGAGGCCAACAAAGCCGCTTGGTACTGAAGGTGTGCCGGGGCTTTCAAGGTATGAACAAGAGCTGAACATGCGATCAACAAAAAGGCACGGTAAGAATAATTGGATAATAATAAAAACGAGTCAGAAGTCATAGGGATTGTTGTACTTACCATAGATTATGTGCTTGCATTGTGGGTTTTGAGGTCTGAACCGTTTGTCCGGACAATTGCACGATGGCACCTTCCGAATAACGGTCTTGTACAGGTTTCCAGTGGAACCGACAAAGTCAAAGGTTATCTCTGGATTCTCACCTTCCTTTAAGCCCTTTGCTTGGTACCCCACAACGTACGTTCTAGGTTCTCGTAAGCGAATGCAAATACGAACAAATTTAGGCTTTTTACTACCTCTCCATGTCGGCAAAGCGTAGTTTGTCCAGGACTTTTTTCGGGGGCACTTCAATGAAGGGTTTTGCACGATTCTCCTTTGGAGTCCATGATAGCTTTTTCTGCTTCGTGCCTTGGACTGTGGTTTTCTTGGAAGACGTTTCGACTTCGCCATTTGATTGATCCCCCTCGGTAGCGTCAGCTTCGACAGTCGCTTTTCTTTTGCTCGGTGGGGGAGTCAAGAGGCCTGTTGAGGCTGCATGTGAGGGGCTAGGGGTCTTTGTGACAGCTTTTCGAGCTGCCCTCTTGCACTGAGCTGGAGGTTTGGCCACGCCAGCATGCAGACTCGCCTTTATCTCATTCTGTGACTGGGTTGGCAAGGTTCACGAGGCTGTATCAGAGAGACTTGGGGTTTTCAAGTTTACCTTGGCCTTGCGAGCTTGTTGGCGCCGTCGAGCTGCCTGCGGTTTGATCTCTGGTAGTTGAACGGAGGGAATCATCTCCGAGTCTTGTGCAGCCATACTTTGGCTGTTTTCTGACATGCTTGATTTCATACTTTAGTAAAGGATATTGAGATTCAGCGGTGACGTCGCCGAAAAGAAGTCAATGAGTGGGAATCTGTGCTTACCTGCCAGTGTGTATCTCAAGATATTGCAATTTGCAATTGGGCAAGGAAAGAGAAGAATTTGAAGAACTTGGAGGGAATGAACGATGCAAATTTGAAGATGGTTAACACCTAGAGTGAAGGATAGCTCCGATTTCCAAATTTGGTTAGTACGATATTCACAACAACGGTCACAGTTGCAACCTAGAAGATTAATCTAGGCAGGAATACAAGACGAAAGGACCAATTACAATCAAACTATCAAACTACCTACTACTCTAGCTAGTTTAAGTACTTAAAGCCAATTTATAAGTTCAAGCAAAGAATCCAAAGTGATACTACATCTGGGGGTTGAGGAGGGAGTAAGTGCTTTGTTCCCACTTCTTCCCCAGACAATGGTAGATCTCCGAGACAAAGTGGCCTAATCATTTTGCGTCCACAAGAGAATGTGATGTCTGAGTCTATCTGAGACGGTAGTTTTTTTTAAAGGGTTCTTTTATTTATTTATTTCTTTCTTTCATTGACCATGATGTTCAAGTTCTCAAATGAGCAGAGAAAACAACACATTGTATACTGGAAGGCGCCAACGCCCCCCACTTTGGGGATAATGTGTTTGCACTGTTTGTCAAGCGTTATCGCTATCAGTCCGGGCATATGCAATCGCTCAACCTGTTGATCAAGATGATCCGCTAAGGATGCTGGGCCTGCTTCAAACATTTGATTTTAAGCTTATAGCATCGCAATGATGGCACGCCCACGAGCTCTATCGGGCGCTGATGCTCAAAAGGAGCCCCACGCAGTGTCCCTGAAAGGTAGGTAACTCTAATCAGGCAAGTGACGTCGCAGGTGGACAAGAAACTAACAATGTTGCCAATATCCAGTACTACGGTGTGCTTATTCGACTCTACATATGATATAGGAGGAGAAATAAGAATACTGACAGATTACAGTCTTTCTCGACCTTCGTTATCCCACCAATCCCCCCTCCCCGCCGCCAATACGAAGATCTCTCCCAAAGCCTCGTTAGCCCACTCATCAGCGGAGTTCGATGATCAATTTATAATCACACCTATTGTGGGTTGGTCCTTACAAATTATACATGTAAGGATTATTTGGCTGATACCGGACACAGCTTACACTTCCCCCGGCCTTTGGATCGGTCTACGTGGGCGAAACCTTCGCCTGCACACTTAGCGCAAATAATGAAATGAGCGAAGATGATACCGGGCGGTCTGTGACATCAGTCCGCATTGTGGCTGAGATGCAAACACCCTCATCTGTGGCCTCTCTGGAGCTCGATCCAGCGACCGATTCGGCGCAAACTGAGGGACTAAAGATCGGTGAATCATTACAAAAGATCGTTCGATATGACCTGAAAGAAGAGGGAAATCATATTCTTGCCGTTAGTGTCAGTTATTCAGAGACTAGGATTGGTCAGGGATCGCAAGCTGCTAGTGGTCGAGTACGGACATTCCGTAAGCTGTACCAGTTTGTTGCGCAGCCATGCCTTAGCGTTCGGACGAAGGCATCGGAACTTCCGCCATTGGAAGTGGATAACAAGTCGCTGGGCCCGTATGGAAAAACACGTTTGCTTCGTTTTGCCTTGGAAGCACAACTGGAAAATGTAGGGGATGGCGCTGTCGTGGTCAAGGTACGTTAATATCGTTGGGCATAACTGTTTCGACTGGGTCGCCCAAATTTCAAACACCAAGGATTCTTGGCTGACGCATTCAACAGCAAACTAGATTAGCACCCAAGCCACCGTTCAAATCTCAATCGTTGAATTGGGATGCCTTGGATGAGGGCGCCTCGGTATCTCCAACGTTAAATCCGCGCGACGTGTTGCAGATTGCATTTTTGGTGGAACAGGAGGATGGGCATCAAGAGGGCCTGGAAGCTCTTCAGAAGGATCTCCGGAAAGAAGGCCGCGCCACCCTGGGCCAATTGTCGATTGAATGGCGAGGCGCCATGGGGGACAAGGGGTTCCTGACTACCGGGAACTTGATGAGCCGGAAACGTACATAAAGGTGAGCACTGGGAACCTGATAGAATTGCTTGCCCCGCAGTGTGACGTTATACCAGCCGAGTCCCCGTGCAGATAGCCGTTTTGGATGCAGGACACAAGCGTGCTGTTGGTGGGAGAAGGGACGAAGGATGAGATTACTTGAAATGATAACACTAGGTACATACACTAATTGGTCAGAACGAAAAGAGATTTCTGCCAGATTTCACATCTCATTTCATTACTATGATGGGTATCATATTTGTTTGAGGTGGTCTGATGTATCCAACTTGCAATGTACCAATGGTGCCTTGCCACGTAGATGATCTATTATTGTATTATCATAGGGCATACATTGCACGGAGTAGAGCCAACTAAACTGCGCTTGATGGATTAGACTAATGCTGTAAATAGAATAGTCAAGTAAGCATTCGGTAGTGAGGCACGAGGTTAGTGGGCCAGCTAAACACCAGGCATTGGGTCTTCAGCCCCTTGGGTGTCGTATCTACCGAGCCGCGCCCCAGCGCTACCAACATGGGAAGGGGGGATCGGAAGACGGCTTTGCCATGCAGCTCGTGCTTGTCTAGGCAAGTAAAGGTTCCACGACAGCAGCAGGCTCGGAGATGGATTCCTTTCAAGATGCCTGACACCCGGTCTGCAAAATTCCGTAGGATAGATAAAGAACAGCTTGGGTATACATACAGTAGTGTAATTAATATGAGTAGATACATAATACATGAGAAGTTTCAAAGACAAGGATTTAGAACCTCAGAATCGACGACTAAATCCCACAGTGTAAAATGGCGAGTTCTAGACCCAGTAGAGCGCATCACCTGATAAACCAGGCACGGATCTAGCCCGCTGGGATTTTCAGCTCCGACTTTGTCTAGACCACAAAACAGGGAAGAAGAACAATCTAGATGTTGCGATGGAGCCATGGAGAAAATAGAAAATAGGAAATCGATACATGCTTTTTCTCTGCCCAATCCATTTTTTTTATCATTATTGAATATCCAATGTCTTGCGCAAGCCAAAGACATGGCTGAACATGCGTGGGAGGGAATTAAATCAAATATCCCGCTCTTCCAAAAAGAACTCGATCTTTACAGTATTTTGGGCATTAGCAATCTTGGAAGGATGCATCGCCCACCGCTGTTTTACATGTACGTTCTATGTAAGATTAAGTATCCTAGACGCAGGTTGGGATAACCTTGCCGTAGCCTTTGTCGCCTGCAGATGGTCTAAAAGGGCTACCGGTGCATCGACACCCGATACGCCTCCACGTAAGGTTCTCCTGCAGCCCCTCAGTCTGTGTGACGGGGGGCTGTGGGCGTTTGAAAAGTCACCGCCAATCGGGAGACGGAGAGGAGACGGGCATAATGTACGGCATACATAGCAGTGTAGCTGTACAGATACAAAATACAGACAGCACAGAAAAAGAGTAGGTAAGGGAAGGCGAGGAACACTCCAGACGAGAACGGGGCTCAGAGTATGAGCTACATCCTACCATGGTTATCAGTGTCTGTATAGCATATGTATTCAAGATGCATAATTCTGGTAATCTGGTAATCACTTTGAGAATTTCGCACCCCTCAGTGCTCCACATCCCACCGGGTTGAGTAGGGATCGGCTCCCCCAGAGGCACAGGCCTCCGCTTGGTTGACTCCTGACTCAAAAGGTCCAGCAGAGTGATAGAAGCGAAGTAGTGAGAGACATAAAACGAAGTATAAAGGGACTTTGGGGTTATAAGAAACGTCTCGTGTTACAATGGGGCTATACGATATGCGAATATAGGGAACCACTATCCCCGGACGAACTATCGGCATGTAGACCAGGGTTCGCAGTAAAAAGACAGCCACCGATATGCAACTTCTTAACTTCGGGAGTCCCCGACCAGTCTCCCTTTTGCCTCTAGGAACTAACCCCCTGTCCCGCGAAGTCAATAAATCTGAAAAATAGGCGACAGCAGCCCGGTGGATAGTTTCCGCAAACGCAAGAATAAAACCTTTGAAAGATGTCATAATGGCTTTATAAGTAAAACCCACACCAATAAGATCAGCGACTCTAAGAACGCCATGTCTCACGCCATAGAAAGTAGAAAAACAAACAGAAAAAGAAAAGCACACGATACAAAATGCTAGCAATTTCGCCCCCAAATATATGTGAAGTACGTCCCGAGGCCCTAAGAAAACCCATACTATTAATTGCTTGGGCCGTTGAAGGATTTCCAGGGGTTGCATTAAGTTCGCTATGGCAAATCTCGCTCGGCAAGTACCTAACTGAGCATGAGTTTGTGGGCGTTGATGAACTTTTCAACCATGGAACCCTACTGGGTCTCCAGCCCGGGTGTTTCGGGTTCTTTGGGGCCCGAGTAGCTAGCTGGCTGATAAAGAAATTAAGTCGCGACGGTTCATATGAGTTGATTTCAGCTCCACCGAACCGATCAGCTTGCCAGCTGAATCAATGGTTGTTGGTGGAGACAACCGAGGAGGTTGCATTTATACAGATTTTAATTGTGTGATAATATGTGATATCAAACCTTGAACCACTGTCAATCTCAGGATTTGTACCCCGTACCCCGTACCGAGGATGATCAGAAGAAATTATTTTATTTTAATTTTTGTTTTATTTTTATAATTTTCTATTCAAACCTTGAAATATGCTTATCATTATAATGTAGAGCCTGTTCAACGCGGATTGGGTTGTCTCCCGTGTGGAATCTCCTTAAATGGTCTGCAGGATGCTCTCCCGTATCAGACCTTGTATGATCTGCCAATGGGGACAATGATCATAATGAGATATGGTATTGAATATGGATATAGACCAGAGGTTTCCACAGTAAGTCCCCTCCAATTCTAATTGTAAGCACATTCCGCACATGTACTCCGTACTCAGTGGAGAAACATGTTCGGGGCGTGCGTGTGCAGGAGCTACAAAGGACTTGGTCTGTGCCGCGAGACTAAAGCTCCTTTACCCACTAGTAACCGCATTACCAGTACGCAAAGCATCCGCCATGTAACTTCATGAAGGATTGACTTCTGTAGAAAATAGAGAGTTGATAGAAGTAGACAAAAGGCTGGGAACTGAAGGATGATTCTATTGAGACATCTGACTCGCCAGAGTAAAGAATAATAAAGTACTATATAGTATATAGTTCAAGCTATACTACAATCCTCGTAAGAATCCCCACATTCGTACAGTGCTTAGGTGCCCAGGTGCTTCCGGTGCTTTTTTTGATTCCATTTTTCTTTCTGTTTTCTTTATTTTTGCTTTTCTGGTCTTTTTTATTTATTTTATTTTATTTTAAATTTTTCTATTTCTTTTTTCCTATTTTCTAATTCTTTCTGACTTTGTCCTCAACGTTTATCATTCATCTCTCGTTTTTCACCCCCTTCGTCAACCTTCGTCACCAATAATACCACATCCATACATCGAAAAACCCACCCCAAATTTGATCTTCGCTCACTAAACCCCTCGCCCCTCCCGAATTTCTCCTTTCCCCCCCCCTACCCCCCCCCCCCCGTTTACCAAATCCCTCAATCGAAAAAAACCCTTGCAAAGAGTCTGTCCTAGGTCAATCAATTCTTGTGGGCAAGAAAAATAACCGACTTCGCTTGGTCTCTGCCGTCCCCCCCCCCGCCGTTCCGTCGTTTTCCCCGCGCGCGCACGTTTCCTACCGCCAATCTCTCTATCTATCCCTGATTGATAAAAACTTGGAGATTCTGCAGTCCATGTGGTGACAAGAGAGGGGTTTCCGGTGGAACATCGACCATTCAGGGTAATTGACCACCTGTGACGAGTTTACGATGCCTTCTTCAAGTTCCACCAGCTCCTTAGAGGGTGCTCCTCTGGCCGATTACTTTTGGATCGCCGGTCTAGATGGATCCGAGGTTCTGGATACTTATAGGCGACTCGGTGATGAGTATCGGATAAACGGTGCTGCTTCTCCTGGGCCCGCTCTCACCGATGCTATCCAGGAAGATGCAGATGCTGAACAGGAGGAACCCGCGGATGGTGCTTCCCGGCCCACCTCGACGCTATTCACGGGTGCTAGTGCCACTCGGCGCGCTTCCCAACAACGATTGTCAACGCTGTCGAGAGATTCGGGCCAGACCAATGGTGCCAGTAGTAATCGAAGCAGTGTTACCGTTAAGGGCGCGTCGTCACCGCTGCGCGCCTCCGCGTTATTCTCCGACGATTTCGATTTTGACCAAGCTCTGGTTAAGTTCGCGTCGGAGAGAGATACTTTCTTGACAGATTTGAATGTGAGCGCCGGCGCTATCACTCAGAATTCTCGTCCGCGATCGCGCGTTCGAACTCAGAAGATTGTTTCTGAGGATCCAGCTTCCCAAGGATCGCCGGGTCTTCTCAGGTCCGGTATCGGGAGTGTTCGTCGACACATGGCATTCCGGGATATGAATAGTATGAAGAGACAGCCGTCAATTGCTCGCCATGGTAAGTAGATCTGTTTTCATAGGGTTCTATCGGTGCCTGCTATCATCGACATCCGTGGTTTGATAACGCTAACAGTCAATGTCTTCAGCTTCGGTACGAACGTCACGACGACTCAGCAACTATAACTCTGTTATTCCAGTACCACAACCGCTCGAATTTTCACCGTCGATGCATCCGTTAAAACGACGATTCGAACCCGTCCTGTTAGATCGATACCCGACCCGCGATATGTCCGATGAGCTGAAGCAGCGTGGAAACTTCCCAGACTATGTTCCTATGTTTGCGTTCCCGAATGATATCAATATCGTATCCTCCGATGAGCGACCTCGATCTACTTGGCACGGATTTGCTATGACAACCGAAAATGGATCCAAACTTCATGCAATTTGTGTCATAATTTGGATTCCTCTGAATTCCCAAGCCGCAGATGAACTAGAGAAACGTTGCGAAGAATGGCGCAAGGACAACATGACGGACGAGGAGCGTGAGCTAGCCGCGAGCCTGGGTGAAAGATTGGCCTCCGAGCGTGCCAAGCTATCACAACTTCTTGCACAGCTGCCAAACGTGCCCTCGGGCTCTGAATCTCGTGAACAGCTCGAAGACGAAATCAGCGCAGTTGAAGAGAAAATTGGTCTCATGACTGACCTACTGCGCCCCGTTCGACATGGCGCGGCTTCGAAGATCGAGGGCCTTACAGATGGTGATACTGGATTTTGGATCCCTCGAGCCTACGGTGTCATGGGCCGGGAGAGCACAATGACAAGCTTCTGGAAAGAGTGGCTGAAGGGTATCGTTGTGCCAATGACTGAAAACGCTGTTCAACGTGTGCCACCTAGTTCCCCGCGGATGGGTGTCTGGCAGCCACTGGAACGTTATGTGATGAATCTTTGTACAGAGGCATTCTGCCCTATCTCATCAAAGACTCAAGTCGAACTTTCGATCAGAGAGTTACGACTGTTCGCCCGGAAAGAAGCATCCAATGAGCTTCCTGGGTCTCGCAACACCGACCTTTACGCATTGTTCCGAACACTTTCCGTTGCAAATATTATCATCTTGTTCGAGTACGCTCTCACGGAATCTCGTATAATTTTCTTGTCTTCGCACACTTCTATGCTTTATCTTGCAACGAGGGCTTTGGTGGATCTTCTTTTCCCCTTACAATGGGCTGGTGTATTGATTCCAGTCCTCCCTGCTCGCCTGGTTCAGGCCATTGAAGCGCCTTGTCCCTATATTGTTGGAATTGAACGTCGGTATGAGAAAGTTGAACTTCCGTCCGACGACTTCGTCTTGGTTGACCTCGACAACGACATGATTGAGAGTACTTTGCGCCCCACTCCACTTCCTCGTCACCAGCGCAAAAAGCTGCTGTCGCTCTTGCAATTAGCTGCCCCTCATCATAGCCGCTGCGGTGTTCCGACTGGGCCACCTGCGTATGCCATTGAGACGTATCCTTGGGATTCCTTCCTAACTGAGACACCGGCTACTTATAACTCCAAAGCACCGGCAACGAACCTAGCCAAGTATGTGGGCCTCAACTCCAGCGCGTTTGGCTCAGCTGCGGTGGTTCCGAACTCCTATCAGCCTCCAATCTTTAATGCTTTCCTTCACGCACGCCATGAACAAGCTTCATCCAGAGGTTATTCGTCAAAGAGTCACGAGCGCCCTGGAACGAGTACGGGATCCAGAGCTGGGGCCTCTCCGCCATCTCCAAGGGAGAGTTCGCCGACTTCAGGACATTTCCCTCCGCCTCCTCCTACGCCTTCATCGCGGAATGATTCGGGTATGGCTTTGCAAGCTTCGTTGCGAGAAAAACGCTCTGGACATTTCGATGCTGCATCTAGGAGAAGCTCGTCGTTTGGTATGAACCGACGTCCAAGTGCACCATTCCTGGGACATACATCAAACCTGTCAGTCACAACATTGAACACGGACTATGGTGCCGGCTCTACTTATGCGCCATCTGTATATGCTCAATCCACTATTGCTGCATCCACAATTGTCCCACAGGCATCAATTCAGCCAGTCGGCAATTCAGAAGGCACCTGCTGGGTCGAGGGACATCTTTTCCAGATCCAGCCAATGGACGACAAGGTTATTTGTGCTATCTGCGACGAGCGAGCCGATGAGGGAATGTACAAATGTTCTGCTTGTAAGATGACTATTCACAACCGCTGTGCCTCTCAGGTCTGTCTCGTGTGTGAGGCTGCGTTCCACCCAGATCAGATTCGGGCTGCATTTGTCAGATGTTTTGCCAGTTTATTCTATACATACAAGAAGCATCTTGTGCCCGCGACTGGGGAGAAGAAGAAGGCTGGGTTGTATTACACTTTTAGCATGGAATCCTTCATGAAGAGCCTTCCACATGAACATGCTGAGTATATTGCAATCATGCAGCAGACTCAAGGTAAGTCCCGGATTGATTCACAATTTCACTCTGACATCAGCTGACACTGACCTCTTCAGGCTTCAATGAATTTATCGCTGAGCGTGAGAGAACAAGCCCCAAGGCCAAGGACTCTAAGATGGCACTCTTCGATGAAATTGTTCTGTCTAAACGCAATCGTGGGCGGACATCAATCTTTTCTGGTCGGTCTACAACCGATTTCTTGTCCGACACATCCAACCACCTATGGCGGACTGCGAACGCGACATTCTTTGCCCCCAACAGCCGTAGTCAGCAGAATCTCTCTCAGGATTACAGCCGCATTAGCACCCGAGGTAAGATACGATAACATGTTCTTCGCTTCAATCCCTTGCATCAACTAACAACAAAGATATAGCCCCGTCTAAATTGGATACAAGTCTGATGAAAGAACCCCGCATGATACACGGAGCTCCTCGGGTTTCAAAGGCAGCAAACACTGCCCGCCGAAAGCCTTTACCTAAGCTTATGAATGGCCTGGCGATCTCTCCGCCAAGCTAATTGGTGTGAATTTCTCGAGAGATCATCCGGACATACTCCCTGCTTGCTGTGACCGTGTGGGCCACCCCTTCATCAACTCCAGTCCATTCGAAACTCCCATGCTTGTTCTTAGGCTCGGAATCGACTCTCCCGAAAGCTGATACGATGCTCATGTTCCGTCTTGACGGATAATCTATCCCTGGATGATGCCGGTCATGTTCATCTGAGATGAACAATCATGCAGCCCGAAAGACAGTCCGCTGGTTGGGCTGCAACTTCCCCCCTCCCGATCCTCTCAAATTTCGTTTTGAGTTCTTTGCTATCCGCGTCTTCCTACTTTATTGCTCCTGATGCATGCCCTTTGCGGGGCCAACTGCATCACTTGGGATGCCACTGTTGATGATTTTCCACAATTGGTAGGCCTGATAACGCATGCCACCCCTTCTACTCTTTACTCTCCCATCAGGCCTTTTCCCCTTTCGTGGAATGGTGCAGATACCATTCCACATATTCATGGGGATCATCGTCATCTCGCCTCGTCGATATGACTTCTTCCCCTCCACCTCTGGGCTTTCTTTTTCTCGTACATAGTGTTACCTCCGGCTTGATGCCCGATGGATAGAACAAAGCCAAAAAGCGGAATATGGGCTGATTTCTTCATATTGCGTGATACATTGTTTGATTTAGTGGGCAGAGCTCCTGCAGATTTTGTTATTTTTGTCATGATCTTTACTACCCAATACCCCCTTGATTCGGCTGGTATTTTTTCTCTCGTTTCTTGCCAATGATATGTTTGACGTACAGTGGGCGGCGAACCTTCTAGTTGATTCTTATTTCTTATCTCTTATTTCCTTTTCCCTTTCTCTTCTCAGCATTGTGTTATGATACAACGACCCTTGTCATTTCGGATCATTGTCATCGGGTGGAATCCTACACGGCTGGAAGGATAGAAACTTTGTATTTGGATGCTTTAATGATGTATTTGACCTGTGAATATGGACTCAATCCTACTTCCAGTTATATAAGGATATTTTGAAGCTGTGTGTATATCATGATATCTATTATGGATTTACTATCCTGTCACCTTTTAGGTTCCAGTGGCGAGCCCAGGCCATACGAGGTTCAGGGCTAGATTCTCTTTATGTACTATTAGTAGGTAGTAGATAAGACGGAACACAGTCTGGCTCCGCTGTTGCCCTCAGGCTGGTGCTTGTCCTATCAGGAGCCGTCCAATTTCGGGGCGTAGTTGATGGGCCACTCAGCATAGAGCTGCAATTATATCTAATTCAGTCAATGGATCACCCGGGCCTGCTCATTGGTCTCGCCTAGATGCGATTTTTCACTAGATCGGAGATTTTCCCCGTATCAGCTTGCAGAGACTTTATATGATTCCGAGGTTCATATAGTATTGTATGAGTGTTACTGTGCCATGTTGGATCCATCATCCATATTGGAGAGTTATGCCAAGACCCATAACGGAAGAGTTCCATTGTGTACTTCGATCTACATTAACCTGGGGTAGTTGTGCTAGACAAGAATGGCGGTGGACTAAAGCGGCCATATCCGTAAGAGAGACCCTTAGATGGAATTATTAGAATGAGTATATTAAAAACTAATTCTCTAAAAAGTCATCAATCAATTTTCCAACCTATTCACACCCTTCTACCATCCTCTTTGCCCACATTGAAGCGGTAAGCTCTCCGAGGTTGCCCCAGTAAGGGGCTCTCTTCACTGTGATTGGCGGAGAAATGCATCCCCGTCCAATTCTCCCCCGCGCCCCCGGATGGATCCTCTCGTGCATTGAGGATACGATTTCTTCCAGCTTCCAATGTCGCACTCGTTTCAACGCCATGGATACTTGGCCTTTCTTGCCGCATGGTTCCCCGTCTTAAACTCTATACCCACCTACTGTGCGGCCGAATGCCTTTCAATTGATTCAGTCACCAGTCGATTTTCAGCGCTTTACTCTACCCCCTCAGCTCCTACCTAGACCTAGCCCTGGCTCAAAAACCCACTTGGCCTATGCGACGCGAATACGCGGATACCACTTTCTCTTTGATATCCGTGGGCCATTCATTTCCGAGCGCCCCCCTTTTCTCTCCTCCGTAACGTGGGGTTGGAGTAATTCGTCGCGTGGGGAAGGTTGAACCCCGATTCCGATTTCTTGATTTGAAAACTACTCTATCTCCATCTCTATCTCTTCTAGCTTGGGACTTTTTTTATTCTTGGTTCCTTTCTACTTCCTCTTCTTCCTCTTCTTCCTCTTCCGGCCATCAGGCTTTGTGGTGGATTTTTTTGATTAAGTATGAAAATATTGAGATCGGCTATACGATGATGCCCTCTGCTCTTCCGCCTATGGCGACGCCGTTGATTGACGAGACTGCTGTCTCTGCGGCGGCGATACCGGTTCCCGACTCTGCGGCTGCTAGTAATGCTTCAAGTTCCTCTATGCGACATATTGATCCGATCGTTGAATCTCCCCCGCCTGTATTTTCAGCTTCGAAAAATGGACTTACGACCTCGTCTGCCGATCCGACTCGTACCGTTGTGGTTGTCTTCGGTCCTACCCAAGAGCATATAGTACATATGGTGGCGGAGGTGCTTGGGAAACCATGGACAACAGAAACGCCCTTGGCGACACTTACAAATGCTGGGAATGCGGTCGTGGCTGGAGTGTTGGCGCAAGAATTGGGTCGGAGCTTGGAGGGTTGCGATCGATCAGGTCTTGCGGTTATCAATATGCACTGTGTGGAGGATGGGTCTGCGCCGGAGGATCAATTATCTGAAGCTTGCGATTATGAGTTTTTATACTCTCATAGTCCATTTTTGCGACGCTATTTGACCCGCTTCTTATCGTTTATCTTGGGCCAGACGAGACCTCACGAAGACCTACGGACGAAATCCCGAACCAATTTCATATCTACGACTTTTCCGGATGTTCATGCTGCTCTGCCTAATTTGGATATTTTGTCGGTCGGTTCAGATGCAGTGGAGATTCGTGTGGATTTGCTGGTTGAGCCTGCATCGGATGGATCGCCGGCTGGCTCAGTGCCTAGTTTGAAGTATGTGGGCCGACAATTAATGCTGCTGCGTCAACATACGGAGTTACCCATCATATTCACAACAAGATGTATCAAGGAAAATGGAAAATTCCCAATGGACGACCCCGCTTTGTTTTACAAGTACCTGCGACGTGCAATCCGGTGGGGTGTCGAGTATGTTGATGTCGAACTGTGGCTTCCTGAGGATATTCGACGCCGGCTATCCGACGCCAAAGGAAACAGTATTATTATGTCGGCTTTTCATGACTTTTCAGGAACATGGAAGTGGATAGCGCCTGAGGCCCAGCGCATCTACACTGAGAGTACCAAATACGCGGACATTGTCAAAATGATCGCCATGGTATCTACCATCGAAGAAAACTACGAGCTGGAGTATTTCCGTTCAACAGTTAAGAGCCGTGGTCCGGGCCCATTACTATCTGCCGTCAACATGGGCCAAATGGGCCAATTATCTCGTGCACTCAATACCGTCTTTTCCCCCATCACACATCCTCTTCTTCCCATGATCGCAGCTCCAGGTCAGTTGACCGCTGCAGAGATCAACTCAGCACTCCACATCATGGGCCAACTACCCAAACGCGATCTATATGCGATCGGTTCGTTCCGATCAACGCCACATTCAATGTTCATAGAGAAATGTCTCAATGAGCTAGGATTACCCCACACATTCAGCTCTATTGACCGTGGACCAAAAGGTGCCATGGAATCAGTCATCACGCAACCCCAATTTGGCGGCGCATCAATCAACCCTCCCATCCCAAGCTCTACAACATATATCCCCGCTATAAGCGACGCAGCCCGTGCCATCGGTCTCGTAGATACAATCGCCCTCCGCCCCTCCGGATCAAGAGAAGGAACACCAAACGGCACCGCCACCGCCACAGCGCATTTCATCGGCGAAAACACCGCCTGGAAAGGCATTCGATCAACCCTAACACGGGACTATGTCCCCTCCGCATACCGCGGCCGCGCAGCGATTATCCTCGCCGGATCAGAAACTGACGCCTCCGCCGCAATCTTTGCCCTGCGCAGTTTAGAAGTTGGACCAATTTATACGGTCGGGTTTAAGGCTGCTGGACCCCTTGCTCCGGGCCTGGAACCATTTACATCGATTCAATCTGTTAAATTGGTTGAGCAGCCGTTTGTGATTGTTTCAGCGCTTCCACCTGAGAAATCTCTCTTGGTCCAGCCGCTTCTGCGTCACTATCGTAGTAACGGTCGGTCTTCGCCGCCTTCGACGCGCGGAAAGGTTTATTTGGATTTAACTACTGGACCGCGCAAGGGTGATCCCCTAGGAGTCGCGAGTAGTGCTGGGTGGATGGCGTATGGGTCGGAGGATGTTAGTGCGTGGACTACGGTTGAGACGCTTCGGTTGCTTGTTGGGCAGAATGTGCCGTTTGACTTTGTTCGCATGGCGTCTGGGCGTCCTTTATTCTAGCATTAAGACTATCTGTGGGGGCAAATGTTTTCCATGGTTGTTTTGCTATTTATCGTGTTCTTTATGTCGGCTCTGGCAATGCGATAGATGCTGGCATTGGGGTTCATGTTTCTTGAGTATGGGAGTCTCTGGTTGGAACTGAACTTGAACTTGATATGTATCAAACATACATTATGATATTATATTTCAATATTTTAACTGTTCCTTGATATATATATACACGAACCTATCGTATTATGATGTGATCCAGTGAGAACCAAGGAAATACAAAATCCAGAATGCGATGAAACTGGCACAATTTCCACCAGCACAGAAAAAGTACATAACCACTTGATCCCAAACGTGGCTGATTTCCAAGGTCAACAGTGCCGAGAAATGCCCGTGCAGACCCTCGGCTGGGTAAAGGCTTATTCCATCCTGGCTGCAAGTAATACAACCAAGGTTTCCCTGAAGAATCAAATCCCCCGATCAAGGAACAAGGAACAAGGCACAAATCTACAGGGAAGACGGGGTACCTGTTCTCCTAATAGCCGAGACTACGGCAGTAGAGTTCAAGTCAGTACTCCGTACAGAGGGGGATGATTAGTCTGGATTAGTCTGGATTAGTGTGGTCTAGTCTGATTGGGCTGGGCTATTTCCAAACCTGCTAGTCCCTATAGAACCGAGTGCTACGATGCACACTATACAAAGTTTGGAATAGCTTCCGTTTCTAAAACAGTAAAGGGCTTGTCGATCGGGTTAAAGTAAAGTGAAAAAGAGAAAATTAAAACCCCCAAGTTCCAAGTTTGCGTGGTTTTTGCAGGGATTGCTTCCAGTGGCTGGTGATGATGAAAGGAGAAAATGCGGGGTTTTCTTTGTGCATTGGGATTATACATATGCAGGTTGGTTTGGGTTTTATTCCCGTGATGAAAAGTAGGAATCTCGTGCAGGGGTGTAGCCTGCATGGGGATGATTGGGGTTCGGTTCGGAGTCCCAGGACCCTAACGGCGCGGGGGAATGGAGGGAAATAGTAATCTGCTCCGAGGTTCTGTCTCGGGATAGTAGAGATGGAGGGGATGGGATGGGATGGTAAATATGGATATAGTGGGAATGAATGGATATTAATGAAGAAGAATAAGAATAAAAATAAGGATAAGGATAAGAATAAGAAGCAGAGAAGCAGTCTAGCATTGACTATCATAGTCCTGGTGTAGTCTGTACTGTGTATGCAGTGAGCAAACAGTCAAAACTCCGGTGGCACTTTCTCCGCATTTTCCCCTTCTCCACAACTTTTCTCTCCTCAAAGGCCCCCTGCTCCCCAGATCTGGGAGAGATTGGACCTTATCTTTATAATCATTCCTCATAGTCCATGTCTTGCTCAATGTGACCATGTCTCGTCCCCAGGTCAGCATCGATCGCCTCACTCCTCGTCGCGCCACTCTCGAACAACGCGAGGCCATGAACTGCAAGTCCTGTCGCAAACGAAAGGTACTTGTCCCGCCATTCCTGGTGTTTTTTTGGGCCTTTTGTTTGCTTTTTCAACAACCCCAACCTCACTACCTCTCTCAATGCGCTAATTCAAAATTTCCCTTCCTCATCAGATTAAATGTAATCGTTTGCGACCAAGTTGTGAAGCCTGCAAGGTCTTTCAATGTGCCTGCGTTTATGGTGAGTCGTGGAGCCCTGTCAAATCTATCCCCGCCGATACAGTGGTCTGATCATCTCCGCTTCAACATTTGAAGATGCCGTCCCCAAAAAACGTGGTCCCAAGACAGATGTCCTCGAAGCCCTTTTAAAAAGGGTAGATGGTCTAGAAAGAAGATTACAGGATGAAAAGGATCCCATTTCACCTACTTCCCCGGATAAAAAATCGGAAGACCTCCCGATAACCCAGTCAAATGGTCGTCGCGACAGTATAGACCCCGCCTCGTCTTCTTTCAATACGTACCCCACAGACTCGCGACCGTCGATATCAACACCCCGGTTTCAACATAATGATAACACCTTTTCGCGACCGAGCGCCCATGGCTCAGCGCTGGGTTTATCTCAGCCTTCGCCGCAGCAAAATGGGCATTTATCGGAAGCGCTCCTGGATGCTTATTTTACACGATTGCATGGGAAGCCGTATTTTATTTTAGATGAGTCGGTTGTACGACAGCGTCATCAGTTGAACCAGTTACCCACACACTTGTCTATGGCTATATCGGCTATGACACTCAGGTATGCGGTGCCATTGAATTTGTTGTCGTGGGAAGTCTACGTACTAACTTGCTTTTAGGTATACCTATGCGGTCGGTCAGCCAGAACAATCTATACATATGGGTCTAGATGCAGCTTTGCAAGCGCGACGTATGGTGGATATCGACAATCCTACCGCAGAGGGACTGCAGACCCTGCTTCTGCTGTCGCAAGCTTTCTTTGCCTATGGACTAGGGAAGAAAGCGTATATGACATTTGGTATGACTGCAATTTAGCTCTTTTCTGCGCGGTTTACTTTTTGCTAACAAAACAATATAGCAAACTGTGTAGCAATGGTGGTCGCTTTGGACCTTTTCCGAGAGGTGCCATCAAAATCCAACCTTTCGCTTCCTGAGCGTGAAATGAGGCGACGGCTGTTTTGGTCAGTTTACCTCATGGATCGCTTCATGACCTGCGGGTCCCGCCGCCCATGCCTCATATCAGATCATTCCATTGTTTTGCGTCTTCCTTCGTGGTCACCGCATGCAGCAGGTCTCAATATGGAAGGAGAATTGTTCCATGTTGGACCAAATATTCAATATTCCGCAGATTCTCGTCGGAAATCCCCCAGTGCGGCATCATTGCTCATTGACATTACGCGAATTCTGGGTGTCACAAATCGGTACCTGGCTGCTGGTGGAGTGAAGGGTGACTCTCATTTCCCCTGGCATGCGCTTTCCAATCTCTCCAAAATTCGACAAGAATTAGATATCTGGGCCGCGGGTACTCAGGATGTCTTTGCTTCCATCGCGGCATTGTTTGGTCACCCTGAGAGTACGACTCTATTGCTCAGCAAATTGATCTATCATCTGGTCCATTGTCTGATCTACCGTCCGTTTCTACCTATCGACCTCGTTGAATTAAGAGGAACTGGCCAGCATCAGTCATGGCAAATCGAAGCGACAAACCTATGCTTCTCACACTCGAATGCTATTGCAGAACTCGTCGAGTTAGGTCGCAATTCTCCACTTATCGAGTGGCCTGCCTTTGTAGGTTACTGCGTGTGTACAGCAGGCACTGTCCACGTTCATGGTGTACATTACAAAGGCCATGAAGGCGAGGTCTTCTCATCTAGTGCCGAGTTTTTGACCCGTGAGATGCATCAATTGACCTGGCTACGAACTGCTTGGGCTGGTGTACAGCATCAGCGCGAGTTACTTCAAACTATTTATACATCCCACGCGGAGCTGGTTCGCAATCTTGCAAGCAGTCCCATGAGGTTCTCTCCGGTCTTTCATCTCGAGGACTTTTTGGATAGATATCCTGGTCTCACAGTAGATGGGGCACATGTCCGACTACTAGATACAGGCGATGAAATACACCCAAGGTAAGTAATGACCCCTTTCGTGATACATCGACGCTTGTTTGCCTACCACAGAAACTAACCCCTGCCAACAGTGCATCAAACATGGTTGACCGTCAAGATCATTACTACCACCGGCCCATGGCGCCCCCATCTTACCAAAGCCAGAACTTCTACTCCAACACAAGGCCCACGCCACCTCCCTTCCAGTCTACCCAGACTCCCGACTTCGAGCGACATCCATCCGCCTCGCATTCATTACCTGGTAAACCAAACCACCAGTCCGCTCTCTCCCCAACCATCCAGTTCCACCAAACACCCAACCAATCTGATGCGTCCCCATCTCTCTCATCCATCTTCCCCGTCCAAGGCACCACAGACCTACCCTCAACACCATCCGGTGCTCAAACAGATACAAACCACCTATCTCTTCCAAACCCCTTCTCCCCCTCAGCTTTCGGCCTCTCACCCCCCTCCTTCTTAACCGATTCATCTCTAAGCATCGCCCCAACACCGCCATCAAACCCACAATACGCTACCTTCCCCTTTGATACTGTCAACGCAACCAATGGCGCAGGCGCATCCGGTACTGGTGCCACCGCCCTGACACCGGGTGCCCAGTCACAAACAAGCGGTTCCCACACGGGAGGTAGTGAAACGGGAAATCTAGAAAAAGATCCATTCCTCAGCTTGCTGGAGCAGTTAGCTGAAAACGAACACTCACAGGGTGGACCTAGTGAATTGGACTTCTTTTTAGCAGGTGGTGCTGATCCGGAGCCGGATATTGTTGATGCACCCGGGGAAGAGAATACGGAGATGGGACATGATTAGATTCTTTTATTTTTCTACTGTAGTTTAGTTTTTTGACCTTTTGCCGGGTTTGGTCTTCTTGTTGATATATGAGCTGGCTAGCCTTGATATAGGCTTGTATTTATTGGTTCAGCGATCTGTATACCCAAACAAACGTTCGATTTCTTCCCAGGATATGCGCCCCATTCAGATGACTACGTTATGGGAAATGCAAGGATAAAAAGGTATATTATGCGTGGAGTGAATGAATTGAGTAGGAAAATAAGGACAATCTTTCTATGATTAAGAGATCAAGTCAAAATTCCGGTATAAATTCTCTGGAAACGCCATATCTAACTTATCTTTTTAACAGTTACTTAAATGCTTTAGCATCCTAAACGATTATATCGAGTCGCTCCATTTGTTATGATCAATTCGGGAAACCTAATGTAGGACCCAGGAGTCGTAAGCTGGAGTCCATGGAGCAGCCCATAAGGGAGAGCATGAATCAGCAGAACAGAGGAGCCGCAAGGAGCACCATGATTGGAAGTCTTTAAGATGGTTAATAAGCCTGTTCCCCGCCTAAATGAGGATGTATGAGACATGAGAAAGAGAGAATGGTCAAGGAGTATAGTGTTTGATTCTCTATAAAAATGACTACTTCACCCTATGCCATAGATCATCGTCATTTCAAAGTTTCTACTAGTATAGCACCTAGGCATAGCGAAGAAACTACCAGCATATCCTATCGTAGACTAGGGATTTCCAAGATTACTACGGTGGTCCCCCACAGAAATCCCGTGATGCGACGATATATCTCCACCGGGTTCGAACACATCGGAGACTCGAAAGTGTCCACTATCCGGAATCTCCGCTACCTAGTAGTTCCACACCTTCACTCTCCAGCTGAGATAAATAACGGGATAAGCTATGATTCTCCTCCCTAAATATCTTCGGGAAGGATAACTATGTAAATATATTAAAGATCCTTCTTATCTAATAGGTATACTATTAACTTAAAGATTAGCTATATAGCCTTGAGTTGTTTCTCGGACTCAAGAGAGAGCACCGATCAGTGATAAATTTAATCCATTCACGCAGTAAGGAATATTTCCATCAAGGCCTCCAGGACTTCAGATACCACACAGCCGCTGAACCATCTTCCCCATGGAGTTGTATATGTATTTCGAATCTTAATGGAGCATCCCTACGGAAATACTAAGGTTGGTGAAGTATGTATATGCATATGTATATTCCAAGGTTTGAAGTATAAAACAAAACGAAAAAAAGCTTCCTATTTACAAGATATGTTCAACAATCACATAACCCCATGAATCTTTTTAATAAAACACCGTAAAAAGAATCCCATCAAACTCGAACTCGAACAACCCTTACAGTCTTGACCCATTAGCAGGGGCATTACCCGCACAGCAGGAAGTGGAGAAAGCATTCTTAGACTGTGTATCAACACAAACAGCAGAAGGAGGAACCCAAAGACCAGGGTTCTTCTCATGGAAGTTCGAAGCCCGAAGCATAATACTAACAGGCTCAGCAGGCATAATAGGGAAATCCTCTGTGCGAGGGAAATGCGTAAGACCAAATTGAAGATAGCAGACAATATCGGTGTTATCAATGCTCTCGTTACGCTTGGCCCAGTCCAGAATTGTAGAGTTGTGAGGGTGGTTCTCGCGTCCATCAGACTGGCAAACATAGTCACCAGCAGGGAACAGCTCGTAATCCTTGTAGGGAGTAACCCAGAGAGGCTTGCGAGCGAATGCAGCGCGGTTGTAGACTGTGCTTCCTGGCTTGGCGAGGAGAGGAGGACAAGAGGTGTTGAGGATCTTGTATCCAACGGGCTTCTTGGCAATTGTGTTCATTCTGTTGGGGTTGATGATGTCCCAAGTACGATTTGTCTCGTAGCAGTAGTCTGCTGCGCCGGCGAGGGCGGTACGGAGAGGAGTCTTCTTGCTCAGGAAGGCGTTTCCGTAAGGGTTCTCGGGAGATCCAACGGGGGCATCTGCGGAGACGGCATCGTTCTGCACGACGGAGTTGTTGGGGCCGTCGATTTCGGGATCAATACGCAGAGAGAAGAGATGTTGGTGGTTGTGTGCTGTGATCTGGGGAGCAACCTGGGTACCGTATGGGGCGGCTTCCTCAGTTGGGTGCAAGCAGTATGTGTTGAGCATTCCGGTGAGTTTCATTTCGAGCTTGTAGGTTCCGTCAAGAGTGAAGGTGTGGTAGAAGCCGTACTCGTAGTTTGCGGCGGTGATGATTTGGGAAACGATGAGCTTGCGATCACGGGCTGAGATCACAGTTCCATCACGGTAATCGGTGTGCTTGTAGAGGAGACCGTTGTCTTCTTCGTGAATGCAGATGGCGTTCTTGATCACGGCTGCTTCACCGTTGGATGTGGACATAACTCCGTCCATGTAGTGGATTTCACCCTTGCAGTCACAGCCCAGCTTGAGGGAGTTGGTCATCAGGCCGGAACCATACTCGCCGACGTCGAAGGCATGCTTCTTGTGGTGGGGTCCTTCAGGGCAACCGTAGGGAACGACCATCTCGACGACACTGATACGGTTGAAGAGAGTTCGCTCGCGGTCTTCGTACATGTCGTGTGTGCGGACGTCGGAAATAACAATACCCTCGCGGTAGTTGAAGCCAATGTGCATCTTGAAGTTGGCCCATGTGAGCTCGTTGCCGCGGACCTTGAAAGAAACGCCCTGAGGCTGGGTGATATCAATGGGCTTGAGGCGGTCGTGGTTGTACTTGTCTCCAATGAATTCGGGGAGGTAGTTGTGTTCCTTCAGAGGAACGGCGGTGCGCTCACCGTTAACGAGGCGGATGTCAACGCTGAGAACCTCCTCGGTCTCGGTATCAGCTACCACGGTGAAATCGAGAGGGTGGGCGTATTGGTTGTCGAACTCCGAGGCACGGTAGTAGGCTAGACCTTGTTGGAGGCGGCGGTCGAAACCCCAGCGCTCGTCGATACCAATGGCCCAGGCGTCGAGGAAGACCTTGTCCATGTCGTCAATGCCGAGTTCCTTGCAAGCGCGGATAACGCGGGAGTCCTTGCGGGCAATGCGCTCCATCACATCCAGATCCTCCAGAGTCAGAGTGGGCATGGCCTCGTGGACTTCCTTCCATTCTTCGACCTTGCCGGTGGCCAGGTTGAGCACAACCTCGGCGACTTGCTGAGTCTCGCGCTCGATGATGATGGCGAAAGCACGACGATCGGGGGCAGGGATCTTGCCTGCGCGGAAAGCTTGGTACTCGGCCTTGCGGGGCTCCCGCAATGTGAGACAGTTGAACTTGATAGTCTTGGGGCTGGCATATGCGCGGATAAGCTTAGCAGCCTCTGGGATTTCCTTAATGGACAGCTGATCTAGAGTAAATTGTTAGTTTGATTTTTTGGGAGGAATTCGTGCATTGATTATGCAGGGAAAATTGATAATCTGCAAGGAACACACGTACCTAATGGGTGGGGAGTTCCCTGCGGGAGCATGGCAGCGGCAGCAACACTGTCATAGTCTCCCTCCCGGAAGATGGTGTAACCCGGGATGGACGTGGTATCAGGGGCAGACGCCATTGTGAAAGATTAAGCACAAAAAAAAGAAACTTGATGAAGCTGTAACGAAAAAAAAGAGAAAGTCTCCAAGGCCATGGCCCTTATATAGTGGGTTATCCGAATTTGTATCAGATCGATAGAGCCCGCATGGACATTCCCAAACAGGCAGCTGGGATGATATCTTCTGGTTCAGTCGGGGCTCGCGACTCTTCCCGACAACGTGACTAAGTGGGTTTTACCATGGGTTGGCCTTTTCTGGCCAAAGCCTGGAGAACGTCCGAGCTTTGGTCTTTGGTGTTTGACATTTTTCTTCAATCATTTCTTTTGCGTAAACGTTTTTTAAAGATGCGGGCAGAGTGGCCAATCAGGCGTCCCGTGTCAAAATGCACAGATGCACTGATAGGGCAGGTTGAACCTAGGCTTGGTCACGCTCTCACCGATACGCCAATGGGCTTTGACGACAAGCTTATGGTTAATTCTGGGGAAGATCAATTTGATGGAGGGGTAACATTCTTATCAGTTTATCGCTGCGTATAAGCTGCATTTACAATATGCAGATGTTATCGTTATCAGAACATCTCGATCATATCTTTTATCTCTGTAGATAACCTTGCATCTTGTGCTACCCCAGTATATAATACATGTATGCAATAAGGAAGATACTATCAAAAACTTACTACTGCACTCATAATATCTATCGCCGTGAATAATTCTATCTCAACTGTATCTCAAAGCCTGCTACCTCTATTAACAATCGGTGGCAATCAAAATCCCTTTTCATCTAGTTGCGTGGACCTACCTCATTAGGACTAGCGTCTTATCGGTCCATACTTCTCCACACCGGAACTCAACAATCACCGTTCAACCCCCCCCCCCCGACCCCGAGATCATCTGGAGATGCCGTGTGGGTCTTCTTCTCCAGAATTCCGCATGTCGTCTGCCTTCTTCTTCGGGCATGTCGTGCCGAGATCTGGTTAATGCCAATATGCACGCTAACACCGGTGATGTAGCTCTAGTTCCACTTGGACTTTAAGAGCTTCCATCGGCTGTACTTGACTTGGTGCTCTCAACCTTTCATCTTGTTTGATACAGTGTGAAATATTGATCACCATGTCTTTAAATGTGCAATGTGTTGCGCCTAACGGTCGCAAGTGGACTCAGCCTACAGGTCTGTTTATTAACAACCAGTGGGTGAAGTCGTCGGATGGCGCTAAGATTGCCAGTATCAACCCTGCGTACGTGCAAGAACTATTCCTTTGAGAAGCCAAGGCCAATTGATGCCTGGATTGGAATTGCAATTGAAGTTCTAACATTTTTGTTCTGGTATATAGAACTGCGAAGGAGATCACCTCTGTTTACGCCGGTACAGAAAAAGATGTCGATACCGCCGTTAAGGCCGCGCGCGCCGCTCTGAATGATCCCAGCTGGCGAGACTTGTCCGGTCTCGACCGTGGCAAGATGATGAATCGTCTCGCTCAGCTGATCGAAGACAACAAGGAGACTCTGGCCGTGATCGAGACCTGCGATAATGGAAAACCATACCTCGTATCGCTGAACGATGATATGACCGAGACCGCCGAGACTATCCGCTACTACAGTGGTTTCGCCGACAAGATCTTCGGACAGGTTATCGATACCACCACCGACAAGTTCGCCTATACCGTGCGCCAGCCCGTGGGTGTTTGCGGTCAGATCATTCCGTAAGTTAATCACGACGGCAGCAGCAAAGAAGATAAACTGACATTTTCTTTTTTTCTAGATGGAACTTCCCCCTCTCCATGGCTGCTTGGAAGCTTGGCCCTGCCCTCGCCTGCGGTAACGCCGTGGTCCTGAAGCCTGCCGAGCAAACCCCTCTCTCGATCCTTTTCCTCGCCAACCTGATCAAGGAAGCCGGCTTCCCTCCTGGTGTCGTGAACATTGTCAACGGCCACGGTGCCGTTGCTGGTGCCGCTCTCGCATCCCATATGGACGTGGACAAGATCGCCTTCACAGGCAGCACAGCTACAGCTAAACAAATCATGAAGATGGCCAGCGTCAACCTGAAGAACATTACACTTGAGACAGGCGGAAAGAGCCCTCTCATTGTTTTCGATGACGCTGATCTCGAACAAGCTGTCGAATGGGCTCATATCGGTATTATGTACAACCAGGGTCAAATCTGTACTGCTACCTCCCGTATTCTGGTCCACGATAAGATCTACGACCGCTTCATTGAAGCTTTCAAAGCCCAGATTAAGAATGTTTCTAAGGTCGGCGATCCATTTGATGAGGAGACTTTCCAGGGTCCCCAGGTGACTCAGGCACAATACGAGCGTATCTTGTCTTATGTTGATGTCGGAAAATCTGAGAAGGCTACCCTTACCTGTGGTGGTAAGCCATTCAAGGGCGTTGGCGATGGCAAGGGTTTCTTCATTGAGCCTACTGTTTTCACTGATGTATCTCCTAAGATGCGCATCTATCAGGAAGAGGTCTTCGGTCCCTTTGCTGTTATTGCTCGCTTCAAGACTGAAGAGGAAGCAGTGCAGATGGCCAATGATTCTGAGTATGGTCTAGGTAGTGCTCTTTTCACTACTAATCTTACTCGTGCTCACCGTGTTGCGAAGAGGATTGAGGCCGGTATGGTCTGGATCAACTCTAGCAATGACAGTGATTGGCGTATTCCTTTCGGTGGAGTTAAGCAGAGTGGTATCGGTCGGGAACTGGGAGAGGCTGGATTGGATGCCTACTCCAGTGTCAAGGCTGTGCATGTTAACATGAAGTCCAAGTTGTAAAGTTATAAATTTCGGGTTTTTGGCCTTGAAAGGCTTTTGTACATAAAATGAGATTGAATGATTTGCCAAAAGATTGCTTCTGATTTTGATGAAAATTTTGATTTGGGATGATTTTTTGAATTTTTTTATCGTAGACAGTATTGTTTGACGTGTATGTGTGTATATGTACTCATTTCCTTCTATGTGCAGTACTACCTATCTATTCACCCAGTCTATTTACAATGAATCGATAACTTGCCAATTTTCGTCTTCCAACAACCCAGTCTAACGTTAACCATTTCTCAACAACTCTTTGTACAGTTCCTTTCCCATGTCCTCCACTGTGAATCGTCGCAAGTCTCTCAAATCATGAAGTTGACCTTCAAGATTCCCAGGAATGATAACCAGATCAATCCTTCTTTCTCGCAGCAGATGACTGGCCATCATTAGCAACCGTCTCCTGAGCTTGAATCACATGCGTGAATGCCTCTTCTGTGTTCAAGTAGGTTCGACTTCCTTGAATAAACCAGAAAGAGATGGCAATAACAAGCATAACGCCAAATACTCCGATAGCGTAATTCATATCTCCACCCGACGGGTTGGGCGAGCTGGGAAAGAAGAAGAACACAGTCGTTATGGCGCAGTAGACGATACTGACCCAGTTGGCTGGCGCACCCAGCCTTCCAAGATTAAACTGTCCTCCTGGAGGCAGCTTATCGCGACCAACCATGAGCACAGTGCTAATGGGCAGCCCGTAGGAGATTGTAAGGGCAATGGTGCTAACGCTGAGAATAGCGTTCAAAACTGTCTCGGCGAAGAGGAAAAGTACTCCGACCAAGGCAATGAGACAGCCCTGGAACCAGAGGGCTCTGACGGGGGCTTTCCAGTATTCATCGACGTGAGACAGGTATCGACCGAATGGCAGACCGCCGTCACGAGCAAAGCCCCAGGTTAGGCGAGATGCGGTGGTAACGATACTGACACTCTGTCCGAGGCCGTTGGCGACGAAGAGAGCGATGAGAACGGCGGCACCGTTTGTGCCTACGGTTTGTTGGACGAGGTCCAGGAAGGGTAAACCACTAGCAGAGTTGACGACGGAGTTGACCTCTTGAATACAGAAGAGACAGACCATCATCAGAATGAAACCGCTGACAGCGCCCGAGAGAACAGCAAAGTATATAACCTTTGGTGCATTCTTGCGAGGTGCAGGAATTTCCTCGACCATGTGGATCACAGCATCAAAGGCAGTTAATCCATAGGCGGCTTGAACTAAACCAATAAACCAAACAACACCATCAGGCCATCCGGTCTGATTGATCCATTTGCCAAAGACAAATGAAGCAGGCTGGTAGGAAAGCTCTGATTTCATTCCCACGGAAATAAGAAGAGCGAGCGAGAACACGAAGAACAAGGCAAAAAACCAAACTCCGACCACATTGTTTAACCAAGGAAGGAATTGTTCTCGACGACACCCAAGAACATTAATCAGTGTTAGGCAGAAAACACAGCCCATATAAACGACAAATTCTAACCAGCCGGTTGACGCGCCCGTCCAATTCGGGTAAAACATAACTTTCATGCCCAGCATGAAGTTAGTCATAAAGGCAACCTGCGACGCAGCAAGAGTCCACCAGCCAAAAACATTAATCCAAGCACAAATGTAGGACACAAAGCGTCCTAACGGTGTATCCCAAAGACGATAGATCCAATATGCTTGGCCCAAGGCTGTAGGCATACTACTGCAGATTTCTCCTAGAGAAAATGCCACACATGTATTGCAGAATGTCACCAAGGCGAGACCCCAGAGAATCGAGACTGGGCCTCCATTAACAAGACCGTCAGACAGATCTTGAGCAAAAGTGGACCATGTTCCTAAAACACAGAAAGCCATAGCTAACATGCTCCAGATGTTGAACTTCCGTTCAAGGGCCTGTCCATGGCCGAAATCCGCCAAGTCGCATGCATCGAGGATGTTTTGATCGGTAGGCTTCGAAGTGGTGTGTTCCAAGTCCATAACTTGAATTATTTTCTTCTTATATAGTATTCAGGGCGAATTGTCTCACGCTGCAGACTGTGGGCTCATTCTCTGAAATCGTATGATGGTCTTGGCTTCGATGAGGAGACGGATGGATATGACTCCTTGTATGAATGAGATTGGATTGAGCCGAAATTATCAAATCCATCCCCAGCCGGGGTTTTTTCTTATTTTTCCTGGGGTTCCCCACGGGTATCGGGTCTGTGTGGGCTTTGGAGGGGGGAAAGACCTGCTTTACACCGAGACTGGCCCACATTGTGGCTACCAAACCTTGGGAGGCCCTGGGGATTAAACGAGATATTACCCTGCTACTGATGCCTGGTCGTCAGAACTCCACTAGAAATTCTTCATAGCCCAAAACTTCCTGGTCGGGTAGGTGGATGCGGCCTGTTGGCGACATTTTCGAACATGAAATCATTCGGACATGGCGATCATCGTATAGCTTGAATCTCTAGCATGGAAAATTTAGGATCGTGGAGCATGGTGACTCTCCGAGCCGATTTTATGACACACCATTGCATCGTTGGTCCAGTGTCGGGGGGATGTTAGGTGGCGAGTTCCCCACGCGATTGATATAATGAGAAGGACTACCCGTTGGTTTAGGCGGGTAGTGACCTAGACTTCTTCTGAAGATTGAATTTACCCAATTTGCCGATGTCACTAAGGGTAACAACAGGGCCGAGCAAATGATACGAAGCCGATATCATGGGCGATGTGGGACCGACTGGTGGCCGATAACGCCTGGTTGTACTTTCCTAAAACGGACACGCTTCTTCCCTGTGCCGAGCTCGGGATCTTCCGTAGAGACCGAGTATATAGTTTAACGGGGTAGAGTAGCACCTGGCAAGGTGTCCAACATGAGCAAAATACGGGCTGATTGCGAGGGAATTTGAGGACCAAATATATGCTCGATCTTTATTATGTAGACTAGAAAGCACCTCCCTATACAGGATTAGAGCGCGCTATTTTATTTCGAGTGAGTAGATTGTCTAGCCAATCAGAGCCCGTTCAACCATAGGGACACCACCATATATGATCTCGAAAGAGGGCCCTGGGGTGCAATTCTTTTCTTGCTTCATATTTTGCTTTTTCCTTCTTCCTTCTTATCTATCATCATGCCGTCAGACAAAAGAAAGGACTCTCTGAGTCATCGCCATCGGTCTCATAAAGGTTGTTGGACATGCAAGCGGAAGCGAATACAATGTGACGAAATGAGACCTTCCTGTCAGCAATGCTCCAAGCGGGGCATCACTTGCGAAGGATACGAAATAAGACTACGATGGGGTGCCGGTATTGCTTCTAGAGGGCGCTTTAATGGCGCCGAGAAACCAGTCAAAGAGTCTATACCACCCCATTCAAAGCGAAGGTGGGATCTTCGAGGCAAGGGCGAGGAAAGGGATGATGGAGATAAACAAGGCCAGCCGGTTCTTCTTCTCGAGAAAAGCTTCACTCAAGGTACGAATTTATCAAGTGTCAGGCTTCTTTTCACTCTATGTTGTTTGTATCATTCTTTTTCGTGTTCTTGTAAATGGCCATAAATCTATAAGTTCTTGGCATGATGTACGAAAGATTTGAAGAGGATGGGATGATTTCACTAACCTTGATACAGTTTCATCCTTAAACCAAGACGTTGCTGCACGAGCAACAGTTAATATCCTTAATGTACCCACCGGGCAGGACCCGCAAGACTATATCGATATTAACAAACATTTCGAGCTGCCTGCGTCAACGGAAAACATGAGAAATGGAGAAAGACTGTTATATAGCGAAGTGCAGGCGCTGGATACGGGATATATAGGCAACATTTCAAGTAGATCAGCTCTCATAGCTTAGATCTCGATTATTGGGGTATTACTCTCAGGAAGGTTTTATGAAGAAATCAAATAATATTCAGATAATGCCCAAATATCTTGTTCAATAGCAAACAAAAAGTAGAAAGTAACTCTATGAAATGAAAAATTGCAAATAAATGAACAAGATAATAAACGCTAAGCCAAAATTCCCAGGTATTCCTTCTGTCTCCCATGCCTTTGTGAAAGCCCTTCTGCTTGGGCCGCTTTCCTTGAAACGAAGGCCGAATGAGGAATACGGATCGTCGAGGAGTTAGCTGATAAACTTCCAATGGCCATCCTCCATTTAAGGGCTCTTATATTGAGGCAGCTCACTCTCACTGTCCGATAAGCTGCTGTTCGAAAAGCTATGATGTGGGCTATCTGGGACCCCTAACAACATAAGGCCCCGAATAACTGTCTGATTCCAATCGACGACGCTTAGATGGAGATGCCTTACTCATCTTCTGATGAGCAGCCATCTGAGGTTTCACCATCTGACGAGCCGCCACCTAATGAGCCGCTATCCGATGAGCCATGGTCTGATCCCAATCGACGGCATTTAGACATAGATGCCTTAGACTTATCGTCTGATGAGTCACTGTCAGATTCCGATCGACGGCGCTTATGTAGCGATGTCTGAAAATCATCGTCTGATGATTCGCCGTCTGATGATCTGTCGTCTGATGATCTGTCGTCTAATGAGCTGTCGTCTGATGAGCTGTCGTCTGATGAGCTGTCGTTAGATGAGCTGCCGTCTGATGAGCTGCCGTCTGATGAGCTGCCGTCTGATGAGCTGCCGTCTGATGAGCTGCCGTCTGATGAGCTGCTGTCTGATGAGCCGCTGTCTGAGCTTTTCGAGCTTTTGGTATCGCCGTCTGAAGTATCTTGATCTTGATCATCTTCACCGTCCTCACTTTCGTCCTCTGTTTCTTCCTTCTCTACCTCGAGGTCCTTGTCAGGGTTCATTCCCTTCTCCCTAATCTGATCATCTGTTCGCCGGATAGCCTCCAGTTGCTCATATAGTTTATTCTCTGTTGCCCTCCAGCTGTCTTGGATTGTACCGAGCTCTGTTTCCAGTGTTTCTAACGAGTCTCTCGCTTCATCCGTATCTGATTGCGTGTGGTCTTTAATCTCTGATTCAACGCTGTCGATATGTTTTAACAAGTTTTCCAATTCCTGAAAGATTTCAAATGCCAGTTTATCTTCCCAATTTTGCTGTTTTTGCAACTGTCTGATCTCCTCTGTTCCCTCCTCTTCCTTTTCCGTCGTTTCATCCCTGCGGGACCGAAGTGTATGCCTATGAAGAATCTTATCTAGTCGTCCTTGAGGTAAATGTGTCTGGACTTTGCCGACATGAGTCACATCGACAGCTCTAAGATTGGCAGGCTTGCCGCTTGTTGGGCTTGGATTGGCAGTATTATTAGGAGAGAAGCCCTCAGGACGAGTCCAGTCAGGAAAATTATGTCCTTCGAGTGGCTCAGGGTTTTCATGTTGAAACAGAGTCGGCATAAAAGTTGCTTCATTATCAATTATATCATGGAGCTGTTTTTTCTGTAGTCTCCGGCGCTTGTCTAGGTGAGTGTCTTTGGGGGAAGCTTCCATTTTGCCCCAGTCCACTGACGTGTCGAGCTCATACTCGTCTCCAGACAGTAATCCGTCTCGATTTTGTAGCGCATCGTGGATTTCTGAGCCATAAAGTTTTCGTTTTGTGCCTTGACTGTTCTCTTTCTCATTATCTGGCCCGGTTTTCTCGTGGTCTTCCTCGTCACTATACTCTGATTTACTATCAGAACCAGGGTCATTATCATTATCAGTATCAGACATACTGCCTAACCTATCCGTCTGGGGGGTTCTAGCCTCGTCGGAACCCTCTCTGTCACCATCATCTGTTTCAATATCAGACAATTCATTATTTAACGCTGGTTGTGGTCCTGGAATAAGCCCCTTCTGCCAATAGGGTTCTGACTCTGACTCTGTCTCTGACTCTGATTTACTACCATCTACCCATTCACCATTACGTTCTTGTATTGGACTATTTTTCGGTGAGTGGGTATGCTCATCGCCGCTGAGTTCTGAGCTCTTGTCTGAGTCTTCCTCTACCTCTGACTCTAAGTCTGAGCCTAGATCGGAGCTTCCGTCTGGGCTTCTGACCGAACTTCTTCTTGAGCTTGTGTCTGAACTTCTTCTTGAGCTTCTTCTTGAGCTCTTGTCTGAGTCTTTTTCTACCTGTGGCTCTAACTCTGAGCCTAGGTCGGAACTTCTTCTTGAGCTTATGTCAGAGCTTGTGTCCAAGTCATTTCCTACCTCTAGTTCTGAGTTTAGATCCTCTGGCTCTGAGCCTAGATCTGAGTCTAGATCTGAGTTTGGATCCCCTGGCTCTGAGTTTATGTCTGAGCTTCCGGCTGAGCTTGTGTTAGAGCTTGTGTCCAAGTCTTTTTGTACCTCTGAGTTTGGGCTTGGATCCTCTGGCTCTGAGTCTAGGTCGGAGTCTAGGTCTGAGCTTCTGACTGAGCTTATGTCCGGGAGTTTTTCTACCTCTGGGTCTGAGCTTGGATCATCTGAGTCTGAGCCTGGCTGTGAATCTTCTGACTGTGAGTCCTCTGCCTCTGATTTGAGCCCTGAGTGTTCGGGCTTTGATCCATCGTTGGAGCTGGTGTCAGGGTCGGTCTCGTGATCAGGTTCCTCATCAGAACTCCCATTTTCCGATAGCGTTAGAGGCTTACGCAGTCCTGGTTCGGTCAAAGTTGCTTTCGGAGTACTGCTTTCTCCAGATGGGGAACGTTTGAAACGACTATTCCAAGAAGACGGGGAAGGAGACAGATGAGGCTGCTTTGATCGATCTGGTAAACCACCTTAAACAAGACACTTCGTCAGCATAGATCCCAGGTAAATGGTGCCATGAAGAACAGATTCGCTCACCTTGGGCATTTTTCTGTCGGATAATAATTGTCAAATCAGGTCGGCGGAGCTCCGATACGTCTGCCTCAGGCAACTGTTCGCGCATACTATGATAGTGCGCCTCAATGGAGCGCTTGATTGCCGTGAACTTAGATATATTGGTAACTCTACTTTCATGCTCTTGTGGGTCTTCAATTTTGGTAATATTGATGTCTTTCAATGCGGTAGAGCTACACCAGATCTCGTCCTCTTCTGGAAAATACATATCATCCTCTTCTTCCAATCGTCGTTTGAATGCGTTGAGGTCTATTTTAGATATATCAACCCAATCACCATCACTACTTTGATGTTCTGGATTATTTGGATCGGGCAGAAGATCATTGAGTCTAATTGAAATTGGTCTTCGTGGGTGCGAGGCTCGAATGATGTCGAGATCGGCATTTGGGGTCATTGAAGGCCGGTTATGATCAAAGATTGGTCGTTTGTCACGCGGTCGATTCTTTGGGCTATCGTCTTCAGATTCATCTGAGGGCTCATCGTCGCTCTCATATCCATTATCCGGATAATCCTCTGTTTCAGAACCGTTTTCTGGATCCTCTCGCCCAGCGTCATCTGTTTCAGAACCGTCTCTTTCTGGATTCTCTCGCTCAGAGTCCTCTATTTCTGAACCGTCTTTTTCTGGATACTCTCGCTCAGAATCGTCTGTTAAATCCCCTTTCGATCCCGTGTTACAACTACCCTCAGAGCTTGTTGTGGACTCGCTTCCAGGACTACGTGGAACTTCAGGTTCATCATCGTCAGTAACACTTGTGTTACGGCCAGTTCCGGCTGATGGCGATGGCGATGGCGATAGCGATCTATCAGAAGGGGACCTATAAGACGCCCGATGAGAGGGTTTGTAATTTCTCTCCTCCTCCACGTCATCGTCGTCTGCTGGTGCTGACCCGTCGTCTAAAAATTCTCGATCTAAAGAAGTTGGTGTCTCTGGTGCTTCCGACGCAAAACGTTTGGTTCTCGGTGTTTTTTCAAGCTCATCTTCATGGTCCCAGTGCTGATGTTTGAACTGAGCAATTCTGTACAGAGTTTGACGCAGGACATTTTTCCCCTCGATCGTCTTCTCTTGGTCATATCTTTTCTGGACCCAATCTGGCGCCTCGCGTAGCTTTTCTACAACTAATCGTCGAAGGTTTGCTCGATTTCTTGGTGAGCTGAATTTCATCGGTCTAGTAACGTACTTTTTGTAGACATCGCGAACGTAGTGGCGTAGTTTTGTCTGGGCTTTTCTGAGATTCTTGTCATGTCCCTCGATAGCAAAATTCTTGTAGACTTCTTCAAGTCCTCTGGGGTCGATTTCCATAGGACCTTTATAATTGACTTCAGTCTCCTTTTTTTTTCCCCATCCCCCTTTTTTCCCGCCTTTGGGACTTGCCAATCCATCCCTTTTGGGATCTAACTTTGCCTTTTTCTTAGCCGGAGGCATATTGAAGGACAGTACCTCTGTACAATGAAAGTAGAGAAATTCGAAGGTTGAAATTAAAAATGTTTAAAAGATTTGTAGATATCTTATTTCGCGAGGGCTTTTTCGATGTTTTAACCTCGAGGCTCCTTTGTTACATAAGAAATGGAGCCATTTATATATAGAATGATGATGTAGACTCGATGGATTATAGTTTGAATCATTCACATTTTTGAAAGAGAAAAATACACAGGTGAAAGAATGTAGATTGAAAGGGCCGCATTTCAAATGCAGCAAAACTTCGTCTCACATAAAGAGAACCATGGAAGTGTTCCTGGGTGGGTGGGCTGTTTTGATTATAAAAGATGGATCATGGCCACAGGCTTTGTCCTGCAGAAGGCAGTCGGCGTCTTTGGAACCCTAGTTCTCTTTATTCCAATTATCAAAGATTTATTGTTTTTCTACTCTACGCCTGTGATCGGGTTATTATGACCTTTATTCAATAAATCTTCCCTTGAATTTATCGTTGTAATGCTTTTGTAGAAGCTGGTAAGACTCGGAGTAGTTGAAGTGTAGTTAAAATTGTAGAGACCTATCACGGCTAAGGGAGGAGCCTCGGATCAGACCTACCGATGAGAAGTAACATCTTGGAGTAATAAAGATATAACCTTGAGTCTTATCAATGTATTTTCTTTTAACCACCTTTGTTACAATACTTACCCCTCTTAGACTGAAACGGGCAATGAATGCTCTCTTGTTTACTGACAAACCAATACAAAGTAGCATTGCAGTACCTATTTTAATGTGAATACAAATCTTGGATCAAAAAAGCATAAACCAAGATACAATGTGGAAAACGTTAGAATGTAAAATAAATCATCAGCGATAAGTCCCAGGTTTGAATTTCAGACCTGCATAATCGAGAATATAATAATAAAGCATACTACACTTTATTTCACAAAGAGCATCTCGCACCCGCCTTTGTTCGCATAATTGACAAATAAAAATCAATCAGCTTGCATGAACTATACAATATACGTAAACTCACATTTAATCGAAGTAGATTGAGATCAAGCCAATGAAGTACTCGAATTTTGTCCAAAAATAAAGACTCGATCCGCCTTAAACCCTCTGTCAGAAATAAGTGATGCCCCTTCTGATTGCCCAAGATAAACTTCCCACCATCTGTAAAATAATAATTGAAATGGGTATGTCCCGAAGCCCACGCTATAACATTCGCACTATCCCAGCATACCTGCCCCCGCAAATCTGTAGCAAATCCGTTGCGACCTCACTCTCAGTATGTCTTGGATGCTGGCACCGCTCTATACATGGAGCATGATGTTTTAATATTACGATTCTCCGATGAGGTTCTTTAAATGCTAAGTTATGTAAGGCTTATAGCTCAAGCTGTGGGACTATTGGAATATTATGTGACCTAAATATCTTGGTATTCCTTCTGACTCGATCGAGCAATCTAGGGTCAAAGTTGCTATGCAAGGCTTATAGCTAAAGCTGATAGGTAATAGACTAAGGAATAAACTTATAAGATCTGCTGCAACCTACAAAAATAAAGACACTGCTCTATCATCGCCCAATTCTTTCTCTAATACGCTCTCAATTCAGTACTGTCATACCTGATAATAAGTAAGTTGCAAAAACCAATAACAATATCTATTGTATCAGATGCCACTGTTATATAGTATAGAGGAGTATATACCACGATTTTGTTGATCACAATTTAATAATATATCAAAACCAGCCCAATCCCAACAGTCGTTGCTCGAAAATATATATATTATGTTTTCCGTTCGATCGAATACCCTTCTTCGCCTACTTGCTCTTGGAGCACGTTTTTACTACCACCGCTTCCTCCTACAGCATGGAGCTGTATGCTGATTCAAATTGTGAGGAATTGATTACAGTTGATTCAGGTACCTTCGGTACTGATGGCTGTATTACACAAAGCGGTATTAATTCTGTTCGTGTCACCTACCTCGACAATGCTAGAGTGATCGTATATTCTCAGAGAGAATGCGACGGACAGGAATGGGTTATTCCTATTGGCACCCCTGGAGGTGATATCTGTATTCGAAGCCCTGGTACAGAATCTTTTAAATTCTCAGTCGGGTCTATTCAGGGTTTAGGGTGGAACTTGGTTACAACACTCGAAAGCAATATTTTGTAGCTGAAATCTCTATTTGATACTTTTTTTGCGTCTTTCAATTTCGAGCTGTATCAAATCAGAATAATTTGGTTAAAGACTGAGTTTAAAACTGTAAATATACAAGAGTACTTAAGTAAACCGTTCTATTATACTTCTGGAAATATTTTAGTAGTAATCCCCATCCCGGTGATATAGACTACCCTAACTATAGTCGGGCCCGGAGCTTGGGGGGGGGGGGTCTCTGTATTAAGAAGTCTTAGCAAAAGAGGGGATATTTAAAGGGCCTCGGTATTCAGCCAGAGAACATCAGCATCGTGCGCAGCATTGTGATCGTCAACCATCCATCGAAGAATATCTCGGAAATCCACCATGCGACTTTCAACGGCAAACTCCTGTATAGGAGATACCTTGGAAAATAAAGTGCATCCGAGAATAGTTATATCAGCCGTAATATCATATCTTGTTTGGTCTAAAAAGATGAACTTTCCCAGGTACAATCTTTTATCCACTTTAGTTTGGAACTTACATAGAAACGCTTAAACAACTGGTAATAGAGTATGCATGCTTCACAATCCTTATTCAGTAATTTTCAAGATTCTTATCATATCCTATGGCTCCAATGAGTCTCTATGTAAAGCCTTGAATGAAACACGCACATTAAACAAAGAATGAACTAGCAATGCAGACACATGCAGACACATGCATAACTACAACCCGCAAAGAAAGGAAAGGAAACGCGTACGATCGTGTCTCTGTAAGACTCGAGCCTGACTCGATAGCCAAGTTAAAATTAAAATTAACAAATAATCAGAACAAGCCTGCCAAGTATTCGTATTCCTCCGATGTGGATCAACTAAATAACGGACACGGAGTCCGCGGCATCTGTGATTCCCGACCCTCAATCTAACCTCAATGGGGAAAAATCGGATCTGCATTACTCCAAAAGTGTCAGCTCAACATTTGGAAGAAAAAGGAGTGAGCGGAAAATAAAGTAAATAAATCATCTGGACACCTATCTCCTACAACTTCCACAATACGATACACACCCAAGCAACCTTGGAAGGAGGGCAGAAAAGGTACCTCGGTTGAGTCTAAAAAAAGTTCAGGGGAAAATCAATGATGGCCACTTCCGCATACTCCGCTAATGGCGCGTCGCGTCAACGTGTGAAACCTCAGAAAGAGAGCAATGGATACACTAATGGGCACGTCAATGGGAATGGAAATAAAACTGCGAAGACAAACGGAAATGCAAATGCAAATGCACATGGAAAAATACAGCGCTCCGGCTCTGCTCCACGATCGCAATCGCAACCTCAACCTCAACCCAAGAACTTCGCAACATCGCATACGTGGTTCATCCCCTTGATCCTCATCCTAACAATCGGGTCCATATACGCCCTTAACCCAACCCAGACCAACATCCTCCACCGATTCATCTTCCTCTCCTACGAACAACCACAAACAAACCCCTCAACCCCCATCCAATATGGCAAGGGACTCTGGGACATCGCCTTCGTCTCATTCTACACCCTAATCCTAACATTCACCCGCGAATTCATCATGCAAGAGCTCCTCTTCCCACTCGCAAAAGCATACATCAAGTCGGAGCGCAAGCAGGCCCGCTTCATGGAACAGATGTACACGGTTATTTACTTTGCGGTTACCGGTGCGGCGGGTGTATATGTTATGTCTAGGTCGCCGGTTTGGTATTTTAATACAACTGCTATGTATGAGGGGTTCCCGCATAGGACGCATGAGGCTGCGTTTAAGTTTTATTATCTTTTTGAGGCGGCTTATTGGGCTCAGCAGGCTATTGTCATGATTTTGGGACAGGAGGAGAAGAGGAAGGATTTTAAGGAACTGGTTGGGCATCATATCGTTACGCTTGCGTTGATTGTGTTGAGTTATCGGTTTCATTTTACTTATATGGGTATTGTGATTTATATTACTCACGATATTAGTGATTTCTTTTTGGCTGTGAGTTTGTTACTTCCTCTTTGTCCGAGTTCTCTATGGGACCTTTGCTTATGGTTAACTATTCAGATCTCGAAATCCTTCCATTATACCGGTTCGGATTTGATTATTCCCGCTCTCACCATCAATGTCTTCGCTTGGGTCTATCTACGCCATTATATCAATCTGCGCGTTATGTACTCTATCCTTACGGAGTTCAGGACCGTGGGTCCTTATGAACTTAATTGGGAGACTCAGCAGTATAAGTGCTGGATCTCGTGTATTATCACTTTCTCGCTCCTGGCTATGCTTCAGGGTCTCAATCTCTTCTGGTTATATTGTCTTGGACGCAGCTCGTGGAAGTTCTTGGCTTATGGTGAGAAGAAGGATGATCGGTCTGATGACTCTGAGGAGGAGCTGGAGCCGGAGCAGATCGAGACTGAGAAGGAGTGATTGCAAGTTGTAGATGTTGCATTTTCATGATTATGGTATTGGAGTGGTTAAAGCCATTTCAAGTTCCGATATCATGATTTTACAAAGGGTGAGGTGAATGGGGAAGCTGGATTTATTCCAAGTTTGGCCTTTCGGATTTCACAGATGATCGGATTATTCTTGATGGTCTCTGGTCTCTTTGCATATACGGGATGAGGTTTATTATTGGTGATTATGATCTACCACGTTTAATTGGTGATATGGCCGTGCATTCATGTATCATAGTGGTTTATTGAAGTCTATTAATTTAATGAATAATGGGGAAATGCCCGAGTTAATTTCAACCTGATTGAGAAACGAAAGCTTTACTGCTTGAGCTAGGTAGCTAGATAGATACTTATAGTCGGATTTAGCTTCAAATGTCTTAGTACATTTGAAACCGAATTCGAATACTATTCTAGTTTAGGAAAGAGAGCACGATTGAGTCTTGAATATCTTTTAAACATTTTCAAAGTGAGTTCATTATTTACACACTAAGAACAACCGAGTATGACCAAACGCCAGGTTTGCAATGTACAAAAGCCACGCCAGCCCCTCAAAAATGTACACAAGGTAAGGAAATGGGAAATGTGATGGACAAAAAGTTGGTAAACAACGTCACATGAAAAGAAAATTGTGAGAATGAGAAGGTGACTGAGAAGGAGAAGGAGAATGAAATTGTGTTGTGGATATGAGAAATGTCTTAAAAAAAAAAGGAAGGAACGTTGGAAAGCGGGTTCATTATCGCCTTGATGGATGGCTAAAAGCCGGCGAGAGAGGCGATCGCCTTCCAGAGTTATCTGAACTGGTGGGGATCAAAGGGAGAGTAGGTTCCAATACATCTTGGACAGGCGATCTAGGGAGTCCGCCAATCTTTTCATTGGTGTGAGTTGGTGATCGGTCATCGAGATTATATCGGGATCCCTGGTGACTGAGGGACATGTTGAGATCGTGATTTGACTCGGCATGGCCGGTTTCATCGACGTTCCAGCGAGATCCGAGACGGCTGTCTGTTCCATCACCGCGGGCTGTCTTCTCGAGAGGAAGAAGCTCGGTTGTCATTCTGTTTTCGACGCCGGACATGCGGAAGGACTCGCGGTTCTCGGAGAGGCGTTTGTATTTTCCATCGGGCTCTTTGAGGGTGAAGGCGTAGTAGAATCCGATGAAGAGCCAGATGAGGAGCGCCAAGGTGAAGACTGCGTTGAAGAGGAACCAGATTACGCCCAGGATGCTGGTCATCATTTGTGGTTGGTTGAAGACGTTAGAGAAGATGAGCATGAAGAGTGCGTTGAGGAAGTTGAGCACGGTCGCGGTGATGGCGAAGCCGTTGGCAGCTCGGTCCATGTATGGTCGGACGACGATGGTGATTACCATGACGGCGGCTTCGAGAACCAGAAGAATGATGGACTGCGGGATCCAAGCGGCTTGGCAGAAGGCAGTCACCATACCTCTGATGACAATTGAGGCTAGAACAGGGATAATGAAGTAGTATGCCTGAGCGCGGTAGTTGATATACAAGAAACCCCATTTGGTGAGAGTAACGGGGTCTGAGTAAAGTGTGTAGGCTGGGTGTTCATTCAAAGCCTTAGATGCCTTGGCACGCTGGAAGACGCGGAATCCAGCGTAAAGCAAGACAAGACTCATGATCAACCACATGGAAATGGCGAGGACAATCTCGGCGGGAGAATCTCTCTGAATAAGCTCCCACATGCAAATCACACACATCTGAGGGTATCCCAGCGACACAACTCTGTAGAGACTTCCGCGCATGAAAGTCTGCCATTCCGAGGTGGCATTGGCAGCCTGTGCCAAACGGGGGTTGTTGAACTTGCGGGAGAGAGGTGGGAGGACGGCTCGCAGGAAAAGGATAGCCAGGATGATCAAAACTGCGACAAAGTAGAAGAACAGATATCCGGTCATAAAAATGTTCGACGATTCGATATCCGCCCTGAATCCAACACGCTCGATACCGCGCACGGTTTGTTCTGTTCCGTCGACCGTGGTGGTTTCCGATCGCTTCGCCAGAAAAACTGATTCATCGTCCAACAAGCCCAAGAGATCGGCGGGCGAGCCACCGGTGGCACGCTGAAACCATGTTGCGATCGACTGCAAGGCGGAGGTGTGTAAAATACCCAGGGTCCATTGGAATGTTTGGGTCCACGATTGGACAATCGGGGGAAATTCGACGGCAGCCATACCCGCGATAGCCTGGCTCTGCATGAATCCTAGGAACAGCATGGTACGGAAGTTGAGGTGAGTAGCGACGAGAGTATGACCCAAAATCGAGATAACCACTGTTGTGATGAGGCCCAGCCCCGTGACGACTGCGACGATCCATGAGACAGCGATTTGGTCGACTGTTTTATCATTCGAGATTCGCGTTTCAATGCAAGTAATTGTTTCGCCGGAGGTGTAATTTTTAAAGGTGAGTTGCACGATAGCATCGAGATCGGGGACGGTATACGCAATACCTATACAGATGAACGTATCATGTTAGAAAACCGAGTGCGCTCTTTTTTATTCAGAATGTCCCATTCCTTTCCCCTCCACATTCTTCTCTTCCTTATCGTCTTTCCCTCTCCCCTCTTTCTATTGCTCTCTTCATTTTTTTTTTCCTTTGCGGAGGGGGTGCGGATGGGCCGGAACAGCGGGAACAAGACTCACTGGGAATATCGCTAAGAAACGATTTAGCAACGGTAATGTCACTTCGTGGAATGGTCATTTTTGCTTGTTCGATGGGACATAATCCCAATCCACTTGAGGATAAGGTACATGGGTCGAGCTCCTTCTTAATGGCGCTGTAACCGTAAACCAGCAGCTCGACCTCGATCTTAATTTTACCCTGGTATTCGATTGTTCCTTCGAACTCAACTAAAGCACTTGAATTTCCGGGCGTAAAGACGAGTTCGAAAAAGTTGACGCCGACAACATTATCATCAGAGCATGGTGTTAAGGATGTGGCCTTCAAGACATCGATCGCGTGGACGACTGGGGATAAGAGAGCAGCCCCGACCAGCCCGGCGGTCCAGGAGGGGAACTTCATGATCTTTTGGTTGGAGATTTCTCCCTGAGAAATCCGGGAAATTAACGAGTGGACTGGGGTGGGAAGGAATCAAAGAACAAAAGAATGAAAAGAGAGAGAGATGGAAAGTCTTATTGTGCAAGGTCGACGGTCAAAGTGAACCCCATGCTTAAGCCCCAGGGGAGAGTTGAGTTTGTGACAGCGCTTAGCAGGATTTCAATGGGAGGAAAAGCAGGGGTAAAAGGTTCGAAAGGGCCAGAAACCAAGGCAGACGAATAATGAATAACAATTACAATTTTAATACGGATTACAACAGAAAGACTGAGACAGAGAATTAAAAAAAGAACTCAGCCACCTTTGAAAGGTGGATCAAAGTGGATGACTCTGGACATATATGGCTTCTGTTTCGCTGCATTATCCTATTCAAAGTATAAATAGCGTGATCAAGTGGATCCAAAATGACTGTGTCCAACTGAAATTACACCCGTTTTACACTGGCGGTACCATGGCTTAACACTGTTACATTGTATTCTTATTCTTGTGTTAGAACAGCCGAAGAAGCCATAATATCCTACAGTGGCACTGGACTAGCCTAAGTAATTATGTCCGATGACTTCAGTCTGCGTATACAGGATATCCAGCTTCTATCCAGCCTCTTTCCTTCCAGTCTTTCCAGGATTCCTTTATGTACCCAAGCACAGTACTGATTCTACCCTCCTGTTGATCTCCGATGATCCGGGATCATCAGTATAATGGTAGACTCAGACTCCACCAAAGGAATTCGCCCCATGAAGTCACCAGAGTACAGAAAATACATCGATACGCCCTGCCCTGTCACCCTCTACATTATACATTATATGCTCACCGTGACCCTGCCCAACATACAGTTTAGGTAGAGCACGGAGTACATATCCAGTATGCACATAATACAATGATAAAATACTAGTATGATCACTTCCTTGCAGCGCAGCGAGTAGTAAGACAACAAGGGGAACCAACTCCCCACATGTGCACTCTCCCAGCCCCGGAAACGCAAAAAAAACTGAAATGAAATGAAATGAATACCGTCCATTGGGCTGGAACAGAACAGTCCAATTTTAATTTCATTGTTAAGCCCCACCCTTCTCAAGACAGAAGCGTCTCACTGGCTCCTTATCACGTAGGGGCGATCGAAAACTGGGCCCAACGCGTCGTTCAGACGGGAAGACCCTGCGAAAAGTGGCGCCGATGATGCGTCGTCCCCATAGTGAATAGGGGATGAGGGAAACTGCTGGATCTTACAGTAGGAGGATAATTACTGACGTCGGTGCTGTTGGCTGAGAGATTTTATATGTACATGTATCGTGCCAGTCGATATGTCATTTTAGATTTTAGATGGATTATCCATATCTGATCCACAGGGTTCTGGTTCTTTGCTCTTTTGGGTATGTAATTCAGTCAAATGGATGTCTCCAGGAGAATGTATCCCATGAATAAATACTACCGCTAGTTTTACCTACAGTATCCATGTATCATGTACGCAGAGATTTCAAGTTGTCCATTATTCATGTATTCATGTATTCATGAAAGTGCGGTATACATCATTGATGGCGTACATCTCGCTCAACTACTGTATCATGAACGCAGTAAGTCAGGCGAACGTGCGGAAGCACCCACTCTTGCTGGGGCGAGTGCGTAATGCATTTAAGGACGAAATCCTGGTCGCGCCGGGTCACGGTCACGGTGGGGCCAACCTCGGCGAACCGTGGAATCCGCATGGTCTGGACTAATGAACTTGAACCTGCGCTTCCTTATGTTGCAGGTAGTGATTGACATGGTATGTACGAGGATTAAAGGGCAAGGACAACACGGAGTACGCAGTGGATATGTACAGCACAGCCTCGTAGATGGTTGATCATTCACTTTCAGCCGTCGGTGTTATTTGGATTTGTTTTGATGATCGGATCATTGATGGGAACAATTTGAGTTTAGTTTGATTTTTCTATTGGCGCTTGGCACTTTGCGCATTACGCATGGTCTGAGCGGTGATCGCGTTCAGTCTGTCCACTGTTTAACGTCAATGAAGATATTACTGGACCTACTTTGTTACTGTATGGTAACTGAACTTGAGCTCGGCTTTAAATAGAAGAATGTGGGGTGTTTCATCCTTATACTGTACCCCTCCAGATGAATTAGCTACACGTACATTCTTCGGCCCATGTGGAGAAGCTGTGAAACTGTCACAGATGTGGATGCCATGATCAAACCTTGGAAGTCATCGGCTTTAATATATAGTTAATATAGTTAATATATGATGTTAATTCCAAGGTTGTCTGTATTCCTCTATTGGGGGTTAATCATTTTACACATAGAATATGAGGACCTGTGAAATAGACGCCGAAAATGACAGCCCCTAGCGCCAGAAACGGCTCCCTTTCCACCCGTGACTTCGGACCGTGAGACTCCGTGAGAGATGACTTAAAGGAGACCCTGCCCAATCCAGATATCCTCGGCAAAACTTCTCAGCTCTTGCTCGGATACTACTAAATCTCTCTCCAAGGGTTGATGAGGAGGACGGTTAACAATCTTGTCGAAGGATAGATCTAGCTGTGTAGTTGCCGTAATTGTGCCATTCAGGTAGGACTCTCCAGTAATAATCGTTGCATTATTCGTTCGAGATAATTTGAGGAATGCAGTGCGATGCGCTTGAGGAGGGGATGATCTTGTTTGGACGCCATATTCTCGGGAAATAAGTTCCCACCGGTGAAAGACGATCTCAGGGGTTTCGCGTTTGATACCGATCGTAACCACAAGTTTCACAGATGAGGAATAGGTCTCAAGCCAGCCTCGTGCATCAAGAGCAAGTCGTCGCGCGGACTCCGATAGTCCGACTTCCATCACAAAACTCAGTCGTCTTGGATTTGTCAAATCTGGAGCCCAGCAGCAGTCAGCCTCCTTTTTCCAATTTCCAACCGTAACTGTAGTTGAACCTAAAGGCTTTACTTCACGACGGACGTTTATCGCACGTAGTTCGAAAGAGATCAGCTCATCAAATAATCGTATTGCAAGTTCGTGTGCGGGATTTGGCATAACTTTCGCAATCAAGATTCGTGTTTCTGCATTGTACGATAATCGGCTGTACTTGCTTGTTCGCGACCGATCATCACTCAGTTTAGAATGTTGCGCGGGGGGGACAGATGTGAAAACGAGGTACTGATCCGAAGTTTGATCTTGCTGAAGCGCTCGTTGAAGGTGTTCCAAAGTCTTCTGTAAGCTCCCATTAGTGGTGAACGGCTGTTGCTTCGTTTCCTTCGCCAGTTGCACAAGAGTATCCGCAGATTCGGATTCAACGGACGAGAGCTCAGGAGATGAAGACTGAGGGACGTTCGAGAAGTCCATGGCGGATGAGAAGGTAGGGTGAGAAGTGAGAAAGAAATGAGAAGGCAGGCAGGTAAAGTAGGCAATCACGACTGATGAAGGCGGCAAAGTTGTTTGCCAAGGCTTAGTATGAAGGTGGAGATGTCAAGACAGGGTAATGGGGAGCTAACCGGATATAGCAACTCACAGGCCCAGGAATTACATACCATATTATTTCAAGTTTTCTGTCACAGTCAAATTGTGTGCCCAGGTGGGTATGAATAATAGGAAATACTAGTACGACATGGATTGAAAATGATATATTTCCATAAAATGGATCGACTTCATACTAAAAGCGCAAGATGTTCAATTTTATCGAATCAAAGAGCCCCAGAAGTTAATATTATCATTGAAAACGCAATTCTACTTCTAAATAAATAAAGATTACGACATTGGAACCTTGGAGGTAAGAGTAACTTGTGGTAGTCATCGCCTTTCACTACCCGTGGACTTCAATCCAATGCTAGTATTTGACACATCTCATGCCGACCCAAGGGCCGTTCGCCGCTATTTTCTATATGCATTTTGCTTCACCTTGCTTCAAGTTATTGTACAGCATCTTTATATGCAGATCCACAAATGTATGCAATAGTTTGTGCTATTGCATCATCGTCGTCATTTCCCTCGTGCTGGGAATATCCCCGTATCTTTCACTTCCCCTCTCGCTCTCTTTCACTACTCTATCTACTAGGAGAACCGCAATCCCTGGCTAGGATCCCAGGTTCCTGCTGGGCCTCCTCGTCCAGCCGGCCCAGGTACCGGTGCCGGTGCCATTCCTGCCCCTGTAACTGGAGTTGCTCCTGGCGGTGCCCCGGCAGAGTTGAATCGGATTCCCATATCAGGAGACCACATCCCAGGCGTGGTACCAGCAGGTGGAGGCACCGCGGCACGCACTGGCTGGGGTGCGGTGAGCGGAGCTGCCGTTTCTGTAGGTCGCGGTGCATGCAGTGGAGGCGGCTGGACTGGCGGCTGGGGTGGAGGTTGTGCCGCGTATGTGGGGGTATGATGTGTGTGCGTAGGCTGAGCTGCAGGTTGGCGCAAATGCGGTTGTGATATGTGCAAAGATGACATGGCGGTGACATTGGATATGTCGCTGGTGTCGGGTCAGTATAATATGCTAATTGTAAAGGAGGGAATGCAGAACTTACGATTCCAATTGACTGGCCTCCATCCGTCGCTGGTGTACAAATGCTTTTGCATCGTCGCGGAATCGACTCACGATTTTAGCTAGGTCGTTATAGAATTTGCGCCCGACTTCGAGATTGGAGATAATCTCCTTGTACTTCAGATATCCGTTCTCCAGGTCCTGCAAGGCGGTCTCCCGCTCCTTCGTTGAGGTATCGCCTTTCTGTGCTCGGATAAAAGCTTGGTTGGTCTCGCGCACTTGTCTCGCGAGTTGTTCTTGATCCTTGTCTTCCTGGGCAAGCATTTCTTGATCCGAGTTGTAGTACTTCAAATGCTCTTCAAACAAATCCTCGAACTGGCTTGCTTGGATAGCCTGCATGGGAAACTCACGCTCCAATCGAGCGGTCTCATTTAAAAGAGCTGGGTCTGTTCACTTGATCAGCAATTTGAAATCATATTTTTAATTTTCCAGTGCGAGAGAATCAGATACTCACGGATATCATCAGCGCGGGCCTTGTCTTTCAAGCCTTGAATCCGTCGCCGCCGGCGACTCTCCATCCGACTCACATCACTCAAACAGCTTCGCAATTTGATAGATTCTCGTTCCAACTCAGGAGGTATGGTAGCTCTGCGGCTGCTGGGTACATAAGACTCTAGGTCTCGGTTCGTTCCTGTGAGTACTAGGAACACAGACTCGGAATCTCGAAGCTTCCGATCGACAAGCTCATCACTGCTTTGTGCAGATGTGAAGTAGCCGTTGATCTCCTTGGAAGTATTGTAAATTTTGGCTGAAGCCTTCTCCGATAGTTCACGATTCCACCGGTCTGTACCATACTTACGACGAGCAGCATCATCCTCGGCCTTTTCTGCGGCCAAGAGCTCGAAACCTTCATGGTAAATAGCCCTGTCATATCCCTTCACCTTCGCTGTATCTTCGACAGAACGCCGGAGACGATTTAACCCATCTTGCTGGCGCATCTCTTCAGCATGGGAAACAAGGGTTGGTGGAAGGCCCAGCGGCTTCTCCATAGCCTGCAGAGAGCCTGGTAAGTTCAGGGAAGATAATAAGCTAGATATTCAAATTAGTCCCCAGTTCTTCAAAAAGGGAAAGTATGAAACAAAAACATGACCTGGGCAATACATACTCCCTTAGTTTGTCGGTCATAGACTCTAATTCTCCAATAAGACTTTCGTTCACCAGTCGATCTCGGCGATCGGAGTATATGCTGGCAGCAATATGCACAGCATAAGGAACCAGCTTGGCGAATAGCGGCTGGCCAAGCTGGCCATTAGCTCCCAGCATAGAAATAGCATCTGTGACTTGCGAAGGTGCCTTAGCAGCAACCATGCTCGCCCGATCGATAGACCTGAGTTCGGATTTGGGCGGAACCGGACTGAGATAAATAAGATCATTATCCTTTTCGGCCCGCTTCAGATCCTCCTGTACACGGCTTTTAAGTCCATTCAGATCTCCAAGCACGGTGCGGTTGATCCATCGCGATTCCTTCAGACCTTCATTGACACAATGGATGGCATCCCGTAATCTCGCCACTTCTTCGCCGTACTTCCGCTTCTCCAGACAATCGAGAGACTGGCGGAACTGGGCAGCAGCAGCAAAATGATGGTTTTTAGCGGTCATATGATGAATCCATTCCGTGCTAATAGCGTTAGACTTGACGGCTAAGTCACCTGCATCTCCGTAGAGATCAGAAACCTTGGCCGCAAGTCTCGCAATAGAGACATCCTTAAGTCCATCTTTCACGGCTTTCTGCCAGAAACATTCTTGGCCTTGTGCGAGTAGCAACTGCTCCAAGCTCTGCAATGTCATGTCATCCATATCTTCCGGGGGTGATGTGCGGAGATCGGGGAGAATATCGACACGAAGATGATTCAAGACACCGGCCGCCTGGCAAGAGTAATTGCACGCTTGTTTCAATCCATCTCCGGTTGTTCGGTTCGCCGAATATGCAAGTTGGGAGTACAGGGCCGCTAGGTTAAAAAGAACATTCGCCAGTTCAAAACGGAGGTTATTCTGGGAAACTGCGATAGTAAAATCAATTAGTACATCCTTTCATCATTCATGGGTCTCACTTCTCGCTGATTCACGGGTCGGCCTCCAGGGCCTATCCGAGTACATACCAGGTCTTGTAGTATTGAAACCGAACGCCGGATACCATGCGAAATCAACACCCACCTATTAAGATGTAAATTGTCAACCACTAGCTGCAAACACAATATCTGACGAAGTAAGAGGACCGCGCACATCAACTGGAAACTTCCCGCCGAGCCATTTCAACTGCGCTGCATACATTATTAAGCGGATGACACCGCTAAAATGTGGCTCCTGCACATTAACAGCTTCGGAGCGTAAGCGATCAATGCTCAGCAGATCTTCTGCGAACATATCCGGTCGTTGGTCATATTTGGAGGAAATGTACTGCGTGATTGCATCCGACAACGAGGCGGCGTGGGAGCGCCGGAATGGGAGCTGTACGATATTGCTATGGAGTCGAACGGGCAGTGAGCAGAGATGTCCTGATTTGATTTGGTATAATGGAATTGTTGAGATCTTACGATGCCATCGTTGGAGTGTAATTTACAGCGCGGGGTAGAAAAGAAAGAACGTTTGTTGACGAGGTTGCTCCGACGCCCAAAAAACCCCACTGGGCAACGGGGATGACGTGGGTCCGAAGCCTGAGGCATCAAATTGTTCGATGCTCAGGTCCATGGGTGTTGAGTACATAACAGCTTAAGTGTTTCATCTAATCTCTCACCCCCTTTATGATTCAGAGCTTCTCACACAACCCACCACATTTCTCATATGGCCTACTATTTCCGACATATATGGATGGTACCCTTCTTATGAATGACAATCAATTCACCGCCCCTATTGACATACTACTATACAGCGACTGGATAGTGAGATTCGAGCATCATTCTCATATTTGCTGATCATGAGGATTTAGCCTATTCATGTTACATACGTGAAGAAGCTCATTCCAGAATAGGCAGAATGCAAGAACGAGAAAAGAGAAATGGCCGGCCATCCTCAGCTGAGAGGGTCCTAGTGATTTGAGAATATCACAATAGGCACGTGTGCAAATGCAAATTAACGTTATCATGATGAAGAGAGAGAGAGGGGGGGGGGGGAGAGAGAGAGAGAGAGAGAGAGAGATCAAAGACGGTTTGCGTGAGAGCTTCAAGGGAGTTTGTGGATTTTGGCCATAATCGTCTCATAAAGGCTCAGCAAGATCATGTTGTTGATGCTAGTGCGGAGGAGGATGATTGAGATTCCCTTGTACATGCTCGACTTTGCAGCTGCAACAGAGGCCTCGCCGACCTCCTTGGATTTGCCAAGTAAAATACTCTGTGCACGAGTCTTTCGAGTATCAAGGGGATATGTCTATGGGGTTTGTTAGTCTCTGAAGTGAGGAAAATTGGCGACTTAACACTTACCAAAAACCAAGGAATGGTGCTGCAGACAGCACCGGCAACTAGGGGAGCTCCCATACGCGAATCACCATTTTGGCGTGGACCCATTTGGTACGCCACCAGCTGCTTCGCATGCTCATAGATGCTGAAATAAAAGCCCGATCCGAGGGTATCACGCATCACATGGAGGCGGAAGCCTGTGTATAGGCCTCGAACTCCATATCGCCGGACGATTTGTTGAATGGCTCCAATCGTACCCAGGCGAGGTTTGTGTCGCAGTGATGAATCATGAGCAGCACCAGGTGCCGCTTGATCACGGTTGGAGACCAGAACTGAAGTCTGGACGACGTTCTTTGCTAGCTCAAAGGGACCTTCATGTCAAGGTTAGCCACACCCATGCATTGAAGAATGGAAGACAACATACAAGCCAATGGCGAAGCAATGAGCCCCGCAAATCCACCAGCCAGCGAGAATGTCAAAAATTGGCTGAAAGTCGGCAAGCTGCCTCGTTTGTAGTATTCCTCCAATGGTGAAGTTCCCGTCATACGCTTCATCTGGTCCGAAATCTTGACCTTGGTCCAGTTATAGGCAGTGAAATTGACAACTCGAACAACGGTAACGCTGATTAGTGGTGGTAATGCACCTAACAGCCCGAATTAACATTTAATACTAGAGCAGCCACGATAATGCCATGCCACATACCTGCCACATAACCCCGAGGACCTTCGGTACGCCATAAGTATTTCATACATTCTCCGACATTTTTGAAGTTGTGTCTGAATGATCCCGTATTGTCAGTCAATATACTTCGGGGTTTGGAACTTCCCGCAAATACCGGTACTCACGTTTGCATGCGGGTTTTGACATTCTCCAAGGGAGTCTGACTTCAATTAGTTCTGAGGAAACCATGCAGTGTTCAATTCGATTGTTGCCTTGCGGGAATCACGATGAAGAATCAAAACGCGACGAGAAAATTAAAAAGAACCGAGACCCAACATACCAAAGATAGGGTGGCACATATGGTCGATGCCCCGGAGGCAACTTGTGTCTGATACCTCTTCAAAAGGCTGTTTCGGGTGTCTTCATCCATGAACCAGGAGCGTCGGGAAGACATGTTGGCAGTTGTATTGGCAGTTGAGTTTGGAGAAGGAAAGGGTGCATGTTCAGGTCGAAGTGGGATCGGCATCACTGAAAAGGTTCCATCGAGAAAGTTTTATTCACAGGGAAGGTCAATGATCGGCTTGTCAAGTCCGGTGAGCTCAAGTGTTCACTGGGCTGAAAGAATCGGCTTCTCCAAGTCAGAATTCAAGTATGACTATAGATTCAGATCATGCAGGAAGCTCTGAGAGTTATAGAGACTAATCAAGGACAGTAGGTAGGCTGGGGAACCCTATGGAACGCAAAGCGGTTCCTCAATACTCGAGAGAACCGTTTGGCGTCCCACAATTATCCATTGGCTGGAAGTCCCTGTGATCCTGTCCCTTTCCTCGATTGCGACAATCGAAGGTAATCTAACTGGATCTAATATACAAGGTTATCTGGTGTCTATATCGTATCGAGCAGTGGTGGCCCGAGGTTAAGGCCCAAGACGGACGAAGATAATGGAAGATCGGAAAAGCACCCCGCGATAGTGGCGACCGGGGAAGAGCAGCGGGGGTCTGGAGGAGACGGCGGATTGGGGGATATTTCCCGATGAACTGGAGATCCAAGAATATGAAGTATAAAGAGGTCAAGCCGTGAATGATTTATTTAGGAAAGATGTATCGGTCGCAATGGGTTTGGAAGGTGATGCGGAAGCTGAAGACGGGTGGGATTAGCGTTGATCCCGACCCACTTTGCTGCAGGCGAGGGCAGGCCCCCCGAACCGCGGATACAAAAGAGCTGATAAGTTGGACTTACCAGCATGAGTGTCCAGCGGGATCATGAAGCAAAAGGACCGGCCCTGTCAACCCAAGTTCAGATTGAGGGGAAAGAAGAGGGAGAAAGGGAAATAGATAAAGTGGACCGAGCTTGACTTTTGCTACTCGAAGCGGTTTAGGGCGAGGCCGAGTGACGTGAACATTCTAGCTACGCACAGTACAGTACAATTGGGAGGTATGCTGTTTATGTTTCAACCCGCTTGTAGCAGGGAGTCACGGACTCTAAATCACTGTGGTGCCCAGTTGGAGTTCAAAGTATCGTATCTCCATTCGTTGCATCTGGGAAGCCTTGAGGGTATCTTCAACACCGCACTGTGAGATATTACGAGATCCTATAAGATCATATGAGATCCATTGTGGGGCACAGAAACGCCAAAACTGCTTGGATAAAGTCTTTTCCTCGGTCGCAATCCCTCATTAATTGGAAAGCTATGTATTATAGAGCGCCAATTAATATATCCGATGGGTACTGAAAGGACCATCTCATCGCGCAACTAGCTCAACATGGAAGCCGTAGACGCACATGAATGTTTCAAAGGATCGCACCTAGCAATAAGGTCGAATAGAGTCCCATGGTTCCAAGGTTCCTTATACAACCTTTTCCGGGGTGGAGTGCAGTCTTCCGGTCGTGCGAAAGCCAGTGCTAGTAATGATTGAAAGAGCATAGAATATTTGCCATCATGATAACCCCAAACCTTGGGAATAGACTGGAATGACACACTTTTTGTTTGTTCGAAGCGAATTCCAGACTTGGTTCGACAAAGACGGGAACTCGCTGATTGGGCGGGGGTCTGCAGATCATCAAGAGGCCTAACTTCTGTAACCAGTTTTGTCTGCTCTTTAGTATATTTAGTACCATCAACGCTGCATCTGGATTGGTCGCTCTAACGAGAATCTGGGAAATGGGGTTTGATCATAATCTGGGGTGATGAGGAAGCCTGCCAATGGCGCAAGAGGTGATTAGCTGCATGAGAGTAATAAAAAGTACTTAGTACCTGCTGAAAGAAAGTGTCTCTCCTGATGTCAGGAATGTGCGGGGGCGTTGAAGATGGAACATTTCTTGATCATTTTTACAACGTATCAAAGAATGGGGGATGTCCTTGATTTGGATTCATCATCTACTACTCTGTACATACTATTATACATACATAAAAGTAGCCCATCGGCAGATCCACGTCAAGCATACTCCATCTGGGTTATTCATACTGTTGCTCAATCACACGTGATAGAGGCGTAGCATGGTCTTGTCATACCGAACACTCTACGCCCAACTTTCTTGACGAAATTTTATATAGCCTATATGAATCAAAAAGCAAAGATCTTCCCAATTTTCGGAAATTTATGCAAAAGAGATTTGTGCAACACCTCCAAAGCTAAGCGTTCCAAGGTTAATCTCATCAACAGTATCATGCTTCCTCGGGTCCTCGGGACCTCGGTCGCAGAGTTCCCCCCGCAAAATAGCTTCCCCAACAACCCGTGACATAAACATCATTTTGTCTGCATGTACATATATGTAGCTTCATTTTACCCACGACATAGCTAAACACTAGCATTAAACAACCTTGAAACTTTGGACTATTCTTTCTCCAACACAATGGGCAAAAAACAAGCAGGCCCCGCCTACATCTTGGGCGTGGGTATGACCAAGTTCATCAAGCCTCGTGGCAAAGTCGATTACAATGAGCTGGGTTATGAAGCTGGTATCAAGGCCATGCTCGACGCCCACATTACCTATGATGATGTAGACCAGGGTGTTGCATGCTACGTCTACGGCGATAGCACCTGTGGTCAGCGCGTTTTCTACCAGTTCGGCCTTACCAATATCCCTATCTACAATGTGAATAACAACTGCTCGACTGGATCAACTGGTTTGGCTATGGGTCGCACCATGGTCTCTCATGGCGCTGCCGACTGTGTTTTGGTTGTTGGATTCGAGAAAATGAACCCCGGAAGCTTGCAATCCGTATATAACGATCGCACTGGTCCAACTGAACGGTTTGGGATGATGATGGCCGAGACACGGGGAGTCACCAACGCGCCCGGTGCTGCCCAGATGTTCGGAAATGCTGGTCGAGAATACATCGAGAAGTATGGAGAATCTATACCCCTCGCTGGATCTTAAAAAAGAAAGAAAAAAACGAAACTAACCGGTCGCGGTTTTCTTCTTTCTAGGTACGGCGCAAAGAATGAGGACTTTGCCGAAATCGCCCGCATCAACCACGAGCACTCCAAGCGCAACCCCTACTCGCAGTTCCAGGACGAATACTCCCTTGAGCAAGTGATGAAGGCCCCCATGATCTTCGAGCCACTCACCAAGCTACAATGCTGCCCAACGTCAGACGGCGGTGCAGCCGCTGTCATCGTTTCCCAGGAATTCCTTGATGCTCGTCCCCACCTGAAAGACCAAGCTATCTTAATCGCCGGCCAAAACATCGCTACCGACAACGAGACACTATTCAGCGGCAGCTCTATTGATCTAATGGGGTTCGGTATGTCACGACATGCAGCGCGTACTGCCATCGCCGAGGCTGGCGTGAATGCCAAGGATATCAAAGTCTGCGAACTGCACGATTGTTTCTCTGCCAATGAGATGATCACAATTGATGCGCTTGAGCTTTCTGAGCCTGGTAAGGCGCATGAGATGGTTCGTCGTGGTGACATTACCTACGGCGGTAAGATGGTCATCAATCCTTCTGGTGGTCTTATTTCGAAGGGTCATCCTCTCGGCGCTACTGGTATTGCTCAGTGTGCTGAGTTGGTTTGGCACTTGCGTGGATGGGCCAATAATCGTCTTGTGCCCGGTACAGTCGCTACTTTGCAGCATAACCTTGGTCTTGGTGGTGCTGTTGTTGTCACTGTGTACAAGCGTGCTGATGGCAAGACTGCCGCTGCTGTTTCATCGGAGGATGTGGGCAAAATCAACGGATTGGGCTATAACCCGGCTGTAGAAGCTCGTGGGTTCACTGCTGAGCAAGCCAAGTCGGTAAGCAGCAAGAAGCGCACTAGTGAGTTTGCTCTTTCCGATGTCCAAGAAAAGGTCCTTGCCCGTTTCTAGAGTCAAAACTTAGGTTACTCTTCAAACTCTGTATATACTTTTTGTAGCATGATAACGATACATTCCAAACTTATTTCTTCGTTGCGATATTTCGATTGTACATATGCACTATAGATATCAAAAAATACATACTAGTAATCTCCAATATACAATCTATAAGCTGTATGCTATATGCTATATACAAGGCCGCGGTACCTCAATAGACCGTATAGCCCTATGAATGCGTTTCTGCCCAATCATCCGGTAGCTTGTAATTCGGCGGCACTTTATACTGATCTTTACATGCCCCGGGGTTAGAGCATTGAAGATCACAACGACCATACAGTCGACAGTAACAATCAGCCGCACTAGGACAAGCATCCCTGTTAAGCTTGCTCAGCTCTAACTCCCCATCCGTATCAGGTTCAGCAAATAAAATATGCCACATGTACGACAAGATTCGCCCAGCAACGCGATCATCCGAAGGCGCAGCTTTATCATTCCGAAACCGAAAATCACCCTCACCCCCCATCCCATCAAGCAACCACTGCCGCAAAGCAATATACTCCCCGCGAGAATGCTGCCACACACGCTCACGCGACACAACAAACTGCGCACAACACTGTGACCGGACCGCATCTGATCGTCTCAGCTGAAGTCGCGCATTCGCCTCAGCCGGCGTAAACTCATCCCCACCAAAGATAGACGCCAGTGCTCGCGGTAACGCAATATCTGACGCAGCGCGCGCACTCCACGGCTCAACAGTAGACTGCATTCTCATTTCCAGACTTCCCTGCGCCGGCACACTGCGAGGACAAGTGCTGCTGCTCCAGTCACAGCGGAGATTATAGTAACCCCTCGGCTCCAGAGCACGCGACACATCAAGCGTCGCAAGTAATTTGGCATTATCATATTCTGGCTCGTCATTATGCCATGCCCAGCGAGAGCCATGAACAAACACAGCACCTGCAGCAGGAAACTCAGCATAGTTGTCGATAATAAATGTCAGGTAGGTCATTGCTTCATGACCGCGGTTCGCGGGTACCTGAAGGAACTTTGATTTCTTATCCAACGGAGCGCCAACATTATAAACACAGAGATGGTAGCGATCCTCTAGTTTATCGAGCCATTTCTGGTCCCCGTCAGCTGCGACGCGTGATACCACCAATGCGGGATTATTGTACTTGGTGAGTCCCGGACATATGCCGTGGGTTTCGGGTGTTGACGAGGCCGTAGTCTTATACCGGACTTTTGTCCATGTGAAAGTTTTCACTTGAGATTGGGGCCGATTGAGGTATAGAATGAATAGAAAGGCGATAAGGAAGATCACGAATTGATTTACGGATCTTTGGGCTTTGCGGCTCATATTGAATCTTCCCGGTACCTGGGTAGGTACCTATTCTGGGACTTTGGAGCATGAAATTTGCGACGCATTATTTGCTTTGATCCTTTGTCAGGCCGATTGCGCGGCCGGGTGTGACGGCTTCTCGTGTGGGGATCCATATTCTGGCCTGAGGCTTGGTATCACATTAAGTCCGATTACTAAAACCGAAGGCCAAGTAATTGGCATTGAATACCAGTGCTAAGAGCCATTGGCAACTTGGATGGTGGATGGATTAAATCTGTCATGTATACAAATAAAATGAACATATCGTCATCTGTCTTCGAGTTTGGTATAGCATTGAAATTAAACTGTTGTTAGTTATCTTGGCAGTCATCTTGGCATTGGGACGTCTCCACAGGGGTGCGATCGGCCCTTATGTGGCACTTGACACCGAGGCATACACTTTTCCTACCATCCTCAGCGTACAACTTCACCAAGCACCCCAGGGGAGTCCTTTTCGGTGCGATAGTTTGTATCAACTTAGCCTTGGAGTGATTAGAAGACCTCAATTTGGAGGGCGATCCATTGTTTGGCTTCATAAGGTTTTCCAGAACCATCGAACCACAAAGTCAAATGTAGTATACAGCAACCTTGACTTGGACACCCAAATCTGATCAAATTCGTCTTTTGCACATAGCATGACGCAAGCTATTTATCCATTGAGCAATGTGCTATACATATGTCGATGGGTTTTGGAAGGGGTAAATTGAGGTAGATCAAGGGTCAGCGAGGATACCCGTGGGTTGCACGTCGAAGTGTCAGACCGAGTAGATTGGAATGTGAAGCGCCCTGGACAATAATTCATAAGGAGAATTTTCTATTGGCTTCTCATTATTCCCCTGCCATCTCTGTAACGTGATCATTTCTTTCCCTTGCGTGTTTCAATGTCGATCATGTCTCTGTCTAGGGATAAACAACCTGTGATGCTTTGGCCTTAACATCCATTTACAGAAACATGAGATCCTCTAGCCATACATAGCATGCTAAATTTTAATTAAACTGATAAGAAAATCAGCAATATGCTAGTATTCTCATTAACGAAATACCACAGAAAAACGCGAACCAATGTATGGGTCGTCGTAGCCCGCTTTACTACCTTGACCCCCTTTGGGCTCCATTCTCGCCCTATCGCGAATTATCCAAAGGGATACAAAATATAAGTCTCACATAATTTCCCTCTTGGCCGAGTTCAATTCCACACCTTTTCCTTCTTTCAACCCGGATAAGAATCATTCATTTCGTTCCGCTAAACCATACGGCTTTCCATTCGTTTGAACATTGAAAATACTTCCATTCATTTTATAATTTCATCAATACAGACAATTCACAATGGCTCGTTTCAGTCTTTCTTTCCTTGCCATCTTCGTCGTCTTCGCGGCTCTTGCCTTGTCGCTGCCCACCAAGACCGATGACTTGACCCCAACCGAGAAAATGGGGCTCGACAACACCATCGATAACCTTCAGGTATGCAATGTTGTTCATGAGGATGTCTATGAGTATACTAAATTAACATAGGCTGCTACCAAGATGATGAATGGCCTCGATGACAAAGATACCAACAACCAGAAGAACGATATTGAGACTTCTCCCTCTTCCACTCAGGATGGTGGTGATGATGGTGATGATGATGACGAGGCTAAGGAGAATGCTGGTGGTGAGGACGATCCAGAGGACAAGAAGCCCAAGGCTACTAAGACCAAGAAGCCTACCTCGGGCAACTTCGTCACTCCCACTGCTACCCACACAGCCAAGCCTAGTTCCAAGGCTAATTCTCTTGGAAAGATCCCCATCATCGGTGGTCTCCTTGGCGGTACTGGCAGTGGCCTGTAAGCAATCTTGCGTTCGACGCTATGAGCATATATAATGCTCGATGTGAGATGCGAAGAGGAGTGTGGCTATCAAGCTCGAAAGATTTTAATAAATGTTCGTTTTCTTATTGGACTTTTATCTGGCTAGTGGGCGCTCGGCGTGTCAGGGTTCGGGGAATGTATCTAGGAGGGTTTCAAATCAATATCCATGTCTCTGTTTCGATGTTCTCGTACTATCAGCTTCATGTCGCCTTGATGTATCTGTAGACAGAATGAGCGGAGTCCTCCTCATCGAACATCGACCTAGAGCTCATGAACCCCAAGACACTAAGTCTAAAAGTTACTGCCCATAGAAAGCCAAGTTCACTGGATGTTTAATCAATCTTCTATTGACCACCTTGAATCAGCAATTACACATCATCGAGTGCGTAACGGATGGATGAATGAAGATTTTCGTTTCGGTATTTGAGGGAGAAAGCCGTACTCGGGAAGGTAAAGTTGTTTGAATTGGGTATCATATTGGACATGAGCAAGCCCTACGGTAGGTAAACAGATCAGACACAAAATAGATGACTTTGGAAAATCGGGGGGATTAGATTTCGGCCATGTGCTTTGAGCCTGCCAACTTTCATGCGAGCCAGATTGGTCTGTTGCGACCGCCGGACAAGAGTACATATTGATTGCATAGATAGACAACCTCATGTCGATAGCTCACTTCGACTGGTTGCCCTGTTGCTGTCCATCGTAGAGGCCTGTATAGTACCCTGCATAGTACCAGCCCATCATAAGTCGCTTCAAATTTTCATCTTGAACTGCGACTTTGTTAGCTCGTCCTCTTAAATTATTGCGTGGGAAACTATGAAGCTCGAGGGAACTGACCTTGGGCCATGATAGGCTCTGGCATCGGCATAATACGAGGCGGAATTTCGGAGCCTTGTGCGACAGCAGGTTTTGACTCTTCCTTAGTAGGATGCTGGATATCCTCTGGAATAGATTGAGCGACCTATCACCTGGTTAGTAACATTCTATAATTCATGGCTATGATTTATCACAACCTACCGAGTCTTTGGGGTCTGTCACTTGTATGTTAGAGTCCGCGGTGTCGCCTTCCATGGTCACATCTTCATCATATGCTTCTTCGTGATCACCAACAGCCTCAGGGTCCTTATCGAGAATTCCTGATTCTTCAGCTTCTCTCAGGACATCTTCGACATTTTCACCCTTAGCATGAATGCTATGATAGAGCTGCGTCAACAATGTCAGTTTTGGTCACGTGAATTTATAGAAGGGAGTCATAAGCACGTACTTGATACTCTTCAACCGCATCTTCCCAAGATCTCACCAAAGCAGAGTCATCCCAGATTTCCTCGTGGGATAGTGGCTTCTCTTGTTTTGACTTCCCCATGGCCGCCCAATACTCCAAAAAGAAGTGCTGAGATAAGGCGGGTGATAGGCGTTGGTAGTGGAGCCTCACCGCCTTCCGGGGCAAATCAGTGAAAAAAAAAGTTTCGGCGCAAAAAAACGAGTCGTGCTTGTCTCAATATTCAATTCACAAAAGAACCAGACAAAAATGGCCCCTGACAAGAAGGGAAATAAGCGCAAGGGTATGTACTGAGCCTTTTCAAATAGTTTTGAATTCATTTGTTGTGAGAATGTTATTAACTCGAGAAAACAGCCCCGGCCGTCAGCGACCCGCCCGCCAAAAAGACTAAAAAGGTCGAAGTCAAGGCTGCTCCTGCTCCTAAGGAAGCTGCTCCCAAGTCAATTCTGAAGAAGAAGGATAATGCTGCTGCGAAGACTAAGGAGACCAAGGCTGAGCCTGTGAAGGCCAATGGCAAGCCTACTCGCCAGGTTAAGCCTCGCAAGCGTGCCGCCGACTTCATCGATAATGAGGAGACCGAGGAGCCTGTTCCTACCAGCATCTCCAAGGCTGGTAGCAAGAAGACAAAGAAGGACGATAGCGCACCTGCTGAGAAGAAGGTCAAGGCTTCACCCAAGGCTAAGAAGGTTGAGGTTGCTGTTGAGTCTGAGGATGAGGAGTCTGCAGAGTCTGAGGAGAAGGTCGAGGGTGAAGAATCTGAATCCGAAGAGGAGATTGATATCCTGGATGACCACACTGCCGCTCTCATTAAGGGCTTCGAAAGCAGTGGTGATGAGGACGACTCCGAAGACGAGGGTTTCGACGCCGACAAGCCCGTTCCCAAGATCCCAGACACCAAGAAGGCCCAGAAGAAGATTGCCAAGAACCAAAAACAAGGTGCTTCAGAAGAGCCTGGCACTGTCTATATTGGGTAAGTGATCATTCCAGCCCATTCTTGATATAATAATTCTCTAACATTTTGTTCTTCAGACGTATTCCCCACGGTTTCTACGAGCACCAGATGCGCGCCTATTTCTCCCAATTCGGTGAAATTACTAAACTGCGTCTCTCCCGTAACCGTATCACCGGTAGCTCAAAGCACTACGCCTTTGTGGAATTCATCTCAACTACCGTTGCCAAGATTGTCGCTGAGACTATGGATAACTATCTGATGTACGGCCATATCCTCAAGTGCAAGTTTGTTCCTAAGGAGCAGCTCCACCCCGAGGTCTGGAAGGGTGCCAACCGTCGCTTCAAGCGCACCCCCTGGAACCGCATTGAGAAGAAGCGTCTGGAGAAGGGCAAGACCCGTGACCAGTGGTCTAAACGTATTGAGCAGGAGCAGAAGAGGAGACAGGCTAAGATCGATCAGCTTAAGGAGCTCGGCTACTCCATTGACCTGCCCCAGCTCAAGGCTGTTGCAGACGTGCCTATCCAGGAGGCCCCTAAGGCTGTTGAAGATGCCGAGACTACCGAGGCAGTTGAGGCCCCAGTTGAAGAGCCTGTGAAGGCCGTTGAGGCTCCTGCTGCCAAAGAAGATACCCCCAAGAAGGCTAAGAAGGGAAAGAAGACTGAGCAAGATACTCCCAAGGAAAAGGTGACAACAGAGTCACCTGCGGCCAAGAAGAAGGGCAAGAAGACCAAGAGCAAGGCGTAAACGGTGTATAAAATTGATGTTTTGTATTGTTTTTCAATCTTACATAGCCCTTTGGTGCATGTTCTTATCTCCTTACTGTCATCGAATGAAATATATTTAACGAATTATTTTACTGTGATTAAATTGGTGCCATGGTAGTATGAAGTCACTTCACCAGAGATAGATTATCAATTTCGTTATATGTCAAATTTGAAGATTCAATGGGTACCCTTAGATATAAGCACACACTAGAGCTTTCAGTCCTTGAGCCGCTACCCTGTATCCCGAAGCAAAAGCTCGGTTGCTACTAGCAGGTTACGCTAACCCCAATCCAACCTAGCCCGATCACATGACACGCAGTGGATAAGAAAAACGCAACAAAATTTCTTCTCAATCTCCCTTCTTCTCTTCAACTCCTCGCTCAAAGAATCGCATTCAAAGCTTACACACAAGAAGATTCTCTTCTTTCTCACTCTCGCTTTGGGAGAAAGTCCCCGGACACCCTGCGCTTTGGTTCTCCAAAGTAAAGTCAGGTATTGCGGAAACGCGCCGCCATAGAAGCAATTCGATAGCGGCTTACTGCCCTATTCCCTCCCAGCCTAAGTGCGCCATCCAACGGTCTCATCCCGCGTGTTACTGGATACAATGGGGTGTGTGTCTTTTGCTGGAGAGGGGAAGGGGGACCTCGGTCTCTCTTGTATTGGGTTGCTTTTCGTCGTGTTTGGATAGTCATGCGATTGCTCTCTTTAAGAGGGTAACTCAATGGGGCTCATTCTTGAGGCGAGGAGTTCTTTATTTTTCGAGTCTGTAGCTTATGGCAAAGCGGTGATTTTTTATCACAGATACCCTGTCGAAGGGGTCGGACTCTCTTTTTACTTCTGAACTCTTTGCCTTTAGCCATGAGCTTCCATTATTTGTTCGCGTGATGATATAAAAATCATAGAGTCAAGCACAGAGAGTCCCTAGCTAAGGCAGGGACCGTTGACGATAACGATTATCTTCTAATCTGATGAACAATTATATAAATATTATTATTAGCGAAAATGAAAAAAACAATTAGAAAAAGAAATCACTTCTCCTACATTACACTTTCTATCTTATAAGTTCTGAAGCCGACCGTGATTGTCTTATTTCAAGTTGTTTGATATGCAATGGCTATGCTATAATCATCCCATCATACTCCCAAGCCTCCCAATCTAGTACATAAAGGCCCATGAGTTCTTTCTTGTATTTGACTTCTTCGCTCATTGTGCCTTTTTGGCCTCCTGCTCAGCGGGTACAGCACTTCCCTTCTGGCCAATAATCTGCACCAACAGTGCACCCAGCATTTCAGCAAAAACAGCGACAGCCGACGCACACACATTATTCCATACTTGAATACTCACAGAACCCAATGGCGCACGAGGGAACGAAAGAATCCATTCGACGTAGTAAGGGAGCCAGCCGTGTGGGAGGGCAAAAACAGGCGTCTTGGAGTACCAGAATTGTAGGAACATCTTCAGTCCGTTGGTGCTGAGCCAGCGGGCGGTCTTAACGGTCCAGTCGAACGAGCTTTTCTGGGTCGAGATAATCTTGTCTGAAAAGAAGCAAGCATGTTATGTTAGTCTTGTCTTAGTTTTGTTAAATGATAAGAATTGGAAGAATCAAATGACACGTACTCATTGCCTCGAATTCCTCCAAAGCCTTATCGTGTCGTCTGCGTAGCTTTGCCCATTTCGCGAACTCATCTTGTGAGCTGGTGCTGTTCATCTCGCGCTTCAATTCGACCACATTCTTCTTAAGGCGCTGTTGCTCGCAGGCATTTCTGGAGGTGGAAGAAGGCAGTTTCAGGTACAGGTGCCATACCTATGCGTTCGGGGAGGATGGTTAGCTGGGACCATAGCTTGGATTGGGACATATAGTCGAGAGGAATCAGAATAATGAGAAGACATACTAGTAGGTCGATTGTCGATGCGCCGACTGTGTTGACTAGGTAAATTGCGATATGCACGAACACAATCATCAAAACGAGCGACAACATGATGGCGGGGAGGGGCTGGCTTCCTAGCCAGCGTGTGCGAGTCGGAGAATGTGTTGACCCACGGGGGATTCGGAAGGAAAGGCGAAGTACAAGCTACTTGCTTTGTCGGCGATGAGCTTGGTTTCGAGAAGGAGCTGGAGGATCGCGGGACTTCTGAACTCTGGGCTCTGTAGGTCGAGGGTAAGATGACGTCCGGGCGATCTTGCGGACTGGGTGTGGAAATCACCGCGAGTCTCCGCCTTTGTCATGCGGCTACCTTTCTACACAACAGCTTCCTGTGTACGATTTGAACGAGATTCTGGACATCAACTTTGATTTATTAACGTCGATATCTGTTCGAGGCCAATCTGGTAACTCAAGAGAAATTATTTATAATTTTATTCATTCATGACTCTCCATGACTACCCCCGAAAATGCATACCAGGAGCTCGCCAGCGTCTTCTCATCTCGAGGGAACCAGATCCTTGAGATTGAGACGATTTCTTCAACACTGGGCTCACCCTTTCTCCAAGATGGCCTGTTCGTCGGAGTCACAAAGAAAATGCTAGTACTGGCTTATACGGTCGCGCGGAAGCTCTTCATTGAACGTCTTCTACCAATGTCCGACGATGACTTCCTCATGGACTCTTCTCAAACAGAAGCACAATGCACTGCTGTGTCAAATCGAGTCATCACAGAAACAATGCTGCTATTCGATTGTGAGCATCTGAACGCATGTAACTGGCGTAAACGCTGGCTGCTGGCTGCAGTGACTCGATGCGCAAAGACAAATACCCCCGATCAAATCGCGACAACGAGACAGGTTTTAGAAACTGAGCTGACGCTCTTGAAGACCTATCAGTGCTCTCCATTACACCGGCATACTAAATCTCCTACTCTATGGATGCATCGACTGTGGGTTCTGAAGCAGATGTTCCAGATACAACCTTGGAGCGTACAGGATCTTCTGGACTTGCAACAGGAAGAGCTCACTGTTGTTCTCCGTGCTGCGGAACTACATCCTAAAAACTACTACGCGTTTAGCTATATGCGAAAGCTTTATACCCTTCTTGTTGAAACGGGTGATGTTGCAGAGCGTTCGGACTGGGCGATCCGGTTGGCTAAGTGCTTGATAGACCCGATGCGTGATTGGTGTCTTGCCCACCCGAGGGATATATCAGGCTGGATATTCGTGGTATATTTGCTCGAGCGTGTTCCAGAGCAACATATCCAAACAGAAGTCGTTCGAAAAGTTGTTCTCTTCGCCCGAGATATCGGGTGGGAAGGTGAGAGCCTGTGGACTTTCGTGGATCAAACTGTCCGGGAGTTTGATTTGGAAAGTATCCTTGATCGTCTTCTTTCATCTGGTATTAGTGAATCTGGATCCTCTGCGCTCGTAGAAGACCAGGGCACCCTGAAACCTCTGCCGTGGCAGGCCCGACTAGATAGGGCAAAGACATATTGGGCTATGAATAGAAAGAAGCAATAACAATGGATGCAGATGGGGTACCCCGCTATTTCGGAGTGTCATGTTCAAAAAACAAGAGGATAAGAATAGAATAATGGACGCTCAGATCTCTTGTATGTAGTTCTCGCTAACGGGTAAGGTATGTTATGAACGCCAAATTGGGAGTTAGAAGTAAACGCCTCGCTAGTCGCTGGCATGAAGTGGCAAAACATATGAAATAGAAAGACGTATGGTATGACCATCTCCTCAGTGTCGATTCGCCCAATATATTCGTCCAATATATTCGTTCAATAGACCCAAAGTTATCTTTCCAATCATGATTCGTGCTGCTGCCGACTTGGGCATGTATAAATTTCATGGGAGGTTGAAGCCAAAGTCGCACGGGGTATTGAATCGCCAAGATCGGAGGGTAGGATAGCTAAAGGAGATGGATGAGAGGAGAGAAGCTGTTCTTATCATTTCTTTTTCCCGCCTGCAGCCTCTGTAGCCTTTTTCTCATCCGCTGTTACAGGGAAGTGTTAGAAACGTGGCTGATCTCTGCGCTTGCGATAAGAAAAAAAAAGAGGAAGACAAAACAATTAGGTGACGCACCTTTGCGCTGCTTCTCTCGCATGATAGTAGCAGCATCCTCCTTCTGCTTCTGGAACTCAGTGCCAGACATATTGTTCTTTGATTTCTAGACTAGATGTCAGCCACCATCGACGATCATGATAGCGGGGGGAATCAGAGGGGTATCGAACCGTGCCCTGGAGCTTCTTCTGGGCCTTGGCCCGATCGGAATCACGCTGGTTACCACGTGTCATGATGAATGAGAGTCGGAGTTTGTTAAAGAGAGGAATAAGATAGGTAAGATTGAAGGGGAACCTTGGAAGAAAGCGGAGGGAAAGCGGAAGAATTTTTTTTTCTATCGCAAGTTATTGGTTCTTTGGGTTCCCGGCGTTAAGACCAAACCTACTTAGGCTCGGAACATCTACTAGTACTTGGTACAGGCTACAGTTGGGAATGGTTCACCCAAGAATTAGTGTGTTATTTCGGGAAGAATAGTAAACAAAGAAATTTCATATTTTCAAAATCGTATCCAATAAATAATCTGCAGGTCAACTCCTGGCGCTTGGAGAGCCTGGGTGATTGGGCGCGTAAATAAACCGCATCGTTTCATACTTGCCGTGGCGGCACGATATCTGTACACTTTCTGGACCCTGTTAATCTAATATTTGTAACAAAAAGAAGCTCATCTTTTCAAATAAAATACCCAGCATCAAGGACACAAATATGCAGTTCTATACCCTGTAGTCAGTAAACGAAGAAGAGAAGTGAAAGGGAATCTTGGCCGCATAGACCGGAGCACTAGGCACTAAGCCCTGGAACCTAAAACCATCCACAGCTCCATTACCCGCCCAATCTAAACCCGATCTATAGAACTTGTTTCAGCAATTGAACAACTAGGCTACTCCCAGCCAGTCCTTCTATATCTCTGCAGACTAGTTCAGAATCGAATGGAGCCTCCTAGCATCCAACATGGGAAATCAGGCCGCTAGTACAGATTCCCTGCGCTAAATGGCTGGGAAAGGGCTACAAGAAGGCTGAAAATAGCAGGGATGAAACCACCCAGACACCCTAAATAGAAGAAAAATCCCAGAATATCTACCTTCTGCGATGATTCATCTCCCAGACCCCGATCTGTTTCAGTTTCTAACCATAGGCGCCATTCCTTTTACGCCCTTTGTCAGGAAACTAGGCTCAAGCGGCTCCGGGACTTCTCTCAGGCTGTAGTGAATGACGAAGGGGGAGAAGACAGTGAAGTAGATATTTTGGGCCATCGCCCGTCTCATTTCACCAAATTTCTTCCTTCTGAATTTCTTCTTCTCCAGATATCGAGTTGATCTCGCCTTTGTTTCCTTTGTTGCTTCAAGCTTTCTGCTGGCCAGTTGCTTCCTTCCTGCTCTTTATTAATCTATTTCTACGCCTGACACCTGCCTCTTCTCCCATTTATCGCTGCTATAAAGCCACTGCGAGGCCCCAGTCCTCTTTTTCAATTCTCCGAATTGAAACAAGTGTCTTATCTCTTTATCATGATGGGTAAACTACGGGAAACCTTGGCTGGTCCAGGTTATGTGATCCTGAACGTCATTCGCGCAATCAATATCATCGTCTTTCTCGACTTGATCGCCGGTTGTGTGGTCATGCTCGTCAAAATCAACACAAGTAACGGCTTCTTCTTTTTCGAAGCTGTTACACATGCCCTGGTTGCCTTGATTAGCAGTAAGTTGCGCTTTCCTTTATGCATGTTTAGAATCATCGCTAACGAAAATGCAAAAAGTTTTCCTGATCATCTCTGAGCTGCCAATACTCCGGGGCTATTTTAATCGGAACTGGCCTTTGTTTGGAGAGGATTCAGGTTTCTTCACACTGGCAGGAATCATGATGATTCTTGGAGTATCCACACTGGGCAATCTCAACGCCCCTATAATGAGCCAGGATAAACTTGGACTAGCATTCTGGCGGATCGTCATTTCAGCTGGCGTCCTGGCCATGGTAATGAGTCTCGTCAACCTCTTAGCTGTGAGTCTCCCATTTTGTTTTCTTTGCAAATTCCCAAATCAACATGAACATCGCTGATCAACTTTCTTTCTCAATGTGTAGACGATCATTTTCACCAATTCAGATGCCGGCATCAGCGCACGTCATATCCGTGCTTTTGGGGCAGCCGCTCCGCAACAAATGAGTCGGACCAGCAGCCGTCGCTCATTTCAGCTCAGCTTGAAGCGTGAGGATTCTGTCCTCCCAACGTACACGCGAGAACCAGCTTTCAAACGGGCATCTCGGCGCTTAACATCGCGTTTCCCGTTGAAGATTTCCTCTCCTCTTAATCCCAACAACCTCAGTGCCGACAATGGCAATGGCAATGACGCGGCATCATACAAGTCGTCCAAATACTCTCGGAGTTCAACAGAAATTCGAGCCCCTGATCCTGCACTTCACCCAGCTCATATGTAAACTTGGGTCACTGTATCAGCGTTAAAAGGGCACTGGGAGCGTGGTGTTATCGGGGATTTTGCTTTGGAAACGAACATTAAGCGCGTTTTTATTCTTCATATGAACAATTTTCTTGCTTCCTTTCATTTAATTTTAGTATTGATTAGCCAATTCTTTTGTATTCCTATGAAATGAATTACATTATAGAATTCAATAATGTTGAGTTGTTAGGTGTGGTAGATGTGGTAGATGTGGACAAGTAGAGAGATCGCGGCGATTGACCGCTTTCCATTTGGACTTGAGGTAACGTGTTGATGACTTTCAGGTCTCTACTACATACTTCTTTGTTTCGTATCCTTCGTCTTTATTGTTCACCTCTATTCATTGACCATCCTGTCATATCAATGAGATAAAACATTCCTTTTGTTCTCATAGACATGGCGGTTGTCGGGGTCTCTTGGGGAACGTAAGTTTATTCTCCGCAACGTAACTCCGCATGCGCCGAATCTAATCGTGAACAGCATCAAATCCCTCCTGATTTTCTTTGGTCCAATCCTTCTCCCACGAGTAATTGGCGCTTACCGTGCGCTGCGAGTTTCCATCGCAACTCGCCCTCCACCGCGCCCTGTCCCTATCGCCGCGAATCGAGTGCTGAACCTGTTGTTTGGAAGCATCGTCCTCTTCCTCATCCTAAGCTTGCCTTTCAACCCTCACGCACCCGAAGCAAACATCTTCAGTCTTACTCGCTCACGCCTCAACACCCCGGCCGATGTGATCTTTCACCGACTATCGAGGGTTCGATCCAGCAACTTGCTATCGGACGCCGATGAACTGCTTCGAGACAAGCTCACCTCTCTAGGTGCTCGCAAGGTCTACCTCACCTATGGCCCTGATGCTTTGACCTCATGCCAATTCTGCTCATACGATAATCTCAACACCTACTTCTTATACTACCTCCCCTCCAACATACTCCTCCCACATCTTGTCCATCTGTTGATCCTCGGAGTCGCTACATCCGCACCATTCGGAGGACAAGAATCCGGCCGTTGGCGCACCAAGTTCACACTCGCTGGTCTGGCATTGACTGCCCTGGATCTCTGGGTCGTTTTTTCCTACGATGTGGTTCAGTCTGCATCTCCCGCTGTGCGAGCAGGCCAGGTCCCTCCGAGCAGTCTCTACAACTTCATGGCCCTCATACGGCCACTAGCATTTACAATCTGCGACACCGCATGTGCCCTGATCATTTACTTAGCGTCCACCAACCGATTCTTCTTTAAACCGCCATCTCCGATTGACCAGCTCGACCAGGCGGTATCGGCCGCTTTGACCGCAGCCCAAGGTGCTAATACAAAGCTTCACGCGGCCAATGTGGCTCGAAATGCGGTCGTGCGGGACAAAGCGCTGAAATCGCGGGACGATGTCTACTGGCAAACGGTGGTGGCTGCAGAGAATCCGGGTCGCCAGATTGAGGACAATTCCTCCGCGGGCGAAACTGGTAGAGTTGTGAATAATATCTGGGAAGAAGAAGAAGTTGCTCGCGCCATGTCTCGAGCAATGGCTGGTCAAGGAGGGGTGGATTTGGCACAGCTGGGGACTCAGGCGAATGAGTTTGTTCGTGGGGTGACGGAAGGTTTGGACTAATTAGTACATACATGTATAGATCAATAAACATAAAATTCAAGACATTTCTATAGGAGAACATTTTTTTATTTCTCCCTTTTCCCCCCTCCTTCCCTTGCCTCCTCTCATATCCTCCTGTACGTCACAGATTCAACAAATCCCACCAAATTCGAGGCGGTGTGGAGCGTCGATCATCGGCTTCAAAGAGACTTGAAACGAGCTCATCATTTTCTCCCCCTCAATTCTTTTGTTCCACACACAAACTCGGGGTTCTAGAAATCCTCAGAAGCTTATTCTTTGTGCCTTTCATTCGTTAGAACACAAAAACAGAGAAAAACAACAAAACAAGAGAGGAAAACATAAGAGGAAAAAAATTATCCAAGACAGGAGAAGACTAGGAATCCCTACTAGTTCTCGACCCTATTTTTGTTGGCTTCCAACCAGTGACCGCGCGGCGGATCCGCTGAGGCATCCAGACCCATCCTATCCCGCTTCTCAGATTAATTAGTGGCGACCCTCGTTTCTTTTCTGCACTAGCCACGACTTCTCCTGCTGTCAATTCCTCAACCTTCCTGCGGTTGTCAGCTCTGCATCCGCCATGACCAAAGAGATTTCGACCTCGTCACAGTCGGCGGAACTCAATGTCTACGTCTCAAGCCCCAATGGCCCGCGGGCAGCCAAGGAGACCACGTTCCGGGAATGGGTGGTCAACAACCAAATCGGTACGAAGTCAACATCCTGTTCCCCCGACAGGACCACGACTCCCTGTGTCCCCAATACAATGTTTTCATGGTCAATTCGTACCATGGGTCTTTTCTTTCTTTCTTGCAGTTCCCCTTTGTGCTACTGCATTGTCACATTAGCCTCGGCATTGCGAGAAATCCCATTTAGCTAACTCTTGACACGGCACTTTAGGTATCTCCTTGACCATCCTGGCTATGTTGCTGGCTCTTCATAACCTCTACCCGTCGTTGCGCCCATATACCCAACCGTTTTTCCAATTGTCGTACTACAACCAGTCCGGCGACTATTACGTTCAAGGCTGGGACGATGTGTACTTCGTTATTAGCGCTGCGCTCGCTCTGACGGCCGTCCGCGCCTTTGCAATTGAATGGATCCTGCGGCCGCTGGCTCGGAGTGTGGGACTGAAGAGAAAGGGATCGGTGCGATTTGCTGAGCAGGGCTGGCAGGTTATGTACTACAGCTCTGTTTGGGCGCTTGGATTGGTATGTTTGGATTCTACAGGGAGAGAAAGAAAAGAACATAGGAGGTTAACAATTATATTGCGCAGTATTTGTGGAAGAACTCCTATTACTGGGGTGACTTCTCTGCTCTCTGGCGCGAGTGGCCTGCACGCCCGCTTTCGGGTTTGATGAAGTGGTACTTGCTCGTGGAGCTTGCTTTTCTCGTGCAGCAGATCTTCGTGATCCACGTGGAAGAAAGGCGCAAGGATCACTATCAAATGCTCACGCATCATGTCATTACAAGCACTTTGTTGAGCTCCGCATATGCCTACGGTTTCTACAATGTGTCGAACGTTGTGCTGTGCTTGATGGATATTGTGGATTTTCTACTTCCGGTATGTTGTTGATTCTTCCCCGATCATCTGTGGAATATGCGCATGCTAAAAATTGGACCAATAGTCGGCCAAGATCCTGAAGTATTTAGGGTTCGAAAACGCATGCAATGTTGCATTTGCGGTTTTCATGGGAACCTGGGTCGTCACTCGGCACTACTTGTACAACGTTCTCTGGTGGTCTATCCACAAGAACATTCCCGCCGCAATGCCATATGGGTGTTACTCCAGCGCGACTGGTGAGATGACCAGTACAAATGCCTACCCCGACACATTCGCATATCTGTTTGCTCCGTTCCGCAGCTTGGAAAACCCGATCTGCATGAACCGCAGCATCAAGTGGATTTTCCTCTCTTTCCTCTTGTCTATACAAGCACTGTCTATCGTCTGGTTCACCATGATTGTTCGCGTTGCCTATCTCGTTGTTGCAAAGGGCAATGCAGAGGACACTCGCAGCGATGACGAGGAAGATATCGAGATCAGTGACGAATCTGCATCCAACGATAATGTTCGGCTGGCCGCCAAGGAGGGTGCTATTCCTGCCCCTGTCGTCAATGAAAGTGCCCCCGGATTGGATCGCCGTCGGTCAAATGGTGCTGTTCCCGTGCGCGCTCGAGGCCATGGTCGTATTCCCTTTGATCAGAGCGATCGGAAAGCTCTTCTGGGTCGAATTGGATGCGAGAAGCCCACATAGGCATACTCTTGATCCCTTTCTTTTTCTCTTTCTTTCTTTGTTCTCTATTTCCCATCTCTCTTCTCGCTTATCCTAGTCCACTTCGACAGACACAATCGAGCCTTGTTAGCCAGTGCACACGCCCGTTACGTTTCTCTATTCTATTATCTACTTGCCTTGTGTATTCCTCCCTGGGTTATGGTCATCCAGCGAGATTCAGGGCAGGTCTGCTTATGAAACGAAGTGCTCGACTAATGATTATGTGCGAGCGGCTACTAAAAAGATAGTCCTGGTGTTCAGCTCTACGACCCCTGATCAGGTCATTTATATCCCAGAGTGTTTTGTTGTTGCATTTTCTTCTCTTTAACTCACATCCTCATGTCGCTATTGACCTGGTTGGAGGTCTCGGGGTTCCTTTTAAAATTGCGTTTTACTGTTTCTGCTTTTCAATGTTTCTAGAGATCCGAACAATAATACCCAATGGATTCTTTCAGTATCTAGACTGCACAAGATTATTCTCATGATTCTGTACTTATGTAACTCCCAGCTTTGGCCAATATTTGGGGCCAATTCCCTGTGGAGCCCGAATGACGTCTCGCTGAAGGCTCAATGCTTGAATAGCCATTCATAGCCCAGGGATAAAAAATCCTGCAGCTTTAGCGTTGGACCCTGTTTCACTTGCCTCCGACATGCTTATGGTCCCTGTTGAGGGAAATGGGCCATTGCATAGCCTGAGATGTCATGATGTCCATCCACAGCCACAGTGGGCAGAGTTTTGTAGCATCGATAGAACAGTTCACATCTTAAATAATAAGATTGGGGTCCATCAAATGGATAAGAATTTGCTAGCAATACTTGAAGAGTATGATATAGCATATGTATGAGCATAACAGCAGTTAAAAAAGATTGTCACGAACTTGAATTATTTCCGAGAATGAACTAGACAATGCACACACATCGATGAATGACTTGAAATGGGTATCAATAAGACTATAATTTCTCACTATAACAAAAAGAAAGACTCAAACGTAATATTTAAGAGGAGGCTCCTGAGGTTCGCTCTCCCCATATGACAAAGTGTCCACGATTCCGTATATGACCGCCATTGCCTCTGTCCCCAACAAATCATCTAACCCAAGTCCAAGAGGAACTATTTGGTCACAAACCGTGTCAAGATCAATACGCGACAATTCCCCAGGCCCGTCATGTGTAAGAGCATCGACGAACAGTGCATAAGCAATTGGATTCACCAACATAGCCTCGTGCGTATAGAACCCCCCAGCCGGCTTCCCAGGACAGGCAAGTTGGATCTGCGTATTCGTAACACCCACTCTACGAACATCTTTCAAAGTCCCCGAAGCGTTCGGATCACTCTGAGGCTGAACAATCTCATCAACACCAGAATAAACACTTGTCGTCGGTACATATGCCGAATCACCATCCTCGTTCCTCAAGGCATGAATCAAATTAGACTCATATCCTTGTTGCCTGATAGATGGTGTGCAAAGTCTATTCGGAAACACACAAGCATATTCGAAGAGAGTCCCGTGAAAGTCAGGACTAATAGGCATAAAATCTTCAACTGCATCCCGGGTTGAGGGCCAGTATCTTAGTGCCCATTGTACATCGATACCACCCTGTGACCAGGATATTACTCCTATTTTTGTTTTCGAGATCGCAGAAACATAGTTTATGGCGTATGCGACATATTCTGAAACAACTTGGATATCACCAAGTGAATGGTCTGGGATATTTACCCAGATTGGATCGGCGAAGTCCGTATCCGCAAGTAATTTTTCATAACTGAAGTAGTATGTTGTTCCGGTTGGGTCGGATGTCCCTGGGACAAGAAGGACTGGACGCTTGCCATTTGACCCGTATTGAAAGTTATGAGGAATGCGAATTGCTGATCGAAGTTCATCTTCTGTTTTATCGTATGGTGCGTCTTCGGGGTTTCTTTTCGGGTATATTAATTGTTCGGGATTTCTGGGATTATCGTTATATATGGAGTTTATTTGTGAATCAGTAAGACCGTTGATGATATCGAGAATGTTTGTTGGTGCTAGGCCGCGAGTTATGAGTTCTGTTGCTAACTCTATTGTCGTGTGGTCGCTTGCATTTGGCATTGAAGCGAGTGAGGCCATTGCTTCTTTGAGTGTGGATACTGGTTTGTATTTCCCATTTCGGAGACCTGTGAGTGTTGTTTCGAGCAAGAATGTTTCTTGTATGATTCCTTTGCTGAGATAGAGGAGACCTTCTGCGTTGTCTTGGAGGTTGTGGAGAGTTTCGGGGGAATCTTGACTTTGTGAAGGGACGAGTGGTATTGGTCTGCCAAATGTTGATACTATCTGGTAGGAGACCAGTAGGATTGTTTTGAGGTTCATCATCGCGGTGCGTTGCGCATTTATTGGAATAGTTCGAATTCAGAAAAACGAGGGCGCATTGGCCTTGGGACTGATGATGCTGGATCTATATGGTTCAACTGTATTAAACGACTCTCGGTGTATCAATTCGCATTAGGGCGCGTGCCAGCAAGAGAACCGCGCTATTGCAGTTGAGTTTGGACAAGAGAATTGTACATCAACATAACGAGATGGCAGATATTCTTTCTGTGATAATTTAGACGCGACCGATGATCAAATCTATTTTAGGGTCGAAGAATGTGTCCCTGCAAGCTTGAATTTCCGTGCGAAGGGCGAAAGGCCATATCTACGATCCAGCATTCCGCACCGAAACGCAAAGTCGATTCCTCAAATTGAATAAATCACTACGTGTAATTCGCGATACAAATTTTAAAGCCTTCCAGCTATTTCCCTCGATAGAGTGAGTTACAAATGACCTTGAAAAAGAGAATATGCACGAATAATCGGTCTATCCATTTTCTCGAAGTTCCGTATATGGACTAGTTGATCTTTCAAATCGGTCTGATAATTCGAAGCGTGAAAATGATTGATCAACATATGCCTACAGCGAAGATGCAGGCTTCCAGTAAGCCTTCACATTATCATCCGCCCGATCCCAACTTTCCTTAATCAGAATGTCTACATTGACCTGTCCCAATAGTTCATCACTCAAAGCACTGCAAGTGATCTGTGCCATCTTCCCTTCTCGCATCTCATAAACAGCCCAGACTTTGACTCGAATGACGTCTCCAGGGTTGACTTTGTGGCTATGTACAGCATTGTCGATGGCTTTGGTGTAATCGAAATAGGTCTCCATACTGAAGAAAATTCTTTTTTCATTCATTAAGACGAACATCGGGACAACTGTCTCTTTCGCATTTGCATGTACCGTAGCATAATGGCTCATGATACCATCCGAGCCGGCGAGAGTGCCAATTTCAGGATCGGGAATGGTAAGGGTAACATCTTTGTGATAGAAACTGTGTTGGAGCTTGTAATCCCTTGCATTGAAGGCTTTAACGTAGTCAAGAAAGTGGTTGAGAGACATTTCTTTGCAGGATAGTGACGGTATATGCTTTTATAAATGAATTTGTAGGGTGCTTGCGATTTTGGTGATGTGAGTTTCAAGATGATTCAAAACACTATACTTCAAAGTACCTAAAGTAGAAGTCAAAGATATCTCTTATACAAAGCTGTGAGGTGGAGACGCTTTTGCTTCCGAAATTTGTCCCATTGTACTTCTTCTTCCATATTCAATCTTTGGATTGAGAAACATAGCTTATTGGTGCCGCGACAAGGTACGCGTCAATATCCTACTACCCTTGGCATTAGTAAGTTAAACTCGCAGTGTAGGGCCTCCACATATGTATGTATTTGTCGATCACATCGGGACCACATTTATGTTAATTTCGGGCACGGCTGCGTGGCCCCCGCCGTAAAACTAACAATATGGATCTGATATGGAAGATACAAAGCCTGACTCTGAAGACAAGAAGAGCTGCCCACAAATTGCATGGACCAAAGTATCCATCTAAAGCATAACTTGCTTTGAGATATGGCAAAGATGTGACACTTAAGTAGCTTATCGAGGTACGGCATATCGAAATGACAGTGTGCAGGGGCATGTGGCGCCTCAAGCGGGTGACCCATGTCCAGCTATGCCGTGGGGTAACCCACCCCCACTTCCCATTTCCCCACCATTTCCCCACCTTCATGTTGCCGCATGCAAAGGCAGAAAGAAAGACCCCAGATACTGATATAAGACATTATGAATCTTCAGTCCTCTGGTGGGCCAGACGCTTCTTCGCCTAAGCGATTTATCTGTCGACAATGCAACAAAAGATACACGAAATTGGAACACCTCACGGTAATGTTGAATCTTTCTACATCGTCATACCACAGACCACTAACCATCACCAAAGAGGCATGAAAGAACGCGTAAGAGGCTCCCATACCGGAATTTCTGATGGCTGTATTAAATGATGAATAGATTCGGATCTAAGACCTTTCCAATGTCCAAAATGCGGCCGACATTATGGACGTCAAGATGTCCTTGGGAGACATCTCAGATTGCATACTCGCAATGACAGATCAGAAGCTCAACAACTAAACTTGGAGGGCTCCTCTAATGATCCAACCTCTGCGCAAGCCACATTGTCCTCTATCTCAACTGAGCGAGCTACTTTCCCTCCGCCAACTGATCCCTTGAGGCAGCACAACTTTGCGGAATCGAATGCATTACTTGAATCCGGAAATCTCCTCGAATGGCTGATGTCAGATATTGACCGGGCTTCAGTTGTGCCTCTTCCTCTTCTGGATGTCCCACCTGGCAGCTCAACACGAATAGATATCTTTGCATATCCCCATAGTGATCTCGAGACAGAGGCATACGAAGCTCCGGGAAATACAGCGCTGAACCAAATCTATAGAATGGTTGATGATCTATCCAAAAGGCTTAACTCAGACATACACAGCTCTGGATTCACATCTACTTTCTTGGACTCTTGTTTACAGGAATTCTTCACACGGATATTGCCGAATTTTCCAGTGATACATAAGCAAACATTCTCCCCGCAAAAGACCATACCGCCTCTCCTGTTAAACATGGTTGCCCTGGGGTCTCTTTTTGTCTGCGAGAAAGACTCCGTTGAAAAAGGCGAGATGCTTTGGCGGCTTGGACACACAACCGCTGCTACATCATGGCAAACTTTGGTTGAAATTAAAGGGCCATGGGATTCTTGTGACGGAATCCAGCTAGTACTCACTGCTCTTCTCGGCCAGACGTACGCACTAGTATCAAAAAACCCCGATTTTCGTACTACTGCGTCAGTATTTCATGGATTGGGATTCTACTGGGCTAGAAGCTCGGGGATGTACTCCGTGCAAGATGTTTTATCCAAAAATCCTCCACGCATTGATATGCCTGAAAGGGAGAAAGACATTTTATGGAAAACATGGGCTGCATCAGAAGTTCAACGCAGAGCGATATTAGGTCACTATATCCTCGATGGATTGATATCGCAGGCATCTGGATCGCCCGCCAGCGCAAGTCATCTCATTAACAGTCTCGGCACAGCCTGCTCAGACGCTGCATTTTCTGCCGAGACTGCGGATGAATGGATAGTTGAGATAAACCGCTCAGAACAGTCTCAACTTCCGGTCTCTGAGGCCTTCGTGCGCATTTTTGCAATTGACTACGGCGTCAATCCTTTACGACTTTCTCGATTCTCAACCTTTGTCATTATCGAAGGATTGCAGTCTCTAGTATCTGATCTTCATGAAGTTCAAGGTCCAGTATTTGGCACTGTTTCCCAAGAGCAAATCATCCAAGCAATGCTTAATCTATACCAAGGAAATATAGCGTCAACAACAGCTCAATCAGAAGGGCAAGACCTTCCAACTTTGTTAAGATGGCACTCCGTGTTCATCGAAATCACTGCACCTTCAATCCTAATTTATCGTTGTTTGTGCAATCGGTATCAACTTCCACAAGTCTTGGGCGGAATTCATGCAAAAAGCCGACTCGACGACATTGATTTGAATCAATGGGTCATGAAAAAGGATGCATACAAGGCAGTTCTTCATGCCATTTCGATTACTCGCCTCCTTGAGCATCTGCCTCTTAGTCAGGTCTACATGATACATGTACCCACGGCAATATTTGCATCGGCTATGGTTCTCGCTATTATCTGTATTTTGAATCGTAATGTGATTGAGATACCCGAGAAAAATATCTGGATCGATATTTGGAAAAAGCACACCATTCCAAGAACAGGACAGACGTCGTCAACCGACACTTCAGAACCTGAAGATATGTTTGGATATCCAGACCATATCAATCAAACTAAATCAATGACTGCCAATCTTTTAGAGTTGATGAACTCTCTCCACGTTATTCTCACGACTGTTGCATCGAGATGGGGCACTTCAGCCCAAATGGGTGATATAATTGGAAGACTGGTCATCATTGCACGCGAAAAGCATAATCATGCTAACTTTTCTAATATATAACGCAAGGTTTCAAATCCCGTAAAAGCCGTCAGATCGGTTGTGCTTACTATCAGATAGATTGCCTCAATTCTGAACTTCCCAAAAGTAGCAGCAATTCTAGGTCTTTCAAGTTGACACGCGTATTTACTTCTAAGGTTAAAATAACTGCTGGGCTACATTATGATTCAGCGTCAGAATCAAAATAGTGTCACATTCAGATGCAATTGAGGTAAAATAATCAAGCTTGAATTTTACCCAAGAAGGAAACGATCTATATAGTAAAAATTTACCTATCGATATTTAGCAAATCATATCATCTAACAAATCATGCCATCTATCTCGTCTCAATTGGCATGCAAACCTAGGTGTTCTTTCAGTGCATGCACCAACTCATCTGCTTTATCTTGGGGCGCGACGCAAGTCAAAATATGCTGATCTGGACGGACTAACACTGCCCGATCTTTCAAACCCATAAGATTCATCCAAGATTCACCCTCTGCCCCCGGTTGAAGCCTGAAATCAACACCGTGTATAACGGTCTTTAGGGGCAAAACAAACTGCGTATTTCGAGTCACAAGATCTAATGCATCTTTCACCATATTTGAGAAGATAGATGCATTTCTGTCATCGACAAACAAAGTGAAAGTATTGAGAGGGCATAGATCCAAGGTAGAGTATTTCTTTTTTGAGACCTCCTCCTGGGATAGTTCATGTACATAGCTGGAGTCAATTGGTGGAAGCTGCAATTGCTCCGACGAGACTTTGATCCATGTATGCGGGATTCGAGCACCAGGTACACACATAGGCTCAAACACCGAGACATTCGCAGGAATTGTCTTGTCTCCATAAATGTATCCAATGTGTAGGCCGAGATTATCAAAATGTTGGCGCTGACCCTCGATCCCTCTATTAATCTCAACCATTGCATCGGTGTCTTGGATATTATGATAGAGATTCTGCCTTGCAACATTGACGTCGGGATCTGTCGTACCAAGCGCTTTGAGTAGCCCAAAGATTTGTTTCCCGTTCTCGACACTTTGATTGGAATTGACAAGTGCAACTTGGCGCCGGTCAAACTGGTAGGTATCGAGAAGACTGCTTCCACCCCACCCGTGGTGAACTGCTGCAAGCTTGTATGCCAAATTATGGGCGTCAGCTAGTCCAGAATTCAAACCAAGGCCACCGGTGGGTGGGAAGGAGTGAGCAGCATCTCCGCAACTGAAATAAGGGTTTCATGTTAGCCATCATGTGAACTGGGAATTGGATCAGTTCTTGATTTACAGGAAAACCTGGCCTTCGCGATACGAATAAGCTACCTTCCGACTGAGAACCCATGGACGGTAACTTAGTATATCATATGGCACTTTCATTCCAATGGCTGCGTCGACAACCCTACGACAGTGTTCTTCGTTCCAAGACTCCACGGGATGTTTCTCAGTCTTTGGTCACGCTGATTAGTACTTATTGACATTTGAAAAATTCAAATACTCACATCAAAGTTACATATGAGAACCTGGTTCCCAGACAAGTCATATCCAATGATGAAGCCGGCGACCATTGGGTCCATTACCCAGTGCAGCATTCCAACTTGCTCCTTTATCACAGGCTTCAAGTCAGCGTTGAAGTGAATGGTCATCATGGTTTCGCCTTGAATATTCTCGTTAGTACTATCTCCATTTAATGTATTATGAATGATCCGTGTGAAATTGTAGTCACTAACAGGTTTCTTCTCCTTCACTTGCAATACCAAGGTATTTTCGGACGGCACTTTTGGCACCATCGCATGCAACTACATGCTGTGATGTGACATTGTATGTCGTTTGAGTAGCACGATCCTCGATCGTCGTCATCACGAACCCATCGCCCTGGAGTTGAACGATTATTATTTCATGAATCGGGAATGAGATCTGATATTGCATAGCTTACCTGTTCTAAGCTCACAAAAGAATGATTCTTACGAATCTCAACAAGCTTATTCGTCGATAGTTTCTTGGCAATCAGCTCCTCAAATGCCGGTTGAGCAATATTATGAATCATCTGGCCAGTTTATGAGCAATCTACTCATTATTGAGAAAAAAATAGCTTATAACCTACCGCAGGTGTATCATTTAGAACCCCCGGATCCATTCGCTCGTAGGGCAAACGACCAACATGTTTACCAGACAGACTGGTAATAAAATTGACCCAGTACGCCTCTTCGCGAGGACTACCAATCTTCCGAATCTCATTCACGTCTAACCCCGCTTGACGGCAGATCTCAAGGGATCGAGGAGAAAGCGCATGTGCCTTTGGTGCTGCTAGTCTGGACGCATAGCGTTCCACCACCAAGGATCGAACTTACTTGTGTCAGTTTGATGATGAAGTGCATAATCAGGGAAAGAAGTGACCCACTGTTTAACTGGGCGAGCAGATAGGCGAGCAGAAGCCCAGATGCTCCCCCGCCAACAAGAAGAATTGGCGCCTCCTCGTGCAAGAGCGTTGTTTGGAAATGAGGGGACATATTGGAAGTGTATAGTTGGCTTTACCGTTGGGTGGATACCCTCAGGGGCTCATTTATGGGCAAGGCTGGAGCCTTTTAAAGGTCACGTAACTTGTCCTGCAAGTTTAGCCCTTTATGTGATAGTAGTCATGCGTGACACACGCTTTCCCACCTTTGAAGTGGGAAAGGTGGGGAATATGGGGGAGCGGGAGGAATGGCAGCCATGATCATTTACTAGATTATTGTCTGTATAAATATGATAGGAAGACCCTACTCAATGGGAACTTTTGGTGCAGCCTCAGTCAAAATTTACGAGATGAGGTTGTTTTTTTGAATAAAATGCTACCAATTGAAGCTCAAAAAATCGCGAGACCAAGGGAACACATAAGTTTTATTATAGATACAATATTTGAAGACTTATCCGCCCGTATCGCGTAATCTCGCTAGAGCAGCCGTAATACCATCACTCAGCTCCTCAGCCGGCTCACTAGGCTTAGAAGGAGGTTCATTCGCCGCTGCCTCCATAGCTGCTGTCATACGGCTTTCTTCCATAACGGCGCGTAAAATCGCCTCATCTTCGTCCATCTCGGCATTCCGCGGCCGAGTTATAGGGTTTGGTGGCTTTAGTGGTTTTTTCACCCGCACAGGTTTAGATATACCAGCCCTCTTAGTGGATTGGACCCTGAAATCTTCCCTGACAGCATTGCACCATTGTTGGACTTTCCTCTCGCCCCACCCAGGAACAGAACTGATCTGTTCTGGCTGTGCATTGACAGCGTTCTGTAAACTTCCAAATGTAGATATCAAGCTTGCAGTATCTGATTTATTGATACTTCGTGGTGTTGTCACAAATTCTACTAGTAAATCTTTGTAGGATTGTGGTTGTTGAGTGCGGATTGCTGTGGGCTGTGCGTATTCGGATGACTTGAAGAGTTCGAGGTAGTGGGCGGCTTCGGGTGCGGACCAACACAGGAATAGTGTGAGGTTGTTTATTATGGATGTTTTCGAGAGTTCTTTGAGTGGGTCTTCGTGATTGGGGATGTCGACCATTACTAGGACAATGCGCAGCTGGTATTTACCAGCGAGGAGTCGAACTCGTGAATAAATGTACTCAGGATGTAGGCGGTGGTATTTTAATGATAGGAATAGGGCGCATGTCGTCGTTCCAATTACATAGTCGGCGGGTATGTCTGCATATTCCCAGGGCAGGAGTTTGATGTGGTTCAGAATAGGATTGCCCTTCTGTCGTGTGGACACTAGGATCGATGACGGGCCAGATCGCTGAGGGAGTGCTTGTGGTTTTGGTTGCTGAACCTTGGGTTGCTGGGATGTCGAAGATGATGCATTTTGGTCGGAGGGGTTAGAATTGACACCACCCTCATTTTGGGACTGCGCCCGCGATTCTGAAGCAGATCGAGAATCCATGATGGAAACTGGGATGTGATGCATGTGCCTTTTCGATAAGTAGAGGTGATAAAGATGGGAGCTTCTTATCGGGGGCCAGGGCTAATACTAGTCTAGTATTAGCTCCACATGGAGACGGGTGTTCAAATCCCCCTCTGGGCGTTTCTTTTTTTCCACTTATCTGAACTCACCGCTTCACCGCCTTCACCGCCGTATTTTTTCTGCCGCGGATTTTTGAATCCAGAAAAAAAAAAGGTGATGAGTTCTGCAACTCTCATCCATAACCACAACATGGCGGAGTTAAATACGGAACGACCTCTCTCAGAGGAGGCCTCCTCTCCGGTCGCCGATACGAAAACTACCGATAGGAAACCGAAGGTCTCCAAGATCGATGCCAACGCGGACCCGAAGGCGCCAAAGCGAACCCTCTTCGTTCGATCTTTACCTCTCTCGGCCACTACTGAGAGCTTGGCTGAACACTTCTCCCAATCATACGTGATCAAGCATGCCACTGTTATCACTGACCCGCAGACCAAGAAGTCGAAAGGTTTTGGTTTCGTGACATTCGCCGATCTCGAGGACGCCGAAAGTGCCTTGAAAGAGTTGAACGGATCCGACTTTGGTGGAAAAAAGATTCGAGTCGACTACGCCCAGGCACGTCACCGTGAAATCGACGAAAAACTCGGCAAGAGCATTCCGTCCGCTGCTGCTATCAAGTCGAAGCAAGACCGAGAAGATGAAAGAGCGCAGAACCAGCCTCCGAAATTGATCGTACGAAATCTGCCTTGGAGCATCAAAGAGCCGAGTGACTTGGCCCTCCTTTTCCGTAGTTTCGGAAAGGTCAAGTTTGCGACTCTCCCCAAGCGCGGAACTACACTTGCTGGTTTCGGTTTCGTTGTTATCCGTGGTAAAAAGAACGCTGAGAAGGCCCTTGCGACAGTGAACGGCAAGGAAGTGGATGGTCGAACTTTGGCTGTCGATTGGGCCGTCGAGAAGGAAGAATGGGAAAACACAAAACAGGAAGAGGAGAAGAAGGAGGAGGATGAGGAGGAGAAAGAAGAGGAATCTGGTGATGCCGATGTGAAGAACGATGAGGAAATTTCCGTAGATGCCTCCGGAGACGAAGATTCCTCCAATGAGGATGACGATGAGGATGACCTTGAAGATCTGGAGGACGAAGATGTGGAAATGGGAGATGACGATGAAGAAGAGAAGGAAGACGACCGCAATGCTTCTACCATTTTCCTGCGCAACCTGCCCTTCACTTGTGACGACGAGGCACTCTACGAGCACTTCAAACAATTCGGAAATTTAAGATATGCTCGAATTGTGGTAGACCACGAGACAGAGCGGCCTCGTGGAACTGGATTCGTTTGTTTCTGGAAGGCGGAAGATGCAGCAAACTGTGTACGCGGTGCTCCCCGAACCCACGAGCCCCAGCCCGACCCCAAAGAACGCAAGAACCCAGCAATGAAGCACTCTGTCCTGCAAAACGAAAACTCGGACCCAACTGGACGATACACATTGGACGGACGTGTGTTGCAGGTTGCCCGTGCTGTGAACAAGCGGGAAGCTACACGATTGGAGGAAGAAGGTGTGTCACACCGTCTTGTGCGTGACAAGGATAAGAGACGTCTTTACCTTCTGTCGGAGGGTACCATCTCCAAGGATTCTCCCCTGTACAAGAAATTATCTCCTTCGGAGATCAAGTTGCGCGAGGAGAGCTACAAGCAGCGAGAGGGTTTCATCAAGAAGAACCCTGCACTTCATCTCAGTCTTTGCCGTCTTTCTATCCGTAACATTCCCCGACACATCACATCAAAGGACTTGAAGCAGCTTGCTCGTGAAGCTGTTGTTGGATTCGCTACCGAAGTCAAGAAGGAACTGCGTCAACCCTTGTCCAAGGAGGAGGTTCTTCGATCCGCCGATACCATGAAGGAACTGGAGCAGTTGAGAAAGACAAAGCAAGTTGGTATTGTACGACAAGCCATGATTGTCTACGAAACCCGTGAGGGTACCAAGGTCCCAGAGAAGGGCGGTGGTGGTCGTAGCCGTGGTTACGGTTTCATCGAGTACTATACTCATCGTCATGCTCTTATGGGTCTGCGATGGCTCAACTGTCACCCTATTGAGATTCCTGTCAGCGCTCAAACAGATGGTGAGAAGGACAAGAAGAAGCGATTGGTGGTTGAGTTCGCCATTGAGAACGCTCAGGTCATTAAGCGCCGCCAGGAATTGCAAGAGAAGAAGGAGAAGGAGAAGGAGGAGAAATTGAAGCAAAAGGAAGAGAAGGAGAATGAGGCGAAGGGTGAAAAGAGGAAGCGTCCTGAGTCTGGAGCCAAGGACGACGCTGAGGAGGCAGAGGAGGAGAACAAGCTTGCGAAGCGCAACCGCATTATTGCTAAAAAGCGAGCACAGCGCAAGGGTCGCCGGGGTTAAAGTGTGAAGATGATGTCTTTCTTTCTTTGTTAAATCATGTACAGAGCAGGCAAATGCCCCATATATTATTCCTGTCTTCGATGGCGCACTCTATCTTTTCATGTCTCATTGTTGGATACCAAACATTTTGGAAATAAAAGCATTTTTATGAAATTGACTATTGGTTTAAGATTCCGATCCTCGATACTTCGGGTATATCCCATACAATTGATAACGTGAGGCTATTACAAGTCCTGCTAAGTGGTATCTGTCTCCTTCCAATTCGTAAAGAAATCGTCATAAGCAACTTTTGAAGAAAAATCCCCCCCTTACTCAGAAGTTCGTAGCGCCCTCCACCTTTCCAACGATGTTATACCGCTTACTGAAGAAGGTGAACCATTCATCCAAAACAGTCTTCTCCTTGTCATCCAAGTCATGCCATTCAGGTACACAATCTTCAGCCTTCAGGGAGGATTTAGCGAGAGCGCGCGAGGAATCCTTGCCAACGAAAACTAAAATGTCACAATCATGTCAGTACCGCTACCTCGGCGCACGCAAACAGGATACCCCACATCCGCGCAGGACCCTTTGCGACTGAAGCATTCAGAACCAATACTTACCGCGATATTGACCAGAAGACCCGTAGGCTGCATTACGGGACACATCGAAAACGATCCCCTTGATAGCAACTAAAGTTGGGCGATTGGGATCGGTACCTGTAACGATGTAGCGTGAGTTTCGGAGCGCATGCGGGAAATAGCGAACCTCGGAAGTAGGTGGGGAGCTTTATTACCGTCGCATTTGGCCAATTCCTCTTGAGAGATTGGGTCATCTTTTGGAGGGTCCAGCTCGACTGGAACCTTGGGAGTAAAGCCCTTGGATTGGGCGGCCTCTTCGGTCATTTTGTGGTTGTTGGGGGGTTTGTTAAGATTAAGATGCAAGCCGAGGAATTATAAGGGCCGTGGGGCAAGCGGGGTTCGGGGCATAACCGATTGCTTACGAAGGCGGCACTCTGATTGCACAGATGGCATTAAGATTAAGTCCAACTTAGATTCAGCAAATAAAGCATATGGGACGATTTTTACATAGATTATCTCAAGTTTGATAATGATACTTAATGTCTTTAAGCCGTCATAATGTCAATCTCTACGAAGGTGAGGCTACAATTTATTCATTGGAAGACTCGGATTCAGGTATAGTAGAGCTTTCTCCGTTACATGTGAATATGTAAACTGGTTCAAGTTTTGGTCTTGTCTTAGCTTGACGATAGAAAGCAACCTTGAATTTATAAGAAAGTATTCCTACCTCTGAGAGATGGAAGCAAAAGTCAAATAGACAATGAAATAGAGTCTATAATTTCTTTAATCCTCCATATACGTATCTTGCACGCTAGATAGGCTAGACGAAATCCAACCCAACTATCTCCATTAAAACATTCTTCTCAAAACCTATTCCCACTGCTGCCCCAACTCCAAAATAATTTTGGTTAGGTCCTCGGGGTTGGATAGCTGCGCGCTATGACCACTAGCTATCTCGCGGGTGATCCACTCTACTCCAGTAGCCTGAACCATAGCAACCTGCGCCTCGTAGGGAACAGCATGATCATTAAGCGTATATATATAGGCGACGCGGCCACGGAAAGCATCAGTGTGCCAGCTGGCCTCGGGGCAGGGGCTTGAAAATGAAGTCAAACCCTGACTAAGGGAGCCTTTGGTTACAGCCTCGGCAAGTATAGGCTCCAGGTCGTAGAAGAGATGGGGTGTTGGATCGTCGCATTTAAGAAGATTTTCCTTCTCCTATAGATATCGAAAACGGTGGTTAGTTCGAAGGTTTCATATTCCCAAAGATAAAGGTCATATAAGGGTAATATACATACATCGATGTACATATGAGGAGGTATATGGCCCCCAAATCCATCAATGACACTCAAACCATCTCCGCCTTTAGGCAGAATGGATGCAAGAAAGATTTGCCCTAGAACTGAGGTACTTTTACCCTCAGCGGCTCGGTCAGCCGGACCAAGGCCTCGAGCAGCTGCGCTCGCGGGCATACCACTGTATGAATGACTGATTATAATCACATCGTGATTGCCAACATCCAGCATAGGCAATAGTAGCCTATTACGGACGTAATCAGCATCATCTTGAGCGGTCACGGCTTCTTGAGCACCAATGCTGGGGAGTATGCCGGTAGAAGCTGCGTAGCCAGCCGACTGGATGAGATGGAGAAGGTAGCCATATTGTGCCGGGTTCTGAGAGCCACCGGGCACGAGGACGAAGGCGGGCTTTTTCTTTTCGGTAGAGGCTGACATTATGGCCTTTTGCACGGAATGAAGCGATGAAATAATAATGACAGTGATAGATGGAATGAAGAGGGGATATGGAGAGTTTTTATCTAAGAAGAGGGGAGCCTTGTATGGATATTTCTAACCCCATCTACACCCCTGACAGACATGGGCGTTTTAGCGCCTGTGCCTTTGTATAATGATCTAGTGGAGTTCAAGATTGGGAATGGGTCAGGGCCTCGCACTTCATACTGTACATAGCCTGGTAGGATCCTTAGGTGACGTAGTCCGCTTTTTTATCTGCCTAAAGCACCACACCACTTTTTCAACACTACAACACTACAACACTTCCTGAAATCTTTCGGTACATGATCTCTGATCATACATTCGTGAATATGTCTTCTTCTCAAAGCACTACACAGCCCATCTCCCATGACAGCTATGCTCCTGGACATTCTGGTGCCCGACGAGACTCCACAGATCCCGAAGTGATCCACCACCTCTACTTCGAAGACAACGATAGCTTCTTTCCACCAAGCTGGGTAGGGAAGGAGGGCGAACGACGTCCGTCAACTGACAGTGTAACGAGTCAAGAACCCAAAGCTGAACCCAACACTACAGCGAGCCCCGAGCATGCCGGTTAAGCGTCAATATCAAAGACACCCCGGGGAGAGGAAGGGGCTTTGATTTGTCCGTTATCCGTTGTCCGGTGTATTATCATGACTCGTTCAAAGTTTATCTACGTGCACTGTTGTATTTCTTTAACCGGCTATTTATTCCAATAATGAAACGCTACGCCAACTTGAATGTTTAGTAGATGTCCAGGCAATGCCAACATGCTAGATTGATCTTAAATTATATATACATACATCTCCACCGGTACTTAAAACACCGCTTCCATTATTTCTGCTCTTCCGCAGCCCTAGCAGCCTTAACCGCCTCAAGGCGCTGCTTGTTCCGCTTCCCTAATATCCGCAGAGTATTCTTGCGTTCAATTTCCGCCATATTCTCCCAATTTGAGATCCGCGAGAGCGACCCATCCTTATTAACGACCATCGGTCCCAAATGATCCAACGTAACTGTCGAGCCGCCTTCGGCACTAAGATCCAGCTGGTGTGACTGGTCTGCGGTCTCGCGGGAAGGAAGGTAGAGCTGCTCGGAGGGCTGTTTAGAGGCCTCGTCTTGGGGCTGGGACTCTGTGGAGCCCTGTTTCTCTTTTGAAGGGTCTGATGAGGACATTGTGTGTGCTTGACGAGTTTGGTCGAGGGGTTTGAAGGGAGATGCGCACTGGGGGAAGAGGACACTGTGCAGTCGGGTATTGGCGTTATGAGCTTGGGAGATGTACGAAGCGGTGTTCAGAACGCTGGTGCTTGAGACAGCAGCACGGGCGAAAATTGGGTTGAATGTCAAGTGGAGGAGAGCGGCGCGGTAGACAGGGCGCGAGAGCTGCATGGCGAGGGTAGGAGAATGGGCTGCGATGCGGGAGGTGGAGTTCATGAAATAAAGAAAATCGGGTGGAGCCAGGATGATTCTGGAACGTGCGGATCTACGCGAACGCTTACTATGGGGCATCACCATTTCAACAGCCTTCACAACTATTTATTCAGCTATAAGATTGTGTTTTTTAAAGTCTCGGTTACAAAACACCCAGTAATATCTTGATATGGAATCTAGTAGATCATCTTTGGAACCTACATCAACCAGTATTTTATATATGATGCGCAACAAGCTTAATTTCTATACAGTTCACATGCCAGTATCATATACTGAGTTATGAAATGTTAGCGAAAATTTATCGAAACCACCAATTAACCTGATCGAATTTGTTAGTGACGAGTCTTCGAAGCTATACGCTTCAAACTTACCGAGGCAGTAACACCCTCCCCGACTCCCTTGATACTATGCCACCAGCCCTTGGGTATAAACAATCCGTCGCCAGCTTCCAAATGCGCTTCATAGCGATGACACTCGCCTGTTGAGCCACTAGACGCCGGAGCTCCCCACACCATCTCATCCAACAAGGCTCGCTCTCGACCTTGCATCATCTCTTCACCTCGAAATGCCGCTGCCTCTCGTCCACCACTTTTACCCAGTTCTGCTCGCACAGCGGAAAATAGTGCCTGGCCTTTCGAAGGTTCCAAGAGCCTTACCACCTTTCTTCCTGCCAATTGCACAAACAGATTGGGGTTGGGATCGCGATGGAGCGGTGTATAGGTAGGCGGGTGACCGATCCATACATTTGTATCGTAAACATCTCCCTTTCCGCCTTTGGAAACAATATCCGGTGTTGAAAAGTCTTCCCGTAGAGTTATAGGAAGGTCAACGAGCTGACATTGTGCTAAATAAAGTCGGCTCGATTGAGGAGTAGTTTCTGCAAGGAGCATCCAGTCCAAGAACAGGGTGAGCGGCGCATGGAACTGTCGGAAGGTCAGAGCGTCTGTTGTGTCTGGGGGTGATCCTGCACCGCTGGAACTGGGGACTTGTCTGTCCTTTTCCGTGAGTTCGAGCGGGACAAACGCGTCGGCGGCGTGGGCCTGCAGATATTTCACGTTCAAGCGAGTTGCGACCGTCGGAGAGTTGTCATTCTCGAACCAGTTCTTCAGCGCGGGTAGGTCGCGGAATTGGGATCGCGGGAGTAAGCCGGGCTGTTCGGGATTGAAGCACTGCTTGCGGAAAGTGTCGACTTGGCCATCTTCGAGGGGTTCGAGGGTTCGGTATGGAGAGGTTGTCGACACGGAGAACGGGCGCGCGCTATAGCTCTTGTGGATGGCGTTAAGGGGAATAGGATTGTGAGATTTGTGTATCCACTTGGTGATATGAGCTGGCCATGACTGGAACTTCATTCAGACTCCCGGGAGAAGTAGAGATGAAAAATAATGGGCTTGAAAGTTCAGGGATGACAGAATATGATGTCGCGAGTGGATATCGGATATCGGGTCGCAGGGACCCACTCCCAGGCGCTGGCACGGGCATGTGTGACAGGATTCTCAATCCCTGCAGCTCTCGTCCAATCTATGTGCTTGTCTACGAGCTAAACAGCTATAAAGTATCTGCCATTATTTTAGAGGAACGGCAGTGGATCTAAATCCGCAGGATGTTCGATCCTTCTTTTGCTGACCAAACCTGTTCAATGATGGTGTGTATAGTAAGTTGTACATGGGCCCATAGATTATGCTTTGTGTATTATTCGGGGATAAATTAATTATCGATTGTATCAATATTCACAAGTGGAAACTTTATGAGAACCACGCTATGATCTTGATCGCCCCCTCTTTTTTGCTGAAGACCCCGGGGCCGATCCCTTGGTTATACGACTTTTTACCGAGGTCGCGTACATTTCATAAACTCCACCTTGCAAACCTTGGAAGCATGTTGAGTTATAAAACATGTGGTTCCTTTCCTTCTGTTATTTTTGAGCAGTTCGATCCTGTCATTTCTGTGGTTGTACTGCATGAATCATTTTGGTGTGACCCCTAATCTACAGCGAATGATACCTTAATTCGTCTTATTATATCTCAGGACTTGACGACCTCGGTCTTCGGCGGATTTCACAATCCGTAGAAAGCTCTATAACAGCTACTCATCCAATTAATTTCGTACTCCTTGGCTTTTGGGAACAATGCCTTCCTTCGCGAAGATCCATAGGCGCCATGGCTATGGTAAAGATGCGCATACCTATTATCCAGTGCTCATTGTTGGCGCTGGAGAATCAGGGGTAGCAATGGGCTGCCGTTTGAAAGAGGTCCTTGGTACAGATCAATTTCGAATTTTTGATCGTCAGTCAGGTATTGGGGGAACTTGGTGGATAAACAGATATCCAGGCGCTGCATGCGATATGTAGGTATCTATACTCCCACGTGGCTATTATCACGAATTGAAAGACCATGTTGCAACTGACACGACTATACTCTAGCCCCGCAGTATTGTACTGTTTTTCTTTTGCTCCCAAAGCAGACTGGTCAACTATACATCCACCAGCTCAAGAAATCTCACAATACCTCGCAGATGTCTGTGAGAAGTATGAGATTGTCGACAAGATTCAATTCCACACCGACGTCAAGCAAATCCGGTGGGTGGAAGAAGATGAGGAATGGGAAGTTATTTTATCTCATTTGGTTCCTGGTACTGGGGATCTCGCACAACATGAACGTGATGAGCTTGCTGAAAAGGAGGGCTCTCATCACGTATACATCAAAAACGAGATGGTACGGGCCAAGGTTGTTGTCAGTGGTGTCGGGGGCCTAGTAGAGCCCAGAGTTTGGCCAAATGACATCCCTGGAATTGATGAATTTGAGGGCGAGATCACACATACGGCTCGATGGAACAGCGACATTGATTTCAAGGATAAGAATGTCATTGTCCTTGGCTCGGGCTGCAGTGCAGCACAAGTCGTCCCGGAATTAGCCAAGAAGGAAGCCAACGTTCGCTCTATCACCCAACTTATGCGGACTGCCCCCTGGGTGCAGCCAGATCTTTTAACCCCCGATCAACTTCGCTTCTGGGAGACAAAGATGCCAAAATTGATGCGTAATATTCCTGGTCTAGGCTGGTTTGCTCGCAACTACGTGTTTTGGCGAGCCGAGGGAAACTGGTTCTCCATGTTCACCGACACAGACTACAGCCGAAAATGGCGACCGCGGATCCAGAAGCGATTTCTGGACGGGATGCTCACCTGTGCACCTGAGGAGTATCATGAGATACTTACTCCAAATTACAATCTTGGGTGCAAGCGTCGCATCGTCGAGGGCGTTTGGTACCGGAGTCTTAATGCACCAAATGTGGAGCTTACAACACAACCTTTGACCCGAGTGCATTCCAGGAGTGTTACTTTAGGACCTGGAAGTTATCTTAAATCTAGCAAAGACGATTCGGGTGGCGAGGCTAGGGATCTTCCCGTAGACGTGATTGTCCTCGGCAACGGATTCGAAACCAATAAATGGCTACACCCACTCAAGGTCCTTGGGAGGGAAAACAAGAGTTTACAGGATATCTGGGATGAACGGGGAGGTGCACAAGCATATCTTGGAATTGCAATGGACCACTGTCCCAACTTCTTCATGGTCCATGGTCCCAACACAGCAACAGGCCATTCGAGTGTGATTTTCGCATCGGAGAATGCGGTGAACTATTCCTTGAAGTTCATTAAGAATATCTTAAGTGGAGAGGTCAGCTCGTACGAGATCAAAGAGGACGCCGAAAGAACATGGGCACAGCAAGTGCAGGATCAGCTCCAGAAAACTGTCTTCAAACGTGGAGGTTGTTCAAGTTGGTATATTACCGAAAATGGATGGAACTCATCCACATACCCGTAAGTATAATATTTATCTTCCTTCTACCTATTACTGATACATTGTTTAGTTACTCCCAACTCCATTATTGGTATCGGTGTACTTTCCCGGTGTGGCGGGATTGGTCGGCAAAGCTGACTCGGAGAGGATTGGTGGCAGGGCGAGCTCGCAAGCTGACCCGGCTATCTGTACTTCTGGGGATTTTAGGTGGATTTGCTTGGCTAAGGAGGAGCCCAGAGCGTGTGGCTCAAGTTGTGCAGTTTTTCTTCACAGCCAGAGATAGGGTTTCACTAGTATATACTCTGTGACGTGGGTAGCGCCCACCTGTTCAGTTCCTCTGAACCACCAAAGTCCAAAATCGAGAATGGTAATATTTGAAAGTTTTCGAGTCAGTCTCTCTTCTTCTGAAGAAGACCGAAACTGTCTATCTTAAGCTACGAACCACTAGACTCAGGCTTTCGTCACTACAAATCGATAGGAGCTTTCTTATCATCTTATTAATTTTGATACATTGCCGTACTACAATAAAACATATAGAGCCTAACAACCCAGTTAATTATTGGCTTCACACACGATTATATACCTAGCCAGTCTTGAAAGAAGATATCACGGCTACAGAGGTAGGCGCAGGAGTAGACGAAGGAGAAGGAGAAGGAGAAGGAGAAGGAGAAGGCCAAATTGGGTAAATGATAGAATATGGAATTACGTAGCAAGTACTACATGCACACCTACTAGATAGCGCTTCTCTTATGATCAGTGGCCCTTATATCTCACTTCTAAATATAATCAGAAGAAGAAGAAAATAGGGAAAGCGATAAAGGTATTGTTTAGTTTAAGAAGAGAAAATTATATAAATATTTGAAAATACAAAACTTAAACAGAAGTTTTATAAGAGAAGAAATTTGAAAAAAGAAGATCCAGTAGGGGGTGTTACGAATCAAGCCTTACTATATAAAGCGCGATCAAATACTAGGTCTTTCAATCTAGTTTCTAAGTCTTTTGCCCTAGTTGCAGAGGCTGCTACTTGGAATGATCCCCATTTGACATGTCCTTGACAGGGAAAATCGAACCCCCGGCTGCTATGTGAGAGAGCGATGTTAGTCACTACACCATACCGAACTAGTGTATATAAGTAGTTAACGTGATTTGTGCGTACATAAGCCTCAACTCAAAATTAGCTGCTCAGATCTGAATCTCAATCTATTATAGAGTAGATGTTACGGCATATATGCATGTTGATATTCCAAAGGAATAATCATAATGAAGATTACGAGATTGAAGAAGTTAATGATGAAGAAACTTTCGAAGGAGAAATATACTTCCTAATCAAATAGAAAAACTGGCCATCAGAATATAATCAATGGGTCCTTGAATCGGAAATGTTTGCCGCAAGATTGGCTATTAAAGACTACCGGGAAAAGAAGAAGAAAAATTAAAAACTTTAACTGTATGGATAAAAATAAATCATCGAAGAATACCCATTTACTCTTGAAATCACCCTTGTGATCACATTAATACGTCTAAAGACTTAAAGAGACACACAATGAAATCAATGCGTTTAGCCTCTTCCGTCTGATTGCCCATATCCCCTATGAAAAGAGGAGGCACCCAAGCAGTCTCACACGCATCAATCAACTCGCCAATGAAGGCCTTTTTGGCAACGGACCACGCGACATAACCAGAGTCACAAAGATCTAAATGCTGAGCAAGCTCACGCGAAGCTGCCGGATAACCTGTAGGCGTAGCCTGCCATCCGTGAGAAGAAGAGAGATCTGGCTCGCACGTCGGCGCTCGAGGAACTCGTTGTATCGACCTAAGGCACCCTACCGAAACGTTAGTGAAATGTGGTTGGAAACCTCGTCCTAGAACTGATTACCGCATGTCTTTTGATCGCCCCTGTCAGGTGCCACGCGGTACGGTGGGCTTTCTCCACCTAGTCGAACATATTGGCCAAACGAGCCACAGCTTCACCCACTTCTCTGCGAAAAATATCGTCCTCCCAATTCAACTTATACTCAGAGCCAGAGTGAGGAACATAGAATACATCGCGGACGGTGTTAATGATTTCGTTAAGATCATCGCGATCTCCCTGCATACCATTCGCAACCTGCAACGATTCGTTAGTGAAAGGCTATTGAAGCATATCTCCTAGGGCCACCTACTTGGCAGCATATTGAATTCCCGCCGGCGCAATGTTGACAAGATAGGGCGCCTGCGGCATCCCAAACACAGGTGACCTGGAAAGGCTCTCCCTGTGTAGAATCAAAATCCTTTACGTCCACCCGCAAGCAAGTCATACACCATTCATAGTGTATTAGCTGTATGATTGGCCGGATAATACGAGGCATTTGAAAGAAGGCTAAAGTTGCTGAAACCTTAATGAATTGAAAAAATATGTGCGAGAACAAGAAGAAGGCTGCGCGCATCTTATTTATCAGCAAAAAAAAACACTCCCTGTCAAACATCATCCATCTTGCCTTTGAATGCCTCCTATGGATATCGTTTTCCGGGTGACTCATACTCTTTGTGTGCACCTTTGTTTACACATCTTTCCGTTGTCTTTTACATGCCTATTCGGTATGTGTCTCTTTCATGAGCTGCGGACAGCTCTTTGAAAAGAAGGGGAATAATTGTTACGGCATATATGTATATTGATATTCCAAAGGAATGATCGAAGAACGGACAAATGAATTACCGAGGGTTCCAGTCCTGGATCCCTCAAGTGAGGCACACGAACCGTGGTTGATATAAAATGTATGGATGCTTGGAAGTAGTAGTCTTCCAAGGATTAGTTTCTGTACGGATTTCATCAAGAAGAACTCTATCCAATATCATCACTCTTTACCTGCCTAACCCTTTGACGTCAACCTTAACAGTAGATAAGACTTGAGTCCGATCCAACTCCATTACTATACCTCCTCGTATGTAACTTAGTTGACTTCATCATTTATCTCAACCTATCCTTAGTTAATAATAACAATAACAGTCAAGGCTGCATAAAACTAAAACTCTCATCAAAGAAAGAGTTCTGTAATCTCCACACGACCGATGTAGATAATAGTGGGTATGTTCCAACCAGAGGCCGAGAAATGAGATGAGTAATCCACGAATCTGGGGAAAGCGGCAAACCCCGCGAGGAATTTCTCCGCACTTTGTCGCTACCATTATCCTTCAGTTCTTGTCCCCAGTGGCTTTGTTTCTGCCTGATATGGCTTCAGAGTCACCTCAAATTGAACGGACACCGCCGCAGACAGGCTCCGGCGATCAGGAGACTACTCCGGGTCCAGAATCGGCAAAGAGAAAGGCGGAACAGGGCAACGGAACTCAGACGCGCGCAAAGCGGAATCGTTATATCTCAATCGCTTGGTATGCAATGGCCTGATTTCTGCATGATCTGACTCTTCACTTCCCCGGCATTTAACTCATTCCGGGGTTCCGAGAGGCATGCATACAAGCACAGATGCATCATGCCACTTTGTCTTTCTTCCCTTTGCTTTCCGCGATGGAAAATAGGTTTCCCGCAATCGGCTGACAAGTCTTTCATTATAGTAATGAATGCAAGCGGCGCAAGATTAAATGCAATGGCCAAGTGCCGTGTCAACGATGCGGACATCTCAATCTGGAATGTATGAACTCCTTCATCTCCGAGACGATTGCCGAGTGCGTGTGATGCGTTCCGCAGTCCGCAGTCCGCAGCTTAGCTTTCACTTTTGGATCCCGATTCTTTTGCTGACTTGACCTGAAGGTCGATATGCACCGAACTGCTGCAATAATAATTTCAAGGACTCTGAGTATGTTGCCGTGTCCACTGACAAGCCGATGCCCTCCAATACTAAACTCTTTGCAGCGAGTTCCGGTCGATGACCTCCCAAATAACAACGCTACAGGAACAAGTTAACAATCTGTTTACCAACCTCAATGAACTGCGCACATCAAAGTCAACTTTCGAGTCACCTATCTTTGATCACTTGTCTCGAGATGGCTCCCAGCCTGTATTCACCCCAATGCCTCAGGGCATACCGAAAGCTCGGTCCCGGCATCCGCGCTTCCATGGTCCAACAAGCTCAGCTTTCAACTTTGATGTTGCCAAATCAAGCCTTCAGAGTATGGGAATTAATCCAGTTGAAGATGGAATACCCGACGACTTGACAACCGCACATGTCACACCCGCTGGTTCTCCACCTCCGCTTGTCCCTACTATCCACCCAACCAAAGATCCTATCTGGTCAATCAGTCGGGATGAGGCTATACGTTTATGCAAAGTTTATGAGGAAGAGATTGGCATAATGTATCCTCTGGTGGAGATCAGTATGGTAACCAATCAGGCTACTCTTCTATACACATTCATGGAGGCTGCCACGCGTACAGGATTTGCCCAGCGTGGTCTTCCTGGGCCCGACAGCCTTCATGACGACAGTTCACTTCTGCTCAAGCTTATTCTCGCGACAACGTTGATCGTTGAAGGAGGTGGGGAGAGTGAACTCGGTCAGCGATTATACTTGAGTATCAAGCCCGTGATCGAGTCTAAACTATGGGAGCCCCACGGCATCAAGAATATCCAACTCTTTGCAATTGTGGTAAGTCTGGACAAAGTTATGTGTCTCTTATGAGGACTGCTTTAACCTTGAGTCGATAATAGGCAACATATCATTTTCATACCGACGACGACGCCATGGCCTACCGACTGATCGGCTTAGCTGCGCGCATGTGTTTAGAGATGGGTCTCCATCGCCGCGATGCTTTAATGAAATTGTTCCCGAACGAAAATCAGTGGGAAGAAGTTACTAGAGTCTTCTGGACTGTGTACAGCTTGGATCGGCGGTGGAGTTTTGGCACCGGGTTACCATTTGTGATTCAAGATGAAGATATCGATCCGACCCTGCCGGAACCTGTAAGGAACACTAGTCTATTGATGACCTGGATTTCATTTGACTAACTTTTGGGGCTATCAGGACACTTCTTTGTTATACCTGCGCTGCATGATTTCATACAATCGGATCAGTTCCAAAATCTGGTATTCTGGCCTTGGCTCAGAAGGGACAACTGATATTCGACGAGATGAAATCGGCTACCTGGACTATCAAGTCCTGCAGTGGTACAAGCAGGTACCCGATGAACTGAAGTTCTATCCAGTTGAATCTCCTAAAAATGGAGAATCAGCAAGCCGAGGCATGCGGCGTCTCAGAGTTCTCTTGTACCTGCGAATGAACCAACTCCGAATTTTAATCTATCGTCCAGTCCTTCACTCAGCGGCAAGCATTTTAGAGGACCGCGCCCATGCTCAGACTGTGGTAGACATCGCCAAAGACACGGTTCGAGTGCTCACGCGACTCAATCAGATGTCTGATATCTACCGCACCCAGCAAATCACTTTTAACTACTTTCTTGTTGCTGCTTTGGCAGTACTATTTCTCGCTGTGTGCCATACGCCTTCTGATTTTAATCGCCAAGTACGAGACGAGTTTTATATGGCCTTGGATCTAATCAACGGCTTTAGCACCAAGTCCTATGTTTCGAAGCGCTTGTGGAAGACCATTAAGGGTCTTCGAAAGATTGGGGAAAGACTGGGCGTTTTTGCTCGTCCATTTGGTACTGATTCCAGCGATCCACACTCTAGTGCTGCGGTAGCTATGGCAGGTCTAGCCGGGCATTCAATCGATGACTTGGGTGTATATGGGGCAATGAACGGGGTTGACGAGCTAGGTAACAGTCCACTAAATGGTCTTCAAATGAGTCACGAGTTGACAAACTTGTTTGAGGCTGTCGGCTCATTTGGTAACTTCGTTTCAACCGGCCATGGAGTTGAAGGGATGAATGGATTTGGCGCGGACGGAGAAATCCAAAATACTGGCGAAGGACTCTCTGGAATCCTCGGAGGCGAAGAGGATTTTTCTCGCATCATTCGAGAATTATTTTAATGAAGAGAACCTGAAATTTTAGATCTAGGAAGAGTCAGGACAAAAATATCGGTAAAAAATGACATGTAGACTGTATATACTACACATATAAATCTGGGTGGCAGAATAGATATGTCCCTCGGTCTCGAAGAATTAGACTCCTGCACGTGACTTCAACATCCCACCTCAACTGAGCTTTCATCATATCGTTTAACCCCTCCTCGTCGAAGTTGCCTGGTGCTACATAGGGTCATATGAACCATCACGATTGCAGTGCTAGAATCTGCGTCTTTTTGCAACAAGCGGCTTCTCCCACCGCCCCAGCCTAACGTTCCCAGGACTTGATCTCAGTTCAACAAAGTACCACCTTAAAACAGGTGGGTCATAAACATTTATGTGCTGTGGCCCGATATCTGGATGACCATCTCTTTCCCCTGGTATGTGATATAGTTAAAAAATTGTCCTTGCTTCTTTGAATTGATTCGGGACTGATAAGATTTTGGTGGGGCCAGCTAAGATACGACGTTCTTGACTTGGATCGCACAACCTCCCCTCCCGCACAGTGCTATGAACCTTCGGCATTTCCACCAAGACTCCACCTAACTGTCTTCAATCTGAAGACAGGCCACTCTACCACATTCGCCGACTTTACTCCCTCGACTACTAGGGAACCCTGCACCTTTTTTATCCCCCTCGAGCGAACCCCTCTCCCGCCTGTCTCCACATATCAAACGTTGATCCCTCCCGCCCACGGCTGCTCTACCCAACCCCCTCGCAAATTCGAGTGACGGGGTTGCTGCGCTGTCGTCGCCTTTCTTTCGTGTTCCTCCCACAATCTCGGCAACGTGTCGAGAGAGACAGGTTCGGCGTTGGCCGACGGCCTGGACAGGCTGGATTTGAGTCAACTGTCTGAATCAACCCTTTCCTCATCCGTGTCCGCTTCTTTCGATATGTCGTCGTCGGAGGGTGCCCCGGAGTCATGGATCTCCTCATTCTGCTCACTTATGGGTCATGAATTCTTTGCGGAGGTATCGGAGGATTTCATTGAGGATGACTTCAACCTGACGGGTCTGCAGTCGCAGGTGCCCATGTACAAGGAGGCGTTGGAGATGATTCTCGATGTCGAACCTGAAGATGATGAAGATGAGGAAGAAGAGGAAGAGGAGGAGGAAGACGAGGATGATGTTCTGGGTGATGACCGACCATTGGGATACCGGAGGGCTGGCGATCGCCGACACGCGCGCGTGGCCAGTGATTTGAGTGTCATCGAGAGCTCTGCGGAACTTCTGTACGGTCTTATCCACCAGCGTTATATTACTTCGCGACCCGGTATTCAACAAATGCTCGAAAAGTACGAAATGCAGCACTTTGGAGTATGCCCGCGCGTCAATTGTAATGGATGCAAGGTTCTACCTGTCGGCCGATCTGATACCCCCGGCCAAGAAACTGTGAAGCTATTCTGCCCTGGCTGCATGGATATCTATACCCCGCCAAACAGCCGTTTTCATTCCGTTGATGGAGCATTCTTTGGAACAACATTTGGATGCCTGTTCTTCATGACTTTCCCAGATCTTGACATAGGACCACGCTTAGATTCCTCACTTTCCAACATGTCACGAAACGCTCCACAGTCTGGAAGCCGAGCTACGACTTCCGAATACGAGCCAGCTACCCCCGAAGACCAGCCCCTTGAGATCAACGGGGTGCACACAAGCAACTTTTGCCCAGGACTTGGGCGCGGAAAACTCTACGACCCGAAAATTTATGGATTCAAGGTTTCTGAGGCTTCGCGCGTGGGTCCCCGTATGAAGTGGCTTCGATTGAAACCTAAAAACATCTACGAACTTGACGAGGCTGGGCAGCACGAACAAGTCCTTGCCCTCCAAGAAGGTGGAAACGCAAACACTCGCACCGAGAAATCTCGTGGTGGAGACAAGGATGGAGACACAGAAATGAACCCTACGCAAAACCAGGACGCGTCGATTGCAAATCGGAAAAAGGCACCTATGCGCCGGAGGCGACTGGGCGACCCTGCCTCAGGTCAAAACGCACAAGCGGAGCTTTAAGTGACGTACAAGTACATATTCATCTCAAAGCAAACGTCGCCCTAGGCCAGGCAAAACAACACGCGACCTGCATCGAAGTGCCATTTGATCAAGTCTACACCCTGGATACAAGATCTCAGTACCGCTCCAAGCAGCGAAGATTAAATGATTTTCCGTCGGGGAAGTACGAAGATGCAGGGAGTTGATGACGACGACACAATGAGCTTGGCCTTTCCTTGCTTTTGTCTGATTGTTCTTTTGAATGGGATATTCTATGCTTTTTAAACTATGATTTTTGGTATATGTCTCTGTGCATCTTCATTCTCCCGAGTCTTTCCAGGGTCATTTCGTGGCGCAAATTTAAGCATCGATTTTTCAATACCTATCTATACCTCAAAGTTTTTTAGAAGCAAAGTTCACATCCTATAGGCATGTGAGCACATTCTATCTTGATTTAAAGTTGTAAGCAATGTATGTAGTACCTAGATACCAGCTGTTTACCTGGAGAATCCCTAGGTACTACTCTCACTATTAAAAGAGACCCCGGAGGCTATCTCTACTGACAGGATTCACCCTAGTAGGATGTCACGGTATAGACGGCCTTATTCCCTTCAAGTTGTCTTTACCCATCCCATAGGTATGTACTAGTATGTATAAATTATCGTGATCTAGGTGGGCGGCCTATAGCATACAAGTAGTACACAGAATGCCAGTGCTGGTACATGTGTACCTACACATGTAGTAGTAGGTAATGCTGCCTGTATCTAGCATATACATATGTACTACTAGTCACTCTCAGGCTGTCTACCTGGGTAGTATTATGTAGATGTTCAAGTTGGTATCGTCTTACCGAAGCACTTCTCGCATAGCGCCCGACCAGAGGGACGCTAGGCTAGACTACAAAGAAGATATTCAACCGATATATATGTGCAGCCTGAGTTACAATGATGAGCTTGGAGCTCAGAAGCTTTCAAGAAATCGCTCCTCTAGTATCAGCTCCACGTATTCAGAAGGCACAAAAATGAAAGATCGTAACAACATTTGAGATTATCGAATCATATGATTCTTATCTACTATATGAGAGACTAATATGGCTCAAAATGTGATATCATATATTTCAAGGTATACCCATGCACCTCTCCATGCAAAGACCATTGGTCAAGAGATTCAACAATATCGCCTTCGTTACAAATCCCATTAGGCAATGAACTAGAACCATCCTAGAATCAACTCATTTAATAAAAGGAGCACGATATACATGGTGGCTTCAACTTGACAAATCTCTTCTATCACAATCTACAATATTCCAAAACAGCCGACGCCCACGTACCTACCCGAGGTCAATGCGATGCCAGATCCAGATCCAAGCGCATGTCATATGGCAAGGATATGTATATGTACATCACTATAGAAATGTAAAAAGGCGCGATGCATTATTTAACCGACATTGTGGTTTGGTATCAACTCGGCCGTAAAGGCGATATCCATAGCTACCGTAGCATGGAGCTACGTAGGGACGCGATTACTGGACGGAATAGGGCGTTAGCCACGTCGTAGTTGCGGTTCTATTTTAAATAATGTACCGAACCTAGCTAGGCAGGTAGTTGAGGTAAACAAAGCGAACCGGAGTTTCGTTTTCGTTCAATCAATAGTACCTACGGAGTAGCTGCGATGGGTATAATTCTGGTTGTTATTATAGATAGTCTGGAATTTGTATGTAGGTCTTGCCACTCTGGGAATGTTGTACCAGGTTTAGGTTCATTATGCAGCTTTGTTTGCATCTCCTCCTCTCTTTGCTCGCGTAAAAAGCCCATGTGCACTTTATTGACTCACCACACATGCGTCATGACGTAGGTGGTGGTCCTAATTCATCTGCCTATCAGAGCTATAGACCAGTAACTATTGATAAAGTTATTATATATATTCAATATAGATCTGGATTTGAGGGGGGGGTATGTCTTAGGTAGGCGTTGTAGGTTGGTATCTATGTATCCACGTGTGCAGCTGAAGAAGGTTTACAAATCCAAGTCCATCAATTTCCACAGAGGCCGAATATACTTACGGACTGGAGCCGAGACGGGACGGGTGTGATCTCCAAACGCGACGCACTTTATGCATCTGTCCCACCTGTCACTGACTCGTGTTTGCTAGTGGATTTCTTGTGCCGTGATTGGTCTGCTCGGATGTCTAATGGCTTGCTAATGTTGTGGCTGGACCCCTGGCCCTTGTCCCTTTAGTCCGAATAGAGGGCCTTCGTTCCCTTCCTTGCATATCATAGACGCCTGGGGAATGTTCCCGACAAATCAACTCATTTACTACTAGGCAAAACACCCACGTCACCAGACTACGTAGGCGAAGGTGCTATCTCAATAAACTCCCTGGGGGCATTTCCCTGATTGGTTAAGTTGGAAATACCCGGGATCGCAATCGTAAGTGTAACATTGTAAATCACATGGACATATTGCAGGGATTTGCCTCTGTGGTGTGCAATTCATTGTCGGTGGGTCTAGTTGTTGAAATATCCCGTACTAGGTTGGTACAGCACGCCTTACCCAGGCACTTTGATAGATACACTAGATGTTATGATTCCAAAGATAGAAATGTCTCGATGATTGATTAAGGTTGAACTTTGTTAACTATAAGTTTAGAATACTAATTGATGACTCAGAACTAAGCGTCTGTCAAACCGCCTTAAACTCGGTTTTTTTACGGCCCTATTTCGAAACACAGCTGGAAACTCCATAGTCAAAGCTGAAGAAGAATTATTTTTAATTATTTTCATTTTTTTTTAAAAAAAAAGACTCAAAAAGTAGAACAATGCAAATCACCATAGAGTATCCATGAATTCTTTTCAATCCTTACGCGATAAAGAAGGCACATAGCGGAGGATCCCGCCGACTCCACTGTTCTGATGTAAAAGTCGGGGCCAAATTCCAACATATTGACAAATTGATCAATTCTGCAGACTTCCCCCCAAACATGATCTGCATTGACCCATGAAACAGGCATGCTTGTTTCAATGCTTCATTCTGGTGTGCTGGGGGGGGGGGCTTTTTTTGGTGCATTCCATCTACATTCCCGAGGACCGTTCTATATTGGGGGCCAACTTTACTACAATTGCCGATCAGACCCCATGAATCATCAGAATGGTGGGGCAACTTAATTGACTCGGTAAACCTACGCAGTGCTTAATCTGATTTGAAGGAATACTTCCAACGTTTCGGCCCCCCTCCGGATTCCCTCGTGGCTTTGCCAGGTTTCGAGCGCTAATTCTACGCTAGAGGATATATGCGTTAGTGTGGATTTGGCGAAGCAAGTCGGGAATCGGGGATTCGGGGGACTTAGTGGCCCCGAGTCTTTGGATGGTGGTTTTCAATTTTATTTTATTTTTTCAATATTTTTTGTACTAAGCACTGGGCTGAACAACCTTGAAGCTGAAGTGAGGCTTGTGTCCCCCCACTCTATGGATATGATGATCTGAAGTCTAAACATGCTCTATTGTTAGAGAGATGATGACGGGATGATGACAGTGGAATGTTTAAGATGTTTCAGGATGCGAATTGCTAACTATATAGGCCACTGCACTAACACTAATATCCACACTAATGTAGTCTTTGCGCGTACATGTGATACATGCATATTGCAAATTACATTGTAGTTCTGCAACTACCACGTTAGCGGGGATATTACTTCCTCTCACAACCATGTGTAATTGATGGACTTGATCGTCTTAAACCCGAATTAGATCATCGCCAATAGTCGCTGGCCTTAGTGGATTCTTTTTTAATTCCATCCTCATGTCAAACTCGGTGGTTGTCCGATAGGCAAGGCTGGCATCAAGCCATCTCGGTAGAAACGGCCCCAACTCCATCCATCTAGGCTTAGTTGAGTTTATTTATCCCTCTCTTTGGTTATTTTTTCTGGTCTGCATTAAGGTTAGCCGATGGATTCTACCCTTTCTGCATACTCTTCAAGTCAGGGGATCTGGGTCACTCCTTGCGCCTGCTGCGCCTGCTATAACCTTTTGGCCCCGGACTCTCTCACACACTAATGTACCTAATAGAAACTGATCCTACCTAAGTACTAACTAACTCTATACCTTGTACAAACTGAGCAAGTCCACTCCGGATTATTTCATCATGATCCTCCTTTGAATTACTAAAAACCCACCCCATACTCCATAACTGTGCATGGCCGTAGTAAACATCCCTGCCGCATCCGTACATGTGGTGATCAACTCCACAACACAAGCCAAGATCTCCTCCGTCTTGACCCTAAAATCAAAACTATGCACGCTAACCGCGAACGGAAAATGAAGACACTCGTCCAAGCCCCACTGACTTGCCCACTTTAAGCCTTTAGCTACAACGTGAATCAGCCCCTATACGGACACGACCTTAGCCTAGCCTCAGCCCTTCCACGCCTTTCCTCCTTGGGCCCGGTGCAATACGGCCGAAGCCTGAGCTACATGCCAATCCCAACCCGGGTGCTTGGGCCACCCGATTGTCTTTGTGCTGTCTTTGCTACAATTCGCGGAGTGTCTCCTCTCCTCCCCATTCTCCATTATGAACCTTCCCCCCTGTCCACTGGGCGCTACCTAAAGACCCCGTGAGAACCAAGTTGTCGGTAACGAACAGAAAGGCGGCATAACGCCCACGCAATTCTTTTTGGTATCTTAAAATAGGAGCGGCTCTATCTACAGCGCGTATACGGGGTAGCCAAGGGTGGCCCTACCGGAACTTCACCAATCCCAGCAGATGGGGTGTAGGGAGAGGGGGAGGATGCACTTGGCTCCCGGGGAGGAAATAGATAGCGACATGCAGCTGTGTTAATTTGTTCAAGTTGATCCGTAAAGACAGTACTTTGTAACTTGGCTCGGTCTCGGTTGGGAAGAACAAAAAAGTTTTCTTGGTTCCTTGGTTCTTTTTTTTAGGTATTTATTTTCTCCGTTGATCTTTGTCGATTGTATAATTATGATGTAGTAAACGGTTGAACGCTTCAAGTTGCTTTTTTATTAATATATTAGTTAGGCTTGCTGTATCCGGATTTTCCTATCTAAATAGACTCTGCCTTGTTTCATTACAGAGGCAAAATAAACATTGGCAGAACCGGGGAAATAGGAGAGATGAGAGAGCTCGCATTATTGCATCATTTTACTTAAAATCGGCTTTCGGGTTTTAGACCATTGTGGCCGAGACCCTACAAAGCCACTAGGCAGCAGAACGCTCTCTACATGTGATTGGCGTCTGGTCTGGGGGGGTGGTGGAAGACAATGGGTTTCTGCAGCGATCACAAATCCAGCAGAGTGGTTAGATTGAACCACATGGTTTTTAATTTTTATTTTTTTTATTTTTTTTATTAATTTGATTTTATCCTTTTTACCTTCCGTTCTGATCCTTGAGTCATGTCGGGGTCTTGAGAGGGGAAATCACAAATCGGTTTCTGGTATCTGGTAACCAGAAGACCCACTGTCTCCACTGGTACTAGTACAGTAGTTTGTTCTACATACCAACGAGAAGAAGTGACGTGCTGAATAAAGTCATGTATGGACCACGCGCAGCAACAGAATAGACCACGCTAATCGGGAGGTCCACTCAGGAGACCGAAGTGGGAAAATGAACTAGCAGTAACTTGTTTCATATACCGTTGGACCCGCTGAAAAGAGTAAACGGGCAGGCTACGGACATTCCAAATGCGGAATCGAATGCGGGTTTAGCGTCTGGGGGCCGCAAAGGACCTTTCGGGACTTCGTATGATTCATTTATTTGATTTTCGCCTTTTTTCCAGCTGGGAGGCCTGAAAAATAGAAAACGGTAAAATTACAGTGGAAGTTCCAGGTTTGGGGGCCACGGACTTCGTGTCCTGGGAAGGCTGGCCAATCGCTATCACCGATTAAAAGGTAATTGAATGGAGCTACGACGGGATGGAAAGACACTTCGCTTTATGGAGTAATCGTTGAGTGCTTTGGTGTAATGTTCCCGACTCCATGGTTAATCTTTCGGAATATTTGAAAACGCACTGTCCATTTCAAGTTCCCCATACCATACGCCTATCATAGCTGAGCTTGCCATAGCCCTAAAGTATCAGCAGAAGAATTGAGTAAAACAAACCCATCACAAGATAAGATAAAATCACAATAGAGAAGTGGAGTGAGGAAATAAATGCCACATATCAGAGAAGTGAAAAAATATAATATATAAAGATAGAGATATAGATATAGATATGAACGCCTCAGATAATGCTCGCTCGTCAACACATGTCCCAATGAAATAGGTTCCGGTCATTAAACAAAGGGAATAAAACAAAAAAGAAAAAACCAGTAAATAAATAAAGACACAAGTGGAGATTCCAGATCCAGCCAGAGAATCATAGTGGGACCATAAAAATGATCATCGCTCGATCAACCATGAGGTTTTTTGGACCCAACATAACGGTAGTGTCCGCAAGGCTTTACAGTTCGGTCCATGCGTGTTCCGTGTCCGCCCCCTCGTTCCCATTCCCTTCTGAGACACTCCCAAAAACCCAAAGGAAAAATGAAATAAACCCAAAACAAGACCAAGACCAAAAATAATCACAGAATAATCTCCGGTGCGCTTTATGACCGCAGATCATATTCGTACAGCCCTGGCATAGACCGGGGGGAACAGGGAGTCGACTCCGGAGTTAACGGAAACGTAAAGATCGAAGCCCCGGGGGACGTCGATACTCCACGCTGGCTATCCGGGTACCCGTAGGAAAGCGAAGGCATCTGCATTCATCACAGAGATTAGCTTCCGCGGCGTAGGAAAAAAATGCGTTTAAATTATCGGGCAAAATGTACCGAAAGACTGGGTTCTGCGTGTGTCGGTTGAGGACATAAATCGATGCCTGCCATCGAGGCATAACTCATGCTAAACGGACTCATGATGTCTTCATCGTAGGCTTTGCGGGGTGCTCCCATTGCTGCTGTGGGAACCATGGGAACCACTGAGGGGATTGCGTCGTTGTATTCGGGGAATGACATGTTGCCGTATCCTGTTGGGATAGTTTGGTAGACTGGTACTTGGTTGTATGTCTGGCGGTAGGCTTCATATGCGGGCATTTGGGGGTATGGAGAGAAGGCCGGGGGTGGCGAGGCGGTTAATTGGCGAGTACATTGTTGGGCGAACATTGATCGCTCTTCACCATTGTAGAATTCATAAGATCCGGCCCGGTCTACCTGTTGATGATGGTGGGGGAGTTGTTGTTTGGAGTCAACTGATTTGGAGGCGCGGTGCTTGGAGCGGCCTTTGTTTGTTGCTTTTGGCTGTTGGACGACCTCTGCATGGGATTGTTCTGGTGAGGCTGAAGATGCAGCTCGTCTTTCTAGATCTTCTAGGCGGCGCTTAAGCTTCTTGCCTGTGAGGGGTGTCAGTTGATGGTTCGAGGCATTTGCTTTGCATTCTGCGTTTTCTCTCTCTTTGTTTCGAGTCCCACTCCATGCTGTGTATAGATGTATACTCACGATAATTTCTTTGCGCGATACGATTTTGGATGCGGCGACGCTCTGCTAGATCAGAGATCTTGGTCCAGTCTTCATTTGGGTTTGCGTTGGGACTGAAGGCGCTGCTATTGCTGTGACTGGAGGAACGAGAACCCGAACGGGCATCGTAACTTGTAGATTGATGCATGGTTCAAGTGTGGATGGGATGGAACAATCAGTGTACGAGTGTGAAACTTGGAGGAAGGAACAAGGAACTAATATATAGAGACAAGGCAAGTCTTATGAATAGAGTAGAGAAGGAAGAAAGGAAGAAAGGTTTAGATCCACAGCGATAAGGCCGAAAGCCTGGGGAGGGGCCAATTGAATTATATACTCGGAGGACGGAGAATGGGGCTCCTAATCCCGTCGATCAGCTGGGTAATTCTGCGTATTGGGCCTTGCAGACATGCTAAGCCCCCCCGAGTGCTCCGTCCCGATAACCATGCAGTCCGTGCCCACATTAGACTCGAGTGCCATGTGTATTATTTTGGGGGGTAGCGATTGACAAGGATTTGATGACTACGAGATTCCATGAATTTTAATTTAATTTTAAAAATTTGGGGGTTTTTTCACTCCGTGCATGTCACTAAGCACTTGAGAGACTTAGGGGGGTTTAAAGAAGGGGACAAATCCTTAAATCCTGAAGCATAATTCAATTAATTCTACAGTAGAATAATAATTATTAGAATTATTAGAATTATAAATGACAAGAATATTTGAAATGATAGAATAATCATGCTATTCAGCAAGCGCTCCTCTTCCTCCTCCCTCCCCCAAATTCAAATCCCCAATGCCAAAAATACCAGACAGGAATGGAATCCTTTTGCACCGCATGGATACGCATGGATAGACAGGGATGATTCCGTGCTGTTCAGCCTCGACCTGGTCCTGGCCCAAGTACGTCAACCCACCAATCTGGGCCACGTTTTCGCGTACCATGCTCGCCGAACCCAGCGATGCCCAGAAAATTAATACAGTAGAAAAAAAAAATAAGAAAAAATAGATAATTAGAAATCACAGAAATTCCTCATTTGGCATTATGGCGCGGTCACTACTCGTCTATTTCTCTTGGTCCCGATGTGGGCTCCGGTGGATTTACAGGAAGCAAAGGAATCTCTAGATCCTGCAGAACACCTTCCTGGTCTCTTTACTACGGCATAGTGGAATGTATTTGATTGCTTCACATACTAGTATTATGCATGAGTGCGAGAAACACCTACCGAGAGGGGGGCGATAAAAGAAAAGAAAAGAAATAATACCCAATAACCCTGGGAAATAATAGAACCAAACAAAAAACCAAAAACCGAAAAGAAGGATATCACTGGCATTGCATCTGGACCGGAACAACGTTCGAACCTCATTCGATATTCTGACCAGGCGGCGACACGATACTCCAGGGGATGAAACGGGGAAAATGTGCGTTGTTCAGAGGGGGTTACACTAACATTCTTTGATTTTATGATTTTTATGATTTTATTTTATTCATTCGTCTATTTCTTCTCCTTTTTCTCACGTGGAGATGGGCAGTTGGAAAGGGGGCCACGTTTTAGAATCTCTGCTGCCATGTTGGTTCTTCATGCTCGATTGGCTATGATTACCATCTTATTTTAAGATTTGTAACCTCCTGGCTCGATTACCCTATACACATCAAACCGATTTGGCATTTGGGTAGGTCGTTTTTTTGTCTTGGCAACAGACTAGGGGGATAAAGATCTCACCCGAAGGGTGGTGCTGATCGCTGATCAAACAAACCCTCGAGCTATGTTTTTTACCCGGAGGCCGAGTCTCTGGGCGGGGGAAAGTGCAAAAAAAGAGGGGGCCAAAAATAAATTGTAAAATGGAAAAATAGACAAAAAATAAAAAGAATGAATAAATAAATAATTGATTAATGAACAATAATACATTCTTGGGGATGCATACAAGACACTTACCAAGGCTACTAGCCTGAACTAAGGAGGGGGCGGAATTTAGTACTTCGGGGGGCCCAAAAAAACTACCAGAATGGGCCTTCACGGGGGAACTCCGTAATCGCTTAACAATTCCTCAGCTTGAATTCTAATCATTTGGCTGGTCCGTTCGTATGGGCACAAGTTAGTGTACCCACCTCCATACAGTCTTGGGATGAAGTTGGTGGCTTGTCGCCAAATTACTATATTTCCTATCCCCCGCTAATGTAACGTGCATCACTGAGAGGATTGTTTGGGAAGCTGTGGTTCTCTTTTTGTTTTTCTTTTTCTTTTTCTTTTTTTTTTCGCGGGTTCTTAACTGCCATGGAATTAAAAATACAAAATGGTATGGAGTAGAGTTAAAACAAAAAGGGAACCCCTCCCCATTTCACAATCTAGTGCTCCGTAGGATGCCGGGCGTCGTAGGTTAGGGTTTGCCTGATTGGTGTAATCTGCAAGTTAGCTGGGATGCGGCACATTTTCCCAAGGTGCTGGCCATTCTTCTCTAGGTTGGAAGAAACTAATTCTCAGGGCGGGGTCAACCATAGACAATGGACACCGAGAGGCTCAGCGGGGACTGTATCACCCCAACCAATCCGGGTGTCAGGACTACCGGTGTTGGCAGCCAAGGAGCGCAATGTAGTTACGACCAATCTAGGCGAAGGAACACACACCTGGGCAAAGAGAGTACAGGAGGTGTGTACTGTATGCATGAAGGGCTTCAACTCATCACCCTCTCCAAGGAGCGTGGCAATAGACCTACCCCAATTCTACCATGCTTGAACTTACCAAACTGTAGGGCTGAGCAGCTGGTCCCGACAAAGCAGAGCACTGAACGTTCCCGGTGGAGCTGAGGCTTTCTCATTCGGTGCCACAGCGCATGACTGTCTTTCCCTTTCACCGCTCCTCATCCCCTTCGCGGCTCGGTTGTCAAGCCTCACACCTTGATCCCTGGGAACATCTCCTCTCTGACAGCAGGGATGTGAACCACTCACAGCTCGTCTAGGTCCCGGATGCTTGGGTGGGATTCGAGTTCGGCCCTTCTAGTAACCGTCTAGAAAAAGGTTCCTGGCGGTGTGCTGCACTCCATGACACGCACTCTGCAGTCTTTTCGCCTTCCATTGCATCGGCTTTGGTCTATTTTGGTGCTTTTGTGTCACGGATCTCAATCAAAACAACGCCATTTTTTCATCGCGGTCCCTTTCCCCGGGTCTCTTGTGAAAATCCCCAAAAAGATAATAATAATGCAATATTTTATTTTATTGTACTTTGAATTATTTTATTGATTCACCATCTGGTCCACCTGGCCAGTTTCTATACACTGAAAAAGTAGATGTCTATACGGCAATCTCCGAAACCATTCCCTTCATACTGGTTGCCCCAACCCACCCCCAAGTTACACAGCAACTGCGATATAGACCGAGTACGAACTGAATCGGGGAAAAGCTCCTCGCATACTCTTCAAAACTCAGGCATGGTAACCGCCCAATAGCCTTGCACGTTGGACAAGGCGCCCAACGAACAACAGCATCGTATCCAGAATAAGGTCTATCTCCGATGAATTCCATCGCGTAGGCGGCGTCGGGCGGAGGATCATCTGTCAATACCACCTGCGAGAGCAACATGGTTTAACAGTCCGAGTCACAAACCACTAGCGTCTGTAAGTTTAATCCCGACTACCTTGAGTTTGACCTTCGAAAGTTGACAGGCAACACGTCATGCCTGTTATTGGATACTGAGTCTCTGCGTCGCACCAGCTGAGAAACGCCCCTTGGACCTGCCGGTCCGCACGAGGGAATTAATCTGCAGGATAGAGTACAATGCCACATATTTTTTAGAATTAGAATTAAAACTAAACTAATTTAAGGCCATTCTGACTGCCTCGCTAATGCAGATCATCTATCCTAGTCGCTGCCTGCTTTCTAGAACTTGCAGATGCCACTTTGCAGGTGTACAGACTCAGGCTGAAACAAGGGCTGTCTTGGCTCATGTTTTCGGCCTTAAGGGCTTTCCTTGATTTGATTTGATTTATTCCTTACTTATTATTCATCATTGAGATAGAGGCTATAGTTGATCTTTTTATTAATTTAGATTTGGAGATTTACATTCTGCATTTAGATTTGGGCTTGGGTTTACTGTTTCTAATACCCTCCACGTGGCCCACACGTGCTGCAACTCGCCTATCCTGTCTCGTTTGCGGAACAGCCTCATCGGCCGTACAACTCTCTATATGCCCCGAGGGACGGGACGGGACAAATGACTTCAGCACCCAATCTTTCCCATCACGCCCAGAGATAATGGCGACGTTGTACCGACAAACTTTCCCAAGTTGGAGCAATCCTCAAGCTTCACCTCTGTATTTCATGGCGTGAAGCGGTGTCGCATGTTCGTCAGCACTATGATCGTACTAGGTCCTCGTCTGACTAAGGATATGCACAGGGGAGGACCGAACATAGTCCCCGGATTGGTCAATTCCTCCAAATAGGACCTATACAGAAGCCACATATCTTCACTAGTCTTTCCTGGATATGTATAAGTGTGCATATCGTTGATTATGCCAAGGAAAGTCGGGGACCCTATTTCATTATGGGTCCAAATCGGCTTTTATAGTATGTCTCGATTATAAGCTTGTTGATAATGCTTATGCCCCGGTATCTGAGGGGTAAAGCTTGATTCATGATCCTTGTGGCGCATCTAGTATCCATTTTTTGGAGATGGGGGCAGTTTTATTGACTAAGAGGGCACGTCATTGTGCATTGTTTGGTCTTTAAGATATATGGTCAGCAGATGTCGTGCTGCTGGCCCCTGAACGGGTGAGCCGCCATGGCCGATTGTATTGCCTGTTTGAGCATCGAGGACAGCCACTGCGAGCCTTTTCCTTGAATCGAGGGGCCTGGACGGGAAATAGAACTTCAAGATAGTAGTTGCAAATATATACGTCAGTGGATCTGACCTTGCATATGTATGCACGGTGTTCATGCATGGGTTTGAGGAGAAACTGTCAGATTGGAATATCTAGATAGGGCATGGTTCCGGCAAATGACCCTAATTCGAACGTGACCACATGGTTATAGATTTGGGCATCTGAAAACGGAAAACTCTCAATAGATCGATCTAGATTGATATGTGCTTCAATTTTAGGTATAGCTTAGCCTTTGCGTGATCTAAAAGGTTTCCGCCACTTCCAAGATTGAAGGTTCAGATATTGTCTTTGTCTACCAGTGCCAAGCGCCGACAGTGGTAGTATTCATGTGAGTGCCTCATGAAGCCAAGTTGGAAGCAGCTTGTTTGGATTAAATTCTGCAATCATCTTAAATACACTCGTAGCTCGCTAATACTACGTAGTATATCTAGTGCAAAACTTCATCTTTGATAGGGTTTAAATGTTCAAAAGGTTGTCATCTACTAGTAGCTAGTAGTAGTTTATTACGATATATAACTCGAAGCTGTGCTTCACATTTTCAACTTGAAGTTCTTCCAAGGTCGTCAATGTTATGTATGCATGTAAGCAACTTGAAGTTAATGTACAAAGTCCAATTTCATTAGACGATACTGAATTACTCCTGGAGCTCAACATGGTATGTCCCCACATTATCCTTAACAACAGAGTGACTATGGGCTTTTGTCTGTTCGACATCACCGATAGTTTCAGCAAGACCAGCTTTTTGCTTCGCTTTAGCCTCTTTGACAGCGATTCGTGCCCTAGGAACCACAGACCACTGAATTGCTTTGTGGTAAAACTTCCGCTTCGACTCAATCTCCTGGTCTATATCTTCACCCGGCAGGAAAAGAAGATCCACTGACTCCAAATTCAGGTATGAGGTTTCAGGATAGAAGCAATAGACAATAACTGCGGCAACGAGATTGAACACTGCGAAAATAATGTAGGTCTTGTAGCCAATGTTCTCAAGGGCTGGTGGGGTGATTTCAACGACCTATAGCGATAGGGATTAGATTATTCAATATCATGATATAGTGTTCATGAAGTAACACGTACCAAGAAGTTACCCAGGAAGTCTGCGGCGGCAGCCAGTGCGGCTCCTTTGGATCGAATCTTGAGAGGGAGAATTTCAGCGGGGTATACCCATACTGTAGCCATCCAACCTGAAGAATATAGTGTTAGCTGGTACTACCTTTCAGGTGGGTAGCAGATCTGGTACTCACCCCATGTGAAGCAGGCTTCAAATGCAAACACAAAAAATACAGCAGCGATTCCGGATTTTTGGGTTCCAATTGATACTGTGATGGCCTCACAAATCAACACTACGCCCATGCCGATGGCCATGCTTATGAAGAGTCGTCTTCTACCAATGTAGTCGATCATGAACCACTGTTGTCTGTTAGTATTGGAAGAATATCCATGAGGTATGAGAAAAAGGTGATTGACATACTGTCAATAAAGATGCTATTATATACCAGACCTGGAGAAAGCATCCAACAAACAAGGCTCTCTCCTGGGACATGCCCAGGCTTTCCTTGAATAGGGTTGGTGCATAGTAACTGACAATGTTGATACCTAGAGGGTGGATTATAAGTAAATAAAATAACACGGAAATTCCAAATCTGGATTTTCAAAATGCTTACCGGAGGTTTGTTGCATGAACTGAATTCCAAGAGCTAGGAAAAACCGCTTATTCACAGCGCAGCCTCCGTCCGTGAAAAGAGACTTCCAAGAACCTTCTTCTTCTGCTTCAATGTTGATAGCGGTCATAATATCAGACCTTTCACTTTGGACAACTGGGTCATGTTCTGGCTTATTGCGCAATTTGGCAAGGACGATAGTTCCTCTTTCAGAAGAGGGCTCATGAAGCATAAGCCAACGTGGAGTATCGGGTAAGAAGGGCGTGACAATCAAAACATAAATGGCAAATAGAGCTTGAAATGTCAATGGAAATCGCCACTGGACCTGCCCAGGCTGAAAATAAAAGGCATAGTTGATCCAATAGGCCAGCATTAGCCCAAAAAGCATCATCGTTAACTGGCAAGATACATGCCATCCTCGTTGACTTGGTAGACATATCTCGCTCTGGTAAACAGGTGCAACCGAGGTAAGGAACCCAATTCCTAGAGTATCAAGAGTTTATTAGTGGCTAGCAGGAGTAAGTTTGATGAGAGAGCATACCTAGGCCAGTAATAGTTCTACCCACCATCATAAGAACTCTTTCGACACATCCTCCCATTAAAGCAGAACCAATAACAACAAGAGCTGCGCCAACCATCAAGCTGCGTTTCCGACCAAGTCGCTCCACTGTAAATGCAGCTATAATTGCGCCGAAAAGCGCGCCAATATCGTATATAGCCGTGATGGTGCTCGTCATTATTGTACTGGGATTTCCCATTGCATCCAGCCAGTATTCCGATATGACAACTCCCGACATGACACCCTGATCATATCCAAAGAGTAAAAACGATGAAGAACATACTGAAGTGATAGCCGCCACAAGCAGTGGCCCCTTAAGGCCACTAATACCAGTCCTATCGACCATATTGACAACTTGAAAACAAATGCGCAAAATAGCTATAGGGCTGACACTACCCGACAAGGCTAGTTTTCTCGAAAGGGCTTCTCGGGAAGAAAAGCATGGCTATGCATCAAAGCGACCGAGTATGCCTTTATATGTGCCCGTGTTTTCCCTTGCTGCCGGCCCGTATCTATGGTGAGGCCGAAATGCGTGGGGGTGGACCTGGGGAATGTGGATTCGTGGGGGGGAATCAACTACACACGACGTAAATATACACCCACTCAGCACTTTATTTAGTCGTTCTCGGGCCATGAGAGCGAGTGCACACGACTTGAAAATGGAGTTTGGAAGTGGAGCCCGAAGAGATCATACCGTTTTGTTTCCTTTTTGAGGTTTCCCCGCGTGTGTCGATCGAAGCTTCGTTCAAATTGCTTGTTTTTTCGGGGAATAACAGGACTAAGCTGATCCGTACCCCCGCGTTCGGACATGGACCGATACCAGGTGGATTATTGCATCATCTTGAGTGTGAAAATGGTGGAAGTTGAATGGTTGGTATTGTTCAGCTTGGTGTCCGAGGTTTTGTGGAGGGTGTCCCAGGACAGGCCGGGATCAGCTCACTCGGGTCCAATGACGCTGGTTTGTGTTCTGCCTTGTCCTTCCCAAGGTTTGGAGTTTGAGGCCTGAAAGTCTCGAAGTTCTGCATGTCTGAGGCAAAGTCTTCTATTCAGAGAACCGTATCTGGATACGAATTTATCATGATATACCTGGGGATATGATGATATAGCTACAGATCATATAGATGCAGCTACTATTGTTGGATAAGTACGAGTTTGATGCTCCACAGAGGACCTAGGGAATCTTAACATTGGGACCAAACCAAGTTATTTCAAAAAGCATTGATGCAAAAAAAATAAAAATTATGCCGAAAATGCACATGACAGGTAAACTGTTCTAGAAAAGAAATCCACAACCAATATACGCGACAAAATCTCTAGATGCCGGATCTCGCTCTATATATCCGTTCATAATTAAATCTCATAACTGCATAAATTATTAGTATTTGATCTCACCCCCTGCATACACTTCATTAGAAAGATTAACTTACCTCCATGGGTGCGACTCATCTCCGTACTGAATGGCCTCGATCCAGTTCTTCATTTGGAGGGTGATTTCACCAGCCTCCTCTTCCTTCTTGAGGCCGCAGTCCACCAAATTGCCACGGTAACTGATATATCGCACGGGGCTGACAATAGCGGCAGTACCAGCACCGAAGACCTCAATCAAGCGGCCTTCCTCGGCAGCCTGTACAAGCTCGGGCATGCGGACCTTGCGCTCAGAGATACCCCAGCCTTGGGGCTGTAGCCTCTCGCGAGCGAGCTCGAGCACGGAATCTCTTGTGACACCCTCCAGAATGGTACCGTCAAGAGGAGCGGTAATCAGCTCCTTCTGGCCGGTTTCCTTGTTCTTCATAGCAACGAAGAGGTTCATAGTACCAGCCTCAGTGATGTACTCCTCTTCGCCGAAGAGCCACAGATTTTGCTGGAAGCCACGGGAAGCAGCCTCGAGCTGGGGAACAATGCAGGGAGCGTAGTTGGCACCGAGCTTCTTGTCACCCACACCGCCAGGCCAGGCACGGACGGCGTAGTCGGTGGCTTCCAGGGAGACGGCCTTGAAACCGGTGGGGTAGTAAGGTCCCACGGGACTGGCAATAACGAACAGGAGGGCGGATCCAGGAGGACCAACACCCAGGGTCTTTTGGGTACCGATCATAGTGGGTCGGAGGTACAGAGAGTAACCACGGGCACTGTGGATAGTTAGGCAAAATATTCATAATATCGGTACTATAGGATTGTTACTGACTCTGGGATGAATCGGTTGTCCAGCTTGACAAACTCCCCGATCAACTTTGTAAGCTCTTCACCGTCGAATGTGGGCAGAGCAATACGGGCAGAAGACTTGTTCAAACGAGCCATGTTCTTGTTAGGACGGAAAAGGCGGGTGCCTCCGGTGTGATCCTTGTAGGCCTTCATTCCCTCGAAACATTCAAATGCATAATGTAACACACAGGTAGAAGGGTCCAGGCTCAGGTTTTGATAGGGGACGATGCGGGGAGTTTGCCAGCCTTCAGTGGCAGTCCACTCAATCGAGAGCATATGGTCTAAAATGGAATCCGAATTAGCCGTTGTGCGGCATGCGACAGACGATACCTAGCCTCATACCGGTGAAAGTCTTTCCAAAAACCAGATCCTTGTTGGGAATAAGCTCCTTAGGAGTCTCTGTCTTCGCCACGGTTAGCTTGGAGGCATCCAAGCCAGCCAATTGTGCTGCCGATGTGGTGGCACTGAAATTCCTCTGCCATAACCGACTGGCGGGTGTGACTTGAGACGGGCGGAGGCGGGCCATTGGGAGGCCATATAGGGCCTTTTGGCGAGTCAATTGTTGAAAGGACTTCATGGCGAAATATATGATCACCAGATGGGAGTATGGGAGAAGGTCGAAGTTGTTCCAACGGGGGTTTTAAATAACCAATATGACTCCGCACGCAACAACTTTGGAATTCCCTTCGGAGCTCTAGACAAACTCCGTTCCCGCCCAATCAAAGCTATCGAACATGTTCACCGCCTGAGAATGATAGCGGCCGATTACTCGATGAGTCAGGAACGGGCCGATCTCGCCAATCATCACGTCCTAATTGCATAGAGAGACCCGCCGACTTCGGAAGGACATGGGGCCCTCAAGTGTGTACTGATTGGCTGATAAGACACCACTTTATTCTTCTCTCTGCCTTTTTCAAAGCTTCAGTTCCCGACTTTCCGATGCAAAGCGCGGGGAATCACCTGATTTGGAAACCCCGATGCCTCAGGGTTCAACACCAAGTAGCTACCCGCCACGTGACCCCTGCGCGATAGGAACATTGTTACATGTTATCAAGAGTGGAGGCGCTCCGTTAATCGGTTCGTGTCAATTCAATCTAAAGCGCTGGACCCCAAGCACAAAAAGGCTAATCCGTGCTTGGATGAACAGTAGGCTGTTCATTCCTCAACTACCGATTGACCTCGAATCGTTTTGTCCGAGTCATGCCCGCCTCGAACACATTGAACGTCTTGTGAAACAAACAACTGCCTTGTCGTCGCATAACGTCTCGATCCTTACCATTGGTTTTCTTTTAACATAGCCAGGCCCAATATGTTTTCGTCCGCGCTTAAATCGTTCAGCTCCAATATCTCTGCCAATTACCAAATCGCACCCAACCCCACGATCTACTCCGGCCCCTGGAAAGTGCACGATGCCAAACAGAAATCAACCGGAAATGCCGCTTCGGTCTTTATCTTTGATCGCAAAACTCTAGAGCCTCGATCCGGTGGATTTGGATCTCGGTCGGGTTCTTCCGCGAAGAAGGTACACGAGGATGTGATTGAGCGACTGAAGCGCGAGGCTAGCAGCCTAGCCCGGTTGCGACACCCATCTATTCTTCAAGTATTGGAACCGGTGGAAGAAACGCGCAGTGGCGGCCTGATGTTTGCAACTGAAGCTCTCACGGCATCGCTGTCAGGCCTACTGTCGGAGAAGAGTAGCCAAGAAAGCGGGGCGGGGGGTGGCTCACACTCTAGTCGTTATATGGTGGAGGAGGCCAATGGGAGCCGGAGAAGACGAGACCTGGAGATTGACGAGCTAGAGATTCAAAAGGGTCTGTTGCAAGTTGCGAAAGGCCTCGAGTTCCTCCATGAATCTGCAGGCTTGGTACATGGCAACCTAAATCCAGACGCCATTTATATCAATGCTAAATCAGACTGGAAAATCTCCGGCCTGGGCTTTGCTGGACCCCCAGACTCGTCCGAGGCCAAGTCCTCTCTGCCGCCTTTGGCCGTGTCCGAGGCTCTTTACCAAGACCCAAGACTCCCACCTTCAGTACAACTGAATATAGACTATACATCGCCCGACTTTGCCATGGACTCCAATGTTTCCTCATCCGCCGATCTGTTCTCACTGGGCTTAATAATAATTGCCCTATATAACTCACCCCATGTCTCGCCGATACAGTCACATGCCAATGTGTCGACATACAAGAAGCTTTTGAGCACCCCGTCTACAACCCCCTCCCAAAACAACAACTTCCTTTGCTCGAACCCTATTCCTCGAGATGTGCTATCCCATGTGCTGCCTAGACTGATCACCCGAAGGCCTGCGCAGCGTATGAATGCGCGGGAGTTTCAGCAGTCTCAGTATTTTGATAATGTTCTCGTATCCACTATTCGATTCTTGGAATCCCTGCCCACAAAGAATGCGAACGAAAAGTCACAATTCTTGCGAGGGCTTCAACGAGTGCTCCCTGACTTCCCGGTCTCTGTTTTAGAGAGGAAGTTGCTAGGCGCCCTTTTGGATGAAACGAAGGATCGTGACCTTCTTCCTCTCATTTTGCAAAATGTATTTGGCATCCTTCAGCGGATACCCAACGGGCGCCGCACATTTCCTGAAAAAGTCATTCCATGTTTGAAAGAGGTGTTTGGAACAGCGCCAGGCAAGCCGGCATCCCAAGAACGCGATTCCAAAAAAGATGCCGGTCTGATGATTGTGCTGGAGAATATGAAGCTTGTTGCAGAAAATTGCTCGGGCATGGAATTCAAAGATGGTACGTCTAGAACCTTTCTTACCAGGCTAAACACATCGCTAATTATCAATTTCTAGACATCCTGCCTCTGATAAGGCTTGGGCTTGACTCACCAACACATTCGTTGGTAGATGCCTCTATTAAATGCCTGCCCGTGTTTCTTCCAGTTCTCGATTTCAGTACTGTGAAAAACGAAGTCTTTCCTCCAATTGCCACCACATTCAGTCGGACTAGTAGCCTTGCTATCAAGGTTCGTAGCTTGGAAGCATTTACTGTGCTCTGTGGTGGATCTACCAACGAACCCACTATTGAGGATGACCTGTCTGGTACAGTGGAATCAAATAAGCCAAGCAAATCCTCTATATTGGACAAATACACCATTCAAGAGAAGCTTATGCCATCCCTGAAGGCGATCAAAACTAAAGAACCGTCCGTCATGATGGCAGCGTTGAAAGTGTTCCGCGAGGTTGGCAAGATTGCAGGTGCCGACTTCGTTGCTCTCGAAGTGCTTCCTATTCTCTGGAGCTTTAGCCTGGGTCCTCTTTTGAACCTAAAGCAGTTCAATGAATTCATGGCCTTGATCAAGACTCTGTCTACTAAGATCGAAAAGGAACAAACCAGAAAACTACAGGAACTTTCTTCTGGTGGTGATTCAGGTGGATTTCAAAATGGTAATGGCGGTTTCTCTCAATCGGCAACGGATCTCACCGCATCGAGCACAGACAATGCAAGGGATACCTTCGAACGCCTTGTGCTTGGAAAGAATGCAGGCCCTTCACCCGGAAAAGACTTGGATCTATGGGGAAATGCGGAATCAGAAGCACCTGCGTCAAAACAACCCAGCGCGTCAGCTGCATTTTCTTGGTCTACAAACAATGGTGCAGCATCGAAGTCCGCTAACTCGTCTGGCCAGTTTGGCTTCCGTTCGATCACTCCAGATCAAAAGCTGAACTCAATTCCGTCGCTTCAGCCTTCAAGGCAATCGTCATTCACGACACCTGCTTTTCCAGCCATGCAGCCATCGCAGCCAACATCGCCGACTTGGGGCGCTCAATCCCAAGGAGCGAGTCAACCAAGTCCTTCAATGGCATCTCTTTCAAGTATGGCAGCTAATCCCCGGGCTGTTAACTCCCCAGCGCCAAATTACTCTTCTTTCTCTATTCCGCCTCCACCGGCAGGAATGAATCAGCACAATGCCATGAGATCTCCTCCGTCGAACCTGAGCACGATGTCAACAGCATTCCCCGCTCAGACTCGGATCCAGTCTCAACCTCTGTCCCTGCCCCAACAACCACAACCAAAAAAAGGGCTGGACAAGTATGAGAGTTTAATATAGTTGTTCATAGTATGATTGCTTATACCCTGCTCTATTCTACTTTCCGAGTGTGTGAAGAATGACACAACTGCATGGAATATATCACAATGTAATTAGAATACCCACAAATGCGTCGCTGATCACCATGCAAAATGTACGAAAATTATTCTGGCCATGAACTTTGGACTCAATCATTCCATATCTATATTTAAGATCATAATTCTAAACGTCTCTCGTACCATCCACAATGTACTATGCTTAAAGTTGGGAGCGGGTACTTTATCAAGACCCAAAGTTGCGTGCAAACCCATACAGCTGAGTGGAAATGTGGAGCTATCCGTGATTGGTACACCAAGCCTTTACCGTATGTCATAGCTACCTCGACCTTTCAAAACCCACCATATGTATTTACTGCGTGGCATTGCGCCGCGTTGGTCGCTTACCCGGAGCCCCGGTTTACCTCCGCTACCCCTCACTCATAGTTGTCACCGATTTCTTCTCCACTCTCGACATTTCGCATCCTCTCCCACCTACCGAGCCCTCAACATGGATGAAAACGTTAAGCAGCACTATCTGGCCGACTCACCTCCCACGGTAGTCAGACTGGAAATTAAGCCACACTTCGATTCCCTCAAGGATGAATCTCTGCGAAGATATGCTCACTACATGAGCAAGTATGTTCCCGCCAACGCGCCAACCCTTCAATGACAGATCTCAATTAACCTCAAGCTTGAACTTTATAGAGCGGCATTCGAAGGAACCCGAGTCACCTTACGTCAAGTCTCCCCAGAATCTGAGCCTATCTATGATCTGATTATCTCCCTTCACCGAGCTTGCGATGGCGACTGGAATAGCTTGGCCCAAAAGACTCAAGTCAGCGATGAGCATCTCCGATTCTTCCTGGAATACGCGGCACAATTCCTGGGCAACTGCGGAAACTATAAGGGATTCGGTGACTCCAAATTCATCCCGCGTATCCCAGCCTCTGCTCTAGAGTCTTTGGCATCTATCACCTCAGAGACCAAGGCAGCTTTCCAAAAGGCGAATAGTACCGGCGGTGGATTCTACGAGACTAAGGAGCAGTCCATGATGCATCTTGGATACCCAGTGGAGGGACATATGACCACGTATTATCCAGACTCGCCTACTATCACTAAGGATGAGATCACCGCCATTGGTGACCTGATGGAGAAGAAAGGACTGGCATTGGAGAACACAAGAATTCGCAAGACAGCATCGGGTGACTTCGAACTTCTGATTGCTTCTGGTGTCTCAAATCCTCCGGCGAGAGATCGTGACCTCGGCGAGGAAAGCACATTTGCCCTTGAAGGAAGTTTGAAGGGAAAGTCACTGCACCTTGTGTTTGGAGATTATAAAGAGGAAATGGCCAAGATTGCGCACTCTATTAAGCAAGCAGAGCTTAACGCAGCGAACGACAACCAAAAGCGGATGCTGGAGGCGTATGCTCGTTCATTCGGTGCGGGTTCCATTGAGGCTTTCAAGGAAAGCCAGCGCGTTTGGGTTAAGGACCAGAAGCCTGTCTTGGAGACAAACTTGGGATTTGTTGAAACCTATCGTGATCCCCATGGTGTTCGTGGAGAATGGGAAGGTCTGATTGCTTTGGTATGTCTGAATAGGTTATTATTTTATGATTGGATTATCTTTCTAACAACGAATAGGTTAACATGGAACGAACCCGAGCATTTGGTGCACTGGTAGACAGTGCCGAGAGCATGATTCCCAAACTTCCCTGGGGCACAGATTTCGAAAAGGACAAATTTTTGAGCCCTGACTTTACCTCGCTGGAGGTTCTCAGCTTCGCAGGTTCAGGAATCCCCGCTGGTATCAATTTGCCCAATTACGACGATATCCGCCAAAACCTTGGCTTCAAGAACGTATCACTTGGTAATGTTCTTAGCGCGAAGGCGCCCAATGAGCCCATCCCTTTCATCAGCGAAGAAGACCAAGAAGTTTATCGTCGATGCCGTGATCCCGCCTTTGAAGTCCAGGTTGGTATTCACGAGCTTCTCGGACACGGAACTGGCAAACTGCTGCAGGAAACTGAGCCCGGCAAATACAACTTTGATATCTCCAATCCACCAATCAGCCCGGTGACAAATAAGCCCGTAACAAGCTGGTACAAGCCCGGACAGACCTGGAGCTCAGTATTCGGTGCCATTGCCGGCTCTTATGAAGAATGCCGCGCTGAATGTGTTGCAATGGCACTGGGATGCGATTTTGAGATCCTGAAGATCTTTGGATTCGGTGATGGTACCCAAGATATGGCTGGCGAGGCTGGTGACGTTCTATTTGCCGCGTACCTGCAGATGGCTCGTGCAGGTCTAGTCGCGTTAGAGTTCTGGGACCCCAAGACTAAGAAATGGGGCCAGGCTCACATGCAGGCCCGGTACAGTATTCTGCGCACTTTCCTCAGTGCTGGCGATGACTTCGTCAAGCTCTCATACACCAAGGATGACCTGTCAGATCTTGAGATCAAATTGGATCGGTCGAAGATTCTGACCCACGGACGACCTGCCGTGGAGAAATACTTGCAGAAGCTGCATGTTTATAAGAGCACTGCTGATGTTCAAGCTGGTAAGGCCATGTATGACGAGATCACGTCGGTCGACAGCTGGTGGGGAACACAGCTGCGTGAGGTTGTTATGAAGAACAAGGTGCCTCGAAAGGTCTTTGTGCAAGCCAATACTGTTCTGGATGGGGATAAGGTGACCCTCAAGGAGTATGAACCTACATTGGAGGGTATTATCCAAAGTTACGTGGAGCGTAATGTTTGAGTCTGAATAGCGAATATAAGCTGCAGATGTTGACTACGTTCTCATCAATAAATATCGATTTTCTTCTATTCTCTCTAGTCCCATAAACTCCATACGAAAATTTGAAGGTGGTAAGGTGAACTTGAGAAGCCAAGTCTCGTATGGTAGAAGGTTGTAGTCCTCATATTGTCCAGTATTTAACATATTCTGCCAGTCTAAATCTTTCTCGTCGATTTTCATGTTCCACAGGGTTAGGTTCCAATACTCAAGTATATTCAAGTTGATCTATCTAGCAGATGGGGTTTGACATGTAGATAAGTTTGCATTTTCTAATTATCTGTTGCCAATTCTGTTTAATTGCTCTGCCTTATTGAGCTTTGAATGATGGTAATTGTCCGGGTATAGGTAGGAATTATTCAATCCTGAAAATTTAAAGCTTTCATTTTTCAATATACGAGCTGAGATGACAATAGAGATGTGCATTGTGACGGACCATGTCTGTATACATCCGAGATCATAATAGCGACGTACCAAGTCTTACTGCCAAATCGTGCGGGCTCGACCCGTGGACTTACCTTACCGCCAGGCTAGCCTGGGATCAACGTGCATCTCTTAAGCGCCCCCGTTTCTCGCCTCCTCTTTCCCCTCCTCAAAACACTTCATGTCCCCCGTTTTATTCGGCTAAAATAATTTGGATCGTTTCCTTGTTCGCATACCAAAGCATACCCAGTAGTGAGCTGGAATTCTCGGTGGATCCTTCCATCCCGCCTCCTGATCGACATACAAACAAACCCATTGGGGTAGCAAGTCTGGAGCCCATCAGATCAACCGCTTCACTGCGATTGGATCTGATCTCTCTGCACTAGCACCGTGTCGGAAGAAACACCCCCTCGACGCTCAGTAACCACGGCGCCTACGCCCACCTCGATCGACTCCCTCGTGGAGGACGACTATTACACCGCACCCCCGCCGCACTCGCCATCGGAAGCGTCTGCTAGCTCCTCCGGAGGCCCGCCACCTTTCTCCTCCCTCGACTTCGTCTTCGACGACGACAATCGGCCCAAGGTTACCGAGTCCGGGCCTGCTTTCCTCTCCGTATTTGCGCCGCCGCCGCCCGTCGAGGACCATATCGAACCAGCTCCTTCGGCAACCGTTGTTGCAGACACTAAAGCGAGTTTCTCGGATTCCAAGGGAGACGGGCTTGGGAAAATTTCAGACGACGGAGAGCCGCCGCCACCTTATACTGAAGGCTATAGCCCACTCGAGTCATTTAGCTACGTAATGGCTGCAGCTGGAGGTGCTTCGAGCATCATTACCCAGGTCCAACAGACTGGAGGGCCACCAATCAATACTCTGGGAGGTAAGGGCGCATAGTGTTTGCAACAAAGAATAGGGTGCAGATCAGGAGCAAAGAGCATTGCGCTAATATTCGCCTTCTATATAGACATCGGAGGAGATGAGCACATCACTCTTGATCTCCGGTAGGATAGCCCTTTCCCCCTCGACTGCAATATCGCATTTCTGACACGTTTTCAAGGGGCACCCGCTTTACATTGTCCCGCGATGAGCTATTAACCTTGCCGGAATTCGTACTTCTCTCTCTCTTTCCAAATGGTCTTCTGCCAGACGGCCACATGGGCGGTTTTCACGAGGGGGATGTCTACCCTGTCGATGTGAGTATCAATTCTTTTTGCTTCATAAGCATAGATCGCAAAGCCTAACATGTTCTAGTATGATCCTGCATCACTTCAATACATGCTTGATTTCTTCCGATCCGTTGCTCAATCAATTCCATCCTCTCTGCCTTCCGGCTCGACATCTCCGGAACTAGACGTACCAGACGTGATGCAAAACTCCGCTCGTGATATGCTTCAAGATCGCGCTGGAATTATTGTTCTTCGTGAGGATCTTGATTTCTATGTAATTCCTCCACGGCCCGACATTGGGCATGAAGAAATGCTCGAGGTCAAGCGGGCAGCTGGTCGAGCATTATTAAAACAGGATGGCATTTTCTCTGGCTTGCGCAAAAGCGAGGAAGTCGGCTCCACCGAGCAACATCTGATTGAAATGTTGACTGCTGGGTAAGCTAACTCATGTAGACTTCTCTGTCACAACTCGACTAACTTTCCCAAACAGTGGTTTTGATAGAGAAGATCAATGGGGCCACCGAGCCCCAGAGCCTAACAAGGCCGTAATCTGCAGTCTCGCATTGGCCAAGCTCCGCACCGACATTCGAGGAGATCTATCAAACAACAATGCCGTTGGAATGGCCCAAAAACTTCTGCTCTTCTGGAGGAAACCCGCCCGACGATGCTGGTGGGAAGGTGTTGAGCTTGACGATGTTGAAGGTGTCGAAGGAGAAGTGAAAGTTTGGATTCGACGAGTCTGGACCCTAGAAATGGTAAGAGTGATTCACTCCTTGAGAAGGTGCCTTTAAGCTGATTTGAGATCGCAGAGTGTCATTGGACTCCGTTGATTCTTCCCAATTCTTGTTATCTGCATCTGTACCTATACCCAGATATTCCTAGGCTCCTACGTGGATCTTTGTTGTCGCCTTTGCTACATTTTTGGATTCTTGTTTATTCCCCTGCCTACTTTCTATCTCTTCTTTCTTTTCTACAGCAGGATTGGCGTAATTTGCAGTTTGGCGTCTTTTTTGCACCTACTCCTGGTATATTCTCTATATTAGTTGGACATGCCCCAAGACACAGCCCTTCTTCAGACCGACAATGAATATACAACAGATCGTTTCTTATTGCAATATGAAGTGTTTCTCCATGACGATAAATAATTATTTACTATGGTAACTAGTTAGTTAGTTAGTTAGGCTTTGTTGTAGATGCCATAATAAGAAGGCGGTAAATTGAATCACGTGATCAAGGAATGGGCTTCGCTCGATTGGGGAAAACGCGACAGCGCAAAAGAATCCCAGTTGCTTTACATTATTTTATCTCAATTCCACAGCCGACGAATCTGACGGCACTTAAATCATTTTCATGTTATAATATCCGATCTGATAGTACCGCCCTGTTCCGAATTCTCGGTTTGCCACGATTCGATCGTGATCAGCCCTTCCAGGCCTCATCCGCCGACGCGAAGTCTTGCGATTGAATCCCCCGCGAAGGGGCAGATTTGCTGAAATAGATCGCCAATATGTCGCCTCTTCGAGGATATATCACATCATATCCACCACGGCTACGCCAGTATGGAAATGCACTGCTAACGCCTGTCTATCCCGTACAAACTGGTCCAACACCTCGAACAACCAAGCGCGGCACCACCGCAATCAACTACGCGGAAGATGGGTTTGACGAAGAAGATTTCGAAGAGAGTGATGGGCCTCGGCGACCAACGGGGCTAAGGAGCTTGCGGCGGGAGGAGTCTTCTACGGGGGGTATGCCTATGTCCGAGAAGCTAGGGAAGGAAACGAAAGCGCCGGTGGAAGTCCAGGGTGTGTTTCGTGAATGGATGATCAAGCGGATGCTCAGACCTGCGTAAGTTTGCCAGTGCCCTTCTTTATTCTCCTTCAATTTGGAATCCTTGTCGATTATGCGGGACGTGCCTTTTCTAGGCTTTCCTCCTGTGCATCACGGATCGCAACTCTCCCATATTTTTTTGCCATCCCCACTGACAGTTATGCGTACTATTACAGATGTGCCGAGCAGCTTCAGATTCAAGCCCAGCTTCCTTTGACGCTGGTTCCGATTCGTATCGATGTCGAAGTACCCGCACACCAACCCCTCGAACCCTTCCCTCTCCCTCGAGGTGTCATGGACCCAAGTATTAATCCAGCACTCCCTGCTTACCGGCGACCTGAACCAATGCCCCCGTTTCGAATTAAGGACACTTTCCTTTGGAATCTTCACGAAGCATTGTCTACCCCAGAAGACTTTGCGATCGGCTTTGTGCGCGATCTGGACCTTCCCAACCCCCAAGCAACGACAATGACCATCAGTAATCAAATCAGACAACAATTAGAGGAGTACGCTGGTGTAGCGTTGCACCCTTTGTTCTCGAGCTCTCAAAACCAGACACTAAGTGGACCTCCCCGAACCGAGGCTTCAAGAGATACATCCATGACACCTGCTATAACAAGCATTGCAACTCCTGATAGTCGAGTCAACGGGACCGCACAAGTCTCCGTGACAAAGGAGGCCCTAGTCAATGACAGCCTACTGAATCCTGATGATGCGTACCGTTGCTTGATCACTCTCAACATCAACCTCCAGAACAAGCTTTATACCGATAAATTCGAATGGTCACTGCTCCATCCTCCAGGCATGGCAGAGGAGTTTGCAAAGGTCACTTGTGCGGATCTTCATCTTAACGGTGAATGGGTTAGTGCAATTTCGCACGGTATCTACGAAGCAGTTTTGAGGCTAAAGAAAGAGGTCTGCGAAAGCGGCGGCCTCGTAAGTGGCATCAATGGATACGGAAACGAGATTGACAACCAAGCAGCCAACGGTGCTGAAGCTGGTTGGCGATATGACCCCGAGACTCTGGGTGATGAGTGGGATCCTAAGGTCGAGACCTTGTCCAAGGAAGAAATCGAGCGACGAGAAGGAGATCGGGAACGTCAGATTCGACGTCTACGACGAGAAACTGCTCGCTTCTCTTCCACTGCAGGTATCACCCCAGACGCCTCCCGACAAAGCAGTGGGTACTTTGATGCCGAGGGTGAAGCGCCACTGGGCAGAGGAGAACGAAATAAGCGCAAGCGCCGGTTCCGTAGTCTCAGCCCCTTGGGCCGAGGAGGTACTCCTGGTGGTCGAGGCACACCCGATACTGGCTCGGGTGCTGGTTATGGTGGAGGTGGTGGTACACTTTCTGAATGGTAAATTGACCTGTTCCACAAATCTTTGAAATGTCTGCTTACAAATTATTCTTTGCTATTTAGGGAACGACAAAATTGGCGCTGCGATAACTGTCAAGTATGGGGAACTGCTGTCTGGGCGGTTCGGGATGGACCGATTGGGCCAAGGGTAAGTCGAATTCGCACATGATGGTTTTTAACTATATCTGACTCTAAATTCTTTTTCTCTCAGACTCTCTGCCACAATTGTGGCTTCTTATATGAGCGAGACAAACTTACACCTCAATGGTCGAAAGATCTTCATCGCCATGATGTTCCTGTGGGTCGTTTTGGCTAGATCTTTTGCTATGTAGGGATTGAGTTGTACTTTGTTTCTCTTTACTTTTTAACTACTCTATTGAAAGAGTACATGGGTGGGCGCGGCAATGGTGCTTTTTTATTCCTAGTTAATGTATGAATATGAATATAAGCTTTTCTCAATTGCAAATCCGATTATTAAGAAGCATCCAACTTGAATGTTGAATGCAGCAGAAGCTATGGAAGATTGATAATAGCCCGGATGTTGATGGTACTTTCGGGTATAATCACCCGTAGGGTATCGAGATCACATTCTTAAATCTATATCGACATTACGACAGGTCAAGCCAGTGCAGCTTTTCGAGTACACTGTGACTAAATACCATAATTGTATTATGAGATAGATACGACCCAAGCTCTAGGTCAGTTGGGACGATTAAAAGCATTTATTTGTTCGAAGGAAATTTTCCTAGCAGTCAAGCCTAACCGATTTGGAGAATATCAGCGCAGCGCAGCGTTAGATTCTTGAGGTTCTTTGAAACTAAATATAAGAATCAAACAAACCCCGGATGCAAATGGCTGGGAAAGTTCAAAACAAAAAGATTGCAGCTGGGTATCAATGAAAGGTCCATGAAAAGGCCTAACCAGTAGATCTATGTACAACAAGCGAGATATTAAAAGGAATGACCAAACGGAAGAATTGCGATGAGTACTTCAACGGGGCAATGTGGGTCAAACAACTCGTTCCAAGGCTCTGAACATATATCAGATTCTTGCAATCCATCTAGGGCCACATCTCATGCTCGCCTCGAAAACAAAAGGTCGGTATACGCCGATCAACTAAGCCCTGGCTATACATCATGCCTTCGTAGAGAGCGTTGCTATCCCCAGGATGATAGGGATTGGTTCCTAGACGAGGAGACTCTTCTTCATCCATTGCTTCGGTGTAATTGGTCATATGTGGCATGTCATCTGCCCGAAACAAGGTGTGGGTCAGGTTTTATGCTGGTATGCTTATTTTCTGTTTTGGCAAGGAATTAAATTCCATTGACAGAAAGGGAAGGCTCCTTACTAGTACTGTCCAGTACGGTAGTGGAGTCCTGAGGAGCGGGAGATTGACCTGGGTAGTATCGCCCGCCGGGATGGAGGGATTGTGCCGTCTGGATATCGTGTTAGCGGGAACAAGAGCCAGCATAGATCGATTAAAGTATACCGGCATGTTCGTCGCGCATGACAGCGAAACTTTTCACGGGTTGCTACTGACTTCGCGAAAATCATCTCCCTCCACCTCAACTTCACGGTCACGGATTCGGCGCATGAGAGCAAGAAAGTTACTCTGCTGGAATTTCTGGTTTTGATCATGACGAACGCTGTCGAGGAGTTCCCCTGCTGTTTGTGCGAGGGCATCTGCATCTCGAGTGCGATTTTGCGGGTCTTGTTGATCGGTTTGAAGGATAGTGTCGGATCCTATTCTGATTTCTTCTTGCGGCTCGATAGACTCAACGGGGTTTGTCTCTTGCATATGTTCTTCAATATTTGGTGTAATCTGAGCTTCCTGGTGCTCCATATCTGCTCGAGCCTGCTCAAATGCCGCCTCAAAAGCGGATTCATCAAATTGTTCTGTGGGAGCAACGTGCTCCGCGTGAGCCTGCTGAGGAGCTTGGAATGTGCTGTCGAGGTTGTTATTGTACATTGGGTAGCTGGGGGCGAAGGCAGGTTGATATGCACGGTTTGCTGTACTGTTATTTTGTGCAAGATGCGCCGGGCCTTGTTGAGAACGCTGTTGGTGTGCGATAAATTCATTTTGCCACCCTCCTTGGGCTTGTGAGATCGACGGTCCTTGTAATTGCGATGGAGCTGGCGCTGAGATTTGAAGGGTTTGGAAATCCGAAGCCCAGTTCGCGCTCGGGTGGGCATTTACTGGTCGCTGTACTGGCCCACCAAAGTGGGCAGGGTGCTGGAGATTTGGGAGGGCAGGGCCTGCGAGGTTGGCCTCGAATGCGGCGAACTCCGGGTCAAGTATACCGTCCCGCGGGCTTTGCGATCGGAATCCCTTAGACAGGTGAGATTAGTATGGGAGATATCAGCGCTTGGGATTGCGATCTCACTTGTGTAGATGACTGCCGCGAGGCTAAACGATCTTGCTGTAAGGTGCGATCGACCGATGCATGCTTCTGGAAGTTTTGCAGCGCGTTGGATGGTCCACACAGCGTATCGCTCATCGTGGCTTCGGAATTTGAGATGGCCGTATAGGTCTCAAAAATATGGACGCGTCGGGTTTATGTAGCTCGGGGGTATCCCGAGACTGCTCGCAATCAATAATATATAAAAAAAAATATCAATATCAAGGGTCTTGAATCGGTGAATAGGAGAGAAAGCAGACACGGAGAAGGCGCGGGGTTGCCGAACAGACCGAGGCACGTGTAGATAGATTAAACGTGACCTTGCTGAGTCAGGATTTCAGATAAGCACCGATAAGCAGGAGGTTGTTGTGGCCTCGAATCCGCAAGCTCCCTCACATCCAAACGACGCTTTATCCCTAATTTCTCCCCCAATCTCTGACACAATGGTGAGCTCCATTTGTATCAAAATACCGCGCCTTACGCAATTTTTAACGTTCCTGTGAATTAGGCGGCCGCCCAGGTGATCTCGAATTCGGGGCATGAAGACATGATTGTACGTACTGTGTCTAGCACGAGGGGGGCCAATTGCCCGTCTTTAAGCTCTTAATCGACCACATTTGATTGTTGAACTCACCGATTTCGTTTGAATTGTAGCACGATGCCGGACTGGACTACTATGGTCGCAGGTTGGCGACTTGCTCCTCGGACAAAACTATAAAGATCTTTGAGATCGAGGGGGAATCACACCGCTTGGTCGAGACTCTCAAAGGGTAAGCTTGTTCTCTTTGTGATTTGAATTATATCAAAAGCGCAACTGCTTACGTATTTTGATACGATTAGCCATGAAGGCGCGGTATGGTGTGTCGCATGGGTGAGTATACTAGACAACTCCTTATTCCGTTATTTGCGCAATCCAGCTAATAGCGCTGTTTTGTTCAGGCGCACCCTAAATTTGGCACAATCCTAGCTTCCTCCTCCTACGACGGCAAGGTCCTGATCTGGCGAGAGCAGCCCCAGAATGCCACTTCTCCCGTCGGTGGCAGCACATGGACCAAGGTCTTTGATTTCTCCCTACACACCGCTTCTGTGAACATGGTATCTTGGGCTCCTCACGAGAGCGGATGTCTTCTTGCCTGTGCCTCCTCAGACGGCCATGTGAGCGTTCTTGAATTCCGCGACAACAACTGGACTCACCAGACTTTCCATGCCCACGGGATGGGCGTGAACTCGATCAGCTGGGCCCCTGCAGCTTTCGCTGGAAGCTTGATTAGCTCCAACCCAGGACCTGGCCAGCAGAGGCGATTTGTGACTGGAGGAAGTGACAATCTGGTCAAGATCTGGGACTACAGGTATGTCTACATTCTTCGCTCCTCTTTAGGCCTCGACAGGCTCAGCCGATGATTTATGCTTACTTTCATCCTTCTAGCTCCGAGTCCAAAACCTACAATCTCATCGAAACCCTGGAGGGTCACTCGGACTGGGTCCGTGATGTCGCCTGGTCTCCTAGCATTCTATCCAAGTCCTACATCGCTTCAGCCTCGCAAGATAAGACCGTTCGCATCTGGACATCCGATGCATCCAACCCTGGTCAGTGGACCAGTCAAACGCTCGAATTCGATACCGTTTTGTGGCGTGTCAGCTGGAGCCTTAGCGGCAACATTCTGGCGGTTAGCGGTGGTGATAACAAGGTTAGCTTGTGGAAGGAGAACCTCAAGGGCCAGTGGGAAAAAGTGAAGGATATTGAAGAGTAGTTAATTTCTTGCCTCGTTACATCTATTTCCTTGACTACATAAACTGTTCTGAGAATTTTATGGCTATATCCTTCCGTTTGCCTAGATCAAACCACTTGCAAAAACCATGAATGATCTTAAAAAAAATCGTGCCACGAACTTGAGAAATGCGGTCTTGTGTTTGGATATTCATTCTCATTGTCCTTATTATCTGGCGCATACCGCGCGAAGAAGCGAAAAGCAAGAAAGATATAATAATAACAATCATATCCCACTTGGTATTAACACAATCAACTCATCTGTCCCTAAGGACTGCCTGGCTTGCCCTGTACACTGCGAAGTGGCATATTTCATCTTCTAGTTGGTGTTTGTGATGCCGATGGTAATAAGAAGTCATGTTGGCGAATAAGGTTGTTAGACTTAACATGAGTAACAAAAATTTAGGCCTCGTTGTTCTTGGGCATCATGATCCATACTTCAACTGGGATTGTAAGAGGAGACCGGATTTCGGAATTTACTTACTAGGAAGAAGTAATACTCAATAGATAGGTAGGCATCAGATAAAATTTGTATTGTGAAGTAAATCGAAATATTAAATTGGCTGACTAGAGTGCCTTTAAAAACCATGAATGAATGAATGCCCTTGAAATAGTGGAAAGAATTCAACTGATTTCGCAACAAGAGTATGCAAGATGCAAAATGCAGTAAGAATGCGAGAATAAATCGGTCAAAACATACCAAAACAGATCAAAAAGCAAAAACGGGAATCAAAATGGCACGAACCGTAATGCAACTTTCCTTATGCATGTTCGAGCCATTAGACGTCCCAGAAAATAAAAGGGCCCCTGCCACTCTCGTCCTTCATGTCCACCCATCGGCCCAGCATGATTCGTCCACCAGGGATAATCATTGCTTCATAGCCATGAACCCAGCCAGAAGAACTTCTTGTCCAGGCTGGATCCTCTCCCTTGTCGACTCTCTCGCAGATAGCGAAGCAAATGCGGATCCATCCAACGATTCCCCCAAAGGCCAGCTCTATTGGTTCAATGAAGCCAAAAATTGGGTTAGCTGCATCACTTGTCGCACCGAGTATATTCTGGTGACCTTTGAAGAACAAGCGTCTCCAACCGTGGAAATTAGCTAGAGGAATGACCGAGTTGCATTCGTCGGGCCAGAAAGGTTCGCGTGACCGAGTTTCGATCTCCAGAGTCTGTATTCCTATTAGATCCAATACCCCTTGAAATTGTTCCAGTGATGGCTGTCCAAAATCCTTACCATTATTTCCACCTGATCCCAGTGTGAGTCCAAGTCCGCGCATGACTGACGACGTGCAAGCTCTGCGATATCAGATGGGGTGGGATGAATACATGCTGTTGCTAATATTAGAGGAAAAGCACACCCACATATTAAGTTCTGAATAATGAGACTGACAGTAATATCCGATCCAAGACTTGCTCAAATCCATGGGATGAGAACCATCGGTCTTTCGGGCTTTGGGTTTGAGATCCTTGGACAGTCGGGAGAAAGATTCGTAAAAGGTTCCCTCAGTGGAATTCAGCAGATGTCTCTGCCAGAAGTTTCGAAAGTCCAACAATATGGCGAGATAGGGTATGTCGTGATCGATGAAAGGCTTTCCTGAGATCGGTTCGGGGACAGAGTATACGATCTGGATGTTGTAATCGTCACGGTAGCAGCTTGTGCAAACTTCGGGGTCAAGAGCGAGAGCAGTCAAGCACTGTGTATGAGAAAGTATAGTTAGCACCCGACTCCCTTCTTTCAGACGTGTCCAAGTAAAAACTTACCAGATGAACCGCATAGAAGTTTTCTGAAGGATGATCATTCAGAGGCCGGCTCAAGAAATTCACAGACTTCACAGCCTTTCTAATCTGCTCGTATGTCTTGGATACAGCTCCCACTGGCAGTGAGGTATACAGAACCTCTGATAGCATCGTCTCGATCTCCTCAATCCATGTTTGTATCTGAAATAAATTATTTTTCTCGATGTCGAGCTTATGACGAAGAACGATGGAACGCGTTATGTACTCCACGAAGAGTGCGTCTGAATCTCGGTTTCGTGTCAAGTCGTACTTTTGTTTGTATCGAATCTTCCAGATTGGTGCATTTGGACTGAGTATCCTTTCATACGCTTCTTTACAGGATAATCCAAGCCGAACCACATCTATGTCATGCTGAAGAATGATGGCAATTTCTTGGAGGATCTGGTTTCATCAAGGTTGATCTTTCGTTAGCCAGCTGGTACTCATCTCATACTAGGACAGTATCATCTTACCTCGTTCGGGAGACGGATTAGAGGACTCTCTTGGGCAGTCGAGGGATTTTGAAGCTCTTCTCCCTCCTTGTCGTCCTCCATATTCTTCGTGGTCTCTTGGAGAGTCGATGGATGTTGAGGACAAAGCGATTCATCTTCTTTGTCGTCCTCCATATTCTTCGTGGTCACTTGGAAAGTCGAGGGATTTTGAGGCCAAAGCCATTCATATTCTTCGTCCCCCTCCATGTTCTTCGTGATCTCTTGGGAATTGGCGTATGCTTGGATAATCAAGTCGGATAAGGACTGATGTATGCTCATCATTGCAAGAGGTTGGTGAAAGTGAAAGAAGGCAACTGAAGAAAAGAGCCCGTTTGTCGGGACTTTTCACATACGCGCATGTGCTTGATCATTTACCGATTCGTGCTTGATTTGAAATGTTGGGAAAAGATGAAATTGGAATGCTCTGATAGTTTCTATATGACGTGAGTTCGAAAAACCAATCTTATCTTCGCTGCATGCTTTCCGCCACACCCCAGCCACTGGCCAATAATCCTTTCACTTCCTCAAGACCCATGCCACTCATCTCGGGATATATCTTGTATGTTGCTCCCCATCCAACAACACATATGCCAGCATAAATGACAAAAGTCCAAGTCGGTGACAACCATTCCATCATAGGGAGGAAAGTCAGTCCAACAATGAAATTAGATCCCCAGTTGGTGGCAGTGGCGAGACCAGATCCTAGAGATCGCACGTTCAATGGAAATAGCTCTGACTGTTGCCATGGCACATTACCCAGTCCAAAAGCGTACGCTGCCGTGTATACCGTTAAACAGGCAAGTATCAGTAAGGGATACAGGGCGTTTCTGCCGTCGGTCCCACTTTGACTTTCTGGCGGTGATTGCGAGCCCCACGGAATATCCATCGAGGAGAATGAAAGGGAACAGCAGCATAGTGCGAGGATCATTATAGGTATTGAATATAGTAGAATGCGGCGTCTTCCGATCTTATCAATGTATATAAATGCAAGAAGGGTGAAGAGGAAATTCGTCATTGCGATTGATAAAGATGTCAGTGTTGGTGAAGAGAAGGAGAGGGATTGAAAAATGATCCCTGAGAAGTACATCAAGCTATTAAAACCACATAGCTGTTGAAAGCCTTGCAGCATCATTGCAATGATCAGGGCCCTCCTATTACCTCCATTGTGGAAGAGAGCTTGCAACCTTTCCAAGGTATCATGAAGCCATTGTGGATTTGTGCCTGGAGCTTTCGTTTGATCCATTTCTAGTGCTTCCTGGGTAATTTCCCCTCGAATGTCGCGCAATACTTGTTGTACAACTTCATCTCTGTCGTGGGAGTTTTGATAGATCCGCGTCAAAACCAACGTGGCCTGTGGATCATACCCAGCTTGTACAAGCCAGCGAGGAGACTCGGATAGAGTCAACAGGATTGCGAACTGAAAGAAGGCTGGGGCTGCCCCGAGCCCAACAATCCAACGCCAGCCACCATTGACGTGAGAAAATATCCATCCCACAATGTAAGCCACTACTTGACCGCCAGTAATCAAGAGCGACAAGATTGTAACAAGACGGCCTCTAGCATGCGATGGTGCCACCTCGGCAATATATCTAAAGCACAAGAGATTAGCTTTCTGCTGCCTTCAGTAACTATCATGTGGATATTGTCTTTCTTACAAAGGCGTTACAGCACTCGCGCTGCCAACCGCAAGACCGACAACACTGCGACCCAGAATCATACACCAGATCTGACTCGTAGAGCACTGAATCAGCGCCCCCAGCGCAAACAGGATATCTGCAGCAAGTATGACCTTCCGACGACCATATTTGTCGGCCAATATACCTGTGAATGGACTCGCTATCAAAGCAAATAAACTGGTGGATGATGTTATAAGGCTTTCATCGAGGGTGTTCAAGGGTCGATTGGAGAGATCAGTACCAATGGTGACAAGGGTAGATGATATCACACCAGTGCTATAGATGGTTAAACAAGGTTAGCATTCGCGATACTTTGCCTCGGGATAAGGTGAGAAGGTGCATACTCATAGCCAAAAAGGAGGCCGCTTATGCCAGCTGAAAATGTCAAAACCCATATGAACCAACCATCGGATTTGCTGGAAGCAAAGGGAGGATTGTCTCCGTTATGCTCATCTCGGGGGGCGTCCACGGTATTAAGCAATGGCTCGCTCGGGCCTGAATGATCTATATCCTCTCTCAAATCCATATTCTGGAGAGCTTCGAGGATTTTTCATCGAGATGAGATGGACCACGGAGCACTTGCGAGCATCAGAGGCAGGTAAATGGGGCGGAAGATGAGGAGTGTGAGAGAGCGAATGTCTGGAGGTCGTCTTATGCGATAAGGGCGATAAGGAGACTGTGGAGAACTCGGGAAGCATTTTCCGTGATGAAACTAGTATTGAATTAGTATGGATAGCCCTTGCCATATACTAGTATAGCTTTTACCGCCTAGCACACCGCTATCTGCACTCAGTGTACTGTAAGCTCTACAGAGACATACACATGTAGAAAGATAACGGGAAAGTCTTTCCATTATTCTAATTGCAGCGTCCCACAAGAGCGCCGGGTGCATCGATTTCAGAGCATACAATTGACTATTTGACTTTCCATTTGTCTGCTTTAACACAATAACCAAAGTTAACTATATCCATAGTTCATGTAATTACTCGAGGGCTTTCTGCAAAGTCTCAATTATTTTGTTCTCCTATACACACTGGGATCTAGATCTAGTGCTTAGCCACAACACCAGCTGCATCGGCCTGTGCAGTAATCATCTTCTTGTACGCCTTTACATCACCATCGAACTTGTGTACTGTACCCTGGTCACAAACCCAGAGACTAGTACAGACGTTTTGCAACATAGTCACATCGTGAGAAACCATAACGACACCACCCTCGAAACGCTGGAGCGCCGAGGAAAGCGCATCCATACCTTCAATATCCAAGTGATTGGAAGGCTCGTCAAGAACAAGAATATGAGGATTGGTAAGAGACAGACAAGCAAAAGCGACACGAGACTTTTGACCTCCGGAAAGGAACTCCATTTTTTGAAGACCGGTCATACCAGTGATACCAAAACTATGATGGGAAAGAAATGTTAGTATAAAGTGTCAGAATTGTGAGGTTCGGGTTAAACTTACGCGCCCAGATGTCTTCGGTATTCCTCGTCAGATTTTCCGGGGTATGTCTTTGCCATGAAACTGACGGCACTTGTGTTCATATCGAGAGCATCAACGTGGTGTTGAGCGAAGAATCCAATGCGCAGTCTGGAGTGAGCAGAGATGAGACCCTTCGTCGGGGCGAGTTGGTTAATGAGCAGCTTGAGCACGGTAGTTTTACCAGCACCATTAGGCCCAACAATACCAATACGTGAATCGAGTTGGACAGAAAGCTCGACATCCTTGAGGAGGGGTCTTTCTGGGGTGTATCCGAAGCAAACATCCGCCATTTGGACAATGGGGGGAGACAACTTCTCGACCTCGGGGAACTGAAAGTGCACAGTATATTCGGCCTCGGGTGCTTCGAGAACAGGCATACGCTCGAGCTTCTTGATTCTCGATTGAGCCTCGGAAGACTTGGCGGCATTGTATCGGAACTTGTCAATGAAAGCTGATTGGATAGGTTAGTAAATAATCTGGTATAAAGAAGAGAAGTTTTTTTCCTTACCTTGCAAGTGAGCTCTCTCGGCCATTTGTTTCTCATATTCACGCTTGGCGTTCTTGCGTCGCTCCTCCTTAGTGGCATAGAAAGATTCTAAATGTTTCATTAGTCAAGTCAATTATAATTTCTGGTAGGTAAAACTTACCGAAGTTAGCTCCCTTGTAGTAATCCAATCTCTCAGAGTGTTGGTGGACAATATCGGTAGCAACTTCATTCAAGAATGCACGATCGTGAGAAACCACCAATACTGTACTAGGGTATCCCGAAAGGTAATTAGCCAAGAAAGTAATGGACGGAACATCCAACATGTTCGACGGTTCTGTATCATTTCGTTAGCAACATAAATTTCTCCTCTGATTGCTGTCCTAAAGAGCCTACCGTCAAGAAGCAAGAGATCGGGCTCGCAGAACAGGGCTCGGGCGAGAGCAAGACGCATTCTCCAACCTCCTGAGAACGTCCTTGTGGCAAATTGCTGTCTTTCTTGTGAGAAACCAAGACCAGCCAAGATACTGGCTGCTCGAGACTCTGCTTTGTCGGATTCCATCTCATTAAGTTTGGAGTAAATATCACTCAAGGTGACGTCCAGGCCCTCTCGTTCTTGATCTAACCTAGCAGCATCCTTTGATGTATCTGCTAAAGTCGATCGCTCTTCTTCGATGGCCGCTAGTTGTTTTGAAATTTTCTAGGCAGTCATTAGACAAAGACTCCGACATATAACTTGGAGGGAACTTACTTCTTGTTCACCAAGAAGGTGCTTGCGCCACACATCGGCATCCAGAACTGCTTGCAAGGCCGGTGTATCGTCACCGGTAATCTTCGAGATTGAATAGGTAAGTATCAAAAATAGACGACCATTGCCGATTTCTAGGCGGGAGAAATTGAATGCCTACCTCTTGTTCGACGTGAAGAATGGAAATATGGCTAGGAATGGCGACTTCTCTGCGACTCAAGGCTCGCAACAGAGTAGACTTTCCGATACCGTTCTGACCAACAAGACCATAGCGACGACCGTAGGCCAAGGTAAGGTCGGCATCGGTCAAAATACGCTGGCCTCCGATCGTAATATCGATTCTGTCCAGCTTGACATCCTTGCTCTTTGACTGTGAATCCGAGCCCAGCTGGAGCGGGTTAACAGCCATGAAGAATTCTTCGTACGTCATCGTCTCGTCCGGTTGGTTGATCAGACGAGAAGCCTCGTAGGTAACTGTCTTCATTTGCTTCTTCTCTTGCTTAGCGCGAATCTTGCGCTCAGCCTTCTCCAGCTTCTTCTTGTCCACGCGAGATTCCACCTTACGGGCATTGGCAGACTCAAGGTCTACATTTGTACCGGTCAAGCCAAGAGTTGAGGACATGTTGCGTTGCGAACCGACATTGATAGTCTGGTCCAGCTTCTTTGCTGCAAAGGGCATCTGTCGCTGCTCACCATCGGGGCCATTTGCGGAGCTCAACGACGTAATAAATTTTTCCACCAGGTTTCCAATCGCATTGCAGTTCTGCGGAGAGAAGTCTCCGGAAGCTGATATCAGGAGTTGCGTCACCGTCTCAGCGGCTTCGACCAGAGGAGATGGGGCATTGGCGTCTTCGACATAGAGATGAGAGGCGTGGGTCAAGTATCCCTATGAAAGCTATTAGCATTCCTTCAAGATAATGAGGGTGTCACACTGGGGACATACCACGGAGTACTCTGAAATGACGTGGTCCAGGCCAGGTATGTGGGCCTGTAGTTGAGCCTCCATTATGCGCTTTCTCCAGTCTTGAGATTGAACCAAGTAGATTGAATAAATTGCCCACTCTCACGAGGTCCGATAGATCTGGGGTAAAGCTGCAGAGGAAGTGGCATGTTTTGTGCGTTATCGATAAGGTCACATGATATTATCGCAGTCCTTATCTATTCTCCCGTCAACTATATCAAGTGCTATTTTTGGCCCCCATGCTTCTATCGCACAGTATACTACTTTTGGTTGAATACTTTTGCTCCTTATGTACCTTCTACTCCGTAAAGCCTTGGAGGATCCGCTCCAAATATTTTGCATACAATTTTTCACCTATCAATTTTTCTTGTGTCCAATCTTTAATAGAAACGGTTGTAGATCGTTCCTTAAAGGAATAAGCTACTCGGTCTGGCTTTTGAGCAATACTCCGGTTCCGAGGCTAAATAAATAAAATTAAGCAAGCGCAAGATCAATCGAGTGGAGGAAAGACTTTTTTATATAAGGCTCCTAAATACCCAAGTTCCATCGCAGTTGATTGATATCCTGCCCAGTATTTACCAAATACAAAGGCCCAGAACTGGCCCTTTCCTCATCGACTCCTAATATTAAAATGTCCGTCTATTCGACTCTGCGCAACGCGCTATTCTTCCTCATTCTTCCTACGCGACTGGTGATATGGTGGCTTTACTTCATACCTAAGTCCAACCGTCAGAACCCCGCATGGTCATGGAAAACATCGGTTTCTGTGCAGGCTGCTAGATCGTTTATACGACATCATACGGCTATTCGCTATCGCACCCCCAAGTCATTAGAGCCAGGCCCAGATGGAGACAGATTCATTATCCTTAATCCGCAAAATACCCTTTCTAACACAGACTCACCGGTCTATAAAGGGATACTCAACTCCGTCCCAGACATCAAACCAGTACCAACTGGTGCTGTCTGGTACCCGGCTGCTCCGGTCCAACCCCCCAAAAAGTTGGTTATTCATTTCCACCCGAGTGCCTTCGTAATTTTGGGTGCTCGACCCAGCGACGATACCGCACACGGCTGGGGCCTTGACCATTTCAGTGAACTATCCGGATGGCCAGTTCTGTCAATCCAATATCGACTCTCCCTAGATGCGGACAAGACTTTCCCCGCAGCTCTTCAAGATGCATTTACCGCGTATGCCTATGCGCTGGGAACGTTGAAGATTCATCCATCTCATATTGTGCTTGCGGGCGAGTCAGCGGGGGGAAATCTCGTTCTTGCCATGCTGCGATACATTCTCACAGACAATCAAGCATTGCCTTTACCTCGTTCGGCACTTTTGCTCTCACCGTGGGTTGATTTAACTGATGAGGGTATGAATAAAACGAAGATGCACCAAAATGCAAGAGTCGATTATATTGGATATGACTTGGGTCATTGGGGTGCAACTAGTTATATTCCTCCTGGCTGGGAAGAAACCAGCCCCTATTTCACTCCGCTTGGAAGCGAGTATAAATTGAGTGTGCCTCTTTTCGTTCACGTCGGTACGTCAGAGGTCCTTTATGATGATATTATGCAGTTTGCGCGAAATATGAAGGAGAAGGGTACCGATGTCGAATTGCACGAAGCTCCTAATGCTCCTCATGCTATCTTTTCGGCGGGAAAGGGCCTTGGAATGGAGGATGTTGCTATTGATGGTCATGCGCGGGCAACAAGATTTATTGAGAGGACAGGACCCACCAGTGAGAGTGAGGTCGCTGGTCTGCGTTGATCGTTTTGACCATTGTGTTTATATCGGAGCTTTGGAATGTATATATGAGTTCAAAGTTTCCTGGAATTTCCTGTTCGGGTAGCGGCCAAAATTTGAATGACATATGGCGTGAAGGTTTGTGGAGTCGGATCAATCCTCAATCGAACCAGCACATATTTAATTTTAGAAATAAGAATATCAAATAACCGATCCGCCGCTTATGAAACTATCGGAAAATGATAGTGATAATTCACACGTCGGCGTCACGGCTATTGGGTTCCAAAGATAGATTGCTGCAGCTTTCCTTTGAACTTGAAGGCGCTCGAAAGTCAATATCTTGCTGGGGTTGAACATACATTGCCCTGGAAACAATGTTCAATTTGTCACACTATCACACTGCTAGCTCTGGAAGAGAGAGATCATATTTCTTGATGCGCCGATCGCATTAGTTCAAGTTTCAAGTTGCAAGCATTCTGGTTTACAACATACGCGAAGAATTTAGTTAAAGTTTCTAAGGTGACAGTATGACGGTCTAAGTCCCAAGTAAAGAGACGGGCAGATTCTTAGGCACGGGATATTGCGCCATGATTGGTACATGGTTGAAGCGGAAAGTTTCTATACTGCTTTCTTTTTTTCTCTCTATCAATTTATTATTTAATTTGAAGAAAGTATAATGGATGAAAGAGAGCGGCGGTGTATAATAGCGACGTTGTAAGAAAGTGCCCCAGTGTTATTGAGGAGATTCTGTTTTCAGCAAAACGTAAACAAACGACAACCAATGATCCCCGGGGCCACCTGGTTCCTGGCTGCATGATGTCGACCAACCGAACGTGCATTGACAGATTTCAGATCGAAAGCTCAATTGGCTCGGACCCTTGAAGGAAAAGCCATCACCTGCAAGTGACTGTATCACGTTGGCTTGGAAAAAACACGTCAACAAAGCTATCGGGAGCTTATCAGCCAATAAACCTAGAATCTAGCTAACAACCAAGTTCAAAGCTTCCAATGGATCCTGGACGATAGACACATCGACTTTCCCGGCTGTCAATCCTGACCAGCAGGTTCAAACAGGGGTTTTCATGATTCATTTAAGTGCGTTGTCGATCGCAGGTGCAGGAGCCAATTTGTCTCAGGGGGAAAGTTATAGGACAGGGAGATACAAAGCAAATATAGATAATAGAAGATAAAATAAAATGGGAAAAATAGATTAACAAAAATTCTAATCATCGCTTGGCTGTTCTTTGGAATTTTGAAAGACTCAAAATTGACTTCGAATTGACTTTTCCATAGCTACATCCTTCATTCATTTGAGCCTGGCGACCGTAAAACTCGGCAGTCCGAACCGACTATCGCGTTTGATCCACGGCAAATTCCCCTTTCATTTACAAAGTGGAGGAGGGTATGACGATATGGATCGGAATTCCCACCCATGCCAGGCTTCTCTTTCCAGATCCCACATGTTATCCCGAGATTTCATAATGGCCCCGCTTGTTTCCAAGGGAGATCCGGCACGGAATAGAAGCGAGGAACGATGGAGGAGGGATCAGCGAAACACAAATTGGATCGAGTGGATGTCAGACTTCGAGAAGAAATAGAATCATCCTGAAACTGGATCAGGTTGTTCTGGGTTGGAAAATAAGTAAAACTACCCCACGACGTCCACAGGAATGAATGCCCTAGGCATATTCAAGTGTCCTGGGGGGGGGGGAGAAAGAAGAATTGGGGGAGGGGCTGTTTCAGATGGTGACAGCGCCAGACCAAGTAAACGCTCAGCACGCCCGGTTTGAACAGAGCCCTGTTTTACTGTTTTTGTTGGCCTTTATTTTGTTTTTTCCCCTCAGTGGCTTTCCTGGAAGCCGTTCGTCCAACCGGTGGACACAGATCGGCCGAACTGGGGCCCTTGCGATCGGGCGACTAACGATCCTGGGAAGGTGAGGGGGCCAGCTAAAGACGCGATCCCAGCCGTAATGAGCTGGATGTGGGGAATTCTTGGATCGCATGGCTTTTTCTGTCCTGCGTTTCTGCTTTGCTGCCCTCTTTCATGTCTCCGCTTCTGGCTTTCCCTTGGGTCATCCACAGCCACTCGCATCCACTCGCGGACTTCTCCGTATCTGTAAGCCCAGTTAGTTTCGGTCTGGACACGAGCAGAAGCTGCAATGTGAGCCGCAAGGGGCCCGCATCTTCATTTCCGTCAGATTCTGTCATTTTCAATTCTCGATTTATTTTGTCTTTTCTTGTTCGGGGGTGGGTGGTGTTTGGGTCAGAGATGAGGAAAATAAGTTGGAAGACGAAGAGAAGTGTAGTTGAGGGTGAAGAGGATAAACAGGGTAAACACATCACCAAAAACAAGATTTATCATTTATATCGTAGATCCAAGATATTAATAAATCAAATTTAATCTAAATTATGATCTCTCTTTCTTTCCCTCCCCTGCGGACAATATTATTGACTTGCTCCTAGCGTGGCCCAATCCCCAGCTGAGTTTAGCGTAGTAAATCCCCGAGTCGTTGTTGTTGTTGATTGCACACTCCACTTCCTCTCCCTCTCCGTCATCGACTTTTCTCCCCTTCTTTCTCTGAGTCAAGGCGCCCCTATGAAGGGCACGGTAGGGTGTTAATACGTTTGATATTTCACCTCCACGTTCGTTTCTGGTTTGAGTTGCCCCCTGGCCCATGATCGACAATCGCGCGTCGCTGTGAACTCTACCCCCTCCGGCTCCCACTTCCGCTCGCCAAACACCATATGGGATGTCATTCGCAAAGACTTTCGACCCTGCGGAGCTAAGCTGGAGGGTGCTTGACACTGTTCTCGGCCGCCTCTGAGGATGGATCACATATCCACGGTATAGTTGTCTCGTTCGCCCCCAATCTCATGTGGCTGGGAACTAACATCGCCCGTTCAGCTCTGTGCCTTGAGCACTGTCGGGATTGCTCCCACTGGTCTCGCGCTTGGCCGCGTCGAACGGAGCAAACCAAGCATCTTGCGACGCAAGACTTTATCCCATGATCAACCACTACCCAAGCTTAGCGAAGCAACCCCCGTCGATGTGCGCCCCAAAACATCGCGATCGATACGACCGAACACCGCGCGGGCGAGTTGGACCCTGAGTGGGAATGACACCGATGGAAGTGACAGTTCGCGCGGTCTGAAATCAAATGGGTTGGAGAGTAGAAGAGCGTCTCTATCCTTCGGCGCAGCCAGACGTCGTCGTCGCGGTCAAACACTCACCAGCCCGCCCCTACGCATCCCCGAGAACGAACCCACCGAGTCGCATTCTCGAAGGCCTTCTACCGGCTGGCTCCGACGCCTTTCTATAGTATCTTTTCAAACCGAAAGCCCGTCGACTAATAGCCCGGTAACCCCGTCCTTTAATGGATCTGCCAGTCCCATTCTCCCCCGTCCAGCAAGCCAACGGAGGTCTCCCAACAAACTTATCAAGCGGACTTCATCACAACATTCAAATGTTCACCCCCTTTTTGTTAATACTTCTGTGTCGCCTGCTTCTGCTTTACGGAGACCGGCCACCAGCCATCAGCGCTCAGATTCCGCACGATTACAGTCCCCACTTGTCACAGATTTCGAATCCCGGTTCTCAGATTGTTATTCATTTGATTCTCCGACAATTGAGGATTTCGAGCTTCATTCCCAAGATGACTGGAAGCCTTACTTTCTACCAAAGTCGGAAGGATTTTCAGACAAGCTTGCTCGAAAACTACCCGCTACTGGGACTCCCATGTTTCCAGGTGTGCGGCGAATAACCTCCGATCAGGACAGCCTTCCGGCCTTGGTCCTCGCAACCACAGCAATGAATAGACCTCTTTTCCATACCTGCAAGCATACGGAACCTGAAACCCCGATCGAATTCCGGAATCCATTCCAGACCGATGCAGCTGATCGGATCACCCCTCTTCCAACACCCCCACCAGAGAAACCAATTCACAAGCACTCCTACTCCATGAATGATGCGGAGCCTAAGAAAATGATTGTGAATACCGTCTCAGCGTCTGGAAACCCAGTTCTTGGACGACCTCGAGGTGGCTCTCTCAAACGCGTAAAGGGCAGAACATTCTCTATTCCTCGATCAGAGCTTTCAAAGCTAGAGAATGCAATCCCAAGCTCGCCTGTCCAACCGCAACGGCGTAATATTACCGACCCCAGCATCTTCCGCCGGCCGCAAGAGCTCTCGTCACCCGGCTCGTCTCTCAACCCCTTCGCGGGGAATTATCAAGTTGGACCTCGATCAGTATCACAAGATTACAACATTGGTTTACGCCGTCATCGTCCGTTGACCTCAGATGCCATTGCTGTATCAGCTTGGCAACATTCCTGCCAACCAAAGAGCGGCACTTACTCGTCTCTGCGTCGTCGTCCCAAGAGGCATTCGATCGCTGCATCAGACCCGTCCTCCACTGTGATCGGATCCGATGACACCCGCGTCTTCACATCAAGCGATGAATACGAGACCGATATGATGACGGATTGCTGGGACTCAATACGCACACGTGAGACCAACGTAAGCGAATTGAAGGGGTTGAGGATAGAGACGATGTTTGACAGGGCAGGAACGCGATTCTTGAACGAGGAAGTCACCACCCTAGAGCAACTTCTGCCGCGGGGTTCATTTGCGTCACGTATGGAAAGAGACCCGCCCTTGTTCCCTGATTCTCTTCTCCCCGCCGTCCCTCTTCATGTCAACATTAATGATACCGCAACCTTGTCTGGGGATGAGGATGAAACGCTCAGCATGATTGGGGAATTGCCTGGGAAAGAACACACCATGTCCATACAAAACTCTTCAGTCATGTCGATAACGAATCAGCCAGGGCAGTCCAGTTCAGACCTTCCTTCCACCATGATTGGTTATGGTTCATCAACTGAAGCATCAAATGTGAACCAAAAGATGAATATCTTCGACTGGTCCGAGCAGTCACGCAATGACCGAGACATGTCCGACTCCGAAGCACGTCCAAGAACTGTACATGGTAAACAAAATGGTATCGACAGGGGAAGCCGAGCGGCCTGTCGCAAAGTTCCCTCCGCTGTTCACCTTCGAAGTCAAAGTGTGCCCGTGGCGCGAGACCCAGCAACCAGTGAATCCCGTCAAACATCAGGTAAGTTTGGCACCTGGGGTTTGGGCAGCAAGGGCGTGAGTGAGGATTGGGACAGTGATTTCGACTTTGACGATGACATGGAAGAGGCAACTCTGAGCCAAGACACAAAGACAACCGAGTCGGAAGGTCCTTCTCAGAGTATGGCTGTTCCCCAGGCAATTTTGGAGCGTCAAGCCAGTCTGCGAGGTCAATTTGGTCAAGTTCAGGAGCTTACATTGCTGGTGGAGGAGCTGAAGCGGTTGAGGCACCAAGCAAGCGTCCTTGACATTCTAGGTGGACCATCAAGTGAACTTTGGAAGGAAGCCGAAGGGATCATCAACCTGGCTACTATTGACGATGATGATGACCACCATTCACCTCCTGGCTCTCCGTCCTCACTCACATTCAGCTTTGACGAATCGGATGAGGAAGGTCTAGCTGCTTCATCGAAGCAGAATAGTGCCGCGTCATGGCAGGGGAGCCCTCCACAAAACGGGTTACAGCCACCTTCAGCAATCAGGGCGTCGAATACAAGCAATAATAATTCTCTGTCATCGAACACCCAACTTTATACCTCACCACTTGGAAGACTTTCTAAAGATTCGCCCAAGTCCGAATCCGTGGTTGAATTCATACAACCTAATGAGCGACCTGAGCCCTCGACTTTACCGCGCATTACTACTACTACATCTCGCCCTCAAAAGCTTCCGTTCGACACTTCGTCTCTCCGAGATCTTGTGGTTCGTGCGGGAGTGGTCACTCGTGCCCTAAAGGAAGTGATTCGCAAGGCGGAAGGCGTCGACCCAAATCCGCAAGATGTATTCCCGGCCGATCCTCCTTTTCGCCAAATCTTTGAAAAGCCTTCTCATGATGATTTTGCAAGCTTTGAAGCTGCATTGGCTGAGATGCATTAGTTGGTCCCCATACTGGCCCAGTGCGGGCCTCGCGATGTCTCTACTTATACCCGTTTAAAGTCCAATGGAGTTGCTGGCCCTGACTTGGACAAAAAAGATACCCTTTCTATTTTGGCTGTTTCCATATTTTAATGAGCCCCTCTCCCTCGATATCTCTCCCTGCTTCTTTCCATCATGCTTTCTCTCCCTCCCTTCTTCTCTTCTACCTATCTTCTACAATACTCCTTGAGTACATGATCTATTTCCTTCTCATCCAGGAACACCCTGCCCTTCCCTCAAAAGCCTTCTCATCTTTGTACAACTTTTTTCTTTTCTGTACATTGCTCAAACACGCTTGTTCCTTTGCCATTGTGCAGGTACCACGCCATTTTGCATACCAAGGACTATTTCAATTTCTTTTGTTTTTATTTTCAGCGTCGCCGCTTCTTTCCTTTCCTTTTCATGGCATACCTGCGCGACTCATATTATAATTGCGCTGTAATAAGTACGGAGGCTTTTGGTCGAAATGATCTGCATAGTGATGATGTTTTGTGAACGAAGACCTAACCATGAAAATCAATGAGGTCCAATGTCAGACATATTGTTTGTCTGGGCTCGATCCCAGAAACAAAAACATTTATATATTCTTCATAATCTACTCCTTTAGAAAGACCGCTTGATTATAGTAGTTTCAATGCCTATCACTAAATGTAAAATCCTACGGTCGGTTACCTTTATATAGCTTGGATGGCTGATCAGAGCTGCCAATCAAAATCAGGTTTACCACATCTGCACTGCACATGTGTCTGAGCGCCTAGCGGCATCTGTAACTTGTACTTGGCTTCATCACATGTGGCGGAGCCTCATCTGAGGGGGCTGAGCCCTGGGCTCCTTTTTCCAGTATTTAATCGTCAACATCCAGAGATGTTCAAAAATTGATAGCAACACGTCTCCAAGTTTTCTACATTGGATTAAAATTCAACATCACGGCAAACCATGGCAGCCTGGACGCGTCCCGCCTACGACTTCACTATCTGGAGTAGCCTGCCAGCTCCACCATCTACAGCGGCTCCCCAGCAAACGCCAAAGACATTTTCAACTCAAAGACTTAATGGAGATGTCAATGAGTTTTCTATAGATTATACTATAGATTATACTATAGATAATTCAGACGCTTTGAAGGATTCAATCGTGAAGTTCGTAACGTTACCATTGCTAGGGAATCTTTTGATTTAACCTGATATCAGCATCATACAGATTGACAACTATGCAGCCCCAGTTACAAAAATTCTTGACGCCATCTTCCCCGGATTTCCTCATACACTCCTCGAAAAAGTAGTTAGCAATGCATCTACTGGTCAAAGTGTCTCCGTCATACCACGTTCCTACAAGCACTCCGACGGTTCGTCTCTCCAATAAACATTACTTCCAACCAAGAAATCCTAACTAACCATATGTAACATTTATAAGATTTTTCTTGTTTAATAAACCGCCCAGTTTTTTACCGCCTAGATTCTAACTCCCAAACTCAAGTTGAAGTCACTCATATGGGCTTTCTCCCAATCGCTACCTGGATTGGCCAATTACCAACAATAAAGCCTTTACATAGCGACTCCAAAGTATTTATCATCTGCACTGATTCTGTCGTCGGTGATCTCATAGCCTCTCACTATAGCGCTGCGTATGAGACTCGATGGACACGGTTGCAAAAGACTCCTCTTTGGATGTTTGCAGATCTACTTCATATCTTTGGTGACTGGAATCAAGTCTGGAATACCACTAAAAGCAATCTTGTTCAGTATCGTCATCAGATTCATGAAGTTACTCGCACGACCCCGTTACTCCAGCTGACAAGAGCACTTCATGATGAAGCTGCTAAGATACTCTCTGTGAGTGAGCAGTTACGGGTGCATTCTAGTGCTGTAGCACGCTTTCTTCGTCTTCGTGAGGTGAATGAGGATCATGGCCTTGCTGAAAGAGCTCAGGAACATTTTGAGGATATTCAATATCATGAAGAGACTTCTCAGGTCATTTTGCGGCAATTGGAAAATATGACTAGTCTGGTACTTGATAACCGTGTGTATGATAGTATCCTAGGATATTGCTGATGAAGGCTCTAGGCATTTAATATTGAAACGATGACACAAGGTCAGGCTGTGGCCAGATTGAATGTCCTTGCCTTTGCATTTCTTCCTATATCTTGGGTTGCGGTAAGTTTGATTTTGTGATGTCTCCCATCATAGTCCAGCCTGTGAGCTAATCGGTAATCAAAACAACTAGAGCATATTTGGAATGACACAATTCTCGCTATCCGCAGTCTGGTATCCATTATGCGCCTTCGTTGTTCTTATATTCGTTGTCTCGCTTCCTTTGGCTTTTCCTGTACATGGCTTCTATCGCTATGTACTGGGACATGTGGCTCCGCGCTGGATGAGACCTGCATCCATGGACAAACTAGCCCCAAGCTTCAAAGGTAGCAATGCCGTGGAAATCCGCAAGGACAACGACGATGACCAAGCATATAGTACTGATACCAAGAGCCCTTGGAAAAAAGCCACGTCTATGTTCCAAATTCCCCTCGGACAGCGAGGTCCTGTTGTTGCGATCCAAAGACCTAGCGGTCCATCGCCTCACTATAACAGAGTCGCTGGGGCGACTTTCCCCGCTGTTTCAATTCAAATGCCTAGCGCCACGGTCCCATCGCCTCACTATAACAGAACTGTTGGGGCGAACCTTTCTATAATATCAGAGACTACGGAACCACAAAAGACTATGGGTCGTTGGCTTAACTATACGCCAATGTTTGCATCTTTACAGTCATCTTTGTCGAGCGCCACAAAGTATACCCGGAGTACGTCTGGCCAGGTAGCTTCTCAGAAATTCGAAATGAGTGCTGCTGTGGAACAGTCTGTAGACAGTCATATTGTCTTGTCGTCGGCTACGGTCGAAGGGAAGAAAGATACTAGTTTCACGGCACGGTCGATTGATTTGGAAGCGCAGAAATCGGATTCCTCATCATAGAGAATAGATTTGGTTTGAAGCATATTTGTCCTTGTTTACTTTATAAATGCGAATTCTACGTCTGCGCAGTATAAAGAAACACCAGAAGGCCCATTTGTTCACCGTTACGTCATGTATCTTTAATTAAAAGAGAAATTTACCTGTCTTTTCTTCCATTTGTCTTTCCACTTGTTTTCTATGTAAAGCTTACGGTATGGACAGTGGTGTACTAGGTAAGGGTTTATATTTACGGACTGGATTCGTGAACGTGACTGCCTTGGACATTGGTTCCAAGGTTTCGTTCCCTCACGTGGGCAGACCTGACTTCCTTCTTCTTTCCATCACCGTCTGTCTTCGAAATCCATGCTATCAAGCTCAAATACCTCACTCATCAATTCTCGAAGCCCATCACACACAATCATGGCGGCAAGTCTTTGCCCAAATTTCCGGATCATGACTATATGAGACTAATACCTATATTCAATAGTTTGTAAGCGACGTCGGAATCCAATATTATCTCGAAGAGATAAGTAGAGACTCCAGATGCCGGGAGATTACGATTGATAATCTCTGGCTTCGTATCCTTACGATCCTTTTCCCACCTCGTCAAATATTCCTACATATGCGCGAGGACTACGAAAACGAAAAGGCCCAGGCAAATGTTAGTGCTGGTATTCTCCGCAGACAACAACGATGCAAAGCCATCGTCGTAGAGAACAAGAAGCCGTACGGAAACGGAACACATGACCCACCACCAAGGCAGTGGAATTCATCAATGGAACACTTGATAAAAACCATGATTAGCGTCCGTGAGGGGCAGGGAGAACTTCCCTTCGGTCTGTTCGGTGTGGCTGGTATTGGCTTGTATGCCAAGTTTTTTCTACTGAAAAACGAAATGAACGAACTCGAAGCCTTCGAATTGGACGACGGAGCTTACAGCATATCAGATGACGAGAGTGCTCAAGTTCTTGAAAGCAAGTTGTTGGCAATGAAGGTCGAAATTGATCAGGTTCAACTTGAAGAAAAGCTGTCAAGCTGAAAATCATGTGGATTCCGTTACTATTCTAATTACTTTAAAAGTTTCCTTACGTCTTTACGGGGTCCATCTAGCATTATTTCTCAAGTTCAAATACAATGAATCAAATGTAAGGACAAATAGAGAAATATCTCTTGGAGATACTGCGGATTATACTGATAAGCTCATTCAAGAATGAAGAAATGTTATACCTCAATCTTGGAGAGATATTTGACGAATGTGGGTTTAAAGCGCAATTTGGCGATATCCAGGGCTTGTAGGAGTGCTCAGTGTTACCACCTACTGTACATACTACGGCCTGTATCGTAGTTTTCCGCCGAGTTAAAACTTGAATAGGCTAAAATGGGGGTTCTTCTCTGCGCGCTATAGTCCCCCGTACATACTAAGGGGTCAATTTAGATTGGATCCTCGCAGACAAGCTCCTCATAAACAAGCAAAGCAAAGTATAGGGCAGAATAGAATGGTGCATACGCCGAATCAGGGATCACTTTTCACTCGGACGTTACACTACATGGATATAGTAGCCATGATCCCTCTCCTATCTCTCTCTCTCTCATACACCTCTCCATCCACGCTCATCGTTCCGTATCAACATTGCTTTGTTTTGGACAGTGACTCGGAACATGGGGTGGAAATAGTTGATCCCAGCCCAAGGGTCATCATCCTGTAATCCTGTTTGATGTCAGTGCCACTGATGATGTGAATCGATACAATTTTTGAATTGACTCGAAGAAATACTCACCTGAAAGTCTCCAGAAAAGGCTATGAGTTGTGATTTTGCATCTAGGTGCACAAGTCTTGGCTGGGATATGGAAAATGGCTTCCGTTCGCCTACCCTGTTGTAGCTTATACAATCGGACTTCGTTGTAACCGCCCGTATAGCATGAATTCCATAGTCTCCAACCCATACATCAAGCCCTGTTAAAATACCACCACAAAGGTCGACTATGGTTCGCTTTCCAGGGATTCGATATCCAAATGGCATTTCCTGTTCATCTAATCTGTAAATAAAATCCAGTCCTGTTATAAATGTATACAGAAGTTCGTCAAGAACAGAAACAGCAATTTTCTGAACTCGGCGAGGCAGAATAATTGTGTGAGATAGTCTCATGTGGCTCAGACTAAAGCATAAACCACACGAGTCTTCCGATGATGCAAAGAGATGGCGCAGGGCGTTTCTGCGTGTTGGGTAGCCACAGCATCTGTAATTCGTTTGGAAACCCGAGGATATCCAGCATAGGTTGTGATCTGGATGGATGTGGTCATATGATGAAACAAGGCCCGCCGCACCAGTAATTAGGTATAGATTTCTGATCATCTCATTGTTGACCCACTGCCTTCTCAAGTCACTCACCAAGCTCCTTCTCATAGCATAACTGGTGCAGGAAAACAAAAGTCTATAATATTCATCCTTTCACGAATTTCACGAATTTCAGAGAGCCTCGCCCTCCATAAACTTCAAATCTCGTTTTCCAAAACTGCTGGCTTTCAAATAATGGAGCCATGGCCTTTGATGAAAGTCTGAGTGAAAAGAAATCGGCAGTCGAGATGTTGTTAACAACTTCAAATCGAAGCTCCACCGGAAGCAACAAGAAAGGATCGAATTAGAACTTGTATTATGGACAAAGCGAGCTTCGAATCTTCGAAGCCTTAGTAAAGTTTCCTGGGCCTCGTTGGCCCTCAGAACTTGCCTCCAATTTCTCCAGTTCAATCTTTTGTCTTCTGAAGGCTCAGAGTAGCCTATAGCTTTTGAACTACGGTCCAACGCTCTATCATTACAGAAAAGCCCCTATGGATGAAACATACCTGATAATGGTCCATATCCTGGGCCCGATGCCTGTAGTAGTGCCTTCATCAGCTTATCAAAATCGGGCATTGTATCAAAATGATTCATCAATCTTTGCCAACAAAGATCATGAGCTAACCACCTGGGCTTGTTAAGTTGAAAGGGATAATACGGTGAAGCTGGCCTGTCTGGATTAACATATGTTGGCATTTTAGAGGCTCGAAAGGTTTTGACCAAGTCCGAAATTAATGTCAATCACCTATAATTTACGGGAGTCCTGCCTCCAGGGCTAGGATATTTTAAAGGAGCGGTGTCAAACTGACGGTCTTGCAAGCTTTCTCTGGGATCTTCCCAAAGGCATAATACACAAAGATCCCACTTATATACCTGCATGATGTGGATGATCCTTGGTGAATGTGTCTATCTCTCTTTGTTTCTCTCTTGAAGAGAAAGAAACATTGAAACAGAAGTCGGGGTGATAGATCCATCGGATTGCATGAGTCAATTTTCTCATATTTGAACAGTCATGGCTATGTAATCGACATTGGAAGACGCTATTCGAGAACTTAAAATATGACGCTCCGAAATAGTAAAGTAGCTAGCCTCGAACTTTATTTAAACACAAAGCTCATCTCTTTTTTTTCTCTCTAAATGGTACATTGAGCTACGCAATGGCATCATAAAATAAAAATTATTCACATTCCTATCGTAGCTTTAAGATCCTTTAAAGGCTAATAAAACTTGAGAAATTACTTTGGCAAGTTTTTGCAAAGTAGACGATAGCAAAATCAAGTATTTCGGGTTCATTCTTTAGGGCTTCAGGGGTATCAAATAATTTTTAAAGAAAAAGATAATGCTTTGTTACTGTTGGCCATAGCAGCTTTACTCGTCTTCTTCCAGGGCATGGACCTTTGTAGCTGTCACGTAGTCTGTCGAATATTTGCTCTTCGCCCGAATCCTGCGTCCATAAAGATAAAACAAAATTGGAAGAGGTATCAACAAAGCAGCGACGCAACCGAGCAATGTACTAGCCCAGTTAACACCAAGCGAATCGAACTGATAGTATATTTATATCAGCAAAATTCAACGAATTCGAGCGCAGGTTTCTACATACCATGTACGTAGCAAAGAGAGGGAATACTGCTCCAGCCGTAGATCGTAGGATACTATTAGCAGCCAATGCAGACGCAGCACTAAGAAATCAGAAATCAGTATTAGCAGGAAGTCCGGAATGGAGTTCTATAAGATCAAAAACAAGACCACTTACAAGAGAAGGTAAGCATCGACAATATAGTTAAATGCCTGCAAGAAAATGCACAGCAACCCGAAGCCTATCAGCAGGCCGGACAAAGTAGGAACAATCCAGTGGGTCTCAGCCCTAAATCCAGACCACCCGAACCAGAATAGGCCGCCAGAAAAAGCAACGCTCCCCACAATTGCTGGGGGTAGGCGCCATTCCGGAATTGGAATGTCATTATTAGCCTTGAGCTTCCGGTTATACCAAGGCTGAGTGAGGATGATGAACAGTCCACCAAGGAACTCGCCGATGATTAATCCTATATAAGGAAGTCCGCTGACACCTTTCTCAAATCCGTGGATCTTTTGAAAGACGATCGGATAAGCTGTGAGGAAGAGGTAGAGAAGACCATATAGAAAGGCCATGTATATACTGAGTAATAGGACAATCGGCTCTGTGAAAAGAATCTTGATCGGCCGGCTAAAGTTCTTCTGTAGAAGTTCGCGAAAGTCAATCTCTATCTCTTCTTGTTTCGCGTGGATTCCCCAGTTCTTCGTGCGTCGGCGTAGCTCAGCGGCCTTTTTCACGAGAACAACGGGTGGGTATGTCTCGTTTAAGAAAAGGATATCGAGAATCAAGGCCGAAGCACCCGTTATCCCGGTAAGATATTCGGTCCATCGCCAACCTAGGGGGCTTTGTACAATAAAGCCTCCGAGGGTGGAAGCGAATAGTGGGCCTGTGAAGACTGTCATTGCAAAGACTGTGATTGCAAGTCCGCGAATGCGATTGTCGAAAATATCCGAGAAAACAGCCGCCACAACGGCAAGCGGACATGCGCCGAAGAATCCCCCGAAAAAGCGACATAGCATAATAGTCTGAAGGTCTTTGGCTGTTGCAACGGCGAATTGAAATATGGTGAAACCGAACATGGAGATTAATATAGGTAGACGTCGACCATGTAGCTCGGACAGTGGTGCCCATATAATTGGCCCTGTTGCAAATCCAAGCACGTATAATGATAGGCCCAGGGTAGCTACCTCTGTAGAAATCTTAAACTCCGGGGATATAACTGAGATTGCAGTGGAGTATATGCTGCTGGTAAATGTCGCGTTGAATGTCGTCCATGATAGCATCATTGCGGTTGCTATCTTCTTGCCCATAGACCAGTTTTGAGGGTGAAGGGGATCATTTGGGCCTGCAAACTCCACTACATACTCTTCCTTTTCTGGTAACTGCTCTGGGTATGGTTTTCCGGCTCCAAATTCAGGTAAAGGTTTGTATGTTTCTCGGGACTTCGTTGATGCTCCCACTGTTGCTGTGTGTTGACTTCGATGTGTTGCGATCCTGCTTAGTGCTGTGGGATGGCGTTCGAGGCTAGGTTCATATTGGGAGTATGCGGTCTGTACACGGGACATGTATTCCTGCGCATCTTGAGAGGATGTGGATGAAAGTTCTTGTGAGGTGATAGAATCAGACTCGTAGATGGTACTACCAAGACTTGGGTTTTCTTCACGACTTCGGTTGTGTTCGACTTTTTCGGGGTCTGTGGATAGCGTCTCCATGATACCAATGCCCGGCAACGGAAATTCTTTGAGGTATTACTTGGTGTGTCTCGAGATAGTAGGAAAGGTACTAGGACAAGAATTATTGTATAAGTTGATGTACTAGCAAGAATAAACCGGTCCATCTCCTGCCACCATTATTATATTTTTACTTCATTTTTTCTCTCTCTTTTTTCTTCGCCTTCGCATGACCACAATGGGCCTAGCAATACCACTTGGACGCTTGGTAGCTTCCCAGCGGCAAAATATGGAGACACCAAAAGCATCCCAGAAGGGAACTAAGATGTGGATTCCATCGGACTGATTTCCGACGCCATTCTTTCTATCATGTCGCCGAGATATCGGCCCGAGTTACCCAGCACCTACAGACCTATCTGTTTACTGTCAGTATATCCGCCCTAAGAGCAATGTAAAATCCAATTGATGTTGTGTGTTTGGGTTCTTCTAAGTATGTTCTTCTCTTGGGGGTTGCCCTCGGTCTTTACGGCAACGGCGGCTTGCGAGCAGAGATCCCATGTATCGCCACGTTGTCTTTGATCTATGCATCTCGATTCACCCATTATCGTTCAATGTCACTCTATGTACCGAAATCTCGGCTGTCATTCCTTTGAGTATCCACTTCTTTATCAAATTTCATTTTATTTTTTCCTTGAGATGAAGTCTTATCACAGCTATCACAAAGGTTACCCTCGGCGGGCGGCCATTCTCGGTTATTCAAGGCATTTACGTGATATTTATCTTCGATCGATAAACACGAAAAAAAAAACCACCACCACCACCACCACCACACCCGGAGCGTTCTCCGTTGCTCTTCTTTTTAGAATTCATAGATTGGAGTCAATCTATTGACTATCAATTATCTCAATGGCTTCCGCATATAGCCGCGATTGTTTCCCCGATCATACAATATATGCAGAGATCAAAATGGGAGGACTTTTGGTCATTCGGTAACCCAACGTATAGACCACGAACACCGGATCTTTCTACTACATTCATGCATGGCCTATAATTAATCTGCACACTCTTATGGTAAGTTCTAACTTGTTCTGTTTTGAAACAGATGAAGGTGGTACACCGTCAAACCCGATTTCCCTCTGGAATGCAACCCTTTCAGCAGCTGCCGCTTGTAAAGCAGGGAGATGGTTTGTATCTACACCGCGGAATTACTCAGTACCATTTAGACCTTTCAGATTCTTGTTAAATAACTCTAGTATCTGGTGAAACAGAGAAATTTTTCTTCACCAGGCCTTGACTCGCGATAGCCCACTAGCACCCTGTCCAGTGCACACTCATTGATGGCATATCGATGTCGTTATAAATACTGGCATTGCTGGCCAACAAGAGTGTCGTCGATGCGACATCTCTCTGCTCTGGAGAAATTAAGGTAAAGTACAACATTGGCTACCTAGTTATGTGTTATGATCCATACGTATTCAGCATGGCCTTTGCAAGCTGAGACGGGACGTAGCTGGATACCATTGACCAATTCTTGGTTATTGTCCTGATAAAACTCATTACTATGTAACATTGAGAGCCGTAGTATTACGCAAATCTACTATGTATGCGGGCGTAGATCAAAGTCTATCTATGAAGTGAAGCTGACTGGTGCTGGCCCCACCTTCGGCACATATCAGATGGAGAGCCTAATTCGACGGTACCTACCATGTATCCCAGGCACACATTATTTTTTTACTACAAGTATAAAACATCCTAGCTATGGACAAGGAGGCTCTCTCGCTACGGATATGGACTCTCTATTTCTGTCAAGGACACGGAGTCAATTTCCACTCCGAGTGTGCTTCTCCGGACAGGGTAGTTACTATCGCGGAATATGCATGGTATAACGACGCTCCGGATACGTATATGTCCGATACTACTAGCCCTCAGTCTGGACTCGGAGTTCCTCACAACTTGAATGACTCCGAGTCGGATATCATCACAGGACTCTTGTCGGTGTTTTTCTTTTTAGCTTCAATATGGACTAAATCCTCTCTCAGTATGAGTGGATTCCTACTGGAATATTAGAGCCATATTATTTGTAGCTCTAGAGAACTTGAATCAGTACATCATAATCTCTGTCATCCGGGTTCAAGTTGTTGATACCCATGCCTTGTCTAACTATATATGTAATGTATCTATATTTTTTCAACGAAATGCTTGGACCCGGGCCCGCCACAATATTATGATGCCACGATTTTACCCAGTTATCACCAGCACACGCACATATTTCGCAATAATGCGTTGATCCCTGTATAAATCGAGAGTGCGGGTGCAGATCTTTTGATGTGGCCCGAGTTCGGTGCTCGTTTGTCTGTTTTGAATCGGAATTAAAGGAAGTCAAGCATTAACTCCGTTTTCCTCCAGCCCTATCCCCGTTCTATTGGACTGTCATAACTCATAAATATCAGGCTTTCTCCTTTTCATTTATGATCATTTTCATGTCTTCGATGTGCGCCTAGCTGTACAGATCAGATAATACTTGATTATGGGTGAAAATGCTCAATCTGTACCTAACGATACAGGTCCCCAGGGCCTTAATGGGGCGAATTCAGCTTCTAACCATGAAGATATGAAAGCGAATGAGATAACAACAAATTCTGTGAACAGACAAGACTTGGACCCAGAAAAGACAGCTCAACGGCCACAGGATATTTAAGAAACCGCTGAATCCGATACTTCTCAGGCGGATCCCAAATTGGTATGTTCATGTTGCCTGCCTACTGTTTTTTTCATACTGGAGACTAACAACCCCTCTGCACAGGTAACGTGGGATGGACCTGATGACCCAGAAAACCCAAAGAACTGGTCCATGAAGACAAAGTGGATTACCATGGGGATTGTCTCTATGTACACTTTCATCTCTTCCGTGTCTTCGACAATGGTAGCGTCCGCCCTAGAATCTATCGGAGCCGAATTCAACATCAAAGAAGAGTTCATTCTTCAACTTACCGTTTTTATCTTTATCCTGGACTATGCTATCGGCCCGCTATTTATTGGACCGCTCTCCAAGACATACGGCAGAGTTATCGTCTTGCAGCTGGCCAACTTGATTTATCTTGCCTTCAATATTGGCTGTGGTGTATCCCAGTCGACAGGGCAACTTATCGCCTTTCGATTTCTATCTGGTCTAGGCGGTAGTGTCCCTACGGTTGTAAGTTTTAACGGATATATATAGCTGTGATGAACAAACTGACATCCTGTTTTAAACGTTGGTAGAGGGGTTATTGGAGATAGCTTTCGGGCTGAAGAGCGTGGTACGGCAATGGCTTTTTTTAGTCTGGCGCCGTTGCTTGGTCCGTCTGTTGGTCCGGTTATGGATGGCTTTATTGCTGAGTATACTACTTGGCGATGGGTTTTCTACGCTACGTCGATTGCGACTGGTATTGTACAAGTCGCAGGTGTGTTTTTTCTTCGTGAAACGTACGGTCCTCGAATTCTCAAGGTGCGTGCGAAAAAGCTTCGTACAGCGACCGGCGATTCTTCGTATCGGACAGTAGAGGAACGAGAGGGCAAGACGTTGATCCAGTTGATGCACATATCTCTTCTGCGGCCCTTCCGTCTTCTCTTCACACAGCTTCTTATTCAAGCTCTGGCCTTATATATGGCTTATATCTATGGCGTTTATTACCTTTTGATGTCAACTTTTCCGGATCTATGGACTGATGTTTACAATGAGTCGACGGGTATTGGAGGATTGAATTACATTTCTCTTGGTTTAGGGAATATGCTAGGTACATATCAATGTGCGTTTTTGAACGACCGGATCTATCAACGTTTCAAAGCCCGTAACTTGAACAATACCGGAAAGCCTGAGTTTCGATTACCCTTACTCACTATCACTACGACTTGTATCCCGGTCGGTCTCTTTATTTATGGCTGGACAGCCCAGACTCATCAACATTGGATAGCTCCCAACATTGGGATTTGCATATTTAGTGTGCTAGCATTTATCTCGTTGGGGATGGGGATTCCGGCGCCCATTTCTCTCTGCATGTATGGCGAGAAGCTACGAAATGCTAGCCCGTATTCTACTGGCTAGGTAGGTAGATATTGGAAAGAACTTGAAGTAAAATATTGTGTAATCTGGGAATCGGATATTCAAGTTGGACACTGGTACCACGATTGAAAACCTGAGGGATCAGGTGTTTGTCAAGTACTAACCTAGGTGCATATTTGTATCAAATAGTATCATGCGGCAAGGTTTATGCGTATATTACCTGTATATAGATTCCAACCTTGGAATAATATCGACTAATATTTAGCGAATATTTCCAACCTTGGAAGATTCAAGTTTGAGTGTGGCTTTTCCAACTTGAAGTTCAAGTTGAAGGTTGAGGGTGTTCACCATATACACATACAATGCACTGCACTCGCTCGCATAGTTTAAGTTATCAAAATTTGTAAATTATATCAGATTTGCACAAAGCACATCAACATATACTATTGTCGTCAGTTTAATCATGCAATATCCGACTATACCAAAGCTCTTCAATCAGCCTCGCTGGCGGTGATCATCGAAAAAAATGGCTCGGTTGCGCAATTCCGAAGATTATCCGAAAACGATCAACGATCGTCGGCGCTCTGCCAAGCTTCAGCGTGAGGGGAACTTGAGCCTGGGAAGGCCTAGAGTCTCAGGTTAAAAGCAGGAATTAAAATGGATCCTCGACTCATATATTTGCATCTTCTTTTTTCACTTCTTGTTTATTGTGGCTTACCATAGAGCAATTCATCTACGGAGTTTCCGCACGGAGTACTCAGGGGTAAATTTTGCAATTCTTTCTCCATAGTTTTCTACTGATTCAATGATAAAATCCTCCATTGTGGATTCGTCGATAGTGGAGCTGTTATCTATGAATAGTAGACTGAAGCTAACAGCTTTGGACTAGGCCCAAATAAAAGGAATCTCTCTCGGGCTGCCACTTTCCATACATTTCAATGTTTTCTCTCCAAGACTTTGTTTGGCCAATGACAATCGTGGAGAGAGAGTTCAGGGGCAGCCAGCTTATGATTGGTTTGGTACCTGACACTACCCGCATGGACCCCACCCGGGCACACAGCAAGCCTTGCAGCACTTGAGCGATTCTTGAGACAGGCGAGATAAGAGCAAGACAATAATAAACAACGCAAAATGGATTCGGCAGTAATGAGGAAATCTGTACGGATCAAGGGCAGGTACTGGATTTTGTGTTGGGGAATAGCTTGATTGACGCCCACGGGTATAGCGTGTTAATTGTCAGGGGAAAATGAACAGGTTCATGGTCTGACCCTGGGGAAAGAAGAACTGTAAACGAGTGTAATTACAGAGAAACCCAAGCAGGTCAGACCTCTCAGTACGAGTACGGAGGCCCACAGGTACAGAGGTACAGAGTTCTGGGAGTCTGGGCAGGTACAAGAATAAGATTAAAGCGGAGATTATGCGTCCCCCCTGAGTTAGCTCCCACCACTTGTACCTGTGTACGCAGACTGTATAGCCCCCGTAACGGCAGATACAAGCCCACTGGAGCCCTCAAGCCCAGTCTAAGCCAGTCTGAGCCAGTCTCGCCCTTTCTCCTCTTTTTCCTTTTTCTCTCCTTCAACTCATCTCTCGTTACTCTGACCCTCATACATTCCCTTGAGGCTGCTGGCCGCCATTCTTTTGATTTTAGGGACTGTATTTGTCCTGTTCACTCTTTGACCTTCATTTTTTGCCGGCTTTTTTCGATCCCACGACCCCCTTTTTGTATCCAGATCTCCTTTTTCGACGATCATCCATTGCGAATTTAAATGACTTCAACTTGAATATCAACCGTCTCGAATTTCGCCTACGCGTGTGCGTGTGTGTCGACTGGCCGACGTGCTGGAAGCGGAGCCTGTCGATAACCCCCTCCTCAACATGCCTCATCACCACCACCTCCACCATCGCCATGCCGATCCGGTGATCGAGTTCCCCGTCGAAGGGAACGCATTCCCTTCCGATCTCTTCCCACTCCCAGTCCCTACTCCCACAGAATTCGGCCTTCCGTCTCTAATCGCCCGAGCCGACTCGACTTCCACTGGCTCTTCAGGTGAAAAATCAACAAGTAATTTGGAAACGACGGTCTTGCCTGTAGTACTCGGTGCTGGGTAAGCTTATTCTCTCCCCCCACCCGTTGAGATGGGTCGATTGTAGAAAGCCTTGCCCCGGACTAACACTTCACTAAATAGTGTTCCTGTTTTGTGTGCCATTGTGATTTTGATTGTTCTTCACCGAAGACATGTAAAGAAATTGATGCGTGAGGATGCCGATGATAAGCATAGATCTCTGGATTTCGGTTTAGATCCGGTGAATACCACGCGGCGGAAGCAGCACCCTGGAATGCCTCAAATGGTGGAGCCTACCCATACTAAAGGACTATCTCTTGATGTGCACCCATATCTGGTGCCTCCTGGTCTTCATGGCTCTCGAGACTCCTTGCACTCCATCTCCCGATCAATCGACGATGACAAGTACCGCCCGGCGACATTTATTCCACAGGACAATATGTCTATCCGCTCATATCCAAGAACTCGAGATGATGCATCTAGTGTGGCAGGATCAACCCGCTTTGGTCAATCCGAAGAGCCCAACTCTGGACTTCTGCGAAATGCTTCAAGGATGTCTCGCTCATCGCCTCCTCGTCACCACAGCCCTATCGAAGCGCCAGAGCCAACTCATCATCCTCTTGCTCAACAAGAGACACACCGTGATTATCTCGGGCCTCTTCCTGGGTTGCCTTCTACTTCTTTCTCTGAACATGATGAGCAAAGGCACGACGCGGCTATGGGTGTTGCTGCCCACGAACGAGCTGCTTCGCCTCAAGAGCCGCAACATCATATTGAAATGCCGGAACCCCAGTTTAACTTCAGCTCATCACCGGATCTCCATTTCGATTCTCCATCACACTCTCACAGCAATGACGCGGAGCTGCATGACATAGATCATCTCAATTTCCCACTGCCGAACGCAGTGTCATCTCACCATGAGTCTGAGGTCGCTCAAACTTCCACAATGCAGCTTCCTCGCATCTCTCTTCCAGCTTCCGATATCACATCAAGTGACTACGGCGATGACCACCGCAAGTCCGAGTTTACGATCCCAGAAGTGAATGTTCACAACGCCGAGGAGGCAGACCATCACCAAGAAAAGCTACCAGAACTACCAGAGGAGCCTCCAGCTCTAGAAAAGCCATATGATAGCCACCGCGACACCCGCCGATTGACTCTCGGTGTTCGCCCTCTGCCCCCCGAGGACCCAGCAGACAACCCCGAGCAGCGCGCCAACCGTATCCGTTCTTTCTATAAGGAATACTTCGACGAAAGCAAGCGTGAAACTACCTATTATGAAGATTATGGCCCTGAGTTCTACGAGGGCGGCGGCGGTGGTTACGCCTATGACCCCGCCACCGGAGAATACTTCGATGCTGCTCCTCCTCCGATGCCATTTGCTGAGCCCATGGGCCGCCGTGCTATGACGCCTCCTCCTCGAGCTCCTCCCCGCTTCCAAGGAGCTGCCCGTCATATGGCGACCAACTCCGCTGGGTTCAGCGGCTACGGTGGTCCAGGTCCCCGTGCCTTCTCCTCGGCGTCCAATGGCCCCCGTCGGCCAATGCCTCCCCCTGCACCACTTCAAGTTCTCCCAACTCCTCACATGTTGAAGGATGACTCGTTCTTGATGGCGGCGGAGTTTGCCCCCGGCAAGAACTTCCGTGATCAACAATCTGGTCGTCCTGAGACGCCTACTGGCGGCTCTCGACCTTACAGTCCTGCGATCCGCGCTCACACGCCTTTGATGTCGTCATTCGATGATCTTGCCGTCATCCCTAGCGCGTAAGTTATCACCCCATCACCCTGCCGAAACAATACAGGCTCTTACCTAGATAATCATTTACTGACATTCTTCCTTTCTAGTCATGCTCTGCGTAAATCCGGGACATACACCAGTCTGGACTTTGCTCCACCACCACGGTTTAAGAACCAAGACTCTGGCAGCGATGCGGGTAGTATCCGCAGCAATCGCACCGGTATCAATAACACCCATATGAATAATATCCGCATGGGTAACTATCGGGTCAGCCGCCTGCCAGGGGATATGGTTGGTACAAAGGACGACATGATGTCTAGTTTGCGTCCGGCTTGGGACATGAAGCGATAGATCCTCGCCGCGGACCTTTGATGATCTTGCTGTTTAGGTGTCAATTATTTTTTCCTTCATATATTTGGACTCACTTCTGTAAAACCTGTGATGACTTGCGTTTCTCATGGCATCTCTTGGTGCTTTGTGCGGCGAAGGATGATCATGCTTTCTCTCTGGCCTTCCCTCGCTGATACATCTTTTTTATTTGTTTTGATCTCATGTTCTGGAAATCTACCCGGCGTATATAGATGATGGTTGGAACCTCTTTTATTGTCTTAACTGGGTTTCATTTGAATTTTTTTTTTAACCTTCTTACTCTTTATTGGACACTGATTTGGTGGTCTGATTCAAATGTTGTATATATGCATTTCAATCTATTTCGGCCGGCTGGATCCATCCAGAATCCGAATCCGAATGAACACGTTCTTTATTTGTTGACTCATGGTTTTCACTTGATTCAAGGTTATTATTTATGGATGGACAGAGTGTTCCATATTATATGTGGTGGTTCAAGGTCAAGTTCCAGTTCTAGAAGCGTTGGAATGCTTCTAGACCCAATCGAGTCGTCACCAGCTCGCGTGCCCAGGGGTATCTCAAGCTTCAAGACTCCACCCTAAGGACTAGAGAGGACTAGACACGACTTATATTGACTCCAGTTTTCCATACCATAGGCAACGTCATATTGCATCGCAATAGAGTGACGCCCGTAGTGTTTTTTCCGTTACGCAACCAGGTCCGGACCGGTCGGATTGGCAGGATTGAGATCTAGCCGAGTATGATTGGAGATGGGAGGCCTGGTGGCCTTACATTATGTACTATAAGTACAGGTATACGGAGTACTTCACTAAGTATAGGTATTAACATCTGAAGTATGGTTACAACGCTACCTAAAAAGAACCAATTGAATTGATCTGATTTCCCTATTGTAAAATCATGACGACTTGTGTATTCGTGTCTGTGTGTGTGTGTTTACCGAGACTAAAAAGTAAAAAGTAAAAAGTAAAAAAAAAGAAAAAAACACGGATTCGAGCCTTGGAACCCACTTGAAACCGCACCAAACAAAGTGAGCAAAAACCTGGAAACCGTTGAGCCAAATACCCGCATCCTCCAATAAGGGGAAATTTCCCCAGTGGCAACTGAATCCATGATGTCGCGTGTTTTTAGATCTGATTTTGATTTTGATTTTGATTTGTGCTAAGATCCATGGGTGTATTTTTGCGGTACGATCTGGTTTCTGAATCCAAGGTTATCATTATCATTTTTATGATTATGATTCCATTCTGATTGTTCTCCTGTTGACTATGTTATTTCATTGTTTAATTTTAATTTTGGGGGCTAGACAGGATGAGTAAGCGGGAAACCGAGCCTGGCCGTACACAAGTGTATTGCCTGGCCAATTCCAGCGTAAGGGTGAATAGACTGTCGCATGGCAGATCTAGGGATATTGTTATGATTGATGCATATCCACCATGTATACACCATATGCAACATTTGCATCATGATGCTTTAACTGTTATGACTATAATCACGAGGCCCCTAAGCCTATTGTAACAATCCATTATACGGTGGATGCAAGCAGTGCATTAATAGATACCGCTAGGAATGTCAATACACCATTGGGAGACACCCATCGCCGGGAGCGTAACATTGTCTCCACTTCCCTCCAGTCTCTCTCTCTCTCACTCTCTCTTCCAACTTTGTCTTTGGTTCACTGCCCCGTTTTCCCATTTTCCCTCTGTTCCCATCCTCCCATGGCTCCCGACTAGATTCGGCGAGTTGATTGTGTCGCTTTTTTCTTCTCTCGATTCCTCTTTTTTTTTCCAATTTTTTTAATCGCCAATATCCTGCATCTTTCTCCCCCCTTTTAACGCCAACTAGCGAATCTACGACCCCTGAGGCTACCGCTGGACTTCGTTTCGCTCCGCTTCGATTCTCGACTTCCGATCCCTCCTCTTTCCAATCCGTTCCTGATCGAATCGCCATCGCTCGTTATTTGGTGATTCGGATCCGTCTCTCTTTAATTCCCATACGACGAATCTTGATTTGAACATTTGGGGCTGTGTTTCGTCTTTGGCACTTCGGTTTACCGGTCGGCATCCCGCACAACATACGCCGAACGAAATAACAACACAACTCTCCCAATATAAACCAAAGAAAGAAACCCCGTTGTCAATATGTCTACAATCGCCAATAAGAGGGCTGGCGATGGGTCCAATGCAGCCAGCGCTGCCGTTACAAATGCTGCTACTGCCGCTGATTCTGCGGCGACTGCGGCTTCTGCTGCTGCGAGCACGGCTGCTGCAACAGAGACGAGCGCGACCCCAGCCGAAACCTCTGCGACCCCAACATCTACTAGTGAAACATCTTCTTCCACTACTTCGTCGACCTCGAGCACAAGTTCAGAACCAGCAACTACTTCGACCCCATCTACTTCATCTGAATCCAGTACATCGACCACCCCAAGCTCAACCTCTACGACTAGTACGCCCGATTCCACCACTTCGACTACCCCGACAAGTACAACTAGTGAATCTTCTACCAGCAGCGAGTCATCGACTACTTCTGAGGCCGTCCAAACAACCGTCGTCTATATGACTTCGACAGCATCCGGTGGAGCTGTGACGACTGCATCTTCTACAATCAGCCCCGATGGCGCGGGATTATCGACTTCAACTGGTGCAGCTGGCAGTGGAGGTGGCAGCCATGGTCTATCCGCTAGCGGCACTATTGCCGTTGCAGTAGTTGTGCCAGTGGTTTCCGTGGCTCTGATCGCCCTCGCGGCAATCTTCTTCTGGCGTAAGCGTAATGCCAAGAAGGCAGCTGAGGAGGAGCGTCGCAAGGAAGTGGAAGAATATGGTTATAATCCCAACAACGATCCTACATTCCCTGGTATTGCAGGCGGCAGTGTCGCAGCTAAGGATGATACCTCGTCTGGTTACCGTGGCTGGGGAACAACATCAGCGGGCCGCAAGGCCTCCACCAACCTCTCCAGCGGAATGGGGGGCATGGCTATGTCCGAAGGCAGTGGCGGTTACCACCACGGTGCCACACCCAGCGAGGGCACTGTTCAATACTCCGATGGCGTTAGACCTGACTCCGGAGAGATCGTTGAACCTGTTGGTGTCCTTGGTGCGGTTCCTGTTTCAGCCAATAACCGTAATGGAGACATTCACCGTGGACCATCGAATGCTTCGTCCGCTTACTCTGCTGCGAACCACTCAGAAGCGTCTGAGGAAAGCCACATGTCTGCTGCTCACCCATCTGGCGGATACTATGGGGAAAACCCTTACTATGGAGAGATGACTGGACACGGTGCATACGGCGATGATTCGTATCAGCCCGTGATTCGGGATGTGACAGCTCGTCGCAACACCCGTATTGAGAACCCAGGTGTATACCCTCGATCAGGGAACGCTGGAATTGCTCAAAATTTCTAAGATACGATAGAAGCGTATCTTGAATCATGTCATTCTCATTCATCCCCTCCCAACCCAACAACTTCCACTATATCACAAAAAAGTTCGGTCTATCTTCCGTTCTACTTCAAACATATCTCTCGACCACCCACCGAATTCATTCCTTCTATGGGGCTCCATTGTAATCTTGGCCCGGCGCCCTTGTTTTTCCCGGTGTGATGGAACTTTCTTCATGTGTTTATTGACTCTTGTAACTCTGCCTCTTTTGTTTGTTTCCCCTACCCTCTACCTGATAATTGGCTTGAGGATATGTATGTTTCGACCTTATTTCCTTTCGAGACATGACCATCCCACCGACTACTTTCCCTTTTCCCTTTTTTTTCCTCTCTTCTTTTTTTACTTTCTGCTCTCTCCAGGTCCAATATGTTTGATATATCCTTCGCATCTGGTCTCTTACCATACCCGTCATTTGTTTTCTCTTTTTCTCTTTTTTTCGTTTTTGTCTTCGTCTTCGCCGAACCTGTTACTTCATGTCTCATGTACATTTCGCACTGCTGCTCAGAATGGGTAGTAGGTGTGTGAGAGAACTGTAGTGTCTTTTCTTTGATTTGTTCCTGTTTTCAATTTCTTGAGTATAGGTTATTCGGAACCGAAGAAATGGAGTCATTTGATTGATTGATGGAAGTGTTTTTTGTAGTATGTGTGTAATAGGTATGTGTCATGATAAGGGAATATCTATGAGATCATGCATAGGTAGACCTCCATCCCACCAAGTACCTAGTCAGTGTATATGCAGCATGAAGGCTATAGATCACCCGAGCTGTAGGCGTGTCAAGTCGTGACATCTGGACTGTATCCAATCATTGAAGCGCATTGATTTGCTGTCGATCTTGGGCCACTTCGAGCTATACTTAATATGGGGGGATGAAGCCGCAAGACATATGTACCTGAAAGGTACATATATTTAATATGTAGCTACCATATAAATTATAAGTATCCCTCTCGTACCCACAACCCCAAACTCATATCCTGTCGACCCGAAACGTGCGCCCGCTGTTCGCGGTGATTGGCGGTCCAAGCTCCCCACCAGCTTTAACCTCGTGAACTTCGCTCCTTCTACTTTTTGGAAATCGCGGGATCGCGCCTTCCATGACTCGGCTTGATTGGCCCTATCCTCGTGCCCCTCGAATCTGCCTACTCTCTGTACCTGACACCTTCACGTCTATGAACTGCCTCGCCACTGGACTCTCCTGCTAGAAAACTCTCAACCCATTCCCTTCATCGACACTATCAAGCCTCACTGCTCTTGATGTCCCCGCATCTCTGCTTGATATACTACTCCCACTTCCCCCAAAACGCGATATCTCTGTCGCAGTCGCATTCCCTGTCCTACTCCTGGTGACACTGAACACTTGTCCCACTCACTATCTTCTTCCCCACTCATTACGCTGTTGCCCGCCCCTCCACCCCTCGACTTGAGGCCCAGGGTCCGGACTTGCTCTCGCCCTCGCACTCCCCCCTCTTCGCTGTTCTCTTCTTTTATTTTCCTCTCTTCTTTTCTCTTCTATCCACCTACATCCCTGTTTCTCTTTCCTGGTTCCTTGTGCTATACGCTGTGATATCTATACTGAGCTAAGCTCTCAAGCTGAGAGTCCGCGAAGATGTGAGTTGTTTTATTTGGTCTATCCACCAGGGAAAGGATTGTGTGTCTGGTTCTGGTCCTGACAATTTTACAGGAAGTTCGGCAAGCAGATCCAGCGCCGGCAGCTTGATCTCCCCGAATATGCGGCTAGCTTTGTCAATTACAAAGCTCTCAAGAAGGTACCACAACTTTTTTCTTTCCTTTTCTTTTCTTTTCTTTTCTTTTCTTTTATCCCCCGAGGTCCGGCGGTTGTAGCTAATTGCCTCTTTCTCTATAGCTCATCAAGCAATTAAGTGCTACGCCTACAATCCCTGCTCAAAGGACGGCCGAAGAGATCGCCCAAGATGGCCTTTTGGATCCGCAAGCGTCGCTCCGGGCGAATAAAGAAGTGTTCTTCTTCCGCTTGGTAAGTTGGTGATCTGTCCTGGAGTATACTGGGGTGAGCGATTCTAATAAGGCTGAACAGGAACGGGAGATTGAAAAAGTCAATGCTTTTTACCTACAGAAAGAATCAGAAGTAATTATCGCCCAGAGCTGCTACGAGGAGGAAGAACGGTTACTCACAAGTTATATCTAGTTCTCCTTACGTCTCAAAACATTAGTTGATAAGAAGCGCGTCGTTCAGTCCCGGACTACGTCAAATTCGAAAGCTCCATCAAACTTTATGGCACTATTTGAAGGCCTACAGCAGTTCGACGGTGATTTAAATAAACTACAGCAATTTGTGGAGATCAACGAAACCGCCATGTCCAAGATTTTAAAGAAGTGGGATAAAACGTCGAAATCTCGCATGAAAGAGCTCTATTTGCAACGTGCAGTGGAGGTTCAACCTTGTTTCAACCGGGAGGTTCTTCGCGATTTGGCGGATCGAGCAACGGCAGCCCGCTTAGAGTTGGAAGCTTGGGCTGAAGGCGAAAATATGCAGTTTGACTCATCAAGGCCTGCGGAACGCACCACTATCCCTGGATTTGGCACTGAAGAAGAAGAGTTAGATCTTCAGATCTTACAATCCGCCTCAACTGGGAATTTACAGACTCTGCGTGAATGGCTGGTCAAGCTGCAATCATTCCCTGATGCCCGTGACCGCGCGACGCGAACATTTTTAACTGCGATCAATGGATGTTCTGACGAGATCATCGCTCTTCTTCTGGAGAGTGGATTGGTTGACATTCATGCGGAGGATGATATCAACGAACGGAATTGCCTTCACGAAGCTGCGATTTCCGGTCGAGACTTTGTTCTTTCTGCTGGGATCAAGGCATCTGTGGATATTTCTTTATCTGATGTCTATGGCCGCATACCTCTTCATTATGCTTGCATGCACGGCCGCGTAGACATGGTGCGGGAGCTTTTAGAGGTAGGCCCACAGACGGTAGATGTTATGGACCATGACAACTTCACTCCCTTGATCCACAGCATCGTGAAGCGTCAACTTGAATGTGCCAGGCAGGTTTTGATCAGCAATGCACGTATAGACCCAGCCTCCGATACAGACCACATTCCACTGAACCTCGCCTGCCAGCATGGTTCATTAGAGATTGTGCAGATGCTTTTGGAGCGAAAGGCTAAGGTGCTTCCCGACGCCGAGGGACTTTACCCCCAGCATATGGTAGCTCGCGCATCACAATCTCCGGATTTGTTCCTATTGTTGAGACAGCATGGTGTGGACCTGAACCAGAGGGACAAGTTATACCAATGGACACCGCTTTTCCACGCAGCAAGTGAGGGCTGTGTACCATGTCTACGGACGCTTTTGGAAATTGGTGTTGATGCACAGGTTTCAGATGAGAAGGGCCTTTCGGCCATGTATTACGCTGCTTGGGAAGGGCATCTTGAGTGCATGCTGCTGCTCTGGGCCCAACCGATAGATAATCAACCACCACAGCGGCCGCTTGATGTCTTGAACGGATTAAAATTTCAAGAGCCTAGCTTTATGGACACATCTGACCGACGAGCAAGTTCTTCTGAGATGGAGATTGCCGATGGAATTCCTGATCTTTCTCTTCCCCCTCCTTTCATCCCCATGCGACGATATGGCCACAATTTCCTCGATAAGAGGGCCTTCGTGCAACTACTATTTGACCAATCAAACGTCAACTCTATCGCCTTCGACCAAGCTGGCAGACATCCGGCCGCGCGGCTAACAATCTCATCGAAGGTTTCCGATTTGATTCCTCGCACAGTAATGCTACCTATTCAAGATGACTCCCGCACAATATCCTTCCATGTTGATAATTTGGACACTTTCGCTGTGGACTTCGAGATCTTCCCTACTTTTGGATCTAAGGTTATCGCGAAGAGTGTGGCCTTACCAGTGGTCTTCCGTGCAGAAAGATCTAGCGCGGGTACATGTTGTCTTCCTCTATTCGATCCTCGTCTTCGGGCTATAGGCCAGCTACGATTCAATTTCCAGGTTATCAAACCTTACCACGGAGACCCACTGGAGATCACACATTTTGCAACATACTGGAAGGCGACCGGCGCTATCGACTCAGAGCACAATGGATTAATTACTGGCTCTAGTTTATCGGGCGATTATATCCAATTGTTCGTGCAATTGACTCGGGATCGGGTCCCTGTTCTTTACCCTCAGTTCCTCATCAACCATCATGGAATCGATATTCCCATCTGCCAATTGACACACAAACAATTTCAGACCATTGGTGCGGAACGAGGTGCCAATAAAGCCCAGGCTCTACAATTCTTGGAGGCCCAGGCACTCTACGAGATGCCTAAAGCCCACCGCATTCTTGCGGAGTCATTCCTGTCACTCCAAGATGTTCTGCATGTATTGCCAATCGGTCTGAACGTCAACATCTCGGTTATCTATCCATCTAGTGCCGAGGAGAAATCCCTTGATATGACTTCTCTGGCTGATGTGAATACCTTTGCTGATGCCATTTTGACCGATGTTTTCCATCACGCTCGGGAATCTCGTGATAAGAACCCAGACTTCATGCGCTCGGTGGTGTTCACCTCCTATAATCCTAATATTTGCACCGCTCTGAACTGGAAACAACCCAATTGTAAGTTTTGCTCCAACGCGGATAAAATTTGAGAAATTCAACCACTAACTTGCTCCCTCTTTTCTCTTCCAGACCCTGTTCTTCTCTGCAATGATCTTGGCCAGATTCGTGATCTGGCTAGCAATGTGGATATTCTTCCACATGTGAACAGCAGTGGAAGAGCTTCCATGTCGATTAAGGAATCTGCGCGTATTGCTCAGAGCAATAACTTCATGGGCCTGATTTGCCGCTCAAGTCTTCTTGTATGTTTTGTCAACCCTATCCATCGTTTGATTCACTGGATAATTTTTTGGAACATTTTCACTGACCGATATTGTCTACTAAAGAATGTTGTCCCCGCCCTCGTGGAGACTATCAAAGAGCTTGGTCTCGTCTTGGTGGCTGATACATCCGATGAGAATACCGAGCCTGAGCGAAGGGGTTCCGTAACCACAGCCAACTCTATAGGCGTCGCAGAATGGGCTTACCGTATGCCCGAGGGCGTGAATGGTGCCATGAAAGCTAATGGCGTCTTAAGATTCAACGACATGGTCGACATGTGATAACCCTCTCCTCTGCCTGCATTTCATGTCCATTTCCCTTCAAATCCGTCACATCACTCCTCTGCCTTTTTCAAGATATTTTCTTTTTTGAGACGAAGACCACGAGATTCGAGTAGCTTCTGTCATTGTCTGATGTATCACGACTTGCTTTCATTTCCTTATTTACTTGGCCAGCTATCAGGACGGCGGATCATTTCCAGCGAGTCATAATTCGAAATCTTTTTTTTTTTTTTTTTCTCTTTTCCCACTTCTTATCCTATTCACCCCTTTCTTCTCTTTTTGTTCTCATGATGTGGCGTTGGGATAGATGGCCTATGGCTCGCTCAGATGCTGTATCATATCTTGTAGATTGAGTGGGGAGTGGCGCACATGGGCATGCGCCGGATTAGATCTAAAATGGCTAATGTACAACGTTCTCCCAATGAGAAAATAAATAAACCAACACCGTGCGAATATTCGCTATGCTTACAGAAACAACCCTAGCCTCTTCTAGTGAAATCAAGGAGACTTAGGCGTCCGCTTCCCAATATTCCAGCCCCATCCTCGCAACACCTTAACAACCTTCGGCGTCACAGCAGCCGTGAGCGGAACTCGAACAAATATAAAAACGCTCTTGTGAATCGCATAAGCCAATGCAAGCTGTGTCCAAATGCCTAAAATAACAACATTAGTATCAATTCCATTTTCGCATAAAGGATGCGCGAGGTAAGAAAAGAAAGGGAAAAAAAACATACTAGCTTCCTCAAGATTCCTCGGCAAAGATTCCTCCACCTCCCCATCCTCATTAACCTTAACAGGCCAAACAGACTTAAAAGTCTCCTTCATATACTGAACAACAACATGCTCGTAATGTCCTATGCGCTCAGGACCAAGTAATCGCACCGCAGCAAAACAAATAGGAAAGTCCGCTGCCGAAAGCACAAGGTACACTCCTAGTGCGGCCCAGCCGTATTCCCGTGATAACTTGCGAAGTCGTTGAGAGATTGACCCGTCTTCTTTTTCTGCGTTGCCACCGGTTTTGTTACTGTTACTGCTACCATTATTTTTGGTTGAGTTGAAGCGCCGAGCGGGGTTTGCGTTTTGTTTTGAGAAGGGAGAGCGCGCGAATGGTCGGCTTGGGACTTGGAATTGGTTCTTGGTACCGCTTCGCTGGAACGGAGAGGTTGTTATGGAGCGCTTTGTGAGGGAGTTTTGCGCGCTGCGAAGGGTTGAGGCTGTGGAAGTCGAAGCTTTCATCTGAGATAGGAGGGATGAGTTTATGCTCAAGTGCCCGAGTCGAGACAGGAGAGATGGGCGGAGCGCCATTGCTATAGAGTCTTTGCTCAAGCTGACTGAGTGGTGATTGTGGTTGGGGAAGAGAAGGGAAGGTGTTTTTATTCGGGATCTTTTTTTAGGGAAAGTCGAATCGGGCGATCCTGCCGGCTTTTTCGGCGGCTCCGGTCCGATCGTGCATGATCGGAGTTAAGTATGTTATTGGTTGCGGGTATAAGGGAGTCATTTTGGATTGTTCTTTGGGCTTCTACGGTGACGTTTTTTATTTGTTCTTATTACTTTATTTTGTTTTATTTGAGTGTGATATGTTGGTAATTGTGTCTTATGGATTTTATGGGTTTTATGGGTTTGTAGTAGATAGTAATCGGGCTTTTGGTCTTAGTATCCCTAGGTGCGTGTATATGGGAGCAACGGGTTCTGGTCCTATGTGTTTTCTTTAGTTTGTCATTTGGAAGATCAGAGGAACTATATCTTTTTTAGCAAAAAAACATTTTGGTTAGTTTGTGTTTAGGACTAAAATACCTATGCTTTGTTGCATAGTTCGTTTGGAGCTGCTGTCTTATATGCTTAAACTCAAACGGCAATTTCCTTGATTGTGCTATTCCATCTCGATGTCATTAAATCAATGCAGTAAATTGACAAAATCAACCTGATTCTACTGTACCCCCATTACAATTCGCATCTGCAGTATATGCATGCACGCATGAACATGTAGACCGCAGTATACTTCAAAGTTCCAAATGGCTCCTATCAACCGCTTAGTCATCCTCCAGCCAAAAACTTCAAGTTCCGCAGATCCAATCTGCTTCCCTACGTCTCCATCAAACCACCCACAATGCCACTACGTCTACCAGGGGGGCTGTCCCAGCTCTCCTCCTCACTATGGGAGTCTCAATCACTCCTTCCTCGCGTCCAATCCCGTCAATTCGGCATCAAAGCCCTCACCACACCTAAACCAAGTCGTTTCTCCATCGGCCCCGGCCTCCCCGTCCTCGAATCGACCTCCACAGCAGCCCTTCGCCGCAAAGCATACACTCTCCCCCTGCGCAGCGGAGCAATTGCCACGAAAAAGGGCATGACCGCTATCTTTGATGCTGAATCCGGCAAGCGCATCCCCTGTACCGTCCTCCAATTGGATCGCGTGGAGGTTATCTCGCACAAGACTCGACAGAAGCACGGATACTTCGCTGTGCAGGTTGGTGCGGGCTGGAAACATCCTAAGAACGTTACGAAGCCTATGCTTGGTCATTTCTCGGTTAATGGGGTTTCGCCTAAGAGGCATCTTTTTGAGTTCAGGGTCAAGGATGAGGAGGGTTTGCCGCCTGTTGGATCTAGTATTGGAGCAAACTGGTTTCAGTTGGGACAGTTTGTTGATGCTAGATCTAATACTAAGGGTAAGGGGTTTGCGGGTGTTATGAAGAGACATGGGTTCCATGGTCAGGATCGGAGTCATGGTGTTTCTTTGACGCATCGGTCAATGGGATCGGCGGGTCCTAGTCAGGGTGGTGGTTCGCGTGTTTATCCTGGGAAGAAGATGGCGGGTAATATGGGTAATGAGCAGAATACTGTGCAGAATTTGAAGGTTTTGCAGGTTGATGCTGAGGCTGGTATTGTTGTTGTTGCTGGTTGGTTTTACCCTTTTTCTTGACTTTGGTATTGTTGCATGTGCTAATCATCGAGTATAGGCTCTATCAGTGGTCCTAAGGGATGCAGTGTTCGCATTCAGGATGCTATCAAGAAGCCTTGGCCTGAGGTTAAGGCTGAAGCCGAGGCCGTGGCTGAGGTTGAGGCTGCTGCTACTGCTTAAGCACCTGGGCAGGATTTGCATTCGTTGGTGGGGGAGAAATATGTACTATTAAACCATTCGCGCAATACTTCTTTATTTGAGCGGCGTCTGTATATGATACATCAAATGATATCCTTATTTCCTTTTCTTTTTTTCTTTTTTTTTCGTTCTCTTTGAGAGGGCCTGCAGTTCCTCCCATTTGAACAGCATACAATTGACCATGAGATATAATGTTCCTTAACGCCGATTCCAAATGCACGAGGCTATGTATTGGTACAAAGGTCTCTCTCCAACAATTCTGCACTTCAATCCTGTCTGAATGGATCGGTATCCTTGTCCAGCAATTGCACGACAGTTCCATCCTCCGTCTCCAGACTCCACAGTTCGGTACGGAACTATAAAAAAGAAATTAGCAAGATATTTACCATCAACTATAACAAACGTATAGAATCTAAATCATGCCACTCACATAACTCATCCGGTCCGGCCGAATACTCTTAAACCTCATCTTGCCCTGGGTCTTAGTCCCCTTAACCCAGAAAGAGATATCAATCCGTCCATGCAATTGGTTCATCTCCCCACTAATCCAAGGAATTTGCTGCGCAAAATAAATCTCATCGCCCAGAATCTCCCGCGCAGCTGGTGATGTCCGCAAAGCATAAAGCGTACTGCTAACAATACTGGAGGAAGACTTTTGATAGTTGAAGATTCCAAACATCCCTGCGCCGACTGCAATTGCGAACAATGGGAACGTCATGAGCCACCGTTTATTGCTGGTGTTGATGTTGGGGAGCTCCCGGTCTGCGCGGCGTTCCATTATGGGGCCTGTATTTGGGCCGGGGGGTGGAATCATAGTACGGCGGGAGACGACATTTCGAATAGGAGATCGGAGTCCCAGTGCCCGGCGGGTGAGGGGGCGAGCGGCAAACATTGTTGGATTGGACCTGATGGTGTTGGAGAGATTGAGGATTGAATGTTGAATTTCCCGGAGGGAAATCAAACAGGACAAACATCAGACGTCACGCTAGGCTGCTATACTGTACTTTATTCGGGCTACGGCGCGGAGAAACTAGCATCTTACTACCTTTCTTTTCTTTTCTTCCAACGCTTTTTTTTTCTGGATTATGGCGGCGAGATTGCGTAAAGCGTTTCGCTATCCGGAAGATTCAGATGAAAGTGAGCGAGAAGGGCTCGATGAGGTCGAGCAGGAACAGGTGATTGAGCAGCTCAAGCGTCAGAATGATACACGCAACGAACAGTATAATGTAAATATAAGCTGATATTGACTTGAGACATGCTTCCAGTCTAAGATTGTGTTTCTAACCTTTTCTAGATGATTTTCACTGGAATTCCACTGGTCTCGGTGCTTGCTTTTTTCCCATCACTCTGGAGTGCGGCCAGTTTCTCGGAACGCTTTTGCTCTCTCATTAGCGTTGTTTCGCTGCTGGCAACTGGCTATACCATGCGAAATGTTCCTCTTCGTCCAGATATCAAGGGCAAAAAACCCCTCTCAATTGAGAATGAGCGCCTAGATTTGATTCGCACCGCTTTGATTCCAGCGAACGGCACGATCTGTGGATTATTGGCGCTTTACTTCTTGGTGGGTACTGATTCATCTGTGTCATCGCCAACGATCTATCTTATACCTGGTGGTAGGTCATATTATGCGTCTAAATTTCCCATTTCCTGCTTGAGTGCTTACCATGATGACTACAGCTATGCTTGGGGCAATTATGCTCGCTCGACAAGTTATGCTTTCAGTGGATCTTACAGCGCTACAAGACCTACAGTACGAGTACAAAGGTGCATAGGTAGATGGATAGATAGGAAAGAATGGATTGTTCATTAATGTCATTATCATAGAGCTGGGATATCTGTTGTAAACATGGAGACATGCGAGGCCTTGGGAATTGTTGCCTTTGGTGAGAAAAAAAAACAGGAAAAAGAAAAGAAAGAAGAGACCAAGACAACAGAGTGATTTCCATAGCTATACATGTCTTAGGAATGAAAGGCAAGGCAGGGAAAAAGCTCGCTAGGTGAAAGTTGCTCCAGAAAGCTCAAGGTAACTTGATTCTGATACTGGGCCCATAAGAGAGTTGTCCAGAGACAGGGACGGATCAATGCAGTCGAGAAAGCCATTTTCTCTTTGCGGAGTCTGAAGCTCGGGGCCTGTAATGATCCCATTTGTTCTCCACACCTCCTCACGTCTCTGATCTTCTTCATTACGTCTTTGGTTGAGACGTTCTCCAATCTTGGCCCCCAAGTTCGGAAGCCATTTCTCGTTGGAAACACGCATGTTCACCAACGACTCGACACTTCGAGGATCAGCCACCTTGATCGTGTCAAGCTCGAGAGAAATGCGATTCGGCTCGTGTGGCTTCATGGTCGGGTCTCGTTGGCATGGCGTACAATTGCAAACCTTGTGACATCGTGGACAAAGCCATGCTGTCTCGCCCATGGCTTCTTCTGGTGTTACATCAAATGCCGCAAAAAGGCTTGCGTAGCAATAATTTGATTGACAACGGGAGCACGTTGCCAATTTCCAATCGGGTTGTTTATTTTGACACATGTGGCAAGTTCCCAGTTGCTTGTTTGCTTTCTTGCTTTGTTTGGACTTTCGTCGCTTTCTTGGTTGCGGATTGTCGTCATCACTGGGTGTCATGGATCCAGATTTAGAGCTCGGCGGAGTGAGCTTCTGGATGTCCACCCAGGGTCGGTTTTTCAGCTGCTCTTGGCAGATCTCCGCAATAGGCTTCCGATTGACCTGAGCGCGTGCGACGTGCAAGGCAGGAAATTCGCTCTTGCCTTCTGTATCGTCCTTCTTCAAATCTATGACCTGGCGCCGCCAACGATCATGTCGTGATCGAAGGTGCTCCCATTTGAATTGTTGTACAAAGGTAAGCTTTGAGATACACTGGCAGCTTCGGCCCAACACATAACAGTCCATGCAAATATCGTATTTATCATCTGCATCCGACACACAATTGGGACAGGTAAGGAATCGATTGAAAATATTGCAACGGCAGTATGAGCAAGTAACGTTGCCCTCAAAGGGAATAGTAGCGATGTTCCGCGCGGTAACGTGTGACCGCGAGACACTTTCCGATACTAAGATATCCGTGTAGAGCGATAACAAATTTTCGAAATCCCTCCATAGTGTCCGAGTGGCAGGATGCTCAGTGGTAAGAAGACCTCTGAGCAACTCCGAGTAGTATTCGAGGGCGTGGTAAACGATAGCCTTGTTCTTGTATTGTTCGTCACGACAAACGATGCGTGCTTTGGGAAGCGCTTCACTCATAGCCAGCTTTAAAGTCTCCACAGTAATTCGGTTCCAAGCCACCTTGACAGTCCTTGTGCCACGGTTCCACACCTGATGGGCTGCAAGTGGTGGCACGAGAATAAGATCGCCTGGTTTTTGCTCTACGATGTACGTTTTGAATGGAGCACCCTTCCAGGCATTGATTTGCGCAAAATGGTCTTCGAGATCAATATCGTGCCCGAGCACCGAGGTCCAATACTCAGCCACGGCCTGGCGGTCTTTTGTTTTAGTCATGAACCAGATGGACGAGCCTGGATGACTTCGTTCTCCGTTCTCTACCGATCCAGTAGATGCTTCCACCATAAGATTCTGGCCCAGGCTAGCACACATCTCTTGGTGGGCCGGTGTGTAGGTGCCTTCATGGCCAATGTAGCACATGAGATTCTGTGCCCGCATCTCTTCGGGAAGGCAACTCATCAAGTCGCCTGATTTGGCAATTAACTTTCCGTCCTTCGTGGTATGATATTCAGGGTCATGATGAAGTGAGCGGCATCCTGGGCCGTTGTATGGTTTCGGCTTTTCATTCATGTAGAATAGTGACGGTGGTATGAGATTCTCTAATGATTTTTGCCATTCTGGCGGACAATCAATGTCCTTTAGATAGAGCCTTTGTTGGCTGTGATGTGTCGCTGAGAAATATTGCCTAGCGAGTTTTGGCAAGTTTCTCACATAATGTGCCACAGTCATGGGCACGTCCTTTCCTGTGATCAAATCCCGTGCACATTCTCCTAGTAAAAAGTCAAACCCGACTCATAGGCCACCTGTGTCTGGTGAAAGAAGATACTTACTCCGGTCACTTTTTTGCAACCAGGCACGGGAGAAAAGTTGCTTGTCTATGTATTCATCAAAGCCCTCGATCACCATAGGGATCCCGAGATTAGCCAGCTGCAAGCGAATAAGACTTTCAAAGTCTTCTCGGGATTGTGAATTAAGCATCTGACATGAAATCCGTGGGGCGAACTCGAAGGAAGGGTTGTTTTCCACCAACTCACTAACACTAAAGCTAGTGGGGAAGGGCACGAATGGAGCGGGCGTTGGCGGCATGGCGTCAATTTTCAGTAGGCAACTTGAAGGGTTTGAGGTGTTTTATTCGAGTTTGTTGAAGCAGAATCAGTGGTTATGGTGAGGGAGTTGCATGCTTGAGATCAGAACAGCCACTTTGCTGCACGAAGGATTTTGGTCAGCGATCCTAGTCCAACAAAATTTGAGCAAAGACGGGACGGTCAAGAAATTATGAGGATCCTACTTCGGCTATCAAGTGACGCCAGTTCCTTTTCAATACCATGACATCTCCTTCCAAATTTTCTTGGTGTGTTTCGCGTTTCTGATAGACGCGCGACGGAAAGCTGCACAGCTCTGCGGGGTAAAAAGATTTCGGACTAAAGGGGGAGAAATGTGAAAAAGCTAGCGGCTGAAGAAATACAATAAGCAGATGGTAGTGGGGTGAATCAAGAAACTCGAAGGGAAAGAAATGAATTGGGAAACAAAATGAAATTCAGCAACTGAATGTGAGAGCTTGACAGCTTCCGGACTTAATTGATGGGGGGAAATACTATTTTGAGCCTAGCGCGTGATTCGGGGTAACAACAGACGCCAACTTACTAATAACCTAATATTGTTCCGTGCAGCAATTCTTTTCTTGGGTCCCAATTGTTCTTTCTCCAAAATAAAAATAAAAATATACAACAATTCAAGCCTGGAGAGCACCTCGATGCATGAGAGCAATGCGGCAATCTACTATTCGTCAATTGCTGGCACAGCGCTCTCAGCTGCCTTGCTGCAGAAGTTCAATCCGTCGCTATCATGACCAACGCTTCACCCCGGAACGTCTGGAGTCATTGTCAACTCTATGTCGCAAACCCCGTCCGTCGCCTGTCTCGGCTCGAAAGCTACCAATTCCTACTACTTCGCACATTCACTCCTCAGCAGAACGATCGGTCGCGCTAGATATAAAAACCCCCAACCCTGCGACACATTACACGCCGCCACAAACGGGCTTAGTTGCTTCGTTGCCCTCCTCATGGATTCCCTATGCCGAATTAGTCCGTCTGGATAAGCCTACGGGCACATATTATCTATTCTTCCCAACCCTTTTCTCCACACTCCTCGCTGCTCCCATGGCCACCGATACCACTCCATTGCAAGTCCTGGGCACCGTCGGCCTTTTCTTCACCGGAGCCTTGATCATGCGTGGTGCAGGATGTGCCATTAACGACCTGTGGGATAGAAACTTCGACCCGCATGTGGCACGCACCAAATTCCGTCCAATTGCTCGAGGGGCGATCTCCCCATCCAAGGCTTTGGCCTTTACAGCCACACAATTCTTTGCTGGGTTGGGGATACTACTACAATTCCCTATTCAGTGTCTCTGGTATGGGGTTCCGAGTGTACCCCTTGTGCTAGCCTACCCTCTAGCCAAGCGGGTTACAAATTATCCTCAGCTAGTCTTGGGATTTGCCTTCTCATGGGGTGCAATGATGGGCTTCCCAGCATTGGGGGTAGATCTAATGGTCAATCATGATGCTCTCATGGCCGCGGGAGCCTTGTATACAAGTTGCATTGCGTGGACAGTTCTGTACGATATGATATATGCGCATATGGATATTAAAGATGATGTGGCCGCGGGAATTAAATCAATCGCCCTGCGCCATGAACATAACACCAAGGCCGTCTTGTCAGGCCTAGCCGTCACTCAGGTGGGTCTCCTTGGAGCTGCCGGAGTCGCCGCAGGCTGTGGCCCCATCTTCTTCATTGGAAGTTGTGGCAGTGCCATCGCTTCCCTGGGCATTATGATCTGGAAGGTTCAGCTCAAGAATGTCTCAAATTGCTGGTGGTGGTTTAAGAACGGATGCTTGCTGACCGGTGGGGGGATCAGCTTGGGTCTGCTGGGTGAGTATTCCGCGCAATACTTCGGCTTGTACGAAAGCACTGAACTGCCTGATTCTGAACCGACAAAGTGAGGGTGACGAGATGTTCCTTCAAGCTTGATTCTTTGAAAGGCTCAAATGCTCTTCGATATGACGGACGATGTCTCTCCAGTCCATCATTCCACCACTCCCGACATCTCCACATGCCAGTGACTTCTCGATGGGAGGGAGTACAGTCACCCATCCCTCGGGATTGGCTGGACTCCAACCCCACTGGTCTCGTAGGATGCCCAGATTCTGACGGGTGACGGGTTGATGCCACATGGCGCTATTCATGGCAGGAGCCACGAAAATGCGCGGTCTCTCTGGCTTGAAATCTCCATCGACGAGGCCCGTTGTATCCCAAGCCCGTATCACTGACAATATAAGATTGTCTGCGATACCCACACTCATCTTCGCCATTGTATTAGCTGACAGTGGGGCTATCAGCAACATATGCGCCCACTTGTATTATTAATCATTAGAAATTTGTCATTATATTCAACAGATAGGGTTAATTTTTACCTTCCTCAATTCAATATGCAGTATATTATCACCGCGAATCCAAGGTTTGACCCATTCATCTTCGTCTCGGTAAATAGCTTCAACGCCCTTAATCTGTCGAAGACTTTCCAAAACAGGCTGCTCATCACTCTGCCCCTTTAAAAATCTTTCGGCAGATTGAGTGACTATAATCCGCACCGACACGGATGGATGCTGGCAAAGGGCCTCGGCAATTTGGGGTAGTTTGATTGATGCCACTGAACCTGACGCTGCAATCAAACAATGGATTTTACCGTCATTCCGACATTCTTGCGCAGCGAACGGTACAAATAAATTGGGTTTGTCCATATTAACCAAATCCCGCGTAAACCAAGAGTCATGTTAATGGAAGATTGCCACTCACATTGCCCTATTGTAATCACAGCGGGTTGACGTAGTGGGGCTCTGAGAGAGCTGCAAATGATTAGATAATAGCGAATATCAATTGGCCCGGTTTCCTACCGCATAACAGGCCCGCTCTTCTTCGCTCTTCCGATCAATCCTCAAATCTTCAAAACACCCATCATGTTCTCAAGGACAGTCTTTTCGGTACGTCTCCTCATCTTCTAAAGTTGTTCCTACCGTTTTTCAACCTCCGGCAAAGAGTTTGGTTCGGTCATAACAACGCTAGAACCACCCCATCGCTGTAAGCGGGAAACTCACTAGTATTCCAGGCCCTCCGCCCTATCTCCAGGCCGGCGCCTCTGCGCCTGCCTCTGCGACCCATTCGCGCCCCGGCTTACCCTCTCCCTTCCATCCTTCATGCTCGCCTTCTTTCCACAGAGACAAAGGCGGCCATCGATAAAGCCGTTGGCTCTGCGCCCGTCGTGCTCTTCATGAAGGGTACTCCCGAGACTCCTCAATGCGGATTCTCTCGCGCTTCTATTCAGATTCTGGGTCTGCAGGGTGTTGATCCTAAGAAGTTCGTTGCGTTCAACGTTCTGGAGGATGCGGAGTTGCGTCAAGGTTCGTTTTGTCTTCTTATATCTTGGTCTTTTGGGATGGTACTAATTGGGTTTCCGGTGCAGGCGTTAAGGAGTACTCGGACTGGCCTACTATTCCCCAGTTGTACTTGGATAAGGAGTTCGTTGGAGGATGTGACATTCTGATGTCTATGCATCAGAATGGAGAGCTTGCTAAGCTCCTTGAGACCAAGGAGGTTCTCGTCGCGGCTGATCAATAAATGGCATGATCTTGGCCTTGGGCGTTTCCCAAAATGTATTGTAATATAACTTTATTCTAACCATACTCCTCTTCGCATGCTACTAAATATTTAAGCCTGATGTTGTACGCTTGTGGCGATTGATGTTGAATAAACTCGAGTCGAATCACTCGAACGTAGTTCTAAATTCCGGTCTTAGTTACACTTATACTTCGAAAGAGAACTTGGAGGTACATATCGAATCTACTAAAATGCTGGAGAATTCTTTCGACGGTAAGTCGTCGAGAAAATGGAATACTGAAGTCGATATACTTGTACATAGTAGGTAGAAGTGCTTGAATACTCCCATCATGGCCAATCAAGAAACATTGTTTTCTTAAAATAAGAATGTTGAAATTCTTGGGATCTTTTGATTTAGAAATATCCTATATACAGTTGATCTGAGTTAAATTACAGGGCATCGGGCCCCGGGTCGTGTCTATTAAATCCAGCTTAAGCTGAAGCTGCCTCCTGGGCCTTAACCAGGTCTTCGGCAACGGCCTTCTCCAACTTAGCCCGTTGACGGGCCTCATAAGCCTCTCGGCTCTTCAAGATACGACCAACAATCTCTCCGGCGTTCACGTGCTGGAAAGCATGGTTATCGACCTCTTGGAAGATACCCATCTCCTTAGGACCGGCATAGGGATCGTAATTCAGCGGCATAAAAGTGGTAGGCCCATGGTAAACAACATCAGGAGTGCCCAATGGAAGAGCCTCCAGATAGGGTCGGCTGCCAGTGAAAGGTGCCGAGAAGATTGTTGCATGAATATAGCGGCACTGGAGCACACAGAGACCACGCTCAAAGATGTTCATGATAGGGTAGTTGAGTCCCTTCGCGTTGTTGATCACATCGTCATCGTGAATACCGGCAACGATGTAAGCAGGGGGATAGTCTTCGTTGTACTCCTTGAGACGCTTCTCCTTCTGTTCAGGCTCGTACCAGCCACGCTTCTGGCCCTCTGCCTCCTCAAGCTCCATGACCTTGCGGAGGAATTCGATATGGCCGGATGAGAAGAGGTCAAATCCTCCATCGACGTAGACGATACGCTGGCCTGGTCGGGGTCCCTTTCCGTCAATCAATTTCTCGAAATTTCCAGGCTCCTTGACCACGGGGTCGAACTTTGATGCTCCAGCTCCAGCCCATGTCCAGACCTGAGGGCCTGGCTGAAGACCGCTCTCATCAGTCGCATATTGGCGGATTCTTCCTACGAGGTCTTCCGCCGCTGCCTTGCGCGCTTCAGGGCTTCCCTCTCCATCCTCTCCTGAGAGAGCACCTCTCACGGACTTGACGAAGTGGTTTCTTGTGCATAGAAGCATGCGACCAACCAGATCGGTTGTGGAAATGCCTGGGGTGCGCTTGACAACCTTGAAGCGACCTGCCGCTTTAACGAATCGGTAGCAGTCGTTTCCGTCGCTATCGGAGGTGATATCATCGCCGTGAACAACGTATTTGCAGCCGTAGTGGGAAACCCAGGGTAGGTAGGTTACGTAGGGTGCATGGGGGACGCTCTGGGTAGCCCAGCGACAGGCATCAACGGCGGCAACTCTGTCAATTGAAGATAATAACGTCAGTAAATGGCAGCGCCAGTAAGGGGAGGACAGGAAAAACTCACCGCTCATCCAGGGACATGACCGTTGGACCCTTATTCTCCAGGATTGCTTCGTCAGAGTGGATTCCAACATATAGAGCTTTGCCGAGTTGGCGAGCTTGCAGCATAGCACCAGCATGGCCTAATTGCGATCAAGTATCCAGAATAATTAGTCGCTTTCCGTCACTGTTTCGTGGGGTCTCCTTGCTTACCGTGGTGGCTGAAGTCGAAGCAACCATCAACCCAAATGTTGTCCTCGGTAATGGGAATATCTTCTTGAGGATCTACAGGCCATTGACCTGGCAGAGGGACTTGCTCGTCTGGAGTAGCCATTGAAGAAAAGATATCCGGTGTTGTGAGAGAAAAAGACAAAATGGTAGAAAAGGCCAGATGTTATTAATTAAATCAGAGAAAGCATTCCGCGGAAAAAATAAAAAATAAAATAAAAGATGCAGCCTTAATGCTCCCAAAAAAAAAGGGAGGGGAAAGGACAGAGAGGGGCCCGTTGTGGGGAACTCTAGATCTCCTGAGATTCGGCATGTTTCTCATCTTTCCAACTAACTTACCCTTCTAACAGAGCCTTGGACCCTCTTTCGTTGGGACCCTTCACCGTCTATTGTCACCGTCTTACCTCTGAATTTTGGTACCTTCTTTTCTTTCAAGACATTCGTTACCGCCGGGGCAATGATCTCATCTAATTTCGCCCCAACCCTGTCGCGAAGGGACACCGCGAAATCTGCGGCTGGTACCGATGGTCTTCACAGCGCTTTGCCCCCGGCGACTAGTGGTGGGGGGACCTTCGGGCCACAGAGCGCAAGTGCGATTTACCAGCAGATTCATGATATGGCTACAAAACGAATCGCGACTCTGGATTACTTGCGAAAGGCGTAAGTGCACAATTCGATATGTACGGGGGGGGGGGTGTTCGTTCTACCCGCACAGGACTGACATGGTGGTGAAATACTATAGTCTCGAGGGCAAAGCCTATTGGTTCAATACAGTTCATTTCTCCCGAGCAGATATCGGTCGTCTACCATATTTCGAATCCCGCAAACTTTCTAGGAGAGCAGTCAATTACCTACTGCTAGGTCTATCGCTTCCATCGATCACAGACATCAATTCCACACCATCTGAATACTTACGAACTCTTAACGCCTTACTCCTCGAATTCGAAGCATACCAGCAAGTACACCCGCCAGATGGCAGCTCCTCCTCTAGTCTTGCGCGAGCACGTATCCCTCAGATGTTCAAGCGGGCAGCCCATGCAGGCACCAAGACACGACGGGCTAGCTCGGCCACCGAGATCGGCCTACCGATGCAATCGAGTGATCCGACCGATCTGAAAAGTGCAGCTGGTAATATGAGTTCGCCGGCGAACGCGGCTTCCTCTGTCGTTTCGTTCCCCCTCACTGAATCCGCCGATCTCCTCCCCGGCGAAGAATATACATACCTCGTTACGCCTTCGTTACCCTTTGAGCCGGACTTCTTTGAAACCTTCGCCACTCTTTGCGATGTCCTCATTGACTGTTACACCCGAATCACGACTCTTGTATCCTCGCCATCTGTCTGTACGGTGGCCTTAGGAGAAACTTTCTCCAAGGCAGATGCCAAGATACGCAAGATCATGGTTGCAGGAGCAGTGCGAGAATTTGAGGATGCTAGCCGTAATGGTGTCAAGACTGAGATCTCTGGCGTCAACCGCGTTGTACTCGGTGGTTTGTTGGGGTAGGATTTGTCACCCTGCATGAAGATTGCGTGCAATCACGCGCTTGTGTGTGCAAGAATGATGTATATGATCTACGAAAGGCGTTTATGGGGGTCTTTGATGAATTATATTTGGACTACTTTTTTGAGCTGCGTATATTGAAACGATGGAATGAGAAGTATAGTGAGAAGAGTACTCAATTCTATGTTCAAAACTCTTGTGTGTATCTATGTTCTGATGATAGGGTGAGCGGAATGTATCACTAGTGTATCAAAAAACATTAAAACCGCTGAAAACAATCATGAGAACTTTTTTATGGCCGTAACGCGCCATGAAGGACCTCCATATATGAGAGGGTGCAAGAAAAATCGAGATGTTGTAAAATGATCAAATGGCCAACAATGAAAAGAACTCCGGGAAGCGCCGCGTGCTTAAAATGCTGATGATGGCGTGTAAAACGAGACAAGGAAATTTAAACGCCGAATGATGCAATCGCTAGACGAAAAGAATGGATGAAATATGGGTCGAAAGTCCATATATAAAACGCGAGAACGGGATCACAGTAAAGCCTTCTCGAGTTCTCGTTGTTCGCCGAAGACGCGTCGGCTCATCTCAAGGACGGTTTCAAATCCTTCTCGGCCACGGCTGGCATTCTCGCGGAATCTCTCGACGCTCGCTTCCTCCACTTTATTCTTAATTTTTTGCCAACCGCCACAGAGAGCAGTGATCTTGGCTTCTTGTGTAAACTCCGTGTGTGATGTGGGAGAGGCAGACGACTGGCTATAGGTGACAGTCTCGCGGACGTTCAGAACATTAGACCATGTAAGGTTGGTGGAGCACATGGTCACTTTCTTAGAGATCGGGTCGACGTAAGAGACTTCGTAAACGTGGGATGTTGTACTTCCTCCAAAGAGCGAGAGGAGCCATGCTGGGACGGACTGGTCGCATGTGATGAGACGCTCAGTTCGTAGCTTTAGAAGGAAAAATATTAGCACTCCACTCCCTTTCAGACCAAAACTTATCGGACACAACTCACAATTCCAGTCTTTGGGTCGACTGTCCGGGAGACAGTGTCTACGCCGACGACATGAGTCGCCTTATCGTTCCAGGGGCAATATTTGCGCCAGTTTGCCGTGGACACCTCATCCCAGGAGTAGTCAAAGGTGCACGTTGAGGAAAAAACCTTCATAGCTCGCGCCCCCAATCGAGTCGCTGTGTAAGATGTTGTGGAAGGACTCAAATATTGTGTTGAGAAAGAGGAAGTGGCTAAAAGTAAAAAGAAAGGAAAAGAAAGATGTTTTATTGAGAAGACAGAAGGTGGCAAAAAGATCAATCTAGAAAATCTAGGTGAGTCAGGGTCGGAGATGGAGAAGATGTGGGTTTTCTGCTGTGGCGATCCTGTGACAGATCGAGTTTTTTGAGGGGGAAATTCACGGGTCAGGACAGCCCGACCGGAGCCGTGGCTCGGGGGAAGCCCGGTTGGCTTATATAAGGGTGCAATTGTGCACATCTTCTCTGAAAGAAGAGACAAAGGCTTAGAAAAGTCTAGGCTAAATCTAGATGATCTCTGGAGTTCTCTCCGAGTTTCTAATTTCTTCATCTGTTCTAGTTCTAGTTTCCCACCATTGTGTCCCCAACTCCGCTAACCTTACTTCAGAAAGGCTTTCACCGCAGTGCTTGCAGTGCATGCAATGCTAAGTACGAAGTATACTTAGAATTACTTAGAGATTCCCGTGGATCTAGCCCTAGAGGTAGGTACCCGTAGACACTGAACATTCCATCGTTTCCCCCAGTTGTTATGAGCTAGGTCCCCTATAATTATAATTATTACTACCCCCAATCCTCCAAGCTTATAATATCCCCTCTTCTTATTTTCCCTTTTCCTTTTCCTTTCCCTTTTCTTTTCCTTTTCCTTTTCTCTTCCTTCACCTTTCCCCCTCCAAATCTTACACTCCTATTCACCCCTTTCCCCTCTTCATCAATTTGCTTCAAAATGGTTGAACTCCGCAAACGCAAAGCTCCCGCACCACCTCCCGTCGTGCAGAAGAAAACTAAATCAGCTCCCAAGCCCAAGGAGACCAAGGAGCCTAAGGAAGCCGCCACCGTCACCAAAAATGCCGAAGAACCAGCAGCAACAGTAAAGCTGCCCAAGGTTGATGAAACCATCGATCTCGAGGGATTCGGTGGAGAAATTGAGACCAACGATGGTACCAAGACCACCTTGAAGAAGCTTGTCGAAGAGAGCACCGCGGGTGTTGTTTTATTTACCTACCCCAAGGCCTCAACTCCTGGTTGTACGTACTTTTTTTTTTTTGCCCCCCGCTAGATTCACCCGCTGTGAGGCGCGTTTCTCAGCCATGTTCCCGCTTCTTAACCCTAACTTTTGAACGCGTCCAGGCACCAAGCAAGCGTGTTTGTTTCGCGACAACTACAAACATCTTACCTCCACTGGTCTGACAATTTATGGTCTTTCGGCCGATTCGCCAAAGGCAAACACTACATTTCAAACTAAGCAGAAGCTGCCTTATCCATTGCTTTGTGATCCCAGCGCGACCTTGATTGCGGCTGTGGGACTTAAGAAGGCTCCTAAGGGTACTACTCGTGGTGTGTTTGCTGTTGATAAGAAGGGCAAGGTTTTGCTTAGCGAGTCTGGTGGTCCTGATGCTACTGTTGATGCTGTTCAGAAGCTGATTGCATCTGTTCCTAAGGTGGACGGTGCAGAGGAAGACGGTACTGATGAAGCCAAGTAATTGGCTGTAGAAGACGCATGTATGTTTAATCGCGGCTGTGAAGCTAGCTAACTATTCATCATAACAATAAGGATGAGAGGGGAAGAGGATAATATCCTCGAACGCTAATTTTCAAAGTCTTCACACCTTTTCAATTATCCAATATTAACTACTATTGTTTTGATTCTAATATCGTAAACATGTCCAGGTGAATACATGTATTTAGTTCAGAATGTTTAAATGTTACTCCAGACTATGTATTAGTAATGCCCGAATAGTGCGTGGATGGGAGATGCTCAGTCCATATCAACCGCCCGGAAATACAATAAATCCGGCACGCAATGCACCTCCATCCGGCCGCATTCTGATCCCACTCCCCATTTAGAGCGAATCTCCACACAGACTTACCGGCTGTTGAAGACTTAAGGTAAGATGATCAGACCCATATATTCTTTCCCCCCCTCGCCTCAATTGTGAGATTTGGCTTCCGAATAGTCTCGCTAACAGGTCCAAGTCAGAGTCTTCATCATGGCTCGCAACGTCCAGTCCGCCGTCAAGGCCGCTTCACATGTAATCCCAGTTCAGAAGGTATGAGAAGCACCAACAATTCCACCAACAAACCAAAATTAATCATCCGATAGAAATACACCGTGCAATCCGTTGGAATTTGGGAGCGAATCCGCCGCGTACTAGCCGTGGACCCCGAGCGCTCCACCGGTATCCCATTGAACTCACAGTTCCGTCTTCCCACCCCCGGATCTCTCCCTCCGCTTTCCTACGATGACCCCGTCACCGTTCCGGCCGGTGACCTCGCCGACAACCCTTACTGGAAGCGTGATGTGCGCCGAAACTATCCTCAGCTGAGCACATTCACCCAGGCCGACTCTGTGGGTCTTCTTACTGTTGGAAGCCAGGAAGCGCCTAAGGATGATGTCCTGCAACTTGGAGAGGCTGGAGCGAAGCAATTAGTCTCTGTTAAGGAGCAGGCTGAGGAGCGTGGATTGGCTGCGCTCTTTGAGCAGGACAAGAAGAGCATTCAGGGTGTGCTGGGCGCAAACGGCTTGCCACCTACTCCTGCTGGATTAAACACGATTCCTGTTGCTGAGCAGTCAAAGTATGAGCTTACTGAGGAGCAGAGCTATGATGGAAAGTAAGTGTTTTTGTCTTGTGTTTTTGCGTGGATACTTTGTTGGACTTGACTAATTTGTTTGTTTGAATAGGTACCCTTGCCGCAATTTTGTTTAAATAGATTCTTTTGTTCTCCATGGTCTGGGTTGCCTCAATATCCTGCAGATAGGAACCCGGTAGTTCTGTCATAAATAAACACAGTTGTTTCTTTTTTCTTCGAATACTTGATCATTTATCTGGACACTCTCAGGTGGGACTGTGTCTGGTTTGGATGCTGCGTGCTTCTTAACTTCGCTTATAGACCAAATTCAGGCCATTGACGACTATATGATACCAGACGAGATGGCACCCAGCTTAGATGGCACCTAGCTCTTCGATACCTTGAATTGATGTCACATCATACCCAGTACAGTCTCTTAGAAATGTGGTTTTCTGACGATGTGACTTCATCATCCGAAAAACTTTAACCAGTATACCCCAAGATATCCACAGCATCCAACCTGCAAACATTATGCTTTGAGAGAAGGAGGACGTTCCTCTTGTATTCAGGTGTCTGAAGGGAGTTATTTTTACACGGACCTTCGAGTTATTGATATTTCGTCTACGGTCCAATAGTCAATCTTGGAATACAGTGAGAAACCCCATCCTTTACTAAAGGCGGCCAATTTTAGATTCCAATCTACATTACGATACATTCCATATAATAACATGCAGTGAGCAGGTACAATCTATTATGCGTAAACGAGTATGTACATTAACGTGTTGAAAACCGCATAGGAAAATGGGTTGTTGAGAACTTGAACAGAGATCCTGGTTTACAGAAGCTCTGACGATATGCCAAAACCAATCGGAAGCCCGGAAATCTCAGACTTTCAAGAGAGAGCCCTGGAGATTTCACATATTCATTCTATATACAAAAATTCTGCCAACTGATTTTTTATAAGGATAGGATGTTAAACCGGACGTACTACAGTATCTTGGTATAAAAGAAGAACATTGACTGATTTGATTTCCATTTACACTAATTAAATAGGAAGACAAGTCCAACATATACAGGCTTTCCTTCCCTGTATTGCAGTCTTGGAACTCAAAGTACCGACTCTAGCTAAATACTTCATAACTTATCGTAGATCCATTCTAATCAAAGGGGTTGGTACGAGTACCCCACCAGGTCAAGAACAAGCTGAGTCCGACAGTCTCGAAGACCCGAGACACGGCACCAACTGCCACTGTGTCAAGGGGTCTCTTCTCAGCAAAGACTTGAGAGACAACCTGTATAAAATTGTTAGTATATCGAATGTGAGGGGCAAATGGGTCTGAACGCCACAGGGAGGATTGAACACATACACCAGGAGCAGAGCTAGCGAAGAAGATCAACGTTCCAAGGTAGGCGGCACCCTTGTAGCTGAGTGTGCCAGTGGCGTTGATCAATGCGGCAACACCGTAGGTCTGGACGGCACTGCCGGCCAGGGAACTACCCCATGCTGCAGCGGCGCCGGCAGCTTCCTTTGACTTGATGAACTCCTCCTTGGAGTTGGCGGCCTGGGCGCGGTGGTAGGTGTCTCCGAAGAGAGGTGCAAGAATGCCCAGGGAGGCAGTGTGGGTGAAGAACGTTCCCAGGGCGATAGCCGATGGCTTCACGGGAGGCAAGTCTGGTGAACTAAGTATTAGTATGAAGTGCTAGTGGTGATGGTGATGGTGATGGTGATGGTGGTTGAATTGGATGGAGTAGATGGATTATTACTCACAGTGCAAGGTTGTCATGATTGGAGATAGAGATACAAAAGGTTAAGATGGACTAAAACGAATTACAGGGGGAGCTGTTCAAGATACTATATACTTCTTTGCTACGGTGACGTCGTCATGATTCAGAGGTATGTAGTATGCGGGAGTGAAGCATGACGTCAAGTCCTTGGCTAGAAACCCCATCAATTTGCAAATCCGGGGACCAAGACCAAGTGGGAAAGTGGGCACAGAAGGGAAAACCGGGCAGAAATCTGGGTTTCGATGGCGTGCATATCCAGCTCAATGCATCTCTGCAACTTTATTTCCTAGCTAGACCTGGTTGTATCAGGATATGGTATCTACCCTCCATCAGAGCTGATCAGTCATCATAAATGGGAGACGCGCAGGATGCCGCCGAGACTTGATTTGACGTGACTCTAGGGGTTGCGCACGGGCGCAAGCTTGTCCTGGGCTTTTTGCACATCTATGTGGGGCGGGTTCTGGTTATTTATGTTTACTTCAATGTAAATTGCTATGCATAGAGAATCAAGATGAGATAGGAGATAGTTGATGTGATCGGGGCAAAATTGGCATGTTTTAATATATGTGTGGGTTGCCCATACACTCATTCTTACCTCATCGGAGGGGAAAGAGTTGTAAACATGACCCTCCACTCATCCCCTTCCAAGGGTAAACACTCCAGTTTTCTCCATCAATCCTGCCATTCACAACTTCACGATCCTTGATCTTGGAATAGAAACGCGCGTTTCCTCATCGGGACGTATCATGTGATCATCGATAACGAAATCAAAGAGGAAAAATTGTGATTGTGGATCGTTTCTCGCCTCAATTCCAATCTCATATTTACCGTCTCCTATTTCGAATTTCGCATTTACCTTCTCATCTATCCATCGCGGCTCATTACGAACGAAAACAAGGCAAGTAAACAATACGCAGAACCAATGGACCGGTCAGTCAGCCCAGAATCATCCGACTCAGATGGCCTCCGAGTGAGCATATCATTAGCTCCGCCACGACTCAACAAAACTGCAGAGACAACGAGTCTCGATTTTGACGGACGTTTGACAGAACCGCTTTTGCTCAAAGAAGATCTCAAAAATGGATGTGGAGGTCAATTATGGCCTGCTGGAATGGTTCTAGCCAACTATCTTCTGGATCGCCACCCCGAAGATCTGGCTAACAAATCGATGTAAAATCAGTCTCTCCATTCTTTCTTTTTTTTTTCTCCTCTTATCTCTTGCCCCTCTTCCTTTCACTCAAACATGAGACTCCCATACTAATGATAAACCCAAGTGTGGAACTTGGTTCTGGCGTGGGGCTAGTCGGACTTGCAGTCGCTCGCGGTTGCAAGACTAAAGGACCCCTCTACATCACAGATCAACAACCTATGTTCGACCTGATGAAAGATAATATCCAATTAAACGACCTTGACACCGCTGTCTCGGCCTCGATACTGAACTGGGGAGAACCAATTCCTAAACAAATACCCTCGAAACCGGACATTATACTCGCTGCTGATTGTGTTTATTTCGAACCGGCTTTTCCGCTCCTCGTTTCTACACTTCAAGATCTGCTAGGCCCAAATTCGGTCTGTTACTTTTGTTACAAGAAGCGGAGAAGAGCGGATGCGAGATTCATGAAGATGGCGAAGAAAGCCTTCGATATGGTAGAGATTAAGGATGATCCCAATGCGCCATCTTACGATCGAGAAAATATTTTCCTGCTCGAGATCCGACTCAAATCTTCTAAGAAACTTTGAAACTTCTTCCGAATGCGACACTTACCTCGAAATTATCTTGTCTTCGGTCTTCAGTCTTCCAAAAGCGACATGTTATGACTGGACTATTCATATCTCTTTGGAATTTCCAAGGATGAGCAAATCGACTACAACTCCAACTTGACATTATGGGGGATATTAGATAGAATGGGGAAAGCAATGGTTTTAGAATGAATAATGCATCAATGATATTACCCTCCCAAAAAAAGAAAATGAACCTTAAAATCTATACATGGGCCAAATAATGTTGATATCACAATGTCTTTTTGGAATCTTACAGCTTCAAGAAATCTCCGCTGTTCTTCGTAGCTTCGCCAACCCTGGCACCTTCCATATCAGTGACCTTGCCCTCCTTGTTGACAAGCCTGACACCACCCTTCTTCAGATCCGAAACAAGTTGCTGCTTCTCACCAGCCTTGCCCTTCTTGACGGTAGCCTCAGAGTTCGCGCCCTGCTTCTTCCTCTGTCGTCGGGAGCGAGCCTTCTCTTCACGACTCATCTCCTCCTTAGAAACAGCGGCACCGCTCTTGCGCACCACCTCACCGGCAACCTTGCCATCATCACCAGGAGCATAAACCTCTTGGGGCGCGAGTGCGGATGGTCCATCAGCGGCACTGCCAGCTGTGGGGCGTGCATCTTCCATCATAATAGTTGGCGCATCAGTGACAACATTGATGTTAGCCTGTGGCGCTTGAGGCTTGTAGTGCCAGTTAGAGAGAGTATCAAGTGAAGAACTAATTTCCTTCCAGAGATTATTGACCTCAGCGTGGTCCCGCGCCAACTTCTTGTCTTTGGTATCGACATAGTTTGGATCATTAGCGCGGAGATGGTCAGCCTCGTACATCTCAGCCAGACTCTGTTGCGGCTTGGTATCTTCCAATTCGAATCGGCTGCTTCGGGGGCCCTTGGTATCGACAGCTCCGGGGCGACGGCGGATGACTTCATCAAACTCTTGTGCGAGAATACGGCGTTTTATCAGCTCTTCGATATCTTCGCTTGTCTCGTTTGTCACGACAGGGACGGGCTTGCCAATTCTCTCAAAGTCCATGTCCTCTTCGATGAGGGAGTTGATTGGTCTTTCGACTGCACGCGCCTCTCCGGTAAGCATCCATTCCTTCTTCGCGACATTTGCGTTTTCCAGTTTACGGATTTCGTCCGCAATGCGGGCTCGCTCTTTTTCATGTGATGATTTAGGGCCTTGTGCGTTGCCAGTCTCATCTACGTCTTCTTCCGCTTCAATATCGGACTCGTCGTCGAATATATCACGTCGGACATCAGCCATGGCGCGATCAACATCGTCATCTTCAATGGGCTCTGGGGCTTGTGTTTTGGGAAGAGGGCGGAATTTGTTCTTGGATGAAGCTTTGCGTGGTGGAGGTGCGAAAAAGTCGGCGTACTTGATATCACTTGTGTCTTGCCAGGCGGGGCCTTCTTCCTCATCTTCGTCGGCAGCACCTTCGTCAGAGTCAGAGTCTCCGTATAAATCGGCGTCTCCAAAGGTTGGTCCTTCCTCTTCGCTATCGTCGATCTCCATGTCATCACTTTCTTCCTTTGTTTCCTTTGTCTTGCTGGATCGATCTTTCTTAGTGTCGGATTTGGCAGCTCCAGCTGACAATGGGTTTGCGTGCCAGTCAAGATCGTCGTCACTGTCATCATCGACATTGTTACCATTGGCGTCTTCTCTCTCCCACGCCTCGGTCTGTTTATTGAAATCATCGATAGAAAAGAATCCATCGTTCAGTCCGAAGCGGTCTTCAACGTAGACTCCCGGGTCCTCTTCGGACGCTTGAGATGCTTCCTCGTCGTCGTCTTTTTCAATGTCTTCAATATCTTCAATGTCTTCGTCCAGATCTTCGTCCATGGCCTCAACATCTTCTGGCTCGTCTTCATCCAGCTCGCTATCCTCCAGTTCTTTCATTCCATCGACATCAACGCTTCCGTCCTCCAAGTCGTCGTTTGACATATCATCGTCGTCACTTCCAGACTCCAGACCCTCGAGATCAGAGGCATCCAGCGAATCTGAATCATCTTCGCTTGAAAGTTGTTCGTCATGTTGGATCATCAAGTTGACATCTCTTTCGATCTCACTCCCAGCGGCTTCGAGAATCCTTGTCGCCTGTTCCCAGACTTGGTTGGAAGTGAACCCATCCACATACAGATTCTTCAGTTGAAGTGGAGGGAGTGCGTCGTCGTCATCGGATCGTTTGCGCTTTTTGTTGGCTTGGCGACGAAGGGATTGCTCCTCTATGACAGAGGCAGCGAGCGGGTCGAGGATCTGTTTGGTGGAGTCCGCAATGAGGGTGTGTAGGTCGTCGGTGGGCTGAAGGAAAGTCCAGGGGGTGGATAAGATTGATGGCAGAGCTGGCGTCGTTGACGCTTGGGGCTTGTTCCCCGACTTTCGTCTACCCATGTTGGTGAAGGATAGAGTGAATAAATTTGGTGTAAATGACTTTCGCAGAGAAGTCAAAATCGAAGAAGAAAAAATGTCGCACGGAGCATGGGTCGGCGGCCAATCATGTCTGGGTCCGATAAGATAAGGGGCCCCACTTGCACCTTACCTATTGAAGTACGGAGTGCTATATACTATACAACAGGGTGAATAGTTAATTTATTTGTATTATGAAATTCTAGGATAAAAGCAACAGATTTCGAAGTGAAACTACCTTTACTCCCTTAAATCACAAGTACATGTGTGTAGAGGGTTTTGCTAGTAGTAACCTTGGAAACATGAAAGGTTGACTTTTAGTACCTCCAGGGCTCCAGGGCTACATATATAATAGAACGAAATAAAGGTTGTCACATATGTTACCCTAACTTAAACTTGAAAGTGTCCATATCCGAATCTGAGTGGGGAGTCTAGAAAGATTCAATAATGATAATACATGTGAGCTGACTTCAAAATGGTAGAACTTGAAATCACAGGAGCACTGCCAGTGCAAGTGGGGTGTTTCTACTAATGGGTAATACTTAGTGTATTGGAATGTCTACTTGAGGACCGAAGTCCAGTACTTCCCGAGGCCACAAACAATTTCCCTTATCCATGGCGCATGAAGTTCTCCCGACTAAAGTTTTAAATGCCCTCTTAAAATAATTCGGATCCTCCCTTAGTCAAATCACGTCCCGGTCTGCCGCGTGAGATCTCAACAATGACGGCGACGAAGGGGCACACGAAGCAATTAACAATATCCACGCCTCGGAAACGTGTAAAGTTATTACCTTGTCTGTCACGTGTTAGTAAATTTGGGCAAGTAGCTTTATACACCAAAATTCGATAGATGTCTCGACTTACGGCTGTTTTCATTGCGAACAAACTCAATCAATTTTCCCGTTCCCAGGCCGCCGGCAAGTATACCGAGGCCCATCAAGCCGCATATAGCGATTTTGTCCTTTTTGCACATTTTCAATTTCCAAATCATGAAGGTAGTGTATATTGCGAGGAATATATCAGTGACAACACTCCAAACTAATGGTGACCGAATTCCTTAGCTGATGTGCAACATCTTGATATTGGAATACGTACCTCCAGCGCCGACAAACCACCAATCCGCCAGCTTGAGTCCCGTGTGCCCTCGTCTTTGAGTTTTGAGATGGGATATTTTTACTATGACCAAAATAATACGACTGATAAACTGCACAGACTCAAGTAAGCAGATGCTATGCGGGTATGAATTTAAAACCTGTCGATAGCATACGTTCAGCCCCGCGGTAAAAAGCATGACCCACTTGCCAATATTCTTGCCGGTGCGGTCTTGTACTTAAATAATATACACTACCATTCCAATCTTGGCAGAAGAAATAGCAAAGCATATTAAAGCCGAGGGAAAATTATGTTGTTTCTTGATCTCGCGTAGCGACTCGGATGCGTGACCCCAATACTATAAAGCGCAGTACCGATAACCCCCAAAGCCTAGGATGTATTAGATAGACAGCAGAGGAGCCTGTAGAAACTCACTTACTCATGATATCAGCGCCCATAGGAGGGGCCATATATTCCTTTTTCCTGAGTATGAAGAACCAATTGTATACATGGAGAATCATAAGTGTAGTCGCCAGGAAGCATAACGAATTTCCTATGGTGTCAAGTATAGGGCCCCATATTATTAGATCCACTGGGGCTGAGTTTTTGTATATAGTATGTGAGAAAGATCAAGGGGAAATACTGTGCTGGTAGTTCCAGGAGGTTGACAATTTGTGGTGTCAAAAAGTTACCTGGGCAAGTTGAGATTTAACGAAGGCTATAAATAAGATTTATTAGTCAATGGTTTCTCGGTAGTGAAAAATGGAGTAAGAGACACAAGATTCGTCGGGGCGCAGTTCCAGCATGCTGTGAGCATAAAAAATAGATAATTATCCCGAGACTGTCTGTCTTATTCCCATAAGCCAGTTGCGCATTACATGGGCACTGTATCATGCTTAAAGTTTCAAAGAAAGAGATGGTATCCTTGCTGGCTGATATTGTGGAAATAATGAAATGGTTTATAATTAAATGTATCCTTAGCAAAGTGATATCATGATATCACTGTCCAAACTACGGTTGATGCAGAGCTATATGGAGGGTCTGCCCGTCCTACTATGTATGGTTGAAGGCCCATTCTTGACATTTACAGGTTTATGCGAGCATAATTTTTGGATTGAAATTAAGGTTCCAGTTATGTACTCCACTTTTGGACCTGCATATATCCAAATCCGGTATGGTGTAGTGGCTAACATCGCTGTCTCTCACACAGCAGCCGGGGGTTCGATTCCCCCTACCGGAGTTTGTTATTTATTTTTCTTCTTATGTTCAGTTTTTTTTTCATTGGCAGAAATAGTCGATTGATTTCCAGATAATACAGTTTTTCTCTCAAGTTATCACCTGCGAGATGGCATTTGGCTGTTATATTTATGTAGTACTGATTTCAAACTGGAAGTTCATAGTTCGTGCTTTTAAACAACAGGGCTTTAATCTTGCTTTCATATGAATTAATACGTCGGCGGACTAGATAGAGTCACATGAGACGCAGCATCCTGATCGTAGGTACCAATTCAAGAATATTTTGGCACGAGTCAGGAGGAAGTCTGGATACAATGCGCCTCATGCAATCCATGGTAAATTGGACCAACAACCGCACAACCCCAGACGGGGAGTACTGCGCAGTATCAACGACTTTCCCCTTGTAATACAAACCTACAGCCACAATGACTATGAAGTATGATCATAATGAAATCAAGTTGCCGCTATGTTGGGCGAACTAAGTGTTAGCCAATTAGACTCAATGAAATGGTGGAGTTGACGTCAGATCGATCTCAAATCAGCTCTAGGCCTTAGAAGCGAATAGGTGCGGTTCAAGATATACAGGACTCCAATGGCCATGTGCATCAATTGTTGCATTCAATGAAGGAATCTCTTCACTTGCCTCTTCTTCAATGAGAATGCTAAGCCAAGGCATGGTTGCGCCGCAGTGGCGAGATGGCTCCAGCCTAGACTTAAATAGCAGTCTACTGCAAGGCGATCTCGTTTATAACATACTAATGAATCAATAACATAATTATATCATTTCAAAGTAACAAGTTCAACCCACCGTTGTGGTTTTTCTCCAACGCCAAAATGGCACCAATCGCTCAGTATACAGAGAGACCTGCCAGCGGGTCGAAGTCCCAGTTCCAGGCAGGTAAGATAAGAAGGCTGCTTACCGTGAATTACTGAGAATTTAAGGAGTGAAGAATCTGACTGGGGTTTTTTAGGTCACAAAATTCCTATCCAGCACCTGGAAAAGCCAGGATTGCAGTCCGATATGGATGACCCGAAGCCCTGCTCAACGCATATTCCAACTGAAGATGGAGGCTATCAGACTTATAAGGCAGCTGGCAAGCTTGAAGGAAAGAGAGCCATCATTACTGGCGGAGACTCGGGCATCGGACGGGCTACAGCAATCCTTTTCGCCATGGAAGGTGCATCAAGTCTAATCGTTTACCTGCCATCGGAAGAAAGCGATGCACAGGAAACTAAGAAGAGAGTCGAAGAGGCTGGACAGCAGTGTCATCTGATGGCAATTGACATCCGTAAGAAGGAGAATTGCAAAAAGATTGTTGACACGGCTCTTCAAAAGATGGGTGGCGTGGATATTTTGGTCAATAATGCCGCATTCCAAGATATGCTGAGCGATATCAGCGAACTAGACGAGTAAAGTCCAGCCCCGGGTCTATTACTATGTGAATCCCCTTCTTGGTGCTAACATACTTATACCCAGAGAGCAATGGGAGAAAACTTTCGACACCAATATTCACTCATTCTTTTACCTCTCAAAGTATTCTTTGCCCCATATGAAGCAGGGATCAACTATTATCAATTGTTCCTCCGTAAATCCGTATATCGGTCGTGGTGATCTGTTGGATTATACATCTACCAAGGGTGCGATTGTTGCATTCACCAGGGCTCTGTCCAACCAGCAAGTCAAGAAGGGAATTCGGGTCAACTGTGTTTGCCCGGGTCCCAGTAAGTGCCCGCGATTCGTGACAATTAGTTCTTATTGCTAACGGCGTCTTAGTCTGGACTCCATTGATTCCATCCACCATGCAGACATCTGCAATGGAGCAATTCCATTCTGTGCCCATTGGTCGCCCTGGACAACCCAGTGAGGTCGGAACCTGCTTTGTCTTCCTAGCAAGCCAGGACAGTAGTTACATTTCTGGACAGTGTCTCCATCCTAACGGTGGCATCATGGTGAATGGTTAAACGAATTTCAATCCCTAACACGTTAGCGCGCTCTCGCGCAAAATGAGTAAAAGAGGAAAAAGAAGGAAAAGACAACAAGCTGAAGTATTAGAAGCCATAAAAATTCGAGAAAATAATATTCATCTTCAACGGAATGAGAGACTCGTGTGTAACTGTGTAGTATAGCTACGGATGCTAGCATGATAGAACGTCGGAGGATAATCTTGGAGCAGTCGACATGCTCAGCCCTTGGGCGTGTCCTAGTCTGCAAGGAAGAGTACTACTCAATATCAGATTAGACCATGATGGGTCATGTTTTGATCCAATTTTATTTAGAACACACGTAGATGCTTCGAATGGTAGTTATTTTGAACGAACAAAGAAAAAAAAAGAAAAGCTGGGGTTGGGAGGGTAAAACAACCCGAGACCTGAAGTGATATACACAGTAACAAAGAGACACAGACTCCGCGATGGTTGAATAGATTTTGAGTCCAACATTCATGATGGTTCAAGCAAAAAAACAAGGAATCAAGAATTTAACGACGGTACCACATGCGAGTGATGCGAGTATGTCTCATCTTCTTCTGCAGCTGGAAGATGCCATACATAAGAGCCTCGGAGGTAGGAGGGCCTAATACTGGTCAGAAAAGTCCGGACGAAGACAACCGAGAAAGATACTCACATCCGGGAACGTAGACATCGACAGGTACGATACGATCGCACCCACGAACAACTGAGTAACTGTAGTGGTAGTAGCCACCGCCGTTGGCGCAGCTACCCATGCTGACGACCCAGCGGGGATCGGGCATCTGATCGTAGACTTGTCGCAGAGCAGGAGCCATCTTGTTGGTCAAAGTACCGGCAACAATCATAACATCGGATTGACGGGGGGAGGCACGGAAAATAATTCCCAGACGATCTTGATCGTAGCGGGGGGTGGAAAGATGCATCATCTCGACGGCGCAGCAGGCAAGACCGAAGGTCATGGGCCACAGAGAGCTTTGACGAGCCCAGTTGGCAACTTGATCGAGCGTAGTCCTGGAGAGGAAGAGATATTCAAGTTAGTATGAGTTCACAGGGCATGCATGGGCAGATCGCGCGTACAAGACATATTGCATAGCACCCTCCTTCTTCTCTTGGCTACCGAGAGGCACCTCGGTGCGTAGCTTGCCGGAGGCACTCATTGATTGCCCTGATGGTGTTTGACGCTCAAGAGCAGTTGCAGATTTAACGGTTGAGGTGGACAAGGCGGCAATGGACTGTGGGCGAAGGCATAGAGCCAATTGAGGCCGGGCTGGTAGTGAGGTTAGTGTCTGTCCGAATTGTTCCGACGATTGGGAGATATCTCTTACCCAGTGCGCCGGCGATAACAGGTCGCGCCATGGGAAGCATTGTGCCTGTACAGAGTCGAGGACGTTATCAGGGCCCAGGAGCTTCAAAGGTGGCGGTAGTCACTGTCGAGGTTGTCAGGGAGGACTTTTGCCGTGTTTGAGAGGGCGAACACCTGGAAAGACTGGGTATTGGTACGGTTTGGTATTTTGACATAAGCGACTGTGGAGCAGATTATTGGTTGTTGGTAAAATGACTGCTACAGTATTGTCAAGGCGGTGAATGGATAGTAAAGCGATTTGACTACACTACGATTGGCTGATAGGAATTGATGCCTTAATATAGCCTAAATATTTAGGTGTCAACAATGACCTCAAAGCGGGCGACTGGATGCGCGGGTGCCCCCCGTACAGAGAGTCGTTTCCAATCTACAGCAGCAACAGGCCACGCCTTTACAAGGCGATCTTCGATAACAAAGATATAAAACCCTGGGGTGTCGAATGGATATTTAATCTACAGAATGGCGGGTCCAAGAATAGCCTGCATCGGCATAATTGGCAAAGCTGTAAGTGTCGAATTACTCCCGATGGGTCTCCGGAATCTGTTGCTAATATATGTCGCTTTATTGAAACAGGACAACCCGCTTCACATTTCTCTCTTTCCTCCCTATTCAGATGCCACGGTTGAATTCTCCTTCCTCCTCAACTCCTGCTTAGATATTTTTGAGATTCGGCGCAAGCAAACCTCCATCGATCAGGACCTTGGGCTCCTCCAGGCTATCGACGAAAGGCTGGCTGCTTATGGTTGGCTCACAACTACAGGAGTGAAGTTTTTGGTGATTGTTGATCTTTTCGGTGAAGAGACGACAAGTACAAGGCTGGCAGGCCCTGCAGTCAGCGGCCTTAGAGATGCGGACTTGAAGACTGTATGTTGTAGTGTGTACCCTGTTTGCTACACCTGCTGATTATTTTGTTTAGGCATTCCGGGCTTTACAAACGGCTTATATCCAGCTTCTCCAAAACCCATTCTACTCTCCAGATCTCCATACGCCTGCTCTAGGAACGGTGGATGGGGCTTGTCAACCCATTTCCAACCCGAAATTCATAGCGGATGTGAAGCGCATTGGCGAAACGTGGGCGCCCGGGGCGACTCTGTAATGGAATTTCTACCAGAAATATTCGTCGCTTAGAGACAATGTCAATACGATGGCCCAGGTGGCATTTACTTAGCTCGCAACTCTGACCCGCCCCGCAACTAGCGAAGACGTTCGAACTAGATCATAGAATTGCTTCAATGGGCCCCCGAGAAGGAGGTTTTGGATTTAAAAAGCTACCATAAATCTCATGCGCTCTAGATGAATATGTCGGCGGATCATGTTGGTCCCGCTAGATTGGCAACTTGAAGGTCAGGATGCAAGGTTTTGTCTTGAGGTCATATTGTATATTGTTCTGCGGAATAATATGATGTAGGTACTTACTTATCCCGTACCTTATGAATGTAGGTATTTGTAGATTTAATGTGAAGGGAATGCCTATTTTTCAAGGCTAAGATCACTGTACTTTGGGCTCCGTCTGCTCCAGTGCTAGCAATGTTTCCTCCATTTCCTTGGGATTGCAAATGGCCCACACGCCACCTCCTTTGGCATCGACTCTCCCAACCTCCTTGCCCACCAGATTTCGGCCTACCTTTCCGGGCCCAATACCAATCCAGCGCTGAATGCCTTGATTCTGGTGAAGATAGCGGATACTTTCCCACCAATGCACTGTATCAACGCATTGACGCGATAAGAGGTGTTTGAGATCATCCTTTGATTTATAAGGCAGTGCTGACACATTTGAAATGCATGGAATCGCCCCCGGAAATGTGATATTTATCTCTTCCATGGCAAGCTTCATATCTTCAGCAGCGGGGCGCATGACCGGGCTGTGAAATGGACTGTCGCTCTTCAATCTTACTGCGCGCGGGTCATGCCCTCCAAATTGGCGAAGCTGCACAAGAAGGGCTCGGATCTTTTTTAAACTGCCACTAAGAACAATTTGATTGGGAGAATTGATGTTGGCGACCCTAACTTGGGGGCAGGGCGGATGGCCGTTGTCGTCAGGGTAAAAAGCCTCTGGATCCAGGAACTCATTGACAGTCCTGAGCAAGCTCTCAATATGATCATCTTCGCAAATGAGTGCCACCATGCCATGGCTATCTCCAGATTCTTGAACAACTTGCCGCGTGCACTGAGCCATCACCAAGGCACGGCGATGAACCAACCGAAGGGCGTCGGAAAATTCGAGGTGCTTGGAGGCAACCAAGGCTGTGAATTCCCCGAGACTATGACCCAAAGTGTAATCGACACGCGAGCCAATATTAAATCCGAACTCCTGCTCTAAGATGCGGAGGATCAGAAGGGAGACTGCCATAATCGCGGGCTGTGCATTCTGTGTTTGGTTGAGGCTTGAATTAGGGCCATTCCGGATGATGGAGGAGAGACTGTAGCCCAAAATAGAGTCCATCTCATCTAAGAGCTTAGAAGTCGTCCGCGGGAAATGATCCATCCAACTATTGGCCATGCCAACTCGTTGTACTCCATGTCCTATGGAAGTAGTTAGACCAAGCTAAAGATCAGAATAAAGAGATAATCGACAAACCTGGAAAGAATAAAGCCGTATGGAGATCTCGCTTAAGGTGGGGAGACTCAATCGCATGTTTCCATCTCATTGGCATCACGGAAGCCCTCACCAGGGCGGCCTGATGCATGGGTCGTGTCACAAGGGAGGCCATTCTGCTAGACTACTAACATAACAACCCCGAGCTTCGTCATGATCTGGCTGAGACAGCCTTTGAGCATGTTGCTCGGTGGACTTTGCAAAATCTAGAATATGCTGATACCTGGAGTAGTTGTTTGAGCGTGTCTGGAGGGGGAGATGGTTCACGTGAGAGATGAGATCCCGCGCCTCCTCCCCTAGCCCAACTGGATCGGGATAAGCGGACCCGAGGCTTTTAATAGATACTTTGCTTTGCTTTTCTACCAAACATTCAAGATATTTTAATTTAAGAATATGAAAAAGACAAAAAAACCAAGTATTGACTGCTTAATGTGAAATTAATTAATGTTTTACAATATAAAATATCCAATTAAGTGAGATTGCTTGACGAAGTCGAACGTTAAACTTGCCTCACAGTTGCTACAAGATACTTGCGCGCGCGGTCTCTCTCACCGCCTTCCTACATCTAGCTTTTGTTATTGCTCCTTCGGTTTTCCACGCATCACTTCGGCGCATTCAACGTTCTTTCATCTGGCTTTTGGCCACTTCATTGAATGTGTAAATTGTGCGCTGAAATATCTCACGATGTTTGTACCTAAGGCAAACCCACGAAACCCTCGCAGACGCCCGCGTACGAGCTCCGATGAATCGGTAAAGCCACCCAAAGCAAAGAGACAACGCTCTGTGTTGCGACAGGCAGAAGGACCGCCCTCTGTCAGTCTGGACTATGAGAATGGACAAGAAACAGTGGATTTGGCTACATCGCTCACTCCTAATGAGCAGGCGGGCGAAGATGCACACCTCCCGATTCGAGCCGTAAAGCCAACCGAAGAGCCCAGCGGCGATCTTGATGGAGCAATTGTTCTGGTAAGCAAGCTTTATTTCTCCCATTTATGCTCTTGGCGAGATATTGTTTTTGAATCGCCGAAACATTCATCAGGGTTACCTGCTAACCATTCTCCTGTCGATCAAACTAGTCGAGCACAGATTACTACACAGCAGATCAACTTCCGGCACTGCCTGACCAAATACGGGGGTTAGCAACAGGTAAGACTTATATTTGTCGTACTATTGAATTGGTGTATCAAACTAACCTATTGCGACATAACGCAGAGCCGCTTAAGAGTTTCTTTTCAGCTAGCCAAGATTATGCTCTCGCCTTAACACACTCTCATGCAATTGTATGGCCTTACAATGCTCCAAACTCCGCACCACCACCCTCGCAAACATTCACAGTCTCAATTCCCGAATCTTGTCGAGATCCTCATGGGCCTGTGCCACTTGGTATCCTACTCTCCACTGCTACAGGTGAATACCCCGGTCTCTTGGTGATCATTCCGTCGACAGGAAAGATTATCTACTGGGAAACAGTGTCTAGTGCTGCGACACTCGGATTATCTCGACAAAAGCAGAATGGAATTCAGGGCTTCACACCGGGTCTCTTGTCCGGTGAGTATGCTACCGAGATTATGAATTGCGAACCTTCAGGAACTGTGGCAATATTTTCGTCCGGACGTACAGCACATATCACCCTCAGAGATTCTCAAGGAAAGCCCTCTGTTCTTGTGAATTTCTTGAGGAGCGGCTCGAGCTCTGGAGCAGGCGGATTTCTTGGAGGTATTAAGAGTGTGCTGGGAGGAGGTTATTGGAGAAAGGAGGTTAGTGCTGTGCGCGCTGGCGAGTCGCGCCAACGGGGTCAACGTGACGTGATTATCGCAACTTCGACGGGACTGGTGGAGATTTGGGATACTCACTGGAACCACGGGAATGCATTGAAGAAAAAGTTCGATGTGAAGGAGGACATCATCGCCGCGCTTCCCATTGCTGCCCAAGAGCCTGGAAAACCAACTGGGGAGCCAGACTTGAAAATTATGGATTTCGCATATGTCAGCCAACCCTCTTCTGACGATTCGGAATCCCATGATACAGATGAATCATGGCGTTTATACCTGGTTGCAAGCTCAACACCCTGGCTGGAATCTAGAAAGATCTTTGTCATTGAATTAAGCTTGAGTGGCAAGGGCTCGCAGGTACTGTCCACACGCCCCGTGGATCTCAGTAATATTCCAGCGATCCAGGAAGATTCGAAACCGAGAATCCTTGTGCCAAAGTCCGAAAAAACTGCATTCATCCTCATCAAACAATCCCTCGTCATCTTATCACTCACAAGTACAGTGGAGGAAACTCCAACTTCACAGCTCCTCTCAAGTTCAAATGAACTGCCGTTGTCATTCCAGGACTCCATCCATCTTCGCACTGGCAAAGAATACGAAGTCCTTGGATACGGCGTAGAAGATGTGTCTGATGGGGAGGACTGCGATTCTTGCGTGCTTATGATTCGAAATTTTGGCGTCGTTCGCGTGAATGTGGCACCTCACTACCCAGCGGAAATTGAGGTGGATGAGGGTCAGCTGAGTGCAAAGCACAAGCTCGAACAGGCAATCTTTTTCGGAACCATGGCAAAGAATCCGTTAGACTTGATTGGTGAAGGTGGCTTGGACTTTGCTGCTGCTGAAATCGAACAAGCCTCCCTTGAAATCTGCAGTGATCTTCTCCGTTCAGAATCAAGATTTATTCCCAACACATCAATATCAATTGAAGAAAACTTGAGATTGAGAGCGAAAGCACTGGACGACCTTGCCCTCTTATTGGGAAAAAAGGGCTATCCCTTGAGTCGTCCTGCGAAGTGGGAGTTATTATGGGGAGCAGAGAAGCTTGCTGCTCAGAGAGCCATGTGTACATTGGACCAGAAGTTTCAATCGGGAGAGGATGGCCACTTCATCAGTCACGTCATTGAGTCTATGAACGACAAGTTCAAGACTCGCTCAACCAATCAGCAAGACCCAGCAGATCATCAACGCACTTGGTTCCTCCGCGACTCCTATCAGATGGAACATATTATTCCTTGGATCAAGAACGCAATTAAGCCTCGTCGTGGAAACTCTTCTAAGCAGGCGCGGAAGCTATCCGAACAGATACTCCAGGCAAGCGAACTTCTGCTTGCGATCATGGAGACGGCCTACCAATTTCGCGACAGGCATGCCGCGTCCTACGGTCTTGGAGATGATTTCCTGGAAGACGGTGTTGTCGCCGACGGATATGAGGATCTTCCTGAGTTCTGGACGTCTAGAGCAGTGGGTTATGCTGAGACAGGCCACCTCCTTGACTGGGAACTAGATAGTTGTCGGGCTTGGATTCAACAGTCGTCGAGCGCGGATGCGCCTGATGGCCAAACTCTAAAAAAAATCGCCATTAACAGTGCCCGTCACCTTCGAGTTCTTGGTCAAATGCATCAAGAGCGAACTCGCTGGCTTGCTTCTCAGAATGACCCCAAACTGGTAGACGAAGGTGTTTCTATTGAGCAGTCGCACATGAAGGAACGCAAATGGCAACTATTCAAATTGGCAGGAATCGGCCATCTACAAGACGCATTGAGTCTCGCGGAGCGATTCCGGGATATGGGTGCTTTGGTCGAACTCATAATTGAACTACAAGACCAGGTGAAGAATGGATCATCTCAGAATACTTCAGGAGACTCAGCTACAGTGGAAACTGAAGCCGATGTTGCACACCGAATCTCTCAATATTTCGAAAAATTTGGTGATTCATGGGCGGATGCCTACTTTTCACGACAAATCTCGATGGGACATCCAGGGGCCTTACTCTCTATGCGAAAATACCAATCCTCTGTTACTCGCTTCCTACGAACCAACCCAGCATACTCTAAGCTCAGTTGGATCAATGATGTCAATGGCGAGGATGACTACGAGACTGCAGCAGTCTGCCTGGAGAATCTGGCCATTGATAGTGAGAAACAGCTTTGGTGCCATCGTGTCCAGGTCTCACTAGCAAAGCTGGGTCTACTGGCTTCAAGCGAGAACCAGCCAGCTCTGGGAAACGGGAGTGCGTTGCAAGATAACGTCAAACGTTTAGATAGCTACAGCGAGGTCGATGCAGTACAGGAGCTTCTCCAGGTGTATGTTCAGCCAGTGTTGGAAGGTGCGATTGATCAAAAGGCTGAAACTGAGCTGGTACTGGATTACTTTGGAAGCCAGCTTCGCGGAGATCGCCCTTCGTTGCATGAGATACTGGGCGAAACTTTCTCCGCCCTGATTGGTGGAAAAATTGTTGGTGTCGATGGATTAATTGATTTACTGACACTGATGGGCTCGGTGCCGGTCTCTGATGAGATTGACAATGAGCTCCGCGAACGGGAGTTCTATCACGCCCTCCGGGTTTTAGACCATAGTCAATATGCCCAGCAAGATCAGTCATACCTTTCAGCCTTACGAAAACTGATTTGGCGACGGTGCATGATTAAGGACGATTGGAAAGCGCGCGGGAAAGCAGCTGAAAAATCAAATGGGGATGTCGATAGTGCTGCTGATTCAACTGCTCTCTATACCACCCTGACAACCTGTCTAACAGGTAAGTAACCCACACCCTTTTTTATTTGTTCGTTACCTCTCTGACGCCCCCTTTAGAGCATGCTGAAACAGTTTCCCCATCTATCTACAAACCCCTATCCCCCACAGAGAGTTTGATGGCAGAGTCAGAGTCAGACATTCTGGTCTCACGCTTCCGCCCTGAACAAAGGGCGCGAGTCGCCGTTGATTTGAAACGCGAGGATGATTTGCTGCGTGATTACATCGAGGCAGGGAAGCTTGACTTCTGGTTCCAAAATCTGTTGTCGACCATTGAGTCTCAGACATCTGCCAAGAACACTGCTCAACCCGATAATCAAGGCTCTATTGATATGTCATTGGACTCAAAGGTACGATTGACATGGGTATGAGTCAACTTTAGTGCCATATGTCAAGAGGTCAAGGACCAGGGAAGTACTGAAAGGAGTTGGGCGGTTATCCCTTGGAGTATTATGATATGAAACCCATGTATTATGTAAGAACCAACTGAATTCAATAATTGTCTTTCTTATTGGAACCATTCTGTAATTTGAAAGTATCATTCCTTTGTTCTGGGATGTATTGGCTACCTAAATAAAGGATGTACAATCATCCAAACTCAATCTTGACAGGCACATATCCATCCCTATTTCATCACACAGTTTCGTAATACAATCGTGAATAGATCTAAAGTCACAATAAAATCATAATGTTGAGTTCACTTAAAGCTTGACACCTCCCTGATCAGTCTCGCTGTCGTGGCTGCTGCTGCTAGTAGACTCAACTTTGGTCATGGCAGCTTCATCCATCGCGTCCTCAGAAGCACCATGCACCCCTTCCTCAAAGACAGGCTCAGGGTCGACAGTCTCAAACTTGGTTCTAAAATCAGTCAAACCTTGAGTGCTGCTGTTCGAGCGACGTCGGGCATTGTTGAAAGTATAACCGTAGTCTTGGGATTCATCGCCATCACGACCCCTATATAGGTAGCATAGATCTGTCAATCTATATCCCACAGCATCCCATGATATACACAACGAGTATAACTTACCAATTGCCCTTACCACCGCCATCCTTTTTGGTCTTGCGAGGGTCTGCGTCAGTGGGACCGGACTTTCCAAAGAAGCGTGGCAAGTTATCACGGGGGGCGATCATGCCATCGGCAGCTTGGTGCTCTCTGTCATTGAGTTTGTGGGAACGAGTCACTGAATGGTGAGTTTAGATCTTCATTTGATTCGGAATGACTTACTGGCTTTCTTTTCAGGTTTGATGATATTTAGTAGATGAGGGGGAGATGAAAGGGGGAGAGTTTCCAGGTGGCAGGGTACAAGTAGTGTTTGGTTGGCTTCGCGTGACTCGTGACCTCATACCCAGGCGGAAATGCGGGGGTTGTACTAAGCCCGGCCCCACCAACCTTAATGCATCATGGAGCTCGGAAACTGTTAAGGAGGCGAGATAGCATATTCAGGATAATATCAGAGACGCCTATATAGGTGTCCTGATGGGTCATGTGATGCCGCATGACCGGGTCTCTTACTATATAAAAGACCTCATTCTCTGCTATGGGCTTCCTCCTCTCTTCCATGCATTTGTATACGCATGTCTCTAGCAGATAAAAACGTGCCCGAAAGGATGAATATTTACATGATTTGTGTGATAGTAGAATGTGCATGCGCCAGTATTTCTTCTTCCGCAGGGAATTCCGACATACCTATACTATTTCACCATGTTGGCTCCTATTGAAGTATTAGTCACGAATTCGGTTTACAATAGGCTATAGACTATACTACGGGTAAAAAGCAAGTATTTCGGAATTTCCTCTGTAACTTGGTCTGAAAGGGCAAATACAAATATATATAGATATAAGTAAAGGTTCTCTCATTGAGTGACATGGCTTACACCACTACTGTCTACAAGAATATGATTCATTTCATAACCTTGTCAAAGATATATGTAGTAGTATCCAGGTTTTTGGATCATTCTCCTTTCGGACACAGATTGATTCAGATAGACAGTTGCTGCATCTATGTAGTGTTTTGATGAGTAGAGGAGATCTACTGTGAGTTATGACTACTCTCTATAGCCGACTTGGTTTATTAGCGGCCGAACAGACTGAGTATATACTGCAGTGAAAAGATAGATACCTAGTTCAATCCAACCGAGCACCCTGATTTCCAAAAAAAATTAATTAAATCATCCATCTCCTTCCTCTGATAAGACTATCCACTGACCTCGAGCTCTGCGTCGCAGTGTTACATGTGCTGGTAATGTGAAGTGAGATAGGTAATACCACCAATGAAAACCGGGGGATTGAAATTCCCAGAGCTCAAGTAGCCGGCGCAGTATGTAGCTAATACCAGTGTTGAAATAGCAAGACGTATGACTGAATGGGATTCTGAGGGCATAATTCATATATACCGTTGTAAGAAGGCACAAGAGTAAATGCAACCATTTAGGAGAGCGGAGAGAACTAGAACGAGAATAGCAATAACTAGAATCACGACAAGGAGCATATTTTGCAAATAAACTAGATAAAGTTGGAGGAAAGCTCTAAGAGTCCATAGAAACCCTTCGACTCCAAAATAGTTTTCAAGGGGCATGATGAAGTAAGAGGATAATGATATCCAGAGAAGCTGGGTGATGAAAGAAAGGAGGAAAACTTCTTATTGGATGGGTTCGAAATGCTCTTATGTAGATATTTATCAGTGATCTAATAGTATCTACTCGGGGTTCTCCGGTAGCGAGAAGAACTTTTCAGGAAATGAAATTAAACAAAGAAAAACCAATGAAAATGAATCAAATTTATTTCAATGTCCAATGAAACAGCACCCAAAGATACTTGATCAAATAATTCAAATGTTCAATTCGATTCTCCCTCTTTGCCGGTTGGAAAAGAGGGTCAGGGTGATTAGGGATCTATTGGAAAACTGAAAAAAAAAACCAGAAATTAGATCGACATGTAAGGAAGTAAAGTATGTATCATTAGTTGACAGGACTCTGTCTAGCACTCGTACTCTCGGCCCATGTTCGAGGCTCCTGGATGATATCCGCTTGACTGGATTGGCTATCGACTTCCCAGTTCTGGGTAACGAGAATTTGATTCTTTTTATTGAATGGGAACGAATGCTCAACGGTATCATTTCTGGTCAATCTAGACCTTGACTGTGTCTGCGACTGGATGTTTGACCTCCCAAACGCATAAGACGTGTATTCAAGGTCTTGAATTCGTAGACCACTGGATTTCAACCAGGAGAGAAATGGTTTGAGCTGTCCCCAACAGGCCGTGATAATGCTCAGACATTGGGCAACTTCCTGTAATATTGTCACATTGCAGTAGGCATAGGTAGGGTCGGTTGTGCCGGCTGTCTTATGTGTGAGGATGAGTTCAGCAAGGACTGCACCAATGACACTAGAAAGAAGATGAGCTGTTAGCCGAAGTCAAGTACAAAGAATGGATGAGCCTATCATACAGAAATCGTGGTAAAAAGAGACTGGCTATAAGTAGTCGTTTTTTAACTGCCGCTTGGACACGGTATAACAACAGAAAGCCTTGGGCGAGGATAAAAAAATCGGTGACCATATTCGAAATACAGACAAAATAGTGCCATGCAGCCTGGACATGGAAAAGGCATTAGCACCAATAAAAACAGATGCAGTGAGATTTAACCATACCATGTCGAAGCATTTTCCAATCCAAAAGTTCCAAGGGCTCGGCAGTGAACATTGGAATGCACTTCCACAAATACTCACAACAGCCCAGATACCAGTTATGATCTCTACTGCCAAAGCGAGGAAGCGGTCGGTTTTCGACGGATTGAGCCTTCGAATGAACTCAACCAAAGATAACTTCGAGAAGCAAAGGCTCGCGATGTATAGTATTGTGCTTGCGTAGAGGTACTGAATTGCTCAGACGCGTGGTTAGACTTGGCGTTCCTGATTAAAGATGTATGATTAACTTACTTTCATGACAGAATTAAATCTATCACTCGGTACTTCTTTTAGATGATATCCATATCCAAAGCTTACAGCCATAGAGACACAGGCACTTTGGATCGCGCAAAACACCTATAGAATTTGAAGGTTTCATTAGCATCGATCTCAGGGTATAGATATTTTCAAATGTCATACCAGTGATGCAATTATGTAAAGATCATCTGTTGTAAATTTTTTAAATAATCGGAACTTTGTTCCAAGCCGAGCAAAAACACCCAATATAACTGTACTCAATAAGACCCAGTTAGTCACATTGACTGCCGGGTCTTTGGTGTCCCCGCTGAACCGTGTATTCATGGCGCGTATAGCGAAAAATATAGCAAAATTTAGTTTCAGCCGCCGTAAGTGAAACAAGAAATCCCAGAAAATCTCCCAGGTGCTTGACATGATGGACCCTCCTTATGTATATCAGAGTTCACGGGCAATTTTTCACCCCGCCACAAGGCCCGAGGGCGGACCTGTGTCCAAGTCTTGGATAAATCTAATTTACACGTATCTCCTTAGCTTCTATGGATTAATCCTCTTATCACGCTAGAAAAAGATAAACAAAATTAAGACAGACAACAAGACCTAAGAATCCACCAAACATACATCGAGTTGTTCCAAGCCCGATATCGCAGTCTCAGCTGTGATTTCCATTTCTCGCTCTTATTGGCGATAATAGGTCAGTTTACATGAACCAATCATATATAATTATCAGGCGTGACTCTGTGCCTGAAAATGCTAGATAAACCTTCTTTCACAATAGAACAAACGGCGATAAAGAAACCACATGTGCGTGGCCGAATGCCCAATTTTCTAGCTTTGTATCGCGATGACATCCCCACCACTTGGAAGCCCCGCCTCCAACCTTGTGTGATGTTGGCCCCACTGGCGATGCTTGGTGCCCGGATGATTGGCCTATACTGCTCGGGCGCAGGGGCAATCCTCCATGATCGTCGGTAATTGTGCTTTGTGGACCGTGCACTGGCGGCCTGTCCGTCCATAGAAGCGCGCTATCTGACTGTCACAGACTCACAGTTGATGTATAAGCTGAACGAACAGGGGGTTGAGTTTTACCACGTTGATCCTAATTCAAGCATAGACCCTGCATTTAGAGGGGAATATCTATCTGTGTCTGTGATTTTGTTCTCGCTCCTTTTTTTCTTTTTTTCTTTTTTCTGGAAACTTGAAATATCCAAGTTTTCCCTTGCTTTCAACATTAGTCCCTGGACTTTAAGTCACTCATTTGCAATTGAAAATGGCGTCCTACGAGATGAAAGATCAAACAATTCAAAGCAGTCGAGAGGTGGATGATATGTCCAAGAGCGACCGTGATGATTTGCAACTTCAACGACTTGGCAAAAAGCCTGTGCTAAAGGTGAGTCGTGCAGACATTGTGCGGTGTTTCGATGAGAAATTTCCAAGACTAAATCATTGAATATCTAGAGAAATTTTGGGATCCTCTCTCTTCTTGGATTCAGCTGTACTATTCTTGCTACATGGGAAGGTTTACTAAGTACATTCACGGAACCTCTAACGAAGTTTGTCTCTACGTGAACTCCGAGTCTTGGAGCATACGAAGTTAACAAATATAGTGGCGGCTCAGCTGGAGCTGTGTACGCCTATATCTTTGCTTGGACAGGCACTGCATGCTGTTTCATTGTCTTATCGGAGCTATCATCCATGTTCGTTGTCCTCTGCTGTTCTCGAGAATGTAAAACTTACCATCGTCCCAGGGCACCTACATCAGGTGGTCAATACCACTGGTGTGCTATGCTTGCTCCACTCAATTGGATGAGATTTCTTAGCTATATCACCGGTAACATGAACTCATGCAATGTGATCATTTATAATTTGCCACATACTAATATCCAGAACTTGAATAGGGTGGCTTACTACAATTGGCTGGCAAGCAGCATTCGCTTCAGCAAGTTATATGTGCGGAACAGAGATCCAAGGTGTTGTTATTCTCGCTTGGGAAAACTATGATCCTAAGGCATGGCACGGGACAATGATCGTGTGGTGCTCTCTTCTCGTTGCATTCGGGGCAAACATGATTGGAGGTAAATTTCTCCCACGCGCAGAAAGTCTCATCTTGGTGGTTCACATCCTTGGATTCTTTGGAATTTTGATTCCCTTGGTCTATATGTCAAACCACAAGAGCACAAACGAAGTGTTCACCGAGTTTACGAATGGTGGAGAGTTTGCCACGGATAGTCTTTCCTGGTTTGTGGGGATGACTGGTTGTGTGTTTTCTTTCGCTGGTGGCGATGCTGCAGTCCACGTATGTATCAACATTCAAGTTACATTAAAAAGATACTGATAATATGTTATAGATGGCTGAGGAAGTAGGTAATGCCGCTACTGCAATTCCACACGCCATACTCTTATCCGTTGTCATAAATGGAATCCTTGGGTTCGCGATGTTAATTGCCGCACTTTTCTGTATGGGAAGCCTTGAGCAAGTCTTGTCAACAAAAACGGGTTACCCTTTCATCGAAATCTTTTATCAAGGCACTGGCTCTGTTTCAGGGACAGTGGGAATGTGCTCGATTATCTTGATCATTGCAGTGGCCTCGGGGGTGGGTATGCTAGCAGCGACGTCTCGTCAGTTCTGGTCTTTTGCTCGGGACAAGGGGGTCCCGGGATGGCGCTTATGGAGCCAAGTATGTTTTTATCTCTCCAAGTTCTCCTTAGTCTCGATTCCGAGGTTCCATTCTGACATCGAAAAGGTCTCCTCCCAAAGCCTACCTCATTATGCCATCTACCTTACGATGACGATTTCGTTCTTATTGGCACTCATCAACATTGGCTCTGCGGTGGCCTTAAATGATGTCGTCTCTATGGCTGTGTCCGCTCTCTACCTTTCCTACTTACTAGTTGGATCTCTACTGTTATACCGTCGTTGCAGAGGTGATATTTCCCTATCCAACGAAAACGATGATATGGCAATCAATATCCCCGGAGCAAAGCTAGTGTGGGGCCCATTCCGTATCCCTGGAATCTGGGGGATTTTGGTCAATGGCTATGCTGTCATTTACAGCCTTATTGTCATCTTCTTCAGCTTTTGGCCAAGCACAATGCACCCTGAAGTATCGGAGATGAACTACAGTGTGGTAGGAACTGTGGGGACAATTTTCCTGGCAATTATATATTACTTTCTACAGGCACGTCATATATACCAAGGCCCTGTTCTAGAAACAGTTCTTTGAACGTTTCTATAACCGTTTCTATGAAGAGTTTTGATCCAAGCCAATAAGGTGCTTTCCATTTTCGTTGTTTTCAAGGTGGAGAACTGAATCAACAGAGCTGGACTTTAACAAAAATAACCCAGTGTCTTTCTTCATAAAAGACCCCCGTCTCCCTGGGCTCCACCATGTAATTTAGAACCCTATATGTATTCTTTTTACTTCAACAACACAAGGTCGCCGAATCGGTTCGCATGCAGTGGCGATTGTACTTCTACATTTTCTTTTTTTTACGATAGTATCCCTCTTTGATCTTACTATGTTCAGTTTAGAGATCCACTTCCTTAAATTTTGAGATGATATAGAATAACAAGGAATGCAGGCTGTTATATGGAGCCATTTTCGTTTTTTGAATGTCGACAGACAATGCAAATGAACTCCTTTATAAACAAAGGTAAAAGAACTTCTAGTACTTCCTCTCTGTGAGAATCAAAGAACACAGCTCATCAGCTAACCGCTTTGCGAATCCCGGATCGTTAACATCACGCTCGTCTCGAATAACTTCAATCCCACTTCCTTCCAGTTCTTTCTCAAGGGTTGAAAACAGAACTTCGTCCGCATCGGGGTTCCAAAATAGCTGACCAGGAACGTCGAGCATACTCAGCCCACCGACTGGAAGAAACACCTTTGTTTTCGCGATTGATCTTTGCCCTTCTGTATTGTCACCCACCCCCCGAAGGTTTTTCGCAATTACTTTGGCAATTTTCTTACACTCTTCCGCTGTAGTCCTCATGACAGTCACAGTAGGATTATGTCGATGAAGCATGCGTCCCCTCCAAGTTTCAGGAACAGTCTCAAAAGGCCCAAAATTCACCATATCACATGCTCCAACGCTGACGACTCTCGGAATGTCCTTCGAAGTCGCGGCACAGAGCCTTTTATCACCAGCACTTAGAACTCCACCCACAACCTCATCCGCAATTTCGGTGGTCGTCATATCAAGCACAGCATCCAACTGAACCTCTTCAATAAGTCGCTCCATCGCTCGTCCTCCAGACCCCGTCGCATGAAAGACATATATCTCGCATCCTTGTTTCCCGAAGAACTCCTCAAGATGCTCCCTGGCCTTTGTCACGCCTGGTGTCGTTACCCCAAACATACTGATTCCAACGCGAACCTTGGGAGCGGATCTTATAGGTTCTTTCTTTTCCTGTAACCGCTCGAGATATCCTCGGCTGATTCCCACGACGGCTCCCGCAGCGTTACGAAGCACCATGTCCAACACGCTGTTTCGACCAGCAATATCGACGACAGAATACATCATTGCGATGTCCGTTGAACCAATGTACGGCGATATATCTCCCGACGCCATGGTGGAGACCATTAACTTTGGAAAGCCAAGCGGCATACTCTGCATGATGGCCGTTGCGAGAGCCGTGCCGCATGAGCCACCTATACCTAGAATACCGTGGATATTTCCTGATTTGACCAGGAATTGAACGGTATCAATAGCTGGCTGAGTGAGGAAATTGATGTACTCATCTCGGGGGAGAGAGCTCATGTCGACCTTCTGTGAAGGGGCATGTTGTAGGATCGTCTCTTGGGTTATCATTATATTGGGATCTGAAGATTGAACCCGGCCTATGTCCATTAGGAGGACAGTGACTTTTTGATCCTCTATGCTTGATTTTGTATAGAGAAGTTCGGCGATTTTGGTATCGCATGTTCCTAGGAGGAGGATTGTGGGGTTGGTTTGAGATGACATAGTGAATATGAGTAGTTAGTATTGATAATTGACAATTGATTGAGTGATGCTGTCGCTGTTAAGGGCCATTTATTATGGCAGTTGGAATGGTGGTATGGTAAGAGGGGCCGTGCGATTCGATGCCCGATGTGGTGCATGCTTTGGTGAGGGGCAAGCTTGTACGTCATATTAACTTATCAACTCCGTCTGCAGGTCCAAATGTATCGGTATGAACAATGCCTTGTATGCCATATAAGACTTCGAAAGCTGCGCTACACACGAAATTAGTTGAGCAATCCATTGTTGCTTATACAGACGCAACAGATATGGCCAAAGGCGTAGCCAAGGGCGGATACAGAAGGCAAAGAGAGGTCATTTCTATTGGGCGGACCACCCAAGCTGAAGATAGTGAGAATAATGAAATCCTATTGGCAGAACCAAGTATATTGGCTCCACACCTAACACGCATCACGGCCCCGACGTAGGATAATTGAACTTCGAGGTTCAGCCCTCAATAAGGGGAAATTGATTACTATACCAAGAGTAAATAATTGTTAATTTTCCTTCACAAAAGCCTCCAATACAATATCTCACATATAAACTTACTCTTTACAAGAAATGGCCCTGACCCGTGTGGCCGCTTGCCACGTTTCCCCTCATTTCCTCTCTGCACGAAAAACAGTCGACAAAGCAACCTCCTTCGTCCAAACAGCAGCCAAAAACTCAGCAAACCTCATAGTCCTCCCAGAGACCTATATTTCAGCATTTCCAATTTGGAGCGCACTAAGACCACCCACCGAGAACCACGATCTATTCCGGCGAATGGTCCAGCAATCCATATACGCAGATGGCAAGGAAGTCCAGGCCCTTCGCGATATTGCCTGCGACACCAATTCCGTAATTAGTATTGGTATATCTGAAAAGGCTAATTCAAATCATGCTTGCCTTTATAACTTGAACCTGATAATCGGCCATACGGGAGAAATCTTGGTTCATCACCGAAAGCTTATGCCGACGTTCTTCGAGAAGTTAATTTGGAGTCCTGGAGATGGGTATGGTCTCCGTGTGGCTGATACGCCATATGGTCGTATTGATGGTTTGATCTGTGGCGAGAATACGAATCCCTTAGCGCGGTTCTCACTTATTGCGCAGAGAGAAGAAAAAATCATATTTCTTCTTGGCCGCCTATCTGGCCTACACGTCTTCCACCGCCATCTAATGATGATGGAAATGCAGCAAAGGCTGCGCCGATCTATGATAATGTTCTTGCGAATCGTGTCCGTGCGGCAGCACACTGTTTCGAAGCAAAGTATTTTGGTGTGATGTGTAGCGCTCTACTGGATTCTGAAGCTGTGGAGACTATTGTTTCAGGCTCTAGTACACCAGATGTCATTCGTAATGCATTGTTGACATCGTCTAAGGGAGTGAGCATGTTTTTGGATTCAAGTGGTGCCCCATCGCCAAGTTTTAGAATCGACGAAGAGATTGGAGAGCAACGACCAACAGAGTTCTTACAGAACGAGGAGGGGATTATATATGCCGACCTTGAATTGAGTCGCTGTATTGAGGGAAAGCAATATCACGATGTTGTTGGAGAATATCAACGATTGGATGTGTTTGAATTGAAGGTCAATAGATCGAGAAAGAACCATGTTAACTTTACAGAAAGCCGCGATGTTGAAGAATGAAAGTACGCTCGCTTTAATTCGGCACCTAGACTTGTGACTGGACTTTGAGCTTTTATTAGAATCTTTACTTGTCCTATGTTACTACAGTTTATTACTTGAGTAAAATCAACCATACGAGATTATTCGTTATTTCCAAGGTTAGATAATCCAAATCATGAACTAACTGCATAATATTGTCGTTCGAATTGTTGCGCGGTGATCCAGCAACATGTTTTGAGACGTCGTGAAGTGGGGATCCGCCTTCATACTTGATAAATCGAAATCCACCAGCAAAGGCGTTCAAACCACTTCAACTTCTGTTTATAGTTCGAGAAATATGTCTTATTCTTTTAAACAGCCTATAATTATTTATTTCATCTTCTTGACTATACCTTTAGCACATGGTGCTGTGTTCAGTAGAATGCTAAGGCTTGTAAAAGCTAAGAGTAACCCGACATCACAATTTGCCTACAACTATGGAGGAGTACTTATCTCTTGGGAAATTTCTGGTGCAACGGGCTGCCTTCTCAATGCATTTGGGAATCGTCACTCTTGCGGCGGGTATCATGCTTCCTTTGAGCTATAGCATTTATTTCGTCACGAACTTCGTATTATGACTGGAGGAGGGGTTATACTGAGATACAAGCATTTTATAGAAAGTATGCGGCGATCAATCATGTCAGAGTAACACAAATCGGACCCCATTGAATGACATCATGATGCAAACTAGCCCTGCCCATGCGGGGAATATGTGTCGTACCGCTCATCTGATCTGATCTGAAAATCAAGCAAGGGGCTCCTAGCAATGCAAATCCCACTAAGATGTTCATAATAACATTTTAATACAATAAACCAATCTGAAGCAACTCGGTTTTAATATAAGAGAACTAGCAGATGAAAATCGAACAGGTCTTCGAGTCCCAAGACTAAAACCATGCAAACATCAAATTTACTATCTCTGAAACGCAAATATGCATGAATTTGAAGACTAGTGCTTGAATTTGAATTTCAGTTTGAACTCAAACGAAACTACCAAGTCAGCGGCCGATACAATAATCCGCCGCTTACACTGGTACATATATCAAATCCTAATACCGACGATCTCGGTCACGACGACAAATAACACCCAGAAACACAATGCCCACACGGTACTGCTGTCCAACCTGCAAATTCTGACAATTGCGATCTACCTGTGGATTCCACGCGTGTAAATTATTCAGAGCTTGTTGGCCGTAGCCCATGTCTGGGAATTTGGCTACAACTTTTAGATATTCGTTCTCCTCTAGTGGGAGGATGTAATGCGTAGTATCTGGCAGGTGTTAAGGTTTTAGAGTTGTTAGTGCATATAATGTACGGGTGTGGTATGTGGATGCCAGTGTCGGTGCCAGTGTAATTAGGCTTATAAAGTGGATTTGGCCTTATACCACTGAAGATGTCGGACTCGGAGGATGAGAAGTCGTATGCGGTTTGTTACGGAGAAATAAGAAATATGGGGAAGTCTCTAATATTCTAACTAGGCTATCTAACGAGGAACAAGGAAGAAACAGGGATCATATAACACACGGTAACAACTGCCCGCTCCCTAAGCTTGTACCGCTCTCGGTAGGACTCCCGAACGCATGTAAATAACTGGCTAATATCACTTTTGAAGGAATTGAGCGTGAAGCATCATGGCCATTCCCTAATACGAACTCAAATAGGACAGACCTAGGCAAGCAGTATTACTACGTCGAAGGAAAAGATTTATTTGCACACAATATAATTATATTTCATTTCAAATAGTGTGCCCTAGCCTGTAGCTAGTTTCACATTTCAGGTATCAAGAATAAAAGCCCATCCGTACGCAGTGTTGAATGCAAGACCATCCCGGTCAATCCACGCCAGTTAAAAAGATAAAAGACACACCCCCCAGGATTTGTGGAAACCACTTTTTATGCCGTTGAAGGACAACCACTTTTGAGTTCAAAGTTGATAAAGAACCCCGAATGCCAATCGTAACATCGTCGAATCATGTTGAAAGTCTATTTCTCAAGAAGAATTAAAGAAAAAATTCAATGAAAATGTCGGACGCAATTGGGAAAAATTCCTTTCCGTTTCTGATTCCTCTGGCCTTAGTTTAGAAAAAAGAAAGGTAAAGACGGAGGAATCCCGGAAAGGGTTTGGTGGTTGCGTTTTTTCGCTTAGTAGCGGTAGATGTCGGCCTTGTAGGGACCGGCAAGGGGGAGACCGAGGTAATCGGCCTGGACGGTGGTAAGCTCGGTGAGCTTGGCATTGACGTGGTCCAAGTGGCAGCGAGCGACCTGCTCGTCCAGCTGCTTGGGGAGAACGTAGACACCGACGGCCTTCTTGCCGCTGGCACCGAACTCAATGTACTTCTTGCCGAAAGCGGCGTCCTCAGCCCTGAACAGAGCAATCTGGGCAAGGACCTGGTTGGAGAAAGAGCAGGACATGACGAAGGAGGAGTGACCAGTAGCACAGCCAAGGTTGACAAGACGACCCTCAGCAAGGAGAATGATGTGCTTGCCGTTCAGGAGGAAACGGTCAACCTGGGGCTTGATGTTCTGGACGGACTGAGAGTTGGCCTTCAACCAGGCAACGTCAATCTCAATGTCGAAGTGACCGATGTTGCAAACGATGGCGTCGTTGCGCATGGCCTCGAAGTGACGGCCAACCAGGATGTCACGGCAACCGGTGGTGGTAACGAAGATCTGACCGATCTTGGCAGCCTCGTCCATGGTGACGACCTCGTAACCCTGGACAGCAGCCTGGAGAGCGTTGATGGGGTCGATCTCAGTGACGAGAACGCGAGCACCCATGGAGTGCAGGGCCTGGGCACAACCCTTACCGACATCACCGTAACCGGCAACGACACCGATCTTACCGGCAATCATGACATCAGTGGCACGCTTGATACCGTCGATGAGGGACTCACGGCAACCGTACAGGTTGTCGAACTTGGACTTGGTGACACAGTCGTTGACGTTGATGGCAGGGACCTTAAGGGCACCCTCCTTCAGCATGCGGTACAGGTGGTGAACACCGGTGGTGGTCTCCTCGGAGACACCGAAGCAGTCATCGAGCATCTCGGGGAACTTCTTGTGAACGAGGGAGGTCAGGTCACCACCGTCATCGAGGATGAGGTTAAGCTTCTTGCCATCCTTGAAGGCGTGGAGCTGCTGCTCGAGACACCACTCGTACTCCTCCTCGGTCTCACCCTTCCAGGCGAAGACGGGGACACCGGCGGCAGCAATAGCGGCAGCGGCGTGGTCCTGGGTGGAGAAGATGTTGCAGGAAGTCCAGGTAACCTCAGCACCGAGGTGAGTGAGGGTCTCGATGAGGACCGCGGTCTGGATGGCTATAAGGCAATGTTAGACTCCATTTCTTTCTTTCATTCTTTTTCTCCTGCTTTAATTCAGGAACGGATAAAATGTCAAAACATACTCATGTGGAGACAACCGGCAATACGGGCACCGGCAAGAGGCTGGTCAGCACCGTACTTCTCACGGATGGCCATGAGACCGGGCATCTCAATCTCGGAGAGCTCGATCTCCCGGCGACCGAAGGCGGCCAGGGACTAAGAATAAAAGTCGTTAGGTATTGAACGGAATTGAAATCGACGACAGTCGGAATGGGAAGAAAGACGTACGATGTCAGCGACCTTGAACTTCTGGGCGGGGGCAGCCATTTTGTGTGAAGAGAGAAATTAGGAGAAAAGAAACTGAAGAAAGATCAGTTAGAATTGAAGAGAAAAAGAAGAAAAGAAAGTAAGAAACGGGGGGAACTAACAGGAATTAATAGGGGGATGGAAGAAAGAAGCAAAGAGAAAAAAGCGAAGAGAAGAAAAGGAGGGGACTGCAGATCCAAGAGGGAGGGGAAAACTTCTCGGGTGGGTCCAGTGCCTGTTGTTCTGGTACTTAGAGTTACATAGTAATTTGTATGGTGGTAGAAGTACCCTATACCTCGGACGCTTTTTATCGGTCAGCCCACTTTGAAGCTAATGGTGGGGTTGATTGACTTAGTCAGTTTTCGGTAGCCGGCGGACTTGAAACCTGCCGATAAACAGCTGGCAGTTTTATGGAGTTTAGAGTACCTTGGAGATGGAGGGGGGTTGGTGGATTTTTATGTAGATGTTCTGTAGAATGGGAAAGAAATAGTGTGTGGTGATTACTACTACATAGTAGAGTACAAACTTGACCTTGGAATACCCACGGGTTCCATGAAAAACATTGAATACGAGCTGTTGAACGCCCGACGGACTAAGGATGATCAATTGCCCTAATCTTGACATGACGGGAACTTTAAGTCGTAGTTATGAGGCTTTGTAAAACAACCCGACACTCTGTATAAGTAGAGCACAACACGCCTACTGGAAATCAGGGTAGAATTGATTTCAACAGGCATTATTTTGGGATACATCATAAATAACAAATAGATCAGAAAAAAATCAACAAAAACAATCGGGAAAAAAGTATCCTCCGACGAAAACAATTTCATCATGAATCCGTCTGTCTCATCATCAAATCATAAAAGTCATGTCATTCCTCCCTTCATATCCAAACAGCGAAGACAAGGAAATAACACAAGGTAGGCCGTAAGATAGGAGGGAGATTAACATCAACCATGGAGAAACAACACTAATACGAGATCTGTGCCGGTCGACTCGTAGCACCATGCGCAAAAGACTCATTCCTAGAGGGCGCATACTCAATCTCATCAGGCCACCGATGTCTCGGCGAAGGACCCTGACTGCGCGATCTCTTCAACATCCTCTTTCTCGCTCGCTCTTCACATTCCTTCTGGAAATGCTGATGTTCCTTACGCTTCTCATTCACCTCCTTCCACTCCCCATAGGCACCCTTAATTCCCAGCGCCGCCAACCCAACACTAACCGCATCCAAAGTATTGGCCTTGATCTTGCGCTTATGCGCCTCTTCCGTTGTAATCTCACCTTCCTTCAACAGTTCCTGTCGCTTCTTTCGCTTCTCAATGCCGCCATGCACATTATGTGCTGCATGGATCGTAGCAACCGTAGCCAAGCCACCGGTTATCAGCATTTCACGCCTCATCTTCTTGTGCTTCTCCTTTTCATCAGAACTATCGCCGAGGTCAGAATCACTCTCCGAGCTGGAATGGCTTTGGTTGCCATTTTTGGATCTTGGGTCATCGCGCGGTACGCTGCTGACTGATCTTCTATTCATATAGGGGGATTGGGGATTGGGATTCCTTCCGTTCAGTGAACGGTATCGACCTACATCTCTCGAGCCTCGCTCTCTGTCTCTGTTTCTGTCTCTGCCGTCTCGGCTGTCTCGGCTTGGTTTCATGTCTCTGCTGCTGCTGCCTCGGTGGGAATCGCTGTATCCGTCGGAGTCGGAATATGAATCGGAGTGGTTGTCATATCGTGAGTCTCGATCCCGAGGTGAACGTCGCCTGTCACCCCGGTCACCTCGCTCGCGTGAATCTCTTGATGATTTTTCTCCTTCGGCACCAATGCCCAGCGCAGCCATCCCCTTACTGAGATATTCGGAGACGCTCTTGCTGCGCTTCTTTGTTCCACGCCGATCATCATCGCTATCCCGATCACGGGAATCATCTCGTCCCCGTGCACCAGGGCGAGATCGAGACCTCGAAATGCGATCATAGATCTCTTTACCCGCCGCCGCGAGTGCACCCGACGCAGCAAGGTCTTTGATACCACCACCACTGCTAGACTTACGACCACGACCGTTTCTGCTCTGAGATCGAGATCGGCTACCGTTCATGAAGTGGTTGGCTGCCAGACCTGCTAGCGTGGATTCAACTACATGACGCTTGCTATGCTTATTGGGATCACGATCAACAAGCCCATCTGTTCCGGCGGCAGTGACGGCAGCTGTGAGAACTCGCTTGCCCTTGGCGCCGGTCCATTCGCCTGGATCTTTGCGGGAGCGGAATGCTTCGACAGCACCGGCTGTTAACGCGGCACGGGCAGCTTGAGCGATACGTTGTTCGCTGCGTTCACGTTTTTTGCCGCCGCGATCGCGGCTGCGGGATCGAGATCGGGATGAAGAAGAGCGGCGACGGTGACGGGATGAGCCGCGGCCTCGACCACGGTCGCTGCTGTAGCGAGATGAGCCATGTTCACTTAATGACTTGCGGCGTCTGTGTCGGACTGGCGATGGGCTGGGAGATGGAGAATCATATTTGGAGCGACGAGGTGCACCTAAATGTAATAATTAATAAGAAGTTCGCCGTGAAATCAACAAATAACCGGAACAACGAATCAAATCCGCTAAATCCGGAATAGAAAGCGCTTATTTCAAGATTCTGATTGATGAAAATAAAATCAAGATGAAAGGTAAAAGGTAAAAGAAAGAACTTACTGCGATCATCGGGACGAGAACGTCGAGGTCGCGAGGAGCGATAATACCCATCATAGTATGGATCATGACCACTAACCGATGAAGAGCGGCGCATCCCCTCATAAGCAGGGCGCCTCGGTCGCCTCGAATCATAACCACGTTCATAGACATATCGCTCGCCGGGCGGGAAATCCCGCGGGATTTCCTCGACCGAGTCAACGGGGTACATGTCTCTTTCATAGCGATAGCGAGGATCCTCGTAGTATTCCACCTCGTGCCCCTGACCCTGGCGGCGGTCGCGCGGGGCATAAGAGCGGCGCTCGTAGTATGCCATGGTTCACCGCGGAAACCCTTGGGTCCAAGGTGGGGGTGGGGTAGATGTTATGAAAATTAAATTGAAAACACAATAGTCGAAAAGTGAAACTTGCTACCGTTTCGGGGACGATGGTCAAAGGAAGGAAAGGAATGAAATTGATTTTTTGGATTTTGGAAGTTTGGGGTTTCGATTTGGGATCAGCGGGGCAAAATGAGGTGGTGTGACGTTATGAGTTGTAGCTGGGATCAAATTGAGTGAGGCTGGGAGACTTGGCGTGGCTGAGGACAGAGAGACAGAGAGACAGAACAGAGATAACAGAGAGGACTAGATAGAGGCTGCGATTAGATGTGAGTGGGAGTTTCCTTGTATAACCCTAGTAGATCATAATTGATCTTGTTTTCTTTTCCTTCTCTTCGTTTTTCCCCTTTATGTATTCATGCCGATTTCTTGGTCTGGGTGTATATCGTCAATTGATGCAATCAAATACTGGAATCACAGTCACGGTATACATGCGTGTACAAAAAAAAGAAATGAAAAGAAACAAAGCACGAAGTAGAAGAAAGAACAATTTCAAACTCGAATCAAACAAAGTTTCCCACCCTCCATTCTTTAATATAAGTAACTCTAGGGCTCAGAAATGCAGTGCTCGGTCGCATTTCCAACTCATGGCGCCTTAATGACGTCGATCCGGTCCATTTACCTGGAAATCACCATGAGCTAGAAATCTGCCCATTGCAGGGATATATTAAACCATCAAATCAGCGAATGCTGTCGTGGAGAATTCTCAACCTGTCACGGCCATGACAGGTCTAAAATTGCCAGACTCGTGGCACTCGACGTCATCTTGCAGCCAATTTAATATCCATCCGCCCTAGACAGTGGCTAAGCCTTCCCTAGCAGTACTCCCCCCGTGCTTTCTAGAACTATGTCTTTGTATCCACCCTAAGCAAAAATCAGGGTTCAGCGCTTACCCATTTGACCGCTGATCCTTTGAGATTTTGCTTTCTTTTTTTTTTAGTGGGTGGTAGGTATATTTTAAGTAATGGGTTTGATCTAGTTAACAATGACAATGAAGGTTGATAGGTGTGTGTTGTTATGTGATGATGCTTGTCAAGTAGCGTTCCACGGATCAAGCCTCGGATAGCCCCGCGCTTTTTCCAAGAGCAGGAATTGGTGGACTTGTTTTACGTGATGTGATGCTACTAGGTTTTTGAACTTGGGGTTTTTGCGATGCACAAACTTATGTATCGTGTGGCCGAACTGGGTTGCACACTTGGTCATTCCATTCATGGTGAATCCTTGTTCAATACTATACAGACGGACGTCTCGATTCGTGGGCCCTAACTTCCACACACACAGAGATTGGATTCGGAAGATGAGATAGTTCAATATATCAACCTTTCAGCCTGATCTCGCTCTCCTTCACACAATTTGAAAACAAATGCAATGATACATGGGATATACAGCATGGAAAACAGAAAAAAAAAATGCGACGACCTAGAAAAAAGAAAGAGACAATAATGACAAGGAAGAAGGTGGCGAGAATGGTAGAAGAAGAAAGGGTTTGTTCAATTAGACCTGACTTCGGGCAAAAGTCATGTTTTTGTGTCTTTGTCTCTGTCTCTTCCTTTCTTTAGGCAAGCTCTTGGGCTTTGAAGAGACTAATCATGAATGTGTAAAGAGATCATGAAATAGAAATTCGTTCGCTTGACTTTGTAATTTCGGATGATTAGTCATAACGATGAACCGAACCAACTCCTGGTCGGAAATGCGCTACAAAAGAACAGATAAAAAATGATGAAAATGGTATTTACACTGCGCTGCAGTATAGGCGGGAGGGGTAATTGATGGTTCGCTTTTGTCCTTCCGGTGTCGTCATGAGATCAAGATAGGGCGGATATGTTGGACATGACGAAGTATATAAGAGTTATAAGGCTGTTGTTCCTGCCTTTTACTCTTTATTTTTAATCTCATGAGTCATGATGGTGGACGCGGTCCACCACTGGGCGGAGGCATGGAGGCATCGGTAGTTTGACTGATGGTACGATGGTGAGAAGTAGTCGCATAGCCAGAGTCGGGTCGGGTTAAGGCCCATCGAGTCTCGGAGTCTGGTTCAGAGGTAGTAGAGCGCATGTCGTCGGAGTGTGTGCGATGGGTACGGATATGTTGTTTCATGTTGTCTTTGCGGGTAAATGCCTTGTTGCAAATGGGACAATGCACACTCTTCTCGCCTGTGTGCTTTTTACCATGTCGAGCTGCGTGGCCTGATGTAGTGAAGGTAGCTGAGCAGCCATGACTCGCTGCGTATGGGCATGGGTACTTGTTCTTTCTCCCCGTGCCGCGAGTACTACCACTAGACTGGGAAGATGATTGTTTCTCTGATGGGGTGGAGGAATGAATCTCTGGTGGTGTTCGAGGTGGAGCGGGGCCCCGTGATGAATATTGATATGGGTCCCGTCGCAGGTCCTGCCGCGCGTACGGGTGGTAGCCGATTGATGAAGGTTGGCTTAGTAGGTATTCATAAGCGGAACCCTCAGAAGAATTTGGTGAAGTGGGCTGCGCTACTTCGCTCACGGGGTCGAAAAGATGTCCAAGCCCTCGGGGTGATGCAGTGGGGGACTCGGAAGAAGCAAAGGGACGTGAATACTGCAGGTCGCTGACGGGTGGGAGATGTTGCTGCTCGGATTTTGAGGAATCAAAAGAATTCCCACTAGTTTTGTTGGAGTTGGACCGGACAGCAAATGATGGATTGTTGTCATTGTTGAGGATGGACACAATGTTCGCCCTGCTGCCAGACATCTCCTCTTTGCCCCGATACATGGTCACCGGGGCTGGAAAGCTATACTAAACGATGAGATACCAGTCAGTATTTGTGGTTCTCGGTTTTCCCCATGAGGGCCGGGGTCTTGAATCTTGAATCTCGTGCTGATTCAACGGAGGACAAGGTAGAGGGGAAGAATGTGGTAGGGTAGAGAGAAGAGATGAGAGGGGCTCTCTGTGCCTTGACCCGTTCCACCCCCTAAAAAAAGACACTGCAAACGCACCGGTGGTTCTCGAAAGATGTTTGGCCTTTGTGTCGTGTAACACGTCGACAACATTAGGCCCTCGTAGTAGGCACCTTTGGCCTTCGGAGATGGTCAGAATCCCGAAAGACTCAAAGCTTTCCTCCGGGTCTGAATGATAAAGTAGTTTGATCGGTCAAACAAGCTAATCAAAAAGGCGAAAATGGGAGTTCAAAGTTGGGACGAAGCGAAATTGCAGTGCGTTGCAGACAGTCCGCAGATAGCGAAGGTTCTTCCTTCTGGTGATGGTTGGGGTTGTCGCAAAGGGGAAACCAACGTCAATAGATCGGGAGTTTCTGGATCGAAGTATCCCTCCAAAACTTCCGAAAGGAGTAATTTATAATTTGGAAGATAAAGAAGACTTGGGGGGGGGGGATTTGTTTTCTTTCTCCTGCTTCTTCTTCTATGTTTTCAACACCTTCAAACGTCGATGTAGGGAACACAAATCCTCAACGGCAGTTGCAAACCGGACTGGGATAATTGACCAGAGTGGTGGGAAAATAAAAATCACAATAAAAGAAACAGAAAGCTAACAATAAAACCAACGTGTTCCAAAGAAATCAGTCGGCGTCTTATCAGAAGTAGCAAATAATTTGGAATGATATCAAGGCCCGGTTGGTTAGTGGTGAGCTAGGAGGTTGGTGCTCGGGGCTTTAATGACGGTGCGAAAGATCGGGGAGAGAAGATAAGGCCGAGAGCAACGAAGAGGAAGAAGCATGCAGTTCAAGAAAATCAGGAAAGACGACAAGATTTGAAGATGAAGGAAAGGGAAAGGAAAGAAGACGGTGGCAAGTAAACTCGGAATTTAGTCTTTTTTTAATGAATATTTTTTTTTCAAACAAGCATGGCCCATTTCAGGAACTAAACATACTAAATATGCCACTCAGAGAGAAAGCCAAGCTTCCAGGGTCTGTTCGGCGAGGCTCTCCAGCTCCATCGTATTGACAATACCAGCAAGAGAGATTCGTACTGACCGTTGCGGATCAAAAGACCGAGGCGGATTGGTTAGATGGGGTGGAAAAAAGCGAAACAGCGAAAAAACCAAATAAATCAAATAAAATCAAAGGTGGAAAATAGAATACCGAGCAAGAAAATGGGAAAATAAGAAAATAGGAAAATAGGAAAATAAAAACAAGACCCAAATTATCCACTATCGACACGTACAAGACCCCTAAGACCAGGGGCCACTACGGTTTCTGTGCAGACCCGTTTTCTGGTCTCCGTTTCTTCCGGCCCGCCCCATCACGACCCTGGCGGGGATGGACTCGTCAGCAAGATCTAGCAGGCCGTGATCGTCTTTTCTTTTCTTTTTAGCTTGTATTTATTTACTTATGTATGTACTATTTTGTTTTATATCTCGTTCTCTACGTACTCTGACACCACCTTCCGCTGTACTAGCTGACACATTCCGCCGTCTAGATTGCCAATACGACTAGGGCTTCGGTTGGTCCAAGCGACCTTGTTCTCCACTGGACTGTAAAGGAAATGGGCGTGTCGGGTGAACTACGGGCAAAACAGTAATCATGGGAAGGAAATGAGACAAGAAAACGAACAATGGAGTCGCCAACACAGGATTTCCCCCCTTCTGTTCCATGGACCCTGGGAATGATAATCGGCGCAGGGACTCCGTCCCTGAACCTGAGCCATTTTAGTTTGGGTCGGACTATACTTTAACCAGACTTTTGTTCGACTTTTGACTTTTTTTTTCGGACTTTTAATTTCCTTTTCGTTTTCTTGATTATCTTTCTCTCACGATAATGAGGTATGAAAGTTGTTCTTTCTCTTTTTAATTTCCTCATATCAATCAATAATACTTTCTCGCTTACCCTCTGAATCCATTCAGGAACAACTGCGAACGTAATTGGGGGCGAGCCGCTTGAGTCTGGGGACATACGTAAGTGATGATGTTGCGCTTGTCACTTATCCCCTTTTGGTACTAAGCTCCGGTTCCGAGTCCTAGGCGGTGGAGAGGGTCTTTCTCCAAGGAATGGGCGCTTGCGCAGCCCTATCGCCCATTGTAATGGTTTTTTTCTTTTTCTTTTTCTTCCTCCCTTCGGTACTCTGCAGGGCTGGGGAGATGCCAAGGTTTATTTTATTTTATTTTAACCCTTTACTAAGGTGGGAAGAAAAACCCTGTTACCCCTTTGAGCTCTTTAGATACCCACATCTAACTGCCACTGTGCCTTGGAATTTTTCTCAGCTTGGCTTGATCGTCAATGCTGCTGTTATCAGCTATCCGTTCCTTTATCCGTATCCGTTCTAAATCAGTCAGTGTATGTATGGCCGTAATGATCGAAACTCCTTTTCGCTTAACACACTAGAACCATTCTGGTAGATATATCCGTAATCCACGTAATGCGTGCGATTAGGCTAAACCAGTGGAGGTTCGTTTTCTAATCACCCACTTGCGTAGCCTTCAATCTAAAGAGTACGGAACACAAAGCGGCTGTATGTACAGTATGTATATTACAGATCCTGGCCTCTGGGGGAGCCACTTTTGGCCCGTGCTACTTTCGTACTCGTACGCGTCTGCCGCCCCGCCCCGAATAATTCATGCTTGATGCGCGCGGACTCTCCGCCCAACATACGTAAGTCAGCGACGTATGAGCGGCAGAAATCACTTTCTTAATCTTGTTGTTAAGGCCCGTTCATACTATTCGACGATCATAGGGAGGAAACCCGGGTATATATTACATCCGTGGATGTACTATTCGTCCATGGTTGGAGAATAAATGGTTAAAAAATGACAGTCATGAATACTAGTCCCTAGTAGGAAGCTAACCTAAAGCACCACTGTCAGATGGAGATATGATTCAAATATTACTAGTATGGGCCCTTTATGGGTCTTTCTTTCTCTTTCTTACACCACTTTCACCATCACCTGCAAATAGTATTCTGTTACGAGCCAACTCAATCAGTATTAAGGCCGATTACGCCTCCCGGCCCCCCAGTGGCACAAGCCACAGATAGTGTGCCGATCAGCCAAGCTTCTACATCTCCCGATCTCGACCCTGGAAGAAGCATCTAGTGCGGGCGGACACGCATCAGAAAGGGGAAGAAGGGGTTCAAGGACTGGAAAGGCCATTGCTTTCAATTCTTGACTCTCGACTCGTGAGTTATTGAGGGTATTGGGCGTAACTAGCCGAGCGATGATTTGTTCGGCATAGATGTTGGGGTGTACGTATGCAGTCTACGTGTATCTACCTCCCGCTGGGCTGACCTAGCCCCGATACAGCCATGATGCTTCTGTGCTTATCCTGACTAGTCGGACTAGTGCTCGCATCATGGCCATGATTCGTACGTTCTCCAGCCTTGGGAAATTACGCCACAGGTTTGACTTCAGGGACTTCAGAAAACTTATTTATTTTTTGACTTTTTGACTTTTTGACTTTTAGTGTGGTTCCGTCATGAGAAGCGGACCCTTAATTTTTTTCGCTCTTGAACCCCTTAGAATCGCTTTCGTGAATTTTCATTTGCGTTTTTGTGGGGATTTTTTTTCTCCGAGCTACGCTGCTTACACGCCGTTCTCCATACATTTCTGCATTTCTCCATTTAGAATCTGCTCTTTTGTTCCTATTATTTACTCTCTATTCATGAATTGTGAATTATTTTATTTTATCTTGTTTATTTATTTTTAACTTTCCCATCTCGTGATTACTACTTCTTTTGTCATGCCTCTTTATGCAGGGACTCGTGGCCAGTCCCCTCCCTCTATACCAGGTCGAGCTTAGCTTGGCGTCAACTGGTCCCCATCTCTCCCAACTTTTCCTCATGATGACTAGTGTTATGGAGTTGTTAATTTACATCCGTGGACTGGTCATGCCTGCCCACGCGGCCTTTTACTGCACCATTTACGCCATCCGCAGGATCGAGGTGGCTTGTGTAATTTAATGATGTGGGTTCAGGGTGCTGTCCAAAGAAGCTCTGGCAGGAATTGGACCCCAAATTACTTTTGACATCAGTTTGCCACACCCTATCATCGCTAAGATAATTATTGATTTTATCGATCTTATTGACCGGAGAAAAACAATTCTCCCAAATGAATGAAATCGATCTCTTGGTACGTAGAATTTGCACAAAAACTCCGTAATACAGTTCAAATCTCAGATAAAATAAAATAATGAAATGAAATGCCCCAAGCATACGAATACTACAAGCCACAAACAAATAAATAAACAATAGCTTATCTGGGTACAAAAAAACACGTGGCCAAGAAGCTCTCCGCTTCGCTAAAGCTCGTTCTCCCACTTTTCAGTCCTTAGTCTCTAGGCCTCCACGATAATTGCCCTGCTTTGCCCACACACAGCCACAGCCACAGCCCCATCTTCATTCTTCACGGCTGCTGCCTGGCTTCCAGAACTCCATAAACAGACTGCTGCCCCATGAACTGTTGATGCCCATTCGTTCTAGCCACCATCGGCACTTTATTCGGACTCCATGGACGATCCGGCACAAAGACTGCCGTGTCTTTATCCAGCCGATCCCAAACGTTATTCCGGCATCATACTGCACATACAAGATGCACTATGTGGCCAAAGCTTTTACATGGTGCGATGGACTACTGACTCGGACTAACAAGTATCCCCAGGAGTTGATTGAGATACGAGATTACTATTACTATTTCTATTCCCTCCTAAAACTAGGATTTTATCTGTTCACTATTTCTATTCTATTTTTATCTCTAATTTTGTACTCAAAATCCTTAATTATGTATACCATTGTACTCATATTGAGGCCAGTGACCATAACACAACCTTCGAAATGCATATCGTACCCGATACGATCCAGATTCAAGATTATGCCGGGTATCAACGCACCCGAACCCCTGTGTCATCTCCAATCAAGGACGTAAACCATACTTATCTCCGGGCGGGTACGACCAATTCTCCGCTGACTGAGCAACGTCTCCATCCCTGATCCTCGGTTCCTTCTCGCTTGGGCTCAGATCGACAAACCCCATCACACGGGGTCCTGTCCACGTACGACCCATCAAATAGTTTAATAAATCGTTAAAAAAAATACAAAATTCCACTCGCGCAACACATCCATGAAACATGAACGAATATGTTCTCCGGATTTCAAACGCCTTGTCAAAGCCCTCATGCAGGGTACTTTGATTTCTAACCATATTGTCAAATAACGCAATCCGGTCTTTTTGAAACTTCCAACGAATTGCATATGCAGGGGGCTTGGTACTGTGCAGCGAGTGGTCAAGCCACAATACAACGCCATAGATGTGGAGATAAATTAATTAATATTTTGGGGCGAACTTCTAAGATCTGTTTTTTCTATACTAGCTGCTTGTACTGTATTAATCTGTGGATCGGGTTGTACGTACTTTACCTTTCCCTATTCATTGAAGCGAGGGGTTTGTGAGAACTTGGAGTTCGTAATGGTTTCTGATTCTAGAGATGTTATTCATGTATACGAATAGTGTCTTTAATTTAACGGGGTTTCCTTCCTTGTATATTGATCTTTGCTGTCTAAAATTAGAGTTCGCCATATACATGGATGCTATTACATGCTCGGTGTACTCAACGGACTCTCCGTCGTAGCATGACCCCTCAACTATTAATCTGCAACCATCCATGTCAACGCAAATATTTTTTATTATGCAAGGCCTTTAATCCACCAACCCACTGTGCATAGCATTATTCCATATCTAGTAACCAGTAAGAAACACTAGCAATCAACAGTGATCACTGATCAGCGACCAGTAGGGTCCAACCGGTCAAGAGCCCAGGTGGGGGCGGGGCAGAAAATTGCTCCTAGTTCATTCTACCTACCTACTCTGTCGTAAGTATGTAGTTTGTAGACAAGTCCACGAGTTTATCGCCTGATAAGTAGGTGACGAGGCATTACTCGTACTCGCGTCGGAACTGATTCTGGACCGTCAAGCCGTTTCACCATCCGCCTCGATTATGGGGAGGGTGTACTAAGTTTTTCTCCGCTGGGTTTATTGTGCTGGGCAACGAGGACGTAGATAGTGATGAAAAGCGGTGCCATTTCGGCCATATGCGAATCTGGGTTAGATTCTCACCTTGATGTGGGAGTACCTGGGGAGTGGATTACTGTGGCTAAGGGTGTAGGTAGTGTGTATGGATGCTGCTGCGTTAGTGTGTGGGTGCTACTATGGAACCTCACTTGTGGGGCGTTAATGATACCGGATCGATACGGAACAAATGATAATAAATTTAACAGGTACAGTATTGGAATAGCATAGAAGGATATTATTGGAGCGGGGGGCTTTCGTCTTAATTTGGTTTTGGAGGGGCTTGCATGCGAAATTTGGTTTATAATTACAATAGCGCTGCCGGCAGTCTGGTATATGCTTTGATGCTGTGGGTAGGTGGATAGCCTCGCACGCTCGGCTCTGCTGGGGCTGCGTAATCAGAAACGTCATGTTGAGACGTGAGTGACTGTCATTTCGACGTGGTCTTGTGGATGTTTCTTTAGTGTCTGGGGCTTTGAGATGTTTTTGGTGCTTGATAGGCTGGCCCCTGCATATTTGGGGTACGTTAGGCGTTGCGGCTGAGGATCTGGAGGTGAGGATGAGGTCGGTTGGAGGACTTTACGTATGTTGTGATGAAGATACTTGCAGGTTTGTGCTGGGACTTGGGAAATTTGAGCTAAATGAGCAAGCACTTGAGACAAGTCAGATTATTGGAAATATAAGTTGTTCATTTGGAAGTTGTCATTGCCGGAGTACCACATCTGCAGTCATCTCCTAGTTCTGAAGTACTATGATGTTAGTACCATGATGATGTGGCCACTAAAATGCTAGGTGAATGCCACAAACATTTCGCGCTTCTCTTCCCGGAGACCAATGCTCCTGTCCATGACAGCACCGATGTTACTCAGTTCAGTTGCATGTGCAAGTCCATATGTCTTCTCGGTGGGCTCAATCTACTATACTGTCTAAGAATTGCCGCCTGAGCCCATTGGATGAAAGCCGATGCAAGCCAATATAAACGGAAATTTGAAGGCTCTGATACAATATTTGTTTCGATTTAACCGAACTTGGTAATGAGAGAAAGCTGGATCATTACGAAAAACTGGCGAGCAAGAATGAAGGATGCTCATCAATGGCACTGCTCTGATAGATACCATGAGATATAGACGAGGCTATTGAGACCCCGAGAAATATCCGAACAAAGGTGAGTAGTTACCTATCAATAAAAGTCGTCTATGAACCTATTTTAACAGTTCGCTCTATTATAGTAACCTCTGCGAAGATTCTCTCCCGAAGACAAGAAACTCGGATGTACAAGTGCTTGTGATCCCCAGCCTGGCAAACGCAAAGGAGGCCCCAAAACTGAATGTGATTTATCTGCTGCCAACATAACCGAATACCTACTCAATTTGAAAAGGAAAAAAGAGCTGGTTTATATGCAACCTCCAGTATAAGAGACCATGAATACAAGAGTCCACCTTCGCCCAACATTCATCGTGCAGACTCGGATCCCCATTTCGAAATAATCTATCATCCCTGTGATGCAAGGGTCGTTACCTCTTGATGGGAATATTGGAAGAAAGAAGAGGCTGGATGGGAGCTAAGTGTGCAGATGTAGAGATCCTTTAGACGTTGGGTATCTAAAATGGCATACGAGTGGAAAACGACACTCTTCCTCGATCACCATTAAGCCGAATGTCTTAATCTTCTTCTAGGTAGCCTTGAATACATCCCTTTTCACCTCCATATAAACGGTAGACGCTTCAAACTGGCGGCAGCAAGTGAAGTTATCGAGCTAAGTGGGCTATGATGCATCGGACATTGTTGTATCATGAAAGAGATAAGATTTATGGCGACAACACAACAATAGTAATATACCCTCGAATCAGCTCCAATCATCATTGACAACTTGAACTTCCACTACCACCTCGTAAGCAAAGGACAAGCGTTTCTATGCTTTACCAGCCCAAGCCTCTACCAAAAATTCCTCAACTGAAGTAAACTTATATCCAAGCAGTTGATTCCATTCATCTGAGACCTTGAAGCACCCAGCAGACATCCCCAGCAACATGCCTGAAACCACGCTTTGTGAGAGCGTCTCGCTCACGAACTCAGGGGGTATCGCAGGATGACTGACTTTCGGTATCCAAGATGCCGACCATTCCTTTCTCTGTAAATCCTGTAGCTTCACCGTCTCGACCTGGAATGGCTCGCCACCGGGGCCTAAGTCGATGCCATATGGGCCTTGAACATTTTAGTACTCAAATTTCTATGCATCGATCATGCCGGATATTGACATACTGCGGATTCTCTGCCCAAGGGCAATCAATTGCTGCAGGGACAAATCAGTGCCTTTGACGCCTCCAACAACAGGCCATTTGCCTTCGAAGCTAACAGCCCGAGCAACAACCTGTGCAAGGTCTTGCACCTTTGTGAGCGTGATATAGATTTTATCGTAGTTTTCTGGCACAATGAACCGTCGGTTATTAAAATCGAATGGAAGTTCGGTCTGGTGGAGATGATCTGCAGATTTGAAGGGATGCGTGAGATAATTCATAAACAACCCTGGTTGAAACAAGGTATACTCGAGGACCTGGAAATATTGGTTAGAATGAGTTGCATAAGTGAGTGTGTTTTAGTGACTTACTGTATGCTCCCTATTCAGTTCTTCCAGATATTGCCGGGTCTCGTCTTTGAAGGCATACCAGGGCATATATTCCAGACTAGATCTACATGGAGTCAAATATAGTCCGCGATATGGTGAATCAAATATGAAATACTGACGTAGCCCATTCGCTAGGTGCAAATCGCTTTACGCCCGCTCGAACAGCAGCATCGATGAGGTTCTTCTGTGTCGTACTCGACGGATCGTCTGTTATAACGATGAATGATAGCAAAGTATGGACTTCTTGAAGAGCTTGCTCTAATTGTTTCGGGTCCTGGTAGTTTATTTGTTTTCTGGATAGGACTACAACATCATGGCCATGAGAAATAATAGCATCTGTGACCTCACGCGCAACGCCTGTATGATAATCAGTGAAGTGATGCCGTAAAAGGGATTGAGGTACTAATAACGACTTACTACTGGTGCCACCTGCAACTGCAACTTTGACCATTATAGTAGAATTCGAGGAGCAGAATACTTTGAGAGCGAAACAGCTTACTTGAGTCCACTGCCTTTTTGAAAAAAAAAATCACTACGTCCTTGGAGATTTGATTTATATAAATCACGACCTGCAGGGGACTGGGGGCCTAAGGCGTCCAATGAAAGTGGGGCTATCAGATAATGGTAGGAACAAATATTCTGAAAAGTTAGCCGAAGATATTATGTTTCCAGAAATGCAGCAAAAAAACCCAGTGATGTACGGGCATGCTCCCCTGTAGATCAGTTGGCTTCCCTTCGGCTCACGTCTTATGGGGGTTTCTATGCCAGGAATTCTACTCTGGTATCCTCACACTGTTACATTGCTATACCGGGTCTGATTGGCGTAGTTTAAATAATGTGCATATGTTAACCGACTTATCAACTGTACAGAGTATATTGATGATTTATAGATTGAGAGGTATTGAGGTTGTGGGGCACAGCAATGGCAGGCTTAGGCCGTTCCGAGCTTCTCATCGTTCTCGAACCCAGTGTAGCTGAAGCCGGCGTACTCGGCGCCAATGTCGTCACTGCTGCCGTTGAGGGTCTGGTACAGCACATAGGTCTGATAGTCAAGCAGGAAGGATGAGCTGTTCGCAAGGGAAAACGACAGTTTAGCCCTATCGATGGCATCGTCGAGTTGGGTGTAGTTGGCCTGGTTGACCCACTCCTTGGTGGACGACACGTTGTGGCCGTTGGTGCTGATGGTCACGCTGGCTAGCTCGGCTTGGGCCTGGGAGATAGCCTTGGTGAGGAAGGTGCGCGAGTTGCTGTCACTCATCATGCCGACGGGGGGCGCCATACTCGGTGGTGTTGGATGTGGGCACGAGCCAGAGGCTGACGTTGAGGCCAGCGGCTGAGTCGTTGGTGAACTTGAAGAACTTTTGGGCGTTAGTGAACTCGCCGGGTCGGTTAGAGATGAACAGGTTGTCGCGGGAAAAGCGCATTGCGTCGTCGTAGAGGACGCCGCTGATGTCGTAGGACTCATGATCGGCGCCTGTAACAAAGAGGCCGACAACCTCCTGGGCGCGCTTCATGGCCCAGCCCTTGGCGCTGTGTCAAAATTGCTGGCGGAGATAGCAGGGCCGGCGCCGCTGAAAAGGTCGGCGTTGAAGATAGTGCCTTCCCAGCGCGTCTTGTTGGGGACGTCGATATTGCCGCGGTAGACTGAGTAAGTACCGTTGGTGTTCTTAGTGATGGTGTCGACGGTCACACCCTCAAGGTAGTCGGCATCGATGAGATCGGTGTAGCCATCGCCATTGGTGTCCCAGAAGCGTACCTCGAGGCCGGCAACGATATTTGTCACCACAGACAAGGCGGCAGCATTGTAACTGCTGGCCTGGGTTTCAGCCTTGTAACCACCCCACCAGCTGGCGGCGGTAGTGTTGTAATACAGCCAGGGCACTTGATTAACCAGATAGCCGTCGTTTAAGCATGGATTTACCTTTTTGAAGGCGGACTCGGTGCCTGGGATGGCCCACAGGTTGATGTAGAATTTGCTGTCGGCGATAACGGCCTCGACGCCCTTGAGGGCGCTCCCTTGCTTAAAGTACTTGTCGTACTGGGTGGCGGTGATGTTGGCGGCATCGTTCCCCATGTCGAGCACGACGGTGCGGAGCAGCGTACTGCTGGTCTGATCGCCCGAGTAGGCGGTGCCGCAGGTAGCGAGGCCAGTGGCGGGCAGCATCGCTAGGACTGAGGCGTTGGCAAGTCTCATGTTGGCGACTGGTTGAAGAGCAAACCTAGAGGAGAAGCGCGATGAAAACTAGTGTCGGCTGAAAGAGCAAAGTTGGTCAAGATGTGAAAACGGCGTACAACTTTATACTCCTTCCTTATCACCGATGACGAATCCCATATAGTTGGAATCCGACCTGGATGAGGCGGGGGGGCTGGCCCCGTGTAGATCCCATTTTCCCCTTTCCTTCACATCTTCCCCAAGGAATCCTCATTTATTGCACGGATAAAACTTTAAGCACTTGAGTCTTAGCGATCTCACTATCAGGATGCAGCTAACAGAGCTCAAGTGCTTGGACAGAAATCCTTCCTTGCAACCGAGGGGTATGGTAGTAGGGAAGCTGAAGCTGAAGTGGTTGTTCGGACTGCCACGGAGATTCCGTCTGGCTATATACTTTCAAGGTTCTGCAGTTAGTGAAACACTAATTAGTAGTGGTAAAGGAGTAATTCCTGGGGTGATATACTCGAATGCAGCCAGTTTGAGATTCAACTCCACTCCACTAGTCTATAAGGGGTTTAACCTCCGCAATGGGATCCACAACTCTAAGGTTCTCCTGCAAATTCCCGGGTCAAGGGAAACAGAACAACTGTATAAAATAAACTCAGTGCCCTCATAAGCATTTGAGAGGGTGTATTGGTAACCCCCGCTTGATTGGTGTTTGTGGGGGATACTCACTGGCAACGTTTTCAAAGCAGAAATTTCTAGCCAATCCCCAGGTATTTAAGAGCCCTAAGCTCCCTCTAGAACCATCCTTTGTTCCCTTATCCTCTATTCTCTCAAATTATATTCATGGAGGGGGAAATATCTAACAATCATTGTACACCAGGGCATATCTATATGACACCTACCAATGGGCACGCACCTGGGCAGTAGCAGGTCTGTGCAACCTCAGAGGCACCACGTGATGTGTGGGAGGAGGCATAGTATACTAATCGCCCCCCATCACCCTTCTATCACAAGTCTGACGAACTATATAGTATCCATAGAAAGTAACCTAAAGTCTTTCATTAAAGCAGGTTCTCTGAAAAACAGCCAGCTCGTATGGATGATCCCGATGCGATTGGCCGATTTGTGCCGATAGATTATACGATCTTATATGGACCTGTCCTACCGTGCTAGCAAGACCTTTCCTAAATATGACCTCGAGCGCTTTTGGCCTGCAAACTTCGAGAGCGACAGTAGCCTCTGTAAGGAGACCCTACCATTCGGTCCCGCCCCTCTTATCTGGGTGAATGCACAGGCCTCGTCCCCCGTTTGGCGTAACAAGTACGCGTTCTTCCAAGGTTCTCTCATCTTCCTTTCCATTTCTCTCTTCTACATTTACTTATCCACCACCATTTCACCAACTCATCCCACAAAGGTGATCTTTCTTTTTTTCATTTATATCTTACTCATCTTTCTTATCCATGGCGGAACCGGAACCGAATTCCATCATCGCTGGGCCACTTGAGCTGCTGGACTCACGGGTCCAGCAGCTCTAGAAGCAGAGACTCGGTGATAGCAACATAGTCATCTTTGAGCTCAAAGAAGGGTGATATTACCGTATGCTCTACGTGAGAGTGACGTAGGGCCAGTGCCAGAAATACCATGTTTTGACAGTCGAGTCTCCGCCTCCGAGAAGGAGCTTCCGTTGCCTATAAGAGTGCCCAGGATATTCTCGATCATCTTGCAGAAGTTTTCGACGACCCCAACAGAAGAGAGCTAGAGCTCTTTAGAATAGATTTAATACTCATATGAGCCACTTCATGTAGTGGTTTGAATCTTGCTAGTTATATATGGGCTGACAATCTGTGGGATTCTCGACTGGAAACTGGCTCAATTTGCACCACGCTGGTACGGGTGTGCCCCGCCAGCCTGGCTCTGGGACGAGCAATGGACAGCCTCAAGCGACGAGCGGTTTGAACCTCGCCAACCGATCGACGAAGAACGTCGACAGGCAAAGCAGGCCTTTGACAAGGCGGTGGGCCCGTGTTTTACCAAGCTGGCATATCAGCCGCAATATCGCCTGGCACGACAGGTGGTCCATCTTGTGGACATGGGTATTCGTAGGAACCCTGCGGAGTTGGAGGCATTGGAAATGTTAGAGAAGGGCTGGAAGGACTGGCGCACTCCATATTCTCCGGAGTGGAAATTATCGAAGAACCAGGATTCCCAACGCTAGAGAAGAATTGGAAGATGTGGCGATCGTTGATACGAAACTAGACCCAGTGTACAATAGCTTTGATTACATTGTCATCAAATGAACAGCACTGGCTATTTCGATATGAGAATTGTTAGATAACTTCTCCTTCTTAGCGCTTTCCCTCTCCCTTCTCCTTCTTCTCGCTATTTTTCTTTTCGCAGTGCTGCTATGCTTAAGTACTGTAGGAGCTAGGAACTTATGAATGATGTGGGGCACTTACGCAGTGAGGGGTAGAAATTAACCCGATACATAAGATCAATAGCAACGTCATTCCAACATTACGTCCGAAAGTTCTTCCTTTGCGGTTAAGCAAGTTACAAGGCTGTTTCATAGACAAGACTTTTTGGATTTGTTCTTTGTCATTTTAATGACAACCTGAAAAACATAATTCTGTATTTCATCGCATCGTAATGCCTCGTCCAACCAACCGAGCCGAAGTTCTCTCGCGATTTCGCAAAACAATCGCCGATGGCTCAATTATTGTTGGAGCTGGCGCTGGTAAGAAATAAAAATCTACTCGCTTCGCCACAACTACACTGCGAGAGAAAGCGCCTACTAACTCCTTATCTAGGGATTGGCCTGTCCGCCAAAGCAGTCGAGGCCGGCGGCGCCGATCTAATCCTCATCTACAACTCGGGTCGGTTCCGTATGGCTGGCCACGGCTCTCTAGCCGGATTGATGCCCTACTCAGATGCCAATAAGGTCGTTGTCGAAATGGTATGTAGCCGCGAGTGCTGCGAAACATTCTTTCAGAACCAATCACCTGCTATCCCCAGACTGACATCTTAAACCACAGGCTCAAGAGGTCCTCCCCGTTGTGCAAAATGCGCCCGTCCTGGCTGGCGTGTGTGGAACTGATCCATTCCGCGAGATGCCCTCTTTCCTCGCAGAGCTCAAAAGACTAGGTCTAGTGGGTGTGCAAAACTTCCCAACGGTCGGACTTATAGATGGCCAGTTTCGACAGAATCTCGAAGAAACAGGGATGGGATACGATCGCGAGGTGGAAATGATTGCTGAAGCTCATCGGCAAGATCTAGTCACAACGCCTTACGTTTTCAGTAAGGAGGACGCGATCAAGATGGCGCGGGCGGGCGCGGATGTTGTTGTCGCGCATGCGGGACTCACGACGTCAGGCTCGATCGGTGCACTTAGCGGTCGGTCGCTGGAAGATTGTGTGACATTCGTACAGGAGATTCGGGATGCTGCAGCGGGTGTTAACCCCCATATCCTGGTTTTATGTCACGGGGGCCCAATTGCGCGACCGGCAGATGCGGAATTTATCCTTTCTAGGACTGTGGGTGTGCATGGCTTCTTCGGGGCGAGTAGTATGGAGCGGTTACCGGTGGAGATCGCTATCAAGGAGAACGCGGAAGAATTCAAGCGATTGAAGCCGCGGTTGGAGTGAACTCGAGACGGGAGACATTGACTGTTGATTGTTGATTGGTGAAATTATATGGAGAAGCGTAATTAGCCGGGTTTCCGTTTTTCTGTTCGATCGGGCAATTCGCCCCCGCGCAGTTGTGGATCTGCGGGGAATTTTGATGATATCGTCGGTTAAATTGGCGGAGTACAAAGTAGCACAATCTGGTCAATTCATTCCGTTCAATTCAAGTTTTCTTTCTCTCCCTCTTTACTCCTCTCTAAATTCCTTGATCCACACATTATACCCATTGGAACCCTCAAAAATGGCCAACACAAATCGCGTCCTCGAGGGCAAACTCGGTATCGTAACTGGTGGATCGCGGGGTAAGTCCGCCATTTTCTTTTAACAACAAACTCGAATGCACCTAACAACAAGCCCTAGGAATTGGCGAGGCTATTGCGCGCAATCTTGCTTCAAAGGGCGTCTCACTCATCCTCAACTTCACATCCGAGTCCTCACGCGGTCTGACAAATGAGCTGTGCGCCTCGCTATCCGCAACCCACGGTGTTCGTTGCGAGAGTGTCCAGGCCGATCTAGGCAAGCCCGAAGAGGCCGTAAAGGCAATTCTCGGAGTTGCACAAGAAAAATTTGGATCTTCGGGAAAGCTCCAGATTGATATCCTCATCAACAATGCTGGAGTTTCCGCAGACCGAAACCTGAACGACGCAAAGGGTCCTATCGACGCCGAAAACTTCAACTGGCACTACACAATCAACGTTCTCGCTCCATTACTCCTCACTCAAGCTGTCGCTCCTTTCCTCCCTACCGACCGAAGCGGTCGCATTGTCAACATTTCGAGTGTCTCTTCCTCTTTGGGCTTCGTTGGCCAATCGGTTTATGGTGGCACCAAGGCGGCGCTGGAGTCTATGACACGTACTTGGGCTCGTGAGCTCGCTGATAAAGCCACTGTTAATGCTGTGAACCCTGGTCCGGTTATTGGAGATATGTATTTCCTGGCTGGCGAGGACTTTTGGAAGGATATTCAGGGCTTTGTGGATAACACACCGGGAAGCAAGCTGGATGAGAGTGACCCGGACACTATGAGTCGGATTAAGGAGTCGCAAGTCCAGATTATCAAGGAGAAGATGGGTGGGCGGAGACCTGCTTTCACTAGTGAGGTTGCTGGGACTGTGTGTATGTTGTGTACACCTGATGCCCAGTGGACCACAGGGAGCGTGGTTTGTGCCAACGGTGGCATGAGAATGACTGTTTAAACAACGAGCAGGCGTTAATGAATTAATAATTCTGCACCAAATAAAACGAATTCAGTCTTAAATTTCAGTCGCATGATTGATGTCATTCTGTAGTCGAGCCTCAAATTTCTAGTGGCTCTATACCCCTGTGGCCTTTGTGCCTATCTTGTTCTCGTACGTCCAAGACTAGCTAAAAACATTTGTACGAAGGCATATAAACCGATTAATACACATATCGAAACTGCCCATTATTCCTGTCTGTAAGATCTTGCAGCATGCTTTGTGTACCACCTTCAGCTTCCTTGCCAGGGTCTGAACCAGAAGTGTCTGACCTAGTTTCAATCCTGTCCCTTCGGTTATTCTCTCGTTTAAAATAGACCAACAACAGGAGGCTATCAAAAACGCAAACAGCGAGACAAATTATGATGGCTAGAAATCCACTCTGTAAATGTGTTAGTACAGTATCCCTTCACGGATACAGTCGATTTTACCTGATATTTTGGCGCCTCCTTAGCAAAAAAGAGTTGTGGCCCCACAATGTTTCCTGCGCAATACATAATAAAAAAGATGGAGCTAATTGTGGCTCGTTTGGTAAATCCACCGACATTAGAACTGATCATTGCCATTGATACTGGCATGGAGGCAGAGTATACACCCATGAAAAGTAGACCAGCATAGCGAGCCGCGATGTTTGGTCCCGCGTATACAAGAGCACTTCCTAGAATACTTTTTATATGGAGTTAGATTGACTCGGCGATGATAATTATCAAAAATAATACCTTATCAAAAACATGACAACCATTACAATGCACCGGCTATGGCGAACTTTGGATGACACCGCACCCCTTGAACAATGTTAGTTATTATCTTCCCTTGGAATCCATATTAACGAAACTACTTACGATAAAAGGACAAAGAAGCATACAATGATGCCTCCTGGGAGACCCAGCAGTAGAGTATGAAAGGTATTGAATCCAAAACCTTTCAAAACAAGACCATTGAACTGTTCTAATTAGTAATCGGAACAACTTGGAAATGAGAGGATATTGCATACCGTGGTGAAACCTCCATTGGCAATATTTACAGAAAACATGAGTATAGCGAGTAGCCAGGTCTGAACGTCGGTGAATGCCTCGAATATCTGCTGGCGGTCAATGTGAGTATTTTTGTATCCGGTTTTATTATCCTTAAGTCGTTCCATGGCAATCATTCGCTCTTCCTCAGTAAGGAAGCTTGCATTGGATGGTGAGTCAGGTAAGCGTAGAAGCATCACAATTCCAAAAAGAAACGTAATGATACCAAAGACGATAAAAAGCCACTAAAGCGAGCTGCTTATTAGAATATGACGCCTGCATCAGAAGATCAAGGTTCATATTACCTGCCAAGCTTCAAGTTTGCTTTTGATGTGTATGATACCAGCAGCAATGAGATTGCCAAAGACGAGGGAGAGAGAATTTCCACAGAACCATATACCCGATCGCAGAGGCTGCTCGGAGGTACGGTACCAAAGCGATGTGAGGAGGGTGAAACCAGGGGAGAGACTAGCTTCGGTGCATCCAAGAAAGAAACGAGTTACCATAAATGTTGCAAAGCTTTTCGTTGCTGCATGACATGCCAGTATAACTGCCCATAGCATGAAGTTAATTGCGAGATATTTTCCGAGGGGAAATTTCACCATTAATAAGGAAGCTGGATAGCTGTTATGGCCAACATTAAAGTAGTTAGTAAGTGGAAGGTTATTCTTGAGAAGAGATAATAGACATACGAGAAGAAGAGGTATCCAAAGTAAAATATTCCAGAGGTCCAACTATACTGTGAGCCTACCAGGTGAAGGTCTTGCTGGATTCCCATAAGAGCACTATAGTTGAGAGTTTGTTTGTCTAAAAATGCCATCAGGTAGGCAAAGACCATGATCGGGAGAATCCTTGAAGAGCAATATGTGTCAGTATACCTCATATGAGACTGGTCTTTGGTACTAACATGAAATCGATTTTTCGAACAAGCTTTTTCTCTGCCTCAGGAGAGAATTGAAATGGCTGTAGTTGCTCAAGTGCTCCATTGTCGAGACTCTGACCATCATATCCATGGGACTTTTTGCTTATTGTTTTTTCCATGGTTGTAATTGTTGTGCCTTGAGAGACTAGCATGAAAATGCAGGAAATTGAATGTTTTATATTGTAGAGATAAGAGAGGATTGCCATTAAATTCCGAGATAGTACATGTGTCTCACTACTCCTGTCTCCGACTATCGCCGCTAGTTGATATTAATTCGCATAGAGATATAGTTTCCCCGCAATCTTGGCTGTGGTAGCTTGATAAGGTTCTACTAGGCGAGTATTATGCTCGGCTACACGCTATTGGCTGTCTCGGCACAGGGCCAGACAGGGCCATGACAAGATAGCGAAGAAACTCAATCGATGCACACCTAACATGCCATATTTCATCATAATTGGACAGTATTTCAGATATGTACTATCACTTATGATAACAGTTCAAATGTAGCTATTGGATTTCCTTATCACTCGCGTGCAAAATCACTTTTAACTTTCTCGGCAAACTCATCGTCGACCAACACTTGGCACGCGACCACAGCCATACCTGCTGCACATGCAATGGCCCTTTCGTGTCCCTCCGATGAACCAGCCCCGCTAGTGAATTGAGGCGTATGGTTAACTCCGTCGACCGGAATGCAAAATAGTCCATGGAAACCGGGCACAGCATAAGATACGTTTCCTAGTCATAGTATTAGTTAAGGCCTAGAGGTAGATGAACTAGCGCACAATAATACTCACCCATATCGGTAGATGCACCAGCAAGAGCACCTTTTCGCTCTGAGTTATCAAGCAAGGTGTGATGGCCCATCGCTCTCATTGCTGAAACATAACTTTCACAAATAGGCATATTAGACTTTAGATCATCGTAGCTGGGTCCCCTGGAATCATCTTCGTTAGTTTCATTCATGAAGAGAACACCAAGGGCTTGCAAACATACCAAGTATACTCAAGTGTACATCCCGTGGCAGTAGCAGCAGCTTCAAAGCATTTGAGAACCTTCTCAGTCAAAGGTTTGAGGGTCTTCTTAGTTGGTGATCTTATATAATAATCTACAGTCGCAGACATGGGTATAATATTCGGGCGATCGCCTCCATTCTTGATGACTCCGTGAATCTTCTGAGAAGGAAGAATCTGCTGCCGGAGCATAGAAATATTCACATAGGCCGAAACAACGGCATCAAGTGCATTTATTCCTTCCCAAGGAGCCGCTGCAGCATGAGCAGGCTTGCCAGTAAATGTCACCTGGACTTTATCATTGGCCAGAAAGCCTCCCTCGACGACAGTTGCTATGCTCAGCAAGTCAGGGCTTGCTGGCGTCATTGGAATAGGGTGAACCATGAGACATGCGTCCACATCTTTGTATGCGCCACTGTTAATAAGCTTTACTTTACCACCACCAGATTCCTCTGCTGGGGTACCAAGTAGTCGAACGGTAAAGCCTCGGATGGCCGAGGATTGAGATTGAGCCTGGGCTTTCATCGCTTCACAGGTAGCGATAAATGCAGCTATAGAGCTAGTCGCGATCAAGTTATGACCACAAGCGTGACCGATACCAGGCAGAGCATCGTATTCAGCATTGAATGCCACTACACGCCCTCCTTCGCCAAAAGTATACTCAACTTCAAGGGCGGTCTCGACTCCATAAGCTTTCCTCTGGACTTTGTATCCATCAGACTTGAGGCTGTCAAATAGTTCACAAATATTGTCATGAGCTTGGTATTCCTCATATGCAAGCTCTGGGTTAGACCAGATCTATAGTAACGCGTCAGTATGTATCCATGCCTGTGATAAGGAAACCACATTTAAATCCCACTTTTTGGTTGATATCTCTCAATTGTGAATCATATCGGCCAAGTGACTCCTGCACGGCATCAAGAAACACTCTCTGGGCCTCGGGTATATGCATCTTGTCTGATTTGATTGGCTTTAATTTGTAACTTGATAGGATTTCATCCTGAAAAACGCCCACGAACGGAACTTCCCCTCAATTTTATAAGCCGAAGACTCGGACACACGAAAGATCCGACCATTACCGCGATAACGATATAGAAGCGATAAACCTTGGGTATTATTCATAGATCCCAAATGGACTCTCCCTCGGCAACGCATCGAGTTTCTTAATCCGCTGGGATTTGGCGATACAACCAATCGGCAAAGTCTAGTTTTCTCCACTCGGCAGATAAGCCCATGTTCTGCCCCCCGGGACCTCCACTTTTACCTTCTGCATATAATTTTCTCCTCCATTCAATTCATCCTTCCCCCCGCCTATAGGCCCGCATAGCATATTTTCATAAGCTAACTACCCCAGACTCGGGTGCTGGTCTCTAAACGAGCGGGTCAGGGTCTTACAGGCTTAGATGTAGCCGCGACGGCGAAGAAGCTCGGCAATATGCATCAGTCGGGCAAGACACGTTCCCGCACAGGTAAGGATCCACATCTGTCTCGTTTTCAACGTGTCACCATTTTTCTTCGCTAGCAGGGGGGGGTGCTGATAGGCTAGAGAATAGGTTGTCGGACGTGTCGTGTTCGAAAAGTAAAATGTGATGAAGAGAAACATGTGGTGCCAGGGCAAGAAAATCCGCAGTGCAAAAGATGCAAGTCTGCACGTATCCAATGTGAGTGGAAGGGCGGGCCTATTCCGCGCAAACCGCCAATAAACTCGGCATCAACGAGAAAAGGTCGCGAGGAGCCACAGCCACCGGAGTGCGCCGAGCCGAGCAAGGCAAATCCTAAAATACGCAAATCATCACCCTCCCAGCCACATTCTAGTCCGACCCAGACACCCTTGCTTCCTTTACAGCGGTTCGATGGGAGTAATAGCGACCAAAGCGTAACAGCAGCCAACTCCTTGACTCTTTCCGCGTTTGATCGAGATTGTCTCATCTATCTTCAAGATTCGACATTGGTGGTTCTTCTAGGCAAGCATTGGCCATGGTCTGCTGTTTCTTATACATATCACAAAATCGCTGTGAAGGAGCCGATGGTCATGAGTATGATGCTTGCCAGTACAGCTAAAGAAATCCATCGATCACGCCTTTATGACCAAGATGTCTTACCAATTCCTTCCTCGAATACTGAGACATGTGCACCAGATGGATCAATGCACTACGGTCGAGCTCTTGCGAGTCTACGTCACGCTCTGAAACAAGATGTCAAGTCTCCACATAAAATCGAAGCTATTTTTATCACACTTTGGCTTATGATCGACTATGAGAATCGGTTTGGCAGTGGAGCATCTGCAATCAACATCCATATTCGAGGAATTGAAACTATTCTGCATAATCACATTGTACCTTTACTCCAATATCAAGCGTCGGGGCCTGACAAAAACGTCCAATCTCAGCTACCTTCGTCGCCAGCAATCACCCCCGATGGGTTCTCGCCTCGACAGGTGTCCCCAGAAACTCAATCGGATAATACGTCATTGAATACAAAGGCAACCCCGCCGATGCTCTATTCAAATCCAAATTCACTGGACACTTTACGTCGGACTTCTGTACCTCTCTTCCTCCTTTGGACCTTATATTTCTTTACCCCGGCTGCTCTTTTCTTTGGTCCTGGAACGGGCCGACTAGACACGGATATTTTCCAGTTCTTCTTGGGTGAAGATGATACCGGACGTGGGCCCTTGGATCTACCCGAGCTATACAGAATCAGCAGACAGTCCCCTGCTCGCTTCTGGGGTGATATGTACCCCATGTCTGCCCAACTAGATGACTTGGAGAATCAGCCGGGTCTTGCATTGTATCACCGAAGCCACGTTTTACAATTTAAAATCACTGAATTGTTCAAGCGTGGCCCTCCAGCTGAAAATACTGTTGGTTCAATCTCACCATATCAACATCTCATTCATGAAATAAATAGACTATCTGTGGTATGTTATACTTGACTCTTCAAATGCCTCTTAATCAAATATTGGTAGTAAATCTAACGCGGTTTCAGGAATACGATACCCTCCTCACCTCTGCGAAGAGCTCATCATCTTGTGAATCAATCGGAAGCGATCGACGGGTCATGGAAACGGTTTACTGGGCAAGCATCACATTTTACAGCACAATGATCTACTTCCATCTTTGTTTCCAAGAAGTTTTGAATAAGGGATCTAGCACCCAGATCCATGGCAGCTTTATGACGCTCAGTACTGCCGTTTCTCACGTCCTGGAATTGAGTCTCAAGCTTCATCGCAGCCGACCACGTCTTATGGTCCGAATAACATGGCCGTTGTTTATCGCTGGCATTGCAACGTCTGATCGCATATATCAAGACTGGGTTTCGATCCGGTTACGAGAGCTGAGTCGATATGGTCAAAATTATGGACGAATCAGCAAGAGATTTGACGAAATTATTCAAGGTGGTCACCCTTATGTATATGAACGACAGGGCCATTTCTTGAGCTGTTAAATAGGAATAACGAACATCATGGACATAATGAATGCAAATATCATAGCTGATCAAACAGCATCAAATTTTCCATATAGACAATGATTATTTACTTAGAATGATATCTACACATTGATGATATCGTCAAATCACCGATCGAACTTCTTCAGCTCCACCCAACGCAAGGGGGGATAAACCAGCATCGCCCACGAAACTCCCACCCAAATACCCAAGTCCGTCCCGTAAGCACCAACCATCTTCGCAATTGGCCCAATATACCAGATCTGATCCATACAGACAATCGCACCCGCCCATCCAATCAGAAAAGCAAGCAACGCAGCAATCCCAACGGGCAACTTAGACGGGTCCGCCCACGCATCCCAGTCAAAGCCCCTCACCCGACGAAACAGCACATGTTCTTCGACCGCAATCATCAGGTAAATAGTAACCCAGTACCCCATAAGCGAGAGGAAATTATCAAATATATCATATAAATGATTCCGACCACCCAGCGCACAAGCAGTATAAATAACAACGCCAACGCAAGACCAGAACCATCGTGGTAATCTAGCGAGATGACGACCCATAATCTGGAATCCGAGTGAAGCGGAGTAAGTGCCTGGAATATTATTCGCAATGAGACCGAGTGCAACCAGGACGCCCATGAATTTCCCGAATCCGCCTAGGCCATTGTAGCCTGCTAGGATTAGGGCTCCGGATGAGGTGTCGTAGGCTGTTGCCCATTCTGTTTGGGTGGTTGTTCCTGATGCGAGGCCTACGCCCATCAGGTTTGCGAACGTTAGAGCTAGTCCGACGCCTAGGAAGGTCATGAGGAAGGTCTTCCATTTTGATGTTGTGGGTGGGAAGTAGACGAAGAAGTCTGCGCCGGCGGGGGCCCAGGCTACTGAGGCGGAGAGACAGAGAGAGAAGAATGAGAGGCGGTTCCCGATTATTGTTTCAGGTGACCCGGTTGATGTGATTGAGGTGTTGAATTTGGGACCTGCGCTGCCGACTAGGACAAAGATGGCGATGAATTGGGGGAGCCAGGCCCATCTGTGACGAGTTAGTGGGATGTTGCAGATAGATCAGAACTAGTCTTACCTCTCGTATATATGGAAGATTCTCATTCCGAATAAGACGACCGCCCAGGTTATAATGGCGATGATGATAATGCCTACAACGACGGACATTGACCCCCCTGAAACAGCGGATAGAACCTGTCCACCGACTAGGCAGTCGATCATCCCGTATCCCAGCATGATGATGATATTAAGTAGACATGCGATTTTGCTCGGATAGTAGCCCATGAAATACCGAGCAACAACCTAATTGACTCATCAGTACACCATGATCTAAAAGAAAATCAGATGATAGAAAAATGCGACATTTCATACCATTGTTCGATTTCCACTTGCAGGTCCGAAAGTACCCATATAAGCGACGCCTGCAGCTCCCAGCAAAGCCCCAAAAGTAGCGCAAAGAGCCGAGTCGACAAACCCAAGCCCATAGCTGATTGGACCCAGCATACCAACAGCCATATTATTGGCCGTAATATTGGTACTAAACCACAATAGAGTCATTTGCATATAATCTGCAGCTTTAATATCATGTCTCTCCTCAACAGGTACGCGTTCAATGCCGCGAGTTTCGAATATTTTCCACGAGATCAAACGCGCATTCAAGCGGCTGAAAACTCCCCCGCCCGCAGAAGAATCTATCTTTTCGTGGTCATTTTTGGCTATATCCTCTGGTGTCTGGACGGCGACTGCTGGGGATTGGAGGCCCTTCTCCTCATCCACGGGGCTGTGGGACATGGTTCCTCCTGTTTAGGAGGTGACTGGATGTCTGTCTATGCCGAGTGGAAAAATTGTTGGCGAGAATCCACCGGGATCTTATCAGGTCTTTACTATTGCTTGGCTTTGATTAAGTGGCGGCCCCACTTTAGCCAATCTTACGATAAGGAGTGGAGAAACAGGCACAAGAAGCTGGTAAATGGTGATGATGGTGACTTTACTGAGGAGAACATGTTGATTTGCAGAAATATGATATCTAGAGAAGAAGTGGAAGACTTAACTTACAATTCCTTCAAATGTTGCGAGCTCCAGGGCTTAGATAGGAGAGGCCTGGGGTATCACCTGATATCCCCCATCGTACTACTAGATCCATTGTTCTTAGCTATAAGGTTCTAACGATGACATTTTCTCCAGGACATTTAATAATATCTTATCTTCTTTTGAAAAATGAATTGGTCATTTTAAATTATTTTTTATAATGCAGTTTAAGGCTTCGATATTGCCCAGGTGATCCATTTTCATCTGGAGTGGGCCTGGAGATCATGATGCGGATAAATATGTTCAAGTTGATCTCGTGATTGCTACTAATATTTAGGTCCGCACTTCATGCTATATTAGGTATGGAGCACCCAAAGAAATCGATCTAAAAAAAGCCCTGGAGGTGAACCCAGCCACTTAGAATCTATCTAAACAATTCGAAGGTCATAGATGCCGACATTTCTTTGATAACAAGCGCAATAAGGTAACATCGTTCTTTCAAAAATCCCTAGCTTGGAACTCCGAACTCCGTTGAATGAGTCAATTCGAGTCAGAGACAGTCATTTCTGTCTAGCCACAAGGTAGGTTATAGAATCAATGGTATATTGACTGATAAGAAAAGGAATATTTAAAGAGATAAATATTCCCCAAATATTGGTTTGTTCTCATCTCTCAAACACACAAGATGTCCACACAAGCAAAATCCCCGTTCCCTGCGGGGTTCACTATCACAACTCCGAGATTACGCATCATCCCCCTCGACCCCGGAAACCAAGAACACTGCGAATTCCTAGTTCACCTATGGGGTACTGAGCTTTTTACCAAACACCTTGGTCCATCAGGCATTAATGATGCCGCAACCGCCAAGAAATTCATCAGCAACCGCGTGCTGGCAGACTACGAACGCAATAAACATGGTCTTTTCCTGGTGCTGCTATACAATGAGGAGACCAAACAAACTACTCCGATTGGAACGGCCTCGCTTATGAAAGGTGCACCACCGGGCGCGCATTATTTGCTTCCAGATGTCGGATTCGTTACTTTGCCTGAGCTGAATGGGAAGGGTTACGCGACCGAGGCGACAAAGGGACTGATTGAATACGCGACAAAAGATCTGGGAATAGATGGGGTTTTTGGATTTACTGGCCCGGACAACATTGCTAGTCGGAGAGTTCTTGAGAAGGCTGGGCTGGAGTTCAGAGGCATTGCGGAGTTAGTTGTGTTCGGGAGATTAAGTGCGATCTATACTTTGCCAGGGATGAGCCAAGACTTGAGTGTTTACGGTTTAAGTGAAGAAATTCAGAAAGAGGAAGTAGCGGCAGATAAATGAGATAAATGAAATACATTAAGTTCTTGTCTTCATATTCGTCTTCGTCAACCATAACTTCATTCTTCATGGCATTTCCTGGTATATCGTGTCGCCTGGCATGGGAGCTAGGAAGTCGGTAGGTAGATCCTCTGGTAGTTGATTGATCTGGGCCCAGCGACGAATCTTTTCGAAATTTTTACATTTATGCTGGCTGCTGAAGTCATGATATGGCTCTGGGTTGTCCGGGTAGATCCAGACTTGACCCAATAGTCCGGTATCCACTGTACACATGAGTTGCTGTCGAAGAACATCTAGACAATGGGCTTTGTAGACGACTTGTTAGCTTCATAAAATTTATCGTGGTACTGTTTGAATGCATACAAACATGGTATCTTAGAATTTGGTCGTTGTTGCTGAAAGTACCGCCACCTTGAGAATGGTAATAGTCATGGTTGTAGTAAAGCGACTGCCGCAGAAGATTCTGTTCAAAATCAGACGATGACTTAAGAGTATGAGACAGATAGTTATTACCAGACACTGTAAATGATGTAGGCCTTCAACAGTAGCCGGATATCCTCCTCCATATCTTGGCTTGATCTTGACTTGGTCCGGGGCGAGACCAGACTCCTCTGCATCTTTTGAAGTAACTCGAACCGATCGATCTATGACCACAAAAGCATGTCAGAAGGTGGAGACTTTTAATTGAACCCACAGATCTCTCGACTTACAGTTGATTCCCAGGGAATCCCATGCAGCATCCACTTCCGGGCTTGCATCTTGACGGAAAATATTCTCTTTGACTAGCGAACCATTGAAGGACTGCAATCTGTATTCCACTTTCACATCTTCCAAGATAGGAGCTACGCATTTCAATTAGTAGAATAGCCTCTTGAGACTAGTAGTTGTGCTAACTCACAATATTGGGAAATATGTTGACTACAGAGTCCGTTCAGGTCACCTCTCCAAAAGAATCCGAACAAAGCACCAGCCATGAAGATTATGTAAAGACCAAGCACCCATAGGAGAAGAATTGTATAGGTGCTATAAGAGTTGCCTTCATCATCACCAATCCAAAGCATCCCCTCCTCTTCTGCTAGCAAGCGCTCTTCGCACTCATTATCCGAGTCTTTCACGCTAGGGATTTTGTCTGCGAACATGGTGGCTCTCTCCCAAAAACAGGAAAAGAGAAGCAATCAGTCAAATAATAATCGTCAACAAAAGCACAGGGAAAAAGAAGATGGCAGATTAGACTAAGAATCGCCTATGAGGTTCCAGATAGAGATTGATCGTGTCTTCCAAATTTCACCATCAGACCGCCAGTCCAACCGCATGTGGTACTTTCCAAGCCTTTAGCTTTTACTATTGCCCCTCACTCATAAGTTACTATTCAAAGATAGATCAAGATGATGAAATGTCTCCCCTGCATGTCTTACACGTTTTGTGGTCCCATGATTATCTAGGGATCGTGGGGCATGGGAGCTCGGAAAGCTATGCCAAGGGGCTGGAGCCGCCAATACTCCATTGTTAAGCAGCATAGAGTCAATGGCGTACGCAATGACTTGTCAAATGAGGTGGATCTGCACGTCCGAACCCCGGATAGCCCTCTGGAATGAGATTTAGCCCCTTCCGGAGCGATCGGCGCGACTAGCACGCTACTGCTGCAGATCACGATGCGAGGTTCATCATGCAAACTCTAAGCGTGGAATATAGTAAGACATCCAATGCGAGGGCAGCATTTACTATATGGCGCATAACAATACATTTTCTCTTGGTGTTTTGAAGTCATCATGCATTTTCTTTTTGGTCGCTGGTTTCGTATCCCCGCAAGGCAGAATGATTGTGGACTACACGTTCAGCCCGGTCCCTTGCAGTACTGTTCCCAGCTCCAGCCAAACTCAATGATCTGATCTACGAACCGAGCTCAGACATTATCATCAAAGATGGAGAAGAGCTACTTGGAGCTTTGAGTCAAATACGTAATCGAAGCTCAAGAGCTCATCTTGGCTCGAATATAAATACATCGATAGAAGATCGTCTTTGGTTCTCATCTCATCAAGCAAAAACATCTTTAAAAAAGAACAAAAATATCTTTACGCTTTACGTTTACGATTTCTTTACAATTTATCTCTCTATTACGAATATCTTACGATTACAATTACGATTTTCAATATGCGCTACTCTCTGATTAACGGTCTTCTCATGTTGGCTATCTCGCCATTGACCTCTCTCGCCCTCCCGGTCGACCCCAATGATCAGTCTGGTGTTTGGGACCCAAGTGGCCAATACCGAAAAGGTCATTATGTGAACGGTCAATTCATTCCCGACGCTGGCTCCGAATACAACAATGGCCAGTGGAACAACGGCCAAAGCCAGAACGGTCAATACAACAACGGCCAGTGGAACAATGGTCAATACCAGAATGGTCAATATAACAATGACGAGAACAACAATGGAGAATATAACAACGGAGAGTATAACAACGGCGAGAGCACCTACCAGCGCCGTGGTCTGATTGAGCGCCCCTTCGGCAACGCCCGCCACCACGTTGGTGTTCCCGGCGTCGGCGTCCCTGGTGTTAATGTTCCTGGCATCCATGCCCGCACCTGGCCTTTCACTAACAATAACAACAACAACAACGGTCAATGGAACAACCAGAACAACCAGCAGGGTGGATGGACCGACGCTAACGGCCAGTGGCACTCAAACAACAACCAGAATGGCTGGACTGATGCCAATGGTCAGTGGCAGTCCAACAACAACCAGAATGGCTGGACCGATGCCAACGGACAGTGGCATGCCAATGCTAAGCGTGGTTTTCCTGGAGTCCCCGGCGTTCCTGGCGTTCCTGGCATCCCTGCCGTCCCTGGTGTCCCCAACGCTGGTGCTGCCAACCTCGGTGCTGGTACCCCCGGTGTCCCCGGAGCCCCTGGTGCTCCCGCCGCTGGAACTGGCGCTGGTAACCCCGGTGCTTTGAATGGAGCCACCGGTACCACCGGTACAAACAGACTGAACAACCCTGCTACTCAATCCGAGGGAGTCAATGGTCTTCACGCCCGCTGGAACCGCCCAGATGACTACAACAACAACGGTTACAACGATGAGTACAACAATGACTACAACAACAACAACAATTACAACAACAACGGCGAGAATGAGAGTGAGCGTGAACGCGAGCGCGAGCAAGACCGCGAGGAGGACCGCCAGGATGCCCACGACGCCACTCAGGCCGCTACCTCTGTCATCTCTAACTTGAAGGCCCGCTACATCCCTGATGAGTACAACGACAACTACGACTACAGCGATGATGGTAACCGTCGCCACCACCACGAGACTGCGAAGGAGCGCGAAGAAGACCGCAAGGATGCCGCTGATATCACTGGCTCCGTCCTTGGAAATCTGAAGGCCCGCTACATCCCTGATGAGTACAACGACAACTACGACTACAGCGATGATGGCAACCGTCACCACCACCACGAGACTGCGAAGGAGCGCGAAGAAGACCGCAAGGATGCCGCTGATATCACTGGCTCCGTCCTTGGAAACCTGAAGGCCCGCAACGTCCCCGGTGAGCAGTACGGCAACGATGTTTACCGCAACGAGAACCAGGATGGCGAGCGTGAGCACAACGGACTCCAGGGTACCGCTACCGAGGCTCTCGATGCTGCTCCTTCCGTTGTTACCAAGCGCTGGTGGCCTTTCCACCACTGGAACAACAACAACGATAACAGCAACAACAACAACAACAACAACAACAACAACAATGACAACTACGGATACCAGGACAAGTGCAAGAACGGTGACTGGAACGACCGCTCCGGCTGGGACTGCCGCCACGACTGGGATGCCAACCGTCAGGCTACCCCCACTCCCCGTGTTTGGGCTTAGACGAAAGTTTAGATGTGAAGGTGGATCAATTGGGGATCCATCTCGGTATGTGTCACCTTTGTTATTTTTCATTCTTATCTTTTACTAACAATTTCTCAAGATAGGAGGATTGCAAGCACCTAGGAGTTACATTGATTTTATGCAAATCATTGTTTAATGATATCACGAACTGTATACGGTCTTTACTATGTTATCTTGTGGCTTAGATTTCGGGTTTGAAAGATGGTGTGTGAGGAATAGTTAGGTAGCTAGGCAATGAAACGACTTTGAAAACTCATAGCTTCCCACTAAATGTTGACCCAATATCTCCCCATCGTATATTTGAAAATGTCACTGATGTCGACGGATGCTGGGCTTGGATCAGAGCAGGATTTCCCTCGGTGCTGTTGCATGGTCCGGCACTACCACTGTCAAGCCAATTCATGAAGGCACCCGAATCATTCCAAATACTGAAGATCAGAACCATTCCTCGACCCAGCGCTTTGCCCATCTGCTTCAAGCCTCCCATACTCTGAAAGTAGCTCGCAGACGTCGAGCAATAATCATTTGTCAATGAATCGACCTCCACCCCGGATACATCAACGACTGCATTCTGAATCACCTTGCCATTTTGCACATACAAGCGCCGAATCTCACTCAAGGTTCCTCGCGCAGTATGGTCATCTGTGATGAACTGCGTCACAACAGTAAATTGACGCGTTGTATCTACCACATCCTTATACCCATAATAGTCATGGTCTCCCAGCGCGTAAGGATTAAATCCACATCCCGACTTATCACAAACCCCATCACTTCCACAGAGGTCTCCAGCACATTCATACACACCCGTGATATTGCACGCATGCGGCGTAAATGCAGTCGCTCGCGCATTTGCTTCCCATAAATCCATCTCGCTACAACATGATCCCTTCCCATCAATATTCGCCACACCGTTGATCCACGGATCGTCCGAGCATTGCGCATCACAGTATCCAGTCCCATACTGCGCACCTGCAGGATTCAACTTTCCCCGTCCACCAGACTCTAGCATTTCAGCGAGATATAATGCCCCGTTCATCCCGCACACAAGCGAGGATACATCTGCATCAAAACTGATCTCCTGGTTGAGTAATCGGAGCATATCGTAGCTTTTCCCGGTTTCATCGAGCAAATATACCCGCGGGCTGACGGAACTAACTGTTCCATCGGTCGTCAGGTATTGGTGCAATATAAGACTGTCGCCTTTTGTTTGAACTCCATGTGCAGAATAATCGGTACCCTCGAGAACGCAATTCTCTGCACAAGATTGTTGCGTAGAGCAGAGAGTTTCGTTGAGACCTGTATCCCAGTTTCCACATGAGATGTCACTGTTGCCTTTTTCGTGAAGTGGGTGTGAGAGTGCGTCTAATACAACTGAGGTATCTTGCTTCTGGCAGCCAGATAGCGTAGTACATGTCCATGTTTGCAGCTTAGGGTGTATTTCTGGGATTTTCCCGATTTGCTGAGCTGTGACTAGGTGTATAATACAAGCCGTTGCGGCGAGAAGACGCGCCATAATGAGCGGGCGTATATTGAAATAGACAATTTCGCGATGTATCTGTATATAGCGATTGATTCAGAGCATGTTTGAGCTGTATTTAATACTTTTGTGTCTATTCTCCGGGGGTACTGTATATTGCGATTTTTGACGCGGACGATGCTCCGACAGGGGTTGTTTCCAATTGAAAGTGGCTGTTAAGACCTTGATATTAGGCTCAATTCTAGGCAGTCGCTAAAGGCCACATCGCATATTAGTGGGATACCCCTCTCCTAAACCTCCTTTTAGAAATTCCATCGCATGACCCACAAATAAGGGTCTAGGAGTGACGAGTTTGGAATGCTAGTCGGGGTTTGCTATGTTTACCCACTCCGCGTTTCGGGCATGCCTGGGAATTTAGCCGTGAAGTACATTTTCCACCAGTAGCAGGGGCAAGTGCACGGTCGCATGGCTTGGTGATCAGGTACCGGATTAAAGCTCAGCTGAGCGATTTGGTTTCTGCAGAAATTAATTAAGTTTGTTTGTTCTGCATAGATTTCAAGGATTACGGATGGTTGGGCCTGATCATCTTTAGCTTCTGAATCTAGATCGTAGATCCTTCTCAAATTTTGATCTAGGTACGAGATACGAAACATATTGCATGCGCTTGCTTGATCTAATCAAATAGTCGTGAAGATCTTCGTGATTGTGTTACCCCTACCTAGTACAGCGATGAAAGGGTCTGATAGGCTGGCCGAGACTGCGACCCGCCTGGGCTTATGGGTCAGGGGCCCTTGAGATCTCGGAGCTGAAGATCTAGAGGAGCATAGTGTCTACGGTAATAAGCGATGGGCTTTCATAAGGGACAAAATAGCTATGATATTTCTCGTCGAGTATCAAATGAGTGTATTTGGGTGAGCAAAAAAAAAATTGGAACATGTTCAAGTAAGCTTGAGCGTTGCTTAAAAATCCTTGCCAAATAGCGGCCGTGTTGAACAGGCAGATCAAAAACAACCTGTGATTATAGGTAATGTTGGATGACCTAAGATCTAGAGGAAATCAAGAAACAGAGATGCAATGTGGCGCAATTGCAAGCCTTAATAGTCATCTCCACGACTGATAACCTCCTTGCTCGACTCTCCCAGTAAAATGGTCTAAAGAAAGTGTTAGATCAAAATTAAAGCATTGAAAGTGAAGCAAGCAAACTTACGTGTTCGAACTGTGCAGAATACGAGCCTTCGATATCCATCAGAGGCGGATAACGATCGACAACTCCTGCAGACACAAGGCTGTTCATCTGTCAAAGAGTTAGCGACGTCGAATTTTACGAGAAAGGTTTACTCACGCCAGCCAGATAGCGATCGACGCCGAGGCGCTCGAGGTAGCGACGGGCGAACACAATTGTGCCGAAGTTGTCGTTGATGGTCTTGTACAAAGAGCGAGCCGAGGCAAGAGGAGTGACCACTTTCTTGGGGGCATCATAGTTCTTGCCGTAGCCATATACGCCAAGCTGAATAAGTCAGTATTGCCGTAAGTCATTTAATAAGGAAGCTAAACATACACCGTCTCTCGTATGACCGCGTCCCGTAGATCCAAATGTTTCGATGGCGAAGACTTCGCCTTCTTCCATTTTGGTCTGGGTTTTAGTTCTCACGAAAGGAATCGACTTCCCTCCGTGAATCTGATATTGCTTGATATTGTGACCGGAGATGTCACGGACTGGTTTGACCGGATAGGTTTTACCATTGATTTCTACTTCGTAGCTTTGCATGGTCTCTTGAATTGCGGCACTGATATCGCTGATACGGACATCGACACCAGCGTTCTAATTCAACATCAGCATTTGTTCACAAATATTAGCGTCCAAATATCTCCTACCTTGATGCCAGTATTGGTTGCATCCTTGACTGCAGCAAGCAGGTTGTCATATGTTGGATCGAAGCTCATAGTAAAAGCACTGTCAACGATCCAGCCATTGATGTGAACACCAAAGTCCACCTTCATGACATCGCTTTGTTGCAGGATGACGTCCTTCTGCCCAGGAGTGGGTGTCCAATGTGCTACGCAATTGTTTATCGCAAGACCCGTTGGAAACCCCAATCCAGATACTAAGCAACTTCCAGTCTCGAGTCCCGGGTTATCAAGAAGGGCTCTTACGCCCTCATCAATATCATCAGCAACCTTTGTGAGAGATTCACCCGGTCGTACGTTCTCTTGAGTCCATTTTCGAACTTGACGGTGAATTTCAGCTGCCTTGCGATAGTTGTTCAGCCAGGTTTTGTCCTGGACGGCCTGTCGGGCTTCGTGGCGAGCTTCCTCGGCAGTAGTGCGAGCCGTGTTGTCGATCACGGACTCGTAGCTCTGCATCTCACCGCTTGGATACTGATCATTGCGGAAGATCTTAGTTAGCGGGACCCGGGGAGGAGAAGACTGCTTCGTGGCTGTCTTCTTCTTGGACTTCTTTTTCTTCTTCTTTGGTGCGCTTGTTGTTGGAGGTTGAGGGGTTAATGACTCGGTAACAATCCGGGACTGACTGTCACCGTCTTCATCATCACCGTCTTCGTCACCCATAGGTCCGTCTCCATCCCGGGAGTGATGATCGCCTCGTGGCTCTCCACCAGCGGCGGTAGAGGTCGAGTCGAACGGGTCATCTACGTGATTGTAAGTGAACATACTCCCATACTTCGCTTCCAATTATATTTGTACGCACTGCCGCCATTCTGACTCTCCTGCTCAGGTGTCTTGGAGCCCATTGCAACATGAAGTAGATTTTGTTGATTTAACGAAGAAAAAGAAAAGCCTGTAACTTTGAGGGTGGTCTCTTGTGTGGGGGCCAAGGGCGGTGTGGGGCTTCTAGTAAGTTGGATTAGGTTCCGCACAGCAGCTTCTACTACATATAGATATGCCCAGAGTGCCTACATAGTTGGCAAACATGTCTATGAATCTACCTTTAGACTCTATATTCGACTGAATATAACTACATATGCAGCGTCTGTCCTGATCCTAGTTACATACCAAATTCTCACTAGTAGTGAATGGGATCGACTGTATGTCGATCATCAGCTATTCTTACCCCACAAGATAATATAGGCTTGTAAAGAAGACGCCCCAATGTTTCACATATCCGTATCATGAGATATTTAGCTATAATAATGAGGAGTTTAAGAGCTGTGCTCTGGAAGATATGCTTGATTGTTATGTCCCGAAGAAGAGAGATGACAAAGGAGGAAGACTTCTTGGCGGGCTTGGATAATTTCAGGATATTGAGCAGTATCACTGCCTAGATCAAGAATCCTAGCGTTAGCCCTAAATATAAGTCAGCTAAGAGGTCCTACCTGTCAAGGTGAAAGCGAGGTATGTAGACTGGTAAAAGACTATTGCAGTAGGCGGTATATAGCAGGAAAAAGAAGAGAATTTGGGTAATTGATCACGATGCTTTCTCTATTCAGCAGGAAATATATAGTTGTCGGCCATATAATCATGTAATCATGTAGTTAAGTCAAACAAACGAAAACAATGACATAAACGGGAGGTATGATAACTAACTAAGGGTCATAGGGAGATTGAAAGATGCAAACCGCGATCGGCAGTAACCATCACCGCCCAGCCCGCACTTTGATCAATTCCACCGACAAGACCACCAGCCTTTCAACCATCCACAGCAACAACACCTCGTCCCCCCGGAGATTCGACCGCGAAGCCTTACTCTCGAGAGTACCCGGTACCTGCATTGTGCAGCCAGACAAGTAGTGGGGTTACAGCACCCCGGGGTTGATCCATCCAATCTCTGTGGCTGTCACCTACCTACCCCTCGACTCCGCGGAAGCATCCTAGACGGATCCTGAAAACGACATATTCACCGCCAAAATGATGGAGGATTTCAATAGTGAAACAGATAGTGACTACACCAGTTACTGGCGAGACTGGGTAGGTGCTTTTTACGTTGAGTTGCGATACGACATATTTTCTGCCCCGCAGGCGGTTGTCACGGTCAATATGCTCGTATCGTCTTGTTAGGCCTTGTGAGAATATTGGGTATATGGCAAATCGAAGGGTGCTGCTATGATCCCGATCTTGTCACTTGATTTATCTGTGCATGAAGAAGCAGCTTCGATCCGACTCGGGATTTCCATTTTATTGGCAATATTTTCTGCATGTTGAATAAAGCTAACGCTTTTGGTTACTTTCCAGTTTGTCTCGTCCCGAGGGAATGAATACTTCTGTGAAATCGACGAGGACTACTTGACAGATCGATTTAACCTGACGGGTTTAAACACTGAAGTTCCATACTATCAATATGCGCTCGACCTTGTGACCGACGTCTTTGATCTTGACGCTGATGACGATCTGAGAGAGCAGATTGAGAAGTCAGCCCGTCATTTGTACGGCTTAGTCCACGCTCGCTACATTGTCACTACTCGTGGTCTAGCAAAAATGGTATGCCTCGAAATGGCCCCGATGATTAGATTTGAATTAGATATGCTAATCCCCATAAACAGCTTGAGAAATACAAGAAGTGCGATTTTGGCAAATGTCCGCGTGTCATTTGTGATGGACATCCTCTTCTACCCATGGGCCAGGCCGACCTTCCCAACATGACAACTGTCAAACTCTACTGCCCTAAGTGCGAGGACATTTACAACCCCAAATCTTCCCGCCATGCTTCAATCGATGGTGCTTACTTTGGCACCTCCTTCCACTCTATCCTCTTCCAAGTCTACCCCGCTTTGAACCCTGAAAAGAGCCTGCGCCGCTATGAGCCTCGTATCTACGGCTTCAAGGTGCACGCCGCTGCTGCCCTGGCACGTTGGCAAGATAACCAACGTGATGAGCTCCACTACCGCCTTGGTGAATTTGATATGGCCTACAGGTTTATCGAAGAAAGTGAGAGTGAAGACGATGTTGAATTTGACGAAGGGGCTTCCGAAGTACGAACCGAGAAAGTCGCCGGAGATGCGGCGTCCGGTCGCATGGATCTTGGCAATTAAATGCGCAATACACTGGATTTTATACTGGCAATTTCGGCGTAACGAGGGATCTCGTAGGATTTGACCTTCCGTGATATGCTTTTACGAATAATGGCGTTATCTTATCTGCGTGGCCGATCTCCGATTGTATCTACAACAATTCCCCTATCTGTGCTCTGAGAGAACCGAAATCAAGGAGATCAATCCTCTCAATACCTTCATTCAAATTCAAAATGATTATAAACAACTTGGTAAATGTACTATGTAGCTTAATGACTACGTAATCGCCGTGGACTGGAGCCATTGATGGCTTCGGGTTCAGGCGCCAGGCCCATTTGCTGTAGTTCTATAAAGGCATATTCGACTGCCCTAGCCAGCTCATCGCCATGAATCCATGCATCATCGTGCGGACCCTCGAGCGGCAATACTTGAACTCGTCTATCACGACTCGACAATTCTCGCAGGGGTATTTCAGCTTGCGCCTCTTCCCAGCCTCGCAGTGCCTCCCTCATCTCATCTACCTGGCCCCAGTCTACAAGTCCATCATTCTTCGAATGCGCCAATACAACCAATCGCCCATTCTTCCAACCACCCTCCAGCCCACGCGACCCAATCATCTGTGCGGGCGACACACCATCCCAAAGCATGACATCAGGCCCAAATGCCCCTTCAATAAACTCTCTGTACGCTGAAATATCTCGGTGTGTATCCTGCAGACGTCTCAAATCATATATACCTGCGACGCCGACTATAGCAACCGGCTGAGCTGACAATTTCGGTGGTAATGGTCCTGGGGACATAGAAACCAGCTCTGCACCCTGACCATCATCACCCGCACCACCACTAAATGCCAGTTCGCGATGGTCTGCCACAGTCCCCATCACTGCTTGGAAAGCTAGTGTAGCGCCGCAGCTGTGCCCGACGAGGATATAGCGAGGTCCAAAAGCGTAGGTATTCTGCAGGAATGCGAGTGCGGCTTCGACATCGCGGATGTGATCAGGGTGTTTCGCATTACGATATTCCGCTACGGGGGTTGTCCGTTCGTTTTCTGGGTAGTCTGGATGTGCGCTTAGTCGGTACGAGATCGAAGCGATGCCAGAAATTGGAAGTCCGGGGTTGTTGCGAAGGATTTTGGCAGTCTTGTCGAAAGATTCCGCTGTGATGGTTGGGTCCCGCCATGCACCGCCGTGTATATAGCTAATTCACAGCATTTAAGGGTTAGTTTGAGGCCTTCCGTTGGGCTTTAGGAGCTGTTGAGGGAGCTCAGGCGGGGTTGTGGTACATCACCCAGTAGCCATCTCGGTGGGTGTCGAGTGGTGTGACGGATATAGTTTGGAGGGAGTGCGATCTATTGTAGGTTACAGTTCTTGTCTCAGCCTGGGACGGCTGCTGGAAGACCATGTCGCAAATGATTAGAGCAAAGAGGGAGCAAAAACTTGAACAGGCCGATGAATGAGCGCCCGATAATGATATAGATAGGACGCGGGACGGAAGCGGGTCAATCTCCGTGTTTGTATGACTAAGGGTCTTTCAGGTGCTGAGCAGACAGTTTATTTTGAAGGTGAAATATGAAGATCGTTCAAATATACTGATTGATGCTAAGATACTAAATGGAATATAGTTCTCAAAAATCATTCGAATTGACCGAGGTAGCACGCAGTGTTACGGCCTCGAAGTCTTGATGGGGAAACTATAAAGCCTTGGAACATTTGGAAGGACAATGCGGAGTTGCGGCGAGGTACAGCGGGTGTTATAATACGGTAATACCCCTCATGTATCCCGCTGTTGAGTGGGATATTGTGTAATCTAATACAGACTTACCGTACGACGCTAAACCAAATTAGGACCACCCGTCTGAATTGTTCTCACACAAACTGATCTTCCCCATCAAAGAGACTTAACCCACTCTCCTTCCCGGTGCAACCACTTTCAATATGGCCGAGTACGTATGATTGAAGGTCTCACTGCGATAATCAAACTAATGATATGACTATAGAGCACAAAGCCCCCTCGTGGCCGTCAAGGTCGAGGCTCTGGTACGATCCCCTCCAATTCTTGAAAATCTGTCCCGGCCTCGCCAACAAGAAATACTCATGCCCGATGTTTTAGGTGGTGATGAAAATCATCAAGCACTGCAACCAGACCTTCCCTACAACCGCGACTGGCTTCCTTGTTGGTATGGATATCGACAACACCCTCGAACTCACCAACTCTTTCCCTTTCCCCGTGGTTGAGATGCCCACCGAGTCGCACTTCGACAACGCCGCGCCCAACCCGGCTGCCGCTGCTCCCCGCGCCAAGGGAAACGTTGCTTACCAGGCCGAGATGATTCGCATGATCCGTGAGGTCAACGTTGACGCCAACAATGTCGGATGGTACACCAGCGCCAACATGGGCAACTTTGTCAACATGAACGTGATTGAGAACCAATTTTACTACCAGAAGGAGTTGAACGAGCGCACAGTCGCCTTTGTTCACGACGTCAGCCGTAGCGCCCAGGGTGCTCTCAGCCTGCGTGCTTTCCGTCTTTCCGCCAAGTTCATTGAGGCGTTCAAGGAGAACAAGTTCAACTCAGAGGAGTATGTTACCTTTGCTTGAAATTTTATGCTTGCGAATACAACCCAAATCATTTATGCGTTGAGTCAATATCGTACTAACAACTTTCCAGGCTGCAAAAGTCCAACCTTCGCTACCAAGACATCTTCGACGAGCTCCCCGTTGAGATCCACAACTCGCACCTGATTACTTCCTTCATCCACCAGCTGCAGACCCCCAGCAACTCTGGTCCCACCGAACTTCCCGCCTCTCTGGCCGCCCTCGAGGCCAGCCCATTCTCCCAATCCTCCACTCTCACCCCCAACCTTGACAACCTGTCCCTGAGCATCGACCCATTCCTCGAGAAGAACTGCGATCTCTTGCTGGACAGCATCGAGACCCACAACACCGAGGTCAACAACTACCAGTACTACCAGCGTGTTCTGGGCCGTGAGCAGCAGAAGATCAACAACTGGAAGCAGAAGCGCGCCCAGGAGAACGCCACCCGCGCCACCCTCAAGCAGCCTCTTCTCCCCGAGGACGAGTGGCAGCGTCTGTTCAAGCTCCCCGCCGAGCCCAGCCGGCTGGAGAGCATGCTCAACACCCGCCAGGTCGAGCAGTTCTCGCGCCAGGTTGACAGCTTTGTTTCCTCGACTACTGGCAAGATGTTCGCTGTCAAGGGTAACTTGCTGCCCGGTGAGACTGCGAAATAGATGTGTGTGGACCTGAGGCTTTTGGATTGCATGACCTTATTACGGCGTAGGGAGGGAAAATGTTCTCTGGATGTTTATACGACTTCCTCTTTTCTTATTATGTATCCGTGACGACGTTGAGTCTTTCTTGTCTAATTATTTGAGACATACATGGACTCAGACCCGTTCATAGAAAACAATGACTTTTTTCTAGACATGAAATATTTATTTACGCGCTATCATGAAAGATTCACCTTCATGCTTTGTAGATCTCCAACCCAGAACTCTGGAGCTCCAGTTATCAGCAGCATTGACAAGTCATCTAGCCCTAATCTACTGTATCCAAGGTTGTAGGGTCTGGCATGTCACGTGATACATACATGACTTCATCGGTCTTCAAGTTTGAATAGGTTAAAGAACAGGGCAGCAGAGGAAGCCTAAATATTTGGATAGGTCTTTTTCAATGCTTTTTCTTTTTTCCTGATACTTAGCCATTCACCTGTATTCATTCAACACATGTATAATAGCCATACGGACATATGGATAGTAAGTACCCACCCCGATCTGTATCCTGCAGGCCTGTATCCACCCAAAGATCCGTTTATGTCCTAAACAATGTGATTCATATCACAAATTGGTCCGCTCGATCCTTGAATTTTTCTGACATAAATCTTATATATAGGCTGGTGCATTCGCAGCAGTTGTCGTTGACTTTATTGTCTACCCCTTCGACACCTTGAAAACCCGCATTCAATCACCGAATTATGAACGCGTATTTAAGAATGCTCGAACAGGTGCCGTTAAACGCAACGTACTGTTCAAAGGATTATATCAAGGTGTCTGGAGCGTTGTATTTTCCACAATACCATCTTGTGAGTTCCTAGCAAAATTATCCTAATATTGCATATAGTATATCATATGCAGCGATACATTCAACACCCGATAGATGAATACTAACAATATCAAACGTAGCCGGGGCTTTTTTCACAACATATGAAGCTGTCAAATATGCATTCTATAATTCTTCCACCAACCCCGATCGTCATGGACCCCTAGCTCACACATCTCGGTCCACAATTAGCCTTCCATTTACTCATTCTCTCCCGACACCAATAATTCATGCCATTGCCTCTTCATCCGGCGAAATGGTGTCATGTCTTATGCTCACACCTGCTGAGGTGCTGAAACAAAATGCGCAGATGGTAAATAAATCACAGACAGGCGGGTTCTACAAAAATAACGCCATGCGTCACGTTCTTTCTAAATTCAAATCTCACCCTTGGCGTCTGTGGAGCGGCTATACCGCGCTGGTAGGTCGAAATCTCCCATTTACAGGTCTTCAGTTTCCCTTGTTCGAGTATATCCGCTCCCATATGATTGCTTGGCGGCGCAAACGAAGACATCCTCATCGAGAGCCGTTGGCGCCCTCATTTGGATCTACACAAAGAGAAGCACTTATTGAACGAGCTGGCCTGACGGGTCTTTCGGCGGCTGCTTCGGGTATTGTATCTTCTTTTGTTACCACGCCGATTGATGTTGTTAAGACAAGAGTCATGCTTTCTGCTACGGATGATATTGAAGAGGGTAATCGTGGGTCCAAGAATAAGACATATAAAAAGGGTACATTGGCTCTTGGAAGGGAAATATTCCGAGAAGAGGGAGCAAAAGGCTTGTTTAAGGGTGGCGCGATTCGATCTGGGTGGACTGCCGTCTCCATGAGCCTGTACCTCAGCTTATATGAGAGCGGGCGAATGTTTTTGGAGAATCGAAGACGAAATTTGGAGGGCGTTAGTGGAGCTACATTCACTGATGAGGGTGATTTGATTAGTTAAATGGCAATTAGAGGGACGCATAGTTGCAAAATACTGACATGACTCAATTTTGATTAATTTTTAAAGTCTACTAGTAGTTTTAGATTGTAATTACCTAGATCATGGTACTACTAATACATGCATGTATAAGAGTCTGGAATTTCACTACTAGTATAGGCCATATACGTTTTCCCGCAAATTTCCTGGCGGCTTTCTCCACCCCACTTGATAATATATTAAAATTCGTATTTGAATTCGTACAAGTCTTTCATAGTATCTTTGCACTCAATATACAGCTGAAGCCTCTTTTCCTTTTCAACCCTTCACATACTTATAGACATATATGGACGACTGCTAAGATCCTACTGGCTGGAAATGTCTTTCGGTCATCACGACTCCAACCTCAGTGCCTCTACTTTATTTGGACAACACCGTGGACCATCGTTGCAACTTCTCGTAGTTTGCGTCACTTGATCAAGAAGCCCGTCCCTCCATAAATTGGGTGAACTCATGAATCATCTGGGACGGACTCAAGATTTGTATCACCCAGTCATCCCAACGTAGATACGACGCTCAGAATTATCCCAGCCCCATTGAGATACCAAATCGCTTCATCCGGAAAAAACAGGACCGGGTCTTTGAATTTGGAGGGTTATTAGAGGTACTTATGATCTAACTGGTGAAATACGATATGCAGGTACTGGGGAACTTGAACCTTACGGTCACCTTCAAGTTTTCCAAGAAATTTTCAGCCTTTCAGGGAACTACGCAGCGAAGGTAAAGACAGCTAGTAGTCCACTAACTTCGTCGGCTTTTTCTTAGACGATCCATCGTGCCAAGTATATGCCTCGCCTAAGAACGACTGCAATAAGTTAACCGACCAAGAAGCTAGCATTGTAGAGGGAGCAAACAGCTGGTTGAGATCAAAATTACTACAAAACTTGGGCGAGTCTACACGAAAGCAGGCTGTGGTTTGGAAAATATCTAGCGATCGTGAGAGATCTGGAAGAAAATCTATCATACTCCAGGGGTTCGATGATGTTGAAGCCCCACATAGAAACTGATGTTACCAAATTAGCTACCTAGCCCTCTGATAGCTCAGTACTGTTCTCCAATACATGGCTTCAAATTCGCGGCCATACACCTGTTAGAATTCATCGATACGCAAGTACAATCTTCTCAATCCAATCCTCTAGTCCCTTTGCAAAGTTTGTGCCATTCTTCCCAGACATCGCATCCAACAAATCTCTTCTCGGGTTTGGGTGCCACCTCCCGAATGGGATCACATAGCGTCCGCCATCTTGGTCCGTTATATCCTTGCTACACGCAGCCCACAGCACGGTATGAGCACCATTTAAAACACTAGCGAAAAAAGGCTTCATCAAAAGTATCGAGAGCTTTGAAGCCCCCTCGTATATGCCTGTTTGTGCTGTTGCTGGGTTTGCAGTAATGCTGACAACTCCCTTTTTGCCTTTAGCTGCAGTATTGTCCTCAGCTGCAGTATCAAATCGTTTTGCAAAGCGATCAGCAAGGAACCAGTTTCCAGTTTTGCTGATTGTGTAGTTTCGAAGAAAATCCTCAGTGGGGTTCTCAAGCTCTTCCGGTGGAACGCCTTCTGGTGGTGCTGAGGTATCGACCAGGAGACTACTGGTCCAGACAACCCGTACACTATTGGGAGTAGTATCTGCCGCGGCCGCTGTCTGGACCAAAATGTCGTATAGAAGTGAGGTAAGGAGATAAGGGCCCACACAGTTGGTGCCTACTTGCGGCTCCAAGCCCTGGGCTGTACGCTGCGACAATTGAACACAAGCAACCCCGGCATTATTATGAAGAATATCAAGTCGCGACTCCTGTGATAGAAATGCAGTGATAAAAGGTTTGATTGTACTCAGATCAGAGAGGTCGATCGCAAGAAACTTGATTGTGCCAGGGGTCTTAGATGTGCTGTTAGTCGTGATGTCTTGGATGGCAGTTTGGGCTTTCGCCTCATTACGAGCTGCCATATAAACTATGGCTCCGGCATCATAATAAATTCGCGTGAGCGCAAGTCCTATACCCGCTGTGCTGCCGGTGATCATCACTACCCGACCCGCTTGCAGCGGGAGAGAGGCAGCAGTGAGGGTAGCCTTTCCGGGAAAGAACTGAGTCAAAGTTCTTTTAAAAGACTCCATGATGGCATCAAGAAAAAAAGCGAAGATTGATCTGACAGAGAGAGAATGTCGGAGAGAAAAATTAAAACGTCAGTAAGATTGGTTTCTTTGTTTCACTGGGGAGCGGACATCCCTTATAGCTGGAGCTTTCCCACCTCCGACCCCAAATTTTCCAAAGAGCAACAACCATGCAACTCAGAATGGATCTTATTGGTACAGAAAGCCATATAGCGGATCAAGCCACGCTGAACGATGCTTGTACATGCTTGATACATGGATGTAGATACAGTCATGACCCATTGCGTCATCCCAGAATTCACTAGGATACGCTAAGCAAATCAATTGGACAGATTTCCATATTAGCCCCCAAACGCGTCAACATCATGACCTTATCAGCCCTGTAAGCTCGCTAACCATGATCATTTTTACATAGTTCCATCGCATGCTAACTACTACATTCATCTATGGTTTGGTTATGATCTTGTAGGAATAATTTGAAAAACGTGGAATTGATATCGATTGTCTTCGATTTGAAAAGAAAAAGAATAAGATGATGATACTTTTGAGCTAGATATAACTTTCCCGCTGGCTCATGGCATCCAAATCCTATCTACGGGGGCTTATACTAGCGATCATCGGGAAAACTCCCAATTTTTGCCTTTTTCTCAGCCGGCATCAATCACCATACTTGTAATACAGTAACTTCAGCCTTGGAGCCTCTATTAAAGCCCGTGCCAGATTTTACAATCAGACGTAGTATAGAGGCGAGACTGCTGAGATACCCCAATGACCTACATGCTGAAGGAGATTAATGAGCGCACGGAAAATAGACGAATCGGTTGACTTCGACCGATTGCTTCTGTAGGCATTGAATTTAAAAAGCGCTTGATAACAGTATACGTCTATAATCTTGAATTTAGGAAACTTAATATTTTTGTTGGGATAAGGCTCCGTCTCATGAGTATAAGGCCTTATCCGCCTCTATACTTATCTTATCTTCCCCGCAAATAAATCCACCGGCTTATCTTCTTTGGGCCTCGCTTGAGTCGCTTTGTACACTAGACCTCTGACTCCAATTTCAAGGTTTTTGTCCATACTCTTACTCAATAAAACCCACAGATGGCTGCCATAACAAGAGCAAGGACTGGGTGCTGGACTTGCCGATCGCGACGGATCAAGTGCGATGGTATTGTTCATTCGAGTTACCATGAGTCTGCTTGACCCACATTCCTGACCTAATTTTGCAGAAACCCATCCTATTTGTCACCGGTGCGCGCGTAATAACAGCCCCTGTGGATACGGAATACGTCTAACATGGCACGAAGAGGCAATCGCTCGTGGAGTGTGCCATGGGCGGGCAGGAGTTTGGTCGAAAAGAGGTGATAGCGACCGAGGAGAGGCCAGAGGGAAATTGCGACAGGGGGTTAACCCCAAAGACAGATCCGCGCGACAGATACAACGAGTTGCCTGCTCAAATCGTGACTGGATATTTCTCAACACGACATTTGATGACCTCGAAATTCATTTTGACGACCGATTGCCACGACAAGCTAGGACTTTCAAGACGCCGACTGAGTATAGATCTTTGTCCCCATCCTTGAGCACCTTTCCGAAAAGCGGCAAGCGATCAGATTGCGACCCAGCACTCCTTTCATACTTTGAGAATGTAATTTGCAGTAGTTCTACGCTAGTCGATAATGCGCATTGTAATCCTTATCGATATCTCATATTGCCTATGGCCCTGGAGTCTGAGGGTCTTTATCATGCCACCCTCGCCATTGCTGCCAACACCTTATGCCTTTCTGATTCGCGATATCGGTTACCCGCGCTGGAACACCACCATCGTGCTCTGATTCATCTCAAAGAGCTATTGGGCCATGAAACATGGGGAGAGAAAGAGCTGGATGAGATGTTGGGACTTGTTCTGATGCTCTGCTGGTTCGATGTGATTATACCTTCTTTGGAATTTCTAATCGCCATATTAACTAGTCTCAGATTTCGGATAATAGTAGGCCGTCATGGGTCACTCACCTCAGTGGATTTCAAGACTTGATTCGTACACGACAAGAACGACCAGGCCGTTCTCTTCATAGCCAAGAACTATCAGGCTTCTTCAACCGCTACTTTGCCTTTCATCTTGTCCTTGCTCGTACAGCATTTCGAGTCGATATCCCGAATTACACGTTACCAACGTCACCGGACTTCATGATTGAATCTCCCGATACCATTGATCCATATATGGGATTCAGTCAATCTCTCCTGTTACTCATCAACCAGGTCACTGAGCTTGCTTGGAGTAAAGAGGACGACCAGATGAATGTATTTCCCTCGACAGTGCTTATACTAAAGAAGGATCTTGAAGACATCCAGCAAAAGCTCCCGAGTGAACAGATTCATCCGACCACAGAATGTGCTTCGATCGCAGAAGCTAACCGGCTTGGAGCACTCCTTCTCTTGCACGAGACCTGTTCACCGAAAGCAGCATCTACCAACAAGCCCAGTCTTTCAGCATTTGACCCGGAAGAGAAGAACCAATTTGTTGAAAGGATATTGAATCTCATTATGGAAAAGAAGGCTAATATGATGCGTACCGCGGTCTTGCCATTATGGCCCTTATTCTTGGCCGGCTGTTGTGCTCGTGAGGATGAGGAAAGAGTAATTGTACTGCAGCTTTTCGAGGAGCTAAACGAAATTCGACGATTTGGGGTGAGCTTTTGGGATTTTAGCAGTGGTTATGTGACTTACTGACAAACTTATGAAACAGAACATTGCGCCCGCAAAAAAGGTGGTTGAAATGGTGTGGCGACGGCGAGATTTATTGGCTAATGAGGGTAGACGACAGAGAGTCGATGCTCAACCTGAAAAGGACCCTCTTCGGGGTGCTCGCTTTGCCTGGGAACATGCAATGGTGATGCTGGGAGATTGGAAATTAAGCTTGACATAATTTTAAGTACAAATACACTACTAGTAGGATAGCACGACAATCCATTTCACGGTGATCATAATATGGCTTCACATGCAAGATCTTTGGTACTGCTAATAATAGAGACTGTGGATTTCTGGTGATATACAGCTTTGAATTTCCTCCAAAGACAATATACAACATCGGAGGTTCAGTGGTCCCAGAAGGGGAGCAACGTATTTATCAAGATCATAGTTTAGATGAGTGACTTGTTTCACGAGCCTGCCGTCCTCTCCAGCCCGCGAGGTCCTCCAATTCTAAGTCAGGGTCCATATGCGCGAGATTTTTGGCCTCGACCTTCTGCCCAGCGCGCCACTGCCACTTGCTCACAATATCAGCATCCAATGTACCCTCAAGCAAATCTGCCACATACTTCCCAACAACTGGGAGGAATTTGAATCCATGTGCTGACCCTCCGGTTGCCATGAATAGTCCTCCATGGCTGGGATGGGGAGTAACGAGAAAATGCCGGTCGGCGGTATCAGCATCCCAACAAAGACGAGTATAACAGAAGGGTCGATCGGCCAGCTCCGGTAGAACACGTCTTAAGTTACGGCGCATCTGGGCTTCAATCTCAAGAGGGAGACCATCTTTCGGGGCCTGCAAAAATGTATGTGGGATGGAGGTGGTGATGTTCGAGTTTTTGTCTTTTCGTACGTTGGTGATGAACTGACTATGGGCCATCTTGAAGACCCCGTCTGCTTGCGGAGGGAAGAAGTAGCCCAGTTCAAGGTTATCCATAATTGGAAAAGAGGAGTAATGTTTTGTCTCGGCGGGAGTGAGTTGAATATGGGCAACGGCGTGGCCCTTAGCAGTTAACTGATTCTGCACATCTAGTAGAGATGGGGTCCATGCCCCAGCTGCGAGAATCACCAAGTCGGCCTCATTCTTGGTGCCATCCGCGGTGAGGACTCCCCTGCACTGGCCGGTCACCTCATCCAAAATCAACTGCCGCATATATCCCTCCTCTCCAGAGATATAATGGACACCTTTCTCTTGTGCGGCGTTGGCCATCCGCTCAAGAGCCTTTCCAGCAGCCGCCCAGCCAGCGGTCGGGTTCCAGACGCTAAGATTCCACCCATCCAGTTTTCCAGTGACTACAGGAAAGCGGGACCTAATGGAATCTGGCGTCAATCGCTCAATGCCTTTGACTCCAAGCGTCTTGCACGTTTCGATAGACCCCTCGACAAAGGGCAGTGATAGGTTTGCTGCACTTAGAATCCACCCGGGAACATGATAAAGTCCATTGAATAAGGGCCAGGACCGCCATGCAGAAATGGACTCAATACCGAGTCTCGCATACAAGGGCTCATTGTAATCGCTCCGAATGATTTTGCTGATATCCGTCGCGGCGGCTTCACAGGAGGGCGGAGGATATCGGTCCAATACGCGGATGGAAGTGTAGCCACGCTGTGCGAGATGATATGCCGTCGAGGTGCCAAAGCAACCGGCGCCAACGATAAGAATTCTCGTGTCTTTGTTCATTATCGTACCTAGATTGGGTTCGGGCTTGTTTCGTTCTTCCACAGACTATTGGGCCAACGCCCTCATTATTTATTGCAATTTTCTGTTGGCCCACATCTCGCTTTGAGCTTCCTTGCGTACAGATCATTAAGTTACGAGGGTATTCGAATTCATTCTTGAGCAGCTTAGGGGCGTATTCTTAGGAAATTCGCGGAGACTTCGTTCCGACCTTCTGTTGCTGTTTTGTGATAACGCAGATAAGCCATCGGTAATCCCGTCCCCGAGGTGGAGTTCGTTCCGACCTTCCACAGTAGCAAAGTTCAGCTTCCCCGCAATTAGCCTCGTGTCTCCGATAAGCCATGGGGCCGCTAGGACGTCTTTCAAAGGGATACGCTAATTGTGGCCAATCGAATGACTCTGGGAGGCTTCCGAGGGCCCTGGAAGCCGCTTAGCCGATAAAAATCTATGCGTACGCAATACTATCAGAAGATTTATTGAGGTCTATATCGAAAGAAGTTCCATTGTGATCCAGAATCTACCAAAAAGACTAGAAATTTTCCACCGGATATGATATCTACTCATAAATCTCAGTAACATCATATGATAACAACTAATACGTATATCTGAACCCTTGCTTCTCGTGATCTGTCAGATCTGAAAATGCAGCTGCCTCAGATGGCTCCGCATCAAACTGTGGACCCTCTTTCTGATCGCGGCGGTGGTTCTCCCAACGACAAAGCAATCCATAGGCAACGATAGAGGCAATCGCCACAACTAGACACGCGAGCAGACCCTCGTACCCTCTTGAATAAGATGGTGCGTCATCGGTCCGGAAGACTTGCGGACCAATAATGTTGCCGATGCAATAAGCCAGGAAAAAGATAGCGTTCATAGTCAGTTTCTTGGAATGTCCGCTAGTGTTGGCCATTGGAAGTGATGTAGACAAGACGTAGGGAGCCCAGTATGTGTAGAAGACGTAGTATGAAGCTAATAGCCCATGCTGGTTCTCACGCGGCAATTTCCACATGAGAATGGCACATATCATGGGCACAATGTTAGCGATAGCAATGATGGCACACCGAGAGTTTTTCACGTTGGCGACAAGAAATCCGAGCATTATTTGCCAGACCGTTGCCAGAACACCGGTTGGAATACCCAGTACAGTAGTAACCAGCGACGAATACCCCAATCCCGTCACGATAATTGCGGAGAAGGTGACCAAGCCACCATTCGGAATGTTTTGTGCCAATGAGAATAGTGCAAGCAACCATGTCTTGGGATCCATAAGACACTCGCGCACTTGATACCACTTGATGGTCTTGTCTTCCATACCAGTGTTGTTGTCCTTGACACGCTCAAGGCAGACAAATTTCTCGCGATCAGAGAAGTACCAGCATTGCACGGGAGAATCGGGCAGGAAAATGTATAAAACGACCGCCCATATAATGGAAAAACCTCCTAGTACCAAGAACAGCAATCGCCAAGGCGCAAGGACTGTATGTGTTTGGCCAATTCCATAGCTGACCAGACCAGAGAACACGGAGGACAGTTGGTTAAACCAGAAAGCGACTCGGAGTGGCTGTTCGCTTGTCTTCCACCACATCACGGTCAGGATACTCGAGATGGGAAACACGGAGGCTTCCAACATGCCCATTAGGAATCGCACTGTCGCTAAACCGGCAAAGTTTTGTGTTGCAGCTGTACACAGCAACATTACTGCCCATCCTGCAACCATTCCCATATAAAGCTTAGCGACTGGAAGGCGTTGAATGAGAAGCGCCGCAGGATATTCGAATGTGAGATAACCGAAGTAGAATATCGAGCCAACCCATGAGTACTGGTTGCCCGTCAAATGAGTATCTGTTTTCATACCGTAGATAGCCGCATTGGATATGATGACTTTATCAATGGCAGCCAATACTACTGTTACCATGATGAGGGGGATGAGAATCAGATCGATCTTCCAGAGCACGCGTCGAGCTTCCTGTTCGGATATGGGCACTGCTGCGATCGCTGGATCTAACCGGGCAAGGAACTGCGCAGCAACATCTTTCCCACTGTCTCGGTCTCGCGAGTCAATGATGTCTCCATCCTGAAACTTTTCCTGCTCGGGGGCTAGCTGGGTATCCGGCGTAGTTGGACCTTTGTCGTCCGTCATAGCAGGAGATGAAGGGGTATCTTCCAGAAATAGTGTAGAAGTTGAGGTTGAATTTTTGATACGAAACAAAGATACATCTGTTCCCTCAAGTTATTATTTTATAGAATATCTTGAGATGACCAACTGCACATGTGGCCAATCCAATCCTTTGATAAACGCCGATTTAGGGTTTGCAGCGAGGGAAGGTCAGAACGAGATAAGGCCTCTTCTCCACATCACCCCTCTTTTCTAATCCCGGGAACTTGGAACTTAGAATTAGCCAGATCAACATGGAAGCCTTGCCCTTTTTGGGAATGTTACTTGCTTTCGTTCCGACCTGCTGGGTGATACAGGGGGAATTGACCATAAAAGGCAGCCTTGGTCCGCGCTTCTTGATGCAGCGTAGATCAAATTGCCTCACATAATGTCTCCTCACAAATTAGATGGCCAAAGTATTAAAATTGCCATTGGTGAGTTAAAATCATTTTGAAAATGCTTATAGTTCGATTCCATCCATTTATATTCACTAATTGGGGTTTTAGACCGCGGGGGTACTTTCACCGACTGCCTAGGCATTGTGGATGGTCGGGAAGAGGAAATTGTTGTCAAGCTCCTCTCCCAAGATCCGGCCAACTATGCCGATGCTCCCATCGAAGGTATTCGCCGTATCCTTGAGCAGGCAACAGGCAAAATATTTCCTCGTGATCAGAAACTCACAACTGCGGACTTTCCCAGCGTCAGCATCCGCATGGGGACGACAGTTGCTACAAACGCGCTGCTCGAGCGGAAGGGAGAGCGCCATGCTCTCTTAATCACCAAAGGCTTCAAAGATGCACTTGTAATTGGAACCCAATCGCGCCCCAAGCTTTTCGCTCTGAACATCCAGAGGCCCGATGTGCTCTACGAAGATGTTGTTGAAATTGAAGAGCGAGTTACCATCGAGGATTATCAGCAAAATCCTGCACCCAACAAGGAAAGTCTACAGAGGTCTCTGGAGTCAGATCCTTGCTTGAAACGCGGTGTTAGCGGGGAGGTGGTCCGTATATTGGAGCCGCTTGATGAGCCTTCTACGAGACGAAACCTGGAACAGCTGTATGCCAAAGGCTATCGCTCTATCGCAGTCTGCCTTGTCCATTCCTATACCTTTCAAGAGCATGAAATTGCAATTGAACGTATTGCCAAGGATATCGGTTTTACCCAGATATCTTTATCCAGTCAGCTGCTTCCTATGATTAAGATGACTTCACGAGGCGCCTCCGCTACCGCAGATGCCTACCTAACCCCTGTCATTCAACGATATATCGAGGGTTTCCGATCTGGATTCAAAGATGGACTGCGCTCAGAAAACACACGCTGCGAGTTTATGCAGAGTGACGGTGGCTTGGCTAATTTTGAAAAGTATGTTGAGAGAACAAGGCTTGACTCGAGTTCGTTTGCTTACAGAAAAATGCAGATTTACCGGACTTCGAGCGATCTTGTCAGGCCCTGCTGGTGGTGTTGTGGGATACGCAGGAACCTCGTTTGATGAGGCAGACCGGAAACCTGTCATTGGGTAAGAGACACAATCTTCGCTGTCCTCGATCCTACTGCTGACCGGAACATCTAGCTTTGATATGGGTGGAACCAGTACTGATGTCTCCCGATATGACGGAAAGCTAGAACATACCTTTGAGAACACCATATCTGGTGTCACAGTAATGGCACCTCAATTGGATATCAACACAGTCGCTGCAGGTGGCGGTAGTATTCTCTTTTGGCGTCACGGACTCTTTGTCGTTGGCCCTGAGTCTGCTGGTGCTCACCCTGGACCAGCTTGCTATCGCAAGGGTGGACCGCTGACAGTGACGGATGCCAATCTTTTCCTGGGACGTCTTCTACCAGAATACTTCCCTAAGATATTTGGCCCTAACGAGAACGAGCCACTTGATGTCGAGGTAACTCGGCAAAAGTTCAGTGAATTGGCAGATCAGATCAATGCAGAGTCTGGCCAGAGCAAGTCGCCCGAAGAAATTGCGCTGGGCTTTATTCAAGTCGCTAATGAATCTATGGCAAAGCCCATCCGAGCCCTGACAGAGGCTCGCGGATATGACACTTCTGCCCATAATCTTGCATGCTTTGGAGGTGCGGGTGGACAACATGCTTGTGCCATTGCCTCTTCTCTGAATATTGGAACAGTCATCATACATAGATATTCATCTATCTTGTCGGCATACGGTATGGCTCTTGCAGATGTGGTACATGAGACTCAGGAACCAGCTTCCGGTGTCTTGGATTCAACAGCAATGCGAACAATTTCCCAGCGCGTAGCTGCGTTGAGATCGAAAGTGACTGCCGCCTTGAGCTCAGACGGAATCGACGAGTCTCAGATTGAGCACGAAGTTTATCTCAACCTACGTTATCAGGGCACCGATAACACCCTTATGATTCTAGAGCCGGAGAACGGCGATTTCCTTGCAGAATTTGTTAAGGAGCATCACCGAGAGTTCTCGTTTACTTTCCCTGGTCGCAATATATTAGTCGAGGATATTCGTGTCCGCGGAGTTGGAAAATCTACCTCATTTACTCCAGAGGCCCCTCAAAAAGAACTCAAATCAAGGACAAGTATTCCAATAGGTCCTGAGAAGCAAGATGATTCATCATCTGTCTACTTCGCCAGTGCGGGTCAAATGAACACGCCAGTCTTCTTCTTGAACAAATTGCAGCCAGGAAGCTTCATTCAAGGACCTGCGATGATTATCGACAATACTCAGACCATTGTTGTCGAGCCGAATGCAACTGCCAAGATCTTGTGCCGACATGTTATTTTGGACGTGAAGTCCTCTAAAAAACAAATTGATGATGCTACAGTTGTTGATCCGATCAAGCTGTCCATCTTCGGTCATCGCTTCATGTCAGTGGCTGATCAGATGAGCCGGATGTTCCAGAAGACATCCGTGTCGACGAACATCAAAGAGCGATTGGATTTTTCGTGCGCAGTCTTTTCACCCGACGGCAAGCTGGTTGCAAATGCACCCAACGTACCAGTACACTTGGGGAGTAAGTATTTCAAATATATGCCAAGCATCAAAAGTGAATACTAACCTTGAGTCAGGTATGGAGTATGCTGTTCGTTACCAGCACGAGCAATATGGCAATGACTTGAAACCGGGAGATCATATTTTGACGAACCATCCTCTTGCTGGAGGTACTCATCTCCCTGATATTACCATCATCACCCCCGTCTGGGACAATGAAGGCAGGAACGTTATTTTCTACGTTGCATCTCGGGGTCACCATGGTAAGTACACCAGCACATTTCTCTCTGCCATTTGACTCTTGCTAACAAAAGGTAGCTGAAATTGGAGGGATCGCCCCTGGATCTATGCCTTCAAATAGTAAAATGTTATACGAAGAAGGTGCCATGACGATGGGTTTCAAGGTTGTTTCGTCAGGCCACTTTGATGAGGAAGTGGTTCGCAAATTCCTCTATGATGAGCCCGCATCTTACCCTGGCTGCAGCGGGACACGCACATATAATGACAATGTCTCGGATTTGAAAGCAGCCATTGCAGCGAACCACAAAGGTGCGCAGCTTCTCGAGGGCCTCGTGGCAGAGAACACCTTGAAAGTTGTACATTTTTATATGGATGCGATCAAGCGTAACGCTGAGATCGCTGTCCGCGAACTTTTGAAGTCCATTGGTCGCAAGAATCCCGGTCAATCTTTGAAATTCTCTGATTTCATGGATGATGGTACTGAGATCAGACTCGAGATTCGTATTGATGCTGAAACTGGGTCGGCCGATTTTGACTTTACCGGGACTGGCCGTGAAACGTTCAATTGTCTTAACGCACCAAAGGCTATCGCCCACTCAGCTATTATTTATAGTTTGCGTGCCTTAATCGACGTGGACATCCCTCTCAACCAAGGCTGTCTTGCGCCCGTCAACGTGATAATCCCGCCAGGAACCCTCCTCAACCCATCAGGGCATGCAGCTGTCTGTGCAGGAAATCCGATCACATCACAACGTATTACGGATGTTGTCCTCGGAGCGTTTGATGCCTGTGCAGCTTCTCAAGGCTGTTGTAATATCATTTCCTTCGGCATGGGTGGCGTCGATCCAAAGACTGGCATCGAGGTCCCTGGATTCGGCGTGGGGGAAACTATCTGCGGCGGCTCGGGTGCTGGTTCATCCTGGCATGGCACTTCGGGTGTCCACGTCCATATGACCAACACACGCATCACCGATGCAGAGGTCTATGAATTGAGATATCCCGTAATTCTGCGTCAATTTTCCATCCGTCAGAGATCTGGTGGTGTGGGACGATTCCACGGTGGCGATGGTGTCATCCGCGAGCTTGAATTCCGTATGCCACTATCAGTATCTATGCTCAGTGAGCGACGAGTTTACCGACCTTATGGATTGGCAGGAGGTGGTTCGGGTCAGGCTGGCCTGAATCTGTACGTCAAGAAGGAATTGGATGGTACGGAAAGAATGATCAACATCGGTGGTAAGATGGAGCTTGAGGTCCAGCCGGGAGAGCGAATTCTTATACACACGTAAGTAATTTCTGAACATCTGTTCATAATCTGGACGAAAATGCTAATTCGGTGTTCAGACCAGGAGGTGGTGGCTGGGGCACCCCGTCGGAGGAGACAGAGTCAAACTCCACTCGACACACTGGAAATACCTCTGCTTTCCAGGCGAGAGGTAGTGTTTATACTTTCAGCCAAGCTGCGGAAGCCGCATCGTGAGTAGACTCCATGTCGTTTTTCAAATGTAGAGTAGGCTTTTGTCGTGACTGTGGACCTAGTCATGTATGTGGTCGGGCAACCTTTTCTGTTCTACGTATACTGCAGAATTTTACTACTGTCTCTAGAGTGGTATTCTTTCAAATTTCCATCAAGCATTTTCTGCTTTATATTAGTAGGTGAACTCATAAGCAAGTCAAAGATGCATGTAGTAGATTAATGTTGGTTTAGTGAAGGGTACTTCCGTGGAAGGCACGCGACGTCACCGCGTGAAGTGAGTTGCCGCTTTGCGTCCAACGCGTCTCACGTGGGGCTATGTACCTCTATGAACCCCTTCTTGGATGAGTGACTGTAAAGTCTCTTTAAGAAAAATGCTATACCTTCTACAACATTGACGTATCTAATGAATCTTATTCAAAGTTTGATGTATCAAGTATCATGGATTTTAGAATCTGTTCTTTTCATCGTCAGTGCCCTCGGGAAGGAGGAGACGTAGTATAGAGGCGAGAGTATTAGAGATACCCCAATGGCCTACCCGCTGAAGCAGATCAATGAACCCACGGAATACAGAGGATTCGGTTGACTTCAGCCGTTTACCTTTATATCCATTGGCTTCAAAGAGGATTTGATAACAATTCACGCCCATAACTTTAAATTCGGGAAATTCAAGATCATGTTGGGATAAGTCTGGGCCATCTCTCCCGAGCTTGATATAACAAAACCAAGTGATTGCGGCACAGAAAACGGTACGCGGAATGTGAATGGGGGGTTCGGTTCCCAATACAATTTTCTCCAATTCCCGCAGAATCATGATAGCATGAAGTGCACATCGTTGGCCATCCAGCGAGCACGCCCATTCACGTACGTCATTGATACGCTGCTGTGACTCATTGTATCCTTCTCTACCGATAGCTATCTCCAGTCTATCCATGTTCACATCCGAAGATATGAAAGTAGAATGCCACAGAGCACGTCGGAGGTAAACATCATGAGAGCCTTCCTTCGACGGTTCAATATGTGAGGTGTAGAAGTTGATCAAAAATCGTGTTTTCTGTTCCCTCTGTCTCTCTCGATTCAGGGCTTCATAATTGTGTGTCTCCTTGGGAAAGGAAGCAAGGCCTGAAAGTACAATATAGGACCGGAAGCAATCTTTTGCAGCGATGGACCCTTGATGCTGATATACGCCTCCAAAAGTAACAGGGGCCTGCTGCGTAGAGCAACTGTAGTCAGTCTTAGAGGGTCCACTGGCAGATACCTCTTTGAACCTTTCAGCCCAAACTTCGGCAATTGGTGCACTCCAGAGATCTTCGTCGCAAGCTGGCGGCAGATCCGAGGCTTTATGTCGCAAAAAGCGATCCGACATGGAGATCTCGGCTATTTCGACATCATGTATAAACAGAGCTGCGGCGACCCTGACCACCGGTGATTTCCTTTAGCGGAATTTCTAAAAGTCAAAACTTGATGCGACGGAGTCTTACCGATTCCTCTCCTCTCTTTGTATCCATTTTTTCCAGGTCTGTCTCAATCCATTTGCTGCTCCATGGACGTCAATCTTTTCGGGAATACAAGTGACCCGAAAGACGTCGAGACGCCTAGCCCACTAGACATTGTCAGCAAATATAATTTTTCATACGTGATAAAATGTAAACGTACAGCAATTAATGTGCCATGGAACGTCTGTGCGATTAATAAATCTTTCTTTCTCTTAATTATTGTTAGTCGCGCCACGTTGTCTGCATGTCTAGGAGATAGGTAGGATACCGATGACAAAAGCGCAAAAGTTTGACCCAGGAGAGCAGCTTGGGCCATGGCCACTGCTTCCGTTCCTCCAGTCAAAATGCATTTCTCCCACTAACAATTATCAGTAAAAAAGCAATCATATACCTCCGGTGAAATGGTAAATACATACAGATGCTAGAATTGCTTTATTGAGAGTTTCAAATATTCTCATTCCATGGTTTATTGCAGCCTGAGAACCTAGGAATAAACTTCCGATTGAGCAAACAGATATCAAAAGAAGTGCGCGTTTAGCCGACGGACGAAACGTTGGGGTATGTAAGATAGGAAAGACAGGATGGAATCGCGTAAAGGAGCATGTCTCAAGAGAGAATCACTACAAAATTCATAAGCCCACAATTTCTCTTGTTAACAAGTTTTATTGTATGAAGAGCAACATATTTGCGACCAAATCGTTTGTCGCATTCCGTACACTTGAAAGGCTTTTCCTGTGTGTGGGATCATATGTGTCTTGCTAGATGCTCATCTTTTAAAAACGACCGATCGCACCAAGAACAGATGCGAAGCCGTTTTCTTTTCGCGTTCGAGACCATAGTTGTAGAGATGTTTCATTTGGCCTAAATTATTAGACATACTAGCCATGAATCATTAGGACACTCCCGCAAAAGTAGGCAATTCACCGCCAGTATTTCTTATTGCCACGAGGCCCGGATTAGTGTAACCAATTTGCCCCCGGATATACGGAATCGGCTCTCGGATAACCCCGCGTTTCAAGTTCGAAAAGGGGTGTAGCTTCCAAGGTGTGTAGATCTTGCCAGATTAGCAGGGGAGGCTTAGTGGGACCCTCGGGTCATGACATTGATTAAGTATTTGGGCTAGTAATGGGCTTCACCGTTCAAGTGGGGCTCAACAGGTATGTACACATGTGTTAGAGATGATATCAGCGGGACGCAAAGTAAGTAATGCGCGTTACGTGGGGCGTGGGGCCTACGGATAGGGTGTTCATTAACTATCGAAGGATTCATACAGTAAACCAGGGGAAATAATTCATATACACGCCCTTTGTTTGCGCTTCAACGAAGACTTCCATTGAATTTCGCATCAATCAAGATGGTATCTCCAAACTCTGGCGCTTCGGTTCCAGATCTCGTCGCCATAGGAAACGAGCAGGAAAGCGTTCAAAAATGGCAACAGAGATGCGGCATTGACAAGAAAGAACAGGTTCGCTTAGTGAAGCTGGCACATATGCGATATCAACATCCTGATCTTGACCAAATCACGACGTTCCTCGAAGGTGAGTGTACATTGATTTTCATCTGTACCGGAATCTTTATATGGCTAATCTCGTAGCAGACTTTGGCATGGCCGTGGAAAAGAGAACAGATGATGAAGCGTGGTTTCGCGGCTATGGCGATGACCAATACGTCTACTATGCTCGCAAAGGACCCAAGAAGTATCTAGGAGGCACTTTTACTGTAGAGTCTTATGCAGATTTGAAAAAGTAAGACAACATCCGGGTTGGATCTATTTGATGGTATTGACTCCTTGCTTTCTCTCAGAGCTGCACAGCTTCCGGGTGCCAGTCCAGTTCAGCACCTCGTGAATGCCCCAGGTGAGGGGCATCTTGTTACAGTCAGAGATCCTGAGGGATTTCCTCTGAACCTCATTTTTGGGCAGACGCCGGCTCAGAAAAAGGCCTTTCCCGAGAAACTTACCTTGAATTATGAAGATGAAAAACCACGTATCCGCAAATTTCAAAGGTTCAACCCTGGCCCAGCAGCTGTACACAAGGTGAGTTATTTGTTCAGACCATTGAAGCCTAAGTCAGCCTAACGACCATAGCTTGGGCACTTTGGCGTCTGTACTCAGCGCTTTGAGGAGCTAGTCTCATTCTATACCACGAAGTTCAACCTTGTTCCAACTGATTTTCTCTATGTCGAGAAAGCAGGAGAGAAGCAAAACGTGGCGCTCTTCGCCCACATCGATCGTGGAGAGGAGTACGTGGATCATCACAGTTTTTTCATGAGCACCAATGCCACTACCCATGTCCATCATTGCTCTTTTGAGGTGCATGACTTTGATACTCAAAAACTTGGACATCAATGGCTTGCTGGTAAGAATTATGAGTCGGTTTGGGGCGTCGGTCGGCATATTCTTGGATCTCAGATTTTTGACTATTGGTGGGACACTACGGGCAATATGATTGAACACTATGCGGACGGTGATCTTGTCAATAATCAGACTCCTATTGGGTACGGTCCGGCTGGCGACGAGTCGTTGGCCATCTGGGGGCCCGAAGTTCCTGCGTGGTTTTTGAAATAAGATACTTGCCGCGAGTCAAATAAATACTTAGAGAAATTGATTTCAGTCGGAGATAAATCCCAGAAGGCTGAGATATATAATATTTACATTAAGAGCTCAGATTATCGTCTTACAAAAACATGTTAAAATAATTAAGTACTTGAGCTGTTCCTCAGGGCCACTACACGGTCTTGGAGAGTTCTTGACTCGGAGCTGCAATTCTTTCCGGGCCATGCCCACATGCAGAAAGTCTTTAATAATGGTTATGACATCTTTTCACATTCACATTCCAGTTTCAACCGACTTTTGCTGGTAAGATATTTCTTAAAGCATAAAGCATAAAGCATAAAGCATAAAGCTTCAGGAAAGAAAATGAATATAATAGGATATCTATATTTCTAAACAGCCATCTTTATCTAAAAACCGCCAATCGTTCTCTATGTATAGCTTTCAATCCATCAAAGAATCATCGTTCTTCATATCGGACCTTGTTGACGAGAGTTCCGATCTTTTCAATTTGGACGGAAATCTCATCGCCATGTCTCAAGATGACTCTTGGTTCACGGAAGTAGCCAATGCCAGCAGGCGTTCCAGTCAAAAATATTGTTCCCGCTTCCAAAGTACTTCCCTGAGAGAGGTAGGAAATTTGCTTCTTGATAGAGAAGATCATATCCTTGGTATGTCCGTCTTGAACAATGTTGTTATTGTGGATTGCCTTAATAGACAAAGCCTGAGGGTCTTCAATGACGGATGGGGCAACAAGAACCGGTCCTGGGAAAATTAGTCTAAAATTCGACAAGCTGAGAATTTGAACTCACCAATTGGGCAGCTTCCATCAAGACCCTTAGAAAATGACCATTGGGTCGTCATGAACTGCAGTGCTCTGGCAGAAACATCGTCGGATGCAGTATATCCCAGCACAAAGTCCAACGCTTCCTCTTCGGGAATGTCACGGCCCGTCTTGCCAATTACGACACATAGCTCAGCCTCGTAGTCACTGGTATTGTCTTGGGCACATTTTGGGATGTTGATTGCTGCAGGGAACGGGCCGCTAAGGGCAGTCCGAGGCTTCGTGAAGAGAATCGGGGCTTTGGGTAAGTCCATACTGGCTTCCTAGATATCGCGGGTCAAATCTCTAAATTCGGTGCAGCGATGAATTTCGGAGGTCTTACATTTGCATGATCCATGTAGTTCAGCCCGAGGCACCGGATATAATTACATTCTTCTCGGGAAACAGGAGATAGAAGCTGTGGAATCAAGTTTAACATTCGACCAAATAGACAGTCATCGGCCAAATCTTACTTGCTTGACATGCATGACTTCTGTTGTCACACGCCCATCGAAAATCGATCCATCAATCACAAAGGCTGCGATTTCAACACCATCAACAGAATCGCGCCCGATATCACGAGAAGTGTCAACCAATTGGCCGAGATGGACTAGGCTGTCCTCAACGGCAATGAACCGAATTAAATGAGTCCAAGATGGCATAGTGTAGAAATTTGCGCAATTTGAGAAAAAGACTGATAGTGATTTACTATTCGATGTGCCATTGAGCGCAACATTAATAAGATAAAAGATAGTAACTTATTTCCCACATCAATACGCCCCACCTACATGCGGGAACCATTGGGGGCGGGACAGCCACGGGTAAACATGGAGATCCGTATATCCGGCGCGATCCCCCCCTAGGCAACAACTCCGGAACTTGGAACAATTCGCAGCGGACGTTTGAGGCCCCTGAATCCTTACAATAATAAAAGGGGTAGGTCGCGCACAACGAAACGTGCTATTTCAAGGTTTCAATTGTACAGCATTCGGAGCTGAGGATAACAAGACCTACTGAATTATCATGGCCGACGAAGAATGCGACACGACTGATGTTGTGATTTGCGGCTGCGGCCCCACTGGAGCCATGCTATCGGCTTATCTAGGCCAGATGAATATCAACAATATTGTTCTAGAGAAGCATATGGAGATTACAACTGATCCACGAGGCATTGCCTTGGACGAAGATGGTATTCGATGTCTTCAGGGAACTGGCATTTATTCTTCTATCTTCTCGGAAATTGGAGCTTGTGAGTTAAAATCATGACTTGAAAACTTGAAAGGCCATTTGCATTAGCTATTGTATTCTGTACTGACAGAGGCGCAGCTATCAACAAATTCAAATTCATCGGAGGAAAGGAGCGAGTCCTAGAGAAGAAGCCATTTTTCGAAATGGACTTTGGAACTGTGAGATCTATTTGATTCAAGTTTTGTTTCGGAAGCTAATTGTTTTATTACAACAAAGACTCAGGGTGGGACTGGCCACGTGGGATTTATGTGTCATAAACAACCAATACTAGAAAAGCATCTTCGAAGGGCAATGTCAGGTCTTGAAGTTTGCGAACTTCGTTCGGGCTGTGAGATCACCGGCTTATTTGAAGACGAGAAAGGTACTGTCTGCGAGTATCGCGACGAGCAGGGCAAGACTCGGCGCATCAGATCACGCTTTTTCGTTGGTGCTGATGGGAAAACTGGCTTTACAAGGAAACAGTATCTTGAGCCAAAGGGAATATTCATGGAAAAGGCTCACCAGTCAGTCAAATTATATCTATCCGAAACGTTCTTTGCTAATAATCACGATTAGAGCTTTTTATGAGGAGACTTGGGTTGCATTAAATTGGGAAATTCAACTTCCCAACGAACAAACGCATCCTAATTTTGCATTGTGGGCATTGGGCTTTACTCCTGAACAAGTCTATGATCTCTTCTTCCCTATAAACTTTCGCTTCATATGTAACCCGAATAGGTCTTCTGTTTGCGGCAGATTTGGACTTCCAGAAGACAGGTTATGGCGATTTGAGTTTGTGATTCTTCCAGGCGAAGATGGGGAAGAAATGTCCACGTCGAAGAAAATTAAGGAAGTCGTTTTCCCTTACATTACGCACGCGGGTAGTCGATATGGGTAAGTTCAAATCACGGATTATATTTTACATTAAAGTTAATGGAGTGCAGGTTATCCCATGATGTTGCTTTTCCCGAAGATTGTATCAAGGTGCTTCGCTCAAGACCTTTCAAATTTTCTGCGAGAAGCTGCAACAAATGGTCGGATGGTCGGGTCATACTATGTGGCGATGCTGCCCATGTTTTTCCTCCTTGTAAGTTCGGACACATCCCGGTTAGGCATTACAATGCTGATTACTCTACAACTCAGTTGGCGGTCAAGGTATTGCATCGGGTTTTCGAGATGCGATTTCACTTTCCTGGAGACTCGCAGTACTCTGCCGGCCTCAGTACCAAGGATCTAATTTCCACGAGAAAGTCCTTATGGCATGGTACAAAGAACGAAAACAGCAACTCGAGATGTCACTCGCATTGACTGTTCAAAATGGGGAGTTTGTCACCGAAAGCAATGCGCTTAAGATCTTTATGCGTGACATGTATTTCTGGCTCATTCAACTAGTACCTTCTTGGCGGGAGGAGCTAAATTTGGGCCCTCGGAAGGACGGAATGATTAGATATGAGCATTCCCAAGGGTTTCCTTTCATTCCAGAATTCAACGGAGGTGTCTGTCTCCCACAAGTGTATTGCAAGTCAATCGGTGGTCTTAATGAGCCTGGTGGGATTTGCTTCACCGACGATGTCATTTTCAATCCACGCAAAACGGGGTTATTTCAGCTGTTGATATACTTGAAATCCACGACCGAAATCCAATCGGCTCAGGAAATCGCCGCTGATATCGACGATATGTCCAATGGAGAAGTTCGCGCAGGTGAGATGACGATATTGGTCGAAGACATGGAGTGCAAGCAATATGGTGGTGCGGAAATCGATAGTAGGCAAGGGGAAATTTATCGACTGACTACTGGCGATGAGTTTGCACGGTCGCCTTTGTGCAAGGGCCGACCAGAGCCGAAGTTCTACGATCCTTACTATCTTGGAAAACAGCTTGAAGGAACGAGGTTCGTTATTTTGCGTCCCGATAGATTTATATTTGCTAGATGTGACACTAGAGAGGATTTAAGAAAGGTTTGCGGTGTCTTGTTGTCTTATTTGCAAGAGATGAATTGAAGAGTGCAAGAAATACTATTTGGAATTTAGTGTATAAATATGAAAACCCACCAATTTGTTACTGTTATCCATAATGTAAAGGACTCATTGATGGCAAGGTTCGGAGTCAACTTGAGCATTCTTCAAGGAAGTCATATGTTTCTGTCATTTGTATAGGTCGCAACCCTTGTGAGATGTGTATCTTATACTTGTTTCTAGTCATCAATATTGGGGCCTTGCAAAAATAGCAAGTAGTCAAGTGTTCAAATGCTACTATGGCGACCTTGGGATTCAAGTTTCATTTACTAATATAAAGTTTCCTAAATTCTCAACTCTGTATATGTTCAGCATACTAAAGTGCAGACAGATATTATGAAGACTGTAGGGGCAATCAGGCTTCAAAAAGATAATCCAATCATTGATGCCTCTTGGACCCTGGAGTCAATATTTCTAGTCAATATCACCCCCATAGCATCAATGCGAGCAAGTCTATCCGAGACAGACTGTTTATTGCGGGTATAGGTACAGGGGCGGATATAGTAGTACAACACACCCACCAGAACCACAAGAATCATCCGTCTATGTGGAACAACTCTTTGTGGGGCTCACCAAGCAAGATGTGGCGGGATCTTTCAAATGCATATTTTGAAACGAGCTGTCCACATCTGATGATATCCTGAATTACCCCGGATCCCCACCTCCGCCTCGGTGTTCTCCTGGGATCCCCAGCCGGAAATATCTCGACTGGGGACGAGACCAGATGATAATCTCCACGCTCAAACACGCACAAGAGTCATTCAAAGTATCAACCCAAGTAATTGTTTTTCTTCAAGTTCTGGGTGGCTGTCAGGCTTTCCTCCTCGATTAGTCAACTGGCTTTAAACAAATTAGCTTGGCTCTTATACCCACAGTAGTAAACTAACAAAGTTACTGAGATACCAAGTGTGAACATCGATTGTACCAGTATATCCCAGCCGCCACAATTAACATCAAGAAAGAAATGCACAAAGCATTATTTAATGCTTTTCTGCTGGTTTCAATAGACCACCAGCCAGGCGGGTCTTGGGAGATGTCACGCGAGATTGGCTTGGAAGTTGACTTCGCCATAAATTTGCTGAGTGGGATGTCCAAAAGGATCAGAATAAGAAGAAGGAATCATATTCAATGGAAAAATAATGAGTGCGCTATTTACAATCGTGGGATGTAAAGAGCTAGGCGATGGCAGGCCGCGTCATTACTGATATACTAGTATCAAGGGACGCGTCATTTGCTGGGATGGGGGGCTTCTTGTTCATCTCGGGCATTGCGGTCGGGTAGTCAATAAAAATTTTAAGAGCTGGGAGTTTATACATACTACATACTCCGAATCAAAATAAATTGGTAGAATTCTGGAGTTCTGAAAGAACCTGAGAGAATAGGTTGTCTCGATATATTTAGGCGAAATAAGAGTCTCCCAATGGAATCCGACCGCGTGGCACAATTATCCCACCCCGGGAAGTCCAAGCTTAAAGTTAACGGCTTTTTCCCCTCAGCCTCAATATGAAGACTCGATAACTTGAAGACACAGAGATTAATATTTATAAGCGGAAACTCATATCTATGTCTATGCGCGGACAACGATATTCAATTGTATGTGGACCTACGTGAAAACATTGCTCTCTATTAGAAATGATGATCTCCGCTGGCTTCGACTGTCGATGACACAAAAACCATGTCTGGAATGGTCTTCTCAATTATTATCGTCAACATTATTGGACTAGACAAACGTGGCTGCTCGACTTTGTCTACAAGTCTATCGAGCACATGTAACAGCAGCTGATCCTTTGTTGGTTGTAATACTTACACCACTCTGGCTGGTCCAGATGCTAGTCTGCCTCGATCCACGCCTAGATCCATGTCATCCTGCCTTTCTATGTGTTTCTTCTGTTACTAGTAGCGAGGCAGAAGATGATCAGATGTCATTACATGTCGTTTATGTGATGCTAGATTAACAACAATCGTGCTCATCTCAGCCTTGCTCAGGTGGGCTACCATGAATCCGGAATGCCTTGCCTCCAAATTCGCCGTGACTCAACCCGAACAAGAAAGAGCCTTTGACTCGAAGCTTTTTGGATGTTGAGCTACTCTATTCGATGTTCGGCTTGTTCAATTTTTTCCCCTTCGTGCTCTTCGCGCGCTCATTCGAATTATTGGCGTGCCACTCTTCGCGTCATCCTTCTCTGACTTGAAAAATCTCTGTTCGACCCAAGGCTCAGGGACACCCTCGTAAAACCATAACTTAACCCCATGGAATCTCGGTGCCATGTGATGTTTGGTGTTGTTTATCGTTTATCGCCTATGTATTTGTTGGTATAATGATTTAATATTTATTTTTGGGTCTTGAGAAGAATGAATTCATTTTGAGTATAGAGCATGTCATACAATCATTTCGTATCTGTCGTGAAACATAGCCTATACCCAGGATATTGTCGGGTAGGCAACACTGAGTGAGTAGGTAGGGAAGTAGGGAAGTAAACTAGAAACAGGGGAATATTCAACAAGAGAACATAATACCAAAACCAAAACCAAACCCATCATAAAACCAAAGCATAACCAACATACAATCATCAGGTCCAATAATCAAACAATGAAACACGTGAAGGAACAGAAAATAGGAAACGGAAAAGAAAAACATTAATATCAAGTAAAGAGCCGAACCATACATAGACATCAATGATAATTCACAAAGCTTGCAATGCAACGCCATCTGTCAAGATTAAAAACTGGTAAGTTTGCGCAACCAGCTTGATTTCTTAGCTCCAGAGCTTGGAGGCGGAGGAGCGCCCTGTCGACTTCCGTATGATTTCATACCACGATCACGTTCGTAGTCACCGCTACCGGAGCTACTCTTTGGATCTCGACGCGAACCGCGACGACGAGAGCGTGCATCATCCATTTCTTCACTTGGCATATCACCCTGAGCGCGGCGACGAGCTCGGCGGCGGGAGGAGCGACGCGCTTCTTCGTCTGAGGATAGAGAATGGGCGTTTAGATTTTCGGCAGCGACTGCTGCTGCAGGAGGCATGTCGATGAATGTAGGGACAATCGGTGGTGGCTCTGGTGGTTCATCGGCTTGTGAATAGACCCATGAGGATGTCTTGTCTGGCTTCTGGGCACCGTGGTTGAGTCCACCCGCCATGTAGGGCTGTTCTTGAGGTTGTTCTGGGATATTTACTCGAGGCCTACGGCGAGCCTTGGAATCCTCTGTACGTGAGCCACGGCGACGTTCATCGGGTGGATAATCTGGTGCTGGTGCTGGTTCTTCGACGACGCGTGAACGGCGGCGTTTTGCTTTTGAGGCCATCTCCTTTGCGGCTAATTCTTCTTTGCGGACGCGGCGACGTTCGCGACGTTCGGCGGCTTCGGCTTCGGCGGCGGCTTCGGCTTCACGAGCTGCTTGTTCTTCTCGGAGACGACGCTCTTCTCGTGCTGCGCGACGTACACGACGACGTTCTTCTTCCTCTTCTTGAGCTTGTTGAGCTGCTTCTTCGCGTGCTCTTTCTTTTTCTTTGCGTCTTGCACGGCGCTCTTCGCGTTCTTCGGCTTCTCGAGGGTCTAGCCCTCGTGCGTCGGAAGGAGCTTGTCGAGACGAGCGCTTCGCTCGACGTGCTGCCTTGCGGGCTTCGGCATCTTCGGGCTCGGTTTCAATAGCACCTGCACCTGCACCTGCGGCATCGGTGGTGAATCCTTCCGCATCGGTGTCGGGTTTTACAGATCGGCGGCGACGGTCGTCGCGTCTTGCTGCTCGTCGAGGATCGTCACGTTCTGGCTCAGTCATATTTCTTGATTCTTCATCACGGTATGAGCGGGACTTTCGTCGTTCGGGCATTTCTGGACGAGGATTTGCGTTCTTCCTTAATGATCCAAATAGGCCCATTAAGCCACCGGACTCTTGCTTCTTTGATGGAGGTGGAGCTGCGCTGCTGCGCTTCAAACGCCGTTCTCTTGGATCTCTCGACGGGGCGTCGACGAACACGGCGTCATCAGGACCGGAAGGACCTTGGTCTGCGTCAACCATAATAGGATCATCTTCGTCGGCTCTTGAGCGTGGCTGGTCCGGGCGGTTAGCAATGTTTTCGAATTGAACATGTAATTTTGATTACTTACCTCTCTTCTGGACTTTCGCTTCGAAGGTGCAGATCCCTTGGAGCCTTCCTTGGGCGACTGACCTTCCGCATCTTCTGGATCAACCATGACCATGTCGTCCTCATCGATTGCATAGGGATCACGAGGAGCTAAAAACGTACTGATTAAATCAGGTCCTAGATTGTAAGAGTCCGGATGTTGCTTACCTGACTTCCGTCGCTCTGTTCTTGGACGGTCTCGCTTGGATTTGGAGCCACTCATACCCATCAACTTGGCTGCCTTATCCGGCATCTCAGGCTGGTCTTCTGGAGGTGGCGATGGCATACCTCCCTCAGCATCTGCATCCGCAGACGGGCGTCGCGATGGAGGCTTAGAGTCCGATTTTGATGTGGTCGGCTTACGTGTTGACTTGGTTCGCGCGGATGGAGGAGCACCCAGGATGAAATTAGACAGTGTTGAGGCACGTTGCTGCTTGGAGGTGCGCGCGTCGCGTTCTTTTCTCTTTTCACGGTCTGATGTAGACGATCTTTCAATTTCTTGGTCAGACTCTTTTGGTCGAGACTTTGATGGTTTTGATCGCGCAGCTGAAGGCGGCTCTTCGCGACTGGACTCTTTTTTTCGGGATTCTTTGACCTTGGAAGATTTCTTTTCTTTACGTGGTTCTTTTGGAGGCACTTCCTCTGGCGGGGCTTCTGGTTCCTCGACTACTGCTTCTGGTTCAGGCTCTGGTGCTGCCTCGGGTTCCGGGTCAGCTTCCGGCTCTGGCTCTGGCTCTGGCTCCTTAGGAGGTTTCTCCTTTTTGCTTGATTTCTTTGGCGGTGCTGCAGCGCCAAAGAATCCCCATCCAGATGTACTGGCACGTTCAGCTTTAGCGCGATCCTTTTTAGAGGATTTCGCGGGTTTTTCTTCTGGCTCTTCAGGGGGTGGTGTTGGAGGTGCACCGTTATCCGCGTCAGCCACATCAGCTTCAGCCTCAGGCTCCGGTTCTGGGGCTGGCGGCTCATCTGGGGGTGGGGGCGGAGTTAGCTCCTTGGCAGCCTCGGCCGCGGCCTGTGCTCTCTTGTATTTCTTTAGTTCCTTTTTTGACATTTTTGAGAGATCTGGCTCGGGCTCGGGCTCAGGTGCAGGTTCTGGCTCAGGTTCAGGTTCAGGCTCGGCGGGGGGTTCATCAGGGAAGCTCCCTGGAACGGAGTCATGTGAGCGTTCTCTCTCTTCTTCGGCGTCTCTCTTAGACTTGGACTTTTTACCAGGCTCTTCTGCTGGAGGCTCTGGCTCTGGTTCGGGTTCTGGCTCGACCTTCTTCTCCTTGGATTTGGACTTAGAGCTGGTCTTTTCTTCCTTCCCCTTACTCTTGGACTGCTCCAGAGCCTTGATACGTTCAGCAACAGAAAGCTTGCCACTCTTCGTCTTAGACTTCTCAGGCTCCGGCTCAGGTTCAGGTTCGGGCTCAGGTTCAGGCTCTGGCTCTGGCTCAGGTTCCGGCTCGGGCTCAGGTTCGGGTTCAGCAGGAGGATCGTCTCCAATGTCGATGAGAAGATCATCTTCCTTTGGTGGCTCTTCCTTCTTCGTAGCCTTGGCCTTAGGGGCTGAACCACCTGTAAGCGTTGCCCAGAAACCCTTCGCCGCGGGCTTCTCTTCTTTCGGTGGCTCAAGAGCTTTTGTCTTCTTGCCCTTAGAGGTCTTGGGGGCCAGATCTGCCCAGATGTCATCTCCAGCATCATTAGTTGCTTCGGGCTCGGGGGTAAGACCTTGAGCCGGCGGAGTCGGAGCACGAGGTGGGGGCTCGTCAATATCCTTGCCCTTCTTCTTCTTTTTAGTCTTGGTCACGCCCCAAGATCCCCATGTATCGTCCTCGGCTGGCTTTTCTGGCTCAGGCTCGGGCTCAGGTTCAGGAATTGGCTCTGGTTCTGGTTCGGGTTCCGGTTCCGGCTCGGGGACTGGCTCTGGCTCTGGCTCTGGCTCGGCTGGCTTATCGGATGGAAGCTCGAAGCCATCTTTCCCAGGAACAGGAAGTCCTTTGCGAACTAATTGCTTTTCGCGCTTCTTACGTTCCTTAGAGGAGATATTGTCCCAATCTTCATAAAGAGGATCAAGTGGCTCAGCAGGTTCAGGCTCGGGCTCTGGTTCAGGTTCGGGTTCCGGCTCTGGTTCAGGTTCGGGCTCGGGCTCAGGCTCAGGCTCAGGTTCGATCTTGTCTTTCTTCTTTCTATCCTTCGTAGAAGTACCCCAGCTACCCATCCAGTCATCCTCGGCTGGTGGATCAGGTGCGGCAGGTAACGGGTCTGCTAGAAGATCAATCTTCTTCTTCTTTTTATCTTTCTTAGACGTCATACCCCAACCCCAGTCATTGGATTCTTCTTGAGCTTTCTTGGCTTCTTCTTCTTCCTTGGCCTTCTGATCTGCCTCTTCCTGGGCTTTCAATTCTGCCTCCTCTTGGGCCTTTCTTTCCTCCTCTTCTTTGGCGAGCCGCTCTTCTTCCTTGGCCTTTTTAGCCTCCTCTTTGACTTTAGCCCTGGCTTCTGCCGCCGTCTGTGCATCCTTTACTTTCTTTTCGTGTTCTTTTTTTGCCTTGCGCTTTTCCTTGCTGTTCAAGGCTAGGTACCAGGACTCAGTCGTAATATCTTTGATGGGTTCAGGCTCCGGTTCAGACTCGGGTTCAGGTTCAGGTTCAGCTACAGGCTCAGGCTCAGGCTCGGGTTCCGTATCAAGCAAGCTTTTCTTCTTTTTATCCTTGGATGAGGTACTCAACCCCCAGTCATCGTCTGGCTTGGACTCTTCTCCGGGGGCAGGACCCAAATCACCAAAGTCAAACCCACCGGGGGTCTTCGACTTGCTCTTGCCTGATCCCCAGGGATTATTATCTTTAGGTTCTTCCTTGGGTGGTTCACCCCCAAGACCCCATTTATTGCCTGATCCCCAGTCTTTGCCCCAGCCGCCAAAACCAAAACCAGTCCCGCCCGTCTTAGGAGCCGAGTCGAAGTTCAAATCCAGCTGTGGCGCTCCATCATTTAGACCGACGTCCTGAAAATCATCCAGAGGGGCATCTCCCTATAGTTCCAATTTTAGTAAATTGTCGTACAAATAGCCAATGCCGGAATATCATACCTTGCCTTTCTTCTTAAGGCCAGCCCAGCCATCATCAGCGCCGCCGCCATCATCGTCAGCCCAGCTGAGATTCTTAGCAGCTTCAGCGGCCTTCTTTTCTTCTTCTTCTTTAGCGATGCGCTCCGCCTCTTCTTCCTCCTCTTCCTTCTTGGTCTTCTTTTTTGACCCAGCTGCAGCCCAATCATCCCAACCATCATCACCGCCGCCTCCATCACCTCCCGTTCCTCCATCTCCATCTCCGCCTCCACCACTTCCCGCATCTCCTCCACCATCACCATTGGCGGTGTCATCCGCAGCACCATCCGAGCCGGCCCCGCCATTCTGTGCAGGCGTCGAAGTAGCCACAGGCTTCTTATTGGCACCACCGCCCTTTTTCTTCTTATGTTCACGGATCCCCACCGGACTTCCAAAATCAATATCTACATCCGTCTTTCGATCCTTAAACATATCAAAAAAACACCCTGCTGATCTCGATTTCGATTTCTCACTCAGCGCAGGGTGTGCCACTGGCAACAGTCCTATTTTGCGCTCCGCGAGAATATCCAACGTCTCATATCCCGGCGGTAAATCGCTGACTGCGTCATCGTAGGACGGCGGCTGAGTATACAAGGGTAGCGCCGGTGATTGGAAAGTCAATTCGACGGCGGCGTTGGTATTCGTCCCTGTTCCCGGCTGACGCTGACTGTCCCCACCCTGGCAGGGTATTGTATTCTTCCTTTCCGAGCGCAGAACCAGTAGCTCCCACACATCGTCCAGGAGTTCCTCCACGATATTTACCCAGTGCTGCTTTTGAATCTGCACCTTCTCGTACTTCGGGAGCAGCGGTGTGTCCAGCCTCATCCTGTCGACGGCGGTATCGGCGCGAGCACATGTAATGGTCGCCATGGCGGTGTCGCATGCGAATTTTTGTTGTAAATTATAATTTCTGTAGCTAGCTCACTCAACAGTGACTCCGACCTTTCGTGGTGGCGGAGGAACACATGGGGTAAATATGGAGAGGGTTCCTGTGGTGGTTCCCACTACAATGAGTCAAGAATGCGACGAATGGGACGTAGTTGACGTAGTGTATATGTGTGCGTATGATGCGATATTTAGAATCGGGGATTCTGTTGAAAGGCGAATTTCGTCGTAGATAGCAAACAAAATGACACGATAGCCTCCCTGCACGACCGGCGCGATTTGGGTTCTCGAGCTTGATTCGGATATCGTCGCACACCGATAGACGATAAGGAGGGTTTTTGGGGGGTTCGATAAGGGGTGTTTTGTTGGGTTGTTGCTTATTCTCCCTATTTGAAGGTGAGTCGAGTGGACACTGGGAGAGAACTTAGAGATTTTGCATTCAGAGTTTCCAGGACGAAAAAAAGAGGATCAGGAGGGTAGGGATGGGGAAGTACGGGGCGGTGGGTGCTGGGTGATCATCACATACAGTGTTTTCCTTCGGTAGATCGATCACCACCACCACTGACGGGTATTGTGAACTTTTCACGGTAAAATTAAATAAACAACTGTAGATTTACTTCGGATTTGACTTCATTCACTTTTAATCTTGAAACCAAAGCAGATGAACAGCCGGGAGATCCAAGGTTTATTTTGTCCGTCAGAAAAATCAAATAAAATTAAATAAAATCGAAGGCTGGGATGAGATCGACGAACTATCAACCAGGATTCTATACTACTCCCACCTACTATCAATTCTGATCACATTCAACAAAATAAACCTTTCCAATAACTTGAAACCTGCTCTTCTCCTGGACAATGCTACTCCGCACAGAGTATCTACATACATACTCGACTTCCCCTCGCACGGACTGATATGCGCAACGTACAGGATGCAGCAGCCCAAGCCACCTATCGATAACAAGCGTCCCCCTCCATCATTCCATCAACCATGAAACCAGACCACCGGGAAGAGGTCCCTGCTCTTCCTAAGCAGGGGACTGAGTAGCTGCATCTGCTCACATTCTATTAGGTATTTATTCTTATTATTATCGCAGTTCACCGCATGATTCCCTTTCCATGGATGTATCTCTTGAGCCCCTCATTTCTTTGGTTTTCCACGGATCGCACTAGACATGTACCATAGATGCCCGACTAGATTGCGGGTACGCCCGTCTGCATGGAATCACAATCATAATAAACAAAAAACAATTGCAATCATAAGGACTGGGTATCTACTTGGACTGCGGGTTACTAGCACAATGCAGGGACGCCTAGCTGTGGAGACTCGGAGCAGGTACTTCTTGTCTTGTCCTTGTCCTTGGGTACGGAGTCCTTAAAACGAGTAATAAGTATGGAGTATACCGCTCTCTTACACTTATCACCCTACATACTATACTCCTTCATCCCTTTTCAAGGCCAGTGCTAGGAGGTTCAACATCTCCATTCCCATTCTCATTTTTCTTTTTTTTGTCTCCCAATTTTCCATCTATGTCCAATTTGCCACAGTGCAAGCCCCTCTGCAGAGAAAGGGCCACTTTGGGCTCCTCTGCACGCCAGACACGCCGTTTTACTCACCGCCACTTTGGCCGACTCCAAACCCCACTGATGCGATAAACGAGCGACTCCACGATCAAGAATTGATCACCGTATTCATCTTAGCCTCGGAGATCGGAGAATGGAGACTATTTTAGTTTAAGCAGAAGTCCCACACCCACACGTATGGAGAATTGTACTCAGGTCAATATCCGGTCATTATTCTAGTTTGTTTGATGTGTCAAAACTAGGGTGTTATAAAGAGAGAAAAGTACAGAGGGTGTGGCATTACCAAGAAAAAAGACGCAAGCTACAATACAGCGACAAAGGAAATGGTCAGAGAATCGAGCGGCATCGGGAATTGTGAGCAGAACAAAACAGGACACAACAGAACAGAATAAACGCAACCTCCATACCCAGGGATCCAATTCCTTTCCCTAGACCTTGAAAACCCTACTCCAGTACAGTACGAAAACATCATTTGAGACTGATTGTCGACAAAAAGACAAGAGATATCATTCTCATGCTGATTCCGACTTGGTGGTGAACTTAGCAGGCTCGCCGTAAACTTCCTGGTGCTCACGAATGTAGCGCTCCTTATCTTCAACGGCTAGCTTGTTATAAGGCTAGAGAGTATCTTGTTAGCAGACTGCAACTTGTTCGTCTTCTTTCGGGTTCTAAATCGACCTACTTCCTTCTCCGACTCAGTCAGGTTGTTCCACTCGTCCCTGATACGCAGACTGATCTGTGGTACGGGCATGTGCTTGAAATCACCGCTCTGGTTGCGCTCCTTCGCAAACTGAATGTAGGCAGTGCCGGGACGCTTGACGAGACGCTCATCCTTGATGAGACGGCAGGGCTTACCCAGAAGCTTTGCAAGCTGACGGCGCGCAATGTTGGCCGCCTTGATCTGAAGTGGGGTGTGAGTCTGAACCCAATCGGCGTACGCAGCCTCGTTGGTAGCTTTGTTCTGGTCGGCTTGGTGTTGAAATCGCTATTTCGGAGTTAGTTAGTACAGGAATTGACTCATTGATGCTAAGGTTATGCTGTTTGTTGTATGGACGATTATTACCTCTTGTTCAAGCGGAGAGAGACCCTTCACAACTTCGACAGTAGCTGTGAAGATCTCCTTCTGGGTCTGGCCTTCAGTCCTGACCTCTGGCATCTTATCCTTCACAGCAAGCAAGTATGCGGACTGAGGAAGCTTCTTCGGAGATGTCAGGGCGATCTCCTTGAGCTCCTTCAACTGCTCACGAGCTTTCTGCTTCTCCTTAGCCTCCTTCTGTTTCTCGGTCAACTGGCGCTTGGGCTTAGGCTTGCTCGTGGCCTTAGCTTTGGTCTTGGTCTTCTTCGCCGTGGTGCTCTTGGTCTTGCCATCGGTAGACTTGGTGGATCGCTTGGGCTTTGTAGTGGCATCGGTCGCGAATGAGTGGGTTTGTTGCGAAGTGATGGACGAGAAGCCTCCAATTCGTGCAGTCTTTGATTGAGACTGACTAGATATGCAAAGCCGACGAAGTTGGTTCTGCACTGCAACCACACGACTAGGGCGGAATAAGGCATCGCCGAGGTGCAGGTGCCGCAGCGCACCTGCGCGATTGACCCACTGCAAAGCCATGGAGGGTTTTTGGCGATTGTTTTGGAAAATCGAGATATTTAGCGTAGTACGGGTAAGTCGCGTCAATGCCTTTGACGGTGCGGAGCAGAATTCTAAGCTCAAAAATAAGCAAATGGGGTGGAAGGGGCTATCCTGACGCAAGCGGTGGCTGGTCAAGGGTCGCGCGTCCGAGCTTCGTTTGGTTCTTTCTGTTTTGGGTTTAGCTTGTAACTGCGTAGGTCACATGACAGCGATCCCTCCAATTTGCCGCGAAAATAGCCTCAATGGAAGTTTGATAGGTAAAGTGCCGACCGCTATCGCCTTCCATGTCGAGCAATACATAAAAGCTCTTTTAAACCCTAATCACATGGTACGCTCATCCATATTTGGTTGGTCTTGTATTTCAAGATCTGTTCCAAAGGTGAATCGTATAACTCGGAACAAGTAAAATACCAACTGGGGTATCTGTTCATGTAATTTTCCAGATGTAAACATAGCAGGCCCACCATTAGATAGGTCTAATCTACCGCATGATATCCTCACCATACAGAGCTGACGCTGTCATTATTATTAGTGTAGTAAACTCATGCAGAGAATATATTGCGGTGACATGGCCATTCTTTCCAGACCCATTGTGAGTATGCAGTTGTTTCACACTTATTATCTAAGCCATCTAGTAAATTTCTCTATAGCCCGCCGTGCCGTGTTATCATGGAGATGTGCGACCTTCTGACTGTCTGGGAGTTCTCTCTGGTGAATCTCCTCTGCCTCTTTCAGCTTTTCTTGATCTTTGTAGAGATTGCCAAGGTTGTTGACTAGATTAAGGGTGGACATATGATCTGGACCGAGGGCCTTCTCATAGCCTGCCAGTGCTCGCTGGTATATCTCCTCTGCCTCTTTTAGCTTCCCTTGATTATAATAGAGATTGCCAAGGTTGTTGGCTGTATCAAGGGTGGACGTATGATCTGGACCGAGGGCCTTCTCATAGCCTGCCAGTGCTCGCTGGTATATCTCCTCTGTCTCTTTTAGCTTCCCTTGATTATAGTAGAGATTGCCAAGGTTGTTGGCTGTATCAAGAGTGGACGTATGATCTGGACCGAGGGCCTTCTCATAGCCTGCTAGTGCTCGCTGGTACATCTCCTCTGCCTCTTTTAGCTTCCCTTGATTATAATAGAGATTGCCAAGGTTGTTGACAGTATTAAGGGTAGACGTATGATCTGGACCGAGGGCCTTCTCATAGCCTGCTAGTGCTCGCTGGTATATCTCCTCTGCCTCTTCCAGCTTCCCTTGATCAGAGTAGAGAAGGCCAATGTTGTTGACTGTATTAAGGGTGGACGTATGATCTGGACCGAGGGCCTTCTCTTTTCCTGCCAGTGCTCGCTGGTATATCTCCTCTGTCTCTTTTAGCTTCCCTTGATTATAGTAGAGATTGCCAAGGTTGTTGACAGTATTAAGGGTAGACGTATGATCTGGACCGAGGGCCTTCTCATAGCCTGCTAGTGCTCGCTGGTACATCTCCTCTGCCTCTTTCAGCTTCCCTTGATCAGAGTAGAGAAGGCCAAGGTTGTTGACAGTATTGAGAGTAGATATATGATCTGGACTGAGAGCCTTCTCATAGCCTGCTAGTGCTCGCTGGTACATCTCCTCTGCCTCTTTCAGCTTCCCTTGATCAGAGAAGAGAATGCCAAGGTTGTTAACTGTATTAAGGGTAGACGTATGATCTAGACCGAGGGCCTTCTCATAGCCTACCAGTGCTCGCTGGTATATCTCCTCTGCCTCTTTTAGCTTCTCTTGATCAGAGTAGAGATTTCCAAGGTCGTTGACTATATCAAGGGTAGACATATGATCTGGACCGAGGACCTTCTCATAGCCTGCCAGTGCCCGCTGGTACATCTCCTCTGCCTCTTTCAGTCTCCCTTGATCAGAGTAAAGACTTCCAAGTCTATGAAGCCCTCCCAAAACGGCAATATTGTCAGCAGCAGCCGAGAATTTTCTGGTATATAAAGCAGTCGCGTGTGGAAGAAGCCGTCGCTCTAGCTCTGCATAATCACGCTCACTTGCCATAGGGACCGAGTATCCAACGCATATTAATGCTAGTTCGGAAAGCTGGGTAGGGTTCGTATCCATATCTATACTGGCCATGTGGAAGCACCAATCCTGTACCACAGGATGCATAGTATAGCTTCCTTCTTGTGGCTTTGTTTGAAGAAGAGAGAACCCTATCAGAGGCTTCACGCAAGCTTTAAACTCAAGTTCACTCGATATAGCTCTTTCGAGCCAACCTGGAACTACGGAGCTATTAGAAGCACTCTCTAATAACTCATACCAAATATCACGATTATCGAAATAGGCAAATAGTAGTAGAAGCTGTGCTGCGTTCGAATGCCGATTTTGAATCTCATAAAATGAGATTTTCCATGTCTCTAGCATATTACCTTGCTGGTACTGACGCCCAGGGCTCGAAAAAGACTGTAGATTAGACCATGACTCTTGGTAATATCTTAAGTACTGAGTAATGCTAGTCCCAGTTTCGCGCATATATGCCGCCGCAATAATAATCGCCAGTGGGAGTCCATCGAGACAGTCGGCAAGGGTAAGGGTATCTAGATATATTAATATTATTTTCAAGGTCAATATCTAGGATAACATCTTACCCGGATCTCCCGTAAGCTCCTTAACGGTGTTGCCTTTTGATAAGCCACTGTTTTTCAAGAGAAGTTGAATAGCCTCCTTCGAGTGAAGCTTGTGCATTGGAAAGGACTCTCCTAGCTCAGTGAGCTCTGGCAGTCGAGAAGTGATGAGAATAGAGCCATGATCTACGGTAGGAAAAAACTTTCCGATGTCATATGTATCCCCGACGGCGCTATTAACTGGGGAGTATTGATCGATATTGTCAAATATGATTAACCAGCGCGAGTTACCATCTTTTTCTAGCCACTTTAGCACTTCTCTAGCTCGCTGTTCCAGCTCCTCGTCATTAGTGGCTTCATTTTTCAGGGCCTGTCCTGGTAATCGAGGCAAAAATGAGCTCAAAGACTGCAATAACGTCCCTCGATCTTTACCATTTAACCAGAATATAGCGCTGAAGTTGTTTTTATGTTCCCGTGCGAAACGGACCGCCAGCTGTGTTTTTCCTATTCCACCAAGGCCGTGAAGAACTGCAACTTTTCGTGCTTGGGAATCTGTTGGCTGTAAAAATTGCCAAAGGGAATCTAGTTCAGCTTGTCTTCCCACGAAGCTTTCGATTATAGGCACAGCAGTAAGATCAAAGGGGACGTTAAAGCATTGAGCTATAGATATATAACTTTATTAGCAACACTTGCCTGAAAATAGGGTGTAATACTTTAACTCAAAGCCCTCACCGGAGTTTTTTGAGGAGTCTTGTGCTGGAGCCGGAAGATAGGTGTTAGTACATTCGATTTGGTTTTATTGACTTGAAACTTACCTAGTGGCAGAATTATCGTCCCGTAGTTGACTCCCACCTGATTACCCGAGTTTCCATGGGCGAATGATATGGAAGACATATCTAGCACCTCCTGAACTAATACTTCAGAATTCTGGACAGAGTCGCTCTTACCCCGCAGATCTATTCTTGACCCCCACTGTCAGGTGATATTCCGTACAGCAACCGTGGCCAAGACACCTTCCGACTTTAAGAAACAAAACATAAATCTTGATTCTGAGTTAATCTGGAGATCTACGTATGCGGAAATGAAAGAAAATTATCGAGCGGATTTCACAGCTTCAACGCAGTGAGTTGACCAATTTTTTTTCAGTATACAGTAGCATCACAACTCTCTTCCATCCATGAAGTTTTGACCTTTGCTTGGATCGAACCCTGCACCTCACCGATCTAGTGAGATATTTATTACTTTGTCAGTACAAAACACGTTATTTACGTGCCATTAATTTCAAGATTAGCGTGTCAGGTGATTAAGGTTTGAAAAAGTCCCTTTATGGCTAGCACATGGAAGGCGAAAGCGGTCGGCACTGTATCATCGGGCCCACCTTTCTTTTCCCGACAGATCAACGTTAAAGATTTGAAGGCATTTTATCGACTGACTGATTAAGTGAGCGATATATGGGACTCTGGTGATAACACCCAGGTCTCTTTGCTCGGAATTAATACTTCCCCGGTGCTCTTGAGTTCCAGTAATACTCACACATCGTTGGCCTGCAACAATGGCTCGCCACGGGGATACTCGCTCACCATCTCCTGTAGGCAGCACTTTTTCTTCATCCAAGCGTCCTCGCAGAGATGATGACCGCTACGACCGAAGCCGGCGGGATGAAGGACGGAACTTTCGACGATCCCGCAGCCCAGATGTACGTACCAACCCACCTGCATCGCAGACGTTGAGAGCCCCCTCTAATAACATTCACCGTATCCAGCGCCGGTACCGTGATCGCGATCACGGCAGAGACGGATTCCGCCGGCGCGACCGCTCCCTAGACAGACGCGATGAAGACACATACCGACCCAATCGCAAAGAGCGATCTCGAGACCGCCGACGCTCCAGAGACAGAGATGATTATCGGAGGAGGAGCCGTGATAGAGATTATCGGCCAAGGCGAGATGATTCACGCGACCACGACCGCAGGCGCCTAGATGATTCTGCTGATTTGAAGCCCAAAGCTAGACGGGGAGATAGCCGTGACCGTGGTGCAAGCCGACGTTCTAGATCAGGAACCCGCGAGGTAAGCTATCCCAAAAGACGATGTTTCTTTCAGCAATCGGAATTCTCTGCTAATCTTCTTCCTCAGCCATCGAAACAGTCGACCCCCGCGCCTACGCCCGCCGCCCAGGCAGACGAGCAGAAGAAAGCTGAGAGACTCGCCAAGCTGCAAGCCTGGAAGCAGAAACAAGCGGCCGAACGCGAACGTAAAGAACGGGAAGAGGCTGCTACTGGTCCTCGGAACATTTTAGATGCGATTGATCGAAAGACGGGTATTACTTCAGCTGTTGGATCGCCTAATACCCCCGTAACACCAACGGACTTCCCGGCCGCTACGCCATACCCTGGAAAATTCGATCCGAAAGCTATTGCCAAGAATGCGACAAACTCTTCCGTCTCCAAGGATGTTCTCGGTATCGATATCGATGTTCCTCAGCCCGCAAAGACTGCGGCAAAACCATTGACTGCTCCATCTGCTCCCTTGAAACCTAAAGGAAATGTGAGTGGCTTTGGGCTGGGAGCGAAACCGCCTTCCGATAAGGAGAAATCTACGGCTACTCGAACATTAGGTTTTGATGAGGAGGTGACTACTCGCAAGAAGCTCGAGCGACTCCCAACTCCTCCCCTTGATGATGGCAAAGATAATGCTGTAGATGATGCTGTAGACGATGATGTCGACATGCAAGAAGATGCCACCGAGGAGGATGCTGCAGCGGCAGCTCGAGCAGCAGCGGAACGACGAGAAGAGCGCCTCCAAAATGCGATTCAGTCGGAAGGCGATGGAAAATCCGAGCCTCAACCAAATGGAGACGTTCCCATGGAAGATTTACCAGCCCAGCCAGTCGAATCTACCGAGATGGAGGTCGATGAAGACATTGATCCTTTAGACGCTTTCATGTCTGGACTTGGTGACACCGCCGCCCCACAGCAGAAGTTCGGTGCGAAGTTCTCCAAAAAGAAAGAACAACAACCGCAGGCTATGTTCGGAGATGAAGAGGATGTCGCTATTACGGCTGTTGGAGAAGATGATGCAGATGATGTCCTCGCCATTGCAAACAAGAAAAAGAAGAAAGAGATTCCGACAGTGGACCATGCGAAGGCTGAGTATGAACCCTTCCGCAAGGAGTTCTATCACGAGCCATCCGATCTTGCTAGCATGACCGAGGACGAGACTGCTGTCTTACGCGCCGAGCTTGATGGCATCAAGGTGCGCGGTGCCGATATCCCAAAGCCGGTACAGAAGTGGGCACAGTGCGGATTGGGTGTGCAGACTCTCGATGTTGTTGATCGACTGGGCTTTGATTGCCTTACATCCATCCAGGCACAAGCAATCCCTTCCATCATGGCTGGCCGTGATGTTATTGGCGTTGCGAAAACTGGCTCCGGTAAGACCATGGCATTCCTCATCCCCATGTTCCGACACATTAAAGATCAACGGCCACTCGACATGATGGAAGGCCCTATTGGGCTTATCATGACACCAACCCGTGAATTGGCCACACAAATCCACAAGGACTGTAAACCGTTCTTGAAGGCCTTGGGTCTCCGTGCTGTGTGTGCTTATGGCGGTGCCCCGATCAAGGATCAGATCGCCGAATTGAAGCGAGGTGCAGAGGTCGTCGTATGTACTCCTGGTCGTATGATTGATCTGCTTGCAGCGAATGGTGGACGAGTGATTAATCTGAGACGAGTGACATACACTGTTCTCGATGAGGCGGATCGCATGTTCGACATGGGCTTCGAGCCTCAAGTTATGAAGATTATGGCTAATGTTAGACCTGATCGTCAAACTGTTTTGTTCTCTGCCACATTCCCTCGCAACATGGAGGCTTTGGCCCGAAAGACATTAAAGAAGCCTGTGGAGATTGTAGTAGGCGGCAAGAGTGTTGTCGCTCCCGAAATTACACAGATCGTTGAGGTTCGCAATGAGGACCAAAAGTTCGTTCGTCTTCTTGAGCTCTTGGGTAATCTCTATTCAGACGACGCCAATGAAGATGCCCGCTCCTTAATTTTCGTGGATCGTCAAGAGTCGGCAGATACCCTTTTGAAGGAGCTCATGCGCAAGGGTTACCCATGCATGTCCATCCATGGCGGTAAGGACCAAATTGATCGTGACTCCACCATTGAGGACTTCAAGGCTGGTATCTTCCCCGTCTTGGTCGCTACTTCAGTTGCGGCCCGTGGTCTTGACGTTAAGCAACTCAAGCTTGTCGTCAATTACGACGCGCCTAACCACTTAGAGGACTATGTTCACCGTGCGGGCCGAACTGGCCGTGCCGGTAACACTGGTACTGCTGTTACTTTCCTGATGGAAGAGCAAGGCCGTTATTCTGTTGATATCGCCAAGGCACTCAAACAAAGTGGACAGGAGATTCCCGAGCCTGTGCAAAAGATGGTCGACGCTTTCCTAGAGAAGATCAGGACCGGAAAAGAGAAGGCAATTACCGCTGGATTTGGTGGTAAGGGTCTTGAACGTCTTGATCAAGAACGTGAGTCGGCGCGTAATCGTGAGCGCCGCACTTACAAAACCGGCGAAGAAGGCGAGGGCGACGATGAGGAGGACAAAGAAGAAAAGAAGGCAAAGGATGATGAGCGATTCAACAAAGCCCTTTCATCTGTTCAATCGGCGGCGGCCGCTGCTGCTGCCGCTGCCGCCCCCGCTCCTCCCCAACAGCTCATTGGTGTGCCCAAGGGTATCGACCTGGATGGCAAGATCACAGTGCACAGAACCGAGAAAGACCCCGCCGGTGGAGCGAATGCCCTCGACAAGGTCGGCTCAGCTGTCGCTGATATCCACGCTCGTCTCAGCCGAGCCGGTGTCATGCGCTCCGGTGTCCCCATCGACAACCGTGGACCCGACGCTGGCGCGTTCCACGCTACCCTTGAAATCAACGATTTCCCCCGTAAGTTCATCCTCATCCCTATATCCCCTCCCCATCACAAAAAAGAACATGATCTAATAACCTTACAGAGAAAGCTCGCTGGGCCGTCACCAATCGCACGAATGTCGCCAAGATCCTCGAGTCTACCGGTACCTCTATCACAACCAAGGGTAACTTCTATGCTACGGGTAAAGAGCCTGCCACCGGCGAAGCACCAAAGCTCTATATTTTGGTGGAGGGTGAAACCGAAATTACCGTCACTACTGCTATGCGTGAGTTGATGCGCCTGCTGAAGGAGGGCACTATTGCAGCTGCGGATAGTGATGCTCGTGCGCCTGCTAGCGGTCGCTACAACGTTGTTTAGCGTGCATTTTGAGAAATTCCTGATATTCGAGTCAGACGGAGCTTTGAAGTCATGGATTCAGTCAGCTTCATACATTTAACGCAACAATACTTTTAAATGTCCCGATTCATTGAGCGGATGTACAATAACTTGGATACAAAATACCACTGCCAGTCATGGCCTGATTTATGTTCTAGACTGAAGAAACCTGAAGATGAACGTTGAAGACTCGTAGATGATACGACTATGCACCAAAGGATTTACCACGTTCACGATGGTGTGTATCGGCGCAAAAGCAGGAGGCGATACAATAGCTTGGGCTGAATTCAGCGCTATATCATTGTTGAGTCCTTTCGCTGCTCAATGAAACCACAAATCGGAGTATCGTAAGAGACAATGCCAGTAACGCTATCAACAAGCACCAGAAGAGAAAAACACAACTCCCAAATCAAGCCCCGAAACAGAAGAGGCGAGGTAATAAATGGCTATCCAGTTCATGTGAATTATTCAAGACCATTGTCTCGCTTCCGCAGCTTGATCCGCATTCCGCGCAGCCCTCTCATCCAGACTAACCTCATTCAATATCTGATCCTGTGTCTTCCTCTTATCAGCCGCAAGCCTCGAGCCCAATTTCCCCTTATTCGAAGTCGAGGAAGCGGTGTCCGCCCGTTTCTATCAATGTCGTTAGTTTATGATACAAGTAAGCTACGCAGTTCAATGCAGTTCAATGCAGTGATATTATATTATATCCGTACCTGCGCTGCTATCGCGGCATTGGATCGCGCTTCATCAGTCCCAGGTCCAGCTCTCCCTTGCGTCTGGGGTTGGGACTTGGTTGGGCTATTCTCGCCTAACGTCCGGCCTGGAGTGGACTTCCAATTTGAGTTTTGGGGCACTGAGGCGCGCGGAGTGGGGTTTGAGGGGGTTGTGCCGACTACGCGGCCGGGTCCGGAGAAAGTGTCTGGATCATTTGAGGCGCGGGAACAGAGGTTGCCCATTTTGGAGTGCGGGGAGGAGCTGGGCTGAGAAGGGAAGTGTTGATTGTTCCGCGCGCAAGAAGGGGGAAATGATGTTGCGAAGCGGTTTAAAGATTAGGAAGGTGTATGTGAAGAGCTTGATGTTTATTTTTGGGTTTGTCGTGGAAAGCTATGGCATGGGAGTTGGGGTTCTTTGAGTCCTTCGAGTGTTATGCTTAATGTTGTGTTGGAGATGTTTAGGAGCGATAGCGATAAGCTATCGTCGATCCGGTGGGCACGTGGGGGTTATGTCAGCATGAAGGAATGGGATCTACGTATATTGACGAATGATATAGGGGGTGAATTATGATTAATAGTGGTGGCATATTAGTCGCTGGGTTTATGCGACTGTAATTAAAAGTAAAACAACTTCTTCTTGGTCGTTTGAGGTTAATATTGAATCGATTTAACCGGGCAAACGAAGCGGGGCAGATCGACTCCCGTTAGTCATCAGGATAAGAGATGCACATGTGGAAAAGAGACGGAGAAAGAGAGATTTCTTTCTATCGGAGTATCTCCGCCAACAATTACAACGATTCCGACATTGACGGTCTCTGTGTCGCTATGCATCAGCAGTAACCTTTCTTTCAGGTGACCCAGTTTTGCCAACTGCAGTGTAGCGATTCGCTGATGAGAAAGGAGAAAAAAAAAAGATGACCATGACGCTTCACCCCCAAGGTCCTCATCTTCTCCATCGTCCCGAAGGTCCCCACGGCGGTTCTGGGGTTCACCATACGCTGGCTCCCAACGCAACTCAAATTCGATCATTTCGTTTCTCGTCTTCCAAGGTCCTCATTCTCCATTCTCGTCTGTTGAAGTCTCTATTGCACGGTCGCTTGTCAATTCTCCGATTTCGCGAATGATCTTCTACCAAATCGCCCACTATAAAGCGTTTCGGCACTTCGAACGCATCACATCTGTGAGATTATTGGTCGCCGTGGAGAACCCCCTTGTTCCTACGGGGTAATTACTGGGCTAGTGTGTTATTCTAGGGCCTCACTAGCTACCTGCATAAGGAAAATTACGGAGGAGAGTGGCGGCTTTTTCTCTTTTTGCCAGTTACGTGATTTCCTGGTGCAGGATAGATTGTACCTGGCGCAAGTGGACTAAATCCCACTCTTCGGTCGCACACCCCCTCTTACTTTCTCTTCTCTGTCTAATTGCATGTCTCCCCTCTTCCTTCTATTTCAAATTATTGTCGAGGCTTGAGGCGGTCCTAGCATCGCCCCGTTTCACCAATTGCCTTATCCTCTTATCCTCTTTGGCTTTTTCCTTTTGTCTAGCCTTGGATATCCCGTCTCCTGAACCGTGCGCATTATGGCTTCTCAGCCCCAGACAGGTGACTTTTGCTTGGAGTGCAAGTGGGAAGGATTTCATATCGATGGGAAGAGTGAAGAACCGGCGGGCGAACAGCCTCGGGCTGAGTGGACACACTCTGACCAAGAGCATCACGCTGCTGTCGACCACACGAACTGCGAGGTAGACGAAGCTTGCTGTGACGTGGATGATTGTTCGATAGACTGCGGGTCGGTATGCGATGGCTTTGTGGACTGCGATGCCTCGACCGTCTGCTCCGTCGCCCATTGCGACGACACTCACTGCGACACGGACCACTGCGATACGGATCATTGCGAAGGCGTTGACCCTAACTGCTTCGATGACCCCTGCTGCGAAGGAGTAGATGAGCATAACTGCGAGTTCGATGCTTTCTTCGGTTTAAATTCGCCTCTATCATTAGATACACCTGGTATATTACCGACAGTTCCTATGAACCAGCACGCTGTCGCTGAAACGGGGAAATTCCTCGACCATACCTTGCCGGGGATCATAGATCCGTGCTATCATCAAGACTTTCTATCGTCGTATCAGACACATGCTACTCATTGCGATCAAAATGTTGCCAACCATTTCGAGTGCCATGACTTCCAGAAGGAGTTGCAGGGGATCTTTCCACTTCCGCAACTTCCCACGCAAACGGATGTCAACCCTACGGATGTCTTTCAAATGCTAGGAGTCTGTCCAGACTATTCAATCCATCATGATCCCCATCTATGTCATGATCATACAATGCCAGCTCCCCTTGAGGCCCCTAAACCTAACATACCCGATCCCCTGAACTGCTTCCAACCTCACCCGGAGCATCATCACGTACACCACCAACACAACCACTTTAAAAGCCCTAATGATCTGGATCTTCACATCGGCCATGGGCCTCATCGCAATCATCACCGATGCCGCGGCCATCATCATACCCACGCTCATCCTTACTCTCCTTACTCTCGACAATCTCGATCTAGTATTAGTTCGCAATTCCTTTCAAGCCCCGGAGAAACACCACCTCCGTTAGACGGAGGCGTTTCATCGGTGTTGACTACTCCCGACTTCTCAGCGGAGGATAATGACGTTTATATGTGCAAATGGACAATGGGGTCAAATGGTGTTCGGGCTCCTTGCGGGGCAACATTCCGCTGTGCTGGCGCTCTTCAAGACCATCTTGTGTCCAGTCATATGAACACAGTTGAAGGTGCAAAGGGAAATGGTTATTACTGCTGCTGGGAAGGATGCCATCGTCCAGAAGAGCCATTCTCACAAAAGTCAAAACTACAGGGACATTTTCTTACACACAGTAACTGTACGTTCTTTATCCATTCCGCTTTCCTTTTAATTTTCCACTGAACTAACTTGCCTACTCTCATCAGATAAAAACTTCAGGTGCTCTGTTTGCGGGAAGTCCTTTGCTCGTCAGGCAACATTGGATCGCCATGAGCGCAGTCACCGCGGAGACAAACCCTATAGATGTAAAGACTGCGGGAAAACGTTTACTGATAGCAGTGAGCTGAGTAAGTCTTGCCCCCTCTTGTTCTTTATGGACTTGACGAACTAACAAGTTTAGAAACGCACTCGCGCACCCACACCGGCGAAAAGCCATTCAAATGTACCTGGCCTGGATGCAACTTTGAGACAGGAGACTCTTCAAATATGTCAAGTCACAGATTGAGTATGTTTGCCGTTCTTTGTAAAACTTCTTTCATAATCATCCCGTGCTAATATATATCTAGCCCACGGCGAGCGCAAACACAAATGCCTATATCCTGGTTGCACAAAGAGTTTTACTCGACCTGGTATGATCCATTATCCCTATTGATCCCTGTGTTCAGATCATCATTGACTAACCTCTCATCAAATAACTAGATCAATTGAAGCGCCATCAGCGTACAACCCACAAAGAACCATCCTCGACACTCCCATCACCTAGTCCTGACCACTTTACCCTCACACCCTTTACCATGGTCTAACAAACCGGAACGATAAATATCATCACCGTCTTATTCATGCTGATCTGATCTATTTACCACGATTTCTCATGCCGATTTATTACCTTCCCGAACCTACTTCCAACTTACGACCCTATATGGAGCGGCGCGATCTGTGGTCGGGCGTATGACGACTCCCGCGTATTTCTTTTGGGGCTTCCAGTTTTATTAGAGTTATTGTGTGTTTATCTCTTTTTATTAAATGATAAACAGGAGAGGAAAAAAAAATATTCTCTTCCAGACTCCTGTTCTCTGGACGTTCAGTTGAATCTGGAATTTTATGTTTTAATTACTATGCAGCTACTGCTGCGCGCATACTACAATAGTATTTGGCTTCAGATACCAATCAATTGTTTTTGAGTTTTCTAAATATACATACATCTATATCCCCAGCTAGACATTGCGAGGTTACCACCTAAGGCATACTACTATGAGGTATACCAAATAGTTTGAGGCCATAGGCAAATCTATGATCACATGGATGTAACAAGAATAATGACGATCAGAACACACGATCATCGCAATGTTTCAGCACATATCATCGAGTCCTATACTAAATATACACTCACGTCCATACAATATATCATCATTATGATATCAACTCATCAGACGACCTTCAACCTCACTACCAGGTATTCACATCAACAGTCTGAGCTCCTAATTTACATTCGATTCCATACAAGAAAGCCCTAGTTGAATATGAAGTTTAATGCTCCTCCATAGCCCTCTCCTCCAAAAGCTCAACAGCATTCCTCAACTCCCGAATCCTCTGCCCAACCCTCCTCCTCACCTCCCCCTTAATCTCATCTCCAATCTCCCCCTCATAACCAGCCTTAAACTCCTCAGCTCCCTCAATGCCCTCTCCCAAAACAACACCCTCCCCACTTAACAATCTAGACCCAGTCATCTTCTCCCCAGATCGAAGTACAACGCCCGTATCCTCCTCTCCCTCTCGATAAGAGTAGAGGAAATACGTAGCGGCGAGATCATTCAGTGCGTCCCGTGCCGCGTCACGATCAGATGCAGCGTAGATTGTGCCGCCATCTGTGCTTTCTGTTGCGATTTCGAACTCGTCTTTGGCTATTTCGTAGAGGTCTTGGATCTCTTCGATTAGGGCGTCGGCTGTTATTGGTTTTGAGGCGAAGGCGCGAGATTGGGATTGGTGGTTGATTGGTGTGGTTTTTGAGAGAAATTTAGCTCTTGGGGTTATGGATAGTGGTTTGTAGGTATTGGGTTTCAGTGCTTGGGCTTGAGCTCGAGCTTGGAATGCGTGGAGACGCCGAGTTGAGGTAGAGCTTGGCTTGGGGGTGCGGCGGAGGAGAGTGGAGAGGCGGGGACGGAATGGGGAGAGCATTGTTTCTTTGTATTTTAGGTTTCTGGTGATAATTGATGAAAATTATGGGATTTTCGTATTTGTTTTCTTGATATAGGATTGGGGGTTGAAAGTGGTATGATGAGCTCGGGATAACTATGGAGATGTATGATATAATATCACGTGGTGATAGGAGCGAGGATGATGCCACTATGGATCCCTCGGAGTTAAGAAGTTCCAACTTAAAGGTTGTAGACTACTAGTGTCGTGATCATAACAGGTACCTATATTAGGTCTGGGGTATATCCGAATTTGCATTGAAGGCTTCATGACTGTCGCACATGATACGATGTTATATGATATATTACACAGTTCAATTACATACTAGTTCGTATATTTCAGTATAATGGTAGATCTTCAATGTATTCTGTACTAATCACCGGGATCGCAGAGAAGTAAATAAAGGAAAATGATCAAGAGAGTGGAGTGGTATCAGCGCTGTCATCATGGATCGGCTTCAACCAGGACAGCCAGAATCACAAAAATCCATCAAGCAAAATTCAAAGTAACGGAGAGAAAGGAAACATATGAAAAGCCAATTTCCGTGGCATGTATCAACGCCGTGCTTGATCACACTCAGCAATGAACTTATAAATGCCGTGTGCACCATCGTACTCTAATCCGCTACCGGGAGAGCCAGGGGTGCAGTTAGAGATATCCGAGAAGAATGCACGGTCGCCGAGTTCACTAATGTTGATGCTGGAATAGGCGGATCGAGAAGAGCCCCACGGGTTCTCACCAAAAAGCTCATTGTCGTCGAAGCTGATTGCGTTGCCAGAGTCTCGAGATTTGCGGGAGAGAGGGCTACTCTCAGGTGTGAGCATTGCGTGCCAGTCAAGTTCCTCGGAGGCTGCATAATGTGACTTCGAAGGCTTCTCGAAGAGATAGCCCGTTTCCGATGATGGGGCCTTGCTGGGAGCAAATGGGAACAATAAAGCTAGGTCAGCTCCGGTTCGTAGTTCAAAATCCTGATCTTGCACGATGCGGCCTCGCTCAAGACCAACCTCGTCACAAAGGCGTTCGACGGTTTCGGCGTCGCAGCCAGGAAAGTGGACACGAAGGGTAGATTGATCATGAAGTAGAATTGGGAGGTCACCGAGTGTTGAAAGACGCTTGAGGTCATTCAAAACAACGGCGAATTCCTTGAGGGCACGAGCAAAGTCCGCAGAGAGCAGGTCCATAAGACCCTCTGATTGCAGGGTCTGGGTGACGGTAGAGCCGGTGTTCTTGTCAAAGCCGGCGAAAGCACCAAGAGCGGTGATGGTTGGTGAGAGTTGGAAATCGATGTGCGAGCCTGGCGCATTTCGGGGACCGGCTGTCATCTTTCGACCAGCCTGGTCCTGAATAGCGCTGACAGCCTTGTACCGCTTCTCTCCTGTGTGGGGGTCGATACCATCGAATCGGACCTTCTGTCCCGAGAGGAAGAATGCACGCACACCCTGGGACACATTCTGAATGACCTGGGCTGGAGCGGCGGGTCCGTGGGAGAAGTATCGAGCTCCGCCGAATCGGCCGGCACCAATGGCATACCCGCTCGCTGTACGGCCAAGTGTACCACCTGTCAAGTTGGGACGAAGGGTAGAGGCAAAGGGAGCGCGAGCAGTAAAGCGGCTGATGTTGGAAGCAATGCGTGTAGCTTTGTAGGCGCCAGCATCTGCTTGAGCACCCCGGATAACGGAGACAAAGGCGTCAGCGGCACGAGTAGAGAAGTGTCGGCTGCGGGCTTGACGGATAGCGGCAACGCGGTTAATAGGCTGGCGAGTATTGATACGCGCGTAGGCTGGTTGATAGCGAAGCGATGCTTGTTGGGTTGGTTCGGGTAGTTTGGCCCGTATGGCCTTGGATGCCTTCTCATAGGCAAACCTGGGATCCCGTTAAGAAGTGAGTCAGAGCGTTGGAGGTCACTCGTTGGTAGGGATTACGTACCTTGCTGCCCTCCATATTTTGGGGAGCAGCAGGTGCCCATTGACAGGCGCCATACTGTCTGATTTGAGATGAAAAATGTAAAACTGAACGGAGTACTTCGTAACAGAAGGAGGTGTATGGAGGAGAGAGGGACGTTGTTGCTTATCAGTGGGCCTAAGGCAGCCTACCCCGGTGGCGAATAAGGATGTGCACAGCCACAGTTGGATAACTTAGTTAACGTCATCATTTTGGTGGCCTCAGTGTTCAGGCATGCTTCAAATGCTCGAGAGTTGTTAATTATTACACGCATCCCATTTTATCACAGATTTGATTATGATAATAACACTAGGTGATCATGCGATCAGATGGTAACACATATACGGCAAGAATCGGGGGTTGTCTGGGTTCAACTAGGGTGTGTATAACGACTCGCGAAGATTATATTCATGAACTTCACTTCTATGAACTTGAAAGACATCGGTGCCAAACCTTAAAATCTCCATGTTAAGGCTGCTTGCCCTATCCTAGTAGTACTAGTAATAATACCCAGATACACCCACTCTAGTTCTCAATCACCTTTAGTTTCTACAAGATATCTTGATGAACATCAAACCGATCACAAAATGGCATTTGAATGGTATTTACAAGATTCTATCCAGAAGTATTCCCCATGAAAAAATATAAAAAAGAGATTTCAAAATCGAACCAAGGATCTGGCAAGACCTCAGACAAGATAAGAAGAGTAATAGCTGGTGCAAGAATTATCGATGACAATATCAGCCGACACAGCAGAGACGATATTGTTAGTAGAGTTGGCGAGCAGCAAGAACTCGTCGCTAGACGACTTGGGCCACCCAGCCTCAGCAAGACCGCCCGAAGGGTCCTTGGCGAAAGCTAACCAAAGATCCTGCATCTTATGGCTGACAGCCTTCTCAAACGATGTATCTTTTCCATAGATTCTGGAAGTACCAAAGATCAAGGGGAGCTCTGCAGTGTGATAAGCACCGAGACCGGACTCAGGAGAGATATTGGAGAAATTTCCGCGGTATTGATAACGGTAGGTCGTGAGGCCAAGGGACTCACGATACGCAGTAGAGTAAGGGACGGGGCATTGAAAAGTTGAAAGAGTAATAGCCTCGGCCGTGGCACTGTTCTGACCACCAGCAAGAAGTGTTCCCTCGTTCAAGTTGGATCCAAAGAGGGCTGGTTTATCAGAAAGGTGATTTCCCAGGTAGCGTTCAGTATAGTTCTCAAAAACGACCTTGTTATCAATGAAGGGACTGAAAGTCAGGCTGGAACCATTGGAGGTCCCCAGGAAGGACGTGATCTTGGTGGAGGAAACCTTGCGTAGACAGTCGAGCTCGTTCTGGGAGGAGCCAGAGCAGCCAAAATGGCCGGCGACGGTAGAAAAGTTGGTCCCGGCATTGTCTGTGGAACGCGTGTCAACGGTGAGGAAGGCAGATCCCGAGTCGCATGCGAAGCCCTGAACAATAGGGTTCTCGGGGTAAGCGAAGTTTTGGATGTCGACGCTTCCTGCGCCAGCACTTTGGCCCCAAAGAATGATTTGGTCGGGGTCACCGCCGAACTTAGCAATGTTCTTCTGAACCCATTCAATAGCAGCACGCTGGTCAAGAATACCGAGGTTTTGGTTCTCGAGAGCAGGGGAGGCAGGGAACCCAAAGATGTTAAGACGGTAGTTCAAGCTGACAACGATATGCTCCTGTGTACGCTCAACCCAGGGGCTGGGGATCCAAGCAGGGATGTTGGTACCACCTACAGCAAACTCTCCCCCGTAAATCCAGATTATTACTGGGAGGTCGGTCTTATCATTGTTTGGCGCCCAAACGCTAACGAACAGGCAGTCTTCGCTCACGCCTCCAGAAATTACGGTCTCTGGGGCATATTTTGCAAATGGGTTGCCTTCCCCGGTAGAAATAGTCTGCGGGCATGAGGCCGGCAAAGCAGTTGCATCAATAGAGGTCGAAGAAGAGTTCTCCGGGAGCTCCTGAGGCGGCAGCCAACGAAGATCTCCAACGGGCGGCTGCGCGAAAGGAATTGCTAAAAATTGACGCACATGGGGAAATGTGCTGTTAATGATACCGTTGACAGTGCCGCTGGAAGTCTCAACCTGTAGGCCGGAGCTAGCTGCGGCAGCGGTGGCAAGAGAAATCAAGTTGGCTGGCCGACTGAACTTCATAGTGATAGACGGCCGTTATTTTACTGGCGGCGCACGGAAGGGGAGGATTGATGAAGATAGAATTGACTCCGCGAGATTCCCGCTGCTATTTACACAAACCATCCTATTCTTCTTACATTAACTTTATGATTAGATCAAGTTTCTAGAGATCTGGAGGGGTTAGTGTCGAAACCGCTCCACTGGCAAAGTACAATAATCGGGTAAAGACTTGTCCACATGGTCCGTTCAACGTATCATATAATCGATTGATGTCTGGGTCATCGACGGCGGCATCTCATTGGACAATCATAGATCCATGACGAACTGGGAGGTCGGAAATCCCGACGGAAAATCCGTAAAATAGCTCAGAGACTTTCCATTTATATCTATCAGTGGGGACGGTACTTCATTCATGAAGCATCGACCAGTGAGATCATAACATTGCCTCTGGGGATCAATGCAAATGTCTTGCAGCATTAAATTTCTAATTCTCCCGAAAAATAAATCGAAGCAAATGCCGAAGAACTACATTGCCGGTTCCAGTCTCATCAAGATTATTGCGGAAAAATTTACGGCTTGCCCGAGTGTACTCCCGCAGCTCCTGTAAGTTATGGAATAGCCGTATGTTACTGCACACTCTCTCACTGCGAGCCCAGTCAATCAAGTCAACAATATTCACATATATACCTCGCACAGCCTATCAGTCGAAGTTAACATTACGTCCCAGGGATGTTGCGGTGAGCTCTACCTTTTCGCAACCAAGACATGTTCTTGGTAACGGTTCAATCTTCACAGCGCGGCAAAGTGAATGCCAAGCGACAAGGTCATCCTCTGTTCCAAACCAGAGCTTGAACTCCTGACTGAGAGCTTCTTGAAATTGTTGCCAAGCTTGATCAGATTCCCTTTCACCTCTACGCCAACCGTAATACCTTTGAAGGGATGAATACGATTCAGTTGGCGCCAGAGTGGGATCATATACAAACCCATTGAAAGACCCAAAAAACACGTCAAGAGGAGTTCTGGACATTCGAGCATGTGCTGGTGAATCGCGTAGATGCTGGTCGAGGGCGTCCTGGCTGCCAAATGAACGATTGCAGGGCCCGCAATCGTAGGTCACAGCATGTGCTGGTGAGTTGTGTAGATGCTGGTCGAGGGCGTCCTGGCTGCCAAATGAACGGTTGCAGGGCCCGCAATCGTAGGTCACAGCATGTGCTGGTGAGTCGTGTAGATGCTGGTCGAGGGCGTCCTGGCTGCCAAATGAACGATTGCAGGGCCCGCAATCGTAGGTCACAGCATGTGCTGGTGAGTTGTGTAGATGCTGGTCGAGGGCGTCCTGGCTGCCAAATGAACGGTTGCAGGGCCCGCAATCGTAGGTCACAGCATGTGCTGGTGAGTCGTGTAGATGCTGGTCGAGGGCGTCCTGGCTGCCAAATGAACGATTGCAGGGCCCGCAATCGTAGGTCACAGCATGTGCTGGTGAGTTGTGTAGATGCTGGTCGAGGGCGTCCTGGCTGCCAAATGAACGATCGCAGGGCTCGCACCATTTCATGATAGCAATTTACTTGTAGGAATCTGCAAAATTCGACGAGCAATTTATCTTGTTTTTAGTTACCCCGCATCACGAAACCAAACTGTACAAAGACGCAAGGGTGCCCAACCCAAAGGCAACCGATCTTCTCCAAACACATCATGCGGCAAGCCTGCTTTCCAATTTTGCTAGGGCTCTTATGCAACTGTGCAATGGTACGACGACTGGGATGTCGTGGCCTAAACCGATTGGATGCTTCACTTATATTCATAATTGCCAAGACCTCTATCTCACACGGAGCCTCATTCTCCGCTCCTCGAGCTTTCCATCGCAGTTCATCAAATAAACAAAGGGACGGACTTTTGAGAACTGAGATCGAAATAGAAGGAATCTAAATGAAAATCAGAAATACAGCTTGTATATAGTAGTCTAATTGATGGAACAGGCCGCATCGACGTTGATATACGTCCATTGGGGCCATTGGTCACCAGAGCCAGACACCCTGAGCATCTAGATAGAGAATTGATAGTAATTGGGGCCATATAAATATTCTCTATGGAAGTGCCTATTTTGTTGTCTAATGCCTCTTTTCTCGGTACGATCTCTCAAGAGTTGTCTGCCGTACTGTCATCCTCGTCGCTTTTATTATTTGGATGATCAAGGGACTTTCGTCCGGCGCTCGGGCGAGGACGAAGTTTTGGAGAACCAAAGGGCGGCAAACGCATGTAAGCAGCGCCGCTTTCTTGCTGCTCTGGTGTATCTAGTTCTTCATTGGAAACTTCAATGTTTTTCTGGTCAGACTCTGATCGATTTGGAGATACAGAGGAGTGTACGACAACAGGCAGAGGCTGCCATCAAACTGATTAGTATGGGTATATTGGCAAATCAATCATGTCACCTACAGTGCATTCCGAGTTTGATATGCTGCATGAAGTGCTTTTTCCTGCCAATAGAGCACTATCGTCATTCATGTTAAAGATGAACCCTTGATCTCTTCTTTTCGCCTGAGATGAGCCTGGTGTACGTGTGACTGATGGAGGACTCTCTGACACTAACAAAATTGATGTTGGTTGAGAGCTATTTGTAGGCGGGTCGTCGAAGCGATTTTCCCTGAAGGTTCGAGGGATTTCTTCCTTCAGAATTTTCAATACCTCTAAAGCAAAGTAAAACGGCTGTTTCCTCTCTTCATGTCGGGAAAGTTTACGCTGCATATAAAACTCCTGCTGGGCTTTTTGGGTTTCTTGAAGCTTGCGGAATTCCATCTTCAGCAGCTTCTGAAATGAGTCACTGTTGAACATAGTCAGCCAAGGGCGCGCTGACTGCCATAATTTTGGACCATGTGATACGAACAGTTGTATGAGAATTGAGTCATTTTTCGTTTTTAAATAGACTTGATGAAGTATTTGCGTATTCACCAGGATTCCAATCGTTTTCATAGACCTCTCTAAAATCTTCATGTCTTGGAAGAGAGGGGGAACAATGCTTTTACTTGATCTGTACCACTCGAAATGTGCGATCCATCTCTGAACTGGACTGACATCAGGGCAATCCATCATTGAACGACAAATAGTCGTAATGTACTCCAGTTCCTTGATCGTTCGCTTCGCCTCACCGTTGACACTTTCGATGAGTTTCCGATGCTGCTCAAACATTGATCTAAGTTCTTCAATGCCTCTTGCCTTGTCTAGTGATTCACTGAAGAAATTAAATGTTTGGGCCACAGTCTCCGTCCTTTTGATCGCTTTGAAAAGGTCCTGATTTGCATAGCGTATTCCTTTATATGCTCTTTTCATACTGCGGGCAATTCTGAGCAAATCCTTTGCGATGGGGTAAGCAACTCCCGCAATGGAAAGAGGGTCTGCCATTCCAAAATCTTCTGAGTGAAATTGAGAGGTAACAAGAAGCTTTTGATACCCGAAAACACGTGGCCGTTGAGAAAGGTGCAAGGTTTATATATGATACGGGAAATATTATCACATTTATAGAAGATAATACTCAGAGGATTGCGAAAACGACCTATGTTAGTTCCATGCAAAGATGCCCAACTCTTAGTATAGGCAATTTGAGAAAAATTCCCCATGCGGGGTTGAGGCTCTTACTGCATAGACCCGCCTGCTGGATGAGCTATCAACCAATCAAAATGCAAATAATGTGCTTGCATGAGTGGCCCCGCGGTATTGGAATCATTACAACGCCGTAGGACTTAGTCACACTACTCGCGCTGATATAAATGAGAGCCTCGTCACAGCATATCATGGCCTGATTTCCTTGCCCATTGCAAGGCTGCTGTTGAGGCATACGACTGCCAAAGTGCTGTGACGCCTTGAAGTCTGACATAGCATGTACTGTCTTCGTTTATAAGGCAATGCTTGGTTTACATTTCTCACTTTCGTACAAGCCTCCCAGAAGACTCAGCATGCTTTTGAGTTCTTACTTCTGCCCGCAGGGCTGGTAGCCACGGGTAGTCCACGAACATGTGGGTGATCGTCTCCCGCACCCCACGCTCGCACCAGTCACCACCGAAGAGTAAGAAATGAAAGTGGGAATTGTAGTAAACTTTTGTCTCGTCTAATTTCCTGCTTATGCAGGCGATGAAGACTCGCAAGACAAAGCTTGGCGGTGATCATAATGACACGCTACCGAGTATGGCCTATCTAACCTTCACCTGGAAATCTTCAGGACGGGATGCTGCAGGCATTAGTTTTAGATATTTAGTAGATAGTATTCTATTTCTACTGTCATTTAAACAAGTGCGTATGAAGCGATGAACATTACTATATCACTCCATAAGGGTGTTGGTATTTAAGCACAGAGATGACGTAAGAGTGGAGAGCGTGCCACACAAGGAGCAATGAATGAAGTGGGGGTGTAAGCACGTTTCATGTGTGGTATTAAACAGAGCCCCATATAATGCAATCTTACAATACATTTCAATGCTTGAAAGGCTAAGCGGGATAAAGATTAGCGTGGTCCATCATTGTAGTGTAGCTGTATGGAGGAGGTTCTGGACGGACATATTTGCATATTCAGACGTTTGTATGGTTTGACCTACTCGCGGGTACAGACTAATCAGATGATTGGTCTGAAAGTAGACATCCGCCTATAAATATATACGTAGTAGAGCTTCCCTCTCTCCTTCCCTTCTTCAATGTTGTTATTCATTGTTTTTGCATCCTTTCTCCATCCTGGTAGAAACGTAGGCACCCTATCATACTTCCTCTCCTGCCTCTCTCTCTCTCTCATAGTACACGTCTTCATCCTCACAGTCATGGTTTCCACCTGCATTCACCCCACTTCAACCCATTAGCCACCATACTCCCAAGGTCTTTCAAGATGTCCCCAAATGAGATGGCTCTCTGAAATTCCATGCCTCACTAACCCTACTCATAGCATTGGTATGCCCTGCTTCGATCCCTCAGATCAACCAGCTCTTCCTCTCTATATCCCACCAACCTGTGTCGCGATTCCTCCCCATCGCTTCCATTTCCCATCGCCCTACCAACCACTCCGAATCCATATCTGTGGTCCACTGCTAGCTCTTCAGAGGCTTCTCCCAGGCGTTTCATGGCACCTCCTCCAAAGCTTTCCTCTGTCTGGCGGTTTCAAGCTAGCGTTTCAAGCAATTTACCACCGAGATTCACAACCGTATATTGCCGGGGACATGATAGTACCGCATGACCTCCCATATTGGTTGGTACAGGCCGACCCCCAAGAGTGACTCATTCTCGTCTTTACTTCTTTCCCCGTCCATCCATACTAATACCATAATATCATTAGAGTCATTGATTACTATGGGGTTACATTCGACCATCTTGTATCCACCGACGATATCAATCTAGAAATCCTAGTAATTAATAATTATTGAAGTTGAAGACGACGCAGGAGCATTTGCAAATCAAGGGCATATGCCCTTTAAGAATGACCCGAAGGAATATATTGGGAAGAAGGTCCTTGCTGTGCCGAGGTGCTGTCAGTACAGGAAGGGAACGACAGGTCGGGCAACTATTAACGCTGGAGTGAATCAGAAGGTTTCTGGTGTGATAAATAACTCACACGGTCGTGTTGTGTGGTAATAGCTCCTTTCATGCGCGCCTATAAAAACACTAAAACATGACCAAGAGCTCAATTTTAGATTGGGGATCACACCCATGTTTAGACTGGCCGCACTAAAACTCACCGTAGAATGAGCATGTCTTGCTACATTAATTTTGGCTCAAGGACGACTAGTCGGATAAAAAGCGAATGATACGCAAGAAGTTGCAAGCAATTCGTGTCAAGTTTATCTTCAAGATTGTCGGTGCACAAGAACTCGAAAGCATCTTGATGTCGCGCCAGCGCTAATTATGTTCAAAAGAATCAACAGATTTCGATTTACACTAAATTGAACCGATTCGCCCGAAAAATGGAAGTAGAAGAAAATTTGGTGCAGGTTGAATATCTAGCCATGGCTTCTCTAAAGTTTGAGCTGGCGCTGTCCATGGAGAATCTGGTGAACACCTTCATGCATAGACTTCACAATATCCCCAGCGGTTATTATTTCACTGATAAGACCAATCCCAGTACCAGCATATGTGGTAAGTCGTCCCTTTGGCCCGTAGCCCACGTCGCCCTTATTCAGCTCTTCACAATATAACTCGCGGTTTTTGACCTCACTAAGACCCTCGAGATCATCAAGGTAGGTACAATTTATCAAACCGCGGCCATAATAACCCTCTGGCCAGCCATGAATGTCGCGAACTTTGTCATATATGGTTGTTCGAACCGTGTTTATACCTCCATCCGAGGAATCTAGAATTGCCTTCTGATAGCCATGAGCGATCATAGATTCAGGGCTAGCGAGAAATCGTGTACCAAGCACACATCCTCAGGCACCGAGGGCCATGGCTGCCGCGACACCTCGACTGTCACTAATTCCGCCAGCTGCCAAGAAATCCGCTTGCTTCTGGGGATAAGGACGAAGTTGTCGAATCTTGTCGTTTATTTCCGGTACTAGCGAAATAATGCTAGCTCCTCGGGCTAGTGAATGCCCACCAGCATCCAATCCTTGGACCACAATGACATCCGGATCGATAGCATTGACTACCCCGACAGCATCAGAGACAGAGCCGACTTGAACCCAAATCTTACTTCTTGATGATGTGGCTTCTCTGATTTTGGTCACCCAAGGAATAAGATCCTGAAAGCCCTTGGGTGGAGCGAAGAGCCAAACAGCAGCAGGGCAGTACCTTGAAAAAGAAGGAAGCGCCTTTTCCAAGGAGGCACTCCAAGTTATAAACCCAACACCGACAGGCAAGAACTTGGGAACTCCGTTGATACTCTCCAATGTGGTGTCTCCATGTCCTTCTAGTTATAGATCTTCGGCTTCCTCGAGTAGGTCTTCAAGATGATCACTGTGATATCCTGCTGCAATAAACCCTAGACCCCCTGCTTTAGAGACAGCCACGGCGAGCTTGGGCATAGCAACTTTGGCCATAGGCGCCGAAACTATGAGTGGCGATGCTGCCCAAGGGTAGCCTGCAGCAAGTTTGCTTGTCAAGCTGCTGGGGAGCTGCATTCTGATATCATGGGATTTGGAGTTCAAGTTAAAAAAAGAATAGTTATCGGCGAACTGAAATAAAACCAAGGCGAGCTAAGTAGACGAAAATTTAAAGGAAATCGAGGCGGTACAGACCTGCGGTCAGTTACGATCAAGGGGAACACTATCGAATAAACTTCAGATTGATGTTGTTCTGTGGCAATCTTCCCCGCATATCAGTCTCCACCAACGCGCCGGGCTATCTCTATAGTAGCCACGGTAAGAGGAAGGAATACAAGGTTCCCCTTCCCTTCCGCAATACCCGTGCAATTTTCACTAATCTCCGCAAGAGCCGACATGATAAGGCCGAGGCTCTGGGGATTGTGGAGATAAGATGGTGATGGCATTGTGAGCAAGTTCGCCCTCACCCTCATGATAAGGCTCATTGCCGCAGCTCCCATCGATGCCCGCGATCTTCACATTTGCTCCCACGGGGCGTTCGGATAAACACTCAATGATCGAAACCTTCTTTAACCCAATTATGTGTAATCGCAGAAAATGTCATGTTGGGGCAAGGGGATATGACGAAGCCGCCCGCAATACCCGTTTGAAGCACAGAACTCGATTACCCCGTCGTGGCCAGGTTCTTTCAAAACTCTATAGCACTTGATTATCACTTTGGAAAATCTCAGCGCATCACTACACTTGAAAAATAACTTCTAAATTCAAAGTTTAACTTTATCGTCTCTTACCTCTTTACACTCTACTCAGTCAAAATGACGTCCAACACCGCAGGTATTGCTTCAACAAGCTCAGAAGTGCGCATGTGTCATGACCGTATTGAATCTCCAGCCGACACGCCTAACTTTATTGATAATGAATTGCTACGTATCGTTGCAACTTACACAAACATAATCGAAAATCTTGTAAAATCAATTCTTTTGGTATCTAGCCCATTTACTCATAAAAGTGACGAACCTCCAGGGTCTATCATATTAAACCATTTACTCGTCATCGCCGAAGAAAACCTTGATAGGCAACCAAGCATCACCACAAACCTTGAAGCGATCCTTCAAGTTGTCAAGCTGGCTGACCTCCTCATCGGTCAAACTCCAGCCGTCAATCTCGTAGTTCCCATCAATGCGAGACTTGCTGACGGACTTGGGGATGACACTCCAGCCCTTCTGGATACCCCATACCAGCAGAACTTGCTGGGGGGTCTTGCCCTTGTTCTCGGCAATCTTCAGGAGAGTAGCGTCCTTGTAGAGAGGGGAGTTGGTGGAACCAAGGCAAGAGTAACCGGTGGAGTGGATACCCTTGGAGGTGTTGTAAGCGACCAGCTTGGGGGAGGGGTTGTTGGGGTGCAGCTCGATCTGGTTAACGGCAGGAGTGATCTTGGTGGTGGGGTCGTTCAGGAGCTTCTCAAGATTCTGGATGCCGAAGTTGGAGACACCGATGTTGCGCACCTTGCCGGTAGCAGGCAGCTTCTGCATTTCTTGCCTGTGGGGCTTATAGTTAGAAGGGGGGAGGTCTTCATGGTAGTTTTTCGTAGCGTGGTGGAGTATTTACCATGTCTTGATGAAGTTCCAGTCAGGAAGGTGCTTGGACTTGTCTTCGGGGTCGGTAGAGCTGGGCCAGTGAACCAGGTAGAGGTCAATATAGCTGGTACCGAGATCCTTGAGGGAGGACTCGATGCCCTTCTCGACGCAGTGGTGCCAGGTGTTGTCAAGCTTGGTGGTGAGCCAGATCTGCTCGCGGGGCACGCCGGAGTCTTTGATACCAGCGCCGACCTCGGCCTCGTTGCCATAGGCAAGGGCAGTGTCAATGTGACGGTAACCCTTCAGCAAGGCATCCTTAACAGCCACGCGAACCTCGTTGGGCTTGGACTGCCAAGTTCCCAGGCCAATGGCGGGGATCTTGTCACCGGTGTTAAGGGTGTAGGTCTTTCTATTGAGGGAGAGAATGTGTTAGCTATTGCACAGATTTTTAAAGCTCAGGAATGTGCAGTTGACCCTTGGGCAGAGCAATTCACAGTACTGGGGGAGGGGGTGCCATACTGAGTGTGCTGGTTGGACATTTTGGAGAATTTGTGATTTGAGAATGGATTTGGAAAGAAAGAGACAGGGGAATTGGGGAGATCTTTATAACTTTATAATATTCTTTGTAAAGAGTGGCGGTTCAATGCGACATACGTGGTCAAGGAAAGTGGGCAGGTCCAAGCTACGATGATGTCGTGCCCCTCCTTGAAGATGTGGGGTGATTAGACATTTGAGTTACATTGTGATTTGCTAGATAACATTATTAATGAGTGAGAATGGACACAATCGGACACCTGAAAACCTTGAGGTTGAAACATGTATATCATTTCCTGATATACGGATGATTTATCAATTCTACTATGTATTACGTACCTATACTACAATGAACGCGATGCAGGGCTTCATGAACAATTGACTTCAACTCTGCATGATTTAATTCCCGGCTAAATGCAGCTCTTTTTCCCAGTTCAACCATTGGTCCACCGTTGATCTCATCCAATAGTATCCGCCTATACCCGCGGACCCCTCCAGTTGTCCGCTACACCCAAGAACTTTGCGCAAATCCATCCTGTAACTAACACAATTCCAGAAACTTCGCTCTGTCGCCTTCGCATCTCATATCCACTTGCGTGCCCCGGGTTTCGTCGGTCCAATTCCCTTTCGTACCGGAGAGTAACTCCACTTCTCCCTTTTCCCGATCCCGTGTGTCTCACTGGCTCGTGACCTGGTGCCCGGATAATTACACGGTCCACTCGCACCGCCCATTATACCCGAGACCGAGACTCGGGAAGAATAACACGCAAATCTCCCCAATTTTCCCGAAACCAACCCTTCTGTCGTCATGTCCTCAGGATTCGTGTCGGCTGGAACCAACGAGCAACCAATTGACCGAGACGATGAATGGTTAAAAGCGCAGCAGGAGCTGGAGGAGGAGCGTCGGCGCAAGGCCGATATTGGCCAGCAGAATGACGGGAAAAGTTTATTCGAGGTTCTCCAGCAGAACAAAAGTGAGCTTGCTTTTTTCAATCAATCGCGGGGATGGGGTTAGCCATGGGATATGACCTATTTGTGCGAGACCAGCTGGACTTGGACCTAAGGCTTGGCGGCTGACATGTTAGGGTGATTGCTCGTTCGGCAAACAGTGGCGAAGCAGGAACAATTCGAAGAGAAAACACGCTTGAAGAACCAATTTCGATCGCTGGACGAAGACGAGGTGGAATTTTTGGACTCTGTGCTAGAGTCGACGCGGGCGCAGGAGGCAGCGGTGAAGAAGGACACGGCGGATCAGCTGGAGGCGTTCCGTAAACACCGCGAGGAAGCTGAGAAGTCGGCACTAGGCCCAACTTCATCGGACGTCACACCGGCGGAGGAGGAGGAATGGTCTATACCTGCACGCAAGAGACGGCGTGAAAAAAAGGACCTGCTACTTCCTGGCAAAAAGCGCAAGTCCTCCACCGCGGAACCCAGCCCTGAGGACACCAAGACAGAACAGTCCGCCAAGGGTAACACGCCCGCTACAAAGGCGGATAATTCCTCGAAATCTACTTCATCAAATACCTCCGACCCCAAGGCATCCGATATATCTGCGAAGACTGCGTCGGCAGGCCCGGCCAAGTCTGAGGCTGGAGAAAAGCCACAGCCAGCCAAGCCAGCATTAGGCCTGGTCGGATATGGATCTGACTCTGACTCGGAATGATTTAACCACGAGCAGTTACAAATATCAACCAAGAGAAGGAGAACCGCCCAAATTTTGGTTATTTAACCGAACAACAAAGGAAAATAGTCTAATACCCGTCCAACTGCGTTGGCTAAGACCCAATGCTCAAGTGACATTTGCCTTTGTAACATCCAGGAGCAAAATATGTATAATTAACCCCTATGAACGTGTTCAACTAATGGTATGCTCTCGCTACGGCTGTGTATCACTCTATATAGTGTTCTACCAGATAGCATATTGTAGGATTTCTCAACTCCATATCATTGGAAATAGACCTGGACCTCCGTGTTTAAAGATATGTGGTTTTGGGTTGAAAGTGCCAATTTCATTTCTAGAGCTTCATCCAGGTATCCATAGAATAATCAGCACTTCCCTCCCAACGTGAGCTAAATTATTTTGCACCCAGGCGAAAGAATGTGAGACAGCCTCATACGCGCACAGCGCTGCTACTAGTACCCCGGGCCATCAATACGTGATATAGTATATAAAATCATGGCAGGTGAGCTCAGAGGCTGCTACTATACCCCCTACTCGTAATGCATCGTATTCTGCTTGATCTCTTGCTCTTCAACCTTGCGCTCCAAATCATGAGGCATGTAATCCTCCTTCTTAGTACCAGGTACAATCCACGGTGCATGAGAAAACATGTAGTTCATCTCCTCAAGCGGCACCTTCTTTGTCTCAGGCAAGAGAGCATAGAAGAATATCGCATTTGTGAAGTTGCAAATCACGAAAAGGAAGTAGAACCGATAGTGAATACTGTCCATCGCAATGGGAGTGACCTGTCCAATCATCGTATTGAATGCATATGAAGTCATAGTAGCAATAGACACACCCTTTGAACGAGTTCGTGTGTCGAATACCTCGGCAGGAATAATCCAAGACAGCGGACCACATGTTGCGCTGAAGGAAAAGTTGTATAGCCAAGTCATGATGATGAAGCCCCAGTGAGCGCCAGTGCTCTGGGTTGTCGGTGGGAACTTAGCGAGCAGCACAGTGGCGATGATAAATGTGACCATGTTGCCTAGGTTTCCGCCGATAAGGGTCCATCGACGACCGAATCGGTCGATCAGGAGGATACAGAGGAATTGGGCGATCAGGGCGATGATTGAGTTGATGGCTTGGTAGCGGAGAGTGGCTTCACCGGAAATACCGATTTGTTCATAAATTTTCACTGAGTAGTATCTGTCTTGAGTTAGATTGGGTTTCTTCAATGTTTTGTCAGAGGAGTTTTTACTGGATGGCAGATACACCTGTCATTTGGACTGAAGCCTGAAGAGCACAGCAGAGGAAAAGACGTCGGAACGAAGATCGATTCTTGAACAGTTCAATGTACGACTTGGCTTCGTTCTCGTGTTCGAAGGTGATACTCTCTTGAATTTGAGAGTATTCTGCTTGTACCCAGGGGTCGTTTTCATTGCCATGGGCGTGAAGCCTGGCCAGTGTTTTAAGACCTTCTTCGGGTTGATTGTGATCGATCAACCAACGGGGAGACTGAAATGGTTAGAAAACTTTAAATCTTAGAAAGGGTCCTTATATTTCATAGCTTACCTCAGGGAAGACCATGATCAAGCAACCCAGCAGTACGGCAGGGATGATCTGCAATCCCAATGGCAATTGCCATTGAGCATCATTGGTTGGAGCAAAGCCAATGTAGGTACCGTATGAGATCCATGCAGCGCAAAGAGCACCCACACCCAGCATGAATTGTTGAAGTGCAGTGACTCGTCCACGAATGCTGGGATGGCAGATCTCGGCTTGATAAAGTGGAATTACCATAGTGAGAAAGCCAACTCTAGTTATGTTCATCAGCATTGTCTCTAATTCGTGGTATGCATACAAATGGCACCACATACCCTAACCCGGCAAAGAATCGTCCACTATATAGGAAAGCGATGGTCCGGGCTCCAGTCTGCAGGCCTCCTCCCAAGCAGAAGAGAATACATCCCAAGCATATTGTCTTTCTTCGACCAAGGTAATCGCCACTGGGACCTGCGAAGCCAGCGCCGAAAAACGCGCCGCAGGTAAACAAAGAAACAACCAGACCACTATTTGCTTGTTAGTAGTTGAAATACATGGCTGCAGTCGCAGGGTGCAGCAAACCTCTGCGTGCTATTGGTGGCAAACTTGGTTACGAATGATTCGCAAACAATAACCTCGGCAATGACACCCAAATCATCTAGTGTTGTTAGAAATTGTATACCGAGGATTCAATGTGATATTTCAACAACATACATCCGTATAGAAATGAACCCAAGGAGGCGAACACGCCAACCAGGAACTAGTAAGTTCGTCAGTTGGGGTAAATAAAGTTTGGAGAATTAGAAGTTCTAACCTGATACCATGATGGTGAAAGACGCATGGCGAAAACTAAGTGAGCTTCTCAGATAAAAAAAGAAAAGTGGGACTGTCAATTTGGGACCCACGATCAACAGGGACGTGGTACGCGTAATCTGGGGATCTCCACGGGGAACCCTGACACCCTTCACGGGGAAGAGACGTTCTATATACAACATCTTAACGGCATTCCACATGAGAATCAACATTTCAGATCCGGAGAAATCTCCATGAGCCAAGCCCTCTAACTCTATTACAATGAGCTTGCGACGATTTAAGCGAGCTTCTTCCAAGCCCAGATCCCGCAAAACATCCCTAAATTAGCACATAGACAAGGTAATTTAACGTTTCGGTATTTTGGACCCTGACGATTGGGTATCTTGTCTAGAAATTTTCACGCCTTTCGATATCAGGTGAGTCTAAAGATGCGGGGACCGGGACTAGTGGCGTTTTGATTTCCTGCATCGTGATTGATGGAATATCTCTTCAAACTCGGCAACTCATGTCTATACATGGCCAGATTTCGACATCATTGGCGAAAACCAGAGCTACCATGCCTAAAGCCTCCTTAGATGCATATTCTATGCCGATACTATTCCAAAATGAGGTTTATCTCGTTTGACCATGCCATTAGGCTCGGGAGCGCGATTCCGACGCCATGGGGCCTCGACACTTGCCCCGCAGGAGATTTGCCGCTTCAAGGGTACCATAGTGAGGGGCATGAAATAAATTGGGTTATGATTATATCCTTCATTGGTTTTATTTCTGGTCTGGCGCTCTTTTGCGAATCAGTTCTGTGATTATAATTATCTGGTAACCATAACTGGACAAGAATTGCTCATAGCTTTCAGCCACTGCAAAACCATCGGAGTAAATAGTAAACCGTGGAAAAAGTACTTGGAGTACAATTCAGTCTGGAACAATGACTTCTTTCACCAAATTGAACGACCAGGCTACCCCGGTCATTTCTGTTCATCCTTCTCGGCCGGTCTCCAAGATTAATCCGAACATCTATGCTGGCTTTACAGAGTAAGTTATAGTGGCGTGATTGGATGGTCATTTATCAAATTTCGTCTTGGGGTTGAATTTGAGGTTGAAGATATTAACGAACTGTTGATAGGCACATGGGAAGATGCATCTATGGAGGCATCTATGAGCCAGGTAGTCCGCTTGCGGATGAGAATGGGTTCCGCAAGGATGTGCTGGAAGCTTTGAAGGAGCTGAACATCCCAGTCGTTCGGTATCCCGGTGGTAATTTTTGTGCTACCTATCACTGGCTAGATGGTGTTGGCCCTAAGGATCAGCGTCCCTCTCGGTAAGTTCAAAATCTGAATTGTTTGTTTTTACCTCGCTGATAAAATTAGACCAGAACTAGCCTGGCTTGGGACTGAGACGAATCAGTTTGGAACAGATGAGTTCATGAAATGGTGCGAGGTCCTTGGGACTGAGCCTTATCTCTGTTTCAATTTTGGAACCGGCACACTCGATGAAGGTACGTACGTGGCTGGTGTCTGGTTTTGAGGGTGAAATAAATACTAAGAACAGACAGCTCTGGGATGGTTGGAATACTGCAATGGCACTGGTAACACATACTATGCTAATATGCGCCGAAAGAATGGCCGTGAAGAGCCTTACAATGTAAGATATATCAAATTTTGTGAAATAATTGAGAAGCTAATTTCCGTCAGGTCAAATACTGGGCACTTGGAAACGAAACGTGGGGACCATGGCAAGTGGAGCAGATGACCAAGGAAGCCTACTCTCATAAGGCATTACAATGGGCGAAAGGTTAGACACCCAAAATAAGGATTCTGTTCACCCACATTGATATCTGACTTTGATTTTAGCCCTCAAATTACTTGATCCAAGCGTTGTTCTTATTCTTTGTGGTCAAGACGGTACTGCTTCCTGGGACTACTACACTTTGAAGCACTGTCTCCTCCCCGCCCACTCAGCTCTCTCCACCAGTGCTGTGCCCTTAATCGACATGCACAGTATCCACCTGTACACATGTTCATCCTCCCATCTCCCCAACGCAACAGCTCCCCTAGCTGCGGAGCGCGCAATCGAAATCACATCCTCCTTGATCGATCTTGCGCGGATCGAAAATGGAGTGCCACCCGAGCAGCTTCGCCCCACAATTTGCTTCGACGAGTGGAATGTTTGGGATCCCATCCGCGCAGAAGGAAGCCAAGGTGCCGAGGAGAGCTATACACTGTCAGACGCATTGGCCGTAGCCGTGTGGCTCAACGTGTTTATTCGCAAGAGCCGTGACGTCGGCATGGCTTGTATTGCGCAAACCGTGAATGTCATTTCGCCTCTTATGACAACCAAGGAGAAGACTATCAAGCAGTCTACATGGTGGCCTCTCTATCTGTTTTCGAAATATATGCGTGGCTCCACTGTTGCCTCGCATGTTGCTTGTGGAACGTATGAAGGTGAAACGTCGCCTAAGTGGTTGCGTGGAGCTATGGATACCCCTTGGCTCGATGTTAGTGCCACCCTTGGGGATGATGGTTTTGCCAATTTGGCCGTGGTAAATATTCACGAGGAAAAGAGCTTCGAAACTACGGTTGAAGGTATCTCGAGTAAGGCGCAGGTTTTTACTGTTACTGGACAGGATGTGCAGGCCTGCAATATGAAGGGACAGGAGGAGGTTGGTATTCAAGAGTCCTCCTGGGATGGAAAGGGCAGCTACACATTCCCTAAGCATTCTTTGACTTTGTTGAGGTGGAAGCCTGAGTAAGGCTAGGGAAATTATCGTTTGATTTGCGTATAGATAATATACATAGATTCATGGAACTTTCTCATGTACTCCTTAATGATAAAACTCCCGAATCTATGATTACTTCAACTTCATGATGAGTCAAACGACGTGCATTTAAGGTGTAGCAAAATAAATATTATCTTTCGATGAAATCACCATATTTATACCCAGAAAAAAAATACAGAGGAGACAAGCCTCACTATAGATGAGTGGTGTGTCGTCTCGCTCTCGTTTTCGCCTCCGTCTTCGTTTTCCGCGTTCGCATCCACCTCATCTCCACTATGTATGTCTGCTAGGCAGAATTCATCTATATCATCGTACAAAAACTTGGTGCATATTATCATCGATAGTAGAAATCTTGCGAAAAGAAACTCTAGCGTTGGATTATACAATGAAGTTTTTCTTTATCGTCAATAGCCGATAGAAAGGCACGCTACATAGCCGGGTACCAAGCAATCCGAAATCGTATTGAAAGGGCCTAGTGATTCCCAAATAAAGAGTAGAAAGATACAGTAGATAAGAGTTTCAGCTTCAGTCTCATCAATCATTATTTGGAGCAAGATAGTTCTGAATCCCTTTATTGGAATATAGGCACGTATGTGTGGAGATCATATCGCAGATCTAGCCATAGGTCACATTATGAACGATTCCATCGCGATCAAGGTGGATATTTAATCTATTAATAGAAAGAAAAATTATTAGCAGGTTTAAAGACAGACCATTTCAGGCTGAAACTCCAACTCCATACCTATTATCCTGGTGATCCGCAGTCGCCATGGAATCATGTTCCAGTATGCGGTGGGACTCGGGGAGATCCTTCTTGGCGAATGCCTATACTCAGTTCGGTATGTTAGAAAGTATCCTGCATGATCAAAGTTGGGCTCTTGCCGACATACCGTCTCGTTACTAGCTGAGTCGCTGAGCTTCTTGCCCATCAATTTGTTGACCCACTCGGACTTATCGCCCATAGAGGAGTTGATGCCTGGAATAACAAGAGGCATGGTGAAGAGGATGTGATATTTTTATGATATTTTTGAGTGGAAATTCAGATATTAAAAGTGTCCCCAAGTTCTGAAGGTACGAAGTTCTTGGAAACTCTTGGGTTGGTAGGTACGTCAAGGTTAAGGTGCGAGAGGGTCCTATATAGGGACTACCGTGTGATGACGTAGGTGTCGATAAGAACCTTGTGAGATTAGTCAGTTTGCACCGAAACTTGTAAGGTTCCAAGGTTAATAGAGGTGCCTAGTATAAAGCCAAGGGTTCGAAATTAATGATCGGCTAAATTGAAAGAAAATGAGTCAATGACATAAACTAATACTGAGTAGTTGGGGGGGGTAAGATGATTGTCGCTCGGTATGTACAAGCTTAAAGTGGATCAAAAGGGTATCATAAGTATTAGGATCATATTCTAGGTTAGTGATCATTAAGTCTAAAATAAACTAAATCCAAACACCCATTTACGGGTGACTTCTCTCACCCTCTGGCTGTAAAATATTCTGCAGGGGCCCAATATACTTCCTCCTCGCCCGGAACACCCAGTCCATAACCAGCAATATGCAGACACCAATGAAGACAGGACCAGACCAGTTCATGTTTGCAGCTGTGACTGGAATTTGTGTGGGGAATGGCACAAATATGCACACAAATACACCAAAGGACAGGGCAAAGACGTTGATTGCCATGCCGTAGCGTCCCAGTGTCCAAGGTCCAAATTCGATTGGTCCACGCTTGGTGTCTAGTCGACGAATGATCATCAGGACAACCGGGATCAAATATGAAACGTATAGAGAGCTGGTTGATAAGGCGAGAATAGCGCTCAAAGCAGTCTCTGATGCAGCGTTGATAACTGAGAGAATAATGACCGCGGCGCAGACGAGGTAGATGGCACGTTTTGGTACGCGATATTTGCGATCAACCTGAATGACTGTTAGCGGAGGTTGTAAAGGTGTATTAAAAGGAAATATATCTCTTACGTGAGCAAAATAGTTGGAGAAAGGAAGTCCACCGTCGCGAGCGAAAGCCCAAGTAAGGCGTGAGACGGATGCGACCACAGCGGTGTTAGACACCATACCAATAATAACGATGCCAGTTTGCATCGCGGTGGCCGCTCCAACAGACTGAGTGGTTTGTTTGAAAATTCCAATTGTAGGATAGATGTATTGAGGATTGAGAGCTTCGTTCATATTGCCGAGGCAGAACAGAATGACCAAGAGAAACACAAATGCCATTAAACCGTTGATGGCAATTGTTTGGATCAGGATGCGAGGTATGACCATTGCTGGGTTCCGCACTTCTTCGCTCATGTGAATCGCACCATCGAAGCCTAAATTTCAATAATTTTCAGTGCATATTCAAGGTGTTGTGGGGTAAAATATTTGATGAATTTACCGAGAAAGCAATATGTCACTGTCAACATCCCAAGACACCAGGCAACACCCTTCGACTGCCACCCTTCTTCTGATGTCAACAATTCAGTGAAAACAAATTCGGAGCTGCTGCGACGAGAAAGAAGAATGAGCGGAATCGTGATTGCAATGAAGAAAACGATATGCATTATCCCACCCAACATCTGCAAAGCAGGCATGATCTTGATGCCATAGATGTTGATGAAACCAGCAAGAAGGACAATTGCCCACATTAACAGGGTTCCATGCCATTGCCGAGCAGCGTATGTGGACTCGTTCAACATGACTATTCCTTGAATTGTTGTTGCCACCAAGGAACAAATACTGGCCGTCGCCGCCTGCCATCCAAAAACAGTGATCCAGCCTTGCATCCATGTCACGAACGAGCGAATCTTTGGCGGGGCTAGTACTGCTGTCCAGTGGTACTGTGCTCCTGCTCGGGGACAAATTGACGATAACTCGGCCAATGACAAAGCCAACGCCATTGTACCTATTATTGACAGCACCATGCCCCAGACAAGGCCTGCTGGGCCTCCATTCAAAAGTCCAGACCCAAAGCTACTGTTCGGGGGTCAGCGCATTCGAAATGAGAGAGAGAAAATGTTTTCTGGGGCTTTCGTACTTGGCCACGGATTCCCACGAAGATAGCAAGGTTAGTGACAGCGAAAGAATTGATAAAGAGCCAAATTTTCTCTAAGGAAAACTCATGTCAGTTTTCCCGTGCTCTTTCCACATTAACAACGGTGGGGGAAACACTTACTTCCATATGTTTTTTACTTGATCTTGACGTGGAAACACCACCGTGGAAACCACCATCAGAGCCCGATCGTGCGTGCGACACACTCACTTGAACAGATTTGGCGCCCAGCCTGCTCATCTCGATACCCTGGTCCGACATTATGAACAATGGACCTTCTTATCAGAGTCTTCCTGAGATGTAAGCGCGGCTGAAAAGAGCCAGCACTTAATTTGTGAGAATGTGAATACAATCTCAAGAATTTTTGATGCAGTTATTGACCATCCCATCCACCCCATACACCAAGAGTATATGCAAAGATTGACTAGGGGTCCAGTCTCAAACAAGAGTTTGAGGGGTGCCGAGCTCGGTAAGGCCGCGTTTTATCGAACCATGCGCACGAGATACTGGCTATTTGGGTCGTGATCCGGAATACCTAGATACAGGGACCCAGTTAAGACATGAGCTTGGGGCGACTCGATCATGGGTTCTGATTTGTCTACAAACTTTGGTAGTGCACGCCACATGTATCCTGGATTAATCAAGAGACAATGATTTGGCGGAGGAGACTAGATCTAATTGTCCGGCTCCACTTGCTGCGGCTTCAGTGCTCTGTTCGGGGGTCTCTACCACTCCGGGGTTCCCGTCACTCCCCGAGGCCCAGCCAGTGACAGATACGTGATAGCATTCCATCAGAAGCCAATTCGGATTGTGAAACATGGCTTGGGCTGTTGTTCTCTCATTTTGAAAGAACTAGCAGCTGGTATATGTAACAAGCTAACCTCTATACATGACACTACTGATGCTTTTTTGCGCCAGGTGGCTTTGTTGGACCTGGGGCTCGGCATTAGGTAGGGCCACGCGAGCGCCAAAGTTAATCACTTTGACTTTGTGGTCCGTATGAGATACTAAAGTTGCTTTTTCCATGGTGGGGCTGCTGTGTTTGAAATTCCGCTGCTTTTATGGAGGTCCGAGCGGACCGAGTAGACCTCAGACCATCTTAGGGCTGGCCATCAGTAGTATGTGCTTGCTGATCCTGCCAGGGGCATATATATCGCATTCAATTTCTAGTATTTTATTGCCGAAGAAGTATACAATCTAAATAAGGTCTAATTTAATTTGTGAACCCCATCCAGAAAACCCGAGTTAGCTCGTGCTTATCCTTGAGCGGCGGCAACCATTCCACTACATACTAGTAGTATATAAACCTACGAGTTTACCAGGAAGGGTGACCTTCCCGAGGTCTGGGATAATACGTCGTCAAGGATTTCATTTGCTCACATAGGGTAGGATTATATTCTTGAAGATTGGTAGAAGCACCCTTGGACCTCGGCCATTGTGTAGGGTTTATCACACGATGGCTACTACTTATCTCGCGCTGAACTTCGAATCCAGTAGCTTTCAGAAGGTCTACTACAATCGATGCAGTGCTCTCCTTTTTACCTCTGACCTCCGGCTCTGGTAAAATCCCTTGTCAAATTCAGCATACTTGTTGATTTCCGAAAGTAACTTGAAGGATATTAATGCCTATCTCATCCGGGACGACAAGCTACATTCTGCTGTAGAAGAAGAAGAACAAAAATTCCACAGGGTTAGAAAACGTTTTCATTCATTTTTATCATTTCATGGTTTTTTTTTAAGTTTCTTGGAGTTGGTTCAGCTCCATTTATGATCAAGAATTGATCCTATAGCGCTAGGAAATGTAAATTAGGCGTTAAATGGCGATAATTTCAAAAACAGTAAGCTGCCCAAAGTATCATGATGTAATACTCTTTGATAAACAAAATCACGAAGTTCGGTAAAAGGCTTCATAGCTTAAGAGGCTCAAGGGCAGAATCCCCAAAGCGTCGATTATTGAAAATGTGTTAGAAGTATAGTTATCCATACTATCTCTCCGATCTTGAAGGCCTCGGCCCTTCAGAACGCCCAATTGAGTTTTATTCTAGCATTATTCGTGCTCCAATTCACTTTTGATTTAAGTATGTATCACTATATTTTATTGCGGCTGACTCGTGGCATAGTTAGATACGAGCTGTGCCGTGCTCAGTTATACCCAGGAAGGCAATAGCGGCAAGGGATCGGTACCGAAGTGGAAAAGCTCCCCGCTATAAGCCCCCCGGGGCCGCTAGAATCATTTATGCGCGCAATGAAATGATTGGGAACACACAGACCCCTTAACATCCTTGCTCACACTGCGTGCCACTCCGGCCGGACTCCGACGAGATTCCAGATACTTTTGCACACGATAAAGGATCATTGAATTTCTTGGATCATTACGAATGGAATCCACTGTTCATTCGATACGAACGACCGATGAGCACATAGAAAAGATAACAAAAAAGCGGAGATTTCCAACAAAACATCCTTCCATCCTAAATGTACTTCGTATATGTGGATATGGTGGACAACAAGCACTTGATTAAAGTTCAGGGGCACATTCCGAATAAGTACGACGTGACATGATCTGACAGCCGCTAAGACGACGCCGCTACGAACCTGTCAAATACACGCATACCGCCGATCTGCGATCTGCGACCTGTTATCGCTTTTGTGCTTCTTGAAGTTGAGTCCCCTCATCTTTGGACTGCGGGAGTCAATTTTCTCGCTTCAGCATGGCGGGCACATTGCCTCCTCTTTTTGAGATTTCTGATGAGGATCATGGAGGATATGTGGCTGTCGCGGTGTATACACTCTTGGTGCTGAGTATTTTTATTGTGGTGACTCGCTTGTTCACTCGGTGGTATATCGGTCGCGTGATACATTCCGACGATATCTTGCTTGGGGCATCTGCTGTATGTACCCCCGCGTGTGCCTCTGAAATCATTCTACAAGGACAGCAATGAATGACAGTCGCTAATATATTGTTTAATGAATAGTTATTAGGGATATTACAAAGTATATTTGTACAACTAGCGATTTCTGATGGACTCGGCCGGAAGCGCTCAACAGTCACAAACCACAAATTCCTCCAATTTTTGAAGGTATTCCCAAAGCAAAGCTCATATTTGTCATGTTCCTTCACAGGGAGACTAATTGAAGAAATTTTTGTAGCATGAATATGTTGCACAAATTCTCCTCATAATAACAATCGCGTTGAGTAAACTTTCGCTGGGACTGCTCTTTAAGAGTACGATGACATCTCGCCGGTTTTCATGGGCAAATTGGACATTGATGGGGGTTATTACTGCATGGGCAGTCGGATCCATTTTGGCTTTGGCTCTGCGATGCTCTTTGCCAACTCCTTGGCTGTGGAGCTCATCGGACCAATGTATAAATCAGGTAAGACAAATTTTGTTTGAAATTTGGCAATGAGACATAGAGCTGACAACAGATTGCTTGCAGGCCGCACTTTTTCAAACGATCGCAACTTTCAATATCATCACCGATGTTGCTCTCGTGATTCTTCCATGCATGCTGCTCCGAACAGTGCAGTTGTCTCGATGGAAACGATTCAGAATCATGGCGCTCATCGCCAGCAAGTTTTTGTAAGTCAATATCCTGAAGGAATACTTAGAGTATGATGGCTAACCTTTTTAGGGTTTGTGGTGCTACGGGAATTGAAGTTCATTATACTCTTAAAATGCTTGGTTCGCCCGATATACTCTGTATGTTGATCATCAAGGAGAGCATTCTACTATATGTCATTTTATACATACTAATTTGGGAACTAGGGGCAAGCACGAACGCTACCGTGTGGGACCAGTAAGTATTCAAGTTGTTAATTCGGAGCGACCGCTTCAAAATCACCAATATAAGGTTATTAACATATTGTACAGAGTCATGATGAATCTCAGCATAATGACAACAACTCTCCCATCGCTTGGACGCCTAGTTGTCGAACTTCAACCCGATGTCTATGCGTTCGCCATTCACGATGAAGCCGACGGAACTTCCAAGGGTGGCAAATATAATATCTCAACCATGAGAAAGTCATATCCAGCAAGGGCCCCTCTCAGTCCAGGAACCTCCACTGAGGTAACCAGTGGGTGGCGGGAATCATTCAAGGATGATGCCGAGAGTATGGAGGGACTGGTCAATCCACCTAATGTGATCCAACAAACGATACACTTCGAAGTTCACTAGCTTCTAGAAACTCAGGAACATAGACATGTATTTTGTTTTTATGAAGAAATTTGGATATGCCCATTAATTGATTTGTAAAATCGTCTCCAGTGACCCATTAATTGTGTATCAATGTTTAATATTCGATTCTAAATACCGAGGTCGTGTGCATAGTACATGCCCAGGTGTATCATATGTACGGATTTCCATCAAGTTTACCACATCCGATGCTTCTTAGCCTCTCTCTTCAGTTTCTCACAAATGGCGAGGTAAGAAGTCAAAGCTATCAAAGTGAAGTTATCCCCATATGACATGAGAATCTCTACTGAGCCATACTTACCAGCACTCAACTCCACATCGCGCGCAATAGCAGCCACATTCCCCGTTAACTCATCAACCAATTTCCAACCCGACGAGCTTCCCCAAATAAAAGGTCGCGGACTCGTCAAGCTGAGCCCAGCGATATTAAGTGGATTTGCATCATGTACTCGTGCCATAATCCGGTACTGTGTGGTCATTAGAGTCTCCTGATCCATAGCTGACCACCAAAGAGTCTCTTTGTCGCCGTTTGAAGTCTTTGTCATTGTTATATCGGCAGAGCAAGTTTTCTCCTTGAAATCGCATGAGGCTAATTCACGGTTTGAAGCATCGTTTAGGTAGAAGGCCAGATCTGGTTTCAGGCTCCATTCGTTGGCTTGCGCGTTGATTGAGACCCCGCTTTGGGATTCGGGCGTTATGAAATAGTCACGCTGCAGGGGACAGCCAATGCAGAAGATGACTGGGTTCCTGGTCGCCGATGTCGCAGCGGGGTTGGACGGATCCCGGGGCTGGTAGGGTGGTGGTGGTTCATGTGTACTGACCATGACTCGGATTGTTGTGCTCAATAGCTTGAAATATTCGTAGATTTCGATGTTTTATATGTTTTGTACAGGATAAACAAATTTGTTTTTTGAGTTGCTCTGGAGCCACTGGTTCACTGGCATGTATGTATTCCAGGGTTGCAATGTCGAAGAGGCAATGTCACCAAAAGCAACGCTTATATAAGCTTGGGGGGAGCTAACGTTGAAGCTAAAGACGGCGCATGTTTCATATCGTCTTGTGTATATAATTCCAAAAACGGGATTGATTTGCATGACGATGGGTGTCTTCAGCTCTGCTGTTGATGTTTGTTTGTATAGTCTCGATTAACCTCGGTGCCAAGATTATGCCAAGGTAAGCCTCGAAGGTGGATGATGAACTATACATCCACAGTATAAGATGTATGCATAACAGACTCCAATTGCCTCACAGTAAGGAATTAAAACCATGAATATTTGTAGCAACAATCTTGGAGGTGCTTCAGCGCAAGGAAGTCACATTCGAGATCCATGGCTGCCGTTGATACAACTGCTCTTGCCGTCCGAGATGGCACTTGAATTCAAGGCGCTCACTTCAGTTCCGAGAGTCATAATCGCAGCATTCAAAGGTTTTTCAAAACTGCAACATTAGTCTCTGCATACCTTTATATTTCATTATTTCTGATACATCGACTCTCTACCTGTGAGTGTGGGATCACAAGTTTGTGAACCGCTTGAAGCTAATCACCACAACGCGATTCGCGACTGACAGACCCGGATAATCTAAGCTCAGAGACTGACTTCTTCCATGACTTTCTTTGCTTGCAGTGTTTCAATGATTTCCCGTCGGCATAGGCTCCTGCAGCAAGCAGACACCAATGGACTTTCTTTCCGGCGAGTGACCAGACCCGCCGTGCCAGACAGCATACCTGTGTTGAACCACCACAACGAACAGCGTGAAGTCGAAGATCTTAGGAGATTCCAAAACAATTTCCTCTCAAATGGTCTTCCAGAAGCCATCTCTCACAAAGACTCGGGTTCGAAGCTGCATGGGCGTAAAGACTCCACCTGGACGTACGCTAAAACCCCATCAATTGCTGCTGCCACCATACTTGGAACAATCACCTTCTTGGCTCTGGTCTTCCTTATAGTGTGGTATATTAGACGAGAGCGCACTCGGCGACTTCGGTATATGCGAAATGAAAGCCAAGATCCATTCTATACCTCAAACCTCACTCTAACCGAAGATACAAGCAAGACGCTCCACGATTTTCTCATGAAAGATGTCCAACCAGAGCGAACCTCTCTCATGTTCAGTCGCAGCCGATCTCCCTCTTTTACATTCGTCATTAATAAAGCAGATCGTCAAAAATCCACGAACAGACTATACCGTGGAAGTTACGACGCGTCATCGAATAGTCTCAGCAAGCTCACTTCCCTAACTAGGGTATCGACAGAGGCATCTCGGCCAAGCTTGATGATCTCCGGTCTGACACAGACAACATCGAACTCTTCTACCCAGCTACCCGCATCTTCATCCCGTCTATCTATGGTATCAACGGTGCCTCCAACAGCCCGGTCTTCGATGCTGTGGACGACCACCACATCCTCCACGAATAGTACTATAGGCACCAGTGCCACGGAACCTAGCTCGATTTTCAGTCAGCTGCCAACTTCTAGCTCTAGGACCTCGCAGTCTGTCCCTCCCTCTTTGAACAATCCGCGCAGTTCCGTTAATTCAATTGTTCGCTCAAATCCCTCCGATGCGTCACGAACTTCCAGCCGGCATTCTGTTACTAGTGCTCGAAATTCAATTCCAATTGCGATGGAACAGAATGTTGCTTCGCGAAGGGCGCAAGTGAAGTCTCACCGTCGTAGCCCGTCTTCCGTTCAGTCTCCCATCGAACTATCGGGTGTCTCTGGGCAGTCCTCGCAATTACCCTCTATTCCGTCAACTCCGTCGGGTTCTTTTCGACTTTCTGATGCATAGTCATTTGACCTACCACAGCAGCTTCAACGGTTATCGAATATGTGAGGGGCCACTTTTCTGGTAAATTGAATGAAGCTCGTCGCTTGAAGGGAATTGGGTCCTTCGAATACATGATTTATTAATCATCTGTACAAAGGCTGTATGGATCACCTTGATAACTACCAAATCAATTCAACTATTCAGGCGCCCTTTCCTAGCTGGAAGCCTTGGGTTCATAACTTCCGCGATTCCAAGGTTGAGATGTTGGTCATAAAAAGCACAATTGACATAGCCCTGTACGTGAATAATCCAGTCAATCTTCAAAGTAAGGCCGGCAATAGCTTTTTTCGATCTCCTTGAGCTTCCAAGGTTTCTTTTGCAGGTTCTCAATGATAAGTGTACGTAGTACATACGGGTATCCTGACTGCCCTGGGCTTGTGCTACCTCAATTTGAGACAATGAGCAGTTTTGATTCTTTAAAAATCCAGAAACATCATCTGAGCTTTGATCTTCGCGTCTTATTTTGCGACCTATCTTAACATAGTTGTGCGTAAATATATGGAACATTGGTGGGGTGTATTTAACGCCTACCCACAGCAACGCCCGAAGCCACCAGAAGAAGTAGCACGAAAAAGGCATAACTCCCAATAGAAAAAGCAATGAATGAATTAGCGCAAAAGCAAACAAGAAAAAGAAGAGTAGAAAAGGAAATCCCGAACATATGTCCGTCATGAAATGTACATAATTCAAAACAATTGTCAGATCGACGGGGAGATCTCAGTTATCATCGGGTCTATGGGAACCATATTCAACAAACAAAATCCAACGGTGTTCATGACTTCATCTCTTTCATCTCGCGCACGGAGCGTAGGCATCTCTCCATGCGTTTGCCTCGTTCCTTTTCGCGGACGAGGGTGTTCTTTACGAAATTGCGGATTGCTTCGCGCCCAACTTTCTCACGCCAGGTGGTCCAGCCTGCTAATTCACCGACGACAACATCTTTGTTCCACGATACCTCTCTTGCAAGCCGTGATGACTCGTTTTCTCCTTCTTGGATCTTTTTCTCGAGATCGCGGACAGACTTTTGTCGTGACTCTTCAAAACCAGGGAGGTTGATGTTGAACTTGCGGGGAAGTGAGGATGAGAGCAAAGAGGAGCGTGAGCGCGAGATATTGCGGTTGGTAGAAGCAAGATCTGAGATAAGGGATAGAGGGCGCGAGAGGGATGAGAGAATGGCGACAGTTGTATTGTCGATGGCAGTGAGAGCAGCAAGGTAGTGGAGAAGTGGGGATGAATCGGAGTTTGAGGTCGAGAGACATGCACCGTAGCGAGTAAAGGCATCGATGTATAGCTGGGGAAGTGCATTCGTAGGTTCTTTTAAGGTAGCAAGAACTGATGAACATAAAGCAACGGCATCCGCACTGTCCGAGGCACTATTGTGGAGCGCATATCCACGGCGAATAACGCTACGAGTTTTGACATGTACACCGCGTACCATTTCCTGCGCGTGTGATACAAATTGTTCTGTATCACGGGTGCCTTCAATTGATATTGGCGCGAATTCATCGGCGATGGTTTCAGTTAGAACAGCTGCTTTGCTTCGTGATCGGTCTGCCATCATTTCTGGTTGTAATTCCGGAACAAGGAAGAATTCCCAAAGCATTTCGTGAGTAGAAAATGTTGGGTGTGTAAGCAAAGTTTTCAAGAAACGGTCAAGCTTTTCTTGAAGATCATGGAGGACGGATCGAGATGGCTTAGAGTGGATTTGGAACGGATTCCGGAAGTCGGAAAGTGATGGTACATAAGAAGCAGGATGCTCCACTGAGAGCCACTTTGCTAGGTTCTCGAAATCTTGAAAGCTGCGCCGACATGTTGTCACAGTGTACGTTGTTGAGCCTGGTCGCGAAGAAGCCATCGACTCTGATGAAGTGTGAGGCGCGCCAGATTTAAGAATGAATCGCACTGTTGCATCTTCAACGAAGAAAGATCGCACAACAGTTGTGACACGGCCAGACGGATCCCCCAATGTTGACGGTGGATGGGACAATAGAATGAGATCATCGATTCTGTTTCGAACCTCGTCATCTTTGGCGAGCTCAACTGCTGTCAATCCACGAGTTTCCTTGACATAAACATCCACTCTCGGATCCATGAATAAGATGCGCACCTGATCCACGCGTCCGTACTTGCTTGCCATCATGAGGGGCGTAAATTTTTTGTCATTGGTAGCATTGGGATCACAATCACTCTGCTGAAGTATCCGAGTTGTGATTTCAGGATCTCCTACAATGTGAAGTAATGTATTGCCTTTCGCATCAACATGATCATCTAGTTGAAGAGGTTTCCCATTACTTTGCGCCTGCTGTGCTGCTGTCAAGGCTGACTGAACCAAGGTCTTGTATTCAGGATGATCATACGAACGACAAAGCGCAAAAAGAGGGGTCTGTCCATGTTTATCTTTCTGTCGCCAGGGTAAGAGGCCACCAAGCCGGGCAAGAAGAGATGGTGTGCTGAAAAGATAATGGCCTGCGGTTCGCCCATGCACATCGGACTTGGTTAAGTGCATAGCGATCATACTATTATCAGCTTTGCTGAATAGAAAATTCAAAAGAATTTCAACAATTTCGCCATGCGCAAGCTGTACAGCTGCATTCAGTAAAGTTGTACCATCGGCATTTGTGTCTTCAAGAATATCTTCTGTGGGGTAATATTCTTCCAGACTCAGTAGGTATTTCAGAGCTTCTGTTTGGCGCCTTTCCACGGCCATCATAGGTATTGAATCGCCAGCTGGGTCTTGCGTTTTTGTCAAGGTTTCAATAGAGCTATCGCCCTCGATACCGCTTGCCATGGATCCAATTGTGGTGGTTCTGGAAATGAATGAAATGGCCGATGACTCTGAAAGGCTGCGAACGTCCATGGAAACTTTTTTCACCGGACGAATGTAGTCTCTTGGCGTAGAGGAACCATTCCAAGTCTGAAATGGGAAGACATGCGAGAGAGGAGGCGTTTCTGACGTAGTATCATCCAATACTGCTTCGCCGTTTGTGAGTACCGAATTACTGTACACAGATGATGTCTCAAGAGCAAATTCCTCGGGTTCCTCGGAGTTCTCAGTTCGGAAGAGAACGGATTTTCGTTCAGGCTCATGGGGAATGACTTCATCAATAGACTGATGATCTCCATTAGGTTCCAATATGCCTCTCATATCTGAGACTCGGCCTGTTTTAGTGGCTTGCCATAGTCGTCGATTTCGAACACTTGCCCGACGGAGGCCAGCTGAATCAGTGACCAGATACATCAAGACTGCTTCAAATGTGCTCAACGCATACCCCATCTCGCCGCTATCCACATCATCGATATAAATGAAGTGCTGCATATAGAGTAAACGGGCTTGCAAGTGGCGGGTTTGTGACCTGATCACAACTACCAGGAGCAATGAAACCAAAACATCGGCATTGATGGTAAGAGGGGAGCGCCCCTTTTCGCTTCCCAGTCCGTCCACTTGGTTATAGCTACCTGGATAAGAGATCACTTTGACCGTTTCCAGCAAGGTATTCAGCATTTCATGTGGGCTTTTGGCATCGCCCATCTTTCGAAATTCTTCCACACCTCGACCCAGTCGACGAATCAGTTCTCTCTTCCCTTCGCGTCCTCCTTCCACGCTAATCCCAACCTGAGTAATGTCAATGCTTTCCATGTATCGAATCCTGTTGTCTAGTTCTGAATCCTCGGGTTGTCGGAATGCACACAAACGAGGAAACAGGAGAGGCTCGTGAACTTGCTCCGCAACATAACGTTCTATGAGGCGCTCCACCAAGGGGCCTGTAAGATCAGTTGTGGCACCAAGAAGTGAAAGCTGCTGCTTGTCAACTAGTCGAAACAGATCGATGGCAGCAGTTACGGCAGTTTCCAAGCTCCGGCGCATAAGGTCCTCATCATCCTCAAAATATTCCTCGGAGTTGAAGGGCAGTCTTCCACGGCGAGATGACCAACTGCGAATGGACGAGCTCTCATCTACCAAAGTTTCGGCGCGTGATAATTTGTAACTCCGTTCGCTACCGGATGCCGAAGGTGATCTTGATGGAGGGGGCGGTAATGGCTTCCCCAGCTCTTTTCCAAATTCGCGGAATAATCTTTCTAGGCCAGGCTGCATCTGCCTTGCGATCATTGGAAAGTTGGCCAGCAACTCACCAAGAGACTTGATCTCCTGCTTCTGCGGTGCTCCGACAGGTTCCCCATTTACACTTTTTGTATTCAAGGTGAGGGACTCAAGTATCTTTGCGTTGGTCCCTGGCACGACTGCGGGGACAATTCTAGCCGAGTCGAACGAACCGATCAATGGACGGGAGATGAAGTATATGAGCCAAGGTCGCGATTCATTCGAGGATGTGTGATATAAGGAGTCAAACAAAAGTTGAGCTTGAGTCAAGGATTTGAAACCTATATCATCAATAAATTAGTAATGAACAACTCATCTCAGAATTCATTATTATCTCTACCTTTGTTGCTGTATACTGAGTTCTCTTTGATTATAACCGTCCTTCCATTGAATGTCGTGACCTGTTTTGCTTTGCCTCTATTGTCGCGCACATTGGATTCCTCTTTTCCATCTTTTGAGCCTGTATTTATCGGAATTCGTAACACATGGCTTCCTAGAAATTCCTCCGACGCGACTAAATCCGAGTAGTATATGCCGGACTCCCGGTCTCGCGAACCGACCAGGGATTCTGTTGTGGGAACAAGAAGTACCTGTGAGATAATACATTGACATTGGTCAGACTTTCCGGTCGACCGATGGTAAATACGAGGAAGACTTACATGATTCTCCACGGGTATACACTGCCCCGGAACAGTGCTTCGGAAGAAGGCGCGGAGAAAGGGATTTAGAGGGTGCATCCAAACGGTTTTGGACGGCCCAGTAGAGAAAAGCCAGTAATCATCAAGCCGTTGGTATCAGACCGATCGATGCGTAGGGGATTCAAGGTTATGTGGCGTGATGGTCGTTTCGCGGGGAAGAGCTCCGGCGCATTTGAATGCAGGCAACAGCCCGGGAATAATGGCGAGAAGTAAAAGATCACTGCCAAGTGTTTCCGCAATAATATAAAACAGATTACTGAGATCAATTCACAGAAAAGAAAGACGCGATAGGAACAATAAAATAAAGCGCGTGAAAGTGCAATACGGAGGCTTGAGGCAGTGAAGTTCGAGAACGTGATCGCTGCGGGAGCTGATTACACGCTATACCGGGCTTGGCAAGTCAGGGACTTTGTACTCTAAAAGAGCAAAAAATACAGCAATCAACAGTGATAGACGACTAGGACTATTTGTTCGAGTTCAGAAGTTTATGAATAATGTAAGACAAGACGAAAAGAATTTCAAGATTTGAGGGCCAATGCTATTGTACAATATATAGTATCATGGGCCTTGAGAAGTAGGCACTATTTCAATACATATCTCCTCGAAGGAGATGAAACGAGTCGCAAAAACTCCTGGTCATCAGGATGCGATCAGGAATAAAAACGGAACAACGCTGGATGTTCTTCGATTAACCCAGTCTGCGAACCTTCGGGCTACGAGTACCACCGAATTTGACACGGGTTGAATCGGTCACTCGACTGACAATCCCTCGGATGTGACGCCCTTCATTTCCAAGAAGTACCTTGGTAAATGCCTCACGACCCTTCCCGAACCCCCGGTAAACAACTTCAAGTCTTTTAAGCTCCATCAGCAATCCGCGTTCCTGGATCTGACCCATGACATGAGCGGACAATTGGTATGCTGGGTCGAAACCACCACGGCCAGCCTTTCGGAAACCGAGTTGACCGCAACCAATGGACATAATCGGGCTTCCATTTGGCCGTGTCAGTGTGATAATGGTGTTGTGTTTGTGGCAGAAGACGTGGAGGTGGTGAGGAGGGGCACGATCGGCGTAGGGGTTTTTCATCATATCGGCCTCAAGGCTCTCGGCGAGCCTGGCATAGTCGGAACTAACTCGAGATGGAGAGCTAGAAGAGCCTTTCCCTTGAAGCATTTTCGTAATGGCGGATAGTGGTGAAGAGTCGTTGGGTTTCTCCTGGCCGCGATTCAAGATTTGATTTTCGATCGACCTGCTACGATCCCTCGCAACAGCAGGAGCATTCAAGGTGGAAGAGAAAGGTCGAATAGTCGCCATGTCAATTCTCTGGGCTTTGGGTTGCCGACATACTGATGGCAATGATTTCGCGAGTGTGTTCATGGAAAAAGAATTCATCGCGGCGACACGGTGCCGGTGCGTCGGCAACAGTATAGCACGTAGCAGATCGGTGTAAAAGGTGGAATATTCAAATGCTGCGAATCTTGAGGTCACAAAAAGTGGATTGCAGAGCTACAAGGTAGCAATTGCAGTGACGAATTGGCGTAGGTCGGGTTGGCAGCCGTGATCGGAGACAAGAGGCGGAAAGGGAGCCACTGGAAGTTTTTCGAAGTCTTGGCATCTCAACTTTTTCCCTTACTCACCTTTCTTCCCCGGCTCCAACCCTCATTCCTCAAATCTTTACCCCGAAACATCCGGGCTGGGCTGGATACCTATATATAATCATTTCTTTTTTACCTTCCTCCTAATCTCCGCCCCCTTTCCTTTCTTGATCACAGAGCATGATTTCAACCAAGCTATCAACCGCCGCGCGCGCGGCTGCTACTCGGCCTAGCGCTCCGGTCCTCAAAGGCATCCAAAGCTCTCGGGCCGTTTCATACTCGGCTTTACCGACTAAAACTTTGAAGTTATCCTCTAGCCACTGCAGCGCTATTCAGAACTCTCACCTTCCCGTGTCCCAGCTCCTCTCGCCGTTCGCCGCTCTTCCGTTGACTAGATCTTTCCACGTTGCCCACTCCCTTTTCCAACAACAGCAACAGCCAAAGGAGGAAAAGAAGGGCGAGGAGTCTAAGTCTCAATCTGGAAATCAGGAATCTAAAGAGGGCGAAGAAGGAGAGAAGAAGGAGAAAAAAGAAGATGCTCCTCCACCGCCACCTCACGGAGATAAGTCTCCTTGGCAAGTGTTCCGCGAAACTCTCCAGACCGAGTTCAAGGCATCCAAGGAGTGGAACGAATCCACAAAAGCTCTGGCGTCTTCGGCGCATCAATTCTCGGAAAACGAGAACATTAAGCGTGCTCGTGAAGCGTACCAGGCGGCATCTGGGGCAGCCACAACCCGTACTGGGGCAGCTCTCAAATCCACCGGTCAGGTTATTGGAAAGAGTGCGGCATGGACTTGGAACACTCCGGTCGTGAAGGGCGTCCGCAAGGGTGTCAATGCCACGGGTGCAGGCCTTGAGAAGGCCACCAGACCTGTTCGTGAAACCGAAGCTTACAAAAGTGTTAAAGACGCCATCGACGATGGCAGTAGCTCTCGCTATGGTGGGTGGGTCGAAAAGGAAGAGCGACGGAAACGCCGCGAGGAGTTCGAAGCCAAAGCCGGAACTAAAACGAAGGTCGAGGTTCCAGTCGAGGACCCCAAGTAAGTCTCATGCGGTCTCCATATGAATAATTGTTCCATTTTTGACTAACTTGCATCAGTGCCGGTACCAATGTCACCATCCACAAAGATGCTGCCTGGAAAGAATCCTGGCGCACATTCCGCGACTCAAGCCCTGTGATGCAGAAGCTTTTCACAGCACGAGAGGTTTACGAGGAGTCTGAGAACCCCCTTATCAGCACAGCGCGCAGTATTACGGATCGCATTGGTGGCTTCTTTGCTGAAAATGAAACTGCTCAGGTCGTCAAGAAATTCCGTGAAATTGACCCCAATTTCCAAATGGAGGAATTCCTGCGTGAGTTGCGTGAATATATGCTTCCAGAAGTTCTAGATGCATATGTGAAGGGTGACATTGATACCCTGAAGCTCTGGCTTTCGGATGCCCAGTTCTCTGTCTACGCTGCTCTCGCCAAGCAATACACCACAGCCGGTCTGCGTTCAGATGGCCGCATTCTAGATGTTCGTGGTGTTGACGTTTCTCATGCTCGTCTCCTGGACCCTGGTGACATTCCTGTGTTTGTTGTTACCTGTCGTGCCCAGGAAGTTCATGTTTACCGCAACGTGAAGACTGGCAAGCTTGCGGCTGGTATGGAGGACAAGGTTCAGCTGGTGACATACGCTATCGGCATGACCCGAATCCCGGACGAAGTCAACAACCCCGAGACCCGTGGCTGGAGACTGATTGAGCTGCAGAAGGCTGCCCGTGACTACATCTAAGAGGCCCGGCCGGTCCACCCTTTGCATCCTCAGCCACCCAGAATATCTCTATCATCTCTTTGACCTCTTTAACCTTTCCATCTTTGCTCTTTGTCCCCTCAACTGTACAATACGACTGTTTGATATCAGGTCAGGCGGAACTGGCGCTTGTCACGGTTACGCCTGTTCTAGTGACCGTTCTTCTCTTTCTCTCATGTATTATGTTCATTTACCCCTTCTTTTTCTTCTAACCTGTCTTTCTGTTACTCGTGGGCCTTTTAATGTTTTCTCCCGGGCATGTACGCGTCTGGCCAAAAATAAGAGAGAGAGAAACATAGCGGCTCACCTTCTCCATAGACTCCGGACTACAGCTATGTGTTGGAACTGAGCTGGTCTGATGGCATTTGAGGTTTGTGGTGTTTCATGGCGTCCTGTACTTTGCATATTTCTTCACTCTCCTCTCGACACTGTCTCATCTGCATGTGGGCCGATTTCATCATTCTGTTGGGATACAGTGGCACGAATGACTTATCAACTATCCCTGATAATCAACGCCGTTGTGTTCCAAACCAAGGACTTGTAAATAATATGTAAGTGGTGATGGTAGTTGGTTTGAATTCTAAATTGATCATCTCCGATGGACATATACTATATCCTTATTAAAGCAAGTTCAAAATTAATTACCAAGTGGAATAAAAGATCATTGTAGAAATAGGTTGTGTCTAAGGAAAACGCTCGGCACATGTAGCATCAGATCGTGTCTTTTTTGGAGTCATCCATCAAGTCATTCAATTCAGTCCATGAATCACTGTCCCTGTCCACCCTGTCCACCCTGTCCAGCACCACCAGCACCACCAGCACCACCACCCATCATGTTACGGGCCCTGAAATAGAACTGTAAGTATGAATCTCAGAAATATCCAGTCGCCAATATAAACTTACATGTCGGCAATGTTGGGGTCGCTCATAAGACTAGACATATCCGGCATACCACCGCCCTGACCGAAGTTCTCGGCCATCTGACGAAGGCGTGGGTTGCCCATTAGGTTGTTCAGCATGTCGGGGTTGCCCATGAGGTTCTGGGCCATGTTGGCAAACATAGGGTTGCTCATCATAGAGCCCAAGTCGGGCATACCACCGCCACCACCGCCGCCACCAAGCATGCCTGCCAAGGCTGACAGATCGGGCATGCCGCCTCCGCCACGAGAAGCACCAGGTGCAGAATCCAACTCTTCAGATGGGGGCTCAGTGCCTCGGCTAGCTTCCTCGATCTTACGAGAAGAGGTCTCCAGGCCGCGTTTCATGGCGTCACTGCCACCGTTGCCCTCGGCCTCGATACCCTTTTCATAAGCCTCCTTAGCGGCATGGTAGTCACCCATGTCGAATCGGGCAAGACCCAGACGACTCCAGGCCTTGGAGTACTTGGAGTCAACGCTAACAGCCAGTTCAGCATCCTCAGCGGCCTTCTCATGCTGGCTAGAGGCCGAAAAGGCAGCGGCCCGGTTGGAGAGGTAGATGGGGTTGCCGGGGGCGATCTCCAGGGCTTTGGTGTACTGCGCGATCGCACCATTGTAATCCTTGCGAGACATAAGAGCATTGCCCTCAGACTTGAACTTGTCAGACTCAGCAGTAGGTGCGCCAGTCTTGGGCTTGTCGGTTTGCGATTGCTCGGTGCTAGCACTGCCGGCCTGGGGAGTGGACTTGCTGCGCAGCTTCTCGTAGACGCTGTAGATGCTGGCAAGAGACTGTCCACCCACCGCCTCCTTCACGGCGGCCTCGTCGGTAGGGTCAACCTTGAATGTATCAGCAATGCAGGACTGGGCGATCTCGATCGATTCGGCATCGTCGGCGGTCAGAGTGCCATCCTTCAGGCTGGAGCCGAGAAAGTCGATAATGGCCAAAGCCAAACGCTTGTTGCTTTCTGTGGGGGCCTACAGATAACACAGTCAGTACGTTTCGACTTCTCTGGAACTGGCCTTCCTCAAAACTCACCATGGTAATAATAAGCCCGGAGTTAAAAATTTAGGGAAATATAGGACACGTCAACTGGGAGGAGGGGGCAATAGAAAAAAAGAGTCAAGAAACCATGCGGGGAGCTCCTTGCACGTGATACGGCTTATCATCCCCGTTGGATGGATTGTTTAGACTTCAGGATCCCATCTGGAGCTTTCGAGGATCTTCTTTTCTTTTTGTTACTTACAACGGAGTAAGACTCCAATCGCAATTCCTTCCGATCGCGATGACTCCATGTGAGCTGCACTACCAGTCATAACAGCCCCCTTCCGAGCTTGGAGCCATGTACTGGCCGAATGGAGTCCCCCGGGTCTACGCCGCCAATGGCCCTAATATTGCTGAAATCTCGCACGATGACGATCGCCAACCCATTCTCCCTTCTCCGGATCGAAGCAACTCGATAGAAGATGTCGAAAACGACTCCAGTGGAATACAGGACCCAGTGGCCTCGGTCGAGCAGAGCAGCGAGCCGAACGCTGAACCCCAGGCCGACAACGATGCGGTGAAATGGGAGAATGAAGTTGTCAATGGCCTCTGTGTCTCTCGGCCTGGGCATATGTTTGCGACTATCACGAATTCATCGATCTCCCTGTGGCAAACTAGAGTGAGTTGTCATTGTCAAAATTGTATTTTGCATTTTCGAAACTTACTTGCTAACATGGACCACAGCCAACAGCAGTTGTTGCTGCGGTGGTCCGGTCTTCTTATTCCCTTCAAACATATGGACCCAACGTTGCGCTTTTAATGCATCCAGACTCAACAATCTTGGTTGTACAAACTCTCCATGGATACCTCCTTACATATGCGATAGCATCGGACCCCTCAACACAAGTCTACCAACAACGGTTCGACCACTCAACGCACCCCCGCCGACAACAACTAGCACATTTCTCTGCCGTCGAAGAATCAAATGTTGTCGGAGATATTAGTATCAGGTTTCGGATGGCAATCAAAATCGAGTCTGGGATCGTCAAGGCCCTAGCCCTCGATCATGAGCTAGTCGTTGCTACAGTAAAACCGCCCGCTATACAGTGCATTCGGTGGGCGCCAGAGGCAAGTAGTACACAAACCACGTCAGAAATGCTGAGCCGCATTCTGGGAGTCCCCAAGAATGTGACAATATTGGATATGGTCTATGACCGCGCTATGAATCTCTTGATTTGGCTCACGAGCAATGGGCAAGCATATACCGTGCAGCGAACACCGGGGAATGAATCTGATCCAGAGGCAACCAAGAAGTTATTCTACGGACATTGCTTCCATGAGCCCAAGGATGACGGAGAGAAAGCTGTCAAAGTAGCCGTCAACGCCCGCTTCTCTCTGTTGACTGTAAACTGCGCCAATGGCGAGATTCTCGTTTACACAGCCAAAGATTATACGGGCAATGTTCCTCTGTCTCAAAAGCTACAGCTTCCAGCAACACCTACTACTACCGGAGCGTTGACATTTATGAATTATTCGCCCGATGGATACTGCCTCTTCGCCGGCTATGAAAATGGCTGGACAACATGGAGCGTCTTCGGGAAGCCTGGCGGGAACAGTTTTTCTGTTGATGTCTCTTTAGCAACTTCCAATGGGGAGAATTGGCTAACAGGGGTTTCTAATGGTTGCTGGATTGGTGGCGGATCTGATATTATTCTAGCAGGACAGAATGACCGACACCTCTGGATCCTGGAAACAGCTCGTAGCGCTTTGACAGGCTGTTTTTCCGCTGCTAATCTCGCACGAGGATTATTACAGACTGGAACGGAGTTCATTCTCTATCGGGGTCATGACTTGCCCGAATTAATGACAATTTCAGGCAAAGATTCACTATGGCATCATGCCCAATATCCACCGGCGTATCTCCACTCTCAGTGGCCTATCCGCTCATGTGTCGTTTCTCAAGATGGTCGATATGTTGCTATTGCCGGGAGAAGGGGCCTCGCGCATTATAGTGTGGCCAGCGGCCGGTGGAAAGTCTTCGAGGATTCAAAAGTAGAAAACTCCTTCGCTGTCCGAGGTGGCATGTGCTGGTATGGACATATATTGATTGCTGCCGTTGAGAGCGATGGCTCGTATGAGGTATACAGTCCTTTTGCATGATAACTCATTTTTGAGAGCTAAAAAAGATCCCAGTTGCGTCTTTATTCGCGGGAAGCGTCATTGAACAACAACTCCGTTATGTACATCGAACACCTACCATCTCCCGTGGTGTTCATTGGCCCATCCGGAGAAGACTCTATATTAGTCTACACCTACGACAACATTCTTTATCATTATATCATCAACGCCACCCAGCCACAGATAACCATTGTCCCCGTTGGACAGATTGCGTTCAATGGTATTGTACGAGCGCCAACCCGTGTACGATCAATTAGCTGGGTCTTGCCGGAAGAGCAAATGCGTGAGTTTCCATTGGTCCTTGTCTATCCATGATCAGAATTTTGATTTCATGCAGGAAATGGTGATCCTTCACAAGACGTCAAAGTAGCATCGGTAATCCTCCTTGTGGATGGAAATTTGGTCTTACTACAGCCGACTGTGACTGATTCAGGTGACCTAAAATACGACATGAGGGTCATTTCTCATGATGTCGAATACTACATCCTAATGCGTGATCAGCTTTCTTTTAATTTTGCGCCTCCGGTCGATGAGTCTCTCCCGGCTAGTCCATCTGCTGAAATGGTCCTCGGTCCATCTTATAGCAGTCTGTCACTTAGAGACTCTCTCTGGACTTTCCGCGGTCAAGACTTGCTGGCATGGAATGATGTACACGATGTTCTGCAGCAAGAGACAGTACCTGCAGCACTTAATATACCCCTAGATTTCTATCCCCTTTCAGTCCTATTGAACAAGGGTATTGTTCTGGGAGTCGAATCCGAAACGATGCAGCGACGAGACGTGACCTTCACTAGTTTGAAGTTTGCCATTCGGGTATGTCCAATCTCTTTCCTCCTCACTCTCTTGACCAGGGCCGATAAATGAAGAGAGATTAGAAATGATAATAACTAACCATTTCAATCTAGACACATCTCTTCCTTCCGTACTTCCTTCAGTACAGCTTAATCAATCTCGGGACACCTGCTGCTCTTTCTCTTTGTCGGCACTTCTCACATCTTTCATACTTCGCTCACGCATTAGAAATTCTCCTTCATCATGTTCTTGACGACGAAGTCGACAATGAAAGCCGTGCCAGCAAATCCGATGTTCCAATTCTCCGTGAGGGACCTCTTCTTCCCACCGTCATCGCCTTCCTCCAAGCATCCCTCCCAACGCGCGAATACCTCGATATTGTCGTACAATGTACTCGAAAAACCGAACTTAGATTCTGGCGCACTCTATTCGCCTACTTACCTCCACCAAAGGATCTGTTTGAACAGGCCCTCAAACTTGACGCACTCAAAACAGCTGTCGGCTATCTGCTCGTCCTCCAAGCTTTTGAAGACGAGGAACAGGGTCACGATGGCCGTATTGAAGAATATGTTGTCCGTCTCATTGGCTTAGCTTCCCAAAAGGGTGACTGGGAATTGTGTGCTGAACTCGCCCGCTTCCTCATTGCTCTCGATTCCTCGGGAGAGATGCTCCAAAGGGCGATTGGCCGTGTAGGATTGCGCTCTTGGACCTCGAGGAACGGCAGCAACCCCGGCTTTGGATCGAGGTCCGGATCTGCAGCCGGTGTGAAGGGGCTTGGTCTCAGTCTTCCCGTCAGGACTCCCTCATGGTCCTCTCTTTCGCCAACGGGGTCGTTATCGCCGGTTCAGGGGCGAGACGGTGACGTCTCAGATGAATACCCGCATTCTATAGATAGTCGGGACGGTCTTTGAGTGGCCTTCACTCAATTTTGGCGTCATTTCGGTGTTATTGGTTTTATATCATTCCCATATTGAGTGTACATAATCATGACATATTCAAATAAATGTCTTGGGGAATATCATGAACTTTTGATATATATACATATGTGTGTAGTTCTTCAAGTTGAATTTGGTTTGGGATGGACTCGAAATGCCATCTTGGATATGACAATGGATATGGATAACCTTAGAACCCATGTCATATAAACCAGCTCAATTCAATCACTTCAGGGCTGCAGTGGGCAACATCATAGGCTGCCGTCCACTTCCAACGTTTTGCAGAGTGGTGGTGTAGTCTTCCGACGGGGGAAACGTTAGATCACACTTGGGTTCCACACTAGGAGATCAAGCGCTTGGAAATTGATTACGGCTGGGCATTTTTTTCTTGGGGAGTCATGGTTCTATGTTTACACACGGTCACTTTTTCTTTTGAAGCTTTACAACTCCATCTACATCATGATGCATGACACGCACCTTTCTACTCAACGGCGGAGATCTTTCTAAAGCTGGCATAATCTTGGTAGACATACTAGTATTCCCTTTCGGACATAGAATTGAGGTCCTTGAGATCCCTATAATACAAACTCACTACCTGGGAAAGTCGAAACCACTACCAATATGGTATAATTTATGAATATAGGAAACATGACGAAAGTCCAAGTAATCTTTCCAAGGTTTTATTTTACCATAATTGACACCATTAATGATCATCATCGTCACAGGGTATATGCAACCCAAATACTCATAACCACAAACATCAACCCCAAATTGCGACACCATAAGTATCGCGCTCCTTACTCCCACAAAACATGCCAACTCATACAAAAGCTTAATCCAACTGCATTCTCCAAAGCCCATCACCCAAATAATGGCCCTCGTCCATAACAACTCCCTTACCTTTACTCTTCATCTCTTCTGTCCCAACCTTAAGAGTTCCAATGAGACAAACCTCCTCCTTCCCCTCAGCCTTAATAGCGACAACCTGTCCCGCTTCGAGCGCATTCTCGGCATCCGGTAACCGTCCACCAGGCGAGGTCAGACCAGGCGCCATGAGAGTCGCGCCGGAGAGCACAAAGCGGATAGCGCCGCGGTCGATTTGAATTGTTGGGATGGCGGAGGGGAAGGCATGGACGAGGCGGAGATGAGGGAGTGGTGGTCCGTCGAAGGGTTGGAAGAATAGAGGGGTCGAGTCTATTGTGTAGAGGGTTACACGGTCTGGGCTGTAGATTTGTTAATTTGAGACTCTTTTGTTGGACTTCGGTGAGGTATGTTCGTACAGTTTCACGGCTTCCAGGGAGGCCTTCTTTGGGAGGATCTCTTCGATATATGGCTCGAAGCCGGGGTATGTCTCCAGCAGCTTTTGGCGGAGGCCTCGCTGGACGGAGGACTTGACCTTTGAGCGGTTGCTTGGGGGGATACTGTCTGTTGTTAGCTTTGCTTTATTTTTGGTTCTCGTCTAGTTCTATAGCTGGTGTGATGTTGATTTTGTATCCAGGTAGCTTTGGCAGCGTTGCAGCTGGTGCGATTTTGCATGTTGGATTTTGGCCCATTGTGCTCGGTATTTGGGCGTTAAGGTATAGTCGTGCAGCTTGTGTATGGATTTTGAGATGAAGAAGATATTGAATATGTGAACTCACTCTTTTTTGAACATGGTGATGTATTGTTTGAGAGGAAATAGTGTTCGATTAGGCCGTATCAATGTGAAGTGGGATGCGCGGGGAGATCACGTGATGTTATCGATAATTTCCAGAAAGAGCTTGGAAGCTTTAAGTTCGTTGTAGAGGGCACAAAGGCATGCAATATGTATTTAATTGTATACATCTAAGAAGATCCATAGCTTTACGATTTAAGAATTTAGATTTGAGGTAAGAAGAAGAAAAAAAGTGCTCAATAGTCATCATTTATTGATTGATCTTGTTTGATATATCTCTCTAGCTCTTGGCAGCACCAGCCTTGATGAGCAGGATGTCACCATCCTCGACAACGTAGTCCTTGCCCTTGGTCATGATCTTACCAGCAGCTTTGACGGCAGCTTCGTCACCAAGCTCCTTAAGAACGGCATAGTTGTACACAATGGCTTGGATGAAAGTCTTCTCGAAGTCACCGTGGATAACACCAGCGGCGGCAGGGGCCTTGATGCCCTTACGAATAGTCCATTGACGGACCTCATCGGTACCAGTAGTGAAGAAGGAACCAAGGTTCAGAGCAGTACGCATGGTAGTAATGACCTTGGGAAGACCAGACCTGGTGCCCAGCTTCTTGCACTCCTCCTCGGCGGCAGCATCATCACCCATCAGGGCAAGACGCTCCTCGAAGCATGCGGAGATGGGGAGGATGGGAGCACCCTCGGAGTTGGTCTTAATCCACTCGAACAGCTTGGGAAGGTACTTGTTCTTCTGGCGGATGTAGTCCTTCTCGCTAAGGTTGACCAGGTAGACGACTGGCTTAGCTGTAAGGAGGAAGAGAGGGTTGATAGCCTCGACCTAAAGCAATTTGAGTTAGTCATGATTGCTTTGCATATAGCTGGGAGTGATTTGAATGATGAGTTCAAGACAAAAGAACTCCAATTTCTTTTCAGTTAAGTACTTTATTCTCAATGTGCCCTCAACATAAGTATGTAATGGGACACTTTCGAAGAGCTGGGTTATATTTCGAGCTGTGCTCTTATTCATCATATGAAATTGGAGTTCAAATGTTCAGGAACGGGGGGGAATGATCATAATTAAAACGTACCTCCTTGGGACTCCAGTCACCTTGACGGATATCCTTACCACTCTTCAGCCACTCAAGGACTTTACCAGTGGTAGCCTCCTCTTCCTTCATCTTCTTCATCTCCAGCGACTGACCACCACGGCGAGTCTGCTTGCTCAAGGCATCGAGCGCCTTCTCGACGAACTCGATATCCTTGATTCGAAGCTCCTCACTGATAATGGTCAAATCACGGACAGGATCGACATCACCCTCGACGTGAATAATTTCAGCATCGTCGAAGCAACGAACGACCTGGAAGATGGCATCGACAGCGCGAATGTGAGACAAGAAAGAGTTACCCAGACCAGCACCAGTCGAGGCACCACGTGTCAGACCGGCAATATCGTACACAGTCAAGTTGGCGGGCACAACGGACTTGGGCTTGTACTGGTCAACGAGCCAGTCGAAGCGCTCATCAGGAACAACGACACGAGCCTCCTCGGGATCGATGGTGGCATAAGGGAAGTTGGCAGGGTTACCCAGCGAGGACTTGGTGATGGACTGGAACAGTGTCGACTTGCCGACATTTGCAAGACCAACCTAAATCATGGTGAGTAAGTAAATGAAACAAGGAATATACTAGCAAGTAAATGCAGCATTATGCAGATCAATGGATTATATATTCCGTGATTGGGATGTGGAAAAAAATAAAAAGGAAGAAGGGAGGAGAGGAGGAAAGGGGGAGGTATATATAGGTTGTGTGGAATTAAAAAGTGGACTGTGCTGTGCGAAAGAGAGAAAAAAAAACGCGAAAAATTGGAAGAGTGGGGTCAATGCTCACATACGATACCGCTCTTTAAGTTGTTGCCAGGACGGCCCAGCAGGACCTTCTCCTGAACTTGTGCCTTCTTGGGAGGCATTTTAGTCGATTTTTTCTTCTTGGAGTAGAAGCGACAAGAGACACTGGGAAGTGGGAGGTGGGGGGATGGACGAAGGCGGAAGCGGCAAGACTCGCGCGCGGTGAAAGCAGAACCAGCTGCGGATCGATCGACGATACGAAGAAAAAAGATGGAGGAATTGAGGAGAGACGTAGTGGCGGTTTCCCCGACCAACGAGGGGGTCAAATGGATTGATGTGAATGTGACAAGAAGAATGAAAAGTTAAAGAGAGGAATAAAAGAGTGATTTGGTCAACGTTTTGCTCTTTCGTATCTTGTAGATGCTCGAACTGCAAAACATGTCATCACAGTTTTCTGCCCATGTTACTACACCGCTCACGTGAAGCTTGCTGCCCTTGACGTCACATGTTTTTATATAGAAGATGGATGCATAGTTCAATGCTTGGGAAAGAGACTTAAACGGCAATTAATTTAAAGGGTATAAACAATTCAACTTCACTAGAATGGTAATGCTTTTGCGAGCTCCGTGCAGATCAAGTATAATACAAATACAGCACCCAGCCCCCGCTCGCCTCTGGGATATCTGAATCTCGGAATCTGAAAAAAACCAGGGTAAAAAAAGAAAGCAATATCAAAAGACCCCCGTAACCCAACCCAATGAAAAGAGCACTTGGGAAAACGCCGCTCGAAGAGAACACTGGAAAGAAGAATAAAAAAGCCAACTCGAAAGAGAACGAGACAAGCAGATGATCAATGGTTAACTAGATCGAGTTCATTATAGATCCATCGCATCGCCATCTGTAATACTGTCTACCATATCCAGCAACTTAGCATATGGGACAGTCACACGTTGAAGTTCGCGGTATTTTCCTGGAAAGTGTCAGTACATAATATTCATGGCAAGTTAATCGTAAGGGGGAAGGGGAAATCAAATACATACCAAGAGCTAGAATCACCTCCTTCAATAACGTTTCCCGTGGCCAGCCACATAGATATTCTGAGCCCTCTCGCCAATTGCGACCTTCTCGCTCGTTGGCCTGCAATTTAGAAATGGCATCAGAGCTCTCGTCATCTTCGAACAAGCCACCGATTAATCCCTTAAGCAACTCTTCAACCTTCATCTTCAAACCTTCTGCACCGATACGCTTGGCATACATATTCAGGTATAAACGGAACTCTTCCTTCGCGCCCAATGAGAGAGCTGCAGCCATACGGTTTTCAAGATGGGCAATGGAAACGCTAGATTCAAAGGTTTCGTATCCCTCCCGGGATAGAAGGACCTTAATGAGTCTTTGCAGGAAGTAAGCGCGGCCACGTAAGAGTGTTTCGTTTGTAGTGTTGCGTTCAAGGAAGGGAATAATGCCAGCGGAAACCGCAGCCTTGGCATCCTTGTTCTCTTGTTGTGCATCTCTGGCTTGCAAGTTGCCTACAGGTGCCTCGGTAGAGTTCCAGTACTGACTGCCAACGGCCCACCAGGCCTCTGAGACTCTTTGCCATGCATACATGGTTGGAGAGTAGGAGTATCCTTCGCCGTTAGTCAGGGAAATGACAATTCGACCTTCTGAATTGACCCTCGCGTCGGTTACTGCCGGGGCGACTGTGGGGTTCGCGCCCATGACGTATATAGCGGCGTCAAGGACGGGCTGGAGAGAGACAGGAGGGTGGGGAGAAGATAGATGTTTCACATTCCAGACATAGCACATGCCTACTGATGAAATGCAAAGAATCCATGGTCCGTTGCACTCAAGAATCACAGGTTGCGCTTCCAAGACCAAAGCACTTACCAGGCGACGACCGGCAGGTGTCCAGATATAGACTGAGCCATCCTCACAGGCAGCGGCCCACATGCTCTGGTTACCAGTGACCAAGAGGACAGACTTAGGGAGGAAATCTTGCCATAATGGTTGCTCGCCACGGAATAGCGTAAGTCGTACTGGTTCTCGATCCACGGCACGTCCGGTCAAGCTGGCCGGTGAAGGGTTTCTAGCTTCAAAAACAACATCGGCGCGAGACTTGTTGTTGCTTGAATCGCCTCCGCTGGGAGCGCCACCGGTAGCGGGTGGCTCTGTAGGCTTCCCGGTCGAGTCTAGAGCACGCAAGATGTGACTCCGGATCTTGGGAACTGCAAGCCGTAATTGGCTAACAGACATGCAGGGATTTGTAACAGCAGGTCGAATAAATTCGGGAGTGGGTTGTTGGCCTGTGGCAGCTGGTTGTGTTTGAGCTGGGAGGAGTCCATCAGGAGTGTTGGCCATTATGGGCGTGGCCCCATTCTGACTCGCCACGGCAACTCTTTTTTCGGCTTGTCCTTCCTCATCGCCCTCCAGCTGAGCGAGTTTCCTCTTGTTACCAAGAAGTAAAGCGGTCAAGCCGCCTTTAGGTAGCCCATCAAATGGTTTTGAAAGATCGACGATAGATGTAGGTGCATCTGTCTTGACCTGACTGCTCACTGAAGCCATCAGACGAGCCTGGGGGAGTGAAGACTCACCACCAGCTCCCGAAACGAGTAAAGGTGCAATACGCTTTTTACCATCTTTGGTATATGTCGGGCGTGATTTGAGTCTTTCCAATTTGGCTTGATAAGGGTCTGGCTTATCAGACTTCTCAGGCTCATTGGCACCAGGAGTCGATGTTGTCCCGTTTGTTTGCGTTTTCGCCGGTTCAGCATTTGGAGTCGACGGTTGAGCAGGAGTAGTACCATTAGGTGGTTGCGGCGTATTCGCTCCATTGACAGCAGCCTCGGCAGCATCGCCCATAAGCGCACCCATACGGCCTTCAACGCCCTTAATTTCACCAGCCTTGCTCTTCTCCTCGAGCAGCAAACCATCCGTAGTTTCCGTAATACCGGCACCCTTGCGATTTGTGCCAAACTTGGTCAATGACTTCTCATTCTCTTCCATCTCAGTTGCATAGCCCAACTCGCCCTCCTCGAATCGAACGGCCAGAATGGTACCGTCCAATGCAGTAGCATAAAGACAACTACCATCGGGACTCCAAGCCAGATCTGAAATCGACTTAGCAGCCATCTCCTGGGCCACAACAATTGGGCGAGCATTGCTGGTAATCCAGACACTCAGGGATTTATCTGCACCCGCGCACGCAATGACGGTTATATGATGTTGCGCTGCTTGTCCTTGGCTATCCTTTTGAGGCGGCTCCCGAGAGTACAATCGTGGGGAAAAGGAGCAAACCTCCACGGGAGCCTCGTGCCCAATAAGGTTGATATCACCATCCCAGGAGCCACGATTGATAATAGCAACAGAACTGACAGGTCCATTGACTGCATTCGCAGCAGCGATATGCATACCATCCGGTGACCATGAGCAACGACGGAAATAAGCCGTTAAGGGAGAATTAGCGAAAGGTGCCGTAATAGTTTGTTCCAAAATGAAGTTGTTCATTTGATCGTGGGATGTCGAATTTGGAGCAGGTGAGGTAAATCGGAAAATGCGAACAGTACGATCATCACTAGCCGTCGCGAAGTACTTGTTTGCCGGGTCGAATGTAATGCCCTTTACATGACTCTGATGCACAGCTATCGTCTTCAATTTCTCGAATGTGTGTCCAGACCATACTACCACCTTCGAGTCTAGTCCCACAGAGACCAGAATTGATGAATCATATGACCACCCCAGATCTTGTACGTCGTTATCATGTCCGATCAATCGTCGAATGGTGCGCCAGTTCTCAACGGGTGGTGTCTCGTCCGTGCCTGCACAATATCCCACAGTAATTAGTCTCAACCCTTTGCAACCTTTTATATCGCATTCTACTCCACCATAGTAGACCTACCGAATGTTGATCCGTGCGTCGGTGGATTGGCATCAAGCGTGTAAACGCATACGATCTTATCATCCGCCCCCGAAGCAAGGTATCGCCCATTTGGCGAAAATCGAACTGTATGAATTGTGCCGGAGTGGTTGCTCATCGAAGCAAGTTGTTTCGGTTGGTTTGCGAATTCCGGATTGCCGGTGTTGAAAATGGCCTCTGTAGACCAGATTCGCACGTAGCCATCTTATTAACGAAGCACCAAAAGTCAGCTCTCAATCACCAAGCAACACGGGCTCTGCTCGACTCCTCTGTCAACCCCGGCCCCACAGCAGCCCTGTTTGTATGTGTGGCGATTGTCCATTTCTCACCTCCTGCAGCAGTCACCAGTCTCTTTCCATCTGGAGAGATATCACAGCTGTAAACCTCAAAATCTTTCCGTTCACCTATAATGCAAAGTAATTAGCCCCACTGCCCAGTATTCAGCGTACACAATCCAATCTATCCTCAGAAACACCAAGCGCTCGCACTCTCCAGGCAAGCAAGCTTGATAAAACAGCATAACTCATCGCGTACCAACGTACCTCCATGTGTAAGCCAAACTGGCTTGATGATATGCATTGCGCAATGCGGGCAGAGTGCGCCACTCCCCTATGTACGTGAATATATGTCTCGTAATTTTCGAATCGTAGTCGGATCCGGCGTACGAGTAAAAGAATCAGTCCCCAAGGGCGAGGGGTCAGTAATAAGAAAAGCGGAGCCGGAATTCGTAGTTGGGTAGGAGGTTAGGTGTTTATCGTTAAGGGCATCGCAGGATGAAGGACAGGACACCCCCTTTTAGATTTTTGTCTATCTTCGCGGATATATTTGTGGCCCTTCTGAAAATTCGAGAATGATGGAGCCAGAAGGTGGGCGTTGTAGGAGAGAAAGGGTGCTAATCAGGGCGCGAAATTCGAAAGTCGCGATCTCCAGATTAGGTGGCCCGAGCTCCTGCTTTCGCGTTAAGCATCTACGTACTGCCCACCTTGCTTTGATCAGTCACTTCTGCATCAGCGAAGAAAAAAATTGAAGAAAAAAATTAAAGAAAAAAGTGTAAATATTTCGGGTTGGTTTCTAAGTGAGCTGGTCCTGACAATCGCCGCTACACACTATCATACAGGTGGTCCTTTTTTGTATTCTTACTTTTCCCTTCCCCATTCGTTGGTGTCGATGCCCCTCGGCTCCTTATGTACACGTATAAGGATGGGTCAATCAGAAATCCCGCATAACAAGTGACCCGGTTCTTCGTCCTGACGCCTGGATAAATGCCACAGAGCCAAGGAGAGCACACGCAGATAATACATAGAACAAAAGAGAAGAGGTGTGGAGAGGAGGTGAGCAGTACAGATGGGGGAGTACAGGTCGATTAGGACAAGATGGAAAACAACAAATGGGATTTGTCAAATCACATCAAAGGCGTATATTATCCTCTTCAGTTTTTTGAGTTTTGACTGGCCTGATCAAAAGAGTCCAAAACACTTTGACTGACTGAGTTCGGCGCTTCGCTGCTCTCAGCCTCGTGATGCAGCCCATCCTCCAAGGCCTCACTGGTGGCGGTCGAAGAAGTGTTAATCTTTGACTCTGGAACACCAATAGCCTTAGCAGCCATACTTTTGGCTTGGCTCTGGCTGACCTTGCCGTAAACAGCCATCGCGTTGGCAATCATACCGCCCAGGTCACCAACGTTACCTGGCACAACAACGGAGGTACCCTCCTTCGCCAGCTTGGAGAACGCATCGACATACTTCTCAGCAACGCTTAAGCTGATCGCACCCTGAGCATGCTCCTTGCCGTCTTCAATAGCGCGGGCTACAGCCTCAATTCCACGGGCAGTAGCCTGGGCTCTCAATTGAATAGCCTCAGACTCACCAGCCGCCTTGTTAATTGCTTCGGCGCGCAGAGCCTCGGAGGCCAAAATAACAGATTGCTTGCGCCCCTCAGCTATATTGATAGCACTCTGGCGTTGACCCTCAGAGTCGAGAATCTCAGCTCGCTTCGATCGCTCTGCGGTAACTTGGCGGTGCATGGCCGCGACAACGCCATCCGGGGCATGAATATCCCTAATCTCGTATCGCAGGCAGACAACACCCCAGTCTTGAGCGGCCTCATTGATAGCCTGTGTAATGTTTGTGTTAAGAGTAGCGCGCTCCTTCAAGACGTGGTCCAGGGTCAACTGGCCGATTTCAGATCGCATGGTCGTCTGCGCAAGTTGGGAGATGGCGTATTCCGCATCCTCAACACCGTAACTACACCAGACAATTTATTTAGCAATTGAACTTGACAGTATCTGCCTCGTCATAGATATTACTTAACATACCTAGCTTTATATGCGTCAAATACCCGGGTATACAACACGCCATCCAGCTCCAACGTCACATTATCCGCGGTGATGGCGTTCTGGCTCGGTATTTCCAAAGCAGACTCCTTCAGGCTCTTAACATAGGCAATGCGATCAAGGAATGGAACCAGAATGGCCAGACCGGGCTCAAGGATTCGGTGGAACTTTCCCATTCGCTCCACGATCCATGCTGTCTGCTGTGGCACGAATCGCACAACGGTATTTGCGGGGAGGGTAGATCGATTGTTGAAGTATACGGCTGGGGAACCGGATGGGTTTTGAGATCCACTAGATGCAGCTGCAAACTGACTGAATAGTGACTCTGGAGCGAGGTTGCGGTTCGAATTGGAGAGGGCTCGGCATTGTGTCGTGGTTAGACCGGTTTTGGTAGCTGGTCGGGGAAGGCGAGCATGTTGCGAGAGTAGGTCGGTGCCCCTTGACCGTAATATTCTTGACGTTTGGCGGGATGCACCCTCCATTTTGGGTGGGTGCTTGTTTGAGGGGGGTGGGGTGGGGAAGATGATAAGGAATAAGCTGGTCACTTGAGCTCGGGATGAAGTTGGGGAAGTTGCTCCGGTTGCTAGTTTTCTGCCTGAGGCAGCACGATGTCCTCCGCATTAGCTCGGCTATGATAGGTGAATAGACGCTGTATACAACATTTGAACATTTGACGAAACTTTGGATTCTTGTCAAGAGATTCATGGATAATTCAATTAATTCACAACACAGTAATAATAAGAGGCTATGACATTGAAAACATTTCACATTATGCATCCGTCGCATTACGCCAGGCACGGAAAAGTCCGTATGAACCCATTTTTATGAACACTATACGCCAAGCACAGGCAGCCCCAGCTGCAAGCCCAATAACACAACGTCTCGAGATCGGAAGGTAATAGAGAAGAAAAATAGTAAGCAGAGAGCTAGGTTAGTAGCTCGCCGCTCGCTCAATACACAAAGTGACAATCCACAGGTGGATATAGAAACCGATATGAATGGAATCGATGAAGCCTTTGCTCCGTGAGACCGATCGAAATAATGCAACTGAAAGACACCCATTCCAGGGTTTCGGGAAATTGGAAGGAACGTAGAAGATCATACAATACTTTTTTTTCATTCTTGGCTTTGACCATGGCTTTGCTCTTGGTCATTGCAGTCATGCTGATCACCCTGAAAACTCGCTAATATTTGAGCATCAGGGTGAGACAGCGTAGGCACTTCGATCGAATAAATGGAAAAAGGAAATGGGGCAGGACATCTTCACAAATGGGGGAAGAGGACAGAATCTCTATGGGCAAGTGAGAAAGAAGAGGCGAAAGAGATGCGGAGAAAAAAAAAAGTGAATCATTTTTGGGCCTGAACCAGCATGGAAGCAGGCATCGAAAAGTAAGGGGAATATTGCCCATAAAATCATGCCTGGACTCCGGAAATTTTTGGAGAAAGTCCATGAATGGATGCGCAGCAAGTTTGAAAAATAAGCACGGAAATGAAAATCCATGAGAAACTCCGAGGCTTCACAACGACGGTTATGATATGAGCCGCTATGTTGCGATGGAAAGATCACCACTCGGCTTTCTAGAAAGAAGAAATTGACGATGCATGCAATAGAAACAAACCCTTTTTGGACACAACAATGCTGATCATGATTTGGTAGTAAGCAGAATAAACGGAAAAGAAGAAGAGAGGAATAATTTGTCGCAGGTAAAACATGCGTCCCAGGGGAAACGTATTCGAAAGCAGAAACCTATGAATTCAATAGCGCGTATGTCTCGGTGGGCGACTGAACGCTTCACCGAAGTTCTCATTGAAAGCACCACGAACTCGACTGAAGTTACAGTGATCAATCTGGTGATTTCGCATAGAAGCTAGAACCATATCGAAGATAAGGACCCGAGGCTTGGTATTATCGATCCGACACAAATTTATCATATCCGAAAGAACTTTCTCGGGAAGACGGCGATGAGGACGAACGACCGAAGCACGATAATACTCCATGAGAACATTGAATCCAGTGTCGATGTGTCGTGTTAAAAAATCATCAAGGGCTGAACGCCTAAAGTCATTGTACATTTGCAGGTTGAAATTTTCCATCAAAGCCTGAAAGCAGCTTTGATAAGAAGCGAAGCCCGTAAACAAGTCACCTCCAGCGGTGCGTATATTTGAATTCGGACTCCCAGGAGCATTAATTCGAGGTATATTGGACTGGTTGGTGAGACTAGCGGGTCTCCTCTTGAAATAATGACTCTTTTCCCTGGGCTCAGACGGCAGGCGGCTATTTCTAGGTGGTGGCTTATCGGTCGAGCGGGCAAAAGGGTGTACCGAGCGGTATATTTTGCGCTCTCCATCAAGACTATCAAACAGAAAAAGAATGTCAGATGAGTTGAAAACAACCATTAGCAGATTGAGACAAGACTTGAGGCATACCCATTTAGTTGAGCCACGTTTACAAGAGGCGAGGGAAGGGGAGTCGGTTTATGGGAATCTAGTCCACGCGCTGATTGAGATCCGTCAATATTTGCAATCTCCAAGAAATTCTGTTGGTAAAAGGGGGAAGCCAGTCCGGGGCCGGCTTTGTGGGAGGGGGAGTGGGAGTAATCCTTGGGGGCTCCTACATTGGAAAGTTCATTCTGGGCAGAGGGCAAAAACTCCGGAGCAGCGGACGAAAGTGTCTGGGAGTTACTGGCGGGTGTGCCGTTGGGAATGAATTGTCGTGATGCGGGATGAAGAGTACCGTTGGTAGGAGCATCGACATGGTTGTTGAAAGGAACGTTCTCGTCGGTCTTTCCAAGCTGTGCAGGGCGAACGCCATCATGCTGGGCAGCAGTGTCACGCTGTTCGTATGGTAGGACCCACTGAGCCCAACTCTCTCGCGGTCGTAGTCGGTCGGTGCCGTCCTCACCAGTTTGATACTCGACGTTACGAAGTTGGCGGGAAACATGACGCAGCAACTCAAAGTCCTCGGTCAAAGACTTGACACGCTTAAAGCTAGCGATAACATTGAGAGGGACAAATCCTTGCGAATCCATTTGACGACGGAGGAACATGTCCTTGCACATGTTGTCGACTGAGAAGTAGTACTCCAGCTGCATGGACAGCATAGACATGAGGGGGTAGGGTTCCACGTACTGCTGGAAAGGCACAGCACTCATAGGACCTGGGTTCACAGCCTGGTAAGGGTACATGGTGTTGATCTCAGCTGGGAAGGGGTAACCACCATACACGTTGGCAGAAACGGGTAAAGAAGGCGATCTCAAAGGCATGCGGTTACTTTGTTGTGAGCCATTAGCAAGACCATGTTGTGATCGTTGGCGGTCGTTGAAGTTGAAGTTCTTAGGGACAAAGTTGTTTCCAGCGTTGCCGAAATGAGCGTTCTGGCCAGCAAATCCGGAGAAAGGACCACCGCGGCCCCGATTCGGCCGACCTCCCCGCTCAGGACGGGAGTCGCCACGCTCGCGGTGGAAATCCTGGAAACCACCGGCACCACCTTCACGGTTCAAGTCAGTCGACTTGGAACCAGATTCAAAACGACGGTCGTTGGTACGAGCTGCGGCCTGGGCATCAACAGCCAAGTGGCCACTCTTGCCATTCCGGGAGTCGTTGTTTCTGTTGGTCTGCTTACCATCGCGCTGAGGGCGAGTGTTGTTGTCACTGCCATTTGTTTGCTTTCCATTTGAGGTAGCTGCCTCTTCGGTACGAGGCCCACGGTTGTTGCGTTCGGCTCCTTGAGCCTTGCGTCCCTCAGCACTGTTCACATCGGCACTGTTAGAGCGTCGAGGTTGGGCTGGGAGAGAAGCAGCACGGTTAGTGCCAGCCTCATTGCGGCCACGGTCTCCAGCGTTCTTGCCCCCAGAAGCCGGGGTAGCTTGGCCTGAAGTAGTCTTCTCACCAGCGCCAGCACCTCCGTGGGCGCCACCACGACCGCCATCACGTCCACCGCGAGCGGGTCTACGACCTCCTCCGCGACCAGCGGATGGAAGAGGAGTGGTGAAAACAGCTGAAGGAACATAGCTAACAGGCATCCACTTCTCCTTGCCATGGGATCGATTGACTGGACTCTTCTCGGTTTTGTCGGTCTTGTCCGTCTTCTCTTGTGCCTTTTTCTTCTCTTCGCCGATAGCGACCTGCGGTGTGGGCCATAAAGAGGCGTCCTCTACTGAAGGAACAGCAGCATCGCGACCCTTTGCGCTATCACTCTTTTTGCTTCCCTTGCCACCTTCTTGTGTGCCATCGGTGCCCTTCTTCTTTGAGTGTGACTTTGCCGAATCCTGTTGGTTCTCATCGGCTGCCTTTGCGGGTTTGGTAGAAGCAGGAACTGGTGAGGTCTTGGCCTTAAGGTCTTGAGCCTCCTTGCGCTGTTGCCAAATGTTGACTGATGGGAGGGGAGCAGCCTTCAGCTCTTTCGGGGGAGTATTCTTCTCGGTCTTCTCGGCCTTCTCAGCCTTCTCGGATTTCCCGGACTTCTCCTTCGGTCCCTCTGTGCTGTTCTCGGCCTTATCGGTCTTCTCAGCCTTCACATCGGTCTGGTTCTGCTTCTCAGACGAGGACTCCTGGGTTCCGTTGGTTGTATTTGAGGAATCACCTTCCTTGGGCTGTGTTGTGGTAGATTTAACGCTTGGAGATGAGGTCCGGGAATGAGCAGCCTTAGATTTGGTCTTGCTTGTCACAGTAGTAAATTCGGCATCCTGGTCAACAGTAGGTGCCGCCTTCTCAGTCTCCTGAATAGTCTCTGGCTCAGAGTTGGTGGGGGCCGACTCTGCAACAACATCGTTCGTTTGCTCTTGCGGTTTGGAATCGGTTGTCTCGGGCTCTGTAGAAACCGACTTGGTGGGTACTGGGGCGTCAGACACGCCTTTCGCGGCTTGTGCGTAACTGAATGTAGGCATTTTGCTTGAGTATAGAGCAAAATAGCTCGATCAGACAAAAACTGGCTGAAATGGGATATACTAGAGTCCGTTCAGCGTCGCAGCTGGTATCTGCTGCGGAACGAGAAATATGTTCGGCGAGCCTGAAGAGTTCAAATCAACGCCCTCGCGCGAGATGACTCCGGCACCGTATTTAATCAAAGGGAACAATCCCACCTTCTTGAACCCCCACGTAGTGACAGCTCTTCGTTTTCTCGGAAGGTGCTCTCACACTGATAGATATCCGGTAAATTGCCGATATCCAAAGCACGAGACCAAAAAAAATTATGGACGAACGGACGGGTTTGAGTGAGTTTCTGAGGAACGTCTAGACCGCAAATCGCATCGGTAAATCGTCGAATTCTCGGAAGAGGGGGTAGGATGGAACCTGTCGTGCCCAAAGTGGTGTACAACAAGTGGGTTTGGTGACAAAGAGCAGGCACTGCCTAATCAATGTCGTCGCACAAAACACAGGTGGTTGGATCACTGAGGGAGTAGGATAGGTCGAAACGTCACAGCAACGAGTTTGGGTCGCTGCCTTGGGTATTTCCACCTTAGATTTGACCTCTTTGGGAGATTTAGAATAGTCGCAAAATCCCAGAATTTCAAGCTGAAGAGATCAGGCAACACAGGGATGTCAAATAGACCAATCGCTCAACTTAAGATCTGATTCACGATCCCTTGTAAATCGCCGGACTGAACGAAGCAACGCGAGTCACACGTGGCGGTCGATTCGGAAAACGTCGAAGGGAGGTAGGAGAATCGGAAAAGGATTTCGAAATCTCTCAAATCGCGAGAGGTTGAAGATTCCGGGACGAAGTCGGAGCGGGCGTTTTTTTTTTTTCTTCTCTCGCTCGCACGGAGAATCAACGGTAGCTCGGCTTCACAAGGAAATTCACCAGAAGGCGAACGTGAATCTGGACGGGAACTTAGCACGAGGGAATTCCACCAAAACAAGGGAGGAATGGGAAAGAGGTGAGGTACAAACAAGAGGGGAGAGGGGTGGAGGTGGGAGGATGGTGAAGAGTGAGAGCAGGAACGCAAAATTATTATTTGGGTAATAATCAGGGCAATGGTAGCGGGGCTTTTTTTTCTTACCTTACACAATGTAATTGAATTCTTGGGATCTTCCCAAAAAGAACAAATTAATAGAAAGAGAAAAAAAGACAGCACGAAAAAAAAAAAAAGAAAAATAATAATAATATGTAATAATAATTAGAATTGGGGGGAATTAATTTTGTGTACGCCTGTGTACCCCAGGACCTTTGGATTTATTGTGGAATTTCGCATAAGAAAAAAAAATTCACAAAAAATCTAAAAAAAAATATCTTATTTAGTGATGGAGAGTGGATGGAGCCCAGCGGATTAATCCCTCGGTGCCGCACAAATTGGCATTGGCAACTTTTGAATGTTTGGGACTTCGAATCACCAGGTAATAAATTCATCTGGGGGCATTGATACTACAGCGGAGAATGAGAAATGGGGTATTGTACGACAATGACAGACTCAAATTGGAACTCGAGATGTATAGGCCATATATAACTCGTCATAATATCTACTTCAATTCTGTTGTGTCGAACCGGGTTAATATCAGTCTGGTTTGGGACTAGCGGCTTCTCTTAATTCCAACTGTCTTTTACTCATTTGAAACTGCAATGGAAATCTGAAAATCCGTTTTAACCTGGAGAACTCTGAACACTTTCCCATGGATCAGGGTGGTTGGATCGGAATACCGTTTTTGCATTACCAAAATGACAATACCCCCTCGGGATAGTCTCGGGTTTCATTTATAATGGAACATCCATATATATGCACGTAAGATTGTTCCTCCCCATACATACAAGACATAAACATTGGGTTGATCAACCTAAACTAGGTGACCTTGATGAACACCCCCAAGGAGAGTCCCCAGGGCCTATTGACCCAATCGTAACTCTAGGGATAAAGTTCCCAGCATCACCATCTGCTCAGGGTCTTTCCAGGCTCGGGAATGAGGGCCTTGGGATCCAACCAATCGCATGGTGGCAGGGTGCCTAGGAGATACTCCGTGCTGCATGGAGAAGTACTGAGTTCAAAGCAGTTCCCAGATTGCTTACTTGACCCTTCTCAGACACTGAAATATAAAAGTTATGCCTTATACCTTATAATACCTTCAAGGTTGCTACCCGTAGTACGGTAAGCATGCCTCACAAGCCTGTCCAGGTGGAAATCTATAGCCAAACCTTGGAAAGGCCGGGAACCATTCTTGTATCCATGTACGATATGTATGCATTAGCATTAGCACCCCCTTGGGGTCCAACAATCCTACGCAAATCCTTCATTGTTCTGTACTGCCCCATGCTCCTCCGGTACTGCCTCCTCACGACCTTCAAAAGAAAAGCGTTGGCTTCCTTTGCGGGGTCCACCGGAGCCCCTCCATGCCATCCCACCATTGGTCCTTGAGCCGTACATCCGTCTAATTAGTATTCTGACGCGGTGCAACGGGAAGTCAAATTGTATTTTCATGATTCGACTCCAACATTTACTCTCTTTGTCTTTTTTCAACAACAGGAGTTCTCAACATAAAAGCTCTTCCATATGAGTCCCTTCTTCGATTCATCTACCTTACCCAACTGTCTCCAGCACAGCACAGAAAGTACTATGTAATATGCGGCTTCTTCAACCGGATGATTCGGCGGATATAGCAGACACAGGCCTCGGGTACCTGACTTGGCCCGTAAGAGGTGGTATACGTAATACAGATGCCCCCCGAAACGAATCTCTGCAGGATTCCAAAGTTTCAAGGCTCCTAGCCTATTCTGTGCAGAGACATCAGTAGCGCCCTGTACTCCATCCGAAGTACAATACAGCGTACCCTGGCCTTTATTACCTCCCTTATCCTATCCATTTCTATTCCATTTCCATAATACTGTTTTGGTTTTGGTTTGTTTCTTTCTCGCACTTCCCTTCCCAGGTGTCATGCCAAGCGCCCACCACAGCTATGAATGATTTATCGTCCCGTGGCAGTTCTGTGCGACCGAGAATGTGATATATTTGCCTACCAGACACAAACACGTGATATACTTGCAGGAGATAAACCCAATATTATATAGACAGATTATTCCTTGGTTCCTGGTTCCTGGTTCTGCTTATATCCAATCTTGCATCTCATACATTAAAGTCACAGATCCTCTACCGATCTTATCTTTCCCACACTCTTCTCTAATACCAGATAATTAATATTCGGCAGAGCACAATTAGGGCTGAGGGCACGCGGAATCCGTCGGGATGGTGTGGAGTTGGAAGTATGTAATCTGAATACATCGGTGGAACAAGGGACCTTGGAACGTGGGATGTGGTATCTGTATTACTCTGCACGCCGGATACACTCCGCGAGACGGATCTACAGTATGGTCTGGTTCGTGGGGATTGTACCTCCATAAATACCTAGTAAAGTACTCTGTAGCACTATATAGAATTGCAAAATTAAGGATCGATCGGAGAGAAAGCGGAATAAGGAGTCTTTTAGATCTGTATTGGGCTTGTAGATGCAATCTGCAGTAGTCTTTGAATGACTGTTATGTTAGATGTGATGCACTCTTGTTAATGCCGAAGCCAATGAAGTTTATGTGTATATGCAAGCCATGTATTTGTTGAAAGTGCTGAGATTATCCAATGTAAGTTTCCCCGATATATTACAATCCATATGTACAGTTCTTGACCAACGCCTGTGGAAATGCCGGGACATGTACCTTCTGGACGGGTTGGTGTGTTTCTTTCCTCGATATCGTACAAATCATCCTTTTGATTTCCCAGTCTTCGCCTAGGTCTTCTTTTCCGTTCCTGCTGATGCATCCGTCGGTTGCGCAGCTGGTGTACTATTGTTCTCTTGATCATCCTTGAACGTAAGTCCAAGATTCTTGAAGTCATCGGGCGCCATGAGGTTCCTTTTCACATGGGACGCAAAGGTCAGTATGCATTTCACGTATTCACTTATGACTTTATAAGTCAAGGTTCTCGGGGTATGAGTGTTGAAATCTTAACAAGCTGGAGAGGGTGTGGCGTACTTGTCCATGCGGCAGGTCAGGTACTCTTTCGCTAATTTGCGGCATGCCTCGTCGTTTGTACCTCGATTTAACTTGATGCATTTCAAGTAACCGGAGATAATATGCTTGCACTCTCCTGTGCCACCAATGTATCCATTAGACGTGTTCGTGTATAATCGCGGGAGGATGTCGTCGGCTAACCTTCATGATCGAGGGGGAAGCTACCACGCTCGGGCCTACAGAAGAATGAATCCGTCAATGATAAGTCGCAAGAAAGAAGAAAGGAACAATGCGAAACGATAGTCTCGGGCATTGGGTAAAAGCAATACATGCGAGATCAACACATCACGCCACGCACTGGACGGAACTCACGGTGAGGGCTTGTAGTTCACTGAACCACCTCCTGGTGCGCCGAAACTCATCTTTCGATATCTGGAAGGATTTATCCGGTGGTTATGAGGGCGAATCGGACCTTCTCGTTACACGGTAGGACATTTGCGAATCGATGTCGCTTCGAAGCTCAAGCCGCGAGGCAAACGGAGCAAACGAGACAAACGTGATTTTAGCCAATAAGGATCGCAGAATACGACCGATGATGTATTTCCCGATAGGACCGGCACTAGAGCTGCATCTTTGAGCGAATGAATGAGTGAGGTCATGTTTGATTTCTGAGAGGTCCAATCAATTCTTGAAACGGCTTGAAGGATGGCTGTTTGATTTGTATGTCCTGTTTACAGAGTTTGTGATCAAGTGGACAGGCTTTCGCTACCGCCTGGCTATCCATGGATATATAAAAGGATCTGGGACATCCATGTTTCCTATGACCTCAAGCCTTCCAAGTTTTAACATCAATCATTTTAATACTAGGAGTTTGTTCCTATCCAACAAATAAAGGCATCATATCTAACTGCCCCACGCCTCCAGTAATTATGCCGATGTATGCCCACTACCCAAAACTTGAACATTCCCGAGGTCGAACATTAACCTCATACATCCCCGGGCCCCATCATCATGTACAACTTGAAGACACTAACTTGAACCGCCACAGGAAACTTGACGGAAGCTGCCAGTGCGGCGGTGTTGAATTTACGCTTCAGTCTCAAACACCAGTTCCCTATCAGCTATGCGCCTGTAGCATCTGTCGCAAAGTAGGCGGGTACATCGGCGCCGTGAACCTAGGCGGCATTGCCGACAGCCTAAAAGTGCACAAGGGCCAAGACCTTATCAAGTATGAAACACAGACATACCCTACCTAGTTTGAAATGAATCATGGAGCCGGATCACTAGCACCAACGATTCAAAGCAAAGGTTCAATATGATAAATTCATCTAACTTGCTTTATAGAAAATACAACGCCATCAAAGATCGTGGAACACCCAAGGAGGAAGTTTGTTCTTCTGAGCGTAACTTCTGCTCAAATTGTAGCACTATGCTTTGGCTGTGGGATCGTCACTGGCCGGAACTGATTCATCCATTTGCATCGGCTATTGATACTGAGTTGCCTGTACCCGATGAAATGGTTTGTGTTATGGCTGGATCGAAGCCTGCGTGGGCGAAGTGGCCCGAGGGGAAGAAGACTGTGAATGAGCTTTACAATGGGGATACGAGTATTGAAGGGTGGCATAAGCAGCATGGGTTCTTTGTGAAATAGAAATCTTCATCGGGGTCGTGTGGACAATTGTGGACGGTTGCGGGACAGGAATTTATTATGGTGGTTGCATAGCTACGTTGGAAAGTTACGAGTGCTTGTCTAATTGAAGGCAGGAGAAGATTCGAGAAAAAATATTTCATTAAAAACTATTTGAATGTGTCAAGACCTGCAATCCATGTTAGCATATCAGAACACAAACTATCATGAGTGATACAGTGTGAATTGAGATAGGTGGTCAGTTCTCCAAGGTGAAATTATAGTATCTTCAATGTAATTCGGAAAGAACACAGCGAATAATTTTTGTTCATCAGGCACGTGGGAAGTTGGATCGACGGCATTGAAACTTACGATCAGGCAGACGGGGTATATAAAGCAGACAATAGAAGTCCTAGATCAAGGATCCACGAGTCAGTATTGGCACTCGAAAGAAATGTAAGCATGAATCGAAATATCAAAACATGGTAACTATATCAGGCTAGAAGCCTATTCGTCAGCATAAAAGTTTTATAAGTGTCGTGACTGGATTGACCCACCTCATTAAATCAGAATTTTTGTTTAATGCTCATTACCGAATAAATTCGGTTCAAACAGTGTGAATATCAAGTTTCATCATTATAGAAATGACCATGTGCAAGGGCAAAAATGCAAACAAGAAGAGAGAGAAAAAAGATACCTATGATCACACAATTAGATTGATGTTCGAATGACATATCCTGTACGAAAAGTACACGTTTGTGATCAAGGGCAAGAGTCAGGTGACGAGTTCTCAACAAGTAGCCCACCCACCACGAACCCACAGAGTTTGTACGCTCTGGGTTTGTAGGGTAAGGGTAGATGGATACGTTATGTCCGCCCGTTCGTTCAAGATTTCTTCATGCAAGCACATGCCGCAAGAGAGGGAAAAGTATGACAGGAATCGATAAGAGTAATTTACCTAATCAGCAGTGAGTTAGCATGGTGTACACCAATAATAGCTGATGCAAGTAATAAATCAAGGATTTGATTCGAAGTCAGACAAGGCTGAAACTTAATAAAGACAAGATTCCACATGATAACTTAAGTTCGAGGAATGCCATTGCATTGTCAAAGTATCATCACTCGAATCGGAGGGGAGAAGAGAAAAAAGGAAGCAAAATGTGTCTTACCTTTTACGAATGAATATTTTCGCAGAAGCGAGGCCGACAACAAGCATCAATTGTCAAAAAGCCTCGCCCAGTCAGGGTAGCAGAGAACATTGCGGCAAAGCTGGCATTGCATTCTGCTATTTTGAAAAGAGAAAAGAAAAAAGCAGGGAGCTGGGACGCTCCCAGGTTGCGATGCGCAGACACGGGAGGAAGAAAAAAATTTGTGGGTGGAGCGCGAAATATAAATGGACCGAAATTGTACGGCTGCGGGCAGGAGCTATATCCGCAGTTTGTCTGTGCATCAAACACCTCATTTGTCTCCACTATCGACTCTCCACTCTCTGGATTCTACATCCACTCTACCAAGTCGAATTTGCTTTTGCCGAAGCTTCCAGATGCGATACCAAGTTCATATTACCGCTCTGAAGAGCACTCAAACAATATACGATGTAATAGTCATTGGAGCTGGACTGAGTGGTCTGCAAGCGGCTCGCTCAGTTCGCGCTGCTGGGCTCAAGGTTTGTGTTTTGGAAGCAACCAATCGAGTTGGTGGCAAAACACTCTCAGTACAGTCCTGTGAGAATGGTTTCAATGATCTGGGAGCTGCATGGATCAACGATACAAATCAAAGTGAAATGTTCAAATTATTCCAACGATACAACATAGATGGAGAGATTCAGCGAGCCAGTGGAGACGATGTTGTTTTACTTTCCGATGGCACAGCTCGAAGAAAGCCTTTCGGTCAAGTAATAGTGAGTTGCGAAAGAAAGCCATTGCGGTATACATAATCTGACAACTAATTACCTCTTGATTTAGGGTGACCAGGATCTGCTTCTACAGCTTCTACAGCTGCTTCGGAAAGAATCGGCTCTAGTAGATTTAGACAATCCTGCCAGCTCCCCAGATGCTGAAAATATTGATAAACTAACATTTGGTGAATTTTGTACCGAGCGAACGCAGACTGACGCTGTAATCACCATCGCAGATGAGATATGCACTGCATTACTGGGTGTACAGAGCCAGGAAGTTAGCGCATTGTACATGCTACATTATATCAAGGGTGGCTGTGGCATCGACAATTTACTTTCAGATCAGAAAGACGGAGGACAATACCTAAGAAATAGAAAAGGTTAGTTGGTTCAATTTGTATGCATAACGAGTCAATTTTGACCGGATGACAGGAAACCAAACTATTTCAAAAAACCTGGCCCAAGAACTCGGGGCGAATGCTGTATTTTTGCGCACGCCAGTTACTTCAATTGACCAGACGGGCCCTGTTTGCATCATTTCGACAGACCCTGGGAAGATATTCCATTGCCGAAAGGTTATAGTCTCCGTGCCCACGACTTTATACAATTCAATAACCTTCAACCCACCGCTCCCCACGAAAAAGGCTATTCTATGTGACAACGCTGTCATGGGATACTATAGTAAGATGATATTTGTTTTCAAAGAGCCATGGTGGCAGACTGGTGGTTTCTCAGGGATCATGGATTGTGAGAAGGGCCCTGTTACTTTCACACGAGACACCAGCGTGCCAGAAGATGGGCAATGGTCCATAACATGTTTTATCGTCGGAGATCGTGGCAGAGAGTGGTCAAAACTCTCCAGAGCTTCGCGGCAAAAGCAAGTCTGGGGGCAAATAACTCAGGCATTTGGCAGTTTTGTTGAAGATGTTCCTGAGCCATCGAATGTCTTGGAGATGGAATGGGCTAAGCAAGCTTTCTTTCTCGGTGCACCCTGTCCAGTGATGACACCGGGTACCTTGACTTCTGTGGGTGATAAAATAGCGACTCCATTTGGAAATGTTCATTTTGTGGGAACCGAAACCGCACAGGTCTGGCGAGGATATATGGAAGGTGCCGTGCGCTCTGGCCAACGTGGAGGTGCGGAGGTGGTGAAAGCTTTATCCAACAGCATTGCGGCGTAGTAGGCGCAATATAATTTTGGAATAAACTCGGGAATCATACTTTATTGCTGAGACTCATATGCCAGAGAAAATTTTATATAGGTGTAAATAGTGAAGCGGCTTGTGTGGTTATTGTATCATTTAGACGTCATTTATACCACATAAAACAACTACTTCAATCCGAAGACAATCTTTTCTCTTTTTAATTCATCCAAGCGCAATTTATGAGATCTTCGTCCTATATCGACAGGATAAGTTTCCAAGATGCACACTAAGTTCGAATTGAATACAGGCGCCGAAATACCTGCCATTGGCTTTGGTACGTGGCAGGATGAACATGCCCAAGAGGAAGCAGTTCTGGAGGCTATAACAGCTGGTTACCGTCACATTGACACGGCAAGAATGTGAGACAAGATGGAAGGTTGCTCTGCAGATATTATAGACTAATAAGTTTGGGATGAGAATCACAGCTACGGAACCGAGAAGGCTGTCGGCGAAGCCATCAAGAAATGCGGAGTTCCACGGAAAGAACTCTTCATCACAACAAAGCTATGGAATAACAAGCACCACCCAGATGATGTCGAGGAAGCAATTTAACAGTCCTTAGACGACCTGGGGCTTGAGTACGTGGATCTGTATCTGATGCATTGGCCAGTTTCCTGGAAGCGTGGCGAGCAGTCATTCCCAAAGATGAATGGCCAGTTATTAATGATAGATATTGACATTGTTGACGTATGTACAATTGACCTTTCAATTATAAAATCAAACACTGACAGTACTGGCCAATCCAAGACATACAAGGCAATGGAGAAGCTGCTCAAAACCGGCAAGACCAAAGCGATAGGCGTGTCGAACTGTTCCAAAGCTGAGATAGAAAAGCTGATCGAGAAAGCATCCGTCGTCCCAGCCGTGCATCAGATGGAATGCCACCCGTGGCTACAACAGCGTGCTTTTACTAGATGGCTTCGCGAGAAGGGTATCCATGTTACCCACTACTCACCATTCGGAAACCAGAATGCATTTTATGGCATGAAGGGGGGATTTGGGAAGTTGATCGAAGAGCCTATACTTGCGGAGATCGGCAAACCGTATGATAAGAGTGCTGCTCAAGTAGCTCTTGGTATGTTTAGAAAGGCCCAAATAATCTAGTACGTGCTAGAACTAATTGTTCCTGATTTTATAGCCTGGGGAGTAACACAAGGACACTCAGTTCTTCCTAAGTCCAAGACTCCATCTCGTATCAAATCGAATCTGGAAGGGGACTTCAAATTGTGCCCTTCGGACATGGAGAAGATCGATAGGCTGAATCGGAAGATGCGATTTAATGACAGTAGTGGTGAGTTTGGTCGTGACTTCTTTGAGGACTTGGAGGACAAGAAGGGCTAGGAACCTGGGTACGGTCATTTTTATACTTCATTTCAATATTACTTCAAATGTTTTTAGTAACAGAGAAGCTATTTCAAGTCACGGTATTGTACTGGGGAAATGTAGGTCATGTTTTGCAGTTTCTCTGCCAATTTGAATCTGCCAACGCGCATCCATCATGATCTTTCTACTTCATAAAAGCATGTTGTATTTAGATTTATTTTCCAAAGACTTTTACAGCATCATTAAAGGCATCTGCTTGGTATAAATTCATAAATTCAAAAATTTAAAAGATGGGATATTGGCTTTTTCACAATTGTTGTAGCTTCAGACCTTTCGCGGACTATGTAGCAGCTACTTCAAATCCACCAGGGCATGACGTCACGAGGCTGAGAAACAAGGGAGGCTTCAATTTCCCGGATGTCAATTTGACCTCGTCTTAATTTCAATCCTAGACGAGAAACAAATATATATATACCAATCATTGCGATGGCATCGGCCAAGCATGGTTTTGCCCTAGTGACACCTGCATCACGCGGGCTAGGCTTCGCATTTGCTCAACAATTGTTAGCCAAAACCAAACTGCCAGTCGTTGCGACAGCACGCAAGAACTGTACAGAAATTCGAGATAACTTGCTTTCCAGCGAGGGAATACCCACAGATGCAGAGCAAAGGCTTCGTCTACTCGAGGTTGATGTGACAAGTATGTTGGCCGCCTTCACAGATGTGATCTCCAATTCCACTGACAGATTAAAACAGACGAAGCCACGATTTCATCAATGGCAGACACAATTCGCGAAGAGTATCCGAGGACTCCACTACGAATCGCATTGGCAATACCAGGAATCCTTCATGTAGAAAAGTCTCCAGCACAGATTGATGCTGAAAATGCCTTACATAGCTTCCAAGTGAATGCTCTGGGTCCGCTGCTACTAATGAAGCATCTAGCGCCATTTCTCCCGACAAAGTCTTCATCTGCGTTTCCTGATAGACATGATTCTGAACTGAAAGATGGGCTTCGGCTGCCATCACATGCGATCTACGCTATGATGGCGGCTCGGGTGGGCTCAATATCTGATAACAATTCTGGTGGCTGGTACTCATATCGTGCAAGCAAGGCGTCTGTTTATCAAATTGCCAAAACCTTTGATTTGTATTTACGTGGGCGCTCCGCTGAAAAGGCTTTGGCAGTGGCTTTGCACCCTGGAACCGTGCGCACTGAATTTACGAAAGAATTCTGGAGTGGTCGGGATATGCTAGAGCCTTTGGACTCGGCAGATCGGATGCTGCGGTTCCTTGCAGGATTATCGCCGGGAATGAAAGATGGCAGAGGAAGATGTTGGGACTGGAAAGGCGAAGAAGTGTTTCCATAAGGGAGTCAGTGGGGTCTACATAAGCCATGTTCACTCTTGATGAGTGTGCTTTGATTTGAAATAAGAACCTTAATATTTGGATCTTCTGTCCATAATTTGGCTTAGACTCTTTGGATGAGGAACTAATAGCACCAAATAGAATTGTACCTGCGCGACGCAAATGGACTTATCAGACAGGCGGGAATTTAGGTTTGTTTCGGCTGGTGTATAAGGCTCTACAACAGTGTGGAAATCCACTACAAAGCCATCTACGATATAAAATTGATCATTAGTGAGGACTGGGTCTTATTCTGAATGCAATGGCCCAAGTACGCTGATGGGGAATGGTACTTTGGTCGGATCCATGTGCCGATCATGAAGAACGAACAAAGACAATTCATGCATCGCCTGCATTAAAGAAACTTAAAAGGGACCCCTTGGTCTATTCTTGGCTGAAGAAACGCCACCGGGAACAATGCGTTTTGGAAGTCTTATTCTGTCGATCTAATCATCAGCAAAGAGATTGATCAAGAGTGGCGACGCTTGAATCAGCATGAAAGCGGTGAAGGCCAGCATGATATCAGTCTGTGTTACAGGAAAATGTCAAAAGAACCTCATCCCTCATCTAGTGGGCTCTTGAGTATGAAATAAACTCTATAGCTTACCAAAAAGCCCCTATAGCTCGTGAAGGAGCTTTGGAAGACATGAGTGTTCATGAGAACATTCGATATCTATTTTGGACTAAAGCCAAAGAGACCCATGAAATTTAGCCTTGATGCATACTTCAAAGATATCTAAACCGCTGTATCATGTATGCGTTACGGAATAAGCATTGATTTTATCAGAATTTATATAAATATCATGATGGGGCCAAGCCTCACATTATCGAAGAGATGCTTGTTCACAATGGGTTTGTCAAAATAGAACATATTCACATTTCCATCGACCCCGTCAGCGCGCGAAACCCACGATATTGCTTTGTGGATTTTCTTGATAAAGAAACCGCCGACGGCGCCATTGCATCTTTGGTTGCCGATATCAGCGGGCGGCCCATTAAAGTCAGCCCATGCGAACCGAAGAAAAAGCGCTATCCTCAAGCACACCGCGAGTGTGAATTTGCTTTTGATCGATGGGGTGGTTGCAAATCCACCTCTCAGGAGAATCAGGCAGAAGGAGAGCGTGTTTATCGCAGAGGGATTGAGCAAAGTCCCCAAGGAGCTATGGATCACTTCGATGATTTTGTTGACTCTCTTAAGAAACGGAGGCTTTATGTTGGGGGCTGGATAGAATGATAAACCAGTCTGAACACAACAAGGAAGTATCTACACTCTTCAGAGATTTCTATCCGTGATCACCGTTTCATCATTTATTCTTTGAGTCTCTGTTGCTGACCATGTTATACTAGGACGGCAATTGGTAAACGAATCAAACCTCGCCAGACAATCCCCACAGAAAACCGTCATTACTGTTTTGTTAATTTCGCAACACCAGGAGAGGCAGAGGCAGCAAGAGTGGCATTGCATGGCAAGTCATACTTAAAAGGCCGGCTGAAGCTGAGGCATACGTCGTACATACCACCAAAACTGGTAGAAAGACATACGCACTTCGGATCTAATTCATCGGACCCCCCTGCGCCTGATCAAGAACACATGCGCCAGAGCCAGTATCGCTATGAGAAGAGATCGGAACCAAAGAGGTCGGAACCGAGCAGAGACGAATTGTCCAATAACTGGCGCAGATGAGGAGATGCATGTTGAGCTCAAGTAGCTCGTATCTTTGAAGACATACTTTGTCTATTTTAGCTTCCTCAGAGATTCGTTTCCTTACAATGCAAATTTTTCTATCCTTGCCGATGTAGGAAAAAGTAATCACCAGGGTAAAAATCTGCTGAAATTTGGTAGCGCTAACCAGGCAAGATCAAACAACATCCACTTGAGTTTGAGGTTATGCGGTCCCGGACATAAAACGAACGTTTCATGTCCAGAACTCTCAAAAGTCTTGACATATAGTTATGCATATGTTCATAAATCAGAAGAGAGTTGTCAATTCGGTTCCACGCTGTGTCAAAAACCTTGAAATGCACTATGATAATACCCAGAATCCACCTTTGTGGATCATATTGACATCAACTATTTCTCCGTGGTCAAAAATCAAAGTGGAGTTATCTGTCCACTTCTAGCTAAGATCATCCATTAATGATGGCACCGCTTATTATTCGCTAAATGTTAATATGCTATGACCGGTTACTAACGCTTGGCACGGTGCTTATCACGGATGAGCATCATTTCCAAGTGCCGTATTAGTGACATGCGAGGAACGAGTCGGGAATTTTACCATCCGAGTCTCACAGAGTCGCGAAATGTTCTGGTCTAATGCACAGATAGGTTGCATTAGTGGATCGGAACAACTCCGTTATGCCAAAATAAGCAAACCTGAAGGTCAGTGCATGAGCATGGCTTGACACCTGTCCATGAGAAAGCGCCATGTCAAGGTTATATCCGGGCTGCATATATCCAGAATGACATTTAGACATTCAGTTTCCTCTGAGAGTAGAGTGTGGATATGTTATAGGTGGAAAACCTGGGGAGTGATCATCACTGTAGATGCTAAAAGCAGAAGGTGCGGAGGAAACGCGGAAGACACCAAGAAGACAGATAACCTGTTCAGCAGTCCGGACGTAGACCCCCCAAAGATAGATTTTGCATCCATGAATACGGGAATACAACTGAAAACAGAAGGCAGGCAAAGCACTGGGGAAATAGACTTTGATCAAGCGCCACCCAAGCATTGGCACCCATCTAGAAAAGCCTATCGAGGAATCCTCGCAATCTCCTTATATGCCGGATAATGAGCGCTATTCCCATAAAAGCGAAGAAGCCGATATACAGCCGACTCGGGATCCCCGAGGCCCCTAGGCTCATTCTTACCTTTCCGCGTTTCGCGGGGGCGAACCCAATTCCAGGAGCTTGTGTGTCCATCTCCCCGCATTTCTTCCCCACAAAGCAAGCTAACCCCGGAACTTGCTCCACTTTCTATGGGCAGGACGGGCTGTTATTAGGCCGCTTTCACGAATCATATCTCATCGATTGCTCTCCTGCAAGGCACCTAGAATACGATCTGGATTCGTGTATTTGAGATTCTAGCCTTGGCGTTGGGGTCGATGGAGTTACTCCGGGTTGGGAGAGGCCGCTATGGCTTTCTTTCCGGGGTAAATGCTGATCTATGTGGTCTGGGTGGATAAGTGCTACGATTAATGGTGGGGTGGTCATGCAAATATAAGCTGGATTCGCCCCAGACTTTCCTGCTGCTGATCAGAACCCCTAATTGTTGTCTTTCCGGGGCCACCTACGGCTACTTGATGCGATTTATTCTGAACTTCCAATTCTCAACTTCAATTGGCAATTTCTTTTCTTAATTCACTTTCCCCCTTTCTACGGATCCAACATGTCAGACGATAACGCCAGCGACAAGCAGGAAATCTCCACCGTGGAGATGCTGCGTCGCTACCAAACCGCAGATAGTGTTCTGCTCCCCATCCCCAGAGATGCATTTGAGAAAATGTATCTCAATCCCAAGTTACCCACGGCGGGAAATTTGCGCCGTACATTCGGAAACCCGACACCAATCTCCTTGATGGGTTTCTTACTCGCAGCTACTCCTGCTGCTATGCTGACGATGGGCTGGCGAGGCTCTGGTGGCAATGGTGGAGCTATTTTGTGAGTAATCATCTTTCAGCTCATTTAACCAGAGCCAATAGACTGACAGAAATACTCTTGTTAGGCCGGTATTCATCTTTTTCGGTGGAATGGTGCAGATTCTCGGCGGCATTGGAGAATGGATTATTGGAAATACATTCTCGTGTGCTCTTTTCTTCACATATGGCACTTTCTGGATTGTGCAGGGTACAACTCAGATGCCATTCTTCGGAGTCGGCACAAATTATTCACCCACTGGAAATACACTTCAGGGGGCTCAGACCCCGGAATTTGACGCTACAATCGGTAAGTGTACACTGTACCAATAAATCAGCTCGTGCGGTATTAACTGAAAGTCCCAGGCCTGTACTATGTTATTCTCGCCGTACTCACTTTCGTCTACCTGATATGTTCGATTCGAACAAACGTCTGCCTTTTCCTCGCTTTATTCCTTCTCGTCATAACCTTTTCTCTGACAGCGGCCGTTTACTTCCAAATGGCATTGGAGAATGCTGCTGCGGCTGCTAAACTACTAAAGGTGCGTATAATTGATTATACTCCCCGTCTCTTATTGGTCTTCTTCGTGCCTAACTTTGTCATAGGCTGCCGGTGCATTTAATTTCGCACTTTGTATTCCAATTTGGCATATCTTCATAGCGCAGATTCTGGAAGCAGTGGATTTCCCCTTCGCACTCCCGGTGGGTGATCTGAGTACCGTTATACCAGGGAGATCACAGAAACTTAGGAAGCGCGAAGCAGCCACCTAGTACGGAAGATACGTATCATGTCAGCAGCAAAATAGTTATGCGGTATATGAAATCGAAATTTCGAATATCCCAATGAGGCCAAAGGGATCCAAGTTGTATAATTTCCTCTTTCCAAGAACCAGCATTCTATTCATATATTCGTATGTAGCGTAGCGTCGTAAAAAATAAAAACGATAGTCGCCCTTCTATAGAACATAGAGACATCTGCTATTAGCGCCAGCCTCCAACTCGGCCTTCGTCCCAGCGAGCTTTTGCCTCTTTCCTGGACGCTAATTTTGAAGCCTCCGCTCTTACGCGACGCACCCAGTCTGTGATCTCCTTCTCTGTAGCTCTTCCATGATGCTCCTCTTCCAAGAAGCTCTCCTCCACAGCCTGGCAGACTGCCTCTTGCTCCGCAATCGCTGCACTTAGTCGCTGGTACAATGCTTTCGGTGACCACGGAGCCAATGCGGTATCCATTTCTGTTTGCTTTTTGCGCCATGAGACCTCCAATGATTGGTGTTGGAGTAGCATTGTTTCTGTAGAGGCTCGAAGCTCTGTGACGTGATTCTGCATTTCGAGAACACGCGCTGCGAGCTCCTTGTTTACGTGAAGAAGCGATTCGAGGTTTTGTTGTCGAGCCGTGTGGGAGGGGTGGTGGCTGGATAGTGCGGAGATCAGGCTTGGGTCCTTAAGGATGGTTTGAAGATCGACGGTTCTAAACATGTGAGTGCTTGATTATTATGGTATGAGGAATCCGGGTCTCACGATTTGTCCTTCAGTGCCTCTGGAAGCCACCCTTCCTCAAATGTGGGCGGCGAAGGCAGAGGTACAGCCTGAGGATATGGCGACTGATGTGCGCTGTTCATGTGGGTGTCTGGTCGGTAGCCAGAGGGAGTGGATTGCTGGGGGGTGCCCCCTCGGCTTGCTTCGTGGCTGCTAGGCTTGGGTGGTGGTGGGGGTGGTGTATCGGGGTTAAGCGCCGCGTGCATCATGGTCGGAGTTGAATGGTAAGGTGACTGTGCGACATAGGGTGACGCCGATTGAGACATGGTGAAGTGACGTTAGTAGCCTAGGCGTGGGGTCGGAAGGTTGGAGATGCACTTAGGCTTGGCGGTGCCCGTTCTAGAAGTATGCTTACTTGAGGAAAAGCTGATAGCGCCACTCCTAGATATAACAAAATTTACTATTTTCAATATTTGCCTTTACGAACAGATCGAATTTGAGAAGGTTATTCCTATGGGTTACTTTATTGCGGTAAATGCGCGCTCCAACATAGCCACCAGGAGTCGCGCTACCTCCGTAGTATGCTATCCCTACAAAGATGCACTACAACTAGTTATCGCAGTCGGATCAAATTGAATCTTTCCTTATCAATGAGTCAAATTCGATCGATCATATAATTCATATCATCGTACATGTTAATTAAGACACGGGTCGTGCCATTGCCTGTCCGTACAACGCAGCTATTTATTGAATTGAGCACAGCTTCCGAGGGTCGCATTGGAACGATCTGTTATTGAATGAGATTCTTTTGCCAATGCAAAAGGCTCAGTTCAATTCGGATTCCGTATCTTCTGAATTGTAGCGCTGTGCCAGCTTATGGCCTTGGAAGAGGCTGATGGGGAGGTCAAATGTAGTCGCAAGGAATGTGCGGCTGGTTTTGCGCAGTGCTTCTTACTCGTGATATACGAGCACTTGGACCCTGAAACCAAAGATGCGGGTTAACAAGATCAATATATCTATTCTGTCTTCTGTCGTGTCTCCCGACCGGATGTCTCCATACTTGATCCCGCGATGGCATCTCTGACAAGCTCACGCAGCTCATTCTGAGCGGCTTCGCTGTCAAAGTCCTCACGGGCGGCCAGTTCATCAATTCGCCTTTTGAACTCAGGATCCACCTCAGCTTCGCCCGCATTTAATTCTTGCTCCGACATGGTACCGATATTAACCTGCATGTTCCCAGGGATCGGTGGCGGGGCGTTTAATGGCCCGACAGGCGAGTCTGTAGTGGGAGCAGCGGGCATACCCAGAACTTCACGGAGATAGGCAGACACCTTCGGGTTCTCCTCCTCCATTTCCATCTTTTCAAATGCTTTTATGCCCTCCCCATTTGTCATATTGTGATCCACTCCAAGCTCTTCAACCAAGCACCGGGCCACATTGAGTTCCTCTGTCACGAACAAACAAGTCTCGCCATCTTCGTCAAGGAGGTTGACGTTCACATTGAACTCCTTTACAAGAGCGCGTAAAAGATCGGTATGGCCGTACGACGCGGCAGCGTGTAGGAGTGAGTAGCCGGATTCATCTTGACAGGATGCAATGGTGGGGTTTGATCGCAGTAGCTCCAGCAGAGCCGAAGGATTGTCGCAGGCGAGGAGGTAAGGATTTTGCGCCATGATTTTGCAGGGGTATGGTATGACTCAGAGAATGGAATGCGGTCTAAAAGGAAGTAGTCTGAAAGAAAATAGCGTTTGCGTAACAACAAAGGTGAAGTTGGAAGTTGGAACAAAAAGTTTTTTTGCGGAAAGAAAAAAAGCGATGATACGATAAGGCTGCTGCCCTTTCCTATTTGGTTCCCCGCAGCATGACACATTCTTTGTATGACTCTTTACGCTCCACCGCCTGTGCAGTTGCCCAGTTTCTCAGCCGCAACAAACAGCCTCCTGTTTGCCTATTTTAAGGCATTGACGCCCCTGGATATAGAACAGTCGAGTCATTCATCCCAACTTCGACCTCTTGGCCTTTTGCCTTATCGTGCCCGTGCCTTCCTCCCTCCCCCCACTTCGATCACCCCACTATTATTTTCAAAAACCATTCCCTCAACCCTCGAACCCACGTCAATTTTAACGAAACGAAACATGAAGTCCCGAGAACATTTAGAGACACAGGACTCCTCTGTAATCAAGGACCTAGTCGCCAAATTAGAGGATGCGCGAAAGTTGGGCGCTGGTCAAAAAAAGCGAACCTTTACTTGCAAAAAGGCGACCTACACAGTTCACGGCACCCAAAATGTGACGGTGGACTCATGGAAATTCATGGACTGGGATTACAAGAGAACCGACCTTCCATCATATGCTCGAGGTCTTTTCACCACGCGACGAAAAGACAACCACCCCGAGATCGCGGTTCGTGGATATGACAAGTTCTTCAACGTGAACGAGGTCAACAATACTCAATGGAGGAATATTGAGAATAACACACGTGGTCCATACGAACTGAGTGTGAAAGAGAATGGCTGTATCATTTTTATATCTGGCCTGGAAGACGACAAATTGCTGGTGTGTAGCAAGCATTCAACCGGAAATCGCGCTGATGTCGAGGTTAGCCATGCCCTGGCCGGTGAAAAATGGGTGGAACGGCATGTTGCAGCTGTTGGGAAATCTACCAAAGATCTTGCCCGAGAGCTACGCAGAAGAAATCTCACAGCAGTAGGAGAGCTGTGTGATGATGCCTTCGAAGAGCATGTTCTGGCTTACGACCCAGCCGCGTCTGGTATCTATCTTCATGGTCTCAACTACAACGTCCCCCATTTCGCCACAGAGCCTTGTGATGAGGTGCATAAATTCGCTGTTGAATGGGGTTTCAAAAAAGCCAAATTCCTGAAATACGACAGGATTGATGATGTGAAACAATTCCTGGAGGAATGTGCCGAGACAGGTACATGGGATGGCCGTGAGACAGAAGGTTTTGTGGTTCGATGCAGGATGAGCGAGTGTGGCGGACCGGAGCAAGACTGGTTTTTCAAGTACAAGTTCGAAGAGCCTTATCTCATGTATCGCCAGTGGCGTGAATGCACCAAAGCCGTGATCTTGGGCAAGCTGCCAAAAATCAAGAAGCAAGTCCAGATTACCGAGGAGTATCTCCAGTTCGCGCGAAGGCAGTTCATGAGAGAGCCTGGCAAAGCAAAGCTCTACAACCATAATCATGGAATTATTGAACTTCGCGAAGCCTTCCTGAAGGAGCGAGGCCTGAAGGGATCGGAAATTATTGCATTAGAGGCTGAAAAAGGTGGAAAAGGCAAAGAGACAGAACGTGACGTTATCCTTGTTCCTATTGCCTCCCTGGGCTGTGGAAAAACCACAATTGCCTTGGCCTTGGTGCATCTCTTTGGCTGGGGTCATATTCAAAACGATAATATCCCCAAGCAGAAGAACAAGCCGAAAAAGTTTGCATTCGAGATTACCCAGGAAATGGCTATTGCGCCCGCTGTGATTGCAGACCGCAATACTCACCAACGTCGCGAGCGAAAGCAGTTGTTCGAGGATATTTACCCCGTCGTCCCAGCTGCGCAGTTTGTTGCTCTCCATTATGTTCACGAACCTAAGGACCAATTGCTTCCAGGTATCAAAGAAGTCACCCGGAAACGAGTTCTGGAACGCGGTGATAATCACCAGACTATTCGCGCTGGCACAAAGAATCCCGAAGAGACAATTGGGATCATGGATGGATTCTTGTACCGATTTGAAGGAATTGACACCACCAGAGATCCGGACGAGAACTTTGACCACGTAATTGACCTAGACGTGTGTGCCTCTTCAAGAGAAAACCTTGAGAAAGTCGTGATCGCCCTGCATGAGGCTTATCCTAAGCTGGTGCCCAAAATGCCTTCAGCCAGCGATCTGGACGCCGCGATCAACGCATCTATGAATGAATATGAGGTTCGGCTAGATCTGAGTGCCGGATATTCTTCGCAGAACAAGAAAGACAAGCAACCAAAAAAGGGAAAGCAGAATGAAGGCGCCGACCTTGCTCCAGCACTTCTAGCCCGAAAAATTGAGTACTTTAAAATCTCTCTGCCTGTCAACGAGGTTTCTAATACCTTGCACTCCCTCTTCACACCTGATACGCCCCCAGAAGCCTCTCGCTTATATAACCAGCTGGTCAAACAGCGTCGTATTCAGCCAGCCTTCCATGTCACTTTGATCCATCGCGCCTCAAGAGAAGAAAAGTCTGATGTTTGGTCGCATTATTCGAAGCAATACATCGACAATCTAACGGCCATGCCGCTCGCTGAACCTGTTCAAAACCCACCTACTCTTACCTTTGCTCGGGTTCGTCTGGAACGTCTTGTGTGGGACAATCGAATTATGGCATTTGTCGTCCGTATTCTTCCGGGTGAGGATGGCTCAACTGAAGAGCAAGCCGATCTACCTTGTGCCAATGCCATTCCTCATATCACAATCGGAACTGCAGCACCTGATGTGAAACCGAAGGAAAGTAATGATCTTCTCAAGCGTTGGCTGGAAGTCGGTTCCGGTGGTGACACTGGTATCTTTGAAGCTGAAGTCAAGGGTGTCAAGATGATTGACGGGAAGGTGGACTTGGCTATGATGCGTGGAAAGTACTGAAATTGAATTATACCGAGGTTTTAGCAGGCTACTTAAGCGATATATGGATACCCTTTGCGTGCTAGTTCACCAGTACTGAGAGAATCTTATGAGCAAAGCATGAAATAAGAAATGCATTTCGACTTCTACTCTTCTTTAGTGTGTATCAAATCATACGTAGCCACTTTTGTATAACAGCCGGACCATGACATACTCCCATTCATTCAAGCACTGAACCCTTTACTACTGACAACTTATGTCATGATCAAGAGTAAAAGAAATAAAGTTTGTTGAGGAATTTACTGGTTCCAAATGCCTCGATAAAATTATGTACACTTTCATTACTATTCTATACTATTCTATTAAAAAAGAATCACGCTACCCCATTATACTCCCATGAAACTCAAAAGCAAAGCATATTTAACCCAAGCGAGCAATCAACTTAGTGCCAGACACTTTGCCCTGCCGAAGCAAGTCCAATCCAACGCTAAGGTTCTCCAATCCACCATCAATATCCTTGAGGGGAAGTGGCTTCAACAGTTGAGAGACCTTTGGCAGTGAGGCATAGAATCTGCGCAATGCATCTCTATCAGTGGGTATTTTGCCAAATTTGGGACCAACCGGCGCAAGCCATTGAAATTCCGCACCAAAGGCAGTATATCCCAACAAGAACTCGACTTTTACGCCATCCAGCTCAGTCTTTCCACTATCCAGAAGTGTAACCACCCACCCACGATTCTTTCTAACAACATTCGCACAGAACTCTGTAGATTCGCCTTCTGAGAAACAGTCCATGGCCCTGTCGATATCGGGGTAGGCTCGAATGATGTCCTCAACTGCGGTCGGTGATCGATAATCGAATACATCATCGGCGCCGTACTCTTTCACCAGATCATGCGATTTCGGTGAGGTAGTCGTCACGACTTTGAGTCCTACGAGCTTGGCGAGCTGAATGGCGTAGAGACCAGCTGCTGTTGAGCCTGAGTAGATAAGAACGGGTGTATTTGTTCGTCCTTTGTCATTTCCTCCGTCGATCCAAGGGACACCAAGTCGAGTGTTCAAGGCCAGCATGGCTGTGACGGCTGAGACGCCAAATGTGCTTGCTTGTTCGTCACTGATTGAGGATGGAACTTTCCATGCTAGATCGCCCGGTATCTTGAGATACTCTGCGAATGATCCTCTATCCGTATAGAGCCCTCCGTGTGTCCATCCTGCTATCCTATCACCGACGACCCAGTTTCCTGGAGCTTTGGAGCCCACGCTTGCAACTGTTCCTGAGTAGTCGCATCCGATTATCGCGCCCCGTGGAGATACAATGTCGATGTGTTTGAAGTCTGTTGGATTGAGTGCGACGCATGTTACTCGGACGAGGATTTCATTGTCTGCGAACTTGGGCACAGGGATAGATGTGAGCTTGACGCCATCTCCAGATGAGTGACCGCAGGCATAATTGGATAAACGAGTAACTATTGATCGATCCCCGATTAGGGCATTCATTGATTGGGGGATTTCGACACCCATGATTAAGGTTGAAGTTGGAAATTGCAATAAAGAATACAATTAGAGTTAAACAGTGAAAATAATCGTATGAAAGCTTTTATAAATAATAGACATGAGCACGTCAATAAGTACAAAATCTACAAGATCGCATGTGAATATTGCTATCTTGCTTAAAACGGTTTAGTGTATGTTGATACAGTTGCCTGTCAACCCATTTTGCCGATTGTCACGCTGATCCCGATGAATCCCGACCTCGGCACAGAACAAACTCGGGATGGGCTGACTTCTATCTTCCCGTCCCGACGGCTGTTCTCATTGCCCGGGTTTTCGTTTATCACGAAGTTACTGCTGTCATACTAGCTAGATAGAATATTGTATGATCTTCGAGAATGTGATAATTCCTTATCTAATAATTCATCCTGTCAAAAGTGCCGATCTTAACCATATTTAAAGCATCAGGCGGTTTCATGTCGGGTTCTCCTGGTTCGATAAATCTGTTGGGGCTCGATCCAATTAAGCTTTGGCATTACGTCGTACACTCGGCGGCAATTGTGAATGCGGAAGGAATCTTCATTCTAGACCTTGAATTCTATGATGTTCGTATTCAGCATGGTTTGGGTTGTGAGGGGTCTTCTTGAGAAAATGAAGGGTCATAAGGTTCCCTGACACTTGGTAGGCATTCGGTTTAAATTAGTTGTATGGTACTCTGATTATCCTCAACTTTCGTTCATTTCGTATCCTATCTCAAATCTTAGTTTGCTCTGCAATGGCGTCGAGAGAAGGTGCTTCGCCTTGCTATTCTTTTTCAGAATGCACCGCTTGCTAGCATTCTTGATCCTTTTATGGACTTGTTCATTTCCAACGCTTGCATTAGACTCCACCAAAGAGAAAGCCGCATTAGACGGTCCCTCATGTGCAGTGAGCACTCCAGTCCCTTATGACTAGCCTGGGTTGAATTCAGCAACCCAACGCGCAATATACTTACATCTGCAGAACAATTGTACACTACATAGCCTAGCGGTCGCTCACTGCTCCATCGACGACAAAGACTGCCGATGTCATAACGAAGAAGTCAATAACTTAATATCTTCATGCATTGCTACCACATGCTCTGTCGAAGATGCAGTTGGTTAGTGAAACCCCTTCGCATGTCATTTGCACTGCACTTAATTTGTCAAATGTTAAAATCTTCTAGGAGCGGCCAAGGAATGGGCAAAACAATGTGATCTACCTCATGGTAATCATCACGCAGCTTTGAGAGCAGCTGCAGTGGGGGGTTCAGTGGCCAGTCTATTCATTGTAATTTGTCGGGTGTTTGCGAGGCTTTACACAGTCCGTCGACTTTGGTGGGATGATTGTAGTCACATTATAGCTGGGGTATGCGCTCGCTTCCAAGATACTACGTTGCCAAAAATGAAGCTGACTCCAGGAAAGATATTTACCGCTGGATTGGCAGTGTTTAGCAATCTTAGTAAGTTCGACAATCTTATTAAAAACTAAACGAAAAAACAAAGTGGACATCACTAACCTGTATGCTTAGTGATAACGGAGGGCATGGGATATCATCTTTATGACATTCATTTCTCATCTTTATCGCAAATGAAAGATTTGGTTATCTGGTGTGAGTACCCTTGTCCTATTACTAAGATTTGTCCAGAGCTAATAGTTATCGCTTCCAGACTATATCTGCCAGATATTCTATTTGTTGATTATATACTTCATCAAAGTTTCCATTCTTTTCCTCTACCTCCGAATCTTCCCCGAGTTTTATCACTTCCGATTTCAAGTGATTGGAACAATGGTCTTTGTGACGGTGGCTGTGGTCATCATCGTACCAATGGTTATCTGGCAATGTGTCCCGGTACACGCAATATGGGAGTTCAAACGTGAAGATGCCCGATGCCTTAGTATTTCAGGCGTCGCATACGCCAGCGCAGCAGTCAACATCTTTACAGAAGTGCTGGTCCTAATTCTGCCCTTACCACTACTTCAGACCCTTCGCGCATCCCGGACACAAAAAATAGCACTATACCTTCTTTTCGGATGTGGAATTATGTGAGTCTTTTCAACTTGTTGTTTGTTGTTTTAAACATGTTTAGGTGTCTGACGTTATATTCGCAGAGTTATTGGCGTTGCAGCTGCACGCATCCCAAGCTTGAGCCATGTAGAGGATACCCATGATCCGACCTATTTAAATGCTGGCGTCATCTATTGGACTGCCGCTGAAACTGCGGTTGCGCATCTATGTGCGGCGGCGTTGGCTGTTCGCCCGCTCTATGTGAAATGCCGTAATGATCTTCGGAGGAGGAAGAAGAAACCTGATTCTACTTCGACGCTTGCGAAATTACCTGGGGCGTGTGTACCAGAAATCGATACTAATCATGTTGTTGGTGGATATAGTGAGGGGGAAGTGAACCATAGTTTGCATGATTCAGATGCGATCGGTGGTTACAATCCGACTTCTCCACTGAGCAAATCGACAACCGAGGAGCTGGAGTCGGCTGTGTGAAACCAAAGACCAGGGACGCAGTTCACGGTTCCAAGATTTCTGTACATAATACAAGCAAGAACCTTGAAAAAGGCCGATATATACCATCATCATTGATATGAATACTCAATCTTGTCTATGCAGTCTCAAATATACCATATCTCAGTAAGCCATGCAAGGTGGAACTTGAAAAGTCGTTCTTTTCTCGCATCAACGAATTACGACCATAGGAATCTCGGACAAGTGAAACGTTTACAGTTCCGGGGTCCGGTGCATTCCTTTGATTGGACTAGAAAGTGGACTAGAAAGGGGACCAGACGACGGTTCCTCGCACGATGCTCCAGAGTTGACGCGGGTGAAATTTAAGCCGATCCCCGAAAGAGTAAGCACTGCGGATGTGGAGAAGGATTTAGAGCTTGTTCGGCGCGCTTCCGGGACATCTGCAGTATATAGCTATCGGAGATGACCTCGGTTCTTGTGTTTTAGCTATCTTCTTACCTACGCCAGGCTGCGTGTAAGTTAATGAAGGGTGACCCTAGTTTTGTGAACTTTCCTCATTTACTATTTGGATAGCTTGATATTGCGAAGAAATCCAACTGGCCGTATGTGCGACACGTCACTTCTTGGCATTTAAGAACTTATAAGCGCTCCCAAGACGCAGCTGTTTGGTTCTGATATTAACTTCTTCTGTTCATCTTTGATCAGATTAACAATATGGAAAACGACTACGACGTGGTAATTGTTGGTGCTGGTATCTCGGGTATCAATGCTGCATACAGACTTCAGACTCAGTTTCCAAACCTCCGCTATACAATGCTAGAAGCCCGCCAGAAGCTAGGTGGTACTTGGGATTTTTTCAAATATCCCGGTCTTCGATCTGACTCGGATCTTTTTACATTCGGCTTTGAATGGCATCCATGGAGTCAGAAAAACCCTATTGCTCTAGCGCCAGATCTCCTCGAGTACCTCGACGAGGCAGCCACACAACATGGGATTAAAGAAAAAATTCAGTTCCAACACCGTTTACTCGGCGCTGACTGGTCCTCTGTCGATAATGCATGGTCTCTAAGCGTGGAGCAAGACAATAATTTCGGAATAACAGCTATATCGGCTCGCTTTCTGGTATTCGGAACTGGATACTATGACTATGAGAAACCTCTTCAAACCAAAATTTCCGGCATAGAAAACTTCCAGGGACAAGTCATTCATCCTCAGTTCTGGCCCGAAGACGTAGATTACACCGATAAAAAGATTGTCGTCATCGGCAGCGGCTCTACAGCTGTAACACTTCTCCCTTCTCTTGCCGAGAAGGCAGATGTCACCATGCTTCAGCGCAGTCCCACTTATATAATATCTGTTCCGAACAGATCTGGCTCATGGCTAACTGCCATGCTACCCGATACGATTCAGCGAAAGTTTCTACGTCTCCGATACCTCTATGTATCCAGGCTTTTATATGTGTTCTCCCAGGCCTTCCCTACTCTCATGAAATGGCTCATCAAAAAACAAGTGACCAGCCAGCTCCCAGATCATATACCCTTTGATCCTCACTTTAACCCACGCTACAACCCATGGGATCAGCGATTATGTGCAGCTCCCGACGGTGACTTTTTCAAAAGTCTTCGCTCTGGCCGCGCAACAGTCAAAACAGATACCATTCACCAGGTTACTTCTTCGGGGATCACACTGGACTCAGGCGATATACTTGATGCTGATATCATCATTACGGCTACGGGATTGGCTCTCTGCTTTGGTGGAGGGACTTCAATAGCCGTTGACGGGGTCCCGATCCTTGCTTCTGAAAAGTATGCCTGGCGTGGAACGATGCTTCAGGATATGCCGAATGCTGCATTCTTGGTCGGTTATATTAATGCGTCATGGACTCCTGGTGCGGATGCCGCCTCGGTTCTTGTTTGTCGTCTTTTGAAGAAGATAGAAGAATGCGGTGCTAAAGCTGTTGTTCCACGCTTGAGTCCAAGCGAAGAAGATTGTATGCGGAGCAGTCGTATGATGGGGCTGTCATCGACGTATGTTGTTACGGCTGATGGTGTGCTGCCTAAAGCTGGGGATCGGGGACCATGGAAGGCACGAGATAATTACTTTGAGGATATCAAATTTGCGAAGAGTAGCAATTTGGAGGGGTTAGAGCTGCTTTATGGAACGAAATAGATTTATTTCAGGTTTTGGCTCTTCTAGCCCATTTTGTATATACTTGTCGTTTATATAGTACTAGCGCTTGAGTAATGAGGGTTTTCAGAAACTATTTTCTTCGTTGAGCACTGTAGTATTTGAGTTGGCAAAAAGAACTTGAACCTTGTAGGCCTGGGCATTTATGCTACAGAGACCTAGTTAAGCACAAGGTCATGGTAGGAGTTGCGCAGGACTGGGGCTGCTACTCTGGAGCTTCTCATGGAAAAGAGAGGGGCCGGGAAGACTAGTCGGGCGCTTGTAGAGACTTCAGTAAGCCAAGGCACGTTCAACACTGTATTCCGCGCCGGACGATGCTCGTCGCTTCTGCGGAGGATAGCTGCAGAGAACTTTGGCACTCGAGTGAGTGTTGTTCCCACCTTTTGCCACCACTCGAGACTGAACTTGAAGGAACTTGAACTTAGAACGTATTAAGAAGTGAAATAATTCATACAAGGAGTGCTATTCTTAAGGGTATTTGATCCTACGCTAACTATGAAACAAGAGCAGAGTGTTTGGAAGTACAAAGATATCTTTCTCTATCTCCACCAGGGGGTTGTTACATATACAGGAAAAGAATAATAAACTTGATACCGTTTGCATGTTGATACCAAAACGCCGACTAGGAAAACCCATGACTTAAGTCAAGCGCTGCGCTTTCAAGCTCCATAAAGGGGACTCACAATATGAGACTACCAAGTCGCCTTTCTATCCACTCATCCAGGCAGATACACGAGACACACCGAAGCGACTCATGTATGAAAGACCTGTTGTGCCCATAGGGAAGTAGCTGACAAGGTACCAGACCAAGGCAGCCAGTTGGAAAATGGAGGATATGAGCGTAAGGAAGAAGTTTTGGCGCTGCGATTCAAACGTTAGCAAAATCCGGGGTTAGGTATGGCAGAGGCTCAGTAGGTCAACGGAAACTGGGAGAAGATGGGGTCGCGGGGTTATGAATCGTGGAACATAGGGTAAGGCAAGCGAGTGCTAGGGACAGTGAGAGGTGGGCTCGGCGAGGGTTCGGCTTTTGGAATTCTGTTTTGTGATACCAACGGCGAGGCAGGATGAAGTTGTGCAGGGTTGTTGTTGTCGCAGAAGCGTGGTTGCACGGAAACCGACTAGTGCAAGGTGATATTGATACACCCCACGCCATCTCTCCGTAAGAAGATTTGTCGGCGTGACAGTTACAAGTACTGTCGCACCGCGAAGGAGATAGAGCGCAAGAATGCAAGATCCCCCTTTTTTCCGACGGTGCCGTGCAACCAGCCGGCGTACAACAATAGGTGTATGGGTAAAGGGGACAGGTTGATACTGATCGACAAAAAAGATACCAAATCAGTGACAAGCAACTTACCCCGATAGCGAAGTAGAGTGTGAGGGCGATGGATCCGAAATAGGCCGCAGTGAAGGGCAAACGTGGTCCCGAGACCAAATGTTTAACGTAAGTCCACGGTCCCATGAGGACCGCCCATGATAGCAAAAACAGGCTTGAGCCGACAGACCATCTATAGAAAGAAAGAAAAAAGACAGTGTTAGCATATAGATATCGAACAGAAACCTTGCTTTTGAAAGTTCTTGGCGTGAGGCGCAGAATGTTGGAAAGACACGAATAAGACATGGCTTGTAAGGCCATAAGCTAGCACATGGTCCGAGCCCCAGCCTACTCATGACCAGGATCACCGTATCTCGGGATCTGAGTGGTGGGAACAACGCCCGTAGACGAGCTGAACAGTACACAGTACACAGTGGGGAGGGGGAGTGGGGTTAAGAAGGACGCAAGCTGCAGCTGAAAGTCGATAAACTAAGGGAAGACAACTTACAATACGGCGAATTTGCGGGGCTTGAGCGAAAGAGCAGGGAAAAGGAAGAAACAGATTAGGAAGCAGACAGCAGCACCCAGATTACAGGCACCGAAAATGAGCATCCGATCCCAACGACTCACTAGATACGATTTCCGTTAGCGTACATCTACAAGATCCCTCCTCTCGGATCACAGCCACATAGACAAGCATAGCCATCATGAATATTGCCGGCGCAGGAACTGCATATTCATCACCTGAATCAAGGCTGAAGCTCAGGTGGAACGATCGTAGATATTTGAGGCACGAGATACCAGTAGTGGAGAGACAAGGTACACGAGGGTGAGAAATCAAGGGTAAAAAAAGAAAAAGAAAAAAAAAAGAAAAAAAGAGAAAGTCCTTACAGGCGAAGAAACCTTCTTCCTCCTCCCGGCGAGTGGCTGCTGGCAAGGGCGCGCCTGGTCCATCATTGTGAGTGGGTAGTTGGACATAGCCACCCTGGCCAAATGGATTGAAAGACTGCAGGCGCGAGAAGAATGGGGTATCGGAAGAAGCACTCGTACGAACGGGGAAATCCGGGTCTCTGCGCGACCACCCCAGAGAGTTCACAGAGTCGCGAAACGAGTTGTTGGCCATCGCGTAATAAACTAGCTGATAACCTAGGACTGGAGTCAGAGAGGGGAAGAATCCCAATTGAAAGGCCAGATGGAAACGTGCACGGCCGCGTCTGCAGAGGGAGGCCCGTGAGCTGGGAAGTCAAAGGCCGTAGGAAAACGTCTGCAGGGACTATGCACGATGGAGTGCAGATGATCTGCGCCGGATGATGGGCTGATCCCAGAAGATTGGCTGGGGGTGGAGACTAGATCAAACCAACGGGGGAGCAGATGACGCCCACGCCGAACACGGATTCGGCTTCCCAAGGGACTTGGCTACGGCTCCGGCTCGTCTCGAGTTCACGCGGCTTTGTGATAATGGTTGAGGGTGTAGTTGACGTCGAGCCCTACAGGTTGATGGTGACAAAGGACCGATTGGAGGGGGTGTGCGACACTGCGAATGATAGGGCAAGGCGATCGAAAAGCTTATGGATGATCCACACGCTTCCAAATAGTGGATTCTTGCCTTCTTGCTCTCTGGCACGCACCACACCGCCGGGATTTGCAAGTTGATATTCCACCCACGTACGTATACGTACGTCGTATCCTTTTCGCTATTCTTTCCCGCGTATCAAGGTTGAATCAGGATTTAGCGGTGGAGTAAGAGTAATCGGACGCGGCACAGGCGGGATCGCAGTTAAAGGAGTATACGTCAACGGAGGCGCCGGACTTTGCCAAGCGGAGGGATAGACGTTGAACCTTCGCAAGCACCGATCACAGAAAGTAAGCGAGACTTATGATTGGAAGCAGAAGCGCTGCGCTATTCGTAGAGGAGGGTAGAGAGTCGAAAGTAGATCAAGCCGGATGACGATATGGCGTGGAGCTACCGATGCGACCAGCCCAGATCGGCGCTGAGGGAAGAAAGCTGTCAGATGATGCCCTGTTTCGGTCCGAGCTAGGGCGTAGATGATGCTGGATAAGGCAGATCCGTTTTTTGGGAGGAATTTCTTTTATTTTGCCATGCTTTTTTCCAATTTCCAATTTAATTTTTTCTTTTTTCTTTTTCGTTTTTCGTTTTCCCTTTTTCCTTTTTGCCTTTGAGCATATCTCACTGGAAAGGGGAGGGTAGCATACCTTGGAGAGGGGTTAATGGGGGGTGCAATAGTGAGAAGGGGGTGATGGAGTGGATTTGAAGGTGGAAGTTTGGATCCCAGGACGCTAAGCTCAATCAAGTGGGACACGGACCACCAACTCCGCAAGTTCCTCTCCACTCGGCTTCAACTGGGTGGCTGCTCTCCGCACCTGAACGACTAGTCCAGACGCTATCCTTGGGAAATTTGGTAAAAAGTACTCCGGAAAAGGTAAAGATGCAACATGAAATGGAGAAGGATCCTCTAAAATATGCATCTCAATTAATCAATATTCTCTACTTTACAAATACTCAGACATTTGAGCATACTAGTATCTATATACAAATCCGGAGATAGATATGCTGATGTACTGATCCATGTACATCTACATCTAGAACCCAAAATGAATAAAAAATAAAATAAAATAAAATAAAAATAAATTAAAATCACAGACTACATCGGTGAATCTGAGATGCCCATCAACTCTCGTATTTCATTATTAATAGTTTTGAAGTCGGGCGCGCCAATCAACTCCATGACCCCTCTCTCTACAGACCTGGGAACGAGTCATGGTTCGGGAACACTGTCGATCCATTTTGGCTGGTGCACACCCTGTTGGCGATCGTGATGGTGGTGCGCATAATGGTGGGTAGACTATATTAGTCTGCAGAAATTCATCTAAACTACATGATTCTTATAGTCCCAGCGGCTCCATCCTCCCGCAGTCGTATCGGAAACACTCCCTGAGGACCTCAGGCAATGAGAGGGTTGCATATACCCTTTCCCTCTAACGTCGCTACCCGTACTGTACGACCTTGATGAATTTGTCCGAAAACCGAATGGAGATATGGACCTGTCTCTCGCTCTCTGCAGCACGGCTTTGGGTAACATTGGCTTCCCACTAGCTTCATTCCTCTGGTGCTTTTTTGTTCCGTTGACAGTTGCTTTTTTTTACTGTTTCGACCATAATTCTTCCGTATTATGTCCGATACGCATGGGTTTTTGCGGCATGGATCGTCACAGACGTCATGCCAGGGCCCTGTGCACTGTCTGATGCATACAGTAGACCTGGCATAACCCAGTTATGCGGGGTTGAATGTTTAGAAACATCATGTAGGGAAGAAGCATGGTTTCAACTCCCCGAAACAGAAAAGAAAGACACACACCCAAATACATGCCCTCCTTGCATCAACCGTGGATGTATGCTCGGCGATACCCTCCGAACCTTGACGGGACGGGACGTGCAAGAAGATCCACGGCGACCCCTCTCTTTTACTAGGTGATTTTCCCGCTCTGTGCACTACATTGCGGAGATCTTCCCCGTTCTAACATGCATGACCGAACTAACTAACAATATGATTGATACCATGATGTTTAGCGTCAAAATTTGAACCGTTGATTGTCCCGCTTTCTTTCCCCTCCTTCTTCCTCCCCGGGCATAGGGTGGCTTAGACACATTCCATGATGCGCATGGAAAGTTTGGCGAAGTGGCTCAGTTTACTAAAAGGGGGACTGGAAAACAGGTTCGCACCATGAGGGTGTGGTCCTTTTCTTCTCGTTATTGGTTATTCCTCCCAGACACATTCCGACCCCTCCAATCGTGAGTCGCCGCCACATTCTGGACATCGTGCCTCGAGTAAAAAGTGCGCACCTACACTAGTACCACACCGGGAGACGACAGGCGGAGTTGTTATCAGGTTGCGCTGGAGCCTGTGCACACGGGCCACCCGGGTGCAGGTGGGTGCAGTTAGCACCAAAAATATACTTCCAGATTTGAATCAATATGATATAGTATTCCGTATACAAAATAAAAATAAAAAATAAAAAATAAAATAATTCAAAATAATTCAAAAAAGCATAAATTCCAAACTCGGGCTTTCGCGGAGAGAAACAGTACACGGTCCAAGCTCCTCCGATCACCGCCCCCAAGATGATCGCCACCGGTCCTCTGCACGACATTTTGTAGACATAACACGCATTGACTCGATGATAGGATTGATAGAGTTGATAGGGCTTACTGGGGATGACGCCTCTTCGTCTATCTGACTTTGCTTTTTTTCGGCTTTTGCTTTTTTGCTTTGAAATCTAACGCTTTGAAGACAGTTATTGTCTTATTGATAAACTCTTTTTTATCTTTTCTCCATCTGATCATTTTCTAGTTATTATTTCTTTGTTTTATTATCTATTTTATTTTCTATTCTACTGATTTGTAAGTCTGCAGGCCATATTCTCCGGATGATGCGTCTCATGTTGCTTGTCTATGGAGAACGGGTTGTAGATCTATTCTAACTCTGGCGCGGTTTCTCTCCTCGTCTGGAGAGGTACATTAAAATTATTGATCATTATTGATATGATGTACATGGAACCAGGTTATCGACACATTTCTGCATACCTGTGGGAGATCGACCTGTTGCCCATCATATCCCCACGGTCTCATTGGGGGATCTCCCCAACCATCGACGCTCTCCACCCCCTCTACCTTCGGGGACACTAATGCATATTCTTTCATACTTTGATAGATTAGGGTTTCTCTCAGTGCTCACTGGTTCTACCGGCTTTCCTAAAATGCCTTGTTATGCTCTGTCTGTAACCCATGGCCATCTGATACATTCTTTTCACCGGTGCATCCAAGACTTGTTTTAGTAATTTTACCACCTTTTTCATGTTAGTTTGGCGTCTTCCCCCCCGTCGGTGTTATTTATTACCATTATTTATTTATATTTATATTTTACCTTATTTTTTTTCTGAGTCATGACTCCGATACAGGTGACAAACATCTACGGCATCATGGGATTGGCGCCGTTGACTAAATCCGGCTGTATCACCCTTCCCCCCTTCGTCCCAGTTTCTTCTGTGTTTTAGTGTCATTGTGGGTTGCTTTTCCAACATAGTTTGGATCATCATAGATTTCCCACAGAGAAGAAACGTATCTGAATATATATTATTTTTTATTTTGTATAGAAAATATACATAGGAGGCTCGGGGGTTTACCGTTGCCACCCCTCACGCACACACTACCCTCCTTTACCCTTCACCCTTCACCCTCACCCACACCTTTAACTCCGAAAAAAGTAATCCTGAAAATCTAAATAACAAAAAAAAAAAGCAACATAATAATAATAATAATAAAATAAACAGGCAAAAAAGCCAAATCAATCAAAATGCTCCCAAAATCAAGGCACAATATGTCCAATGCCGATGTACGGCAAGCCTCATCGATTTCCACCGATCGACGGGCTGCATGACCGATGTTGTAATATATCAAATGAGAGGCGAGAGGCTCGAGTTCTTAAAGTCTCCATCTCCTCGATCTTTCCTCCTGCAAGTGCTTTTCCTTTCTGCACCTACGGCTGCTGTGTTGTCACTCCATCACTGGTTTCTCGTATCCCAAGCCCCATTTTTGCGCCCCATGATTCGTAAAGCTTTACAAGTGGATCATCGAGACTTACTTCCGTAAGTTGGCCCTACGCAGGTACGTTGCCTTCTAGGCGGGCTTCTACACTATTCTCCCTTTGCGTGGATAGCCCTGGGGGTAGGAGGAGAGAGATTCGCTGTGCCTTAGTTGCCTATCCCGGTGGTTCCTGCATTGCTGCCTGTATGCACAGTGGACTTCACCCCAGAAGCCACGTGTGGGGGCTCTGCGGATATTGACGTGGACTATCTCTCCTTCTATCTCTCTGGCTCTGTTGTTACCTTCTTTCTTTCATTGACTGACATGTTATTCTCAGACCTTAACTCCCACAAACATAATCTTGATCTATATCCAAGGTTAATCATTACGATCTGCAATCAATCAGGTAAGGATATATATACTTCTCTTTAATCAAGTATATCCCTGGTGTTATCCCCATCCATGATTACGTGGGCTTCGTATTGCATTGCAATCCAAGCGTGGGCCTGAGTGTTCGACTATACACTGTGTTATGCTGTGTTGTGTCAATCTCCGGATCGCCACAGCTCACCGCCCTGTTCTCTCTCTCTCTGTCTCGCTCCACCGCTTCTTCTCTTCCCCGCTCTCCACTTTATTTTTCCCCTTGAATCGTTGATCATTGATCTTTGACGTTTGGCTGCTTTGGGTACAAGAGTTGAACTTAATTGATCAGAAAAAGAGAACGGGACTTGACTTTCCCAGCAATCTGGCACAGGGCTTGTTCTCCGTCTCTTTTTGAAGCCTCTCTATTTACCCGCTGTCTTCTCCGTCTGATCTACTTTTAACTCCCGCCCTTTTTTTCTTTTGCCCATTTTGCCCCTCCCTTTCCCCTTCTGAGACACGTTCACCATTTTTGGTCACCCTGAAGGCGCGTACCTGACTCACATTATCAAGTCTCTTCTTTAGAGTGCGGTCTTCTTTGACCATCTCCCTCTTCTTGATTGTTTTCTTGCCCAGTCGCAACTCGGACTGGCTTCCTCCGATCTGCCAATTTTCCCCTCAAAGAACATCATTCCCCGAAACCCCGTCGACTCATCCCACTCGACACCTGGGTACCAACTTGGTTGAATCCCAACGACACCTCATACAATATACGAATCCCTTTATCCCGCATATCTTTGACAGAAAGGTAATTAATGCGCTTCTTTATCTCTGATTTCGTAACCCATGGGGGGCCAAATTAGTTGCCTCGTCGCGCCTTGCCGACGCTGCGCATTCTTATTTGCCGACTTATCCTGCTCACGCCGCCCCCTTCCGTGGTGGAAAAAAAAGGTATCCGAGGCTAACTTTCTTACCTGGTTGAAAACAGATTTGTCAAACCTTTGATCCTCATTCTCGTTGATCATCTTTGACGGCTGCCTGAAATTGGGCGGTTCGTGTTATCTATTCAGAGAGGGTCAGTAACTCGGCGCAGACGACTATCTCTTCCACCACGCCAACCCCGCGCTACCCCACAACCTTCATACACATACATTCCTAGATATTACCTAGATATCCAAGGAAAAAATGGCAGAAGCAAGTCTTTTCATCAAACACGAATCTGACAGTCACAGCAATCCTTTCATGATGTCTCACTCCGGTTACTCTATGGGAAACCAGTTTGGAAACCCCAACGAGGGGGTGGACCCCTCGGACCTGACCATGCAGCAGGGCGGCTTTATGCCTTACTCATATGGCTCGCAGCAGAACATGTCATCTAGCTTCAACTTTGGAAACTCCGGAATCGACACCGATGAACTCCTGGACCTGGAAATTAGCGCCCCTAACGGTAGTGTTCAGCGCAATAACGACTTGAACTATATGCAAGACCAATCCGCAGGAGGTATCGCCATGAGTCATCAAAGTCAAATGTCACACCTATACTCAAATACCCCGGACAACGCCCCCATGGCCAGCCCTTTTGTTCAGAATAGTTTCAACTACGAGCAGTACAGGATGAACCAGCAGAATCCTCATATGCAACATGCCAGCTCCTTTGATCAGAACTATATGGGCGCCAAGAACCGATCCAGCATGCAAAACATGGATAGGAACTCTTCCGATACACGGAGCCCAATGACCCCCAAGACACCTGCTCTAGGCTCCTTGAACTTGGGCACCCCGGAGTCAGGTAGCTTCCCTGGTCAGCCAATTCGCACAGGCGGACTGCAACACCGACACCAGAAGACCCTGTCAAACCAGTGGGATGGAACTCCAACAAGCGCACAATCATACGTCGATTCCCCTATCTCATCTCCACCTCAACACCACCATGCTGGTATCTCAGAGATTCTCAAATCTGGAAAACATGCCTCTCTCCCCGCCAAGGTTGATAACCACATGCCAGGCAGCACTCAAGATCTGGAATCCCAAGAGGCCAAGCGCCGACGCCGCCGTGCCTCCCACAATCTTGTTGAGCGACGCCGTCGTGATAACATTAATGAACGGATCCAGGACCTTTCTCACCTGGTACCCCAGCATCGATTGGAAGATGACAAGGTGCGTAAGCAACTTGTGAATAACAGCGCTCTCTCTATGGCAGGCGCAGGCGCAAACGCTGCCACATCTCTTCTGGCTGGTGGCAATGGACGACGTGCCACACCTGGCAATATTACTATGGGTCTTCCCATTGAAGACAAGGAGAAAGGCCCCAACAAGGGAGACATTCTCAATGGAGCTGTTAGCTGGACCCGCGATCTCATGTGGGCCCTACATGTTAAATATCAACAAGAGGCCGAACTCGCCGATTTAATTAGCAACCTTGGTGGCACTTGGCCATTTGAGCCCACCGAAGAAGAGAAGCGCATGCGCAGTGAAATTGTTGACGCATTGGAGAAGAATGATCCAACATCATTCAGCTACACTCGTGGCCCTGGAAGTGGTCTCCGCGTACCTAAACACACCAACATCGCTGGTGACGCTATGCAAGGTGGCGATGGACTCACACCACCCAATCTGAGCCCTTCATACCACAGTGGTGCCAGCAGTGTGAACGGTGCTCCCGGCCAAGCTCAATACTGGAACAGTGCTGGTCATGCTGCCATGAGCTTTAAGGAAGAGGACGAGTACGGAATGGAGATGAACTAAGATACCATGACTATCTATTTCGCCTCGACGAATTATCAGATGACATGTTGCATACACGGCGTCTTAACGGTGGTTCCTCAGTCGGCGCATCAAGAGTGAGAGTCGATCAAACTCGAGGAGTATTTTTTTTCTTTTACTTGCATGTTTCTTATGGCCTCTGGCCTAACGCGTCTTCCGTGATTATGATTCTTCTTACTTCTTCTTTTCTACAATGTGTTTCTGGTATCTTGTATTTTCTCGTTGATGAACTGGGTAATGATGACCGCTCGTCGAAGGATTGATTTCAACCAGACCGCTTAGGATGTTTGTCGGGATTTCTCTCTTTTTCTACACTCAGAGTCTTGGTTCCCTTTTCTTGATGAGTTCTTCTTTTTCTTTCTCTCTAGGTTTGCTCTATCTCTGGTTTGATATTTCTGTGTTCTTTTGTCCTATTATTTTTATTATCCCATCGATACCCCGATTTCCTTTCGAATGTTTTTACATACGTTGCATTTGTTTTTAGTTCCAACATGATCTTTTCATACCTTTGAACTATTGTTCGGGTTTCCTCTCCTCAATATTGGATTGAATTGAATTATTCTTGCCTCAGACCACCATGCATGTTATTTGCTATTGCTGTGTGTTCTGCCAACCCTAATCTCGCCCTATTTTCAAGATTCTCATCATCTTTCACTGGCTGGCATATTCCCTCTTCTTCATGTTTTGCATTCTATTGGTAGTACTGGTTTTTGCTTTTCTTATCTCGGTAGTTAGGCAGCAATATTAACTACACCGTTTTCATGCAGGCTACTTTCGGGTTCATTTAATAGGTAGACGGACGTCTTCAGAAAGTTCCGCAACTAAGGTGATTTCAAGGTTAAGTACCTATTTATCTTCTGCTAGTACTGTCACACGGCTATATACAGAGTTTAGTATAGCGTTGCACTGTAACTTATCGCCGATAGGAAACTAGCGGGTATATCTTACTCGGTAGCTCCCGCCCGCCCGGGGCTTGTACTACAAGTCCTGCTGCCCTACAGGATGCACAATCATCTTTCACGGCCGTAAAAACCTTGTAAGTCCCCCCTCCCCCGATCACCTTGCCTCGCGATAGCTCTGGCCCTAGCATTATCTTGGAATATTAATCTCAAGATATACTTCCAATATATACCCTTCGCCCTCTTTGAAACAAATTTAATAGTATAATTCAAAGTACTTATTAAAGATGTTTCTTTCTTTGACTTTCCATTTGTCTTTCCAATTACTTGTTCAATTGCCTTTCCATTGGGGTCTATCTGCTTAGAGCTTACAGTACACATAGCGGTGCTCTGAGCGGCAAAGGACAACATAGGGCCAAGGGGGTTTGTTTACCCCCGCTGGCCGCTATGGTCCCCCGTACCTGACTTTATCGATATCCGCCCCCTCCCAAATAAGTAACGTAGCGGTTGCCTCATGACCATATACTAAAAGCAAAGGAGAGTGCTGTCCTGCGCGAGTTGCTTTTGAGATCAACGCCCGCTCCCTTACCAAGGAGTCATTCGGCCATCAATGCACGGCCATTCTCTGGAGCCATAGAGAGTGACGTTCTTTGATTTTTATCTTGACGGTTGGTATAAACTCCTTTATCAAGGAGGAGTTTAACAGTAGCTTCATCACAGTAATGCGAAGCTATAACAAGTGGTGCAGCGCTCATGTTATCTTCCGGACTGGCATAGGCTCCTTTCTCAATAAAGAGATAAGCGACCGTATCGTGACCCTTCCAAGAATTTTCAAAAAGAGCTGTTCTTCACAAAGAATTTTGAAAGTTAGTAGTACTACTGTAACTCATACTAGAAATGCTATTTTATAGAGAGGAAGGAGGAGGAAGCGTGTGCCAGAGGCGTGGCTCTTACTAGTACTAGTAGTATATGTAGCGCCAGGGTAACGGTTATAGTATAATGTATCAGAAGATACATATATACTTATTAGGTTGAGATCATCTGATAAATATAGGCTCCATTCATCGAAAGGAGCCTAGCAACCGCTTCGTGACCACTCTGTGAAGCTTCAAAAAGCGCCGTTTTCCCTCCAGAATCTACAAAATTAACATCGGCTCCTTTCGCAATAAGAAGCCTAGCAACTGCTTCGTGGCCATTTTCCGAAGCTTCAATAAGCGCCGTTCTTCCGCCAGAATTTATAAAGTCAACATCGGCGCCTTTCCTAATAAGGAGTCTAGCAACTGCTTCGTGACCCCTCTTTGAAGCCATAGAAAGCAGCAGACCGAGCAATTCAACTGTAAGATTAACATCACTTCCTCTTTCAATGAAAAGGCTACAAATCTCCTCATGTCCATTTTGTACAGCCCGGGACAATGCCGTTCCTCCCGCATCATCTTTCTGGCCGATGATCATTCCAGCTTCTATCAAAAGCTTGGAAATTGCCAATCGACCTTCTTGCGCAGCCCAAGTCAGCGGCGTGCGCTTTTTGAAATCCAAAAGGTCTTTCCTGAAATTAATGCCCTCGGCAATGTCATTGCCGTCAATTATTGTGGAAGACAGGCCAAGGAGAGCAGCAACAGCATCTTTATGGCCACCAGCCAAAGCTGCAAATATTGGATAGCCATATCTTCCCCCTGGAAAATGAACGCGAGAATTAACTTGCATCTTTGTACGAATAAGAGCAGAGAGGCCCCTGTCTGCTAGAATGTAGATCATGCTAGCTAGTATCCCATATTCGCGACTTTGAAATTTCTCGAAAAGATTGTTCATTTTTATCCAGTTTCGTAATTGGAAATTGAGAAGGAAAGCATTCTGAGGGATTACTATTGCTGCAGCATTAGAATGATGAAGCACATATTGGCTCGCGTACTCCAGGAATGGGTAGCAGCGAGAGAACTCAGATCTCATTCCGGCCTTAGTAGCCTTGTCGAGTCTGGACCCATCGATCAACTGATCACAAGACGCATTGATGGACGGATATTTCAAATAGAAATCACAGCATTCTCGCAGAGCCTCATGACTAGAAGCCTCCCAGTTATTCTCTAGGTCAGGCCACAGCTCAAAAAACCCATTGTCTTTGATTAGAAAGTCTCGCACAGATTCATGGATGAATTGAACCTTTGGTGGACTGGACAGAGTGATCTCAGCAAGACCTTTTGAAGAGCTGATAACAAATGCAGCATTGCTTTCCCTTGACTGTGGGTTGATTGTTGGAATCTGATAATCAACCAGGCCCCGTGCTGCCAGATTAGACCAGAGAGCATGGCGGAATTCATCTGGTTGCAAAGGGCGCCTTGCAAACATGATCCAGCGAACACAAAGTAGAAGTTGCTCCATATTCTCTGTATCTCGTCTGAGTATATCCCTGAAAAGCTCGCTTAGGCCACTTGGTAAATCTTCGAGTCTTTTTCGTAAAGCTAACCCGCCCCGGTGCCACTCCTTATTTAGGATATCGACAACCAGAATGACCCACATAAAGACCCCAGCTGCTTTGTCGAGCAATTGAGACTTGAGCTCTTGGAAAAGGGAAGGGTCTTGTATTCGGAGACGATTTGTAATGTAATCTTCCAAGTCTTTCGTGTGGCCTATTTCGCTCTCCAGGGTAAGCTTTACTCCCCCTTGAATTGAAATATAGGGATAATGTCGACTGGAGAAACAGACGCGGAATGGAATGCCTTCGCTCATGCATTGACTTCCAAGGTCTTCAAAATATTCGATCATGTCTCTGATCTGTTGCTCATCGCATTCATCAAGAGCATCGACAAAGCAGACAAAGTGTCGTTGACCAAGAGCAGAGATTGCATCGTAGAAAATATCTTTCAAAACATTTAAAGAAAGATGCTCCTGGCCCAACGGAATACTATCAAACTTGTCGAGAACTTTTTGTAACTCAGGATATCCCGTCAACAATTGATACAAAAGTGACCGATACATGCCTATAACTGATCTCTCCAAGTACTCGCCTCGAGCGTTGAAGAAGAAAGAGGCAGCGACGACTTTTTTCTTCATCCTCAAGTAGGCAAATTTCATGATTGTCGATTTACCTGCTCCGGGCTTACCGCTTAGCCATAGGAATGCGTGGTATTGGGTTAGGCGTGTAGGATCAAGCCATGCCTTGTATTCTGGGTGATCCAGCAGCCATTGACATGTTTTCGAATGAGCCTTTTTGATATTCAATTTGCGGGAATCAATTTGATCAAACTTTAATAAGTCTACAAACTGCTGCGGATTGTTTTTGCTTGTAAAAGGATCTACATTTCAAGTGTTAACGTAACCAGTTAAAACGCCTCTAGAAACAGGAATTACTTACCAGGATTACTTCGTTCTTCTTCTGCCAATGGTAGCTCTTCCATAAGCTCCCTTGCGTATGCTGCTGCTGCAGCGGCAGCATATTTTTGCCATTCCTTGGTTTTGTGAGAATCAGAGTAGTCACAGACTCCGCGAATAGGAAGACAAGGGAATATGTCCATGAGACCAGCAGCCTCCATCTCGAAGCAAATAACATCTAGTTCTCGCGCAATATTATCTCGGGTGCCGCCATGCTTCATCACTTGATCCCCGGAAGCGATCGCACCGTAGTGAATCTTTGGGACATCACGTTCACGCCTGGTACGCTTGACTAACTTTGATGAATTGCATTCGTCGCAACTTGAAGAACTATGCTCATAGTTTGCATCGAAGAGACGATCTGGAGTATTAGGTCGGCAATAATTGGGAAGGCCCTTCATCCTATGCTCAATAATGAATGAAACTCGACTAGGCCCAAGTTCATGTTTCGCACGGAGGGTAGAGATCGCTGTTCCGAGGAGAGAGCCATGAGTTCGAGGGAATGCGGTTCGTTCAAATTTCCCGTCTGCCATAATCTTTCCAAGGTCATACTGCATGACTCTTGTTCCAATGACTATATCACCGAGTCGTATATCTTCTTTACTCGGTACGCCCCCGCCAATGCCAACCATTAAAGCGACGGATATTGCAGGGAAGGTTCGACTTAAATTCGCCGCTACGGTTGCAGCATTGATTGTGCCGTAGTATCCACTTGGCAGACACGCAATAACGATATTATGTCCCTTGATTCTTCCAAGCACGTAACTATTGGTGTCATTGGTGGCTCGAGGAGGGACATCATGGACCTCATCGAGCATCGCCTGAGCTGCTGCCATTTCGATGTGAAGGGCGCAGACCCACGCAACTGTGTATCGGTCATATTGGAAGACTGAAAGGCTGTTTTGATGGATAGTCTTTTGTTGTTTAGCCGGTCGTGGCTCCTCTTGAATGTGACTGCTTTCCATAACTTGAATCCCTGAAATCAAGGGCGTCGCTTGGGCCGCAAGTGGGAGGCAAAGAGACTACCCAGCCCGTAGAAGGCCAGATATTGTTTTGCTTGGACTTCCAGTGAAGTCTAAGAAGATACGATGAGGTCAAAAGTGCAAGATTAGCAAGAGCTGGCGAGGCTCTTCCCATGTTACAGCCCCGAGGCAGTGCCGCAAAAGAAAACATCATTCCTATTGTGGCCCAATCATCTGTTCGCTCTAAGCGCCAAGGTCTCATGTACCATGTAGAGTAGGTACTTTTGTCCAGTTTGCCTAGCCAACACCGAGTATGGAGGGCCCATAGCGATCGTCGGGGAAAACCCCGCCTGTGTTTGGGCAGCAGAAAATCAGGATACCTGTAAATTTTAATTCATTAACCTCTATCTAGGCCCGTGGAACATCGCCAAGTTCCATGGTTAAGCTTCAATCCTGCTATCTTAAGATACAACCTTTCTTTCTTTTTAAATGGACCTACTACAATAATCTAGAGTATCTATAAGATATATTTCGCTATTGTCCTAACCAACTATCTTTCCAATTCAGTGCTATCCTCTTCCGTTCTAAGGTTTTATTTATTCCAATATAAGTCGTTCGTGGAGATATCAATCTCAAACTTGAATGTGCCACTCCGCAACGTCCCTGAAGAATAATAGTATTTGGGCTAGGTAGAAACGGGCTAGAAAATCCATCAGCTGTACTGTAACGAAGGAGGGAATCGCAACCTCAAGGTAGATAACAAGAGCCGAGTGTTCTATTTTTAATATTACCATGTAAATTTACGACAAAGAGTTGATCATGTTCATGGTTTGAATGAAGGTATATTCTGGTATCAAAGAAGGCTAACAATTCGCAATACTTTGGTGAAAGAACCGCAAAGAAAAATATTTCTATAACACCATGTACGCCTTAATTTGCGCTGACATTCTCTCCAAAAAGTAGAAAATTTTCACCATACTATCTGCGATAATCATTGACGCTCTAGAGTGAATTTGTCACACTTCATCTAAAAATCAAGTAGGCATCATGATCGATATTTTCACAAAGCACAAATGCAAAACACGGATTCCGAGCACAAGCGGCATTCGCAACCCAAATACTTGTAAGTCCACAATCAAAAGAAAATCTTCAACGTCGAAAGCACCCACGAAGCGAATATTGACTGATTCGGATATCGACCCCAACGACATAGAAGCGCAAATCAAACGTTGCAAAGAGCGTATCGCGCAAAACATAAGTCCTAACGCATACAAGCGCACTCTAGCTGCTTTGAGGAAAGGACTGAGGCATCGCAGGTAGTTCGTTTCTCACTTTACACAGGACAAGGCACTTGAGCTGATAGTTCATGTTTTTTCGGCTAGGGAAATGATGGGGGATACACCGGGATTGAGCTGGGAAATCAACGATTGGATGCTCTTACTACTATTGAGAGCTTCTTGGTGAATAAGGGGGATCCATGCAAAGAAACTTTGAATGTTCGTGCTATAATGGATGCTTATCGTTCTTGTGCTCTGGTATTAGATGGTCAGGCAACATACTGGGGTGGTGGAAAGCTCCTGGAAGGACCGAAGACATTTTCTTGGGATTATTTTCGGAGACTAAATACGGTGGAGAAAAGAGCCGGTGGAGGATTCTGGGTGGAGGGGGTTAGTTTAATGTTGTGATCTCGCGAGGTTCGAGTGTGGAAGCTAAAATGGGGTTGTTCGTTTGGTATTAGGTGTTTGGCCCTATGCCGCAGTCTATCAAGCGTACTTATAAGTCAGCTCCAGCTTTCAAAGAAGGCTTTGAAGTAAGAATTTGAATATTGGCTCTTTGTCGAGCCATCACTTACATTGAATATTCAGTTGGACCATGTTGTTCGCTTTAGATCCGAGGAAGCACATAACGAAACCAACGCCCCCGAATTCGAAGTGCGATTTGTCGACGACACAGGCGCCGATACAATGATGATATTCCGCGACGATGTCCAACGGTTGATGGGCAACCAAGCAACAAAGGACGACTGGCCATGGGACCACATGATGGAATTCGACCTAGTAATACCTTCCGGACTCCAAAAATTCGCCGTTCTAGTCATAGCAGTCGAGGTTAATATGTATAATAAGCGTCCCGAGGAACTAGGACACCGTATCCTCATGCGTGAATTATGGACCATAGTCCGGTGCGAAGTGATGTTCGAACACGACTCTGTGGATCAGAACGGTCGACGAAGGGAACGGCTGAATGGACCTTGGCTACGATCGTCGCTTTTCACGGCAACTGCACCCACGGACCGGAAGAGATTGTTTGTTAGTACTAATAAGAGGGAGTTGTGGGCGAAATCGATGCGCCGGCTGTTGACTCGGCGGATGCATTACCGCCTGCTTTTGTGAGGCCGAGATGGGGGATTGCGCATGAGAATGATTCGTCTGCTGGTCGGCTTTATCCTGTTCCTGATGCGGAGAGGAAAGGTGATGTGCCTTGATTCAATGTTCGATTCGGGTTTACAGGAGGGTATAACCGTAGAAGGCAGTGGGAAGGAAAGATGGGTTGTCTATTTGAATTTACCGCAAAGATTAGTTGTTTGAATGCAGAAATAATTAGATTTAATTGGTTCAGTACTCCATAGTTGTATTTTTCTAATTTCTTTACATCAATCAGATGTGGATCTTTGTAGATGTCCACGAGTACTATTTGTACCTGACTTTTGACAGCCTTTTAATACAAGCCCTCGGCCTCAATCAAGCGAGGCTCGCACGATTTAGTTACCCAAATGTAATTCTTCTGGACTCTAGCTAGCCTTATAGGTGACGCTAAGCCCAAAAAGAAACATTGAGTTACCCTCGTGGATTCATGTCTCTGGATTGGTCGGTTCGTTTAGTGTGGAGCCCCGCAGGGGACCGGATCCCGCGCAGGGCCGGGCCCCGAGGGACCAGTATAACTCATCGTATTCTTGATGCCTGGAACTGAAGGGGAAGTCAGCATTTAGCCTTGTTCGCCTCTTTTTTTCTTCTTCTTTTTTCCTTCTTCTTTTTTCCCTATCATATTCTGAAATCCAGATATCAACCATACGTTACCCAGCTATCAGCATATTATTACCTTTTATCTTCATCGACTGAGAATCCTCAGGATCTCATCTCGCATCCCCAGGAAGAAAGATTTCTTCCCAAACAAATATGGGCCGTCACTCTGTGGAAGATCCGGTTCCTGCCTATGAGGATCTCTACGAGCAACCTCCTTCTAATTTGAGGACGGGAGTAAGTACTTTATTTTTACGACTACATAAGATTGAGTGATGGCGAAGGCATCTAGAGTTGAGACTAATACGGACACAGTACTCTGATCTTCCGTCGAATGATATTGAGAGCCAAGAGCACGACCATACTCATTCTATTTCTGTCCCTCTAATCGCGCAAAATGATACACAACATGCCCACTGCGAAGTTTGTGATCGTCGGGAAGAGCGAAGGGAAAGGAGAAGAAGTAAAGAGAGATGCTGCACTACTGTCGCTGTGGTGATGCTTATCATTGTTCTGCTTATTTTCCTCCTCTTGATGGCAATTTTTTTCGGTCTCCCTAGACGGGCTACGAGGCATTAAGCATTTCAAGATACGGAGTTTCTTATATGTGTGATTGGGATGTGGTTAACGTATTGGGATTGGAGTCTTTGTTTTTACCTTCCTTCCATACCGGGTCTTAATTTTGGATGGGCGGGTCTCTACGTCTGCTGTTCTATATGGATTAATTTTTTTTGCACGGAAAACATAATCTACTATTTGTTCAACATTGCTCGAAATGAAAATGCGGTCTTCTCTATATCCATCTAGCAGTTATAATGCTCTATCTGCTTTGTGGTACAGTGAACAAAAGAAATGGCGGGATCGAAAGTTGACACAGGCTCATGAACATGAGCGCTTTGTAAAGCAGGGTATATGGAGACTGTCTTATCGGTCTGGTCGGTCAAGGTGTCCCCAGTGGAGGCTGTGGTGGTTTTGTAACAGAATAATTTAGACTAAACCACCACTGGCAAGAGAACCCCATTGACTCGCAAGCCGAGCACAATGTATACTTTTTTCGTCTTTTCACAAGATTTCAGCATAGCCAGATGCTTACTCGTCGCGCATCTTGCGGAAGAAGTCCATCATACCGGTGAAGACGACCAGCAGGATACCACCACCAGGTCCGAGACGGAGGACCTTAGGAATGAAACCCTTGTACAGAGCGCCGAAGCCCTCCTCCTTCATCACGGTACCAATAGCAGGCCAGGCCCAGTTGTACTTGGGAATCTGGCCGGGAACCTTGGTAGTGTTCTGAATACGGGACTTAACAACATCCATGGGGGTGTTGAGGACGGTACCAGCGATACCACCAATGGAACCAGCGAGCAAGTCGTTACGGGTCTGTTGACCCTTGTTACCGGGCTCAGGCTTAGGCAATTGAGCGCGAACTTGGAAGATACAGCCGAAGTAACCGGCGTTCCAGAGAATGTGACGCCAGAGAGTAGACTCAAGACCGTTGTACATGGCCAGAGGACCCTCGGTCTTAACGATCTTCTTCACAACATCCAGCATACCGTTGTACTTGCCAGCGGATGCCTTATCCTGCAGACGAATCTTCACCAGCTCGAAGGGAACAACGACGAAGGCCTCGGTAGCACCAGCAGTGGCACCGGTAAGAGTGGCGAGACCCTGAGTCTGCTTCTCAACACCAAACAGGTTGCGGTAGAAAGCACCCCAGCTGTCGTTGGCGGCGAACTTGGTCGCACGCTTGGGGGCCTCCATCAGGATGGGCGCGGAGATACCACGGTACAGGGTTTTGAAACTATTTGGTGAATCATTTCGGGTTAGAACTCGGGAGGATCTCGGATGGGAAGCCGATTGGGAATCGCTGGACGAAACTCACCCCTCGTTCTTAATAATCTTGCGGAAGCAATCGAACATGCCATTGTAGTGTTCACCGCCAGGCACAGCGGGACCGGTCTGAAGCTGACTGCGGAGTAAAGACGGATTGTTAGTGCTCGTGAGCCGTTTTGGGTAATCGTTTCCGGTCGGGGAAGGAGATTGCGCTTACACTCGAGTCTTGACCACGTCCAATGGGTACCTATAGAAATCGCATTGTTAGTTCTGGGCTTTTTGAATATCCTAGCATTATCGTAGAATGGTATGGTTGATTTTTATCAAGGGACGATGGTACAATCACGGGATGGGGGCGATTGGAGATCATACATAATCAGAATCTATCCGTGCGGGGAGAAACATTAGCAACTGAACATGGATATCGCGAATCTAAGCGGAAATGCGACTGATAGAGAGGAAGCAGCTGAGCCGATTCTTCTATGTGAATTAGGATACAAGCATACCTCAGAGACACCAGCCACGGCACCGGCCGCGAACTGGTAGACGAAGGGGAGGGGTGCTTGCGGCTTGTCCGACATGATGGGCGAGGAATTCTGCGAGGGGGCAATTAGAACAGGCGATTCAGAGACTCAAATGAGATAGCCAGCAGGCTAATTGGATGTTTTAGGGCTGTTACACACCAAACGAAAATCAAAATGTCAAAAGCGCGAAGATGTGAGGAGAAAGAGATGAGGTGCGAGCGGAGAATGAGGGCCCTGATGTCCCCGGTCTCGGCAAGATTCGGTGATCAGCTCCGACTCTCACTTTCACCGCAGGAACGAACTGCCGCTTATTACTAACGGGAGTAAAAGGGAGCCCCGTGGGGTTTTTGATTTTCCACGCGTAAAAAGCCAATGTCATCTTAGTATTCACCGAGCTTCCCCATTCATCTTCGTTATCAGGCTAAGTTCTGCCAAGAAGCTTTAATTCATTACCAATTACCCTGTCTACAGAGATAATGTTAACATAGTGCCAGGAAGCTGGAGATATCTATCATGGGGTTTCCCTAAATAAATAATCAACCATAACGGGGTCATTTTCCGTAGAGGCTGCTCTATATATGGGATTTCTTGATGCACTGGTCATCTAGCATGGAATTCGAATTCCGACATACATTTAGTTCTTACGCCATCCCCATACAGCATAGATATACAACATGATCTTTTATGTTCTGTTTATTTTGAACTCGCGATTTCCCAGCATCTAGATTCTAGATGTAAATGACATCCATTGGGCATTGCATAGATCATCAAACTTCATTATTCGTCGTACCACTTGTTTAACATAAAACAGCCCACCACACTCCCATAAATATCATACCGAGCATAAAATTCCACATACCCTCTATCTTGTTCCCACCACTTTTCGCCGTCGCCTGCTCTTTTCCAATCGTGGTTTTAGAAGAACCCGCCGTACAGCTTTGTCCACAAATAAATCCCGAGGGACAACACCCGCCCCCAACAGTATCAGCACAGCTAAACCACCCAGTAGCACACTTGCCGGTGTCCCCAGAATCTCCGCTTCCAGTTGTGACGGGTTCAACGATCGTCACTCCATCTGATGTGAATGTTGTGGATCGTGTCGTAGGACACGAGGTTGTATCGCAATCCCGTCCTGTTTGGCAACAACCGCCGTGATAGACAGCGGAGCATGCATAGAACCCCGTAGGACAAATCGAAACGCGGCTTGTGGCTGTATGTGTAGAGGTGGATAGGCCTGTAGGCCGTGCTGGTGGTACAAGATTGCCTGTAGTCGCAGTGTCGGATGTGGATTGCGACGACACTGACGATACCGATGACACTGACGACTTGGGAATAGTCTGAGGAACTGTTGAATATGTCTTTGTTGAAAGTGTGGTTGTGGTGCCTATCGTCACGGTTATGACGGAGACAAAAGCACCTGTTTTGTAGTAGTTAGTATTCCATACTTGCTACTGAATTCATATAGATGTTGTCAAAGATATCATAGCATAAACAGATGAAGCGAGGATAGAAGGGACAATTAGGAAATACTCACAGCCGCCAGGAACACATTGATAACCCGGAATACAACAACCTCCACCCAAGGCTTCGGAACAAGTTGTCCAGGGATTTGGACACAATCCGACCGTGTCAGAACACTTCTTCCCATTGGGACAACATCCCACGTCTCCAGATCCAGTGTCCTTCACATTCTCGCAGGTATCACCAGTGCTGCAGCATCTATCCGACCGGCCGATTGACGAGCACGCATATGTTCCAGTCGGACATTTGAAGTCCCTAGCCTCAAGAAGGCTTCCATGATTTCCTTCCCAGGGAAATGAAGGGTTGAAAGGGGAGGGTCTCTGATGAAAGAGATATGTCAGATAATCATTCGAAGTATCTTCGTCTGAAGCTTGGTCGTCGGCATTTGCGTTTGCGCTATCATGATCCACAATACTGCGATCTGATAACAAGCCTTGCGAATCATCAAGAAAGGTCCAATAATCTAGAAAAAACTTCTCTCCTTCGTCGGGACTCATTTTCCTTACGCCGTGGATGGTCTTTTCTGCGAGCCGGGCCTCGTTCTCGGCGGTTTGTCGGAGGATGTCATTTTCCAAATTACCCGAGAGCAAAGAGGTGTTGGTATACTCATTTGCTATGCAGGTGCAGCCAGTGGCTAAAAGGAGTAAGGCGATTTTTCCCTTGTGCATGAGGACTGTGATTGGACTAAAATGGAAAAATCAAAACAATGAGGCGGCCGCTCGGATACAGTGATGGAACAACTCGGGAGTGAGATATCAATCGGATTCGAGCTTTCTGAATCTTCTTAATGTTAGCATTTGTTCAACTTTGTCGGATTTCCTTTTCATAATTGAAGAGAAAGGAGTGGAATAACAGGGTCGTACATGAATGACTTAGGCGGTGTCCTGGATACTGAAGTGGTTGTGTTTCAGATAAGCCTGATGGACTGGGTTAATGCAGCCCAATGGGAAGCAGACTTGGCAGGATTTTAGGTAGAGACTAGATCTGTCAAACGGTGGAGCCTGAGTCGATCACGAAGATCATGGTTTGGAGAAAGTGGGAGTTGTCTTGCAAACAAAACGAGCAAAATTATGATGGCGGGGACCCGCCACTAGTTCAAGTTATTATCGGTGCACAGATGTATCTTCACCTTTGTGTCTCAAATTATATCCTTGCAAGCGTTTTGCCAATGTTGGTCGAGAATAAATAGTAAACCCGGAAAACATCACGATAACGTTATTAGACATTATTTTCTGATTTTCAATAATTCTCAAAAGTCAAATATTTTTCAGTACAATACCAAGTTCCATAGAAGTGGAACATCTGGTCGTAAAATGAATGATACAGGAAAGAAAAGAAATATTACGTCCTATCAAATGAGTGATCCTCAACTGTCCCAGTGCTCATAACTTCCATCACTACGTATCTCAAATATCATCCGCTAATATATGGGATCGAAACGAAGTCCCCGGGCTCAAAGCTTCCCCATGCTTGAATCAATGACTCGGGCTCACGCCTCTCTCCTCAGACCCAACATCCCGCTCAACCGCCACCTGCTGAGTCGCCTTGATTCCAGTCTCGCTCAGCATACTTTTAACACTGCTGTCATCTCCGGGTCCCTGCAGTACAATTGTATCTCCACCGTAGGTACCCGAGGTGTGGTTCTCACCGGTATGATCGTAGCTGGAACGGATACGAACGAAGAGGATTCGGAGAGAAGGAATTGAGGCGGCGAAGATCGTAAGACCAGTTTCGGCGGCTGCCCAACAGGTGATACTGGAGCAGAACCCTGATTGAATTAGTTAATAGAAGAAGCATACATCAGGGAAGGTGGAACTTACAAGTAAAATCTTGAACCTGAGAAACGTTGACAAGCTTTGAAGTCTTGATAAACGCAGTAACGGCGGCACTGGAGGACGTTAGATGGAATATGAAAGATTGTTGATACACAACGACGGAACTCACAAGACTCCCATGCTCATGGCAAGAGCAATACCGATCTTCTCACGCTTCTTCATTTCAAGGCCCCAAAGAACCATCCATGGAAGAAGAGCAAGGACGAAATCCATGCATCCCGAGTATGCTATAAAGTGTTAGTCGCTGGCGCAAAACCTGGCAAATATCTACTTACCACCAGCCGTAAGAGCGATCGTCTCGAATACATTGCTCGGCCAGCACTTGGCAGTAGCCATGAGCTTGACATTCCATAGGGCTGCAGCTGGGTTACACTGAGCCAGGTAGCAGATGGCAGTAAGCCACATGATGGCGTTCATAGTGACGATGATAAACCATAACAAAGCCTTCATCCAGGTGCGAGTCACAATACGCATAAGGGTAAAGGCAAAAGAGGTTTTACTCCATACACAGCCGAGGATGATAATAACATAGCTTATATACACGAGTTTGAGTGCCGGTGCGACTTTTTCTTGATCTTCAATGGCGAAAACGTGTCTACCAACTACACCCATTTGGACCGCTTTGGTGATGAGAGCAGTGTAACAGAGGAGAATGATCTGGATCATGGGTTAGTCGTTGTATCTAGCAATCATTGGAATTGATACTAGGAACATACCCATGACACAACAATGAGGCCATCATCGAAACCGAAACCGCGTCGACTAAGGATAAGCTTGCACCAAAGTCGCAAGGCGACCATCAAGCCGGGGAGAGCAACCAGGAGCCAGCATACTGCGAGAATAGTCGGGCCCTGGCTTTGATCATCTATAACAGCAGATTCACCAGCCATGATGCTTAAATCGAGGAACTCCTCAGCAAGATGTGGAGGAAATAAAGAATGGACAAGGAAAGAAGGAATCGAAAGTTTCCCTTGGAACCAATTTAAAATCTAGGGAGATTTGCATTGACTAAATACATTGAATGTAACAATATTTGAAATCCAAGGACTCTACTGCATACGATGTCCAAATCCATTTTTTCGATCCTACAATAACAACAAAAAGAAAGGACAATATTCCAACTCTTTTCATAGATGCGACGTTCAAAAAAGGGTCCTTCATCCAATCAGAACAAAGAACAGGCAACGAATTTGCTTCAGCTCAGCGCGGAAGTACAGCCTTGCATCCCGAGCGTAGATAGATAAATCCATCGAGTTAATTAATATGGTCCTTAGTCTAGCGATGGCCATTAGCCAATGCTCATCACAAGTAAAGGGCTGAGCTATCGATATCCATAAGTTTTCCCTTGAAGATCTTAGTCAAGTTTAAGGGGAACTTGAACAAGATCTGCAGCCTCCTCCTTTGAATTAGCAAATATAGGCAAGGGAGAATTATATTCGACATATCGCGTGTCGGGGAATCCGGGTCGTCGAGAAATAAGAAACTTGGAAGAGACCAAATTATCCCGCGAGCGACCCGGGCCGCCTGACTGGTCAACGGCGATCTTCTCCACAGGAAATGGTTGTCCGTGTGTGAAAAAAACCGGATCATGCATCAACGAATTGTCTGCGTGTGAAGGCGTTCACTATTGGTTCGTGTGGGGCGCGGACCCCATATCGCATCTCTTCGGCGCTCCAGATTTCAAATCTCCCATTCATTCAAGTTTGAATGTCAACTTTAATCAAAGCTAATGGGGGCAAAACTCTCTTAATCGACAATGCTATTTGTTGACTTCCCGCTCCTTTCAAACCATACGAATATGTATCAAATATCAAGTATCAAGTATCAACTCCCAAATTCAAATTTAAATCTCCAGCACTGATAGATGAACGGACCCTCTTCATTGCTCCACTCATGGCTGAACTCAAAATCCGCCCGCCATTGTTGGCTGACAAAGGAATGTGATATATCCATTCTAACGCCGCCGCCACGGATAATATGACCAGTAAAAGTAGCCATTAATTTTCCTGTCAGCGATCATCAGTGCAGAAAGCCGACTGAAGCAAGGGAGCCAATCATTTCGGAGATTTTATGGAGAAGAACAACTCGCCAGTGAACTAGCCTTGCAGCTCACGTCTGCGAACAAGAGCGTTCTCGACCTGGGCACAAGAGTTGACTTGCATATCTTCATCTCATCATCCCCATCAGTACGGAGTATCTACCCAAATCCAATGGTCCGGTAACTCCTCTTCATGCGTCTACTATCGTCCGTGCGAGTTTCTCCTGCATCATCTCTCAGAACCCCTCCTTTGTGGGGCTTCAGAAACTCACGGAGGCCGAATGGGCGCTCTCCGAGTGTAAGTTGCTTATGTGCTTAGGTAGAGGGGTCAAAGACAGAAATAGTGGCAGTTTCGCAGAAATGAAAACTTCTTTTTTTCCCTCAACATCATAAGCTGCAATTGGATGTAGCATTTAAAAAAAAACAATCACTATGGTATCCCCAGTGGACTTGGCAACGAATGTCGCCCTTTCAGTGGCAATCCTCTTCGTCTCTCGCTTTGTCTGGAATTACATCCGCTCTCCGTTGAAATCTTATCCCGGTCCTGTCGCGACGAGCTTCACCAATATCTGGCGTCTGCAAGATGTGTTTAAGGGGCGTTGCGATATTACGCAGAATGCACTGCACCGCAAATATGGACCCGCTGTTCGGATGGGTCCAAACGTCCTCAGTCTTTCGGACCCGAGCTTGATCAGCCAGGTTTACAATACGAAGAATCCATGGGTGAAGGTAAATGCAACATCGGATTGTGAATATGAATCCTTCTAACTCGTTCGCTATGTAGAGTAATATGTACAATGTTAATGATGTCGTGGTTGGTGGCGTTCGTTTGAACAACCTTTTCTCCACTCGTGATGAAAAGTGGCATTCTACCTATATCCGCCCGGTTATGAGTCTATACTCCATGAGTAGGGTTCAGGATGTTGAAGATGAAGTTGATATTACCATTAACCTCTTTCTCGAAAAACTCCGTACACATTTTGTCCGCACTGGCAAGCCATGTGAGATGTCTGATTGGTTAAACTTCTGTAAGTGCTAGCAAGAATCTATATACAGCAATAGCTACTGATACATTATACTAGTTGCATGGGATGCTATGAGCCAAGCGACTTTCTCTCAAAATCTAGGTATCCTTGAAGCTGGTAGTGACTACAAGGGCTTCCTCGGTCGATCGAACCAAACCTTGGACTATTTTGCTTCGGTGAGTACTAGAACCTAAAATTGTGAAGAGCACCCAGGAAGCAAGAGATAACTGATAAAAAATTCAATTTTAGATTTGTCAAATCCCCATACTCGACCTATTTTTGGATAAGAACCCAATCAAGCGCATCGGACCCCCAACCTTCGTGTGGGCCAATATCTTCAGCCTCGAGAAACTTCAAGAGCGCTACCAGGAGATGAGTCAAAAAGCCGCACCAAAGAACGACTTCCTTGCAAAGTTCCTCGAGATCAAAGAGAAGAACCCCGAGCTGGTGGATGACAATGCCATAATTCTCTATTTACTTTCCAACGTCCTTGCAGGTAGTGATTCCACCGGAAGCACGATGTGTGCAGCAGTCTACTATATCTTGAAACACCCAGACGTTCACCAGAGACTTTGCGCTGAGCTTCGCGGCGCCAACCTGTCTCTCCCAGCTCGATTCAAGGATATTCAAGGACTGAAGTACCTTGAAGCTGTCATGCGAGAGACCATGCGTATTCACTCTGGTGTTGGCTTGATACTTGAACGTGTCGTTCCCAGTGGTGGCTTGACTCTGCCTGATGGTCGCTTTGTACCGGAGGGAGCTGTTGTCGGCATGAACCCTTGGGTGATTAATAGGAATGAAGAGGTGTTTGGGGCTAATACGGATGATTTTATTCCGGAGCGCTGGCTTCAGAATACCGGCGAGTCGGATGAAGCGTATAAGGTGCGATTTATAAAGATGAAGAGCACTGATTTCACATTTGGGGCTGGATCGCGAACTTGCTTGGGACGTCATATGTCTCTGCTGGAGAGCTTTAAGCTTATTGCGACGCTTTTTAGTGCTTTTGATGTGAGTTCGTCCTTTCATTTGCCTGGTACGACAGTGGTATATGGTAGTGTGCGCTCTTTGCTAATATTTTCTCTTCTTCATATTTTAGATGGAGCTTCCAGGTCCGGATCACCAGTGGCAAGTTACCAATTCGTGGTTCTTGAGACAGAAGGATGTTCCTGTTAGTTTAGTAGAGGCCAAGAACTAGGCTATTGTCTGATTGTCCTTGATGATGAGCATCGGGTTTCATGATACGTTGGATTATCAAAATGCAGTTCTTTGTGGATATGGGAGGTTATTTAGGTCAACCTATAAAAGTGCATATACTTGTGATACCATTCAAGCCCCGTGTACCCCCATCCTCCCTATATTCCCCACTCATCCTGTCTCTCTCAAGTGCTCAGGTACCGAAGCATCCACGATTCCGATTGGGTGAAACACCGCTTGGACCGTGACCCACCTGTTCATCTCATCTTAATTTCTGGATCAGAGATTGATCAGAGTAGGATCGTTTATATAGATAGTGAGATCTGTGTGTTATATTGAATGTGTCTCTTATTTGTTGCTGTATAACTTCTATATCTATAGAACCTCATTGTTTACACTGTATAGATCTGACCCATGGAAGACACAATCGGGATCCCTGGAACCAGCTGATTGTTCCACCGTGAATTCCTGATCGGACTGGAATGATCATCATAGTTAGCGCGGAATGGGAGCTCCATGTTTGTGTTGTTCACCTCTTTTTCATTTCCTTTTTTCTGTTTCTTGCTTCAAGTTCGTAGGGCTTCATTGCTCGAGATCCCTTTCGCTCCTTATATTCTTCCCCACATTTGAATTCGTATCCCACAAACGTGCCCAACCTCTCCCTTTTACCGTCTTTACTTCCCACTTTCTTTTTCATACGAATGCGCCCGTGTGCTAAGCAACCACCCCGCTCAGGGGAATTCAGCTTACTTCTTTCCTTCCATTCGAAGTGATGGCAACTCCCACGCCGCTCGCCAAAAGCAAACTTGCCGGCCCTAGTGCCTCTTTGAAAATCACACCCTCCAATTCCCCGGTGCTTCGGCCGGGATCCCGATCTTTCAGCAAATCCGCCCACCAATCCATCCTCTCCCTCCAAACAGTCCTAGGAACCTCCACCACAACACCTAATGGCTTCTCTAGTCATGACCAAAGCAAGAGCTTTGCGCTGTGTGCCGGCTCAGCAGCTGTTCTCGCCGAGCTGGATGACGACGCCAACATAAGCCAACGATTTTTCAGAGCTCGCCCCTCTGCGACAAGTGTGAACCCAACTGCCTCCTTCTACAATCAGTCCACCCCTCCTACCACTCCAGATCCCCGGTCGCGGTCGTTATCTCATATTCGCTCCAACCCACACTTGAATGTACCCAATGGATCCCCGTCCAGTGAGACACCGGATGGTGGGAGCCCCCGCGCTTGGTCGTCAAGGGAAAGAATCAAAGCTGTGACGAGTGTCTCGCTCAGCCCCAATGGCAGGTTCTTAGCAGTCGGAGAGGTAAGTACCACGTATTGCGCGCGCGTGCTTTAAATCTAACACGGAGGACGCGATCTAACATTATCTAGACTGGCTATAATCCACGAGTCCTTATTTTTTCCACCGCAAAGGATGCCCTTCCTGACGTCCCGCTGTCTATCCTCAACGAACACACATTCGGTGTGCGAAGCATCGCTTTTAGTCCCGATTCGCAATACTTAGCTACGCTGGGAAATATGAATGATGGCTTTCTCTTAATATGGTCTATCAATCTGAAAAATGGGTCCGCTAGGTTGCACTCCGCCAACAAATGCACAGCGTTCATTCGCGACATGTGCTGGGTTGGCCAATCGCTCGTAACGGTCGGCGTGCGCCATGTGAAGGTTTGGAGGCTCCCAACTATACGCCCCGTCTCCCCAACCAAATCTAGATTGAATCCGGATGGTGCAGCGCCATCACCGAACCCGGCACCAAAGGCTCTTTCGGGGAGGAACTGCTTGCTAGGCGCTCTGAATGACAGTACTTTTAGCTCTATTTCCAGCATTTCGGATCAAGAGGCTGTGCTCGGAACTGAATCCGGTGCTGTCTGCCTTCTTGATGACCGAGAGTCTACTCAGAAACTGGGTCTTGTGACTCAGCTTGATTTCGGTGTTACTTCGTTAGCTGTTGACTTTGACCGAGAAGCAGTCTGGCTCGCCGGGCGTGGGAGGAAAATGCAACGGGTTTCTTTTGAATCCATTCGGTCAGCAACCCCTCCAGCACCTATGTCCCCCGTGAGGGCTGTGAAGGGCGCACCGGACAAGCAAAACAAAGCACCGCCGATCACTTGTATGGGGTCACTATGCTCGCATTTGGTCACGGTAGAAACAACCCGTGAAATCAACATTTACCCAATGAATTCTCTATGCGAAGAAGGTGAACAGGATAGCGGACAAAACTCGATGCAAGCGCATCGTGATCCTGTACTAGGTGTCCGGCGCCTATCGAAGCCCAATGAACTTTCAGCAGATTTTTTCTCTTGGTCACGCAATGGCTCCGTCAATTTCTGGGATGCTCGGGGCAAATGTCAGTCATCCCAGATGGTTCCACTCGAGCAAGCCCCCAACATTGAAGAAGATATTGCAAACGAGTTGAAGGTCCTAAGAACTATCAATAAGGCGGACTGGTTCGTGTCGGGTGACAAATTCGGAGTGTTGAAACTCATTTCCAGCAATCCATGGGCATGCATTAGTGAAGCCCGCGCTCATGGGGCCGAGGTCACAGATGTGGCCATTCATGAGAGTTCCGAAACTTGCTTGATAGCAAGTTCTGGCCGTGATCGCATGGTACAGCTTTTCCAGAAAACTAATGACACCCTTCAGCTTATTCAAACTTTGGATGAGCATGTCGGTGCAGTCGGCCAGCTTTTATTTATGAATGATGGTGAGAAGTTATTGTCCAGCTCTGCGGATCGCACTGTTCTTGTTCGAGAACGTGCGACGCGAGAGGAAGATGGCGCAACTTCGGTCGCCTATTTAATTTCTCGAGTCATCACATTGAAAGCATCGCCGGTGTCAATGGCAGTCTGTCCTGATGATCCAAATTCTCTATATGTCTCAACTATGGATAGGAACGTCTCAAAATTCGATCTAATTTCAGGACGGCAATTACACTGTTTCCGTGCTTCGGATTCAGAGGCAACTGATGCCGTTATTATGGGATCCTTGTCCGCCATCTCTGAAATTCCCGGCCAATGCCCAAAGCTTCTGGTTGGTCTTTCCAGCACTGATAAGTCTATTCGTGTATATGATTTGGAAAGAGATCTCTTACTCACCGGAGACTTCGGGCACACAGAAGGTGTGAGTGATGTTCTCCTCCTGGATGAGCCAGAGAACTCAGACAAGTCAACCATGAACCGAAGGCTAGTATCAGCCGGTATGGATGGAATTCTGATGATATGGAATTTGTCTGTCCAACCTCTGCCCTCTCTGGATTTTACTCAAAATGGCCGTGAAGACGAAGGTCCCACGAAAGAGAATACAGCCGCAAAGCCACCTTTGCGAAAAGTGCTCTCAAGAAGTGAGCTTGCCGGATTTCGACCTGAGTACCCTCTAGGAACACCCACCCCAACCCGAGACCTCTCCCCAACCTTAACAAGGAAAATGTCGAAACTTTCCTTGACCCCATCCACCCTCAAACATCACTCAATCGCCGAGACTCCGTCTCCTCCAAACCGCCTTTCACCTACTTCGTATACCTCGATCGACCAATCTCGCCGCTCTCCATCGCCCGTGAGCCCTAAATCGCGGCCTTCAGCCTCCAGAAAACCCAGTAGCTCAAAGAATACCAACCGTCGAACGTCACTGGATTTCAGATCCCGGGGCAAAACATCATCGACCCGAAGCGAATTCGGTAGTCTGGAGATGTCAACTGAGCAAGTATGCCGTACTTTACGGGCATATCGGAAGAAGCTCAATGCTTCATCCCAGCATGTTCAAGCGCAGAAAGAACTCGAACGTGAACTCAGTCTTACGCTTCGAGCTGTGAATGTGCGAGCCTTGAATAGCGATGAAAGTGGTGAAACGGGAACGGACAGTAGTGGGAAAGATATGGACCGGAAAGCAAGTTTCTCGTCTATTTCTTCCAAGTCCCCCCATCAGCCTCGTCATATGCCCTCAACTCCGTCTTTGCGGACCAGACATATTCACAGAGTCTCTCGGAGCCACTCTTATGATGCTGGTGCCGAAGAATGATAGGTCTCTGGGCCCTTTGAGCGTTTTGCAAGAACGTTTTACGTCTTTTTAATGCAACATCCGGGGTGCTTTGCAGTTTACTTCGCTTAACAAGGCATAGTATTACAGGTGTTTTGCTACTTTGGTTAGGATGCCCATTATCCTGACTTTACCATTTTCCTTTCTTATTAATTTACCCTCGCTATATCTTTTCTTGCTTTCTTCACCATATTTCATGGCATTTGCATATTTATTTTCTGTTCGCTGCGGTTTTCATCTCTCGTTGCCATCCCTCCCTTTTCATTCTTCTTCGTCTTCTTTTCTTTTTACATTCCTCTGCAGCAGTCGACAGAGGGTATGCTTCTTTTTCTTTTTCTTTCTCTTTCCTTCTCGACTTCCCATCTTTTACTTCTGATGATACCCATATTACTCTAGCTGGCCTCTGCCACGCTGCAGAGCTCATATTATTTACATTTTTCGAATTCATCTTCTCGATTCTCCCCGAACAAGGCAAATTTCTCTCAGGGCACAATAATAGTAATCATAACATTAGAACTATTAAATCGAATTCTGCAACACAAAGTAAATATAAAAAATAGGATACCACCTGAAGTTCCCCTCACAACTAGCGCTCATAAACCAACACATCAGAATAATCCCTCCAATTTATTCTTGAACAACAGAACTAGGCCATCTCCTTCAGCATTTCCCATCAGCTTTGCTAACCGAATAGATTCCTCCACCCAATGCTTGCACTCAATATCCTTCTCCTCGGAGTAGAAGTCCATAGCTCGATTGAACGATGTAGTCGCAAGATATGCCAATTCCGTCGGTGAGTATACAATGGTGTCCCCCTCCTCGTCATATCGCATGCTGCTAGCAAAATATGGGTCATTCTCTTGTTTAGTCTCCAGAGCGCATTCCACAAACTTCCTGGATCTCTGTTGTCAGATTGAGAGGTATCAATACGAAGTATATATGTAGCGTACTTTTGAATTTGAATTTTGTTGAATTCAGAGCTAGTCTGGAGTATTTCGTTGTTTAAGAGAAGTTTGCACCACTGCTGTGTTGTAGAATAGTACTCATCCCCAAGGCCGTCTATATGCTTCCATACGACCTATGTATGACCTCTCGTTAGCGAGTTCGTCATTTTCTTCAGTATTTTAAGCGACTTACAGCAAATACGGCATGGGTCCCGGGCTCACTTAGTCCATCAAAACCTCTCTTATTTAGAGCATGGGCAGCCTTGTCGACGGTTGCTATTCTCATTTCCTCGGAGATGTCAAGATGAATTACTGTAGTGGTAAAGAAAACGAAACTTTGGTCGATCCAATCACGCTGGTTGATTGGTAGATGCAAGAGAAATAAATCGAAGGCCTGCAACACAACGGTCGTACTAAAATATGAAGATTAGCCTGGCCTCTTGGTAAATCATCGTAAATATTGACATACCCGAGAGATTCAGAGAACTTGATGTAAAAATGGGCTCTGAAAAAAATGTTAGCTGAGACTCTCTCTTAGGGGGAAGTAATCCAATACAATTCCAATATGTGTGGGCTGAATTGAGTGGAAAAAAGCTTTCCCAAAGCTAACAACCTAAAGTTAGTGACAACGCCGGAGTCTTTGAAAGAAGTGATATCAAACATACTTTGAATGAATTGGGAGACATCTTCCCGAGGATTTTTCGAAACACGAAACCCCTCCAGGCAGAGAACTAAAACAGCAACAGTGTTTTCGTAGCTCTGGAGAAGTTAATATAAATAAGCTGCATACAAGACAGTGAGCTCGTAGACTACCTGACTCCTATCAATCCACTCCGCCGCTCTTTTTAGCCATTTGATAGCAAGTTCGTGCTCGTACGCTTCTGATGCGTTGCATCCAATTTCATGGCATAACTGTGACACAACGGCTTGGTTCAAGTTATTGATTGAACCTGGTGGGGGTACTTGTGCATAGAGGTATTCTGCGATATCTGAGCGACCCTGTAGACATACCTATCCAGAATTAGTCAATCTCAAGGCTACACAGAGATTTCAAATAACTCACAAGTTTCGCTCGAAGCATGTAATACTCCGAAGTGAGAGATTGTATATTCATTGGCTCTATAGCAGGAGACGAGAACTGTAACAGATCTAGTCTCTGGGCTGCTATTTCGAAAATTATGAGGGCAAAATTCAGCTGGTCATTTTCTGCGCAACTTGTAAGCTAAAATCAACAGCGAAGGAAAGGTGTGGTACCTATTAACCAACGAGCAGTAGCGAATGCCAGTTTGAGGATCCGAGTGTGCCCGAGTGGAGTCTTCGAGGTACCTCTTTCAACCATTTTAAAGGCAAGGGTTTTCACTGAAAGTGTGGGAAGTGGGGAGTGTTAAATGTGGACCTGATCATCGGTAACTTGGGAGAAATCATACCTCTGGCCATGATGTTCGGCTTCTGTTTGCTCATTGGACCACTATGCCAAACTTGTTCACATGTATTCCATAGACCAGTGCCCAGGCTGTCAAGCTCAGAAAGATCTTGGACAGGTAGGTCTGGCAAGAAAGTTCGGCTGATCATACACTCCATCGTGCTAAGAGTCCTCTCATTGATAGGGCTTTCGGGAGCACTCGCGAGAATCAAGTTTTGTAGTTCATGAATGGTGCCTTTCGTCAACTTGGCATTAGCCTGCTGTTTGACTCTGAAGAGAGTTGCAAATATGAACTCTCTTATCCATACCAGTCAAGGTAGCCTCTTTTCCTGGTGGAAATTCGTCCTGCAGTAAGGTCATTGTGCGGGTTGAGAGCTTCAGGGTGATGGTGTAGGGGGTTGAATTACTTGAGGTCAAGGACAGACGGGAGGAGCAGGTAGCCCTAGGTGAGCCCTGGAGTTCCTTCACCGTGCTACAGTCACCCCGATAAATAATCCCACTCCTTGCTAGAAGCGGTGGATTTTGAATACGTGGTTAACATCATATTACACTATACGTCTTTCCAATGGGTTTTCCAAGTATCAGCCTAATGGTCTCTTGTAATGATTTTTACTAAGGTAACTCTAGAAGCTTAAATAGTATTATACCTAAGCTATCAGGTGTATACTTAATGTTACTACAGATACATACATATTGAGATTTTACATGAGCGATATCATCGATTCTATCGTTCTTTTTACAAGGAGTGCGATCATTTATCGGGGTGATTGTAGCGTGGAGCCCTGGAGTACACTCTAGTAAGACATATACTACAACAATAGGTACGTGAACACTTTCAAAACTGCAAACGGACCGGGATAAGATAATCTCAAAATATCTAAAAGCGAAATGAAAATTCAAAGAAAGAAATAAACCTTGGAGTAATACACTGTCTTCGATGTTAATGATGATGATGGTGGATCCAGGAACGTTTTTAGGTGCCGATCCCACCTCCACCGCTCCCCAGCTTTGTTTGCGCTTGACGCGTCCTGCAACACCCAATACTTATTGACGACACCAGCTGCCCCTTTGTTGTCACCCCCGCATCCCTGTGTCTACTCACCCCTCATCATGCCCCCGAAAAGAAAACGCTCCGCGAATGATGAAAATGCCGAAGACGAGCCTAATAAACGCTACGCCTATCTGAAGCCGCAAGTCCGTCGCGTCCCCGAGAAGACGATCAAAGCAAAATGGACAACCCTCCCAGAGCCGGTCCAGGAGAAAGTCCGGGAAATGTTTCATGCGCTTGAACGCCCGGTGATTATGCGCCAACCGAACGAAAAGAAGAGAATTGAGGCACAGAGCGCAGTTCAAGCAGTGGTGCGAAAGTATGCCCACGTCTCCCATCACAGTTAAAGCTGCCGCACGAGGTTTCTGCGTCCTTTACACCTACCAGAGACTGATAATTTTCATTGTTTACAGCTTAAGCAAACGGCTTCCGCGAATGCCATTTCCACCCATCACGAAAGACTCGAATTTTGACTATGAATCTGCACTTGATGAACATGTACGACATCGGCATCTTAGCATCGATAACCCCCGTAGGAATCATCGCTAAACAGGAATGCAGCGGACACTCGAAGCCAACTTAGCGACCATCACGGATAGCACAGATCTCCTTAAAGCCGAAATTGCAAAGGAGGAGGCACTTCTAGCAAGCGAGAGGAGAGAACTACAAGATATGGATAAGAACGCCAAACGGGCTGAGGCTGAACGAAAGAGACAAAGCAAAAATGTACGAAAGGCTCTTATTGACCTGAGGTTATCATTGCTAACGTTTATCTCCCCGAAGGAACACCCCGTTCTTCGACAGTTGGATGCCCTTCCCCGGGACTCTAGCTCTGCGGAGTTTGCCTTGGTAAACACGAAGCCCAGCCAGGCCTCGTTAGACGAAGTATACACCCTCGACCTATATGTATTAGAAACAATGGGCTAACCGGTCGCATTCTAGCTTGACACGGATCCTGATATCCAACGACTAATGAAACAATTGCACGGTCACCTCCAATCCATGCAAACCAACACGGCTCCACTTTCGGGTCTGAGGGACGCAATTACTCGGTCGCAGGCTGCACTTGATCTCTTTAATGGGTCTAATGATTGAGAATAAGCTGTCAAAACTCAAAATCAATAGTCAAACTGCAAGAATTTTGGATGACACATGTATACACCGAGGCTATGCGGAGATATCATACCAACAAGTTGGGCGAATGCAAAGCGCCTAAGGGTTGAATCACTTCTCCGAATCTCCCAGCATCTCTGTCGCGTGCTTACACCCCGGCCCCTGCGTTAAGCTGCAGTCGGAGTCACTCAGCGCCAACAAAAGGGATCTGGTGCCTGTGACATGTGAACCCGCGTTGAGTAACAGGGCCAAGATCCATCACACCTCCGTCACACGCTAAAGAAAAGGCGATGCGCCCAGTCGATCATCCATGAAGACTATCCAATCTGACAATTTCTATTGATCAGGATCTGCGTCAAAAGCCGGAACCCCACTCCTACCGAGCGGCCAATGTTGGCGATCGCCAATGAAGCCTTTTTCGTGATAAAAGAAACATTATGAATAATGAATACTGTTCCAAAATCCATCAGCCTCAATTAACTCTATCCAATTCGTAGATAAGATTAATTTATCACACCGTAGACTTAAAAGAGCCGAAGCGGCTCCCTCGGTGGCGTTTCCGAAGACAAGATCGGGGAATTCCCCACACGCGCGGAGCAGAACGGAGGGGTTCACACGCTCACTCCGCTTTCACATTCGCAAAAGTCAACCTAGGAACTTGAACATTTCAACCATTTCCTCCAATGTCTGCGGGCAGCCATTCCACCCGGCTCTGGTGATTAAACGATAAGAAACACAAAAATGCCTGAAAAGAGCTTGTCGGCCGTCGGGCCCGACAAGTCTGCGTCTGCCAAGTCCAAGGGCGATGCAATGAAGGATGCGCGCGCGAAGGAATCGCAACCCTCATCTGCAGTCAAGTCCGAAACAACTCCCTCTGGTAGTCATTCCAGCCCCAAGAAACGCCGCAAGGTCAATCACGGTAAGCTGCCCCCGCATCCAGTGATCATGCGACAGGGGTCTGGGCGCTGTTGCGCGGATACTGGTTCGCTTGCGATCGAGTACTAGTTGCTAACAAGATAATTTAATTTTTATAGCTTGCGTTTATTGTCGTCGCTCGGTGAGCTTTTACCCCCCTATGCCTTTTTCCGCACATGCTACTGCTTGCTTGGTCGCTGCGACAACTTGCTATGGATACGAGTCTATTTCCCATTTTGCCGGGGTGGAGAACTTCTAGTTTTGATGAGAATCACATTGCTAACCAAAGACCATTGATGTGTGGGACAGCATATGACTTGCGATTCGGTACGACCCCTTCCATTCAAGCACCCTCAGTCTTTCCGCTGCCCGTGAAACGGTTGCCAGTCAGATAAGAAAACGATGAGAGCAAAGAAATTCCCTGCTGACCAGCTTGAATTGTAAAGGAACGACCATGTACCCGATGTATAAAACGCAATATTGGTCATCTGTGTCATGATGAACCTAGAGAACCCACAAAACGCTCTAGGGGCGACCAGGAGCATTCAGCCGCAGACGAGGAAGGATCGTCCAACGAGTTGACCAGCGTCCAAGGTATGCCTCGGAATGTTGACGTCCCCGATGCTGCCGGCCAGCAAACATTTCCAGACGGTACCATCGGAATTCCGCCTTCCTCGGTGCAGCCAGCGAATCTTTCTACGCCTAGTCAAGGCCTCGATGCCAATTCCCAGCAGTGTAAGACCCCAAGACGAAGACTGTTGAAAAAGCCCCAGCTGACGCGGAAACTTTTAAGTAATGCCATACAACGACTGGATAGGCGGAGGACAGAACCAGTTTCAGGATATGCACTCGCTTCATCCGTCGTACATGTTTAATGCGCCCGAAGTCACCAACGAGTACAATTTACTCGGCGATTTCCTCAGCAACAGCTTACTAGATGACGGTACAATTTTCAACCAGGAAGCTCCGGGGATCTACTCCGATCCATCATTGATGAACTCAATGAACAATATGAACATGCCAAATGGATTGCAACCGCAAACGCAACTTCCACCACCGGCCGTCCCGCCAGGAGACACAATTCATCGTCCTACCGCTGCAGTGGGCAATGACAAAGCTCGGGAGACATACTACATGACTGCAGCTGATCCATCTGGATCAGATCCACCGGAGGAGCGTATGAACAAACTTCTCAAAGCCAAGTATGATGCTGGGCTACTCAAGCCCTTCAACTACGTCAAAGGCTATGCCAGACTCAACCAGTATATGGAAAAGAACATGCAACAACTGTCTCGACAAAAGATTCTCCGACAACTAGACAAGTTCCGTCCTAAGTTCCGTGAGCGCATGCAGAGTTTGACAGATATCGAGTTGATTCTGGTAGAAATGTGGTTTGAACGCAGTCTCATGGAATATGACCGAGTTTTCGCTAGTATGGCCATTCCAGCCTGCTGTTGGCGACGAACAGGCGAGATCTTCCGTGGTAATAACGAGATGGCGCAATTGATTGATGTGCCCATAGAAAGTTTACGCGATGTGAGTTCCCTTCCATATTCATGATTGTTCGATCCGCTGGTTCTAATTATTTATCCTTTTCTAGGGAAAACTTGCCATTCATGAGATCATCGTCGAGGACCAGCTAGTTAGCTACTGGGAGAAATTCGGGGCTATTGCCTTCGACAACACTCAGAAAGCTATGTTGACTAGCTGTACGCTAAAGAGCCCGAATGGATCTGGTGAGGGCATTCAATGCTGTTTCTCGTTTACTATCCGGCGGGATAATCACAACATGTAAGTTATCATGCCACCTTTCGCAATGACATGGATGAATTTAGACTAACAGGCCTCGTCAGCCCCTCTCTCATCGTTGGCAACTTTCTTCCCACTCAGCGGATACATAAGTAGGACTATCTCACTGTTTCTTGAATTTTTGTTTGGGTTATTAAGCTGGATGGAGTCCATTTCTCGCAAAATGCCGGCATATCTGCTATTTATTTTCATTCTTGATTCCCCGAGGCTGGAGGTCTGCGTCCTTATGCTTGGAAAAATTCACTGTACTAAATGTATGCAGTATCTTGCTGTGTACCTATTCAATATACTTCGTTGTTTTTATCAGGTTCACATAATATCCAGTTGTAGAAGAAGTGTGTCACATATTCAAGATTGAATTGCATTCTTGTTGATGCTATGGTATAAATGGTAGACATATGCATGATATAACTACTTCCAATGTAGGTGAAGGGGATATTCCTGAGCAATAGATGCTCAAAAAAGCTATAAAATCCCAGAATAAGATAAGAGCCCACCCAAATACAAATGGTATCTTCCAATATGATAAACTTAACGCCCACCCACCCCAACCTGGAGGTCGTAGCCTGCCCACCCCAACCGCTAAACCGCTTGATTAACAAAGAAACAACGAAGAAAAAAATGACATCTCATCGTGGCATTACGAGGCCATTAATGCTTTTCATATCTGTAAGCTGACTTTGGAGAATCTCATTCCCACGAAGAAGTTCCTCAAGCCAGTCAGCAGCTTGTGTAAGCATGGCGCTCTTACTAAAGCCCCCACCTCGAAGGCTAGGGACTAAGATACACAGATCATCGAAGCCCTGGCGGATGAGGTTCCGTCGCTTCTGCTCAGACAAGATGTGATTTGTGCGTTTTTGTTCTTCGGAGAGATTCTCCCTCGGCGTCTTACTGTTGGATTGTATACTTGATTTTCGCACTGCATTCGTTGATGGACGACGACCTCTTGCGCTGGTGGGCGTTCGTGATTTGTGTAGTAGTTTCATGTCCTCGTCATCGGAGAACGGGTCTTCTTTTATTATTCTTTGTCGTTTGCGAGGCTGAATCAGATCCTCGGCGTCTACACCGTGGATACTGCCGCGGTGGGCGTGTCCGCCTGGTGTCCGTGCTGGACTAGGAGCACGGGTGTTGGCCGCGCTACTCTGTCGCTCAAAGCAGTCAAGATGATCTAATAGATCCCGGGTACGGGTTTCTTCGTCCGGTTGATCGGGCGGTGCCACGTATCCCTGATCCATGAAACTGATATCTGTGCCCCATTGAAGGCTTCTAGCCTTGCGGGATGGATGTTCATCTACAGGAATAGTGTCGCGGACATCAAAGAGCATCTCCGATGTATGATAGCCAGAGGGAATTCGGCTGCGAGATGAAGATGGGGCATTAGGTTGTGGCATGGGGGTAGGTTGAGAGTTGTGTTGCATGTGAGCCCCATTCACATGATTCACATGATTCCCGTTGAGATGAAGAGGTTGTGTTGTAAATGCTTGCTGGGCGAGCGCTGAGCCGATATCTGATCCATTCATGCCTCCTTGGTATAGCATTGATGCGGCAGCATATATGTCCGGGCCTGCGGTATGCGCTGCCATCATGCCTGGCTTTATGAGGCCTTGTTGCTGTTGGAATGATGGATGCGATAGCGATGTCGTTGAGCCTTCAAATGTTGGAGGTAGTTCATCGGACCAATCGAAGTTAATCCCAGAGGACTTGTTATTTTGAGAGCGAAGCCAGAAGTCATTTGTAAAACTGTTCGCATTCATAGTCGTAAAAAAGTTGTCGAGCATATTGGATTCGTTATCGTCGAGGAGAGAGGGGACCCGGGGGGAGAGCGGGAGCTTGTTCATATGGTGTATCCATCGTGGAAAGAAAGGCGTCTGAATTTGACAATTAGATCATTTGCTATATGAAAATTTTTCGCAATGTTTTTCTCTTAAGACTTACAGCCGAATGGTCCTGGTGGCGGGGAGTTGCGCCCGTTTTGAGCGACTTTCGAGACGGGGCCATTCATTCCTTCGAGAACGGATATAGGCGAGAACACAGCAGGAAGATAGGGGATGATAAGATCGCTCAAGGTCAACAATTATATGCTCTGAAATGCAAGAGCTGTACCGAGCGGCGTGAGATGATCATGCCTTGGCTCCGACTTGATCCAAAGTGTCGGTATAGATTAGGGGATCGGCGACCAGGTGCGATAAAGTGCGAAGAAATGCGACAAAGAACGAGGGCGCACAAGGATTTTACAAACACTAAAGATCCTATATAGAAAAGACTCGAGAATCAAGCAGTAGGATTTTAAAGAAAGGAAAGTGGCATGGAGGATCACAAGAAGCTGGGGAAGAAGAAAGGTGGAGTTGATCATTATGCCTCATTCCCATATCAATCACATGTGAATTTTCCCGGTCGCGTGATGTAACGGAATTACCAAAGTTCCAGCAAAATTACGAGAGATCCCTAGGTGATCAGCCAATGGATAGAGACATAGTGGAGCAAAGATACCCTGATGATACATCGGCGATACATCCATGATACATCCACGGTACATCCGCGGTACCTTGTTCCCTTTATATTCACGTCGAACTATCAATGTACACCAGGACTCCACCCACTTGAAACTAGGATCTGCGACCAAGACAAGAAAATTACTCGGTTTCTCCTAATCACCTTGTGCAAGAGGAAGCCACTGTCCAGGTGGCGCACTGTTCCTGTCTTGTGCCTTTCTGACCTCATCCGCGGTCAACTTCGGCTCGGCATCCTGGAGAGAAAAAAGGATCCGACTTTTCCCCATTCGACCGTCAGATAGAATCCCCTGTACGGGCTTGAGATTGGTGCTCCCCGCAAAAACCAAGAAATCGCTACCGGATGATCGTCCCTCATAATTTTCATTCTCGCGTCCCATGAAATACAGTTAATAAACTGCGGGGATCCAACCCTTTCAGGAACCGAGGTCTAGCAACTCTTTGGAACAACAAGTCCTTCGGCCGCAATCTGTGCCTACATAAGCTAAACCTCCGTGACACAGAGCCACGGTTGATCGGAGTGGGTTCAAAACCCCAAAAAAAGGAAAAGAGAAAGAGAAGGCAAAAGAAAGCAAGAATCGTGCAGCTACAGTTCCAGACGCAGGATACTACCCAATTTTCGGATGGAAATTTGCTGGTCACCCAACCCCCTCTCTCCCCATAAGCCTGACTCTGCGAGATTTGATCCCCTGGTTCTGATTGGCGACCGTTGAGCCGAATCCTACATTGCAACGAACTGTTGGACGCGTCTGGTCCAGCCGGATAACCTCCCGGCGCGCGCAATGCTTAGTCGAGACCCTCTGCGGATCATGACATGAAGATTCCCGGCGCTATGGAACCTGTTATCCGCCTCAGTCTTCGAGACAGGTACTTCAGAGACAAGATCCTGAAACCGTGAGTTTCCCCCGGATCCCCCTATCCTACTAGCGAAGTGGGTTACCTACTTCCTGGAAAATGGAAAGCCAAAAAAAAAACAATTAAAAAGAGATTCCAAAATAAAAGCAAGATTCACGTCCTGACTGATCGCCGATAGGATTATTCGGGCTTATGCCCTGGGGTATCTTTCTTCCGTTACGCCTAAACTTATATCTTATATTCGATGCCTTGGAAACAAGAATAGATCCACGAAGGAGAAACTACAAGAGGTATGTTTCGAGTTTACCTGGTTTTCAGGGTCCTTGGTATCTTTGGTGATTTTCTTTTTTCTTAATATCCACCTCTACTTCCCGTGCACAACGTGTGGTCATTCTGTGGCTATCTGTAAAACCAGAGACTGACACAATGAACCTTATAGTTAGCGCAAGTTCTGGCCGGGCCTTTACGCGTGAAAAGTTTCCCAACTTTCTGTGGAGCTTTGGTGGGGGGATCTACAATCCTTCCAATCCTATTGTATCGACTATGTGCCTGGGTCGTGAACAGTTGCAAGGGTGAAATTCGGAACCCCCAGCAAACTCAGCGGCTGGTTCGATTTGCCGCCGCGTTCCTATCTTCTTGGTTTAGTTTCCAATTATTAAACAAGAACCGCATAATATCGCGGCAAGATACTAAAGCTAGAGACTCCGCCTCCAGCCAGCATGATTTCAGCCGTGCTCCAGCCGAGACTCTTGAGCGACCTTGTCCGGAGTTGGCCGGGAGAACAATGGATTTGACATTGTTCACCGTTACAAGGGCGGCTGATGTGATAGCTTGCATCGCATGGAGTCGATGGCGCCGTCACCGTAATACCCAGAAACGCTGGACGACCGTGGAGGCTCTTACTCCTGGACTCGTGGATGCGGGTGTATTTGCTTTGAGTGCAGCTATAGTTATGTGGGCTTGGTTCTACGAGCCCGAGAGGTTACCACGAACTTATGAGAAGTGGATTGGGGGCGTAGCAAAGGTGGATACCCGGTTAATAGAGGCCCTTCGTCGCTGTCGCCGTGGGGTCTTTGTATACGGAAAAGATACTGGCCAAGCATCGCTACTTGAATCTATGTGCAGGGACTTTAATTGGCCCGAAGAATGGGGAGACCCGGCCAAGACTACTCCCATTCCATGCGAAATGGTACATATGGGCTGCGGTCCAAGTTGTGAGAAGCATGCTTTGTCGCGCTTTGTCAAAACCTTCAAATTTGCGTGTGCAACCTACATCCCTCTTCAGATTGTCCTCCGCTTGCGGGGAATGAAGTCCCCCGCTGCACTAAGCCGTGCTATCTCCGATGCCGCCCAGTCATCTGCGTTCCTGGCCTCATTCGTGGCCCTGTTCTACTACTCAGTCTGTCTAGCCCGAACGCGGCTTGGGCCCAAAATATTTGACAAGCAGACCGTCACCCCTTTGATGTGGGACTCTGGACTGTGTGTTGGGGCTGGGTGTCTTATGTGCGGATGGAGTGTATTGGTTGAGAAAGCACGGAAAAGACAGGAGTTGGCGCTCTTTGTGGCACCTCGCGCTGCGGCCACGGTGCTGCCACGGTTGTATGATATAAAGGTATGTCCAAGACTCGCATTGCCCGGATAGAGATGGTTACACCTAGACGAACTATGCTCTTGTCTTTCCAACCCCGGAAAGGATGTGGTCTGTGACCGATTCTATAGCCGTCATGCGGTACTAACAAATTTTCCTCTCCTCTTTCAGTATCAATACCGCGAGCGCATTGCCTTTTCCATCAGCGCTGCAATCCTTTTTACTTGCCTTCGAGAAAGGCCCCGCATGATCCGAGGAGTTTTTGGCCGCATCACGACGAGCGTGTTGAACTAATCTATATTTCTATCGGGTTTCTCCTATGGAATCCCTTCGTGTTACTAACCATTATAGCTTTCTTTCTTTCGACCTCTAGACCTCTTTTTCTGTGGATGGTCCATTCTGTTGATCATTCTTCCTGTTATCATTACGCACCTGGGCATATTTTAGACTTTATACCTGCCGCATCTTCGCTTTCCTGTTCTAATTATTAATTTAATGTTTCTGCCTCCAGAAAACATGGGCTTACACACATACGGTCATGGCTTTTTCTGGGGAGCTTCAAAAATATCGAAATCCATTGATAGTCATTTGAGTCTATATCTCTGAATGCAGATGAAATCTATCTAGTTTCTAGAAGAACCTTCTGTGCTCCGTTTAATGTAACTGGGTCCTGATGCCAGTGTAATAATTTATCTCCTATTTTAGTCTGTTTTTCTTAATCTGACTATGCAGTCTATCTCTATCGTTCTAGTTGTGAACTACTCATTTTCTATTTCTTCACCTCTTCAAACTTTGCGTATTAATACTCTCCACCAGCCGGTTCTGTCGTTCCCCTCATACAAACACCGATATCTTATCGATAAGAGATGTCACGTGCAGCATTTCCGACATCCGCAGTCATATCGAACCATGCAACAAATGTATTTGCTTTGAAATTCAAGCACCATGTTCTCCCGATTATTTCCCTCATTGGGTCATTGCAAGCTACCAGGGGGTGCTCAATCTCGAGCTTTCTATCTCCGAAGGGGCATCTTAGAAGCGGACAAGCGATATTTCTCAAGAAATGCCTTCTTGCATCAAAAAGAGCATGCCTCTGCTGCGCCATTCAACACTCCCCAGTCGAAGGAGCGCAATGCCTCTACTCTGTAAGAGAATCCACATGGATTAATTTGATGATATTCAAGCTGCATAATTCTAACAACTGCTCGCCTAGCTACTATACAATTAGTATGATTCTCGGGACCGTGGCTCTGGCCTACGGTTCTGTTCCCCTGTACAAAATGGTATGAGTTGATAAATCCAGGCCGACCACTTCTGTTATTTAATAAATCAACATCCGTTAATAATTCTGCAACATTAGATCTGTCAACAAACTGGTTGGGGAGGCCAACCCATCCTCACTCACCGCAACGGCGACGGCGACACAGCCGGCCGAGTAACTCCAGTCACCGACTCCCGCCGACTGCGCATCACATTCAATGGCTCTGTCTCAGATGTCCTTCCTTGGAAATTCACACCGCAACAACGCGAAGTCCGAGTGCTACCGGGTGAAACCGCGCTGGCTTTCTACACAGCAACCAACAAGGGCCCCAATGACATTATCGGAGTTGCAACATACAGCGTGACGCCAGGACAGGTTGCGCCATATTTTAGCAAGATCCAGTGTTTCTGCTTTGAGGAGCAGAAACTCAATGCGGGCGAAACTGTTGACATGCCCGTATTCTTCTTCATTGACCCAGACTTTGCTACGGATCCGAATATGAAGGGGATCGACACAATTACCCTGTCTTATACTTTCTTCAGTAAGATACTTCCAGGGTTTACTTGGTGACATAAATGACTAACGTGGAACAGAGGCGAAATATGATGATAATGGGGTGTTGAAGCCAATTGCTTCATGATCACTCGGCTGATATCCGAAACCATACCCTAAGATCTCGACTGGGAACTTAGCCCTTGTATACTTCATGAAATCTCGTTCCATTGGGCATCGGACCAATGCTGGTTCAGGTCTGCTTACCCCCACCCCATCTCCACTGAAAATCTCTGTACTATAGAATTAGAATCTACCATATGTATTAGCTGGAGAGCCCGAACTGTATATCCTCTGAAGAAACAGAAACTTGAAATTGTAAAATTTAGAACCCCACTGGTTGAAATACTTGGGCTCTCCATTTTAAGAAGATTGGATATGGATACTCAGTAGTTATGTTCAATAGAAATGGGCATTGATCATCTAGCCACTTCTTTGCAACTCTAACTAATTTGAGCCTTCTCACTTTAGCAGTGAAAGAAATGAAAAGCCGCTGTGAAATATTCTCGGTGAAGCACTTGCAGTTTTAAATCCATTCTAATTATTTCAAGGAACAATGGCTTGCATGTAGATCTGCTGCATAACCTTCATAGGTGAACGGTGCAGTGTGCACGGGCCATCTATTAATTAGTCGCGCGTCTTTGACGCGTTTTCCCGCTTCCGCATTTTCCAAGTCCAGACACCTACTGCCATTGCGATTCAACACACCAAATATATCAAAATGGCTTTGTTAGTTGATAAGCTGCGTCCAAAAACGCTTGACACGCTCACCTATCATCCTGAGCTTTCGGATCGCCTAAAATCATTGGTATGTGCTCTTCACCCAAAAGACTAGCAGCAACTTATATGGAACCTATTCAATGCAGGCTCAAAGCGGCGACTTCCCCCATCTACTCGTTTACGGACCCTCAGGAGCTGGAAAGAAGACACGAATAATCGCTACATTGAAAGAGCTTTACGGGCCGGGAGTTGAGAAGATCAAAATCGATGCCCGAGTCTTTCAAACGACCAGCAACCGCAAGCTCGAATTCAACATCGTTTCCTCCGTCTACCACCTCGAGATCACACCCGCCGATGTAGGAAACTATGATCGAGTTGTTGTTCAAGAGCTTCTGAAGGAAGTTGCCCAGACACAACAGGTAGATCAATCAGCGAAGCAGCGCTTCAAAGTGGTGGTGATTAACGAGGCCGACCACCTGACTCGTGATGCCCAAGCTGCTCTTCGTCGTACTATGGAGAAATACAGCCCTAACTTGCGATTAATTCTCCTGGCCAACAGTACTTCCAACATTATTGCCCCAATTCGTTCACGTACCCTGCTGGTCAGGGTTGCTGCGCCCACTGAAGCGGAGATTTGCTCTGTGCTCCAAGTTGCTGCAAAGAGAGAGGGTTGGACTGAGTGCGATGGCCTGAACCAGCGGATAGCAAGAGACAGTCAACGCAATTTGCGCCGTGCGTTGTTGATGTTCGAGTCTATCTATGCACAGAAGTAAGTGGTGATCTTGTAGTTGGTTGCTCTGACGAGTGATGCGGAAACTAATAGCAATTGAAACACAGTGAGAAAGTAAACGACAAATCTCCGATTCCGCCTCCAGATTGGGAGGCACTGATCTCTGTTACTGCAGATGAGATTCTTGCGGAACGATCACCGGCTCGCTTGCTGCAAGTCCGTGCTCGCCTCTATGATCTTTTGACTCATTGCATCCCTCCGTCGACTGTCCTCAAAGTATGTCTATGACCTGAAAGTCTACATTTACGTATCTTGCTAATATAATGAATTCCTAAGACTTTGACCTTCATGCTCGTTGCCAAAGTTGACGATGCGCTTAAACCAGAAGTTATCAAATGGTCTGCATTTTATGAACATCGAATCAAGCTCGGCAGCGTACGTCTTCAGTACACCTACAATATTTGAATTCACAGCTAATTTTCTTCTCTATGCAGAAAGTTATTTTCCACCTCGAGGCTTTCGTGGCTAAATTCATGCGCATCTATGAAAGGTTGGCACTGCATGTCCTTCTCGTGTATGAACTATACTGACAGGCTTTTACTATAGTTATTTGATGGGCATGATGGAGTTTTGATCTTCGAACCTGCGACAATTCTCAGGAGATGAATGATGACTATACATTTAAGACAAATCCGTCGATATTTCCTACACGACGTTCTCGCAACATGCCCTTCCACATTGAAAAACTTCAATACATTATTGGGCCTTGCAGCCTTGGGCTTGATCTTTCTGTCTCGAGGTGTGGCAGATGAATTATTTGATTTACATGATGCGTTCTGGCGTTCTATTGCCATTTGTGAGCTGTGCATCTCGTAATCGAACCACGCGGTCACGAAATTGAACATGACCTATGTTTTATCAAAAGATTTCCCCATCTCTAATTCCGACAAATATCGTGAGCTAGAATTCTAATATGCAAAATGCCTTGTCTATAAACAGAGTATGATTGATCATCGTAGATATCAGGTTACCGTCCTGGACAGACCTACGTCATCATATTCAGTCATCGGACCAGCTCCCCAAACCCGGGAAAGCATAAGTCAACGTCCTACCTTTCCATATATCTTCCAGAGTCAATGAACTAAATTGCTCCATATTCAAAACTGTTGCGAAAGAAATCAAAGTTTCAAGTTCGAAATTAAAGATGTCCGACCCAAGACTGGTTGATATGGAGCCTGGTGGGGAGAGCACCCAGTAAGTACTATATACCCATGCTTCTCCGGGTTGATTGATGAGCTGCCAACGCGGAGTCATGCCTCATTGTCGATATCACACGCCTAAGAGTACAACTACTGGCAGGTTTTAACTTGTTCATTAGATATGAATCCATTCGAGAATTCACAATCCCCCCTGAGAAGCAAACAGGGCAGTTAGGCGGTATAGGTATGTATGATGGGCTCCGAACCAAGATATCTATAAGATTACATGTGGATACCCAGCTGACTTCAGAGCGGCTGTCAAAGGTGGCCAGTCCCATACCAAAAGCGAGGCAACAGCCTTACCAGTCGCCACAGATTCTCCCGCATCGGACGCAGAAAATGAGCTAGCACAGAAATTGGGCAGGGGATTCATTAAACCCAGTAAAGGTATGGGAATGCAGAGATAATATAGTATCATTGTCAAAACTCCTAATGTAACAAGAAATTTTCTAGAAGACAAATGATCAACAGTCCCAGACATGGACAAAGCTAACAGTAATATACAGAAGATCTGGATTTCGATAATGCAGGCGATGCAGAAGCTGCGAAGGCCCGGAGACAGCAGGGGTATGGGCCCGGCTCCGGGGTTGGGGGATAGTTCAATACGGAGGTGGTGTGACATGAACATGCGGTCAAGGAAGTGCGAGGGTGTAGTCGTTTATTGGGCGGAAGGGGAAGAGCTGGAGGAAGCACTTTGAGGTGGGTTCTCGGTGTCGTTGGTGCCGAGCGGAGGATTCCTGCGTGCTCGCTTGAGATCCTCGAGAGTCACACCGTCGCGGAGCTTAGTGATACCAACGACGGGAGGGTCGTCCTTCTTGACAAACTCCCAGAGACCTGCGGTGGAGGAATATCGTTAGCAAATTTGATATTTATTTATAACGAAGATAGGCTAGATTGTATCAGTGGAAATTGAAGACATACCAGGCAACTTGTGGCCAGCCAGTCTGAAGGCCTCTCGGGCAACCTTTTCGTGCACATCGCCCTTCAATTCGAAAACAATACGGCTGACGGGCAGACGAACAGTCCAGTAGTCGAATTTACCCTTACCCTTACCCATACGCTGCTCATTACCCTTAGTGTAGACACCAATGTTGGCACTCACACGCTTATAAAGCTTGTAGTTCATTCCTCTCAATCGTCGCTTGATAGTTTCCTCTGCAATCTTGAGAGCCGAGGCGGGCATACGGCGGTCGTGATCTTTCATGCGGATGCCGTAGTCTCCCCACACCACTGTTGTTCCTCGAGTAGATCCACCGGTGGCGACCTTGGGGCGACCCTTGGGGGACTTAGATCTTTCGGCGAATTTGGGAGTAAGCCAATCTAGGGTAGGCGATGTGGTAGAGAAGCATCGTGCCAAAGAGAAAGTTGCTAATGATGATCCCGACGACAGACCTGGAGAATTATGACTGTTAGTTGAGAGGTCATTGGGGACGATTTGGAAATTATGGGTATTATCGTACAAGTCGGTCGGATACAGGCTGACAAAGGCCCAGCAAACATCTTGATCTGAGGGCCCATCGCGACGGAGAAAAGAAGGAGCTGGCTGTGGTTCCTTGAGGTCTCCGGCGCAAGATCCAAAAGCACAATTCGATACCCGTTCGCGCTAGTTCCAATGGGGAAGAAGTGCATATCACGTGTATCTCGTGTTTATTACGTCAGCCAGTCACGTCTCCCGTCGCGTTTCCCGCATGGTTGCCTTTGAGGCGGCAATCACTGGCTTCTCTCTTTATCCACAATTGATTTCATTTTCTATCACTGACACAGCATACATCTATATGGTGAAGACTATTAAATATGCCGTCTGATATTCGGAGCTTCTTTGGGGGGAAGACTCCCCAGAGCTCTGCCGAAGCGCCTAAGTCCGCGAAGAAAGAAGTAAGTCGGCGAAACCAATCAATATTTCAATTCACGGAAGACTGCTTTGCTTTCAGAACCTGGATTATTCGCTTCAATCTCGATCCTCGAAAGTTTGTGGCTAACGTTTTGACAATAGACCCCTTCTGCCACAAGGAAACAGCGTAATTCATCCTCTGCTATGCTCCAAATTCCAATTTTAACCATTTTATAGGAGGCAGAAAATTCGTAGAAGATAGCGACGACGAGGAGGCCTCACCGGTGAAAGCGCCGACTCCCAAAGCCAAACCAAAGAGCAAGCCGTATGTGTCCATTCGGCGGATATGCCACTGCTAGCAGTTCTGACCACTATTCCCTATTATAGCAAGGCCGATGAAACGAAAGGAGAACCCACGAGCACCTCGGACTACTTTGCTTCTAGCAAAAAGCCTGGTCGTCCAGCCAAGGCTAATTCGACAAACGAAACCCCATCAGCCAAGAACGGAACCACGAATGGGGAAAAGAGCATCGTTGAGACTTCCACGAAAGCCCCAAAGAGAGGAGCTTCCAAGAAGGCTACAAAAATCGTGAACGACGACGAAGGTCTCGGTGGAGATGATGTTTTTGCGACTGAATTTGGAAAGCCTGGCAAAGGGGACGATGATTATGTCGAGGGAGGTGACAGCGGCTCCGATGACGATTTCGAAGTGCTCGAGGTCAAACCCGCAACCGCATCCAAACGATCCCAGAGGACAGAGCCAATCATCGATGAAGACGATGATGTAGTGATGGATGACCTTCCCAAGCCACCCCCAAAAGCAGCAGCTCGAACTGGCCGCAAGCGCAAGTCGGAAGCGTTGGTTGATAAGGATGAAGATGAAGATTTCGAGGACGTCAAGAAGCCCGTGTCTCGATCTAAGGCAGCTAAAGCACCTGCTTCTCCAACTGCCAAGCGACAGAAGGCCAGCCCCAAAAAGAAGAAAGAGGAGGAGCCGGAAAATAAGGAAATCCAGGACATTTTCGATAGCATTCCGACGATTCGGCCTCCAACGCCCCCTCAAGACGACGGGGAGAAGAAGAAATGGCAATTTGGCGCTCAGCGGTCTCGCACACCTCCAACTAGTGGATCTAAAGATATGCCTGTTGGCGCCGAGAACTGCCTGGCAGGATTGGCATTTGTCTTCACCGGTATTCAGGAGACCCTTGGTCGTGAAGAAGGACAAGAGCTTGTTAAGCGATACGGTGGCAAGGTGACTGGGGCACCGAGCTCTAAAACCAGCTACGTTGTTCTTGGAAGCGATGCAGGCCCTTCGAAGCTCAAGAGCATTGCTAAGCACAACATAAAAACTATCAGTGAAGATGGCCTCTTTGAATTGATCCGCCGCCTTCCAGCCAATGGAGGCTCTGGAAAAGCTGCATCCAACTACGAAGCCAAACAGAAGGCTGACGAGGAGAAGGTTCGAAAGATGGCAGAGGAAATTGATGCCGAAGAAAAGAGGAAGAAAGCTGCAGAGGAGAAGAGAAAGCAAGCTGCTAGCGCTACTTCACACACCCCACAGACTTCAAAGGCTTCGGAGACCGTGAAGTCATCCCAACCCCCAGTCGATGACCAACTATGGACTACCAAGTATGCTCCAACATCTCTTTCCATGATCTGTGGAAACAAACTTTCCGTCGAGAAGATTGGAACTTGGCTGCGCAACTGGCGTAAAAATGCGAAGACGAACTTCAAACTACCCGGGAAGGATGGCAGTGGAATATATCGTACCGTCATGATTCACGGCCCCCCTGGTATTGGTAAGACCACTGCTGCACATTTAGTTGCTAAGTTAGAGGGATACGATGTCGTGGAGTCGAATGCCAGTGATACAAGAAGCAAAAAAATGGTTGAGAACGGTACCCTGGGTGTTCTTGATACCACATCTCTCCAAGGCTACTTTGCCGGAGAAGGCCAAAAGGTTGATAGCAGCAAGAAGAATGTTTGCTTGATCATGGATGAAGTCGACGGTATGTCTGCAGGTGACCGTGGGGGTGTCGGTGCACTGGCGGCTATTGCTAAGAAGACCAACGTTCCACTTATTCTCATTTGCAATGAACGAAGATTGCCCAAGATGAAGCCATTTGACTTTGTCACATTCGATGTGCCCTTCAGGCGACCTACGGTCGAGCAGATCCGAGCTAGATTGCGCACGATCTGTTTCCGCGAAAAAATCAATATCCCGCCTCCTGTTTTGGACAGTCTCATCGAGGGCACGCATGCCGATATCCGACAGGTCATCAACATGTTGTCCACTGCCAAGCTAGACCAGGAGAGCCTTGATTTCGATCAAGGCAAGCAGATGTCAAAAGCATGGGAGAAGCACATCATTCTAAAGCCTTGGGACATTGTTAGTAAAATCCTGAGTGCCCAGATGTTTTCTCCCAGTTCCACTTCCACCTTGAATGACAAGATTGAACTCTATTTCAACGATCACGAATTCAGTTATTTGATGCTTCAAGAGAACTATCTGAAGACAAGACCGACTCTCGCAGGAAATTATCATGATAAGGAAAGGAATTTGAAGCTTCTTGAATTGGCAGATAATGCAGCCGAGAGTATCAGTGATGGTGACCTGGTCGACCGTATGATTCACGGAACTCAGCAACAATGGTCTCTTATGCCTACCCATGCTGTCTTCAGTTTTGTTCGACCTGCCAGTTTCCAATTTGGAAATATGACCGAAAGGGCAGGATTTGCTAGCTGGTTGGGCCAAAACAGCAAACAAGGTAAGGATGGAACTATTTACAATAACACATTGGATATCACGCTGACCACTATTATTATAGGCAAATTGACACGTTTTGTAAAAGAAATTCAGGGTCACATGCGGTTGCGAAGTTCCGGCAACCGAGACGAGATTCGTCAACAATACATCCCTCTTCTATGGGAGAAATCTGTTCGCCGTCTCATGGAAGAGGGTAAAGACAGTGTCGATGATGTCATTGATTTTATGGATTCCTATTTCCTGACTCGTGACGATTTTGATGCGATGATGGAATTGGGACTTGGCCCGATGGATCAGTCTAATGTCAAGTTGGAGACACAAACCAAAGCCACATTCACACGTCTGTACAATTCGCGCTCACACCCATTGCCTTTCATGAAGGCTAGTCAGGTGATTGCACCAAAGAAGGGACCCAAGGAGAAACCGGATATTGAAGATGCCATCGAAGAGTCGGACGAAGAAGAAGTTGTTGAAGAAGCTAAGGATGACGAGGAGGAAGAACTTGATTTGAAGAAAGATAAATACGTCTCCGCGCCAAAGAAAAGGGCTGTGAAGGGTGCTGCGAAGGGTAAGAAAACAAAGAAACCAGCAGCGGGCGATGATTTCATTGACGATAGCGAGGAGAAGCCAAAGAAGGGCCGCAAGGGTAAGGCCAAGGCTTAAGATTGAAGTCTTTTTTCTTTCTGTGCCTCTTTGTACCATATCATTATTATTTTATCTCTTCCAGAAGCGTCGTCTGTTAACGATGTCCGCATACCTCCATTCAGCAGCATATGTATCATGATTTTAATTCAACCTCAAATGAGTTTGCTTTTATTGCTCTTCTTTTAATTAATTAGGGATGAACACAAAGTATCATTCATAGCATCATCCATAGGCCTGTGAATATTCGACAGCCTGCTCAATATCCATCCTCCTGTTTCATGTAAAAGTCGTTAACCGTGTAAAATAAAAACCCGCAGTACTTTCAGCCTCTCATTCCCGAATCAATCCCTTTCACTGTTTGATTGAGGATTCCGTTGTTACCAACGTTTGACTGCGTACACTCTTCTTTTCTGTCGCGGGCTCACGATTTTTCCTGCCCAGGGCATGGATACCTCGATGTTTAGCAGCCCACTTCTTCCCTTCTTCCTGGTATTTCGCATCATCCTCACGTTTAAGACTAGCTCCACGCACAAAGAAAACAGTCACGAAAAAGGAGACGCAGCAGCACGCAACCATGAAGTAGTAAATGTTTCGAATTCCCAGAGCTTGAGTAGTCAGTACATAGGAAAAAATACATAAGAATACAGATCAACTTACTATATGCATGAAGAGCAGTCGACTTCTGAGCCGCAGAAATTTCCAACGTGCTGGCGCTAAGGCTGGTTGGATCAGAGATGATTTTAGACAACACGCTCGGAGATACTACAGAAGTAAGTTGCATCCTACATACCATATGAAACAATTTGTTAGAACCTTGAACCTCTTCAAATAATAATAAGAAGCGTATATATTCTCAACTCACCGGACAGTGTTATTCAAAATGGCACCACAAGCAGATAGCGCAATAGTACCACCTAGGAGACGGAGAAAGTTCCTAGTAGCCGTGGCAACAGCCATCTCATTTCTTTCAACGTTAGCTTGGATAGCAACCAAGTTTGTCTGTAGCGTCTGGCCAGATCCGATGCCACTCAGTATCTGAAAGCCAACTAGTTTGGCGATAGAAGTGTCGGGTGAGATTGTGGAGAGTAGGCCGCATGCAATGCTCCAAATAGCGAAGCCTACCCATATATTGATGGTATAGTTGCCTGTCTTTGAAACAAGGAAGCCAGAGGTAAATGATGTGATGCACTGAGTCAACACAAGAGGGAGAAGCAGGACACCAGACATGATTGGAGAGGCGGAATAGACGACTTGGAAGTATTGCGGTAGCTGGACTTGATTAGTAAATTGGGTAGACAGTTTTGATAAAAGAATTTACATAGAAGAGGTTGGCGTAAAACATGAATCCTGTGAAGAATGCTCCGCATAGTGCGCCGGAGACAGTCGAGTTTCTGAATATATGCACTGGGAGGTATTAGTATAGATTTGAAAATGCGGACCGAGGGGACATGGCATACTTGGGATAAGCGGGAGTGCTGCAAACTTCATTTCCACTACAATGAAAATAACGAGGGACACAGATCCAATGACTAGAGGGGCTATAACACCGGCTGAGCTCCAGGCGTACTTAGTTCCTCCCCTATACTTCTGTTAGAATTTGAAATGGCTTGCTGTGTAATCAATCCTACCCACCAGGATATCGGTATTAAAACCAGGACCGCGGCAATGAGCATAGTGACACATCCTAAATAATCGATCTGCTTAAAGCGGACTCTAACATCCCCTTTGACTCGCTTCAAGGGAAGCACGAATAAAACAACAAGCATCGAGATACCGGTCAATGGAATATTGATATACTGGTGATATGTCAGTGAAAAGTAGGGTAATTTTATAGCCACTCATTTGATGTTTATAGGACTCACAAAACACCACCGCCAAGAGACTTTTTCCGTGAAGAGACCGCCGATGAGAGGACCGATAGAATTTGATAATGCCACCACTACTCCGATAATACCCTGATATGTACCACGTTTCTCCAACGACACAACATCGGATACAGTAATCATGACCGAAGTTAAGATTCCCCCGCCGCCAATTCCAGCAATGGCTCCTGTAAGAAGAGGTCAAATGGGATATGAAGAGTAAGGCAGACAGAGTGAATGAACTGAAATTCACTTACTGAATACTATGAGCATGACCATACTTTGCGATACAGCGCACAAGATGGAACCTATCAGGAAAAATCCCATACTAGAAACAAGCACAATCTTTCGACCAAATATATCTGATAAACGGCCATATAGCGGTTGACATGCCGTTGATGTGAGAAGATAAGAGGTGCCGACCCATGATTCGATATCTGAATCATGAAAGACACGCCCGAGAGTTGGCAGAGCAGTTGACACGCTATTTTAAGTAAGTATGACAGATCTCCTGTGAAATCCATAGCATAGTTTACTTACATTGTTTGGTCAAGTAGTGCACCTAGAGAAATAACAGTCAATATTAATCACTGATCTGCATTTGACGAGCTATTTATAGACGAGAAGAAACTCACAGAATAGAGCACAGCTGAGGCCGGCGAACACTATCAGTAATTGTTTGAGAGGCAATAGATTGGTTTGATCTTGAATTTTGCTCGTCTCATTTCCATTGATCTCAGACACAGGCTCATTGGCCTCTACGTGACCGGGATTGTCGCCGTGTTTGGCCTGGTCTGCGATGGGCACATGTGGATCCGTAGTGCTGGAGCTGGCGGGCGGCGAAAGCACCGGGTCCGAATGCTTATCCATGATCTAAGTGGACCGAATATAGTGCTTAGTATTGACCTCGAGGCAGATCAAGTTTAGGCTGCAAGAAAGGCTTTATCTGGGCAAGAGTGTGGGGATGTGGACTTGTGTGCTCTCTGGCACAAATTAGTGTATATGAAGCAGAAAAAATTTGAGTCATGCCCCGCGATAAGACGGTGAAGTTCTGGAGAAAATTTCCAATGAAACATCGGATTTAGATCCGGGTGAACTCGTAAACAAGGAAATTATTTAGTTTTACGGTTAATCGGCTCTTTAGTGGATTTTTTACAAGTCACCGTCCCTACTAGGAAATCATCGCCGGTCCGGGGCCGGCATTAACAATTGAGTTCCGCGTGGGATCCCGATATCTTAGAAATCTCGGCTAATGAGATGTTTGTGCTAAGGCTTTCTCCCGACTACCTAACTATATAAGTCCAGTCTAACACTACTAGGATGTACTTTGATCCTTTCTAAACCCTTGATATTACTTCCATCTCATTATACACTTTCTATGTACTTCATTGGTCACATGGTGACCTGGAAGCTGGCCATCCAAATTCATTTTATGAAGTATTGGTAACAAGTTGAATATCTACTGGTAGCTCACAGACTTGAAAAATGGCAGAGATTTCGAAAACTTGACATCTTGTCTAATTGGGCTTCCGTCTATACATTGCTACAAACATGCAGACAAATTCTTGAGATTAGCCGAGAAGTTCTTAACTTCTTTGCATTCCGATCTGGACTATAGCTTTGAATCATTTGAGAACTTTCCTATCACTATTACTGACTCTCTCCGAATGTTACTATCATATGATTGTATTACTCGCCAACCTCTCTGTCATCATCCCACTGTACCCATTTCATGATTGGCCAACTCAAAGTAGCTTGTCGGATTTTCTTGCCCCAAATGTAGAAGGGAATCCAGAAGATGAGAACACCTCCACAGATCGCAGCCATCTCTCCATATGCAACATTGTAACCGTGTTTGTCAACCCAAGGATTGGTGTAGAATCCCAACAAGAAGCCGAATGCCGATTTGAACGCTAGTTGAGTAACGACAATTTCTCCGGCAATAGGTCGATAACTATCAATGGTGTACACGAGGGAAACGTTGGTTGCTTGTGTAATGGTGAAATTTACTTTTGATTGTTAGAAGAACTCACTCCGTCATATGGGATGTTCGATACTTACTTAAACCAATTCCAATAGTGGGCACAATCCAATGCATTTGCCAGTGGATACCACATCCATATAGAGCTAATGCAAGGGGTCCAGTGATAGCACCAACCATAATAGCTGGAAGGCGCATTTCTGGTTCGCGAATACCACCATTTCGTCGAGTGAAATAGTCGGCCACCCAATCAGAGAAGTAGCCACCCAATAAGATTCCAAAAGCACAACCTATTATGGCTGAAACAAAGCATAGTCCTGATTGCCATGACTCAAAGCCATATGCAGTCTGAAATGCCGAAGAGACGTTGGAGGTGATCGCTGTAATAAATCCGATAGTAACCGACATGACAAGAGTGGCCCATAGGACGGGAGGAAGGAGGAGCAAGCCGACAGGTCGAATTGTCATCTGCCACAATGATTCATCGGTATATCTGCCGTGGTATAACCTAAGGCCCTGCAGCCATCCTCTATCTTTCTTGCCCTCTGCAGTTGTTACTACCTCTTGAATCTCTGACATTCCCCCTTCCTCTCCTTTGATACCCCGCTGGACCCGTTCACCAGAAGATGTTAACATGGTGATGGCGCTTCTCTCGGAGACAGGTCGATTGTATGCCGTCTCCGGGAAAGTAGCGTATATAACAAGAGTGACACTTCCAATCAAAGCAATAGCAACATAGTAGATATAGCGCCATGGGTGATACTTGACAATGAAACCATCGATAATCGCACCGCTGGCAACACCCAGATTGAGAGAGGCGTTGTATAAACTGTCTTCGCATTAGTTTTCAAATACCTCAAAGAGAAGTACTAAGGATCATACGCTGTAATGGCACCGCGCTCATGGAGGAAGAAGATATCGGCAATAGTAATTGGGGCAAGACATTCTCCAGCTCCAGCGGCGATACCCATCACGATTCTCGCGACCAAGAAATTCGCATATTCTTTAGCCACCGCACACCAAATAGCGGTGATTAAATAGATAGTAAACGAAGTGACGTAAACAGCGCGACGTCCGTACTTGTTGATCAGAGGCATCCACAACAGGTTACCCAGGCCTTGGAATAGGGCAGTGCAGTTGAAGAAATAGGCTGTTTTCGCGATTGCACTTGATAGACCGGTCTCTTGCCAGTTTGGAAAGAAGTCTTCGGCAGTCTGGATGATTGCAAGAGTAGGACCAGCTGCAAGGAAGTTGCACAGAACCATCGCGAGACAAACTGCAATGGCAGTGTACAGCTTAAACCATCTTGGCCTTGAAGAAATCAGTGTTTCATCTCAAAGGAGGGATAAGGAAGCTCTGGTACCAGTTAAGAGGATCTTTGGGGTCAGATGAGGGCGTTGGAACTAGAATGACCTCGTTGGTCTCGTAGTCTCGTAGTCGCAGATGTCCAAGAGTCTTCATCTGCGCCTCATCTTTCTCCTTGCGACCCGACAACGCTTCATCGCGCTCTGTAACTTGCATGAGGGCGTTTTTGTGGGTGTTCGTGGGTTATTTGATGATCTTCACCCAACACAGGACGCCTTGATGATTTATACATTGTCTGCCCAGCTGAACACTGTACCTTGGGAGCTGTCATGCGGGGGGTCCACATAATCTGGGGAAGCTTAATGTGATTGAGGTCCACTTCCCGGGGTGGAGGCATTGTACACTGCGTTGGTCTGTGCATTATAACCTGGCCAATCATCGAAATTCATAACGCGGGGAAAGAAAAGCAGTCGTCAGCTTTAGAAACGCGAAGCGGAAATAGTAGCATGTCTCATTCTAGGGTTTGGGGTGAGCAAGAGCCTAATTGTCCTTGCTGATTCTAGCAAGTAAGTTTTCTGCCGCTAGGTCACATTGATTTTCATTGTCAAGAGCCGGGATTGAGAAAAAAGCCATACAACTGTTTTATTTCTATTAAGACCGGGTAGATACAACGATTTCAGGCGTATCGTGTATTGAGGGCGATCTTGAGTCCTTCAAGAGCCAAGGTGGAGGACAATACCCGACGCTTCCTGGACAAAGGGCCAAAACAGTTCAGTTGTGGGTTAGCGAGCTCGAATCAATTATAAACCTTACTTAGTTTAATATTTGAGTTCCCAGATTGGCTTCGCTCAGTATGTGTCTATGTATGCTAGTCCAATCTAAAGGATTCCATTAGGAACATGGCTATTGGGATCTGGAATTCACAGAATTTTGTCCAATGGATTCCTGCACCTAGCACCAGGAGTGGCGCCTCAGACACGTATATCACTTTGATGAATATCTCAAGTAACACATTACTGGCAATGGTAAGCGATACTATTCTGAAAAGTCGGGGCTTTACGGGCATTTACTTCGGGTGTGGGGTGGCTTCAGAGTGGGAAGCCCTCATTACCGGGTTTCTCTATGTGAAGTTCAATCTTTTCTTTCCTTGTCCACAAGGCCGAACTTGAAGATATTTAAAAGATATTTATATTTCTTTCTAGATATACAAATGCCAATTCTAAGCGAGCTTTTAAAAATTTGGGTTGGATATGCAATATTAAGATTATCTATTTTGTCTATTGAGTATAGAGATATGATTCACCCGCCCCCTTTCAGCCAGTTATGGTGGAACTAATTCTTTCTTCAAGCCTTTGAATCCTCCATCCGTGCCTGACGCTCCTCCTCCTTTCTCCTCCACCCGGCAGCAAACTTCCATTGCAAGATAGGACCACCCAAAGCAACGATTTGAACAGCGGCACATATTGTGAAGGTCGCTCCAGCCCCAACGGCATTAATAAGTGGCATCACGAAGCTGGTACCACCGGCCGCGAAGAGACAACGTGCTAGATTGATGCTGGCGCTAGCAGCTGCACTCCTTTCATGATAGATGTCAACAAGGTAGGTCATGATGACAGATTGCATAGATACCACAGTCCAACCTGTGATAAATGTTGAGATGATTGGAACGGCAATATGAACTCTGTATTGAATGGTCCAGCCAAATAGAATCAGAGACAAACATTGTAGGACAGAGAACAGGGGAACAAGTCGGAGTCGGGCCTTTTCGAGAGGGAAGTCTTCCTGGGTCATGGTTTGCGTCTCCTGTGTGTCTGGGCTACTGCTCTCAACACTTTGAGCCTCAAATTTGGCTTTAATTTTGCGATAATCCAAATCCAAGATTTTACCGGTGATGAGCGTTCCAACCATTGAGCCCACGCCGTTAGCAATGAAAGTCAGACCAATTTGAATCTCACTTAGACCATAGTGATTCTTGAAAAGGGATGACATGGCCGTGATGCTCATTTGCCATACAGCATAGTAGACGGCGAGGAAAAAAATGATAGGCGCTGCGTGTTTGCTAATAAGAATGCGAAAAGGGCCGATGAGGTCGATGCGCTTTTTTGCTCCAGGGGGTGGAGTAGTATCTGGATCCCATTTAACTGTCGTAGTCCTCTTATACACATTTAATGGATATCCAGCTATCCAGTTCGATGGCACTCGACTGCCATTTGAAACGATGGACCGAAGAGTCTCGGGAAGTAGTATCAATAAAGCGATCAGGAAAACTCCACTGTAGATTACCAGAAGCCAAAATATCGCTCTCCACCCCAAGGTTCCTGCCAACGCACCTCCGATGACTGGACCTACGGCAACGGGGACGAGCAAGCCTGCTTGGAAGATACCCATGAAGCCTCCACGCTCAGCACGGGTAGTGATATCACCAATCACGCCGGAGCCGATCGCGATCGTGCTGGCACTACCTGTGCTTTGAAGACAACGTAGAACAATTAATGTCGCATAGTTCTTAGCTTCTGCTAGGCCAACACAGGCGCCGAGAAAGATAACAAATGTGAAAGCGTATGCAACTCGGCGTCCTTTGACATCGGAGACAGGGCCCCAGAGACTAGGCGCAAGGCCTTGAAAAATAAGATAAGAAGTGACAGTCAGATCTATAAGCTCGAGCGATACTCCGAAATCTGTCGCGATTGTTGGTAGAGCTGGAAAATAGATGTTTGATGCGCACCCGGAGACTATTTACTATTAGCAAATAGCAGGCTTGGAGGTTTTTATGCCTTTATCTTACAGGTTGCAGCCGTCGAAACAACTACAATGATCAGCCATTTTTGTTTCTTGTCGAATATGCTGTAGGGTGGTTCGAGTGCGGTTGCTGTCGGCTCAGTAGCGGAGGGTTGCTCCCCAGCTTTCGTTGACATTGCTGTGCCTTTGTGGATTAAAAGAGGGAGAAATGCTATGCGCAAGCTAAAAAATGGGATCAAGTAAGTGGATTATAGAGTAGGCTGGTTTCAGAAGTAATTTCATTGGAGGGTGATATCAATTCCTTTATAATTCTGGGTTGGATAAAGTAACCGGCCCCACAATTTTTCTTTCACAAAAATAATGAACCCTCGCTTACGAGGGTCCGCCACCCATATGGAACAGATCACCCAAATGGAACATTTTTGCTAAATCGTACTACAACTACTATTTACCACACCACCATATAGTTAATTAATTAACTAAAAATAATAAACAAATCAATCAGCCATTTTAATATTAGAATACAAAATCAAGTTAATTTCCCCGGCGTTTTTTGGCTCTTCCATGCTTCCTAATTTCAACCAATATCTTCTTCCACTTCCGCTTCGTCTTTTCTTGATCGGCTTTTTCAGTCAATTTATATTCTTTTAGCTTCATTTCTTTGATCTGGCTTGAATTGATAATACCAGTGATTTGCGTATAACGGCGAGAAGCATCATACCTAGCGTGACGTGCTCCCATAATAGCTTGTGTAGAATCGAATTCCCGTTGCAGTTAGACAGCCAACATTGCCTGAGTCTCAGCACCCTTTACAAGCTTTGCTAGCCCTTCTTTAAAACGTTCAGTAGTAGGATCATATTGATTAATACGATCGCTAATTCTTCGAACTCTCTCAGCGGTTTTTGGGGTGCTAAACTCAGTATTTTGTGAGTTAACTGATAGTGTATCTTCCCGGGATATATTATCATAATATGGATCGTACGAATCCAATTCATCGGTAATAAGCTTAGAATTAATTGGCCAAAGGCCAGTTAATTTAAACCCAAGCTTGATTATATGTGGCCGGAAGGTTTTGCGTCTAATTTCACTGATTAAATGTAGGAATTCATCCTTTGAAAATTTACGGCATCCAGTCATTGTAGCCGCCTCAACTGCCTCACTATACCAGTGTTTATATACACTAAACACTCCAACATCTAGAGGTTATAGTATATGGCTAGTATGTAAGAGTAAGAAGAATAGAATGATATCATTCTTCTCACAAAATTCAACAAATTAACGCGTTAAATGTGATCCAAAACGATCGCATAAAACTAGCCTCTTTTTCCCAATGGTACGAGAAATTGTCTATTTATAAAACAGCTGAATCCATTGATATGCTAATATATTATTGATATAGCCAGTATCAGTTATAGCAAGATGCTCATCGTCTTCAATTTTATCAAACCAACGTAGTAATGCTTGTTTAGCGCTTAGAATAATCAGCGGTGGGCATATAAAGCCATCAGCCGAAACAGCCTCTAAAACAGTAATAGACTCGCGATTGGTAACTAAGCCATTAAATAGCTTCTTTTTTGGATGTCTTATAATAATAAATTGATCGCGACCGACACCAATTTGGAAGCCAGTTTCGTCAAAATTGTAGATATCTTGTTGACAGATGCTATATTTAGCCACTATACGTTGATAGTCTTAAAACCATCTCTCTATAACGGATTTATCCAGTACAGTAGCTCTTTCAACATCAAGAGCTCGCCGACGTCGTATATAGTACTTAGGATACCGTTTAAGAAAACGCTTTAGCCAATGGTCGCCAATTTGTGGGGGATCTGTGGTGGTGTCGGTATGATCTTCTTCCAGAATTGAATCGGCAGCAATAGCAATTTGACGGCGATTTATTGATGCTCCGACCGCATCAAAATAATCAATATATTCACATAAAGCCTTCTCCTGTGCAATACTAAGCTTCCGGCCATTAGGTTGTCGTTGGAAAAGCGATTTTCCACCTTGCCAGCGCCGACGAAGACGGCCTTCAGGAACCGCGAATTCTCGCGCAGTCTTCCTAATATTAGGCTTAGATTGCTCAGAGAGAGACTCTATTGCCAGCTGAATCTGGTTCTCTATATCTTTATTGGTTTTAGGCATTGTTGGTGGTGTGGTAGATGATAATAGTGGTTGTGGTAAGATTTAGAAAAAATGTTCCATATGGGTGATCTGTTCCATATGGGTGGCGGACCCTCGTAAGCGAGGGTTCATTATTTTTGTGAAAGAAAAATTGTGGGGCCGGTTATGTTGTGGCGACTGGAGTTGAACTGCGGAGTTGAGAGCGGAGTTGAGCCCATACTACCGGAATTGAGACTCTCAGATCCGTCGGACCCACATTTCCAGACTGCATACAGGAACAGACACGGAACTGAGATTGATTGTATGATAATTTTCTAAATAATAATCTAATATTTGATTATAATGTGCTCTTGAACCATTCAGTTTCTCTATCCCGCCCATTTTCATCCCCATTTTCATTTTAAAGAAAGAACCGATACGACCATGGGCTCCTCGAACGACACCCCAAACTTCGGAAAACGCTTTGCAGTCCTAAATTTAGATTGGATGCACATTCTTACAAATGCTATCCAGGGTACAGATGAGGGAAAGAAATATATTCATAGTTGTTCCCGATGGAATGATGCAGTCCATCAACTTGATCCGCGGCCATTGACTGTTTTCTCGACCCTTGCATTTACGCGTGGGCAGCCGGAAGTAGAGGCCAACAAACCATTCGCTCGTCTTATTTTCCCGTTCGGATCATTCGAAGCAGGATCGAAAGATACGCAGATCGACTCCCGGTTCTTGGTAGATGACAAGGACATCGTTCTTCAGAAGACTAGATGGTCAGCGACCACCGGAAGTTCGCTTGAGCAGATTCTGAAAGCCCAAGGGATCGATACTGTTGTGATTGTAAGACGTTTGGGTTACCATGAATGGAACAGAGAAAATACTAACTTTTTTCCTAGTCTGGATTGAGCCTTTCGGGTGCTGTTATGAGTACGATTTATCGACTTTTTGATTTGGATTACAACATTTTTGTCATCTCGGATAATGTAGTCGAGTTACCCGTGGACCAGACTGAGGTCTTCTCGAAGGTCCTGTGTGGCACTTTACTTCCAAAAATGAATTTAAGCGTCGTATCTTTGGAGCAAGCTTTGACGGCACTGATAAAGAGCCGGTAAAGGGTTGACTGGTCTTTGGAAATGTGATGAACCGCATAACGTGGACGACGGGCATTAAAGATTTTGAACATTTGCTGCAAGTAGCATCAGTCCAGAGATTTGGATCTAAAGTAGAATAAAGAAAGCAAGAGCTGCCATTTTTGATTGTTCATTCAAGCCATAAACGGAGGGCTAATATATTCAACCCCCATGAGTGCACACGGTTACTGCATAAAGCATCGTCCCAAATTCATCGATATCTTCCAACCAGTGGTCTACTCGTCCTCTTCGTTTTGCAATTTCAGGCTCTTCCATATCCGTTGGAAGTGGCCAGAGCTCATCAATCGCCAAGCTTTGTTCTGTCCACTCCGATAGGTGAATATTGTATTCTCCTTCCCAGCCACTGCGAGACTGTGCTTGCCATAATGATTTGCTAGACCCAGCAGGAAGCCCGCGTAACTCAGTTGCAAGAAAAGTAGGAATTTCCTCTTGTGTTGAGAGGATGCTATCAAAAAGATATGTCACATAAAGCGCTCGGCGCTTTGTTTCGGTAACAATCCACTCTTCCCACCTGGGCCGTGTTCGGTGCTGATCAGCCACGCACATAAGTCCATCTTTCGATGAAATATGGGCTAGAGTCTGAAGATTTATGACTGCAGAGCGAAGGTCACTATTTGGTTCGTGATTGAGTCGAAAGAATAAGATTAAGCAGTAAATAAGATAGGCTTGAAATGCCGCTAGAAGAGAAATATCATCGTAGGATGCATGATATTCCATTAGCGATTCCATTTCTCGGCGAATAACCATCATCGCCGTTGCTTCGCTTCCTGGTAATGGATTTTCGCATATGCGGACTAGACTCAAGCATGCCGTGAGGGCCGAGCCTGCTGACTGCGCCGATATTTGTAAGGGGTGGATAAATGGTGGTATTCGACGACCGCCAACTGCAATGGCTGCATATGATTTCAACGTACGGAAAATAAAAACACTCACACCAGGAGAGTACTGTTTGACTTTTTGTCCAGGAATTGGAATGTAAGGGTTCATCCAACGAGTCGTGATCTCGTCAGCATTAATAGGACAAAATAGATCCAGATTTGAGAAATCAAGCCCGTCGTCAATTGATGATATAGCTGTTGCATGAGCTGGCACAGTATTCAAAAATACACGCTCGCTTGCTGGTTGTGCTAAAATCAGAGGTTCTTCTGTGCGATTGGCTATAGGCATGCCACCGCTGAGACCGCTCAGTAGAGAATCGGGCAAAGATTCTGGGCTTTGAGGACTTTGTTCAGTTTGACTGAGCATTCGGGCTTCCATATGACTAGCTTGGGTATAAAAACACGGGACATTTCGTTGAATGCATCTGGTGCAGCCTGTAGGCTTACGATCACATTTTGCCTTTGCCGCTGAGCAGTGCTGGCAGGCCTTTTGCCGTGACGTGGCGTACCTGGAGGAGGCCTTCATCGTGTACTTCAGCTGCAGAGGCGAACCAGAATATATCTTGCCAATTTCTGAGCCAATATATCACTCCAGAATATTTATGAAGGAGTTGGATGTGGGAAAGATCAGATTGAGTAAACTGATTGTCATCCACATGTGCACTCGCATCGTCTGTGTAGCTTTCGGTAACGGTCACTGTTGGTTCATCAGCAATCTAATGGTCAAATTTTGGAAGATATATTTGCTTACCAGGCTTGATAATATCCTGTTCGAACTCTCATAATTCAAGAATCAAAGACCTATGGCTCGATGTTGTAAATGCAGAGATGAATGTAGTTGGCCCCAGGTGCTATACATGGCCACTGCCAAGCTCCACCGCCTACAGTGAGACCTCGGGCTTAAGCCAGGGGGGGGGGGGGGGGGGGGGTGATCAGGTGATCGTCTAGGCTGCAGAGATACTAGAGAGCGCTTGAGTCTTAAAATTTGCATTATTTGTTTTGGCTACAGTTTAATTTTATATACATATCTTTTCTGAGAAATATCAGAGTTGCTTTACGCTTCAATTCGTTGTGAAGCTCATTGGCTAAGAGGATAGTATCCTTTAATTTATGAATTGAAATAAATATAATCTACCCATCAACTGCTTTGACGGGATAATTATTTACTTCCAAGGTTCGAACTTGAAATTTAGTAGTGAATAATTTAATGAATATAAGAGACCGTGAAATTCCTTTTGAATGAAAACCTTGTTTAAAGTCAAATATTTCAAATGTTAAGATTGTGGTATAGTAAAGATGAGACCCTGTTCTATGCATACTGTAGCCTATCCAGCCAGTGTTGACTTGGCGGGGAAATGATCTGCGGAGAACCGCCACCGATCAACTTGATCAACCTGCCCTCCACTCTCTCTTTCACTACCCACTCTACCTTGTTTACTGCGCGACGACCATTTCCCCACCTCCAGGCTGGTCCTGATTGAGACATCCGCTCCCTTGAATTTATTGCTGGAAGCATATGCTTCTCCTTCGTCTGCACGTGCCCTCTGTGAGCATGCCGTGTCGGCTTTGAAGGGTCTCCATTGTGATCACTTAGGCTCAACGCTGTACGCGGAGTGCCGTCGACTAGGCTGTCACTCACGTGCATATTATTGCGAGCTATCAATATCGCAATAGGATAGGAAAATGTCTCTCCTTCACAATGAAGAGTAGGTTGACCAAGAATTTGTTATCTACCCCTCGAATAGCGCATGCCGCAGATCTAACCAAACTAATAGTTTCACTATCTGGCAACTACGATCCTCATACTTGTCCACAATCAAAGATGGAATTGGCGACCGCCTGATAAACGTAAATGATTCCGTCCTCAACACTCCGGGATTCCGCGCCGCCGGCTGGTCGACAGTTTCCACTACCAACAACTCCAGCAGCGCATCTTCCCTCAAACGCACCTACTCACCGCCGATTCCCACAACAACAGCAGTGTCCTCGGAATACTATCGACTCGCCGTCAGAGATGCCAATGCCGCGCGGGATGACATTCAAGGGCTGGGTCTAGAGGAGGGCGAGGATGAAGAAGGTGGAATGGTCACAGGGAAGAGCAATATGGATATGATAAGTCGGCGGCATCATGACAGAGCTGCGAAGAAGAAACTTCGACGTGAACGTGATCGCCAGACCGAGGCCCAGCGCCAAGCGGAAGCGGAAGATGAAGACAGCAGTGATTTGAGCGATAGTGACGACGAGGGAGATAATCTTCGAAGGTTTGTAGCTCCTAGAGAACTGTATGCGCACTTTCCATGTGACTGACCTGAAGCTAGATCTACCGACCAGATTGATTTCCCCAAGGTACCTATTCGTCGTGACCGATCCGATTCCTCTCCAATGCGCTCGTCAGAACAGAATGAGCGACCAGAACTCATGATAACATCACCCTCAACACAAAATCTCGCAAACCATTATCGAGCAGGATCTCTGGGGATATCCCTCAAAGGCACCGAGCGAAGACCACGACGGGATACTACCACAAGCAGTGATCTATCCACCGATAACGAGGTAGACACACAACCGTGTAGGCCAGGTCAAGTGCAATTCTCGAATACCAATGAAGTTTTTGAACGGCCTCGGAGGAGACGCGAGAGAACCGGCAGTCGTGGTGCTGAGAGTATAGCTCTTGAAGACTTGCAAGAGCAGGACGAGGACTCCGGAGTGGAGTCAGTCGGCTCGGCTCTATCCTCTGAATTTGATGCTACAGCCGGATCTGGCTCACTTCTACTGGCTGGTGTGGGCCTCAACGGTAGCTTGAACTCGTCCTCTCCCGTTGCTCTCATGCATCAACTGCCGTCGAACACCGGGCCTCAAAATGGCTCCCCACGAAAGTCGAAGCCCGCGCCAACTCCTGAATTATCAGATCTCCCACCTCCACGACCCATCAGCACCATCCAACCGGTTAGTCTGTTGACTAAACAGCTCAAAACCAGGAACCGAGCACCAAGCAATCCAGTTGAAAAGTTCATGGTACTTTCAGGATCTGGGCAAGGAGACCCCTTATACCTAAAAATCTACCTTCCATTTTCGTCTGATCCAGAGGAGCCTCTCGATCTACCGCTCATGAGAGAATCTAAGCTTTCAGATCATCCCGCAGCGGTCACTGTTGCCGAAGCAATTGGTCTAGCCCTTTGGAAATATTCTGCAGATTCACGCACTCCAACATTGGAGCGCGAGAAGCTTACCGTGAACCACTGGACATTGCGAATGGTTGATGATGGCGAGGTAGAGTATGATTTCCCGGCACTCGGGCGTGTGGTTCCAATGACCGACTTCACCTCAAACAATAATCAAGCGGCGAAGGCGCGGGGGCGTTCACGAGGGAAACCATACGATGAGTTTGCACTGGTGGAAGCCTCGAAGAGCGAGTTTGAAGAAAACGAAAGACTTTATCCTCAGTATAGCCAAGCTGTGACAGCAGAGGAATCTGAGCCACAGGCGGCGAATCTTGCAGTGCCAGGCGCCCAGCCTTCACCACAGATCAAATTGCCAATTGGACGCCAGAATCCAATCCTTCAACCATTTTCATCTGCTCTTAATGACAACACCTTGACCCCTGCTGATCGACCTGCGGTCCCCATATCTCATGCAACACCTCGCATTGGGGTCTCCAAGACTCTAAAGATCCGTTTCTTGAACATTGAGGGTTCCGCGCATGTCATGACTCTCAACACCTCTGCTGATAGTTACATTGCGGAGATATTGGATTCCGTATGTAAACGTTGGGGCTTGGATAAAGGCAATTATCTTCTCAAGGTCATGGGGTCGAATACAGTTGCCCCGCTTGATCGGACTGTTGAAGCCCTAGGACACATTACGGAACTCGATCTTGTCAGGCGGCGTTTTGGGGCAGGCCCTCTTTCTCTTGGCGGATCACCAGGAAGCTCGTCGCCGAATGCACCTCTTCAAGTGGACAACACTACCTCAAACCCCGCTACTGTCAAGAAAGGCAAAAAAGGTGCCAATACGTTACCGTCATCCTCTCAGAAGCAAGATCTTATTGGAGGCTACTATCGCCGTTACCATGTCTACCGAAAACAGCCTATGTCTTTTACCGCCTCCAACCATCGCATGTTGACATTTGATACCGACTACATGCATATTGTACCAGGGGAAACAGGGAAGACCGGTTCCGATGCCAAGACCCGCTCCATCAATTTCAACGATGTGGTAGGATGCAAGGTTAGTCGGCGTCACCCGAAGAGCTTTCGAGTTGTTGTGCTTCGCGGAAACGAGGCTAGCGAGCAGAAACGGTACGACTTCGAAGCTCGAAACCCATCGGAAGCCATCGAGATTGTGGACGAAATCAAGAAGAACATGGCGCATTACCGGATATAAGTTCGCTAAAGAGCTTTTTACGTCTTTTCTTACGTCAACTTTGTATTTGAACTGGGTCGGTATTTGTTCATCCATTCGGGGCGAGGCTTGGTTCGGCGTTCAGTATCTATCTATGGTTGAAATTAAATTCGAGTTTTTCGATATTATCCAATAGACTGTCATATGTAGTCAATCATGCGACAACCTGATGCGTGCTATTCCTTCCAGGTTGCCTTGTATCTTTTACCTAGATCTCCTCTGCTCGATAGAGAGGTTAATGAAACGGGATTAAGTCCGGATTGGTTGTATGATCCTCCGTGAGACACGCTAAATCCTAGTGCACAGCCACGCAGGATTACGATCCATTTAACTCCCCAACAAAAGTAACTCCCTGTAATGGCCAAGATTTCTCGTTAGGCGTTTCATAATAATCCCGCGATATAACCACCCAGGGGGTCCTCTAAAGTCTACATCTATGCCATAAACATACATGTCCTACTCTACATGGCCTCCACAACGTCCGCAGAGGCCTCGGAGCCTAAATCAACACCAGAGCTGTACTATGAATCCGAGAACCCAGCCGGTCAGGAGACAATTCTCTTCATTCACGGTGCCTGTGGCAGCGGCTCAGAGTGGAAAGATGTCATCCCTCATCTCCTTCTAGAAGACTACCACATCCTCCTTCCCGACCTACCAGCCCACGGCAAATCAGTATCAATCCAACCCTTCACACTCGACCTCTCAGCTCAACTTATCCTAGAACTAACAGACAAGCACGCCAAAAATGGCTGCGCACATATCGTTGGTCTAAGTCTCGGCGCTCACATAGTCGCCCGTATCGCGGAGCTCGCAAAGCCCACCCAAATTCTATCGCTCATAGCCTCGGGTTACAATACTATTCCAAAACCGTCATATATGCTTTCAATGCTTGCTGTGCCAACTTTCTGCGCGCATCATTTGGTCAACTTTGTTATGAGTCCGAAGAAAGAGCTAGCGCAGGTGCAGAATGGGGAGAGCGCGTATGGGTTGATTTCGGAAGTTGCTAAGATTATTTTTGACCCGAGAGTTCTTGGAGAGGTTCGGGGGAAGACGTTGGTTATTTGTGCGGCTGATAAGAATTCTTGGTTGGCGAGGGATAAGCCGGATAATGCTAAGGAATTTTTTGAGAAGATTGTTGATGGGAAGGAAAATGGGAGTCGGGTTGTGGCGCATTATGCTATCAGACATGCTTGGCATATTGAAGAGCCGAAGTTATTTGCGGATACGGTCTCGACTTGGGTCAAAGGGGAACCATTGGATGCTGCGTTTGAAGATATTGAGTAAACGAACAGTTCTACATGGGGTATGGCTATGGTGAAGGCATGTTGAGCAGGGGGATTGTTGATACTTTGTACTAGATATGGGATAACCGATAGCAGATAAGAGATATGGGATAAGAGATAAGATAATGATGATGACTGAGCTATTGACTGCTCTTTCTTCTTTTGATGTCATTTTCCATTTCGTATCCCACTGTCCATGCCAGGGCATTATTCTAAGCTTGGCTTGTTAGAATCTAAGCATGGAGAATATAGCAGATTCAGCTCCCTCACAAGAGAGGGAAAACCCCACGTCAAAGCAAGATGAGTACGCCCAAAGTACTCACAAGGGCAAATTTCGCTTCAAGAGCAGCTCTCGCTCCTCAAAACATTCTTCAGATCGAAAACACCATAAACGCGATCGAAGCTCAGAGAGCAAATCCAAAGAAAGAACCTACAAAAATCGTCCAAGCCATCGATCCAGAACCCAGTCCCACACCCAACCAAGGCCTGGAAACTCCCCACCCCGCGCTCTTTCCCCAGGCGCCGCATTCCGTGAATCGCTATTCGATGCTTTGGGAGACGATGAAGGGGCTGCATACTGGGAGGGCGTTTATGGACAACCTATCCACAATTATGCAGTGCCCAATGTTGAAGGACCTACAGGTGAACTGGAGCAGATGGACGAAGAAGAATACGCCGCATATGTACGCGCACGAATGTGGGAGCGCACACGTGAAGGAATGCTTGAAGAGCAGGAACGTTATCGCGAAGAGAGACGGCGAAAGAAGGCGCGAGACCAGGAATCGTCTGTGCGGGATCATGAGCGTATGGCGTTTGACAGAGCTATGGATGACAGTCTACGACGGGGCGCGGAGCGCAAAAGTCGAAAGAAGTGGGAAGAAGCTTGGGAAACGTACCTGGCGCGGTGGGAGGAGATTTCAAAGATTGCCGGGTCAGGCAATTCGAAGGAGAGCTCTGGTGCCGAGTCTGGAACTTCGAAGCCGTTGCGCAATCTACTTTTCTGGCCTGTTGAGTCGGGGAAGAGGGTTGATGTGAGTCCGGACTCTGTACAAGCATTTATGCGGCATGCGCCGGCTTCTACGGATTTACTGGTTATTCTTAAGGCTGAGCGAGTACGGTGGCATCCGGATAAGATGCAGCATCGGTACAGTGGTTTGGGGATTGATGATGTTGTTATGCGCAGCGTGACGGAAGTATTCCAGATTGTGGATCGGATGTGGAATGAGGAGCGTGAGCGACAAGCTTGAAGGCCTTTCGGGACTCTTCATGACAAAGTGATAATCCTAACATGCGTGATGATGGCGTTTCCTTTTATTGATAGAATGATTATGATACCCGATATATTGAATAGAAGCGTTGTTTCTCGATAAGCAATTAGAGCATTTAACAGACTTATCATGATTGGATTCATTTCAAAAAAAACACAAGAGCTGCCTACTGTTGTAAGTCGAAACCAAAATAAACACGGGGGATAGAAAGGCTATGCAAGACCAAATCGTTTGATAGCTGGCTGCGCAATGGGTCAACTTAAATTTTCAAAGGATAAAGAGTTGGCGTTGCAGCTGGCCGATAATCTTGAAATAAGATCAAAAGCGGGAGGACCGCGCCTTGGTGCGGTAAACAGTCCATCCAAAGTAAGCGCCAATAACGACACCGAAGAACAAAACAACCTTGAAAAGGAACCAAGTCCAGCTGCCCGACTCCTTCTTAGCCTTAGGGCTGCTGCGACCACGACCGCTGGACTTTTCTGAGCCACGGTTGCCGGCGCCATCCTTGCGGCCTACCGAGTACAAGTTCTCGGCCTTGAGAGAGATGATGTCGTGGTTGTCGCTCAGCTCACCAGTCTCGGCAGAAAGACCGAGGTAGGCAACAGATGGGATGGCAATGTTGCTGTCCTCGGCGCTGAGGCTGAAGCACTCGATCCAAGAGTCCTCGGTCTTGTACTGGAGTTCAAGGGAGAGAGATTTGTCCTGGAAGTAGGTAAGACGAGCTTTGGTAGGGACTGGGGCATTGCGAAGACCGCGAGCCTAGAGTTGAATATTTGTGTTAGCTAGAGTCACTGTTGTTTGCCAATCATTAAGGAAAGGCGTAGAGACTAGAACTTACAGAGCATCCAGCAAGCTCGTTGGCTTTGCCGTCATGCGCCTGGTCATAAGTGGTCTGTCCGTCACCCATCATGGCCATTACATAGGGGAAGGTAACACCAGGGCGATTGTTCTTGTAAGTGTCGAAGAAGATACCGAGACCTTCGAATTTGTCCGTGGCGCCGAATACAGGGCCTTGTGTGGCACGCTGCTTGGTGAGCCAGAGAGCGAAGCCATCACCGTGCAAAGTACCAGAGCCGGAGATCTCAAACTCCAGCTCGATCTGTTGAAAAGATGGAGTAAGTTAGTACGGCTTCTACCATATTGGAGCATAGGAATTCGGCGCATGGACTGGTGCTGCTCACCTGCCAGTTGGTTGCTGTCAATGGAACGCGAGAGTAGATCCATCCTTGTTGCGAGGGACGGTCGGCAGTAAGACGGATGTACCTTGGGTAGCAATTAGTATACGACAAAGCCCATAAAGAATGAATATTCCTCATATCTCCCATGGCATACTCACTTATCAGCCCGAACTAAAGCATCTCCTCCGAAGTCGAACCAGCGGCTTTGGAAATCCGAATCTAGGTATGGCTGTCGCAAGTGTTAATCGGGGGCATTCTTCACGCAATTTGCAAGCATAATAGTTCCATTTGGAATAGAAGCGGCTTTATAGAGCTGTAGGAGTTATCATACCGAGGTAAGACTGTGGGTTCGGAGCTATATCAGAAATGATATTAGTACAGTTGAACGGAAATGCGGAGTGTCAACAAGTCCTACAGGAATGCTTTTGATGTTGGGGTCATCGTAGGCGTTGACAAGCGGAGAGGCCAGGCCAATAAGGCACAAGAGAGATGATAAGGTCGGAAGACGCATGTTTTCAAATTATAGCCCAATTGCAAGGGCAGTACAAGGAGAGACCGGGGGTGGAATGGATGGGGCTGCGGTGTCGCCAGGACCCGAGAACCCAGAGGAAATTGTGAACAAAAAATAAGGAAGGAAAAACGGCGGAGAGTAGATCGAGAGAGCGAATGCCGAGAACCGAGAGACTGGGAAAGAAAAAGAGCTAGACGAGGTCGCGAGAGACTGTACGCGAGGTTGTGTTGTGTACAATTGAAGGTGAAGGTGTCCACTACGTAACATGTGGCGCAGCAGGGCACCCCGAGTTCACCAGCCACAGTTGAATAGTGTCAACATGAAGAGCCTAGGGATCCCACCATCCCCGCTTCATTCAACAACAGAGAGACTTATTTTTTTTCGACATTTGTCCGCGATGATATTCAAGCTATCCCTTTGTTTCCAATCGGATTGCTCCTTGCAATAATTCGCACATTTACCTACATCATCGCCGGACATGTTGACAAGATGCTTTTAATATTTTGACTACAAGAAACAAGCAAGAGAGAGCCTTGATATAGTATTTGAAATGTCCGGCATAAAAATACAAAATCTCATTATCTGCAATTCAAAGCAACGTATCAAACGCGCATAATATGTACCCATGTCTGCTGTCGCCTATGGCGAGCCCACTTCCATGAGAACCGCTTTGGTTTCACTGCGTCTTCTTGCTTTGCTTGTGTCGCCGCGAGGATATTCTTGGCTGCGATAGTATCCGGATGATCTTCTCCCAAAGTATCACACCGAATATTGACCACTTTGGTTTGAATTTGCTCGGCCTCCCCATACTTTTGTTGCGCACAGTATATCTTGGTCAGGGTTAACATGGCAAGAATGGTATGGGTATGGTCTTCGCCAAGAACATAGCCGGCCAAGGTGACAGCTTCAACGCCTGTCATTTCCGCGTCTTCAAGCCGACCTTGTTCGTAATATGTCGCAGCGAGATTTCCCATTGCCTTGATTGTTTGTGGGTGGCGATCTCCCAGGATCTCCCGTCCACGATAGACAGCTTCAACGCCAATGTTTCCGGCCTCATTATATCGCCCTTGTTGGAAGTATACCAAGGAGAGATTTGTCATTGCCATGATAGTATCTGGGTGGTTAACACCAAGGTAACTGCGTCCTAGGGAGACCACTTCTTGGCCTACGTCCGCGGCTGCATCATAGTTTCTTTGTGCGCAGAACACAGCGCCCAAATTTGTCATGGCAATAATAATTTCCGGATGCTCAAGGCCCATTACCCTTCGCCCGATAGTAATCACCTCCATACCAAGATCTTCTGCCTCGACATACTTTCCCTGCATGAAATGTGTTGCAGCAAGGTTCCTCATAGCAACCACAGTGGTAGGGTGGTCGTCGCCGAATACTTCTCGTTTGAGGTCTATTACTTCGGTTTCGATTTCTTCCGCCTTTTTATATTCTCCTTGGTCGTGATATTTCAACGCGCGCTTCGCCATGGCTTCGATTGTATCCAGGTCTTTTATATCTGAGCTTTGCATGTTTTCCACGGCCTTTGCATAATCTTCTTCATTGATATAAGCATCGCCTTTGGCTATTGTGTGGATCTCTTGAAGTGGAGATGGTTTTGGGCGCACTGGCGAAGACCTTTTAGAGTTCTGTGGTGATGTGTCTTTTGAATCATAATCAGGATTGGGTGTGCTAGATGAGTTGCACTCAAGGTCGAGTGGCGGGGTTGCAACTCTCTCTAATGGGTGCAATAACTCTTTGTATGGTGACGGATTGGCATCTACCAAATGGGTAGTTGAATCCATATTCTGATAGGGTTCTTAATGAAACAAGTCAGATCATTATACCAGTTATATTTCTTGATAAATAGGTCATTACCTTGGAAATGCTAGACAACCACAAAGAATAAAAGTATATCAACGGAGATGGGTGACAGTTCAGTACAAGGCTTAAGAAAGAAAAATCAGGAGATACTGCCCAAGTGGCTTTAAAAGATATCAACTTCGGGCAAAAACTTGTTGTGGAGAGACTCGGCTTTAACGGATGCGTCGTATCGTATAGATCAAGTCTTGGTCGCCCCATATGACAACACCCCCGGGGCGGAATTGTTCAAAGAGGGCCGATGAGCCACACGACATTCAGCCCCCATTTAGGCATCTCAGTAATGATTTGCAGTAGATCTATACTAGAAATTTCCTATTCCTATTTTAGAAACCCCTAACAGTAGTTCGTATCGGACATCTCAGAATTAAGTGCTGGGAGTGGAGGTAATAGATTGACACGATGCTTTATTAACCGCTCCAAGTGGAGGGAATGCGCACCAATATGAACCAGTGCCTGTTTCTAGAAACGACGCAAAAAGCCTAAATCCACCCTACTTGCCGTGATTCAAAGTTAGTTTTTCGTCGTTGATTGAATTTACGTCGTGATTTCCCAATTCTACCAAACGACGACCAGCATCAGTAGTCTGTGGAATTATGGAACTGCCAGGCTAGTATCTTAGCTTCAAACATCTCATCCACTTCTTCAAGAGGTATCCCCTTGAGCTCTGGCGTGAAAAGAACCCAAAGAATTCGTATAAATAACCGGCTGCCGCAAAGATCTACCCGATCTTTGGACCCGTGTTCGGGCCAGGGTTGACAAGAAGGTATGGTATGACAAAGGTGACAAGGAAAGCTGCAAGAACATCATTCGCAGTGTCGAAAGTCTTGCGCATTTTCAAGCCCCCAATCACAGCACCGATAAGATAGGCGTTGTTACTAGCGGAAAGCTCTTTGTGAAAACCCCGAGAAGTATGAAGGTGGCAATTACCGTTCGTTTTTCGGTGGGTGGGCCTCTGTCCCCTGAGCTGTATCGATGGACAGGAATGATTAGGAATACTCACATTGGGGGCCAGATGTTTACTCGACGAATCAATTAATCAAGTAATCTCTCCACAAAGCTTCTGTTATTGGCTTCCAGTTGTTCTGCTGAACAGCTCCCAAAATTTCTGATTATATGATAATTTCTGAACCGGCTTTGAAAACGCAAAGTAGTCGCTAGAAATAGGACTAGGACTCATATATAGATACAATACTTGGAAGTAAGTTGTGAGTTGGGGGGTTTAAAAACAGTGGGTAAGTGAGGTTTCTTTGATGTTGGCTGTAGGTCGTTTGCTGAGGGGTAAAGTGGTCAGGATTACACTGCTTGTGAACAAAAGTGATTAAATAGCTTCTTTTGAGTGTTTAAGATCATACACTCTTGAAAAGCCTTAAATAAAATTTAGAATGTGTAATTGGCCCTCGAATGGCGAACTTAGCAACGTTACATGAAGCTCCCAGGGTAAATATGCGCGAAATGAGTTCATCAACACGGATAATCAGCCAGTAGATTCAGAATATGACTGTGATTCCCTGTCCCAATTTACTCTGAAATCTTTCTGCACGTGCACCGAGCCCAGATCACCCATCACGTAGCCCGACGTCGTGTTCTCATTATGAACGTGATGGACCTTGTCTATCGAGCGGTGCTCCGATTCGGAGGGCTTTAGATGTACTTCAGAGCTACTCTTCTGTGAGTCTTTCCGGAAGTGGCGGATTAAACTGGGGAATGTTGGAAGACATGAGCATATAATGCTGACGTTAATTTCGACTGATTGCCAAATAGCAGTCCGGACCTCAGTTGCTTCGAACCGTTAGTGGCGAGATAGTATGTATGGTGTATAAGATCGGAAGGAAGGTTTCAACATACCTGTGGCATTATTTAGGTCTATTTCAGCAAGATATATTAGACGTAAAATGCTCGCGACGCACACACTATAGGAAGTTTTGTCAGCATAGTCCCAAAACTTGGACCATAAGAACTTACACTCCCCCAAGAGAAAACAATCCAGATAGAAGAAGCTTTCGTTGGGAATTCATTTTGAGATTCCAGACGAGTGGTTGCGGGAGAGAGAGAATAATAAAGTCCAACACCATATCGAGGACTCCTTGGGCAATCCAGAATGGCAATACACCAATACTCGCCGATGGTATCCATACCTTCCATTGTCCGTCAATTGGGTTATTCGCGAACATTAAGCCGAATTCACCGATAAAAAAGAAGCTGGAGATCAGAAACCCCACAATCCAAGATGCAATTCGAAATGGCCTTTTGATGCTAAAAATACGCTGGTAGAATAGAAGCATAGACACCCTTGAAAGCGTGACGCTAGCGACATATAGCATATTACCAGCCAAGGTGATCTACTTGGTGTTAATAGCATTGATCAGTTTCATAGGAGCCAAAATTCCTAGAAAAGTTGGAACCATTCGAGGAGACGAGGGGGTTTTACTTGGAGGTATTTGGCCAATGTTGCCTTACTATATAAATCAAAATCATAGCCACCGCGACCGACAACGGCATCAAGGACCGCGGTTATAAGGCATCCATATGAGAATATCAGCGCGCAAATGCAGGCCCAATCATCCCACTTCACCGCAAAAGTGAGCAGTCGAGAGACTAGTCGCAATATGACCGCGAGCGTAGCCAAGAAAGTGAATATAGTTGTAACAATCACGTAGACCTCATGGCTATGACTGATTTTGTTTGGCATCAAATCTTGGAATGACATAGTAAAGCATGGGTCGTGGTTATGTTTCCTGATGAGGGATAGAGATAGCAAAGAGAGAGAAAAGACACTTTTGAGGGCGTTGCAAACTGAGAAAGCATTAGTAGACAGCCTGGCTGAATTTAATCATCTAGCCTCGTGATAATAGGGTCCAAGGGCCAGGGTTAACTTGGGGGCGGTCATAAATGCAATGCAATATGACGTTAATTCTGGGGCAACCAGAAAAGAGAGAAAGAAAATCATCTTGACATCCCTTGATATACATACTGAAATGAACCAGAATCTCCATGCTAGCACGAGTCCAGGGCATACAACATTTGAATGGCTTACGAATCCCATTCTAAACTTCATTGCATTTTATAAGCAGGCTAATGATTACTAGTTCTAGTATTATTCATATGGGCACCCCGTATATAGCAGTGTATTATGCTGCAAAGAATGATTCATTTAAATTTGAACCGAAGAAAGGTTAGACTACAAGTTTGGCGTGAAAAATGTGAAGATCCGTATTGCCTCGCCCCCAGGGGTTAGGTGAAATACGACATCTAGATCTACTTGCGAACGACCCAATCCAAGTAGTCGGTAATTACTTCGGGGTTTAGCCAATAAACATGCCAATTACATTTTATCCCTTGTGGGATTTCACGGGTGTGTACTATAAAGCCCCCAATTTACTAAATACGAGAAGTTTCAATTCTTCATAGCGCTATTTACGCACTTTGAAGTCATACTACAGGCAAACACGTCCAATTCGAGCATAACCTATATGCACGGGATCTACGACGGCGCAGCGGCCCGCGGGCCAAGGCGCTCGTTGCTAGTGAAGGGCTCAGTGCCTTATTTTGCCCTGTTATGCCCTATCACGCCTGATTCCAGACGAGCAGAACTTTGATACCTGAAATACAAGAACAGCTTCAGAGGCTAGTGATTCTACAGGCTCGAGCTGAGCTTGTTATGTACCTCTCAAGTGCAACCCGTTGGTCCACCCGCTGGCCCACCCGCCCCTGGGCCTTCCCCCACAAAAGTCATATCGGCTGATATCCAGGTCGAGTATTCGATCAAAGCCGATGAATCGAAGGTGGCGCTCCGGTTTGGAAGAGTCCTTTTGTATCCTTGTTTTGTTTGCACATTATGTGATCAATCAATTATGCAAGACGTGTCTGTTCTGACTAATTCATGATAGACTCCATCATACAGAGATTGTAGATAACTAGGAAGAGGCAGAGGAGAAGGAAGGAAAGGAGGAGAGGAAACAGGAGAATATAGTACCGGATAGATAGAAAGGACTATCGAATACTATACCTGTAGCTGAGATGGTAGAAATAACGACGTTCCCGTCGCTGAGATCGCTGATATCGCGGATATTTATAATGCAGTGGATTGAAATCTGAAGGGCATCTCCCCTCGATATTATGAACATATACTGAGAAAAGCGAAATTTGTTCTAAATTTGTTCTTTTTTCTCCATATGATACCCGGCTTCGCCCTGGGTAAGCAGGGGATAATTAACGAAGCTGGTTTCAAGATTTCGCTGCCAGCCTGAGATACGGAAGACAGTCAGACAATCAAAAGAAGGAAGGGGAGTAAAAAATAGACTACATACAATAGAGCGGCAACAAGAGAAAAGAGAAAAAAAATGAGGGACAGGCTTCTCTTTTATAGGTAGACTACAATTTAATACTAATTTATATCGGTTCTGCAAAATTCCGAATAGACCTGTTTACGATACGATATCGTCAGATTTTTGAGCTGTTATCATCGTATTCAAGTTGTCGAATCCACGATATTGGCAGTGCGAACACCTAGAACGAACACCTAGAGAATATCGTTCGAATTAGTACATGCCTTGCTGTGCAGCCAATTACAGTGATTGCAACACATGAAAATAACCTTTGAAGTAGTGTGGGCCTATGGATTCATTAAACAAAGCTGACTCCACAGCAGAAGCCGAATTCTAGATAAACTTTCTGCCACTTTACTCCAAAAGTTGTGCTTTTATGGTGCGTTTTAAAAGGATAGAGCTTATATCTGCGCATCGAACCATGGACTCATTGATTGTATTTGAATTTCACTGAATATAGGTAACCGTGGACAACTTGGGCAACAGACAAGACGTGGAGATATTGAAACAGTTAATCATTTGGCGTCGCATAGAAGGCTCTGCAAATATGATCTTGTACTTGGAGTTTCCGCATATCAAGATCCCAATAGAGGTAAATCTGTGCAAAAGCCCGGCTCCATATAAGTTTGAGAGCTTTCACAATTTGACATTGTCAGAAAGACTTATAGCAGATTTTTGCGCAGAGTATCTTTCACGATAGCCAGATATTTTTCGATGGTATCCGAATCATAGTGTGCCACGTTGTAGCTAATACTAACATGCAGGGTCCCCTTCCAAGACCAAAGGTGGAGGTTGGTAACTGGAGTAAGCGTTTGGCATAGAATACTGACATCCTCAACTGAGTAAGGGCCATATTCATGCTTGATGTAGTCATCAAAGATACCCATACTAGTGACGAATGGCTCACTTCCAGGAGCTGGCGCCAAGTCTGGATACGCTGCGGCGCCCTTGAGCATATCTGTAGCCCTGCGGTTGAAGGGATCACGAACAAACATCTCATCGTTCTCCTTCACATCCCATGAAAACTTGTTCAATTTGTCCACATGCTTCGAGATATCGGACCAAGAGCCGTGAGCCTTCACAATAAGAGGCTGAGAGCCTAGTCGGATAGATGGCGCATGCTCTACACCATTGAAAGGCGCCTCGAGAAACTTGCGCAGGTCATACAATGTCCAAGCGACAAAGTTTTCTGGCTGAGTAGCACGGTCATTCATACCAGTCACCGCAATGATAGCTGCGGTTTGAACTGCAGTTGATACTGAGATGTTCTGCTTGCGCGCGGCCTCGCGGATAGACTTTGCTTCCCCTGGAGCGAAGACAGTCTCAACTCTCTTCATCTCAGTGGGTGGCTTTTTAGCCTTGGGATCGCCAGGCGCCAGTAAGCCAATTGATGGCTGGGCCCGAATGTATTGCTGGAGCAATTCCTCTCCGCGTTTATTCCATTCGGGCTTAGGCGTGGCCGGCATTCCAATAACTTCGTCCAGTGAAGGAACAAGCTTCTTGGCCTCGGCTCCATCAAACACCGTAGGAATTACGGGGTTCTCAAGAGTAGATAGAAACTCATGCAGCATGAGCATACCACCCCGGCCATCCCACAACATATAAGATGAGACTAGGGCAATTTCGCTTGAAGCAGGGATCCAGTGAATGGTTGCATTGGCATGGGGCGGTGCACGGCGGTGCTTGGCAAAGAAATCATCCGTGGAGGAGCATTCAGCCTCGACACGGAAAGTTTCATTAGACCATGACTCTAGCGACTGCTCGTCGGTAACTGGATAGTACCGCTTCTCGTCATGATGAGCCTCAAGAGCAATATCAGGATGAGTGAATCTCAGTGCTTTCCATGCGGTACGGAGCTGATCAACAATATCTTTGTCCGCCGGTGGGAATCCAATCTTAGCAGTCAGCATGAACATCCAATGCTCACTGTTGAAGCGTTTTCCCCGAGCACGGAGGAAATGCATCATTTCATCATGACAGTCAAAGGGTCGGCTCCAGTAAGCATCTTGCTGAGTCCACGACATGATTGAATCGTACACGTTTGCAGGGAGATTGTCAAAACTTGTGGGTGACACTGGGCAACGAAATTGCTGGAAGAGTTGAGTCTAAAAAATGGGATGTGCCCGTATCATATACCCAATTAAAATACCAGATGTAAAGACTGTATACGATGGCCGTATATCCTTCGTTCCACAGTACTGGAAAATGAAACATGTGGCCTCAAGCTCCATCCTGTGTACTCCATATTGGGGCCAAAACGACGCATGCTGCACAGGGTGAATGCCAGTGGGTAACGTCCCATCCGGACGGACTGAAAACCTTGGAAGCTAGATAGCCGCCACCATATCCACTTCTTCAGTGTCGCACTCAATCTAACCCTGCTTTCTTCTTTTACTTGCCCTATTAGGAGAGCTTAAGCTTCATCATTTTGAGGTACCTAAGTCGGGAACCCAGATCTGGCCCCTACAGGTGACCCCTCCAACTGGCCCCCACGTCAGACTATACGCCACCTAAACGAAATACCACCGAGTAACGTTTAGTATTTGATCAATTTTGGGGCGATAATCAAGAAAGGGAGCATTGGAGATACGCAAAACGCAAAGCGGGTCCTTGGAATACGAAGGAATAAGGTGCCCAGGTGCATTTGACAGGTTTTATGCGCAGACTTTGGAACACTAACTCTACCCGCTGCAAGTTGTGATTGGCTACTCATGATACTTAATTCCTCGCCTGATGAATAGAAACAACGAAGCAAGAAGCTCAAACGCGACATTATTTGTGGTCTATTCATGGATTAAATCCAAGATAAAACATCGCAGTACTTTCTTGTGGAGTGATAAACTATGGCCGTTCAGCATTAAGGCCTATTAATTTAGATAGCTGGAAAGTATTAGTATTCAAATGAAAAAATTTCCAATTCCGTCTGTTGTCAATCCAGTGAGTGAATCTTACTATGTCGGCACCAGAGATATCAAAGTCAAGACCTGTTGAACTATTGGACTGGCTGCCTTCAGGCTCTTCTTGGGGGCTTTATGGCGGGCCGTCCAGCTTTACCAGCTCTACCAGTCTTTTCCTCCAACCTACCAGCAGGAAATGCTCAGTCGTCTCCTCGAACATAGAAGCAGGCTATATACTTTCTGTAACTTGTCCAGATCTAAGAGCCTTGATCCTTTCATATGCCCTGGCTCTCGCCTCAAGTAACCATTGGAGGTTACGCTTGGCCCATTTTGAGGGCACTGTTGGCTGAATAGATATATATCCAAACTTATTTTCCTTCTACAACTCAATCTGTTCATATTACTGGATCCAACAGTAACGATTCCAGGACCCTCGTAGTAGCTCTTCTCTTCAAAAATCGTGTCATTTTTTTTGGAATATACTATATAGCACACCTGGGCATGATGCTTGCATTGGATCAATTTTCAGTGGACGTCTTACCCTGCGACCGACGATGGGACATCGGTCTCATTTTTGGCTCCATTCCGAGATGAAACATTCGGCACCTGAATAGCTGACAGATAGCTTATAGAAGAGCGTGGATGTCTTTGGGGAAGATTAGACTTCATGGCATCTCCGATGACTATCGCACCCTTTGGAAATTTCCTTATATTAGCAATGACTTGATCAGATATCTTCGAGGGCCTGATTGCGTGGAGACGGTGATTGAAAGAGTCGCATCTGTCACAATTTCGAAAAGCTGCCGCGGAATTCTTTCCAATATACTCCCATCCAGGCTTATCTCCCTTATCATAAATTATCGCCAGGCACGAGGCATCCGCAGCCAGATACGACAGACCTGGAGGAATTGTTGAACAATGGTTGCAATTCCGCAGTTGATTCGAATCACATTGGATAATATCTCCCAAACCACTGCAAAATATGACGCCCGGAATTATTCGATCATCTATGAGCTTTATCCAGCCACCGTGATGCTCATCGAGGGCTGTCTTATAAATACCGTACTGGTCAGACTCGTTGCCCTTTCTAGCCATCTCCAAAAAGTCAAATCCAAAAACTGAGTTTCTTCCGCAAAGTTTTTGGAGTTTTGAACGCGTTAGGAAGGAATGTGCTTGGGCTGTTGTTATTTCATGATACAACTCCAAAAAGAGGTCGAGAAAGAAGATGCTATTTTTCTCGGATGTCTCCTTGTCAAGTGGGCCCACTGGTGAGAAACCCTGCATGGTATGCTGAAGAATGTTATTTCTGGTTTCGGAAAACCTCTTGCCAGCAAGAGGTGGTAGTCCTTCATACCCGAACTCCCTCAAATAGACAGTTATCATCGCTAGGAGAACAAGTAACTTTGGAACAAGCCAACCTCGCTTTTCTGTGGCATCATACAGAATCACTGGTGCCTTGTTCGCCTTTTCAATCACCTCCGGCAATGCACTTGCTCTTGTGCCACACTTCACAGTATCTTCCTGGAACTCATACGTCATGCCGCCGCTCACTGTGAAATACTGGCCTCCACTGCCTCCAAGATTGAAGCCTTTCAACTTTGGTCTTGGACCCGCTCTTTCCAATCTTGAATGACAGATATTGAGCGGAGGCGCCTCTTTGCCCAGCCTAATGTCTGCTCTCTCGTACCAGCCCACGAAATGTCGAACTTTCTCATCGGCTGCTTCTTCAAATGTTGGTGGGTCCTGTTCCCATGAGATAGGCGGCTCTGATATGTAATATGCAAGAGGATCTTCATCATCGGTTTCGATGAAATGCCATTGTATGCCTAGGGTGACTAAAGAATCTCTGCTGCAAAATCTATTGGTGGCCACCAGAAGTGTGGAGATCCCTGGCAATGCAAGGCCATCCTCGTGCTCAAACTGGTATTCGACAGCAGCTAGATGTTGCAAGAGTGGAAGCCTGATCTCGAGCCCTCTGGGCGTCGGCGGATCTATATTTTGATGTTAGTACAACTTGAACCCCTTTAACAATGATAGTACGTGAGGATGAGTAGTATGAAACATTGGAAACCAGCCAGGTTTCCATTAAATGTCGGCCGCTTCTTCAATATTCATACCTCTAGTAGTTTTGTACATATTCATTGCGTGTCCTAGCCTGTGCTTCTTTTCGAAGGAATCCTCATATGAACAGTCATATACAACCACCATAGACTTGAACATCCCATTCCAACAAAGCCCACCTTTGGCTTCTTGCAATGGGAGTAGGGTCATATGTATGTTTAATTCACGGCTGTTGGTTAGATTTAGACCTCTTTTGATAGTATCTTCAGTTATAGCATAAGCAAATGTCGACAACTGTATGCCCTCCCGGGTGGGAGGACGTATTGCTGAGATCAACCACGCAAAGGCTATGGCGGCATCTATTAGAAGGTCACCAACTCCACACACTTCTAAAGTTGCTGCAGGCTCCTCTGCGCCGGTAATGGTGAGGTATTTGATTTTAAAGCCATCTTGACCATCTTCAGAATCTTGGACTGCATTTTCTTTCTTGTTCGTCGAAGAAGGTGACTTTCCTGGCCCTCTGACGGTGTATTCAACTAGTTCTTTTTGAACTCTCGATAGAAGTTTTGCAGCCACCCGAGGAAATTTCTTTTCAAGATATTCACCACAAGATAATGCTGTTGCATTGAATTGAGTTCCAGTGAGGGTGAATAAATCCGAGAGAGCCGAGTTTGGTCTGTAGCGTCCCATGGCCTGTGCAAGTTCACATTTTGTAGACAACTTTAAAGCCCTGTAATTCGTGATCGTCGATGCCTCTTGGCCAATACTTTCTAAGTCGGAGGCAAATTTGGTGAAGCCTTGGTCACTCATTTGGCTGACACGTTGAGAGCTCATTCCAGGCTTTCTAGCTCTATCGGGCTGGGCTACGGTATGGTCCGTCCAATAGCCCAGGCTGGTCTCGGGGTACATGATACCTTCTTTCTCAAAAGATTTAAGAGCAGGACTGACATTAATCCGGCTTAGAGCTATTTCTGCTGCATCTTCTTTGGCATTGTTGACGTATTGGCCATCGTACCAGTATCTAGCTGCGATGTTTTGTCCGCCTACAGTCACTGTGGATGACCACGCGGTACGGCCTCCTTTTGAACAGGCATGAGTTCAATAAATGTGACGTATTGGGAAGACGTGTAGCTTACCACGACGATCAGAAACAATGTTAAAAACAGGAGGTCCTAATTTCGCCAGTCTGCAATGCTCTGTCATATAATAACAGGTGCATATTGGTAAGCTAAAATTCGATCTCAGTCATTAGTTCAAGTAGGGTTTTACCTGATAGACGATCTTGCCAGCTTTTCATTTTTTCGGGGGCATTATTCGCAGACGACATCTTGCCGTCATCATCCAACTGGGGAGTACTTATACTATTGATATCCATAGTGGTATATGAAGTGATAAAGCCAATCAACTGGATATCAACTTGAATCCATGGTTCTTTTTCAAAAGATTCAAGTTGGGCATCTGGTCCTTAGCCGCTTGGGCATTCAACCTTGCATAATGCCAAGCGTCGCTCGCTATACCCGGGACGTGATTATTGTCTGTTCGTATGTTATATGTCACACCGGGATAATAATGATTATTATTCGTAGCAGATGTTCTGTAAATAATCAAGATTTTTTGTTGTCATCGACTGTCCATAAGCTAAATGTGCTAAGTATAAGGGCGATGTCTTTTCTTAAAAAGCTTTGTGATACTTTTTCGAATTATTTAAATTGATAATATCATATAATTGTCAGATGAGTGTTGATACATGGGGTTTCTAACCTTTCTTTTGGTAATTCACATGCTATATTCTATATCACAAAATATACCCACCTTCAAGGCTTCAGTAGATTCCGTCAGGACCAAGGCACCATCGAAAATTCCTAGAATGAGTTTTTGCTAGGAGTGGAGAGGTTATGGGGCGAACTTGATGTTCTAGAGCGAGATTCTCGTGAGAAGTGTCCATGCAAGTGATCTTTATATGTGGACAGCATAGTAGAATTATCAATTGCCAATAGCAGAAGGAAAGTTCAACAAAGCGATGACGGTGCAGAAGCACAAAAACCATCTTAATGGCAAATCCGGGGTTTGGGGATCGACGAAATTTTTGAAGTGTTGTTTGGGAGATTGTCTATTTATCAAATATTGATAACCTGTAGAAAATTTGAAGGCCAGTCTGTTGGGTGATAAATTTCGTCCGAGGGAGGCATCCATGGAGATACGCACTTCATGTCTCCTTTCCGGGATTAATTTGGGTGGAGCAAGTGCGTATCGTGGAAATCACTACTATTCAATATAGAGGTGAGATTGTCTTTGAGAACTACTATTATGATTATCTATATATAATAGCACCATACTTTGTCATAATACCAGAGCCATGTCTATGGATGTAGTGGAGGCGATGTGGGCCAGTCCAAGGCCCGATTCGGGCACTGATGATCGACACGCTATCGGCATCTGCGGGCGCCTTTATTGCTTCCAGAGTTCCATATCCCGACTGTCCCCACCACCCACCAAGATTATGTTTGTATTGAGGCTAATGCTACATATTATGCGTAGACTTAGGTTTACCGAGCACAATCACCAATATGTAAATATAATTGAGTATTGAATATCTCTTTATAAATGACAAGAAAGCAAGGCTTCTCTAGGCCAAAACGCCCATAGGGTCCCATCGAGGCAGAACCTTCGGCTCCTGCCCAAGAACATCGCGGACATCAGATGTGAGGAAGTTGGTATCAACAACAGCTTGTAATGTGTACTCATCCATCCACTTATCTGTCATAACAAACCAACCCTTCTCTCCTGCGGCTTCGCCCCAAGAGTTCTCAACACGCCATCGAGCTGGCTCGCCGTTATCAAGCAGGTGTACCGCTGTGATAACCATGGCATGGGTCATCGCAGATTCTCCACTAGCAAGTCTCTCTGCTTTGCTCATACCAAGTGAGATGTTGAAACCAAGAGCAAGATCAGTGAGATCAGCATCCATAACACCGAGAGTACTATCAGAAAACTTCCCCACGTCACATCCGAAGAATACGGGGTGTCCGGCTTTCAGCATTGAAATAACGGCCTTCTTGAGAACAGGCATCTCTACATTCACATATCTGAGTGATTGCCCTTCAAGGACGTTTCCGAGCTTGTCAACTGTAAGCAGTCTGTTATATTCATTTCGTGGATCATTGACCAGGCTAATAAGTCGGCCTGGAGAAACAGCAGGGCTGCTACGAGATGAGACTCTTGTCTGAGACCGGAAAGCTTGTTTTCCGAATTCAATTGGAGTTTGATGAACCTCACGGGCAGTCCCATTACCATCATAATATTCCCAAGTAAACTTCTTCTCTGGGCTTGGTGGCGGACCCAGAAGTAAGGTGACAATTGAGTGAATCTCCTGCAAGAATCTCTCCTTAGCAGAAGCCGTCAAATATGCCGCCTGGTCGGCTTCTTTCTTAGTCGCCAGCTTTCGAAGGGCTAAAGCCTGCTCGCGCAGCTTAGCAGTGAGAAGCCAATTCAGCTTACTGCTATTCTTCGCATGGAAGTTATCTGGATAAAGCGCGTGTGGGACCAGGCCGTATTTCTGGACCAGGTTAGCGACCATGTCCCACTGGCCACCATCGGTGACTGGGTCTTCTAGCAACTTCTGAACCAAGCGGCTGGAGAGATCCTCGTCCGCAGTATTGATTATCTGTTCGAAAAAATAATTGGCTTTCTCGATCTTGTCCCAGTAGAACAAATAGGCTTGGCTAAGTTCAAATTCATTGAGTTGGTATGCTTTGATGAGTGGTACGCGGAAGACGTTGGTTGCGGCAAAAAGCCAGCAGCGCCCAGAGGATCGTTGATTCGTGATCGGTGTTCCTTCGATTGGTACCGTGAGGTTGAATACATGAAGGTCTGACTTCAAGGACTTTTGATTGGCAAGGAGCTGTCCGTACGATTGGCTAGCGAAGCTGGAAATCGCTAGGCGGTTCTAATGAGTTTGAAAGAAAGTTCACGTCAGCATTAGAAACGCACAAACAAGTCCCAGTGGGACATAGTATATTGTTTCGAACCTTTGGGTCAGTTAACAGAGATTCACTCCAGTCCTCAAGGTGGGACAGGGCCAGGGCACGAGTCCTTTCACGAGCTGGGTACGGCGGAGGTGCTGTTTTTTTGTCAATCATAATGACACAGGATATTCAAAAATGGACAGTATCAACGAACGGGTGTGATCGTCATCTTGCTCTTCCAAGATATATTGAGCCTCGTTGGCATTCACCTTGGTTACAGCCTTCTCGCTAAGTGGCTCTGGCTTAGAATAATTCGTACCCATGTTGATGATGCTGTACTATATGCTAAGTGTAAACCGAAGTTCACCGTGTCACATCAACGAGGAGAAAAATATATGGGAGAAAAGATAAACCACAAGGTCCTCAATACCTAAAGAGCGGGGAAGAATGAAAGCATGATCACCTCGATCGGAGGTTACATTGATGATTAGTTTTAATTGGTTGTCGACGCCATGACCCCTTACGTCCCCATTCAAAAATCCCACATTTTGGTGCCTGATTGGCTAGAGCTCGATCTTTATCAAAGACCGCCTGATAAAACAAATGATAAGCAATAAATCACGCGTGTTTGCGTGCTTCTACTTCACCTACGGGGGACTATAGCGTCCAGCGACCTTATCGCCTAGTAGTACACTGCTATCTGTACTGTAGACTCCCGGGATCTACAAATACTATAGAATAAAGAAGAACAAGTGGAAAGACGATTGGATATTATGTTTTCACACGTACTTTGGATTATACCAGTCAGTTTACTTAAAATGAAAGAAAGGTTATGTCTCAATATAACAGGTTCAAGGGCCTATACTAGTAGTATGATATTATCTTTGATGTTAGATCATTTCGCACCGTGTGCTAGTTAGCAGGATCAGGTACTAGTTAGTAGATCATGGGAACTGGCTATCAAAAAGCTCAAAACGTCAAAAAAATTTCTAAAATTATGCTATACCTCCAGATATGCAGTAGAGTAGGATATATCTTCAAGAAAACCGGTTGAAACAATTTAATTCTCCAAAATTGTTCAAGTTCAGCACAGTTATCTATGAATCAATTCCGTGATTGGATGCGGCTCCACTCCTGCCTTAATATTATGGCATAAGAATGTGGCGCATGAATCGGCACCAGCCACAGCGGAAGCTCAGATATTGCCGCACCTCAATACCATCATACCTCTCATCTATAATCAACTCCCAACCACACAAAAAACCCTCCTCACACACCATGTCTTTCCTCGGCGGTTCCTCTTCTTCCTCAGCTTCGTCCGGCGATGTCAAGACCGCCGTCGTTCAACAACTCCAGCAAGAGGCTGCGATGACCAACGCCCGCGCCTTGATCCAGGTACGTGACCAAGTCTTCCTCTCATGAGCACTCCATTTGTCTGGGTTTGGGCAATGTTCTATTTGGCGAGCCTCCTTAACTGGCTTACATTGCTATCAATTAAAGCTAACCCCTTTGCCTTTTTAGAAAATCAACGAGAACTGCTTCACAGCTTGCGTCCCTACCCCCGGCACCTCTTTGTCTTCCGGAGAGAACACCTGTCTGTCTAGCTGCATGGAGAAGTACATTGCCATGTGGAACATCACCAGCCGCACCTATATCAACCGCATTGGCGTTGAGAGCAAGCGTATGGGTGGCGATGCCAGCCTGGTCGCCTCGATGGGATCCGGTCTCTAAGTGATGATAATAAAATGTTGAAGGGGGCCTGTTCCATCAGTCAAGGCGATGAGAACTCTTGCCGGGGCTGATGGAATATGCCATTGGGAGAATATCTATGTATGAATAGAAGAGGCCGGAGAGCCAATGTACATTATTCGGTCGGGCTTCTTGGATTTTGGGTCTTGTTGACCAGTGATAGAAGGTTGAAGGTTGGCAAAATCAATTCCACTACGTTTTGTATAATTGAAATCGAGACAAATACAATCAAAGTAGAAAAAAAAAGAAAACCTCAATTCCAATTGCTAGAATATATCCATAATCCATCCATTTGCCTTAGGCAGGCGACATACGGTGATATCACTTCTGTTTTTTCTTCGGCGACCCCTACTAGCGCGCCGGTGCCATGTTTGATCCCATGCAATACGATTACAGTGGGCTTTTCATATCTCATAAATCATACACGCACTCTTAGAAGTCGGGGAAGAGATGGCCATATCTGGGTGCGTGTTAATATAAGCCTTTCAATAAGGAACGGGTAATGAACGTACGCATCTTCTCCCTCCATGCCATAGTGCTCAGTCTCTTCGGGATATTTGTCGTATTGGCTTGCGTCTCCTTGTCCGCCGCGGATAGGAGGAATATAGGGAGCATCGATATCCTTGCGCTCCAGGCGGTCCCAAGTGACCTCTGCGAACCAGGCGTGGCTCTTAACATCTTCTGGTCCTCCGTGTAGATTACCCAAGCGCTTGGTGAGATCGGCTGTGATCAACTGGGAGAGGAGATCCACGGCATCATCATGCAGATATGGTGGGTACTTGACCTTGCCGCGTAAAATGTTTTCGTAGATCTTTACTGGGGATCCGCTGTCCCAGAATGGAGTGAATCCGCACAGCATTTCGAAAATGAGAATTCCCAGGGACCACCTAAGTTGTCATGATTAGGTATTATAAGAAAAGAAGACCACGGAAGAAGGAAGTAGTAAACAGGCGGGCAAAAAAAAAGATAATCAGATGGAAAGGGAGCTCTTACCAGTCTACTGATTTGTTGTATCCCTTTGAGGAGACTACTTCCGGAGCAAGGTAATCCGGAGTTCCGCACAGAGTCCAAGTGATATCAGGTACATCTTTTGCGAAACCGAAATCTGTAATCTTCAAGTGACCATGGCGATCCAGGAGAAGATTTTCTGGTTTGAGATCACGATAAATAATCTGGTGTTGATGCAGATATTCCAGAGCCAAAGTTACTTCCGCGGCATAAAACTTGGCAACTGGGTTTGGAAAGCGCTAATGAAAGGGAGACAATGGTCAGATCAAGAGTCGAATTGGCTGTGGATGGAGTTGCGGATCCATTCCGGATGATTGAGGAAGAGAAAAAAATCACTCACTTGTGATTTTCGTAGCAAGCTAAACAGCTCACCACCCTCCACAAAGTCCATGACCATATACAGATTTCGGGAATCCTGCCAGGTTCCCCATAGAGTCACCAAGAACGGATGACGAACGCGATTGAGCATTCGTCGCTCATCGTTGGTGTGCTCGATCTGCTTCATTTTGACCACCTGGGCCTTCTTCAGCACCTTCATGGCATAGAAGCGATGATTATGCTTGGACTGAACTAAATGGACGCGACCGAAGCTACCAGTTCCCAATGTGCGCTGCAGCTGAAAGTCCTCCTGTGAATACTTGCCCCTGGTGGTGCGCTCCTGGCGGGGCTGTTGCGCATTGGGTGTCGCATTCGCATTCTGGGCGGGGGACTGAGTACTCGAGCCGGCATTGGCCGGGCTATTTATGAGGTTGTTGATGCTGGCGGCATTGTTGGAGGATTGGGCCTGGTGCTGGGATCCTTGCGATGTCACGGCGGATTGCATGGGGGCGCCTTGTCCTTCAACCTTCGCCGGGGTAGAGTCCGGGTTGGAAGACGAATGATCGGAACTGTCAGTATTAGTTGTGGGCAGCTCCTTGGACAAGGTCTGCGAGTCCTTTGTACGCCGCTTCTTCAACAGGCCTCCTAAGCTCGGCATGGAGGACGGTTACGGGGGGGCATATGAAGGAGGAGGAGAGTCCGAAAGAGTGGGGAGGGGCACACCCGCGGCCAGAATGACGCATTGATCTCCCTTTCGGGACCAGATCTCCACTAGATATCAGACTTATGCCAGTGATTCACCAGCGGAGAGGGGATTTTTTTTTGGAGATGTCAAATGCATGAGATGCATGAAAGTGTAATTGGAACTTTGATTTTTGAAGCTAATTGCCACTGGAGAATTTCAAATCTACAATCAACCGTACCGCTGTTTATGCTTCAACGTGGCTGACTCCGCCAAGGATCCCAATCAATATCTTTTTACTGCTATCTAGTGGTGTTTTTTTGAGTCGTATATCTTCATGAATGAGATTAATTGTTTTGAAATTCAACTAGAAACTTCTAATCCACCTTTCTTAAATAATATAAACACCCATCCGGACTCGATAGTCATGGAAGGCTGCGGAGAAACCGGATGACGCCGATGACGTTACGACATGGTAGAGCCCGGCATATCGGGGCCGGGGCGAGTTTCATAGACAGTAGTCATCTCTGGACTCTAGAATTTGGGTTGCATGCGGTCAAGACATTGACATCTTGGTACAGATGGACTTATGAGAGTTCGATCCAAGATCGAGCGGTATTTCTCAGTTGCCGAGAAGTGATGAGGTTTATAGTGAAGTGTTGGAGGGATCGATGAGATCGTGGGCTGTTTCGAGTGTGATTGGGGATTATGTCATCGTGCACGAATAGTTATAACTAGTAGGCCAGATTCATAAGGCACTAATACAAGGCCGATGCATAAGGCACCAAGGCATCAACAAAATTGCCCGATCAAGTCAATTGATGGCTGGAACATAAAATCCAACATTCCTCACTCCACCCCCTCCACCATGACCCTGGTAGCATATTCCGACTCTGAGGGCTCCGACGCTGAGCCGGATAATACCCCAGTCCCTACTGTCGACAAGTCAAAGAAATCCGACTCCGGTGCCGGCTTCCAGGTTGACCGCAGCAACCCGCGCAAGATCCGCGTCGCTCTCCCGGAGCTGAAGCCCGAACACCCTACGGACCAAGACGCCGAGGATGGCCCAGCACGCAAGAAGGCTCGGCTAGGTGCAGGAGGTGGTGCGTTCTCGGGGTTTAATTCGTTTCTACCTGCCCCAAAGCGTGCCGCAGAGAAGAAGGGTCCTGTCGCCACAACGCGCAAAGTGTTCAGCCTAAAGACTGGCGCCGCCCCAGGATTTGACCGACAAGCAGATGCCGAATCAAAGCTGGGCCTCCCCTCAGACGATGCCTACGATGAAAACGATACAGATGCAAATATCCCTGCGCCTGGCAGTTTGGCGGACCCTGCGACTGCCTCGGACTCGACACCGGTTCCAGAGTCGGCTGGGGAGGTTAAGCTGCAGGGAAACCCTATGATGTTCAGGCCACTATCGGTTGCCAGAACTCAGAAGAAGAAAAAAGTTACAAAATCTGCCACCTCGGCTTCAACGACGACATCTAACCCACTACCTACTACCGAGCAACCTGTGAAAGCGACACCTGCGCCACCACCAAAACCAAAAGTCAGCTTATTCTCCTTACCGTCAGGAGATTCCGAATCCAGAACAGAAATGCCCTCGGCTGCAACAGGAACCTACGAGCCCCTAGTATACACCACCGAGACTGAAGCTGGCCCTGCTTTTGCACCCGCGTCCGCACCAGACGCATTATATCCCAACCCTAGCACAACATCCGCTTCATCATCCCTCAACAACATTGCAAATGACTTGAACTTGTCAAAATCAGAACGGCGCCAGCTCTTCGGTCGTAATGCGCCACCTGTCGACTCGCAAATTCTTACCTTCAACACGGACAAGGAATACGCTCATAACCAAGCTCTTGCAGAAACAGAACTAGCTGGCACCCAACACCAACCTGTGCGAACTATCAATACAGCTGGCAAGCACAGCTTGCAGCAACTTGTCAATGTGGCAACTTCGCAGAAGGAAGCCTTGGAAGAGAGCTTTGCTACTGGGAGGAGGAACAAAAAGGAAGCCGGCGCGAAGTATGGGTGGTGATTATTTTTTTGGCATTACTTTGTGCATTTTGCGATGACTATGATACCAATGTTCTTTTTTCATCTATCTCAGCGGAGAACTTCGATTCGATAGGACCGAACGCATGTCTATATGTAAAACTATTATAATATCCCGAAAGTAGAGTAACTACCTGCATATTCTCTCCGATTGGCGATCCATCTTAATACCCTCTATCTTTAGTTAATATCTGTATAATGTTGTGAGTAGCTGAGTTCATAGTCTAACGCTTGTTTTCGTATATTTAGATTGTATAGTTCAAAATATTCACTCGAATAGGTCCCTATTCGCTGAAGTTTATCGCATTCAAGTTTGCGTAATGGGTTTTTGATAAAGCTACATCTATAGGCGTTGCACTGCATGTTTATGATCAAATGTAGAGACTGGAAAACTTGAATAAGTATTGAAAAGATTGAAATTGCTGCAGTCTATTTTTGATTGTGCATGCAGATAGATATGTCTATTATATACAACAAATGAAAATCATTCATTCAAAACGCCCAAATAATGAAAATGTATATACAAAAACGCCGAAATATTGAAAACTTTTTGGGTAGATGATGGATCAGGATGAGACATCAACAACTTCAGCAAACCATTGCTTTAGAGCAGTAGCCAAAACGGAAGGCAGTTCACGGACATCGCGGACAACCAAGTAGTAGGGGAAGGGGAAACCTTCAAGATAACGCTTCATCTTCAACTTCATTTCGCCACCAGAACCAGGATCGGCCTCGAAGCTAGCTTGAGAAAGGTCAAGAATAGAGCTTCCCTTGACAGCATCGACGATAATGAAAACAATCATGATACGTTCCTCAAGAGCTTGGCGCACAAGACGGCGAATAGTTTCATGATCCTCGCAGATACCATCGGAAATAATCAACTCGAGCTGCCAAAGGTCGGCAGATCCAGAGCCAGGGGAGCGCTTCCAGCGAGCCTCGCGGAAAAGAGCGATAGAGTCGGCGATGAGCTTTCGTACATTTGTGCCAGTTTGCTGGTAGCTGAAATGCTGGAAAACTTGGCTACCGGCCTCAGAGGAGAAAGGTTTGCCAAATTCATGGGCGACGCGGACGTGGTCTTCATCACCAAAGCCAAGAACACAGAGATCACCAGCCTCAAGCATGCTAAGACTCTTTGCCACGAGGGCAAGTGTCTGGAAGGCAAGCTGACCACTGCCACTTCCCAGCATGGATTTACTGTCATCGACGGCAAGCATGATTTGATAGTTACGCTTGGAGGGGATTGATCGGCGCATCCAAATCTTGTCACGCTTGTACTGGGAGGCGATGTAAGGAATGATTCGTTTGATGTTCAGACGCTTTCCGGTACGGAAGTCACCACGTAGCTTTGTGGCCATTGTCGGTGCAAGAATGAGACGCAATTGTTCAGTAAGTGAGAGAGAAAGGTCATTGGTAGCGGATTCATATTGAGACCAAAGGCGACGTGCTTCATGTTCGGGGGTCAATGGAGGAAGCGAAGACGACAAATGAATAGCCGCGAGTTGGGTATCCACTTCATCTATTTGCTCGTTGATGTCTTCGGCTCCTGTAGTTCCATCTGCGTTGTCGCCAGCCATATGATCGCTGGGAATGAAAGCACCGGCAGATTGGCCTTCAGTCGGGACAAAATCACGATCTATTTCCATCTCCTCTTGAAGTTGGTTGTCGAGGGCATCTTGTTCCTCGGTCGAGTCGGGAAGAATATCGTTCTCACCAGGCCTCATGTCAGACTCAACAGCCTTGTTTTGATCGAGTGTCTGGGTTTGTTCTTCGTCGGCTTGTCCGAGAGCCTGGGTGTCGGCCTCATCTTCTTCATTCTTAAGGTGCTCGAAGTCAGCATCTGCCATGTCGGTATCTTGGGGCAAAGGCTGCGAATCATCCTCTTCCTCTTGCGATGGCTTCAAAATCTCTTTTTGGCGACGGTGCCACTGCTCGAGGATATCTCCAAGTTTCTTGAAGGCCTCAATTTGGGGCTCATTGGGGGCGCTGTCTTCGGCACCACCGGCGTCGCGACTCCTTTGGCTTTCTTCACTATCCTTGGCTGCGCCAGTTTGCTCCTCGGCGCTGGCGGTTGGATCATTGGAACCCTCCTCTTGTTGTGCATCTCCGGAATTTCCCTTATCTTCATTTTGATCTTGATCGGCACCTTGACCCCCAGTGACAGCTTCACTGGGAGCAACATCCTCACCAGTGGCTTCATTTTCGTCACGTTGGGCAAGGAATTCATCCTGCTGGGGCTCTTCTGGCTCCTCTCCACCGGCTTGATCCTCCTCTTCCTCTCCATTGGCTTCAGCTTCGTTGGTATCCTCGCCCATTTCTTCATCTTCACCAGGGGCCTGGTCCTCGGGCGCCATGTCTGCATCTTCTTCGCCGGGTTGATCATCCTTCTCATCGCCCATCTCTTCTTCAGGGAGAGGGCCCATATCATCCATGTCATCCATGCCATCATCTTCGCCTTCATCGTCACCACCCTCCTTATCATCACCATCAAGTTGCATTTCTTCAGGCAGATCCAAAGTCTCCTCTTCCTTGGCTTGGGGATCAGTCACGTCCATATCTTCACGACCAACTGCTTCGCCTTCATCATCGGGCGCTTCTTCTTCATCCTCCTCTTCCTCTTCTTCATCATCATCTTCCTCCTCTCCTTTTTGGCCTTCTTCGGCTTCTTTCTTTTGCTCCTGAGCTGCAGCTTGTTCATCAGCCTCTTCTTGGCCCTTTCCTTCTTCATTCTCGGTCTCTTTCTGTTGGTCGTCATTGGCACCATCCCAAAGTTTTTCATCAACAGCACCATCGTCAAGACCATCAACACTTCCAACCTCCTCATCGAGATTGTTTTCTTCCTCATCGCCATCGTCTTCTTTGTCTTCCTCGTCACCTTCCTCCTCTTTGTGTTCACCAGACTCCGCATTCAGTTCTTCTTGATCCATATTCACAGCATCAGCAGAGTCATCCATCTCTTCATTGGCATCTTCCTTTTGTTGCTGTTGTGCCAGTTCTGAAAGGTCTTCATCATCTCCGACATCCTTGCTAATATCTTCGGCACCTTCACCATCACCGAGACCAGTGCCACTCTCCATCTTTCCTTCCTGGCCTTGATCTTGAGACGCTTCTGCCGGACTGCAGAAACCTTCTGACGCGACCTGAGTGAAGGTCTTTGTCAGAACATAGGAAGTTTTGCAGAGCTCGCGATGAACAGTGATGAAACGGTTGAAAACTGCCTTGCAAATTTCGTAGTATCTGCTGGCAATAGGCAGGATGCTAGCCACGAGAGCAGCAGCTTGTGCAAGGCCATTGCTGTCACCAAACAGGTGGATTTGGCTCAAGACGGCATCAAGGGAAGCAGTGATTCTGTCGACGTGGAGAGCTTTACATGCGCGAGAGAAGAATTCATCGCTTCGCGAAAGTAGGCCGCTGAAATCAATAGAAGTAGGAACTTCCTTCAATTGCTGGAGGCCGACTAACATCTTGTCCATGGCTCCAAGCAGGCTCGCATCGAATTGTTCAAGGGAGGCGGGCTTGCCGGTGGCGTGTTGAGATGCCAAGTCCTGAGCGGGAAGTTCTGTCCAGTTATTGATTTGCGCTAGAACAAATGACAGCTCTGGGCGGCGTTCATCAAGCTCCACGATGTAAGTTGAGAGCTCGCGTAGAGATTGCTGCGCGTTGTTAGTAAGTTCTTGTTGCTTTCGAGATATGATGCCAGAGGGCAGCGTAGGAATCAAATCAAAAGATTTCCGTAGCCCTTCAAAACTTGTCTTTTTGGCACGAAGTTCTTGAGACACAGTAGAAGCATCCAAACCCGAGAATTTGGAATGGATATCAACAACTTCGGAAGCGAGGCTTAGGATAGGAATCAACCAAGCCACAGTCCTGGTCACCGTGGGCCGTTCATCCAAAACAGTTTGATTGACTTGGGTGAGGGTAGTAGAGCCAACTGTCCAAAGGCTCTCCATCTTGTTAATAGTTGTCTTGAAATCTCCCAAGTTAGAGAGCGCGGGAGAGAGGATGCCTCTTTGTCGTCGAACCATAAACAGCAAATGCTCAACGGAACCAATACTTCTGGAAACTTCAACATTGGTCAATTCGTCGGAGTAGGTTCGAGAGGCCAAGCGAGCACGAGGCATAAGATCCAAGAGGCGATGGAAATACGAATCAGCGCTTGATAAGGAGTTAGACGCTGAAGAACCAAGCTCGAAAGGAGCGCTGGTAGCAAGAACCTGGGCAAGTGACAGTTGGGTTTCCATCAATTGAGCTCCGGCATTCCGCTTCACACCCATCTCAAATACAGTCTTCAAAGTCTCGGCAAACAGACGGCGTTTCTGAACCTTTAGATGCTGAATGTCCTCTTTGTTGTCTTCAGTCAAAGTCTTGGGGGTTGAAGACTTGAAATCATTAATGCTTTCAATGATCGACACTGTGAACTCATCAAGATCTTTCGAGATGTCAAATTCAGACGGCAGTGAGAAGTACAAATTCATCATGTTACGAGCTGTTCCATCGGGATTCTGGAATCTCAGCGGCCTTCCAGACCATGTTGCAATTTCCTGGCAGGATTTCAAAGCTTCGGGGAAGACTATCGTTGCCACAGTCTTTTCCTCAGTCTGGAAAGCTTCGTTTTCTCCAGTAGTGTCGGCAAGTCCTTGTTCAAGAATTGGTTGAAGGGGCTGAGAAAGAGCTGCGCGGTACTTCCTAACTAGCTTGAATAGCTTCACGTGTGATCTCCTTGCACTCTCCTTGAGAGCAACGATATTGGTGTCTTTCCAACTAGCCAGCTGTATCTGCTCTTTAATGTCCTTCTCAAGTACCGATCTCTTTTCTTGCAAAGCCTTCTCCGCTAGGGGTTCAAATGGACGGAAATGAGAGAGGAAGTTATTAAGCGCCGACACAAGTGGAATGAGGGAGGCAAAGTCCTTGGCGAAAACCAAGAGCATCGCCCGGAAGTCAGTAACAAGCTGAAGGCGGCGGGAGAACTGGCCCAAAGTTGTGGAGGCGAAAAATTGCTCAAGTGTCGAGATTAGCCCGTGAATGTGCTCACTCATATCGTGATCGCCAGACTGTGCCATTTGAAGAGGTACAGCCAAGAGGGATTCGTAGGCAACAAACCACCATGCGTTAACATCTTCTTCGCAACGCTCTTTCTCGATGTCCAACAGCTTCGCCCATGTGGTAAGTTCTAGTCGACGCCAGCTAACAGTAGTGTTCGTTATCTCGTCATAGAGCGGAGCGGCAGAGTACTCTCGACTAGCAACAAGCTGCCATTCATGAACAAGGGAATGGAGCTTCTCGAGCTTGGTCAGGAACTTGGCAACAGGCTCTGTGTGCTTGAATTGAAGTATTTCAGAGCAGAAAGAAATCACATCTTGAAGAATGGCATGCTCTGGCCACGCGGTCTGGATTTGAACAAATCGTGACTGGACGGACAGCGTCAAGTTGACAAGCTTGCGAGCTTCAGGGAAATTGGAATCGGTATAGAAATTGTAATTCTTCTGGCGATCCTGGGATTCCTCGCCAACAACGTCATTGAGGATCAGAAGGACGGCAGGGAGGTGATTCTGTGGCACAACTGGAGCGAAGTCCGCGTTGCTCTTGATCCACATGGAGCCCAAGAGATGACCGGTCTGCTTGACAAGCGTTGCTAGTGCATTTCCATTTCCACGGCCGTTGACAATCTTCGCATGCAAAGAAGCAAGTCTAGAGGCAATCTCTCTCGGATCAATGCCGCCAACATCTTCTGGATTTGGCAAGCTTTCTTCCTCAAACGTCGGGAATAGTTCCTTGAGATCAGTTTCGTTGACTTCTTCTTCATCTTCCCAAGAGCCTCGGTAGCGGTACAATTCCGACTTCTCTGCTTCTTTCTCTTGGTCCTCTCGAAGTCTCGTTTTCCAGAGGTGGTGGAAATCAGCAAACACACGGCGAATCGTATCACGACCTGACGGCAATTCAAGGATGTTCGAATCGGCATCAGTGGCAGCCCAGAGTGATGATAGCTCGTGGAGGCGCATTTCAATCAATTCACTAGAACTTGCTGACTTGTTGGTATTGCTCTCGGGGCCAGTCGATGCTCCAAAGGCCGGATGGATAGATCCACCCAAGAAGGGGGTCCGGGAACTCAAGTACTGAATATCTTTAAGGCAATCAGTCTCATTGCCATGGGCAGAGTTCAAGAAAAGTCCGGTGTCAAGTAACTGGAGGAAGCGAACAACAGGGACGGTGATATCATCGTATGATCTGTAATGTGTGCTGAGTCTACTACTGAGCTGTTGGATATTATCGCGCATAAGTTGAATCATTTCGTTCGTCCTCGTTGAACTTTCAGGAGAATTGACAAGTTGCTCGGGGTGGCGATTAAGGACGGAGTTTATCAAGTTTGAAAATTCGCCGTGCAACAGGCTGAGCTCAGACTTTTCGGGGCGAGTGACAGAGGTTGGAGGTGGAGCAGATCCCAAGGCCTGTGTTTGCTCTTCAAGAATCAAAGACCGTAGATTGGATGGCTGGCCAGAGAAGGTTGCCTCGAATGACAAAAGGGATTCTGATTTCGCTTTGAACTCATCTAGGCGTTGATAGTGTCGTTTGCGTTGAACAACGAGACCAAGTGATGGGTCGAAGACCTTATCAGGAACAAATGAGCGGAGTAGAATAACAGCCAGTTGGGTTGCGGCGAAGCTCAACCTCTGCGTCTTTTTCTCAATGCCGACATTTCTTTCGCTGGCTGCTGCAACCAAGGCCAAAGATTGGAACAGGACAGGGAGTGCATGGCCCGCCAGGTTTCGGAAGAAATGGTTCTCTGCAATGTTATCTTGAAGAATAACTGGAACAGAAGCTAACTGACTCGCGCCATCCCCCCCTTGTGCCAAGGCCTGCAAAACAGTGACCAAATTTGTGTATGAGTTGGGCTCAAAGAACTCTTCGTGGCAGCAAATGAACTCGATCGTCAACTGGGAAAGTACATGCTGGAAATTTTGCAACTGATCCTCGGCTATCCGTTGACTGCTCAAAGAAAGCGACTTTGACAATGCTTGTTTTTCAGCTTTGAGTAAATCCATTTGGCCCAAAGTAGTAGTTCCGACAGAAGTCAGCTTGTCTAATAAGGATAAAGACAATACACCACCCATGGCAAGAGGGGAGCGAAGTGAGTCTGTAGCACCAGTAAATAGCGCGAGTCTGTCGAGGATTTCCGGAACTCGGTTCTTCCCAATCGAAGAATGCAGTGCGCGAGCTGGACGTCCTGCGAGAAGTGAAATAACAGTTTGCAGTTCTGGGTCCCGCTTATCTTGGTCGATGCTCGAGGAAATATCGCGATACTGACAAAGTGCCTCAAAAGATTCTGTAAAGTAAGGGTATTGAGGGGAATCAGAACGTCGAACTGCTTGACCAAGTTCAGTCACAGTTTGTTTGAGACTTTCCACAAGAGCTGTTCCATCGGCACCCTCCAATAGCATGAACTTTTGTGCATTAAGCAGAGAATCCCAAACAGTCCTCAATTGAGAGAGTTCGACTCTCGTTTGCAATGCAAGGGCAGTAAAATCAGACACGGTGCGCTCCAATTCTATGAGAGAATTGAGTTGAGCTTGAGAAGTGGGTGTTACATGTCGCCACGTATCCCACATCCGCTGCATGCTCAAGCCAGTCGTCAGAGCCCAGCCAGCTTGGAAACGAGACAGCGCGCGAGAAAGAGGCGGCTCTAGTTGCTTCAACAAGGGTGAAGCATTCAGTAGGGAGGCGCAGACGTTTCTGCCAACTTCCAGGTAAACTTGGAACTCGCCTTCAGCGACTCGGTCCACATCAGCTACACGGTAAATATCCCAGCACAGGTAGACAATGGTGCGTAGTGCAGTAATGAGATCGGCAGATTGAAGACTTGTTTCATCAAGCCCTTGAATGAAATCATACAAAGCTTGGCCACAATCCATGAGGAAATGACCGACGGGCTGTGTGGTATCTTTCATCAATGAGGGTATCCGAGTTGATGCCAGGGACCGCTCAAGTATTGTCATTTCACTTGGCTTAAGCTTCTTCCCAGCCTCGTTTGCCTCAACTAAGCTTTGACGGAGACGATGAACATCGAGTTTGAATTCTTCAAGGCAGGCAATAATGACGAGGTTTGAGCGATAATTGCCATCTCCTGTGACCGAAATGAGTGGTTCATTGGTCAATATGTTAATGGGCTGGGAGGGGCCTTGCAGGCTTAGTGATGCGCCAGCCATAATGATTTCGCCGGCAATGGCATCAAGCGCCTTCCAGCTGTCCTTCTCGTGCAGAACAGACTGGTAGTGTTGCACAGTGTTGGACGCAAAGCGACTGAGATCGGTATTACGAGTGTAAGGAAGGTGGACGTCAGGTGACCTTTGTAGGTTGGCAAGATCTTTTGGAGAGAGATGATCAAGACAAGCATTGAACAATCCGCTCAAAGGTGCAGATTGAAAGGTGGTATCCAGGTTCCAAATGTGACGAAGTCTGTACAAAGAGGATTCGCATGTATAGGACGGCCCAACGATAGCTGGAGTCTCCTGCATCTCATTGGCCATGAAACATATTTCAACACATCTGTTTCGCATAGCACGCGACAGCTCGCCATGGCGAGGGTCCATTGTTAAGAAAATGCGGAAATTAGGGTGGGGCGTAATAATGCGCGCGGATCCGTCCTCAGTTCGTTGCTCGTTGAGAATCAAAGTACCATTCGGCTCAGTCAAAGAGTTCAGCCTGTCGAGAACAGACGGGTTGCAAAGATTGGCATTGTCGAGAATTACCCAAGACCCATTTTGCACAGCTTGCGTAAGAACACCCTCGGTCCATTCAAATCCAACTTTCATCTTGTCGGTCTGGTTAATTGTATCCCATAGCTTTTGAGCTCTTTGCAGGAATCCTTGTAGAGTTTCGTCGGGATACGATTGGCAAAGATCTGAGAGCGATGAAATTACGGTCTCTAATGAAGTCTCTGTCGTTTGAAAGTGTTGACAAATCTGGAGTGCCGATCCAACAGCATCCGAGACATCTCCTGATGCGAAAGAATGAATGATATGATGGCGCAAAAACACCCCAACATCATGCACAAAGGAGGAGACTTCTCGACGATGATCAATTTGTTCGAACCCACCAATCAAGTCCATGGTGTCAGTGTCTGCACTAAGTGCAAGCTCTTCCAAATTGGCGCCATTGATAGCAGCAAGTTTTCGGATCATTGTGGTCTTACCACACCCGGCAGCACCAACCAGAATGGTGGGCCAAGAGTTGTCTATGCACAGGATGAGGGATTCCATAATATGGAGATCTCGTGGCAAGATATTCATCGAAGGCTCGACAGAAGGCTGGAGAAGGTGATCTCGATTCAAGATTCCAAGACCGACCTGAAGGTACTCAGGAGTCAGATTGTGGAAATAGCTCTTTTGGCCGATTTCGCAGTCAGTGAATAAGGAATCGTAGATTTGTGACACCAAAGTTCGGTCATCCTCACTCCGGAAGCGCTGGCTAATGATGATATCCAGGAAGTGCTTGGTCTGAATTTGCAGGTTACCTCGATCCGCCAGCTGAAGCCAGCGTTGAATGTCACGTAAATTGACTTCCCAGGGTCCACCAATGGCTCCCAATCGACGATCAGTAACGATTGCTTTGTTTAGTCTTGAAACGAAGTCGACCAGTCGGTCTGTTTGGATAGACGGGCTTCCAGGGAAAAGGCTCGAACAAATCTTTTTCAAGTCGGCATCTGTGAAGCTATCGGCATAGACGACAGTAAAACGATTGACAAATGATGCAGGAAGTCCCTTTCGTCCACCACCTTGATGATGGGGGTTTTGTGCTGCGAACAAAACAAAGTTGGGGTTTCGTTTGAATGTTTGATCGAGCTCCGCAATATAGACTTGCTGTCGATGATCCAAACAAGAGTTGAGACCTTCCAAAACGGACTGTGACGCCAAATTCATTTCATCCAGTAGAACCCAATCGCCGCGCTGCATGGCTCGTAAGAAGGGAGCATCGCGCCATGCGAATTGACCAACATCTCCTCCTTCCACGGGAACATCAGAACCAAATAGATCTGTAAGATCCGTCTGCTCGGATAGGTTGATACGAGTGAGGGGTTTACCAAGAGCTTTGGCAAGGGCAGTCACAAGCGTAGTTTTACCCACACCTGGGCTTCCTTCCATGAGGATTGGCTTTGACGACTGGAGACCACGAGCAATTCTAACGGAGTTTGCAATTGTTGTTGGTGCATCCATGGTGAATTGGGGGTCAGGATCGGTCTCGCCAGTGATTGGCAAGGAGAATGGGCCAACCTTCAAGCATCCAGGTTCGAGTGTGACAGTGGAGGACTCCCAGTAAATTGTCGAAGCGTTGACGTTGAACAATTCGCTCAACTTATCAAGACACTTTTGGCGGTTGCCATCGAGATTGTTCAATGAAATAGCAAGCATCGCGGCTGGGTTGGCACCAAGGGTATCAACAAAAACCATAGCAGCACCTTGGATGATGGCGAAAAAATGATCGGGGGTTTCATAGGTATTCACGAAGTCAACCCACGCGAGCAGATCACGAAGAGAAAGAGAGGTGGTTGAAGTGTTTTGAAATGTAATCTTGAACCATTTCGCAAATTGCAGCATTGCTTTTGCAATTCGCTCGTCCTTCAAATTTAGTTTCATTTGTAAGATCGGCAGGATATCTTCATCTTCGGAAAGCTGTGGAGCCCAGATTTCAGTCATACGGTTGCGAAGGGCGGCGGAGAGCTCGCGCTTGCCATAGTCACCACCGGGGTTCATAGTAGATAAGAATTGGAAACCACCATCTGCAACAACCATAGAATCAACTGGACCTTTCTCTGCTAACAGAATCGATCGAGCAGGCTCCAGAACACTGTTGAGTCGCTCCAAAACAGAATCATCTGCAAGAGAAATTTCGTCGAGAAGGAAAAATTGACCAGTCTTCATTGCTGTGATGAGGCTGCCATCAGACCATTCAAACAGGGCATTGCATCTTATCATGTTTTTCTGAACTCTGTGCAAGATGGTTTGATCTTTCTCCTGGCGTTGTTCAGAAGTCAATGCTGAGAATTCCTCCTTCAAGTGATCAATTGACGAAGAGGCAGGTTCGTCTCCATGGATCAGAAGGCGTAGATCATCAGACAGTTGTTTCTCGATCGCTGCTCGATTTCGAATTGGTCTTTGCGCACCAATAAGATCACCAGTCTCCAAATTCACATGGGCATTAACGATGAATAGGTCTGTCTTGAAAGCTTCTGCAACAGCCTGGCAAAGTTGAGTTTTACCACATCCAGTTTCACCAACGAGAAGAACTGGCTCATTGTTTTTGATTGCTTTGGATACCAGAACAAAGAGACGTCTCATGGCCTTAGTCCACACAATTCCAGTAGGCAGCTCACTCATCTGGGGAACATTTTGCTCTAGCTGATTAGAGCTGTAGAGTACATCCTCGTCCAGCCGAACCCTCATCACCTCTTCAATGACCTTCTTGACGGCATCCTTTTCCTGAGGGTTGCGCACACGCTCAGCAAGGAGCATGAAGCCATTGATTGCTAGTTGTTCTTTATCATCGGCATCACGCAAGGCCCATCGAAAGAGATCACGAAGTGTAGCAAAGCTGTTCTTCTGCTCAAATAGCCTGTTCGATTGACGTAGCAATGACAATTTGCGGTAGACCGAGACGATTTTTGTGCAGAAAGATGGCGCGATTTGGGAACGTTCTTTCAAAATATATTCCAGTTCGCTCTCGGGAATATCGTCGAAGTGTAACTCAAGGAAACGATTTCTGAACGCACGAGAAAGAACCTTTCGGCCACCATAAAGACCAGCAGGATTTTGCGTCGCAAAAAGCATGAAATTGGGATGTGGGTGCACGACTTCTTGTGTTTCAGGGATGAAAAGTTCGCGGTTGTCGTCCAGAAGTCGATTCAAGGCCTCGAGGACATCGGAGGGTGCCAAATTCAACTCATCAAGAACGATCCAATATCCATTTCTCAGCGCCTCAACCAACACACCTTCTTGGTAACGCAAGCTACCATCATCAGAAGAAACATATGATCCGAGATACTCTTGTAAATCCGTATGCTCGTGGTTGTTGATACGAACGAATTTGTTCCCAGAGACCTTCGCAAGATATTCAATCAAACTTGTCTTTCCTGCAGATGTAGGACCCTGCAGTAAGACGGGGAAACGACGAGTCGAGCTGGCTCTCACCAAATTTTTGAGGTTCTTCTCGATAAATGGAGTAATGATGTAATGGGGCTGCTCTTCGGGGGTCAAAGGTCCACGGCGCATCCAGTAGTGTTTGAATTGAACGTAGTCATTGCCGTCTACAGGCGGTTGGGGGGTCTGGCCAAGGAGTGACCGTGCGTTCTTCGCATTGCTGAATATGTGCGTTTCAAGAAGAGGAATCAAAGATCGTTCAGACTCTAAGCTAAGGACCGTCAAAAAACTCATATTGAATCCTTCGAAAATTGCTCGACGCAGGCCGTACACGTGCGCATGGTCATTGACGTATATGAGGGCCCGAACAAGAGTTCGAATGCTGAAATGCGGTCGCTGTCCGGCGCCATCGGTAAGTTTGTTGTCATTGCTGAGCTTCTTGGTCACCATGTACAATTGTGCAAGGTCCGGTGCAGCCCGAGGATCACGAATAATCAAGTCACCGAGGTACTTCTGGATCAAAGCGAGGAGATCATCCAAGTCGGTATCCGGGGAGTGCACGTAGAATTCGGTGAATCGCGAGCGCAAGCCAGGAGGCAAATCCCTTTTACCGGCATCTGTTGCTGGATTCATTGCGCCAAAAATGCGAAAGTCGGGGTGGCCAAAGACTCTCTCAACGTCACCAGCTTCAGACAATAGGACGGAGGGCGTCCCTTCGCTGCCATGATGGAGGAGACTAGCAACATTTTCGAGGGTGTCTGGTGATGCCAGATTGACTTCATCCAAAAGGACCCATTCGCCATTACGAAGCGCTCTGACGATCTTGCCTTGAACGAATGCAAATGCAAACTTAGCATCGCCTTGCGAAACTTGAGCTTCAAAGTCAGCAAGTTGTGATTCGAAACTCTCCCATCGTTGCCGCAGTTGCTGATACTTGGGCGAATCTAGTTTGCGCTTCTTGGCAGGCTGTTCATCACTCTTCTCGGATTCTTTGGGGATATCAGTAGGCTTGAATACTCCATTGGATAATCGTACAGCCTCATGCCATAAATTAACCAAACGCACCCAGTTTGCAGCGGCAACACTCTTCGAGACAGAAGACAAAAATTTTTGATTCTTCTTCGCAGAGAATGTCAGTTCAAAGAGCTGGTTGAACTCATCCAGCATTGGAATAGCCATTGTGCGAATGCTAACAGGTTTAAATCCTCCCAAAAGGTCAGTACTCTCACTTTGCTGTGACAAATTGACTACAGTGAGCTTTTGGCGCATCAAAGTAGCAAGCTGCTGAATAACGGTTGTCTTTCCAATACCAGTCTCTCCAACAAGTAGAACTGGCTCCGCCATTTGGATTGAAGCGGCCACTTGCTCCATGATTGTCAAAGCTGACCTTGTCGAAGCAAAGCGCGAGCCTGCTGCTGCGAACTTCAAGGCCGAACCACTGGGTACCTTGATCTTCTGACAGACTTCTCGACCAAGGGTCAGACTATTGTTCTTGTCGGTGTAATTTGGAGTTCTTTCATTAAGGCAAAATTGTGCGCGTTGGGGTGAGATTTGCAGCGCCTCGGCAACCACAGAAGCGAGAGAACTCTGCATAGACTTCTCTGGCAGATACTTTAGAAAGATGTCGACGATGTCAAGCAAAATTTCATCGTCAATGGCTTCTGATGTCGGTTCGTAGCCAGTTTTAGCACCCATGCGTTGTAGCCGCCGGTGCAGACGACTGCAGAGCTTAATCAGATCACGGAAACCAGGAGTACGTCCCTGCGAGCCCTTGATGGCTAAGCTTCCATGGAATGCAGAGCACACCTTTCCATAAACATCCATAATGACAGGTACCCTGGACTCCAAGAGAGGGTGTTTTTGTAGAATGACGTCTCGCATCTCGTCGATTTGAAGAGAAGAAACAGGCACTCTCTGCCATAATCGGCTGCCTAGCATAGAAGAGCTCGGTGCAATCTCTTCTCCTGCAATATTGTAAGATGACTTCATAGTGGCAATGATCTTGAAGCCCTCGGCGCACTTGATGCGCTCTCTTCTACTAGCAATAGTCAACTCGCCTCTTTCAATGATAGGCAATATGAGGCCAAGCACTTCAGATGGAGCACGATTAAGGTCTTCAATCAAAACCCAGCGACCTTCTCTGGCGGCTTTTGTTAAGACACCCGGCTGCCAGGAGAATGACCCTGTAGCTGAAGAAGTGGCATACATTCCAAGAAGACTCTTGGCATCCGTTTGCTCGTTGAGATGAAGTGTCACCATTGATTCCGCCTGGCCCATGGTGGACGCAATATCATTGATCAACGAAGTTTTTCCGGAATTTGGCAGACCAATCAGCAGGATAGGCTTGAATCCCAACAATGACTCGCCAATTCGACGCAAGTTCTGGGTAGTTGTTTTAGTCTTGACAATGAAAGAAGAAGCCTTTGCCAAGGGCGCATCCTTCAATCGTGGAATCAAAACACCAGACACATCAGCGGATCGTGGAGTGAAAAAGTCTCGCAATCGCTCTACCAATTTGATAGCATCAGCTTCTGGTCGTTGCTGTCGAGTAATTTGAATCTGTTTCCCAAGAACCGCCCATCTGCGCTCTTCCCATAGACCCAGAAGACGATAGTCGATTGTGATTTCTTCCCATGTCCCCTCAATAGGCTCGGTTCCGGTATTTACACGCAACATATTTTCGGTGGCAGCATCGGCTGCATGCATATAAAGGGCAAAGCATCGTATCGCAAGGTATCGAATAATGGGATCTTCGTGGGGAAACAGAGATTGGAGCTGGATCGGCGATACGGCTTTGGAAAATGTCTCCAAATCAAATGATAGAAGGCGGAAAAGCGCAAGAAGGAGCGTCCTAACACTACTCGTTTCCAGTTGTCGTAATGTAAGTTCTTTCGAGCTGACCAACGCTGACAGAGATCCAGCCTTTGACAAAGCAAATTCACCGGCGAAGGATCGGAGGTATGGAGCAAATGGAAGGACACGGGCGAATGCGGCCAGGATATGAATTGGGTCTGCTTGAATATCGGATCGAAGCCATCGAGCAGCCAGATCAACCACGATTGGTTCGTATAGTCGGAAGACACTTTCTGTGAATTTTGTGTCTAATGCGCCAATCGCAAGCGCGTGGAGCTGTTGAATCCCGGATAAAGACTGAATGAGATTAGAGAGTTCATTCGGGAGTTGATCGAGCAACTCGGACTCGGAGAGAGTCCTCTCGTAGACGGGCCGTCCATTCATTGTGAGACCCGGCTGCGTAGAGGGAGCTCCTTTTAACAAAGGTATAAAAAATGTAAAATGTTGTTAAGAACAGATGAAATTGTCTGCTCTTTTTTTTTCTGTTCTGCCATGTCCCGACAATCAAGCCCCACTGATTCCGCTCACCGCCCACTATTTACTGGGGTGACTAAGCCCCCCAGCTTGCGCAGCTCCGATACAGCTTGTGTTCCAGGCCAACTTTCCTTAAGACGCGCCAGGAGATGCTGAATTTTGTGGCATTCATGGTTCAAGATGTCAATGACGGGTCATGGCGCGGGCAGTGATGATCACTACGAGCCAACATACCCAGATCAACCCGATCAGGAAATCGATCCTCTACAACCCCAAGATGTCCACAGCAACACGGAGGGGTTGCACGAACCGTGAGTGCGACAGGATATCGTGAAATGAGTCTTTGCTTATGATGTGAATAATGTTATAGTATTTCCTTCAAACCAAAACCAAAGCGACAGTCCCAATCACGATTTAGTCTTTCGAACCTCTTCTCGAACACCGCCGGCGGGTCGAATCTAGGGCTTGGCATAGGGCGAGCGCCAGATGGAGAGAATGGAGATGCAACATCACCCTCGGAGCCTCATGGGCCAATTGGGCCGAATGGCAATTCAAACGCTACTAAGGATGGAACTCCTCTAGATTGGTATGTGGAGGGCCCCGGCCGACGTGTCGGATACGATGACTTTACCGCAATCGACTGGATCTATGAGTATACCAAAGAACGTCAAAGAAAACGATTGCTCTATTCGAGTGGACAAGGCTTCATGGGGCATGCTCGTCGAATGCTAGAGGCCAGTAATATTTGGTTCGTTCTAATTGCCACAGGTGTTGCAGTTGGAATTATCGCTGCTTGTATTGATATCGCTACCAATTGGCTTGGGGATCTGAAAACTGGGTACTGCAAAAGTGGTAACGGGGGTGGGAAATTCTATTTAAATAAGAACTTTTGCTGCTGGGGTCTAGACGGTATGAAATCCATATTTCTCGTGCAGTCTTTTTCCACTGCTAATAGCCATGACAACAGATCATACAAAATGTCAAGATTGGACGCCCTGGGGGTATGCCCTAGGTTCCTCCTCCATTGGTGGCCGATTCGCTATTGAATACATGTTCTACATCGTCTTCTCTGTAAGATCCCCAATACCGAGATGTCTCATTTACCGTTTTATTCCATTCTAATGATCTCCAGGTGATATTTGCGTTAGCAGCGTGTGTCCTTGTGCGCAAGTTCGCCATATACGCACGTCATAGCGGAATTCCAGAAATTAAGACTGTCCTTGGAGGGACAGTCATTCGGCATTTCATGGGACCTTGGACGCTGGCCATTAAATCCCTTGGCTTGGTATGTCATATTCAACCGTATGTGCTCTACTCATATCACTAACAATTTCAACAGTGTCTCGCAGTCGCATCTGGTCTGTGGCTGGGCAAAGAAGGCCCACTGGTACATGTTGCATGCTGCTGTGCCAATATAATGATGAAGCCATTCAGTAGTTTGAATGGCAATGAAGGTGTGTAGATCCCCACAGCCACAAGTCTTCATTCTCATACTAACAAAATCAGCACGGAAACGTGAGGTACTTTCCGCCGCCGCCGCCGCAGGTATATCTGTCGCCTTCGGCGCTCCTATCGGGGGTGTGCTCTTCAGTTTGGAGGTAAGAGTCCCCCAAAACAATGAACACGTGAATGGCATGCTGATTTTACAAGCAACTATCATACTACTTTCCAGATAAGACAATGTGGCAAAGTTTTGTCTGCGCCATGGTCGCTGCTGTGACTTTACAAATGATCAACCCATTTCGCACCGGGAAGATTGTTCTCTATCAAGTCACCTATACACGAGGGTGGCACCGTTTTGAGATCATCCCATTTATCATCCTTGGTATTGTTGGTGGTCTTTTTGGAGCCTTCCTCATCCGTGTGAACACAAAGATCGCCCAGTGGCGGCGATCTCGGGGCTGGTCACGACCCTTCTTGGAGGTCGCTATTGTGGCCCTTTTAACAGCTTTGATCAACTTTCCAAATCACTTTATGAGAGCTCAAAACTCCGAACTTGTTCAAGCATTGTTTTCGGAATGCAGCAGTGATACGTTTGATCGTTTTGGTCTCTGTGTGTCAGGACCTGCATCTCTAGGTGTTGTTGCTATGCTACTAGTAGGTGCCGCATTGGCATTTCTCCTGGCATCTTTAACATTCGGTCTTGATATTCCGGCTGGTATCATCCTGCCTTCAGTTGCCATCGGGGCCCTATACGGGCGGGCTTTGGGCATGTTGGTCCGAATGTGGCAGGAAGCCTACCCAAAAGCCTTCCTCTTCGCCAAGTGTGAGCCCGATATTCCGTGTGTAACGCCCGGTCTTTACGCAATCATTGGTGCGGCATCTGCACTCGGTGGTGCGACGCGAATGACTTTGTCAATTGTTGTCATCATGTTCGAGTTGACTGGCGCCCTAACATATGTCATTCCTATCATGATTGCCGTGATGTTGTCGAAATGGTGTGGTGATATTTTCGGCAAGCGCGGTATTTACGAATCATGGATTCACCTTAACGAGTATCCCTTCCTTGATCACCGAGACGATACCAATCCGCCAGATGTTTCTGCTCACCGAGTCATGACCACGGCAGATGATGTCTCCGTAATTACTGCCACTGGACATACTATCGGCTCGCTCCTCAGCCTCGTTTCTAATACTAGCTATCGTGGATTCCCTGTTATAACTGAAACTTCGACGCCCATTCTTTTGGGTTATATCACTCGAAATGAGCTGTCTTATGCATTGAACTCGACCTCCCCTACGAATCGCAACCTTTCTAGCGAGACTCAGGTTATCTTTGTCCATCAGCCTTTCGCAGATCCTGTCGATACACTAGATCTTCGACCTTGGATGGATCAAACTCCAATCACACTCAATAGCAACATCAGCTTTTTAATCGTGTTGCGCATGTTCCAACGGCTCGGCTTACGCTACGTGTTGTTTGCCAACAAGGGAATCTTGCAAGGTCTTTTGACCAAGAAAGATGTCTGGGCCGTCCTTAATGGTGTCGAATTCCGCAGGCAAGAGGCTCTTCGAGATGACAATCTCCATCACGATGCTCATGGGGCCGAAGAGGTCGGCCTACTACAGTCTGATGGGAGGAGCAGTCTCGGCAGTTCTCTGAGAAGAGATTCTTTTTAAGATATGGTCTGTAAAGATTTATATTTTGTACATCATAACTGTAATTTTTCTCTGGTGTTCGAGGGGCTTCGCGGAATGCTTTCTATCTTAACGATCTACCTAGACAATGGATATACCCTTCATTTCCTGCTATGACGAACCAGTAAGACTGCAGTATTTGATTCAAGTCATGCATTTGTAAATAGTGATAAACCGGTCGTTTCAATTATAGAATATCCGAATTTTAAGTGTTTTAATTGATTCCTCCATCCTACGTAGATAGATGAAATCTGCATAATTTCCAAAATTCCCTGATCAAGGTCGTGGCAAATGGGCCATTTCTTGCTTCTACCTTAAATTCCGTGCAGCTGCTATTCTGCTGGTGCCTACCGCCCGCCCTCCGCGATGATCCCCGATATCACCAAGTTCGCGAAATGACAACCTCATCATTTTTCTTTTGAAAGTTGCTTTTCCCAAGGGGAACCCAGATTCCAAGATGATGGTCGATCCTTTTGAAGTGCGCATGCGCTTCACAACTCAATTACAACACCTGAGCGCATCAGTTACATCCTCACAAAAAGCCGCCCATTATGCCCTCAAATACCGCGATCTGGATGAGGACCTTCATTCTTGCATTTTAGAACAAATTGAAAGGGTACGCTTGTTCCAATGATACCAATGGATATATAAGTTGTGCTAATCTTACCACTACAGAATAATATGAACACCCGAGCGAATATAATGTCCTTCATCGAACACTTCTGCGAGATGGCCACCAAGGAAGACCACCTTCCCTACGTGAGAATGATGCAGCGCGATATTCTTCGTGTGGTTGATGCGGTCGTTCCTCCCGACGGAACTGGTGCCGCCAATGTCAAGCATGTGCGGCGAGTTCTCGGTAGTCTTCAAACGAAAGAAATTCTTTCCGCCGATACTGTCGCAGAGATCGACGCCGCCCTCAAAGACCGTGACTCACACCACGAACATCTAGATGAACAAGAAGATGGAAATGACGATAGCGCTCAATCCAAGGCTGGAACGCCACACCCCAAATCATCCGTACGTCTCGACAAGCGCCAGATCGAGCAGCGAATTGAGGAAGATCGTGAACGTAACAAACGTCTTCGAGAAAGTATGTGGGCCGTCACTGGTGACGACATTGAGGAGTGTCAGAGGTTCTACGATGAAGTCAGTGACATTGGCGAGGATGATTTTCTTAATGCCAGGGAGGAGGCTGAAGAACGTCGTCTTTGCGGCGAGGCTTTGTTGAGACAAAATGAGCGAGAGTACGCCCCGGCTTCCTGATGAGCCATTTCCCCTATATAGTGCTTGCTGCTTTGCGGTTATGATTATGATGCATTTGGTTTGGTTGGCGTTTCTTGCATGGCACGGCGTGTTTTGCCTTTCGGGTTGTTCAGCATCAGGCTTGGGTGTTTGGATCAAGGACATTTTGAGATACCAACAGTGCGTCCTCCGCAGAAACATCTTGAGAATTCTTATGAGCAATCAATATAGTATATCCTGGCTTTGCCAAATCTAATATCTCTTGTGGAAAGATTACTTAAAGTACAAAAGAGTAATGGACCCAACCCCAGATGTTTGCGCTCTAATGGTTCAATGTTGCATGCTATGGATTGCTTCAAATGTTGAAACATCGCATATAATCGAACAATTTTGAACTTTCTAACAATGCTTGAGTATTCATCTATGTATACTAGGTATCTTGCGATAAATTCGCGCGATTTAATGAAAATGAAGTGAGGTTTCACCAACTTGGAAATACTACTAGTATGTTGGTCAATTCGAAGGTTGAAAAATATGGATCGACTCGGAGGCGATACTACTACTGTAATACTATGTCAAAATATATAGATACCTCCGGGCTACATTTATAGGCGGTGCCAAGCTTTTATTATTTAGTAGGTAGCTTTAATAGATGCATCCTACACCTGATATTCCCAATGAAAGGGTCTAAACTAGAGATAAAGTAATATAAAACTTATCAAACAAATATTTTTTAATTCACCTTTATCTTTGGCTGTTCATTGTAACTAGATGTCCACGGGTGGCGCAAACATCTCCACTTGCTGTTATCCAGTATAGGTCACATGACTTCCTTATCAGCCATGGATCTCGGGAAATCCTAAGGCCGATTAACTATTTTTTTTGTAGTCGCATCCCGCAGCAGCTCGACACAGCAAAGTCTCCCACGTTCGGGCCTGTACTCTTTTTTTATTGGTTTTCACAGTCCCTCTATGTTCTCGAATATAGTCACTGCGGCTAAGGGTCTCTTCACGCGATCGGATTCTCAAGAGAGTTCTACAGATCCTGCTGGCACCTCCGCCGCAATCACATCAGAAATGGCGAACTCCACTCGACAAGGACCTGCTGCGTCTAAAGACACTTCCGAGGCCCCAAAGACGAATGGTGTAAAGAAGCAAGGAAAGCGCAAGGCACCAAGTGATGAACAGCAGACCAAGCGACGAAAGCAAAATAGCCTCAAGGCTGCAGAGAGTGACGGCGAAGAATCCGAATCTCCCAAGATCCCAGCCGCTGGCGAGAAGAAATCCGCAGACTCTGAACCCAAAGCGCACTTTCGATTCGGAAGCGAGGAGCCTGAGACACCAGAGATCCAGCCGGAGGAGATCCCTCAAGCACCCAACCAGGATGAGGAGAGTGACAGCGACAGCGACGATGCGCCAGAGACAATCGACAATTCTGCACAACTCTTGAAGATCAAGGAGCAAGCAAAGAAACAAGAAAAGTTAAAGAAATTGTAAGTATAGATTCCTTATCTGACTCGGGCTTTCCCGCAAGGTCGTTTTCTTACCAACGCCTACACAGAGAGGAACAAGTGAAGAAGGACAAGCGGAGAAGAATAGACGAGCGCCGGAAATTGCAAGCAAAGCCAAAGGCCAAGGAAGCTGCCCCTAGCGACGACCTTTCTGAAAGCACAGCAACTCTTCAGGGCTCGAGCACACAAGACGCAAGCCGAAGTGCTCTCCCCGCATTGCTCCCCGATGACATTTTGAATGCCGAGCCTGTTCTTCGACTTCCCTCTCCACTGGCAGATGATTCATCTGTACGCACCAAGCCAAACAAGTTGCGATTCCTTGACAAGACCGAAAAGGCGCCCAAGGACGTTCGGGCTGGCGATGTTACCATTCGAGTTCTCGATGCACCATCTGTGAAGAAGAATTCCAGGCCCGCCTTGCCTCCCAAAGCTTCAAAGACTGGGCTGAATGTCAAGGATAATTGGCTGAATAGAAAGCGGAGCACTGGGTATGTCAATGGACTGCGAAGGACGGCAGGCGGTCCTTCAGGATTTGTGCGCCGGTGAAATTTGTAAAATTGTCATTGTTTAAATATTCATAGCGACTTCGGGATGTTCATTGACGTTCTGTCAAATATCATGACTCAAGTTAATTAAACTGCAACTTGCCTGGTGCGATTCTCAGTACACTGAGGTTATCACCAGTTCTGCGTAGAAAATGCAGCGAAAAATGTGCATCTCAGTGGAAGATAAAATATTTCGTCCCAGAATTCTTCAAATATATATAAGAATTGGATCAAATTGATTCACGTATAGACTTTTATAGCAATCCAATTCCCTATACCTTCCCGGTTGAGCGGACTTGCCCAACGTCCATGCAGATCGCAACGATTAATAAGGTGGGGACCGCACGTGCGGAGCTCCGTCCTTCGAAGCTTCAACCTTGATTTTTCCAGCGTCTTTCCACCCATTCTCTCCCAAGCGGAGTCGCCTGTTCTTTGGCCATGGCGTCTACTGCAGAAGAAACCCCCTTGTTGCACAACCAGCAAAACCCGGCGTCCCCGCGGGCGAGTCGGACGTCGCGGTCGGTGTCATTTAACCCTCTCACGACAATCAGTACTTATGGCGGCACCTCCGCGGATCCCACCTTTCGCCCTCTACAGGCCAGCTCTCCTCCAGTGCAAAGTGTCAATGCGCAAGGTGGCTCTCCTCGGCCTTCTAGCCAGCCTATGCTGTCGGCATTGAACAGCAAGCTCCGACGACGCAATAGTCATATGGCTCCATTGAGTACGACGCAGAACATCGCCAGCGCCCCGAAGATTGGACCACAACGTACGACCAAGAAGGCCCAGAAATTGAAATTATTACCAGACCCTATTACTGCGGAAGATGAGGAAGAAACTGACGGAGAAAATCCGCGCGATGTCTATTCACAGATCACTCGTATCAAAGAACCGGCCGCGCGAAGCCACGCTGCTCGATTGGGCAAGGCCGACCGTGACCGCATTCCTCGGGTGACTGCATATTGCACTGCCAACTCATATCGCTTGGAAGGAGTCATCAAATTTCTGAAGTCTAGGGCAAAGACTCGCGGGGCCAATCCTAAACTCTATGACGAATGTGTCTATTCCGGCTTCGACTATCAATACGAAGAAAAGCAACAACAAGCCAGATTCCCCAACTCCGGAAACAATGGGCATCATGAAAGGAGAACCAGTGAGCGCAGATATTCGGACAGTGCTGTGGAGGTGGAGGATAACACGAAGTCCCGAAGAGAAGATTTCATGGATTTTCGAGAGGACGCAACTGCTCATACCAGCGACAACACAGAACAAGCAATCGTTACATCACCTGCGGATGAGCAATTCCATATTGATACCACGATCCACAGACCTGAAGTTTTCCTGTTTGACTATGGTACTGTTGTCATATGGGGTATGACGCCTTCACAAGAATCGCGCTTCTTATCCGACATATCAAAATTCGCCTCCTCTATATTGAGCCCGGACGATACTCAGGTTGAGAACTTCAACTTCTACTATGCACGCGAATACCAGGCTAGGATATACAACGATTTCATCTCCCTCCGCGACCCGCGCAACCATATGATCAAGTTGGCAATCTCACATGCTCTCGCTCAATCGGTCAAAACCTCTCTGTTTGAGGACCTTGTTTCGGAAACCATTTCAGATACGGCTCCATTACCCGCTCAGATTGCGCAGACCGGTAGTGTCAACTTGACACGAAAACAAATCAACATGCAGATTGGAGAGTTATTTATCCTGCGAATCAACATCCATCTTCAAGGTTCTGTTCTAGACAGCCCAGAGCTTTTCTGGGCAGAACCCCAGCTGGAGCCTGTGTACCAAGCTGTTCGAAGCTACCTTGAAATGGACCAAAGAGTTAGTCTACTTACTGAACGACTTGATGTCATTGCCGATCTTCTTGCTGTACTGAAGGATCAATTGACACATCGTCATGGTGAATACCTTGAATGGATTGGTACGTCATTCCTCCTCGCTGATCATATTACCCAGGAATCTTGCTAATTAGATCATAGTTATTGTCTTGATCGCCGCAGAGATCCTTGTTGCCGCTATCAATATTGTCGTTGATCTTTACGCCGGCGTGGATTGAGTTCTCATGCTGCATAATTCTCGACAGACACCAGCCCAGATTAACAGAGAGAGCAAGCCAGAATATCGAGTCATTCACCCGACGTCTGATACCTTGAACGTGATACCTTGCATGATACAATCCAAGGCTATGGGAAAAGCAATATTCTTGTGTTTTTAACCATAGTTTATTCACAGCCTGGTAGGATTTCTGCTTACCGTCTTATTTCATTTTTTTTCTTTTTCCGCCGAAGCTCTTCTGAATGCGTGCTCGCTGTACAGAAAGATGAAACCCCGCACATGCTATCTAATCTATTACTGTCTTTTTTACGGGGATCGGAGTTGGCCTGGGTTCGCAAATTTGCAATGGAATGGGGTTCCGGTGCAAGCCATTCCTGGTTTATGTACGGATCATTCTTGTTAATACCTCAAATGTATGGATATCGGTCAACGCCATGATTTCAGTCACGATGGCACTGTCTCAAGATGAACTTTCAGTAGCTGTTTAACTTATCTGTTACCTCGTATTTAGATAGGATTTTAGTTACGAATGAAAACCGTGAAAGTTCCATACAGCTTTTTCTTGTTGTAAATTGCATGCCCTGCCATTAATTGTCTAGATATCATCACCTGGGCTTATTCATAGGGTCTATTAATTGACATGGGAATGTAAGAAGAGACAGACGAAAAAATCGAGATCAGAGAGCCCCGGAGGATGAATCGATTAAGCGGCTGATACCAAAGCTACATATTGGGGCTGTTGACAGGGGAAACAGACCTGACCACCATAAAGTCACTGAAAGGAGAGCAGGGGAGAAAAAAAGAGAGAAAGAGGACATAGATTCTTCCAAGGTTCCAATATACCATCCATTGGATCCATATTACACAACTCCATTCCACCCAAATATCGAAAATACAAAAAAACTGCAAACCTCAAACAAAAAAACACGAAGAGAGAGGGGGATATAATCATTATTCCTCACTCTTGGGTTCTGCCGTATCCATATCCATCGGGGTAGTCCCGGAGTCCGGACCTGCCTCAACAGCATCACCCGCCTGGGCACCCTCAGACTGTCCCTCGCGATTATCCTGACTGCGCGGCGTTTGCTCGCCTTCCTGGGTCTCACCATTGCTACCACCCTGAACACGGAAGGAAGAGGTAAGCTCCTGCTGGTTCGGGGCAGGCGCAAGGCGGGGCAATCCATCCATGTCTGCAGGGTCAGCACCATCATGGCCTTGCTGGTCATCGTCGCCGCCTTCACCATCAGCAGGCAGATTGGATTTGCGAGAGCGTTTAACTCGGAGTGGGCGTTCTTCAGGCTGGTTCGCAAAACTAAGTTAGTGCTATGTTTCGTCAGGGATTGAGCTGTGATGTTTTCGATATTCCGGAAGAGAAATAGATGCGAGTGTAGTGTGGTGTCATGCGGAGAACCTCGGGAAAGTAGAGACCAAACGGATATATAGCTTGTCTAGGCTACTTACTGTTCTTGGCTGCTCGTCGGAGCTTCCCTCTGTCTCGTCCTCGAGATATCCGCCGTTTGCTGTCTGATCTGGTCCGAGACCGTTCAATGAGGTTGCGCTCGACATCATTGCTGCGGCCCGAGCACGGAGTTCGGGGTCTGCGGCGCCGGACTGGGCTTCGTCGCCCATGGCGGTGACTTTTGCGAGGCGTTCTAAGAGCATGCAGGATTCGAGACGCATCTTTTGGATATAATGGAGACCGCGGCGGTTGCGGGTGCGCATAATATCGTTCTCAGCCTCGATTTCGGCGAGTCGTTTCTTCAGCGCAATGCATTTGCGTTTATAGGCGATCTCGACGCTGGGGGGATTGGCGATCCGGATACTTTGTGTTGTCGTTTTCTCCATTGTGAAAATGTGGGAAGGAGGCGCTTGTTAAGTTTTATGATTTTTGCAGCGGGAGTTTTAGGATTCTTTGTAGATCGGTCGGTCCTCTTGGGGCCGGCCTGTGTGAATGAGGTGTATTCGGATGGGTGAAGTGAGGTTGGAGATAATGGGTGGTGAATGAGGTGGGGCAGATTGAGAGACGATAGCTATATCTGTACGAACTCTGGATGCCAGTAGTAAATAATATATGAGACGGTCAATTAGGGTAGGTACTGAATTGAAAGAGACCTTGGTTGTGTTTCAAGGAGCGGATACAGGGAGTCGCGGCGCACTCGACATTCTGCCAGGATAATAAAAGGCGGTGAATAGTATATTGACTATCATGAACATCTACTTAAGCTACTTAATCATCCTTAAGTTAGTGTCCACCAGTGGTGGGCAGGCCCAGGAACACCTTGAATGAGTCATAACTAAATCATAAAATGTTAGTAGAAGTGCTTGTGAGCGCAGGGAAGAGCTGAAAAAAACATACATCAACCATTGGAATCCTGTCAATGTGCCCAGCATCACAATACGGACGGGCAATCCATTCCACAACCCAGAGAATCCAATGTTGCCATAAATCCTAGATACGGCAGTCATGGCACCCTCGCCAGCTACAAGAACCATTAGCCTCCTCAGATGACCTGCAGATACAACAGACAAAAACTTACCTTTCCGATCGGCATTCAACTTGCTCACCATAACATCAGCTGGGTGACTAACAATCGCACAGAATATACCAGCGATATAGCCACCCGCGAAACTGACACCAGTTTGAGTCAACTGGCTATACTCCTCCTTAGGCTTACCCATGGTCTGGTAGATCATCTTGACAGTCTCCTCAAAAGTCGCGAACTTGGTCATGGTGTAAGGGATCTGACGCGCCCAAAGCGGATACAAGCCCTTGTAAAGGCCGGAAAAGCCCTCCTTCGCAACAATGCGACTCCAGCCCTCGCGTAGGTTGTTGGCATATGGTGGTAAGGTGGTCTGCATGCGGACCTTGATGGCCTCCATCGGGCAGAGAGCCATGTCGGCGAAGAACTCAGCCGAAGCACTAGCTCCCAGGAAGACGAGGGTACGATTGCTTTCTGGGAACAACTGATCGCCATAAAGATATTTGAAGTACTCATAGAGACCGTACTTTCCGGCACCCTGCATCGAGTATCCTATGAAGGTCGGCGACCAGCCGAACAACACGCCGCGCAGGCCCTCCTTAGCGAAGATGCTGCGCCATGCCTGTATGTTCGAGGTGTAGATCTTTGGATCGACTTGGCGACGGCACTTGACGAGATCTAAAGGTGTGACTGCGGTGTGGGTGGGCCCTGATAGATTAAACAGTTAAATAGGCTGGAAGTATATCATGCAACTGATTTTACCTACCACAAGCTAGAGACAGGCGAGAAAATTCATTAGTATTTTTTTATTTTCAAAGGAGCTGACAGGGAAGAAACATGGCGCATCATACCGGTGATACCACCCAAAGCGCAGCTGTAGAAGTACTTGGCGGAGTTGGGCTCGATCTTCCCAAAGGGAAGCTTGCGTTCTTGTTGGGCCATTGTCGCGTAAAAAGTGAAGAGAGGAGAGTGGACAGAAACTAAAATTCAAGAAGCTGAAAGATGCACAATTCAAAGATAAGAAATATCCAGACTGAGAGGGGAAAGCTTGGTGGAATGTCGTCAGAGTGCCCAATGCACAGCTTGTTATTCCCCCAGCCCACTGTGCACTGGGGCGACGGGAACGGTTAGACCGGCAAGATGGGTCTTATCAGTACCACCTCGATCGCCGATCATGTACAGAAGCTTTAGGATGATCAGATCACCTGTTCCCCTGGTCTAAAATCTACGTATATGTAAGGTAAATATACGTAGATAATGTACCTGAGGCTTCTACGGAACAATATACATGCGTTTTTAGTAAACCATGTCTAGTCCTACGAAGCTCCCTATGATGAACAAACCATAAACTCACAATCAAGACTATAAGCGCCATGACGTCATGATATCCGGTTGGTGCCGCTTGTATCAAAAGCGGAAAATGTTATTATTCATAATTCTAGTGCATTTTATACATGTTGGACCAAGTTATGTACATAAGATGATTGTGACGCCAAAGCCCACATAAATTTACTTCCCCTCAAAACAACATTTCAGGGCTTGACTCAACAGCACCACCAATATGAGGGGGAGGATCCTGGAAGGAATTTGCATCACTATGCATTCGCTGAGCCTCCCGTGCTAAAATCAAGGCAAGATTGATCCCTTGTGTAGTTCCAATCCGAAATAATACGGTGCGAATGAGATTCACCTGGTGTGGCGTAGGCATACCACATGAAAGAATATACCAGTACGGCCAGATCAATCCGTAACTCTGAGCGGCTCGGACGGGCCTCTCTATCTTGCCCGGTATAGTTGGTCGGCCCATGGTATCCACATCGGCCATGGCAAACGGGATACTACGGCACACATCGGCAGTCATTTCTTTGACGAGTGCTCGCAAACTGGTCTCTTCGGGCGTAGACTTGGTAGTAAGGGGATCGCCTGGTCGCTTTTCTTTCATTATAACGATGGAGAGGGTTCGATTGAGGCTGAGAAGGAGTTGTTGTAACATAACACGTGCAGCACGGTAATAGTTCCAGACCACACAATTCGAAATTCGGTTATATGTGATCAGGGTCTCACCTTGGGCGGAGTAGACTACCAGTGGTAGCCAACGATCGGTCAAGTGAAGCGTCCATTGAGATAATTCGAAATCGCACTCCTGTCCCAACCTAATCCACTTTTTGACAATATCAACGTTAGGTGGACTGGGTGTAGATTGCATAGCTAAGAAAAGCTGACTGAGTTTGGATGTGGCAAGCATAAGTCGCTGGATAGGATCTTCTCTATCCAATTGATCTAGGATCCAATCCACATCAACCCTAGGCTTCTCACCTAGTGCAAGGACTTCGACATACTGCTGCTTATTTAGAACTGATCGTCACGAGAGGGTGAAAGAGGAGTAAATTAGCATACCGTATGCGCATAGGCAAAGTTAAACATGTCGCGACCCTGTCGATTATTGAGCTGGCCTTCGCCCCGAAGTTTCATGAGGAACTCAAAGCCAGCCGTGTGAGAACTATTTAGCCCATTCCGTTCACCGGAGACGTCTTCAAATAATGATAGAAGAACGACAGAGGCAAAAGTTTCATCCTGAAGGGCTTCAGTAGGCGAATCCAACGCACCTCGTAAGGTACTTAAAGCCTTGCCATATCCTCGACGTGCCCTCGTTATAAGTTGAGGGGCTTTTGAAACATTACCAAGAGCCATGAGGGCCGTGGCCTCTATAGCCCACGAGAGACAGGGAGATGTTGCCTTCCCCCGGTTGAGCTGAGTATATAACCCAGGTAAGTAGTCCAAGTGACCCATCCCATCTTCGAACTCAGGATTAATTATGTATTGATCGAAAAAATAGCATACTGCACGCTCTTGCCAGGTCGAATCAGCCATAGAAATCAACGATAACGAAGAACCGCTGCTGCTGCTGCTGCTCGGAATTCCACCATGACGGTCAAAAATTATAGGCGACTGAGAGTCCGGCGTCACACTTTGACTATTAGATGGGGGAGGAATGACTTTTTTTGCTTGGCGCTCAATCTTCCAGGTCTCATTGCGAAAGACCCCATCAGGTCGATAGCCAGGGCAAGGCCGGCCATAGATTCCACAGTTGCGGCATCCAGGGCGTGCCTCATCACACTAGACATTTTCTTAGCAAATAATGAACAAGTTGAGACTTGGAGGGAAAATGTAAACAAGCATCTTAGATCTTAGTCCAAGTGATGCCACATTTACTAGTCTTACCTTGATCTTTCTCTTGCGACACAAGTGGCATCCGGTGCTGGGTTTGCCACCATACACCATTGTTTAATTTTAGCCCTCCGTGCAGGTGTAGTACCTATCAGTGCGGGGAAAACTTGGTGGCGGCGATTTGGTGGGCTCCCGTTCACGCCGTTAACGGTGGGACTTAGTAGGAAGGACACGGCTGATCGGGCCGCATGCACAACCTAAACTTTGTCTAAATCCAGTTGCAGGAGCAGTAGAGAAAACACGGGGACAAACCCGATGTATAATTTGAACCTGCGGTCCCATGAATTAGGAGTGAGACAGCTACTCAGCTCTGATGGGTTTACGGCGTCAGGAGAACGCCCATTAGTCAGCATTTTCCGCTGCATCGGGCCGAACGATGCATGTTCATAGTTCATGTGTATAATGGAGTTGATGAAGTTTGTCATAGAGATGTAGCGAGTTACAGGCGATCATCCAAGCCATAGCTTAATCGAGTATGGAAAAGTTTTCCACCCGGGGAATTATGGATCTTCATGAGGCCTGTGGGTTCTTGTGTTTTGATCCTTATGTACCCTTGCTAGCGCATTGCGGCTCTTTATGGGGCACCGAGGCTCAAGACCCACAAGTTAAATATGCAAAGGCGTTAAGAATCTAGATACTCTAGATTGATAAGACTTGTGCTTTTTTGTGATATTGAATCTTTTGTACTAATTTCATGAGCCCCAGGTTAAAGGCTTATATACCTCTTCCTCGCATGTTCTGCTCATTTTGCATTATAAGTCTCGTCAAATGCGTACCATTGAAGCTGTTTTTGAAAGGACTTGTGACAATCTTGATATGAAAATCACCTCGATCTATAATTTATTTAAGGCAAAAGTGTGCCCTGGGACTCGTTCTTGCGTATTACATATGTTCACTGAGGCTATTATCCTCTAGCTTAGTATTGTATCCATGTGATCAGTAATTTCTACATTCTTTTTGAAAATTTGAGCACAGTTATTTTTAGTTTTGCCTCTTTATTTGCCAGGCTCGGGCCTACAACTCTTGGATATGTTTAGCACTGCTGCTTACGCTGGTGTTCTAGAGGTCTTTGCCGACTAAAATAATACATGATACATGATTCTAACTTCCATAACAAAATGTGGGCTGTACAACCAGTTCTCTTTGACATCGATATTCTCAATCCTGTAGGGTAGTTATTATTGGGTAACAAATCTCGAAGATAAATCTTTTTGTCGGCCTCAAACAGCCATTGTATCGAGTCTTTTCTCAGAGTATACAAATAAAGTTTGAAAGCGCTAGAACATTGAGGATTGTTTCGAAGACTCATTGAGACTTAATAACAATAACTCATAATAACCCCTGAACCTTCCAAATGTCACAGATTCTATGTATGGCCCTAGGAGACAAAGAGACTTGTGAGAGTTCGAGGCTTTTGCTTTACTATCATTGTCTCGCCAGCCACAGTCTAAAATAAAAAACCTTATTGTTCAAGTTCTAAAAATTCACCACAACCAGATACTGCGTGGCATCCACAAGTATATAAAGCTCGAATATCGTCACCTGAAAACATCCATTCGACACAACTTACTCACTCATCAATACTCTAGCTCAAGCATAAGATAAACCGACGCCTGCCTCCCACCCATCCATCCAATCCACAAAAACTACAATTCAACTTCATCTTAAACCTTGCAAGTCATCCAAAGCTGAACAGGCAGAACCCTACTACATACCTATATCCATAACCATTTCAAAATGTCTTACTCCAAAATTCCCAGTATAGCTTACATGATTGGCGAGTCGAAGTGGTTCTTCGCCCAACGAGCAGAACTAGTAACCATTATCCACTCATACAGGACAGAAATCGAAGAAAACACAGAGGACATCCCAAATACATGCATCCTAATCGCAGAGCGCTTGGTAGAAATAAAGGTTGCAATTCTACCTCTCCGACTAATGGCTAGCCTTCAATCAAATGAAAATATTTACAAGGCCGGAGTAATGGAGAAGTGTGGACCAAACAGAATTGACAATATCCTAGAATGCACAAGCGATTTGCAGAAACTGCTTAAAGGTGGAGATGCCTTTCAAGCATGTGAAGTACTGACTATGGTTGCTACGCAAATTGGTAGGTTGAGACTCACAGGTACTAATGATACCGAAGCTGCTACTATGGATGATGTGGCTCTTGAGTTTGATAATATGTATGCGAAGGCTGAATTTTCCAATGTCCATGCTATGTGTTATTTGCAGGGTATTTGGAAAAAGATCGATGAAGGTACTCCTGGTTGCGGTTGTGATTACTGCTCGTCTCTGTAAGGGTAGCAAGCGAGGCTTGGGGCTGGGTGCTTTTATGCGCGAAATTTTGTTCTTTGGTGGTTTCTTTTGCATTGGTTAGCATAAGGTTCTCAGGGTTTTGCCGATGGAGTTTTACTTCTGAAATTTTCTGTGAGTGAATTTCTTGTGCATTGCTTAGCATGTCGTTCTTTTGTTGACGGAGTTTGAATTTATAATATACAAGATTGATGTTTTGATATGACTTTCGAGTTGAATAAACCATGGAGTAGTTCTAGTAAAGACTGGTAATTGGAGAAAAAGTAGGAGAATCAATAAAAACATAGATAATAATATGTCTAAAGATATCTGTAAATACTAGGGACCTTAGAATCCTGAACCTCGAAATTGTATACGATCTCCAGGGCTCCAGGCTAAACCATGATATATTTCACGCACCAACCCGTCCCTGGTCTATTGAGCCTGGATTAATGGCCGCGGATACACCCCGTCGAAGCGTTTGAAACCTGCAAGCACCCATTAAACGCCCGCATGTGTAAGACGGCCCGGTCCTCTTATCTCAAGCCACATCTTCAAATGAACCTGGAAGTGTCTTACAAACAGTCCGAATTGCAATGTTAAGAACGAAGCCATTGCATATAGGCTTGGCTTCAAGTCACTAACGAGTTGAGCTCGTGTCTTAAGCACGACCAAGAAGGATCCATAAAATGCGTCCATATATTTGTGTCTGTGAAAAGATGTTGAATTCGCGAAAAATGAGGAAAACGAATCCCAAGGTATCATTTGGGTCCAACAAATACTCCGAAATGACTCGATCTCATAGCGGGATGATATAAAACTTCAACCAAAAGGTGCATGAATTTGCCCGATTACTTATGTAGCCAGGACTATGAACGAAAACTCGAAAACTCCACAAATGATTTCACAAATGACTTCACCAACATGGAGCTGAACCGACGAAAATCCATATGAAAGGCAACACCAAATATGCGACCGCTTTGTATTTGCTCTTGTCAAAGACAGGAGAGAGCGGCTCAATCTGAGAATTGAGAATGGATGACAAAGAAATGCACGATGGAGGCCAAGGCCCGCGATGCTAGCAGGTAAACGGTAGATATGAAAGGGTGAATAAACAGGGGATATCAGTGATCGTTAGATGGTGGGATATATGCGAATAAAATGATGAATGGATGAAACTAGGAAACTAGGACGGCGCATCGGGCATAACCTGGTCGGCATCACTCATGATAGCGGGGGGAGGGTCTGAGCATAGTGCTCGTGCTCGTCGTGGGTTATAATTTACCCTCCAAACATTCTCCTCCGAGGAGCCGATACCAGGCGTACTCGATGCGCTTTCGATAGCAACGCTATCGTCGTATGATTCTGGTGGTGGGGCAAATGACCAAACCTACAAGGATTAGCACAAAGAAATTTATACCGGGGAGAGACTACATACCTCCATTACTGTTCGGCCAGACCGACTGGCCATGATCACCGCTTTTTCTTCTTCAAAGGCAACTCTCCACACCGCCTCTGCTGGCGATGAGAGCTCTCGTAGTAATTGGCCACTTTGAAGGCTCCACACTTTCACACGCCCATCGCTGCCCCCACTGACAATGCGAGTATTATCAAACTGGAGACTGGTGACACTATTGTCGTGAGCGGCAAGTCGGTGAATGGGCGCCATTTTTGTTAATGACCAGACACGGACTGATCCATCTGAGCCACCCGTAACAAGAGTGTCACCACGCATTTGCAGTTGGCCTACCAAAGAGGTATGACCCTGAAGAATGGCTTGGCAGTTACCGCTGAGTGGGTCCCAGATGCGAACACTGGTGTCCAAACTCCCTGTTGCAATCCGTCGACCGTCAAATGCAATAGCGTAGATCTGGCTGAAATGGCCGGACAAAGTCTTCAGGCACCGGCCTTGAGAAATGCTCCAGATTCGGGCCGTGGTGTCGTAGCTACCCGAAACAACAATATCGCCGTGAATTGCTAGACATCGGACACTAGCTTGATGCCCAACGAGGACATTGCTGCAAGTTCCCGTTTTCAAGTCCCAAATCCGAAGAGTAGTGTCTCTGGAGCCCGAAATGGCGGTATTTCGATCGGACATTTTCAGACACCGGACTGTTGATGTGTGACCTCGTAACAAATGGATTCCGGCACTGTGATAGGTTAGCTTTTTGACATGGAAAGAGTTTTCGAGGTTCTCAATAAGCTTCCGAAAATGGAAACTAGTATCAACTTACCCAGTCGCCATGTTCCAGACTCGCACTTCTCGGTCGCACCCTCCGCTCACCAAAATGTCATCCCATGGAACCATGGCCCAAACTCCCATCACGTGGCCCTGTAAAGTTTTTTGATTGTCTCCATTCGTATCATATACATGGATCTTAGCATTGTCCAAAGCAACAACAATATACTTCGGTGTTAGATGCAAACTTGTAACAACTCCCTGGTCGGGGGTAATATGCCGCTGTGTGCACCGGCCCCCTTTATTCCAAGCGGATTCAACCATATATTTTTGCTTGAACTGCGATCTATATGAGACAGGTCGAGTTCGACGTCTTCTGGAGGGGAAACTGGTGGGCGGCAACCACTCCCCCGACAAAGTGCGGGGAAGCTCGGGTACTCGTTCAACCGGAGGTTCGTTAGAAGCTGATCGAGGTATTTCGGTCGTCATTAGTGTTTCGGGGCTTGAGTCGACTGATCGAGGTGTGGCTGGTTCCATGCTGTCATCTTCCATAATCCGTCGCACGGAGTATGCATGCTTCTCGCAAAGGTTCTTCCAGGTGATATCGTCGTTGAGTAACTCGCGCCATCGTATTGAGACTTGGGATGCTCTCGCTAGGGTCTTTGGATCGTCGATAAAAGAGAGCACCTGGAACGGGGGGTTGGGTCAGTCGTCAATATTCAATATTTCGGTTGTGTTGTCCACCTCACACCTTCACACCGTAAGATGTGACGAAGGACAAGAGGGGACACCATCCAAGATAACAAAACAAGTAACCAAAGACATACTCTCAGACATAATTCATTTGGGAAGACCGAGAACGGGTCCTTGCGCAGGCGAGGCCCGACATAGCTCGAGACAAAGCTTAGCTGTTGGCTGTCGCAAACATCTAATATACCCTCCAGGAGCTTTTGTTTCCGAGCATTCGATAAGGTACTAAAGTGAATACGTAGATTCAACAGAAACGCACTTTCCTCCTCATCAGACGAAAGCCATTCTGGAGGACGCTGGTGGGGGGTGGGACTCGGCGCGGGTGTTGGTGGAGAAGCGGGTGCTGAGGGGAGGAGGTTTGCGGGTATCGGAGTGTTGTTTTTATTGCTTGTACTGAGCGACCGACCGGGAATACTGGTGAAGCTAGATACGGAGTGGCGATTTGATTGGGAATGTGAGTCTAGTTGGTCGAGCACGGTCGAATCGGTCGAATCGGCCATTTCCAAGGCCTGAGACTCCATCGCGAATAAACCCCCGGTACTCATTGACGCAAAACTCTCCGTTCTCATTCTCTTTCACAAAAATATCGGCGACACCAAGGCGGTTGTAGGCATATAGAGAAATTCGAGAATTAAGAAGGGGGGGGGGGGGGGATATAGTGGGAGATTGGGGTTGGAGAATGGCGATAGTGATGACCGAGGGAAAGGGAGAAGAAAACCACCGGACGATCCGATCAAGTGAGGTGTGGTGGGACCCTGGGAGGATAATATAATCTGGTCTTGTTCAACTCCTCTTTTTTCTGTTCTTCCAGCCCCCTTGTTCTTATGTCCTTCACAATGGGAACAAAAAGCGACCCCAAGAAGGTATAAAAAAAAAGTTCAATCCATAAAAAAAAGATACCGATGAATGAGGAAGAGAGGAACATTCCAAGCGGAGATGTCGTGACCGTCTTGCCTCTGACAAAGCCGCCAAGCTCTCTGGTCTCCCCCGTGTTCTCCGTGATCCGTTCTCCACTCAGCGAATAGAATACTGCTTCGGACATGCTCCACTTAAGGCTGAGACAAGTTTACGAGTGGCCGCTTGCCTCTAGATCCAATTTGATCCAGCTGTTAGCAGTCGAATGCAGAAGGCAAGCGCTTCAAGTGGATTGCGATCGAGGGGGCCTAAACCTAGGCCAATGCTAATCGGCACAGAGCCGCCGGAGCGAAACATGAAAGAAAAAAAAGTTTCTTTCTATTCAAAAGTGATCCGAGAGTCTGGCTGAACAGACTTCCCCGAACTATACGGATCGCCCGAGTCCTTGGATAATGTGTTCGGCTCGCAGTCGGTCGACCATGGAACCACCTGGACAAACAGATGATTCAACGTGACGAGACTGACGACACTTTTCATCACCCGACATGGCAATATGATGATTGAAATATGAGCATCGTCTAACCCGCCCGTGAGCAGGATTGGGAGGGCGATCTCCACCCTTTATATAGGATACATGATTAACGTCACGCTACGTCGATGTGATCGTGAGCAAACATGCAATAATGACCCGGTCAACAATCAAGCTACAGGGAATGAGGGAATGGTTCTATTCGCACAGATTCGGTATTCTCCAGTCCAATACGAGGTGATCTCCTACAAAAACATGTCAAGCAAGGGGGGTATATGCCTCCGATATCCATCCCGGGGTGTTTTAAAAAAGAAAAGCGAACTGAAAAAAATTACTTGAACGGAAAACAAAAATGAAACTAGTGCAGATGATGGGGTAAAAAAGGCAAGAGAAGAAAGAAAAAAAAGAAGGCACCGTCATAACATCTCGCTATCTAATCCCGGAGATGATATACAACGCTGAAAACGGGAGCAAGAACAAGGGACACAATAGGCCTATGTTTAATGGGCATGGCCGATCTGCAGGAACAGCGGTAATATCATACCTACCACAGATGCAATCAAGTCTCTCATCGACTTGTCTGATCCATCCGACGAGTCGCGGGAGTCCCCATACCCATTCACCGGTGTTTCCCGTACATTGGAGCCAGGTCCGTTCTCTTGCATGGTATGCATTGCCACATACCTGTAGTTCGCCATAGTTAGCATGCAAGGCAAAACATAAACACAACCCCTTTCAAATAGAAGTAAAACAATAGAAAAATAGAAAAACTCACAAGAAGGTGCCACCGGAGAAAAGCAATAGCATTCCAGTCCGCCATTGAGAGCCAGCCTCGTCGCCACTGGATGATCCCACCATATGTGCAAAGAGGAAAGTAGCAAGTGCACCAACAGGGGCCGCCAAGCTAAAAACCAAGAGATGCGCCCGAGCCGTCCGACTCGACAAGCCCTGCTTCAACAGGATCGAAGTTAAGCCAAAAGATGCAGGCGCTTTATGTACCATAATAGCCAAGAATATGATAAAGCTCAGCCCAGTATCGCTGCTCGAAGCTCCCAACGCGATACCATCGGCCGCAGCATGAATCACCAGACCGGTAGTTGTAGCAAAGCTGTGCCCAGGTCGCGAGCTTGAATGGCCGGCATTCAAGAGCCCGCCATCACGAGAAGGTGAAGAGTTGCGTCTCAACCCCGACCCAAGATTATCAAGAGAGATGTGGTAGGGAATTCGTTCGCTCTTTGCTGGCGATGCGAATTCTGGCAGTTTATCAACCAGGTACATCAGAATAAAGCCACTGACCAGTGCGATTCCGATCCATGCATGCGGGGAGCTTTCCTCCTCCGCTTCTTCTTTGCTCGAGGACTCACTCGAGTCTTCCTTTCGAGAACGAAGCTCAGACTCCTTATTAGAAGGTTGATCTATCTGATGAACTGGCGCTGAAGCCTCATCATCCAACATTAAAGATGGGACAGCCGTGGTTGTCTGTACAGAGGCATCATTATCGGTGTCGAATATAGATCGTGCCGCAACGGGAAGCCCCTGCAGCTGCCAGTCGGCCTTAGCTGATCGGGTGCTCAGGCTCTTCCGGCCTGCATTACTAGAGCTGTAGAGTGTTTCGACACCCTCTGGTATAATAACAATCAATGAAGTCCCCACTAGAACTCCCATACCAATCGAGGAAATTAACCGAAGTTGGGAGGGGGAGAGGGTAAAAGCGAGAGGTAATGATCCGACAACGAAAGATCTAAAGCAAAAGCGCATCATCAGTATCGACCAAAATTCATGGTATTTCTTTCATTTCTTTCAGTTTGTTGCTGAGAAGAACTTACGTGACGGCCATCACAATGCTCAGAGCGAGCAGAGTGAAGAGTCCCTCCATGGTGGCCTCTTGTCGCAAGAGCTTGGCACTGGTGCTCGGGCTTTACAAACCGTCAACCATGATTTCCAAAGGGTTATGTGGCTCTAAAGAAGTGATCCCGACTGTGCGCTGGGGATCAGAGGGAAAGAAAGGGGAGAATGAAGGAGTTGGCGAGGGAGAGATGATGCTAGGTCGACACTTTGACGGACCCACGCATTCTAGTCAGGTACCGGTCTCGGATCAAACCATCTCCGTCGCGGCTATTTTTGTTTCGAGTCGTTATATGAACCGAGCCGCTTTCTTGCTTATCTCACACCAGTTGACACATTCTTATTTTTTTAAAAATTGATAATTACTTTTGATTAAGATATTAGAAGATACGAAATATGCAATTCTATGTTTTTACTTGGCTATATGGCTGTTCAAGCGGCCAGTTGGCTCTTGAATCTGTTGTCCGACCTAAATTAAGGGACTATACATGCTCCACTAAAAGTGGGACAATAATCTGGCATGAGGTCGGCGAGTATACACGGTTTACCTGCGCTCAACTGAGGTTATTTTTTTTATTTCAAAGAAGATAATACTGATGTAATTTCGCGAGGCTAAAAGACCTTTGCCTTAATCTATCTTCCCACCTAAAAATTCCTTTTAAAACGTTGGTGGTCAATGTCGGGTATTCTCGGGCATCTTTAGTAAACCCAGATGCACTACGTATTATGTAGAGGGTATTATAAAAACACTACAAACATCAATTGATTGATAACATGGATGCGTGGTCAAATTCGCATTCTTCACTTTTCCCCCTCTTGTCCACTATAGTTCAAGAGACAACCGTTGCTAGAGGGTGAAAGACATCCTTATGAAAGGCATGGAGAGAGAGGAAGCAAGCCCATGCCAGAGGCTGAGGTCTCTTATATAGAAAGACCCCAGATCATCAATGATGTGGACTCACATGATCGACCAGGGCACCTATAAATTGATGACCGTAGGACATACCTTACTCTGTCAACTCCAGGTCACTTGGCCATACAACCGGGAAGCCCAATTCATGTCTACGAGCTAGTGTTTGCTTTTTCCACTTCCAGAATGTGGGAAGGCGCTCTATAGGTCCCACATTACCGAAACTCTCCTGCGGGTCAATAAAGCGTAGCTGAGCCAATCTACTCGCGAGATCGATTTCAGTCGCCCCCTCTGGAGAAGAAATATTGATGGTTCCAACTTTTTCATAGTCTTTCCATGAGATGCATAGTGGTAGCCCATGGATAGAAGAGCCTCGATCTCAAACAAGTGATATTTTGCAACCCACTCCGGTCGCGTCTGATACTGCTCAAGTTCGCTTGGGCTATCCCACCCTGCTATACGCGAGTTATATGCCATGTGTTGACAACGCCATGCACGATATCCAACATCGTCTGGGGGAAATGGAAGCACGACTTCAGCTGACCGGAAATCAAGAGTGAGGCTCTCAACAGTCATATCCTGGTCATTGAAACTCGGATTCTGCCATCGACGCCTGATAGATTTAACAAAGTCGGGGGTCCCACCTTCGCTATGTTCTGCATCATTTTCTACCTTCTTTCCGCCCACAGGTCCGTTAAGGAAAAAACGTTCAAGTAACGCATAGAAGCTCCAGTGGAACCCGAGAAGACCCCCGTCCCCCACAAGCCGCCTAACGACTTTAGTTGGGATAATACTACCAAAAAGGCGCACATCCACCTCTATTACACGCACCCGGTTCGTTAGGCTGGTATACATGTCCAAGTCGAAAAAAGATCGTAGTCGTTCAGAACAGAGATGTCTAGGATGTATGGAAAACTTTTGCGGTCAAGTGCGGCTCGAGTTTGATCATGGATTTGGCGACTAGTTAAGAGAAGGGAGAGGCAATTCGATGGACAGTGCGCAGTGCGATGTTCATGATAAATCGTTGTTCTGCGACGCCAGGTTCGGTAATCAATATCATGAAAGTCGGTTCTGCCAAGCGGGGATGGGTAGGATGGGGGCGTGCGACAATCATATAAAACCCGTTCAATAATAGAGACCCTGACTTCTAAGGGTAAATTGAGAAAGGACATGGTGTATCTGGCTTGAACATGGGGCTGGACTTATCCACGCAACAATTTCGAATCGCTTGGTTCCGTTTCGCCCCCAAAGCGGCCAACACGTAAGAGAGCATATCAGACCGTAAACAATAGCAAAAAGTTAGAGCGGCCTACGAGCGCTTCCTGTTTCCACGAGAAATTCCAGTGGGCCCACATGTGAAAGGATAATTAGCAAAGGCTCGATATCAGATGGGCGGATTATCGTCAACCACCAAGGCTAACTGCTGGATCTCAAGTGTTGAAGAATTTTTTAAACTTGTTATCATAAACGGCTAGAACTGTTCACGATACGATATCGTTATTATTACCGTAGAAGTATAAGCTGGTAATAATTTGTATAAGATATGTTGAATTAAATGTTGAAAAGGAATTATGGAGAAGAATTATGAAGAAGAAAAAAAATATATCCGGTCTCGCGGAATCGAACCGCGGACTTTCTGATGACATATAAACAATTACAGTCAGATGCGATAACCAACTACACCAAGACCGGATTTGATGCAGGAAAAACCAGTTTTTGACAATATAGCCCAAAATACACGACCCCGTGTTCTAGCTCCTTTAGTATCATTATTGGGCATGTCTAAAAATGGATCATTTAGATACGAAGTACAGTCGTTTACGAATCGATCACCTTCTGTAAATATTGACTTGATGTCAAAAAAAAATTGATCAAAAAAATCTTATCCGGTCTCGCGGAATCGAACCGCGGACTTTCTGATGACATATAAGCAATTACAGTCAGATGCGATAACCAACTACACCAAGACCGGATTTAGTGACGGGAGGCTGGGTTTTTGCCAAGATAGTCATAAACTTTGTATGACGCGACATTTTATCATGCCTAACGGTGTAAAGATTCCATCTCAATAAGTGATGCAAACAGTTGACCCCAGTATTCCAGAAAATACTTGCCTTATTCTCGCTTGTACAGTAATACAGAGTCTATTCACTATAAGCACATACCATACTTTTTGTCCAGCTAGTTTTGGATACTCCATCATTGCCAATCCTCGTTCTATATTCAACTTATTTTGTTTTATTTAACATATGTACTTGGAACAACCAGCCATCAGACCATATCCCCCAAACAGTGCCACATCCCGACAACCTTAAAACCCCAATTACTAGTAATCGTCGGACCACCTCTACTTGATTCAAGCAGGAGGACCAAAGAATCCAACATAATAATCCCGCTTGCCAATAGGCACACCCGCCTTCCGCAAGATTCCATATGCAGTCGCAACATGGAAGTAGACATTCGGCAAGACAACAGTATGCGCGTAAGCTGCACCGCTCATATCAACCATAGCATCGGGCCCAACAGCAGTGGGAGTAAGGACGTCTGCATGCTGATTCACAACATCCTTATCAGCCTCGCCAGCTGACTTCAACACTGCCTCGATGCGCTCGTAGAATTTGGCAAAAGTCAACGGACTGCCTTCGAACTTCAATGGCTCGCGACCGGTGAGTCTTGCAACTAGGTTCTCGGAGTACTGGGCTACAATACGGATCTGATCGGTCAGGGGGTACATGTCCTCGTGGAGGCGGGCTGTGAGCAGACTATCGGCATCGGGACGTTGCTCGGCTTGGTGGAGGATGTGTGACAAGGTTTTGAGGAGTTTCTGAACCACTGCAATGGTTCCGTCGTAGAATGTGTGAGTCATTGTTATGTTGAATCATTGAAGGAGCGTTGTGAATCAATGATGTTGGCGTTTCCCACGTTTATAATGCGTGCGGGCATGTAAGCTGCCCCACTTACTTATGACTCTAACGTGAGACAGCTCGGAAGTTCCAGGGTTCGGGTATTCGCGAACGCCCTGGTGATTTTGGGGGCCCTTTAAGTTCTTACGATTTACGATTTGCACCTACATATAGAATAATCACTCTGGTCAAGTCTACATTTTATTGCTGGTTCATAAAATTGAGTGTTGTGCTCTATCTACAATCAACATAGCCCATAATGAAACCTTGGAAAACAACATTGAAATATGGTAAATATATACAGTCATATATTCAATTTCAGGTTTCTTTTAAGTATTATCTCCACGTAGTCATCGTTGACCAAAGCTCATCCCCCGGGCATTAGAAGTTCCACAAACCCTGAGGTCGGGAGAAGACGGCCGTGGGTGGCCTAACTACGATATGGATCCATTAGGAACGATTGTTGCAGATCCGATTACTAGACAAAAAAGTCCATACAGGTTATTCGGTGAGCAATCTTGGATTTATGCATTGATTTAGACCAAAATATTGTCTACATACATCGTAATGGCGTCCATTACCTAGAGTTCTTCGATTCCCCAATACCCATGTTTAATTCAACATCTATAGTCTGCTCACGTCAAATGCCATCCGCATCCTCTCTCCATACCATATCATCGCAAATGGCACTGGAATGCAAGCTACAGCAATAAACCCCAATAGACTGTTACCCCAACCAAGTCCCATCGCCCGGTACATACTCTGTCCCGCCAAGGGCAGCAGTGCACCAATAATGCTGCGCATTACTGTGTTTGCAGCTAAAGCACTCGCGGCGTATATCGTGAATGCATCTACTAGATAGCTAGTAATGCACATATATGCGGCAATATTGCCTACTCCCACGAGTCCAGTCCCAATGATCGGTATCATCCAGTGCGTCTTATAATATGCCGACCAACCGTACAAGAACAAGCCCGCCGGGATGAAGAAAGCACCAACGACAAGAGGTGGCAGGCGATATTCTGGCTTCATGCTACCCGATTGAGCGGATTTCTTCTTGATCATTTGATCAGAGACAGCACCAATGACGAAAAGACCTAGAAGTACCCCCACACCCATTCCGAGGTAGCTTAAGCCCGAAGATTTGGTTGGAAATCCATATTGGTCTTCAAAGATTTCAGTGAAGGTGGTAAACATGAGATATTGATATCCGTATACGATACCCACATAAATCGAGCTCACAAAGACAATAGGCGACAGAAGGAGTATCTTACACGGGCGAATGAGGGCTTGGACGAAGAGCTGGCGAGTGGAAAGACCGCTGTCTCGCATTGAACGCAGATCTATTTGGCCGGTCATCTTTATAAGACATTGAGTTTTACGCTTCAGGAGAACTGTTGGATATGTTTCGCGTAGAAATAAGAACGAAAGAATAGTAGTAAATCCTCCAAATATGGCGAGCACCAAGAAGGTCCAACGCCAGCCCTTGGCTGCTGTAAGGTAACCTCCTGCTACTGGCCCGATGACGGGGCCTAGCAAAGGACCGAGTGCATATATAGCGATGACCCCTCCGCGCTTTTCTTGAACAATGAGATCTGCAATGGTGCCTCCTCCTGCAGTAGACTAGGGTATAAGCCATCTGATACAACAAGAAAGTAAACTCAAAAGAGTATAAAAGAGAAGAGAAGAAGACTAACCATTTGTAACGGGCGCCGAGCCAAAACAGCCTTGGAGAAACCGAAAGCCGATGAGCATATTCAGGTTACTGCTAACAGCACATGCAACGGTCATAATCGTGAAACCAATATTACAAATGTGGTAAATTATAACTCGTCCCAAGAGCTCTGAGGTTGGAGCCAGAATGAGAGGCCCAACAGCAAATCCCAAAACATAGATAGAAACCACGAGCCCGGCTAAAATAGTGCTCGAGCTATGAAATTCTTCCATAAGCTGGGGTACACCAGGAGCAAACATGGAAGATGCTAGGGGAGATACGAAAGTCAACGCGCTGACAATTCCAACATTGGTGAATTTGATGAGGCTGCTGAAATTGACTGGATTCTCAGGATCGTCCGGGCCATCCCAGTCGACAGTTTTGGAATCGATAGACCCCGTTGTCGTCGCTCCTTGTTCGGACGCTGCATGTTCCTCTGTATCTGGTAGGAAACCCTCATTGGAATGGCGTTGGTCGAATTGTGGGTTTTTGAGTTCCATCGAAGCACGTATGGGCTCGGGGCCTGGTCGAGTCTGAGCGATGGAGGCTGCAGCTGGTGAATTTGATGTCGATGAGACCATATCACTACTTGATTGGTGTTAGCCTCGGGATATGGGAGAATTGAAATATCGGACTGTGAAGTGAAGAGGAATTATGATATTCCAAAGGCGTTTTTTGCCTTTCTTACTTCAAGGTATCGTCTTCTGTTTATACTACAAAGGAGATGCTGTCTACTCGACCCAACAATCGGAGATAGGTATTCAACACACCCTATCACCGGCTAAAATGCCCCCTGAAAGCTATAGATAATCAATCTCATGAAAACAAAGACAACTGTAGCTCGAGACTATGCGATGACAAGAAACTAGCCTAATGCGGTAAGATTTTGCAGCCTTGTGGAATGTGATTGGCTTAACCATGCTACCATCCATGCACATGCAGTATACATCTGTACGTGCATCAATTCCAATGTGAGTGTTGTCCTAACAAGCTCCCATTGTAAAAATAATAATAATCAGATCTTCATTGTCACCCCAGAGGCTAAGAGGGCAGAAAAAAAAAACTATCCGGTCTCGCGGAATCGAACCGCGGACTTTCTGATGACATATAAGCAATTACAGTCAGATGCGATAACCAACTACACCAAGACCGGATTTGATAATGATTTGCTGGATCTTTGACTACATAATGGACTTGTTTAACTTCGCCGTGGATATATGGCTGATGAATGATGCTATTCAGCCCGGCAAGTGACTGTAACTACGTGCCGTGTACAGACTTCCATGCAGTGATACATGGTATATTTTATTTAAATTTAGATTATGCTGAGATTGACTGAGTTCTCGGTGCGTATACATAAGGCGACATGGTGCAATTACTGAACGAGAGACATCTGTTCAAAATATTCTTTTCGAAGTGAGAGTGGAGGCCGACCGAATGAACAAAATTTAAACAATTAGTTTCTCGAAAAAGAAATAATTATCTCACAATTGTCGATACACCTATGTACATCAGGTGGCTATGAGAAGTTTGTGCTGTCCGACCGACCCCTGAAAATCCAAAGACTCTTGGTAAGCTATAAATGGAAATATTCTCCAACTATAACCACGATATACATTCAAGTTGTCAGGCCGTTTCGGGCGGGGATAAATATGAGTTCAGGTTGTGGATTCGACAGCCCACCAAAAAGAGACATAGGTCCGTAGAGTCTTGGCATGTTCCAAGTTCTTCAGGCAATAGATTGTCATCTAGCGCCATGCTAATGCAGCGACCGGTAAAATGACCTGCGCCCCCGGAGAATCTATATGAAGCTAAGCTCTCGGCTAGAGCTTATCAGCCAACCGGCATAGAGTCAACGCCGACTTGTGAGCTGCGCAGTGACGTGATGCGTTGCAACGAACTCCGCTTCGCTTATACACAGTCAATCACTACCTTAATGAGAGAAACGTGCGTGGAACCAATGGATGGTTTCCTTCGCACTCCGAGATTAGTGCAAGGCAAAGCCGGGATCATTTTAGTCTCTCACAATGTTAAACCTTCACACATATGAAACATGTCGGTCGATTATCCGGATACGCCTAGGTGCTTGATCAACATATAAATACCGTGACGGGGTCGAACCGATTTGGGGACCCATCAAGGATCATAGCCGAAATCTGATCTTGAGCGGAATATTGATCGTTGTCATGCTTCTCCCACGGCTGTTGACCTTTGCGTGTTTGGTTGGGGGAGCGTTTGCTGTGCCTGGAAATTCACTCTCCAAGCGAAGCACTGTCAGCGAGATTTTGACTGACATTGAAGATGCTGTTACGTGTACGGCATGTGAGGTGAGCTACAAGGATGACTTTAGATCGTGTAGCTGCTCGCAATGTTTCATTTATTAACATATTATCAGACCCTTCTTGTTGTGCTTCAGGCTTTAGCGCATCTCGGCAATGATGATTTTGTAGATGTCATTACAGATGTGTGCATCTTAGCTGGGGTGAGTGGTTCCTAGATAGTATAAGCCTATTTTTTCTAACTGTTTGAAATAGGTTGAAGATGACGATGTATGCGAGGGTGCCATTGCGCGGGAAGGGCCGATTTTAGCCCACGACCTTCGAAATATGGATGTTCCCTCTCACACTGCAACTCTCTTTTGTACTACAGTTTTTGGGCTTTGCAGTTATCCTGACGTGACCGAATACACCATCGACTTTCCTTCTTCGAAGCCAGCCAATGCGACCCGACCAGCATCTAGCGGAGAGACCCCCATTCAAATAGTCCACATTAGTGATATTCATGTCGATCTCTTTTACGAAGAAGGTGCAAGGTAAATTCACTCTGGTCTTTCCCCGCTTCCCCTTACGTTATACTGATAGAGAATCGCAGCTACAATTGTACTAAGAATATTTGCTGTCGCCCGTACACCGCAGAAGATGCTCCCGGGAATACTAGCTACCCAGCTGGCCCCTATGGAAGTCACTATTGTGATGCCCCCTTGGCCTTGGAAAAGAGCATGTATGAAGCTATCCAAGACTCCTTCCCCGACGCGGCATTCACCATTTTCACTGGCGACGTTGTTGAAGGCGCGGTCTGGCTTGTCAATGAAACCGAGGTGACAAATGATCTCAATGATGCTTTCAACAAGCGGATGCCTAGTTATCTCAATTTGGTTTATGGCGTTATTGGAAACCATGATGCAGCCCCCGTCAACTCATTTCCGCCGGCTGCTGTCGATACCACAATTTCGAGTCAATGGGCATATGACACACTCTCCTCCGACTGGTCACAGTGGATTGGCTCCACAGCTGCAAGCACTGCTGATGATTATGGCTCTTATTCTGTCAAGTATCCCGATGGCAATCTTCGAATAATCTCCTTCAACACAAACTTCTATTACAAGGAGAACTTCTGGCTATACGAGGAGACAATGGAAACAGATCCCAGTGGCCAACTTGCATGGCTCGTGAAGGAACTCGATGCTGCCGAGACCGCGGGCGAGCGAGTTTGGCTTCTCGGCCATATGCCCATGGGATCCGGGGACACTTTCCACGATGGATCTAATTACTTTAACCAAATCGTCCAACGTTACGATGCTACAATTTCTGCCGTTTTCTATGGTCACACCCACAAGGACGAGTTTGAGATCGCCTACTCCAACTACACCAACCCAACTGCTGATTCGGCTACCATGGTGTCTTACATTGCTCCCGCTCTTACACCTACATCGGGCAACCCCACGTTCCGTGTCTACTCTGTCGACCCCGTCACCTTCGGTGTACTAGATTACGAAGTCTACATTGCAAACATGTCGAGCTCTACATACCAGACCAAGCCTACCTGGGAGAAATACTACTCAGCCAAGGAGACATACGGCTCTCTTCTAAGCCCCCTTGTCACTGATAGCGCCACCGAGTTAACTCCAGCATTCTGGCATAATGTCACCACCCTCTTCGAGAACGATGACTCCGTCTTCCAGGACTACTATGGTCGTAAATCTCGCGGTTGGGATGTATCTTCGTGTACAGAAGACTGCAAGACCGAAGAGATTTGCCAACTTCGAGCGGCAGAGTCGCAGTACAACTGTGTTGATATTACTCCTGGTATTAGCTTTAAGAAAGCTAGGCGATCAAGCTCTAGCAGCGGTTCTTCTGCGGATAAGGGGCATTCTTGTGGCGAATCAGTGATTGGTTTGATGTTTTCGAATTTCAAGAGTACCGTCTCGTCACTGAAGACTGCCGCGGCAGCGAAACTGGGATCTAGCTTTTTGGACACATCCGTAAACTCCACAGCTTCGTAGAATAGAAGCAAATAGATAGCCGATAGCATTTCAGTCAATCAATACACAATTTCGGCAATGTAAGGCTGACCTCCTTGTCTCTCGTTATAATCATAAGCACGTTCCAAAAAATGCATGTAGTTATTGGTGGACGATCTGTACCAAAAGAAGAATAACGCCGAAGCTGGAGATCATGCAAGTCGACCATTCGATCTTTAATATCTGGTTCATTTCGGTTAAATATGCGGCTTGACACGTGGGCCGGCAATAGGTCCGTGGGCTTAATTATCCCGTTGACGCTAGTTGCGGCTAAGCCGACGAGTAAACCAGGTCCCAAGGCTTCATAAGCCGCGAAGACTATAAATCTGCCCAGGAGTGTATATTTCAATCATCTGTCGATGCACATATGATATACGAAGTGTCGAGTCCGACTAGAATTCGCAAAATGGCTAAACATTACATGAAGAGTGTGCTATCTTCACTGCTCTTGTCGGCTACAAGCCAAGCTGCAGTGTTGGCCCCAGTTAACGACATTGTGTTTCCGTCGAGCAATACAGCTCAAAACCCACTGCAATACTCCGGTGGTAACACGCCATATTTTGCTGGTTGTTTTTCGTGATTCATCTCCATTGAAATATTTCTAATTTTGTCGTCAGGTCCAAATGTCAATGGCGTCAGTAACGATGTGCCTGATAAATGCACAGTTCAGCAAGCTGCCTATGTTGTGAGACACGGAAGCAGGTATCTACTAGTGTTCTTCTCCTAAAAGATTGTAAGATTGACTAATCAATTGGTTTCCTGTAGATTTCCCGATACAGGATCTTATGATTCCTGGGTCGGTATTCAGGAGAAGGTCAGTCTTTGTTCATGTTCATGTCCATGTTCAATTTCTTACTTGTCTTTTCCCATCATTGCTAATTCCATGAAAGGTCCAAACTGCTGTTAAGGGCCATGGATTTGAGGCCCGCGGATCTCTTTCTTTCATCTCGGAATGGAGTCCAGTTCTGACCAATCCGACACTACAAATGGCCTCTGAGTCTATGACAGGATGGAAGGAGGTATGTTTGCTCCAAGCAACTGGTTGAATCCATGAAAACTAACTCCGACCAGGCTACTGATCTTGGTTACCAACTTAGAGCTCGCTGTATGTTATCTAGGCATATTGATTACTGGATGTATTTCTGAACTTCCTATATTGACTGTTTATTAGACCCCGATTTTTACCAGGATGGTAACCCGTTCTACGTGTGGGCCAACCAGTACAAGTATCCTATCAATGAGTCTCGAGTAGTTCAGACCGCTCGTGCTTTTGTGAATGGCTATCTTTACGAGTTCGCCGAAACCTATGGTACGGTTGTTAGTGTGAACTCCACTGGCTCCACAAGTGCCATTGGAAACTCTCTTGGTCCATCCGATTCATGCCCGACGTTTGCGAGCACCTCAAGTGGAGGTGATAATGTCACCAATTGTAAGTTTCAGGTGAACGCAACCTTACCGTCCATAATGAGACTGATGTTTTTTTTAGTTGATGCTACTTGGGTCCCCAAAACCTTGAAGCGGCTCAATTCACTGGTTAGTGGAAATCTCACCTTCGATGAGACCGATATCCTTTTCTTCCCGTACCTGTGTGCATACGAGAGTCAGATTCGTGGTAACCTCAGTCCCTGGTGCAACGTTTTCACTGAAGATGAGCTTCGCAACTATGCCTATTCCCAGGACTTGAGCTACTACTATGATGTTGGTCCTGGCGCGGATGGACCAGCTAGTGTTCTCTTCTTGCCTTTCCTGCACAGTTTGACAACTCTACTCAGCAAAGGCCCCGGTCAAAAGGGCACAGGCGTTGATGGAGACGACTTTACTGTTCCCAATCTCATCATGGCTTTCCTGAATGATAACCAAATTGCCGAGATGACTGCTGCCATGGGGGTTTTTGATCATGAGTCGGCTCTTCCCGATGATCATATCCCTGCTAATCAGCTATATAATGTGGCACACTTTATCACCATGCGCGGCACTGTAGCGTTCGAGACGCTGAACTGCGAGGTTGAATCGAAGCGTCAATTTTCCAATGAGACTTATATTCGAGTGCTGTTTAATGACGCTGTCTACCCTATTGCTAGCTGTCAGAATGGCCCCGGCAAAAGTTGTCTTTTGTCTGAATATGCAGCTCTCATTGAGAAGAAAAACCAGGATGCTGGCAACTTTATTGATTATTGCAACGTGACCGAGGCAAGTCATCCTTCTACTGTTGCTGGGGCTAGCTTCTTCAGTGACTTATCTTTGAATTTCTTGACATTCGTCAAGCCCTGAAATGAAGTTTAGGCCCCATATTTTGGATTTCCTTTGCAATTTGTCTTGCATGCAGCTGTCGCTATACTTTTCCTTTGTCGCTTAGACCTTGTACACTCATGGTTTCTTTCCTTTTGTCTCTGACCCTCCTATTCTTCTTTTTCTTGTAAAGGAAAGTTGTCGTTTCAGAAACAACCATATACTACTACTATTCAAGTTACTACTAGCATTCTTGAGTGGATATATACTTCAAGCAAGGTACTACATAGTAGTACTAGTAAGCTTATGTATAATTTGTTCCAAGACCAGATCGTGCCTTTCACGGGTGGTGTAGTCCAAACTACATATAATCTATATTGAAGGGCCTACTAGTATGTAAATGCCTTAGAAGAATAAAAAAAAGGATTTATTCATCGTTGATGCCTTCAATGTTGGCAGATGCCTGACAAGTAGTAGTACCGCGACTGCCCGAGTTGCGGTCGCAAACTTGAATCTAAATCTTGCAGTCTGTATATACTTCATTGATTAAGAACAACTGATTTTGGACTATGAATTATCTATTTTACTGAACAGTTCAATGCCATACTTGATTACTCCATTTCGATTGTTAATGTTTAAGCAGCTGGGCGTAGATATAGTTCCTCCAGCCAATCAGCACTAACAAATTACACAAGCGATAACAGGTCTCCACTTTGAGCCGAACTTAATTATCTCTTAATGATTCCTTTCTCCCTCGATTCAAGACCACGCCAGATGATTTCATGTCCCTATAAGACGCAACGAATCATATACACACCTGCATTCAATCCTTATACTTCGAGAATATACCACCATGTCCAAATACGAACAAGCCCTAGAGCGCATCGACCTTGCTCACAAAGATGACCCCACCACCGTCACAGTCAACGACACTACCATCCCCTACGAGCTACATTACGCCCAACAAATGACCATGTACCTTGAGCGCTTAGATCCTAATGCCTCCGAGCTCCTCCGTCTCGCTATTCGTGCCCAACATCTCCGCCGGTGGGAAAGCCCGCGCAGCTCCTACCCCGCTACGAAAATCGGATACCACTCTTGGCGCTCAAATTTGCAGCGGGAGCAAGCGAAGCTAGCAGAGAAGATCTGTATTGAGAGTGGATATGGAGAGGAAGATGCTGCGCGCGTGGGAGCGATGGTGCGTAAGGCAGATTTAAAGAAGGGAGACGCGGATACACAGACGCTGGAGGATGTTGCTTGTCTTGTGTTCTTGGATGATCAATTTGACAAGTTTGAAAGTACGCTTGGGGATGCAGAGAAGATGATTGATATTTTGAGGAAGACTTGGGGGAAGATGTCTGAGGCTGGGAGGGACGAAGCCATGAAGATTAAGTTGTCGGAGCGAGGGGCAGCGTTGGTTCAGGTGGCTTTGGCGGGCTGATTTAATGTGTTTATGAATATATGCAAGACGTAGGTATATCTAATTTTTCTTACATGATTTTTTTTTCGGTAGTGAAGTGGGAAGAGAAATAATTCTTTTATTGAAGAAACGCTCGCTGATGATATCCAGATGAAAATGTGGACAGGAGAAGTCATTAAGTAAGGCCGTTAAAGAGGAGAGATCAAAGCTCCAATGCTTTTTGGGTGTTCAAATCATAAATCACTGAGCTTGGGCACCGCCAGTGTCTATCAATCGCACCAGTCCAATTGCTGCGCCAGCAGCCACACCTCCAACAAAGATCATTTGGATACCGCCCCATATGGCAGCAGTGATATTGTCGCGACCAGTCCAGCCACGAACCACACATGTCTTGGTATATCCGAATGTCGCTAGTGTCACACCCATAACACCGATACTCCAGTACAGTGCGATGTTCACCTGCGCCGCAATGAAATAAGGGATAAGCGGGATAAACCCGCCAACGAAATATCCAATGGCCAAAGTGATAGCCGAGATCCAGGCCTGGTTGCAGTCAGGCGCAGATTCACGGTGGTGGAAAGCGAGCAAAAACTCGCACAATCGATCTTGTGATGCATGCAAATCGCGTGTGATATCTTCGATGGCTTTGATAGACAGACCGTAAGGAGCGAAACAATCGCGCACCATTGCTTGTGTTTCTTGAGGGTCGCTCTCAATTAATTCCTGTGTCTCGCGCACGGTGGCTTCATAAGATTCACTATGGCAGATGTCAGTGATGATGTTCTATGACTTGAATTTTGTAGGGTAATGGGGTCTCTCACGCTTCACTCCTGGCACCAACGTATCCGCCCAGACCCATTGAGATGGCGCCAGCTGCCAGCTCGGCCAGTCCACCGAGAACAACGACTTTTGTGTTTCCAAGTGCTGATAATCCGGCACTCAGAGCGAAGGGAACTGTCAACCCATCTGATAGACCTAAGATAGCATCGGAAATTATACGAGGGTTGATACGGGAGCGTGTGCTGCCACTGCTAGTTGTGGAAGCGTCATAGCTGACAGTGCGTCCGAAAGTGTCATAAGAGCGGCCGCTTTGAGACTCGAGGTCCTGGTCTGAAGAGTCACCACGGATGGTCTCTTCATCATCGATGCTGCGAGCTAGGAGAGATTTGCCTGAACGAAAAAGCCAGTTAGCAAATGCTGCGATCAAATGTTTAGGGTGGCTTCTATTCGACGCTACTTACTTGGAAGCTGTTGATATTCCTTCGTGGGGAAGAGCTTCTGCTTGATGAAAAGGAATGCCATGATGCTTTTTGTGGATTGGTATTCCAACGGTACTTGGTTGCAGTCACAATTTTCTTCCCAACACCAGGGATCCTAGAGAACGATTGTTGTTCCTGAATCTCCGAAGGCCAACGGTCTCTTAATAAACTTTCGTCGATTTGGACCCTTTGTATGCCAATAAACAGTGGCAAAGCGAGACTGACGTCAGGACAGGTATTCACTTCCTACAAGAGAAGGAGAAGAAAGAAGAAAATGATCTTCAAAGAGTGAAATAAAAATATTAAGTGGATCACTTGGAAGCTTTGAGAGAAAAGGGGGGTATCTCCAGAAAAAGAGTATATCGCGGGTCGTGAAACAATCAGCCTTGGGCTCGTGAAAGGGAATGATTGAACAGGATTAAATGGAATGTATGATTTTGTCAAAGCAATGAAGAGAAAAGAAAGACTCTCGTCTCGCCTACAGGCTCTTTCAATCTTTTTATTTCCTACATTGGCAACCTCCATCTCACACCGGCCTCAATGACCTCCGCCAACAGGCAGTCTCAATTGCATAACGCCCCAAAAAAAAAGGGCCAAAGGTCCAAAAATTTGGGAGATGCATTCGGTGAAGCGGGGAATTCACCAATCAACAGGAGTTTAAAGGTCAGCGAGGGCAAAATTTGGGAGGGCGAGCACAACAACGGAGATACTGGTCCGCTCAGTTCATTCTTGCGTTATGCAAAGTCTCGCGCATCTGCTGCAAATCCAAAACTTGCTATTGGCCGCATCGTTGGTGATGACCATTATCTGTGCTGTTATTGGTTCATCTTCCCCGATCGACGTTTCCGCCGCCCCACTAAGGTACATTCCATTGTGTCATCATTGGCCACCGCTCGGTCTTAGGGCTCGACGGGACCCGGGCTTTTCTAGATCGGTCTGTTTCCGTGTTGTATATCCCGAGTTGAACTTGGCAGATCCACTGGTATAGGAGAATGAGACTTGGGTTACGCGGTGCTGTGGACTGGTTTGGAATAATTTTGACTCAGTCCCGCTTCGACTCCTACTGCTATCGTTTTTCGAGGACCGGTTCGCGGGCAAGACATAAATAGGCATTCGCAAACAATCATACATCGTGATCTTCTCGGAATGTTATATCGCGAGCAAAACAAAACACGATCAGTCGTATTTTGTCCGTTGGGGAGAGGGGGGGATGTACACCGCATCCATTGTATACCATCCACAGCGCGTGTTTACGAAACAAGTAAACCAACGAAGCTCAACAATCTTCTCAAATGCAAGACAGGAAATTTTCTGGAAGAAACAAAGCTGGCTAGCTTGATAGAAGTGGGGTGGAAGCCATAAAATTGTGGATCCATTTTTCTCTAGCTTTGCAAACTGGAGATTTGATATCCGTTTTTGTCTCCACCTCTTCCAACATTTCCAACATTTAGAGACGGTCACAATTCACTACTTCCTGTCAGCGGTTCAAGGATTGATTTAAGTGGTCGGGCGTGAAAATTGCCAGTTAAACTACATCTAGACATGCCGCAGTGGATAACAACCAGATACATTTGGGATTAGCCGCAGCATTAGTCTATCAAGGAGCGGCTCGAGGCCTGTCGATTGTTCACAAGAGTCGCGATTTTTCAAAGATTTACTTTGCTTAGAACACTGGATTGGAAGAATTTTCTCTCAATGAAGTCTGTTGATTCAGATTTTATACATTTTATCCCAGTATGCATTGCTAGGTATTATCTTCAAAGCTACGGTACATATCCTAGTAGATAGACATTGGATTTCATCTCGGTTTACCCTCTTAAAGATAAGGGAACAAACGTTATTTTCGCCAACTGGAGCCTGGCGCTCTGGAGTTGCTCGGCCCTTTACCCCCTCCTTCTGCTGGGATCTCAAGACCCTTGCATCCCGAAGCGTCACGCTAACACGTCCCGGCTCTCAATTCTCTTTTACACGAGGCACCTAGATCAGTCTTGCGCTCAGGACTCTTTGCTTCTCTTCTTCCTTCTATTTTCTTCTGTCTATTTTAATCATCTCGGGGGATAACTCCCAAGAGAAATCCCACCAAGCATTGCGTGGATATTTAGGTTGAAGCTTTAAAAGAGGGACCTGCCTCTGCATATGTGACGTGATTTTCAAAGTTCCAGTGATAGTATGCAGGCGGATTTAAAGTAGGGCTGATAGTTACTGGCCAGCAATGAGTTCTACGTAGAAATAACATTCTAACTTTATGAGCCTCAATCTAGTGGCTTTTGCAAAAGTTTACACTAAATCCATGATATCTGCTCCTGTTGGAATACTATACATGCACCTAGTCGATGGATCTATCGATATCATAACAGATTTACATTGGCAATCATGATTCCATGCCGCAGTGGCTCCTACTCAGATCATAGCTAAAATAGGCGAATCAAGGATTGAAGGATACAAAGATAAGAATCAAATATGTACCAGTTATGTATGCATGAATCATAATTTTAATAAACACCATAAATATGTATAGTCATTAGAGATCTTGTAATATCATCTCAAATAAATCGACCCAAACTCCAGATTCCAAACATTTGAACCAATCAAGCAAACGCCAGATTACCGAGTGTTTTGTATGCATGAGTCTTCAAGAAAAGAAGACAGTAAGAAAGGTTTCACTTAATGGGTCAACATCACAGGCGTCAGTTCACTAACTACCTCTCCCCCATCCATCTCCATGTCCCTCTCTCGTCCATCCTCAGAGTCACTCCGTTCTCTCAGGGGCTCCAAATCAGCCCGTGAACCTCTCAATCCTTGCTTGGACTCCAACTGCTGATCCAACGAATACTTCTTCACAAGGAAGCTAGTCAACATTCCCAGACCGGCAATACCGCACATGACAAGCCAAACCGTACCCAGGGACTTGGAGTACAGCGACACAATCGTCGTACGCTCGGTGCTACCAGAAGGTAAGGTTTTGATAAATTCGACAAGACTGGAAGCATCTGATGCGTATTTATCAGCCGTAGCCCCGAGCCCGGGCTGCTCGTTAAACTGCTTCTTGATGCGGTTCTGGAAGACCACGCCTCCAATCGCAACACCGACGGCTTGACCCAATGTCCGGAAGAATGGGGTCATAGTCACGACCATGGTGATGAAATCTGGGTTTGCTGAGGCTTGTACGGCAAGCTGTACTGAAGGGTAGAGCATACCGCATCCGATTCCTGCGGGGATGTTGAGGAAGATCCATTTGGGAATACTGGTGTCTGGGCCGAGCATGTAAAGAAGCCCAACACCGAGAACAACAATAGGCCATCCGGTCCACAGTGCCCATCGATAGTCACCGACCTTCGATACCGCAAAACCTGTAATAACAGCGACAGGTGCTATAGTCAGACACTCCGGGAATACAGCCAAGCCGGAGATGACGGGGTTGTAAGCCAGGACACCTTCGTAGTAAAGAGGTAGGTAGTAGACGATAGACCAAAGGACGAGACCGTGGAGGAAGGTGCCGAAGTAGCTGATGCAGATGGTCATATTGCTGAAGATGACAATTGGGATTAGAGGTTTCTTAGGCACGTATGCTTCGTATACTGCGAATCCGACCATTCCAAGGAGACCAACAATCAAGGGGAAGAGGGTATGCCATGAGGTCCAGGAATACATAACGCCGCCCCAAGTCATTGGCATAAGGAAGGAAGTAAGAGATGCAACAGAGATGACAGATCCAACATAGTCAACCTTGGCGAGCTCCTTGAGGATGGAAACGGGGGCACGGTCGAGCTTCAGAAAGATTGGAATCAAAACAAGCCCAATTCCAGTAAAAGGAACATTGAACCAAAAGATCCACCTCCAAGAGGAGGTTTGAGTAAATGCGCCACCGATCAGGGGGCCAGTAACTGTTCCAAAGGCCTGGGAGCCTGATTTGATACTGAACCATTTTCCACGCTCTCTCAGTGGGATCAAGTCGGCGATAAGAATTTCAGTAAGTGTCAAGAGACCGCCACCGCCAACACCTTGAACGGAACGACCAAGAAGGAGCACTGTCCAACCCTTTGCGATCGCAGCAAGAATTGATCCAACAGTGAATGCGGTCACAGCGAACATCAGAATAACTTTTCGGCCAAAAATGTCGGATGCCAGGGAGAAGACAGGTTGAACTACGCAAGAGGCGACGAGGAACGATGTTCCAGCCCAGAAAGCTTCGGTCGCTGTTCCACCAAGTTCCGTTGAGATGGTCTATTATTTAAAGATGATTAGCACAGTGCAAGGATAACGAGACGTAATGTAAGAATAGGACATAATGAGGGGCTTCATACCGGTAGCGCGACGGATACAGAAGTAGCATCAACAGCAACCACAAAGTTTAACAGTCCAATGGTTGCCATGATACATTTCAATCGCCAGTCTGGATGAAACTCATCTTCCACAGTAGCATCTTGCAATTTTGAGTATTTTTTTTCCCTCAGAAACCCCATCGGTGGGCCATCGGCCAACATAGGACGGTCCTCCGCGTACTCTGCCATAGCTGGTGTAAAGATGTACAGTTGACTAACACGCGAAACCACCACAAATTTAAACTACACTGGCGGGGACAGCTTATTATTTATCAGGATCAGGATTCACTGACCTCCAGGTACACTACTCCACACTCCGCACTAAAGAGCGCAAAGATTGCGCAAAGGCCAGTATGAGAAAGGTGTATATCCATTTCAAAAAGCCGGTAAGGCAGTGACAAGGCTCGCCGATCTTTCTAATTTAAGGACAATTAATATCTGATCATTGGCATACGTGCGGATGAATCCGTACCTAGATCGGCGTAGAGCTCGCGGTTTTAACCTAATACATACAATCAAACAAATTCCCAGATCAACCAGATAATCTATTTCACCCTATCATTTTGGCCCCTTATCTGCGATGTTCGACCCACAACAACTGGATTGGGCGCTGGCGGTAGCCTCAAGTGCGAGAGTGGATCTTTCGGCTCAAGCATTCTTACGTACGGACGAACTACGTACCTGCCTAGGGAGGAAGCAAATTGCCTAATTATGGTGTAAAGGAGCGATCAGTCTCTCAGACACAGCCGTCTTGTGTATGCCTGGCAGGAGGAGCATTGATACTCCGCCCTGTTGTAGATTAAGCGTCATTAACATCAGTAGCATGAAAAACATGATGAGGCTCGACCGACCGACATTTATAGAAACCCAGAGCTTTGTTTAATGTTTCTCGTTGTTGGATTAACCTGCCTTTTTGGTGTATTAATGCGAATCTGACTTAGTACTGTTTTCTCCACAAATATGTAATTTACTGTCCTTGGTCGCGTTGGGGGCCGTTTTGACGCAGCGAACATGTTGCCAACCAGTTAACCCCGGGATTCATGTTTCGAGGTGCAAAGGTAGGCTCATTTCAAGTTTGCTACACTGCCTTCTTATTACTCCTGAATTTGATATACAGCCATGTATCTAGTATAGATACTTGTGAGATTATCTTTTACGACGAGAGCGGCTGACTGTCGGACAACTTACTTGAATGGTAGGTAGTAGATCAGGGAGATTCAAGAGTGGAGTCGCGTCAGACAGGAAGCTTGGAAAAGGACATTAAGATGAAAATTTGTACTATATTGTATTGTCGCTTAGCACTGCCTACGCCTTAGTTGAGAATAGCTACGGTAGAGTATCCTCAGCTTGGAGTTATCGTGCGGTAATCATCAGTTGGCACTTACGGGCAAGCCAATTGGCGAACAGCGGCTGATTTTCACATCGAGAGATGTTTCAAGTGGGGAGCTGAGCTTGAATAAGAAAAGCCAAGAGGAAAAGATCAAAGAAAGTGGAGATTGTTAGTTGCCAAACGGAAAGAAATAAACAAACCAAATGATTGGCGGACCGCTCTGCTTCGACCCATCAATACAGGATTCAAGTTCATTTAGGTCTATCCATACCCCAAACTCCCGAGGTCCGCTCCAAAGGAAAGTTTAATAAAGATGTTCAATAACCTCTGTACTTGCTGTGCTGCTGAATAGTTATTGATTGCACTTCACGTAACACAACTGCGAGCTCTTAACCTGAAACCTTACGATTCTTGACACCACAACACGGACCAGCCACAAAAGCGCCCCCAAGAGACAATCACCGGCGATCCCGTGGGGGCTGATTTGGCCGAGAACCCTTACAAAAAGGAAGCTGATTAATTCATGTTAGACGAACCAGTACGGAGTAAACCCGGTCTGGACGCCTCGTTTTTCTTAGAATTCTTATTAAATTTCAAGTGGAGGTGGGAGTTCATTTGGCGTCAGCCACATGAATCCACAATCGCGTGGTTTTACCTTAAAGAAATACAGCGACTACTGAGGCGCATCTTTCCTTGTCACTCTGGTACGGGGAGTTTCCGTCGGGCCGACTGCGCGGAATATTGGACGGAAGAGGATGGGGAACTTATTTGCAGATGTCTGGCTGTAGGGTTTATGTGTAGAATGAATACATCAATGATGGGATGTATTATAGCCTTGGAGGATGCTGCTAGGACAAATGATGATACAATTTTTTGCTTGAATATGAGTCATTCTAAGGACTGAGACTTCGGTATCGGCGTTAGTCTCTTTATTGACTTAGTGCTACAATCCCTGTAAAAATTACAAAATGCGACAAATAAGAGAAAATGCCCTTCATGCACGTTAATTCCTACTAATTCGCTCTTTCGAATCATCCGTTGCTAACCCGAGGATCAAATCTGATGCTATTTAAGAAGTAGAACCATAGCCTGTCTTCCTTCCTCCTTCTTCTTCTCGGCTAAACCACCCCGTTTTCTGCACTATGGAAGACAACCATGATCGTGAATTCCATTACTTTTCACAGCTTCCTACTGAGTTGCGACTGGCTATCTGGCGTGAATGCCTGCCACGACGCGTGGTAGAAATAGCCCTTCATTTCAATGAGAACGAGAGCGTCCCATCACCCTGCGAGTGGGTGCCAACAAGCCGTCTTAACCGGTCGTTGCCTACAATTAGTCGGGTATGTCACGAATCATGGCTAACTACTCGCGAAGCTAGCCACACTCGCGAAGTCGATACACCTGATTCAATGAGTTGGAAGTGTAAGCTGACATACAAAAATTTACGAATTGACCCTTCTCGAGATTCAGTTCATTTACATTGGGCACCTGATCTTACAAACCCATTCTGTCATGCTTTTACTTATGATGACAGTGCCCTCGACTGTCTCACATTGAGCGCGTCGCGAGCTCAACAAGGCTCTTTCATTTTTAAGCTTCTCAAGGGCCACCGTGATACATGGTTCCGGTTGGAGAACAGGATCGAAGCCCTTCAAAAACTAGGACGTGCGGCCGTCGTGATGCGGACTGTTGTGATACACTCCACGGTTCAAGACGCTGCGCCAACAGGACTATTTGGACTTCTCGGCGATGCACCAATCCAGCTTGTCGAATTCTCTGACATACAGCTACTTGATGCTTTTTTTGACCTTGCGAAGAAATGTGAGTCGACATTTACCAGAATCAGACAGGATTTGAGGCGTAAGTCTCCAGAATCAATCAAAGATGCCCTTCAGAAACAACTTCTCAGAACATTCGGGCCTGAATATACAGATAAATTATCTTCGCTTTATCCTGTCATTATGTTCAGGCTTTGCCCAGAGTTCTGCCACCAGCCCTTTCGGAAACTTGATGCCCAAACGACAAGAAAATCGAAAATACTCGAGCGTTTACGCGAAGAGAAATCAGTAGGTGAAAGGCTGACGCTTTCGACAGATCACGATAGTTTTGAGTCTGCTTAGGTAGTATATACAATTTTGATCGTGAAATATACAGAATCAATAATCAAGCCAAACTCGTCGTCTTTTCCCTATCATCTCGCAGCCCAGTTTATCCCAATATCCAGTCTCAGAAACTTCATATTCATCCGAACTTGGAGGGGTATTAAGGAGAATGTTATGTCCCGCTTCTCGAGTAGCAGCATCGATGGTCTTCTTGAACTCGTCCTCATACTTATCTACCACACGGTGGCGAAAATCAGGATGGCCTTGAATTACCCATCGTTCCTCCAATAAAATGGACCCAAGCGGTGATTTAAACGACCCCAGAATAATCGTGAGATCTTGAACACATAAGTCGTCCAAGTAAAGAACAACTTTTAAGGATTTGCAGCTTTTGAAATTGGAAACAACATTATCCACGAGATGACGAAGATGAATACGCCTCCTTTGAAAAGGGGCAGATGTATGAAGCCAGATAGCGAGCCTAGCTAAGTTGTACACCGGCCCCACGGTGCAAACGGTTAGTCCAAGAAATAGAATTAGACCGGGATTCTCTCTTAGTCTTAGTGGAGGGGCATCTTCTCCAGTCACGATCAATGGTCCGTTGATGTGAGCAGACTCGGGGTGAAAGATAACTGTGACTTTACTTGCTAAGTCACATAATCTAGAGTACGCCTTTAGCACATTGATAGGTCTAGATATTGGGGCGACCTTGCTAAATCCACCATATCTGGATATATCGACATGGATACATACGGAAGCATCTCGAAAAATGATGCTTAATGATTCATGCCGTATCTGCCGACAAATAGAAAAGAGGCTCGAATTTGTGAAAATGCGAGACTTGAGGCCTCTAGCACTGATAGTGAACTCGGTTGGTTCGATTTCAAATTCAGCCCAAGAAATTTTATCTTGCGTGCTGTCGTGATGTGTTTTCGTTTGAGCATGGTTTCTGCAAATTAGAAACTTAATTATCTGGCTTCGGAGCTCGAAAGGCAAATCCAAAAAGCGAAATGGATTTTGGTTGCTATTCGTATCCTCCATGATTGAGATACAGCTGAATGGGTTTCAAGACCTTGAATTGAGTGATTGGGAGAATCTATATGGCGAGGTCTGAACAGAGGTAGATATCACAGAGTCAGGCAGATAGAGATATCGTGATGATGGTTGAGGAAGGTGAGAAATAACAAGCGAAGGTGTAACGTGGCAGGGTCAAACAGGCCACAAATCACTACTTTTTCCTGATCAGCTTCCCGTAAATGACCAGCAAGGTTCAAATTTTCTACTAGTTCTGCTTCCAGCCAATGTTATTTCGGAAAAATTTACCAAGCGGCCCTTGATCATATAAGAAGTAGAAGGTCAGAGCAACCGCCATGAATCTAAATATAAGACTTCGAAATTTCGCGAGAAATACAATTTCTAGAGTACGTTAACCATTTTGCTACGATGTTAGTACCACAGATAGTAATCACACGATTTCCAAGACACGTTTGGCACAAATCATGCCAAAATGTTAAATAGTCAAAGCAGGTGTCACGGTGTGACTTCTGTCTGTCTGCTGAAATCAGTCTGTAGTATATATAGTATGCGAGAGCAGTGTAAAGTCCTGTCTTTACATACTAGTCTTTTGCTAATTAGTAGTGCAGCGGTTAAGCCCTTGAATGCTCCCGAGGTGCCCCGCCGTGACAGCAGGCCATATAAATAGTCCACAACCTTGAGATGTAGTGCTAACCGATAGATCCGAAAGCGTGATTTGACTCCACCACTTTTGGAAGTACATACGTCCTTCGTAGATAGATCCCAAGTAACAAAGTCAACACCGCTCCATATCCGTACCTCTCAGCCTGAGCTAGTGGTATAAAACGTGAAGAGTCCTTCGGATCCACGCCCATCTGCCCCGTCTCCAGTAACAATCTCACCACTGCTCCACGACCATATCTCGCAGCTGTAAATAGAGATCTTTCCCTTGAATCTGTGTTCATTTGGGTTTCAAGTTGGTCTTGCGGTTTCTCAAGAAGTAATTTCGGAAATACTTGGCAATTTTCGAGAATGGAGAGAGAATTTGACGTCCATTCCTCGGAATCGCCCAGGCTCACGCTCACATCTCCCAGCCCAATCTGAGATAATCGCTCTTTGACAGTCTTATATCCCGCGCGTGCTGCCGAGCGCAGACCAAGCCATCCGTCAAAGGTCTCTGCATTCATATCTGCCTCCCCCATCTCAAGCATCATCTTCACAATTGTTTCGTGGCCTTTATAAACAGCCCAGGATAAAGGTGTATCCCGGCAGTAATCTCTTGAATCGACGTCCGCTCGACCGAATTCAAGTAATACTTTCACCACGGCTTCAGTTCCTGAATTTGCAGCCCAGAATAATGGTGTGAAGAGGTCCCCGTCCTTCGAGTTCACATCTACCCGGCCTGTGGAAAGTAATATCTTGACTACTTCTGCGTGGCCGCGCTCTGCAGCAAAAGATAAGGGGGTCCGATCATCAAATCTTCGCCAGTCGGGATTTAGTCCTTCTGTCTCTAGTAAGAGCTTTACTATCGCTTCGTGCCCGTGCTCTGTGGCTAGGGATAATGGGGTCCTGCCTCGGTCTGTTGCTTGAACGTTGGCTCCTGCTTGGAGACATTTTCGGAATGTCTCCTCGTTGCCATGCTGAGAGCCCCAGAACAGAGCAGTATTTGATTCTTGAGCGTCTATTTTGTAGAGGTATGGGTTTAGGAGAGAATAGAGGTATCTGTTTGTTTGAGATAATGAGTTGATATCTCTTTGTGTTGTTAAGAAGGTCGCTAATAGTAGAATTAGTTCTGGCGGTAAATAATGCAGAAACATCTTCGTTGGATTTCTAGTCATGGCATTATGGAAAGTAAATCTCCCGAGAAAATGCGTACAGTGTGATGGAGGAAGTTTGGATCTCGTATTAGATGGGGAAGGTAGTATCCATGTTCACTAGCGTATAAAACTTTGAGGTAGAGGCGGAGCGATCCGAGAGCGGCTTAGAAAAAGCACGTGGTGATATACAATTCAACATTGAAGGTTCCCAATGATGCACCCCGAAGGGTCTTACTAATATAGGTGTACAATCTTCGGTCGTTGAATGGATGATAAATGATACGGGAATTCTTAGTATCTAAAGAAAGGAGAAGAAGGAGAGGCTCAAGCCTTTACTTTGACACTTTTACCCTGAGAGTTAGGATTCATGGAGCATATAGACTAAATCGTGACATTGAAATACCCGCACTCTAGAGGCTACATATGTAGGTAGTCTAGTATTTAGCACTGGAGGCTAGGAGAGTTTAGATAAGACACCTAGTAGGAAATGGTCTTGTGGTTGGCCTAGTGGAATGACATAGGCAAGAAGAAGTAATGACACGGGTAAAAGAGCAATGACATTTACCTAGCATATACCTGGCAGGTAGGTACCTGCTAGATTTATACCTGACAACCGTGGAAGTCCTCGAAGAATTCACGAGCATTTAACTTATGAATCCCAATACCTATGTTTCGGCCATGCTTATCAAGTACACTGGGATCCACCATTGAAGTGACGCACGCCAAAATACTGATCTACACTACCAGCCAGGACTTGATACGTTATTTTCATCTATTCAATTGAACCACTGGGTCATTGCACCAGTTAAGTTATCTGACACCTCTGTCGCAAATATCAAAGACACATTCGGAGAACCAAAAGGTTCATCACCGAGTAAAAAAGAAAAGAAAAGAAAAGAAAAGAAAAGAAAAGAAAAGAAAAGAAAAGAAAAGAAAAGAATTTAGAGACGAAACCAGAGCCCAGGAACATGGATGGCATAATTCGTCAAACAAGGCATTGGAACAAAAAGACACAAAGAAGAGAAAATGAAAGAAACAAGACACCAGCAGAAATAGTTAGAGCAAGAGAAACAGAAACAAACAACAAAGCCAGCCATTACAGCAGTGGAAATCTCGGTAAAAAGAGCAGAGCTGCGCAGAGATGAATAAGAACAAGGGACATTGAAATAAGATGCCTGAATAAACTAAATAAGCAATAAGCAGACCTGGGTTAGAAAGCATGATGTAATTCGTATTCGCATTGGAATACGTTGTTTCCCACCCAACCAGAACGCCGTCCGTTAGATGAAGCCGGGTATATCCAGCACCGTGATGCAACATGTACTGAGAAATTGAAAAGGAAAAAAAATAAAAGGGAGAAAAGAAAACAAGCAAATGCATCGAGGTTATGTGGCTGTAAGGCCATTTTCTCGTAGCATTATGGAAAGGTAAGGGGAGATAAAACACAGAGGAAAATGCTTTTGGTAAAGAGATTTGTTTTGAAAAGCTCTTTTTATCTCGCGCCGATTCCGAACATACCAACGGATCCGTAGCCGCTACCACGTTCAGAGAGAGGGGTTGAGACCTTCGAAACGTGATCCTATTCAGGCTGATATTAGTTCTAAAAGCTTGATCGTAGAGTAGATAGTTCGGAATTTCGTACCTTCTTGCGTTTCTTTTTCCCGGTTCCCTCGCCATTGGAGTAGAAGCCGGGGTCATCATCGTCATCAGCGAATCCTTCACCGTAACCAACGAAGCTATTATCATCATAATGTCTCTTCCGTCCGCGACTAGGCCGTGCATGATCCCGATCATGAGGCGTTGAAGCAGACATAGTACCTTGGGCAGATGGCCGCCCACCAGGTGTGGGTGCAGCTTTCTTGGTGCTATCACCAGGGGGTGGGTTCTTGACTGGCTTCTCATGACCCAATACATCCTCCCAGAAGTCATTGCCGGGTACCGGTCCAGGTTCCATTTTCATAGCTTGGGTCTGAAGGCCGTGAAGCGCTGAATCAAGATCTGCAACCTTAATCTGCTTGCCGAAGACCTTCTGGTTCTGCCATTCTTCCTCGGGCCACATTGTAAGGTGTCGTAGACTACCAGGCGCTCCTGGTTCTTGTTTCACGGGCTTGTTTCGGCCTGCTAGTCCTAGTCCCTTCAGCTTGCCCTCATAAGACTTTCTTAACCGATTGATCTTCTCGCCCGTTATGGGGTCTATCCTTGCTACCGATTGAGCAACCGAGCCGAGCCCATAAAGGGAAATGAGATCCAATGAAGGATCCGGACCAGTCACAAAGGGTGCTATGGAACGTCGAAGAAATCTGTGTTAACAACTTTGCTTCAAGAAAAGCGCTAAAAGACAAATGTAATCACACGATTGCGACGGTGGCAATCGCGTTCATACTTAGGGGTTTCTTACAGCTTTTGCAAAGATGGAAAGCCGAAGTTAAATCATTCTGAAGGGATTCTAGCCCAAGATTTCGGTTGGTAGGCTGGTCTTTATCCAAATCCATGGCGTCACTATCTGTCGCAGTACCAGTGGCGAAGTCGCGTACTTCAGATTCCGGGGCGGAGGTGAGAGGTTGCCGTTCGTGATCTGTTCGTCTGTGCTCTGAGACCTGTTGTGAATCCATATTCCTTGTTGTATCTTGCATGCCTGGGTTAAATGACTTGCGGTCCACGTCATCCGCTGAGGTCGGTTGTGTAGGGTGACCACTGACGCTGCTCGCAGGTGTAGGGAAAGAATTCGTAGTGCTCATTGTCGGTTGCTGAGAGACCTGGGTTGACATCGGGGTAGATGAGGGAGGGGAGGAGGTGTTTGGGTGGGTAATAGCCTGGTTCGGTGATGCCTGGGAGGATGCAAAGTTGGAGACATGGCTTTGATCGCTGACCGACATCAACGGAGGAGACGTCGGAGTCTGGGGAATATGATCCGAGACGAGTGGAAGCTGGCGATTCTCTTTCAGAGATTCGGCAGCTGGTGAGGAGGGTGAAGGAGGTGCGACTGGGAAGGATGTCGAAGGGGCGCGATCCGACATGAGAGTCCTGCTGTCAGAGCTAGTTCCCGAGACTGGAACAGACACGGTTGTCGGCTTAGAGCTTCCACGGGGTGGAAGTCCAAATCACGTTCGACACGAGCGCTAGGTCGGTAGGAGAGGGAGGGGGTTCCCGGTTGACGATCGACGGTCGCTCAAGGCGGCGAGCAAGTCGTTCCACGGTCCGGCCTATATCATATGCATTCCACACGACTGAAAGGAGTCCTCTAATCCTAACAGGCAATCAGGAGGGGTTAGGGCTGATGGGGGATGGCGGAGGGGATGGCGGATGATTCCAGACGCTTTCGAAGACGGCGAGAGATTGGAGGCAAAACGGACCGGGCACGTGACGCGGGACTCGGGACTAAAACCGATCGGGATGTGTCCACTGTTCTATAGGTATAGTCTTTAAGACTTCTGCAGCACCTGCATTTGACCACAGACTAGTCTTTTATTTGAATCATGGTCATCTTAAACATTAAGCAGGATATAAATCTTCTTGTTGATCAAAAAAAAAATCAATTGGTTATGACTATATGATCTTACTAAACCTAAATTTAGAGAATATGACAACGAAAATCGGTCTTTGTTAAGGAGTCCCGGTTTTCTTGAATGATATCACGAATATTGAGCAGCTATGGTATATGTAAAAAAGCCTCTCTTCCAGTCCAAAGAACGAGAGTAAGTGAACTTCAAAATAAAAGCAGACCTAGTTTCTCCAAATCGCAATGCTCTCCCAACTCCTATTGCTAATTCCCATGAAGACTGAGTATCACGGGGGGGCGATAAAGCAATGAGGATATAGGCTTCAATCAAAGCCATTCCTCAAGAGGGAATAAAACAGAGACAAAAAAGAAATCCCATCTACCATGGTTACGACCGGTAAAATGCATTGGATTGATGAACCAGTTGCGCAGATACATCTGGTATGTCATGCTCCAATGATGCCATGAGCTCAATTTGCTCCTGTTGACTGAGAGTTCGCTCTCGCCAAGATGGCACGGGAAACGGTTCATTGAAGTATTGAGAATATTGATCTCCAATTGGAGATGACCACTGCATTGGATCAACGGTTGCATCAACATAGGCCAGATGGCTGGCGGTGGTGGAGGCGAGCGAGAAGTTAGGATCCCAGCCTTGGAGGCCAGGAACCACTGAAGGCATTGAGTTGTAGGGGTTTGAGGGATCAATGGAAATATCCGAGAAGAGCGAATTTGGCGCACAGAAATTGTCGGATGGGTATTGAGATGTGGTCGTTTGAGCTGTAGACGACGGTGGCGCACTGTAGTTCGAAACTGGAGGAGCCGTATTCTGGTTCAGTACATCTCCAATGGCTGGAGGTGTAGATTCTTGGGAGAAAGGTACAGAAGGGTCGGCAGATTGTCCTCTTGAAATGGTGCCTGTAGATGCATTATCACTATACGAGTAAGTCCCAGCTCGATGACTGTGAGCATAATAGGAAGCGGTCGTCGTGCTAGAAGGGCTAGACATGGGCGGGGGTGTCATGATCCCTTGTGATGAAGTAGGGGTAGGGTGATTGGATGGTGAATGTACGACGAATGATTCTTCTGTTGTGTATGCTTTCAAGCAAGCCGCAACAAGACGTCTGTACAATAGTATGGCGGACTGTACACCAGGCCATCGTTCAGCTGAGAAGATAAGAACTTCCAAAGCCATATCCAAATAGTTCTGAACTTCGTCGACCGTGTGCTCTTTCCGAATTTCGGGATATGAAAGTGTCCAAAGAACAGTGTTGAGGGCCATGAAAAGGGATTGGGTAAATATCCAAGTCATATCTACCGAGCCTGTGACCATCTGTTCTTTATGCATGGCAATGTTGAATGTTGACGATTCATAGCATATTTTGGCTGCGTTGACTGATGGTTCAGGTACCTGAGGTGAGGGTCGATACATAAGGATGACGATTGTGTTTCGTCTACCTTGAAACCTATAGGCAGGCAAAAGGAGAAACTTGTCAGTCGGGGATCATCTCCAAAAAAAAAAAAAAAGAACAGGCAAACAACGTGGAAAACCCACCATTTCACATTCAAACCAGTACCATCGTCGTGTCTTGGACAAGATTCCATCCATTGGTCGATTTTGTCCGACATATAGGAAAACCATGGATCCTGGTCATCGACAGGGGTTTCACGGCGATTGAGGTAAAGTGCTCGCCGAACTTCCAATTGCAGTAATCGCATTTTGAAGAAATGAACAGCCAAACATTTGCCAAGCACTGGCTTCATTCCCGGGGTGATGCCTTCGCTTGTGATATATCGGTCATCTATTAATTGGAAGAAGTCCACATCAATATTGTCATGCGTGATGCTGAAGCAGTTGGCACGACCTAGAGAATGGGAAAGCCCGAACTCCATTGAAGTGACAATCCAAAAGAGCCTTCGTCGCATATCGATCTCCAGTGGATTGAGAATGCGGCCATCGGGCGATGTCGCAATAGTAGCTTCTTCGGTCAACCCCAGATCTTGGCATAGCTTTACAGCCGTCCCTACAACCCAATATGCAGCAGTTCGGGTTGGAGTTAGCATTGAATACTGAGCAATGAGAACCAGACATTGCAATGCTCTCAGATCCATTTCTTTCAATGTTGGTTCTAAGAAGGGCAGCGCAGCTAAATAGTAGCTATCTGCGAGACCGGCATACTCTGGGCTGAGTTTTTGCATACTGATGGCAATTGCCATTCGTAATTGAAAGTTATGGCAAGGATCGGTGGAGCCATTCAAAACTTCGTCGGCTTCTCGTCGAAAGCTTGGTTCGTGTAAAGTCGGGAGCAGTGCTTGTGCTGAACAAAGAAGCAAGAGAGGAAAAAGTTAGCCATAACTGTCGTCACGGGAGGCCACAATGGGAAACTGTGCGAATGAGGCCTCCATACCTTTGGCTATAAAAAGATCGATCAACTTGTATGTCAGGCCCTGCAAAGGCAAATCGGGTTGTGGAATTGAACTGATCATTGGGTAGACTTTGGATGTCGGTTTCGAGTCTTCTTTCGCAAAAGCGGCCTTGATTTCCTGGGCGGTAAATTCGGGGACGACATCTTTGATGCTTTTGGAGGCGGTATTCTGTTTGGCCATCTCCATGACCAGACGAGTCATGGCAATGCCACTGGAGGGACCTAGATATCGTGGTTCATCATTTTCTTGGAAACGGATGCGACCTGCGCCCCGCACCATCAACTCCGCATCCGCCGCATGTTGAATATCCTTCTCGGAAGCGGCGAGCTCCTTCTCAAGGGCGCGTGCTTTTTCGCGTAACGATACAATGTATGTTCGTGGGATCGTGGTATCTCGAGTAGAGTCATAGTAGACACATTTCGCGTTGCTTCGTTCACAAGGTGCGCATCGAGGGATTCCTGGGTCGCATCGAGATTTGCGCTGAATCAAAGAAAGTAGAAAAAATCAAGTCAGTTATTTTGTCCCGCAAAAAACGTTAAATTGATTTTCCGTCTTGTCTCTCATGAGTTTGGGCGACATTGGATTTCTTTCTTTCTTTCTTTTTTGAATATCTTCTCGTTCCTCCCCGTGGCGGGGAAGGAAGATCAACATGAGGGGCAAATTGCATCATACCTGTCGACACCTTGTACATGCAGTAAGTGTATGAGCGATACGACCGTCTGGTGGATCAAAGGGCGACTCCGGCGAGGGCAGCCCTGGAGATTTTTGGGAGCTCTGGGTCATGGCTTGAAGGGAAGCTCCACGGCCAAGAGTAAAGGAGGAAGGGAAGGTCACATGCGAGGAGGTTAAGCGGGATGAGCCTTCTCCAAGAAACCTAAGCTTAAGGAAATCGAGAAAATCGAGAAACACCGGTTCGAGTCCAAAGAAAGGATTGAATGGTCCACCAATGCAAATACCCGTAACAGAGTCGACATGTTCCGCAATTTGAAGAAGCGCCAACGTCCAAAGTCTCAAGTGGTGCAAGGGGGGGGCGGGCCCCATGAAACGGGAAAAATTGGGTAACGCTGGGGCAAAACAGGGTCGGAGGGGACAGAGAGAGGGGGGGGGGCCTCGGTCCAGATCTGGATCGACAAGAGAGGGGAGTTTGGAAGCGACGGAAGGGATCCGTGTATCTTTTGAACTTGAAGAGAGGGGAAAAGGAGGAAGAAATCCAAGATGGAAGATAAAAAGAAGAAAGAGGAAGAGAAGAAGTGGGGGGGGGGAGGAAGAGGATCAGTACAACAAGACAGAATGTGGATATGCAGTATACAGGAATTCCAATATATTAGAACAATTAATGAAATCAGATTCATAGGTATTTGGCTGTGTACATGACTAGTATTCGCATAATCAGTAATCCAGTACTAATCAGCTAATTTCCCCCCTCTTCCCTTAATTGTCTCCACCCATTCCAACGAGGCTCAGCTGAAAACGAGTCTAGGGCCACTGCAGGACCGTTTGACTTGAACCAAGTGGCCCATGACACCGCTTCTTGGGATTTAGAGGGAACACATCAGTGCTGAAGTGCTGTAAGTGTCAGACTATGGCGTTTTTGATCCCCGTTTCATCCTCTCCTTGTTTTCCCTGATCTCCCTTCTATAGTGTGTATACGCACTCAAGGTTCCAAGGTTAGGGACTCCGTAGTGGAGAGCCAACCCTACGACGCTAGTAGCTACGGACGATCATTCTTGACAAGGATTCGGATCCTGGCATTGGTGGGATGCTCTCTGCTTGAATTTTCCTATTTTCTTTTTCTTTGGAACTTTGTTGATCATGATCGTTTGAATTCCCACAATTTAAACCGTTAACTGTGCTGTCCACGGGTGTTGATTTAAAGCTCGTTTTTAACATTCTTCCTCGATATTGTGGCTCGTTGTAGCTCTTGACCACCACTGTCGATCAAGCACCGAAAGTGAAAGGGACACGAAACAAGTGTACACAATATCCGAGCTCGTACTTATCGTTGCTGACGCGATCCGGCGGGGAAAGGGAAGAAACTTGACGTGTGGCACAAAGCACAAAGCACAAAGCACCCAGTCCCTATTTGGTCCGGATTAGCGCCTTCGGGCTCTTGCTCAAGCCAAACCCTTGAATCAACATATTCAAACAAAAAGAAAAAAACACATCTGCACTTGATCATGCCCACGGCCACCACTTTCCTCGAGAGCCCCCTGCTCAAGGTGAGTCGGCCAGTCGCCGCATGCTCACGGTGCCGCACTGCCAAAATCAAATGTGACGGGAAGCTCCCCGCCTGTTCCGCGTGTGAAAAGGTCGGCAAAGCGAGCTCCTGCTCGGGGGCCAGTGACGAATTCGCCAAGGGCAAAGAACGAAGTTATGTCGCCTCCCTAGAAGGATATTGTGAGAAACTCGAAAAGAAATTGAATCAACTACGTGATCGTCAAAGTTCCCTATCCCTCGAGGGGGATGGGGTCGCCCGTGAAGTCTCCATTACCGCGACTTCGTCTGCTGGTCCGCCCGGTCCGGCTCACCGACGAGAAGTCTCCGATATTGATGATTTAGTCGGAGACTTTGGTTTCTTATCGGTAAACGCTACCTCAAGAGACTTTCATGGAATCACTTCCAAGACTAGTTTCGCCAATTTGCTCTTATCAGTCGCGACTGTCGGCTATCCGCCCTCGCCTGTCCCCAACTCACTCCCCGCACGACATGAGGCCACTCCTTTACTCCAACACTATTTCGATAATATTTTTGTGCAATTGCCGTTTTTTGTCGAGACTGGTTTTTGGACCGCCGTCGATGCGGTTTATCAATCTCAGGGTCGTTTCGCTAAACCTTTCGATCACTGGATGCTTCGGATGGTCCTTGCGATTTCCTCCGCCTCAATTTCATATCAGAACAATGATAAAAGCCACCAACGGGCTTTGGCCCTAGTGGCTGATGCACTTACGTATGCCGATGAGGTGCTTCGCCCGGGATCGATCACGGGTATTCAGGCAATCTTACTGCTGGCGCAATATGCTCTGGTGGATCCAGGTCGCTTTCGTAGTTGGTACCTGGTAGGCATGGCCATCAGAGTAGCCGTGGATCTCGGACTTCATCAAGACCCTCCATCAGAGGTTATGTCAACCTCGAGTCGACTAGAAATTCGCCGTCGTGTGTTTCATTGTCTCTACAGCTTGGACAGGTATGAGAATCATAAATCCCCACCTTCTTTCTTTTTTTTATGGAGTTCAAGAGATCGCTAATAGATTCATTAGAGGAATGAGCGCTGCTTTACAAAGAACATTTTCATTTTCTGACGAGTCCGTCAATGTCGCCATGCCCTCAGGAAGCAGTTCAAATGGGTCCTCAACCGGCGAACAAAGTCATATCTTCCTCCGCAGCCCAACACCAGCTCTCCACATCGTCAAAATCCGACAAATACTATCATTCGCATACTCAGACATGTACTACAGCACACGAGGACCATCCCCACAACCCCTCGTCCAAATCTGGACCCTCTGCTACCGAGCCCGCCAATGGTTCCACGAATGTCCCAAAAACGCACCCAATCACTTCTCTCTCCTCTACAGACTCGAACTCCTCTACACAATGATAGTCGTTCTCTCCCCCTCTCACCGCTACCCAACCCTCTGCAACTACAACAAAGCCCTCCTCTTCGACAGATCAATGGACTACATCAGCCAAATCCACCAAGTTCTCGAGAACCCCACCGCCCTCCCCTTTCTCTCATTCCTCGACGTCCAACGAGTCCACCAAGTAGCTCGTCGCTTGATGGAGGTCCTTTCTCAAAATTTCGACTTCCTTCTCGGTCCAAATGTTCCAAATCCACCATCTGTACCACCTGGTACCCCTGATCCCCCAATACTAGCTGAAGAAGACCGATTCAACTGTCGGCCTCGTGCGATTCGTTGTCTCTCGTATGTGCGTGATTTGCTAAGCTATTGTGCGAGGAAGTGGGATCTCAAGACCCCGCTTGATGAGTTTGAGCGTGAGGCGGAGGAGTTAGAGAAGTTGCTTAGGGATGGCTCGCCGATGGAGTATATGGCGAATCCGAATCAGGATGCTTATTTTAATCCTTCTTCTGGGGTACCGCTGGCCGGTACTGAATATCAATCCTACCATTTAGGATAAATGTATGTTATGTTTTGATGTGACGTGATGTGATGTGATGTGATGTGATGCAATGAACTGGTTTCCATTGGGATATTTTGATTTGATCATATACCACTGAGAGTTGTCTCAATTGGTACTGTTGTTTTCCTGTGTAGGCCTCGGTCGCATGGCCAGTATTCCTTGCAGCCGTCGCTGTTGCGATTTTATATGTATCCTTGGCTCCGACTTTCTAAAGCATCAAGGCTCAACTGGATCGTGAGGTCTCAAATCATCCGTAACATATCCGCTGTCCAACAAGATAGCATGTGGGGATACGTCGATTTGCTAGAACTCACGTTCAAGCTATCCAGGTAGCCTTTGGCATCCCCTGTTGCCAAGGTCACACCTGGGCACTTAATCTTCCAAGGAAGCAACTTAGTAGTAGTCGATTCACTTCCTACCTGGGCAAGCGACAACCCCGGAACCAACAAAACCAAATGCATACACCCGGTAACTACGAATCTGCTAGGCGGCACAACATAAAATCCTTCCCCATTGAGACTAAGCGGGACCTGGATGTGTAGTTCGATATCACAATGTCTTTATAAATAGATACCTCTGCTGTGGCTAACCGTCTCGGGGTGGGATAGGTCTTACGCTAAAAGGCATCCGTGGAGACTTTGGAAGGTAGGCGGCTGGCGTAGTTGGTTTCAATGAGAATGTAAGGCCAGAGAGTAGGTATCAGAAGGCAGGTATTCGAGGAACCGTGAATTGAAAGGGAGGGAAGGTTTGGTTTCGACGTTAGCTGGAACTGTGTAGGTGAGTGATGGGTAATAGTAGACTTGGATATGTATATTGTAACTTGAAGGTGTCTAGGGCGATACAGGCTTTGTATATTAAATACTGTGATATTTCAAGCCTGGGGAAGTTGTAGCAGGTGTGAGAACTACCCTTGGGTCATATGGTTAAGACGTTTGGCCAAAAGACCACTATGTCTGGCGTCTGCCAGACATGCCCAAGACCGTTATCATATAGTATGACACGCTGTTAGGCCGGCTGCACCGCGACTGACACAGGTTGCTCTCGGGCTTGGTAATTTTTAAAGAAAATAGAATGTGGTGAGATTTGAGATTAAACTCGCTAGGGAAACACAAGCGCGGGGGCACAATCCGATTTTATTTCGTCTCCGTCCAAGCTAAGCAAATTGGGATTATGTATGAACCATCGGAAGTCTTGGAAGATGTTTGGAAAGACTGTCAGCCAGTATTTGACGAAGAGAATATTGTACTGCCATATTACTACTATTCATGAAAAGAAGGTTTATTTTGAATTATTTTTGATTGTCATCCGAATTGGATGGGATTTTAGAGTCAAGTAAAGTGATTTGCTCGGTACAGAACAGTGGCTCTCAAAACATTAAAAGTATTAAAAGTAATAACTTGAATGTCATTGACTGAAGAGAAATAAAAATATAAAATTTGTTTGAGACTAGATCGTCTCGACATTCATGAATGTGAACACCATTTCCAGGTGTGTCCCAATATATGCACAAGAAAGATGTTGCGGGTATTTATAGGCGCCCAAGAACGCTATCCATAGCTGCGTAAAAACAAAGCCCCAACTAGGATCAGATGAGTCAAAAAAATAAAGTACTCAACTAAACTTAGATGTTAGCAGCAACGGTGGCAACAACGGAGCCAACAGCGGCACCAGTAGCAGCAAGACCGAGGCCGGAAACGAGCTCAGCAACCTCAGGGGAGAGCTCGACGAGGAGAGCCTGGGTGTCGGAGTGGACAACGACGATCAGGTTCTTGACACCAGGGGCAATGTCCTTGAGAAGGTCACCAGCGTTACCGGCAGTCTTGACGATCTTGCCAGCGGGGACACCAACACCGGGGAGGCCGAGGCCGGAAACCAGGGAGGCAACGGAGGGAGAGAGCTTGACGAGGAGGTTCTTGGCGTTGGGGCCGGTGATGGTGAGGATCTGCTCAACCTCGGGGGCGAGGTCCTTGAGGAGCTCACCACGCTTCTTCAGGGAAGAACCGGTGGTAGCGAGGATAGTACCGACGGGGACACCGACGGTGGGGGAGACCGAGACCGGAAACGAGACCGGCAACCTCGGGGGAGAGGGAGATGAGGAGAGCACCACCATCGGCACCGACGACGGTGACGAGGCCATCGACATGGGGACCCAGACCGGTGACGAGGCCACCGAGGGAGCTGGCGGAGGCAACGACGGCACCCAGAGGGACACCGAGGGCACCGAGACCCAGGGAAGAGACGAGAGTAGCAACCTCGGGGCTCAGCTCGAGAAGCAGAGGCTGGAGGTCAGTACCGGTGATGGTGAGGACGTTGTTGAGCTCGGGGCCAAGGTTCTGGACGAGGTGGCCGTTCTGGACGGCGGGCGAGCTGTCAGAGCCGGTGGAGGGAAGGTTGAGAACCTTCTTCAGGTCACCGAGGCTGGAGACGACGGGGAGCTTGCTAAGGCTCAGCTCCTTGGTGACGTCGCCGAGCTTGAGGACATCAGCAATGCCGTCAAGACCCTGCAGCTTGGTGAGCTGGCTGAGCTGGGTGACCTTAGTCACCTCACCGAGGACACCGGTGAGACCGGACAGAGAGCCCAGACCGGAGAGAGGGTCGGAGGTCATAGGGGCGGCAATGGCGCCGATGGCGAGAGCGGCCATGATGGTGGTGATGGAGAACTTCATTGTGAATGAGGAATTAGGGTTATTGGTCTAAAAGAGTGACTGAAGTCGGAATGACTAGGTATGTAATGAATGACTGGTGTGGGATGAAGAAGAAAGAAAGAAAAGAGTTTAACTTTGGCTGCAGCAGAACCTGTATTTATACATCCATCATGATAGCCCTTTTCTCAGGGTTCTCGCCTCCTGGTCTCTCCCAATATAATCCACAGGTGGGTCGGTATCAAACGCTAGATTCAGCGCCTCATGTTTTAATGAGACGCTTCTATACGGACTTGGTGGAGCCTCCACCTTCTCCAGTATGTAAAACCTAATATCAAATGCCTAGGTGGATATGGACTGGATGGGAAATGACTGCTAGATCCGAAAAACCAGATTGAAAGCCCCCAGGTGGGTTCTCGTCAAGGATCCTGATTTAGGAAATAGCCATACAGTCGACGTGTACGGTGTAGGTAGACATCTGACGCTTACAATGACATCAAAGAATGGCCCCTTATCCAAATTTCCAGGGTGTGATGCATCTAAGCCGTTTTTTATTATACGTCAAGAGCAAAAGTTGTTTCATCAGTGAAATCTACTTCGTAACAGCCCTATCAACATACTACAGGCTTAAGCAAAGGATCGATCACAAACGGGAAAGCGACTAAACCTAAACACCAAAATACCATCAAAACAAATACACGATTGAGTTAGTAGTCTGTCTAATACCCGGAGATCACCGGAGTTCCGCAACAAAATGAAAGCGTTTATGCAAATTGAGATCTGCAGGTACCCTTCGAGTTGCGCATAGAAGTTCTGAGATGGGCCATATGGTTCTTTGTGCGTGCCGTGGCTGGCTGTAGTGTAAGCTTATATGGGCCAGGTGGGTACCGAATACCTCCGAGCTAGCGTCAATAATGCTGTAGATCCTGAGCTTGGGCCAAAACTCTCCTGACGTGCGCTGCGCCGCGCACCCGGATATCCAGATAAACTACTTATTAACTATGGGTAGACTCAAATTCGAGTCATGGATAAATCTGAATCAAAGTGGAGCCTGAGCATAACCCAATGTCACAATTGTACTTAGTATGAGCGCGTGTCTTGGAGCGAAGACAACCCCCCCTTTCTTTGCATCACTTCACTGTTAAATCCAAATAACTAGAAAGGAAACTCCTATAAAATGAAATATGGGGTCCGTCTGCACCGCTCACCAAACAAATGCCGAGCTCCTCTTTATAAAGTTACCGCCCAAACCAAATTTAAGGGGGAAATTCTTGCCCGTGCCAATAAGGCAACTCAGGAACCCGAAGAAGCCCCCACTTATGGGGCTGCTAGAGGATCATCAACCTGCTTGGGGCTTAGACCCTGGAGGCCTACAGAGAAAACTCAGGGTGAATCCCCGCCCCCAATCATAATTTTCTCCGGACTGCACTCTTCTTTCCTTCTGGTCAGCGCAGAATGCCCCTGATGACCCGGAAAGGGATCTCATTGGCGCTTGCCGGAGATAAGCAGGTCCAAAAAAACCCTGAAAATCGAAATAAATTCCGAAAAGCGATTTGAGTTCTTGTCCCTGTAAAATAAGCTAAGCAAGCCACCGGCACATATCTTTACCCACGATCGATAGAGTGTGCCACCTGCATCATCGGACCAAAGGGAAAGCTGGAAAAAATAAAAGAAACTTCTCACCCTCCACCCACCTCGTATTGAACGCCCCTCAATAGTGTTGACAGAAGCCCACGTTGCACAACAAACGTCAAAACAATCCTTCGCAGTCCATAGACGTGCAACCTTTTCAATAGTCAACATTCGCTTGCAGTAGAATTTTCAATCCACGTTCTTTACCGGTTATATCCGATGGCGATCAGCGTTGAGAGACATCTAGACGCTACACCTATGGAGTAAGTACAGATGACCCATCGTCCATGACACCCGGTGGCAATCCGGAGATTCCCCGGCCACACTAGACCGACTATCATAATCTCAACGGGAGACCCTGAGGACCCAGGATTTTCCGATTGTTTACAAACAACAATGCTACAGTAAAATGGGTATGAAGCTCAGACGAATCAAAACACGCTTACTAGATAGAGTTTGGCTACTCAACAGCTTTGGTTTGGTTCTCTCCCAACAAGAGATCCGGAATTCCTCGCGCATTCCCGATCTGATCGGTGTGGACCCCACCCATCTGCTTATTTCCGTGGGTTGGGAGACATGATAGCCTCCCTCATCTTTGGTCAGGAACGAACCCATCAATCCTTCCGCAGGTAATCGAGCTGAAGAAGGAACTTTCCTGTATTCGAGGTTGATCTCTCGTACTTGATGGGCTGGTTCCATGGACTGGTCGTGGCCTTGGCTCACGCCATTATTATTCATCTGGGCAGGGCACGGAGTAAACTAGGTTGTATGGTACTCTACGTCGACAGTCGGCAAATAATCAATAACAATAAACACAAAAATCAAATAGCGCGACTAAAATCCCATCTTTGAAGAATTTTGGGCTCTCAAATGACTAAATGAATTGAGATTCAAAGAAAATAGGGCTCACTATCGATAGTACAATGCTTATGAAGCACCTGCCATGATTTGAAAGCCAAGAACTCCCATGTTTGGGCGAGAGGCAATAATTGTAATTGTAGATCTTATTTCCTATGAAACGTACTTTCTACCGTGTGTATTATTCATACAGTACTTTGTACCAATGCCCCATAAAGTCTTCTTCGAGTCTTCTGGCCTGAGAGGCCTGAGCGTTCATCGACCCAGGGAGTCCTTTCCGACTCATCCGACCCGATTGCCTCTTCTCAGTATGCAGGTCAGATCTACGAGATGCTGTCAAAGTGAACAACAATTTCACATGGGAATGGCGTGCGTGCACAGTTTACATAGATATAACAAATCCATCTCAGGCTATCGATTTCACATGCGTCCTCCGATTGATATACGGCACGCCGATATCAATTCTGGCAGTCAGCCCGAAATCATAGCGGGCCGCACGGGAAATTGGCATTTCAGTCCATGATCGAGGCTTTCCGCTATTTCTCCAGGGTGTCTGCATTACTTCCCGCCCTGATTTATGTTTACCTGAGGTGGCGGTTTTCTAGGGGTTGCTTTCCCCCCACCCGCCGACCTCTGGACACGATCCCGCTTTACTTGGGATTTTTCCAACATTCATATATCCTATCTCTTCATTTTCAATGTTGTTCCGGCATTATGGTTCGGCGAATAATCTCTGATTTGCTTGGTGATACCTAAATGAGCATAGAATATGAAGTACTCTATGCAGATTGATGTGGCCAGTCGAACAGCCCCCTTTCCTCCGGGGCCGTCGAGTGCGAGGGGGACACGGGAAGACCCTGGTAATCATACCAAGCTCCTGTATTTCAGACCTATAATGCACGAGATAGACAAGGTCTGTGTACATACTTGGGGCGAGCGTATCTCGTACATCGCGTTCGATAGTGATGGACAGTATTGTCTGTCATACTACACTAACTTGCATCTTATAGGCTGAACGGAGCCCTTTTAATAGCGAGACAGGCTTTAGTTGCCACATTTGGAATGGCCTCTACCCCTCCGTTTTTTGAGGCTGTTATCAGTCAACTTTGAAACGGCATATGATAACTGTATCTACTTTTCGTAGGTCTTTCAAGAGCTAATAGCAAAGATAGCTTCAAAGAGCATAGAACACCTGCAAAAAATTCCGCGTCCTCCATCCATGCCTTGATAATATACAGAATCAGTGAAAAACCGGTCCTGTTCCATATCGATTTCTTCTCCTACACTGCGCTTCTTTTACTCTGATTCAGCCGTGAGGCGCTTCGGCGTATGGGGTGATTTGGGAAGATGTATATCAGCAAAGTTATTCGCTTCATGGGTACATTTCATTCGATAAATGATTTGCAATGGAATTTTCATATTTTTATATTCCCTTCTTGCTATTTTCTTGGGCGTTGCTATAAGCTCTTTCACCCTTTGAAAAGCTCCAACTTTCCAAAGCCAGAATCTCCCTTGCTTTACGCCGGAATTCAGCTATACCGATCATTAATAACAAATATTAAAAACTCAGGATCATCCAAGTTCGTCTTTCTCTTCCATTGCTAGACATTAAATCGCTTCATGCATGTGTTCGGCATCTTGACCACATATTTGCGGCCCAATTTAGAGAATCTGAGATGGGAAGAATATAGAAAGCTCCAATTGTGGTCTGTACTGTATTTCAACTAAGGATCATCGCAGAGAGAAGTTTTTGAAGACCCCGTACACGGCTACCCAGAAGTTATAGATATTTTTTTACAACCATGAAAAGCCGATCTACTATATACTATCAGCATGTCACCACGTGACCATCAAACGGGGATCATGTTGGGAGACACCCTTCCCCTCCAACCTCCTCATATATACCACTTCTGAACTCCATTCGACTCGAAAAAGGCACAATCTCCAAAACAGAGACTCCCAATCGCATTATGAAGGTGGCCAAGTCTTGTGTGCAGTGCAGAACTGGAAGACGGAAGTGCGTTGTGGAACAAGGCACTTCATGTGAATTATGCCTAAAACAGAACAAACATTGCTCGTTGTCAAACTCGTCTTCAAATATACGCAGGATTTCCGCAGCAACATCACCCCCTACATTAACTCATGGATTTACGGATGACACGATACTGAAAAGTTTAAAAGAGGACACTCGTGATCACCTAGTAGATCTCTACTTTCGCTTTATCCATGACAAACCGCATACTCTGTTTCATCCGGATATTTTTAGGAAGCGGGTACGTGATAAGACAGTTGCATTGCCTGTTCTTTATAGCGTAATGGCACTGGCGGCTCGGTGAGTACCAAAATTTACGCGCTCGTTCAGACACCTCAAAAAATATATATTGACCACGGATCCGAATAGCTTTTCAGAAAAAGACGAGATACAGCAACAGACGAGGCCTTTATTTTCTGCTGCGAGAACTCTTCTTAAGTCGGTCATTGACTGTATATCTCTCGATAACATCCACGCCAGCATCCTTGTGGGCAACTTGTGCGGCGGAGAAGGAGAGACTGATGCAGAAGCTTTATATTATGGTGAGAAGCACATAGCATCCGAAAATTGAGCTTAACTGACAGAGCCAGGTATTGCTTCTCGCATGGCTCAGATTCATGATTTCCCTTTAATTCGTGACTCGGACGATAGTATGACACGAGAAATGACCATACGCACTTGGTGGTCATTATATATGATAGATCGGTGGTCTTCCGCTGGGCTCAACTTGCCCAGGCAGCTTCAAGATAAATCCGATATATTTCCCATGCACGAAGCACAATTTTGGCGGTTGAAAAAGGGAGAAACAGTTGATGCTAGATCAATATCTCGACCAAGCCTCTGGGGACACATGATTAGGCTCGCTCAAGTATTTGGCCCAATTCAGGATTTTCATGAAGCCTTGGCAGATGGAGCTATGGAAGAGCACGACATAGAGCCAGTGACCCAAGGACTAGTCCAGCGATTTGAGGACTTTGATCGACAGCTGCCACTTGATCAGCACTTCTCTCCCCGAACATTGAAAGAGCACATATCTGCTGGCCTTGGAAGTATCTTCGTGGCGCTTCATCTAGGATATCATCACTACTCTACGCTGCTTTATTTTCCATATCTTGACACACAGCTTAGCCAAATCCCAGGCCGATCTACATATGTCGCTCGCTGCAAAAGGCATGCGGCATTTTTCAGTGATCTCCTTCGAACTTCACATAATACCCCTCATTGTGAGGCTGTTTACTTGATTGTGACTCACATGACGGTGGTATCTTCATCTGTTCTACTGCATACCCTTTTATTTGGGGAGGACGATGAATTGTCCGATGCAAGAGAGCGACTTTATTCTAACTTTGAAGTCCTGTTGAAGTTAAAACAATACTGGCCAGGTGCCGAGTCCATGGTATGACGAAGAACGATTCATTGCAGATAATGAACTAAATATTGAACAGGTTGATCGTTTATTTACATTTCAAAAAGTGTGTATGCGGTCGATGGACAGAACATATGCTGTGGATAGATGGATTATTAAATTTCTTCTTCAACATGCATTGCCTATCGATGATGAGATGTACGACACAAATCCAGATCTTGCAGAGCGACGAAAAGTCGCGAATGACGCACTATCGATGCTTCACCCAGCAGTACTGCAACAACTCAAATAAAACATCTCAGCTGCCACTAGGGTTCCACAGATTTTGTCTCTGTGTTATGAGCCAAACGCTCATTTCCAGCGACATTCGCATTGTCTCCATCGAAAAGTGCCGCGATTTCCTCCAGCGTGGGACCTTTTGTCTCCACGAAGAGAAACCATACACAAAAGCACTCGACCACAAGGATGGCGATATAAACAAAATAGAAGCGCCACTGCAGATGTTCAAGACCCACGGGGTTCACGTATTGGTTGAATACAGACGACAAAGCAGTGACTGCCATAGTGACCGCGAGACCTTTGGCGCGAATACTAAATGGGAGAATTTCAGCAGGGTACGCAACAGTCAGGCCGGGCCATGCGAAGCCGGCTACCCCATAGAAGAGGAATATCATTGCAATGACTGCACTTCCTGCGCCAGAGTTACCGGTCTTGGCATATACTGCAGAGCATCTTGAAGCCTGTTAGAAAGGGCTCACTGGAGGTCTTTGGAAGATAACTTACCCTGTCCATATGCTAAAACTTATAAGCATACCCACTGCGGCGATCATGAATAACTTCCGACGACCAAGTACGTCAACAAGGAATGATGAACAGCAGATAGCAACCAAGAAACACCAGATGGTCAAACCCCCGTTGATCATGGACTGGTCATAAGAAGACTCGATTCCAACAGAGCTGAGTATATCGTGAAGATAATATGATACCAAGCCATTGCCTGAGCACTGCGAAAAGAACGAGACGAGAACGATAAGCAAGAGTCGCTTGCGATTACCCGGGGTCTGAACTAGAACAGGCCATCCGTTTTTGGAGTTTTCCTTTTCCATTAGGATAGTCTCTTGAATTTCATGATACTCAAATGCACAGAATGGGTCATTTCTATCACCGCTTGCATGGTACTGATATTTCTGGTCAGTAATATTGCTGGAGTCGCAAATGGATTAACTTACTTTCACCAAGATCTCAAGTGCCTCTTCCGAGCGATTCTGAGCGCAGAGCCAGCGCGGGCTTTCTGGCACAAACCATATCCCGATAAACTGGATGAGAGGCATCGCTGCTTGCATGGCTACTGGGATCCTCCATGAAGCCTCCGAGGTGTATTTTATTGTCCCGAAGACAGTCCATGCTGCGACAATTGCCCCAACATACCATAGTGTGTTGTACATAGTTGTCAACTTTCCTCGATGCTGAGGGTGTGCCAGCTCGGTGATAAGTAAGGGCGCAGATCCCTGGCTCACGTTTGATCTTGGAAAGTCAGTCTGGGAACAGATTGGATAGAAAAGAGAACATACCCAAGGCCCACGAGGAATCTGCCTGCAAGGAACATGCCGGAATTCACGGATGGGACGACTTGAATTATTGTTCCCACGAAAAGAACTGTCAAACCGATGGCAACACCTCGTTTTCGCCCAAAGTAATCGGCGACGTAAGATGCTAATAGATAATTAGCCTTTCATCAGCCCTTGAAAGATCATGTATATGCCTTACAAAATAAGAGCGAGCACACTCCGCCTATATTCTGAATAGCAGTGTAGAGACCTAACGTCGAACCACTAGGGTTTCCAAAGTCTTATCGGGCGTTAGCATTTCTATGCACGAAATTTGGCTTGCACTTACACTCCTGCCACGGTGTCATGGTCTGCAATCCGTTGAGTAGGGACCCGTCATAACCGTTTGTTGAAGACCCTGGTATTCTTAGTAAACCATTCAAAATTCGGATACTTCAACCAGGGTCATACCAAGAAAGAGAATAGGCATCATGATGTACAAGCTCCGCAATCCAGGATGTCTCCACCAAGTGACCTCGGGGATCTGCACAGATACATGATTGCCCACCGAAGAGAACTCCGCATGCGTCGCAGAGCCCTTACTCATCTCAAAGCCTGACTGCTCTTTCATATTTTAGAACATGTAAAGTTAGAAACCCCAGGTGCTCAGTCACTGACAAAAAGATACAGAGGAAATGCCCATTCCAAGGGCTTCCCACCGAATATTTATACATTTAACATGAACAAAGATGAAAGTCTCCCCATCCGGCTTTAAATCATCCATGGTAGCTTGTTCTTCCCCGGGATTCTGCTATAACAGGTTAGCTTTTGTGTGGGGGAGGCTCCCAGCCTGACCTGCGGGATATCAGCCAATAGTGATCGTGCAAACCCGCACCCCGCAATCTAGGCACGCAACATTTGAACTCTTTGAATGACGTGAAATTCGTGCCGGGGTTTTTGCGCGCAGTATAAGCCAATCATGGACTGTCAAGCCCGCATATACATCTATCGTCGGAGCTCTTGGGCCTCGTTGATATCATGAAACATTTCAGATTGGACCACTATCTGCATTTCTGCGGTGGGGTTTGATGAGGGGTAATGGTTCAGTGGAAGCTATAAGAAATAGCCTGTAGAAGGGGTTCTCCTGGGTCAGTACATCTTGTTCTCTCTTTTTATTTTCTACTCTCAGAAAACTCCAGTGACCATGACTATCTCCCCTAAGATCCCGCATCTCCGACAAGCGGGAAACACAAAACAGCTTGTTGTCAATGGACGACCTTTTCTTTCTCTAGCTGCAGAGCTGCAGAACTCTTCTATGACTTCTGCAGAGTTCATGCGACCTATCTGGCAGAAACTGGTTGATACAAACATCAACACTGTTCTCGGGTGTGTTACTTGGGAGGACATTGAGCCAGTGGAAAATCAATTTGATTTCACACAGCTGGATCAGGTCATCCTAGATGCACGAAAGCATGGGTTACACTTAGTACTCTTATGGTTTGGCTCTTTCAAGAACGGTATGTCCTGATGTGCATTTCGATCTGGTTTTTGACGGACCTAATACTGATTAGATTTCTATTAGGCATATCAACATACGTCCCCCCGTGGGTTAAGACAAACACCCGCCGCTTCCCTCGCGCAAATTTACGAAAATCCGGCGGGGTTCTACAAACAGGCGACGTCCTGTCAATCTTCCATGAAGAAGCACTCAATGCCGATGCAAAGGCATTCTCTACTCTGCTCAGACACATCAAAGAGGTCGATGGCGAACATTCTACCGTCGTGATGATCCAAGTCGAGAATGAGACGGGCCTCTTAGGCGATTCTCGTGACGGCTCTACTGCATCAGAGGAACGTTTCAATTCGCCCGTCCCAGAAGATCTGCTACAATTCCTAGCACATGATTGGGATAACCTCCACGTCGATCTACGAAGAAACTTGGAGTTTTTCAAGGCCCAGTCCAACCCTAACGGCACTTGGACGCAAGTCTTCGGCAAAGGCTCACGTACGGATGAGCTCTTCATGGCGTACCATTATGCGCAGTACCTAAATAAGGTTGCTGCAGGTCGGAAGGAATACCCCATTCCACTTTATACAAACGTTTGGCAAAACTACGTCGGCGAAGATGGCGATAACGATTTCCCCGTTATTGTTGGGGGCGGCGGTGACCCAGGTGACTACCCCTCGGGTGGTGGTACAGGCACTGTTCTTGATATCTGGCAGAAATTTGCTCCAAATCTGGACTTCATCGCACCAGATGTCTACCTGAATGATTACTCCAGCTCGTGCCATAAATACCGCCACCGCAACCAACCACTATTCATCCCCGAGCAACGCCGGGATGAGTATGGTGCTCGACGCATATGGATTGCATATGGTTCCTATCAGGCTATTGGGGTATCGCCCTTTGGCATTGATACATTAGAGCCTTCAACAAATCCATTCACCAGACACTATGGTCTGCTGAACTCCGTTTCCCAGCTTGTCCTCGATGCTCAGACCCGCCCAGACTCTTCTGTTGGATTCTATTTTGACGAACTCGCCGATGATGGCAGTGATCCCTCCAAGCCCGTGATTAAACACTGGGGCGGATATGAGGTTACCATTGAACGCTGTTTCGTCTTTGGCAAGGCTGGACCTGGCGCGGGTATGGTTATACATCTTGGCGGACCTAGATTCCTGTTGATTGGCTGGGGATTCCAGGTGCGCGCGCGCTCGTTATCGCCATCCAGCAGCTTCACGGGATTTCTACGATTCAAGGAGAAGATTGTGGCAAATAAGGAGACAGGAGAGCTGCGCACATTGCGCACGCTAAACGGTGATGAGACCCGTAGCGGAATTTATGCTATGATGCCAAACGAGGACCCAGACTACGGCGGCTTCCCAATATGCGTCACGATTCCTGCTCATACCATGATCGCGGAATTAGAACTGTACTCCATTGAGGAAAATGATGACTGAGTATCGACTGATTATAGACTGGGCTGTATTTGATATCTTTCCTAGGGTCTGAGGGGAGCAGAAGTTCGATATGACTTGTGACATGGATTTACTATGTTCGGGGTGTTCCTCACGCAGATCACGACAATAAGGAATTATTAGTTTAAATGGTCAGAAATACTAAGAATAAAACAATTTCATTATTATCTCAAACCCTGGCATTTCCCAGAGCGAAACGAGCCATTCGGAGAGTGTCATACAATAATCTCCATTATCAAAGTTTTTCATGATAAAAATCGATGTAAGAATCGGACTGCGTAATTTTAGTCGATTTTCCTCGCGCTCTCAGTTCTCTAGGAGCTGGCAGCACGACTCCTTGATAATCAAGAGTTCGTCTAAAAGTTCCTCCGCCTTGCACAAAAACGCCCGCTCGTTTGCTAATGGATGGGCTGCTAAAAATACCTTTCCCAGCGTCTGAATCCGGAAAGGACCGTTATGTCTAGAAATTATTGGAGAAGTCATGCTTCAGTACCAGGACGGTTTCGCCTAACGTTTTGTGTGGACGAAGACACCCTGATGGAGAGAGTCGAAGGTTGAAAGTTTATCCCTGAATAGTATGCGCTTGAAACACTGCTAATAGTAATCGTAGAATATCCACTGTTTTAAAATACTGCAGGCTTCTGAGCTCAGTGCAAGGACGTGAGGGGAAATGTCATACTATGTGCGATGCCCTTTCTGCATACAATAAATGGCGCATCGTTTATTTTGTACCTGGAACAGACTTTGTTTACTATCGTCAGGCTGCAGAATTCCTTTTTTTTTTAGGTTTCCGACCTCCGCGTATCTATTTGAAACACCTGCAGCCTTTAAGTTTCTCAAACGGCACCTTGATTTTAACTACTGACAGCCGGCGAGCCTCGAGATGTCATGTCTTACATGGAAAAAAACCCGGGCAAGCATTGTGCTGCGTGACCTCTTGCCCGAAATATGCGAAGCGTCCACAGTTGCCGACGAGAACACGACACGGGCGCAGCGAATGCCTCGCCGGGTAAAAAGACGCGCGGTTAGCCCTAGCCTTATCAAGTAGGGAGCGCAAACCATTATAAACACTAAAATAACCGACGTGTCATCGAGATAAATGACAGTGGGGAGAGTTGTTGATTTACGGTGGACTGGGTGACAATCATAGCCAAAAAGCGTATGATCGGCTTTCACTTAAGGTTAACAGGAAGAACTTTTTTTGAGCAGTCGGACTCCGCAGAACACAGTTTCTGATATACTTATTTCCCGTATTGCGCATAATTATTTAGCTACATTAGCTACATTTATGACGGCATCAGGGGAAATATCGGAGATTTGGGAAGCATGAATTCTAATTTGGATTCTAGACGGGATCGTCCAGGGTCGCCCGGGCAAAAAAAACACGGATATAGGGTTTGGTGATTTGAGTTGGATTGAGGGAAAAAGGCAAAAGCTACACACCGAAAAGAATCTAAGTTTGGAATATCTAACAAAGTAGGAAATTCTACCCCAGAGTCCGTGCTAGTGTGCAGCTGAAGGCCCATATTTGTCCAAAAGCCACGAGGTCGTATACATGGGAGTTTCGTATCTCCCAAGATCCGAGGTGATCACTGAACCATGTGATTGGGTCTAGAAAATCCCCCAAGGATGACTTGGATGTTGTGATATATGTTCCAAATTCCCGAACACGTGGTAGATAAGCCAACTTGGGGCTGAAACATGGCATCTTCAAACATGGGATGCATCATCGGTATCGGGGTTCGAAATACGAGCGACTGAAGGTTTCTACTATGCTTATCATGTCAAAACTCGCCGGTTATCGGGACTCTCTGATTAGCGTTCAACAGAACCAACAATAACAGGCCAACCACAGATCTAAGAGTGGAGACTTCGCATACATAACTCCATCTGACGCCCCCACAAGCTCAACCATCTTGGGACCAATCAGTCTGCGTCTATATCTACTAAATGGGGCTGGTTATTATCTCGTCTCCGCCACCTCCTTGTGCCCTTTTCGCCTCTATCTCTTCGATCTTTCTCTCACGAGGTCCTATTTTTGTTTCATGTACATATCGCTGGGGCCATATTCAGTCCGCTCCCCAGATATGTTATATGCACATGCTCATACACTATTTTTAATCCTTCAGATATATTCCGCCGTTCCCCCCTCCTAATGGCGTAATACCCATATTATGGTCATTGCCCCCCCACAGCTCTTGTCCATGTCTCTGTCGTAAACTGCTCTTGCTTCTTGCGCCCCAGCATACTTCCCGGGCTCCCCCCATCACCTATCAAAGTGAGAATATGCACCAATGTCAAGCTATAGCACTCCCACCAGCAGCTTCGGCATCGCCAGAAGGGCGCCGCCGGTCGGCACCGCTGAGCATACCGCCCTAGCGGCACTGATCGCAATCTCGTGGTACAACGCTCTGGAACTTATCGTCCTCTGCTTCATAACATTCAAGCGATATGGCGGCCTCTACTTCTGGTGCCTCCTCGTCGCCTCCTTCAGCATCATTCCCTTCGGCCTCGGTTACCTCCTCATTATCTACAACATCTACGATAACCTCTTCCCCGTAGCCATGGAGCTCGTCGCTTGGGTCGGCATGGTCACAGGCCAATCCCTAGTCCTATGGTCACGACTGCATCTCGTCATGCAAAATCGAAAGGTCCTCCGCGCAACTCTAATTATGATTATCGTCGACGCTATCATCCTCCACGTCCCGGCTTCCGTCCTCGAACTCGGCAGCCACTCCAATAAATCATATCTCTTCAACCACGGCTTCAATATCTTCGAAGATATTCAGCTTATCGGATTCTCTATACAAGAAGTGATTCTGTCCGTCATCTATTCCATGGAAGCTGTTAGAATGCTTCAACTCCGACCGCGCGGTCACTACCGAGGAATTCTCGTCCAACTCCTCGTAGTCAACATATTCATGATCTTAATGGATGCAGCCGTCATCGCAGTCCAATTCGCCGGCATGCCGGATGTCCAGTTCTGTCTCAAAGCAATGGTATATAGTATCAAGCTCAAGCTTGAATACGCCATTTTGAACAAACTGGTGGTCTTCGCTGAGAAAATGTCCGGCAGCAACTCCAATCCCACCGATATCTCCGACTTTGTGGACCTTTCCTTCCACCCTGATCCACGCCCTGATCCTCCGGCGGACAGCGATAGTCAAGCGCGCATTATGAAAGATATGGATTATGATCTCCCGAGTCGAAATCGCGCGCCCTTCAAACAATCCTGTCATGATCCGCATGATCCGCACCTTTCAGTATCCACCATTCAAACTCCTACGTCTGTGACCACTAGGAACGACTTTTTCCCCTGATGAATTAAATGACCTTGTACATATTAATAGCTGATTGGAGTACAATTTTTTATATATACCAGATACTCAATATCACATTCACAATGAAACATACAAATGCACGTTTCCAAATGGAGCATCCATGTAAAAAAAAATAAAAAATAAAAAATAAAAAGAAATAAAAAGTATTTAGGATATTGTTATTCAAGTTCCATCTAGAACAGTCTGTGAGCTTACGTCTATATCAGGTACCTACTCTACACCCACAAGTCAAGAACCCCTTGCGTACATCATGGGCACTTTAAATTGAATAAGTTTTCTTTCTCAAGCCAAGTCTCCGCTCTTCATCGAAGGGTTGATTTCGCTCAGTCTTTGAATACCAGCCTGGGCACCAGAACCTTCGTCATGAAACAGTTTGAAAATATAAACCATATCTTTCATGTCGGCCATGAAGATAGAGAAGATCGGTCTGAAGGTTATGGGCAAGTCTTTCACTGCTTTACGAGAAAATATTTTCTCGACTTGGAGCTCAGGAACATCTCCGAGCCTGCTCTTAATGTCTACCACTTGCTCAACCTGTATCCCGCGCGCTTGAAGTCAAGCCACTCGTCACCACCGCCGTTGAGAAGAAATTTGGGAAGTCCTCAGATACTATCCTCTGCAGGGGTGGGTGCTTCGTGTGCGTCAAGATAGTACCAGCCAAGCGCAAGATAGAGCAGAGGTCCAAAAGCATCTCCAAAATCATCCAGCAGTCAAACTTCTGGAGTTCTTCGAAGCGATTGATATTCAAGCGCCCGAGAATGTATTGGTTACCAAGGTCACTGATCAAGCCTTTGATAAGCTACGCGGGGTTGACGGAATCAAGGGAGATTGGATCCAGAATTGGGTTCAGGAATGGTCGGTTTGAAAGTAAATTGAAATGTAAATATTTTACTTTTGGAGCTCACGTTGAAGTTGAAGATATATGTTTTGCTGCTGTAAAGAGACTTAGTACGCGATCGATAAATAAAATTTGAAGAATCTGGCTCGAATCGTAAGAGACAGGGTTTACTCCTATGACCATAGCGCCATCAGGAAGGTCCGACAAAAGACAAATTGATGCTATTTCATGGGCATGGAAGTGGATCAACCCTATATTCTCGACTTCACTGGCCTCTTCTACCAAGTATTCGAGAATTAGAATCTTGGCCATGTGATAATAAAGACAAGCGGCCCCCATATCAATTAGTTTCAACCGAAACACGTCCGAATAAAATACTACTGACCTGCCGCGTTATTGCAGAACCAAATAATAGACAGACCATCGCCTTCATCAGAGGCAGTCTTTACGCGAGTTCCATGGGTATGAGAAGGTAAGATTCCCCACAACGACTCAATCTCCGACGAAAGCTGCTTTAAATCCCCAAGCTTCGTGCCGGATGAAACAAAGCCCCCTGGGCGAATTTGGTCTGAATAACTCTAGCGAGTAGCTGCGAAATCCTGTTTCCGAACATCTCGTTCACAGAATCAGCATGCTTTGGAAGCGGCAGCCAGTTATCGGGCGGAGTCAAAGTTGGACGTTCATTCACAAGCGCCAGGGCAATATCTTGTCACGCATATATCCAGAAGCTCGCCTGTTCAAGTCTCGATGCCGTTTCATCCGTCTTGAAAGACTATATTACCGTGCAAGCACCGTAGATATGCTTTTGATAATCTGTTCCAGGCTCCGCCAATAGTTCATAGCTGCATAATAATATAGTCGCAGCCAGCAGAAGCCCACGGTCGGTACTCGGATCTGTGAGCTCTTTGATAAGTAGACTAAGACTTTCGCCGTAGAACTTGGAAGCAACAGGTTCCCACAGAAACTTTTTTTGAGTCAAACTCATCTGTTTAGCGCAAATTGCACAGATCGCGTTCATAAGCAAAGGAGAAGAGAGTGAGCAGTGTAGAACTTCATCTTGATAGGTGCGTGTGTGGTCGAATATGTCCATCCATATTCCGATTCCATTCTGATAGATTTTCAGTAAATTTAGTTTCTCCTCTGTTAGTATGTCATCGTGCACATTGGTTGATTCCACGTCAGCTGGTGGCGGGGACCGGACCATGAAGTGTACTTGTTGAAAAAGTTCATATGTTGATTCTGGAACATGATCGGCTGATGGCGCAGGTTCTTGGTTGACATTTTTTGTTGTAGTGGGCAATGATGAGTTGGACCATCGTTCAGGCACGATAAAATCCGTCGGGGTGCAAGTCAAGCTTTTTCGAGAACAATAAGTACATGGAGCCGCTTCGTCACATTTAACTCTTCAATTACGGCGATTTTGACTGTCAAGTCAGTGTACAACGCTGAGAATAGATTCACTGTGATTGGAGCTTTACCAGCCTGATGCCAATGTTAGTGGATGTCATGGGTATCTTTGAGCAGAGCGTGGACTTGCCTGTTCTGCGACGGCCTCTAGGAGCCCTGCGAGGACTCTTCGCGCGGGGAATTTCCAATTTAGATGAGCCTATCAGTAGCCATAGGTATCCGGAATGCCACTGTGATGCTATTCGAGTCGGAATGTAAGATGCTACCACCTTCAGCTCACTTGGCATGCCAATTGCGGGGGTATCTGTTCCGCCCCGTTAACTCAGGCTCCCGTTGAATAACTAACCTATAACTACATGACTCTACTGTTACCTAAACAGCTAACAAAACCCTTGATAACAAATTTTGCTAGTTTTGGTAGCAAACCTGTTCTCATTGTCATCGAATTCTCACCAAATATATTTCAACGACTACTGTTGAATTTCTTTCGACATATTTCGGAAATCTTGTATAATCTGGATATCTAGTAAGTATGTCACAGTTTCCCCAGTTCTAGGCGATCAAAAGAGGGGAAACGCAAACTACAGTTACAACCGAAAGTTCTTTCGCATGCGCCAAGATCCAAGATGTAGAAATAAGAAGAGTAATTATCATGATGTACTTCAATTTCCCCTCTCATTTGTTATCGTCGGAAGCCGCCGCCTACATCAACTAATATCTAACTCACCCGCCCACATTTAAGATTTAACAACCTGAGAAGTCTACATGTACCTCTAACAGACTATTGAAGTCCATACATCCAAATAACCAATTCATAACAATGGCGACCCTAACGCCTCTAACACCAACCCAACTCTCCGCCGCCGCAGCATCCGTCCTGAACCTCCAAAGCACAGCCCAAGACCTCCACTCCAAACGCCCCTTCTCCGCCCTCCTCCTAGCACCAGATAACCAAACCGTCCTTATGACTTCCCTCTCTTTATCCCACGTCCGACACGCAGAGTGTGAACTCGCCCGCAATGCAGCAGATAACTATGCCTGGGAGTATCTAGCCGGCTGCACAATGGTATCCACCTGGGAGCCGTGCGCGATGTGCGCCGGCACGATCTACTGGGCGCATATTGGGCGGCTGGTCTACCTTGCTTCAGAGAAGGCGCTGCAAGATGTTATTGGAGATGGAAACGAGGAGAATCTTACGCTGGATTTACCTTGTCGGGAGGTTTTTGAGAGGGGGCAGAGTCGGGTTGAGGTTGTGGGACCTGTTGTGGAGGGGGGTTGGGAGGAGAAGGTTGTTGTGGATAGTCGGCGGTATTGGGATCGAGTGAGGGGGATTATGTAGTACTTAGTTGCATCTATGTATCTGTGGTATCTGGAATATTCTTATAGATCTAAACAAAAGGGATTGAAGAACTTATAGTCCCAGGGTCCTGGTCGGCCAATGGAGATTCAGAGAGCCTTGTTTATCTACACATAAGCTCAGCGATCCCATTATCCATTATCCATTATCCATTATCCATGGACGTGGGTAACTGCTCCATGCCAATTTCTAGCCCAGCCACTTACGCTCACAAACTTCCACGGTTTGTCCGTATTCAGGATCGCAAAAAAAGAGGTTACATCGTGCACGAGAAAGGAGATTAAGAAAGTCTGTTTTCCTACTCAGTAGCGTTCATCAATTGAATGGAAATGCCCAATCTAGTGAATCCACAGTGGAGATTATCCAAAAAAGCTTTCATCTCATGCAGTCATAAAGCGTTGGAAAAAGCAGCCCCCAGGATTTGTCAAGGACGGAACAGTTTACCCCCGACGAAGAGAAGTGGGCTGCACAGCCTCAATATAATAGCCACGACCCATAGGAAAAGCCACAGCAGAAAAGGTCAGTGCTTACTGCAAAGAAACAAAGAAAAGGAGACGATGACATGATCACCCAATGAACCTCTATCCATGAGGTGGAACTCAGCTCCAAACAGCTTTGGGTCCACTTTGCTTGGCTGAAAACCTGGATTGGGCTGTGTACGCAAGCTGATGCAGCTACATGTACCGAAGATCAAGTCGCGTGTACGGAGCACACCGTATATCGATAGTTTGATGCAATGGAGCCGAAAAGAAGCAATAACCAGAATTTTCAAATTTTCAACTCGAGTTCAGGGGGGCAACAAGGCAATTAGATGTCGGTGGCACAGAACATGTATAATAAGTGCCACTTTCCCGCAGATGCACGGCGCCGTTTCCGACCGGGGATCATATTCGCGACGTATCTCGTCTACTTGACGTCAATTTGATGCTGGACCATGCTGGACCATGCTGGACCATGCTGTAGGCTACAGGGTATTGAACTTCCAGTGCTGGGGAGTCATGGTTTGACCCCACCTTTTATTAGCTAAATCAGTAGCCAAGCTTGACAATCACGAAAACAGTGGAGGGGAGGATTCGAGAATGACTCCGTGGTGCGTGTAAGCGCGACGATCGGGCCTTGAAAGCGTGCAGATCTAGGTGCTCGATGCGGTTTAACGCGGAGGCGCTAAGGGTGCACTAGTGTGTTGTTCTAGCGGGAGAAAAACTCGATTTGGGAGAGAAAAGAGGATCCAAAAGAGGATCCAGGGCAGAATCTGGTAAAGAATCTAATAGCCTTGTGGGACTGGGAGGTACCCAGTTTGAAGCTCAAGCTCTATGTGCATGCAACTATCTATCATGTCATAGCGGTCGCAACGTATAAAACCAATGGAGTAATTAGTTTGAGGGGAGATTGAAAATCAAATCAACTTTCTCCCTGTTCAAAACAAGAAACCGAGAGAGTCAATTCTGTCATAGTAATTGGAAGGGAATGTGAGTCCGTTCGTGCCACAACACACTATGACGTCAAGTAATGACCATCTCAACTCCCTACGTATTGCTCATGCTGATCTCCTTTTTCTTGCTTTATTCGGTTTGATTTGGATTTCAATTTTTTTTATTTTCTCCAATTCAAGAAAAGATCGGGTTGCAATTGTATTATATACAGGACTCCTATCCCTTAAACCCCATTTTGGAGGATTTTCTTTTGCTCATTACTATTATCCCTTTTCCTTACTTCCCCATAATCTTCCAACATTCCCAAGTGATACCCCCCACCCCCTTGTTACAAAGGACCTTTTTTTACTGTTTTTACCCTGTAATTGCTAATTCACCGTATGTCCTGTTTGTCCGAATTGCAAACCCCCAGCTAATTCAGTTAGAATTCTTTCCTTCCTTCCCCATCTCTCTGTGATTGTATCACGGTTTTGACCATCATGACTACCGCCGTGAACCGTCCCACTGATTCCAAGCAAAAGGAGAAGGTATGACAGAATGCGACCGAATTCAGACAAGCATCTGGATTGGGACTGAGTTTTGGACTTGGTTCGACTTGACATCGGGCGCTAATTGCATCATACAACAGGATATCAATCAGAAGCTCCAACTGTTCGGAATCTACCATGGTGAGTTTCAATGCTTCAATCCTGAAAAACATCTCCCCAAATAATCCAATCCCTAACTAATTGATTTTTTTTTTTAAAAAAAAGGTTTCAAAAACAGCAAGCTGCCTTCGGTCAGTCTTTCCAAGCCAGCGCGAATCAAAACCCGAATACTGCGACATATACTAATCTTCCTCACTTTGTACAGAACAAGCAATGCGATATTGCCTTAAACAGTGCTCTCAACTCTAAGGCTCTTTCCTCGCCACCGGCAGACCTTTCCGAAGATGGCAAGGTCCTTGTCAAAGACTTGCGCAATGTGATCGACCAGGCTAAGAAGCTGCTCTTGACTAAGAACGAGGGCGAACTTCTTCAAGATTTCATCTGGCAAGCTCAGCAGATCACTGCTGCCGATGCTAAGACTCCCAAAGTTGGTGTCACTAAGGACTCTGCCAAGCAGGATGGCGAGAAGACTGTCCAGGGTCTTAAGACTCTGGGAACGCTCTTGATCACCAACGGAGAGTTTCGAAAGATTCGTATGTATTGCCATTGGGTGGTTGAAATTGCCCTTATGCTAACCATTCACAGTGAGTGACGCGACTGTTTTGCTGAAGGACATCGCTGCCGATGCCTCTCAGAAGGCTGCCAACCAGGTCCGCCCATCTGAGGAACAACTCGCCCAGATTGATTCACCAGCCGAGGAGAATGTTTGGCACGAGAAGCCCAACGTTTCCAAGGATGATCTCAAGAACCGCTTCAAGAAGAACAAGGGTGTAAGTAAACGCTTTGATATGTGGATTCTTCACGAGCATATACTAATACTATAGCAGGACAAGGCAAGTCTGCCCTCTGGATCCATTGCCGAGACCGCCGAGACCGCTGAGACCGGTGATGCGGCTTCTGTGACCCCGTCCGAGATGAGCCGTACCAAGAAGCTTGCCAACCAGACCAAGGAATACCTCTCCGATAAAATCCCCAAGGAGCGTCGCGATCAGACCATCTGGCGTCTCAAGAAGATGATCATCGAGATCCAAGGACACGCTGACTACCAGCAAGCTGTCGAGACCCTTCTTGACCTCGCCGAGAAATACGCCGGTCATGCCCAGGACACCACCACCCAGAGTGGCGGTGCTGTCTCTGATATCCGCGGTACTGACAGCGTCAAGGCTGTTGAATATAACTTGCGCGTAAGTTATTTTGCATGGGGAATAAAGAAAAAAGTGCAATCGAATACTAATTTGGCATTAAAAAATAGACCCTTATCGAGCGCTTCGCCAATAACACCTCCCTCTCCGACTTCTTCGATTCGTTGAACAACATCTATAAGGATGCCGATCAAGACCCTGAATTGCGTGGATGGTTTAAGAACATTGACACCTACATTCGCAAGTGCCTGCGTGAGCAGGGCTTCATCATGGAGGAAGAGGCTAATAAGGAGTGGAATACTCTGTACGACAAGGGCCGTTACCTGATCCGTGAGCGCTATCGTTCTCACAGCGACCGCATTGTCGATGAGATCAAGTTCCTCGCCGAGCAGTTCGACAAGGACCCCCTCAACAAGGCTCTGGCCGAATCAGTCCAGAAGCTCTTCCTCGACCTGGGCCGTGATTCCGGTGGCAAGGTTACCTTCAAGAAGCACCTGCTTACAGATCTTCGCGACATCATCCTGCCCGGTATCTTCGAGAATGTCCGCTACGTTCCCATTCCCCGTATCGAGGTGTCTGACCCCATGGTCGATGTCGTGGTCGAAAACCTGGTCATCGAGAGTGACAACCTGATGCCCAATGTGGTCGAGTTTGGCAGCGATAACTACTTCCGCTGGGGTCGTAAGAAGATCACCAACAAGCGTGACAACAAGATCATGATCTCTATGTCTGGTATCCAGGCTGATTTCCGTGATGTCAGCTACTACATCAAGAAGAAGCAGGGCTTCCCCTCCATCACCGACACTGGTATCATGGACCTCCTTCTCCACGGTGAGGGCTTCAGCGTCAAGATCGCTGCCTCCACAGTCGACAAGAAGGACAAGCAGCACTTCATCAAGCTGGACAAGGTTTCCGTCAACGTCAAGAACCTTGACATCAAGTTGAAGAAGTCTAGCCACAAGGTTCTCTTCTCCACCTTCAAGCCCATGCTCTTCCGTGTCGTCCGTCCCGCTCTTGAGAAGGTCGTCGAGGCTCAGATCCGTGAGGCTTTCCAGAAGGGTGATGGCTGGGCCTATGAGATCCAAACCGAAGCCAAGAAGGCCGCCGAAGCCGCCCGCGAGGACCCCGAGAACGCCCCAGGCATGTTCTCCCGCTACGCCGATGCCATCCGCGCTCGCGGCCAGGCTAAGGCTAAGGAGGCCGAGGCCGTTGTCAAGCGCGACACCAAGGTCCAGACCGTAATGACCATGCATGACTCCATCTTCCCCGACATCAAGCTGCCAGGCGGTGTTTCCACCAAGGCCACCGAGTATGTTGACATCGCCGCCAAGGGTGAGAAATGGGAATCACCCATCTTCAGCATCGGAAACGCCTCCGAGTCCGGTGATATCCCCTCCACTGGCCCCATCACTCGCAAGACCCACACCACTGCCGACGGCATCGCTGGTGGTGGTGCTGGCGGTGGTGCTGGTGGTCCCGCCGCTGCAGCCGGTACCTCCGGTGCTGTTGCTGCCGCCACACACGGCACTAACGGCACTAACGGCGCCAGCAAGGTTGCCGGGTACCCTTCTCGTGGATTCTCCGATGAACTCGACCAGGCTTTTGTCAATGAGAAGGTCACCAATGGTACCAACGGTGTGATTAACAGCTCTGTCAACGCTTAAACGAGCCATATTTCTATATGAGCTTGCTTCACTTGACTTGACTTGATATCTTCATCTTACGTTTACGGAAAGCGAATTGAGAACCTCACAACCAAAACAACGAATACTTCTCTGTGCGACCAATCAACATACATTGCACAGGGACGTTCTATGAAACTGTTTCCTCAACTCCCGCTTATGAATATGATAGTCTGTCCAGGATGGATACCACACTAATTTGTGATGCTATGTTTACTGATATCTTTTGTTGTGGCTTTTCTGGTTTTCGTTATGATTTCCCCCCTTGTACCGGATTCCCGTTTCGTTCAATGCCTTTTGTATGAGTATGGATTTGTCCAGTCGGTAGCTTAATACATATAACATCTCGCGCCGCTGTTTGCGATCAATTCTAACTTTCTTTCATTCGTTGCTGTAGTTCTTGATTACTTGACTTGACTTGAATTTCGTAATACTCGCCTCGCACTTGTACCAGCTGTGATCGGTATACCAGGCCCGGCGGTATGGTGACTCTGTGGGACTAGTGGGTTAGATCCACTCCCCACTACGCAGCCACAGCCATGATCCATCTATAGGGCTGTTGATACATTTACGAATGAGAGCAAAGTCTACAGTAATATGTACAGATAGTCTAATATAAGATGATCAAAGCTACTAGTACATTCCGCTCATAACTGATAAAAGGTATTCGTTCATTTCGTCTAAATCTAATATAATAACGCCCTCCCGCTGTACACAAGATAGCGTCTATCTTAAGAAGCTTGAGTCCAAAATCCAAAGGTAATAAATAAACACCTTTCTTCTTGTCCTTGTCCTCGTCCTTGCTTCTTTTTATTTTGTTTTCTTCGCCTTAGTTGAACATATCTGATTGTATAAAATCCATATATCTGGCCTCCTCTAGGTCAATATGCTTACATCTGCTCGAAGTACTTCTCCCAGCCCAGCTCACGGAGCTTGGTACCCTTCTTCTCCATGTTCTCGGCACGAGCATCCTCGGCGTAGGACTCCACCTTACGCTGGATGGCGGGGTCGAAGGAGCCCAGGATACGAGCGGCAAGGAGAGCGGCGTTGATGCTGTTGTTGATACCGACTGTTGCGACGGGGACACCTGTAGATGAGTGGTTAGCATTTAATTTGTTATAATGGAGTTATATATAAGGGTATTGGGCGTAGACTTACCACGTGGCATTTGCACGATGCTGTACAAGCTGTCGACACCGTCGAGGGAGCTACCTTTTACCGGCACACCGATGACGGGGAGAGCAGTGTGAGCAGCGGCCATACCGGGGAGATGGGCGGCGCCACCAGCAGCGGCGATGATAACCTTGATACCGCGGGAAGCAGCCTCGGCGGCGTACTCAGCCATATAGTCTGGGGTACGGTGAGCAGAAGTAATCTCGACTGCGGCTTCGATGCCAAAGTAGTTCTCTAGTAGCTTGAGACCAGGCACAAGGGTCTTAAGATCACTGTCTGAGCCCATAACAACAGCGACTTGCGGGGCAGCCTTTCCAAGACCAGAAGCAGCAGCCTTGGTCTTAACATCGCTGCGCTGGGCACGAATATCATCAACAACGTTGATAAGAGGCTGGATGATAGTCTCAGCTTCATGCATAGTCGCAGCAGTAATGGTAACATGACCCATCTTTCGACCAGGCTTAGCAGCGCCCTTGCTGTAGAGGTGAATGCTTGCATTGGGAATAGACAGAGCGGCCTCAGCAGCCTTAAGGTGTGTATCAGGTGCAGCACCACCGATAATGTTCAACATGATAGATGGCTGACGGATCTCGAGGCTCTTCGCGGGGATGGGAAGGTCCATGATTGCGCGAATGTGAGCTTCGAATTGAGACATTCCGCAGCCTTCGATGGTGTAGTGGCCTGAGTTGTGGATTCGGCTGGCAATTTCGCAGAGCATGAGGCTGTTGTCTTCTAGGAGGAACATTTCAACGCCGAAGGCTCCCTTTCCGTCGAATGCGGCGACGGCTTTGCGGGCCATAGCTTGGGCTTGCTCGTTGATTTTTTCGGAGACGTTGCGGGCTGGGGCGTAGACTGTTTTGCATATTGAGTCTTCTTGGACGGTTTCGACGGTGGGGTATGAGAGGACGTCATCTTTGGTCTTGATAACCATTACGGCTAATTCCTATTTGTGGAGCTTCGTTAGTGGCCGGATCAAGCTTAGGTAGGCGTTTCCTGGGGAGAAGGGGGGAATGACGAACCATCTTGAAGTAGGCCCACTGCTCTGCGTATAATGGGCGTTCCTTGAGGGCCTCAAGGGCTTCGGGAATGTCTGATTTCGAGTTCACACGGAAGTTTCCTATGAGAAGATAGAAATAATTAGCCGGTCGCCCCCATAATAAGTCGCTCCATGAAATTCTTACCTCGTCCATCGTATGCCATGGTCTTTGACTTCAACATCAACGGGTAACCCAACTCCTCTCCAATCTTGGCCAATTCCTCTGGTGTGTTCTGAACGAGCTCCCGGTGGTTTGACATGGGAATTCCGTATTTGCGCAAGTGCTCCTTCTGGTTGAATTTGTTCTGGATAGTCCGAATAGCCTGCCAGCTGGGCTCCACACGAACCTGTGAAGCAACCTCCTCAAGGGCATAGGTGTCGACGTGTTCAATCTCAGCGGTAATGACATCGCAAGACTTGGCCAATTGACGCACAGCCTCCTTCTCCTTGAACGAGCCAGTGACATGACCGTCGTGGAAACTGATCTGCTTAGCCGGGGAGTTTTCTGCGTCGAGGACATTGGCCTGGATGTTCAATCGGTTGGCGGCTTCGACGAGCATGCGGCCGAGCTGGCCACCGCCGAGAATTCCGACCTTGGGCGAGTTCCACATGGTGTTTTGTGGCAGGCGATATAGTGGTATTTTGAGGACCTCGAAATTCGATTTCGAACTATGAATCACCCGATGAGTAAATTGCCCCTCCACCGAAAATTCGCGGAGAATCACATGACACTATCGATAAGATCTACCTTTCGCCAATCACAAGCATCGGCAGTCACCGCCCCTCAGCTGTTAACTCGATCGCCGGTCGCCCTCTACTTTATCTTAGCAGCACGCGCCGACCATGTCTTTGGGTGAGTATAACCCCCCACACTGTCCTATTGGTCTAGATCGGACTGGTCAAGCTGATACAGTATCCATAGACGAAGCAGCCCTTGAGGCAGTTGCCAATGGCGGCTCGATTGATATGTATGTGTGAAGCTGCGAATACACTACCGCACGCGATACTGATACTGTGATATAGAGAGAAATGGGCCGGCCTTGTTCCATCTTTGCTAGAGCGCTTGGACCACGTATGGGCTCTCTTTGAAATCTACCACATCATCACGATAGCTCTAACACCCCATTTCAGATCGTGTACAGTGTATTTCCCATGCCGAAGCTCCCCCCGAGCTCCCTGAATCGGCAACCCATCTCCCAGCCCCCGACGCAACCCGCTGAGACCGATATCGCTCCCCCAGAGAGCAGCAACAAGGAGAATGCAGCGCCAGGGGATCACCAAACGCCCCCCTCTACTGAACCCACCATTCCATCCTCTTCAGCGAACGAGCGAGTGCCGGACTCGCAACCGCAGTCCTCGGCACAGCAGACGAATGATACACTACCCCCTCCACTTGCACTTCTTCTGAAATCTATTCGCTTTGCGATTCAGTCTCTTTTCACGACTAAGCCACCACACACCATCCAGCGATTTGCAGAGCTAATCCTGCAACCAACTGCCCATTACAGAACGCTGCCAGCTTATCTTCGCGCAGTCGACCGGGTTGTTTCTGTGACCAGCGGCGCTGATATATTCCCATTCAACACGAACACGGGCAGTGAACTTTCAAATGGGCTATTGCATCCTACAAATAGTGCGGGGACATATCTCGCTCCTGACTATACCCACGGCTTGGGGAGTGACGAATCACTAGGCGGAGCCCTTCTCACACCAATTCCATGGTTGACCAATACTTCCTTCGAGGAAGATGGAATAATAGAACCAGGTATGTTACTATGAGCGCTGCGATGGTTTTTATCACTCATCTATGAACAAATGGTTAATAAATAATATAGAAGAGAATGGTCACTTGGCCGCACAGGAGACAGAAACTGGTGTTTCTACAGTTGCACCCACAGTCGAGGGCGAGGAATCCACAACCACAACGGCCTCCCCGCCTACTGAGTCCCCAGATGAAGTCCCTCATGCCCGTGGTCCAGCAGTGGTCGGCGTTGAGGACCTGGGCTTGCAAGACGGGAAGGGCGTCGAAATGAACTTGGAAGCTCAGCAGACGGCTACTGCCAACGACCCCGCAGAATCTAATGCTGCTTCATCCGAAGACTCCGTTCTCGGCGACGCCAAGACGAGCGCTGAGTCGGGCTCTGCCGATAAGGACGGTGACATCGTTCTTGACGATCCTACGCCCAAGGAGCAAGAGCCTAAAACAGAAGAAGCGACTGCGGTGCCCCAGGCGGGCGAGGAGAAATCCGAGGCAGTTGGTGATTCTGCACAGACTACCGAGGCCGGGAAGGAGTAAGGATAGACTTCGGGGTTGTGCACTTGTTTCCAAGTTTCTTATAAGCCAAGTTGGCTTCACGAGTAATGACCTACTACATTATCTACTTTGAATATGCTGTTATGCTGATCAGACATGATATCTGAATTAACAATTTAACATTGCACATTGGACAGTGAACATTGAACATATTGAACTAAATTCCACCAGTAAACAAACCTGATATATTGACAAAATTAATCAAGAGCCACCATCCCTCATACCTTAAAAAATGGCAAACTTCATCGTGTAAATTGCATATCATGGTCCACCCAACTGTGCCTCATATGCATCTAATATCTTTTAGGAGATCTCTATATACAAGCAGAATACAACGTTGTAACCTACCACCTTCAAGTTGTCGCAAATTCAAGTGTCTCAAGTGTCTATACCTTCTCCGCAGCACGCACGATCTTCAAAACAGCATCTAAAGCTTCCTGGACACCTTGCTTATCCGGCTCTCTCTCCAGCCACAATACCTGCTGCGCAATGCAAACCCTCACCACAATCTCCACCCCCGAAACAACCTCCCACCCGTTTTTAACTCCAAGAGAGTAAAGGAACGTCTCAACAGACGGCGAATAACACATATCAGCCACAACACCCCCCTCCGTCCCATCCCCAACCACCTCCTCCACGATCTTCCGACAAAGAACTTCCCCGTCTTCCCTTGGAGCATAATCCGGCACAGTCCCAATAACCAAAAACGGGGCAGCAGCAGCCCTCCCTTCCTCAATTGAATTTAGGCTCCTAATCCGCAGATCAGGCGCAACACACCGAAACGACTCAATCAGCGTCTCAGTCTCGGTCTCAAGCCGATTAACAACATAGATCTCGGATGGCTCGAACCACTTCCACAATGCATATATAGTGCTCCGCGCTGCACCACCGGCCCCAATCACAAGCGCAGGCTTACCACGCGATTTGCTCACTGCATCGGGTACTTTCTGTAGGATAGCGTCTCTAGTACCGACGCAATCTGTGTTTGTACCTATGTATTGCCGCTTACCGGATGCATCTAAACGGACGAAGGTAGTGTTCACGGAGCCCATTATGCGAGCTTCGTCTGTTATAGCGCTTAGAGCTGGCTGGAAGGAGAGTTTATTTGGCATTGTGATTGAGGTGCCGATGCAGGTGTCTTCACCTATTATTTTGCGGAAAGTAGAGACGTCGATTGTTTCTTTTGGGTAGAAGGTCCATTTTGACATGTGTTGGAAGATCGTGTTTTGGATAAGAGGGGATAGGGAGTGAGAGACTGGTTTCCCGAGGATATATGCTTTGAATTGCTGTGAGAAGGCATCTTGGGGTAGTGGAGAAGTCCCATATATGTATGATTGTTGAAGAGCGTTCATGGTTCCGAGTCGCTATTTTGAGATAGGTCAATGTTGTTGATGTTCGGGTGAGATGTGAGTTAAATTCTGTTTGATTTGATCAAGAGTGATATACAGTCAAATGGACAAGGGATTGGAAATAGAAAGAGACTCCGATGAGGCATGAGACACCGAGATATTCTAGGTGCGTATTCGTATCAATTGGATATTTAATGAGCAAATGCGGGGAAAGACGCCCAGGTGATATGACCTTAGCCGAGTGCGGGGGTAGATTCATACAGAGCTTCTCTATTCAGTTCATTTATCGTCTATAAGTAGCAGCCCTGCAGAAAATATCTAGGTACCGGATTTCCTCTGCCACTTCTTGGCTTCCCTTTAAAGTCGGGCAATATCCGGATCCAGTGAGAAACCTTCATGGCAGAGCTCCGTTGTAGTCGATGCCCATAGCCGATCTCTGATGTTTGATGCGTGCTACATATCTGTAGGAAACATCTGAGTGGTTTGCTTCAATGTCAACCAGGTAATCATGCTGCCGTCTAACAGATATTTGGAATAATTTGGAATCATGTTTTTTACCGCCACTTTTGTATGGTAGCTATAGATCTCGAACCCTCCACGTATTTGGATAGTCCTTCCCAGGTATTGGGAAGGATACAGATTCCATATTCAGATCTATACTATATAGGATCCAATGCATGTCTATCACACGCTTTCAATAATTCAACCCTCGTCCCAGGTTCCTAAAACATCGTTCATCAGTAATCATCCCATTAAGTACATACCCTACAACAACCTCATTATACACATACCGACCCACTATGTCCAGCATCTGGGACCCAAATCAATGTAGATCTAGGCAAAGCCCGATGCAACTCATAAGCCGTCTGCGGCGGACAAACCATATCATAACGGCCCTGAACAATAGTAACTAGAAAGCCAAAGTGAATCAACAAAAACAACATCACGATATTCTCACCAAAGAAAAGGAAACATACCAGAAAGATGCCTCATCCGCTCAAGATTCTCACTCTTCAAAATCTGCCCCTCATCCAACCAAAAATGATGCACAGCATAATGCGCTTCCATAAGCGCATGCGCCAAACTCCATTCCTCATCCTCCAACGCCAAAAACCCACTCTCATCAACCCTCAACGACCCAATACTCATATCCCACCGATTCCACTCCTTAGCAGCAGCTAATCGTACTGCATAATCATCCCCGGTAAGCCGCTTATAGTAAGCTGCGACGGGATCACCCCGTTCCTGAACAGGTAAAAAAGAGAGAAACACTTCCCATGCTTCGGGGAAGATGTTTGCGGCGCCTAGTGCGCCGCGGCTCCAGGAAACTTCTGCATCGCGGGTTGTGAATACGCCACGGAGAAGGAGGGCGTTGACTTTATCGGGGTGGGATTGGGCGTAGAGGAGGGCTAGTGTTGAGCCCCAGGAGCCGCCGAAAAGGAGGTGCCATTTTGGGATTTGAAGATGGATGCGTAGGGTTTCGATGTCGGTGACTAGGTCTGGGGTTGTGTTTTCGCGGAGTTCGGTTTGAGGTTGGGATTTACCTGTGCCTCGTTGGTCGAGGAGGATAACGCGGTAGATTGATGGGTTGAAGTAGGTTGTGTTGTTTTTGGAAGTTTTGCCGCCTGGTCCGCCGTGGAGGAAGATTACTGTAAAGCAGGATATGTGGTTCAATTGAGTGTTTTTGTTTATTTTATGCGAGGTTGAAGGTTGATTTACCCGGTTTGCCATCTGGATTGCCATATTGTTCGTAGTAGAGGTGGTGGATTGTTCCCACGGCAAGCGTCCCTGTATCGAAGGGGTCAGTGTGCATGTATCCTGCCATTGTTGTTGAATGATTTGAAATTCTGTTTCGATCAAAGAGCCTTTTCAGAAATCTGGTGTTCATTTTTACAAAGGCCTCAATTGTGGGTAACGCGAGCCTTATATAGTGCCCGTGAGTCATGTAGAGCTTGAAACCTGGGAAAGTTTCAAGGGTCCCAATCAGGTTGCCATGGTCAAGTCCCCACAGCTTTAGTGCTAGAGTTAAGTTTTGATCGGCGTTAAGTCGCAGATACGTAATTTTAAGGTAATCTTCAGGGTTTTATACTTTTGAATGTAAGCTATTTTGGGTCCAGATGATAATATTAAATCATATGGATCTCTGGGTTGATAGAATTATGAGTAACTACATAACAGAACTACATGTTATAGAAAAAAAATGAAATGGTAAAATGTCAAAATTGAATTTGAATGCCAATAATCCGAAATCTGATTTAAATGCAAGCTTTACATGAGAGGTATCGAACACATAAAACTATCCCACAATGCGCCCATGATGTATCAACAATTCGAAATCCAAAACATGATTCGACACCATTGAAAAGATAGAAAAAAACAAAACAAAAAAACAAATCATGCCAGTAATGTCATTCATACAGGCTCAACATTTTGAAGCGGTACGTAGCCCTCATCTCCTCGAGCACTCGACTGCTTACCAATGATCACAGACCACAATGCAGCGAAAAAATGGACAACGTAACGCCGGGGTGAGCGTGGACCATCAGACGAAAGGATAGTGGCAGGTGCCCACCAGCTAGTGCTGCGCGCGTGTTTGCCACGGGGACCGCCAGAGAGAAGACCTAAGCCAGCTTCCTTCTCCAGACGATCGATATTCATCCAGGAAGGACGGCGCCAGAGCTTTAGGAGTAAACTGCTCACAACGACTGAGACGCTAGAAGCAGCCATGGCTGCACCGGCGGCCATAGGAGGAAGCATGAAGCCTGTGAAGGGTAGGAATATGCCCATGGCGAAGGGGAGGCCGATCACATTGTAAAGACAGGCCCATATGAGATTCAGCTTGATCCGCGTGAAGACAGTGCGGGATAGTGAGAGACTAGCTGGCACAGTGAGCAGGTCATCCGGGCGCATGAGAACGATGTCTGCTGCTTCCATGGCTACATCTGTGCCGGAGGCGAGAGCGATACCGACAGAGGCAGTTGCTAGTGCGGGGGAGTCATTGATGCCATCGCCGACCATTGCGACTCGCTCTCCTCGCATTTGGAGTTCTGTGATAATCTCACGCTTGTCCGATGGGGAAGCAGAGGCATAAACGGAAGCTGTGGGAATACCGACAGCTGTCGCGATAGAGGTCGCTGTGGATAGTGTATCACCAGTAACCATCGAAGTTGCAATACCCATGCGGTGCAAAGCAGCCACCGTCGCAACGGCAGTAGATTTGACGCTATCTCGAAGGGAGATGCTACCAGCGTATTGCTTGTCAATAGAGACATATATCCTAGTGTAGCCCGCCGCGGTATCCATAGGTCTGGGTTCCAGTGACTCCAAGCTGCCTCCTGCCTCTGCTTGCGCTTCCGCTTCAGCGTCCGATGACTCGGCACTAACCGAAGAAGGTATTGAGATATCTTTTGAACGGAGGAAATCTATGTTGCCCAGAAGAACTTGGTACCTGATGCGCTCAGCGCTAGAGGTGGGTTCAACAAATGCAGAAATACCCTTGCCTATACATGCGTCGAAATCTCCGATGCTTCCTGGAAGGCCATCTCCTCCATGGTGACCCGACTCGGCCTTGGCTTCGCCGAAGATGGCTTTACCAATTGGGTGCTCACTACCCATCTCAGCAAGACCAACGATCAGCCACCATAATTGGCGCCGCCACTCATTTGCGGTCCAATGAGGTTCAATCTTGGCCTGCGCGACACTCATCCGGCCAGTAGTCAACGTACCCGTCTTATCGAACACGACATGATTGACTCTGGTAGCACCCTCGAGAACAGCACCGCCTTTAACCAAGATTCCATGCTCTGCGCCAACACCAGTTCCAACCATCACAGCGGTCGGGGTGCTAAGACCCAAAGCACAGGGACATGCAAATACAATGACAGAAATACAAAGCTTCAGACAGACCATAACCTTACCGCCCGCTTCTTCAGACATGAAAACCTTAGGTGGGTGAGACAGAATATGGCTGAGAAACATCCAGCCAAAAAAGGTAATCATACCAAGGCAGATAATTGTTGGAACAAAATAGCCAGCCACAATGTCAGCCATGCGCTGTATAGGGGCTCGGCTCGTCTGTGCATCTTGGACCAGCTTTACAATCTGGCTCAATTGAGTATCCTTGCCGGCGCGGGTAACTTTAAAATCGATCGCGCTTGTGCCATTGACGGTACCTGCGATTACGTGGCTGCTTTTCTTTTTGTGAATCGGCAAAGCCTCTCCAGTGATCATACTTTCATCCACATAGCTCTCGCCGCGAATGATGATTCCATCCGCAGACACCTTGTCACCCGGGTGAAGGATGACGATATCACCGACTTGGATGAGTTCGGTTGGAATGAGTTTTTGATTTATTGATGAATCTTCTGCCAATGAAGACTCGGAGGTTTGGGTGGTCCAGCCATCAGCCACTTTCTCTGCAGCAATGGGGTCTTCGTAAATCGTGGCCATAGATGGGGCCAATGACATGAGGCGGGATAGCGCTGCGGATGTCTGTCCCTTTGCGCGATTCTCCAGCCATCTTCCAAGGGTGATAAATGTGATGAGCATAGTACTGGTATCAAAAACAGTACTCGGTCGCCTATGATGATCGCTAGCAATGGCCATGGTCATGGTGAAACAACTATAAAAGAAGGCAGCAGATGTGCCAAGCATAACAAGGACATCCATGGTCGGAGAACGATGCCTGAGGGATTTGAAACTAGTGATATAGAAACGTCGACCGATACCAAACTGTACTGGAATGGTCAGAGAGAGGCAAATCAAGTCTCCAAGATAAAGGCCGGGGCATAATTGGAAGCGCCCAATGTCGAGTGGACGCAAGTACATAGGCAATAACATGTTAATAAAGAACACGGGGACTGCGAATGAGACGGATATAATGAAGGCACGTCGCCACTCCTGGATCTCTTTAGTTTTGGATAAGGATTCAAGCTGTGCATTGGTGTCATCCGAGTCTGTCATCAGGGCATTATATCCAGCAGTCTCAATCACTTCGAACACAGATCGAATACCAATGATGGATGTGTCGAAGGCAAGGGTAAGTTGATTTGTCGCTAGGTTTATAGATGCAAACTTGATTCCGGGGCGTGATAATAGATTTTCTTCGAGAGCAGAAGCGGATGCGGCATCACGTAGGCCATGAAGACTAAGATGGATTTGTTGAGTTTTTCTGGAAAGCGGTTCCTGCGCTTCGGACGATACGATCAACGCATCGAACCCAGCATCCTCAATCATTGTGGTAATAGCTTTAGAAGTGAGGATCGACGAATCGTGTACGATCACTGCGCGTTCAGCCAGCAGACTAATGTTGAACTGAACCAGACCATCCAAATTGGTAAAGGCATTTTCAACACTTGATGTACAAGCACCACAGGTCATTCCTTCAATCGCAACAGTCGTAACCATGTGTCCTCTCCTGTCTTGGACCATATCAGCCAGCGTAGATCCATCACCGTCGCTTGTGGAGGCCTTAGTTCCCAATACCCGAGCTCCAAAACCACGATCCTCAATGAGTTCAGCAATCTGCTCCGCCGATATAACATTCGCCTCATGTTCCACCACAGCACGTTCGGACAGCAGCGACACATTGACAGACTCAATTCCAGTCACTCCATTCAGCCCACCCTCCACCGCAGAGGTACATGCACCGCAAGTCATGCCTTCAATCGCAAGTGTTGTTACCGAAGAGTTTGTTGTTGGCGTATCGAAGCCATTGGAGGGGGCGCCCTTCGTGTGTTTGTCGGTCGACAATACGGCCGCATCGAAACCGCAGTCTTCAATCATCTCTGCAACCTTTGACGGCGACAGTATTGTCGGATCATGTTGTACTGCCGCCCGACCCATCATCAAGCTCACCGAGACCTCACTCGCTCCCCTGACACCTTCAAACGCGCCCGCGACGGCTGCTGTACAGGATCCGCAGGTCATGCCGTCTACTTTGACGGTTGTCGTGGCCATGGTGGGGGCTGCGTCGCCCGCACCAAGAGACTCTGCAGACATGGCCACAGGCTAGGAAAATCGTAGGGTATAGAGGATATCGGATTATTGCATTAGGGCGATCAACGTGGGTGGTTTCTTTTTTTCTTTTTCTTTTTCTTTCGTCTTTAGGCTTCGTCGCCGGGATGCGCGCTTCGCGACGGGAGGAAGAGGTAGATCGATAAGAGATTAAACAAGACGGATGGTTTCGGATCGATAGTGTTGCCGATCAGACCATATTCCCAACAAGCAACAACAAACACGAGTCATCCAGTTTCTTTAAAAGGCCACGTCGCTGGGAAACTTGAAATTATATAGAATCCAGGGCCAAGCCAAGGTATGAAGAAGGGGAAAGTGGAGGTGACTACGATTACTCACGGGAGGGGGTGATCCGCTCTGAAGAATTCATGTTTAGCCTGGCATTCAATTCTTGTCTCGTCAGGTTATGCCGACTGTGCCGCGTTTACCTTATTCGTCTGAAAGTATTTCTATTCGTCTGAAAGTATTTCAGACGTCCATTATTAAGTCAAATACATTGTCATTGAAAAGAAATTGAAAAAATTCAAGTGGTTCCAAGTGTCAAAATATGGTCCGACACAGCCTGAAACCTCGTCAGAGCTGATGCGTTTCAGGGCGTGGAAAAAGTGGGCTATAGCAGGGACAAGTTGAGTTGGTGATATAGGGCGTCGTAGTGTGACCCAGTGCATCCCAGAATTGATCTGAGATCATCTTTTTACGAACTATTCTCAAGGATTATCCATGGGAATTTCACGAAGAAAGATATTGTTCCTCGCAATCCCATCCCCCATGGAGACTAGTGAATATCGAAAGGTTTAACCGCTTGATCCACTTTCCAAGGTTGACTAGTGGCCAAGCCTTGTGGCTCTGTGGCTCTTTGGCTCTAGATTTGAAACTGGATCAGATAGATAATAGGTGCACAGACATCACTCGGCTGTTCCAAGGTTTCCACAGTTCTTAGTGACTGACCTGTCATCAGGATTTATAGTTTGGAGTATCAAGGGGGGTGAGATGCATCATTGCGACTAGCTGACATGTTCCACGACGCATATACTAGTATGTCCACCACTGGCAGGCCCTCGCGAAGGTGGAGAGGGTTTGCAAGGATAAGTCTGACCCCAGGGTTCTAGAGAGGGCTCAGATTCTAGAATATACATTGGGATATGACTGGTATATTCTGTGTTTCTTTCAAGGATTCCGTGAGATGTTACAAATGCACTAGTGTGCTGGAACCTAAGGTCGAAGTCATTATTGATCTTGATATCTCAATATTCATTAAAAATATTAAATGTGAGCAACTCATGATATCAATACGCATAGAACAGTTTGCAATCGATCTACTATATTTCAAATATTGCCATCTTCACACTGTGCATGCCGTTGAGGTATTGACTGGGCTTCTCTATACATTAATAGGCCTACTGTCCGCGGCCGTAGACAACCAAGGCCCATCACCGCCCAGTCCTTCCCCAGTGGATCTACCCGAGCTCCCCTCTCCTACACCACATCAAGTTCCAAATCCCAAAGACTTCCATCTCTCACCACTCCCTCCACCACCAACATGAATCAAACACACACACGAGCCATAGAGGCTCTACAGCCATTCATCCATATTGCCAACTCCAACAGTGCCACATCTCCCCGATTCGTCGCAAACATAATCACAAACGCCACCTCCCACCCGCACACCTACGTCTTCGCCGAGCTGCTCGAGACACCCACCATACAATCGTTACAATCACCCGACATCCCACCAGAGTATCAAGGATACCTAAAGCTGCTCGAGATCTTTGCCTGGGGCACATGGCAAGACTACCAAGGTACGTAATGTAATGGTTTTCAGCCTCATCCAGCTCCAGCTCCAGCTCCAGCTCCAGCGCGAAAAACATCAAGGCTAACAACGAAACATATATAGCAACACCCAACCTCCCAAAACTAAGCTCAGAACAAGCGCAAAAACTTCGTCTCCTTTCTCTTCTTTCCCTCGCAACAACTATAAAACCACTCACGTACTCTGCGCTTCAATCTGCTCTCTCACTTCCGGATATCGGCGACCTTGAATCACTCGTCACATCCGCTATCTACAGCTCATTGCTTGGTGCGCGCTTATCGCCATCGTCAAATCCTCCAACGGTGAATGTGACATCCGTCGCACCACTGCGGGATGTTCAGCCGCAGTCGCTTGGAAAAATGATTACTCAACTAACGGAGTGGGAAGCGCGATGCGGGGAAGTTGCTCGGGACCTTGAAGCGGAGATCGAAGCGGTGAAGGCTAATGCGGCCATACGAGGAATTAAGGAAACAGAATATAAGGAGATGTATGATGTGAGGGTTAAGGCGCGGAAGCAGGACGCTGGAGCTCCGGGGACTGGGGGTGGTGTGGGTAATGCGGCTCCAGTTGCTAGGCGTGGGCCCCTTGGGATACGGCGTGGACCGCGGGGACTGTTTGGGGGGAATAAGAGGGAGGCAGATGATATTGAACAGGATGATGGATTCTTTGATGCGGGGGATGGAATGGATATTGATGAGGGTGCTGGGTCGGGGCGGGGGAATGGGAGCCGGACTAAAAGGGTGCTTGGTGGGCGCAGAGATTGACCGTTGAGATAGATTAGATATAGATTGCTCTTCTGCCTAGCTTCTAGCATCTAGCGTGCTCTTGTTCCGTGGGGAAAGCCCGGACGCTCACGACCTGTTCATGTCGGTTCTCTTTTTTACGAATATGATAATGCTCGCTTTAGAGCTTCATGGTATAGACCTGGAGGTATTTCTACTTTAGGCATATATCTTTAGAGCGAACTTTTTAATTGATTTATCAAGTAGATTGCATTCGTTAAATTCCCTCAAGGGCAACGACTCGTTGAAAACATAGATACAAATGTTTGAAAAAAAGATGTCAGAAAGGGGTATTGGTAGAAGGATGTCGAGGTAAAGTAATGACAAATATGGACAGAACAAGGAAAAGTGGGATGAGCGGCAGAGGCGGGTGGAGGGTCGAGAAGACGAAAAAGCAAAAGCGCCTGGATATCCAGGGCTTCTTGAAACCCGGGGACATAATATGTTTTTTTGTCGAGACAGGGAGACAGGAAAGGGAAGAAGGAAAAAATTATGCTTCGCAGAAGCGGACCGGAACAAGACAATCCAGACGCCAGGATCAAAACACCCTTGATAAGTCATACAATTGTAGACTTCTCGTAAGCAACTGCAACACCGAGAATTAACCTGTACAATTGGCGAAAGTTGGGAGGCAATTCAACATTTGTTATCGAGGAGCTGGTTCACAGCATGGTTCCAGGCACAAAGATGAATAGAACACTCAAGGAAATGACGGTCAAGAAAGCAATGGCTGTAGTGACAAAAGCACGTTTTGTCAACAATTTTCGCACATAGGGCTCTCGGATAGGCGCCCAGTTCATGAATGTGTATTCGCTGTAGCCGATAAATGCCATGAAAGGGTCGATCTTGTAATGGTAGGAAACGATGAAATAAGCTGCAACGGCGAAAGGAAGAATGACCTATATCACAATTAGTTTTTTGAATGAAACATAACAGGATTCGATTTGTCCTTACCCAGCAACGGATATGGCGAGGCTTGTTACGTAGAACAACGTAGAAAGCACCCCAGAAGCCACCACCAAAGCTAATCAGCGCAAAGGCCAGGCGCAGGATGATGCTCAGAGGAACAAGGTTACCCAGAGCCTTGGCCTGCAAGAAACCTGGGAATGCATCGCGCTCCATAGCCTGGAAAACGTAGTCCTTGGCAGGGTCGAATACCTCTGGATCGTCACGGCCATCATCCTCAATTAGATTAATAATAGTTGAGACCATCGGCTCAGGCAGCACGATCTCACGCTCAGAACCTGGGAGCAGGTATGTGTACAAGATCTTCTCAGCGCTGGCACGGATATCATTGCGGGCCACAGTGTGACCAGGCGAGTTGGAATCGCCACCATTGTGGGTGCCGGAACTGCGACGTGGTTGTTGGTCTGGGGATTCAGTGCGAGTTTGATATACTGATTCAGATCCAATACTGTTCTGCGGTGAGTGGGAGGATGTATGACCTTCAGATCGCAGGAAAGCAGAGAGGCGGTGGTCGGCATCCCGGTCCTTCTCATTGACAGGTAGACGTGAAGGGCCAGCCTCCACGAGCGGAATATCACCCAAGTTCTCCAAATTGTCTAACATGGCAGAGGATCGTTTGCTGTCCGCTCGTTCCATGTCCGGGGTTGCGACAAGAACGGATCGTCGAAGTTCACGGACATAATGGCGGCAAAGGGACATATGTTGAGAGACATCGAGCCTATATGAAAATTTAATGTCAACAAGACAATTGGTCTGTTCATGATCCAGAGCAAACACCTACCAGAAATCAAGGTAATCCACGGAACGTTGTTGGTCGCGCATGTAAATGTAGAACGAGAAGAGATCGACAGGGGCCAAAGTGCGGCGGCTGAGGACTTCAAAGAGAGTAGGGAGTCGATTCCTCGACTCCGAATCGGAGTGATTATCCCATGTGGAAGTCATGATTGAATGTTTCTGTATGAAAAAAATTGAGGGTGAAAATTCCAGCACCGAGGGGCTTTCGAGATTGGCCCAAAAGGGGTAACGAGTGTTGTCAAGTTGCGAAGGGCCGATCGACTCCAGGCACCCCTAGTAAACAGCGAAAGAAGATTAAAAACAGCCCGGCAGGATTACTAGAAAACGTAAACACCAAAGATGCTAAGAACGGCGAGGTGGAAAGAATTGGGTGGACGGTTGGTAGAACACGTAATACGACGTGCGGGAATAGGAGCAAATCCCTTGGGACCGTAGAAATTATTTGAAAAAGGGGGTAAACACGCGGCTTAGACAACAAGCCAAAGGTTTAAGAGGATTTAAAACGCGAACAGCCCATGAAGTGAAATTGAAACGAACGAGGGGTTCTTCACCGCAAGGGTTGAAGCTTTAGGATATGATCCAGCCATCTTCTTCTTTCTGCTTGCCGTGCCTGAAACAACAACGCATTAATAGGTTGTTCCGACCCGGCCCCACCTGTCACCTCCATGCTCAATCCTCATTGCATCATACCTGCGATCTTAATTTCAGGAGACATAAAATGACTCGTTTGGGTCGAACACAAATTTGGCGCAGTTACGAAATAAGCGAACTGAAAGAGTGACGTGGGAGTGGCTTTGAATTGGTTTAACTGTTGAGATCTATTGCCCAGACAAACTTTATACAGACTACAAGTTCTTTAATTGAAACAATTCTAATAAAGCATCAAGTATTTTCGACTCAAACCCGCCATTTTAAATACAGTTATCCACAGGGTATTGGTAAATCGAATTGCCGAGAAAACGCCGTTCCATGATAAAACACCCTCGCCAGTGCAGGAAAAGAAACAAAATGATAGGAGAACAAAAGGACCTCAGTGTCCATCAGCCAGATGCTACAGGTTGAGATTAGCAAGTGTTCATATTTCGAGGAGATGGGTGCATTTGGCGTGCAAATTATTACTTACTGACCACTCGGGGATGTTCCGAATCTGTTGGTACATAAAACGCTCGAGTTTGGTTGCATTCTTGGCATACGAGGTGCTCTCGTTGTTATACCTGCGACAATTATCGTAAATCAAGGATGCATCCTTGATGAAGTCCTGCGGAGTTGGGTACATGTCCTTCTCATGCTTTTCTTCCATGGTAGACAGATCCATAGGCTCGAGGATTACCTCATAATAGTCAGGCACCTCGTCTCGGTTGACCGGCTGTGTAAATGGCCAAGCGGCACTATGGTTCTGCATATCATTCAATAGATGCAGCAGCTGATTATAGTTCGGTCCATGGCGAGGTTGACGGGCTAGCTCGTCCATATCAGGAGACCACCCGGAATCTTTGATAACCGGTATACTCAAAGGGTCAATCTCATGAACACCATTCTTCCATTCCTTAGGCGGTGGGTGGATGATATGCGACCGGCTAAAACCCCGAATATTAGCTTGTACTGCTTCCTTCTGCTTCAGTAGCATTCGTCCCATCTCAAGATATCGGATCTTTGGAAGCATCGTGCACTGCATGATAGTACCACCCTCGTAATCCTTGATATAGCCCATCCAGATTGATCTATCGAGCGTAATTTCCTTGGTAAAACCTTGCTTTTTGAAATAACCGATGGCGTAGTTGTCCGCATAGGTGAGGAAGTGCATAATTGGGGAAGTAGCCTTAACATAATCCTACATAGTGGGTTAGAAGTCGAGGCGAAACCCGTGGATTAAGAGCGCGGAGACCAAAATCCCGAAGACTTACCTTAAGATGAGACATCAAATGCGCACCATATCCCTTCACCTGCTGGTCCGAAGAAATGGCACAGAAAACGATCTCCGCAAAAGTGCGACTGTTAAAGGGACGATACGTGATTCCTCTGTCCAAGCGGTCAGTGCATGCTTCTGTATGTAAAACATGTCATACATACCCCACGACTTCCAAGGGGTGCTTGACTATTGCAATCGACAAATGCGAACGATCATACACTAGTCGAGCGATATAGTCCTTTGGCATCTTAGGGAGCTGTTTCTGAAAGATACACTTCAGACCTGTCAGGACGATGAAGCTATCGTGCGATCCATCATTGTTGACAACTCGGAACTCAATGTCTCCTCGGCGCTCTTCGAGGACGGCAGGCTATGCAAGGTTAGCCATTGCGCGTTCCGGGCGGTATTGTATGGTGGGGGGTGAGGTCAACTCACTTTCTCGGGGAAGGGTACAATGCGCAGAGGTGGTTTCAGTGCTGGCCCATCTTCCTATTAAAGCAATATGTTAAAAAATGTCAAATATGAGTAAAAAGAGCCAATGTTCGAACCTCTTTCGGCGAATCAGTGCGCGCTTTCTTGCTGGCTTGTTGCTGGGAGTCCGGAGAAGCTGCTTCCTCTGAGGCCTTCCTTTTTGAGCCTGGCAATTGTTAGTATGAAACAGAGAGGCAAATCTATCGCTGAGGACACTCACTCTTTGGAGAAACGACAGCCATGTTTAACGATGCGGGAAGCTAGATAGATTGCGCGCGTCCCGAGGTCTTGGAGGTGTCCAAAGTAATGTATGAGGCGGACTGGGGTCGGGTCGGAATTTAATTCATCCGAGGTCGATCGGCCAGATCACCCAAAGGCCGCGCATCATCTATACGGGGTTTATCAGTTGTCTTGTTGTCAACAACCCTACAACCTACATACCAATATCCTACCACCCTCATGTCGCTGAACCAAGTCTGGGAGGCAGCCTCTGCAACCCCATTTGAACCAATTGTCTCAAAGGATAGCCAATTCACGATTGGCTTCAGCCTCCTGGTTATTGGTACGCATAGCTCTTGCGGGCTGCTGAACGCAACTTACTGACTGTCTTATTACAGCTGTCATTACCACAGGACTTTTCGGACTCAGTATGCATATCGAAACAACTTTAATTTGAATCAATTTTCCTTACAATTGCTACAGATCGGTCGCTCGCAAGCATCTTCACCTTGGGCATTCCGGCCTCGCTAGCACTTGGGTGAGTACCTAATGAGCATACGACATCTTTTCAACGCATGCTAAATATAACTTTTGCAATAGTTTTGGAGCCGTCTTTACGATTTGCGCTGCTGGAGTTTATGTTTAAAGTGATACCCATTATCTCCTCTATGTACGCTAAGCAGGGAATCATCGCACGGGACCTGTACTGCTAGAAGCTTTAAGCTCCCAAGTTACCATTATATCTTCAACCAATTCTGTTCCTGCTTCATCTCCCAAGAAAATACCGCCCGGAGTAGGCGTCTTCCCAAAATGGAGCCCCTTTTTACCTGTGTCTCCAACAACGCCCATCACCTTTACACCCTTCTATCCTGCATCAGCTTTGCCTCTAAAGCCACCGTTCAGATCACACCCGAAGGCCTACGATTTTCCGCTGAAGAAGGCCGTGTCATTCAGGGTCTGGCTTTTTTGGATAGAGCACTCTTCACCAGCTACACATTGAATACCACACCAGACCCAGTCAATCAAGAAACAGAGGCGCCCAATGATGAAAATTCGGATGAACTGGTCTACCCACAATTTGTTGTGTCGCTTTCTGCTTTGCTGGAAACCCTCAAAATCTTCGGCATCAATGAGCTTACGGAACCAAATGGCGTTCGCAACACCAACCTCCCGCAAACCAATCCTGCATCAAGCGCATTCTCTGCGCCAGCATTGCTAATGGATCGTTCCTGTACTATCCAATATGCCGCGCATGGTGCACCGCTCAGTATAGCTATCGATGAAGCAGGTGTAAAAACGACCTGCGAACTCGTTACTTACGAGGCTGAAGACGACGAATCCGACATTCCACTCCAACGTAACTCAATTATCATGAAGATCATCATGCGCTCTGCCTGGCTGCACAACGCCATCTCAGAGCTTAACTCATCAACGCCAACCATTCTTAAGATTTCAGCATCTGCCAAGCGAGAGCCGTATTTCGCGCTCTCTGGTGCCGGTGGTCCCTTCAGCGAATCTACGGTCGAGTTCTCCGTGGATCAGCAGAACAACGACGGAGACGCCAGTACCCAGGCTTCCAAGACACATAAGGTACAGGCGGATGATGGGTCCTCTCGGGCTCGCAGCACAAGAGCGAAGCTCGCCCCAACAGTTACGGAAACCTTCCTTGTCACCCCACCTTCGTCAATGGGCGAGCGGATCAATCAGAGCTATCGATTTGCGTTGATCAGTAAAGCCGCTCGAGCTATGGCCGTTGCGAATAAGGTTAGTATTCGTGGAGATCGGCAAGGCGTGCTGAGCTTACAATTCATGATCGAGCTGGAAGATAAAGACAACAACGCAACTGGGCGGCCTGTTGGAGCTGGTATTAGGCCGACAGGTCCTGTATGCTTTGTTGACTTTCGGTTCGTGCCGCTGTTGGATGAGGAGGCTGCTGAGATGGAGATGGACATGCTGGTCAATGATTAGAGGGTTCGTGTCTTATGTATATGGGTTTACTTCCGACACATGTCATATTTCAGCGAATTATCTCCCATAAACATAAGACACAATTAAAAAATCACCGGCTAGACCATTTATAATCAGTTGTTTGGGTAGATATGTTCAATTAATCCTATAGCACTCTGAAAAGGTGGACAAGGTAAATTATATCATTTCCGTGGATAAATTCATTCAGATAGCGAGTCACCAACGCCTAAATATGGGTATGCTGGTATGTAACATGAGTGGAAGAAAGTTTGGAAGGGAGTCATAACTGTAAGTATACATTGGTGAAAGTGGAAAAGGGGAGGAGATGTGTATGATCAAGATTACATGACCTACACTAAGATTAGCAAACTTGCTGGACTGATACATGGGATTTTAGGGCCGGTCAACATACCTCAGCGATGGACTGTCTTTCAATGATAGACTTTTGTCTCTCATTACGGGACACGCGGTAATAATAGTCACTGAAGTCTCCACACTGCATGGAACGGAGGAATTCCTCGTCGTGAGTGATGACTATTAACTGGAAATTGGCTTGCTGTTGCCGAGCTTTGATAATATCATGTAGCGATTCGGCAAGAGAGCGAATGTTATCACGGTCCAGATTGGTTGTTGGTTCATCGAGAGCAATTAAGCCGCAGTTGACACCAAAACACTCCGCGAGCGCAAGACGAATGATGATACTGGCCAGCACCTTTTGACCAGCACTGCAACGGCCTCGCATATCCATCTCCGCGCCCTGTTTAACCATGCAAACTCGGTAATTGTATGACCGATTACCCTTAGCGTTCTCATTGTCGGATCGAATGAGGATTGAGTCGACATCTGTTCCACGGTATGTTTTTTGCCACAGTTCGCTGACTATGGCATTGATCTCTTCCATCTTCAGACCGTGGTACTGCATGATGGCTTTATCTAGAGCACCGCCGTACCGTGCCAAATCATCAACCGCCGCTTTGGTTGTTTCGACCTTGATATGTGATTCCTTGTACTTTGATGCTGCATCCTTGTAGTCTGTGTTCCAGTCATTCAAGAGTTGCATCAACTGGTCATCTTTAGATTTCATTTCGCCCATCTTGCTGGCTTGTTTGGCGGCCAAGGCATTGTGCTCACGAGTCCAACGCTCTGACTCTTGTTTGAAGCGACTGCGATCAACATCGGCGTTTTGCTCTTCCAGTTGCTCTACTTCTTGTAGAACGCTCTCCAAGGATCGGTTGGCTTGGCGATAGGTCAAGTTATCTGAGTACTGCCGCTTAGTGTTTTCACTGTCCTTCAGCTGAGCAGAAATTTTGTTAATTGCTCTGGTGATTTCGCCTTGTTCAGATTCGAGTTTACCGATCTCAGACTCTAATTCAGATAGCTCTCGTTTACTTTGCTCAAGTAGGTCTGGCCCACCTCGTTCATTGTACGAATTGATATCTTCATTGGCCAGGTCAAGCTGATGAATACTCTCTGAGAGGCGGGTGATATCCTGCTGCAAGTCCCGTTCACGAGATTCAGCCCGCTGACTGATATCGTCATAGCGGGCTTGAGCCTGAAGCAACTCGGGGGTCAAGTCTTCAATGTCTTGATCTGCTTTCTCGATTGCTTCTCGTTGTTGGGCATTGAGTTTCTTGTACTCCTCCATGCGAACAAGCAAGTCGGCCTTCTTCTCTAGCTGGAATTTGGCGTTGTCCAGATTGCTTTTGACATCTCTAAGTTGAAGCTCCAGCTTATTGATCTCGCTGCGGGTTTGATCTCTCTCAGTCGTGAGTCTGCCGAGAGTTTTTTTCAACTCGCGTGCCTTTTCATTATTTGCCGAGATGTCATCTTGAATATCTTGAAGAGTACGATCTGCAGAGGCATCTTCTTGTTTCTCAGAAAGCTCTTGGATTTGCGAAGTAATAGTTTTGAGGTCGGCATCGTATCTCACGATCGTATTGACCGTCTTGCTTAGAGTGTCCACGTCTCTCTTAACCTCTTGCCTGTCGCTCACGGTTCGGTCATGAGCTTCAAGTCTGTCTAAGAGTTGATCGCGCTGTGCCTCAAAGCCCTGCTCCTCCTTTTCCAGCTCCGGTATGTCGGTTTCAGAGAGACGAACCCAGGTATCGTAGAATACACCAGCAGCGCGAGTTGTTTGAAGGTCTTCTTCAAAACCTTTGACCGCGTCGTCTTCTGCGTCCAAGCCGGCCTTTCTGACCAATGCCTCTAGCTTTTTGGTGAACGTCTGAAGCTCAGCGTCATTTTTGAAGCCTCGCTGACATGTTCGGCATACCTTGGCGGCCTTTGCTGCCTCAACACACTTGCTGAGATACTCGCCCATGCCGGCATATTGATCGGCATCTTTGCGTGCAAAATCATAACTCACTTGTCGTTGTTTGAGTGTCTCGGGGTACTCAGAAGGGTCGGCATCGATGGCTTCGCGAATCTCTTTTTCACAGTCATCTAGCTCTTTTTGTCTTTGCTTAAGAGTCTTCTTCGCATCTTTCAGCTTGAATTCAACATGCTCCAACTCTCTGCTGACGCCATCGCGATCTCGCTCCGCATCAGATGCTTGCTTGGATTCCTTGTCAACGGAGCGCTGGAATTCCCGCTCCAACGTTTGAGGCTCCCAGTCTGATCCAACGATTTTTGACAGCCGTTCCCCGTGAGCAGCCTTCATTGTTTGCAGGCTACGCTCTCTGTCCTTCGCTTCCTTTTTAAGATGATCTAACCTCGCCAGATCCCCCGCCTTCTTGGTAGATTCGATCAACTCCGCGTTCAGTGTTGAGTTCTCGTCCTCAAAATGGTGTATCTGTGTATTGCGATCTTGTATTTCTTGGTCCCACGATGCGGTCTTGGTACGCTCTTTTGCATGGTCAAGGCTGGACTTGATATCTTCAATCTTAGCCTCCAGGGCCGCTTGAACACCTTCATCAACCTCAATTTCATTGAGCTTTCCTTGGTAAGTTGCTGCCTCGCGTTCGTTGTTCGCGATTTGTCTTTTAGCGGCATTCTTGCTCTCCTGCAGAGCAGACTTGCGTTGTCCAATATCGTTGAGAGTGTCTTGGACCTCGCGAAGTTCTCTCTGGGCTTCTCGCTTAACTCGATCTAATGCCTGATTTTGTTCACGGAGAAAACGTCTGACTTTCTGCATGAAAGTGTCAATTTCTAGTTGATCCATCTTCTCGTCGACACCACGGATGTTATTGCTACGGGCAACCTCGCTGATCATGGCCTGGCGTCTTTGAATTTGTCGCTCGAAATTGGCCTTATCATTTTCATGCTTTCCATTTTCGGCCTGTTTTAAGCCCAGTCGATGCCGAGTTTCATCGATACGCTCCTTGAGAACCATGTAGTTTTCCTTTTGTGCTTCTTCCTGCTGCTGATATTCGATTTGATTTGTCTCGAATTGCTCCAGATTCGACTCTAACCACTCATCTGAGTCGTCTAGCTCCACGAGATGCCGCTTAAGATTGTCGATAGTAGTCTGCACACTCTTTGCTTCAATTCGCTTGCCCTCGAGGGCACCGAGTACCTGCGCATAGCCTTCTGACTCCTTCCATGCCTTATCAGCAAGATCAGCAACTCGGCGCATCTCTTTAGACATCTTCTGGGTCTCGTCGCGTAATTCCTCAATTTCGTCTTGGAGCTTGACTGATCGTTTCTCTGCGCGGTCGGCCTTATCTTTGTCCTCCTTGGCATGTTGCTCCATAATCTTGAATTTACCGAGCTCTTCATTTTGCTTTTTGCGGAGGGCCTTGATATTGTCAATGGCTTTGGTGTATTTCATAGCTTCAAATATTTCGTCGAACTTCTTCTTGAGGACGGACGGTTCACTCATTGGCCAAAGACTTTCATCCTGGTGGCAGAAAATGACCGAGTCTAAGACTGCCTTGGAGACCCCCAGATACTGAGGCATGATCTGGTCGAGTTCAGCCACTCGTGACGAGATTGCAGTTCGTTCGCCATTTTTCATCATCATCAGATGTCCTTCCAGTGTCTTTTGTTGCCTTGTTGTCTTCTTGACCGTAAGTTGTAGACTTCGTGTAGCCACCATCTTGGCCCCAGAAGTTCCCTTGAAGGAAAGCTTCACCTGGGCCAAGACCTCCTTTTCGCCGCATAGTTTCGGGTCGTGGATAAAAGCGCCGCCTTTGCTGTTCGGAGGAAGATCGCCGGTGGTTGCGTATTTCAAGCATTCGATAATCGTCTTAGGTAGATTAGTTTTTGCGCCACGATGAATGACTGGTCGCTTATTCTCGAAATGCGTACCGTTTTCCCCGAGCCATTGTATCCAACAATCAAAGTCAGTGGAGCATGAAATTGAATTGTCTCGCTCCGCGTGTTATCGAAGGATCGCACTCTAGAATCAAGCAAGCTGGTTAGCATGCATGTGGGGTGGTTTGTAGCAGGCAACATCCAAGAAACATACCCCAAAATTGAGAGTTTGTCGATCTTCGCTGTGCAGAGTCATATAAATCATCAGATGAATTTCACAATGTTACGGCCAAATTCATCAATCGCAATAGGCTTACACCTGGGCAATCATTAGTGACCGCTAGAAGCTCATCGGGAAAGCAAAAGGACCGCTGGAGACTCACATTTTTGGACACGGATCCCAGTATGAGAGCTTCTAGATCCTCCTCAGCTGGCAAGCAACGACTGTCGACACCCACAGACTGTTCGCTTGTAATGTCCAAGTGGTCAGATTGCAACGGGCTTTGTGATGCATCGACTTTCTCCACTTTTTGCTCGCGCCCAGAGCGACACGAAATCACGTGAGGTGTATCGCGCGTTAATAAGCCATAGGCCCCACAGCGATCAGCGTCCGTCTATCTATTTCCTCTCCCCTGTGGACATGATTTGGCTTTTCTCTGAGTGTGGCAAGCAAAACGGACAAGTTTCGAATTCTTCCTAGTGGGCCTCAGTTGAATACATACACTTCTTATGCATGATACCAAACCACCGGAAATGATTTCGTCTCGCTCATATTCATAACGCAGTTATTATTGGCTTTGCGGGGAATGCTCTGGCCCGCCCGTCTGGAACCCTGAGCACGGATACACCCATTGAGTACTTTCGCCAACCGCCTTCCAGTGATTTCGACATTCTTGACCGACCGACCCCTCTCCTCCGTCGGTCTCAGTCACATCGTAATGGCTCTTGGCCAACAATCGTCATACATGAATCTGAACCACCCCGATCCACGCCACTCCGTTTCTAGTCAAGGGAATCAAGGATACCAAAGTGACATCCGGACCATGACTGGTCCATATGGGCACTACGGGCTGCAAGCAGCGCAGCAGGGAGCCTACGATGGCGGACAGGTCGACCCAGGCTGGACAGAACGGGTATTGGAGGAAATGAAGGACATGTTATTGCTATTAGATGCCGACGGTAAAGTTGCCTATGCATCGCCTTCCTCGAAGCAAATCACAGGCCGGGGCTCGAAGCAGCTGGAGGGGAATACTATCACAGAGCTTATACATGAAGACGATAAGGCTGTCTTCGTCCGCGATATGAACGAATCAGTCATTGGCAATCGACCATTCCGCTCGCACGCCCGACTCCAGAAAACCAATAATACATATTGCCTCGTCGAGATCTACGGCCATCCGCATATCGGTCGCGACAATGTGCCGCGCGCTGGAAATGTGTCTCCCCAAGAGCGTTGTCTAGGATTCTTCCTCGTTTGTCGGCCACACCCCTCGAAAAACTCGTTACTCCTCGACTCCTTCCTTGAACATAAAATCGAGAATGCGCGTCTAGTACAGCACATCGCGAAACTTAAGCAAGAAGAGGAGGAAGAAGAAGAAGGAATCTCGCGGGGTCCGTATGGAACCATGGATGGTGATAGGCAATTCGCAGATAGTTCCCTCGGGCATGCTGTCTTAAGCGATCAGGACTCGAGCGAAACTGCGGCTCCATGTTCAGATGATTCTGACGCTAGCCAAGACCTGGATTACTTCTCAGAAAGACCACCTGCCATGGGTCATATGTCACATGTTGACGGAATTGAAGTGATGACAGGCCTGAACTATGCCGATGGCGAACGATCCCAGGGTCTAAGTACTGGTAATCGCGGTGGTAAATTAATACAATGTAGTATCGATATTACCACCGCAGCTGATCAAGCCCGGACTGTGCAAGAAGGCGACCGACGCAAGAGGCTCAAGGGCCAACATTCTTGCAGTGACTGTGGAACAGGAGATTCTCCTGAATGGCGGAAAGGGCCTAATGGACCCAAGACCTTATGCAACGCCTGTGGTTGTAAGTTTCATGCTATTATCCCTGTCCGTATGTCACCCATATCTAATGAATACCCCTCAGTGCGTTGGTCGAAGAAGGAGAAAAAGCGTCAAGCGTCCACATAATTTTTCATCACATTATTATCACACACTGAAGACCTTGAATATTCAAGGGCTTGGAGGTAGCTTTTTATTGCCATTTTTTCCTCGCTCCTCGGTTGACGCAATCTGCGTCGAGATACCCTTTGTCGTCCAGCTTATGTTACGGCGGGTTCTTGTGATTTCTGCTTGATTTGAATTATCTACATGCGTAATTCAGCATGACTGATGAAGTAATGACCCAATGCATGTTTTAGTGTTTCTGTACTCAAATTCTAGTGTACATGGATGTGTATATTGTATTATGGTGTTATTTATTTGTTCTCGGGTTCAGAACAGGCGTTCGTACACACTGGCATTGGCTGACCCTACAATACAACCTTGGAAGGATTCTGAAGCGACTTGAAAAAAAAAAAAATTTCTTTCATTCGTTTGTGTTATTTAGGCTAGTCCCTTCTTCAATTAGACAACTGCCAGATAGAGCAAATGACAGAACCAAAAAATGGTAACACCATATTCAAAACGCCAGAAATGATATGTACTTGGTATATTTTGATGCTTTGGTCCCAAGTCCACAATGAACCGTGTTGAGTGCCATGCTTTAAGCAGGCAATGAAGGAAAGTAAGAGGTATAAACATGCAAAGGATGGTATCTGGTATCACAAAACAACATGACGAACGGGCATTAACGTGATCAAAACACAAGATCAGAGGCAGATCGAATGAGCGATAACTCATTTTGATGCTTTCTTAGGTGGAGGTGGGAAGTACATTTGCGTCTGGGATCCATCTGGAGACACATTCGCCGATGATGCAGTGGGGGAGGATTGCACTTCCTTGCTTCGCAGTGGAAGGTCAGAGGCTTCGCTACCAATACGATTGAAAGCGAGGTGACGTGGTGTGAATGGGTATACACCGCCGACACCACCAGTGCCAGCGGGTTGAGCCACGAAAGGTGGGAAACCGGGAGTACGAGGGACAAGTCCGGGTGTTGTGGCGTAGAAGGGGGACTTGAGAACCTCCTCCTCAAATTCTCTCTCCACACGTCTGTCTTCGCGGGCCTCGAGGATCTCGTCACGCTCGGCGTGGGTGATGAAGCAGGAACGGAGGCTGACAAAAAACTCAAAAGTGTAAATCAGACTACACAAGGATGGTTAGACTTTCGTTTCGATGACAGTGAGGATTTCAACAGGGTAGACTGCTTACGTGAGGATGCAACACACTGCAAAGAGAGACTTTGCTTGCATACAGAATCCAATATTGCTCTTCGAAGCGGCGACACTGCAGCTCTTGGTGATGTACCACGGTGGGCCGGGTTGAGGGTGTGTTGGATCTGACATATCAGGACCAGCTTGATACCGGGCTGCGAATGCATAGATGACCACAGAGCCGCCATTGATAGCGGCTGCAATAGGTGGGAATAGCAAGTGCAAGGAATGAACAGGGATTTTGACAAGCAGGAAGAAGACACTCAGGACACCAATAACCAGATTGAAGTCGGTTAGGCTGGTAAACAGTTAGAAGTTGTCCATATAGTAGGGCGAGGGGGGTCACATACAAAGAAGACCAGACCAGAGGCGCCTTGTAGGGCCGGTAGTTGGCAGCAGCGTAGAGCGATTCATCGGGCGAACTGTTGAAGCCGTTCTTATAGCCGTCCGCCCATAGCAATGAGGTATATGTGTTGTGAGAGGCAATACCGGTCAAGGTCAGGACGGTAATGCAGAAAGGAATCTCAGCTGCCATGGTGTAGAACATGAGCTTACGGTCCCGCCATTTCCTAGGCATGAACCATCCTCGAAACAACTCAAAGTCCTTGATCGCTTCGATCTTGAACTGAAGCTCCTGTTTGTGCATGGTGACGGTGATGTTTACTCGCAAGATCAACAACAATCTTCTAAGCGCCGCGAAAAGAACAAGACAAAGTCTCGTCTAGAAGAGGGAAAGAAGCGAAACAAGAGGATGTCAATGGGAGCACAATGAGATACGGCCAGACCGGCTGGCTGTGAAATCAAGTCCTTTGCATGTAAAACAGCCAAGGCCGAGAGGGAGAGGGAAAGGAAAGCTTCCAGAGGTTGACAAGAAATCAGAAACACACAAAGTTCAGGACGATCAGGAAGATGGGCGTTAGATATGAGCTCGCAACCCCCCGGGCCGCCGACATTCTCTCTTACCCATCGCTCGCATGCAGAGAGGGGCACGAATCAGCGCAAGCGCTGAGGTACGAGCATCCTGGAAATGTTTCCAAGAGGTGCATCTGGCCAATGCTTGACGGCGGCAAAGCGCCAGCAGGAGTAGGATGTGAAGGCCGTCGCACCAATGAGAGGTGCAGGACCGGGGATAGGCTGCTGGTCGTCACACGCTAGTCGGTGTGATAGGTTAGTGGATCTGCAGGAGTCCATCCGCATCACAGCAGCACACGGGAAACTGGGCCTTGCTGGAGGAACGGCGAAACGCTTGGGTGGGGCGTTCCCAAAGTTGTTGGGTGTGAAGTCGCAAACCAAAAACGAGTGTTTGTTGGATTTTGTGATGGTCCATGCATGCTGCTCGTGGGGGGAAGATCGCTGAGAGGGGAAGATCGCTCGGTTGGACGAATCTTGCTGTTCGTGAGTACGGAGTACGCAACGCGATTTTTAAAATCAAAAAGAATTTGGAATTCATTTTGATATTTTCCTTTTGAGGCTGTCATAATAACTATGGCCTTGGTTTCTGAGATTCCAGTCTTTTGGGATCAACATTCATTGGTGTATAGAGGGAGTAAGCATGGGTACAGCTCGGACCCGCTATCACTATCACGAATCACGATCCCAGCCTCGGGAGGTACTTTGTTACTCAAGTCCTTGTACCGCTCTGCATCAATCACACAGTGGGTGGTTTCTGTATCATGTGGATGGATTCAGCCCGGCCTTTTTGCGCATTATTTTCTTGGATGGTATTACTACCTCCAGGGGCTAGTATTTACCCATTCACTTGGACAGTGACCAAAGCTGGTTTTCTCATGTATACATTTCATCGTCAGGCTGAGCAAAACAGGGGTCGCTGGTCAGAATAGGCATTTTTTTAACTATTGAATCGTCTAACGCGTAACTAGTCTTTATCCCGGCTTACTCTGTACCACCTGCAATGGTTTCTTACACATCTATCTAGTAGGAGCTTAGGGGTTTACTAGGTATAATCCTGTCTTGAAATTATTTAGTCATCTTTTCTACTCCTTTTGTCAGTAGGTATATTGACTCGGAATCTGTGGACAAGTTCATGAAAGCCAAATATACAGACATGAAATTACAACCATTGTTTGTTTCCAAATTGGGAAACAAAAGCACCACCGTGTCAATTGTCGACGCTGAGCTTCTCCCATGTCGAGATGATAACGGGGATTGCTTCGTCTACAGGTGTCGGGCCCTTGAAGTGAGGCGCATATGTCGAAAGTTTTCCTATCGATCCTGCTAAGCCTTGTATCTGCTCTGAGGTGGCTGTTGATATGATGCGTCAGTGATACTAGCATTTCTGGATGCTTCAGGCTTGACAGGAACGTATACCATTCACAAAGTGGCCTAGTACCTCCACTACGCCCGAGCTATCCTGGAAAGAGTTGACTTGGAAGAATGAACTTACAGAAGAGAAGAATATATTGACATATTCATCCAACTAACAAGGCTGCACGCCCTCATAGTCTATCAGATTATCGGCCTCTTCGACGGTGACATCCGGGCTCTCCACGTTGCAGAAGGCCACACAACCGTCCAGAATATATGGGCCAGTAAGGTCTTGAAATCGGCTGCAGAATATTTGTCAAAAACCCACGTCGCTACCACAAATATTGACTATTTGCCAAAACCATCTACCTACTCGCAGTAACAGTGGTACCTGTGGATTCTGTCAGAGAGCATCCGCTGCACATGACTCGTCGCCGTCAGCATCTCCCCTATCTTCACTATCCTTCAGCAAGGCTGGTCGACTTGCCCCGGTGGCATCATGTATACGAATCGCAGCGGCCTTTGGGATGTGGCGAGCGCTAGTCAGTGGGGAAAGCAATCCTTGGGAGGTGTAGGGTTTTTGCAGCGCTTTGAGTGCACAAGTCTTTTAGACTATGCAAAATCGGCAGATATAGATGAGTTTGGAACTGCAATATTAGACATGACTTTCGATGCAGAATTATTAGAGAGGTGGAGGGACAACATTAGTGCCTAATAGTCGCAAGACTATACATGCAGGGCCTCCCGTTAACATTCGATACCTTAACCGACATTTTAAGCTACAATTTCTTAATTCTTGTTTGAATTTCATAATTAAAGCTGTATTATGCTTTTAATTCAGCGATATGCAGTGGCGTAGAAACTTGCTTGGAAGATTGTTCGAGTTATGTATGAAATTGTACCAATTTTGTAAGGTGATCCATGGATAACCCGTCTTATCCAACTTCAATTCGACTTGAAACTTCCCTCTTACAACATACTAGAGCAAACCAAGGCCGCTTAACTATATGGGTGCTTGAATAATCCTCACAATCCAAGGAGAATAATACCTTGATACTTCATTCAATATCTCATCCCACTAAGTGCGTATCGAATCACAATCTGATGAGGGGTATCCGACCGCTACGCCAACCAATCCAACTCCCGGCCATTCATCTCCACCGGCCCCAAACGTCCCGGCTAGGACTATACAGCATAAAATCACACCCGATGAGTTCCCAGCGCGAAGATTCCATCCCGCATGAGCTACGCACTGCCGCCGAGCCCCGACAGAACAGATTGTACCCAGTGCGTCTCGCGCATGTGGAGCAAGTCAACCCGTCAATCCGGCTACTACAATTCGCTATCCCCAAACCGGAAAACAGTGTAAGCATGCTTTGCCATCTATCAATATACCAAGTTCTTCCTAGTCCAAGTCTTGCATCAAATATTTGCTATCTTGGTTAAAATTTTGATTGGTCATTCCTTCCAATACACCCTGACACAAATATTAATAACTCTGACATAATATCCATAAAATTCACCCATTTCAAGTTAATCACCGATCATGCATACTCCTTGCTGTCTTCAGGAAATAAGCTTACATATTTTATAGGATAACCACCAGCAGCCATTTGCCTTTTCGCCGGGTCAATGGCTAGATGTTCATATCCCATCTATTGCCAACGCTGGCGGGTTCACAATTACTTCTACCCCGGCTGATGCACAAGCTTTGCCCCCACTAGCAGCCGACGGTGTCAATGAAAGTGTCGCTGCCTCTTTAGATACACAGGGCCGAGAACCATACGTGGAGTTGGCAGTCCAGGACTCCCCATCCAATCCACCAGCGGCATGGCTGTGGAAACCAAAGCAGGAAATCATTGGCAAAGAAGTAAATATTCGAGTAGGAGGTAGCTTTGTGTGGCCACCGACTACTGGAATAGATGCTCGAAAAGTGGAGAACGTGGTACTTATTGCTGGTGGTGTGGGTATCAAGTACGTATTCACATTCATGTGGCCAGGGTTATCATTGAGAGAGGACGAAATAATGCTAATTAGAATAAATAGTCCTTTGATTTCTATCCTTTCCCATCTCGGTCAGATCCAAAGTGACCATCCCTTGGACATTCACTTCTTATACTCTACTCGGCTTTCCGAAGATCAAGCCACAGGGACACAGGAGTCTGCAATGGATCAGATTCTATTTCTTCCTCGATTGCGCCATATTATTCGTGTTCATGGATCCAGATCTCACCTTCGTATATCTCTGGATCTATTTCTTACTAATTCAGCTGTGGCTCGCTTCTCAATCAAGTCCCCTGCTGATTTCAAAATTCATACAAGGCGTATCAACGATGGAGATATTCGTTCCGCGATTGGGAGCCAAAAAGGGGAGATAGATACACGGGGAACAGTGGCTTATGTTTGCGGGCCACCAGTCATGACTGATGAACTGGTTGCACGGGCACAAGAAATGTTGGGTGAAGGGGGAACCCAAAGAGTGTTTTTTGAGAAATGGTGGTGATTGGAACGTCGGTCCATTCATTTACAAGTAATGCGCGAATAGGAATGAGTCAAAAATCGAAATGATGATTGTATACGCATTTGATGCAGACAAAGAAATGATGGGATATTCACTAAAGAACCCCTTTAGACCCCCTTTGGACGCCAACCTTTTGTAGGCAAGGGAAAGAGTATATGTACATTGAGAAAAAGAAAAACATGGACGAGGTCGTCAACATATAATCGCAAGCGACTGTGACAAGCGCAGGTATATATGACCTGTCGTAAAATTGCATGAGGAAAAACGAGAAGGGAAGGAAGAGGAGGTTTGGTAGGGTGGTGTGGTGTGGTTTGGTGTGTAACAGAGAGCACACGAGGCTCTTTAGGATTTTGAATTCGGGCCTTTCACAGCACCGCCGTCGACAATCATCAGCTCATCTATCTTAGCTTCGGTTTGGCCCCATTCGAGGCGTTTATAAGTCGTTACGCGACCAGGGCCCATATCAAAGTCGAAGAATCGAACTCGACGAACGTAGTCATTATATCCGCCGTATCCTCCAAAGCCGCCGCCGCCGCCGTAGCACATCCAAAGCGAAGGCTGCTCGTTTGCATCGTGCTCAAGCATACAATAATCGTTGACATGATCACTGAAAGACAAATTAGTTACGTGCACGAATAATGATTATATCAAATATGCAAAGAGCCACTTACTGTCCACAGCTGACAAACAAAACACCCTCTTCTTCAAGAGCATCTTTGAATCCGGAGTTGAAACCTGGCGCCGTGGGAGCCTCGTCCCATGACCCTTGCCAATACTTTCCGCCAACCCGGTATTCAGGTAATGGAATATGAATGAAAGCCATGTTCATGTGAATATGTGAGTATTCTTTGTGTTTGCTTCTCAATCCTTGAGCAGTGTTTTTGAACCAACGAGTTTGACTCGGTTTAATCCAGTCGTATCCCCGGAACTGGCGTTCGTCGGGGGAGTATGAATGTGTGTCGAGGAGATAGAAAGTGAGGGCAGAGTGCGTGCTCTTGCCACGGTCGAGAATTTCGACGATATAATTGCCGACCCCATCAATATCTTCGGGGCCTGCTGCTGAAAGGGAGTAAGGGAGATCCTCGTAGATGGCCATCAATTGTTCGCGACTTAGGTCACCTTCGTCATCGTGATTTCCAAAGATGGCAGCGTATGGAATTTTGCGATCAACAAGAAGTTTTACAGACTTGAACATAGCAGTTTGGGCATCTGGAGAAGTTTCACCATTCACCTGATCACCCGAGAAGATCACCATATCTGGCTTCTCCTCATCGAGAAGTCGCTCGATGAATTCCAAGGTTCGTGGATCAGCCTCGCACTTTTGTCCAGGGACAGGCTCTGCTGGGATAGGGTCTCGACAGGCGCCCGTACCCGTACTCAAATGAATATCCGCCAACTGCATAACCTTGAATTTGCCGTTTTCGTTTATCCTGGGTGTGGGCTTCTTGGACTTGATCGGATTCCCTCGTCGAATGCTCAAACGAGTCTCCAGCCTTTCGGTCCAACTATCCAAAAGCAAGGGGGTATCTTTAATTTCCCAGTTAGGACGAGGGTCCACGGCATCAGCACCGAAAAGCGCATCGACATATGTTACAGCCTGTCCAGAATCACTGGCGTGGCGAGAGGCGGTTCGTTTCAGCCAAATTCCGCCAGGGCGAGGCTCCCAGAATTCAGGCTCTCCCTTGCCCGAATACTCGGCTGGGGGTGTGAGGCGACCAATTTTCAAGTCAATGACGACCTTATCGTCTGGACCCAGCTCCTCCTCCTTCTTTCTTTGGAATTGGATATAGGCAGATGAAGTCCAGGCGGAGCGCAAATACAGGTCTTTTTCGACTCGGTGCCAGACTTCGGGGTCGAGATTGCAACTCGAGAAAGGGTTGAGTGATGAACATTTTGTTACGGTCAAATCGGTGATCACGAAGCCAGAATAGTGCATCGGAAGGTGGCCATGGATGGAGGTGGGAAGGACACTGAATCGATTGTCGAGAAACAGGACCACTAGGAGTATGAATGCTGTAAATAAACCGAGCTGTAAGCCCGCCCGCACCTACAGAACAAATCAATTACATTAGTATTTTGAATCTCTCAGGGGAATCCAGAAAAAAGTTCATACAAGTCGGCGAGCCATGATATTGATATCACTCTATCACCCTGGCAAGGACTTGGAGAAGAGCCGGGATGCGCACAGTCGCATGATGCCCCCAGAGTGATCGGGAGGTTGTGATCAAGGCTAAGAGAAGACCAATAGACTCAGGTCAACTCATACAAGCCAGATCATTTAAAAAAGTCGAAGATGAGGAGAATAGGAGTTGGAATCCCAGTGTTTTCGGGGGGAAACGAGACGCTTGGGCCCGGAAGGCGGTCGCTTTTCTGCACCTGTCAATTTACTAGTGCTCCGCCTGAATACTTACAAGGTTGTACTTGGATCCTTCGAAGGAATAAGGTACATGAGATTTGATCAGATGCTATTATCGTCATATTCTTTCATTTCTATCATGTAGTTTGCTTCATCAAATTCTAAAAACAAATAAAGTTTATGCTTGTATATAATCGCATGCGACCGGCGTGAATGAACAACCAAACAAGCAACAAAGAAAATCCCAAACTCTCTAGGTCTATCGTAGATATTGTCTTTCCACCTTATATTTATGCAGACTTGGGCTGCTTTGCGACATCGCTGGGAGAAACTTTACCAGCGAGGATATCCTTTGTGGTCGACAGGATCGTGGACCAGTTCTGGAAGGTAGTGTATGGCATTCCGCGGCGTTCGCAGAAAGTCACCAGATCTAAATTGTTGTCAGTGGCTGAAGTACAACTCAAATTGAAGATTTGTGTTACCTTTGCCCTCCTTAGCGAACAGAAGGTTGGTCTCCGCAGCAGCCGATAGGTCAGATACACCGTCACCTGCGTACAGAAGGACAGGGCGCTCTTCGTCGGGCAGAGCCGCGTAGGGCTTGATCTCGAGAGACTTGTCGTGGCCAAAGTGACTAGAAACCCCTCAGCATGAGAATACAGTTTTATATTTCCAAGAACCCAAGACTTACCTCTCATCGTGGTACGTGATCTGCCAGCCACCCTCGCTGTTGATATCTTTGCCCTCGCGGCTGATCACATCGTTGGCGACAATGGTGAGATGGCTGCTAGGCTTATGGCCGAGGAATTTCTCGAGCAGGGCGCTAATGATCGGGTGCATGCCGGAAGAAAGAATGACAATGGGAACATTGTTCTCTTTGGCCCAGTAGTAAAACTCCTCGAAGTATGGGTCCAACTTCATGTTCTTCAGCAGAGTCTCGATACACTCGTTGTAGGGGGTCTTGATGCTCGAGAGCATCTCGCGGAAAGCATCACTAAGTCCATCCAGTCAATATGCGATTGAAAAAAAACCCCGTCGAAGTATGATGCGTTTCAACCCTCACCGGAATCCCAAAGTCTCCTCGAGAACCTGCTTGTTCAACACGCGGCGTCGGTCAGCGCCAAAACCTAGGTTGTCGATCTATCTTGTTAGCTTTGGAGGATAGTAAAGAGGAGCGCGCTTGACGAACCATGAAATCATTGCCTGTCGCCCTGTTAGTTCTTGGACAGTAAATCAAATTTCGACGAGTTCATCAAGTAACTTACTGTCGTCGACTGTGATGGTGCCATCAAAATCAGTGAAAAAGATGACCTTGGGCTTGGTCTCGATATAAGGAAGTGCGACGGAACCCATTGCGATGGAATATTGGTTTGAGGAGAGGTGAAAACAAAAGGATTATCGGATTATCAACAATTTATTGATTCTCTGCGAATTTGAAGCAAAGATAAAACTGTACAAGACTGTTGAGTCAAGAAGAAAAGGACCCCGGTGAACGAGGGGGAACACTCCGGGGAGGGATTGACATGTGGGGCAGCGAAAGGGCCCAATTAAAAAAATAGTGGATTGGCATTTGCTTTTCCCTTTCAGTCAATCGAAAGCTCCAGTATGGCTCGTCTGTTGCGATCATTGCAGCAATTACTGGGGAATACAACTCCAGCTCCTATTGCTGCACCAAAGCAAACTTTTGGTCTTGTTCGATCGCGATCTATCAACGCCGATTTCTCGGTGTTTCAAGGTATGGGAGAGATGCTCCGCTCTGGAAATCCGGTCATCCTAACAACGCGCAGAGGGCGACCGAGTTTTGTTAAACACCAAACAACCAGCACTGACGAAGCCATTGAAGAAAGGTGGAAAAACCAATCTTCGAAAGGGTCATTTGGCGCATGACCTCGTCATTGGAAATCGGGTATGGGATGCAGTTCAAGCACACAAGGGTGAGGATCGACCGCCCCGTCACATAATTCGTGCAGTCCGATTAACACTCAACAGGGCCAGAGGTTAGGTTGAGTCTGCCAACTCTTGAAGAATATGTAACTCTGACCCCTCGACATGTGACACCGGTATGTTGCACGCTCTCACATCTTTTCAGGGCTTGGAAGGGGAGAACCCATTTGAACGTTAAGGAGAGATGGGCTAATTGTCGCAGATCTATTCACACGATGCCAATCTAATTGTCTCCCTCCTCGATCTCCATCCCAATACACCTTCCGCGGGTGAAAAACAAGCACCGATAGAAATCCTTGAATCGGGTACCGGACATGGATCTTTAACATTACACCTTGCGCGGGCCCTTCACGCGGCCAACTCGACTCCACCACCTCGACCAGTAACTTCGCAGATCCAGCACGTGGCGGACAGGAATCGGGACCCTAGAGAGAAGGAAGAACCATCAATGGAATCCGAGGCTGTGACAGAAGACGACCCGGCTCAGGTCCAAGAGGATTGGGATGCATGGCGAGCTGAGCGGGGCGCAATCATCCACACCGTGGATGTATCGTCAAGGTTCGCAAGACTTGCCGAACAAAATGTGCAAGGGTTCCGCCGCGGGATATATGCTGGAACCGTCGATTTCTATGTTGGCGCAGTGGAGGAATGGATCAATGAGCAGGCGACTCGTCGCGCAAAGGCGGCTGAGAAGGTCGAGCCTTTCTTGTCATGTGTCATATTGGACATGCCGTCTGCACATGAACGGATTCCCTTGGTGAAAGACAGTATTATGCGAGACGGAAAGCTCCTTGTCTTCGCCCCCAGCATCACACAAATTGGAGACTGTGTGCAAACAATCCATGACATGGGGCGGCCTTTCGTCCTCGACCGAGTAGTTGAACTTGGAATTGGCTTAACAAGTGGCCGGCAGTGGGATGTGCGTCTCGCAGTGAAGAAATCTACTTCTGATCCTTCAACTTGGGAATCAGGCGCCGAGAGCGAGGAAACAGCTCAAACTGGCGATGAAGCACCTGAAGACGAACCTATTGGTAGCCCGGAGACTCCAGTTCCAGGTCCTGGGGCCACTGGAAAGAACGCGGTGATGGTATGTCGACCAAAGGTAGGACTACGCACCATGGGAGGTGGGTTCGTCGGAGTCTGGCGACGTATTGAAGAACGTACCTGATTAGGATCTCTCTTCCTTTCATGTGCCATGTACTATACTCTGTATACTATGTAATTATATATACCAATTGATAGACAATTATTAGAGCAACCTCATCGATATAATGGTAATGCGAGGCTCATTGAATGCTTGCCGGTGAGCCTTGAGGTACCTAGTAGTTGATCGCCGTGCATATGGATACTCTATTAGGCCAATGATATACTTCAAGCTCTCCATCGAATAGATTTATCAATTACAATTGTTCAGCCGGGAATAGAGACAGGAGGGGACGACTCCGATCTGGCGGATGGAGATCGGATTTTGACCCGCGGGTGGCCAAGAAACTGGCGCTATCTGGAGCGATACGGATTTGCTCCCGTTTGGGTAAATGGCGAGTGATACCCTTATCTGGAGATTCCCGATGAAATATCGCACTGGCTCGATGAAGAAGGTAACTCCAGTAAGTCTGTCAGTCAGAAAGGGTTTAGACAGCATTAAGCTAACATGTACTTTGAGGTCTTCAAATCACTTGGGCGGTGAAAATTTTTGGCTTGTAGATAACACAGTATTGATTTTAAAAGAATCTGAAGATTGAAAGCAAATAAAGTATCGATGCAGCTAGACAAACCATCAAGATGACATATCGCTTGGTCTCCAGCTTAGCATCTACTCCGAGTCTTCTTGCGGCGTCTGGGTTATACCTGTATGCGGTACAGCTAAAAGCGTGCGCCCCTCCTTGTGCCAGTTGAAGATATTGAATGTATCGCTGCTGGTCTAGGGACAACGCATTCTCCGCTATCGTCTTTCTAAGTGCCGAGTAATGAGATTCTTCCAATGAAATCATTTTCTCCCTGACGATTTCTAAAGCAATTCCTTCAGAGATACCTTTGCTCTTCATCAAAAAAACAATTGCGCTTGGATATTCTCCTCCTCGGGTATCTTCTTTTTCTTTCCAGTAGCTGAAGTAGTCATTGCAGAGAGCAAAATACTCATCTAGCGGCTGGATAATATGGTGGATATTCTCCAATTCCTCGGAACCAATAGGTATATCCATTAAAATGCATATCATTAGACTCAGTATGCTAAGATCAAAGTCAGCTCTTATAACATAAGATTTTGAAGTTAGAGCCCGGTGGTATAACTCAAGACCACTTACTTTGATCCAACATGAGTTACTCGATACTTAAGATATTCTTCAAAGTTGAGAAAACTTGGAACGGCTTCGTGTTTTGTCATCAAGTACTCATGCACGGAGGAGAGCATTGAAATTGTCAAAGGATGCTCTATCCCAAGAATCTCCATAGCAAGTATATCAAACTGGTCGCTTTTTGCTTCGGCTTCTCGTGATTCAGGTGTTTCCAGGGCATCTGTCTCTTTTAGTTTATTGAAAATAAGCGTATAGATACTAGAGATATGAATCCTACCGTTTTGGATGAAAGCATAATCAAAAACTTCGGTTGCCAGGTCAATCCTTTCTGGGGGACATTCTGGCATAACGAGAGAGACAATATGTCCAAGAGCACATTCCGCTCCAGCCGAAGAGTGTACTTTGCTGTGGCGAACAAGCATCCACGAAGAACGAATCCGAGCACGTAGTCCTTGATAAAGATTTTCTTCGCGAATACGAATAGGGAGGGAGGTGAATGATGGTAAAGTTGAACTTATTGTGGGCTCCAAGGCCCTAGAGTATCGATGTTCAACGTTTTCAGCCATGGACCGTTCCCTCAATGGATGTGGGATGTACAATCGCCCAATTTTGCGTGGTTTAGAAATTCCAGTGATCGGAAGCTACATATATAGCGTAGGCGGTATTTTTGAAGAAAACTTGAGGATGACTTGAATATGTAGTTTGACTTCAGCACTTGAGGAGTCAACCGGGGGTCGCTCTAGCATGCCGAGAACTTGGTCACGGCGTCGAAAAAGCAATTATATACCAAACAACTCACGTAGAAACCTAAATAAGCAATTCAATCAATAGCTGTCTTTGGTGTAACAAAAATCTAAAAAGTGTAAATGAGCTGGAAATATAAACTTTACCCATTTGAGAATATAAGGAGCTATTTGATGTGATGAATTGTGTCTCGTGCATAAGAATCTTGGAAGCAAACATTCACTGGCAAACCTTGGGATAGTGTGACGAGTTCAAGTTTACCAGCGCGCCTACATATGCAAGTTCAAAGTCCTTGAAAGCGGAAGCTTCCGAACAAGCAAATCTATTTGATCCCCTTTTTCTTCATCCCAAAATCCAAATCTTTGAATTCAATTTACAAGTTGGAAAGCCTTCGTGTCAGTATACCAGCATGGCATCCAATATAGAAACAGTATTGTCTTCGCTCTCTCCTCGGATCATTCTTATAAACACACTTCGACAAGGTAGCATTCCAAATCATATCGGATTCATCATGGATGGGAATAGACGATGGGCCAAGAGTCAAGGAATTCCAATCGCAAAGGGGCACTACCTAGGATCGAGAGCGCTATTAAAGGTACTATTGCCTTTAACAATATCATCACATAACGAGTGATATTTACTAACATAACCAGACGGTTGAAAATTGTTTGTTGCTCGGCGTAAAAAGCATGACAATGTACGCATTTAGCCTCGAAAATTTCAATCGATCAAAAGACCAAGTCCAACAGCTTATGGCCCTGTTCAAATTTATGACTGTCGATTATTCTCTACCTGGGAATATAGCTGATAAATACAACATGGCGATCAGGGTGGTGGGCAATTTAGATCTACTGGATGATGACCTTCGAAAGACGATCGATTTGGCAAAAGAAAGGACCGGGAGCAATACGAATGCAGTCCTTACTATTTGTATTGCTTATACCTCTCGAGATGAAATTAGCCGGGCAATTAAAGAGACAGTGCATCGGTGCTGTGAGCAGGGACTGCCCGTTGCAAGTATTACGGATAGGTCTCTTACGGCGCAGATGGATGTTGCTGATGATATGCCCTTGGATATTATTGTTAGGACATCCCGAGTCCAGAGACTTAGTGACTTTCTTCTTTGGCAGTGTCATCGAGACACTGATATTCAAGTTGTGGATGTTCTTTGGCCGGATTTTGATTTATGGCAGCTTTTCTTGGTTATATTGCGTTGGCAGAGAAAGCAAGACGGATCTAGACTTGCCAGGGTCTCTGAATTTTCTCTTCCGTTTCTTTCGTGTATAGTTGTGACGGTTTTGCTGGGATTTTTGTGTATTTGAACGCTGTTAGATGGTGGTTTTTGATTTTTGTCGCCGGCCTTTCGGTGGTTAATGCCTGGACGATAAAGGGTTTGCCTCGATTACGATAATGGGTGATACATATACGTTATAATAACCTTTATGGAAAGAGTCAATAGACCAACTACGAGTGAAGCTACTATGAGAGGAGAAATAAACGTAGCCACGCTCTATTCACGAACGACACGGCGGAACAAAAGTACATAGATCGGAAAGTAACAACGCCTGTCGCCAGGATAAAACAAACAGCAACCTCGAGCCCTTTGGTTACCTGTTTCCACCTGAACACCAACCCCTCCTAAGGTCATGAAGCCGTTTCATATGACGTCAGAAATTAGGTGAGATGTGAAACCGAGAGATATCAGGAAACCCAAACGAGAAGAGCAAGGGATAAAGTAACACAGAGATATGCAGAAAGAAAAGCGAGATTGCCGCGCCGTATACTACTTTCCAGGAACTGTCGGAGACGAGCAAGTTCCAATCAAAGGAGATGCTCCGACAGCAAGATAGAGGAGGATAGAGGAGGTGGAGAGAGGAAGCCAGACGTAAAAAGAGAAAATAGAGGAAACGGTTCATAATCACGGAGAAAAGAAAAAAAAAGGAAAGAAAATGGTAGAAAAGAAAACGATCTGACGAGAAGAACAAAAAGACAGTAGGTAGTTAATTTACCCACTTGCCCAAAATATTCTGAGATAAACGCAAAAAAAAAGAGGAAAGAAAAATCGCATTAACCCAACCAACTGCACTAACACCCATCTCCAATGATTGATATGCTCCGGTCATCCCATCAGTGGCGCTGCGGTCCAAAATCCGCTTCCACAACCTTACCCTTCTTCCCTTTAACTGTAAACTCCGCAAACAATGCAACATGATCACTAGGAAAATGAAAGTTGGGGAATCCAGGCACACGTCGAAGATACTCCTTGTCCACTTCGCCGAGCAGAGCCGACACATGGAGTGTGTTGGATGAAAACCATACATAATCAAGGATATCACTGAAATCCGGTGTGTAGTTGGTAAAGCTCAGTTCCCCGATGGAGCCGTAGGCTGACTTAAGCTTGAACGGATGGGTCATGCCGACCTTGCTCAGATTACCATAAAGACGGTTCTCGAGCTCAGGGTGTGACTCATCAAGTCGTCCGGAGGAGATGAGATTATATGCCGCCGATCCAGGGTTTGAGTTAAAGTCACCACACATAAGCAAGGGAATTTGTTCACCACTGGAGTACTCCATAGATGGTGCAGGCTCTACAACTGGTGCGTTCTCGGATGCACTCTCCGCTTCAGAGAAACGGAAAGCAGTCTTATCCGTGCATGCAGGCCACTTGGCGTATTTGTCAGATAACTTGGTGATTTCCTCCATCAGAATGGCAGTTTGGATGAGCTTCACGTCCTTGAAGGCCGGGTCCCAGTAAAGATGAGCATTCACAACCATGAAACGAGCTCCAGTCTGACGGTTCTCAAGGAAAACAACAACCGCAATATGATCCTTTTGCCAAAGTCGATTGTAGATGTCATCTTGACCCTTGGCGTCAGGTCGGCGGACGGCAGTTTGTCCAAAGTTGATGACCTGCTTGTCCAAAAGAATGTACTTGCTTCCCTTAAAGAATGTGGCACAACCATCGATAACCTTGGCATCGTCTTCTTGCATGCCCATTGCACGACCGCGGGGCCAATACACACCCTTGTAGTCACTGTAGGCAAGTTGCTCTCGATAGAAATTGTTGTAGCTTCCTTGATCAACTTCCTGGAGACAGACAATATCCGAATTGTGAGATCGTAATTCATTAAGAATGAGTTCTCGGCGGAACTCCCAAGAGAGGATTCGTAAGGGGACGTAACCGTAGTGAGAGGCGGTGGCGGAGGAGTCGCAGAGTGTGTTGTATGAGAGGACGGTGATCTTTTCGGTGGGGCTATTGGTCGAGCTCGCGGTTTCATCGAGGATGACCCAGTCGCGATCAGGGGGAGGTAAATGGACTGCCAAAAATGAAAATTTGTTAGACTCAATTGTATGATTCAAAGAACCCATAATGACTTACCTGGCATCTCTTCCTTTAGATACTTGATCAGGGCTTTTGTCCCATCCTTCATGATTTGGGATTTGTAGGTTTCATTGAGAGGATTTCCTTCAATTCCCAGCGTCTCCAGTCGGTAGAGATAGCCCATCTCGTAAGGAAGGTTGCGAATGTGGTTATCGAATAGATAAAGCTTCTTGAGGCTAGTTAGCATCCCAATTTCCTCAGGAAGCTCCGTTAATTCATTGCCAGAAAGATCAAGATGAGTCAGTTTCCGTAGTTGGCCAATCTCGGAGGGAAGCGCCTTTAGCTTGTTATGATTGAGGTACAGTTTCTCAATGAACTTGTATCCAAATAGCGAGGCAGACATTGCACGTAAGCCCTGTCCACCAAAGTCTATCGCATGCCACCCTTGTCGCGTGGCTGGCTTCACAACTGTAGCTCCAGTTCGAGGGTCGATGGTAGTCTCGTTGGCTTCGGACTGGGACATGAGTTGAATTCCCTTGGACTGCTGCGCCATGATCCGGGCGTAGTAGTGAGGTGAGTTGGCCTGCCTAGATTCTGCATGAAGCTGAAGCTGCTGTTGCCATTCCTCATTTATGGAATCGTCCATATCGTCATCGACCATGGTTGGCGCTCCATGGGTTTGGTTGAAGTGGGGGTGTTGCTGAGTGAAGGGATGTGCGGTTTGGTGCGAGGTATGGATCTGTTGCTGTGTATGAACCTGACCTTGTGATTGAAATTTGTTCGTTGAGACCGACATGCCACCCACACTAGTGATCGCACCAAAGCGTTGGTGAGGCTGGTGTTGGTGGTGGGCCCCATTCATCATGAGGTGATGTTGACTTTGATACATGGCGAACGAGTTGAGAGCGGCTGATTGGTTGACAGGGGGTGATCGAGAGGGAGATGGAGTGTCGTGGTTGAGCTTCAGTCGAACTGGAGAATTGGTTCCGTTTTGAATGGGGTGTCGTTGAAGTGAATGATGCTGCGGTTGTGTTTGGAAAGTGAACGGCCCGGCCCCAGGCTGCTGGAACCTGTAGGTACCATCTGCCATTTAACGGGGCAGACGAGACCGTGGCGGATTTCCCTGACAAGTGACCGAACAGTGGGAAAGCGAAAGCGCCGTAAGAGTCGAGGTTGAGGAAGTGAGGTGAGGTGTAAAGAATCGGGCACGATCTCTTCTCTTCTTCAACATAGAGTCCTGTGACGGAACAACTCTGTCTAGAAGAGCTTAGTTACGTCCGTCAGCTCGTACCCTACGACAACCAGATGATTCACGGGGTTATGGTCCGAGTTGAGGTTCGAGTAATACCTTAAGGGCGGAGGGCGGGCGGAGTCACGAGTGCTTTGAGATTGTAATCTGGAAAATAGCGAAGAAAACTAGAAAGTAAGTGGAGTGCTCAATGGGGTCAGGGGCACATTGTTAGGGCCATTCGTACGATTGTATCTCATTTGATAGGTTGCAGGCAGGCTGGTCTTCACGTCGAGATGACAGTTCTTGGGCGGTTTGCATCGAAGGCGGGAGTTGTGTCACGTGATATCACCTGTCCGGATCCATCCAATGATGCCAAGAAACAGAACCGCCTTCCCATCTTGGCTCCGCTCACAGTGTACAGGAGTACAGGAGGCACATTTTACTTCTCTCCCGGTATGGCATGGCTCCATTGCTTCTATTTCTCACCTCCAATGAGTTCCCTTTGTCGTTATACCTCTATGCGCCGCAGGGAGAATCTGGGCGATTGGATAGCTTACAATTGGCTTAGCACAGAAGCAAATGTCTCTTTGCTTCGTTGAAATGTGCCAGCAAAGGCGACCGAGATATTGAGTTGTGTCGAGTTCATTCATCCTCATATTTTTTCTGAATATTGAGCTAAGCCATCAATATTTTCTCTCTATCATGATGGCAAAGAAGTCATCAGGTAGAAAAGTAAGCTCAAAGTATGTTGTGGGAGCAGATAATGCAAAATAATGAGGGCATGACCCTCGAACTGAATAACATTTTGATATGAAAGACGTCCTTGAAACTACGGCGTGTCTCTGAACGTATCCAAGGATAAGTAGTCTACAATTTAGCCGTGAGGGTGTTCTAGACAATAACCTTGCATATTTAATGAATAGTACTAGTAGTACTGCCAACTCCGCATCAATGGATACACACGTATATACATGTATAGTATATCAAAAAATCCCCTGTGGTATAGGTACATTACAGTCTCATTCGATTATAACATTTATGTAGATACTCTTATATGAATCATAGATATGCAAGTGACATAATTTTATCATTCAATGTTTCCGCCACTCGGATATTTGAATATACCCCTTAGGCATACCGACTTGAATGTGGATTGTTATCAACGCACTAGCCCACATATGGGGTAGTAGCTATTGACCATGCAATAACTTGAACACTAATGGCCCCATTACACCCAACTAAACTTGAATAAGTTATACGCTTCAACTATCGACGACTCTAACCCAATTTTAGGACTGAAGATGTGCGCATGATTATGGCCACCTGGTCATATGCCATGGAAAGCCCCACCCAGTGGCCACCGGTAACACCGACAGGGTTGCCTTGAGGCGTTGCGACCGAGCGTACCCAGCTGATACCGCCAGGCACATACTCTTTTTTGAATCATCTCGTATCTCTAGATATATCTGCAATATCTATGAGGCTCGTATTGCCCATCAAGGGTCCGAGTGTATTATAAACCCCCGGGGAAGAGAAAAATTTGATTGATCCACAGGGAGATGCGTCAGATGAACAAAGTACGAGGCCCACGCTGAGCTGTACGGTGTACGGTGGATCAATATGGATGCCCAAGTGGTGCGTGTATTGTTATTTAGGTATGGAGGAGACGACTGCCGTCCAGATGACCTCAGCTGTTGTATAGATCTATAACTAATAGTCATACTAGTTGTTTGGATCGAATCGACTAATCACGGTAGTACTGCGCATAATTTGCATTGTCAGCAATGCAAGGATAGAATTAAAGCCGGGAGAACAGCCATGGTGTTGGGACACTATCGAACATAGACTGCACTTAATTAATCTGGGCACGGTGCACCAAGCGGTATCAGATAGACAAGACGGAGACTAAGTCTCATCGATGCTTAGTCCGGGCCCGGGTACCTGAGAATTGGGTGGAAATGGCGGGCAGGGATCTCCGGTGGCCGTGTATTCACGAGGGGGCCGTGTTACTGCCCAGGTGTTTTTTGTTTTCCAACGGTATTAACAGGAAACAGTTCAAATGTTGGAAGTATGGAGAAGAAAGGAATGCGCTGGTACTTTAGGACATAGATGTGTCACAAAAGAGTCTGGCACATAGTCGATTCTGAATACGGTCCGTGAGTATTCTGATTTATCATTAATTATCTATCATTTAATGAGTACATATATGTAATGTTGTTAAATAATGGAAAAACCGAAACCATTCATACATACGTCGGAGGAACCTTGGAAGTATGGATGAACTAGTCCAAAAGTACGAACTTGCAGGGAACTAAGTCGCCCCCTGCACGTATCAACCGGCATTTCGGTCGGAGAAGGATTCACAGAGAATTCCGACGATCCAAATGCTTCGTAGTCAGTTGCCCCTCCAAGAGGGGTAAAGATCGAGTCCAGGACGAATGGAAACAAAGAATTCATTGAAATTGCGACATGGCAAATTCTATACTTCGATAGGCTGCACACGAGGCGTGAAGAAACTCCACTAGAACCGTGTAATATCGAGAAGGAAAGTCTAGGCTTCCCATCTAGCCATATTTGGATCCATCGGCTATTATTTTGCCGCGTTGAACTATATCACATAACCTTTTACCATTTCCGGCTTGTGCAAAAAGCCAAAGTTTGGGTGTGGCACGGTATAGTGGGCACTAAACGACCAGTGGCCCGTGACACTTTGATACTCATGATGTCAACGACGAACCTGGGGAGCCGAAATAGTGGGCATTGCATTGCTGTTAGCCTTGTTTTTCCCTTGTTCTCATGCGCCTAGCTGTTGCAGGATTCCCCCGTCGCTAGGCTGAACAGTACATGACAGGGACAATCATAATCTCGTGGGAAAAGTTTTCATACACTTAGTTTGCTCCTTCGAGCTTAGCCGAAACACCGGCAATGCTTGTCATTGGAGGGGGAATTGGAGGGGGATTGATTTTCTCCTATTTTTCTGGCTTGACCCCAATTGCCTCTTGGTCCCGAGACTACAGTTGCACTATTTGAATATTTGAACATTTTAGGATTTTAGGATTTAATACCCACTCCTCGTTACTGCCGTTATATCCATTTCAATTTCATTACGTGAAAAGACAAGACTAGCTCTTCTGGACTCAAGTGGGGAACTTTCACGGTTCTACTAATGCTACTTTTTGATCCAGGGGTCGCCGGGACCAGGCCGCGGCCTTGTCTCTCTTCTTTGTTCATTCCCTTCTTTTCCCCCCTCCCTCTTCCTTCATTCTCTCGAGTCTTTTCTTCTTTGTGTGTTTCTGGTCAGAAAGACCTTCAATCTACGCATGAATTGGGTTTAAATTCCCCGGATATTCATGACTCAGATACCTCGGGACACCAAAAGTACTAAGAATATTTTCCGACCCGCTTTGATCCCTCCGAACATTGAAATTTTTAAATCCTCTTTACTCTATCGACCTGACACCGGAGGATCTGACATCATCTTGGAGAGCTTTTTTCTTCTTTTCTCTTTCTGACTCAATACTTGAATACTCTATATACCTTCCGCTACGCCCCGGAAAAAAAGAAAGACACAGAAAACTATGTCTTGCAGCTCATGAATCCTCTCCAATTGTACACACCGAGAATGCGACCGACTGCAGAAACACATTAAAAGTCAACGGGGATATTCGATGAGAAGTGTGAATTGGATATGGACTTCAAGACGGCAGCTGCAGTGGTCTCATCCACCGCCGCCACGGCATCTGGATCCGACATTCATTCGAATTTGAGCTCGACATTTGCCGCCACTTCCTCTTCATCCTTGGGCTCACTAACAGACTACAACAACTTCCCATTGGCACGACGAGGCGATCGAACCTATATCCGCGACCCGGACAATGTCTACCCTCTGCCATGCGATTTGCCCGAAACCCACCGTCAGACCCTGCGTACAATGATGCTACTCCGCGTCTTAGGCGGCCCGTTTTGCAATCCCCACTTAGCCAATCGCCCACCGAAGCGCGTCCTGGATATAGCCTGCGGGTCCGGTCTATGGTCTGGTTTGTGCCACGAGTGGCTTACTCGCCGTGGCCAACCGAATGCCGCCTTTGTCGGGCTTGATTGTATCTCAATTGCTCCGGATCTGCGCAAACAAGGAATGAACTGGCAGTTTAAGCGACATGACCTACGCAAGCCCCGCCTTCCATTTCCGGACGACTATTTCGACTTTGTATTCATTAAAGATGCCGGCATGTGCCCTTCCAGCCCGGCACAATTAGCTTCCGGTCTGAGCGAGCCTCTCCGGGTTTTGAAATCAGGAGGAATCTTAGAAGTCTGGGACTCGGACTGGGTGTTTCGATCGCTGCTACCCAACCCGGCACCGGCTCGGAAAGCCTTTACGAAAGAACAAGAAGTTGCTGAAGCAACCTCTACCTATACATATTCATCGGCCACGCCTTTCACGAGTGCACAGAACAAATATATTGTCGACTATAACTCATGGGTCGAAAAAGCTTTTGACCAGCGCAAGCTCACAACCATTCCATGCGCTACTATCGGTCTGTCGTTCAACTCGGAGGTCGATTTACTAGAGAACGTGGACAGCCGCCGAATAGCAATCCCACTGGGTGATTCGCGCTGGGAGCGAGAGGGTCAAAGAAAACACTCTAAGGGTCGACCACGCAAGCCATTGACACCTGATCAAATAGCCATTCGTCGAACGGCACTTCTCACAACGATCCAGATGATCGAGGGATTGGAGCCCTTACTCATGGAGGCTAGTGGGAAAAGCCGTGATGAGTGGGACCGATGGTGGGCTGCGATGACCACGGACCTTTTTCATAAGAATGGCCTCTTCAATGGCGAGTGTCTCGAAGTGAGTGCTTGGTGGGGACGAAAGAAATGATCCCCAAACCTCATTCCCATCCACGAGTCAAATTCCGGTGTTTCGGTTGGCGCAAAACGAATGAATCATTGAGTGCGCTTCGAATTGATGATACCCCCTCACATTTGTGATTTTCTCTTTTTTAAATTCCTCTTCTTTTTCTGTTTATGTCTTCAAACCCTCTCTTTTTTTCTCCTTTTCCAAGCCTGCATTTTACCTGGCCATTCTTGTTTGTGAAGTATTCTTGGAAGCTCTTGGTTTATAAGCCCAAGTAAGGAGATCAAGCACTCTCATATCTTTGTTTCAGCGTCCGGTACCGCTTCAAATAATACCTGGAGATTGTGATTTTGTCAGCGTCTGTCAACGATGGAATATATGCCGAGGGGAGAGCAAGCTGAGCTCGCATGATGAGACGATGTATGACAAAAAAAAGCGGAAAATCAGAGACTAGACGTCTCTAATCAATGCCCTTTGTTGGGAGAAGCATGTCCTGTATAGAAAACGACAGAATGATATGGGAAATATCCTTTCAATTTCAGAATGATAAAAAAGAACACCGGTAATATCATACTGGGCAAAATATAAAATTAACAAGGGGGCAGCGGTCTTACAATGCTTCAACTTCTGTAAAAAGAAATCAAAATTAGCTACTTGGCAACCATGACAGCGTGTCGGCGAGATGCGATAAACCAACCTTTCTTCACAAATTCAGCCCTGGCAATCCCCTTCCGGATCTGCTCTTCATCCCGGAGATGAGTCTGGCCTATGAACGCACGATGCAAGCGATCTCTGAAGTATGTGTACCCCAAGGGGTACTCGCGCCCTAACCAAAGAAGCTCTTCAATTCGAGGATGTTAGGTGAGCCTCTACCGCGAAATAGCTTTTCAACAAACAAGCATACCTTTGTAAACGGTAATAACTTGCCGGCGAAGTTCGGGATTGACCATGATTAGTGTTTCTCTGAGGGTCTTGAGCCTCGTGGTGCCTAGCAGGGCTCTGTTGCTGTCCCGAGGTTGTTGCTGAATGCGAGTTTCTAGAGAGGTCAGAGGTCCACGGGTCGGAGAAAGCTTCGGCGGTTATCGGTGACGTCGGGCAGTGCGGAGAGCTGTTATCGTAAGACCGCGGTAAGGCGCATTACCTCAAAAACACGTCTTGAGATCTCTAAGGATTACAGTAGTGAAAAATGTGAAAAAATTACTACCCATTTTATGTATGATATATTTATGAATCACACAATAGGACTTTCCTTTTTACCATCTTCAGTCGGGGACTGTAGAGCATGCGGGGATCTAGCCGAGCCATGGGCCCAAGCTTCGGGATCTGATAATCGCACCTGGGCATATCGCGGGATCGCATTCCTCCCCTTTACGCTTCACCAAATCCCAAAAATGATACCCCGATCGGCATTCACGAGACAATTACCTCGAGCCGTTTCTAGCCGTTCATCACTCGTCGCATTTTCTTCCACTGCATCGGTACAGAATGCTTCCTCACCCGATTCGCAGGACGCACCCGCACGCCCTCACACAATCGACCCACGATGGCTTACTATGATGAAGAGACGAATTGGAAAGTGCATGATGTTTGGTCTCAGATCAAACCAAGTTGAAGAGGGTGGCAAGGTTCTCCAGCAGTTAGCGAAGGACTGGCGGGGACTTATTGCAGGGAGCGAGGGCTTTTTGATTGATGAGAGGCGGCGGGGCTTGTATCAGCATAATGTGGTTTGGGGCGAACAGGTATGGCTTTTAAACTTCCCTGGGGGCTTATATATATCGAAGAGCATAATTAGCTGATCATTTGCTGCTATTGCTGGCTGTTTAGGATGTAATGGTAAGATTATTCCACGCGTACAAACTACCTCGGTTGGCGTCGACATTGATGAATACTAACATACAATATAGGGTACGACTCCCAGAATCGACATTCGATCAGATAAGCCGGTCCAGAACTGGAATCTATAATACTAATACTGTTTAATTTCCAGGACACGTCAACAATGTCACCTATGTCAGATACGCCGAGACCGCCCGAGTAAACTGGACACGAAACATCGGCCTTCATATCGATCCCGCAAATAAGACGCAGTGGCTTAATCTAGTCAGCTCCAGAGGCATTGGGTTAATTCTACGAAGTATCAAAGTTGATTACAAGTTTGTATGTCGTTTCTAGACCAATCTCCCTTAATGATCCACTTGAATAACATATTTCAAATTACTACAGCCTATGAAATCGCCAGACAAGATCACGGTGTATCAGAAGCTCGTCCCAGACCCATCAGCGTCACTCTCATCGCAATCTGCCTTTCAGCTTCAGGTCATGATTCTTTCGGAAGCCCGCCAACGGCCTGCAGCTCGGTGTCATGAGGATATTGTCATCTACGACTACAAAAAGAACCAAAAGACCCCGGAGACACCGCCATTTATCTATGAACAGTTTAAGAGTATTTGGGAACTTCAAGAGAATGCCAAAAAATATTGGCAGGATAGAATTCTAGATATTGAGAATCGGGTCCGAACTCTCGAGGTTGAGAGCTGGGACCGGGCTGATGCGGTTGAGGATACAGGATCTGCATAGACTTGGAGAACTGATTTTAGAGTCCCTATTGAAGAATTAAAAGCACGTCATTCCCTAATTACCTTTGGAGAGGACATATTCTCAATGCACCTGGAAATTTACCACTAGATCGAAGCATACTTCAATGCAGTAATAAGAAGAGCTCAAGTCGCATTCATACTGATTGCTTTGTGATCTGGGCGTGAAAAGAGATTTCTCCTCGCAAAATTCCACATGCTCGCATGGATCAGTCGGCCGGTATAGTAACGGTCGTAAATAAGCCTTCTGTTTCTGCACCCCACGATTGTTCCCGCTCAAACCCAATTGAATCGGCTCTACAACTCCACCGAGCTACCCCACCAACCCAAGTCGCCTACATGGGCCGGCATTTACCTCGGAAGGACAAGCACGTTATGCATGAGCCGTTCATCACTGAACTGCCCCTCCTCTACACATCCAGAACAGATGGATATAAAAATCATATTCTCAAAATTCCAACAATAAATACTTGATATTCAATAAAAGTCCGCTATCGGACACAAACAATATGTCTCAATCTATCACTGGCACATCGCCTTCAGGCGTAACACGGACCGAACATTTAGCAACCTGGTCTGCCAAGCTACAGTTCCAAGATATTCCTCAAGATGTCGTCCAAAAAACCAAAGATTTTTTCTTAGATTGGTTGGGCTGTGCTATTGCCGGTCGACATCACCCCGCTGTCGCCGCCATGGCTCAATTCGCAAAGCAGATGGGGCCTTCGAACGGAAAAAGTGAGATGATCGACGGATCATTGAACTTCTCAACAAGTCCAGCATTCGCCAGTTTAGTCAACGGTGCATCTTCCCATGTCGTTGAGCAAGATGACCTACATAATCGAAGTATTATGCATCCCGTAAGTGGCAACCCACGACAAGGAAAAAGACATGACTAAAATGTTTTCAGGCTACTGTCATCTATCCTGCAGCCCTAGCCGTTGCTCAAGAAGTGGGAGCCACAGGTGAAGAATTTATCGCAGCCTGTGTTGTTGGTTATGAAGTTGGCTGTCGGGTCGGGGAGTACCTAGGCAAAAGCCACTATGAGGTATGTTTTACATAGATGAAGCACTCACCTTGTTTCAGAAGCGCCTGTGCTCATATCGCTCAGCGTTTTCATTCAACAGCAACAGGAGGTGTCATTGGAGTTGCAGCCGCCATCGCTCATATCTTAAAGCTCGACGCAACAAAGACATTATCCGCAATTGGAACAGCCGGCACACAAGCAGCAGGTCTATGGCAGTTCCTACTCGATGCCACTCATTCAAAACAAGTACATACAGGTAAAGCTTGTTTCGATGGTATTTTTGCCGCCTACACAGCTCGTGACGGCCTTCTTGGCCCTCGAGATATCCTCGAAGGACCACGAGCAATGGGGATTGCACTAGTGCCGGGTGACACAAAGCCCGAGGCAATTGACCAAAACCTCGGCTCGGACTGGGCTATTGTCAGTTCTAGTTTCAAGTGGCATGCCTCATGTCGGCATACTCATCCCAGTGTGGATGCACTTCTCAGCCTTATGAAGAAGAATGATGTTCATTTCGATGATGTCGACTCTATTGTTACGCGTACTTACCAGGCTGCTCTCAATGTACTTGGTTTAAGTGGTGATGGTGAGACGGTGCATCAGAGCAAGTTCTCGATGGGCTTTGTTCTTGCTATTGCTGCTAAGAAGGGTCAGGCTATGATTACCGATTTTACGGAGGATGACTTGAAAGATTCGTCATTGCGAGAGTTCCAGAAACGTGTGTCTATGGAGCTGGATGAGGAAATTGATAGCAAGTTTCCCGAGAAGTGGCAGGGAACTGTGATTGTTACATGCAAATCTGGGAAGATGTTTACAGAGTCGGTTGAATTTGCAAAGGGAGATCCCGAGCTTCCATTGACCAAGTACGTTTTTCTTCCATTTAATATTCTTGGTTTCGCTTTGATTGGGGTTCTAACAAGTGTTTTAGGGGTGAAATTGAGAGAAAAGCCCGGGCCCTTGCTACGTATGGTGGTTTCACGGATACCACGCGAGTTAACCAGTTGATTGAAAGATCTTGGAATCTGGAGCGCGAAGCAAACCTTAATGGGTTTACTTTTTGAAAGCCGCACATGTGGATCTTCGTGCTTAAAGAGCTTTTTGTATCCATTATAGTCAAATATAAGCTTTTTTTCTATTCGCTTGGCAAGTTTAGATACATGAAGCTTATCTGTTTTTATGGATCCGACGACTTAGCACAAGACTACAAAACCTCTATTAACCCATGATCTGTTTCAAAATCACAAATCTGACACGGCGGGGGGCAGGGTGGTGGCCAGATGAGTAGGGTATAAATTGAAGAAGATTACTTTGTTTATTCCTTGAGTTTCTCAAGCACACTTCTTATCTGAATATTCCCGCTGAAAAAATACATTTTCTTCATCCAGAAGACTCGGATTTTCAGTGCAGAACGATCTTCGAAGTTTTGTGGAAACTTCGCAGTCCTTGAGCATATCGAGCATTCGCGAGTACCGCCGAGCTGTACAGCAATGGAACGTTTTCGGAATACCGTGGATCTATTCAGAAATGCTCTATAACAGTCTCTCCTTCACATGTAACTGATGTCTACCACTAGGTTGGCTGTGACTACCACGCGTTCGGTTATATTCGACGAGACATCAAGCTGTGAAGGCTGGTGGGAACAGAGCAGCCAATTACGAACAGAGAGAAATAGCACGGATGAAATGATGGATAGTCGCGAGGACGGCAATGAAGAGGAAGAAAAAGGAGATGAATGGTACGAAGACGGCTACGATTACGACGATGTCGACGAAGAGGATGTCACCGAGGATGAAGAGGATGGGGATGAAGATGTAGTCGACGGGGAAGATGGCGATCTTGACTCTGATGAAACAGACTAGGCTAAGCTATTTGTATGCGACTGTTGATGCTATCCTAGATCATTGGGATGTACGAGTGGCTTTTTGGGATAGAATACCTGGGTATGCGTCGTGGAGTTGCAGCGACTGATAGCTCCAGTATTAGATGAATGTACTATAGTAGTAGTTGAAAGCGCACGGAATGCGCCAGGCTATCTTCGATTTTATGTTTACTTTTCTCTAATCTCAAGGCTGTCAACTTCGTTCCTTTGAAAGTGAGATGTTGCACTGGATAGTACATACACCACCTGGGCAGCTGACGTACGCACTGTAGCAGTCAACAGGGGCCCAGGTAGCCAAGGGGCACCCTTGAAACAAGACGAACTGACATTTTAACTCACTATCTCTAAAGATCAATGTGGTGGACAGATCCCGGGACGCTAGGAGAGATCTCAGTCCGGCTCGATTCACACCGCCAGGACCCCATCAAGTAAATAATTGAGAGATAGTTCCTCTGTGCATTGGAATGTGGCGTAAAGACTATCGTGCAGCAAATATTTGGTGTTCAATTTGTCATTGTTGTACGAAGATATCACCATTCAAAGTAATTACGTGAGGGTGGCGCTATGTATTCCATACAATAATACACCTATTTAGCTTAGAAAATATCAACTTCGGAGTTGATACCGAACATAGGCGGAGTGGAGGGGGGGCTCGGACGACCAGGCCCAGTAGGAAGATCGCCGCAACTTTGTCGAACCGTTTTTTCAACTTATCGGACCCAAGCCAGAATCCGGCACCCTGATTCGGCTCAAAAAGGGGAGCGTAAAGTCAAATCGGGTAAGTGGCGCGATGGATCTTAACTTATTTTTCATTTTGGCAGAAGATGTCATTGTAATATAGGCATTGTAGGTGAAACTACGTAACTGAAGATAATTTACCTTTACGACAGTTGAAGGTGATCGACCTTGACAAGCCCCAGGGTGGTTAAATCCCACCGCATGCAAAGCTCCAGACACCCAAAGAAGTGGACGGACAAGCCATGTCCAAGACCAGCTGCGTTGTCGATCTATGCCTAATTAGTGGATGATCTACGAGCGCAACCTTGATGCCAAGACGCAAATCTGTCTTTGGGAGGGGTGAGAGTGACTGGGAGAGGCTTGGGATAAGATTTACACCACTTGTCACTCCCCTCGTGCCATGATCGACTTGGGAAACTCGCGTGTCCGATCGGTGTCGTCCACAAAATCCTTTGCAGACTCCACATTGTAATTTCTTGCACATCAGGGATCGCGGAGTGGTCATTGCTTAGGCGGAGCCTCTCCAAAACAGATAGCCGAGCATGTGAAGACCCTGGCCGAGAAAACAATAAAACAAGTGGCTAGGAGTAAGCACACGCTAAGATGTAATTAGCTTGGTATGAGGCCACCCGGCAGTCTAGCTCTGTTTGGGGGTCGACGGGAAGTCTGCTCATCCGTTAGGGCATCCTCTTCAATGATTAGCCAGTCATTCTGAAGGGACTCGTGTCGACATGCATAAAGCCCCCAGGTCTACTGCAAGGATGACCCCGCAGCACACACGGCTTAGCGAACGGTTAGTCGGTAGTCCCATTGAAAACGGGCATCATAGGTGCCAAATAGAATTCGATACCTCTTTTTTGAGTCTGCCCGTGCACAAGAAACGACATGTTGTGTTGTTCCGGGTCGGTTCATTCGGGTATTTGCTGCCTCTTTCATACGGGATTCGTGGGGGCGTTGCATTAGTGTCATATAATATTCGCAAAGATAGAGAGACCTGATCGAGTGAAAAGAGTCTGGCTTTCAATAAAGGCCGTAGACCGTGCCATCTGGGACTTTGCTCTCGTTCTAGCCAGTTGAAAATAAGTTGATGTGTTGCTATCCGAACCCGAAACGCATGCCTAATGTAGGTGGTAGTTGCATGGGAAACGAAGGGTCAGAACGGTAAGAGTTGGTTATCCGGCGAAAACTCGGGAACTTTTAGCTCAATGTGTGTATTTAATTGTCGATAATCTCATCGAAACAATGAATTGAAGTCCTTCAGGGCTTACAGGTCTTGAGACAAGGTTGTGTTTCTAAGTATAAAATGAGAAAGTAAAAGCGGCAGGTACCGCCTACCCGATCCTTCATGATCGACACCCTTTTTTTCTTACCATACGTTACCACTTTTCGGTCCACTCGTTTCTTTCTCTTGCTCCAAACCTCATACACTTTTCCTTTCTCTCCTCGTACTACTTTCCTTCTTTTTTCCCTTCTACCACAACCCACCCCACACTTTGCATTCTCCCTTCATCTAATTCACATTTTCACTAAACGCCCTGGGAGAGCGTGTTTCTTTTTCCTTTCTATTCCGCCCCCCTCCCTCTTCCAGCCTGGTCCCAGTCCTTGGCCTTGTCCCGCCAAGCTGACTCGGACCTGGGTTTCGGACTCCCCTCGTCCATGCCACGCTCATCTGCTGCGGGTAGGAAGAACCAGAACAATCGACAGGAGAATGGCCCCGTCGGTCCTGGCAAGAAAGTAATCAAGCAGAAATCAAGCAGCCATCTCAACGGCTCGCCCCCCAACGGCTCCGTTCCTGCGGGTACCGCCGCGCCTGTCGACCTGTCCGCTCATCGTTCTACGAGTGATACTGCAGTCACCTCTCCAGTTGTCGCCAAAGGTACGGATGGGTCGAAGGCTGATGGCAATGGCCGTGGGATGGCGAATGGACACAACGGCAAGGCTGTGGACATGGCATGTGGCCAGGTGAACGGTGTTGTGCCGCATAATGGTGGCATGGCAGGTGTAGCCTCTCGCAATGGCACTGCCAAACGCTCGGGGTCGAATGCTTCAATCAACCCGCTTCAACTCGCGTCCACCATCTTGAAGTCGTGTCCTATGTACGACACTATCGCCATCTTAATTTTTCTGCTACAACTCCCACCTATGGTGCTTACTCTTGTCCAATTCTTGTTCGCGTCCTTAACTTTCATGCCTCCCAGTGGTGCCGTAGCTGGGTCTCTTTCCGCCAATTTTGATATTTTCCAGGGACCCGCCGGTACACCTTCGTTAGGGACGATGATGGCCATGGACACGTTCTGTCTTCTTGTCTGGGGCCTCTTCATGTGGACGTGGGCGCAAAACTTTGCAATCGATCTCGCTCATGTTCAAGTCGCCATCACTCTTGGTGGTGGAGGTTCCGGAAAGAATGGCGGAGTCAATGGTCTCTGTGTTGGAATTGTTCTGCTTCTTCATATCGTTCGCAGTAAAGGTATCCAGGATTTCGTTCTAGGACATCTCGTTTCCGCCAAACTTGTCAGCCCCGACATTCTTTCCCAGTTTTCGAATCTTCTACCCGCCGAGTTCCGACGCACCGAGGCATCCACATCTCCATCGTGGCTGAGGAGTCTCCTCGCCGTACATATATTAGCACAAGCGGGAACAGCAATGGCACGACGCTCGATGGCAAAGAACAGGGCCCCTCCGCCATCGCGGAGTGGGAAACGTGGGGATACGGAAGCTTCGGCGGGCTCTCAGAATCAGCCTGATTCTGCACTCGAGTCTGCAGCTAGTCTTTCTTCATCTCTCATGGGTCCCGATGGCCAATTTCTCAAGGATGGCAAGGATCGGCTTACTTCAGCCAAAAAACGCAGGAGGCAAGCTAATCAAGTCCGAAGTCGTCAGCCATTTTGGGCCGCTCTGGCCAGTACCAAAGTCACCGTTATGCGAGAATATGAGCATTCACGAGCGTCTTCAAAAACCACTCGTGGTCTTACAATGACTGAGGAGGATCTTCAAGGCGTTTCCCTTGATGATGGATTGGTGTGGGTTACAGATGTAGATAGTTCTTCGATCAAGTTTGCCGCCGGTGATCTCAACGATGATTCACTGGGCTCAGGCTCTTATGAAGCCGGCCGCTTGGAAGGCGATATGGAGCCGTTTTATGTTTACGTCAACGGAGCTCTTTGGGCCACCGCGACTATTCTTCGGGTGTCGGATTCGTCAAAGGGGCCAAGTATGGTTCAATGGCGGGGTGAGATCTCTGGACTTGCCCCCAATTGTGCTTACACTTGCTCCTTTATGCGAAGCGATACCGATGAGGAAATTTGCGCTATGAGTGTCAAGACACCTGCGACAGCCGACACGGAACAAGGTAGGTTTCCTAATCACGCCAGCAGGCTGCTTGAATGCATATGTCTTACCAATTAATAGCTGTTTCTGTGGTCTCGACACCGTCGCATCCGCCTTACAGACCTTCGTCGCCTACTACGACGCTGAAGAATTCCATAGTCAACGCCGAGTCCAAACTGAACGATAAACGCTACCGATTGAAAAAGACAAAGAACGACCATAAGCTTCTCATATCGAAGGTTCGGAGGGAAGTGGATAATTATAACAACCGTCTACAAAGCGGAACCGACGAGAACAAACAAAAGCAACGTTCACTGCAACTGGAACGCAATATTCGACAAACGGAGGAGGCGACCGCAGCACTGGAGCAGCAACTAGACACCATGGAGAATGTTCCAGAGGAAGAAGTCGAGCGGTGGAATGCTCATAAGGCCGACTTTGATCGAGAGTTGGAGCGCTTTAACTTGGCGAAGGAGGAGCTTCAAGAGGCCCGCCTTGCCGCAGCCCAACAGGCTTCAGCAGTGGAACAGGAATTGAACATGGTTATTCAAAAACGCGAGAGATTGCAGGGCCGCCGAACCCGTGTCAACGAGCAGTATGATCGCATAATCTCGGCTAATGCCCAAGGACTGAACGAACGAGAGCGCCGCGCAGCCGAACAGTTCGCTCGAGAACAAGATCAATCCAAGATGGAAGCCAACTTCCATGAACAATTCGCAAGCATTAGCCAGTCTGTGCAAGACTTTCAACTGCGCACCAGTCAACTTTGGCAACAAGCATCTGCGATTGAGCAATCGATCCAACAGCAGCAACAGCAAATGCTTCTGGATTCTGGTCCTCTTACACCGGAGGGAAACCTTCCCGGTACCAATCCTCTGCCTGAGACATCTACTGCGCCTACCCACAGTCGTTCCTTGTTGGCACTCAGCTTCCCACCGGCAAGGTCTAGCCCTCTGCATATATCGTCTTCCCCAGAACATGCTACCTCTTCGCATCCAGCCAGCCCTGTACAGGACGCATTCACGTCTCAGTTCCCGTCCTCCCCGTTCGGCAATGGAAACTCTTACTTTGTATCTGACACAAATCCCCGGGACCGTTCGTTTTCCAACCGCTCCGCCCACAGCAGCCTATACGGCTCGGAATTCTTCGAGCCCAATCGTATGCCGCTCCAAGTTGATCTTTCGGACCTGCTTTCGGAAAAGCCGCGTTCTGGATCAGATTCCAACGGTTTTCTTTTTCAGAATGGCCGTCCGATGCTGAGTCCTTTTCAACGAGCAACAAGTCGCGGTAGCGGGGCTGGCAGTGGCAGTGGGAGCGGCGGCAGCGGAAGTGGCAGTGGTAGTGGCAGTCCAAAGTCTGCACGCGATTGAAAAGGTGTTATCGAGTATTCAACACATGGATTCCCTGCGTGCTGACAGGTTCTGGTTGTACGCGAGATATCCATTCTTTCTCGTTGAGCCTTTGATTTCTCGTTTCTATTGAATGCTTCGCCCAGCAAGTTGATTGGTGTGCTTTCAGTTGCATCTGGAGGTTATCGTCGCCTTGGTATTTGCGGTCTGGTCCTGCTATATATCTATTTGTACTTCTCATTGGATGGTGTTGTGAAGGTCTAGGTGTCCTTGACCATTGCCTCGCTTCTGTCTCGCAGTGAGATTGTACAGTATTTCTCAGACTCGGTTGAAGTGAGATAGATCACAGTTCTGTTCCTAAGACTTAAAAGCCTGTTCTACATATCTTGACACTGGTTCATACAGTACATTTATGTTCTAAAAGTTTTCACTCCTTTATAGATCCATCCATACGTAACCTTGCAGTAAATATGATTATATTTCTAGACCTTCGAACTCCGAGTCCTCAGTACCACGGCTTGGCACTCGAGGTATCTCCCGTCTCCCGCTCTCTTGGCCTTGAAACTTGAGATCTTGGCTTCATGGAGATTCCCTCGGAATACCAGGATCTCTCCAACAATACACCAGGGTGCATAAATTTCAGGGAACATAAGTGATACCCATAGTGTGAAAGTTTGGTGCCCAGGTGATTACACTATATGTGGTCAAGCCTTACTATTAACAACTTCTCTTGTAAATGTGGTCGTAACTTGAGATTGTATATTGTAAACAAAGTGCGGTTCCAGCCTGATCAGGCTGGTAATGGTATATTACTCTAATGTACAGGGTCCCAAACACCCCTCTATAGTGTTCGTATATCCTCTAAACAGCTCCTAATTTCTTCAAATATCCTTTCCCATCTTCCAAAATTTAGTATTTGCATATGTCAAACACAGGCCATCCGTATACTTCTCATCAGCATTCGAGCCCTCAATTGCCCGAACAACAGTCCCCAATATAATCGAGTGATCATGCACATCCACTTTACTCGGATGGAGAATACATTCCAAGATAAACGGGAAATCAGCTTGCGAATTTTCCTCTGAAGTGTTCCGCCTTCTTAAGATGGGAAGTGGTCTCTCGTCAGCTGCCACGCTCGTATCCGAATCTTGAGCCCGCACCGCATCTGCAGCTGCAGAAACATCCAAAGTCCCAAACTGAAAGTCGCCATGCCCACTTAGTATACTTGCGAGCGTAGTGTTTCCCTTAGAGAAGTCTCGGGCTAGAGTTGCGGTTGCAGATCCGGGCGCGAGTAAATGGACTAGGAATCGGCGCGAGGCGAGCAGAGCGTTCAGTGTTTCGGATGGCCTGCGTACGTTGAATGAGATGACTGGGTGCGGTGTGAGTGTCACGGTATTGAAGGAGGAGACTGTCATGCCGCGAAATGATGATGTATCTTGGGGACCGGTCGGATCTGTAGATGTGATAATGGCGACTGGGTAAGGGACTTGGCGCATGAGAAGGCGGACGTGCTCGGATATTGAGGATGCAGGGGAAGCTTTTGATTGTGTATTTGGGGCCGGAGACTCGGATGATTCGTTTTTAGGCGTTACTTGGGCATCTTGGGCCTTGGATGCTGCATTGCTGCTGCTTTGTCGGGAGAATTGTAGATGACTGTGGCGGCGAAGTGGTCGTGCCGAAGGTGTTTGGGATTGAACGACAGAGAGAGATAATGAGGTCTGATTTATTTGTTTGCTGGCATGGAATGGATCTAAATATGTATTAGATTATTGCTAACTCCCACATGGTCTCTGGTAAACACGCTGCGAAACTCACCTCCGAAGGCTCTCCGGGCCGCAAGTCGCGGGACTGAGAGCTTCATGGTGCCGGCTTAAAAGGATCAAAAACGCTGTCGCGCGCTTGAAGATCACTCAAAATTAGTAGCCATAGGAAAACACCGTCCGTTGCATTTATTATTTAGGTCGAAACTATCAATCAATTGAAGTCCAAAGACGAGTAAGTCCCTCTTGCCGCAAAAAACCGAGACGGATGCTTACATAACACGATAATTTCTCTTCAAATGTTTCCGCAACGAAATGTGTATAGCATCAAGTCCACCTTTCCCCCCCTGAATTGCATCCAGCCCACGCCCAATACTTTACGCGCATTGGATCTCAAAAACCTACACCTAAGCTTCAATTCTCTTGATCATCGTCGCTGCATAGCAGCACCTTCCACCTTGCACAATGTCCATGCACACATCTCTCCGCCGCGCCGCGGCCACATTACCCAGCTCAACAAGAAGCATCCTCCCCTCCAGCCAAATCATTACCGCCCAATCCAAGAGCACATCTTTTACCTGTTCGCAATGCCGCCATGCGACCCTTCTCCGCCGCCCTAAGCGGCCCTACACCTTCACCCAGCTCGTCACCCTCTCCGACGGCAGCTCCTTCACGCACCGCACCAGCTCTCCTACTCCTGTCTACCGCTCCACCCGTGACACTCGGAACTCGCTTCTATGGAACCCCACTAGCAGCAAGCTGATGAATGTGGAGGACGATGAGGCCGGTCGATTGGCTGCTTTCCGTGCGCGATTCGGTCGTAGCTTCGATGCCAACGCCCCCGCTGCGGAGGCTGATGCTACTGCTAAGAAGGAGAAGGAGGAAGAAATCAAGGCGCAGCAGGCTGCCGAGCAAGAGGAAGAGGATAACCTGTTGGATCTTATCAGTTCCTTTGGACAACAGGAGGCGCCACCTCCGGAGAAGAAGAAGAAGTGGTAATCTTGCAGAGAGGGATTTCCACTACGAAATATGGAAATCAGGGAAAGGATTGGGTGAGAACTAAAGAATTGTAAGACCATTGGTCAGGAGTTGGGATTTTTATTCTTGTGTCATCTCTTTTGTACATTATAACATATTTCCTATATTTTTCTCTTTGCATCAACACCCATATATTTGTTATTCTGTCTGCATTGATGGTAGTATATCCAATATGTCTAGATTTAAAGACTCGGACTGAAGCCCTCTACTGCTACATCCCAATTCTCTGGGAAGTGTGGGCCTTCATCGCCGTCCCAACCGCCCGCCATCATAGCAGCAGCAAGTAACAAGCCACCAGCATCGGGCATATAAGGAGTTGGGACTCGACTTCCTCCTTCAGCATATCCCGCATCATCAAAGACATAGTATTCATCAAGAAGATATGCAACGGCTTGGTCCACATCACCAAGTCGCAGGCTGTTCATAGCCAACATACTAAAGTCCCATCCATAAGAGTCCCCAAAGTCCCAAAGTTCCCTGATTAGCGCAGCAGTATGGCGCATACTAGTGATATTCAATGGTGTCCCTGTAAGTGGTGGTGGAAGTAGACCATAAACTCCAGCCATGGCGGGATGATCTTGTACAGTGGTAGTATTCGGCTGCCACATGTCGGGAATGCCCTCGTACACAGCATACGCGTTATCAATAATGGGCAATGGCGCGAGATTATCCCGCACGGTAGTCCATGCACCGGGAATCGCGATGCCTTGGCGTTCCTTCCACTGAATAGCGATATCGAGACCGAAGCGCCAGTAAGCAAGCTCAAATGTCGGATTGGTAGTGACGTTTGGGCTTGTATTCTCGCTGACCGGGTACATTGGAGGCCCTAGATCATATACCTTAGTGGACTGGTTCCACCAAGCATAAGATGCCATAAAGTCGGCCGTTGCTGTTATAACCTCGTCCCATTCTTCCAGGGTATCGTGATTTGGGAACTCTCGGTAGAAGTACTCGGCGAAATGCATCACATGGGGTTGTTGCCAGATGAGCAGTGCGTTTATTTCACCCGGGGCACTGCGGCCTGTTGGATCTGTCATCTTTCCCCATCTTGCACCCGCATATCCCTGTTGAGTGGCTCTATCAATGCTGGATTGAAGGAATCTTTTGTATGTGCTGGGGGCACTTCGAGATAAGAGATCGTAATGTCCCCATCGGGCAAACTGCAAGGAATGCCAGAGAAACATTTCAAGCTATCAAAGTTAGAATCATTTTCAGAGTTTCAGACTTTTGGAATGTGCTCACATGGAATTTCCCATACCATCCGTTATTCACGAGTCCTAATTGCTTTTGATTAATAACTCAGAAGAAACAACACGAGCCGTAGAGGGGTCATACCAGATTCTAAAGAGAAAAGAAAAAGTCAATCCAAAGCTTAATATATGTATACGTTCATAACATAAAAAGGAACATACCCTGGGGAGGATTATAAGAAGCTTCATTCACAGCAACAAGATACTGTGAGAGAATTATTCGTCGCTGAAGCTCAGTTGCATTTGTATTTTTGGTTGCAGACAAGTCGACAAAAGCTCCAGATGTCCAGTAATCCGCCCACCACTCTCTTGACGCAGAAGCAATATTATTGTACGCTGGAAAACTGTAGTGAGAATCGCTCCCAGGACGAAAGACCGCAACGAGTTGAATGGCATTCGATCCAGAGGATTTGAGGGTAAATCGGTTCGTTCCAAGTGAAGGACCAGAAACAAAACCTTTTCCACTCCACTTAATACCAAGACCATTGATATTGCTATCGAGAGTATGCTCGAAGGAGGCCGTGCAAGAAGTAGACCTCATCAGTACTGTACTATTCGCCGTCTCGTTCCATACGCCAACATATGGAGCATCGAATTTGTTGATGTCAGAAGTAGGAAAGTCGAAGAAGACTCCTAAATCACCTGAATCAAGGAGATCTGACTTGATTTCTATGCCCACGATTGGGTCATCTGGGTGACACCAAACCTGTACCGAGACATTGGATCCTTTATAACGAAAAGTGGATCGAATTGTGCCCTCCCAAATATCCAAATCTTGAGATTTAAAAAGCAATTGCTCTTCCGTGATATTCCCTTCCGAGAAATGGAGACCAATATTGGCGATACTCAGCCGTTGAGGGTTCTCAATTAGCCAATTTGAGATATCATTTTCTGCTGGGTTGGGCATATCATAATTGACAAGCCCGCCATGTGTCCACCAGTCTAGGCCGGTGAAGTCTATCTTCAGGGTGAGTATATTATTAATTATGGGTAAGAGCCTAACGAACCTGAAGGAGAGCTTTGTCCAGGTGTCGTTGGCAGACTAAAATTATGCCAAGACCATGAGCTCTCAGTGGCGAAATGAGAGAAAGTCTGTAAACCTGTGATATCTGCACCAAATGCGAAATTGCCATTGCCGACCTGCAGGGGTGTTGTTGACGAGCTAGCATTACGGCGCGGATTGAGCGAGCGAACAACATGTTCTCGTTGATGAGAAGGAATCTTGGCTGCAGCACCAGCCGCTAGTGTCGCAACTGTCAAAAATTGTATTAGATGCATTGTACTTGTAAAAATAGGAAAATTTCTAGCCAAATTTCGGCGTTTTCTGGCGACAAAAAAAAAGGGAAGTAGCTTTTGTGTTCGATGTCTCTTGACTGGTGGAACTATACAAGCCCGGTTCTTCACATTCCCGGGGCTGTGGGTTTTGCGGGGTACAGACCCTCGGGGATTCGGGGTATGTCTGTAGTTTTAATGACATCCAATTAGAATAGCGAAAGGTGAGAGGTATTCTTGCCTGTATCTTAAGGTTTAATTTGCTTGAGTGTCGCGAATATGCACAGCAGCACAAAGAGGCACGAGATCAGTCAATACTTCTTTCAAGCAGTTCAATGTTTGTAGTAGTATATACCTCTTGATGCATGTTGAGATTCAATGGAGTTTGTAGAAAATCCCACTTGAAAGCCTACCTAGGTCGCATAAATCAAAGATCTGCTGGATACATCTTGTTACAAGATTGAAAACTCAACCAGTACCCACATACTTAACCTTTTCAAAGGTTGTGTGGTTCAATATATGGTACAAGATACTATCTGCCTACTACTATATATTCCACTTAGAGATACTCGGAAAAAGTGCGATGACCAGGGCTGTGTAGACATATTTCATTCCAAGGTTCCAACAACTTGAACTTGAGGGTGTGTACCATAGCGAATTCACTAACTTGAAGGCCCCGAGTGGGCATCGACAGCCCTGGTGTGACTTCGCTATTGTCGCGAAAGGTATTATCAACTCTTTCTAAGTCCATCCATGGACTTGAAACTTCAAGCTGTGGCTCGGAGGTTGACGAACTCACAAAGACGTAGAGCAGACTACAAATATTGACGAGGAGAGAACAACTTACTATTGTTTGAAACTTTGCGAAATCGGGAGAATGAGAATTTTAAAATCACATTAGTCAGAAATGAATTTTTCACACTGTAGGACATTTGTAATATCCTAGAATTAGTATATATACAAACAGATATCTTCAGAAAAATATCAAAATGTCCAGATGTTGGCTCTCAGAAGAAACGGCGCTTATATGTACTGCAGACAAAAGACACCATGGCTGTTGTAGTCGAGTCCATCACAACCAATCAAACGAAGTAAGAAGTAAAATGAAACTTGAGCTTCTCATACGACCACCTGCATCAACCTCATAATCACCATGCGACACACAAAGCCATACTCATCCGTGATAGACAGATGATCAACTAAGTTCATGAATGGTGTTATGTTGCCTGGAAGCGTAGTTCGGCGTGCCAATCTCATGAATTGCATTCTGCTCCGAGGACATCTCAGAAGGCGGCATGATGCTGCTTTCCGTCTGTGCCATAGATTGTGTCTGTGGTGGTACATATACAGGCGACCAGGCTGGACCGTCGTCGATGGCGGGAGGTCTATTGCGACCACAGCAGGCCAGAAGCTTCTTGCGGAAGATGACGAGCAGGGCGATGAGAACGACTGCAGCGCAACCGACTGCTATGCCGGCGATTGCGCCGCCTGATAGACCGGATGAACCTGAACCTGAGTCAGACCCGGACCCAGAACCGGAGCCTGAGCCTGAACTTGATTCCGTAGGTTGTGATGTGGCGGTGTTGTATGATGTGGCTTGGGTTTCTGATCCTGAGACGACTGGATGGCGAGAAGGGTGTTGTTAGCTTGACTGTAGGCGGATATGCGGGATTGGAGGATGAACGGGTGTTGCTTTGTATGTATTTTGATATAACTTACTATTAGATGGGGATATGGCGGCGTTGGTGGACGTGGTAACGACGGTTGCAGAATCATATTCCGTTGGTAGGGTACGGTAGAGACTATTATAGTTCCAGTTGCTTAAGCATGAGTAGGCCCAGAGAGCGGAAGATACACCAGCATGCTCCGTGGGAAAGACTGTGAATGAACTGCAGCTGTAATCGACACCACTGTATATATTTGTGAGTACGTGCGTAAGGAGAGGATGATTCGAGGAAATAGCGCATCTTCAGATACATACCAGAGACCATCAAACTCCACATTATCGTATAGAAGTGACGAGCCAGAACAGCCCGTGGGCATGGCAGTTAGTGAGGAGGGTAGAGAGCATCCTGCATAATAGCCACTTGTGATGTACACCTGGGGTACGGGACAGGTTACAGGGATAGCTGATGCAGACTGGAGTCAGTTCCAAGGTTCTCTTGCGAATCGCAAGTTTGTATGGATACGATATGGGATTGTAGATCGCTCACCTGTTACACCAACATACCATCCCATGAAATTAGAGCCTGTGCTATAGTCCGCCGCTATAAAAGTAGTTGACGGGACATCTGATGTTAACGACATGATGAAATTATGGGGAGGTAAGGGTGTCCCAGCCCTGGTGAACCTATTTGAACGCTAGAAGGGAAGAAAAAGAGCCTGGAGAATGCGACCAGGTCGCTGACAAAAGCGTTCAACCGGTCCTTAAGGCGGAAATTGTCTTGGCTTGATACCGAACCGACTAAATGCGCTTGAAAAAGCACCATCGTATGTACATAGGCTCGTGTTGGTCCTGGGGGCCGAGCCCTTTTCCAATCACGAATTCCCCGCTTTGCCGGACCTGATTGGGAGAAAACAGGGGAAAACAGGGTCTATAGATCTACCCAGGCTCTGTTCGGCTTAGCGCGCATTTTTTGTTGTTTTAGGGCTTACAACACTGCCCACCTGGGAATGGTGGAGTTTGTCTACCCCCACAAAGTGCGGCTGATGTCCCGGATGGGCAGGTACCCTGTCACACAGGGCCCAAGGGACTTAAGGTAAGTTCATGGGAAGGTATACATTTATCCAGACAATATTCTGTCAAGGCCATATACATACTCGAACCATGTATTTGGATGTTCCCATTCTCAAGTTGATATTTTCTATCCAAAATTACCGATCGACATATGCAATTGGGCCACGGGCTTCCGGGTTACGGTGCCTTCAAAGTTTATTCCCAAGCGATAAGCTAGTACATATGCGCATCTGAGACATTGGGATCATCGGAGTTAATGTCGGTACGGGCGAAAGGCTTCTCCTGATTCGTTTTGAGGATTAAGCCGCATTGCAATACGAGTCAGTGATGCATCGTGGCTCTGGGCGCCAAGGGCACTGCAAGCCTCAATACACATCGCACCAGTCAATTACCTGAAATATTTCGGTTGTTTGTCTGTATCTGTGCAGGTAGTGATAGGTAATAAAAGTCGAGAATGCATAAGAGACGTCATTTTCTAATTCCTTTCATTTACGAAGTAACTCCTGTCTTATTTTAGATTCGTATCTCTTTCGCATTGACACTAATGTATGTGGCTATGGTGTCCTCCACTTTGCTTGACTTTTCCCAGGTGCTTAGTAGTAACGGCTGTTGAGTTTCCAGGGGTTTGAAATAAACCATTCTCATACCGTTGAATTCATTCCATATCGTTGATATCCACTCCAGGGCTCCGGATCACTGCCGGGCGACGCCCCCTCGTGGGCAAATGCCAGGTGGGAACAACTTGGAAAGTTTATATTTTTCTGTGTCCAGGATACACTGCATATAAAACCTTCTAATCTTCAAGATTAGAGATGTCCAAAAGTACTAGTATAAAAGATGACCATTGTCCCACTATGGCCAAGATCTAGAATATACTTTATATCCCCCTTGCGATATGCCAGTATACAAAAGGATCAATCAAAGCCAAGGATGCTTAATATTTGGTATCGATTAATACCCAGGCAGTGGTATTTAACAGGATGACTGGTGCAACTATTGGAAAAAAGGGAATAGAAGTTTGTGTTATTGATCAGGGTGCACCATCGTACGAGAAAAGGAAAAGGCTAAACAAAGGCAATCGATTGGGAATATGAGATGGTGATGGTGGATGATGTGGAAACCGAGGATAGCTCGGCTGCATCATAGCTCAGAGGTTACAGAGATGGGAGTTTCACTCTTGACCCTCAGCCACCGGAGCGGGTTCAAGCTGTGATGGCGTAGACTCTGCGGCAAAACCTTCACCGTGCTCATCGGTTTGCGAGGTTGGAACATAGTATGGAACGCCATCTTCACCGGCATCGAGACGCAGGAGGAAAGTCTCCCACAGCTCGATCAACTGTTGTTTTCTGATTAGCTATATGTCGCAAACGAGGACGCAGAAAGAAAACCTACCTCTTTTTGAGCTTCCACGGCACTTTCCAGGAAAGTCTCAACACCCGACTTGAAATCCTCCACTTTCTCTTTCTCGAATCGGTGCAATTCGTTTCGCATTAGACGGCCCATATCTTCGAATAGCAATCGAGTCTGGTGCACCTTGCGCTCGGCATCAGCGACATCGGCATTGACTTGATTTAGTCGATCTTGTTGAGTCTTTCCTTGTCGAAGTAATTTCTCTTGGGTATTCTTGCGCTTTTGAAGATCCGACTCTGCCGCATGCCAGCTATGGAAAGCCTTTTGCCGTTGGCTGAAAGCCGTCTTGATACTGCCAATCAAGCGAATGTACTCGTCGATGGTGATCCCAAGTGTCAAAACATCCTGTTGAGCCTGGCGTTCATATAGTTCGCGAATGCGTAGTTGAAGCTCCGAGAGTCCATCCAATGGCGAGGATAATGCCGGCGAAAGTTCAACAGCCGAAAGAGCATGCAATGAGCTCGAGAAGTCGCCCGCAGCTTCAGAAAGTCCCTTCCGTTGCGCAACGACTGTATCCATTGATTTTAAGAGCGCCTTCAACTGGTTCTCTAATGCGTCCAAATAAACCTTGCGGTCGTGAAACCACTATAGAGAAGTTAGTAGACTGGCCAGAAGCCCCTTCAAGAGGAGTGAAATTACGTCGTCATGTTCCACGAACTTGTTTCCTCCGCCAACAGAAATACCAAATGAGCCAAACATGCCTTTGCTTTGGCCCAGATCTGGTTCTCTGTTCTCTTTATTCTTGACATCGACGTTGAAAGCCTCACTCTCCAGGAAAATCTTCAGATCCGCATCGTGTTGCAAAATTGGGTGAGTGGCAATCTTATTCAACATTCGCTCAAGAGCAGCTCTTCGGGACTCGACGAAATTGGTATCAAATCGGCCCACGGCTTGCTTCTCCGGGGGAGGAGCAACAACCACTCCGGGGTTGTTATTGTGCATGGAGTTATATAACCAGAGGAAATCCCGGTATCGGCGACTCACTGCGAATTCAGGCTGGCGGTATGCTTTCGAAGTAGTCTAAACAAACAACGGTGTTAGCTTAGCCTTCTATTGTCCTTCGTCGCATTGCTAATAGAATTCTTGATACCTTTGTCCGAACTTGATAAACAATATGGCTGCTAGTCAAATCTCCCACTTTGTGTGGGTCACCGACGGCGATATCAAAAGTTGGTTTCGCAGCCTGTTCCACACTCATACTAGGCTGGGTCTGACGTCTTGGACCTTCTGAATCGGCTGCGGGCTGTACGGGCGGAGGTCCTCTGAACCCAGCACCATCCTCTTCTAAATTAACAGAGTCGGCCAGGCCACCCGCGCCTGTGATCTGAGAAAAGGTCGAGGGGGGCTGAGGACCGCGTGCAGCAAATGTTTCTTTCTGGGGAGGTGCTGGGGCTTCATCGGTAGGTGTTGCACTGGTCTCCGCAGGAGCTTCTCCTAAGGGACCAAGTGGGTCGACTGCATCATCTACAGATTCCAGTCGTGTAGGCTGTGCGCTAACTTTGCCTCGTGGCCCTCGTCTTCCGGGGGTACGAACCTCCGCTCGCGCCGCGGACGGAGCGGATGGAGCAGGAGCTGCAAGGAACGGGATCGACCGTTAGTGAGGGGGTAGATGAAACCAGCGGGTTTGGAACAAGACCTACCACTTCCTTTGGTATCGGGCTTAGGAGGTGGGCTAGTTGTCGTGGATGACGAGGGTTCATCTGTTTTCTAGATTAGATCGCGATGTCGAGAGCTGCGGGATCATGACTGCCTACCGCCCCACGGGGAGTCGCCAGTGTCGAGGTCCATTGTTTCTTAGTAGATCGTAGACAGGAAATGTGAAAGGGGTGTCAGATGAACGAATCGATAATGCTGCATTGAAGTTCGTTCAAAGGGAGTCTTGAGGCAAAGGGAATGCTTAGAACGGCCGTTGCAAGTGGGAAGCTGGCAGTTCGGAGAGTGGAGGAGGATCCGCGAGTCCTTAGTCACTCACGGGATCCCGCTTCCAAGGTGGTTCTTACCCCGAGGTGTGTTGTTGTCCCATACATTATTCTTCTTTACGCTTTGCCATTGATCTTCGAGCTTCTGTTTTATTGGAACTAGATGCCTCTTTCTACGTTTTCAATATACCGATTCAAAACTTATCAGCTTAGAAAGCTCGGCTTCCAGAATTCCTTGGTTGTTATAAATACGTCATATCATCTCACATCATCTCGATTGGGACTCCCCAGGACTGGCCAATCTATGCATAATACCCCCATTATCTGCCCTGGATCGGCATACCGCATGTCATGAAGGGGCTTTATTTTTGGGGGATGCTTACTTGACCCATGGAAGGCCCAGCTTGTGCATCTCGACCGCCAGCTGGAACAGGTAGTCCAAGGACTCACACTGAGTCTTGGCCTTGGCGACATTGTCACCCCAGACATAGCTATGATTGGGTTAGCAGATGAAAACTTTGAATGAAGGTGTTCACTTCAAACTTCTGAATCCTTTGGAATCAATACTTACATTCCGTGTCTGCGCACAAGCACCGCATATGTGTCAGGGTACTTGTCCATTGCAGCTTCCAAGCCACTGGTCAGATCCTCCTCGAAGGCAGTATTCTCGATAATTGGGATGCTTAGGGTATCGAAAAACCCAAGCATTCCCTTGTCCTTGCCACGAGGGATACCCTTGATCTGTTCGATGTTGTTGATCTCGAAACAAGCATCAGGCCCCTTCTCGCGCTCCACCAACAAAGTAACCAGAACAGCCCATTGTGAGTGGGTGTGAATGCAGCAGCCGGCGCCATGCTCAAAAGCCGTCAAAAACAGAGGGGTACAAGCGGATGGGTTCAATTTGAGGGGCTTGCGGATGTAGTTGCGCTCTGTTGCAGGGTACTTCTTGGTCGGCCACTGGATGACGAAAATGTTCTCGGACTTCATCATTTCCTTCTGCACGCCGGATGGAGCAATGAAAATATGGTCGCCATGACGAATAGAGGTCTGTATTAACCAGTATTTAGCCGGGATTTTGGAGCAATATGCGATAGTGAGGCCTCAAAAAGAAGACAAAAAAAAAAACCGGAACATAGAACTTACACCACCGCCAGTGCCGGTCACCCATCCCCAGTTGTAAAATCGGCGGCAAAGCTCCGGGATGAGGTTCGCCGGATGTTCAGGGTCGGATGATTCAACTAGGTGGTCATTGTTGACGGCCTCGACGGCCTTGTTGTCATCGGCGCACATGGTGGTAGTGGCTGTTGGAGGGGTCAGTCAAAGAGCGGTTAATGACAAGGGGCCATAAAAGGGGCCACGAAATAGGGAAGGGGGAATTGATTAATTTCCACCACAGTATGGAGTACTGACCTAAGGGCGCAAAGATGAGACGTGGTTAACCAACTGAATGGGGAGGGGAGTGTAACAAGAGCACATCGGCATATCGGCGCATCCAATTAATGAGGTGGGGTGGACTTTTGCGCCTGGCAGCTTCCGGGGGCCCTTGCACAAGCACATCATTTATGTGGTCGCATATCCGTAAATCAACAAACGAACCCTCGTAAGACATGAAAGGCTGGTTCATTGCAGGATTAAATAATTCATTAAAAAACACTATTAAATTTATTAAATTAAAAACAAAACAAAACCACCTGAAACCACTAGCAACAAGCGATCGAAGGCGATCGAGGACGATGGAGTTATACTTCGGGGAAGTCTTGGGTGTACCTTAACCGTGGCTAATCCCGATTGGGGGGAAGCATGGAACCGCTCTGAAGAGGCCACCTGGACCTTCTGTGCACTTTCTCCATTCTTCTATATAACCTCCGCTTTTTCTCCTCTTTTGCTCCCCTCAAGCTTTCTTCAACCCCCTTCCCTTGTTTTTGTTCGTTTAATCCTTTGTTGTCTGTCAACATGCGTTTTGACGCTGCATTCACAGCTCTGGTCTCTTCGGCCACTCTCATGGGCTATGCTCATGCCGAGGAGGCCGAAGCTGCTACCAACGCTGCTGCTGACATTGAAAAGCCCACTTTCACTGTATGGTCCCACACCTGACTCCAAATCCCACTCCACTACGCAATTGACTTGAAGGGTGAAACTAAACTGGTACTCTTTATTAGGCTACTAGTCTCAAGGCCCCATTCCTCGAGCAGTTCACTGATGACTGGGAGACTCGATGGAAGCGCTCCAACGCCAAGAAGGATGACCCCAAGTCTGATGAGGACTGGGCCTATGTCGGCGAGTGGGCTGTTGAGGAGCCTACTGTCTTCAAGGGCATTGAGGGTGACAAGGGTCTGGTTGTCAAGAACCCGGCAGCTCACCACGCCATCTCTGCCAAGTTCCCCAAGAAGATCGACAACAAGGGCAAGACCCTGGTGGTTCAGTACGAGGTCAAGCCCCAGAACTCTCTGGTTTGCGGTGGTGCCTACCTGAAGCTCCTCCAGGAGAACAAGAAGCTCCACCAGGAAGAGTTCTCCAACGGAACTCCCTACGTGATCATGTTTGGCCCCGACAAGTGCGGTGCCACAAACAAGGTATGTTTAATTTCTCAACACGCGACGTAATATTTTGAATCACGCGCTTACCAGGTATCTCTTGTTTTCTTGATCAGGTTCACTTCATCTTCCGTCACAAGAACCCCAAGACCGGCGAGTACGAGGAGAAGCACCTCAAGACTCCCCCCGTCGCCCGTACCTCCAAGATCACCTCTCTTTACACCCTGATCGTCAAGCCCGATCAGACCTTCGAGATCCTCGTTAATGGCGAGTCCGTCAAGGAGGGCAACCTTCTGGAGGACTTCGCTCCTGCCGTTAACCCGGAGAAGGAGATTGATGACCCTAAGGACAAGAAGCCCGCTGACTGGGTTGATGAGGTTAAGATCGCTGACCCCGAGGCTACCAAGCCCGCCGACTGGAACGAGGAGGCTCCCTTCGAGATTCTGGATAGCGAGGCCGAGCAGCCTGAGGATTGGTTGGAGGATGAGCCCACCAGCATTGCCGACCCCGAGGCTGAGAAGCCCGAGGACTGGGATGACGAGGAGGATGGTGACTGGGTTGCCCCCACTGTCCCCAACCCCAAGTGTGCTGATGTTTCCGGTTGTGGCGAGTGGACTCGCCCCATGACCAAGAACCCCGAGTACAAGGGCATCTGGTCCGCTCCTCAGATTGATAACCCTGCCTACAAGGGTGAGTGGGCTCCCCGCAAGATCGCCAACCCCGCCTACTTCGAGGACAAGACTCCCTCCAACTTGGAGCCTATGGGTGCCATTGGTTTTGAGATCTGGACCATGCAGAACGACATTCTGTTCGACAACGTTTACATCGGTCACTCCGTTGAGGATGCTGAGAAGCTTCGCAAGGAGACCTTCGATGTCAAGCTCCCCATTGAGGAGGCTCAGGAGAAGGCTGCTGAGCCTAAGCCCGAGACTCCTGCTCCTGGTACCACCACTACTTTCCAGGAGGACCCCGTGACTTTCGTCCGCCAGAAGGTCGACTACTTCGTCAACCTGGCCAAGGAGGACCCCATCCACGCGGTCAAGACCGTCCCCGAGGTTGCCGGTGGTCTGTTCACTCTTCTTCTGGGTTCCATCCTCGTCGCTGTGCTCGCCATTGGCTCCAGCAGCCCAGCTCCTTCCGCCGACAAGAAGGGCAAGCAGCCCGCCACCGCCGCCAAGGAGAAGACTGGCCAGGCTACCAGCTCTTCCGCCGACACTGGTAAGGGTGGTGCTACCAAGCGCACCACTCGCTCCTCTGCCGAGTAAAGGTGAGGCGCAATGGTGGAAAAAGAAGCAACTCGATAAATTCAAACATTTCAGAACCCATGATGGCATCATTCTCGCGTCGATTCCCTAGTCAGCTGTCATTTTTTTACTTGTTATTTTTCTTTTTTTTTGTCATCTTGGTGATGTGTGTAGTTGTACTTTAGCTAGCCAGAGATTCTCAGAATGGAAAATATCTTAACCCATCTCTGACAGTCTTGGCCCTATTATGTTCCAAATTCCCCAAAATCTATGCATGATTCATCCCAATTGACTTCCACATACGTGCTGTAAGCGACTATTATTAGACGACTAGACGACGAATTGATTAAACGAGCGTCCATCAGACCTGCATACAGCAAGTACTCATTTCAATTGCCAAATTAGACCAGTTTAGTCCATTTGTATGGTTGCTTCCTCGGATTAGCCTGCCTAAAGCACCACGTAGGCGAGATCTGGAGACGATTGCCTAGATAGACCGCGCAGGTTCGGCGATTGGAGCTGTATCTTCACGCATTCTGATTGGTAGATATCGCCGAAAGGGCCAACGGAGAGCTTATCGTGCTCCTGTTGACTAAGATTCCTTATTCTTGTGTGGGGAAATCCGATTCCAGGCGGTAGGGCGGTTGACCTCGGGCCTGGGGTAACACATTCCCCTCTTCTCATATATCTTTTAAAACCTCCCCATTACACAAACTGTCTTCTTCTTTCTTCTTCTGCCTCTGTGTTCCGATATCTTTCAATTCCTCTTTGACATCTATCTCATTCAAAATGGCCGCCCGCCGGTCTCTGGCTTGCTCCATTCCCGTTCTCTGCTCCGTTCCCCGCACGCCCGCCGTTGCCCGAACCGCCTCTAATATCCGCTCCCTCACTGTCGCCACGCCCGCGGCTAGACTCTCTTCGCGGGGAGGTATCTCATACCCTACTGGAGTGTCTACTTCACGACGTCTTCATGCAACAGCACAGCAGCTAGCCCCTGCCACTACATCGGCAGCTTCAACTGCAACTGAATACCCGACAGACCACAAGCCCATTGCCTCCCCCATCGACACTACAAACTTCCTAGATAATGAGTTCACTACATCCAAAGCATCTACCTGGATTGACCTCTTTGACCCTGCCACCAACAACCTCGTTACCCGAGTGCCTCAGAGTACTGATGAGGAGTTGAAGGCTGCGGTCCAGTCGGCGGAGAAGGCCTTCCCCGCTTGGCGCAACACTAGCATTATGGCCAGACAACAAATTATGTTCAAATTTACCAGCCTGATCCGTGATAACTGGGACCGCTTGGCTGCTTCCATCACTCTTGAGCAGGGTAAGACTTTTGCTGATGCTCGAGGTGATGTCCTCCGAGGCTTGCAAGTCGCCGAGACTGCCTGTGGCATCACCACCCAGATGCCCGGTGAGGTGCTCGAGGTGGCGAAGGATATGGAGACCCGAAGCTACCGTGAGCCATTGGGTGTTGTTGCGGCCATCTGCCCCTTCAGTAAGCTTGATCATAATATCAACATTAGGCCGCCTGGCTTGTCTCAATTCACGAATGCTAACTGTCTGATTAGACTTCCCCGCCATGATTCCTCTGTGGTGTATCCCTATTGCCACCGTCACTGGCAACTGCCTGGTTATGAAGCCCTCCGAGCGTGACCCTGGTGCTGCCATGATCCTGGCTGAATTGGCTAAGCAGGCCGGCTTCCCCCCTGGTGTAATTAACATTGTGCACGGATCTGCCCGTACCGTGGACTTCATCCTCGACGAGCCTGCCATCAAGGCTATCAGCTTTGTCGGTAGCAACCGTGCTGGTGAGTACATCTACACTCGTGGCTCTGCCAATGGCAAGCGGGTGCAGGCCAACCTGGGCGCAAAGAACCACGCCGCCGTCCTTCCTGATTGCAATAAGAACCAGACTCTGAACGCCATCAGTGGCGCTGCTTTCGGTGCTGCTGGACAGCGCTGTATGGCTCTGAGTACTGTCGTCATGGTTGGTGAGACCAAGGAGTGGCTTCCTGAGATTGCCGAGCGGGCTAAGGCCCTCAGCGTGAACGGTGGCTTCGAAGAGAATGCCGACGTTGGTCCCGTCATTAGCCCCGAGAGCAAGAAGCGTATTGAGGATCTGATTGCCAGTGCTGAGGCAGAGGGTGCTACTATCCTTCTGGATGGCCGAGGCTGCAAGCCCGAGAAGTACCCCAACGGCAACTTTGTAAGTTTTGTTCCAATTATCGTGTTGAATATTTATGAACGCACTTCTAACATCTAATAGGTTGGGCCAACTATCATCACCAACGTCACCCCCGATATGAAGTGCTACAAGGAAGAGATATTCGGTCCCGTCCTTGTTTGCTTGAACGTTGAGACTCTTGACGATGCCATCAGCCTCATCAACGCCAACGAGTACGGCAACGGTGCCGCGATCTTTACCAAGTCTGGCTCCACTGCCTCCAAGTTCCAGAAGGAGATTGAGGCTGGCCAGCTAGGAATCAACGTCCCTATTCCCGTTCCTCTGCCTATGTTCTCCTTCACCGGTAACAAGAAGAGTATCGCCGGTGGCGGTGCTAACACCTTCTACGGCAAGCCAGGCCTGAACTTCTACACTCAGCAGAAGACCGTGACTAGTCTGTGGAAGAGTGAAGATGCAGTTAGCACCAAGGCTAATGTCGTTATGCCCACCCACTCTTAAAGTTAATTGACCCGATGACCGTTTTATAAGTTGCACCGGTAACTTGTTATTGGCGCCATGATTCCATTTTCGATGCAATTTTATACTCACAAAATGTAGCTTACTAGTATTAGAATGAAAGTATTTAACAGCATTCCACTTATTCAAATATTGTATTTTTGTTCTCATTTCTTGGTATGCTTTGCTGCTTATTTTAGACTAGCCTGATGTCAAAAGATAGTATTGTTTAGTTTGGTTCTATTAGACTTAGCACAGCCCTGGAATCTAATAACTTGGATATAGTTCCAACAATTCTAATCCTCAGCCCGTCGCTCCTGGAAAGTGTAAACCAGGCGTGCCAGTTCAATTTGCTTATCCTTCACAACAGCTACGCGACGAACATAGTGGCGCTCTCCCTGGATAATCTCAAATCCCCAAACCTAGACAGAGCCGAAATTAGCATATCATCTTATAACAAACAAACACAAGACGAAACCACATACCTGCTCAGCGGACCAGCCACTCTCCTCATTCACAACCCAGCTATGCGCAAACAAGCCCTCTCCAACTCCAAACTCAGCACCCTCGTCCTCAATAAGGAAGCCTTCAGAAGCAGATCCATCGACCAAAGTCTCGCCGAGCAAGAACTTCTCCACTCGAGCGTCGCCCTCGGGCTCTCCGACCTTAGTCTGCTTATCAAGAGCTGGACGACCGTTGGCACCACGGAACATCCGCGAACGACCCTTCAGATTACCGAAGATATCATCAGCGTGCTCGCGCTCCTCCCAGTCCAGAGTACGTCTCTCTGAGGTACCAGTAATACCACCGGTGATGACTTGGTCGACATCGATATGGTACACGGCGGGGTTGTGCTCATCTTTGTACTCATGCACATGCAGGGTAACGGTGGCATAAGAAAGACCCTTACGGAAGAGCCAGCTCATACCTTGCTATACAGGGAACATTTGTTAGCTCAGCTATTTATCGTTCAATGGGATACGAGGCGATATCACATAATATGATACACATGGCTCATTGGAGCGGCTCAGTTTATACTGGAGCTTTGTGTGACCTCATCGAGGGGCATATGCCCGATAAAATGGAATTGGTACTTACCAGAGCGAGAATGGGGTCGGTGGGGTCGGACAGATTTGCGTCCTGTTACACAAGTTCGTCAGATACAGGCTTTTAATTTGGGGGCTGATAGTTGGGACAGGCCCTTTCAATGGCTTAACATACCATAACCCACTGCCCGTTGAGATTCTTGATTGTGATATCGGCGGGGGCAGCCATGTTGTATTGTTGTAAAAAATGTAGTAAAGTAATAAGGAGTCAAGTAGTGAAGCTTAGGAATGCGGGGTGGTGGGGTTAAATAAGGTTGGAGATGGAATTGAAGGTATTCCGAAAAAGCACAGAACCAGAGTAGTGAGATGAAGAAGGGAAAAGCTTTCAAGAACGAAGACAGAGAGAAAAACTAACAGAAATCGGCCCCCAGATGATCTTGCCCTCTATATACTGTTCGGTGCTGTGATTTCCTTGCGCATGTGCCAATCCCGAGGCTGACACGTGCATACGCTGAGGCAATCTTATGTCATTGTTGCCTCATATTTAGGGTGTCAAAGTTTGTCAGACACTAAGGCACCAAGGCAGTAAAGGCGGACTTATCTCAACGCGGGCAGCTATAGTTGGTCCGCGTTGTTGACCTCCTCACCCAATTAACATATCATGGCTTTCAACAAGAAATATGCTGGTCTGCCAGACTTAGTAAGCTATGGAAGCACCAATTACTACATGCCCTCATCCCTAATTATCCTCTAGGACCCCGCGCCAGATATCTATGAGACCCCTGACCTGACCGACGAAGCGTCTACCGTCCCCGTGAGTCCGATATCAACACCACCCAACAGTGTAGGCTGTGACAGCGAAAGGCTAATCTGGTGATTTTTTGGAGGACAGACCACAACAGTTCGCACAGAATCCGACCAAGACGATGCGGGCTCTAATTCCGACATTGATCGCGAAGGCGTTAATGCCGACGAAGCTCGTGCACACTTCATGGGCGCAGCAGTCGATGCCCGCGACACCAATTTCTCCGACAGCATTTCAATGAAGCGCCAAGCATACCGAAGTAAAGATAAATCTCAGCGTCGGCGACGAAGACGTGAGGATGGCACCGAAGAAGTTGGCGACCTGAGTGACAGCGAAGACGAGTCAATGGAACGGCGACTAGCTCGTCTGCGACGAGAGGTGGAGGATCTGAAAGTGGAAATGTCAAATAAAGCCTCACTGGAGAAAAAAGTGGTTTATAGCGGATCGACTGGACCTACAAGCGAGCCAAAAGCTGAAGACCGGGAACTTGGAGATGGTGTAGCGGAGCTGAGTTGCGCATTGGACAATTTGCATGCGCAGTCCCGAGGTGCTTCAAATACATCTTTCTCGGCTGCTGTGGCTCTTTCAAAGAAACTTGCATCGGATTCACCGGCACCAAAACCTGATGGAAAGCAACCGCAACAACAGTCCCAGAAGGAGGGAGCTGCTTCTTCGGCTACCACAACAGTCCCCATTGAGACAAGTTTACCAGCAGCTGGAATTCTTTCCCACGCAGCTGCGTTCGAAAGCCGATTGGCACTTCTGGAAACGTCAGTGGGAATCTCAAGCGCCTCAAATCCCTTTGTCGGAGACGGACTCAGCGAGCCCTCTCTACAACCTGTCCTCCCAGCTCTAGATCAACTGACATCTCGACTCGGCGCTCTTACTGGTCTTCTCGTGGGCACAAACCCATCATCCGGGATTCCTACCGCCGTCCCAGGACTGACAACGCCACATCTCGAAGCACTCTCATCTCGAGTCCGCAAGTTAACAACGGATGCCGAAGCACTAGCCTCCGCTCGCAAGCGCGCAGCCGAAACAGCCAAAGCAGCACAATCAGCCCGCATGGCTTCTTCGGGATCGAATGAGACTCCCGCTCCATCTAATGCTGACGGCTCCTCCCCCGCTGATGACGAGCACACTGCCAAGATTCAGGCTTTATATGCCACACTCCCGACCATCCAGTCCCTACACCCTCTTCTTCCCAGTGTGTTGGAGCGGCTTCGCTCATTGCGTGCCTGTCACGCCGGTGCTGCACAGGCTGCTGACTCGCTTAACGAGCTAGAAAAGCGACACGCAGAAATGGCCTCGGAGATTGAGCAGTGGCGCGAGGGTCTCGCTACTGTTGAGGAGAAGATGGGTCAAGGCGAGGCGGCCTTGCGGTCGAATGTTGAGACTGTTGAGCCTTGGGTACGTGAACTGGAGTCACGTATGGCTCGGCTGGAGGGTCCGCCTGGTGGACTTTAAAGGCCGCTTGTACATGCATTTGTTATTCGATTCCATTCCGGGCTTCTTTGAAGCTCGAATGGAAGTCTTTCATGATAAATAATACCCTTTTTTCTCTTGTTCATTCAAGTATACTTCATTTATTTCTGGATATTACGTGACATGTCAACACATTCGATGAAAGTACACAACAAAAGCCCACCCAAGTTTCTCACATGGCTCGAACTATGGAAATTGTCATCTAATTCACAAAGAACCAACTAGAATCATTCTCATTAAGTAGGTGCATATAAGGTTCTAAATCAAACGGCAGACTTCACCCGTCTCAACACTTTCACCCTAGGCACCATTTTCAATTCGACCCACCAACCCTTCAATAGCAGTTTCCTAGCAGTCTCACGCAATTTTTCATAAAAGTCAACCGCGTGCTGACCTCCAATAAAAGACAAAAGCCGCTTCTCAGCAATACCATCCGCCAAAGCCCCAGGTCTAACAATTGAAATTCCAGCAAATCCCTCAACAACCTTAACAGTTTCCCATTGTGAAGAAGGAAGCGCAGTATGCAGACGGGTCTCATCTTCGTCACGGAATTCCAAGTCCGAAGAAGCTTCAACAACGACATAGTCAAACTTCTCCCAAAACACAGCCGTAGACTTGGTACTCTCATCTTCTGTCTTGTCGTATATCCAATTCGTGGTCTGAGTATCTGTCTGTTGTAGGAAACGTGTGACCCCTGTTTGGCATGCTAGGTTTCCAAGATAAACCGATATATTCTCTTGTCTATCAATTTGCGAGTCGACAGATGACGTTTGAGCTTGATATTGATGCAATGCGTTGAGAGCATGGGCTCCTGGATAATTAGCCGCGGAGGCGGGTAAAAGCACAATATTCGATAAGCAAAATGAAGCAATTATAGAGAGAATTAAGAAGTAAGAGGCGCCACGCGCGAAGAAAGAGCGAGAGCGACGTGTCCAGAGGTAGTTGGCACCAAGAGCAGCAACAGCCGTCAAAGATGGGATGATGTATAATATGAAGCGCCATTCTTTATGTGGCTGGATACTATACAGAGCAATGAAAGAGAAAGATGGAATGAGGAGGGAGAGCGCCGGGGTCCGAGTTGCTGGTTGACGGAGTGCGACTGGGATAGCGAGTAGATATGTTAGGGGGTTGAGGAGGAGTCTCGGGAGAGCGTTGAAGAAGTAGAAGGACCAAGGCTCTGTTCCCCATGCCGAGGACTGGCCATGGATTACGTTGAAGACAAATGCTTCAAACTCGGGCCAAAGAGGGGCGCGCTGCCAGAAGAGCGAGTCAATAGTGACGGTGGTCAAAAGGCCAAGTGTGAGACCAATCAGGCCGGCTGGGACGGCGGTTTTGAATATATGAATGCGGCCAGTTAGAATTAGGAACAGTGTTTGTGTGCCAACTAGGACTGCAAGCTCGGAGCGAAAGACGACGCCGGCGATGGTAAGAAGGCACAATGATAGTCTGTATGGACCCTGTGCTTGGGCATAGGACCTATCGACTTTATCCAGAAGGAGAAATCGCATTGCCAGAGTTGTTAGGCCAAAGGCGAACATGTTAGACAAGGGCCTTGAAGCATAGTAGATCACATGGAATTGACTGCTCTGGAAGAGAAGGTACCATATACCAGCTGTCTGACCGAAGCTGCGGCGGAGACCGTATGCGAACACGCCTAGCGCGAATGCATTATAGAGACCCAGTATTCCTCGGGCTATGGTCATGTTAGTTTAACTGTATCGCAAAGCATATAACATGGGATCATTTCAAGAGCTCTCCTACCTAGAACTTGTCGATCAATTCGTTCATCCAACGTGATCACGCATTGCGACAGCTTAGCGAGTGCGGCAGCACCAACAGCTGTCCGAGGCACAGCGCCAGGAAACGCAAAGTGGTCATAGTTTATGCGCTCAGAGTCCAGTGTAGAAGGAAATCCATGGACCAAGATATCATGAACAGCTTGGATATGGAAGGACTCCTCAACTTTAGTATAGGGCGCAACGAGGAGATGCAGAATAATCAAAGTTGGGAGCAGAAGCAGAAGCCCCGCAAAAAGAATTCCTATAATAATTGTTAATTAGGGGATCTTATAGCTTGCGTGGTAGACTCACCATATCTCATGGCTGCGGCGAACACCTGGAAGTCGATTGTTGATCCGGAGATGTGGCGCTTCCCGCCTTATCACTTTCCCAACTCCCACCTCCGTCCAGTCCGTCTTTACACCCCCGACCCGCCACAATGCTGCTCTTCGGCCTTGGAAACCTGTTTTACAGTATGTCTTATCTCCTCTTACTGACGAAGCTAGGCTAATAACTTAATTTCTAGTCATCATTCTCTTCATCAACTCCATCGCCGTCCTGTCCGAGGATCGCTTTCTGGCTCGCAGTACGCCTTCCCCCTTCTTCCCCACTAAGCGCATTATCTACCCTGAAGGCTTTGAGAAAGGTGATAACATCTAATACCATGGTCTTATACAGTTGGATGGGGTCGAACACAAGCTGAGCCGAGCTTCGGCACGAGCTACGATAGCAACAGCGTGAAGGCTAAATCAATCAACTTGATCGCCAGTGTGCGGACCGTAATGCGGAGTATGTCTTCCCCTATTGCCCTTCATATTCCCTCTATATGTATCAAGCTGTATCATTGCTTCTCAAGCCATACAAATTGGTCGAGTCGCCAAAGCTTGAAGCGCCAATAGTGCAGAACAGCAGCTCCAGGCTACATCGAACACAGCTGACAGAAATCACAACCCACAGTACCACTCATCGTCATCAATACCGTCATCATCATATACGAGCTGGTTCTCGGCTGAACTCCTCATCTCTTTTCTCCCGCAAAAGCAAATCCATATCGTCTTGCGCCTGGTTCGACATTTATCTCACGGTTGCCTCCTCATTTCGCCTAATGCGATCTCATTTCTTTCCTGGCGTATTAAGCGAATGAAGCGAATATAGGCAATGCTGCCTGTTTATACTTGCTTTCCACACCTATGAGACACGCGGCATGATGTACACGAGCTACTAGCACATTAGAATGAGGTGGATAATGAAGCCCGAGGGCAATTTGAATTGTTGGCCTTGGATCATCTCCTTTGCAGCTTTGACTTGGACAAGGCATTTCTACTGTTGCCGTTCAGACTAATATGAGTTGTGATGTTGAACTCTCGCGTTGTTTTCTTTATTTGAGCTTCTGCTCAGTCCTATGTATATACCAAAAATTTCACTAATTCAAAAATAAAAAACAATCATATCCATTGGTAATAACTTGCGCATAGATGAATATGGCAAGCGTAGGGGAAACTGTACACCAAATGCTGAGATAGGTCCAGATAAATGAAGATAGATAAATCATAGCAACTTGTCTGCATTCAACGTGATGATAGTAACGCAGGTAGATAAGGGTAAGAAACAAAATATGCATCATAAAGACTGAGAAAACCTGCTGGGCTTAAGGCAAAAAGAAAACGCCAAATAGATTCCCGTGTGCATGCTTACCAGCATTGCAAAACCAAACGCCTCTCTCTGCGCCAGACGGGAGATAGCCCAATCAGCGCTCGTACCGTGCCGCCGTACATGCTACTTGAATTAGCAGCGATGGAAAGAAGAGGCAAACCAGAGAGGAAAAGGAGAAAGAAAATAAAAAGAAAACGATGGCCTAGATCAATCTCCAAAAGGTCTAGAAAGACATGCCTCTGGAAAATTCCTGATTAGGATCACAAACTAAAGGAGAAAGGTATGAAGAAAAATGGCACATGTCCCATATTGAAGGGACATGAAAATGATGATACATCCACGGAAAATATGTGCAAAAGCAAAAATGGCTTATATGTGCATAGTGATAGGGGGTATCTCCGTGTAAAATCAACCCAAAGATGGCAAATGCAAGAAAATGAAAAAAAAAAAAAAAAACGCTCGCTGAAATAGACGAACATGGTTCATGAAGCTGCGGATTTTTTGAAGCTGAACGATCTCCATCGATGGGTGGTGCCAGTTCCATTTCCAACTTTGTCGCTGCTGCCGTTTCCTTGGTGGTGACCACTGGGACTATTGATACTTATGGGGCTGCTGATGCCCAGATGAGAAGTATGGTTTGCCTTAGGGGAGGTAGACAGCAGCGGGAGGTGGTCATGGTTTCCGTTGGTTTTGGGAGTGATCTTGGGAAAGGCGCTGAAGTTGACGCTGTCACTGGAAGTGTGGTTGTGGTTGTGGTTGAGATTATTATTCTCTTGGATCGGAGGGAATGGTGTTGAAGTTGGGAGTGAGCTGGAAAGCCTAGGTGTATCCTTCGCGGGCACAGCTGGTGGGTTTGGTACTTCCTCTTGTGCCGGCATTTCGGGAACTGGAGTTGGAGCGCCTTCTGTGGTGGAGGTCGACATTCGCGGATCCTTTTCTTTGTCTTTGCTGAGGCGGTTACTGATACTGCGACTGCTGCGTCTAAAGATGTTGAACCGAGATGATTCTCGAGGTGAGCCATTCTCAGGTCCAACATCAGCTGCATCAGGCTTGCTTGCTTCTTTGCTAGCTTTAAGGGCTCTTTCCAGATCTGCGGCCTCTTGTTTGATTTGAGCTTGCCATTGTTGCTCGGCTTCCTTGCGACGAGCTCTTTCCGCCCTGTCGTTGTTTTCGCGTTCTTCTTTGGCGGCTTTTTCGGCTGCCTTCTGAGCTGCACGTTGTTCTTTTTCCTCGCGGGCCTTTTCCTTTCGAGATTGAACATCGCTCTTCTTCGGGCTCAATGCGTGAGCTGGTTCGCTAGGAATGGGTGGGGGTGGCGGAACCTCAGATGTTTGAAGAGGTGGTAGGGTTACCGGCTCGTGCTCGGGAATTTCAGGATGCACGGGCATCTGGCCAGGTGCTGTAGTCGTTTTATGAATCGGAACCAGCCGGTTTGGATCATCTACAGGGACACTTTGCACATGGAAAAGGTTGCCGTTGGGCTGGATATCAGACTCAGAGGCTGCGGCAGATGCTGCTTGATCCTCTTGGGCCTGCTCTCGGAGAACAGCCTCCAGGGTTGTTTCTTGGTAGAAGAGAACGTATGCACAAGCCAGACCGGGTCGGTCGCCGAAAAAGTTCCGAACATAGCTCTTGTCGACTGGCTGTACCAATTCATCGTCAAACAACAACCAACCACGATCTTCTGTCTTAATAATCGCAACATAATGGCCGTGATATGGCCCACCACCAATGTGAACCACAACGGCATACAGCTCGTAAAGGCGATCCGGGTCTTCGGCATCATCAGTCGTATTAAAAAGCCGCAGATGATAAGGATAGACGACTCGATGAAACAACTTTTGAAGTCGCTGTAGATCTTCGGTGTATTTAAAGCGCTTCAGATGCAAAGCCAGCACACGTGGCAAACGCTTAATCTTCATACGTTTTTCTGCTTCTTGGAGACCGCCGCAGTTATCGCAATGAAACTTATTCCTCTCGCAAAGCATTTCCTCAGCTGAGAACTTTCGCAAACAAGACGTCACAGATGAATGTTGTTCAAGATCCACGGAGAGATCCAAGAACACTTCATCTCGCTGGGAAACTTTTTCGCATGTCAAGCATTTCGTTTCTGATGTTAAGATACCCTCAAACAATTCGTGAACCCATCTAGTTGTATTGGGTGATTTAGATCCAGTACTTGTCGTCAGTCCTAACGAGTCGGCGCTTTCACTTGGTGGCAAAGCCTTCTCTGTGAAATTCTGCTTTGTCGCCTCGGCTTCCACATTAGCAACGACCTCGTTCAACAGCAGATTCAAAAACTCATGCGCATCTTGATGCATGGCGGTCCGGAACATTTCATTTTCTCGGCGCAATACATCCAGAAATTGCTGCGGGCGGATGATTCCAATACGAGCTTGACTAGCCACCAGAGACTCAAAAATGTCTTTTAATGATGTAAAAAGAGATTCCGACATGCCATAGCTGCTGGCATTGTTCTTGGTCTCAAGGATCGGGAGAGTCTGGAGGGCAACTTTCTTCTTGTATTCGGGTGAATCTTTATCTTCTGGTTTCTGTGGTTGATTAGGAGTTGCACCTGGTTGGCGCGCGGGGGGATTCGCCGCTTTCTGTTTGGCTGCTTGCGACTCGGCCTCTAGGTGTGCATTTGGATTCTGGTATTTCAGGTTCTGAGCGAGGGCGGCCTCGAGACTTTCGACCGGGGTGCGCTGTGGGTAATTGATGACTGCTTCGCGGAAAGGAACGGAATAGTAAAGGCATTGAAGGATCGAATTGCAGTAACAGGTGTTTCCGTACTGGGCCTCCTTGTGTCAGCAGGGCGAAGAGAGAGGGACGAGATAAGAGCGGGAAAGAGAGCAGAGTGTGCGGAGGGGACGTTGAACGACTTTTACCACCGGAATACTCACATTTTCCATGCCAAAAAATTTGTCGCTTCCATCTATACGGATGGGGCCCATGTCCTGCAATCTCTTTTCTAACGGACTAATCTGTGGTGCTTGAGGATCCTTCTTGGGATTTGGCGGAGCGGGCGAAGGGGTGTTTGTGGCCTATAAATGAACAGAGAGTCAGTGTACCGTCCTAATTTGAATTGTCCCACGAGCCGACGGGAGCATGCTGTGACACCAGCAAGAAGGGATCATGCTCGCAGAAGATGATTTCAAGCCTCACCCCATTGCGGGGGCCTCTATGGAAGAGACCCTTCTTCATGATGGCTGGGTGGTTTGGCCGATCGCACCCGGCGGCATGGAGGGAAACGAGGAGTCGAGCCGATCGATCGCAAATGTGAGCATATGCAAGTTTGGTGATTGATTCGTATAGTGCGATGTCAAGTCCAGCGAGATGAGATGAGAGTAAGAGGTGAGGTGGGTTGGGGTAAATCGGGGAAAGACTTTAGGCCGAGCACGTAGAGTCGCGGAGAGTGTCCGGGGAAGCCACCAAAGCAGGCCTGAAACGCAGGAACCGCATACGGGGCCTCCGTTACCGAAGAAAGAAGAGGGGAAAGGGCTTCCACTAAAAGAATCCAAGAAGGGGAAAGGGGGGAGGAAAGCTTGGAAAACTCAATACTCAAGAGGAGATGGAAGGGGGGAAGATGAAAGAGAAAGAGAAGTGAGTGTTCTTGCTGTGGCGTTGAGCCGGGGTTGTCTTTTATCTGACTGTACAGGCCGTAATCACCAGCGGGGACTAAGTATATTCTGAATTTCCTTTATCGGATCCTGGAGTAGTATTATGAATTATTGATTATAGTCGGTGGTATCAACTTATTTTTTTATCTTTTCTTTTCTTTCTTTACATAATAAGAGATTTATTGGCTGGCAACTGTTATCTGTTGGGTATATAGATTCTCCATATAAAACTATTTCAACATAGGTCAGCATCCACTGTGATATGTGTGTGTGGAAGGACTCCCCCTGCCTCGACCCCGGTTTTTTTCCCAACTGAAACCGAAATTCCCGCATTGAAAATGCAATCGAATCATCCAGAAAGAAAAACGTCCCCCCCCCCAGAATTTGAACTAAATAGCCTTTTGCGCTGGTTATGGCAATACACGTATAGAAACCTTAACTTTGTCGGACCACCCAGGCGCTAGATAGTACTAGACAGTTACTAGACAGTTACTAGACAGTACCTGGGCTGAGGGTTTCACTCGGGGCAGTTGATCAATGACGCCCGAATACTCCACCTCCCATGACAATACAATACAAACTACGAATTTCCAGAATCACCCAATGTTTCCAATGTTCAAGTGCCGCATTTTCTGAGCCACGTGGAGTTCCTAAGGCAGGTACTCGCCCAATCGCAGATTTTCTGTTGTTGCATCTTCTGACTTGCATCGTCCTCCAAGCGAAAAATCCACCCGGATACTTCGGAAAGACAAAGAGGAGAAACTACAATGAACAAAACCAGGCAGTGAGGGAGATTCGACCCATTATGTCATGGCGATTGGTCCTAGCCCTCGCTCCCCTCCCCAAAGCCCCCACGGTCTCCCATGGAACCTGGCTCCTCTTTTCTGTTACGGAAGATGGGGGCCTGGAGTTCATCGCGGTCTTCCCCATTAGCCGTGGCCCATCGATTGGCTACTCACTGAACGGGCGCCCCTCGCATGGCGTGTCACATCCACCAATAACCTGTCTTGTCGTGGGGCCTCAGCGCCGGAACAAACATTAGTGGCGGTGGAGTCCTTGCCCAATTTGGACTCCTTGCCTCGACCATTCGCGCCCAGCATCATGCGGGGGGGGGGGGGGGGGTAAAAGGAGGGCAAACGGGACTGGAACGGAATATCAACGCGAGATCAGACAAGATCAGATCCCCTCTTTAGACTAGACAAGGGGGTGGCAGCATCTTTCCTTTTTAATGAATATTGGATGATTGGGCCGCGCGGCCCTCTTCGAATCCCCAGAACAGAACGACGTGCGGCGACTTTCCGATGGACCTTGGACCTGGGTCATTAATCTATGCAGCGCGTGCAGTAGTGCACCCACCACAGTTCGATGTTAGTATAACATAGGCTCCTTGCGGGGTTCCTGCGCGCTAAGCAAGCTCGGGTATATGCCCACAGGCATGCCCAAGCCGCCTTCTTCCCTCCCTCCCTTCATTGAGATCCTTGATACGATCCCAGCTCGGGATCTGATCCCGCTGTGCCGAGAAAGGTATGTTACAATTCATTGGGTAAGTCGGTTGCAGAACACTCAACAATACCTGCGTCCAAGCGGGTGGTCTGCAGACGCCGTGCAGATACTACCATCGATCCGTGCCACACTCCATGTACAATTGTACATCATGGTGGGGGTGGCACTCAAGTCGCACAGGTTGATTCGACCACCGTTCGAGGTTTTGCCTCTTGCTTTTCGTGATATACAAACAAAATTTGATATGCATGTAGCCGAAGCTGAGGATTCAATGGCGTTTCGGTTGGGTTAATTTATACAAAGTTTATTTGACCTTAGTAACTTTGGGAAGATCCAGTAAGATACTCCGGTTCAATTTGTACGAGGCGAATAATAACTTTTTAAACAATATGTCATATCCATAAGTAGATTGCCCATCGCTCTAGAGCTTTTTGGCCCCCTTAGAAAGGAGCCTTGGGGGCGACCGAGTGATAATACATGTACCATAATTCAACCCACTGAATTGATCAACAAGGCTCCCCAGATAATATGCCGCACGGATAATTCTTCCTAACTGCCAATTATGGCTATGTATCGGGTTTATCGGAATTGGCCATAGTATCTGAGTCCGTAGTATTGTTAGTGTTTTGACAACAATTCCCTTTCCGTTGGTGGGTCTCGGAGCTCTAGTCTCCGTTGATGCTATCTCCGTTGATCCATGCTATGACGTTCTTTTATCCCTACCTGAACAGGAAGGTCTGTACGAAATTATACATCTCCAGTTCGTGATTAGATCGGCGGTCTCTGCTTAAGAAATCTCGGAAGAAAATGACATCTCCACTATACTGCAGTAGCCAAAAACAGGCTCTCAATCCATGATGGTGTACCTTCTTTCAATTATTGTTACAACACCTACTCGCAAATCTCGATAAACACCTCAGCCCATCCCGAGCTGTCACTCTTAAACTCTCAACAGCTCCACTGGGTTTTCAACCTTCGCCTCCCCAGTCTCCCCCGCAACGGTAAAACATTATGGATACATGTCCAAGTATGATCATGCTTGATATTATATGTTACAAAATCAGGGCAAACGCAACCTGCCTCCGCGAAAAGCTTTCTTCCTGACGCTAGACCACCTGGATAAAGACGGAGTTGAAACGTATTATAATATGGATAGGTTCGCTATCGCCTCCCGTGGACGTTGTTACTAGAGGGTATTCCAGTTCCTGGAAAGTATCCTTTATGTTCAGCTCGTGAGAAACATCCTGCTCTCCCTCCAGATCGTCGTTGTTTACTGGGACATTGGTGATACACTTGAGAGACCATTTGACCCAATTGAATTGAACCTTCTGGGCAACATCCTGGATAATGGGGCTCGTATATTCACGCAAAGTTGTCATACTCAATGTAACCTGAAAAGGCTGCGGATCGCCTATTTTAATAGCGAGGGGTACTGTCATATTAAGTTGAAAATGGCAACACGGTATGGACGAGGATTCAAACATCTAAGCTGATTTCTGTTTCAAATATAGCCTCTTTGGCTGTACATCAGGGAATAATCGATGGTTGCGCACTGTGCATCGGGCTGTGATGGTCTTCCACGCAAAGCGATTATTATCCTCCCTCGCAGGATGCCGAATGGTTATCGGGTATCTTGCTCTGCATATATGACGGCCTTCACTGATACTTTACGTATCTTCAATGAAATATTCAACTTTAATTCCAGTGGGATTGGGAGGGTCCCTGCTGCAAACCTCTTGGTGCTCGAAACTTTGAATGTCCCAGGCAGAACAAGGTGGGAAGGGTGATCTCCCTCTAGCGGTAAGAGGCTAGTTGCCTATAAATGACCTTCTCTGGCAGATCTTTCGGGCTCATTGGGAATTTGGACAGAGAAAGGAAAGCTTAGAGGATATTCACTGTTTTCAGAATGTTGCACTGGCCCACGGAAGACGAGTTGTGGTTTCCCGCGCAGAAGACTACAATGAGAAGACTCGAACGGTCCATAATCAATTTCTTTTCTCGTGATATGGAGATAATTTACTTTAGCCTCTGTTCGGCCCACGAGAACTAGCTCTATAGTAGCCTGGGTGGTGGAGATAGGCGTATGCCTCATCAGGTTCCCGATTATTGTGTCGCCCGCATCGTAGGACCAGCCCGGGGGCGCGGCGATATCAAACTCGAAAATTGAGCCTGGATTAGCAAGCATCTTGCAACGGAGTATGGCGAGAGAAGATGAGAATAATAAAAAGCGCGAACTGTACTAACAAGCCTGTTTAGTATGACTGAACCTAGATCCACATGGGGCCAAAAAACGTACGTACGCCTTGTTAATGAACGGATAATCTATTATTAGCTACTTGCCTGAATCAACTTGTTGGTCATTGATCTTTTTCCTCTGGGAAACTTGTAAAGGATTAGGTGCGATTAAACCCGAGTTCGGTGTTGCTCGCACGCATATTCCGAAGAGCCGCTGGAGATCTTCAACCAACCCTTCCAACAAACGAGTAGGAATACCAAGAGAGATGATGGGGATCCACTATATTAGTTTCAAACTTTGAAGCTCTATGTACCCAGAAGAGCACAAGCCATTTGAGGCTGAATTCTGCACCCGTCGACATCCATGTGTCTAGCCTCTTTAGTTGAAACTATTTATACCTCACCAGAAGCCACATGCATGCTCCGCCGCCAAGTGCTGGGCATAGCGCATATCGCCCAACAACAGAGATTCCTTCATTTCCTTTTCACAAACGTATCAGGAATTGGATGATCAGCACCTGGCTGAAACTAAAATTTAGTCAAACCTGAAGTTATAATGGAGGTCAATACATCGATTTTGAGTCAATATACAGTCACTGCCTAGAGAACGTATATCTCTTCATAGATGGCTCACTGCTCCAGCACAATCTCGGAGCTGCCTCTTTATTCAAAATAATCTAAACAATTAGTAATGCAGTTGCATCCATGGATATTTTGATTATTAGCTATAAATAATACTAGACATGACCCACCTGGGTATAGTACAGCCAAAATAAAAATTTAAAAGTTCCCCCGAAGAAATTGCTCGCTATTATTACTCTATTTTGTTTAGAAAATTCAGTTGTTTATGGTTTTCATGAGAGGGATGCTCAATGGCGACCTGAAGATAGGAAGACAGCGAAAGAGCTACTTCAGGATCCATGGCTGAATGATTAGTTAGAGTGGCTCAATTCCTAGTTTATTGTTATCATCAACTGCTCTACCAAGCTCAGACTCGAGATACATATACTTTATTCATTGTATCGTCGATTAATGTGCATGATATCAAACATTATGTTGGCATATATACTATGCCCTAGTATAGTTCGGATTAATATCCGGAAAAACTCCCCGAAGTAGCAAGATGGCCCGATCGAACCGATTTCAGTAACCGGCAGTTTTCGACGAATTGTGCGCGTCGCTTTTATGACGTCCTTATCTGGTTCATTGCGTCTGCATTCTGCACGACGAACCTTTGCTAATTCGATTGGCGTGGGCTCATTTTCTTGTCTGACTCATTTACCTACCCAAAGCAGGCGTACGGTCTCGAATCAAATTTGTCTCCGTGCCCCCACCACCCCCCACCATCAAAACTATCCCCGCCGCACTCGTTTCCCTTCCTCAACCCCTCGCTACAACTCGACAGACACAATGCCTAAGGAAAAGGTATCATTCAACCTCAAAACCCCCAAGGGTACCAGAGACTGGACCGGCTCGGACGCCCTTCTCCGGGACCGCATCTTCACCACCATCACCGATGTCTTCAAGCGCCACGGCGGAACAGCCCTCGATACTCCCGTTTTCGAACTGCGCGAGATTCTCGCTGGCAAATATGGCGAGGATTCCAAGCTCATCTATGATCTTCAGGATCAGGGTGGTGAGATTTGCTCCCTGCGCTATGACTTGACCGTGCCCTTTGCGCGTTGGCTCGCGATGAACGCCGACGTGCGCAGCATCAAGCGCTACCATATTGCTAAGGTGTACCGGCGTGACCAGCCTGCTGTCAGTAAGGGTCGCCTGCGCGAATTTTTCCAGTGCGACTTCGACATTGCAGGTCAATTTGACAGGAGTAAGTAGGCAATTTAAACCTAGGCTCTAACTAGATTTAATTAAACTACCCACCTTGGATTTTGTGACCTTGACTAACGAGAATTACTCTCTCTAGTGCTGCCCGATGCCGAGGTGCTGCGCATTGTTAGCGAAGTTTTCGAGGGACTCGGCTGGAACGGCCGTTACACTATCAAGGTCAACCACCGCAAGATTCTGGATGGTGTCTTTGCTGTGTGTGGTGTGCCAGAGGACAAGATTCGGCCGATCTCGAGCGCCGTCGATAAGTTGGATAAGATGCCTTGGGCGGATGTGCGCAAGGAGATGGTCGATGAGAAGGGCCTGGATGGTGCTGTGGCGGATCGTATTGAGACGTATGTCATGCACAAGGGTGGACGTGACTTGCTGGACAGATTGCTTGAGGACGAGACTCTCACTGCCAACGAGTCCGCCAAGGCCGGTCTCGATGATATGGCTCTGATGATGGATTACCTAGAGGCATTCGGCTCTTTGGACAAGATCTCCTTTGATATGTCCTTGGCCCGTGGATTGGATTACTACACTGGTGTCATCTACGAGGTTGTTACTGAAGGCTCTGCTCCTGCTGTGCAGTCTGATGCCCCGGAGGCGAAGAAGCTGCAGAAGTCCGGCAAGAAGGGCAAGAACTCAGAGGATGATGACCGTTCCGATGACCCTACACTTGGTGTTGGCAGTGTTGCTGCTGGTGGTCGTTACGATAACCTGGTCGGCATGTTCCAGCCCAGAGCTCAGATTCCCTGCGTTGGTATCTCTTTCGGTGTTGACCGTATTTTCGCAATCACAAAGGCTCGCCTCGAGCGCGAGCAGAACGAGAATTCTCTCCGTCCTACTGAAGTTGATGCATACGTCATGGCCTTCGGTGGTAAGGGCTTCACAGGCATGCTCAAGGAGCGCATGGAAGTCTGCCGGCAGCTGTGGGATGCTAACATCAAGGTATATTGAAAAAAAAAATATTGGATTTGTACATTGTTTTGCTTACTTCTTTCCCAGGCCGAGTTCTCCTATAAGCTGAAGCCTAAGCTGCCACAGCAATTCAAGGCCGCCGAACAAAGCGCCATCCCCTTCGCCGTCATCCTTGGTGAAGAAGAACTAGCTGCTGGCAAGGTTCGCATTAAGGAAATGGGTCTTCCTGCCGATCACCCCGAGAAGGAGGGTGTTGAGGTCGAGTTGGCTTCTTTGACCTCTGAACTCAAGACCCGTCTTGGTCAGAAGCAGTCTGGTGCTGTCACCGGCTTGGCCCAGCAACTTCAGGCTACACAAGTTTGAAGAAACAAAAAGATGAAAACTTAGGCGTTTGATTTCATTTCCCCATCTCCCTCTTATTTCTGGCCATGGTTAGCACTGTTCATTTTTTCTCTCCCAAAAACTTACAGATTATATCATATCTATCCTCCCCCTTTGCATCTGTCTGGATTATAGATTCAGGAACCCACGCAAGAAAAGGTGTTGCAACATGTGAAAAGAGAATAGCCGACTTATCAATACCCAATTCATTTCATTATCTTGAGAAGAGTCTGTTTACGAATCCCAGCCCGATTTCAACCCTAAACTACTCTTAAACTCCAAGCATGTCATTTCGAGACCGTCTTGGCCACGGTACTTCTCAAGAAAGAGAGTCATATCAAGTTGAACATAACTGAGCATATATTGCACACTGGCGCCGTAGCCACTATACTAGTAGTACAGGTTCGTCTCCAACCTTGCTGAAACAGAGAATGAATCAAGGCTCAGCCACAGGAATCGTCGCGTAATACGCCATGGCCTTCTGATTAGCTTCAGGCGTCATTTCTCCCCCCTCCACAAATTGGCCCAGTAACTTAAAATAATTTATATAGAACGCAGGGGTGAGAGTATTAAAGAAAATCGTCTCTTCATCCGTGGGGTTCGAAAACGTATGCGGACTCTTGATAGGAACCACAATATAATCACCAGTCTTAGCATCAATGTCTGGTTTGCCAGGAACATGGAATCGCAGGGTACCCTTGGTAACGAGGAAAGTCTCATCATGCATCTCATGCCAGTGTGGAGGGGGTCCGCGAACCCTTGGAGGAATAGTAAGCTCCACGCTACTGAGACGATTGTCTGTCCAGATTTAATACGTAAGTATAAGTTTATATGCTCTAGGTTGACTGTCAAGCTTACCTGTGTTTGAGCCATCTTCCAACACGCGGAGCTTCATGGGTCCAATAGTAATGATGTCGCCCTTTTTAGCTGGGACAAAGCTGAGCGGACGGTCTGGAACCTCCATAGTGATAGATATTGATCAACTGATGTGCTTATTTTCTTTTATTTGTGCGGTGCTCTTGAGAAAGACTGGGCTTTGTCGAGGGATACTAAGCCTTTTATAGTACTTAAGTGTCAGAAAATTCATCCACAAGAAGATTTGATACTATACTAGTACTATATTTATGGGACGCCTAGACCATATTGTGGAGTATAGCTGAGTCAAATCATCGGCGTTTGCGGGGTTTATTAGCTGTTCGGATAGGCAAAATGCCGAATACCGAATATTTATACAGATTCAGCCTAGCAGGGCCACCGCTTTGAGTATACTCTTCGAGACTGCTCAGCACTTGATTGTTCCTCCCCTACTGACGGGACCAGCTTCGGTACATAGTAGACGCTCCGGCAGCTACCGCGGCCCTCACAGTAGCCGGGAAGTAGTACACAAGGCCCCACAACTACCATACTGGAGTCCATATGTACACAGTAGGGACTGAGGTATAGTAAGACTTGGCATGTATCAATATATAGCAGCCACACTTATAAGCTGATATTGCTAGTTAAACGCTTTATCTTTTTATGGAAGACCTTATCCTTGCACGTCTCTGTTTAGCAGTTCATATTGAAATCAACTTGATCTGAAAATATTCAAAGAAATTTGCTCTCTCTCGTTGTCCTGTATTCATTAATAATATCGGTCTCTATGATTTACAGTCGGAACTATTCCAAGGTTCTGATGCAATTCTAGTTCTAGATAGTACTATCATATGCCGTCTTCCGGTTATAGCTATAGATAAACCTTGGAGCTCAAAAGCTTCAAGGTATCATAACACTAATGGTTGAGTATCTGAACACAACGATATATTGACCAATCCTTTGACTCTTAATGGGAAAAAAGACCCAAAATCTCCCAATGCGACTCTGCAATTCAAATTCCGAATGTTCCTTTTTTCGGCCCCAAGACTACTACGTATACAAACCCCTCTTCCAGCCCGGGGGCCGGTGCTAAGTCATGCACTTCCCAAGGTCAAAAGATCTACGCACTACAAACTTGAAAGGCATCATCCTCCGTACCTGCAGTTAGAGGCTCCTTGGAATCCAATCATATAGATTAAGCATGCTTATCTCCAGCCCCGCCGCAGCTTTGACACGGCACACTGACGATCTCGTCTGTCATCTGTACACGTCTGAACCTACTCAATCGCTTAGCGAGGAACTTAATAAATCAAGTCTCTCTAAGATGTATACTGTAAAGTAAATGAAAGCCACATAGCACTTTCCAAAGTTTGTTTACGACAAAAGGGTTGAATATTCGCCCATCCCAGCGCCTACATCTAAAGTCTTTACACATACTAGCAACTTGAACAAGCTCAATGTGTTTCATCGCCGACTGCGTCGAGCGAATCCTATACATAATGTGTTGCTGCGATTCCCATTTCGAACCTGACAACCACTCTGCGCAACAAGGTGGTTTTCGTCAAGAACAACAATACCGATCCTCAGAAGAAATGCACTATCGCCCTCAAGACGAGGATGAAGACGACTATGAGGAACCACAACGACCGCAACGACCGGTAAGAACTCTACATGCACCTCAGCATATCTTAAAAGAGAATTAGTATCTTACAATTTTCCATATAGCCACCTGCTGCGCGCGCACTGAACAGACAGAGTCGAGCGCCGCAAGGTCCCCCAATCCCTAAGGGCCAGGCCATTCCGTCTATCCGCTCCTACCATGGAAACCAATTCAAGACGTTTGAGCCCAGACGATTCAAATGGAATTAGGCAGGAACGGGCATTGTATTTTCTGATATCTGGCTAGATGCTAAGTCAGGTCAGCATAAAGGGTCTATCACACTGAGTAACGGGCGGAAGTTTCCTTTCAATGGCGTGTTTGTTAAGTCTGGAGGCGACGGGTCATGGTTTTTCTATAGCGGCGAGGGATTACCAAGGAATCCTAGAGTATATACGAATTATGGGCTTTAGGACCTGGGAGAATATGCATGTTTGTGCTCTCTTGAATGATAAAAATTTTTGTGGCTTGCTTGGGGAGATATTGAGAAGTGAGTACGCTATATCAGCTTCATATGATGCGGTAACGGGAAGTTCGTATGCAAATAAGAAGTCTGTTCGTTTGGTATTCAAAGAATGAAAAGGAATAAAAGTTTAGTATACAATATATCAATACAATCCAGTACTAGAAGTCTTGGGCTACTAGTTTGTCTAGTAGCCTTCGGCATTCTTCATCAAGAAGGACTTAACAAATGGCAATTTATCAATGACATCTAGTCCCAGACTACGAGCCCAGGTGATAGGCCCTTGCCCGGGAACAGTGTACATTTTATGAAGTAGATCGCAAGCGCCGCCAATCTTAGCATTGGGCAGATAACGCTCAGACGAGTACCGCTCCAGAGTAAGAAGATCACCGATATCCATTCCGTGGCTTACAGCGTACTCAATAGTTCGTGATAGAGCGGCCACATCCGCCAGACCAAGATTCAAGCCCTGACCAGCGAGGGGGTGAATAACATGAGCTGCATCTCCGACAAGAGCAACACGGGGAGAGATGTATTGTGCTGCATGACGGAATCGAAGTGGGAACGAGGCAACAGTTCCTTCTTGCACGCCAATAGCCTTGGGGGGAATATGAGATGGTTGTTCGGTGTGCTTGACGCGCCAATCAAGCTCATCTTCGTGAGAGATCTCCGATGATGATTCCGACATGCCAATCATGTATGACAGATCTGTCATGCTCAGTCTGAAGGCGGCATTGACCATAGCAAGAAAAGCAGGGACAGGGAGAGATTTGAGGTAAGCGGCATGTTCAGGTTTAGTAGACCAGACCAGCGTTGCGTGGTTATTAGGGAGAGGGAGCAAGGCGATCGGGCCGCCAAGAGCAGGCAAGAAGCGCTGATAAGCAGTGTGAACATTATTGAATGGAGCCGGGAGGTCTGCCAGCGAGAGAGTTGCGACTATGCCATGGCGATTGTAATCCCAGCCCTGAGTGGGGATATCGGCGAAAGTTCGCACTGGACTGTTTATTCCGTCTGCGCCAACGAGAAGGCGTGCAGCAATTCGTGATGGCGCTTGTGTCTCTGCGTTGGCACCTGTCGGCTTTACTGAGAGGATAGGCCAAGCTGACAGGTCGGGCCCATCAGTCTGATCGGATCCATTCTCGATGGACGCAACCGTATGATTAGAGAAGAGGGTAACATTCTCATCGCCTGAGGCTGCAATACGGCCTAGCAATCCGCGCACCAGATTTGAGTTCTCAGTCATAGTAGCGACTGTTCGCAGGTCCTCAAAAGCGGGCGTCTCCGAAGACCAATCAAATGATATTCGCGATCCGGTTTCCCCGTCCCACACCTGCATTTCCTGATATTCTTGAACCCTCTCAATATCTAGATGCTTCCACGCATCAATCTTTTGCAGAAACTCAATTGTCGAGGGTGTCAAGCTGCTGACTCGGTTGGAGAACTTGCTCGAGTCGAGGTTCCATGTGCGGGCCTTATCGAGGTCTTGGGTTTCGACGAGGGCGACTCTTAGCTTTGATGTAACCGGCGACGCTCCTATATTATGTTAGGACCATATTCATTTCCCACTTCTGCGCGTTTGGCCATTGCATGACGTACGTAGTGCGGCGAGCAATCCGAGGCCCGCAGGGCCACCCCCGACACAGACTACATCGTAGATGTCGGGTTTTTGGCTAATCGCTGAGGCAAACCGCCGTCGACCAGCCCCAATACCATGTCGGCAGGATGCGCAAACGTATGGCCGCAAAGCTGCCCTTGAAATCGATCTCATTGTGTTTGGGAGTTGAGGTTGGCGGGAGATCAAGCAGAGATGGGCGTCTGGCATGACACTGTCGGAACAACTCGTTCTTCCCGCCCCACTTCGATAGGCCGAGCCGAACTATGAGCTAAGTTTACCTAGCTATGTCTAATTTTTACATTGCATGAATGATAGATTTTAGATGAAAATAGGAGTCAAGTGAATAGTATGGTATTGCACATATGACGTGACAAGTAATAACAAGCTATTTAAAGAACCTGTGATTATGAACAGATATACCAAAGCGCCGACCTGATTTCAAGAGCAGAATGCCCAGATAATAGACTTGAATGCAGTAATTACCGCGCTCACAAGGCAGCGGACTCAGAGTCCTGTGCAAATTCTGGGTCCCCTTCCATCTCTGCAATGAAACGCTCCCAGGTAGACAGGACACCCTGGTAGAAGTCAATGTGAGACTCTGCGAGGGAACCAAGGGAATCCCGGAATTCTACAGCCTTGATGCGCTCGAAGTCTGCTACTTCGCGAACAACCTCCTCGTCGAACATCTCAGACGTGGTCTTTGCAGAGTCAACTTCACGTGTCAATTCATCGATGCGAAGCTCAAGCTTGCGGACACGTTCACGGCGGGAAGTTTCATGATCAACACCGCGCATGTCCTCCATCTTCGAGCGGATAAAGGATGCCGGCGAAGAAGTAAGAGGATTAGATGCATAATAAGCAGCTGGATTGGCAGCTAACGAGTCCCGCTCGGCCACAGCTTTGTTGCGGTAGTCAACCAATGCCTCGAAGTCAAGCTGCTTCTGTTCACGGGTCTTCAGAAGAGTCTTAACCGATAGGATATATGCTTCCATATCGCGCAGAGACCCTAAATAATTCTGGTCTGTTTCGTCCTTTAATCCTTTCAATCCACGTGCAGTTTCTTCTACTGATGCGGCAAAGACTTGTAATGGCATCTCAACGGCAGGTTCAAGAGGGACCAGTTTGCGGAACTGAGTTGCCAGCTCTGTATAATCCGTTTCCAAATCAGTTTCGCGCCGTGCGACCCGCGCCACGGTTTTTTCCACGTGTGATAAATCTTCATCCAGTTTATCCGCCTTCTCTTTGACTTCGATGAATCGGCGGTCTGGTTTGTGTACCTTGGTGAAGGCGTTGACGAATGTATCGGTAAAATTATCAAATATCTTGGTGGAAGCATTCTCTGATGATGCAGTTGTTGTCCCCCGCGTCGAATGTAGTCGCATATGAGCATTCCAGTCCGGCGACTCCAGGAAGATAGTAAGCAAAGGGGCACGTCGGAGTACAGGGTGAAGTGTCAGTCGCTTCAAGAATCGGTGTAGCGACCATGCTCTTCGTGATGTGAACTCCGTGCCGAACCGGTCGCCTCGCACATACTCCATCTTGTGCTTGTCCGGCAACGGCGGAACGGCACATGCTGGATATTCCCGGTAGAGAGTCTTGTAAAGGAAGTAGAAGTCGGTGTATCGTCGGCGAACATTAAATTCGGGCTTTTGGAATGATTTAAAATCGGTCTGAAGAGTTTCATCATTAGTGCTCAGAACCACTTAAAGAGCTAGTCTCCAAAGCCGCGGGGGCCACGGGCAAGCACCCAGAGCAAGCTGCACCCTCTTCCTTAGAATATATCAATAGGAGATGATAACTTACATTAGTTGTGACGAGATATGAGATATAAGCATCCTTTGTGCCATCATTCTCTTTTAAAGGTGAGTCTACCTGGCACTCGAGTACGCCGTCACCAATACCCGCCAAATCAACGGCATCGGCTAGTGGGCCAGCTTGCGGTTCTTCAGGTGCTGAGCTTATTCTTCGCTTGCCATTGGCATCGTTATCATGTCTATTTTGTTCCTCTTCATTTGTGCCAGATGTCGTGGGTCGAGAAGCATCGCTGTCCCCATCATGTTTCCAGGAAACATTATCGAAGTCGTCGTGTTGATCCATCGCGGGGAAGGTGTGTAACTTGGGTAGTCACCCAGTCAGATGGCGAGTGAATCAAAGTCTCAACGATGCAAGAAACAAGTTAGAGAAGGCTGGGTTATGAGAAATGCGAAGTCGTGGAATAGTGGGGGCTGAGGCGGGTGAAGCTGAGCTGGGGAGTTGGGAGTTGGGATGATCGGCGACTCCCCCCAAGGCGGAGAGACTCCGAAACGGGAAACGTCGTCATCGCTATTTTATGCATCACAGGGAATGGAGTACGAAGTGTCTACTGGTATATTCGAATAAACAAAAGAACAGGTGTGTTTCATCCCTCAATATGCCATTTGTTATATCAGAATCACCATTATCTATTTTCTATGCTGACATTCCTTGTACATTCCTGATCATGATGCAATGGTAAATTTACATAACTTCAGGCAGCCGGTTTTCCTAGAGGAAACTAACACTGCTCTCTTATCGATATAGCCTAGGTATAGAGATGGCAACACAAGCACCGGTCGATGACAAAATATGGGATGGAAAGATGAAAAAAAGTACCCAAATCAGATTAATAGAGAGGCCTTACTGCTTCTCAGAAAGCAAGTGGCCATCTTCGTCATCGTTCTCTGGGATGTTGGTTAAACCATCATGGTACGGTTTCTCCTCCTCATCACTGAACATCTCCTCGTCACTCTCTCCAGCGAACGCGTTATAGAGTTCACCACCGCGGCGCTGAGTGCGTCCACCACCTCCAGTCATAGGATGCATTTCGTCTTCGTCGTCAATCATCTCGAATTCGTAGTCATCCTGGGGGCTGGTGCGACGGCGTTTCTGACGCTGCAGTTGGAAGAATACACCTAAACCAATGAAGAAAACGATGATCATGGCTAGAGATGCGTAAATCCAAACTTGAGTGCGCTTAGAAGCACCAAATGTTGGGAGATAAGAAGAAAGGTAGTTGTCAGATACGGCAGTGCTAGTAGGCGAGGAAGTACCGCTGGCAGTGGTACCATCATGGACAACGTCAAGCTCCTCATCAGCGGCTTGGGTCGGTGTGGGCTCCCCAGGCTTCGAGTTCACCGGCCGATCATGATGATCATCCGGATTGCTGACAGCGGTCTTTGATGGCGCAGGCTGCACGGTTGTCGTAGCCACATGAGCTTCCTCGTAGGGATGTTCATCGTCGTGCTCATCAGGCAATGGGTGAAGCTCTTGCTTAGACCCATCAACGGCCTCACCCCAGAGATTGAGTCTCCAGTCAACGAAATCACCAGTAAAGCCATTGACCTCAGTATCCTTTACAACAACTGTCCACTCACCGACAGCGGAGTCGCCCCTGTAATTGAGTTAGCGGGTCATTCAAATAATTCATATAGATATGCGCCTGGTCCTTAGAATGTACATACCAGTGAGCAACGGACATGAAAGTCCAGTCAATATATCCAATATTCGCCTCATCGTATTTGCGAGCAACACTAAGGTGACTGATTATTCCAGATGGGCTGCGAAGCTCCACGCTGAGATCACCGCGGCGAGAATGGTTGATGTTCATAGTAACAGTAACATGTTCTAGTCGAGCGAAATTGGAACTCTTTAGCTGATCAGCAGTGACATTAAATTTGCTGATGAGTCCCTGCGATCCTTGGGGAATTTCGTGATGTACTCGCAACCAGGGCGAATTAAACCATGCCTGTGGTTTCACCATCTCCCAAGTGCGAGCCTTTTTGACCAATGAGTATGCGTCAACCTTGCCAAAGCCCCAGTCGTGGCTGAACTTTCGACCAGATGGCAGAGTTTGCCAGCTGCCGTCATCCTCGCTGACCGGGACTGCAGTCTCTACCATCAAGTATTGTATATCACGCCACGTCAGTTCAGGCCGAACACCCAGTGCAAGTGCTACAGTTCCTGCAGCAAGCGGACCAGCCGCCGAAGTACCACCGTGGTTTGAATAACATCTGTCATGGCCCACGTCGGTCGTATGAATTGCATCGCCAGATCCACTGCTGTATGCAACGACTAGCTGAGCAGAGCAAGATTCGGAATATGAAGGGTGGTTTCCTTGTCGATCGATAGCGCCAACTGTGATGCTGTAGATACTGTTGGTATATCCGTCGAAATTGCAGTTGTCGCCGTATTGCGCACCATTACCGGCAGCAAAGACAAAAATCGAACCCTTTCCGTCACGGCCTTTTTGCACACCGTTTACCATAGCTCGCTTGATCAGGACACCAGGTGCATCCATTGTCTTGCCATCGTCCATGGGTCCCCATGAACAAGAGTAGATGTCATTCTTTTGAAACTCGTAGTTGATGGCTTTAGCCTCGTCCACGTCATCAATCGGCTTAGACAAAATCCGAATGCCTGCCACTTTGCTATCATATGCGACACCCACACCACAGACATCGTTCTTTGCAGCACCAATTTCTCCTGAGCAACGGGTACCGTGTCTATCGTCATCGAGCAGAGGGCGAGGCTCTGGGCCGTTTTCGTTGAAATCGTAGGAACCCTCGGCGAAGTAGTTGGGCTTCAGATCATAGCTATCGAAGTCCAGACCATCATCAACGATTGCTGTAACGATACCTTTACCTGTCGCTCCTTCCAGCCAAGCGCCCGTTACATTCAGATCATGTCCGGGTTGTGAAGGGTTGAAGAGATGCCACTGATCCTCGAAAATGGGATCTGTAATTCCCAAAGTCGAAACAATATCTTTTTGTTGGGCGGAAGGACTCTTTTCCGGAACGGCATTCAACCGTCGGGCGACATCATCTGTAGGAGGGGGTGCGCGCTTGTGTAGTCGTTGCCTAGGAGCCGCAAGCTTCTCTGACCATAAGATAATGGAGTCCAGCGAGTCTGCGCCACTCGCAGTATTTTCACCGGATCGCCGACGGAGTTTCCTGTTCGTTTTTATTGAGTCCAATAAAGCAGCGAAATCCTGGCTTTGGTCGCGCGGTAATGAGAATGTGTAGTGGTCATCTAGTTGGCCTATCTGGCCCTCGTATCGGGCACCTAGGGTGCGGGCAACATGATCGGGAGAGGAGGCGGCGTCAATATGAAGGGCGAAGAACTCTCGAGATTCTAAGGATCTGGGATGAGGGTTGGAAGAGGCTGCGCCCGCGAGGCCGATGGCCAGGGCGATAACAGCGAGACGCATAGTTCAATGGGGCCGGATGGGGTAAATGCTCGATCTCACGATCAAGCTCGGATGAAATATAAGGCAGTTGCCATGAACGGAATATGAAAACTTGCGACGAAGAATGGGAGGAAAAGCGTCGGTGTCTCTCCCAGAGTTAAATGGAGGACGGAGGATGAGGGTGGCAAGTTGCGGAGTCGAATAGGAGGATCGTCAGAGAACCCAGAATAACACGGGATCCCAAGTACTTCCTGCTAATCCACCGGGGCCGTTTTTCAGGTGGAACAGTTATGAGGTAACAAGGGGTTCTTTTATGTAAATCTATTTTATTCTTTCTGCTAATTCGATTTTTTCGAATTTTGAATCATTAAATGGACCTCAATGCTTATTGCTTGTCATCATCCAAGACCACGATTACGCTTTTCGGCTTTGAACTTTAGCTACAAGTGGCTTTTGTGGGGACTTTTTGTCATCATCCATCAACGATATGCTCTATGCTATGCTAGTATTTTGGAGCATTTAAGCAAACCTCAGGGGCCCCCGAATTATTTTGATTATTGTGGTAGTGATGTTGCTGGTCCATACAACTCTCACGCACGGTCGGGAACTGCAGGAATCTACTAGGTCGCCAGATCCTTGCATCCATCGCATCAATTGATCCTATTTGAAAATCTATCCGGTATTTCGACTTATGGTGAGTATCACGGTGCCCAGGTGCCTTGCTCAAGTATTGTGATATAACATTATTAGGTTTGTCAACTTTACAATGTCTAGTATGTATAGTATAATCTATGATCATTGCCTTATAGATTCTAGATTTTCAGCCTCAACTGGTTCAATTTGTGCTACTACAGGGCTAATACGACACTTGGGCGGGAATATATATATGCTACTATACCCTGCTTAGTACTTTTCATAAAACCTCGTCAGCGATCTATATGACCTAACTATATGCCCCATACATCGTACAAAACGAGTTAAGCTTAGGTTGGGCCCATCTGGCCTGCAGTGGGGCATGATTTAACCATGGACCAATGTATACGGGAGGACAGAGCATGAAGGCATATTATAGCATATAAAAAAAAACATTTGAGGGCCAATAAAATAATGATACTAAATTTTTTGCTGTACTAAATTCAATTACTTCCCTGTAAATCACTTAGAAATATTTGAAAAACCTGCTGGGCCACGTATAGGGCTTCCCCCCTCACGCTCCACGAGGGCCAATCGCGTTGTTGGGTCCGAAGAAGGCTGGGTTGACACCAGCCACCGGGATAATGCGATGTATAGAGGGCGACACAACTTCCTTCGCTCCACCAACTTTTTTTTCCCCCCTTTCCTTTCCTTCCATTCCTTCTCCCAAACTTCGGACTCTTCCAAATTCTTGACTTTATTTGCTTGTGGCCCCGGGGATTCTTGTGCGACGACAAAACGACCTGCTCATAGTTAATTCCCCCGCTCTTCCAAGTACCGGGCAACACAGTTAATCCTCAGGCAAGCATGCGGTAAGCTTGGATCAGGCACCAGGCGCATTCAGTTTGAAACCACGGCTATTCGTTTAAAGAGAAAACACGTATGTCAAGCTTGCTTTATCTCCCAATTGTCTTATCTTTATCCTTGGGTCTCAAACAATGCCTTTGTAGTAGACGTTGACTAAAGCCATTGCAGTTGGGACCATTCATGCACCACGGGAATCGGCTTCCCTGCCAGCTTCCTTTCTTTGCTCGCTCCTAGATCTCCATTTGATCCCATTATTCCCACAGATACACAATGGCGGCGGCAATGCACAATTCACCTGAAATAGCCAACGGCGGCTATGATCCAGAAAATATCAATGAGCCCGGGACTGCTCTTGGGAGCCACAAATATTACGCTGAAGCTATAAATCCTGAGCCTGTGGCAGAGCCAGGTCCCTCCAAGCCACGAAAATCCAAAACCAAATCCGGCTCAGGACAAGGTCCACCAGGAAGATCTTTCTCCGTCAGAGCTCGCGATGCCAATCTGAACTATACCATTGGTGAACCCGAGCCCAATACACCCCCGGGACTTGCAGAGGAATCAACCACGCCGCGAGGTCTCCCACCTACTTCGTATCCACCAGAAGCTGAGGTAGCCACTCCGGAAATCGAAGTGTCAGTACCACCGCCCGACGCATCGACTGCTGCAAACGTGCACTCGCCCCCAAGTCGCTCAAACACGATGCGCTCAACATCTTCCCAACAACGTCGAGATTGGGCCTCGGACCGATCACCCCTTCAAAAGCTGGAAGTGACTCTGAATGGCATCAGCAAAGAGGAAAAGCGCGCGCGAGTCCAAGAGGCGGAGATGCGTCTTCGCGAGCGCATGGCTCGTCAGAAAGTGGAAAGAGAACAGGCGGAGGCAGCGGCGGCCGCCACCGCTACGGCAACAGCAACAGCAACAGCAACAGCAACAGCCCATGCCCCTAAGCCAAGCTCCAAACAGAGTTCGCATTCCGAAAACAGGCCCTCATCTAGCACAACGCGAGACAGAGAGCGCAAAGGTGTGATTGCCGAAGATATCGCAAGGGATATACCGCAGAACTCACGGCAACCGAGAGGCGACACAGGTCGACATAATAGAAATGTTTCAATGAACCCTCAATTCCCAATGATGCAGCGACCCGAAGAAAATGCTCAGTATGCACGAGAAGAGGCAGCGGTTCCACCACCCGCGAAAATGGGTACGGTTCCTCGACGGGCTGTAACAATGAGCGGACCAGCTGCTAAGCCACAAAGTATCCGTACGGATATGCAACACACTCGCTCTTTATCTCAGCAAGGATCTGCCAAGCCTCAACGGACTGTTATTCCCCCGGTTGTGGCACCAGCCGCCGCTGCTGCTCTTGCGAGCGCCGCTGTCCCAGTCGATGAGAGACTAGATATTCCTCCAGTGGCGCGCGCGGCTCAAGAAAGTGTCGAATCAAATTCAAGACCTAAAAAGCAATCAGTATCATTCAACGTGCCACCTCCTACGCCACCTCCAGTCTTTGAATGGAAAAATGCACCACCCGCACACCTTGGAGTAGCGGACTTTGACTTCCAAACCCTTGATATGGAGCGAAGTAAGGCATGGTGGGAAGGCGGAGGCACGAAAAACCGAAGAAAGAGCAGAGCTCTCCCCAAAAATTACCAGACTCCAGCTCAGAAGCTAACAGGTAAGATGATATCCCATCCAGATTATCCTATCTAGAAACTAACATAATCTAGGCGTTACTCAACATAAAAACTTCCAGCCAAAGCTCTTCCTTCGATCTGGACCATTATTGAGGTATACGGGAATTAAGAAAATCAGCACCAATGGGCCCCAAGGTGCCGTTCAAAAGGAGATCTGGCGAGGTTCCATTATGATTGTGACAAAGGATAGTCGCTCTTCCTATGAGACTCCACCGACACTGCGCCTCTTCTCCCAACCTATGGACCTTCTCCCTCCCCCACCTGCAGAAGTCAGCCGGGAGGACGGTGTTCAGCTCGCTCCGGAGTATATTGATCCTACTGCCGGTCTGATGAAAGTTGGTCGTGATGGCCGGCCCCTTTATGTCAAACCTGTCGAGCACCTTGAAGAGGAGATTGATTTGTCTGGCGTGGAGAATGAGGACGGTATATATGAGCTGTCTCCAAGTATTCTCGACTACAAAACCGAAGGGTCTAATCAGCCTATTCCGGCAAACCGTATTCATTCCGTTGATGGCGAATCGGCTAGCTTACATCGAGATATTTCCGGTGTCCGTCTTTATGCTGATGCAGCTAGAGATGTGACATTTTGGCGGTTCAATCTCGAAGTCGAACTTGGGACAACACAACAGCGCATCGCCTACCGTATCAACCAGGGCCCTGCCTTGGGATTCTGGGTACCAGCTTCAGGTCAGCCTATGAATATAATGTTCCATAGTGGCAATGGATTCAGTCCATCTGTGGATTCCGACCGGTTCTGTGGTCCAGATCCTCTCTGGCGTGATATTCTTAATGAGCACCAAACTAAGCCATTCCATGTGATGATTGGCGGCGGTGATCAAATATTTAATGACTCCGTTATCACTAGTTCCCAATTTTTCCAAGAATGGATCAAGATGAAGAACCCCGCAGAGAGATACGGCACACCATTCACTCCTGAGTTCCGTGCTGAACTAGAACAGTTCTATTTGAACCGCTATGCTTCATGGTTTTCGCAGGGTCTATTCTCTCTCGCCAACTCTCAAATTCCCATGATCAATATGTGGAATGACCACGAAATCTTTGAAGGTTATGGATCTTATAACTCAGACTTTATGCAGAGCATGGTCATCTCTGGCTTGGGAAGGATTGCGTACAAGTATTACTTGTTATTCCAACACCACAGTGTTCCAGACGAAACCGAGGCAGATGAACCGAGCTGGCTTCTTGGTGCTCGCCCGGGTCCCTATATTGAGCAGAAGAGTCGGAACCTTTTCATGTCTCTGGGCAGTGATGTTGTTTTATTGGGCTTGGACTGTCGAACTGAACGAACCAGCAATGAAGTTCTCAGTGAAGAAACATGTGATCTAATTTGGGATCGATGCCACAGGGATATCATTCGTGGCGAAACTAAGCATCTAATCGTCCTCTCGAGTGTCCCTCTTGCCTACCCCCGAGTGGCAATGCTCAAGAATTTCATCAATAGTCGGAAGTCGCTAGGAAAGTCCGGTATGCTTGGTGGGCTTGTCAACCGATCTGGCGGAAATGTGGAAGTGTTTGATGACCACTGGGCTGGCAAGCACTTGAAGTCTGAGCGAACATGGCTGGTAGAAGACTTACAAGATCTTGCCGCTGAAAAATCCGTCCGAGTTACGATTCTGAGTGGCGATGTTCATCTCGCTGCCATCGGGCAATTCTATTCGAACCCAAAGCTAGAAATTGCTAAAGACAAGGACTACCGATATATGCCGAACATCATTTCATCTGCTATTGCCGACATGCCAGAAACAGAAATAATTTCAGATATGCTCAACAAGCGCAACACCGTCCACCACATGGACTCAAACACCGACGAAGATGTTATCCCCATCTTCACCCAAGATGTCGATGGCAAGCCTCGAAACAACAAGCGACTGTTACCCCGACGAAACTGGTGCTCTATTAGAGAATACCGGCCTGGCTCTACCCCGCCTGATACCCCAGAGTCCGTCATGACACCCCCTCTAGAGGTCCGCCCCAGCAAGCTTCAGCGGACCCTATCCTTAGGACAGGGCGATAGGGGCCATGGCGCCGCAGGTGGTCCCAGCAAACCAGCCGGTCTATTCAGAAGACTCTCAGGCCGCGGGCCACCACCCACCAGAACTATGAGCCATGGCCGAGGAGATGGTATGCCAGCTCGACGAGCCAGTGTGGACACATCCACTATCTCTCGTCCTATCGAGAATGGAAATAGCTATTTCCCAACGGCCAATGATCCACAACCCGGCAAATTCCACCGACGACCATCCAACCTCAGTGAAAAGGCACTTAAGAAAGCGCTCAAACAGGGTGAGGATGGGGGAGGCACCTTTGTGAATCTCCAAGGAGGCTTAGCCATCACATTGAACATGGAGATTAGTCCTCAAGACCCCGCTGGTATCACAACGCCATACAAGTTCCTGGTACCAGCTCTAGATTACGAAGGCAATAATGACGAGCCCCATCCTACACAAGTTGTGAAAGGCTGGCGAAAGTGGCTCAACATGCCGCGACGGAAGAAAACGAGAGATGGGGCAGACCATGACCTTGATGAGGATGAGGAGGAAGAAGAAGACACCGAAGATTACGATGATTATGATAATACTGTCAACAATACCCGTGCCAATGCTGTTGCCACTGGTGCTGCCCCCGCCTCGCAACAACCCTACGAAGGATACCCCGGAAGTGATGGCTCTGATAGCGAAGTACCTCAACGCTTACCACCAGAGGCCCTTGCAGACTACTCCCCCGACGACGAAGAAGGGGACTATTACGACGACGAGGAACCTACTCCAAAACGAAAGAACAAGAAGTGGTTCGGTTTCAAATAAGCGATTAATTTGAAATGTACATTATCATGAATTATGCACGTGCGCATATGTTTTTATTTATTTCCTATTTTTATTTTCTCAAGTCCTTACGATGTGAACGATTCGGATACTCTGTTCATTAGGATCTTCTTCAATAATATCCCCTCATCGAGAATTCTGTTTCAGCTCAATCTGATCGTTTTATTTTCTATTCCCATACATAACTTCAAGTTCATTCAATATCTATAGGGCCTGTAAGATACCTCTGCCCAAATGTCTGAGTGGCGGGCTCGGAGTCAGCGCGACCCATATCACGCCATCAGTTCCCGAGAACGGTCTAGATCAGCAGGATCTACGACTGATAAGATTGATAATCATGATGAGGCACTAACTTGGTCTAGAAATTCTATGCATTTACTGACCAACGACTTGAAATAATCAAAGGGGGCTGAGGCATACTAGGCCATTTAATTATAAGCCAAAAATTTGAAATGTTCAAGTTGGATCAAAATTCAGTTGTATCAGGCCTATCATCCGTGACGAGCCTGGGGTGGATATAGTAGATACATTCACCAAAATGGTAAATTGTTATGCAATCCCATACATAAAGAGTAAACTTCTGCATTAGATATCTGCCATGTACCTACAGGATTATGGCTAGGTACCTCAGGCTTGAAAAAGCAATTATTGCACGTCATTTTCGATCGTGAAGAATGGACTCGGAGTTGCCCAATGAAGGAGCCGAGCGCATAGTAGTTACAGAGATAAAGTCGCAATGGAAGCAGTCTGTCGACGCCTGGGAACATTCAACATTGCCCGCCAAGCTTGAATCCCGTTAAAATCCAAAATATGCTTTGATATTAAGACATCTAAGCTTATCTCTTCCTGTCTTGATGTCTAGGCTTTGTCGTTGATATAGATTAGTACTTTTCTTTTTACAGCGTTTCTACTTCTTTACTATCCATTTACACCTGAAAACTCTCTCTAACAAAAATTGCACGATGCTATTTAAGTGGCGGCTCCTACAAAGAACACCTGGGCAGTCGATATAACGTAATCCCGTATTTCGGTCCGAAAATTCAAGATCGGGACTCGCCGTTGTAGTTCAAGTTTTCATATGAACTATACAACCAAGTTTATTGGAGGCACCACTGGAAAGCACTCTTGTTCGTAAATTAAGTTAATCAACAAAGGAAGCTCTAGTCTCCCCATGACAAGGCTATCCTTTTTCTATCAATTTTAAGAACAATCACTAATACTAAGCCATGGATATACTTGCCCGCTCTAGCCCTGAAGATACGTAAGCGGGTCTCGGCCACATCACGTGCTCGGTGATTAGAAAGCGAGGGGCCTCGACGTGGGAAATGATTAATTTGATGATTGGAAAGACACAGAATTGCTCTGATCTCATTAGCAGGCCCACCCCCCTCATTTTTCTTCCCCTATATTATTCTCCCTCTTTCCCGAGAACAACCTTCAAGCTGTTTTCCTCAACCTTCCGTCGATTTCCCGCCGCTCTCCGTTCCCTCGGTTTTACCGCTGCCGCCGCTACAACTCTCCATCAACAACCTCCCCCTCCTCCCTCGGTCTTTTCGCAATCCTTATCGACGCCCGCGCGCGTCAATTCTATAAAACCCGCCAGAATGGTGCACTCCAAGGTCGTTAGTACGTATACCAACTCAATTGGCCTGCTACCATCAACTACAACCACAAAAGAAGTCTTTCAATACTAACTATTTTTTTTTCCTTTATAGTCATTGGCTCCGGCCCCGGCGCACACACTGCTGCCATTTACCTCTCTCGCGCTGAACTCCAGCCCGTCCTGTACGAGGGTATGCTCGCCAACGGCACCGCCGCCGGAGGTCAACTGACTACCACCACCGACGTCGAGAACTTCCCCGGTTTCCCCGCTGGAATCGGTGGTGCCGAGCTGATGGACAGCATGCGCAAGCAGTCCGAGCGTTTTGGTACCGAGATCATCACCGAGACCATCTCAAAGCTGGACCTCTCTTCTCGCCCCTTCAAGATGTGGACTGAGTGGAACGATGCCCCTGGCAGCGAGCCCGTCCGCACCGCCGACGCCGTCATCATCGCTACTGGCGCCAATGCCCGCCGCCTCGACCTGCCCGGCGAGGAGAAGTACTGGCAGAACGGTATCAGTGCCTGCGCTGTTTGCGATGGTGCTGTTCCTATCTTCCGTAACAAGCCTCTCTACGTCATTGGTGGTGGTGACTCCGCTGCTGAGGAGGCTATGTTCCTTGCTAAGTACGGTAGCTCTGTTACTGTGCTTGTTCGCAAGGACAAGCTCCGTGCTAGTAACATTATGGCTGAGCGTTTGCTCGCTCACCCCAAGTGTACTGTTCGCTTCAACACTGTTGCCACCGAGGTCATTGGTGAGAGCAAGCCTAACGGTCTGATGACTGGTCTCCGTGTTAAGAACACCGTCGATGGTGCTGAGGAGATCGTCGAGGCTAACGGTCTGTTCTACGCTGTTGGTCACGATCCCGCCAGTGCCCTGGTTAAGGGCCAGATTGATCTGGATGATGAGCAATACATCGTTACCAAGCCCGGTACCAGCTTCACCAGTGTGGAGGGTGTCTTTGCTTGTGGTGACGTTCAGGATAAGCGTTACCGCCAGGCTATCACCAGTGCCGGTATGTGTTTATCTCTTCTTTTTTTTCATCTTTTTATATTATATGGACAGCCGCTAACATTGATTAATTTATAGGATCCGGCTGTGTCGCCGCTCTGGAAGCCGAGAAGTACATCTCCGAACTTGGCGAGGTCCCCGAGCCTGCCAAGGAAAAGATCTAAATTTGAACACGTCCATCATCTTCTCCTTCCCCTCCTCCATTACCTCTCCCTGTACTCCAATCTCAATATCCTTAAACATACCCAATATCTCATAACCTCAAATCACTCGGAGTACATCGTTCAGCCTGTCTGGTCACACCTTTCGCCCAATCTATTTGCTTCTCAACCTCAATTCCCCGGGCATATTTCCTTTCTTCATGGTTCACGGATTTCCTTATGTCTGTCTTTTTTTTGGCTTTGGTTATGCTGCGAGGTTTGCATGTTAGACCTTCTGTTGGTTGAACCGGCTCGTTATTGATGTAATCGCTGCCAATAGAATAGAAATAGACCAAATCGTTCAATACCAATTGATACAGTAACCTCCTTTGATGAAGATTTCATTCCTTGTATTCCAAGTTCGGTCTATCGGTGTCTTCAAAGTCCTTTTAGTTATAAACTCTGCCTCGGGGTAATCAAAGATAATTCTGGGAACTCTTGGTCTCTCAGATTCTATGTAGACAAGTAAACTAATAGTACATAATCCTTCTATGGCTAGCTACATGAGCTAGATCTCATTAAAAATCCTAATTTCGTTTCAGCTTATCAGACAAAGGAAGCAAAAAAGGCAAAAACAGAGCAAAACTTTGACATAACAGATAAGAATCAAAGTCATAACTCATATCATCAAAATAGCGACCGCGCAGTTCACTCAGCAGATCCCGGCATAATCCACAGCTCAAACGGATTAGCACCACACCATCGATTTTTGACCTCGAAAGATCTTTCATCCCATTTTGCGGCGGTATCCACCCATTTCTGCAAGGCTTGCACATTATGTACACGATTCGCCTCAATCTCATCTAGATACGGCTTCTTCTCTTCGGCCGATGCATTGCGCCACATCTGGCCGAGAGCGTGTCGGATCTCGTTACGGCTAGCTTTGGCGGTGGGTTTGTTTGATGATACGCGGCGAGCATCGTCGCACTGGTCGCGGCATATGGACCAGAAGTCTTTTTGGTAAAGAAGGAAAGGGTTTAGACCGAGCTTTTGAGGGCGGGGAGGTGGTGCGCCGAGCTCGGAATGGATGGCTGCCCACAATGCTTGATCATATGCTTCGCGGTGGAGTTTGTCTGGAAGTACTGAGGGTTCTTTGTTTGGAGGAGAGGATTGTTGTGATTGTGATTGTGGTTGGGGGTTTGATTTGGCTTTAGAGTGAGATGGGGTGGATCTTATGTCTGGATGCTTGGTGATGGTACGTTTGGGAGTTGTAGGGGCCGGAGTTGCAGGAGCAGGGGCAGTGTTGCTCGCTGTTTTCTCCGGAACAAGAGGGCTGGGAATCTCGATTGGGCCCACGGCTGATTCGATGACTTCTGCGGCAGCACGGAGGCCTGATATGTATGCTCCATGGACCGTTGCTGGGTGTGTGCCGCAGGTAGCTTCGCCTGCAAAGTGAAGGTTGCCCACTTGTCGGGCCATAAGATTGTAGTCCTCAGGAAGAGCGTTGGCTGCCACATAGGAATAGCTACCATATGTGAATTTGTCTGATGCCCAACGAGTGATGATGGTTTCAAGAGGATCCGGCACGGGTACATGTTTAAAGACATTTCGCAGTTGAGAAAGGACCTCAGTGATAATATCTTTGTCTGGCGTCTTTTCGGCCTGAAGTGCGGCATCACCGGCCATGAGAGCAATGAGAACGGGCAGTCCTGTAGTCTTCATGCAATTCCAGAATAGATAGAATCGCCCGCGATTTTGCGCGTAATCTTCCTGCACCATACTGTCGCGGGTTGTTGCCTCACGCAGAAGTCCAAACATGTCTCGTTCAGTATCCCAAAATGGTTCGTCAAATACCAGAACTATTTTGTTCATAACTCCGAATCCTAGTCTATCAATAGCCCCCATCTTCCAATCGGGGAGAGGAGGATTGAATTTTATTGTTCGTTGTTTGAGCACGCCGAGGGAACCTGTGAAAACAATGTGGTCTGCCATGAAATTTTCGCCGTCTTCGCATTGAATGACCGATTTCCGCTTGCCAGCTCCAAGCGGGTCATATGAGATACTTTTGACAATCTTATTTGTGCGGACATCGAGCTTAGTAGGCAAGGAATATAACCCATAGGGCAATTGCTGATAGCCGCCAATTACCTGAGCATGTTCTCCCTCGAACTCGTTACCGATATCCTGGTCCCACCCGGACAGACTAAGGTTGTTTATATTGGTGGCATTGGCATACTCAAGATTTGCAAAGTGCCAGTTCATGAGCCGCATATCTTTGGGTCGCAACGGAAGCATGCGTTGATATTGTTTCACACCTTCATCCATGAAAGCTCCCAGAGTCTGGGTAGGGGTCGCAGTCGCAACACCATCTAGTTCAAGCGTATCTTTGGCGGAATAACCTGGATTTAATCTCCACCCATTCGCCTGGCAGGTCAAACCAGCAGGGTCATCTTTTGAAGGATCCACGATATCGCCTGATGCATCATTGATAGGCTCAACCTCTGCTGTTTTGTGACCCGCTCCTCGACGTCTTCGAACTCGCTTGGTGGGAACAAGAAGATGCGTGGTACCTGCACGGCGAGCTTCTTCGTACTGACGAACTGTCAGACCGTCATCTATAGTCGTATCACGACCAGTATCAATCAAGTCACGGTCACCCCCTGCAGTAGGAACGATTAGTGCCTTGTGACGATAGAAACCCGACCTATCCAACACATCATTGTAGATCTTTTCATCCATGGCATCTTCCCCTTCATCAACAGGAGTACCATCGATATCGTAGAGGGTGGAGATATCACGAAGTAAATGGTAATGTAGAGCCAACTGAGCTCGAATGATTTGGTCGAGGGGGTTGCCACGATCAAAACCAACAATAATCTGAGCTCCCATTTCTGCCTTCGGCACGAGTCCAGATGGCAGGTCTTCTGATTTCATACTGTGCAAAGGATGAGAGTAAATTCTTCCACCGATTCTGCGGCGCCCCTCCAAAACGATAACTCGCGGGGAAGTCTCTGCATCGCGGTAATGATGAAAAAGACCTTCTAACTGACGTGCACAGCCAAGGCCGCCAACACCAGCTCCTATGACAACAATGACGGGTCCTTCACGACGCCTCCCTCTTCTCGGAGGCACCAGAGGCATTGGAACCTCGACGCAGCCAAAGTTGATGTATCCATACCGTGCCAGCCAGTCATACGCAAAGGAAGCGAGGTTCATCCACCGGTAGTCTTTTGCACAGCCCAGAGCCTCCTCTCTGGTGACGCTGACCATCGCGTTTCGCGTCCAAAGTCGCAGAATGCCATTTCTTATGTTTAAATAGACCGTGGAGTGCATATGACAGAGAATGTCCTGCAGTACTTGCTGCTCCTTTGGATGGAGCGCATACGGATCAAGTCGAGATGCATAGGCGGATGCTACGCACTGTCGGCCATATAAGGCGGGCGAGAGCCGGGTAGGGATAGATGAACGAGGTCGACATTTATCTATATCAACTTTTCCACTCTGTAGTATACTCATGCCTTCAACACAGACCGGTGTGGACGAAGCTTGCTCTGGAGTTGTGGGGGCAGATGTGGATTTTCTCGGATCGAACGAGGATGCAAGAGAGGCGGAAGTCGAGGAAACGGGTGTGTTGATACCTTCGCCATCACGCCGCATAAATTCACTCAGCCAATTTGTAGCATATCTTTCGATTGGAGATGGCTTGTCAATCACTTTGGGCGTCAAAGGTTGGCTTTGAGCCTCGGGATTTAGAGGAGCCGATGGAAGAAGGGATGTGGAGTGGTCTGATGTGCGCAGCCGTTTCACAGGTCGTTCAAGTTCGACTCCTCCTGGATGAGATGTTAAAAGTACCTGCTCCTGTGATATTTCATTGGAATACCCATTTGAAACAGCCTGGTTGATGTAGGCGGTTTGGCCAGCTTGAATCTTCATAGATGCCCCCATATTCAACGGTATATAGTTGTAACGAGGTTGTTTTTCTATATTGTCTGAATGTGGACCCAATGGAGACGCGAGGCTCATATCCATTCATTCAAGACCTGAATATCATGCGCACCAGTCTGATCTTGGTTGTATGGAAAGAGGGGTGTGTGGTGTATGAGGGGAATATCTTAAACGTCAAGACCTCCCATGTTCAATCATGTTGCTTCGAATCGTAATCATGGGCTAAGAGATTATCAAAAAGGCTTGCAACGATGGGTAATCTACTAGGATTAGGGTTAGATGCATGGGTATGAGAATTGTGGCGTTGGATTAAAATCTTTGCATGTAGATAAGAACGAATGGAGCAACGGAGGGGAGTTCAAAATTGGAGAAGGACGATCAATTTAGTGAACACGTACTATCGAGGATCCAAGACCCCCCGCAAATCTAACCTGAAGACCCTCACCGATTGACATCTGGGCCAGCATGCACTGCCGTTCAATTTGTCGTAGGGGCTTATATATCGGAACAATATGGGAGGGGGAAGCGAAGCCGACCGATGGAGGTCGTCAATCCCTCGGGACAGTGCGTATTTCTCAGTCCGCTTCCGGGCATTCTTCTGCCATCATCGCTACTACAACTTGAAGCTTAGATCAAGCATAGAACAGTAGACATCTGGCATAAGTTGATGCTACTATATTGCATGTTTGTGACCTCGCTCTAACTATAGATATAGATCTGCCAACGACCGAGACCCAGTGCCTAGACTCCCTACCTTCCCCGGATATCTACTAGTGTGTGGTTGCTTATACCCGTGGACATGGCCATGGTGAGAACGCAGCCTGAGGGCTCATGACGAATGGCAATACTGTGCGCACAGCAAACTCTGAGCATAAACCCGAGATCAATCACATAGATTTACTTATATACATCAGCAATCTGTACTGGATTATTACATATCACATCATCATCATGTACATGTAGCCACTAGTAGTTTTAGCGTTAGCGCCCCATGCTGAGCTATGTATCACGCTGAACATGGCTATGAAGGCCGAAAGCCTGATCCCCTTCGTCTGCGAAACCATCCGACTCATTATCCGTGAAATTATCATGATATGATGCCCGGTTAGACTGCTTCCACCGACTCTTGCCACCTTCATCTTCACTGTCATTTTCATCCACCAGAGCAAGATCAAGATCGACATTATCATCGTCCAAATCAGCAAACCCGATTTGTTCTTCCTCGTCTCGCGCTAGTGTTTGAGCAGCGGCATCGGCGTCATCGTCATCAGTGAATCGGCCATGAGGACGGTTTGCGGCATGATCCGCTCGTAATGAGTGTCGGATATCAGCCCGCTCTTGGGCTTCAAGTTCCTTTGCACGGGCGAGAGTTCTGTACAGAAAAATAAGCCACGTACTCAAGAGAAAAGGAATGAAAATTCGAAAACCAACCTTTGGTAGATATAATACCCAGTACCTCCTCCAATGGCAATAGTAATGATAATGCTGATGATGTTCACAGCTTTGGCTCCTGCACTCATCTCTTCACCCTTCTCGGTAAGAAGGCGTACCCGGCTGCCAACAAATGCAGGCACCAACAGTTTTGGACTGATAATGGCAGTAGCCAGTCCATATGTCAAGGGCTGGACGGTGGGGAAAGTCGAAATCGCCCCATTGCAAATGGAATATGGTAGAGGGCACAGGCGAATCATACATAATAATTTCAGCCCGTCGTACTTCAGAGTCAGCGACAAGGCAGCGAATCTCTTGTCATGTTCCATCAGGCGAGTAACGAATCTCGATAGCATGGTGCGCGATACATAGAAAGAGGCGGTGGACCCAAGAACGGTAGCCGTGGCGTAAATCAGCCATCTATTGTGTATTCCCAGTTAGCGTTGTCCATGAAGCTGTATCCTATGACGTTGTCTGATATTTGGAAGATAAATAGACACTCCAGGTTTCACTCGGGACTTACCCTTTCCATACTCCAAAGATAAACCCAGCTGCTGTTCCAAATGTTGACCAGCCTAATAATGGTGGGAATGAGACAAAAAAGACACATAGCCAGAGCACAAACGCGACAAGCGGGGACTTCTCCCATCGCTCAGCGACCGGGCCCAGCCATATGAATATCTTGCCCGTCAATACCATAAATCCAATCCCCAATGCTCCAGTCAATAGCGATACGGCATAGAATGCGACTTTTTGCCAAAATGTCATGCGTTCCCATCGTTCTTCCGCTTGGCGATAAAACACCTTAGCTTTGTTGACTACTCTACCGCGTAGGCCGCCTGCTTGGTCGGGTCGGGTCGAAGTTCGTCTGCCCGCTCGACTCCAGAGGGGTTGTTCATCGGTAGTAGGAGAGTTTTCTGGCGATGTCGAGACCGCTAATGCCCGCGCTGTGGACTCATAGTCCGCAGGCATGGTTGGAAGACAAAGAGGGTGATTGAAAGGTGCAGGAGCTGAGATCTGGGGGAAGAAGGGAGCTTTGGGCGGCGATCGGCGGTTGTGGAGGCGGGAAAGCACAGCACAATGGCAAAGCTCTAAAAGCAGGGTCTAGGGCGGGACGATATAAATGAAACCTGCAGAAGAAGACTAGAAAGCTTCCCAGGATTTAGGAATCAACAGAAGCAAGAATTAAGCGGGCATTCCACACAGCCCTTAAGGTTCAGGGGTGGGGGGGGCCTAATATCAGCCAAGTCGGAGTTGGTAAAGTAGCTGTCTCACATTATAGCGGATCCAACCGGATGCAGTTGGTAGTGAGTAGTTTGGATGGTTAGTAAGTTTAAGATTTATAAAGTTCAATGTTCTCATTCGATGGTTTGGTCTAGATATCGTTCATGAATGATCTGAAGATGTTTTGGTACTTTGTTTGGTATGTATCTTTGTTATATGGGGCGCATAGTCATGTACATTGACTGCATAGAGTACATAGCTTGAGCACAGAGATTCCACTTTTGTTTTTCTTGTTGGTTATTATTTATTCAGTTACTATATTATTTATTGATATAGTTTTAATCCACAAGAGCTTATCTTCTCTCTGTGTAGAATTCCTGGTATTTAATATGAGATCTACTCCAGATGTGTACTATGTAGTAGAGAATCTATGTGGGGGGGTTGAATGGCCCTTGTAACACTAGCCACCCCCGTGTCTTCTCTTTCCCAAAACAAACCCAAATCTACAAAACCCAATTTCCCATTGATCTCCTTACCTTCCCCCATCCTTTTTATGTTGATAATTTCCCTTTTTTATATTTGATCTCAATTCTATCTACTTCCAGGGCTGGTTATGCGATGTAATCACATCGACTCTGCCCGTTTACCCCCTGTCTCTTAAGCCTTTGTTGTCCCTTCCCCCCCCCCCTTTGTCGCTGTCAACACTATCAAAGAATATGGATCGCGCTATCTGACGAATCCCACTCCCGCATAATTCGTCTATCGAACGCCCTCCACACCCCTCTTCGAAGCCTAGATCTGGATCATACATATCGCGGGGCCTTGTCCTCTCACCTCCGTTTCCTTCCTCCCTTTTACCCCCCTCGCCGGGTCTTTACGACAGGCTACACACCTGCCTCTCGCGCCCTCGGGTACATCCATAATCATGGTTTCAGAAGAACTTCTAGAGAAATGTCTCGAAATCTTGCAAGATCAAGCGCTGGATGAGGAGGAACAGGTGGAAAAGGTGGAGGATTATTTGCGCGCCAACACATCGCTGACCGGATCATCACTGGAGAATGCGGTCCTGGACATATTATGGCGGCATCGCAATCGCACACTACCCGACTCATCACCTCCTCCCCCTCGTCACACTGTGATTCGTCGATCATCTCCAGCGCCATGGCAGATGGCGCGATCTTCGACCCCTCTATCACCGTCAAATCTCGGGACCAGTCCTGGGAGTACCTCGTGGGTGCAGAGCTCGCGCGGGGCATTCTCCCGACCTCCGCTATCCTCAACCGTGTCCCCGTTTACCTCCCCGCGGCCCTCTCCTCGACTCGCTCTCGCTCAGCCGATACCTCATTCGCCAAGTCTAAACGCATACGAGTTCTCAGACCAGAGCCAAATATTCGATTATTATGGCGATTTCGGCAATGACAGTAATGTGGACTGGTTGGTGGCAGACGATGCAAATAGTGTCACTTCGTCTATTGGCGGCCTGAGCGTCCCAGGAGCCTTGAGCGCGACGGCTGCGGAATTTGTGCCGGATATGAGCCCCCATGATATTTTGCGCACCGTTCTGGGCGATAAAAAATCAAATGATGAAATCGAAGCTGCGCTGGAATCGAATAGCTATGATCTTGGGGCCACTATCGCAGCTCTCTCGCAGGACACAGAGACTGAACTATTCACCAAGCAAACCGACGATGGCCAGGTCTTAGTCGGCAAGTCCATGGTTATGGAGCAAAGCCGACCTGTGACACCATCGGGAAATGGTCGAAGCCCCGTAGTCTGCAAGTACTGGCTTTCGACTGGGCAGTGTCTTCGCGCCGATTGTCGTTTTAGCCATGATCTGACAAGCCATTTGTGCAAGTGAGTCAAGTCTTTACTTTGTTATATGAATACCCTCAAAAATTCGGCCTTGAAAGCTAACAAATACGATCAGATACTGGGTCATGGGTAATTGCCTGGCTGGTGACGGGTGTCCATTTTCGCATGACCCCTCAACCCTCGTCTCCAACTTAAGTGTATCAGGGAGTAGCCGGCCAACCTCACCCCCTACTGGTTCACCATTCCAGGTAGACAGTGGATCTGATGCGTTCCCGCCATTACAAGCATCGACATCACTGGAGGAGCAGTGGGGAAACCAATATGGAACTCGATACCCAAGCCATCTGTCTGGTCTTCAGGGGAGTAAACATCTCCCGCCTGGTCTTCACCCGGGTATGGGCAGACGTAACGGCAGCATGACACATTTAGGACGTCCCAACTCCCGTCCAAGCAGTCGTCACCAAAACCGGGAACTTAACCCTGCTGCTCTCTCTGTCGACGATCCCGATGCATTCCCGACCCTCGCTGCTGTCAGTGCAAAGAACGCCGGGAAGAAGCACCATGGAAAGCGAGGCGGTCACAATAATCGCGACGGTTTGAATAAAGAAAACATTCCATCATCTTTAGCAGATGTGGTGCGCATGTCTCCATCGTCCGCGCCTGGAAAGGGCAAAAACTCGAAGAATAACAAGGACCTTAAGAGCCGTGAGAACAGCGCAGCTGCTCAGTCTATTCAGGCGCCGCAGAATATTCCTTGGCTCGAGACCGGAGCTCGTGCAAACCAACAATACATTAAGTACCGTACGGAAGCCATTCGCCACGGGACCGTACGAAACAAATTCCTACAGAGGTATACTTTCTCCTCCCGCAAAGCATTCTAGAACAATCTATAGTTGACTAACATTCCATTAGCGCCGCTCAAGCATGGAACCGTAATGATGCCCGCGCAGCCAAAGCTTTGTCTCTCCGAGGCCAGGCTGAGAATGATGCTATGCGCCGTTGTCACCGGGAAGCTGCGCGCCAGTTGTATGAAGAACGCAATCAGCACATAGTCCAGGCAGGCCTGGATGACACAGCCGAAGAACTCTACGTTGACCTTCATGGTCTTCACCCAGAAGAAGCGATTGAATATCTGGAGAAGATCTTACTGAAACACGCACGTGAAGGACTACGTGTCGTTTATGCGATAACAGGTACCGGCCACCACTCCAAAAACGGCAAAGATAAGATCGGTAAAGCCGTGAAGGCGTGGCTCAACGAATGGCGATACCTATTTCGAGAGTTTAGCGTTCCTGGGGAACGAGGTGGCTATGTCGGGGGCATTCTTGGTATTGACCCATCAAGTTATGACAAGTCACTTGCCAGGACCTTTGCGGAAGAGGAGGAAGCGGCCGAGCAAGAGGCTGGACAAGCTAATCTTGTTATGGGGAAGATTCAACTTCTTAAACGCGAGGAGTTAGACACGAATCAATGACACGGTGTGACCTAAGTTTGCGAAGCTACAAATACCCTTTGCATCAATAAATGAACATCTCCTAAGACCAGTGACTTATTACATTACACGTAGTATTTTTCTTTTTAGCTTGCCAAGGTAGCCAATCCTTCATACTCAGATAACTTAGAGAAGTAAACCATTGATCTAAAGTAGACAGCGATCTAATAAAAAGATAACTTATAATCAAACACTAGGCCTATGTATATTTCAAGGTTCAACCTAAAAATCCAGCTTTCCCCAAAAGAACCCTAGTTACTCAGGCTCCTGATGCTCCCACTCCCTCCTCAACGCCTCAACATCAACCCCGCACGCCTGCCCCTTCTTCACAATCGATTTCGCCTTCATAGCAACAGGCACATCAATCATCTTCCCATCAAGCGTCCAAGCACCCCTCCCCTGCCCCGCAGCCTTCTCATCCGCAACAACAACCCTAACAGCCCAAACCAACTCCTCAGCATCCGGTCCAAAGATATCATTGGCAACCTTCACCTGCGTAGGATGAATACACTGCTTCCCATTAAATCCCAATCGTCTTCCATCGCGACATTCCTCCTCCAACGCCAGTGGAGGGGACCCATCGCCCTTATCGGATTTGTAAGATGTACAGACCAGATCAATGGTTGAAGGCAGATCAGCGGCACGAGCGGCTGTTGCGATTGCAGAGCGCGCGAAAAGAAATTCTGTTAGGGATGGAGTGCGCGTTAAGCTTAAGTCTAGGGCGAAGTCTTCTGCGGCGAAGATTAGGCCTTGGAGGAGGGGCGTGGAGGATGTGATTTGGGTTAGGTTTGTGAGGGATTTAGCGGATTCGACGAGGGCAAGGAGAGAGATTGGGGTTCTTTCTGTGCCTGTTGTGGGATGTTGTGAGAGGGTGTGGGTTATTACGTCTGTGACGAAGGTGAGGTCTGAGGCGGAGTTGACTTTTGGGATGACGATTGTAGTTAGGTTTGGGGATTGGAGCTGTATTTCGTTAGAGGGTGTTTTTTTATTTCGTGAATTTGTAATTGTATTCATATTCGAATGATTGCTTACCACTTCTGTTAGATCGGCTAGAGCGAGTCCGCTGTCTACGGAATTGATGCGTACTGCTCGTTCACGGATTTGGTTGGGGATTGGTTGGTCGATTGCTCTCCGCACTAGGGAGCGAGCTTCCGCCTTCCTGTGCGGGGTGACGCTGTCTTCGAGATCATAGGTGAGACAGTCTGCTGCTAGTGAGCGGGACTTGTCGAGGAAGCGCTGCGAAGAGCCCGGGACTGTGGCAATCGTGTTAGTTCTGCTGAGCTGGGAGCTTCGGCATTGCGCAAAAATGCGGGGAAGACGCGATCGCGACTGGAGCTTTGCCATGACGTACCGTAGAGGAGGGAGCGGCGCAAAGTATTGCGGGCGGCCATTGTAGATTTGATGGGTATTTTCCAGTGCTATGTGATTGTTGGAACTGGATGGTTGTTCGGATCTGGGGTGTGGAGATGATATAAGTAGCTTCCGAGGGAGACTCGGAGTTGTTTCTTCTATGCCGAGAGTGAAAGCGGGTAGCGGGCGGAATAGGCTATATGGAAGGACCCACCTAAGAGCCCTAAGCAACTCTACGGCGTCTTGGAGGTTGGACTTGGCTCTGAACCATGGAATGGGGAATCGAGCATTTTATACAGGCTGGCGATTTGTCTTTCTCATCAATTATTCCCCGTGGGAATCCAAAATTTCCAAACGTCCTATATACTATTTCAGAGTTGCTCAAAGTCACGGAAGAAAGTTTTGGATCTTGGCTATGGGCGTTTTGCTTTCTCAAAGCCGATCAGAAACAGCATGGAGAGAGACCATATCTTCATCGTGATATTCAGTTAGTCAAGAAAGACGGCAAACTCTTTTCCTCGTGCGTGAAGATTCCTTCCAAAGCTAGCCAAGCATACTGGGAAAATAATTTATCCCTAGTTTACAAAAGCGTAGCATTAATTTTATATGCATCATAGAAATAGATAACGACTGGGAGATAGCCACTGGCAGTGGAAGGAGAACCTCCGCTATAAGCGGTTTGTATACAATAACAAAATAAACGATTTGGCATTTAATCGACTTTCTAAGATTTTGTAGGCAGAGAATTAATTAAAGGGTTCCAAAAGGATTCTAGATAAAAAAAGTCTGACTCGCCAGTGATTAACCTACAGCCTTGCAGGGTCTGTTCCTCGAGGCATATTGTCCTTCCTCGAGGCACGAGTACCCATTCGTGCCATATACAGCAAACCACTTCATTTGGACGTGTGCTAAAGACTTGTTCATCTCATCTCATTTGATAAGCGATACAACCTGTCTGGACAGCATTCAGGGCTATGGGATATAGACGACATTGCCGATGGGTTACTCGAAATGACAATGCTACAACGAAACTCCATCAGGGTCGTTGGCTCTCCAATTCTGTCTCAAAGCTAACCGAGTGATCCGATCAGATATGAACTCAAACTTTGAAAAATCCTCAAGTCGAATGCGACATGGGTCGTGAGCGTTGCTCTAAACCCGACAAGATTCCCCTTTTAGTTGTTTGTCTTACTGTGGGTCTTTCAGGCGACCCAGGCTTGAATGCACTATCTGATCAAAGTAAAGTGTGGATCTAATCTGATTTGATATAAATTAGAAGGGGCTCATACCACTCGTCGGAATTACTGCAATTAGTGTAGACCTTGAGATTCTCGAGTCAGGATAATCTACAGAAACCTTGGAAGTATTCGAATTTGCCTCCGACACCGGCCAGATCTCTGTTTGTGAGTGAGTTTAGTAAATGTATACATACTACTATGTATGGATGACTAGAAGGTCGTGAGAACCCAATCTCACAAATATATTCTTCAAATACCATTCAACTTGAAGTTTGAAGTTAACCTCTCTCAAAACAACCACTATGAAGATTTTCAGCGTCGTCCTCGTCGCCGCTATGGCTGCCATTGCCAGTGCTGGCTGCCTTCCAGGTAAGAGACTTTCTTCTCAATGTTTTCATTTAAAAGACAGACTTAAAGCTCGTATGCAGCTGGGGGTGCGTGCGCCGGTAGCACTGAAGCTTGCTGCAGTGGTACTTGTGTCGAAAACCTTGATACAAAGCTGTACGTCTGTATGGGATAGACATGCTGGTGGTTTTTTTTTGGCTTGAACGTGAAGCTAGAGAGACTAGTCGCTAGGAGTTGACTGAGGTGTCGGGGTTCAATGAGAAGAGCAGAATCATAAATCATGTTGTGTCCTTAGCATGCCTCGAATCTCACTAGCGAGGTCGATTCTCTCTTGAGTGCTCGAAATTATGCTACCGCTTTTAACGGTTGGAGCAGTGAAAGTCCATAACCCACACAATAAAACCGGCTTTTTACATAAATAAATTGTACTGAAAATCTTTAGACTGCACATTTGAACCTTTCAAATAATCTTGCTTTTCTCTTAGGTTTTGCCTGTCCGTAAATGCTTCTATTACACTTTTTATCCATACCTTAGCCTCTACATAGGCAGGCATATATGTAAATATTCGACGACAAAGATAAAGCATTTGGACAAGCTTTCAATTATGCAGACAAAGAGAAGATATCATCTTGAACAACAGGGGGGGTAGGACGACTAAGATGTTTAGATTATCTACTTCACCTAGTACTATTTTAATGTTCTAAACGTACTAGATATGCTGTATATTCTAGAAGCCTGAGTACCTGCGGTTATGGATACCTATAACTTGAAGCTGTTCAAACACTGCAAAGGTTGACGTGATGCTCCAGCAGTTTCACTTGGGATGGAATTTCGGCGAGAAATTCGAAGATGAGTATTTTGAAGGACTCTGGAGATGATATGTACTAATTCCGCGATCTTTTCACGTATTTGATGGTCGCTGTCAATTACTTGCGTTATCGCGTGCATAGTTCCGTATGAGTGGAGCCTGTAATTCAAGAGCGAATTAAAGTTCGGGGCGCATATATTCTGCCACAACACACCGCCCGACTCCTGCTGTGTTGTGAACACATCAGGGATTCGACTGTCTAGCTTGCACTGCGACGCATCCAGCAGCGACCTCTAGCAAACACGATTTTCAAAGCTGCGGGACCATTGGTTCTTGGCTGCGCATCATGGACCAAGGTCAAGGAGATTTGAACTGGCGCTTGAGCGCACACCCAATCACTCTACTTGTCTTCTTAGGCATCCGCATCGGTTCGTACTATACCTCAAGCCTCACCGATTCAGCATCTAACAATTTGATTGAATTCGTAGGCTCCTTGCTGATGTACCTCTTTGGTCTCCTCTTTATCGATAACTTGTATGGCCTCAACAGTGGATACACTACATCATAACAATTGCATGATGATCGTCGAGCTAATCAGCTTGTTTCTAGTGTTCTCGTCTTCATCTTGACCCTACTCCTCCTTTCTGCCGACTTCTATTACCTCAAGAATATTGCTGGGCGTCGACTGGTTGGTCTGCGATGGTGGAACGAAGTCAACACAACCTCCGGTGACTCGCACTGGGTCTTTGAATCATCCGACCCCAATGTTCGTACGGTTACTGCTACCGACAAGCGATTCTTCTGGTTGAGTCTGTATGTTACACCGGCTCTGTGGATTGGACTCGCTGTTCTGGCCATTGTGAGATTTATCGGTGTTATCTGGCTGAGCTTAGTCGGTAAGTTGGCTTCTCATATTACCTCCCATATAATGAAACGTGGGGTGGACATCTGCTGGACTCTTTAAACTAAACCCTGCTTATAGGAATTGCCCTCATCTTGACAATTACAAATACCGTCGCTTTCTCTCGATGTGACAAGTTTAGCCAGGCTTCGACCTTCGCTAATAGCGCACTCGGGGGTGGTATTATAAACAACTTGGCTGGTGGCCTGCTGGGCAGGTTCTTCCGTTGATAATTAAGTGCAAATCCCGGGATTGGACTCTCTGCAGCTGCTTTGGAGAGGATGGCCACGTCTCTCGTATAGCTGTTTGTGCCTCTACAATGTATGGTTAACGTGTTTTCATAAAATCAATCAATTACCTTGTGCCTAAACAAGCTATTTGTTTATGAAAGATCCATTGCTTAAAACTAGTTACCTATCAATTCTAAACCGCCGTGGTAATGACTCGGCATAAATTCGGCTCTCGGAGTTTGACTTCGTTTGATTGCCAGGATGCTTACAGTGCTGGCTGTTTACCTAAATGCCTTTATTTCGCTTGCCTTTATTCCCTCTCTCCTTCTCTTCCACCCTTCACATCACCATCCATCATTCATTCTACCTACAAAGCATCTTGATCAGTCATTCTATGTGTCGGCTTCCAGATTCTGATACCTGACAGCTATCCATTTATTGTGAGTCTTACAGTTCCTATCCACGTCCAGCCCAATTTTCTGGGAAAGGGAAAAGCATGAGTGAGCAAACGATTGCTCTAATCAGGTTGATTTTCTTTCCACCGTCTCACTATCTCCATTTGCTCTCCCAAGCAAATGACGTGTCGAGGATGACCCCACCACATCCCCCAAATCTCTAATATGACGCTAATGACATGATAGCAGCTGGCAATATCATCAAGCACTTCCTGAAAGTGCCTTACCATCAATCTCTCACACCTATCCAAAATGGATACAAACTGGGAGTCGCCGAGGGGTACGTTGATCACTGCCTACTTCTCTTGTTCTATGCTTTTGCCAAGTATATATCCCCAGCAGCACAGCTAACTGTCACTAGATTGGGGGAACGAAAACCAAGCCCCTGGTGAAAAAAAAGAATCGGGAGACGGAAATTGGGGCTCTGGAGATGGAGGTGGAGGTGGAGGTGGAGGTGGCTTTGATAACAATGCCTGTCGAAGGTGAGTTGAATGCAGTAGGCAGTTACTAAATACAGTTACTGACAAGGCTCAAAAGGTGTGGTGGTACAGATCATTTCGCTCGCAATTGTCCCAACGATGACAATGACAATGGGTACAGCGACTCTTCGCGTGCTTGCTACAACTGTGGCCAGACTGGGTGAGTGAAATTCTTCGTACTTGATTTTGTTTCTATGCTAATTATTGTGGCAGTCATAACAAGGCAGATTGCCCTGAGCCGCGAAAGGCCAGTGGTGCTTGCTTCAACTGTGGTAAAGAAGGGTAAGCAGACATCAAAAACATGATTCAGAATGTCCACTAAGCTCTCTCATGATAGTCACTCCAAGGCGGATTGCCCTGAGCCTCGAAAGGGCGATGGTGCCTGCTATAACTGCGGTCAAAAAGGGTGAGTTCACATCAAAAACCTTAACGCCGAATGTCTACTAAGCTATATCGTGCTAGTCACTCCAAGGCGGATTGCCCCGAACCTCGAAAGATGGGCGCGTGCTTCAACTGCGGTGAAGAAGGGTGCGCTACCCCCGTGGATTCGATTTCAAGATTTATTAGGAACTCTATTATTGACCGATAGCAGTCATTCCAAGGTTTATTGCCCCAAGCCGCGCGAATTTAAGGGAACTTGCCGTCTCTGTGAGAAGGAAGGTCACCCAGCCGCTTTATGCCCGGAGCGCCCCCCTGACATCTGCCGAAACTGCAAAGCCGAAGGTCAGTACAAATAATTTTTTCAAGCGGGTGATTGGCTAGACTAATATATTTTGTACAACAGGACATCTGGCCAAGGACTGCACATCCAATCGTAAGTTCGACTTGAACCATATCGCTGATCTAATGCCGGAGGAGGCATGGTCCAATATGAAAGCTGCAAGTGATGAAAAGGAAATCCAGGAATTCCGCGAGGTACCATCAATATGAAGATTATATACATGCTATACTCTAACAAGTCACCACAGGCTCTTCAGGTTTATTCCAAGGCGGTGCCATTGTCTACCTACGCCGACATCGAAAAGAAAATGCGCGAGGGGGAGTTCAAGATCCACCTCATCGCTCTGGTAGGTTGTCAGTAATAGTTCCCATAATTTTGTTGACGAGACTGCTCACAATCAATCCACTTTCTAGGAGAAGGAGCCGGTGGATGTCATGAGTCTCATCGATCTCCAAGGCCAACGTGATCGTGAATATGTCGTGGGATTCTTCTTGGCGGCAAAGCCTCTGCGAAAGCATCTCCTTTCCCGATGGCCTTCTGATCCTGCTAATAATCTTGAGCGACTGGCAAATGCTGGACTGCCATTCGATCGCGAGATAATCAAGTGCCGCAACTGTGGAGGTAATCACCCACCATGAATCACGCAAAGAGCATGAAATGAATTATTAACCAATTATAGAGCTGGGCCACCTCATGAAAGCCTGTAAAGAGGAACGCAGGGAATTTGACCGGGTCGAGATTAAATGCAGCAACTGTGATGAAGTCGGCCACCGTGTTCGTGATTGCAAGCAGCCGCGCAAGTCCAGGGGTGGATGTCGGAACTGCGGGTATCTCCTTGTCATTTTCAGACGGCGAAATTGGGAAGATACTAACACATCTTAACTTGTCCAGATCTGGGGAACATATTGCTAAAGATTGTCCGAAACCTCGTTCTGCGGCGGGTGTTGAATGCCGCAGATGCAATGAGAGTACGGCAGCCTTCACTCCACATGTTATGATGTGCTAACAGGCTCTTAGCGGGCCATTTCGCGAAAGACTGCCCTAATGTTGAAGCTCGGCCTCGTCGTACCTGTCGCAACTGCGGGTGAGTATCGAATGTTGAAAGAACCGAAAGCACACATGGCTAATATATACAGTTCGGAGGATCATATCGCACGCGATTGTGACCAGCCACGAGACCCATCAACTATGACATGCCGCAACTGTGATAAGGGTATGTCTAATATTCCAGCTTCCTTATTCTAAATATCGTTCACAAACAGCGAGGTATTCAGGCGAAGAACGTATGACTAACCAGTATACCTACAGTGGGACATATGTCTCGAGAGTGCCCTGAGCCTAAGGACTGGGGAAAAGTCAAGTGCAGAAATTGTGGCGAGAGTTAGTTGATCTACTGTTCATGTTTTGGTCTTCTGGGGAAACTCTGCTAACAAGGCTAGTGGGCCATACTGACCACCGTTGCCCCCAGCCGGCCGGTGAATCAGGCTTCGGGGATTCTTATCAGAACAATCAATCTAGCGCCTATGATGCGTGGGGTGCAGCAACTGGAGGTGACCAGCACGACACCTCGCAAGATGATGGTCATGGCTGGAATCCTGCTTACGTCGCCGAGGAGGAAAATGAAGAATCCAATCGCCATTCCACTGGTCCTCAGTGGTAAAGGAAGGGAAGATCTTGAGAATGACATTGAGAAGTATGGTTTTTATGTTAGGAGACGAGCTGAATCGACAAATGATGGACTTTGATCTGCGCCAAGAGAACTGCGTCTACTTTTCTGACCTCAAAGAATGGGATTTTCCTTTCTGCTGGGGGTCGTTGATTGATGCTATTCCTTGAGTGGGCGGATTGGCTTATCCGATTATGTTTTCACGGTGGTTTGTTTTACGAGAGAATGCTGTAAGTTACGAGTTCGAAAAGGGGAGGGGGTGCTGCTTTGCTTGCCTTTCATTTCAGCAAGAATGAAGCAGATTAATGACAATTGAAGTATGGAAAAAGGAGGGCAAAACACCAAAAAAAGATTAAAATGCTACTGAAATGCCATTGAAATATTCTTATCGTGCAGTTTATGTTCTCCTTGTTCCTTTGATAATAGTTGGTAGCTGCGAAGTACTCGATGTGGCCTCTGTCTCCCCGAAAAGAAGATTCCTTTCTCACTCAACCTCACGTTCCATGCACGATCCTCGGTCCTCTAAGATTCATCCTCGAACATTTACCCTTACTGAATCAAGTATCGACAAAAGTACTGTTATCGCAAAGACTTCTGAGAGCACTGACCACTTACCAATAAATAGCCCAATGAGGTTGCATCTCGGAGTACCCCCAGAGGTGAATGATGACGGCGTGATCCCGAGCACGAATGTCGCACGAATCCAATCGGCGAACGAGAACTTGAACATGAACCAGACAATGCGACAACAGGTTTGACCGGTGAATTCGGCATCCCTAATCTCGGAATGAAAGAACAAGCCGGTCGGTAACTGCCGATTCAGCCACGAGATCAGATAAACCGGCCAAAACCGGAAGCCATCAACGCACGGTACTTGGAAAGAAGGGATATGCTGGTTGGAAGCGATTAATTGATTGATTGATTCTACAGATTACAATAGGAAATGCTTTATGACTTCATAGCGAGATAGAGAATGGAATGTAGGAACTCGATTCGCAATGTTTCGGAATTAGAAACGCGGTGTCAATGGGGATTATGTATCTGGACTGCTGACAGCCCAGAAAACAATGAATTCAGTGGTAGGTACAGATCTGTAATTTAATACGCTTTGACTGTTTTTCGGTATAATCGATCGAGGAGTGGATCCTGGCTGAATGCGGAGTCTTGCTCGGCCCTCTCGCTGCACATAATACATAATGCACCTACAGAGTAATGCCGGGGTAGACCTGGCAGACCTGCATGACTAATGAGCGGTATCTGGAGGCTACATGCTCGAAAGAGGTTGGCATTAGCGCGGATGGACAGCTGAGTCTGCGTGTTCTGTCGTCTGTACATGGAGAAGTTCGATGATGGCGATGTTACATTGCGCAGTCTACTCCATACAACATAGAGTGTACAGTTCTACAATCAATAGTAGCAACTAGACAATCCTTCTCTTCGTTTTGCTTTTGCTTTGGAATTTTAGAAGCAAAGAATGATAGAAATAAACTTTGAATTCCTTCTAGCCTGGTGGCGTATCCACGGTGCCGAGCACGTTAAGTTTGTGCGCCCGAGCCCTACATGCGCGACGCCAGGGGTTGCAGTTCACAGTTTCGAGTTACAGGCCCGCATATAGTTTACACTACAGTCTACAGTACATACATAGAAAGTCAAGAAATCACTCAATCTTGGCAATCAGGATTGTGTGATCTACTCCAATTTCACGCCCGAAAGATCATGTCAGACCACACCGACCCGGGATGGAAAAGGTGGAATTGAGCCTTTGAGCCGAGTCCCACTGTTGAACGGGATCTCCCGATTAGGAAAACATTGGCGCGGCAATGCATTCGCGTAATAGAATGGAGATGTGGACACAGTAGGAGGATAGAATTGTTATTTTTGAAGGATTGAATTGAGTCAATTATGTTTAGTATAGATTAGTTATTCATAACTCATGAGTCAATATATCTTGGGAATTGGCTTCGGGATAGTTTTGTTCTGGTGAGGGAGAAACCCCAGAATCGGCCCAGAAAGCAGTGACAAGCCGGGGCCGAATCTCGGGGTAAAATGGTACTTAGTCACGTGAGTCACGTTAGTCACACGGTACTGCCCAGGTAACTAGTGAAAGCTTTTCTCATTGCTTGTTCTCTCCCCTAACCACTTCTTTGCTTTCAAATAATTTACTATATTTAATCACATAATCCATTCATAATATTCCACAATAACTTAATCTATAACAAAAACGTGTTGAATTCTCCGCGTTCACATAAACCGTACCTGACCATGATGTCATCTTGTCGCTTCCGTCACGGCGATCCTAATCCCAATCCAAGTTCCAAGTTTTCATAACGGGAGTGCCTGTTCAAGCCCGGAACAAACCTTCTTCGGGCAGGATAGACTATAGTGCCAAGAGAGGGAGGTCCTCGCCAATCCCATCACTGGCCTAACTAGTAGACTCACAAGTGGACAGGTGGACACGACATTGTCTGGACCCAAGCGGGTATGCTTTCTCATTAGCAAATAAGAAACCAAAAGTCAAGAAAATCTACGTAGTTGTTCCGTTGAAAGTGGCTCAGGCCTTTCCAAAGCCTCGGGAAGGAAAAGGAAAACACTCGCACGGGGCTAAATGGCCTCACGCAAAGCCGACGCTGTGGTTTGTCGAGGAATCCCGTCGGGGCGTGCTGATCCCTGTCCAACGCCGTACTTGGCGCCGCACTACGGGAGCCCGATCGCGAATCTCCGGATATACAATAAACTAGATGAAAAACATTTAAGCGGTTTTATTTGGTGAGGCGTAAGCATTAGATACGGGAAATTTGTATCTAATATGACTTGGTGGAAATCAAATATCCTATGACTATTGCCTCTTTGTAGTCCAGGTGTAAGGGTCGCGGAGAACCGAGGAATCCGGGGATGCACCAGATGGACCAGATGGAGACCCCAGGACCACAAAAAAGGACCACAAAAAAAAGCAAAAAAAGGAAAAAGGAAGGAGAAAAAAAGTTCCCACTAAAGTAAGACAAACACCACGCGAGCCACGAGGGAATATGCAAAATGCACTCTGGTATCATTGAGGTCATCATAGTCATACACTGGTTTTTCATGCCCGGAAGCATCCATCTCTTATCCAAGTAACCAAGTCCAACCAAGTCCAGCCCAAATGTACTGTAACTACATCGTACGGCCCGTAACTCCTACCGGACGGGGGCCGAGATACAGTTCTGGGCTACCAAGTAGTCAGTCTCAAGGGAATTTACCCAGAAAACCCCGGTGGACCCGGTGCCGAACAAAAGACCCGGTAAAATGCACCATCCCGACCGATGATTTGATGCTCACGTTCTACTGCGGAGAACAGCCCGACTGTATGGAGGTGGGGTGGTTGGTCTATTCTTCCCCCCGATCCGGCGAGTGCGAAATACTGTAGGCATCGTGGATGTGACCCTGCTGCTAATCCCTCGTTTGAGTGGTCCCATCGCTTTTGATTTCCAAACATGTAATACTGTATACTATTTTTCTTGCTTTTTTCCATTTCCCCCCGATATCTGGGTGGATCCCTGCATGGTGCTGTCGCCGGTCGAGGCGAGTTCATAAACCCCAGGTATTTCCCCGGATCTTTTCTTCTTATTTTTCTCTTTTCTACTCAGGTATATCCTTCCTTCCTTTATTTTATTTTTATCCCTTTTCGTCCACAGGCTTGGACGTTTTGTTGGATACTTGATTGGTTATAGAACTTGACTGGCACATTATTTGTATACAGCTTGTTCTAACTTAACGCACGCCGAGTATACCAATTCAAATTATTGTCGCCATCATGAAGCCATATTTTGGGTTACGGGGTACAAACCTGAATATTATGATCAGTATCATTGCTGGTCTGGATTTCTTGTATGTCATACTGGACTTTTACTCCATACTGTGCTAGACATATTGCTAACGTGCTTCTTTCTCCCAGACTTTTCGGTTATGACCAGTATGTTGAATTTTGAAAAAAAAAAACCAAAATACAAGAAAAAGAAATTCTAATTGATTAACAGGGGTGTTATGGGAGGTCTATTGACCTTGAACTCTTTCGTCACTACTTTTCCTGAAATCGACACCACTGCAGCCGGTGAAGTTGGTCTCTCTGCGGCTCAGAAAAGCAACCGTTCTACCGTGCAAGGTATCACGACCGCTTCATACAACTTGGGATGTTTCTTCGGTGCCGTTTTCTGTATTTGGATCGGTAACTACCTCGGCCGTCGCAAGACTATCTTCTTTGGCTCAATTATCATGGTCATCGGCGCTACACTGCAATCATGCGCCTACAGCCTCCCTCACCTGATCGTGGGCCGTATCGTGACTGGTATCGGCAATGGAATGAACACATCCACCGTCCGTAAGTTTTGCAAAATGATGATACCCAAACACATCATAGATATCAACTAACCTATCAATTCAGCCACCTGGCAATCCGAATGTAGCAAGTCTCATCACCGTGGACCTCTCGTCATGCTGGAAGGTGCCTTGATCGCCGGTGGTATTACAATCAGTTACTGGATTGATCTTGGATTCTCTTTCCTGGACCCCAGCTCCGTCGCATGGCGATTCCCAATCGCTTTCCAGAACGTTTTCACCCTTGTCATTCTATTCTGTGTCTTGCCTCTTCCCGAGTCTCCACGCTGGCTAATCATGAAGGGTCACGAGGAAGAAGCAATCGAAGTACTAGGTGCTATTTTGGATCTCCCCGAGGACGACCCATACGTTCACTCCGAGTTCACTGCTATCAAGGATGCAGTTCTGGACGCCAACACCGTTAGCTTCCGTGACCTTTGTACCATGGACGAGAACCGTCACCTGCACCGTGTTGTTCTCGCCTACGTCAACCAGATGTTCCAGCAGATCTCCGGTATCAACCTGATCACCTACTACGCTGCTACTATCTACGAGAATTCCATTGGTATGGATGGTCTCACTTCTCGTATTATGGCTGCTTGCAACGGTACCGAATACTTTCTTGCTTCGCTGATTCCCATCTTCATCATTGAGAAGGTCGGCCGTCGTACTCTGATGTTGGTCGGTGCTGCCGGCATGTCCATTTCAATGGCTGTCCTTGCCATCTGTACTAGTTTCGAGGGACAAAGCAAGCCCGGTGTCGCCGCTGCCGTGTTCCTGTTCGTCTTCAATACCTTCTTCGCCCTTGGCTGGCTGGGTATGACCTGGTTGTACCCCGCTGAGATTGTTCCTCTGCGTATCCGTGCTCCTGCCAACGCTCTCGCAACCTCTGGAAACTGGTATGTCTCTATAAAACTCCAATTTGATAATATCTACTAACAAGAACCAGGATCTTCAACTTCATGGTCGTCATGATTACACCCGTCGCATTCCAGAACATCAAATACAAGACCTACATCATCTTCGCCGTTATCAACGCCTTCATCTTCCCTGTCGTCTACTTCTTCTATCCCGAGACCGCCTACCGATCTCTCGAGGAAATGGACGGCATCTTCCAAAAGACCACAACTGTCTTTAACGTTGTTTCTGTCGCCCGCAACCAGCCTCACCGCTACGGCCGAAACGGCGAGCTTCTCATCAACTACGAAGATACCGAGGAGCATCTTCGTCGCGCCAGCCGAGTCTCCGAGAAGCATGGCAAGACCTTTGCCCAAAGTGGCCATATGGAGGATGGAGGAAAGACCGGTGCTCACGTCGAGAACAACCAAGACAGCGTCTCAACAAGCAGCTAAACCTAGCAAAGTAAATCTTCATTACAGCTGCAATATTCTCTCCCTCTCTCTTCTTTTCACGAAAAAAAAGAATACCAAAAATATATACGATGTTGATCTGTCTGCAAAAACCGTAAAGCATATATATGCTTTACCGAATGGATTTACGAACGTTTCATTTTCAGGCATGTGTTCCTAATTCTGCTGGCACGGAACTGCCTTAGTTGTGATTGGACTCCATCTTGAAGAGGGTTTCTGTATCACTATTTGAAAAACTTGGTTAGTTTTCTATAGTTAGTCGGTGGCTTTTGTCCTTTTCTTCTTCTTGTTTTATACCCATGTACATAACAGCCCTTCCCAGAAGATGATGGATGACGGGCTTGGGGATTGAGTCCTCGCTTGGTCGTTATCGCTTATATACACGATGTATTGAAGTTGGTAGAGAAACAAACAATACAGTTGGGATGTTTATGAAAATACGTGCTAGTACTAGTATGTTGTGTAGACGATTTAGAACATTTGAATCTGACCTTGTGGTCGTGGATCTCCGAGTCTGAGTCGTTCAAGTTAGACTTGAAGATTATCTTTTAAAATACCTAGAACTTACTACTAGTAGAGCTTACAGTACAGATAGCGATGTACTAATAGGCGGTAAAGGTCACGGTCATCTGTAGGTAGTCAAGAGGGGGGGGGTTTTCCGATGATCATAATTGTTATTCTCCCCTGCACGCATCATATGAAGAGAATAAGCGCTTCCCCGCTCATCCTGCTATGTCCGACATTGCTCTGCACGTGGGCATCAATCGGGCACCAGTCCTACTACATACTATCTCTCCTACGAAAACAACGAAAGTATCAAAACTTTGAAAAGCGTCTGGTAAAGTATCTACATTACAACTGGAAGAGTTTCTACCAGACGACATCCCTCAGTATGCAATCTTATCCCACAATGGGAGGAAGGAGAAGAAGTTCTGTTCAATGACTTCCAAAATGGCACCGCTCGTGACAAGGCAGCGTGGGGGAAAAAACTGAAGCGAAGCTGTCAACAAGCTTTGAAAGATGAACTAGACTATATATGAATCGACACATGCTGTATTGATAAATCTAGCAGCGCAGAACTGTCCGAGTCAATCAAATCCAAGTTTTTCTTTTATCGACACGCCAAAGTCTGTTACGCTTATCTCAGTGACATCCACTGGCATCCGACGATAATATCAGAAGCCCCGAGTCTAAACTTGCTTCAAGTCTATGGTTTACTCGCAGATGGACTCTTCAGGAACTATTGGCCCCCCGAGAGATGTATTTCTTCTTCAGTGATTGGAGTGTGCTTGGAGAAAGATACGAGCTATCTGATATACTACTGAGTGACATTACGAAAATTCCCGAAGAAATTCTCGATCATTCTACGTCAATCGACGAATATGATATAGCGCAAAGAATGGCCTGGGCCTCTCGACGCAATATGACCCGACCTGAAGATATGGCATATTGCCTGATGGGTCTGTTCGATGTCAACATACCTATGCTATATGGAGAGGGGCCATTGAAAGATTTTATCCGACCACAAGAGGAGATTATAAAAATATCAGACGATACATCGATATTTGCTTGGGTCAACTCTGAAGTTCCTCAGGACATACAGTCTCAAGTTCCACATGGCCTGCTGGCGACATCAATAAAATACTTTAACGATTCCCACGATATACTGGTTGAAATCAGAAGCACACAACCATATTCGATGACAAACAAAGGTCTTCGTATAGATTTTGATTTACTTGAGTCGGACATTCTACTCGCATTGAACGATCTCAAAGAAATCCACTTCGCTCCTCTGGGTTGTACCTTTCACGGTCAGCACCTAGGCATGTAACTCATGGAATTATCGAATGGTTCTGGCTAATAGAGCCAGCCGGGTTAAGGTTGATTCATTATGACCACCCTCGAAATTTTCACTGAGACGAGAAGTTGGTGGATCTAAAGAATTGCGAACGGTATGTGTCCTGCAAAGATTCTCTAGGAGACTTATCGAATTATTCAGGAAACTCAACACGCTTGTTCGCAATTCGATATACGGAGAGAGCACCGTAGGCTTGACTACTACTACTACTACAAGTTGATTACCAAATAGGAAGAAGAGTTTCAACACCGCAACCAGCTTGAATCTTGTAGTTAGAACGGTTAGTTAACTTTGGGGAAATAAATATCATTTGATCTCAGGTTCCTTATATACTCAAGTCGTCAAGGGGGTCCAAGTTCTTTCCCGATGAACGCTATTGTCCACCATAACCATACTCGAAAGATTTTCCACTGCAAGTCTTGGCCTGAGAAAAGAAAAACAGAATCAAATGTATTCCAATGGTATTACCTATCCTAAGTCATCCTCCTCATCATTACTATTCATCGATAACCGCTGGGCATCTCACAGCCCAAAAGCCAAACCCCCCATGAGACCACCAAATAATGCACAAGCCCAAGGCACCCACCGGTTAACAGCAACCGGAGCTGCCGCATCCTTATGCGGAATATCTCCACTCAAAGATGTTGACGTTGGTAGCTCGCCAGCCCCCGTGTTAAGGGCATAAGCAGTGGTCGAGATCTCCAGATACGTAGCAGAGTAAGGTATAGACTGAGTAAAGACCTCGGCACTATACTCAAACGATCGACTAGCCATAGCGCTATCAGAAGCATAAACAGACCAATAATCCGTACTGGTAGTCTTTGTCGAAGTGACAGTTGACTCGGTATAAGGCGAGTAAGAAGTCCAGAAGTAGAACCAGAATGTCCTAAAGCAATTCGTTAGTCATTAACCTCAACTCAAGTGCGATCAACCAGAACTTGAACTCACCAGTAGTACGTCGTATAATAGTAGGAGTATTCATCATAGGTATACGAGTATGTATACGAGCTCGTAGACGTCGTCATATACGTATTTGTCCTCGTCGCGGACTCAGTAGCACTCCCATCTGCAGCAACGGTAGTACCATAGTCGCCCGTCCCATCAGACCCCACACATCCCGAATCAGGACAGCAGACATCCTCTCCGTCATAGATCTTGCACTGATATCCAACATTGCAGTAATATCCACCATTACAACACTCCCCGCCGACAGGCGAGCAGTATCCATCATTACCGCAGCAGTTCCAGCCACTAGGACAAGTTCCAACAGCACAGCATGTACCGCCCGGCGAAGCGCAGTAGTCCGTAGTGCTACAACATGTTTTACCCACAGCGCAGCAGGTCGAAGTATCGTCGCTACACTCAGCGTACCCAGCTGGACACTCGTAGTAATCTCGACTTTCGAGACCGAACAAATCACGAGTGTTTATGCTGCTGAGCTTCGTGACGTCTAGGGTTGCGTTTGAGCGGAGCCGGGGCTGGTTTCGTGGGGCCTGGTCAAACGCAAAGGTAGATGATAGGAGGAAGAAGAGGGCAAAGCCTACTTCTTTCAGCTGTGGGGCCATGCTGATTAGGTGCAGGGGCTAGGGGCTATCGTGGGGAAGATTGCGGATGAGCTAGTAAGTGTAGGCGTCGAGCGGCGCGCATGCCGGTCTTATATAGGGTCGTATCTTGGCTCATTGCTGAATGTTTGTTTAAGCCAAGAGATGAGTCAACCTTGCCCAGGCAAGAACCTATGTTCCAAGACCCTTTTTCTTTCGCTTGGAGGTAAGTCAGATTTAGTGTGGTGCGATAGTGCTGGCAAATACGAGATTCATGCTTGGCGCGGCCTCGAGCCGCTTTATAGCGCGCCGCAGGAAGAGGGGCATGTTCTTTTGAGGGAACTATGGAAGTAAGGCGTTAGTATGAATATATGGACGTTCTGTTGATCTGCTTGCAAGAAAACTTGTACATTTAACACTCTTGAGGCTTAGGTCTGAAGGTAAGTTGATACTTGGATCTGAATCAAGTGACCCATGGAAGGTTTGCGCCAGGGCTTTTTAAGAACGTGGCTGTCCGAATACGAGCTAAACTTTAACGACCCTTGAATCAGACCCTGCATAAACTGTAAACAGCTTAGCTTGGTGATTAGGTCTGCATACATGGAACTGATGGATTTGGAGCTCGAGATTGGACGTCAAGGTCTCTCTGGGTGGCTTGATTTGCTTCAACTGGCTTTTATTTGTAGATATTTTGCATACTCTCCGACTATCATACTCAAGTGGGCATGATGACATGCATAATGATTTTAAAGAATGTAAATCAGCTTTATCGTTGCCTATCCACTCCCTCCACTGTGGAGACAGTATTTTTCTTAGTGCCCTAGTTTATCGCGCAGTGTGAAACAGTACATATTGCTAGTACTATTAGTACTCGCTAGAAGGAAAATTAAAGTGCGACTAGTAGTACTAACATTACGCTAGGTAGCTATAAAGTGTATCAATTGAGCCGCCAGTGTATCAAACATGTCATTTATAAAATCCAGAGAAAATTGCACTATTAGTAGCTATAGGGTTTAGCAAGAGAACCCAGTGTCTGATATATTATTCAACTTGAAGTTGGTCACGGTACTCCCACCCACATGTGCAAGCCATACTGTAGTCACAATACTCCAAGAGACATTTCGACAAGAGGCACTGAAACGTAATGGACCGTGAAGAGACTGCATATGTCTATATATCGAAGAGAGAGATAGTACAGGAAAAAGAATCGGAAGCAAGACACCCAGCTAGGCTTGCAATCACGAGTACGGGGGCCCATATATGAAGGCCGATAGGGCTACTCTGGCATAAACTAAAACGTATGCTTGAACTGGCAGATAATAAAAAACCTAGCAATACAATATCAGCCGAGCACCCGGGGGCCATATTGTGTATATACTAGTAAACTCCGTCTATTTCGAGTTTACATACTTCTCTTAGACGGAAGATAATTTTTGAACATTGACTGTCTATAGCTAGTATTGGAGCCCTCCTCTCTTCCCCTAAGTAAGTTTCTTTCTTTCTTTCTTTCTTTTAGATATCTATAAGATGCAAAGCAAACTTGTGATGATGCTAGTGGCAAGATACACAGCACTAGAGGCCATCACAAGATTTATAAGTGGGTTCATGAAGGTGGGCATGTTCAATTTTGACTTCGAGGTATGAGGAGTCACGGCGTCTCCTAGGGTTTTAGGTAGTGAATAAGTACCTGTTACCAGAAATATGACATTCTAAGGTAAAAGCAACCTGCATAACGAAGCTTCGTTTGTTGGTCTCTCATTTGAATTTAAGGTTCTTCAAAGTATCAGTATTTCTCCATGTATTCAAGTACTATCAGGCTCTCTTTGTAAAGCTTGGGCGAGCCCTGTCCTTGGTATATGTAGTTCGACCAGAACGCGGAGGGCGGAGGCGGGCGGATCGTCCCCTCCCCATATCCTGAGAGTGTGGGGAACTCCCGCAAGCCACCGGGATTAAGACGGAGCTTGGATGGATTTAGCAAGATCATTCTGGTGAGAAGACGTTGAATTAAAGATGTGGAGCCCTAGAGTTACATTAGGACTGGTGACACGGGCATGGGTAGAGATTTAAACATTTCGATTGAGTACGAGCGAATCAACTATCAGTTCAGGATCGTCATGGTCTGAGGCTTGAGATTTAAAGCGTTACATGAAGAAGGGAGGAAGAGCAGGTGATTCTCAAACGATGGTTGATTTTCCATCCATGTAATGTTCTATGCTATTGTACGTCACACGTAACCCGTGATAGAGGGCGATTCAACAAAAATCGAAAAGTAAAACAGTTAAAAAAATGGGTCTCGGCGGGTGCAAAGAGGGAGACAGATGAAACCGAAGAGGCGAAACCTGGCGCCGAGAGAAAGATGGGCGGTTCAGGAACGGCCGTAAAAATGATAGGAAAATAGGACAGGTAATAATTCTATGATTCCCTCAAGCAATCAGGCCCATCTCATGGTCCGATCTCCCAGTTAATGCCGGAGGGTATCGGAGCGCTAAAACGATTTCTTTCTTTAGAGGCCACCACACATAGTTTCGGCGATGATACCGGTGATCTGGTAAGGATCACCGTTAGAGGCAGGACGACGATCCTCGAAGTAACCCTTGCCGTCCTTCGCGACTTGGCGAGGGATTCGAATGGAAGAGCCTCGATCAGCAACGCCATAATTAAACGTCTGGAGCGATGCAGTTTCTAAGCGACCAGTGAGGCGCTCTTCATTACCGGTGCCATATACGGCGATGTGTTCTGCAACATGTGAGGAAAGATCCAGATATAGGTTTGCGGAGATAATGTAACATACCTGAGTGGCGCAACTCGAGCTTCTTCATGGCGGCCTCAATGGCCTTCATACCACCCTCGGCACGAGTGCTGGCAGTGGAGACGTTGGTGTGAAGACCGGCACCGTTCCACTCACCCTTGATGGGCTTGGGCTCGAAGGAAATGCGGACACCGAACTCCTCGGCGACGCGGTGAAGAATGAAACGGGACATCCAGAGGTGGTCTCCCACTATAGATATGATTAGCTTCTCGATAATTGAAAGGGGAGATATTGAATGGGTACATACTCTCAATGCCAGGGACGGGGCCAACCTGGTACTCCCACTGAGAGGGCATCACCTCGGCATTGATACCGGAGATGTTGATGTTGGCGTACAGACAGGCGCGGTAGTGGGCCTCGACGATATCACGGCAGTAGACCTTGCCGGTGCCGACACCACAGTAGTAAGGACCCTGGGCACCAGGGAAACCACCGCGGGGCCAACCGTAAGGCCAGCCATCAGAACCGAGGAGAGTGTACTCCTGCTCAAGACCGAACCAGAACTCCTCCTTAGCGTGAGTCTCGAAAAGGCGGGCGGCTTCGTGGCGGTAGTTGAACTTGTTGGGGCTTCCATCGGCGTCCCAGGTCTCGCACAGCACGAGGATATTGTCGCCTTGGCGGAAGGGATCCGGGAACATTTGTACTGGTTTAAGGTATACATCGCTGTTTCCGCCTGGAGCCTGTCCAGTGGACGAACCATCGAAGTTCCATTCGGGGAGCTCGTCGACGTTCTTAACCGGCTTGGAAAGGGTCTTTGGAGATATTAGTTAAGGCGGGGCTCTGGAGGAAATCTTAGGGTCTGGCGCGCCCCTCTAATGTCACGTGGTGCGGATAGGTGCAGGCATCGCGTATAGGGCTTATCGATCTAGCGCGATAACGATGCCAGCACAACCAATCCCACCCCGCTAACAATGAAGAGGACTTTCCCCAGAGAACGACAATTGCAAGAATGGAGCTTACCTTGGTCTTGGAACGAGTACCACCGATGGAATCAATCCAGATGTACTCAGCCTGAACCTGACCACGCTGGTCAAGGGACATGTACTTCAAGAGCTGTTCACCCCAGGGCAAGTCAGTATATGTATTCCCTGACTGGCTCAATCGCCAGTGTGGAAATCCAAAGCATCAAAGATCAAACGCACATTCTCCGTGTTGGAGACGACAGTTGAATCAGCAGCCTATAGTTGAACAAAAGTTGTTAGTGATGATGTTTTCGTGGGTGATTGAGCAATGAGTCACGGCCATGGAGAACATACCATAATGAGTGATTATGGGTATATGTGTGTTAAAAAAACAGGTAGGCTTGCGAGCAAGCAGAGAGGGTTTTGATGGTTTTCGTTGATAAAGGATCCCGAAGGATTAAAAGAAGAAGAGGCACAGAACTGGATGGATGGAAAATCCAAGAGAGAATGTTGATGTTTTTAGATGGTGGGGGAGAAGGGAAGGAGGAAAGGTGAGGAAGATAAAGATTTAAATTTAGTCACTGAATCTTTTCTGGGTGGGGGGGAATATGAGTCGATGAGGGAAGGTACGCGGGTCTAAGGGAAAAATGAAAAATGAATTTAAAAAAGAAATAATATTAAAAATTTGAATAAATTCAAAATTGTTCGGATTTTAATTAAATTTAAACAGCAAAATTACCGGTTTATACAATCAGAAACTGCAATTATACTGGAATCAACTGCAAAGCACTGCCATCACTGGAGGAAAGGTGCGGATCAGCCACCCCCAATGCAGACTAGCGGTATCCGTAATGTCTGGTACTGATACTGTTCGGATACCCTTTTTTCCATACCGATGCCAAAGTGCCTCATAATAGAACATTCTTCCAGCCCGAGACCGGGGTCGTTGGGGAAACGAAACACTCAAAAAATCACGCAAATCGCATTGTTCCTCCTGCTTCCCCTTATTTTTAGCGGTGGAGAATTTGATACTCCTTTTGCTTTTTCAGCTTGGACATTAGGGGAATGGAAAGGGAAAAAAAGACGCATCAACACATCTTCATTTACCAGTGCAGGCGAGACAAGCGCAAATAGTTACCCGGGACTTGCCCGCCTATCTACCGAGTATCAACGCCACCCCTCCCCGTGTCATCATCGTGGCATCATACAGACTGGCTGTGGTGCCGGTCGCCGCCGAGATCTCAAGAAATCACAAGAAAGAACGAGAAATGAAGGTTTTAAATGTTCCTCGATTGGTTCAACTTTGTTACCTAGGTTTAGACTATGACCGTTCACTCGTCTTTATTGGAATTTTTCAAAAATGCTTTACAGTGTATTCTTTGCGCGTGTCTCTATGCTAACACAACCCTATACTAGTAGATTCTCGCTCTCAGATACTGATCCTGTCTAATCTGAATACATAGACCGCCACCCGAGCGCCTTCTGGTCTTTTGCTCTCTGATACTCGTGATACTTCTGATATTGATGATAACACTTCCTCAAGTACCCAATCAGCGGTCAGGCCTTGTAATAGCCCCCAGTAATATCTTTGATAATGATCAATGTCCCTTCTCCTGTTGGGCCGATAAGAAAGAGCCAACGCGACGAACAGCCTAGCGCGGACCTTCAATCAACCGCTATCAATCCCTAGGGGTGGTTAGATACGCATTTCTGTCCTAGATCTGGTCATCAGGCCCGTGGTCTGTACCCGCGACAAGAATTGTCCCCCACGCCCGGATATCTCGACCCTGAGATGGAAAAATCCGGGGCAGCGATCTTTTCCCCAGATGACCAGCTGATCAGACAGATGGACAAACATTCGGCCCCTGCACAGGGACAATGCTGTTCAAAGGCCAATAGACACAGCGGAGTCCGGTGAACGACGTCGTTGATGACGCTGGCCGCCAGGATCTTCCTAGGTAGGTCCGCACGGAGTACAGCACATATCGACTGCACGGCGAATAAGTAACGTAGGTCCACGGCCCCCTCGAAATGATCTGCGTCGACAATTCTAGATTTCGAGCAAAAAGAACAAGTGTGAGCTCGGATGTAAAACTCCGGCCTGTCGTCTCAAACAGCCTTTTCTTTGCTTTTCTTGCCTTCATATGACTTATGTGCTAGCGTCTATCAAATTCCCAATATCAACTCGGTGAACCTATACGAAGATACTATTTACTAAGTCACTTCTAAGTTATCATGTAAAATCCCACCTATAAAACAATTTGTTATCAGCTACCCCTCGCATCGCCGCGTGGCATGCCAGACCGATCCCAATGCGAACGAACCTGTCTATTAGACCTTATCTTTATCACAAGAAGGAACTAATTGCGGACTTTGCCCCGTGTAGTCGGTACCTGCAGCGAGACAGCCACCAATCTTAGCTCATACGATGAGGTCCACGTAAGTAAGGTACCTTGATGCTATCCGCAGAAAATGATATCTGATGCATAATAAACGACCTCGGGAACATCCATATACATCCTCCGGATATACAGACCGCAAGATCACGCAAGAGTCTAGAATACCGATATATTACGCACATGCAAGACCCCGTTAGACCGGTATCCTTGGCCAGACGTCCGTACATGTATCAATACATGGCGATCCGCAACCCCATCTTGGACTGGAGAACCCAGCCACGCCGGGACTGGGATCGATCACTCAAGAGTCGCCGGGCTGTGGGGCGTGGCAAAACGTTCTCGAAACCTCCGTCGACTCACCAATCAGGCGGGGCAAAGGGCCTGGGACCGCCCCGACACCGGCCACGGATGTGTGGTTTGTGGAATTCAGTACGACAATATACCAATGGAGTCACGCGTCGGGGAGATTTTTTCCTTTTTCACTTTTTTAGTTTTTAGTTTTGTTATCTTTATTAAGAGGATCTGAATCGATTATTATTTCAGCTCGGCTACGTTATGTAAGATATCCGCATTTGCTATTTGTGCGCTGAGCAAAGACGTGGGGATCCGACGAGAAAACTCTGTAGGTGAAGGGTTTTTTATTGAGGGTTTGGCAAGAACCAACAATAATAATTTAGAGGAAACCAAATGCATTCCGGAAAAACTTAAACTACAGCATCAGAAAAAGTGGCGACGAGATCTTCCTCCCCCGTATTTTGCAGGGAACAAATCGTAGGCGAGTTAAAGTCGGAACTTTCAGGGAATCAGGGGGAAAGCCTGGCAAGCTAGTGGCTAAGACAGAGCTGCTTTCCCCGACATTTCTCTTTCCTCAGCCCTGTCTGCTCCGTCCGGAGAAACGATTCTAAGAATACCTCTCGCCAAGCGCTAAGTATAACCATCAGATGGATCGCTTGTGGCCATGCTCGCGGCCACTCCGTAGATTTCATGTTCTACGGGGTTGCACAGCCTATCTCGAACCAGTAGGGGATAAGAATACTAAAAAAAGAATCGCACTGAGACATGATTCAGGGATACGGGTTAGTCAGCCGGGCATCCACAAGTCGAGACTTTCGACACAGTATGGAGTCTACACTGTATACGGTACTATGCATCTGGGAAAAAGAGACGCGGTCAGGCCCGCATTTTGATTGACACCCCTTCACATATGACAAACGACATGCATTAACTATGCAGCTATAGCCCGAAACGACTGCAACTTTTCTCGGCCAGACCAGGAGAACATTAATTGTAATAAAAGGCTCCAAAATGGATCGACGTCTGTGAATTTCTTATCGGATCATTCTAATTGGTTCATCCGCTGATTGACACACAATACCGACTATCATCAGTCATCAGTTCAATACTTAGGACGTAATATCTCTTTATTCCTCCAAGATTGAGTGCGTGATCACAAGCCTCATGACTAAAATAAATCCACAAAGTATTCAAAGGTCTAAGAACAGGGGCAAAAGAAATCACAAAAAAAAGTAAAGAGAGATAAAGATGATTCAAGAAATCATGTACGAGGGATTTCTCTGGAAACCGCGCTCCGAAATGCCTCACCGAATGTGGACTAGATTCATCATGGCGGGGTTAATTATTTTTTCAAGCTATGACAACTTTGGAAAGTACTAATGTATGTCATTTAGCGCTTTCTAATAACTTGGAAGACCAAAGCGGATTACGATGACTGGCCATCATAGTCCCTCATCCTTGCTATAAAGGCGATACTATGATGGCTAGTACTGGTTTGACAATTCACTCTAGCAGTTGTTTCTTGTTCATTCCAAGGTTAAATGCATGTTCTGTCATACAATATTTCATAGTTGAACGGTTTTGGAATCGATGGGGATCATAATTTCAAAATTGCGTCACTTTTACGGAGAGCGCGCTAAATGCATACTTACCATTGGCACCGATGCACCTCTACTAGACGCTCTACTAGGTAATGAACTTGCTTAAGGCGCAGCCTAATGTTTCAACTTCGCCAGTTGTATAAAAATAAACCCCTCATTCATACTACTACTATTGGCGAGAATATTTTACCTTAATGTTAGTAAAACCGACTGGTAGAATAATATTGACGACCTTGCTCAAAGTTGTTGATCTCGATAGAGTCACTTTAAGCGGGCCTTTGATGGTAAAGTGGATGAGTGGCCTCGTAGAGAACTTGAAAATAACACGAAATCAAGCTGTACCTTTAAGATAATACATTTTAGAATTAATAAACTGCAGTCCTTCTTCATTGCCATTTTGATTGATCTAAATTCTACGAATACTAGTTAGTGCAATTATTCCAAAGATTAGGCGTCGTCCACTTCACTTGAACATCTATTACAGCCAACTAGTAATTGATCAAGGATCACCCCTGCGAAAATAAAGTGTGGCAATTAAGACAACTTGAATGCAAGTGTCGCATGATCCTATTCCCGAACAGTAAGTATGAAGTATTTGCTACGCTGGCATTCTTGATATATTCTGTCTTTTTTGTTAAATACGATGTTTGCGGTGACTCTGTTTTCTGAATACGTGACAGAAGACTCGGGCTTTAGATGACATAGTATAAAATGGCATATTCATTATTAAAAATTTGAAATACATGAATCATTCTCGCGGGTTGTCCAAATAAGTCTCGAGCTCCAATTCACAACTTGAAGCGATAAACCACTGATTTTCAGCTTTTGATGACCTGTTTGTAGGTTAAATAGATGAATAAACAAACGCATCCATTCAACACCCCGCAAACTAATCAGCCTGGAAATCCTCCACACTCTCTAATAGATCAGCATCACTGGCTTCCAAAGGATGCTGTCGCTCAAGGTTTCGGATTAACTGTATATGCTTCTCGCTTCTCGGCTCGACTTGGAATTCGAACTCCGTAGGATAAGTGAGGAGACCTGGTTTCGGCTTAGCATTCACTTCAATTTCTTTGCCAGCGCTGTCTACAGCCTTGCGAATCTTGAAAGTAGCCAACGATTGCACAATGTTAACGAAGACACTGTTGTCCGCGAAAAATCGACCAGGGCAAATTCTGCGGCCATAACCAAAGAGCACAGTCTTGGGATCTGGCTCATTGCGTGGCTCAGTGAAACGTTCAGGCTCAAATGATTCTGGATTTGAGTACACTTCAGGGTCATGCAAGAACCACCAAGCTCCTGGGAGGAGAGTTGCACCCTTGGGAATGAGCATGCCGTTGTATTCTATATCCTCAGTTGCAGTATGTGGGAAGCCCATGGGGGCAATGGGCCACCACCTTAAAGTCTCTTGGACCAAGCCATCGACATAAGGTAGCTTTTCGCGATCTTCAAAGGTGGGAAGACAGTCTGTGCCAACCACACGATCGATCTCCTCTTGGGCCTTCTGTTGCGCCTCCGGAAACATGACCATAGCTAGCGTGAATATAGTGAGAGCAATCACCGTAGTATCTGCTGCAGCGCCATACAGACTTGCGGCAGTCCAAATCACAGCTTGCTCATCTTCCTTCTTCAAAGTAGCATTGTTCTCTGCCTTGAGATGCTCGATAAGCTTTGAGACGTATGATGGACCGAAATTCAGGGAAGCCATTTGATTTTGGACAAATCGATATGGGATATAGGCTGTGCCCTGGATTGACTTTCGCCATTTCCGGGCTGTCTTCTTGAATGTTGCACCTGGGAAGTTCTCAGGAAGATATCGCAGGGCAGGGATAATATCCACCGCCCATGCCATTGGCATAGCAGCCAGGGAAAATTCGGCCATCATTTGTTCTGTCAAGTCAACCAATGGGTCGGGCTTCGAATGGTCGATGGTATAGTCATATGCCATTTTCAACACGGTTGCTCCGGCTGTACTGTGTGGCATCGTCTCATTAGCTTATGTTTTGGCAGCTCCGAGGAAATAAATCAATCTCACGTCTTGAAATGCTCCAGCCATTTTGTGGGCTCGTTCAGCGATCGGATAAGCTGTCGATATACTTCAATCTCTTGCACATCGCGAAATGTTGCGGCGGACACCTTGGTACCCAGCTCCTGATGTAGGTGCCTGCGACAGCGACGGAAATTTGAATCGTAAGGCTGACACACGACGATTGACTCATATCCACACAGCTTATTGGCCATAATCATGGTCGGTCGGCCAGCTGTCTTGTTCGATTTCTCCAGCAGTTCGTGCGCCGCTTGTTTGTCGTGGATCATGACGAGCGTCATACCCATCACAGTCACGGAGCTAACCCCTCCATAGAGGTCCTTGTGCTTAAGCCAGTGCTGATATTCAGGGGTGCCATCTGGGGGGAAGTCTTTGATGTTTCCGACGATCGGAAATGGCTTAGGACCAGGGGGAAGTTTGAGTCTGTTCTTTGGGGTTGATCGTTGGTATATGAGGTAGCCGATGAGGGTAATGATCCCCAGTAGGATCAATGACGCACTCGGCATGTTATCGCAGAATATCATCTAAAACTCGACTGAAAGGATAGCCCCAGATAAATCGTACAGTTTTCAAACGGCAGGGGAAATGGATATAAGCGATAGCTTCCACGTGGAAGTGGTTCTCGATCTCTGTGGACATTTTAACCGAATGGCATAAGAGATATTATGGGGCGTGCATGTCCATATTGCATTTAATGCAAATTCATCTGCCCGCCTTGAACGGCGCATCTTATTGGTGATTACCACAGGCTAAGTTTCAAGTAGGGGGTGAGATTGTGCAGGCCAGGCGGGGGTGGTACAGTGTGCCCGAAGGATGGGGACTAGAGTGCATGAAAGCCCCCACGTTGCATGATTTACTGCAGCCGTAATTCGCTATTCGTTCTAACTAAACAGGAAAATGAACATTGACTTTGTGGCAATCGAAGCTGCATGAACTAATCCCCCCTTTTATGGTTATTCTTATTCTTATTCTTTGCGCGGATGCTTTTGTCTCTTCATACACAAAGCCATCCGCCTGGCCAAATCGCCCATAATGTCCAGCCTACCAACAAAGTCGGATATTGAGTGGATGGAAGCTCATATCAATGATACAAGAGTTCCCGGGATTATCATTTGCTGTGCTGTCTGTGCTGCATCGTCTGTTATCGTTTTGGCACTCCGGATCTGGTCACGGCTACAGACAGTCCGCAAGCTCGTATTCAACGATTACCTATTTATTGGGTCCGTGGTGAGTGAGATTATTCTTTGAAGAGTCTCAGAAGGCTTGGCTAAAGTTAATTCAATTGTTACAGATATTTTATATTACATTCTGTGCCATATTCGCCTCATCGGTTCGCTATGGCGCCGGAAAGCAGATTATCCTCATCATGTATAAGCCAGCCAAATTACGCATGCTAGCAATCGTACGTCGGACTAAAGCCTCAATCCTATGCAATGGGTCTTAGCGCTGAACACACTTCTCCAAACAGCTTAATATCTTGAATCCGATCTTCTATGGCATGGCCACGGCTTTGGTTAAATGGAGTATTCTCGCCTTGTATGTTTCCATCTTCCCGCAGAAGATATTCCGGTTATGGTCGCATTTCATCGCCGTGGTAAATATGCTCAATGCTCTTGCAATCGTCCTGGTCGGATGTCTTCAATGCCGTCCTATCGAAGCCCTCTGGGATTCCACAATATCAGGGACATGCATCGATTTTGGGAACTTCAGTCTATTCAACACATGCTTCAACCTTGTTCTTGATTTGGTGATTTTGATATCGCCTCTTGGACTGGTCATGAAGCTTAACATGTCGAGACGCAAAAGGGTCTTTCTGGGCCTCAATTTTGCGCTGGGCGGAGCGTGAGTCCCATACTTCGAGGGCTGCCCTTGCCACTCCCCTGCTAATAACATGTTCTAGCGCCTGCGTCGTCGCTTCAATTCGAATTCCCTACGCTCACCTGGTGGGGGGCACTTCCAACCCAAGCTGTAAGTTGTAATGTCATCAAACACCCCATCCGTATAAAGAACAGTGCTAACTCCTATTCTAGGGGATATGATCCCAGGTGGCTTGCTCTGTATCGTCGAGGTTGCTGTTGCCCTTCTCTGTTCATCGATTCCCACGTACCGACCTCTGTTAAAGCGCATTAGCAAGGGCAATTCAAGTGGTGGTTCGTTGGATAAAGGATACTCTGCTGGCAGCCATCTTGGGAGTAGGGGTGGGCAGCTCAACACCCGCGTCAGTTCTAGCGGTCGGCATTTATCTCATCGAGGGGGTATCAACATCACCGAGAATATCAGCATGAAGACGCAGACATTTCATAATGGTCATTGGACAGTAATGCCAGAGGACGATGACCAGGCCTACTTAGTACATGACAACGATTTAGCACGCTCGACGACGAGTACCGTCAGTCATGTATAAACTTCCAAACAGACAATGGATTTTTCATAACCGTGACGCATCCAATTAAATGACGAACTATTGGATTCAATTATACTTATCATTTTGGCTACTGTCAGCTTTTGCATGAGAATATTCTCTCTTGGGTCTCTTGTAATGTTTCTACAACCACGTTCAATGTTCCACCCATATGAGGATTAAGTATTGTAGGAGAATCCAGCAGTGTGTATAATCTTAATCCAATTATTGATACGGGCGTCCGATCGAAGATTTATCTTTGGTGAAACCCGACCGGCATAATTGGTAGAAGTTCAAGTTAGTATGGGGTACATCCTACGAGAGATCTGGAATCCTTTGAGATAAATATTTATTATGCGTCGTAATCTCATAACTAAAAAAGCATCGCAATTCTAATCTAAACGCCCCGGCGTCTCATCGCGCCCTTGAAAATCTTAGCGAAGTCCGCCATGTGAGCTGGGTTAAGCATTTTAGCATGAATGCCAGGGCAATCATAGAACTCAGCCGGTGTTTCGGAAAAGTCAGCCCAGCGACCGAGCTTGTTCTCCCTCCAGTCCTGTCGATCCTTGGCTGCGTATCTAGGGGGATCTGCCACGAAAACATCCAAGTTCTGAACCTTGCCAATTGGTTCGTACGTCTGAACGTTGACACGAAAGTTCTCTGCAATGTCGCTGACAAGTCCCAAATGCTTCATGTCAACGGCTAGAGCCTTCGCACGCTCGGAATCACCGATCTCTAATAAGTGAGCCAGTGCGGCTTCGCGGTCCAATGTGTGCAGATAAGGTGTGACCTCAATCATTGTTTCCTCGTCAATGATCTCAAGGAAGAAAGCAATGTGAAGCAATACGTCAATCCAGTTCAATTTGTGGACGTAGTGGGCGATGTGTGGTGGGTAGTCGATACTGGCAAGGAATCGGACTTCTTGTCCCTGAGCCTCGAGGACCTTGCCGACCTCGTATGCCAGGGTAGACCCTAAAGAGTATCCTGCAATTGCATAGGGACCCTCAGGCTGTGTCTGGCGAATCTGCTCGGCATATGTGTTTGCGGTTTCTTCAATGGAGTAGAAGAAGCGTTCGTTAGGGTTATATCCTCGTGTGCGAATTGCGTACACTGGTCTTGTTGAAAAGTGTGCTGCGAGAGCAATAAAGACAAGAATATCACCGCTTCCAGGGTGGATACAGAACAACGGGATGCCACCGTCTTTACCTTTATGAGCGTTTAGTGGCACAATACCATTGTATTCTCTTGGCTTAGACATGAGCGAGTCAATGGCAGCCGATATAGCAGCCGGGCTTGGTCTATTAAATGTGTTAGTTTATGTACCGTATTTCAAGCGATATAAGGGAGTATTACTCAGTCAACATGATTGACATCGGAAGTTGCATCTCGGCGCCAACCGCCTCTTGAACCATGGCCCTTAGGCGAATGAGATTAAGAGAGCTGACCCCCAAGTCGAAGATGGAATCGTCCATACTAATCTCATCGGCGGAGATTTCGAGCAACTCAGCTACAGTCTTCTGGACAATCTTTTCTGTCTCAGACTCGGCAATTCGCCAGCTGGATTGGCGACAGCTCATGCGAAGAGCTTGATCTTCATGCTCAATTGATGCGTATTCGCCGCTCTCTAGTGCATTGCGCACCTTGGTGTGTGAAATCTTACCGAGGGAAGACTTCTCTAACATAGACTGAGGCAGAGGAATGACGTGTGTGGGTTTCCGACCGGTGGTTAGAGACACCGTCTTCGAAATAGCTTGTGCGGTGTCAAAACGGGCCTGGCTGTCCTCATGAGAATAGGTCGGCGAGTAGACAATTGCAATGTCCTCGGTAGGTGAGCCAGTAGCGCGGGTTGGGAAGGCTACTGTGTAGGAGGGAACCAGGCCAGCAATACCTTCTTCTTCGAGGGCGGTTTCCAACTCGGTTGCGCTCCATTTAACGCCATTGATAATAATGGTGTCTTTGATTCGGCCAACCAAATCAAGATTACCGGCGTCGTCGATCTTAGCCAAGTCTCCTGTGATGAACCAGCCATCCGAAGTAAACGCTTCCATCGTTGCCTTCGGGTTATTATAGTACTGCTCAAACAAAATAGGCCCCGAGACTTGCAACTCTCCAGATTCACCAGTGGCTGCGGGAGTCCCGGCCTCCGTGACGCTCATGACACGCATGTTAATACCCGGAACACAGGATCCAAGACTGGCAAACTCATGAGCGAGCGCAAGGTCGTATGAAGGGCAAGCCCGAGAGTAGATAGATCCCGCACAAGTCTCAGTCATTCCAAAGCCTGGGCGAATCACTTCTCCCTGGACACCGAGTCGTCGGAGCTCTTGAGTGAGCGCATCACAAGTGACAACAACATTAGACTCGCCTCCTGAGATAAGAGCCTTGAGGCTCGAAAGGTCGGCTTTGAAATCTGGATTTGCCTTCAAGCTGTCGTATACCTTGGTCAGGAAGAAATTAGGTGCAAAGGTGTAGACCACTTTGTGAATGTCAATCAAGCGAAGGAATTGCAGAGGGTCTCGAAGGACCTCTGGTGCTGACACATGTACCTGATTGCTACCGAGACTCACTGAAAAATTGTAAGAAATTATGAAATTGTGACATCGAAGGAAGAGGAAAGAACATACTTGCATGCAAATGAGTCTCTGTCAAGCTAGCAACATGATCCAGGCCGACCCAATTGAGAAAGACGTCGCCGGGCTCTGTGCCATGGTGTATACTCTTACCACGGATAGATTTGAGCATTTGACCCTGCCGCAATGACACTGCCTTGGCATTTCCAGTACTTCCCGAGGTCAACATAAGAACAGCCAGGTCTTTAGCCTTCTTTTCGAGACCCGTGAAATCAATAGAAACGTCTTCCTCGGTGGGTGCAGATAGAGACTCAACATCGTGCAGGTTGAGCTCATCTAGCCCGAGGAATTCTGGGATTAGTCGCTTGGCCGTGAGTACAACGGGTTGCTCGAGTAATGTATGAAGGTGGAGCAAGTGCGTTCTGCGCCGATTTGTGTCCTCTGCAAATGGTGTGGAAATAGCGGGCAGATATCCCGCAAGGGTAGCACCCCAAAACCAGATGATGTTTTCATATTGGGTGTCAAAGTGTAAGAGAAGGATTGATTGCGGCGTCAGTCCTTCGATACGGCGGATTATGCTAGCCTTCTTGTCCGCTTCTACAAAGAGGTCGGCGTACGAAAGAGAGATCGGGGTAGAACTAGGTCCCTCTGTAGAGTAGAAAGATAGGCTTCCATTGGTCGTTGATGCCCAGATGAGAAGTTGTGACAAGTTACGGAGTGCGGTCTCTGGCTTCTTCTGTGTCGTGGCGATACCCGTTGTAGACTTGATGCTGATGTTGGTAGTGGGTAATTCGACCCCTGAAGCAAGGACCGAAGGGGCCATTTTGTATGAAACAAGAGGTCAGAGGGAGAAGGGTAGAGGAAGTCTGAACGTTTGGATAAATTTGAGTTTTTGAGACTGATATGACTGTTTCAAATGTTGAAAACAAAAAGATGACTTGGATTCTTGGGACTGTTTTAGATTGCTTGAGAATAATAATAATCCTTGAAATGATCCGGGATCCACGGCCTTCTAATAGTTACAGCAATGGGCTAGAGGCATATTTATTTTAAGTAACTGTCAATTGAAGTTGACCATCAACTGTGCATACCTACGTAAAGAACCAGGGGCGGGAATTTCTAATTCTGCAAACTTACGCCATAAATCCTTCGGCGCCACCCAACTGCTCCTGATGATATAACGCTCAATTCGATGATCGGCAGGATTTAAACATGGTAGTTAGACCATTTTCAGAAAAGATCATGTTGTTTCTGCCACTAGATTCTTCAGATGTCATGCTGTGCCCTCGGTATTTGGGGGCCATTCGATGTGTGCAAGCAATGGCCAACCAGAACCAGAGATTGAGGTGCATTTTGCGTCAAAGCACATCAGAGCGGGACATATTGGAGTAAGTTTGGGTATGTAAGACTAAAGAACTGATGGGGCTGGATATCACTTCTCCACCCGGTATGTCGTCTATTGGGTGGTGGCCGAGGCGTTCCTCAAGGGTTCAAGATAGGGCAGATGGCTGAATCGGCAGGGACGCAACATGTAAGCACTACTAGTATCGCCGTGCATTGGATCCGAAGAATGATTTGCTGCGGATAGTATATCCATCCGCATCCAGACGAGTCAGCAGACCCGATGGCTCGGTAGCCTGATAGATATGACTTCACACCAGTGGGATTATCTTCTTGGGACTGAGGGGAACGGGATGTCCTCAGCTATGTTGGTTTACCCATTTTCTTCACGTGAAGTTCTTCATGACAACGTTGTAGTTTCCATTTGCGGGATGTCCTTATTATGCGGGACTAACTATTGTAGTGAGGAAAGCCTCCGCCCTGTGAGGAATGACCCTTACGGTCGCGGATTTATTATCCCCTTTTGTCTCTTCCGGCTATATATAGCATCGCGTTACGATTAGTTCTGTACAACACACTTCTAACATTCTTTTGATCACGTTTTGCGATTCTGATTTTCCGCGTTGACCAGGGAAAGATATTGATGTTTTGCTGTGCGTCTTTCTGACTAGTATTCCAATGCAGGCCTACTGTATTTCCCCTCTTCACTAACCAGGACCCACTTCGTCGGCTTTAAATCCTTCAGCTGCTTACTATCGACGTCACCGCAATTACCCTGTTCAGCAAATCCTGTCTTTCTCGGGGATTTAACTATAGGTTAAAACCAAACAAACTTCCGAGGCTCCAATGTTGTCGAACCTAGGGAAGCATAACCTACATTTAACTTGATCATGAAATGACAAAAGCAAAACAAAAAGGCTCAAAATCGTACCATGAAGCGCGATAATTTTAGACTAGATAGCAAACATTTATTCCCAATGGAGTAGTAAGCAAGCCACTGGCAGTTATCATCATACTAATGCAGAGTTCCAGTATAGGTAATAACCCGTGCGCAATTTTATCCCTTCATAATGGTGCATTATTCATCTCCTCGCGTACTTTTGGCATTGGCCATCGATAGCATGATCCCGAACTATTATTCTATAGGCTGCCTACTCTTTACTATCTTTAGAACTTTGAAATACTTATCGCCCGGTATTGATCATAATCAAATAACGTCTAGGCTTTTGCTCATCCCGTTGATGAAGTATCACATACGCTAAAATCTTACATCCGGGTTTTTCAATTTACCCTTTTTACAAGACTCTGAACGTAAGTTTTCAAGAGCCTAGGAATTTCCAAGCTTGGAATGCCATTGTTCTCTTGTCTGCTGTGCATTTCCTCTTTGCTAGTATTAAGCAAGCTTGTTACTGTTGGGATATTTCGTTTTTTGACGTATATACTAAATGGCTGGCTCACCTCAAACACGGTACGTGCAGGTTTCAAGTACTGTACTGCGAGATTTAAAGTTTCGCAGGATTATCCCAGCACTGCGAGCGCGGAAATTTTTATTAGCCCCCACACAACGACATAATGATGCCAAGGCAATAACTTGAAAGTACTGTATTCATCATGTATGATCGCCACCTTCAAGCCTCAGGGGCCATATCATATGGTATGATATTGCTATGACTTCAATTGAAACTGCGAATTGCTATCATGAATTCTGAGTCTTCGAGGGCGAACTTGATTTGGCCCGGAATGATGACAGGTACGCTAGTTGATTTAGATTCTTAGCGACATAATGCTCATCAGATTATCATTACAACCAGCCTTGCAGCTTCACAATTTATTCCAATTGGTGATTAATCTGCATTTCGCCCTCAATAATCCACACTTGCTCCCGCCTATTGTGATGTCTAAGGTTCGAACATGAAGCTTGAACAAATTGACACAAGGCTCGGAGAGTTGCATCCTGCAATACATTATGATGCATAGAGCTCGCACTCCACTTTCTTTCGGTTTGACTTTCTTGATTCAAACGTCATACAAGCATGATGATCGTCATTTCAGTGGGTCTTCCGCGTTATCCCCCTAATTATGCAAAAAATAACTCTTTTACTGTGCCAGACTCGTGAAGCAGATCTTTCGTTGAGACTTGAGATTTTTCCCACCCAATGATCATAATCCTGAGTATAACCAAAAAGAGTAATAACTGTATCTGAAATGACGTTCTTCTACTTTATCGCCTGATAAGTATCCCTCCAGTCACCGGACCCATTCCGAGCTCTTTAGTCGTTGCATTCCAACGTGCCATCATTTGCCAGCAATACTTCAGGTACTCCCCAGTTCCTCTTGGTTTGACATTATTAAAGGGTCGTGTGGTGCGATCATCCACTGCTCCCCCATTCTCGTGTTCATGGATACATCAGCTTTGCATGGCTCTGTGCCGAATAATTGAGTGTGTGGATAAGTGCCAGTCTCAGCAACGCTCCGTTATTTGTCCACACAGAAGATGATGGTCATCTGATAGAATTTAGCATCGGGATACTAGCAATCTTTCTCTGCGTTCCTTACAGATGCCTCTTCTTAGATCTCAGAACAGCCTGGGTATTCTGTACACCATTTTTGCCACAAATTGTAGCCATTATTTTCCGAATAGTGGCTTCGTCACGTGCAACATCTGATGCCCGAGGACAATAATGGTGCCCCGGATGCTCATTGAAATTTTCAACAAAAGCTTTAACATGATTGAGATCTCTCGCCTGATTCGGCTTCATCCGCGGGTATAGATTTGCGGGGAAATTACTATGGGCCCCCGATGCCCACTGTAGATGAGAGGCCAGAAGGCTTTATGGAATGCTGCGCGCTTGGTGTGCCATTACAATGGCCGCCAAATCTTGAAGCACGAGTATGATTATTATTATTATTTTAAAAATTAAACACGCTGTCCGTCTTTCATGTCTCTAAAATCTTGAATTCACATGCATACCTCCTCGCGCATAATACCCGTGGATCCTGCCGAGTACGGAGACGGAATAGGAGTAGACCCTAAACAGTCTACTCCGCCCAGTCAGCACTTTTGGGGCCAAAATGGACATCTGGACTCACCGATTTAATTAGATAAGAGTCAGCATGGGAGTTTGAGTCAGGGTGGGCCTAAGTGTATTTCACTATGCATTTTCATCGCAATGGATCAATCTACAGGGGTCTATATGCCATAGAGGGTGGGTAGACCGTCAAATGCAGTCATATTAACTAGTTATTTGGAGGAGTATGCAGTCATCGTCTTCGGAATACGAGATTCCTGGTGAGTTGATTTTTGTTCATTTATCATCATCATCACCTTCCTGTCTAGGTAGTAGCCAAGCGATCAGGCACCGAGCGCAGCACCCACTCGACCAGGGTCCCTAAGTCATGCGAAGTCTCGATGACCCTGGCGATCTTTTTGTGGATGTCCTGCAAGTTTGGTTTGTCGCTGTCTGTTCCTTGCATCTCGGTATCTGTGTTATCATGATTCGTCTCTTTCAAAAGACCCGAACTGTTCAATACTGAAATGCGACCGTTGAGGCCAATCTCGAAACAGAGTGAGACTTGTACTGGTTCGCGCATATACTTCTCAACGCTGCCGGCACTTTTCCCAGGATCCGTAATCAGTAGCATGAGTGATGGTGCTTGTCCTAGTAGAGTCCTTAATGTCACATCTACCTTAACCTCCTCCATGAATGATTGCTTGTTATCCTTGATGTCACTGAATACATCGCTGGCAGCGTCAGAAGTCGAAAAGCCATTACCGAGCAGCATGTTGAGCTTGGATTCATTAGGATCATCGTTACTGAGGGTAATCACCCCTTGGCTGTTGAAGAGACTCGACAGTTGGTCAAATGTGGAGGATGGTGTTGTCGTTGTCGTTGTCGTTGTCCTCGACGGAGACATCGTATTGCCCTCGTTTTGTTGGGCAGAGCCTTGGAAGACTTTTCGAATTAAGCTTGCAAGCAAAGCGTATTGTCGGAGTCTCTAGATCCAGTTAGACTATGTCAATAATTCAAACGCATAGATATTACACACCGGAAAGATATCGGCCAATTGCCGGGGATGTGAGAATGGTAAATCTCGAATCGTGCGGCCGGCGAACGACTCAAAGGCTTGGAAGGTATAGTTATGATGCTCGCTGTAGGATGTCCCACTTGGATCAACGGCATGCACAGACATCCGTCGCTTCCTTCGACTAGATTGGGGCGATACTTCAGCCGTTGCAGGGTCGGAAACAAGCAAACCATCGTATGTAAACATTTTAAACTCTTGCGGTAATGACATTCCGAGATGGCGATAAATATCAGACGCTGCAAGGGTTGGAATATCGAGTGGAGGCTCTAACTTTGCAACAAAACGGCGATTGGGTGGTGATGACTCTAACATGCTCGAGTCTAAAGCCATCGGATCAGGGTGGTTTCCATGCGACAGACGCATGGTTTGCGGAGGATCAAGCCAGCTGACAGAACCCGCAGGCTCGAATGATGATGATGGATCGGTCTTTTCGATAGCATTGAATGCCTCGTTCCCTACCCACTCTTTGGAGATACGAAGAGACGGGTATCCCTCTTCACACTCAATCATTGCGCTCCATATTCGCTCTTGGTCCTCAAGCTCGATTGCTTCTCCGTCAATCGCCATGGCATCTGGCGACTTTTTGCCTTGCTTGAGATCCAAGACCTTAGCCTGGTCCACCCAGAATTCCAAGCCCAGGCCAATTCGGGATCCTTTGTGCATGCTTGGGCGGCCAATGATTCCAGAACAAAGATGTTCATAATCACCACCGTATTTCCCAATCTTTCCTTCTTCCACCCAGATTCGCTTGAGGTTCTCCTCGAGCCCCTCCAGTGCCTCGAAGCAATTCACTTCTTGGCTAAGCTTATCTAATTTGGCGAGCCATTGCAAGTTCTCGTGGAAGCCTTTAAGGGGTTTCCATTTTCCAGACTCGCTGTCCTGGGGCGACTGTGCAAGGTTGCGCTTCAAGACCGCAGTTGCCTCCTCTCGTCGTTCTCCTTCGGTGTACTCGGGTGTAGCATATCGCAGACTGACATCTTTCACAACGTCATGACCAGCATGAAACTCGATTTCAAGATCAACGAAATTGCCCGCAATATTGATGTCATTATCCTGCCAGATAGACTCAAACCCCTCCAGTCGGCTTAATCGCTCAAGTGCTTCTCTAGAGACTCCCCGACCCGCGACGTGTGTAAGGAGACTCTGCACAACCTCTTTGATTCGGAGTTTTTGTTCCTCATCGCCGTGACGACCCACTCCAAGCTTAAGTCCCGACATGCCTAGATTTTGAATATCATGCTCATTCATGCCAGAGCCTACAAGTGCATCGTGGACTGCTGGTGACGGACTAATTCCTGTGTAACCGCCGAGCGCAAAGAGTGCAGACGGAGAGCTGAAATTGACGGGATCGTCGACAGCATTCGATACAGCAAGGGGTGTCGCGTACTGGTGGGACGAAGATGCACTGATCTGATGTCCATGCCCAGGTCCTGAGACTGACGGGGTTCTTGCAGAAGGGGATTTATGAGCGATTGATCGGGAGAGAGGCGCAGAGGAGGGGTGAGGAGAGGTGGTGAGATGCGTTGGCGTCGCGCCAGGTTTCGCCGATGGTGTCGCCATAGCAGACGCAAGGTGGTCTTAAGTTCCACCAGAAAACAAAGACCTCGGTGAGCTTCAGATATGCGATTAAAGTTGCAGCTTCGGCGCAGTTTACCCCACTGATCCTTGATGCGCTCGCAAAAAGACGCTGAAGGTACGTAAAACGACAGTTTAACCTGTATAGACGTATGGCAAATATCCTAAAGCCATTCACTCTCCAGATGCGCACCGATACTACAATTGGGCAACCCAACTTTCAACCTTGCACCTTTGTCGAGTTAAGGTTTCTTCTCCATAACAGACATCATTCGGACCAGTGAAGCTACTAGAGACTCACCGCCTCCCCCATCAATACACCGCCTTCTTTGATCTGCAGGACGATCGAATGAACTCAGAAGCAACAACATCATTTTATGTTATATAACGACGGTCGTGTTTTATCACATTGCAATCATGTTCGCCTTGAGATCAACGGCTCGACGAGCCTGGGGCTTTCGTGCTTGCACACATCCTCGCTACGTCTCCACACTCGATGGCAATCCTCACATTGTAGGTAAAGCTCTCTTCCAAATCAGTACATTTGATATTAACTTGTGAAATAGTATATTTTCCCCAGTGACGGCCCATCAGGATCTCACGTCCTCTCACTTTTACCAACTGAGCCTGTGAACTCAAAGCTCGCAATTGGAATAACGTCAAAGTTGCCAATAACAACTGATTCGGTCCGCGAGAATCCCAAATTCTTGGATATCCTTCAAGATGTCTTCTCGAAGCATGCACACGAGGACCCCGATGCCCAATCGCAGGCGCAAGTCATGGTATCAACAGCTGGCGCAAACTTGTACTCTGGAGGCGTACTACAAGCCAACAAGCGCAAAAGTAAAAGACGCGCCGATGCGTCAGATTCAAGTGGTGGTGCCAGTGGCCAAGGCGGAGTTGGATCAGCTGGTCGAGGCGGCTGGATTCATATTTCTGATGCCAGGCGGCCTCCTGACTATGGCCGTATTGCATGGTAGGATGATTTTTCCCCAAAGGCCTGTGTCTAGTCACTAACTATTCTATAGGCCGGAAGACATCTTTGGAAGTCTTGAGGTGGATGCAGAGGGTCAGTTTGTTGGTGGCGATGGCAATTATCAACCAAGCGGTAAGAACGACCTTTAAATCTCTACATACAATATTGAATTATTGCTGACATAAAACAGGCACCTATAGACTTGTGACCCGAGATGGAATGTAAGGCCCTTCTATCTATTGCCTTGTTCAGTCGCAACTCGACTTTTACTAACTCCAATATCTAGTCTAAGCATAAGCCCTTTTCTTAGGGAAAAGCTTGTCCAAAGGTTGAAGGAACTCGAAAAGGAATGATCGCCTTTATCTAACCTAATTCACAATAGCGCCTCTGTACAATAGTTATCTTCCAAGTATCGGGCTTCATGTTTACTCGAAGAATGTTCATCACTCCATTCCTTTCTGTGCTCAAATTAGGTTCATACTGAAACCATTGTGAAATACGAATTTATATGGACATCTGTTTCTCAGGAGAGATACCAACATTCCCATCAAATCTTGATGTCGTATTCTTTCATGTGTATTGCATTATGACTATTGTTTAAAAAAGTTCGTGATTCGTTGAGACCCATCCGCCGGTTTCGCTTTAGCGGTTTTCTTATAAGGAGAATTGGATGTGGCACTTCGCATCTTCGCTTTCTGAGGTGAATGACTGGGTAACGATGGCTGCACTTTCGGCTTCTTATTTTCTTCTTTGATGATAGGCAGATCAAGCGTATGTTCTCTCTTGATTCCCGCGGTTTTGAGTTCCGTTCCTTCCTGATCGATCTCAAATTTAATGTCTTTCTGTGTCAAATCTGGGTCTTGCTTTGGATTAGACTTTATTTCTGTGCTAGGACTTCCTTCTTTCTTTTTGGCATTGCCGAAAAAGTTCGCAATGTTGCTCTTATTTTCCGTGCTGTCAACTGGGACGATGAATTGAGGGGAGTTATTCCCGGCTTTCCCAACTTCTTTTGGAACCTGATAGCATTCTAGCTCTCCCTCATAAGGTTTAAGCAGCGACTGAAGCTCTTTTGACCATGTTTTGCGGTGTGGGTCAAGCCAAGTTTTCATGGCGTCAGAGCCAGGATCCAAAATAACGGGCATGCGTTCATGGAGGAATTTCAGGTAGGGGTTTGAGGACGTTGTTATGACGGTATATGTGTAAAGTTTCTCATCGGTTCCTGTCTATCGTCAATTATATAGCTCTGGTGCTCGTAAATAAGGTGAGAAACTAACCTTCATAGGAGACACAATCCCACAGCCCTGCAAAACACATCAACCCGCCGTCTTTGCGCTTAGTATAATGTGGGATTCGGTCTTTGCCACCAGGTCCTTTCTTCAGCCACTCATAGAATCCCTGGCATACGATAACGCATCTCTTCCCCCGCTTCATGGTTGTCCACATGCCACGATCTTCAATAAGTGAGTCATCCCGACAGTTGATAGTGCGCAGCATGGAGCCGTAGTCCGGCTGTCGCTTTGTCCAAAAAGGAATGAGACCCCATTTCATGCTCTGCAGTTTATACATAGTTTGTCTTTTCTTAGCGTCATCAACCATCTCATGCGACTCCTCATGGCCTGCATTCTGTCCATCGCTGTCTTCTGCTGTGCCATGTGTGTGCTCCTTGTCAGGAATATCGGCTCTATAAACGGCACCAAAGCTGCCAGGTGCGAAGTTATAGGTCTCTCTGACTTCATCATCCTCTGGTGCTTCATCGACCGGCATTCCTCTATCCTGAAGGTGCTGCCGGATGTACGCCATGCGCTGTATTATGGTTGTCAATATCCTGGCTGATCGGGATACTGGTATGAGCACCTACCACACCCAAAGCGTAACGCCCACACATTTTGTTGTTTGAGATGACAAGAGTATTAGCACACTACAGCACTTTAATGTTTTTCATACCTCCATGCAGAAACTATTGCCTCTGGCTAAAGAACGTAGTCTAGGCAAACGCGGGTGGGCGACGTCATATGGCGGAGAGAAGCTTGGGCCAAGAGAAAATCGAAGTGCGGCTCGTTCCATCGCTGGTCATAACCTCTCGACAACATCCTACTACGGCCTAAAACCTTACCCCCTCTGATACGCCATCATAATTCATAATTTCAAAATAGAAGTCGCGTTCGGGACAACAACTCACCTCACACCTAATGTTCCGTGTTGCGGCGCGGCGCACAGGCGCCTCCACCTCGAGACTCGTTCAAGCACAACATCAGTCCCTCACGAGGTCCATATACACTCGCAATGCTCGACCAACACAATTGACAAACAAAACCGCTCCACTTATCCGATCTCAAATCCCCCCCTCACGATGTATCACCTTCGCTCAACGCGTGCGCCTACGTTACCGCGAAGCGTCGAAGGGCATCTTCCGCAAGAACCCCGTTCTCCTCCCACTCGCCATCGTCTCGCTTATCAGCGCAATTGGAGCCTTCGCCTACATATCCTATGAAGAATTAACCCGAGTTGCGCCTCAGTATCACAAATTCCCACCTCCAATGGCAGATGCGCTGCGCACGGCAGTGTATTACACCGAGATCGACTTGAATCCACCAAAGGCCCTACAAGCGTACAAAGAAGCACTCCGGTTAGGTGCTGAGCTGGGCATGCACCCATATTCTGATGAGGTACTAGGTGTTAAGTTGAAGGTGGCGATGATGTTGGAGAAGGCTGGGCTTATGAAGCCAGCCATTGAGGTGTTGGAGCGAACAAAAGACGAGGCGTTGAAGTGGATCGAGGAAGGACGGAACACCGAACCCGCTACAATCGGACCTATAAAGCCGCAGACGGAGCAGAAGAATGCGTCGGTGAAGGCTACCGCGGATGAATCTCAGGTCAATACTGAGGCATTGCAAGATACGGAGAATGAACTGCGAGCCCTACATGAGTTTGAGGCTCGGCAACGCGATCGCGCGCTGAAGAAGGTTGTCGGTATGCAGATGAAGCTAGGCGAGTTGTATGCCAGCGAATATATTCAGGATGATAAGAAAGCCGAGGCCGCGCAGGTTGCTGCTGTGGAGCTCTGCTTGAAGGAAATGCACCGCCGGCAGAAGCTTGGGCTTCCCGTGGGCAGTGCTGCTGCTGTTGAAGGAGGCGAGGAATCTTGGTTGAATATGACTGAGATTGCTACTTCACTCACAGAGTTAGCGTCTACATACAGTGCTAGGGAGCGACATGAGCTCGCGATGCCTTTGTACTTGCGCTCATTGGAGTTGATCCGTACAGCAGAAGGGAACTCCCCATCTTGCAAGCAGGCGACGCTACTCAACGATGTTGCCAGTGCTATGGTTGGTCAAATGCATCAGCCGAGTCAACAGAAAGAATCTGTCTCCCGGGATCAAATCGTCGAGGCGGCTCGACAGTGGGCGCAAAAGTCAATTGATGTCGCCGCTCGCATTCAGCCCCCTGTTCGTGATGAGGAGTGTGATGTGACATGTGTCGTGGCAACCTATAACTTGGGTGAGATTGCTGAGCTACAGAACAAACCAGATGTGGCTAAGCAACGCTACAATGAAGCCAGATCTCTAGCGAAGGGACTCGGATTTGATGAAGGCATTTCTATGGCCGACAGTGCATTGAAGAGACTTGTCAAGAAATAAGCCTCAAATACCACAACATGTGCCAGACCTATGTATATTATGATGATTTCAGAATCCAACTCCATTGTACAATCCCTGTCTTCCGGGTGCTTACGTATGAAATACATACATCATAGGCAGCACGTAGTGCCTGATAGACTTTTTAGACTGTGGTAACAATGCCGCCACTTCGAGGGAGAAGGGATATAGGGGAATGAATCGCAAGCTTGGAAATGATTAGTAACCTACTAGTAATAGTATTTATGCACCGCGGCATGAACTAAAGTGAGGGTGATGCCTAGTTACTAGGAGACTCATGTAGGGGAAACAAAATGGTAGGATATTCTATTTTGACCTACTTAGAGTGTAATTCTAAGTAGCTGGAGGTACTGGCCAAAAAGTTCAATCCCATGTGGGAATTCCCAGCATCCGAGCAAAAATCACAGGTCTTGATACAACACCTCTTAGCTTGCAATTCTGGGTATCGCGTGCGCGGATGTGTATCATTTAGCCCTGGCTCCAGAGCCCTCTGGCGTAGTAATACGCAAGTGGCCTAAGCTTCTCACTGGTAGTTTTGCGAAGGTTGTTCAACTTGAAGTTGTTCAATACAACCTTGGAAATACGCCAGTGATCACAGGCTCATAGAATATATTCCTCAGCACGGTATTAATAGCGATATATAGCCTTCAATTCACGTCTTCCAACCTTGGAATACTCCCGGATTCACAAGCAGTGGCCACCTAGGCAATACAGGAATCCCGAAGTACATATGAATGTTAGGTATACAATGATATATTTGTGTATGAGGGATCTCGTTCTCAATGACTATAGATACTTGACCTCAGCCTTCTCACTATAGCTATTATACCACAGAGTATATTATAGGTAAACACTTATCTTTGGCTGAACATTAATTGGCGCACGCTCATCATCCACAGGTCGAGCCGGGTCATGATGTTCATCATCTGGTTCCTGATCAAGGAAATCATTGGCAGGAGGCCTTCCGATAATCCCACGCGCTGTGTCCCTCTTCTCAAGATATGCAATTATGCCGATAAAAGGTAGGGTCAACGCTCCTGTGATTAGACTTGCAATATATCCCTTTCTGAAATGAGGGGCGTCTGTCGCTGGATAGAATATCAATGGCCACCACGAGACAAACGCAAAATCGAATGAATTCATAAATCCAGTCGTGATAGCTCGTAATTGGAAGTCATGGCTTGTCACGTCGGCCATCCAGGAATACCACACGGCTTGCGGTGCAAAGGTAGTGCCCATCAAATAAAATGCGAAGAAGTATACGGCATCGTTTGCAGGCCCGGAGACTAGAATTGCTGAGCCGATGATAAAGGTCAATCCGATCGCTATCGATACCTCCCAGCGAGACTGCACCTTGTCGGAAATGACGGCATAAATAACTGTCCCGAGAATAGCTGTTGCATAAATACCAGTGGGGTAACTATTCTGCTGGATTGTCGAGTAGCCTCGTGAGGCCATCCAGTATGCCATGACATTGTTCTGTAGCATCTGCACACAGAGCGAATACACTATATGGCGAGTCAGACGATAGAAACCAAGAAGATAAATTTCAGGGCATGATACACATACACATGAAGAGCGTTGGCAAGAGATAAAATTGCCAACTTAGTAACACTCGCTTGAACACGGTACGATCCCATGATTGTTTGCGAATAGGACCTAGCCTGGTAGCTGCATGCTCCTTCTGCTCATCGGTGAGGTACCAGGCAGCGCGGTGAGCAGGTAAATCGGGGATAAAAACCCAACCTGCATCTTTATTAGTTGCCATCTATGAGAAGTGAAAAGAAGATCACTCACCAAATGCTGCAACTGGGATTGTCATAACGGAAACAATGATGAATATCCATTTCCACGCTGGAAGCCCACCTTTCCCAGAGAGCGTCTGGAGCAGCCCAGCTTGGATCCAGCCACCAGACATTGTTCCGAGTTGACCAAATACGCAAAAGACAGCAGCTCGCACCCCCAGCTCGGATTTTCGATACCATGAGCCGAGAATAAATTGAGCCCCAACACTGCAAAATCCTAGTCAGACCCGATGAAGTAGTTCAAACAAAGAAGAGAAAACATACTATGCAATGGCCGAGAATCCACCTTCTATAGCATTAAGCACAATAACCTGCCAAGCATGTGTCATCTTGTAGGTGATCAGTGTCAATACGCTCCAGGTAACATTGGCGGTGACAAAGACATATTTAGGGCGAAGAATTGTTAGAAGGCTGGTTCCGGGAATTTGGCAAACGGCGTAAACAACTAAATAAGCAGTATTCATGTAATTATACTGCTTTCCTTCGAACCCGAGCGCCTCTTTCATTCCACTGATATAGGCTGACGAATAGCTGGCGCGAGTGATGCCGAATAGAAACCATATCAGGGAGAAATAAGGAAGAAGAGTGACATCTAGCTTTGCTAGGAGAGCGCGGTCCTGGGCATCCGTGCCCCATAGCCAGATGGCAATCCTTTTTAGAGCCATTATATTCTTTGTCCGGCGTGTTACTTATGATATAGCGATTTGATTTTCTGGGGACTTGAATGAGTCAAGGGGTGGAATGTGTGATTTGTTTTAAATTCTCCGAGATCATTCACGACCTGTCAGCTTCCATGGACCTGGCAAATTGGAGTATAGAAAGCATGTCAGAATATAGCGATACTCGATAATCGATGTCTTTTGAGTCACTCGAAGAGGAAGCGGTAGGATGCCATGTTAGAATATCGAGGTGATGATGTGCAATGGCGAGAGGATTCTCTTTAATGGTGGGATTTCGCCGATAAGGATCATGCGGGGGTGGTGACTTTGCCATGGTGTGATAATAAGAGGGGATAACTACATCTGGAACTGCCCAGTACATAAGGCAGCACTACAACAGGGAACTTTATTTAATACGGGGTTTAGAAACACTAGTCATAAATAAACCATTCCTGTGCAAATTTGAGTAGGGAAAGTGTAGGAATATATTCATCAGGTTTGGTATATGGGCGTGTTTTCACCTGGCAGACGGGGCAGAGCTGATATGGGCAGACCTCCGACGCCAGTATAATATGCCGAGGTTCCACGCGGGATGGCATTGATTATGTGAACCGCACACCAACAAGGGCGTAGAGGTTTTACAATCACAGATAATAAACCCTCGAAGTATAAGCGTCAACGACTAGGTTCGAGAATACAACTACAAAAGATCTACGTGTTCTGAACACCCAATTACAAAAACATGGAAAAGCCAAGGGTGAAAAAATAGGAAAACAGTTTTGATGCCTTATGTGGTATTAGAACATCACATGCCTTCACAAGATTCTAGACATTCATTTTTAATGGCGAATCAAGTAAACTAGACATGTCAGAAAACCTATGGACCGGGGATAAACCGTCTCCCGGCCCAAAGTGCTTCATTGCTCGTGGCTCATACATCCCAAAACCAAAGCCCTTCTTGTTCTGGATTTTGAACTTTTTTTTGATTCCCTTGGCAATAGATCAAAAAGAGGCCTCCACCTTCACACTCATCGACTCATTTAAGCGCGCGACATAACACCCCAGGCACGGATCTTGTTGTCGGTGTAACCGGCGAACAGGGTCTGGCCATCGGCGGACCAGGCGAGGGAGATACACTCGGGGTCACGGCTCTTCTTGCCCTTCTCAACGTACTCAGGCTTGAGCTCATCAACCTTGCTCTTCTTCTCGAGGTCGAAGATGGTGATGGAGCTGCTGGTGGCAGCGCACAGCCAGTAGCGGTTGGGGGAGAAGACGAGAGCGTGGATCTCGTCACCGGCGTGGAGAGAGTAGAGGTGCTTGGACTCGTTCAGGTCCCAGAGCATGGTGGTACCGTCCTTGCCACCGGAGGCGCAAAGAGATCCATCGGGGGAGATGGTAACGGTGTTGATGTAACCGGTGTGACCGATGTGGTCGGTCTGCAGGCGGCAGGAAGCGAGCTCCCAGACCTAGTTGAAGATAGAATGTCAGCGTCCCGATATTCAGCAGATCAAAGTGGTGAGTTTGAGAAAAGTGAAATTTTCTTTTTCCTCCTCAATTCAACAAATTGTTGAATTTTTGGTTCCATCAGGCATTGGGTGATTGATTGTCTCATGGCCGCAAAGGGCTCTGAAGTAGCAAATACGTATTATGCAAACATCATGTGGGGTGGCAAAAAAAGAAGAAATAGCATGCAAGCCGGGGGGTTTGGGCAAAATTGAAGTTCGAGAGTGAATAGCGTACCTTGACGAGCTTGTCCCAGCCAGCGGAGACAATGACGGGGTTCTGGGGGTTGGGGCTGAAGCGCACGCAGGAAACCCACTCGGTGTGGCCCTTGTCGGTGATGGTGAACTTGCAGTCGCCCAGGGTGTTCCAGAGCTTGATGGTGCGGTCACGGGAACCGGAGACGATCTGACGGTTGTCGGCGGAGAAAGAGACGGAGAGAACGTCGTTGGTGTGGCCAACAAAGGTGCGGGTGGTGTTACCGGTGGAGAGCTCCCACAGGCGGAGGGACTTGTCCCAAGAGGAGGACAGAGCGTAAGCACCGTCGGAGGAGATCACCTATACGCAGAGAAAAGACCACCGGTCAGCGAAAAACCATTCAATTATATCCCAGTTTCATAATCCGATGCCAATTCGTTCGTTTCCTCCATGGATCGATGCATCATGATATCCGAGTTTCGATAATGAGGGGAAGAAAAGCATACACAGTCAGAGACGATGTGGGAGTGACCCTCCAGGCTGCGCTTAGGGTAGCCGTAAGCCTGCTCGTCGCGGGTGAGGTTCCAGATAATCAGGGTCTTGTCGCGAGAGCCCGACAGCAGCATGTTGGGGCTAATGGCCAAGTCAGAAAATGGTTTCATGCGAAAATTCGGCGAGGCTTCACCTACTTCTCCAGGGAGGTCGCCAGGGAGGTAACCCAGCCATTGTGGCCCTCGAGGGTGCCGCGAAGAACCAGCTGCTCAGCCATGATGAATGAGACGATGAAGGGAGAGGATGGGCGGAGTAGGTCGTTGACGCTGGGGAGATAAAATCGCAGAGGAAGGAGGTGCTGCGTGCCCGCCTAAGCCCTAACCCGGTTGGCTGGCGCCTTGTGTGGTTCCGCTGTGCCCTAACAATAAGCGAATATCACGTGATATATTCTTATCTTATCGGTCCATTTCTATACATCGATTCGATGACCGACATTTGTAGTAGGGTCCATAGACTTAATGAAATGTGTTAATGATTATTCAATTGGCTTTTATATTACCAAGTTAGTAGTTGTCTGGACTATTCAAAAGTCGAAATGGTGTCCCAGCTTAAATGATTCCCGCCAGCTGTAGCCTCACTACATTCTCAGCTTTGATCTCTCTCTTGAAGTGTCCATACAAATTACGAACTTTTCATACTCTCTGGGCGGATCCTGATTACAATAAACCATTTCATTCTGATTGGCTTCTTGGCGGCCATGAAACATGGATCAAAGTATACCTATCAACACAATCTAAACCATATTTAACCATCTCGCTACATAGTATACAAAGCATCGCCATCAACCTTCGCCAAATATAATATACACCTCTTGCACAATTCAACAACCTCTGACTCACTGTAAATAACCATAGTGATACAACAAGCGCAACCTTAGAAAACCTAAGAGTTGAACACCTGCACATTGGGCATACGTCCCAAACCACCACCTCCACCAGTTCTCTTATTCTTCGCCGACTCAAATCCAGTAGCACTCTTGTCACGCACATGCTGTCTCAGCAGCTCCAAGACCTCAGATTCCTCCCACCGAGTTGGAACAGGTCTGTAGGCAGCCCTGAACGCACCAATAGTCTGCGCCCATTCGCCACTCTTCGCGCCGGTTTGTTTCCAGGTTTCCGTCTGTGTGTCCTCAGCCGGAGGGTTGGCACCAGTCACTTCAGGTGGGTCCTGGGTAGCCCAATAGTAGATGTCCCAATCATTCTCGTCGAGGAAACGATCATATTCCTGGAGTTGCTCGGGACTCATTTTGCGGAGGTAAACATCAGCGAAGGTGGAGAGGAGCAGGTCGGATTCAAGGATACCACGCTTGCGGCTTTGATCTGAAGATTGGGTCAGTTATGAGAATTCATGGTTTATTTTCAAGTTCTCATTGATACCCCCTTGGGCTAGAAATAATGAAGAATCGAAGAGGGAAACGAACATAATAACCGAGCCCGTGTGGTAGTTGTATCTTCTCCAACGCGCTTCAAAGGCTCAACCTTGAAGGTGATACCCTCCATTTCACCAACACCCAGCTCAGGCTTCTGGCTACCACTTTCCTGGCGACCACCAGTAAAATGCTCGATCTTTCCGGGGTAAGGATCAGAAGGACGATAGTTTGGGTCGACGGAGTTCAGCATCTCTGGCGGCGCAGGCTTCTCTCCGACATTGGGGTAGTCCTTCGTCATGGTAGATGTAGTATTAGGGATAAATTGATTTGGTGGCTTGTTTGCCTGGTTATCACGATGACCGGAGGCATTGGGGTGAGCACGATCTTTGGAATCGATGGATCGCAGAGCAGTTGTGCTGAACGAGCGGGTGATAGATGGGAGTTGCTGTGTTGATGGCACCGGCCGCAGGGCGCGGACGATAAATCTTTGTACGGACATCTTGGTCTTTTGTCCCTTTCGTTTGGTATTGGATTGAAGGGAGGAGAGGCGTTGACAACCTTGAAAGCTATACGCTCGGCTTGACATCATCTCGAAATCATTAGCCGGACCGAAAACCTACCTGCAACACCCGATGTTTGCATGGTTTGCATTGATATCTACCACTTACGTCGCATGTAATACGCAGCATACTCTGTACATATATAGTAGACATTGGGAGACCTTTATGGTCAGTTTTTGCTTGTTTTCAGAGATAGAGCTGTTTGAAAAACAGGATTGTCCACGATATGGCGACAACAATAAACAATACCGTGCCGCCAACTTTGAGCGATAGTATTATCTATCGAAGTTGCTATATGATGATACAATAACGCTCATTCAAGATTGGGACGATATCGTATCGTGAACAGCTGTAAATCTTGACTGTCATTGATGAATAGCTGCTTTCTGGAAGTATAGATGTCTGGAAATATAGATGGAAGCAGTACAATGATTTCTTGCCCAAATAGTATACTTCAGTAGTCCATAGTACTTCAATCTTTACCTAACATCCTTGAACTTGAAGTATACCACACGTAGCTCTGAAGTGCGTACTATGAGTAGGCAGTACAACTCAGCAAGTCCATTTAATAGAATCTCGTTGTATATCATCGAATTCATGAATATTGGAAAAAACAAAACCGACAAGTACAAAATACATAAAGACAACAGCAACTCCCACGCTGGCAGGACTGACCATCTAAAGGAGGCAACCAAGGAAACAAATCCCCAAAAATGCAATTCAATTACCAGCAAACAAGTATGTTTCTGTTTCAATAAAGAGCTCATGCATATACTCATCCATTTTGATTTAAATAAGATGCTTAGACCGGAAGTAAGCACGCAGGTAAACAACCTGCCAAGCACCAAGACCAACAAGCATACCCATGGTACCGAAAGCAAACCACTTAACTCGCTCATTGGTGCTCTCGTTCGTATCACGCAGCTTCTGCTCACGGGTACGAAGGTAATCCATCTCGGAAACAATGTCGCCGATCATTTCTTCGATGCGGCGCAGATCAGTCTCAATGGGCTTCAACTTCTCCTGGACTTGAATGCTAGACCAGTCACGGGCGTCGGCGCCGATTTCAACATCGAGTTCAATTTCGCGGGAGGGGTTGGCGCCACCTGGAGATAGAGTTGGGTGTTAGATATGCATAGACAGGACAAGACTCATGGGTTATGAGGGTGTGGAGTGGAAGGAAAGGGAGGTAAGGTAAGGTAAACTTACTGCGACCGACAAGGACGTTCTCCATGCATACGTCGAAGGCAGTATCAGCGGTTGAAGTGAATGCTTGACGGACTTCACCGACAATATCCCTAGGACGACCGTGGTCGTTGCCCATGGAATCCTTAATCTATACGATAACAATGTTAGCATCGCGTGTTCACTGGAACCGTAGTTGTGGTTGTGGCTATGGTTATGGTCGTGGTGGATGGGCTAAAGCCAACGATGGCTATAGAGCCCTCCAGAACCGGTGTATCACGTACGTGCATGTTGACGCGCTGGCCATCGCCCTTAGTGCCGCCAACGATGGCAGTCACTACGACCAGCTGGTCCTTCGAGACAAAGTTGCGGATGCATCGCTCGTTCTTGCTGTGGCCTGAGGAGGAGGGGAGGTCAAACTTCAGGGCGGAGGCGAGTTGGGCCACGAGAAGGAAGAGAGTCAGAATTGACCTAATTGTGAATGGAGAGGAGCCCATGGTTGCGGGGAAATCTGGTGGTGGTAAACAGGGGAGCTTGGTGTGTTGATGCCACTTGGTAAGGGGAGAGCGGGATGACTAATTTTCCGGGTTTTGGCTCACCTGAACTATACTCGCTACAAGTGCAGTTTGTTTTAGGCCTGGTTTCAATATTAAGACAGGTATACCATTTATTTTACGCATGAATAACTGATTTATAATACATTGATCTGAGAAATTTGCAAATTCAAAAAAAATATTAAATTTATAGCGATTTGTTGTTTTGTATAGGGTTCGGCGTCAGGGGATACTTGACTTCATGTGATGGCACAATTTGGACCTATGGATAGAGCGTTTCAAGGTTAAATCTGGGTTATTTAGGTTGCGTGTTATATAAAGGAATAGAGAGTCAAAAATATCATCAAGATCAATGAATGGGTTCTTAGCGTCAAGGTTTTAGATACAGGCATAAGTACTTGAAACATGGTATCTCGCAGAAGTAACAAAAAAAAAAAAAACAAAGACGTCTGTCAAACCGCAAAGAATGAGATCACATCATATCAAATCGGAACACAAGAAGCAATGAGATAAATTGCATATTAGTCGTCAATGTTGCATCCGTAATAGAATAAGAAAGAATAAGAGGTTAGAAGAAAAGTAGAAAAAGAAAAAGCTGAGATCATGAAGAGACAGAAATGCCACCAGGCCGTAGCCGTGGAAAGAAAATGAAGATGAAAATGAAAATGAAGAGAAAGAACACGCTGCAATGCAGCTCTATGAAGACAAGACACGAGGAGAGAATAGGTGGGAAATGGAGAGATAAAGGGAGAAATAGTGACAGAACGATGGACATGAGAATATGCGATCGTTAAAATTGGAAATGAAACGCCGAAAGCATGTCATCAAGTAATTTGGGTCGTGGCAATTGTTTTGATTACGCCTCAACCTTCTTGCGGCGCGAGAAGAAGCGGGAAAAGCCACCTTCCTTGGGCTTGGGACTTCGAGGAACGGGCTCTGGCGGGCCGGTATTGCGGAGGAAATCCGCCAGTGCGTCGGTCTCTGTTTGTTTGTGTGAAGTAGATGGTATGTTACCGGGGTTTCGCTCCCTGCCAACCTTGATGGAGTAATTAGATTGGGCTTGAACATTGCTGTTTTGCGAGCGCATAGAGCTGATGGACATCTTTGATGAGGGGCCCTTTCCTGACAAGAGACGAGATTTCATATTGCCTGACGTGGCAGGTGGTCTGGTGCTCAATAGTTGGGGTGTTGAGTCAAAATCCGGGGGGGGCTCGCTGCGCAAGAAGTCGATTAAACTCTCTTCCTGGCGCTGGGGCTTCTGGGGCGTAGCATTGATTAACTCCTCAAGCATTTCATCATCGTCGTCATCGTCGTCAATGGCGTATGGGTCTGGGACCCGTCTTTGCTTGCGCTGAGGACGAGGATCCTCTGCATTGGACTGGCTAGCAAATGTGGGGTTCCTTGTTTGGCCGTTGGCGCGGTTGGCCGAATCCAGCAATCCAGTACGTGAACCTGAACCAATTGAAGTCATTGACTTATTAGGCGTAGAGGTTTCACGAGTACTAACAAGTGAGCCATTTTGAGGAGAGTCGAATGGGAGATCGTCCGAATCGATTGTGTTACGGAAAGGCGCAACATTTCGGGGAATGCGGTGCGCACCTGACTGTGGCGGACCTTGACGAATAAAGTCAATCAGGTCAGAAGTCTCTGATCCTCGAGTCTCAGCAGGACGAGCCTGGAGCCTAGGCTTATTCGGGTTTGACCGAGATGCTGTGGAAGACATGCTACTGCGAGCTCGAGGAGAGCTGGCAGACTTAGATGACTTAGGGGACTTGGGAGAGTCGATAGGCATGCCATTCAGGCTTGGTGCACTTGTCGGTCCAGAGGACTTGACAAACTCCGCGTTTGAGGTACTGCCACGAGATCCACGGGATGGACCTGTTTGAGGTTTGGGAGACAGGGTCATGCGCGTGGAAAGGGGAATATGCTTCGGGGAATCCGGGCCCATGGAGTCTGCCCCAGTGGTCTTAGAAGACAGCGAAACTCGAGGATCCGCGCCTGGTGGTCCAGTGTTCTTCAAAAACTCAGCCAAATCAGAAGTATCAGTTGTGTCTGAACGTGGGATTGGTCGCGGCAGATCTGGGAAAGTCATCTCCCTCACGCTGCGAGGAGTCAGAGTAAAGTGAATTGTCTCGTCGCTGTTGATCAGCTTATCCAGGTCTGTAGTATCGTTCTCCAAGGAATCTGCGCTACCAGATGCTCGGCTTGTCTCAGATGAGCTGCGAACACGCATAGAAGGAGAATCTCCAGGTGGGCGAATCATCAGGCCCTTTATCTTGTTTGAAACCTGGGATGTAGTCGAACCGGCTGTAACTGGACGCTTGTCGCGGGCACTGCTGAAGCTCTCGGAGCGTTGCGATTTGGTAACGATAGATGAGGAAACTGAGGTAGATGGGCGAGTAGACATGCGCTGTACTGCAGCTCGCTGTTCCAAGCTGGGAGAGCTGCGATTGCTAGCAGTTACAACCAATGGCGTGGGCCTGTGGCGAGTACGAGATTGTGTAGAATGCTGGCTATCACCAGAAGTTGAGGCCGGTCGAGGCGTCTCCGAAGCACTGACGGACTCGGCTGAATGAACAGGACCAAGCTCTGGAGTCAGTGCAAGCTCAGATGGAGTAATGTCACCGGCAACAGCGGCAAATTCGGCGGCGCTAGGCTCAACGCCTGGGACAAAGGTAGATTCGGGAGTAAAGGCGGATGCTGAGAGTGTTTCTTCGGTGTGCTGCTCCTCCAAGGGCTTCTCTTCGGAAGGTTCCTGTACGGCAGGCGGTTGTTCGGAGATATTCTCTTCGGAGGATATCTTGGAAACGGGTTCCTCGATCGCAGGGGCGATTTCAGATACGGGCGTCATGTCTGATATAGGTGTATCCTTGTTGTAGTCGAAAATGCCATTGTCGCTAGGAGGAGTGATAGCTTCGATGGTGGCGTTCTCGGGAGGTGAAAGTGTGGGTTCGGTGGGTTCGATCCCTTGCGTAGGTTGGGGGATCTCCGTCGCTGGCGGCGCATCAAGATCACTAGTCTCTGCAATGATCGGCTTTGCATTAGATTGCGACACATCCCTACTGGGCTTCCTCCTTGGTCGCTGAATATTCGACGTCAGTGTGGGCTTCTCGCGCATCCCCCGACCTTCGATAACCTCCGGATCATTGGTTAGACGGTCACCCAGCGATGAATCGACCGAGACACGGTTGCTGTTGGCGTTACTGTCCGTATGATCCGTCGCCGCATCGTCCTCTCGAAGACGCGACCGTAGCGATGCGATCGTTATATTGAGCGCTTGAGCGTCTTCTGGCTCCCCGTGGTGCTCTTCCTCCTCTTCCTCCACGACCGACATACGCGCCTTCTCAGGCGATTCCGGTGCGATTTCTTTAGACTCCTCGACCTCGGTGGTGATCGCAAGGCCAGTTGTGGTCTCCGACGCGTCAACAAACTCTGCAGACTCGTCGTCCTCGTACATGGTCTCCAGCTGCTTCTCTTTGGATGATGATCGGGAAGATCTGGCGGAGTTGGGCGATGCCCTTGGAGACCCTTCATCTTTAGCCTCATCCTCGGACTCTTCGCCCTGCAGCTCTCGAGCGGGTGGTGGCGACTTCTGATTTGGCAAAGACCTCGAGCGAGCATGGCGCATTTGCATTGTAGGGCTATCAATCGCAGACGCGCTCAGAGGGGAGTTGCCTGTTCTTGACACAAGCGATGGCGATGGTACCACCATCAAGCTCCGTGGTCGGACTTTATGAGCCACTACAGCCTGCATAGTTTGTATCACTTCGCTTTCCATGTCTGGGTTGTATCCTGGAATCTCAATCTCTTGGACATCGTAATCGCCAATGGGCAGGGGAACAGTAGCAGGATCGACCGGTGCAGGAACCTCCTCGGGTGGAAATTCCTTAGGAGTTACAGGCTCTTCGATGGTTGCGATACTGCTCTTCCGGCTGCCGGCCAGAGTGTTGGAGAAGTTGCGACGACGGAACGACTCGCGCGATAACGTTCGTGAGAGAGTTGTGCTGCGTCTGCGCTGTCTCCACGTGCGCCACAATCGGCCAAGGGTAGCGTTCAGAGCTAACTTCTCCATGTCGAGATCCTCGACTACCAGTCGCTCAATGCGCTTCCGGTTGTCCTCCAGGTCGTCCGATACATGGCTCTCGGTGCCGTTCAATTTCGATGATAACCTTGACCGGGCGGTCTCACCGGCAATGACCAACGCACGCTCTCCGATATGCTCAATAATCGAGGTCAGGAAAATCGCTGCTGCGGGTGTGATATTGTCGACATGGCTGGAGAATCTGCGCGGGGCTCCATCAGCCTCGCCTAGGCCATCCTGCGCGATAAACTCATCCTCATCCTCCTCTTCCATGTCGCCCAGTCTTGTGTAAACCATACATCGCAGACGGGTCAGTTTCCATGAACGGACGAGATCAAAGTCTCCGCCGGGCTCTTGTCCGCCCCGAAATTCCGTCTTCTCATCTTCTTCGCCGCCCATATATTCGCATAGCTCTTCATCTGCGGTTGTCACAACCTCTTGCGCGAGGCGAGGTTTTAGGACGTCGGCCAAGATCGGGCGAATACAGGCCAGTTGTGTGGATTTCGATGCGCCCAGAACATTGAACAGAAGATTATCTAGAAATCCGTTCAAAAGCGATAGTGCTGCGGGGGTAACGAGGGCATTGGCAGAGGCACCGGTCTGTTCGTCTTCGGCGACAAAATCGGCCGCATTAAATGCCTGGTCGGAGGTGATAATTTCTGAGGCAGCGGAGGCGGAAATGAAACCGGGTGGTGGGCTCACTGTTGGCGGCGACATGAGGTTTATTCGGGGGTGTTGGGAGTCGCTCGAGAAACTGGTACTTCGAGAGCGGGTGAGGCTCCCGGCTTCCAGATAATCGGATCGACTATATTGTGACATGATGAAAGAAGACCAGCTTTGAGTCTTTCGATTTCCGGGGTATATCTATTCAGGTCGGACACGGTGCGGCTGGACCTGGGCCACTTTGTGTTGGTTTTCTCTTTTCTTTCGGTTGGTTCTTTGGTTTCTTTGGGCGCGCGGTCTGGAGTGCGCCCTAGGATCTCACAAGAATGAGCAGGACTAGGTGAAAATGGAATCTCTAAAGCATCCTGTACGCCGTCAGTCTGACACTCATCTCGCAGCTGACGTTTTGGAGAGGGGTTGCGGAGATCATGTTCGGGGGCCTTTTGTATTTTTGTACATATGAAGACGGTGGCTTTCGCCCCGAGTTGTACAATCAGCCATGCATGAAGCACAACGTCACTCTTGGCCCCCAATAATTATGCCAATTAATGCCAATGGAAATATGCTTTTGTCCACGTACCTGCAATAGATTTATGAGCTCATGCTGGGTGCGCCACCATGTCGACTCAAAAGCGATCAATGTATGAAATAGTGTAGAGAAAAAGACCAAAGTCGAAGAAATTAGAAGAAAGGGAAGGTTTCGGGGGAGCAAAGGGAGTTCAGGAGGTGTAATTCTTCTTCAGAAGAGTGTTAGTGTCCCCAAATGCTAGTGCGCCCGTGTATGGTGGAGCACCGATCTCTACCTCAACTCTGTGACTCTGTAACGGAGGACCATACATCTTTTTAAGCCCCTGCAGCGGGAGGCTTGTTCTCCACGAGCTCCTTCACTTAACTCGATACTTTGTTTTTTTTTCTTCTGTTTATTTCTAATTATTCCAAATGTCTATGTCTACGGTATCTCATATCACATCTCTTTACAACAGTTCCAAATACTCGCAGAAAAAAAAAACGTACCTGAATCACCCATCTCCTAACCATGGTCCAGCCCACGAAAGATTGCCCTATTGCAATGAAGAAACCAGGGGTTAAAACGAACAAGACAAGACTTGAGCCCACGATCGGCCCCATGAGCACGAAGTGGCCCCACGCACCGAGGGAGAGCGTCACCAATGAACAAACGTATATGCCAATCAATGGAATCCGCGACTCCACTATGGGGGTTTTAGCCTTCCACTAAACCCTTTTCGCTCGTTCTATTGAATTTTTTGCTCCTCAGCTTCTTCTTTCTGTGAAAATGGCCCACGTCTTAAGGTCCTTACTCCGAAACAATCGGATTTCGGTTTCACCGTTTAGTATTAGTGTAAATTTCGTCATTTTCTTTTTTTCTTTTTTTCTTTGCTTATTCTTCCGAGCTTTCTATCGTGGTTCCATCTGGCCTTTTGGCCCCTTTATCCGGGGACATCTCTACCAGACACTCATATTGTACCTAATCTACACCATACATATGACAAAGTGGATCTTCCCAAACGGAGTACTCCGTGCAGTATGAATCTAATAATTTGAATATTACTCCGTCACTGGTCTGTAACAGAACCTCAGTCCCGTCACATGGATATGCCCACTTCCCACGAGGGCCCCAATATGCAAGGAATGGCCCTAATGTACCTCTAGGGCTGGCCCCCAATACGACACTGCTTTTTCCACGACTGATATCAATGTCCCGGGAATTCCTAATATAATGCTGATGCTAATTATCCCATTTCCTCCCCGAAAATTAAATCACTGCGATCGCAAGCCATTCCCAATTCTTTGTACTCCGTACTAGTAATGTGACAAATCATACAGTACACTCTCCCTACCCGTGGTACCTGGACCAAAGCCTGCACCAAACTCGGTAGAGTTCTCCGTCGATCACCAATAGTCCACTTCAACTGCCATTGAACTCTCCCCAAATCACAAACGCCCATCCTAGTTCGGGGAGGAGCAGCTTCCCCCCCACGGCAAATAAGATCCTGAGGAATCAGATGGTCCCAGATTTGTGGCTTTGCCGGGGCCCTATTGTATTCTCCGACCGAATCATCTTGGATCTACAACACACACGGGGCACTAGAAACGAGCCAGGCTATTGTAGACTTCACCTTCCATAGCGCAATTCGGTTATTTCCTGCCAAACGGAGCACACTGTAAATGATCGCCCTCCTTACCCCTGGATATAGTACGGAGCATCCTATCCATCAAATCAAATACTCGCCTCACACAGCTGTGGAGTTGAATCCAGAAGAATCAGAACAAACGAAAGAAGCGGTCAATCCCCCTGAGCCAAACTCGGCCCTGAATCATGCTAACGGGGCACCATCCCGGGCGTCGCATCATTCCGACTTGCTTCTCATGATCGGCGCCCTTTGGCGGGTCTCGCAGGTAATCCCGCTTACCGTTAACTCCGCAACCTTCGTGGGGAACTTGGAACAATAGTGCGTACTTGCGTACCCCGTCGCTTCCATAGCTTACGGGGGGTTTAAGCGGCTAAGGAAGAAAAAAAAAGTGCAGAAATGAAATAAAATAAAAGGAAGATGGATTGTAGACAATCACATTCCTAATCGGGAAATGAAAATGACTCAAGTTTAACACGTATCCAAATGTTAACAAGTGGTCAATGTGAAAAGCGCAAATTCAAGTGGTGTGCGTGGTTTCATCAGGAGAGGTCGATGCATTGCATTGTCTTGGGCTTGATATATCATATCCCATCACAGTGCATATCTATATTGATCAATTGGCGTTTCAATTGGTTCATCTCGATGGCTCTTCCCTGCACCCCAGGCTCATCCTGCATCAATAGCGTAAGCTTAAGATACGAAGGAGAAAATCGTGGAAAAAGCAAAGAAAACCCTCTTCACCCCAAAAAGTACGGGGTGGAGTGTCTTTGCCCCATCACAAAATCTATGCGAATACGGAGTATACAATAGATCACACATCAGACTTAGTCAAAGACATTACAGTATAACCTATTAGAAGCATACAATTATCACACACACTGAACGACACAATTATCAGAAAAAAGATACCAGCCTTGAACCATAATCCAACGCTCCAATGTCTTCCTCAGATTAGAAAATGATCGCCATCTTTAGGTACAGGGGGCGAGAAAATCCTGGTTCTGTTAAGTTTCCACCGGTCTAGCACCCGCAGTTACTGTATCTTCTGTGCAGGTTTGCACTTATTAAGGGACAATATTCTCGGCAGGTAATCCACGCAGTGGACCATGTGTTGATCCACTCTCCTTCTGTCAAAGTCTTCGTGCCATTTCTTCAGGATCCCCACAGATGGACTAAGATGACCATTTCTGTTCCTGGATAGGAATGTCCTTAATTTTGGGATAATGGCATTATACTGGGTTTTTCTTATTAAACGCGTGGCTTCCATGTGGTGTAATCGCCGCGTTCATACACACGGATCTTACCTAGTCTTTAAAATATTTGATGCGAGATATATCATCTTGATGTAGGGGGTCGAAGTGCCGACAACACATACTTACATACCTGTACATCTGCGTATGTACCTGAGTACATGATTGTATATGAGAATCTCACACACCGCATACCAATGCCAAGAGTAAGCCTCGAAAAACATACCGAATGTCCCGCAGCTGAGGCCGTCTATTCTTACATTAGCCGTTGCGATCGACACGGGATAGTAACGGCCACAGGGACCTGGTATTCCAAGGTTACGATATCATGCATTGAGCTGCAGACAGTTGATGCAAAGTAAGGAATTAGTAAGACCGGCAGTTGATTCATCAAGTAGAACTTTATACTTAGATTATATATTTACTATTTTGACCAGTTGTAACGTCTAAATAAACTCATTGTTTATCTTTGAGTAGATCCACGGTACGCAGATGACACAGATACTAGATCATGGATTCATCCATCCCGAGGTCTGATTGTCACCATGACGCCGACATGAATTTCTCCATTATCTTCTAGAGATTTAATTTCAATCTAATAATTTATTATGTAACAAAATCAGGCCATTTATAACAGCCCTTGTTACTATTGGAATATCTTTCCTCTCAGGCGTAGGTTCAGGCGTGATGGTGACCAATTCAAAGCTAGACTTGCCCGAAGACTTGTTCCCTCAAGAGCAAGGCTTGCTTCAAGTTACTCAGCGAACAAGCACATGCACTGGAAGTTCCAAAGTAAGACCCCACCACAATACAGAAGCTACTACAATCTTCTCCCTTCCACAAGAACTACGGGACGAGATTGTCTTTTCCTACCTCTACCATGGCAAGCCTGTTTCGCACTCAGCTGCATAGAATTCTACCGAACATTTCAGCAAGTCCATAAATTCCCAATACTCCAGTTTCCATATGCTCGCGATTCCAAGTCTCCAAAGGACAACGAGCTTCGAAAATCTTTCCTAATGAAGCTCCAGTCTCCAATATCTTAACCCAGCTATCGTCGCTGGACATATTGTTCTGCTTGCTTGAAGTTACACCCATGGAACAAACTCAATTCTGTCGACATGTGTGATAAGGATCCTCAAAATCTACGCTGCATGTGGCCAGGATTCGTCATACTTCGAGTTTATCCACCTACTATGAAATTCTTGGTAAGGAAGATGATACATCTTCGCGATGAACTTGGTCAGTCTCGGCTGCCAGTGGATAGTGGCTTGCATAAATGCAAACTCGATGGTCCAGACGAAGGATTTTCTTACTCACTCGATTTGTCGCTTTCTTTTCCAACGAGATATGGGATTACTTTTCATTATACTTATACGATGTCTTTTGATTTGGATGCACTAAACCGACTTGACGGCAGTGAGCATTTACGTTTACGATACTGACTCGATGCCAAAAGAAAACCCGACATTTGTCCACATCAGCTTGCTGAGGACCTGATACGGGCTAAATGCCACTCTGATAAATCGGATTTCCCCCCTGCCCTTCACACAGTAGTGATGAAGTCCTTTGAATGCTCTTCTTGTGGAGCCTACAGTATCACCTTGCAATGATGGTTCAACCTACAAAATTCACTCCCTTTGTTTACATCGAAGATGGGTGAGAGGTATTTGAAATGAAGACCTTGGTTACATTTGCTTCAGCATGATACATTATCCCCTCTTAATCTCGGGATCTATTGATAACATGGTATTGAACTGGTACTCTTTCCTTGCTAGTAAGAGCAGTTCGTCATAGTAGCCACGGAAGCTTGCGGCCAAGACTGATTTGAGATATTACCACAGATAGCTATATGGCTTTTAATTTGCTGATTTGACAATATGTACTCTAGTAGTATATGTATACATACTATCTTTGTACCTCCTGTTTAGGGGAAAATCATCTACCGGCCAGGTAGATCTCACTCTTCCACCCTCGACTAACCTTGCATATGTATGTGAGCTATTTTAAGATCTAGACACAACCCCAAGGGAGATAATCACGTACACAAAATTTCTTCCTCCTAGATAAGCCTGAGGGGCCGTGCAAAAGCTATACCGGCATATGCATATCTACCTGAGCCGGGATACGTAGTCATGCGCCTCAACTGAAGTGGAAATTTCCTAGTGCCCAGGTGCCCGTGATGTTCCTATTCGTCACCATCGAAGATAGTCGGCAAACAACAGTCTGTTTCACTGTAGGGCTTAGTAGATAAAATATATGCATATAGCTGCCTGATATCTAAATGAAGGGTGCCTACCAGTACATGTATCAGGTAGTGATACAGGTGATGAATATCAAAAAGTCTTAGTGGATGTATGTGTTGGCTACTAATACTCATGCAATTGCTGATGTCTATTTCCACCAGCGTAGTACCATTATAGTATACCTGGCCCTTGTTATTGGCAACGCCGAGTCATTCGACTGGCGAATCGAGTAGATACTATTGCATATCATGGATGACAGTCATACTGATACTTCGAACCCATAACACAGCCATCTACATACTTCGAATATCTCAAGGGGTATAAATACGCACCCGAAACAAATATCAGCATACCACTCATTCGCAAAAAAAGACAGCCAAAAAGGGGCAATTCACCAACTGGAATTCTCCCAGCGCGCAAGGACCACGAATGTACCTGTACCTGTACCCATATCCGAATCCACAACCCACACGCGAGAGACAATGCCCATCGCTACTACAAAAGGAAGAAATGAAAAAAGCAGTGGAACCTGAAAGAAATTTCCCGAGAAGCAATACGAACCCACTTCCCTCGGAACTAGTGGTGTATGTACCGTACGTATAACGGATTAAACGACCTTCAAAGCTCGAGTCAGGCATTGCCTGCCGGGACCCGGCCGTTCTCCCGAGACAGGCTAGAAGACTCGATAGATTAATCCACCGGGAGTTTTTATTTCTTCCGTGTGTCAGGAGTCAAGGGCTAACCTGGTTAAGTACAGATTGGCATATCACAAGCGGATCTTGTCAGTGATAGGTAGGTGAACAGGGAAAGGAAAGTTTGAGGCATTGGCACTACCGGCCGTTGTACGGAACTTGCACATGTCATGCAAAGTTTATTTTTTATTTTTTATTTTAGTTTTTGAATTCGGGTGAAGCGCTCTGGCAATGTTTGTATGTACAGTACGGAGCAGAAAGTGTATTCCAGAGACTAGAGGGAATGACAGGTGGGGTTAAAGGGGGAAACTAAGGCTTGGAACGGGAAAGGTCAGCGGGGAAGAGGGATGAAGGACATTTCTGAAACACGCGATGGGGAGGTTGGGTTGGATATTTCTTGCATAACGGTCTTTTTAACGGGGTTAGATGGTTTTAGTCTTATTATTGCGATGATCAGTCTCCTTTTCTTCATATCTGTCGCTTGGCTAGACTGGTCGATGGGATGGATCCTTTGTAAATGGTCGTAATTTGGGATGGGTGTTTCTACTGAGGTGGAAGGTGGGGATGGAGGAATTGAGTTACGGGAGTAGGGAATAGGGAATAGAAGCAATGTTCATATGGGGGATGGGTTGTTCTAGACTTGATCGGATTGTAGGGAATGGGATCCTACTCGTAGGAAGGCAAGTGCCGAGTGAGTACGGAGTAGACCTATTCTATTCATGGTAGCGTGAGCTTTACCACGGGGAAATAGTATATGAAGATATAAAATATTTCAAATCGATTTTCGAATATGAAGGGCTAGCTAGGAAAGGTACAGTCGCCATAATTTGAATGACATCCCCACAGAGCTGCTAGATCCAATCCTTTCGAGGCTGTTCAGCCTGGTGATTCTTTCGCAGATAAACTTTCGGCGGATCACATTTTTCTTTGTCGTGACGTCGTAGATTGTTTGTTTTGGTAGAGCCTTGAGCAATTTCCGTCTCAAAAGGCTCAGGCGATAGCAGGCAAGTCATCAGTCCCAAGTGCATGTGCGATTCCACCAGCAAAGAAACTCATTTCATCAGGAAGAACATCCACGCAACCATTTGTCAACCGGTTGAGAAGAAATTTTTCGATCTTGTCAAGCAGAGCTAGGTGTGTATTTGTGTCAGGACTGGTAGCGTTTTCTTTGCTTGGCTCCAGGGGTTCAATCGTTGAATCTTCTTTGCGGAGTGCAATCAGGTCATCCAGTTCATCCGCAGCAAGAAGGTTCCGGAAGACACCGATGACGTGGTTAAGGACCAAGTCGAGATACATACAAGGGGGATCATCAGGATGCATGGACTCAGTTTCGTGGCCAAGTCTGATATTGTCTGCCTGGACACGGAGGTATGTCTTATAATTCGAGTCGGCGATACCATGAATCCCGTTCATGTACGCGATAAAGAGGCGCTGGTCGACATCCACTGCGTCACGGGTGAAGTCCTCAAGTTGAGGTGCGTTTGAGCGGAAGAATGCCTCGCAATTGAGGTCGCACTCATCGTCAGATGCATCATCGGCATCAGACTGCCAGGAGCCTTGCAACGAGCCAGACTTTTGAGCAAGAAGCATCATCTCATGCGCAGTCATCTCAGAGTTAGATTCCGATTCATCCTCTGTCGGCTTAGCGTCTGAAGTATCGATATATTGGATTTTGGGGTCAAATCGGACGGCGGGTTCAAAGCCGATGAAGGAGTCGTCGAATGAATCGGTATGGTCCCCGCGAGTTTCGAGGACATCATCTGGTGCTTCGTCGTCCCAGACAGAAAAGTCAGACATGTCGTCTTCATCGTCCTCGTCATCGGATAGGGCATCGTAGTCCAGTCCAATGTCATCTGAGCCATAGCCAGATTCAGATTCGGTATCTTCTTCTTCTTCATCCAAGACGGTGGTCGGTTTCTTCAGGATGGATTTCAAAAACGGGTGTAAGGATGGTTCCTCGCGAGTCGCGATGCACGTAGAGACACTGGATTGCAGTGGGGCTGTATTGTTCGATGAGACCGAAACTTCGTCTGAGCCGTAGCAGCTGTCTTGCGAGAATGAGACATCGAGATGGGCGAAGGCAGAGGAAAGAGAGTCCCATGACCCTTGATGGTTATGGGAGGGAGCCATGGTTGGCGCGATTTCCATGGTCGGAGATTGAGCAAAGAATGCTCCTTTGGGTGGTTTAGTTGTATTGTTTGAGGGGGCACTACGAAACTTTTGACACCGGTCCTAGTAAGGAAGTGTCGTAGTCCAGATTCGCAGTGCAGCGAAGGTAAGGGACTTTCAGTTAAAGATCAAAATAACAGAAGAGTACTGGCGTCGAAGGCCTCCAAGAAACGAGGAGAGTTCCATGGTGAAGCAAGCTGGATCGTGTGATCATCTAAGGACACTTGACGGGGGTGGCCCCAGCAAGAATACAAGATGAATGCATGGTTTGTGTGTGATGTTTGAAGTTCTAAATGTGTGGTTGAAAAGCGCCCTTTCTCTGAGATCGGACGTAGCGAGGGGTGTAGGATTGATCCAAAGTACTCTGATTATTAAGCCTGGATGATTTGAAGTCGCTCAAGGTGGTGTTCGATAGGAAGGGTTGCTCGGTGACGTTCGGGTTGTGTGGTGAGGTAGATGGTAAGATGGAATAGGGTGGCGTAGGTGGGTTGGAGATCCGGGCGCGGTGACGAAAACAGCGCAAGAATGCTCGAAGGGCCGAGGACTGATACTCGAGTTGTGCCCGAATTTCGAAAGATCGCGAGTCTCAAGAGGTGGACTGCGGAGAGGAGGGTTGGAGGAAAGCGAAGCAGAAGTAAGAAAACCCACGTTGCGCGGGGTTCAAAGTTGAGGGGGTTGAGTCACTTGCCGGGGTCGGAGCCTGGAAAAGTGAATGAGGTCAACTTGCGTTAACTAGGCAGTCAACCACCGCGGCCTAATAATCCTGCACATTCAAGGGGGGGGGGGAATCAGAAGAACTGGTTACACCCTTGAAAAAAAAAGAAGAAAGAATATAATTAAAATAAAAATTTCTACTAATGAATCCCCTTTACGCCCTATTATTCTTTACCTTTTTTTCTATTTTTTCGCCTCTCGGGATCGTCATTCTGAGTCAGCCGGCTACTCGCTGGAAGATTCCAACAGCCACCAGTAGCCGTCGATATACCAACATCGGGACTCTAGAGTCGGTGCACATGTGCTTACTTGTGTTTACAAACCCAACTTTATCTATGTTCTTGATGTTGGGCTGACAAGATATCCTATTTGTCTTACACCATTCGACTGATCGAACGTGTTTTTATCGACATGTAAATATGACTCTGCCCGATAGCTTCATACTGTGAGGGCGAAGCTGTAAGGCTTCCCTAGCCTGGTTTATAATAATAGCCAAGCCATGTAGTGGAACTGCCGATCGGGCTGAAAGAGCCAACAGAGAGAAAGGAGCCAAAAAAGAAAAGAAAGAGAGAAAAGCATTGAAATGGCCCCTGCGATGTGATACATCGACTCGGGATTCTCAGTTCCTCCCCAGTCCCATTAATTCCGGCTCCCCTCGCATACCTGCAAGCTTTGCTCCATTACGGGCCCCATCGATTCTATTTCAAATCAATGAAACGGCTATTGGGTGTCTATACTTGGACTCACATTTGTTTCGTCAATCAAATGATGATGGCCTTACTACAGCAGTAGACCGTGCTCGGGCCTAGATACAAAGAACGAATATTGCCTATTCGGGAGATCCCCCGGATATGGACAACGGCCGCTGGGCCCTAAGGCTGTCCCAAGCCTCTCATCGTACGGAACAAAGTACAGTCCTTTGTTCTAACGGTTTGAAACAGCCTCAGATACTAATGACAGGCTCGGCCCCTGCGGAAGCCCGTGGGGGTATTCCGAATGGCTGATCCACAGTTTGTCTTCCCATGAGGGCGTTATCTTCAGATCCTTTTTAGATATGAGGAATCCGTTGGCTGCATGCGACAAAGACTGCAAATCGATCACCTGACCAATCTCCTGTCAATGGAGATAAATTTAGAAATTGGGGCCCATTTGAGAGGGCCAAATGATCGCTATTGGCTCGACGATCTGCAGGGTCGAGAAGAGATGAGGCTTCATTGTACAGTTTTCTCCAAACTGACACCTCAGGCTCTTTGGCTGTGGAATTCTGGAATCAATGGGGGATGTAGCTGGTGCATACTTTGTGGGGGCGTGACATGCCGGATCATTGGAGCATTCCAGTGCACATTCCAGTCTTCCCAGCCATCATTGGATTGGACGCCACGATTCTTGAATGAGATGAGCAAGCAAGAAACTAATGATCGTGATGAACAGGGAAAGAATGAGATGTCAAAGAGACGGAGCCTACCGTCTTCCCGAATTGACCTTGTTTGGCCGAAAGGTGATTAGATTACTGCGGTCATGACGCATACATTATCGAGATTGCGATACACGGGGGTCAAAGCCGGGGAAAAGGGCCCATCTAGTCAAGGAAATGAGATCTTCCCCCCGCTTGCTTAGCCAAGCATCAGACCCATAATTCAATACTGCAATATTGCCCTATTCACTGGAAAAGACGTTTGATAGCCATCTAGCGTGTTAGTTTGACATTGCTTAATGTCAATCACCCCACACCCGCCACACTGACTTATTCAACTAGCCGCTGCTTTTGGTATAGTGAGGGAGGGTTGCATTCTATCTGGTGGCTATCCGGACCCAAGCTTATGACAGGGGTGGGTCAAATAGAGCGGCTCTGTCAACCACTTATTATGAAGGAGGCGTTATGATTGGCCTTTGAACTCTGAAATAGTCTTGGATCATTCTTCGCGGCATCGGTGGATTCCCATAATGGGCTCAATGGGCCAACCATATCGCCCAGTACACATTCCTCAGTTATCGGAGGAGAGTTGAAGAATGTACAGGAAAAGCCCGAGGCTGGGATGCCTCACAGCAATTCAAATAGTGGCCTGGATCTGTTTGTTTGCTTTGCTTTCTTTGCATACTCTGCAGTGTTTTGATTGATTGTCTTCCCATCAAACATCTCTTTCCCCACTCTTCCAAGCATCGAAGCTTTGCAGCATTTGCACTTCTATTTTTGCATACTTTGCATCTCTTCGCATATCCTGCACCCTTTGACATCACTTCGGATCGCCGTGATCTCCGTCGATCCACTTAGCCCTAAGTAACCTCTCCCCGAGCCTCTGGTTCTTGGTTACCAATCACGTCTGTTGGACCACTCCCCGGGCGTTCTCATTACACTTTTACCTTGCATTTCCGCAAACGGACAAAAAAAACTTGTCAAGATGTTCGCCCAACCATTCGATCATTCGTTCAATGACATCTTCAACCAATATGTTGATGCGGAGTATTCTGGCCGCGATAGCAACAAAGACTCATTCTCTGGCGATTTTGACCAGCTCTTCCCGCTTGACTCGCTATCAAGTGACTGTGGCGATCATTCCCCCACTGGATCCACTCTGAAGCCCCATCAATCACCGCAACCCTGGAGTAAAGACTGGTCCATGCAGGAAGACGGAGCCCAGTTTGCTTTTCAAGACACCATTCACCCCTCTGCCATTTCAGACCTCGGCCTGAACAATAATTTCGAGGTTTCTTCTCAGCCTCAAGCTCCCACAACAAACGCTATCTCTTCCAACTCGCCATCTACCCCGCCAGCTACTCCCCGCCGCAAAGCTACTAAGAGCGCCATCGTCACTCCCAAATCTATCCGTCATCGTGACCCCAATGAGCGTCGCGCACTTCTGCGCAAGCAAAGCTTCTCCCCCAGTTTAATGCGTTCTTCCAACCTGAACAAAGGAAGAATGGCATACCCCGAGGCCTGGGCCCAAAGGATCCAGAACTTCAGTCTGGTCGGCTCAGATGATCGCCTTCCTTTGTCTCCTCCTCCTTCAGATGTTCTTATTAAGCATGAGAACCCTTCTACCGACATCATAAACCAACATAGAGACTCTGTCGATATGTCGGCTCAGTTCTTCCAACAATCACCAGCTGTTTCCATGCCCTCGCCTTCCGTTGGTGCACTTGCACGACACCAGCAACAATATATGAGCCAACAAAGCTCTTCCACCTTGAACAACTCGAGTTCTCCTTCTGCCGATGACATATTCTCTTCCTCATACTCTTCAGATCCTCAATCTATCTCCTCGTGGCAATCTGATGCACTTGGCACCTCTATCTCATTCACTCCCGATCTACAAGCACACGACCAGGCCTGGTGGTCCCCCATGCCTACTCGAGTTTCACAACAAACTCCATACCAACAAATGGTATCATCTCCTACTCCCCAGCGCCCCATGCAGAGCGTTGGATCTCAAAACGATATGATGCAAGGCGGTCTAATGATTCAAATGGACCCGTCATTCGATAACTCTGCCGAAGCCTCTTTCTCCAACAACATGATCCCCGCCACTCACAAATTCATGGCACCTGCCACTGTGCCCCAAGCTCACAACCCTCCCTCTCCATCATTGTCTCCCAAGGCCGGCTCTTCACCAAAGAAGGCCAATCACCGCCGCACACATAGCCGCAAGCTCTCAGGACAGAGCTCAAATGGCCCCAAGCCGGCAAAGTCTACAAGTCCCCGCGGGGCTAACAAGTCTGCGAATGTATCATTCGTGAACTTCACCGCCCACGATAGCCACAGAATCCTCGGCGGCGTCGCACCCTCTGGAAGCTCCAAGACAAAAGCTCGCCGGGAGCAAGAGGCTCGTGATAAACGCCGCAAGCTGAGTGAGGCTGCTCTCATTGCAGTTCGCAATGCCGGCGGCGATGTTGAAGCTCTCGAAGCTGTCTTCTGCTGAACCAACGTGTTCAGTCTTATTAATTAATTATTTTCTCTGCTTTTTTCTGATGTACTTTGAAGCTGGTGTTCTGGGTTGATATCATTTGATTTATTTGCTTTGGTCGTTTTGGTGTTTTGATTGTTTCTTCCCCTGGGCCCAGGGTTATACTCCAAAATGTTAGATGTATTTTTTAATGTTTAGACAATTCATGCAGCTTCTGCATATATTCAATATCTTGAAACCTCTTCCTCGTTCATAGCCTTTTCCAATCTCATTCGCAACGAATAAGATAAACTTGAATAACGACTCCATGCAAATATTAGAGAGATATCCAAAGAGACTACAATACGCCATATTCCTGCTTCCGGTAAGATGTTGCCGTATAGCTGTCTTCGATACATTTTCCAGCTGCTCTCTGTTTACCGATTCGAATCATCTGCCCCTCTGCTCTCTAGGTGAAGTATCAATCATCCCCATTTCTCAAATTTTGACTGTTTAATAAAGAGCTTGCTGGCCATTTCAATCTCTCCTTCCTTCCTTCCTTCCTTCCTTCCTTCCTTCTTCTTACCATCAACATCAACTTTTTTATACAACTTCACTGGGTATGTATGGCCTTACATGGTCTTTTCCTATTGCCAGCACATTCAACAGCATTCTCTCTCTCTCTGCTACCACCTTTTTTTAATCTATTTGCTGCTGTTTGCTGTGAAAAACGGCTATTATCTCATCTTCATTTCTCTGGGATTTCCATCATATTGCCTTTGCATTTTACCCTTCATTCCCACGTTTCTTGTCTCTTCTGCCTTGTTCGCAAGCAAGAGAAACAAGCGACTCCCCCATCTTTTATATCTCTTTTGATGCTGGCTTGTTTGCCTCAACAGGCAACATTTGTAGTTCAATATTTGCTTCTACTATGATTCGTTCTTTGCCTTTGCCCTTTGCCAAATTTCTCTGCACTCAATCACCCAGATTATGATTGACCTTGTGCTAACAAGTTCCCGGAGAAGAACTTTTTTTTTCAAACCAAAATCACATACTCAACTACTAGTTGAGTAATACCGTTTCTGAATCCTTTCGAAACTCCCTTCTCTTTGTCTTTGCCAAAGCCTTCATTTGGTGCAGGACACAACAGCTGAAGCTGTCAGCTTCATGAAAAGCGTGGTCTCTTCATATCCACCAGTCATCCCTCATTTTCTCAAGTTCTCGACACTCTCATCCCTAAGATACCCTTTTCGGACCTCTCCTTTTTTTCTCAAGTAAGACAATATGTCTTACAATCCTCGTCTCCAAGGAGGCCCTGGGGGTGGTCCACAACGTGGTGGACAAGGTGGCCCTGGTGGAGGTAACTCCCGCGCAGGTGGACAGGCAGGATATGGTGGTGGCAACAACCGTGGTCACCCAAGAGGGGCCAATCGACCTCCTCAAAGTGGTAGCCAGCCACCCAGAGGTGAATACCACGGTGGTGGTGGCGGCCGTGGACTCCTTGACCGTAGTCGTGGCGGTCGAGGCGGCCGCGCTCGTCCCGAGCCTGTCACGTAAGTTTACAAGCCCTGACAGATTCACTAACTGATTGCTAACTTGATTTGATACAGACGACTACATGCGGAATTGCACGATAATAAGGATATGCGCAGTTATGAGGATGAATGCATTAAAGTGCAGTCGTCTTGTGAGAAGTCTCGCATATTGGAATGGAAAAAAGACCTCGATGATTGGGAAAAGAAATACGCACATAAAGCAAAGCTTACGAAAGAGGAAGAGAAAGAGAAACCCGTAGGACCGCCTCCACCCCGCCGTCCTGCTTTTGCAACTATTGGAAAATCATTCCTCCTGCGTGCGGACTTCTTTGAGATCGCTTTTCGTGATCGTAACAAGTGCTTCTTTGCTTACTCTGCGAAACTCAATCCTGATCCAACTTCCAAATGGCGGACGAAGGCAGTGTTTCTAGCTCTTCTTGAGGATCCGCGCATCAAGAAGTTTTTTGGATCCTCAGATATGGCACAGGAACTGGTCACTGTCGGTAGATTGACGACGGGAGATACGAAAGTGATCACGATGCAGATCAAACTCCCGGGTAAAACCATACTTCCGGGCAAAACGGGTCAAGCCGAAAAGGACCCATCTGAGACTTATTCCATTACCTTGACCGAAACCGCTAAGGTCTGCCTTGAAGATATCTTGACGAAAATAAAGGACACATGTCAGAGATGGCCACTCAAAGACGAGGCCACTTACACTCGAGTTCTGAACGTTCTTCTTACCCGTCATCAATCTTTGGATCAGAGCATCGTTACAACTGGCAAGGGTCGCCAAAAGTACTTTTACATCGACCCACGCCGCAAAGAGTATACGGATCTTGGAGCTGGTCTTGAGGTTATCCGTGGATACTTCTCCAGTGTTCGATTTGGGGCTCAAAAGTTGCTATTGAATCTCAATGTCACCCATGGCACTTTCTTTGTATCGCAGCCGTTCCCTGCGTATACCGCTTTATATGAGAGGGAACATGAAGCTGATAGTTGGTCGACATTTGAGAAGCAAATCAAAGGTATACGAATCGAGGTCAGTCACCTACCCAAAGAATTAGACAAAAACGGCAGTCAAGTGTTCCAACAACGATCGATTTGGGGGGTGGCACACGAAAAGGACGGGGACCCGTCGACAGGTAGAAAGCCTCCTCGAGTTAAGAAACTTGGCGCCGGCCCCAATGACGTTTCATTCTTTGAGGACAACCAGGGCAATGGAACTTGGACGACCGTCTCTGAATACTTTCGGCGAAGTAAGTAATCCATCTTTACCGAGTTATGTTGAAATTTGTGATGTAATTTACCGAATTTGATTAGACTAACATTTGAACAGCATACAATGTGACAGCTCGAAGCAACTTGCCAGTGCTAAATCTCGGGAGCAGGCAAAGACCCGTCTATGTTCCACAAGAATGTTGCAGAATCCTTCCTGGTCAAGTCTTCCGTGGCGAGCTCGTTACTAGCCAGCGCCAGAATATGATCACTTTCAGCTGTCGCAGGCCCCCAAACAACTATAAGTCTATCACGGAAACAGGCTTAGGTATCATGGGCATCGCTAATGACAACGTTCGTGAAACAAACCTTGACATCAACAAGGAGATGATTACGGTTCCTGCTCGTCTTCTTGCACCTCCCAACCTCAAATACGGCGAGTCAAAGGCGAGTGTTAGGGCTGCTTCTTGGAACCTGTCCAGAACAAAATTTACGGCCGTGACCCGAGATAATATTGTATGGGCTATCATCGTTTTCAAGAGAGAGTTCAAACCCAAAGTCTCTGGAACCAAAGACTCTAATACCCCGAAAGTTGACAAGAGCCTGGTGAAACCCACATCCGATTTCGTGAAATGCTTGAGAGGCCTAGGGTTCCAACTGAATACTCCGGTGGGCGACCCGGAATTGGTTGAATATAACCACCAAAATTACCGTCAAAAGGTCAATGAGACACTCAGCAAGGAAACATACCGTCGCTCAACTTTTGTCCTCATTCTAATGGCTGACAACGAGGAAAGGCTTTTCAATCATATCAAGTTGGTTGGCGATTGTCAAGTAGGCTGTTTGACGCATTGCTGCAAATATGATAAATGGAAGGATGGCAACGAGCAGTATATGGCCAACAATGCCATGAAGATCAACTTGAAGCTTGGTGGTACTTGTCAATCTCTTGACCCTGTTTCGTCTACAAAAATCTTGGCAGGAAACAAGACAATGGTCGTTGGACTTGATGTGACTCACCCGACCGGAATGGAGTACACATCATTCCCAAGCGTTGCTGCCATCGTTGCTAGTGTGAATGCAAGGCTTGGACAATGGCCCGGGGAGGCTCGAATGCAAGACGCGAAGCAAGAGATTATCCAGGAGGTTGGAGGTATGTTGGAATGGCGTCTCAAGGCATGGCACAACAAGAACAGCGGTCAGTTACCAGAGAACATTCTGATTTACCGTGATGGCGTGAGCGACGGTCAATACGTCGATGTCAGGAATAAGGAACTTGACGCCATGAAAAAGACTTGCCATAATATCTATGTGGTTAGTAAAAAGCTCCCGATGCCAAAGTTTACATACATTGTAGTGACCAAGCGTCACCATGTTCGATTCTTTGGCGCCAAAGGCGAGGATCTGGATCAGAATGGCAATCTACATCCTGGAACCGTCGTGGATCGTGGTATTACCCGCGCATCACTCTGGCACTTCTATCTCCAAGCGCAGCAGGCTATTATGGGGTCAGCCCGTCCTGCACACTATGTTGTGATGCATGATGAGATCTTCACGAATAACAAGGCAAACCCTGAGGGAAAACCGGCCGATAAGGTTCAAGAGCTGACCCATAACATCTGTTATATGATGGGCCGCTGCACTCGAGCCGTTTCATATGGTACCCCGGCTTTTCTGGCTGATAAGCTCTGTGAACGTGCCCGTCGCTACGTTAAAGCCTGGTACACTATGAAAGATGCCGAGTTAGGCGGGCCACCGCGTGATAAAGAGGAACTTAAAACCTTTCGCCCCACGAGAGCGGAAATGCAACTTCATAACAGATTCCATGAAACTATGGCCTACATTTGATTGCAATTGGTTAGAGTATTGTTCTTAAGAGGCGATATGGAATTTGTTTTTGAGATAACATGAAAAATATTTGTTTTCTCAGCGTGCATTTGGCACTTGCATGAAATCAGCATGTTGTCTCATTTCTTTATTTGTTTGCTTGTTGAGTTGTCTTGATTCTTGAAATAATATGTCTTGGCCTCCCTGAGTGAGCAACGACTTGAACGATTGTTGTCATCAGGCAATTACAACCAAAACAGTCAAAATCCACCAAAAACAACAAGAAACCTGAAAGCCAAAAAAAAGCCAAAAATCCCCAAAAAATCCACGATAAAAAGGCGAGGGTGGGAGGGTGAGACTCATATTCTTGTATTTTCTTTTTTTCTCTTCTTCTTCTTCTGTGTCTCTATCTCTACTGTCTCTGTCTCTATTTCAAATTGCTGTACATACATCTTCAAGATTGTATATTTTGACGTTTTAAGATACAAATTGTTTTGCCCGCTTGGGCCAATCACATCTTGTGCATTCAGTAAACGTAAGCGCCGCATGGAGCATAGTAACCTCAAGTGCTTGGAGCCTTTGAACATTCTTATAAACACAACCAGATGATACCACTTGATAAATTAGGAGTAGAGCTTCATTTGGAGTATATGAAAAGTCGATCACATATTATGATTATGTATGTCGTGAGTTGTACATCGAAGCCTCCGGATCGACAGAAGAAAGTCCCTATCATATAAGGGTAGTTTGTGTCCAACATACCCTAAGCAATTTTGTAGAAAATGCAAAGGATTTTCAGCGTTGTGATGTAGGGTTCCAGGCGTCAGGCTGCCATTCACCCCCTGATGTTTGTTTATCGGCTTTCGCCCAGGGATTTACTTCCTTCTTAGTCTTCGGGGGTGGGCTGGTAGGCTCGGGCTGTGGTGCTTGGGCGTGGGATGAGGGGGTATTAGTCGAAGTGGCCGTCGATTCGGAGTTCATATTGGTAGTAGCAGGGCCGGGCTCAATCCCTGTAGTATTTTGTTGCGTATTCGGCTTATCAAGGTAGGAGGCTTTGCTAGCCCAGCGCTCATCAGCCAACCGCGCCAGTTCTTTCATTTGTGCTTGGCGGATCAGATCTTGTCGTTGCTCTTCAAGTGTCGGCGCAGTCGGGCGGACGTATCGAAGCCATTGGTGCCATTGCGCTAAGTAAGAATACAAAAGTCAGTACCCGGCGAAAGATGTCTTCCACGAAGCACCTTGCTGCTGAAGGTCCACACATAACACTTACGAGAAACTTGAACATCTCCGTAGTGTGTTTTCGGGTCGAACTTCACAATTCGTCTGAAGCGGCCAGCTTTCAGCTGATCTTTAAATTCCCAGAAGGTGTTTCCGGCAAGATCCTGGCCTGAGAAAGTGGCGGGTTGACTGTTAGCAACACGGAATAAAGGCCGAGGCATAAAGCGCCGAGTGACGAAGGCAGAGACGGAAATAGAAACTCACCGACCATATAAGAGGTCCGCCAGGGTAGTCGGAGACTTTTCCACTTGAACCAGAGGCTGTTCACCATTGTTATGTTGATCAAGAGTGGAGGTCGAGAATCGAGAAGACTGAAGCGTGGAGAAAAAAAGGTGCGGGCCAATTGAGCCAGAACGTTAGGAACGTCATCGGCGGAGCCCAAAACACAGCCCCAGGCATTCATTCCATTCTACCTTCTTTCCCCCAACTTCCTGTCCTCTTCTCTCCAAAACTCTCGGAGGTGCGCCTGGAGGAATTATTTGTTTAGGAATCACATTCATATTTGTTGACTGATAATTTGAATTCAAATTCCTTTTTTGTTTCGCATACCCAACCCTCTGATACCCAAGTCTCCACACATCGGCACCGATTAGGCACGCGCGGCCACAGGGATACTCTTTTGACACAGGGACTACACCACCACCGCTGCTGCATTCAACCGGTTCGAATAGGAAGACTACGATCTAACGCCCACTATGGCATCGGTTTCATCTTTGGACAAAGACCTGCGCAATATGCGCCTGTCCCGCTATACCCCGCAGGCAGCCGCCGAAGTACGTGACTGGGTCGAAGATGTGTTGCGCGAGAAACTCCCTTCTACCGATTTACTCGAAGGACTGAAAGATGGAGTAGCCCTTTGCAAGTCAGTTTCAATTGCGATTTTTCCGCGCCCCGCATGCATATCTGCAGTTAGAGCCTGAACTAACTTCTTTCCCCCCTTGTATTCTAGACTAGTCAATTTAGCCGTATCCCCGGGCGTGAAGTATAAGCAGTCGTCAATGCCATTCGTCCAGATGGAGAACATCTCTCATTTCCTACGTGCTTGTCAAATGGCACCGATCAGCCTCCCGCCGCACGACGTCTTTCTTACAGTTGATCTCTACGAAGCGAAGGACCCCGCGCAGGTCCTCCAGTGCCTTGCAGCGTTTAGCCGGAGAGCCAACGCCTTGCAGCCTGGTGCTTTCCCACGTACCGTCGGTCCGCAAAGCAAGCGGGGGCTTGTAAGCCCCAATGCGACGGGTACTTCGAGTCCAGGACCATACAATCGGCCAGGTCGCGCCTCGAGCAATGTCAGCGATACGAACTCTGGTCGACCGGGAAGTCAATCATCGGGGTCTTTTAGCTCTTGGAGTAAGAAGGATGATCAGTCGAAGACAGCACCGGCGTGGAATATTCATCAGTATGGCTACATGGGCGGAGCTAGTCAAGGTAACCAGGGCATTGCATTTGGTGCTCGGCGTCAAATAACTACCCCAGGCCCGGCTGTTCCAAGTTTGGCAGAGAAAGAGAAGCGCAGGAAAGAGGAAGAGGACATAATCCGCCAGAATGCAGAGAGAGACGAAGCTGAACGGGTGCATCAACGCGCAATCGAAGATCAGGAGGCTCGTGCTAAAGTCGAGGAGCAACGAAGATGGGAGGAAGAGACCGATCAGTTGAGAGAGAAGAAGCGACGCGAAATGGAAGATGAGAAGAGAAGATGGGATGATGAAAAACGCCGATGGGAGGCAGAGGAGCAACGCCGACTAGCCGAAGAGAAGGCGACTGAGGAACGCTTCGAGCAGGACCGACAACGTCGAAAGAGTGCAAACGATTCTCGTCTTAACGGTCAATTTCTCAGCCAGTATCAATCCGGTCAGACCAACAATGTCCCACCTGCTGTGTCAACGGAAGAGACTCCCGAAAGCCGTCGCATCAAAGAACTCGAGCGTGAGCTTGAACTGGCCAAAGAGCGTGAACGCAAGTACGAGACCGACCGACAAAGCACAGAACCACAAGACGAGAATGACTCAGAACCTCGTAGCCAAAGCCGTGGACGTCCTGTCCCTGTCCCCCCAAAGCCAAGCTACAGCTTTTCGTCTCTCGAACAAGAACGCCGACTCCTTCGCGGTGAATGGCAAAAGAATCAAGATTTGCCATCAGCAGAGGAGACGACGGATGATTACGAAGAGCAAGCCCCCCCTCCACCTCCACGACCACTACCAGAGCCCGTGCCAACCCAACAGCAAGCACCAGCTCTTCCCGCCAGAGAACTACCGCCTGCACCTGCACCTCGCCCTCTCCCAGATCCGGCAGCATACTCTGCAAACCGTGGCCAAAGCCGCACCGACCGTTTCTTAAACTCGAACCCAGCTCCCGCAGCACCGGCCCCTGCTTCCCATCAGCCACAAGACTACAGCACCACATCTGAAGTAGACGCAGAAAACAGTCGCCGTGAAGCTTCACAGCAGAAGACGCGCGCTGGTGGCTGGGCTTCGAAATCACTGCTCGAACGCGAGATGGAACGTGAGCGGGAACGCCAACGTGAGTGGGAGGATAACCAGAAGCAAACACAAGCAGCTGCGCGCGATACCTCGCACGGCTCAGGCCCGGGTCAAACATGGGATGTTCATCAGTATGGCTACCTGGGCGGGGATAATCAGAACCGTGGAGGCACAGGATTAGGTATTGGAGGTGCCCGACGCCAAATTATTGGACCACGACCTCCCCCATAAATATTTTCTTAAAGCTCATTACCCTGATACATCTATCGACTTGCAATATCACATTTACTTCTCCTAGTCTTATTCACCTTGACTTCTTATCTTACCCGAATACTTTTTTTGCTTTCAGAATTTCCCCAGTCTCCTATGTTCTCCCTTTTTATTTGCGCTGGCGACACGGATGATTTGCTCACTATAATTCCCTAAGCCTTGGTTTATTTTAAATCCTTTCATTTGGTTGTTTCTTTGGTGGTTGTAGATACTTATGCTTATAAATTCAAAATAAGAATGATTCTTATTCGAACTTTTTGACTTTTCAGAGAAGATCCAAGTAGTTACGCTACGTTGAAGATGATATATGGTCGTTCAACACCTAGACTTCACTCATGAACAGCTCCCTGGAGTAGTTCTTGCTCGTCAATGGCCTGTGATAGGAGAGATATTCAACTACAAAGATACATTATGAACACTTTAAAGTCTCATATTCTCATATTCTTGAAATCTAACACATATCTGGTCAACTGAGTATTACATGATAAAAGAGCAATGAACTTGACGAATGACCCCGGTGTATGCATCATTAAAATCGTCACTTTCATAAACCATCGTGAGGCAACTCGCATCAAGCCAAACTCTCCGTCTCGGTCTTATCCTTGAAAAGCTCAAGAAAGTACACCAATCTTAGCCCACTATCAATCAAACAGAGCCATTCAATCGGTTCCTGGCTATGAGTATTTTGACTACGTTCGAGATCATCCTGAGCCATTCGCCCTCGCCGATGGACTCCATCATGAACAGCTTTCTCAAGCTGACGCGTAAAGCTGATCATACCACTAGTCGCCAAAAGGGTAAAAGTTGCCTCAAGAAGTAACGAGACCTTTGCATTGCTCACCATGGTAGCGGATGCTGCTGAGTACGGAAGAAAGCAGTGTTCCAATTTAGCTTGATTGAGACACGTATCCTCTGAGTCAGGTGCAGAACTCTCCCGTAGATTGAAGAGAAGCTTTTCGCAGAGTGTAGCTTGTGCCGGCTCTGAGATAACGGGCAGAACAGCTGGACTAATCATAGTCTGGAAGGCTGGAAGAGATAGCGGGCGAATGTGTTCCACGAAAAGATCGTACAGATCGTTCCAGCTCATGAAATCGCGAGGAAGGCGTTCGGAGACGTTGGATAGAAGTCCCATGAGTCTTTTGCGAAACCGTAGAGATGCCAGGCCGCTTGATGCAGCGAGCCCAACGCTATGGTGAGGTAGGGAGGTTTGTTGTGCTTCTGCGGAACCATTGATTTTAGCTCCAGTTTCAGATCTGGTTCCCCGTCTCGTCCGCTTCGTGCGACGCGTTTTCCCTTTTGTATTTGAAGGTGAAGTATTATGAGCTGCTGAGTCTGTCGTTCCGTTCATCTCCTCATCCGTCTCATCTTGCGATAGGTAGTCTCCATATATATCCTGGTCAATGTTGACTCCACGCCCTCTCTTCTTAGGCTTTTCCGGGGCTTGAAGGCTCGTAAGTTCCTTCTTGAATACAGCTCGGAATTCATTGATAGAGGCAGTACTCCCATCCGCGAAGATAGCTCGAAGAATTCTGCGATTTCGTCCATAAGTGGAATTCGAGGTAATGAACTGGTAGATCAGACTGTCACGCAGAATGTTAAGAGGAACCGCTCTCTGTCGGCCTCCATTCTCAACCGGTTGAGTGACCTCTTCATATTCTCGTACTCGTTCTGCCCAATCATCTTCGAGGACGTCACACATATAACGCAGCCAAATCTGCCAGCGCTCCCAGCGCTCGGGGTGAAGTACAGAGCAATTAAACGCCCATCCAACCATGTGCCAGAAATCCTCAGCACGAGACCATAGCGAATCAGACTTTCCCATTTCCAAATTCAACGGTTTATCAGATCGCAAACTGCTATTCCCCTCTTCTTTTTGTCGGCCAGATCGCGATACCCGATCCGCAAAAGAAAACGCATGGTTCAGTTTGCAGTCTTGCGGCGAGACTAAGGAACTGAGTAGTCGCAGGAGCCGCAACGAGAGATGAGCGGCATCTTTTTCTTCCGCGGACTTAGCGCGAGTGGTTGTAGATGGGTGAACGAGAAACGTAGTAGCGAGTGCGATATGCTGTGGTAATGGCACTATGATTTTTTCTGAAATGTATGTCCCTGAAGAAATGCTACTAATTAAAAGGTTTAATCCTTGGGTATCTGTGGTAATGTGTTAGCAGGATGGACGGTGTGTAGGTTAAGAAGGGATGGTCACGAACATAGATTTTCTTCAAAGAAAATGCCTATATTCTGTGTCAATTCAAAAGGGAGCTCCGCTGGTTTGCGATAGCTTTGGCCACCCGGGGGCGCCATGGCGTCGAGATAACCCGGAGAAGCAACTGACATGGTCGCGGGTTCGCGTCAGCACGCGCTTATCGATAAGTGCTGAGTCAGTGTGGGGGAGAGTTCAAATGTTGGTGGCCTTGATGCCTTAGAGATGGAGGGAAATGTTGATTAGCTTTGAAGGCGTTTGCGATGTTTCAATGGAAAAGAGACTTGGTTCTAGGTTAGAATGGGTGTGGTTTCGAGGGAGATTTTGAGGTTTGAGGTTTGAGGCTCTATGGCGGTTCTGTTTGTTTCCTTTGTTGCCTCAGTCAATATGGCCCATTAACTAACTGCGGCAAATGACATACAAAGCACAGGCTATTTGGCATGAGGGTGATACAGGAAAGATAAAAGTTAAAAAAGATCAGTTGGGGCAATAATAATATTGTGCAACTGATACATGGTCAGTTCAGCTTAATTTTGACTGTTCATCTCATAAATCTGAATCTACAACCTTTGATCTATACTTCCAAGGTTGGTTGCCCCCGCAGCTATCCACACACAATGTATGGGTGGATTGATGAGTCACGGTAATACGAGCTCTTATGCATACTGGACATAATTTCAAATTGATCAGCACATATAAATTCTGAGTGAATCTATACCGAATTTGAACACAATAAATCAAAGACTTCCAATCTCTTTAGATTCAAACTACACGCCTTGTTCCCTTTACTTTCTATCCCTGAACCAGACCAGCCCAAAATGGACACAGTCCAGGACTTCGTTGCCGAACAACTTGCACAAACCCCTTATGCATGCTCGTCACTTACGCGTTTGTCTGGCGGAACCGCGAATTTCATATACCGCGGCACACTCAACACCACTCAGGAGTCTATCATAATCAAGCATAGCAAGGACTACGTAGCTTCGAATCCGAATTTCAAGCTTGACACTGAAAGATCTGTGGGTTATACTATTTTAATATCTAACGAGGGTTCAAAAGCTAATGACATTCTAAGTATTTCGAAGAGTCTATTCTGCAGGCACTCGACAATGAGCCGTACTCGCAGAACAATATCACTGTTCAGTCTCCTCGTGTCTTGCACTTCATCCATGAAACAAATATTCAAATCCATGAAGATCTTCGCGACTCAGATAGCTTGAAAGTTTTTCTACTGGAAAGGGTTTCTAAAGATGTATCGGAATCATATTCACGAGCTCTAGGGCATTCCCTCGGATCGTGGTTACGGTCATTCCACGCTTGGGGTGTCAAGACTCAACAGAAAGAGATTAGAGAAATCGTTGCCAAAAACACAGCGATGAAGCAATTGAAATTCTACATCAACTACCCTATGCTACTGGAGACTGTCGACAATTTCTCTGAGATTCTTGGTGAGAATCGTACCGTGTTTGAACAGGTGCGAGATCTTGCTGCCACAGAATTGAAAAATGATGCCCTCGACGATACACACGGGCTTATCCATGGGGACTTCTGGACTGGAAAGTAAGTTTTCCATTGAATTGATACTCTAAACTTAAAGAAAAGACACTAACCCCGTTACCAGCGTCCTCGTTTCAAAGAATCCCCTTCTCGAACAGTCCCAAACTCAAATATTTGCTATAGATTGGGAGCTTGTCCAGATTGGACACAAATCATTGGACCTAGGACAGATGATTGCGGAGCTATACGAAACAAAGCTCTTCAAGGGCGTTGAGCATGGACTGTGGATTATTGAAGGATTCCTAGAGGGCTATGGACCTTTGAACGATGAAATGGCATTTCGGACGGCGATACACGTTGGCGTTCATTTGGTCTGCTGGGGGAGTCGAGTTGCAGGATGGGGCAACCAGAATCAAGTTGAGGATGTTGTGAAAGTGGGCAGAGACTTGATTCTGCAGGCGTGGGCGAAGAACAAGTCATGGTTTGAACAGGATCCTATGGGGTGTCTTTTTAAGAGATGAAGTTGCTCATGCTATCCATGGATGATAAATAGAAGTTATACAGCTCTTGTACTATGTGGGTGGAGCTGATATACTTGGCTCTGCTCTGCATGTAGACTGGCATATATCACTTTGAAGAATTTGAAATGATAGCTATGGATACTTTATCTACCATTGAATAGACCCGACTGGTGAAATTGCTCGCGTACTTTTACAATTTGTTATGGCCTTGGGCGGACCCCAAGCTGTATACAAGCCCCGGGGCCGGCAGCATCAAGCGATGATGCAATAAGCCCCCGCTTGGACCCAGCCGCCTGCATAAGGGTATGCCTAGTAGTCTACAGGGCCCATCTTCTATTGCAGGATTTTCATGACTACCAAGTCTCTGGTATGCTCAATTACAGTTTCTGGGACGTAGAAAGAATGATGTGCAAAACATAAGATATGCAGGGCTCTAAAACTGGACATCTAGACAAAGGACAGGCTGGAACTAAGAGGGGCCGGGCCCACGGCTGCATCTCATATTTGCCCAAAAAAAAAGTGAAGAAAGGAGAAGATTTGCGACAAGCCAATGACGGATCGTATTCCGTGGGGTAACTGTAATGCAAGAAACTCTTTACTGAGAAAAGAGGAAGCAGGAAAGTTCAGGGAACGGAGGAGAGGAATAGAAGACAGAGAGTGAGCTTAGAAGGCTCAAATACGCCGATGTAGCAAAGAGAAGGGAAAGGAAAGGATGTACTATGACTCCTCGGGTAAGTCGGAGAATAAGCCTATTCGCAAACGATGCGACTGGAAAGATGTTAGTGACCCATTATTTTCTCAAATTGATTCCTCAAAAGGCACGAAGATGGATAAATGAGGGAAGTGACTTTATCCGGGGCATAGAAAACACGTACAAATGGCAGTTTGGGGATGACCACTCCCAGTGTGGCCATGACGTTGATGGTGAAATATGTCAAGTCGTAGTGGGTATAGTGGGTGCTGACGAGGAAGAGCACGATAGGTACGCAGAGCAAAAACTTCTTCGTAGGTGTATACTGGTCACCATTGTCGATTTGCTCCCACATGTTGAGGTTATCGTAGGCGCCACCGTTGAACTCGAACGGAATGCCCCGCACCCAGTGAAACATTAAGAAGGAGCCAAACATGTAGCTGATATTGGTGAGGGTCCATGAAGTCTCCTGTGAGACGCCGGGAATGATATCGTAAAGGACTTTGAGGGCGGCAATGAGAACGAAATGGATAGTCCAGGCACCTATTCACGCGACAAGATTTCCTTCGTTAGCACATCGTGTTCAATATTCCCGAGAGATTCCATGAGCTGTCCACCGTGTCCAGAGCGGATCGGTCGGAGAGTCAAGAGGAAACCGGCGCAACCATAACTCACCCTTAGCATTGACCCAGTTCGCATTGAGATTGGGCAACGCAGCTTGATCGCTGGTATGTTCGATGGATTCGGGGGGCTCTTGGTAGATGAGACTGCTGGACCGCCGGCGGCGGCCCTGCTTCTGAGTATTTGGCGATAACCGCTGCGGCCCGTCCATCTCGGGGGCGAAAGAGATGGCGCGAGGGACCAACAGGGAGGATTTAGAAGAGTCGGAAGCCAGTGTGACGGAGTGAAGGTGGTGGATGGGAAAAAGGAGCGTGGGGATGGAAGTGGCACACACGGCCCAGAACTGGAGAAAGGCGGATCGGCTTTCGGGGGTCACGGGGCAGTTTCTTTTTTTATTCTGTCAACAACGACAATTTGTCTCACTAAGGTCTGTGGCGAATGTCTGGGAGGAGGTCTTCCGAAAGGCAATAAATTGTTATTTTTTTTTTTTTCTCAATGACTCAAGTGAGATAGAGATCGGAAGAAGGAATTCACGGAGAAGATGGTTGATCCCGGCACGTGCAGCAGCTTCAGTTTGAAGAAAAGTCTGGACTCGCAAAACTAAGCCTCAAACTAGTCACGCCTCTCCTATTTATACGGAAGAGAAAGCCCCTATTTTGGAGTCCCGGAATAGTTTTTCTTCACTACGATCGCGTTTGAGCTTGGTTACCTGGAAACTGTTGTCATTATCGCCGTTTGATGGTTATTTCCTTTTCTCCGATGCCTACCATATCCAGGCACTCCCATTCTTATGAATAATTGACTGTTGCAGGTGGTGTGAAAATGATTACGCCTATTTACAAGGATTTCAGTCCCATGATGTTTTACCCGACGCGACATTTTCTCCTTTCATGCTAATTAATTTAGGATCTGGCAATCATCAACACCAAATCAACAGGAGATAGTAGTGCCATATGGCAATACTCGCCAGTTCGCGGGCGGAATTGCGGAATCACTGACAGCCAAGACCACCGTTCATGCACGGTCCTACACTAGGCAGTCCCAACGGCCCATGGGTCCGGATTTCAATCAACTCCAATTATACTTTGCGATTCTTTAAACCTCACTAATTCAACATAATCCGCATCAAGAACTCGGCTTCCATGAACTGAACCATGTGGGCAATGCCCTCACGGCAGCTAATGGCTGAGTTGCAGTGCTCTGCTTAACAGCATCAAGCAGCATCTTCGCATACACACGACGTGGTTCTGGAGTCAGAGACTCGACCCTGGCAGCGTAACTCTCGGAGAGAACATGGCCCACTTCCCACCTCCCGTCTTCAAGTCCTTCTGCTGCCTCAATTATGCTCTCCGTTTCTAATTCCCAGCCTGTTTCTCTACCCATTTCGCGGATCATCTTAGGCGAACAGATTGATTGAACGTTGTCGTTACTAGTCCATGGATCGGAGGGTTGACCGATATTAATATCTGCCAGGGAAATCACGGCTAGCATATGTGGTAAAACCGCAATGTCACCCTGAAGATCGAGCAAGAACTCCGCAATGAGAACTCGACGCACCCGCCCACGAAGGGAGCGTAGCATAGACAAGAGTATGTCGGGAGAAGGCAGATACCACAAGCAGCGGGCAAAGACAGCACAGTCGTATATTTCATCATTCGTTTGGCAGAATTCTTCCACTGTTGTCTGCTTGAATGTGATTCGATTCCCCAGGGGAGATGCCTTGAGCTGAGACTGCGCTTCTCCTAGTGTCATAGGGGCACCTGACCGCATTGAAAAATCAACAAACTATTCTTCAGCCACTGAAAGCCATGATGCATACCATAATCTAGTGAGGCTGGATCAATAGCCGTGACATGCCCGTTCTCCCCTACCAGATCGGCGAGTAGAATGGTACAGTCACCTTGCCCACATCCAATTTCAAGAACTTTCGAGCCTTGAGGAATCTTCCATTTCCGTAAAAGTGCCAGTCTGTGCTCAACTTGAGGGGAGCTTGATATCCCAGACTCTAAGACTTGAACTGCGGCGGGAGATAATTCGGAAGTCATAATGTCTAACCAGTTCGGAGAACCTTTTCTTCTTCTTTTTTGAATAGAAGTTGCACCAAATGACTTTTTATAAATGCAAGAAAGATTTCATCTAATTCAAAAGAGAAAAAAGAGGCAAAGGCCGCAGGATGGGAGTTTAAGTAGTTATTAGACAGCGTTGGCTGACTCTGAGTGAGTCTTACTGAGTCACTCACCCCGCTTTTAGAACGTGATATTGATAGGGGACATAAGATAACCACTCAATCTTCAATTTTTGAATTCTTTTATATAAATTGCGTTGTTTAATTGTGGAGGAAATGTTCCTCTATGACAGGCAAACCGAGCTTATAGCTTAGGATCGCCCATCGGGAGTTATGATCTTGACCCAGTTATTGTACCGGGTGGGGCTCGATTTGAAGGTCTTGAAAGGGATCAAACTATGCAGAAATGAAACAGTGAAGCCCCTTCGTGCATAAAACATAAACGCACAAAGCTGTGCGGCAAAATCATTCGCTAACGTGGTCCGTGGCCCACAATCATTGGGGGCCGAACACCCAGGAGACGGTGACCACAGGCTTCTTATAACCGCCCGTTACAGCTGACGATAAGGCTGAAGTCACACAAGATTTGCTGATGCTTTCTTTTTTTATTAATCCGCCAAAAGGATCCTGCCATTATAATCTGCTTTTACTGCAAACAAACCGAAGATGGCAAACCCCACAAATGCAAAGGATAAGAATAACAGCCAAGGGTACAAAACACAGCCCCTTCTTTTTCTAAGATGGCTACAACCTGGGACAGTTAAATCGCGCGAATTTAAGCCTAGGAAGAGCAGAAGCAAAAAACAGAAAGAGGTGGAAGAGAAGAAAAATTCCGATGACAACTCGAGTTCTTCAAGTGAACAGTCTGAGGAAATAGTCAAATCTACCCGCTTCGACTTGATTGATCTAGCTGGAAAAGACCTGAATACATTAAAGTGGGCATTTGAGTATCGTTAGTGAAACTGTTGCTCATGAGCCGAATATCTCCATAGACATCAAACTGACTACTCTAACAGTGCATGAATTCTGGTACCCTAAGATGCTCCCTCTAAAATATCTGCACGTGAAAGAATATACCCACCAAGTCTCACCCCAGACTTTCCAAGCATTATCTTCTACGCCCTACTATATCCAAGATGCCATGGTCTGTATGGCAATCTTTCAGCAAAGAGCTAAATATAAGGAGGGTGATGCCCAATCAAAAGCTCTCCTGGCAAAGTCTCTTGATGCCCGTGGAAGAATGCTTCGCAGCCTCTCCGCAGATCTAAGTGACCCGGAGAAGCGTACAGGAAATATGGTAATTGGAGGAATATTCCAGCTTCTTTATAACGACGTGAGTCTCAATTGTATTGAATATGACCATGGGCAATCTAGATACTCAACGACATTTTTTTTCTATTTAGCTTGCTCGTGGCATCTCAGATGGATGGCGATATCACTTTGCAGCAGCATACAAAATAATGCGACTGAAAGGTGGTCTACAGGCACTGGCTGAGAAGCCCGAAACACATTTACTCGTTCGTGCTTTTCTACAGTAAGTATAAGCCGAAGGTTGCGCTCATTCATAGCTTGAGCCTCACATGTACTAACAGCCATATAGCGCCGGGGTAGTCGGTGACACCACATCACCTCCAACAGAGCAGGCTCTAGCCCCTCAAGATACAACCCATTTTGAAACCTTCATCGATATCGTGGAAGACATAGGATACGTTCTTACAACGTATCCTGCATTTTTCTTTGTCCAAACGATGCGCATTAATCAGCTCCGAGCGATGACAGCGGACCGTATCCAGTGGGGGTTATCACCAGATCCAAATGCGCGAACCCAGGCCTTTTCCATTCTAAACGACATCAAAAGCTTCTCAATTAATGAGACTAAGGGTACACCTTCACCAATGACCGACAGTATGCTCCTAGGGCAATCATTCAAGACTGCCCTGTACATATTCTGTGTCCTTTCCCTTCAAAGCGTCTCAATCTTGCCATCGAGCAATGACGATTCCGATCCCCTTGCCCATATAGTTTCCTACGAAGCTGAGACATTGGCCGCAATTATAGAAAATGGGTTACCTAACCCAAAGCTCAAATTGCTTCTGCTATGGCATTTGACAGTTCTCGGCGTGGACGCAGTGAACAGGGGGGAAACTAGGCGTGATTTGGTGCGCAGGTGCGCATATGATATGTATACTTATACTGGCTCGTATTCTGTGTGGCACTTAAAGGAAGTTCTCGAGACGTTTTGGGCTTCTGGCAAGACAAGATGGGATGACTGCTGGGACAAACCATATTTATTTTCACCCGCAACGAATATGGATAGTTCATCATTAATACCAAAATAGCATAGAAAATCTCAAGAGCTATGTTATGAAAGTACTATGTGATTTGATTGGTCTATTGCGTACATAGCCGGGAATATGTGGGTCTCTGTCGCGTGGTGCCTGCTTATTCCTCTTGACCTGAATACGAGATTGGGCTGACGCCCATTTTCAGTGCAAAATACACAACTCCATGCATCCCTGACAACTGATAAAGCTGGTCCTTTCTTGGCCAATGACCGCCAACAACCAGAGTTTCAATCGAGGCCTAGAGTAAACGCGAGCCATGTCGTCGACTTCAGCAACAGACATAATCACCTATATTGGTATTCCCCTCGCAGTTCTCGGCGTTGTTCCCATCTTGTACACATCATTTCGAGTGCTATGGACTCAGCGATTAATCCGTTTAACTCTCCAACAACATCCGCTTTCTGACTCTGCTGTTACGCGCGTGAGTTTGATGGGGGGTATCGTTGAGGTAGAATTGCCACGATGTACAATTACCCCTCTTGATCGCGAGTTGGATTCCAGCTATTGGAAGCTAAATGAATTTCAAGTTCCATTGAAAGGTGGAAGCTGGTCAACTTTTCACTGGAATCGATTGGTTACGGGGAAGGTGCTATATCGCTGCCAGTATAAGGAGGAATTGACACTTCCCCAGGCCGATATTGAACTTGAAGAGCTTGTTGCGTTTCTGCTTGATCGCGGCGCTGTCCCGGATCCTCATGGTTGGCATATGTTGAAAACTGCGGGTCTCTGGACACCACCTGGCACTCCGTTACTACGTCCCCCACGGGGTAAACCGGGGGTTGTACTTACAGTCGTATCGCCTGATGATTCAGATGGTGTATTGAGTCTGCATGTTAAATGGAAATCACAGTGGGACCTGAGAAACTCGAATAGCTTGCCTCCTTTTTGGATGAGACTGAATCAGCCACGGCTTCAGGAGATGAGGGATGAAAGTGCATCTATCGACGAATCTGTGACGAAACTGCCAGTGAAGAATGATATGTCGGATGATGATCGGGACAAGACATTGAGTCGACAAAGTACTGCAGTTCTGGACTTGACAGAGGAACTTGAATCGGAATCCTCGGATATACTACCACTTCTCAAAGCGATCGATAACGCGAAGATGATAGCTCCGAAATCCGTGAGCGATAGTGTTCGGTTCAAAGTAGACCACGGTCAAGTGAAGCGTGTCTTCTTTGAGGACGATAACATCATGACTGGAGAACATCGAGACTTGTTCCAGATCGATGAGGGTTTTGGCCTGTGGTTTGCCTGTATTGCTTGTGCATTAAGCCAAGATGCCGACGCTAGGTTGTGGAATTTCGCCATTCCAAGCCATATTGCATCTTTCACGCGCCAAAAGTCAATTCCCTGCGGCGTAATGGTTGTTCTTGATCTGTTGAACGAAGATAAAGTTCCTCCATGGGCATCTCCAGCCCCAGAGTTCGGGGAGACTGCGATAGAATTTCAACAGCGCGCGCAGCAAGACATCTTGGATCGAAGAATGGAAAGTACTATGCCACCAGCCCAGGCCGCAGAAGCAAGAAATATCAGAATGATGCGAGATAATCAACGGTTTCACACCAATCATATGAAGAGAATTCAAGGCCAGGAAGAGTACCAGCAGCGACGACTAATCGAAGCTATTCAATCGCCACGTCTCGATAATAAAGTTATTGCCGAGGCTAGTCTTGATTATCTTAAAGACCAGAAAATTGTGCCTGGCGATTATACACTTTCCCAGACAGCTCAAGCAGTGCTATATCTTACTATTCTTGATGAGAGTCTGGCAAAAGTCGTCGCTGATATTCTTGAAAGGTGGATGTTGTGGAGTCAATATGGAGGGATGCAGAAGGTGCAAATGACGTTGTTGATGGAAAATAAGATCACTTTTTGCTATGCCTCGGTGCTCGTTGCAGTTGTTCAACAAGCGAATTTAGGTAATAACAACTTGTCATCTGATTTGCTTGATTGTATGAGACTATGGAACAGAGTCCGACTTGGATAGGTAGAAAACCCTTTAGCCAATCAACTCAAACAACTCTAAGACAAAATGACCAACCAGTCATACTCAACAAAAAAGGAGCTTGGGGAAAGGGCCCCAGTCTTTTTGAACTACTGTACGTTCGCACTTGTGGGGGCCAATACCACCACTCAATTAAATTTACAGCATAAATAACCGATATCCAGATAGCACGACAGGTCAATTGGCAGAAATTGATATGACTAGTTCAGAGAACCAAGTTACCTCTATGACATGTCCAGATATTGTATTATCTAGGTACTATCCATAGAAGTCGTATTGTTGGGTGATATTGGTCCAATCTTCCGGTCAGCTATGCTCTGGATCCGGGGAAGTGTTGATTTTGGTGCCTTAGGCATTCCATCCACGCGTCTTCATCTTTCATCATTCTCACCCATTTCTGTATATCCGCGCGATTCCGCGGAAAGAATGAAGAAGAAGAAGAAGAAGAAGAAGAAGAAGAAGAAGAAGAAGAAGCTGTTGGCGGTAAACTCGTCGAGGACGCTCTGAAATTCGGTCGCAGGTCTGGCCACTGGTCAACAATACCACAGCCAACGGAAAATACATCGAATCTGTTCAAGTTAAAAACTTGGCACTGCCCAGGTGGGTTTGGACATCATACCTACTGACTTGAAATTATATGTTGATACGAACGAGGAATGTTTCAAGAAATGTTTCATTCCAAGACCAGCTCGAAGAAACTTTTTATAGAACATAAATCAAGTAAATACATAAGACACGCTCTTGCTCAAAAAGTTTCAAAATCCAGATCATTTACTTCATCGAAGATCCCCGTATAACTATCCCGAACCAAAAATTCAAAACGCAGAAAGGACGGTCTATAACGCAATGCTAGCCCCGGAATAAACAGATGCTTAGACTCATTCAGGGCCAGGAACACATTTTCCGATGCTCCAGTTAGTGTAGCCAACACACTGGAGCCCAGAGCAGCAGGTGTTTGGTGTGCAGTCTCCATGTCCTAAAGTAAGAGAAAAATACAATATTAGCAAGATTCTTTCAATGTCTTGTATGAAGAAATCAACGCACTTGCGATGCAGCTTTCCGAGCTATCGGAGGCAGTGGAAGTAGGGCTGCTGGAAGTGGAGGTCCTCAAAGTAGTGGCCTTGATAGAAGTAGGGCACACATTATTGGTGACCGTGACAGTCACGGTTTTGGCGTCAGTGTCACTGGCATAGGCTGCTGAGGCGCCCATGGCAGCGAGAAAAAGGACATTCATGAACTTCATTGTGATGGTATAATAATGGGGATTGGGGCAAATTTGATCTTTGATCTTTTTCAGGGATGTTTTCCTGGGATTGAAGGTTTGAAGATTGAAGCTGGCTGTGAATATTGAATTATGAAAATTGCTGGAGAAATCTTGGGCCTTATATTCTCTCCCCCAAGCTACGCCAAGAACTATATCGACTACCCTGATTTTCAGGAACTACCAGATCTGGGATCAAACATGGTAACCTTCTTAGAAGGTTCGGCAGATCATCCGAAAACGGGTGGCGTTGTTCCTCAGGGTCTCTGGCCCCAAAGTATGAAACTATCTGAAGCCCAGAAGCCCCCCACTTTCTGCAACTTAGAAGCATAGCTACAATGCCCAGAACAGCATCTACAACGCAGGGTCATGGTGGTGATTACTTTTGAGTAATGCCCAGAAGAATGTAATAAATAGAGTATTTTAACTAACATTGCCCCCATTTATGCTTGTATTGAATAAATATTGAGTTTTAGGAAACTCATAGACCCTTTTTCAAACGTTGGTTCGGGGTTAGTATCGGCAGTCAGCGCGTATACGATGAAATGCGAATTAAGGTTACATCTTGGCATTTGCTGTATCAACCTTAGAACTGTTTCATGCCACTGCAAAAGGTTAGAAAAATATAAGCACAGTAAGATGAAGACATATCAAACAAATGACGAACCAGTTCTGGCATACTTCCTAAATAGGCAACCCCACTTATGCCGGGGCCACCAAGCTGCGTCTCTGGCATGTATCGCGTACCGTAACAGTTTTATCTGCATCTCTCACCCCGACACACGCCAGTACAATCGCACATTGAAAAATTTCAATCAAATGCTTATTGAATTAAAAAGAGCTCTAAGTAGAATATTCGGAAAACTTTTCCAATAGTTTGCATGAGATTCACTCCGCATGCTGCTCATCGCATCGCTCTCCAAGAAATCCCTTTTCAAGAATATCAACTAGCTCATCCAGCTGATGAATGCAAAGGTCGGTATGAGGATGTGTTTCTAAATTAGTATTCCGCTCATTCAAGAGAAGAACTGTCGCTGCACCAGCTCTATGCCCCGAAGTCATATCATCGATACTATCACCGACCTATGGCACCCAGTTAGTTTCTGATACGCGGGATTATAACTTTAAAACTTGGAAGCAGGAAAATCAATAAGTCACACACCATAATTAGATTCTCCGCTCGGTTCGTCAGGCCCCAGTCCTGCGCAATGTGTAAGATCCCCGCTGGATCAGGCTTTGGAGTCACATTCGGTGTATCCCGCGTAACGACAGGCAAGAATGTGTGGTCTGGAAGCCAGTTCTTGAGCAAATTGTTTACAGGAGTCCTATCACCTGGTTAGTATCTCCGTTCTATCTATCATCCCCACGTCCAACGTGCAAAATGGGAGAAAAGGATTGTGAAGGAAGGTGATGTTTGACCGCTGGATCACATACTCATAGTTCCGCGTGCAAAGTGCCCGCTTTAATCCTCGTGATTGTAGATAGTCCATTAGCTTTACAAGGCCAGGTTGGGGCTCTTGATCCGCCATGGCGCGTCGCTCAACAGCTTGAACTTTTTCGACTGCCGCAGCACGATCTTCTTTGGTGGGTAGATCGCGAATGTGATCGAGAATGTCGGTTGAGCGATCAATTCCTAGCGCATCTCTTCATGAAGTTAGTTTATCCATAGAGAATGTCTGTTTTCAATGACTTCGTAGAGCATGTTTGTATGTCCGATGTCAATCGAGTAGTCGATTTGCTCTTACCTCATCTCTGTGAACATGTGGTGTTGCGGCAGGCTATGAATGATGTTAGTGGATCTCATGTCTTGGATTCAAATATGAGGCAATCATCAGCATTGACTTCGGAGCTTCTTCCAAGCCCCCACGCACTGGACAGAATTGCAACACAAAAATAAGAGAAGATACCCAATGAGTATCAAGCTGACTCTTTGGGGTAAATTGAATGTTCAACGCTGGGAAAAGCCTTACCATAATGTCCCATCCACGTCAAATACGATCCCCTTCAGCAGCGGCGCATCAGATGACTTGGTAGAATCGAGCGGCGCAAATCTCCGTGGGCGCAAGTTATGGCAGCTTGTTGCGATTCCCGCCATTATGGATGATGTGGGAGGGAATATCAAACGAGATGTCATGAGTGGAAGGAGTGTCGTTGGTTGTTGAGGGGGCGGGCCGAGGTTTGGAACTTAGAAGTATAAGTGGATCTAGATCGACTCCGGTCATCTCCGACCCCATAGAATGCAGTATAGATTCCAGTGGTGTTAGGGATCAACTTCAAGAGTTGAGACTCGGAGCAGAAACTATTTAGTATAATATATAAGTACTCACGCACTTAAGGGAACCACAAACTTCTACCATCCGACTCCATCACCATCGCACCTTCTCAACACACATCAACCCAAACACCGTCTCAACCTCAAAAATCAAAATGCAATCACAAGAATTTCCCTCCATGATCCCAATCTCCTCAGATCAAAATGCCTCTAGTGATCTACAAGCGATCAAACCGGACCCACGCCGTCCTCCCAATCAACCTAAAAATCACCACTTCCCTCATCATCTCCCTAATCTACCTTCAAATCCTCTACCTTGTATCCTTCCTCGCGAAACCATTCTGGTCCTCAGCCGGAGAATTTCCTCCATTCAAACACAACATCGAGCGCTGGGAAAGAACAATCATCGATATAATCATCGCTATCGTCCCGTTTTCAAACTATCGTTCTCCAAATCCATCAGCAATCCTCCATTCAGACGCACTACTTCACCGAAGCCATAATACAACATACTCAACTGCCTCTCATGTCAATCTGGATGGAATCCCACTCATGCCACCAAAAGCAGCGTCTAGCGCGTTTGTTTACCCGGTGACAATACCGCAGTGTTATCCCGGGACGGCTATTGAGGGCATGACGCCCGTAATGGCAATGACGGAACGAAGTGATTTGAAACTTGATCTGAAAGGCGGTGGTATTGGGACGGCGACAGCGCCGGGGTCAACAATTACGAAGCCCGGTCCTGTTATGGACCGGTATGGAAGGAATGGAGATCCGGTCTATGAAACTGTGAAGAAGCCAGTTCCTGGTTCAGGGTCGAAATCGCGTTCGCCGGGTGGAAGTTGGCATCGGACTGGGATTAATACCTCTGGAACTGGGAGTGGGAGTGGGACTGGGACTGGGACTGGCATTGTTACTAGTGCAGGCGTTGGCAATACACCTGTATTAGGCTCACAGCATTCACCACAGCATACTCCATCTCGATCCCGCACTCAATCTCAATCGCACGCTACAAAATCAACGCCTTCACCCCCCCCCCCACCCCGCAAACGAGTATACTTTGAATTTGAACATGAACCCATCCCAAATTATTAAGGAACAGGACGAAGATCTTGATTTCAAGCCTTTGCACCAAGTTCATAATTTGAGTGCCCTTATGCGCCCTTCAATGGCATCTGTTTCTCACCTCCCGAATACACCGCGTCCAAGTCAGAAATCCCCCGTTCACTCGCTAGACGGTCCCCATGATGCCGTGCAGTCCATTTTTACAGCGAGGTCAACGGATGATGAGGATAAGTCTAGGGTTGGGAGTCGTAGTGGGAGCGGAAGTTATGAGATCGATGGGGTGAAGCTTGAGAGGGCGACGAAGTGTCGCTCTACGGAGAGTTATCCGGGAAAGTTCCCTGTTAGCGAGGGGCAGGACTTTAGTTCGCTTGCTACGGCTGAGTATACGTTTCGGGAAAAGGGAACTGTTACCGTGAGACCCTTTTCTGATTACTGATTTTGACTTTTTGGGGGGTTGTTATGGATTGGTTTGGTTGTTGAAGGTTTGGTATTTGGGTTTCGTCTTGGGTTAGAGCTGTTCACCTGTGGATGTTATTTTTTCGTGATTTCTGCTTTTTGGTCTCCATTTGGGTACATTATGTTCACAAGCATTGGGAAGGGTCGGTGTTGAGCTACTTATTATACTTACCTTGTTGACTTGTCTCTCTCTCCATAGAATTGAATGTCTATACTGTTAGATTGTCTTGAATCAAGTACCCATGAATAAAAGTTAGTAAACAAGCACATTAATTTGGATATCTACAAGGACCGAGAGACTATCACTCTACAATATGAGTATCTTCTACATTGGAAAGAGAAAGGTGAAGAAGTCCACGAGAAAAAATTATCGATGAATTATGTAGCACCGAATAAAAGTTTGTAGTAGTGACACACCCACCACATACTATCTACACATCCCAACAAAAAAAAGCTACATGAAAAACAGGAGAAATTATGCCCAAGAAATGCATCAAAAGAGCAAATCAAGCAGCAAGAAAAACGGAAAACAGACATAGCTGCCCAACCCATCATAAAGCCTATGGACAAGCGGAAGAGAAGGGAAAAAAAGGATTAAAATATCCAGATCAGGAAAACATTTTGCACGCAGATGGCTTATAGATGGGAGAGGATGATGAATGGTTGGTAGATAAGGTGAGGTAAGGTAGATGGAATAAGATCAGATGAAGATGGTTGGCATGGTCGTTAATGTCGTAAGGCGCTTGGCTGGTACTCGTGATGGGACAAAGAAAAATGGGAACAAAGAAAAAGAAAGAAAAGAAAAGCTCGCTAGGTAGACACAAATACATCCCGGGGTATCTCAATGCTGTCTCAATATTCATCGTCATAGTCGATTTGCATCGGACTGCCTCGGTACTGGGTGCGCTTGATATTGCTGGGGCTGTAGGAGCCGCCAGAGGTCAGGGGGCGAGGGCCAGTAGGTTTGCGGGTTGGTGGGGAGCGGATAGCAGAGCTCTGTGAAGATTGTTAGTTTTTATTCAATTGGATTGGATTTGTTTAATATGGGAGAAGAATTGACATACCCTTGAAACAACACGGTCACCAGCGTAAGAATTCTGGGACTCCTCTCCGGCGATCTTGGATGGACGCTCGGGAATCAAAGGACCTTCGTCTTTGATCTTTGGGGGTCGAGGGGGTCCAGAAACACGGGAACTACCCTCTGAGTAGCCGGCGTCTGAGATTGGGGAAAGACGACTACCGCCGCTGTAGCGGTTGTTGGGCTGTGCAACGGGTAGGCTGGGGTTAGAGCCCCACTGCTCTGAGTTAGGAGACACAGGTGTTCCGTATGTCTGAGCCTGGGTCTCGAGGGCAGACTGGAAGCGGCCGGTGGGACCTTGGCGAGGTTGAGGATGCTGAATCTCAAGACTTCCACGGTGAGCTCGGTATTTGGGAGCCTCGGAGACCTGGGATGGAACCAATGGGGAAGGGGGTCGGTTCTCTTGCTGATCATCCAGGCTGTAGTGGGAGCGGATGCGGTCATCACCTTCGGGATCGTAGTAATCACCAGTTTTGTATGCCTCCCGGGCAAGGTCGGATCCAGATCGAGATAAGTTCTCGGAATAAGGTCGCTCCTTTCGGGCAGGCTGGATGCTGTTGCGGATGTTGTCGCCCATAGAAGAAGCGGTTGTCTTGGACCAGCGGGAGATCTTGGGGAAGATTGATGAGCTGCTTGACTTGTGCTTGCGAGCCTTGTCGGCCTTGTCGGCGGAGGCCTTGGGAGTCGTCTCGTTGCTGCGAGTTCCTAAAGCTAATGGCTTGCGGGGTGGTGTTGCAAGAGGTAGGGATCCAGCTCTCTCGTGGCGGCCAGCATCTTGGACAGGGAGATGCGCAGTCATGTAAGGATCATTCTCATCAATTTCGTCATCCTCGTCCTCGTCCTCCTCAGGGACAGTGCTAACGCGGGGATCGGCATTGGCTGGTCGGGATGGGCTCGACATGTACGAGGCGCGGTTGGCCTGAGAGGCGCCGTTCTGGCCTTGAGTGTCATAGGCATTTGCATCAACACTACCAGCTCGGGGGGTGGGTCCAGGGCTAGGGAATTCACGGCCCTCTCGAAGGGCCTCAACTTCATCAAGCAGTTGCTCCAGCATGCCTTCAATCTTGGACAAGTCATTGCCTGATTTCAAGCTCATGCCCTTGAGCGCACGCTTGAAGATGTTCTTGCGCTTGGTTTGCAAGTCCTCGTCGTCCTCTGCGTTCAATTGACGAGTGCGAGATGCACTGGGAGGCAATGGTCGAGGCCCACCAAGGGATCTCTGGGTGCGCTCGTGATGCTTGTCGTTGGTGTTCATCATTCGTTCATCTTGCTCAGCGATGAACTTCTTCATCTCATCAAACGAGGTACGCATCTCAGCAGCGCTACGAACCAAAGTCACCAACATTTCGGTGTCCCGAGCATTCCGTTGCGCATCACGAACAGTGAGGTGATCCATGAGAGCCACAATGTCCTTGGACTTGATCCTCTCAATGCCATGTCCAGTAGCACTGTCGTACAGTGGTGAGCCAACTCCATGAGAGTAGCCACTGAAGTGGCGTTGGTGGCTAGGAGAGAATGCATCAGCGTCACCGGGGCTATCTAAAGCATCCGCAGCTTCGATGCCACGAGTTCCTTGCTTGGGGGTGCCAACGCTCGGAGACATAGGGTTGGCGGCTGAGACATAACCCTCGTCTTTGGCCCCAGGAGGGGTTCCAAATAGCTGCTGGCTATGCTGGTCGGGATAGTACTCATCGCCGCCGAAGATGTTTCTGGCAGTTTCGTAATACTCGGCATCCAGGTTACGAGGCTGGCCTTCGGCAAGATCCTTTGGTGCACCAACTGATTCAGTATCGTCGTAATACTGGGCCTGTCCAGCAGGTGGCGATCGAGTGTCATATCCCCAATGATCACCTGTTTGTTGTGGGACGCCACCGATGGGGCCTTGGATAATAGACGGGTTGGTGTTGATCTCGGATTCTGATTCTTGGCTGTATTGATCCGCATCGTGGATAGGGCTTCCAATCCCTCGGGCAGCTGCAGCCGCCATACCAGCCGCTTCAAGGTCCTCAATGGACTGGGTCACGCTCTGTGGAGGCGAGCTCACGCCCATTCGGCGGGTGAAAGAGGTTTCATCAGGGCTAGCGGCATCCTGGCGTTGCTTGAGGGGGCTTCCACGGTAACCTTCGCTGACAGGCTTCTCGGGGCTGCGGCTTGCAGAGCGTGGGGCGAGATCGGTTTGAGAACGGTTGAAAGAGTGGTTAGACTGGCTCTCAAGAACTGACTGCTCGAGAACTGAGGGGTCCATTAAAGAAGCCACGGCCGACTCAACACCCATTGCCTGTATGATCTGAGGATTGGCAGCAATAACAGGTGCGACATGCTGGCCCTCCTTGACTCGATCCATGAAATCAACTTCACTGTCATCCTCGCCGATAGAACCGTCCAGCCTGGACTCTTCATCGGGTCCATACAGACCATCCTCAGCAGAGGCATGGCGAGATTGCTCGTATCCAAGTTCAAGGCCCTCTTCATCATGTCGAGAAAATCGACTTTGGCTGTGTGGGCTAGCTCCATCTTGACGGGTGGATCGGGCAAGGTTTGTGCTTGGGGCTGAAGACAGAGAATCAATGGAAAGTTTGGGCTCAATATCTCTTTGGGCGTCCGCGTGGTGCTTGTTGTAATACTGGTCATCATGTGTTTCGGTACGCTCGCTAGCAACGCTCTGAATGGGGCTGAGTTGTCGACCAGTCTCGTACGAATCCCCATATGAGTCACGGGTTCCTGGGTGAGCAGCATCCAACAGATTAGCTGCTGCGGCCTCTGCAATGGCCCATTCACTTCCACCATCCGTTGCGGGCGACTGGCTTTTAGCGCGAAGGTCGCGATCAGAAGCACTGTGAACGGAAATGTCACGCTGAGACTGATTTCCATGGCGCATACCAAGTTCATAACGTGAATCCAGAGGAGTGCGAGTAGGTGTGCGAGAGGTTGGGGAAACGAGTTGTCGCGGCGATCCACGAGAGATCTCGGCCTGTGATAATTGCTTGCGAGGGGTAGGGCTGGCAGTTCGCTCGGAAAGCAATGAGGTTCGGGTCAATTCTGAGTCGATTTCACTGCGCATAGGCATAGCAGGAACATTGTGCTTTTGGAAAACGAGTTCAGTTTCATTATAGTTTGGAACACTTTTTTGAGATCCGCTGCCTCTTCGCTCTCCTTCACCAAGACTGGACTGCGAGTCGTGATGTTTGAGAGAAGCTGCTGTTAGAGCTGAGCCCACTCGTGCTGCTGCTTGTGCATCACGAAGGCCCTTGCTCTTTTGTCGGCGAAGTTTTTCTGACTCTGTGAGTTCAGGTCGACCCCATTTCACCCATGCGTTATCAGATGCGTCGCTGCTCTTGCTCGACTTGCGCTCTTTGTTTTGGACACCTGGTTCTCCGGAAAGAAGAATACCCTCGTCTTTGCTATCCTTGTTGAGGACAACTTTGGGTTTCATGACATCAGGCGCACTGGCGTGTTTTGAAAGGCGACGGCCCAATCCATCCCGAGAGCTTGCGGACGAATATGAGGTTGTCATATCTTGGTCAAACTTGGACTTGTTCGACATGGTCCTTTGATCCTTTTTGAGCTCCTTCAGCTCCGGTAGAATCAATCGTCGGATTGCATCTTCGACTGTCTCCAAGAGTTTGGGGTTATTGATGGATGATTTTGAGGCGCCAGATCGGACGGAATATGCGTCTGACTTGCGATTTGAAGACACAGCAGAGGTACTGAGTAGGCTAGACTCGGGGCTGGGGATATATTCATCATCTCCATGTCGTTTTCGGCGCGACGAGGACTTGGTCGGCTCAGCCTCCAAATAGTCTTTCGCAGCACTCCGGGTTTTGCTTCTTCGATGGCTCTTCCTGCCACTCGATGTCTCTTGAGGCGATCCATTGAGCTTCTCAGCGACTCGATGTGCGATGCGCTCATGACTTAAGCTGCGACTGCGTTGTCGGGATGGAGTCTTCAGTAAACCTTTGTCTTGGCGACTCGCTTCACGCTCTAGACTTTGACTTCGCTTCCGCCGTGGGGCATTGGAAGAACCACCCTCCAGCATACTATCCGCCGGCATAGATGAGATATCCGATGAAGCAGCCATACCTCTGGTACCACGCGAAAAAGCCGATATTTCACTACCCCGATCACGATCACGATGACGATCACGGTTCATGAACTCAATTTCGACTGGCGGGTGTCTTGACGATTGATAATTTTGACCTTCCTCCTCGGCAGAATTGCTATCGCTGAGGCTGTGATCATCCAAATTTGATTCGGTCAGCTGTTTTGGTTTGGAGGATGGCGAGGTGAGTGAGATTCGACGGGTATATGATGGCTTGCGACTGGAGCCGGACTCGGTGATTTGAATATGATCTTGTTTATCCTTTGATTTTCTGGAGCCTGAGGGCGTGACTCGAACTCGAACACTGGGTCTTGAAACGATTCCAGTGGTGCCCTTCCCACCCTCAAAGTATTCGATGAGGAGGGAGGTCTGAGAGTCGCGGTGTGAGTGAGACAGTTTGTCGTCCCGGTCCCGATGGCGCCGGGTGGAGACGGTGATGGGGCTTCCGTCGTCCGGGATCGAGTACGACGTTTTGTCTGTACGGCGAGAAAGGTCAGTTGCCAAATCTGTGCCCGTTACGCTTTCGTTCGGAGTATCGACGAGGGATTCTGTAGGAGCGGGCAGGACGGGTCGGCGGGTATTGACCCCCATTGTTTGGGAGGCGGGCTGCCCTCTTTTTCCCTCCGGTACTTCTTCTTGTTCTTCTTTATTTTTATTTTTTTATATCTTTCTTCAGTCTGATAATCGCATACTTCTAAGAAAAAGATGGATTGAGGCGGATGACTGTTCTGAAGGCGGGGGGGCCAGATGGTGGTCACTTGTTGATGCTCCGTGCTCGTCGCCACGATAGTGGGGGGTGGATTGGGTAGAAAGAAGGAAGATCGGGCAAGGGAAAGAAAAGGGAACAAGGGGAATCTCGAAAGATTAAGGAATTTCAAGCGTACCAGCGCACAGTCACGTTTAGAAGTTAAACGGTGACCCCAGAATTAGAAAAGAGGGAGAGATCCAAGAGAGAAAGGAAAGAAAGTCGGAAAAAGACCCAAAAGCAAAGTTGCGTTGGTTGCTGGGCCGTAGGTTGAACAAGCTTGCTCCCCGCTGATCCCTCACATGAAAAGGGGATAAGCGATTGGGGATTGAACAAGAATGAGAAAGGGAGGAGAATAGGAGGATAGAAGAAAAAAAAATTTCAAGGACAGAAGAGTTTCACTAGGGATGAAGAATTAGAAGAAGAAAAAGAATAAGCATCCGATCATCCAGTTCATCGTTACAGGCCCAGCCTCACAAAAATCCGATGGCTGGTAAGTGTACGCCTCCCCCAGGTTCTTTTTCGCAGTGGGCCCCATACAAAGTGTACTTTGAAATATTTATTCGCTATTAATCACCTTTTCTCTTACACTTTTTACTCCGTATGGACTCCGGATACTGTAAACAAACGGATCTTTTGGGTTGCGGATCCTCTCGGGCGGATCCTTGGTTCCTTGGTTACAGACTATTTACTCTCTTGAACTGTGAACTGTGAACTGTACGATATTAAGGTGGCTGGAATCTATGAACCTTCCATCCCCCGCCACTTCATATTCCCATTCCCATGCGACATTCAATATTATTCGTCCCTTGATTTTCAGTTTGAATTTATAAAATAAAAAGACAACTCATGATATTCCGTCACACAAGGACACGGACCATGAAGAACCGGTTCGATGAGGATAAAAGGGAACGGTCGCCCAGACGACACAATCTAGGTGTGATGGATCCGAGGTGATTGGCCCCGACCACTGCCAACTCATCATCTCATCACACTGAACATTTTGAATACTACTCCGGAGAACACATCATTTGTCAGGGATATTCTGTGACAAAAAAGAAAAGAAATATAGATCAACGCCCCCAACATCCAACATTGTAAATGCACACCTAATGCGTCTCGGGATCGCAAGGGGTCAGCTGCAAGTCACCGCAATTGCTATCGGGACTATTTCCACTGTCGTAGCGGTGGCATTGCTGCACCTCGTACATATATGCCAATCACAATCCTAGCGCCCGCCAATCTATGATTACAGATGCAAAAATTAGGCAGAAATTAGACCAAATGATCGCTTTTCCGACGCATCCTGCTATCGGCATCATATTGGAACTGGGATTTCAGTTTGACGAGGGTACACATACGTACATGAATAAAGGGGAGTCCACGTGGAGTCACTAGATGCGCGAGGTTATTTCCACATGGCTACTACCTATTGTACGGAGTATGGAACTTTGAATAAGAGAGAACAATAATCAATGTTAAAATAAAGACTGAAATAGTATATCTACACTAAACTCCACAATTCCCAGAAGACAGATGCAGGCGACCATGGACTTTTTACGATTGCTGACATTCCACTCATAGCACATCGACTTTAATCATCGTGCTTCCGATTAAACTTCCCCTTAGGCTGGCTGCCATATGTACGACGGCCTTGTTGCTCCTGCTTCTTATCCCGAGACATACTGGCTCCAAGCTGAATATCAATGCGGGGAGGCGCATTGAACCCGAATCCCTTAGCCACTTTAACCAGATCAAGCTTGTGCACATCGAACACGGACCGGAGAGAATGAGAAGCATAAGCCTGAAGATAAGATCGGTATCCTTCCTTGGCAGACTATATGATACAGCATTAGATTAGTTGCATGTTTCGGAGAATATATTACTGGTGCGGGGGGTCGTTCAACTAACCTTGTTGAGGTAGTAGTTCTGGCCAATGAGCTTCTCCAATTGAGACTGGACATTGACAATCTTGGATTGAGGGAACTCAAACTCCACTACAGGAACACGGGCTTCCTTCAGATGCTTGAGGAATCCAACTTCCGAGGGCTGCAAGAACATCAGACTGCGACCCTTGCCATTGGCACCACGGGCAGTTCGTCCGACACGGTGAATGTAGTCGCGAGGGTCATCTGGGGGATCGAATTGAATAATCCAGTCGACGGCAGGAATCTAAATTGATGTCAGCGCTTCGGCTCAGATAAATAAGCCATGTAGAAAGGGGATACAAACATCAAGACCACGAGCAGCAACATCAGTACAGATCAGAGTACCTTGGGTAGCATTGCAGAACTCGAAGAAGGTGTTGGTTCGTTTTTGCTGCTTTTGCTTTCCGTGCAGCTCCAGAACAGGAAGATCAATGTAGTTCAAAAGCTCGGCATGGTACTTCACACAATTACAACTGGAGAAGAAAACAATAATCTTCTTCTTCAGGTTCCGCTTCAGGAATGAGAACAGCAGCAAGAATCGCTTGTCAGCTTCACAAATCACGTATCCCTGCTCCAGACCCTCCACAGTACTGTGTTCCTTGCGGTGATCCACGTTGATATATAGCGGACCGGGGCGAAGCGATATACGAGCCAAATCCTCGACCTTGGTGGTTTGTGTGGCGGAGAACAGCATAGTCTGACGCTCCTCAGCGGGCAAAATCTTAATGATCTGGCGCATCTCATCCTCGAAACCAACTTCAAGAATTCGATCAGCCTCGTCAATGACCAAGGTCTTCAAGTTCTTGAAAACGAAACCTTGGGTGTTCTGAAGGTGATCGAGAAGACGACCGGGAGTGGCAATAATCAGGTTAACACCCTTAGCCAGCTTCTCAGCCTCGGCGCGACGGTTGGCACCCCCAATGACGATACCGTAGGTCTGAGAGTGGTGGGTCATAAGCTCACGGGCCACACCGAAGATCTGAAGAGCCAGCTCACGAGTGGGAGAGATGATCAAGGCACCGGTACCGTTTCGGGGCTTGAAGCGGAGCGCAGCAAGCATCTCAATGGCCGGAATCAAGAACGACAAAGTCTTACCACTTCCAGTCTTAGCCGCACCCAGGACATCACGACCAGCAAGCAGGGGAGGAATTGTACGTTGCTGAATCTCAGTCATAGTCTCGAAGCCCATATCCTTGATACCATTCATAGTCCTTTCAGAGAGGTTCAACTCAGTGAATTTCTGCAGCTCACCCTCACCGGGCAGGCGAATGTCATTGCTGGCAGGAAGATCTGCAGCAGCATTGTCCTCGACATTCTCAACATCATCCTTCTCATCATCGATCTCCACGGCCTCGTCGGCGCTTTCTTCATCGTCGCTAGGCGAGGGGCTGACTTTGCGCTTCTTGGTCGGCTTATCGGTTTTCGACTTGGGCGAAGCAGTGGTCTTCTTGCTGCTCACTGAGGGACTGGCCTCGACAGGCTTGGAAACATCTTCGTCGGCAGCAGCCTTAACGCCGTGCTTTCTCTTGCGCTTCTTGGCGATGGACTTTGCTGTGTCCACGGAGCCGGGCATAGTGTCGGTTTGAGTGAATTACAAGATAATGTAATTGACTCGCGCACCTCAGATTAGAAAATTGTCAAATCAACAGGAATTTAATCTGTTGATGGGGTGTTTTGATCTCCGAGGATGCGGACCTAATCGTAGCGGAAAATCATTCTGCTACTTTTTTTTTCTGATCGGTCAGGGTCGGCAGAACCTCCACATCTAGATCACGTGCTGATAGATAGATAAAGTTGGATGCCTCGATTATGAGGCCACAATATAGTCTAAGTTAAGTCAACTAATTAAGTTAACTAAGTTAGTTAACTAACTAACTAACGTATTCGGTAAGCGAGTGACGCATGTAAGCGAGTGACGCACCCCGCCCAAAACGCGTCTATGAATTAGCACTTAATTAATTCGACCACCCATTATGCCACCAATTCGCCTCCAAACCTCGAGAAACTCAATCGAGCAAGAGGGTAGGATCTTATTAGCTATTCAGGCTATAAAGAACCAAGAAATCAGCGCTGTTCGTGAAGCAGCACGTCGTTTTAATGTGTCGGAGCCGACACTTCGCCGCCGCCTCCGCGGTGTTCAAAACTGTGCGAATTCACGCGCCAACTCACATAAATTGACAGAAATCGAAGAGGAAACGCTTCGAAAATGGATCCTATCGCTTGATGATCGTGGAGTAGCGCCCCGGCCGACTACCGTACGAGAAACTGTGAATATTCTTCTTAAGGCTCGCGGAACAACCCCTATTCAAACAGTCGGGGAAAAATGGGTTTATAACTTCGTGAAAAGGCATCCTGAACTATCAAACCGGTTCTCGAGGTGCTATAATTACGAATATGCGAAGTGCGAAGACCCAAAAATTATTGGTGAATGGTTTAATCTTGTTCAAAAAACTATATTTCAATACGGTATCGATCCCGACGACGTTTATAACTTTGACGAGACTGGTTTCGCGATGGGATTAACAGCGATTGCGAAAGTCGTTATAAGGGCTGAATACTATGGTCGGCGATCGCTTTTATAACCCGGAAATCGTGAGTGGGTGACTATAATTGAATGTATAAATGCTTTAGGTTGGGTCTTACCTCTGTGTGTGATTTTTAAAGGTAAGGTTTTTATCGAATCTTGGTTCGATAACCTCCCGGATAATTGGCGATTCGAAGTAAGCCTAAATGGCTGGACTTCTGATGAAATCGGTCTTTGTTGGCTTGAAAAGCTCTTTATTCTGTCGACTTCTTTGCGGTTAAAGGGTCGGTATCGACTTTTGATACTCGACGGCTACGGAAGTTATTTAACCCTGAGGTTTGACGAAATCTGTGAAAAAAACGATATTATACTAATTTGTATGCCTGTATATTCGTCATATCTTTTATAGCCTCTCGATATCGGTTGTTTTGTAGTGTTAAAGTGCTTGTATGGTCAGCTTATTGAAATAAAGATGCGTCTCGGGATTAACTATATCGATAAACTTGATTTCCTTGAGGTATATCCGTACGCCTGAATTGAGGCTTTTAAACCTGATACTATTAAAAATAGCTTCGGGGTAGCCGGTTTAATACCTTTTTTACCCGATTGAGTACTCTCAAAGCTTAATATTTGCCTTCGAACCCCGATACTCTCGGTGAGCTAGGGTAGCGAATTAAGCCGAAATTTTATATCAAAAACTCCCTATATAGAGAAAGAACTACGTCGATAGGCTTCATCGATTAAAGCTTTACTTCGTATATAGTCTTATAGTCTGCCTAGCCCGTCAGATCGTGTATTAAACCAGCTTGTGAAAGGCTTCTAACTCTAGATATAAAGTCATATTCTACAAGCGTAAGAAATCAAGGAATTACGCGCCGCCAATGAGAAGTAGAAGCAAAAGTGGACTCGGTCGACTAGGCAGATAGCTTACGAAGGCGATATCTCAGTTCAAGAAGTTCGTGAGCTACGTGCGGAGCCATTTGAGGCCCAAGTAGCCTGTATCAATACCTATCGTGAGCAGGTTTCAGAGGGTTTACAGCCACCTACACGGGGCCAGCGAGGATATGGAATATGTAGGAAGCCAGGACATAGAAGAGAAACATGCCCAGATAGAGAAGCTAGCTAGTTAAATTAATTTAATGGCGTTTTGGTTAAGAAAAATGCATTTAAAATAGATAATGTATGGTAGGTGCGTCACTCGCTTACATGCGTCACTCGCTTACCGAATACGTTAACTAACTAGTTAGTTATAAGGCATCAACATACAACTAAATGTTGTTATTCACATGAAGGGCCTACTTTCCATTGGCTCGCAAATTTGATAATTTTCTGAATGTATGAGAGACCTTAAAACTTGAATTAATCATCACGACCTGGTCAATAAGTCAAGATCTGCATATTAGTTCTGATGAAGGTCAAGTACAAGAAGAGTGGCGTTGCAGCAGCATGCAAGATCGTATACCAGCAGTTATAACTTCAATTACTTCCTCAACATGTCAGCTTCTGTTTGCAGGCCTCTAAACGTATATCTAGCTAGCGAAAGTGTCGCAAATTTCAGAAATCCGGTACTCGGAACTAGTTGCGTGGCTTTCATTGCCAAGGGCTGGGCTTGTACATACTATAGACTGGGCGACCTTGGCAGCGCAAGGATATCTCAGTCTGGGTTTCTACAGTACGGGGTACCCAAGAAGCAAGATGGAGCTCTGGCGAGAATTATAATTGTTCATAAAGTCCTCCTAGCTCCCAATAGGCCTTGATAGGCAACTAAATTAATAGCTAGGCGCTTCAACTAGTGGGGTGACCTAACACAGGTAGCGCCCTCCCTAAAACTACTTTTGGATGGTTAGTGGAGAATTGAAGGAGAGCGGCTATTGGCACTGTCGAGCTGATTCGGCTCTACCAGTAAAATTATCGAGCATGAAGCAGATAATTTTGACAGGAGACTATAGACGAATCAAATAGTAGCACCGGGCGGGTAGAGTGACAATCTTAGAGCCCAGACCCAAAAATAGCGTGGCGCCGCGGCCGAACTTTCTACCCAAATCAACGAGGGGGACGCTTGTTCCCACGGTCGCACATTCTTGTGTCTGTAACAAATGCAGGGAAATAATCAACGACGTCATGAGCATATAAAACTCCGTGATGATTAGGGGCTAATCCATGACTATGATAGCGATTTACTGTAGGATGGCGGACAACGTGCATGTAGACGAATTAAAGATGGAAACCACTCTGTGCGTTGGTTGAAGCTCGGGCACTAGCGCAAACCTGCCAGTTCATGATGCAGAAAGTTCAAAACATCTGAAACATCACTTGATGACAGGCCGGACGATGTGGAACTTCATTATGGGCAACAGAAGGGAAGCCCACTTCCAAGTGACCAGGCTGAGGCTGTGCAAAATAAAATACAATGGAGTTATTTGGTTTTAGAACCCCTCATCTGTTGAACAGTGCTCGAATCAGAAGAAATCAGATAATTTTAAATGATCTCGAATTTTTGTCGTTGTAGCCTTGTTTCAGGCTGATCGCATGGGAAGCAGATGACCCCGGAAATGATCTGGTGTATCAAGTGCTGTTTATATCCAGCTCACAAAATCTATTTACTGTGGTAACTCAGTGCATGAGACACATTGTTCGGATATATTTAGCTTAGCTTTATCTTAGTTTTATAGACAACAGTCATGGAGGGAAAGAAAAGGGTGTGGGCTTGGATTCCTCTTCTGATGGATCCGCTTTGTTTACATCCCCCGGCCCCGGGGCCCCTTGCACTGAGTCAGGGGTCTCACAGCCTTCAAATCTTGGAGGGGGAACCTTGAAGGGCTAGGAAGATACAAGTCGGCTACGGAACACGGATTATATACGTATACGTAGTCGCCAATGCATGCCCAGCCTAGAGGTACACTAGTAAACTAGGTACATGAGTAGCCACTATATGGGCGGTTAGAACTCCCGAGATGCTTCTCATCCGAAAAAGACCTTGAAATGTGCGCGATATAGCTGCATAACCGGCCCACTTCCTATATTTGATACCTAATAGTTGTCCCGCTGTAGCGCTGCCCCCCTTCTCCGCTCCACAACGGACAATGGAGGGCAACAGTTCCTTTGGTGCATAGAATGAAGTAATCTGTCTCGACAGTATTTAGGGTATCGGACATGCCAAACGCCCCACTCTGTTCCGCCACGATCCATCAACCGCTTTCGGCCAAGAGTACCAAGAGAAAGATGGCCTGGAAAATACTCTGCAAGCTCGTATATGTGATATGAGGTGTGTGGGAGGTGAAAAAAGGGGGGTTATGAATGATTGAATAAGTTGAAATAGAGATAGGAAGAGGAGGTATCAGGATTGGGGCCCTAAGAAGTTTAAGTTGTAGATGTTGAAGTACAAAAGGATCAAAATGATCGACCCAGTTCAGGTCTAGTTCCCGTCAGTGAAGGGGATTGGAGTACTGGCCACAATAACACGCTTCATACATAAATTACAGTAAAATACCCCCTTTCCCCATCTACCATTGGCCCGTCACCAGGCGCCCCGAACCCCTGTGACCATACAGAGCCACATTCCTCCATTCCAGGTGACCCGCATTGTGTCTGGGTAAAAAGGCAACTCGCCCTCTCTTCCTCCCTTAGAGGAATTCCCTTCCAGTTTTCGCAGAACTGCTGTGATCTCTCTTTTCCCTTCTTCCAACTTTCTACTACACCTTTTGGCCATACTGTGTATCGCCAGTTTCACTCGCTCTTCAACTCCCCGGTTTTTCCTTTCTCCACACCTCCCGATTATCTACTTCGACCACTCCACCTTGCCTCCGCATTGCGCATTCAACCTCACGACTCGCCTCGAAACTACTCTTGCCGACAAAGAACTGCTTGTAACTGAGCTGCGCCATATCATTTCAGATTGGGAATATACTCCGCCAACCCTCGTTCAAGAATCGTTATCTTCTTCATTAATCGCGTTACCTGCTGTGTTGACTGTTGAGATGTTCAGCAACAGCCAATGACGCGATAAAAAAAACGCCGGAAATACGCGGTATCGAGTCATTTTTAAGACAAAGGATTGTGTGGTCACATTTGCGACATTCAATATCACATCAGTCCCACCATAAGCTAATCGCCGAGCTCCCTGGGAAACTTTCCGCATCCGGCGGCTGACAACGTGGTACTCTGGAGTACCTCCCTGACAGCTGCTGGTGATAATGACTTTTTATTCTAATTTTCGTTCTTCATTCCGATCCTTACTGGACTCACTCTCTTTCGTTTCCTTATTCTATTTTGAAAGCCTCGCTAGGATGAGGTTGATCGCATTTCTCACCTGTCTGGTGGCCTTCGTGGCGCCAGCCTTCGCAGTGAAATTCCTCGAATCTAATTCATTAAACCTTTGCATGGAGAGCAGCAACTTCACAGCTACTTACTTCCATGTCAAATTCTATCCCAACAATAACTCGCTCGAAATCGGTTTCGATGGCGTGTCATACATATCCGGCAAGGTTGTCGCAGACCTGAGCTTGACAGCCTATGGTTACAAGGCCTATTCGAACACTCTCAACCCCTGTGATATTGAAGGCATGGGAATGTGCCCAATGGCTCCCGGTCCCATCGACTTGGATTCCGTTTCCCTGACTCTTCCGGGTGATACTGCGTCGAACATCCCCGGTATCGCCTATACTGTCCCAGATCTCGATGCAACCGTACGAATCCTGATCAGGAGAAATGATACGGGAGAAGCGATTTCTTGTGTGGAGGCGTCACTATCTAACGGCAAAACTGTCTATCAAAGTGGAGTTGCGTGGACGACCGCAATCATTTCAGGATTAGGTCTTGCGGCATCTGCTATCACGTCAGGGCTGGGCCACTCGAACACCGCTGCGCACGTTGCTGCGAACGCCCTTTCTCTATTCGGTTTCATGCAATCTCAGGCCATGATCGGTATGACCTCAGTTCACATGCCACCTATTGTCGAGTCTTGGACTCAAGATTTCCAGTGGAGCATGGGTATCATCCACGTCAGCTTTCTGCAAAAGATCTGCACCTGGTACCAGCGCTCTACCGGGGGTACTCCTTCGACTGTTCTTTCTTCACTCAGTAAAACATCCGTGGAGGTTCTCAAGAAGCGAGCCGTGGACCCTATGGTCAATCTTATGCGGAGGTCTAATATTATGAGGAGAGGGATGAACATGCTCGCGAAGCGAGACGCCAGTCAGAAAGTTAGCGTTGTACGCGGTATCGATCGTGTTGGGTTCCGTGCTAAGATTGAAGAGACTAATATTTTCCTGACTGGTCTCATTTTCTTCGTCGTCTTTGTCTGTCTTGTGGTTATAATTATCGCATCTTTCAAGGCTATCTGCGAGTTACTTATCAAGCACGGCAAGATGAAGAGTGATAAGTTCCAGGACTTCCGCAACGGCTGGAAGGTTGTCACTCGAGGCATTCTGTTCCGACTAACATTGATCGGTTTCCCTCAAATGTGTATCCTCTGTCTATGGGAGTTTACCAAGCGTGACTCCCCAGCCGAGGTGGTCCTGGCTGTGGTCATGCTCCTATCTATGTTCCTTGCTTTAGGATGGGCAGCACAGAAGGTCATTCGCCTGGCCAAGCGCTCGGTCACGATGCACAAGAACCCGGCATACATCCTATATTCTGATCCCTCGAGCCTCAACAAATGGGGTTTCCTGTATGTGCAATACCGAGCAACGGCCTACTATTTCGTCGTTCCCTACCTCGTCTACGTTCTCATCAAGAGTATGTTCATCGGATTGAGCCAGCCTGCTCCCGTCGTCCAAACTGTGGCTCTGGTTGTTCTTGAGGCTGGTATGTTGGTCGCAGTTTGTGTTCTTCGACCATGGATGGACAAGAAGACCAACGTTTTCAACATTTCAATCGCGGTAGTGAACTTCATAAATGCGATCTTCTTGTTGGTATTCTCCAACGTTTTCAACCCCCCAGGCTTGATGGTCGGTGTCATGGGTGTCGTTTTCTTTGTATACAATGCTGCTTTCGCCTTGGTTCTCCTCGTTCTTGTTTTGATCGCCTCCGTCTACGCCGTTATGTCCAAGAATCCCGACACCCGATACCAGCCAATGCGCGACGACAGAGGATCATTCATCAAGTCTCAGACCCAGCTGAATACCGAGCTCGATGCCTTGGGTGCCACTGCAAGAGGCGAAATGAAAGCCCAATCATACCAGCAAGACCCATTTGAAGATGATTCGACCTCTATTTCTAGTGGTCAACGCCCGGGCAGCAATGGAAACCAGCGCCTAAATGCAGACAGTATCTCTCGACAGCAACATTCACGATCCCCCATCGACCCATCAGTACCACTAATCCCTAGCAACCCGTCCAGTACACGGGTTCCTCCCCCAGGTTACGACCATCTTGGCCGTCCATCACCATCAGTTCAAAACTACGACAACATGCCTGTTGGGCAATCAGCAATGGCTCCAAGCAATCAAGCCCATAACACATCTAGTCCATGGAAACGTGGAGCAGGTTATGAACAGTGATGGATTTATCGTCTGATGTCTCAAAAACTTTCGGGACGAATTGTTTTTTTTTTCCAATTAGCGTGGAGGCAATGGTGGTCATGGTTCCTTTCCGTCCTATCTCCTTTGGGTTCGGTATTTTTGTGGGGTTTTGTTATATCTTCTGGCAACTTGCCACTCATACAAGCTATGTGGTGTCATACTTTTTACTTTCCTCAACTATGTTCTTATCTTACTATTCTTCATTCTCTTCTTGTCGATCTCTCAACTTCTCCTTGACTCTACCTTGAATCCTTCATTCCCCCTCTCCCTCCAGAAAGGAGGTTTCATCACGATCGACGTGTATTTCTCTTTACTTTGGCTATTCTCCGGTTTTCAATTTACGGCGTTCTGATGCATCGGGTACGGAGATAAGGCTGGGGCTTCTGTTGGGTTTTGGAATATAATCTTCTTTTCTTGCTTCAAGTTTCAAGTTTCAATATCACGTAATGCAACGATTCTAGAGCCTCAGTGGTATAACACCCTTACTATAAAGTGTACTCCAAGTACCACACGACCAAGCGAACATTCTAGTATTCTTTGATGTCTAAGCGGCATCTACACATATAAAAAGCGTCATTGAAAACATGATATTGAGTATGAGAGATCCAACAGAAACCCCAAACCAAACGCTATTATACAACTCCGGGAAAGAGACACCCATACAGGGAGAATTTTGTTTTCCAGCGAAAATGAAAAATGACAACAGAAAAGCGTCTAACCCTTTCAAGACGCATGATCCATGACTGATATGAATAGGAAAGCAGAACCATTGCGAAAAACGAAAACGAAAACACCTCAAAGGAACCCACTAAGGCGTAAAGTAAAGTAAAGTAAAGCGAAGAAACGTGGAACCGATTTACCATTTTTGATCCATGCCAGGAGGGGGTCCACCGCCAGGAGGCGGGGGGTAACCTTCTGAGCCACGAGGTCCAGATGGAATAGGCGAATGCGTCGCGCCATGCATAGGCATAGGAGGAAGCGAACCGGGCGGAGGGATAGGGAAATTAGCAGGGAAACCAGCGGGAGGAGGGAAATTTGCGCCAGGAGGAAGGTTGAAGTTTGGCGGCGGGAAGCCTCCTGTTGGTGGGGTGCCGGAGGCGTTGGGGGAAGGGAGGTGGGAAAGGCATGCCTCGGCCACCGGGGGCTGTCCATGGGGAAGGCACTTGATTAGCTGCTGATGCGTTGAAAGGGTATTCTTGGGGAATTCCCGGAGGAGGGAACATACGAGGCGGGGCACCGGGGGCACCTGGTGGGGGGATTCCGAATGGAGGTGCTTGACCTGGTCCGCCTTGTAGATGTTAGTTCATGCTTTGATGCGTTTTAAGTTGGGATTGGCTTGTGTCGTACCTGGGAATGCGAATGGGGGTGGGAAGGCTCCGGGGGGAACCATTGCGGGATTGGGGAGGGGTTGACCCTCTGCGGCGTAGGAGGAGGTGATGGAGTCAATGACGGATTGGGCCTTTTCTTGACCGATCTCTGGAGGGGTGTTGGTTATTGCTTTCTCGTTAGGATATTGTAAATTGGCGTACGTTGATAGTAGTCCACCACGTTCCTCAAGTGGTTACGACCTGAGTTATGCGCCTTACGCACGCTCATTGAGTCGTGCGTGAGGTAGACATCGCAGTAGTCACCTGTTAGGTGATTGGAAGGTTAGCTTTCTCGCACGGTACTTCGGGCCTCATTGCGACGGTTTGAAGGTCGTGAAATATAAAAAGCTCGGATCGCGGTCTCCAATCGGGAGGACAAAGGCAGACGGTTGATTGCGGGGTTCTCGAGAACTGTCACCTACAAAAGAGTGCATGGGAGGTCAGTAATGATTTCAAAACGAGACAGGGCTGGAAAGGACTTATATTTCGGCATATTGGCAGCTTTCTTTGCGCGTATCTGACTGCTGTTTCACGCGAGGAAAAATTCCCGTTCAGAGGTGTGAGAATGCGGGGGGCGGAGGATCCGAGAATCAGCCGATGATTGAGATTTCAAGGTGATAAGAACGCAGACACTACCCCTCAATAGGTCGCTGGCAGTATAATCAAGTGAGCTGAAGATGTCAAGGTCGAGGTCGTCTCGATGCGGATGGAGAGGAGGAGGGCGGTGAGTGTGGCAAAATCATGTAGGGTCCTTATCGCTCTTGGCATATCAACTGATGATCTTCATCCTTTCATCTCTTTTATCTCTTTTGCAATTTGAAACCATCTATGGAGTCAATGATGGTTGAGCTAGATTTCCAAAGTCCAAAAGAGTACTACTAGTACTCTTAGGTCTACATATATTTGCCATGCGGTGTCTGTCGTCTCTACAATTTGTACGTCCGATTTATCGGGGTGACTAGTAGAGATCAATATAAAGGTTCCAAGGTTCGAATGATGGAATTATAGATCGAAATATTGCCCCCGCCTCGACCATAGTATCTGCTTGTCTACTAGCTTGAATGCTTCATGGTACAGTGCGATCTATGCATGTAGATCTAACAAAACTGCGAGTTCTACATTTGACATGCTTCATACTACTTCAATAGTAGGAGCCAGCTCGAACCATCAAATAGAGTATGTTCAAGACGACTTGTAAGATAGCGATCTTCAATGCCCCAGTCAACATCAGGGATGGAAAGCCCAAGACGCCGCTCCAGGAAGAATCACTAGCAATGATAGAAGGTGCTCTCGAACAGGATCGCATCTCTGGCAATGCGGGTGATTAGTACATAGAATTCATCAAAGTTCAAGGATCATTATGAGAACTTTGCAGAATTTATGGACTTCAGGCACGAGGATGGCGGAATGGAGTCAGGGGCACATCCTCGTTGACTTATAATAGTCTGCATGCTAATGCATAACTAAAGAATGGGCTGGACATTCGCGAAGCTCGCAATCGGATCACGCGTCGACTACGAAGACCCTGAGCTCAAACGTTTCCTTCACTTGCTCGGAGACCATATTTTAAGATTGAATGATATTGCCTTATTTGACAAGGAGCTTAAGCGTTACAAAAACGGCCAATCTGATAATTCTGTCAAGACTCAAGGCCTGATGGTTTTGAAAGATCTTCTGGCATTGCCTACTATTGACGCAGCGAAATCCGTCTTATATGTGTATCGATTGGAGTACGAAAAGCTCATTGACCTAGAGCTCGAAAGCCCCCAGTCAATAGGCTTAACAAAAGATGAGTGGTATCTTCTTGATACTTACATCACTTCTGCCAAAGGCAATACCATGGCGAAGGCTACTATGGCCCGGTATGGAGAACCCTCGCGATTGCCAGATCAAAGTGTTGCTGTTTTCAACTCAAGATATTTTCAACCCGATAAGCAAAGTACTTTCCTGGGCTACGCTATTATGTTGGGAACTGCTATCACAGCAACTGGAGCTCATATGACTTTCTTGTAAATAGGTGAGGCCTACATGTCTCCACGTCGCAGACCCCCCTCCGCATTGCTGCCCATCTTATATCACCTTGTTTCACCCTCTCTTCCAAATAAACCAATTGAGCTTCGTATTCTTGTTCCACTTCTTGCCTCCGTCCGTAGGCTATGACAGGCTCTTTTTCTGGGCGCTCAGAAAGACTTGTTGGATCCGTATGTACATTGGACAAGAAAGATTCATTATGGTGACCGTGGGCCAACTGCTTATAACCCATCCTCATCATTTTGTTTAAGTCTTGCTGATACTACGACCAGGTTCATGGTAATTACTATAGCTGGACTGGTGATGTTCCACTTCCACAAAGGGGTTTCTTTAGATGTTTTTTGGCGAGAGCAGATTCGAGTTGAAACGGGGTTGAGAGGTGCTGTAGGATAAAGAAAGCGATGGAAGCAAGCTTTGAGAAAGCTTGCTGTCAATTTTGAACATGGGGGTCTAGTCATTTGATTCATTTTGACAGTTATTCATCACACCGAATTTTCATGTCCTGTAGGTCAACACTGCAAGATCGATATCCAACTGAGCTGGATAGCCCGCATGTGATCAACCGACGGAATCATCATGTTTCTTGCTGAGAAAGGTCCTGTCTCAGTAATATTAGGGAGTTTGAGCGGGATTTAAAAGGCCAGGGTAGTAAGAAACAAGCTTTCAAAGTTCCTATGCATCACACTCGAAGGTCCTCATATGCAGCTTTGTAGGTATGTTGCTCATCACATATGAATCTGTGCATGAGAGCCTTGGAAATCAAGGCAGGTACTAATAGACGTCTCTCGAAGAGCTGGAAGGGTTTGCTAATGTGTTCTTTCTTTTGATGAATCTTCTCTGTAAGGCCGAGTTGGGAATTCGGCAGGAGTGAACTTCCCCAAATGAACATTTGAATATTAACTAGGTACGGAATAATCTAGATCTATATGTAGATCTATTACCAGATTTATTTTTAACCGGGATTTCAATTATTCACTCCCACTGATGCCGACGAATTGAAAATGCAAAGAGCTTAGGCACAACCCAACAGTTTCACATTGAGCAATACATCCATCTCTGTACAGTACTCATATTTACGCTACAGAGCACATCCAACGAAGCTCGGACGCATCACGAATCACGATCGTCAATAAATTGCGCAATCTCGATCAGATCACCAGCAAGGTCTCGGCAGTTGCATTGTGCATTGCGCATTGCGATTGATCTAACGCAAGCAACCCCAACAAAAACGTAACATTATCACGATCCCAGGATACATGGCATTTTGCGTCATCGTGGCATCCTGCTGGCTATGCATAATGTGTCCCGGAAAGTAAGAGTCGGTAACCGGACCGGGTGGTCGAGACCTTTGCTAGGGGGTAATCATGTGTCATGCTGGGACGCTATTATCTAATAGAGAGGGCAAATGCCTGTGCGACGCCGAAAAGGTTCGGAAAAGATACTTGTTTGTATTTCCTTTTGTGTTTAATCGCGCATTGAAAATAAGTATCTGCAATAATTTAATATGGATACACAAGAGGGGGTCAGCTATGGGAAAGTGTATGCGATGCATAATATCTCAATGCTATAGATAATTTCACTTGATGAACAATGCCAGGAATTCTACATACTAGGGAGAATGAGGTAAAAAGCAGGTCATGTGTCCCGCTCAAATCAATCTAGCAATGTGTCTTTAACAGAAATAGAAGTCCGGTCGAACCTCCTGATCAGGACCGGGAGAAGTATCCCCGTATTGAAATTATAGCAACCATGGATATACGCTAGACACGTCCACAAGGTGACTTGGTGAGCAATGACCATCGGGTTAAGGGGCGGAAACCAACAAACCACAGTGCTCGGCAGCCCGCGTTTGGACATTAAGGCACCAGCGCGTGGTTCCCGAGGTAGAGGCAGAGTGGCCATACTGCAAGATGAGTAACTAATTAGAGTAGTGCCCGCAGCGTTGGGGTAATGCCCCTCGCGCATCAACACCACTATCGCAAGAATCTGGCAGGAATGACGAGAGCACGGGATCTACGCAGCGCAAGAACAGGCACACGGTCCTCCTGACCTGCAGAAGGGAGAAAAGGAACAGCAAGCAGAGCGCAGTAGAGCCCGCTGAGCCTGCAGAGCCCAGCAAAAGAATTCAAGGTCGGAGTCCGGGGAATGGGAAAATCTGGGGAAAAAGCGGCCAAGACGCACAGACCGGTTCTGGTCTCTGATTTGCCACGGACACCGGGCTCGGATCCCTGGGCCAGTGAGGACCACATGAGCGGGAAAAAAATTTCTGCTGGAGAGAAGAATCCACTTGGTGTCGTCATTTTTCACTTTTTTTTCTTTTTCTCGAATTTTTTTTCTTTTTTTTTGCGGTTTTATATCCTTGTTCTGGCGGGGGTCATCTTGCCTATTCCGGATGGTCTCTCGTGGATTCTACGCATTGGAACCGAGAATTCTATGTTCATGGCAATGAAACAATGAAACGCCCGGTACATCCATACTATACATAGTAAGGGGCCGAAGAAAGGGGAAACATGGTGGTGGCGGTAGTTCTGACCGATCTGTTTCTAGGCAGTTCTTGGTAACAGGCTGTAGGTTCATAGTGCGTCTTAGCCAAGTGGACTTGTTTCGTGAGTTGTTAAATGAGGATCTCAGGTACGAGTACCATGGAGACTAGTTCATGCCCTAGACCAGATCGACCGTGCTAGGGGGAGTATTTATCCCGCAGTATGGAGTCATTGTACAGGATCGGCGGGCCCCCTGGAAATCGGTCTATACACACGATGTATGAGGTGTACAGAGCACTTTGAACGTGTATATTTCATTTTAAAAAAATGTTCTTTGTGTGTGGATTCTAAAATTGAAAAAAAGAAAAAAAGAATCTTTGAGTAGAATTAGTACGGTGAAGACTGAAACTGAAACTAAAGCATTGACGTGCTCTGAGGTTCTTGTTACGCCAATATACTACAGGATGTAGTCCATTTGCAAATCCCTCATTGCTTGTGCTGTAGCACGACAGCATACAGTAGAATGATCGAGGTTCATACCCTTCCCGCGTACTCCGTATCTACTAGTATCCTATAATAGCAGTGATTCGGGGCAAGCATGATGCAATGATAGCCGGTCTATCCTCAACCAGTGAGCCCGGTCACACGGGGCAATGGCGACATGTTCAACCAGAGACCCAAGCCAGGCCACGAGGGTTGTTCCAAGCGGTGTACGGTGAGTGAATTGTAAAATTACGGTGTTCCAGCTGTGTCAGGTGTGGGGAGTTGAGGGTTTTTTCTCCTTGGTCGTTATTTCTTGCTAGGCAGTTTTCATTACCCCCAGAAAACGCGGCCATCCCTGTTTTTAGACGCCGACGATGCTGATTGGCGCCAGCAGTAGTTTCTGTTACGTGTGAAGGCCGATTATTGGTAATTATTGGTGCCGAGGACCCAGTCAGATGATCTTGGCTGAGTATGGGGGGCATAATTAAAGCAGCGAGGGCAAATGTGTCAACTGGTCGTAGTCATGTGGAGAAAGAAATCAATTTTCACTCCAGTAAGGCTAACTGATTCTCCCACAGGGCTGTTGCTACAGCACCAACGTGCTGAGTCTTATCCACTTTTGGGCCAAAAATGGTAATTCAGTCTTGCCGCTCTGTGGGGGCGATGACGCTACTTCAGCCAAAAAAATCTGCAAAAATGGAGTAAAAAAGAGAAAAAAAAAGGAAAAAAAGTGGAAAAAATCTTAAAAAAGAAAATTGAAAAAAGAAATTCGCAGAAAATACTCCACAACTCACCAGCGCCCCACCCATACACACCGTGTGACCCGTGGATGTCGTGCCTGGCCAAATGAGCAAATGACTCCATTCCCCCAACTTGTCACGATACTATAAGAGCCCGTCCCCGCCGTAACCATGAGGGTCCATCCAGACTTGCAAATTTTTCTTCAGTTTGCTTTTGCTTTCACATTGACACATGGCCTTGTCCTTTTTATAGCTCTTGCAGCTTACGAATTTAACACAACACATCTACATTCACCATGGCCTCTAATTACCGCGTTATTGAACCGCACCCTTCGGTGCCTCACTGCACTCGCCCGGCTGTCTATACTGGACGCGGTGGCTCAGGCAACATTGTCAGCCTCAAGAACACCAAGACTACCGAGTCGCGCACCGCAACCGGTCCTGCTTCGCTGACCCGCCTGGACTCTCGCGCTCCATCAACCTTCACCACCGGTCGTGGTGGTGCCGGCAATGTCCACAGCAGCTCTGAGCGCGCCATCTTCAGCTTCGACGAAGAACTCGAACGTGACACCCGCCGCGCTGCACCAGTTTACCACGTTGGTCGTGGTGGTGCCGGTAACATGATCTACCGCGACGACGCGAGCAGCAATTTCAGCCTCACTCGCAAGTACTCCGCCGCCAGCACTGCCACCAACAGCTCCTCCGGTTCTGTGGCCGATCGCGCTCGCGATATGGCCCGTCGTGGTCTGGAGAAGGGCTGGGGCAAGCTCAAGGGTACCGCATAGATGACTTGATCATCTATAACACCTCAATTCATGATATCACGACCAACATCACGACAATCACCCAAAAGTTTTCTTATTTTCGCCTCTTCTCTCCTATCTGTTTTTAATCTTGGGAACTTGAAACTGGACCAAAAGACAGACTATCACGAGTATTGCGATGCATCTTCCGCTCTCGTTGATTCCTATTCTTACATCCATTGCGTCGCCAATACACACTACCGCGCGCAAAGTATCCCACTTCAGCAACTTCTTTCAGAGAACTCCTCACTCCAACACACGCATGGGAAACGGCGTTTCTTTGTTCTTGGCTACCTATGGTCCCCATCTTGCATTGCGCCGGGTCTTTAAGATCGGTCTACTCCTTTCAACTTTTTTCCTTTACCCATGGCATCGGGCGTCAAAGGGACTTTGATTTTCAACTTAATCAAGTCATCCCGTCGCATCCATCGGAGTCTTTACCGTCTTCTTTGTTCACTTTGTCTACTTTGTTTCGTGTTTCTTTATTTCCTTCAGATCACCAGATTCCCCCTTTCGCGACCCGACTACTACTTTCTAGTCTGGGCCTTACAATGAAATTGCAAGCCAATGCTCATGCTGGCTGTATTCAATGATCCAATTTTCATTCTCTCTTGCGTAATTCGTAATTTTGTAAATTTTCATTGTAGATGATTCATTCGTAGCTGAGTAGATCTTTTCGGTGGAGTTGCCGATTGCGACATGGTGGCGTGGGTCACAGCCGGTGTGGTAATGTGGTACCCGGCCTTATGCGATGTGAGCCGCTTGGGGGCCAGCTTGAAAATTTTTGCAAAATTTTGCACTGGCCTGCTCTACAGTAAGCTTGCAATTGGCAATTTCTGGAATATTTGAGTGGTCATTGTTAGATCATACTTCCTGATTTAGCATTGTGTTCATTCCCGTACGGTGTAAGGCCCTTGTGGGGCTGCTCCGTTTGGGTTCTGATGTAGTTCCAAAGATTACTATATCCCACATTATTACTGAAGAGTATCTCTCGATCTGACCTCCATCTCTAAAGTAATCCGCCGTAAGGAGCCCATTCTTAAGATTACATTGAATATGATATTACTAGTACAACAGTACCATTGATCGCATTCGAACGGCCTCCAAGTTAGGCAGGTGCTCTAACTTGCCAATTCATATAACTATACACCTAGGTATGGGATTTCCTCTGGTTTCCTCTCAATACGTCTTCTTACAACACATTGTGATTATTGATGGTCCAGTGAGTTGTCCTTTGGTTCCCTCACCCTACCTCGCCATCCGCTGCTATCTAGTCTTAAAATCATCCATGGTTCTTTTCCTCTTGCAGATATTCACTTTTCTCAGCGGTCTGCATCTACAGACAAATTCGAAACTGGCTTCCATATTTTACACAAAGAAACTATCTCAGACCCTTATGTCAAGATGAGGAATTGAGGTACTGACTAGTACTGAACATGTCCAATAGAATCAGTTGATTGATTAAAGGTCTCTAGATCGGTTGAGCGATCCCTGGGACCTATCCTAAAAGATCATAGCGCTAATTGACCGCTTCTTAAGTTTGACATTATCCAATGTGATTGATTCCGCATAGATACATGTACGTGTTTGATGATACTACTATCCAATTTTTCTAAGATAAGATTTCTGTCACTTCTTAAATCCATAGAAGTCTTCCAAAGTTCCTTGAAGAATTCGAAACTTAGGTCGTGTAAACTTAGCAGGCAAGTTACAGCCTTAGGGCGGCCATGTGGATATTAGCTTCTGATGAACCGGCCTCGCCTATGTACATTCTTAAACACGAATATAAACTCCCAGGCGATTGGATTCAATTTTTATCTACATCTTTGGTTTGGCTGCTATGACCGCACAATCGTTCATCACTTCCTTCAACCACGGACTAAGCTCCTGGCCAATCAGTTCGTTCTCAGGTCGTCTTTCGATACCTTCTCTAAACTTCTGGTCGCTCTACACGCATCTTTGTGCTTCTGCTAGAATCCAGGTGGCACACTCTCTTGCAGTTTCATCAACTTTTTCCAAGGGAAAGAAATGCAAGCCTTTCCTGATAGTTACTTCAGAAACGCGACCTTTGTGGATTCCTCCAGAGCCACCCACACCTGTACCACATAGCTGAGCACCTTCTTATACCTCATCTTAGCGTAGGTACGATCTGTCTCCGAGAATAAATTTTGCAAATAGTTGGAACTCTGGTAAACGATTCTATATTACTCGCATTTCGGGATAATAAAGAGGATCGTTGCTAGCAAGATCGGTAGAATCTATATCTAGTGTTTGATCCAAGTCTATAATAAAAGAGCCATTAAGCTATTTAAATCGAGTTCGTCGACTTATAATGTATCTCCTAGGCCACAGAAGTAGAGAAGGCGACAAGAATTTCAGACTCCGCTTGCTCTGGTTACAACTCATTCCCTGGAAGCTATATAAGGCCATACTCCAGAAATTGCTTTAGATAGCGTTGATCCTAGCTTGGATAATTTGGCCATTTAGCAATTAATTCCTCTACCTAGGAGCGAGAAGCCTAAGATAAAGGTCGACTGAGAATAAATTTATAAAACCAAGTATAAGAGATTGCTCGTGAAGAGCCTCCCGTATAGACTCATAGGTTTCCTTAGGAGTACCGACAGCAACAACAGCGATGATTATAACAATTAGGCTAGAATTCATCTTAGCTTTGGGCTTCTGTAAAACATATTACTTCACAGGTACGTAAAGTTTATCTTCTTAGTGGAGCAGAGTGGCACCTAGATATTCCCGAATATACATAGAGAAAATTTTGTGTTCAATAACGTCAAAATATCTTAGAGCCATGGTTATAGCAGATTATATTAACAATTAGAGAACTTAAGGGGGAGGATATAAGTGTAATAAAGATAAAATAGTTTTCCGGATCAAAGGAACGTTATATTAAACTAACTGTAATTAACATATAAATGTGAAAATACTAATTACCTCGTTTATTCCTTTAAAGAGCTCTACACATTTATCAAAAGCAGGAGTATAGGGGCTAAAAGATAGAGTTTATTATTTGCAAGCCTGAAGTGGCTAAATAATACTAGACATTTCCCGTAATATGATCCAACTTATAGACAATACAAGTCTATAGAAGTCGACAATCGATTTCAAATAAATATTTCGAGGCCATAGTACATACCTGTATTATGATCTCCCGGGGCCATCAAAATCGCATAACGCATGACCCCGCCCGTCAAACATCATACCAGCTGGCGTGGTAGGGACAAGAACAGGACCAAGACAAAGATACAGGGTTCTTTATGCAAGCCATGCGAGGCTACATCCAGTCTCAAATTCCTATATGTATTATGGCGATCAACTTGTAGGAGCTCAGGCTATTACAGGTCGGTCGTTCGCCTCCTATAAGAGGGGACCATCCTGCATGTCACTTATGCTCGACCGGAGCTCATCCTTTATCAAGCTTAGCTAATCTTGATTTTGAAACTCGTAAAGCAATACAGGGATCTACCTTCCCCTCAACAATAACATTAACGCAACCGCACGTCCCTCTTGGGGGCACTTAAGCCTTTGTAACGCCACTATAATCAGATCCCTATAGATAGAAACTCGCCGGTGACCGGGTTTAGCAAAGTTATCATTCATATAGTCCAGAACTGCATATGTAACTTAATGAACTGTATCAATACTTCATCAATGGCCCATTCATTACTAGTAAACCAAGTGTAGCATGTATCTTCAAGTGTTATATATGCACAGCCGAACATGCTCCAGAGAGAATTTGAATTACAAAAAGATAAATTTAAAACTTCAATATTAATAATATAGTACTCGTTCATATATGATAAGATTTCTCATATAAGGTACAAAGACAGATCAATATATTAAAGTAAGATAAAGCGACATTCTCAAGCTACACATGACATAGATGCAATAGGAATTCAAGTACGTTTTATACTTCCATCGGAACTATCTAATTCAGTTCTATCACAAAATTTTGCTTTACTTACTCTATCCATAAGGAAACGAAAAAATGATGAATCCATCAGATAATAGCTTTAAAAATAACCTTCCTCGAACCAGATTTGCCAGCACCCCCAATAACGTAATCGTAAGTATGATATAGGTCAAGGGCTAAAACAATACCTAGGTAGATTTAGTCAGGCTATTTTAAGGAAGGGCAGATAACCCGCACCAACGATGTATACTATATATAAGATCCTATATCTATATTTTTCAAGCATTAAACTCCAAAGCCCACAATACCTTAGATTCTTTTTAAATAGCAAGAAAAGTTCAAGCAACACCATACAACCACTGCTTCACGACAGAAAAGCAAAACAACCTCCTACAACAATCCTTAAAGCGTGCAAAAAGATCTTACCTCCACGTGCACAACCATATCGGATCTTCATAGGGATAGACAGACAACCATATTATTCACGACATTAGAATTACTTACAACTTTTCTCCAGTTTGCTGCTCATCGCATCGGTCGAGTAAATTAGAACAACTATAACTGGTTTTTTTACTTAGGTTTATTCTAGACGCTTACTTCAAACATCGTTATTATAAGTACATAACTACCCATCTTCAGTTTTTATCCATAGTTGTCTTGAAAACTAACTTCAGATCATAAAGTGTACGTCAGATATGGAGGAGTTGGACTTCATCAAGTTTACATTGAGGCGACCGTATTGACGAGCAGGAGGAGTTATGAGAGCAGTCAAGCAGCAGCCCTCAAGCTACCGATATGGTGTGACTGGTGAGCCCGCGCCCAGATCCACAAGAATGTATCTACTACTGGGCAGAAATTAGTATTATGAAAATTTGGGATTTATTTCAGAAAGACCCCCTCAATATCTCCTTATCATATTCCTAGCATTTCAAGATTTCTTGACCTGTTTTACATGTGTAATGATACCGGCTGAGCAGCCCCCAGATTGCCTTCAAAACATTTATGTACATGGACCCACGAACTCTACCTAGGCAGCCATGACATCAGTCTCTATACAACTTAGCCCCCACAGTATTCAAGTACCCCCATAAAAGCCAATTACCACCCAAGACAAAGCATAATCAAGTCAAAAGCCTTATTCTTACTTATATTACTTTTACTCCCCCAAGGTTGCAGCCATCGTATTAAGCCAGACCAGTATCCAAATTTTCATTCCACTATAGATGAAGTTTATAAGAGGCATATATCACGCAATAAAACGGAAGCGGCCCGGTGAGTTCTAACCATTGAATAGCAGCCCATACATCAAAGCTAATACTCAAAGGTTAAATAGACAATACAATATGATTACTAAGTAAGATAGCGCCATTCAGCCTTTACGCCAAGATCTATACATACTAATACTAGAAAGAAATCTTAGATACAATATTCATCCGACTATTGCTACTCACCTTCCTAACACACTACAGATTGCTAATATTGGGACAAGGACTGGTAATTTTCTCTTCAAAATTACCCCTCTCCATCTAAATACTACACTTCATAGATACGATCTCTCATCTTTCTTTTTCCCGCCGGAACCCCTTAAGAATATAAAGTTTACTATCCTCGATACCCGTCAGCCTATTCCTCTAGAACTAGAAAAAAAATATAACCCAGTTCATCTTCGTTTCCTTTATATAGATCTTATAGAGTCAGATTAGAAGCCTATTGTTGCCAATCTAAGTCATTTACTTAAGCCGGGAGGTACTCTACAATAGGAAGAATACAACTTCATGGCTGCTACACAGTATGGCTTCTTTCCCGAATCGACCTTTAGCGCCGTTCATACTATTAAGAAATTACTTCTTAAAACTTTTTCCTCTCATCTTAGAGTAGGTTTTAATAGATTACCGACAGATATAAAAGCAGCTAGCCTAGACAACATCGGAACGGAGATCGTAGGGTCCGATCATAAAATAAGCACACTAGGGCCTTATACAGCTAATAGTATATACATATACTTCCAATAGGCACGATCGGGAAGAGATCCCATTCCATATACCGAAGAGGAGTTGAACAAGCTTGAGGCCCAGGCATTTCGGGATATCGCCTCTGGAGGATACGTCCGATTTAACATCCACGTGAGTTGGGGATTTCGGCCACTTTGACGCGCACGCCGTCAGTTTACACAAGACATTTAATTCAATCCTACGTAAACTCTACTCTCGTTCATTTTCCTTTGTCTAGCCATACTTTTGATGAGACAAACATTTACAAGTGACTAAACTCTCAAAAGAGATTTTAAATTGCCCCCATGCATTTGTATATATTGTAGTAGGGAAAGCCTCCGCCCTGTTAGGAATGACCCTTAGGATCGCGGAGTTATTATCCCCTTTTGTTTCTTCCGGCGATATATAGCATCGCGTTACGATTAGTTCTGAATAACACACTTCTTACACTCTTTTGATCACGTTCTGCGATTCTGATTTCCCGCGTTGACCAGGGAAAGATATTGATGTTTTGCTGTGTGGGTTTTTCTGACTAGTATTCCAATACAGGGCTATTTCCCCTCTTCAATATGTACTGTGTCTAATCCTTCAAGGCTTTCTTCCCCTAAGTCAAGCATACACAACAATGACTACCGCACTGGCTCTCGACTGTGCATCCATGATGATGATGATGAGACTGACAAAAATGTCTTTTTAATAATAGTATTCCATCCAAATATTCACTTCAACTGGAGACCACTTCAACTGGAGATGACGTGAGCTGAAAGCCAGAAATGTCCGGACCATAATCGCATTGACCAAGGTAGCTACGCCCAACTTGAATATGGCCTTTCCCGGACCGTGACTACAGGCCCGTTCTCTACTCTTACTGTATACGCTACTCTGTTTAAGAAACCGTGGCAAAGATAGGATTTGCCGCTCAGGTTAAGCAAATTATCACTAATCTAACTGCCGCACGACCCCACATGTTTAGGAATTCGATGTGCATTTTTATAGTTCATTTGGATACTGAGTCTGGTTTTCAGAAGCAAGAACACTACTCGCATGCATAGAATCTTGAGGTAGCACCCATTATGTATCATTCAGCTTGAGCCACAACTCCGAGATCCGTAAATAAAAAAGAATAAGAAGGCAATGTATTTGCACAAGTTTATGTGGACAAGAAGGTACCGATATATGGACCAGAGGTTGAAAGTTGGGGATGGGAAAATGGGGTATCAAAAGTCGCATATGTGCACGACTCAATAAGTCTCCAAGTGATTATGGATCACTTGTTCCTGGTGTGCAATGACCCGTGTAAAGCAACGAGCATGCTACACAGCGGTTTATCGATCTGGAGATAGAATCCCTCTTCTTGCCGAGGGTATCGAGATATGAAGGGTGTTGGAAGTCTAGTCAATTTTTGTAGGATATTTGCAAGCATGGGGCGAAAAGGCGAGATTCCTCTATGCGAATCGCTTGAAAATAATCTCGGGATCTTCATGCCATTCATCTGCGCTAACCCACATCTGTAAATAGTATCCCTGTTAGCCCCATTTCTAATAAAACTGATGATCTTCAAGTCCAGCTTACCTTTCTGAATGTACTGAGGCCAGCAAGAATGCTACCACCAATCCAGGTGGTATACTTACGCTCTGCGGGCGCAGAGATACGAATCTTCATATCTTCGACGGCAAGGCGCTTGATTTCGCGCATCAGACGGTCTGGGAAGTTCTTGCAGAGTGTGGATCCACCCGAAAGCACAATGTTAAGGTATAGTGACTTGCGCAAGTCGAGATCTGTGCGAGTGATGGCGTCCTGGACAATTTGGTGCACGCCGGGGTATTCAAGGCCGATTAATTCGGGATCGAACAAGATCTCAGGGGCACGGTAACGCTCTTGGCCAATCTATTGAGAGAAAATGGTTAGTACTGGAAAGTCGCATTGGCAGGGATGTTATCAAAGATTGCATTGCTTACCTTGATCTTATGCCCATCCGGCAGAGCATAATCCACTGCCTTCGCATCAGACTTGTGATAGCTGTTCAACCATTCCTTCTCTTCACGCTTAGGATCCAACGACACGTAGCAGACCTTCTCCTTAATCATGCGCACAACCTCTTTCTCAGCACTAGTGTGTAGAACATGACCAGCTTTGCGGAGAAGTAATTGTAACTGCTCTGTGACATCACGACCGGCAACATCGATTCTGCGAATGCTGTTGGGGATAGCGAAACCCTCAAACACGGGTACGGCATGAGAGACACCATCTCCAGAGTCCAACACGACACCCGTTGTACGCCCAGACGCGTAAAGAGAAAGCACAGCCTGAATAGACATATACAGCGCTGGCACATTGAAAGCCTCAAACATCAGCTGAGCAGCGATGTCACGGTTTGCGCGTGGGTTCAGCGGAGGTTCGGTAAGGAGTACAGGGTGTTCTTCGGGGAGGGTCTTGAGCTCGTTTTCATAGACATAGTGCCAGATTGACTCCATATCCTCCCAATTTGTAACGATTCCATGTTCAAGCGGATATCGGATCTTCAGCAGACCGCGGAGGTCCTGTGCGCGCTGGCCGATGAAGGAGTCTCCTTCCAGACCACCAGCCATGACCCGCGGATGTTTGGGGCGACCGACGAACGAAGGGAAATAGCATGATGGGATCTCTTCTCCTGCGAATCCAGCTCGAATTGTCCCGCTGCCATTGTCAATGACAATCGGCACGTTGTGAAGGGTTGCTTCAGCCATTGCGGGGAGGGGGGTTGGGTAATAAAACGGTGGAGGTTCGGGGGGTGGTTGAGGCGTAAGAGTTGTGAGACGGCCCCGCGGCCTAGGATTTGAAGCTCAAAGGGGTTGAAGAGCGATGTCCAGGGCCAGAGGACATGAATGATTGTAGTAGTTGCCGATCCGGGTTTATCTCGCCGATGGAGGTCAGAAGGGTGGTTTTCGCGTCGGGGAGTTGTCAACAAGAAGCTTGGGCCAATGATGGCCCGTCCACATCCACCCGGTCATTGGGATGAACCTCGATGTACATACTCTGAAAATTCCACTCATAAGTTCTAAATTTGAGTATAATTTAATTAACAGAAATTTCGCTTATTGATGTTAACCGTTCTAGAAATCTTATCTCGAGTCATTGATTGAGATATATTAGATGGCATAGTATCTAAGACGAACATTTGGTCGATCAAATCCAGTCAGATTGAAATGAAAACAGCGAAGCGACGAAGACAACTTGAATTCTTCTAATACAATTAAATATTGCAGGGAGAGTAATTGGTAGACAATCAGACCTATTGATTTAGGCCAAGCTATTAACAAGAGTTTGAAAGTGCCTGTCGGCACTGCCTGGGAGCATTATAGACCAATGGTCTAGTCCACGAATGAGAGCTGATCGGACAGGGCTGGGCGAACCTGCGCCTCATCCAAATCGCGTCTTCGAGAGTCTAGCTTATCGACGATGAGTTTGTTAATATCTTTCACACCTTGAATGACATCGCTACCACGTTGTTAGTACCAAAAGAAGACTCAGGTAGATGCACATGGAACTTACCCAACGTGAGCCATAACACCGTACTGAAGTTTCTGGATCATCAAAGCCAATTCTTCTTGGTGATTATCTGCAAGATCAGGATTGGGAACAACGATAGTCGGTACGCCACAGCGAAGGGCCTCCAAGATTGAGCCAGTTCCTGTCCAATGTTAGTTTGTGCTAATGATCTTGCAACTGTACTGGGATATCGCGCCAGTGTTCATATGCTTACCAGCGTGAGTAACAATAAGCCCAAGTTTTTGTTTTTGTATGACAGGTAGATGTTCCATGCCCTGAGGCGGTCTTTCCATGGTCATGCCCATATAATGAGATAAGTCGGGAGCGAAATCAAATGTATGCAAGATAATGCCATGACGATCTGGGCTGTCGTCGGGATCCCTGCCAAGTAACTCGTCAACAAGAGCCTTTGTATCCTTGCCGTACTGTATAGTTAAGTGTGTGAAGTTGTTGCTCGCTAGTGTCCGGAAGAAAGCTTCATTCAGTACTTCTTGGATGAGCCTCTCGAATGATGCGGTGGCTCCCACAGTAACAAAGCATAGCTTGACTGGGTCTGAACCCATTGATGGAGACCAAAACCGGCAGAGTGCCGATTTAAAAGCCGATAGAAAGGTTTCAGAAAAGAAGACAGAATATACTGTTCAGAAAAAAAGAGAATATGAAGTTCAGAGAAGTTCAGAGAGGGTTAAAGAGCTCCATACATGTACAAGTCTTATCGGTCTTATCGTACAATAACGAAGACCACTTGAGCCCCACAAATCACGGGCACCGCAGTCACGTGTCAATTACCAATCTAGGATTAGCGCAAAGCGGACTTCGAGATGGAAAAACATCGACGAGACTATTGGCAACGAGTCTACTGTCCCTGTCTGCCACAATGGCTTTAGCAATGCAGTCATTGCCACGCTCCACCAGAGTCCTGGTCCAAAGGGGATCAGGACGGCTTTTCACACGATCATTTTCCGTCTCGCCGTACCGATTCGTCTCCGAAGATCCAGTCGTCCCTCCTCCGCCAAAGGACCTGAAGGCAGAGGACTACCCGCCAATGCCGGAGTACTCCCCAGAAGCATTGAGCAAGGAACAACGCTCAATGTATGATTTGCTATCCCCGGAGGACCGCGCAGCTTTCGACGCTGAGAACAAGCGCCTCGTCGAGCAATACAACGATGTCTCCTACCGCAGTGCTATATTCGCCGAGCTAGACAAGAAGGTCGACCAGATTGACAGAGCTGAAGACATACGATTCGAAGATGTCCGCAACAAATCGCGCGGATTCTGGTCCGAGGATGAAGATGATGAGTTCGCATTGGTCGAAGACGGCGACGAGGAAGTCAACGACGACGAAATTACCTCTATGGCTCATGCGGAGGTGGAATTCCATCGCGAAATGAGAGAATACGCCCGCATCGCCGCCTGGGATATGCCAATGCTAAGCAGTATGATCGATTAATCAAACACCTCTTTATTCTAACAGTCTGCTAATGTGTTCGTCACAGAGCTCGCACAGCCCTTTACCCTGCCTCCTCAATCCCATATCCTTCGCTTCCGCTATACCACCTACATGGGTGAACAGCACCCTGCTGAGCCAAAAGTCGTTGTTGAGCTCGCATCTAAAGATTTAACTCCTACGCATCTTACCGAAGCCCAGCGCCAGACCTTCCTAAAGCTGGTCGGCACACGCTACAACCCCCAAACCGACGTTGTCCGCATGTCCTGCGAGCAGTTCGGCTCCAGTGCCCAGAACAAGCGCTACCTAGCTGACACTGTCAATGCTCTTATCAAAGAGGCTAAGACAGGCGATGCTTTCACTGATATCCCTCTTGATCTCCGTCACCACAAGCCCAAGTTCCGCCCCCAGTTCCCCGATTCCTGGAAGATGACCGATGAGCGACGGAAGCAGCTCGCTGCCCGCCGGGAAGAGCGTTACAAAGCCGAGAAGCAGCGTGATATCGTCAATGGCAACGAAGTTGTTGGCTCTGCGGTTCTTGCGCTTCCCGAGCTTAACCCTGCCCTGAAGGATCAAGCTACCAAGGAACGGGAGCGCGTGGCTGTTAAGGTTGGAGCTCGTGGGAAGAAGCCTGTTCGCCGATGAGGTGTGAGCTTTGAAGGGTAGTGTAAATGCTACGCATGGATTCTTTCTCTGGTGTGTTGTTGGATAAAACCCATTCGCTAGGCGCGGGCGCATATTCTTGGAGGTCTTATCGGGCTTCTTCACTGTTTCTAGATGTACTATAGCCATTGTATTCAAATTTATTTGTGTCTCGCTGCATTATACTATTATCTCCCGTGGCTTGATCAATATTCTTGATCTGCATGATTTCCTAAATACCCCATGTTGCTTCGTACGCGCTAGAACCTCTGCATTATAGGCCTGAATTGGCTCTTGAAGCCAGATGCGTGGAATCTATTCAGTCATTGAAGTCTTGAGGTTGAGTTCTTCTTCTACAGAGAAGAGAAGGCTTTTTCTTTTCGTAATATTGCAATACTGTGCTTGATATTGCGGACGTTCAATCTATCGATACATAGAATGACACCTGCTTCAGTCTATATTGGTACATGAGTTGAGCCTCCGCGATATATTGACCCAGTGAGAAGCCAATCAACCTCGCCAGTTTACATGTACCAAATAGAATACCAGTTAAATGGTAAACGGACAAGAAGCAGGACAATGAATGCAGGAATGCACGAACACAGGAAAGCAAGAAAGCAAGAAAGCAAATAAAGCAATTTGGGTAACGTGAGAACACGAACACAATCTGAAGCACAAATAGTAAAACCAGAAACAAAATGAAAATAAATAAGAAATGAGAACTGCAGAGTGGTTGGAATCAATTGACATCCCAACCCTACACGACCTAATGCAAGGGACTTCCTCTCTGAAGGGCTTTCCAGAGAGAAACCAGTCACGCACCAGGACGGTTCGACTTTTCCGAGGGGGAACAATACAACAATGTGTATCTCGATGTCCACCAAATCCACAACTCGAAAAAAAGGAAACAGGAGAGAAATCTTTTTGGGGGGGTTTTTTTTCTTTTCAGGGGGGTTCTTTCCCCTTTTTTCCCTTTTTCTTTTTTATTGTCCAGGTGCGCGGACAAACTGATGTATGTTACATGGTGATGTATTCATTAGTAGACATTGGTACCAGATGGTACCAGGCGCCTACTTCTTGGCGGCATCAGGAACGCCAGATTCGCCAAAAGGTTTGGCTGGAGTGGTTCCCTTTGAGAAGCACCTCTTGACCTCATCCTCCGAGAGTGCGGGAGGATCAGAGTATTGAGTGGGATGATACACAACATCTTCACCGATAGCGCCAAAATTGCGAAGAAATTCATGTGGTTGAATAATGGTTGATCCAACTCGAAGTTCTTGCATAGCAGTATGCATGTCTGCCAGCACTCCGACGTGCTTTTTCTCATCCAGTCTCTGATTGCTGCTGGAATCTACCAGGTCAATAAGGGAGCCCTGGTTAGCAGCACGGTTTCCCTTATCACTCGCAACACCATCCCCCCAACTGTTGTACAGGCGTGCATCTTTCTGGCCATCCTCTAGCACATTGAAACGATTTTGATGTGCAAAAGTTGTTTGCACCATGGCCCGAGGCAAAGGCATGCAGGATGGGGGCTTTATAACAGCCGGGGCCACCTTTGGGGCGAGGAAAGGCGGTGCTTCTGGATTGGGTACGGAGTGCCCACCAGTAGCCGCCAAAGAATTGACTGTCTCAACCTTGCGCACTTTCTGAGTCTTAGTGAAAGACTCTGCTGCGCTAGAGTTGGAAAAATTACTGGCTGTGCACGATACATCTCGGGTTTGATGCTGGAAGGCCCTACACCGGCCATTGCCACGGCCCCGGCTGGTGTTGGGATAGCCGGGTCCCCGGGTGAGCCTTTGCCGGCCATTTGGAGTGTGGTCATGGCTATTAGCGCCGATAGGCATTAGCTGGTTGGAACCGGCAACTGTCTCGGCGGCAAAGGGTTGCCCGATGATGGCCAGGGCGGGAGATACATGAGATGGATTTTGTCGGTGACTTTTGCCTTGTATAAGGCTAGAAATGTGGTTTTTCTCCCGGTACCAGCGGGGGATATCGGCAAGGCCGAGGCTTTGGATGGTTTTGAGCTCTAGCGGCATCTCATGTTTGTACAAGCAGCCTGTAAATGCAATCAACATTGATATCCAAAGATTCAAAGAAACAAAAACTAGCACTTACCTTGCTGCTGGTAATCACATTCTCCGTGACGAAGCCAGTATGAACAATACACTTTACCCTATTTATTTCAAAAATCAGATCCGTTAAAAACCCACAAAGAGCAGCGTTCACTTACCTGGGGGTTCACATCTGTGTTCAGTTTCTTGTTCGCTACAACTGGGGCTCCGACTGGGGCTGCGACTGCACTAGATGCAAATGCTGCTGGTGCAGTCGCAAGTTCGTGATGAACAAGAGTGTCGATAATCGTCTCAAACTGAACAAATGCCTCTATCTCCGATCTGTATCGATCTGGCGTTTCTGGATCGTGGTGCAGTCGTTGGAGTAAACTTTTGAGGGTACTGCACAACTCGGCCTTACGACTTTCTGGGAGTGCAAGGGCGCCCTTGAGCATAAGGGCACTCATGTCAGCCAATAACGGGGTCTGGCGAGCAATAACAACGCCGCAAGAAACCATGCCCTGGGTTTCTTCAGGTTTGAGTTCACGAGGCGCCCCCGGGATGCTGATAGCCGGGTCAAGATCCGCGACACAGACCACGGAGCTCAAGCTGGTTTGGCCTTGTGCATTCTGATAATTGCAGAAATGAGTTGGACGATCTCTGGTTGACGCCATGATCAATAAATCCAATTTGTTATCCAGAAATGTAAGGATATGGGGAGATGATCAATAGGAACAGACAGCGGAAATAAAACGACAGGAGGAAATGGCACAGAGAGACTCCTGTTTGGAAATGCTGGGGTTGTGAATGCTGACGATGATGATAACAAGATGAATAGCAAAGAATAAACGAAGATAAATAAATATGAATAGGGAAAGCCAGAAGAAGATAGGTGGAAGAAAAGCAGGCGTGGAGAGGGATGGAGAGAGGAAGAAGAAGAAAAAGAAGAAGAGTAGGAAGAAGAAAAAAAGTGTCTTTTATCACATTGGGAGAACTGAAGAACAAGCTTGAGGATTCCATTTTGGGAATTCACTCCTTCGTTTCGCTTGCTCCCCAACGCGCGCATCAAAGCCATTCAATTCGCTCATTATCTTCACTCTGTTCTATTTTGTCACGTCTCTTCTTTAATCTAGACCTTGCGAAGCAAATCATGGGACTTTTGTTTTATTTTAAAAACGGTTACTTTGGGTGTATGGGAGCGCATTATGGTGAGGAAGTATGGGATACAAATGAGTAAAAGTGAGATAGAGGCGAGTCCCATACAAATAACGTGTGAACTTGCGCAAGTCCAGCCACAAGCCCAATATCAAACTACAAATCTCGGCTTTTTTGGGATCTACGACGCGTCTAAGGCAACACGGCACTTTGATAAGCCACATTCAAGCGAAACCCACGAAAATGGGTTGAATCTAGAGGCTCTACAGAGAAGGGTGTTGACGGATTCTTGCAGTTTCATTCTAGTCGGAATCCCAACCCAAGCTTTATACGAGCCTCTTCTTCTACAAGGATGAAGGGGTCCAATTCATACCATGAAGTTACGTTTCAGACAGCCTGTCTATTTCTATGACCATCGGTTAAAGCACTTGAGAGACGCCCCAGAAATCATTATATGAGAGTGGATCCGCTATTGAGTTTGTCACCGCCCCGGCAGTTACTTTGCTAGCAGGTTGCCCATACGCATGGGTAGAAGAGGACAGCGACGATAAACTATCTCGAGGATTGGCGAAGTGCACCTTGCTTCTCAATACTAGTTTATGAACATACGCTGACAAGATTTGGCTTTTAGTTATTTGAAAACGCATTCCAGAACCCGGAAACCACCTTCGAAGCATCCGTGCTACTTCCCCTCGAAGAATTCCGAAACAGAACGATACAGCAAGCTAGTGAGAAAAAAAATCAGGATCTTATACATCATGGCCATTGAGAAGATCATGGCAGCCAGCTAGGGTGCCTTTTCTATGTTTGTTGGTCTATTCCCGTGGGTCGTCGATTTAGACTCAGAGTCTACATACATGTAGTGGGTCCTTCTCCAAGTTTATAGGGCAAGAATGTTAGCGGCCCCACTCGCCCAGGAATGCCAGGATTGTATACGGGATGTTGGAGTTTTGGGGGAGAAAGGGAAATCGACCCTGGAGAAACGGGGCGCTCAAATCGTATGATGCGTGTCATTCAAATGAGCCATTTAGAGCCACGGAGCGATGTCGTGGTTGTGCTTTTTCTTCTCAAAATGCTTGCTTGGCGGGAAGTTAGGGCACGCAGCGCCGATCTTCACACGTTGCTGGCCGAGCTACACAGCATTTGAAAGGGTTACACTTGGCTATAACGGGCGGAGAATTTGGTTGTTTACATGGACAAAACTCAGGCTGCCGCTATGTGGACCGGGTCGCGAGCCAATTTCAGGCCTTTATGCAATTTCTCTACAGGACAAGATCGCAAAATGTACATCTACGGGTAGGCAATTACATTGAATTCAACGGCCTGGGCAGTGGACAGCCAGAATTAATGACGGACATCGATGGCATGCGCAAAGATTTTTTAAGAGAACGGATATTCATTTCTAGTATTTGTAGTTCTCTAAACTCTGAAGGGGTATCATGTCTTCATTTCTGATCATCAAAGGAGAAATCGCTATGCAAACCCATAATTTTCACCCAGTTTGTAAATTCCCGAAGTAATAAGTCCATATGCTTGCATTGAACGATAAATTGAGATTAAAATTCGCCTAAAAGAAGCACGAGAAAAGAAAAGAAAGTGAAAGAAAACCGCAGGGAAGCGGGTTCTGATCGTGGGGAATTTGATTGGGCCCTCAGGCCCAAGTCAACAGCCACTGCGATCAAGGAAAGAACGAAGGATGTCTATACCTGACTGTGAGAACCACCAGGTGAGTTTGAATAGTATGGTGATTGGTATTGCTGCTGCAAAAATCCACCATGGGGAGAAGGCAAGGTGCTGCCTGGGAATGGCTGCTGAACCGTAGGGGCCAAGGCAAGAGCCTGCGATGCAGTAGCCGGAGATGCGACGGCTGAAGACGCAACAGCCTGTTGTACAGGAGGTGCCTGATACAACTGTTGTGGGTTGCCGAGTGGTTGCAAGGAAGGACTTTGAACAGAGGATGGAGGTGTCGAAGTCGTGTCGGGCATCAAGGAGTGTCTGCCAGAGGCTTTGCGCTCCGCCATTGCCAGATTACCAATAATCCCCTTGAGATACTTCTTGGCTGCAGAGACGAGTTCGCGAGGCTCATTGCTCTTACGAAGTGCGTCCATCATTCGGTCAATCTGAATTTTAGAATGAAGATGAGGGCAGATGCGGCGTCCCCCAAAGTGTGCGAGTCCGCAGAGTGGACAGTTTTCGACGCCAGCTGCTTTCACTGGGCATTGACCGGATGGGTGGCGACGATTGCATCCGATACAAATCGACTCGCAATCCGAAGTACCGTCTAGACCCAGATCTAATTGTCCAAGAGAGGGGATGTACTCAACGCGCTTGAATGGGCGGCCCTTTTTCGGCGGTGTCAGGCCATGAATTTCCATCGCATCAGCTCTAGGATCCGAGTCGGTCTCTTCTGCATAGTCATCTGCCTGAAGCTCGAAGTCGCTACCAGGCCCGTCTCGAATCTTTCGTATTTTGACTAGCGAGAGATTCAGAGGCGACGCGGTATCGTCAAAGTCATTGGCTTCCTCTTCTCTGGTCCCGTAACTGATTCTAGGACGCTTTCGTTTCCCACGACCAAGGGTTTCAGCTTTGCGGGATGCTTCCTCTAAAGCACCCTGTTCACGCTCGAGCAAAATTTTCTCCCAGACCGTTGAGTCTACGGGCAGGTCTTCAGTCTCACCTACTTCCTCTAGGGTGTTGCGATCCTTTTGCCAAACGCGAGCAAAGCTGAATCTTGGGCCCTCCGTCGGATTTGCGTCGTCATGTGCGACCTTCTCGGCCTTCTCTACCTGACTGCGGTCCAGGAGTTTATCCATTGACTCAGAGTCATAGGAGTGGTCACCCGGATCATCGTCGTTGAATAAAGCTGCAGCACCATGGCGAAGGATAGATTCCAAGTCTGTGTCGTCTTCTTCTTCTTCCATGCGATCGATCAGCACATGGTCTAGGGCCATTTTCTTCTTTCCCCTTTCCATGATCTTTTCCTCCACAGAGCCCGGCGTGGTCAAGTGATAGACAAGAACTGTCTTCTGTTGTCCAATACGATGGGCACGCGACAACGCTTGCATATCTTGCTTTGGATTAAAATCCGGGTCCATGATTATGACGGTATCGGCGGTGGCAAGGTTGATACCGACACCACCAGATCGAGTTGATAGCAAGAATGCAAAGTAGGAAGATTCAGGAGCATTGAATTTGTCAATCTGCTGCTGCTTCTCTCGAGCAGATAATTTACCATCAAGACGACAGTAACGGAGCTCCATTCCAGTTAGAAGATCCTCGACCATGTCTAAATTCTCAAGAAACTGACTAAAAATCAATACACGATTGCCACGATCGCGAAGCTTCGGCAGCATCAAATTTAGCAACTGGAATTTACCAGAAGCTTCGACCAAACGTTGATGAGCCAGGGTGGGATCGTTTGTGACTTCTTCAATCTCGCGACTGTAAACAAATGGATGACAAAGACATTTTCTCAGTTGCATGAGAATGTTATTCAAGTTGTGTCTTTCTTGCCTCTTAAGATGGCCAGTTTGTTGCTGGCAAATAGCTTTGATCAACTGAGGATTCTTCCCCAGTATAGATTTGTACAGCTTCTTTTGCACAACTGACATCGAGACGGGCACGATGATTTGAACCATGGGTGGTAAGAATGGCAATACCTCAGCCTTGGTACGGCGCAAAAAGAATGGCTGGATCATTTTGTGAAGCGCTCGGATGTTCTCTGATGTGAGGTCTCCGTATTCTTCTTCGAGGGCATCGGCATTCTTCTCAGGATCGAGGAATTGAATGAGATTGAACAGCTCCCGAATGTTATTTTGTAAAGGTGTGCCGGTAAGGAGAACTTTGAAGTCAAACTTCATTCGAGAAAGACGCTCATAAAGATTGGTTTTGTCATTCTTGAGGCGCTGTCCCTCATCGACAATCAAACCTGCCCACTGAATCCTATTCAGTACCCTTCGTGCCTCGTCATCAACCATGCTTTCATAAGAAACAATGACAACATGGCACCGGAGATCCCTGCTGCCGTTCGGAAACATTTCTTGTTCATTGGCCATTTTTCGCGCAAACACGGAGCCAAAGTAGGTTACAACCTGTACACCCGGTGTCCATTTCTTGATCTCCCGCCGCCAGTTAGGGACCGTTGAATTTGGCACAACCACCAAAAACGGCCAACAGGCATGCTTCTTAATGAGGGTTGCAATTAAGCCGATGACTTGAACAGTCTTTCCAAGTCCCATATCGTCTGCTAGAATAGCGTTTTGTTGGCTGATGAGCATGTAGTAAAGCCAATTTATGCCTTCGAGTTGATAGTCCATGAGTTCACCAGAGGTCATCAACTCGGGTTGGGAATCCAAAAGAAGCTGTCGCCCGAAATCGAACTTCCTAAGAGTTTCAAAATGAAGCTTTAGCGTCTGTCGATTTGGAGGTTTGACCGTGTCTCGGCGTCGCCAGTCTTCAAATGCGGACACGAAGTTCTCCCATCGCTCAGTTTCGTGGGACTGAGGAGGAACTTCCCAGACTGAGTCTTCATAGTTCAAACCTTTGAACTTCACAAAAGCTTCTTTAACCATTTCGGGGTCATTCATGTCCTCGTCTGAATCGGCAGCTGGCGACCATGAGACATCAAAAATGATGTCTACTCTCAGATTGTCTTCAGGAATTGCATCTTCCAGTTTGGGGGTCGGTTTTCCAGACTTCGAAGATTTGTAAAAGGCGCGTATCATGGCATGGTTGCTGTGGCCCCAGACCCAATCGCCCCGCATCCAAGTTGCACGGAAATAAGATTTGGTCTTCCATTTGATAAGGTACTCCTTATCAATCTCGGGGACAAGTTCAGCTAGAGAGACGTTCTTCGTTGCGTTGACTTGAGATTGAATGGGACGCCAAGCCAAAAGTGCTTCAATTTCACCCGGTGCTTTGGCACAGTCAGGACATTGCCAATGTATGCTGTATTCGTTGAAATTCTCAGAGGCGTCAGTTTCATTCATTGGCGGAAGGTGTTCAACATGAAAGCCTCGTTGACAACTAGTGCATCGGAAAAGAACATTGTCAGGGTTGTCAGCTTGGGTCATATCAATGCTGGTGACTGGATCTGTGCCACCATTTTCTAGCCGTTGCTGTTGTTCCTCTTTAGAGGTCAGACGTTCTCGAAGGGGCTCGGACATTGCTCCTGCCTCTCTGCACACTGCACAGTATCCAAGATGAGGTCGAATATCGTGCTTGACATGAGACATACCAAGACAGCGACGACACTGAAGGACAAAATTCCCTTCGTCAATCTTGGTCACGAGATGTTCTCGACTTGCGCGAGGGCCAAGGCAAAGCTGATGGTATGATGAGCTACAACCTTGACAAAATACGAGAAGGCCTTTCTCATCGTCATCTTCATAATAATTACATGTTGAGCAACATGCAAAATGGCGTTGCCTGAAGTCGTTATCTCGTGAGAGCTCTTGAAAGACCTCTCGGGCTCCTGTGTATTTTTGTTGCCGGGAACGTGTACTTTCGACTTCTGATACATCGTCCTCGTGCCGCTCTCGCATGCTCTTCCGGGAATCCAATCTTCTAGATGATTTGCGGGTTCCTTCAATGTGATTTCGGCGATTGTCGGTAGAAGATGATGCGCGGCTATTGTGATTCGCTTTCCGTCGTAGGTTGCGTCGAGTGTTGGGGCGAGCAGAAAGCTCATCGGTAGAACTTTCAGAGTCATCCGATTCCTCGCTTTCGGCCTCAACAGCAAAGTATGAGGTATACTGGCCAGATGTAGTAGCGCCGCGGCGAGATCGTCGAGAAGAGCGAAGTCCAGACGACTCAGAATCTTCATATGTTGATCCCGCACCATCGCCAGTCAGGGCTACTTTGCGCAAACTGCGACGACTTCGGACGCTTCCGCGAGTTTCGACATTTGCAGGGTCATCCTCGGGATTGGAGTCAGGATTGAACCGGTCTAGAGCTTCTGTGCTATTTTCTAGCTGCATGAATTGATCGAACGTCATCTGTGGCCAAGCAATGAAGTTAGAGAGCAAACCAATAAAATATGAGTGGAGATGATTATTTCTTACAGTTTGTCGCTCCCCACTTTGGAGCCTGACAGTGTAGAGGGGGTTTTTGATATTGTCTGAATTCATTTTCAAAATACGGTTGACAGTAAAATGACCCGGCAGGTATTTGTAGTCGCTGGGTTTGGTAGCCATCGGTACGATAACTTCAAAAGAGGAAGAAACCAATTCATTTCTCTTTGACGACTGAGACCCCCGTAACCTTTCTTCGTTTCGAGTTTCGTGCATATCGGATATCCTTTGAGCTGCGAGGCCACTGAATTGGCTCAAGAGCTGTGCTGCCATTGCGTCAGGGTCTTCAGACCCAGGTGATCCGGGAACGGTCTCTTGCGTCATGGTCACTCAATTTCCCAGGGCGAAATAAGCAGTGAAGTGAGTAATCGAATGGGTAGATTCTTGCAGGTCGCGCAAAGGAACGATATCGACGAATTCGCGGGGATTCTAAGAATGTCATCGGTCAGGCTCACGAGTGACTCGAATGTCAAATGTCGAAGGCATAGGAGACGGTGCGGGAAAGTAATAGAGAAGGACGTTATCAAGTAAAAAGAGAGGTAATCATTGAAGGTAAAGACGCTTCCAGACGCGGAGGAGCGCGTCTTCGGTGAGGATTCTCCGGTATCTTATCGGGTCTTATCTTATCGACTATAAGAACTGAGACTCACTAGACCAGACCGCCTTTGATTATTAGCTCTTACATGCTGTATCTATCCTGCATATCACATCTTTGCTAGAAATATATTGCATGTACTTTTGTAATAAATGCACCCGAAATTGTATGCAAATTGTTAACTTAAGCGGATAGAAGGCACTTTAATAACTTCCATAAGGGAGCATATGTTAACTGGTGCCTCATAGATAAGGTGTCGACAATCCCACAAGGCTGGTCGGTCGACGAGTACTTCCATCCTAGCCTCTCAATGAGGCACGAGCTTGTCGCTGCTTGATGTTTTGGATGACAACTGTATTTGAAATACAATAGACCGAATCAACAAAATATGAAAGCTGTGATCCTTTTATTTGGACACTTTCTCTACAACTAATATCGGCGAAAACGCCACTTTCGTTTGAATCGACCTGAAGTCTAGCTCAATCTGACTTTAGCCACAAAGTCGCAATGTCGCCTCTGTCTCAACAGCCCAGCCCAACTGAACACTCAGAGGCGCCTGGACCCATGCGTCAACGCTCCCGACAGGCCTGTCTGCCTTGCCGCAGGCGCAAGAGAAAATGTGACGGCAAGATGCCTTGCAATGTCTGTAAAGGTTATGACTATGAATGCGAATATGACAATGGAACGCAATCGACAGCGCCTGTAAAGCGTCCCTCGCCATTGAATTCTTCATCTTCACAGCCGCCTAAAAGGATGGCGCGCTTGGCTCATTCGTCAACAACTTCGAAGCAAAGCACCGACTCGTCCATTTTGCCTGGAGTTATTGAACCATCAAAACCTCGGTATGTGGGCAGATACTCATCCATTGCATTTCCGCTATATGTTGGATTGGAAGTCCAGGCGACAAATCTTCCACGTTTGCACTCCTTCGCATACCATACGGGTGTCCGCAAGGAACCAAACTGCGCAGTTTCCCACAAAATATCGGGGCACGTTCCATGGAGTACGGCAAGAAGTCTTCTTGACGTATACACTGCTGTTATTCACCCTGTCTTTGGATTCCTAGATATGGATCGCATATATGTGCTCAGTGAGAAACATTGGCATGAACAGCCCCAGGACATGGCCTTTGAGGCTTTAATTTGCGGGATACTTGCTTTGGCCTCCTTGTTCAGTGACTTCTTGAACCAAGAATCTGAAACATGGATTGTATTGCATGCGAAAGAGATCTTGGAAGATGTTGTTATCAGTAGATTCCCCACTCTCGAAACCATCGCTGCGTGGATACTTCGTACAATTTACATACGAAGTACCGGGCGGCCTCATGTGGCTTGGCTTTGTAGCTGTACCATCATGCATCTCGTTGAAGCAGCTGGTCTGCATCATGCACCGGAGTTCATAATGCAAGCAATTGGCAATCTTGCCCCGAATCCTGAGATTACTGATATTATTAACCGAACCGCACAAGTCGCCAACTGTGTCCACATTCTCGTTGCGTTCGAATATGGAAGGTCTATCATGACTTTCAATCGTCAAACTATTGAAAATACCGATGCCACGTCCCGAGGGGCAGGGGCCACAACTCAACTATGCAACCTCGTTGCCACTATACCCACTAATCAAGGAACGGATGACCCAGATGTCCTGATACCAGAGCTCTTGTCGACGTTGGATAGAATTATCACTGCAAACTTGGACCATGACTTCTTGACTTTGTTACAGGCAGATCTCGCCTTGGGGATTTATCGCCGTCTTCGTGTCATGGAGCCAGGCCTCCAGCATGGACAAAATGATAGGGTAATCTCAGTGGGAACAGCCGCTCTATCTGCAGCGCGAAGGCTGGCCAGCCAAAATCAGCCATGGTGGAATGTTGTTGGTAGCGTCTTTCAATTTGCCTGTGTCTTGATTGTTATGGATACTCCTGCAAGCTGCGAGAAGCTCTCGGAAGCTATGGATACCCTACAGATTATCGTGGATCGCTTCCAGACACATTTAGCGAGAGAAGCTTTGTCGACAGCCCGACAACTAGTCAAAGCTTTTCTGGACAAGAAGCGAAGGGGTGTTGAGACACTGGAACGAATCGTCGGAACAGCTACGCCTGAGGCCAGTGATCCCGCAGGGGAGAGTCAACTTCTACATGATATTGCATCGCTCAGCCCATCCTTAGCGGCCCAACTTCCTATTGATCTGGACTACTTGTGGGCTATGGATTTCCAACCGCCAATCTAAAAAAATGCCGCTCAATTTATAATTAATCATCTATAATACAAAATTCAGTACGTACTTCACAGGTTTTTCCTGGATGCTCTCCATGTCACAAACATGAAGCAAGTCGCGACTATAACACCTAATCCAGCGAAACCAACACCCATATATGAGGCTCCGCGGTATCCTTCAAGGCTGTCTTTCCCGTTGTCGTTCACATAGGTTTCGACTGTGCCAGCAAACCCGAGCCCCATCGAAATGGAATAATTCACTACCGTAGTCACAAGTGACCCAGCAACACCCTGATCCTCGGGGGGCATAGCATTACTCAGAATCAAAATACCGGACGGGAAGGACATATCCCTGTCATTTTATTAGCAGACGTCAACTTTGTTTGAGGGTTTCTAGGGAGCCTTACATTCCCCAAGGAGTGATGATAGTAATAAGGAAAGCATTGGCCCAATAAACCTGACCGATGGGCATCGAAGCGAACAATGCCTGGCCAATGGAGAAGAACAGCATTGCCAAAAACATGATGACGCATGCTGGAACGCGACCGAGAAGTAGGCCAGTCGTCACAGCGGCAATGGCACCTGAAACAGCGGCGCCAGCCCACTTCGCTGTTACGAGAAGTCCAGTGTTCCCCTCAATATTGGTCATCAGAGAATAGTAGTAGAACACCACGATACCAAATGAGCACCAGCCGGCGCAGATACACCCAAGGACCCAGCCAGTCTCACCTTTGAATACTGAGCGAGGCAGTAGTGGATGAGCTGCTTTACCTTCCACATAGAGGAAAATTCCTACAATCGCAAGACCAACAATCAAAAGCACATAGGTATATGGAACATTCCATCCAACAATTGCGGCTTGGTTCCACGCAAAGTTAATCAGAATCAGACCCGAAACTCCAAGCGCACCCCCAAGTCCATCCAGTCGAGCCAATGTGGAAAGTTCGGGGCGTGGCTTTTCCTGTGGCATAAAAGGGATCACGAGAAACCCAAGAAGGGCAAACATCAAGCAGGCAATCGCACAGATCCAGTATGCCCAGGGCCACCACAGAAGCTGGGAAATCAGAGACGAAAATGTCGCTCCCAAGATAAATCCGCCTGGTGCTACTGCTCCAAACATGCAGAATACCATACCCTTCCGCTGGCCAGGTGGGTATGTTCTTCCCAGTATTGCCACGGCATTAGGAAGCAGCAGTGCGGGACCAATACCCTGAAATGCACGACAGCAATCGAAGAACCGTGGGTTCGACCATACAGAAAAGCCGGCTAGCAGCGACCAAAGTGCAAACCATAAGAATCCGATAATGAAAATCAATCGGTGGCCATACACATCGCCCAGTCTTCCTGATACCAAGATGAAAGTGCCAACGGTCAAACTGTATGCCGATGAGCCCCACGTCAGATCTCTAGAGCTGCTGTTGAAACTTGAACTGATTTCCTCTAAGGGTGCAATCGAAAGAGCTAGACCAGCTTGTGTCATTAACTGGGCAGCGCAGACAACAATAACGAAGACGATTTCATGTGGCAAAGTTTTCGGTTGAGGGTATGAAGACGCATTTTCTTTCGCTTCTAAGTCGATATTGGGCGATGTCGACTCCGTGGAGCTTCTTTCAGGCTCCATCTTTGGGCTATCTGTCGTGGACATATGTTCTGGGGTGAAAATGAGCATCAGATAATTTTTTCCACTTCTTCGGATTTACAGAAACCAGTTAATTTACCTAAATCCGAATCCGCAAAGTGATCCTTCGGATCAGAAGTTGATTCCATGTTGTCGCGTGAAAAAATCCTCAAGACTCAGAAAGGAGGATCATGTTACAAAACAGACCTGTGGAGCTAAATATTCTGGAAAATTGCGACATGCTTAAGTTATTCAAACGATTCCGAAGATCTTGCTTGAATCGGCCCGTCAATGGTTCTGGCTCACTGATTGATAAGAACTCAAGTAATCGATTTCCCGCACGGTCCGCGCGGGCCTGCATATAACCAGCTGCATACGATCCCGATCATGCAGCCCCATGCCGGAAATACGAGGGAACAAAAGACTATTGGTGGATCTGCACACATGAGACCAACCTCTAAAGCATACAAATTGAAAGTTGTGACGTTATATAAAGCGGTTCGCGCGGCCTTAATTCCTTCCTCATCAAGTCAAAATTCAATTCATCCATTCGGATATACGTTCCCGGATATCTTTCGCCGGATATACAACTCGGCACTTGCCGCCACCGAGACACCTCACCCGCAAAACCAATGGCTACCAATACTATGAAAGCACTTCAATTGACACGAGCTGTACCGAATACGGCGCCAACACTCGCAAAAGCAATTTTGCCTATTCCTCGTGTCAAGCCTGGTTATGCACTCGTCCAAATACACTATGCCTCCATTCAACCATCTGATCGCATGAATGCCCAAGGCGGTTTTCCATACACTACATATACTCGAATTCCAGGCCGTGACTATTCAGGGGTTGTCATTGAAGTTGCAGAGGAGACTAGCGAAGCCAAATCATGGATTGGCAAGAGCGTCTACGGCACAGGTGGATCAACGCTAGGCTTCACCGTTGACGGGACACACGCTCAATACTGTTTACTTCCGTATGGGGCCCTTGTTGAGAAGCCCGCTCCTTTATCACACATCCAAGCTGCTACTGTCGGAGTGCCTTTTACGACTGCAATACTTTGCATTCGACGAGCGCAAGTCAACAAAGACGATATTGTACTTGTGTTGGGCTCCAGTGGGGCTGTTGGATCTGCGGTTGTGCAAATCGCAAAGGCAATGGGTGCAAAGCAAGTCTTGACAGCGGCGAGACGCGAGAACTCAAACCTTGATATTGTTTTGAGTGGTGATATTTCCGCTTTGCTCAAGGATCGAGTCTCACGTCTTACTAATGGACAAGGCGTTGATGTAGTTATTGACACCGTGGGAGATTTGAGTCTAATGTCAGCGGCAATGGAACAACTGGTCTTGAATGGACGTTATACTTGGATTGCTGCCCCCAGAGGAGATGTTGATAAGTCTATTTCATTGGATATTTTCCAAGCTTATCGAAAGGGATTATCACTCCTGGGGTGTAACTCGATCACATCTTCTGTTGAGGAGACGGCGGACCAATTCCGGTTTATGAGTGATTGGATTGACCAAGGATTAATCAAAGCGCAGGACGAGAGCGACTTTGAGAGGATCGAGTTGGATAATGCTATCCATGCCGGATATGGGAAAACTGGCAAGGTAGTCATTGACATGGCATAAAGATCCCATGTTATCAAATAACTAAACTATTTATACTTGTGCGTGTATATAGAATCAATGAACTACTAGACTTTAACCAATATTGATTCATACTAAGTAGTACTACCTATATCTATCATTGAATACAAATGATGGTAAACATTAAATCCAGGGTCTCTCTACTCGGCGGGAGGAGTAGCAAGGTTTTGGTTAAGTTCCTTTCGCTGAACTGCACCGAAGCGAGTATTTCCAACGTCGAATACCTAGAGGTTTTCATTAGAAGGGGATGATCAATATTATAAAGGTAGAAATACTTACGGCGTAGATTCCCTTCAGGAAAGTATCACCCAAAATATCAAAAGTCATTGATCCACGACTCTGGATTCCACCATATACGTACCCAGTCTTTGCCTCAGCAAAGGCCAAGTCTTCCTTCTGCACAGCAAACTGCTTGTTGCCAACAGCGAATGACACAGTGGGCAATTTATCAGCCGTGGTGTTGGAAGGATAGATATATCCCTGGCTGTCATTATCGTAGATAGCACCTTCGATAGTATCATAGATGGCCTTGCAGGTGGCATCATCCACAAGCGCCAAGGTAGTACCGGTATCAGCGATGGCCGTATTGCCAGAGCGAGTGATGGACTTTCCATTGACAGTCGCCGCGGTGGAATCGAACATCCAGAACCCATTGCTCTTGTCAACAGCGGTGTAGGAAATATCCGCACCAGCAGCTGTCACAGTATCCTGGTCAATATAGCCGAATGTATAGAATGACGCGCCCTTGTCTGGCTCATCAGCATCACGCCACGAACCCAGCTTGGCTGTGAATAGGCTGCTGGTGATATCGGACTGGGTGACCATATTCTCAACTGGAGTGGCCACAGACTTCGGCTTCACTGTGTTGATGCTGCTGAATGCAAGACCGAGCAGACCATCACCAGCACCACTGGCAAACTGTGCGGACATCTTATCTGCCAACTCGACGGCCTGGTTCTTCACGACCACGCCACCGATATTGACGTCGTCAGTGCCGACAGAGCCAGACGCGGAGGAGCCATCTCCATACGAAATTTCCCAGGTCGAGCCTTCCTGAGTCTTGAAAGTGCTAGACTTGCTAGAATCAAAGACCGTATGATTGGCATTGCTGCTGGCGGACAAGGTCGCCGACGGCAAGTTAGTTGACCATACCTAAAACGATCTAGTAGTTAGTAAACATGAAACTAACCACATCATTACCCCGCTCAAAATTGGAACTTGACAATAGATAAGCAATTTAATCGATTCAAGCAACTCACCCAAAGATCCGCAGATCCAGTATCGAAATCCAAATTCAGAGTCTGGGCCGGTGTTCCTATTCCCACTTGCGCGAGATACATGGCATCATTCTGAACATCGTCAGCGGGCACCTCGCCAGCTTGCTCGGTATCGGCACTCTTCTTCTGTAATAGCTCCTGCATGTGGACACGTCCACCGACCGGCTTATCGGTGTACTGCCGACCGGTCTGATGTAAAGTTTTCCCAAGGAAATAGGGACCAGGCTTTGTCGGGTTGAAGCGGTACTTGCGCATCATGTGTACATACGACTTTGTACCTGACCTCTGGTAGCGAGGGTTGGCAACGATCTTGATCTTCGTAGCTGCCGACATGGTGCGAGATTTGCGGCAAAGTTTAGACTTCAAGAATTTGAGAATAGACATATCAATTGAGGAGTTCTTTCAAACCTGAAGACTTTGGCTACAAACTGGGGCTTGTGGGGGTCATGGGCAAACTCCCACCTTGGCAACGGGTCTGCATACCTTTTTATGCTGTGTAGTATTTCTGTGTTGTGAGGTTTGTTATGTTGGAAAAATGTGAATGTGATAGTAGAGGTCAGTTGAGCTAGATCAGGCTTCTTAAATAGTTGTTATTTCGTCATCGCAGGTGACAGTAGTTAGCGCCGGCAGGGTCTAGTTGCCCGTAGTTGCCCAGTGACGATCGACGTCGTATCACGGATCGGCACGAATTGATCAGGCGAGAGGGGCTACCACGCCATGCTGCAGAACCACAAGATAAGCCTTGAATTATTTCTATCTTATTGGACATTTTGCGGGAAATCATCTGCCAACGCCAAATCCAAACCCGAACCTTATAGAACCCCCCTCCAAAAAAAAAGCGAATTCCATAGAACATACATTGAAAATAGAAGCAGAGAAATGGAATGAAATGAAATACATGTAGCTCATCGCTTACGAGTCTTCGACTTGGGGGCATTTGAGACACTAGCCGCCCGGGAGGTTGATGTTGAGGCAGTCTTGTTACCACCCTTAGCAGGTTTCGCCTTGGTCTGAAACAGGTTAATAGTGATCGGTTAAGGGTCATCAACAAATAGAACGTACTGTGGCGCCATTCTTAGCCTTCTTCTTTGCAGGGGCGGCCGCGTCATCATTTTCTTCATCCTCGTCACGGTCTCGACCGCGGCCTTTGCCTTCTCCCTTGCCCTCCCCATTGGCCTTTGTATCGGGTTCAAACTCCTTTGCGACTGTGTTGAGAAGGGTGGTGCAACGACGGCCAATCTCGACGGGTGTACGGCTCAGGAAGAACCAGTCGAATCGGAAAAGAGGGGAATCCCTGACTTCGTCGCGGATCTTCTCGTAAAGACCATCACCTTCAACACCATACTTGTCCAACATCACCAACAAAAAGCGATCTTCTTCCTCCGTGTACACCTTTTTGTTGGTCGTAGATACAGTGTAGTTAATCTTGAGCTGCTGCAACGGCACCCGATACATTTCCATCTTCTTGCGTAGCATCTTTCGTTGGTGATTCATCTTGCGAAGCTTATCTTCACCCTGGTCAATCACCCGGAGATACTTGGGGTAGTCTTGAATCTCAGTGTATCGCCGCCAGAAAACTTCCGCATACTCCTCAATCTCATCCGGCTCTTTGCTGTCCACCTCGGTCGCAATGCCTACGTAGTCAGTGCGGCCGAACTTGGCTGATCCGTTGACAAATTGCTGGAAATCACGGCGATTCCAGGTGGAAAAGCCCTCCTCTGACATTCGCTCCTTTTCAGCCCGTTCTTCTTCAGTCAGGGGCTGGGAATTATCGATCTCTTGTTGTTCCAAGTCACGCTCTGCCTCCCGTTCGCTAAGCTCTTCTTCCGGTCCCTCAGGCAGAGGAGTTTTGTATCCAATCTCTTTGTGAAAGAATGCAGTTTCCTTCTCCTGCAACTCCTGTAGCCCTGGTGGGAAGAATTGCCAGTCATGGACAGTGGTTTGCTTGGGCGCACGTGGCACCTTGGGCTTTGTGTCGGCAGTTCGGCCTCCAGTGGCCAGAGCTTGGCGATAATACTTGTCGATTGAGTAGAATTGTTCCTTGCGCTCACGTTTGGCCGGATTGATCCAAGTCATACCAATGTCCTTCTTTCGCTCTGTGAAGTCTTTGCCATTCCATTCATATGCACTTTCAGAGGTGAATTTCTGCAAGTCGTCGATACCAAGCTTCTCGTACTTCTTGTTCAATTCAGCTGTGCGCGCCTCTCCCTTGCGAAGAATGGATTCAAAATCATCCTGAGATATGTCGCCGGCCTCATCCTCGCCGGCACTCTTGGGATTAAAGACATTTGCTGCACCATGCTGAATCATTCCAAGAAGGTCGTCTTTCGAGGCGGCGTTCTTGGATTGTTGTTGAGCACGGCCTTGTTGGATAACCAGTTGATCCAATCGCAACTTCTGAGCAGCACGCTCGAGAACCTTCTCCTCAATTGCGTTTTCAGTGATGAATCGGAAAACCTTGACTTGCTTAGTCTGACCAATTCGGTGGGCACGATCCATGGCCTGCAGATCGGCCTGGGGGTTCCAGTCGCTATCAAAAAGCACGACAATATCGGCACTTGTCAAGTTAATACCAAGGCCACCGGCACGAGTAGTGAGAAGAAAAACAAATTTATCCGACCCCGGCTTGTTGTAATCATCAATAGCAGCGATGCGATCTTCATGAGCCGTAGTACCATCAATTCGACAATAGTTGAATTCACGAAACACACAGTAATCTTCCAGAATATCCAGAACACGGCTCATCTGAGAGAAGATGAGTACCCGGCTACCGTCGGTTTGCATGCGTTTCAAAAGCTTATCCAAAATAGCCATCTTGCCTGAGTTGAACACAAGATGTTCATCAGTCGTGTAGGGTGGACCAGGCTCAGCACCCTCAAACAAGTAGGGGTGATTGCAACATTTTCGCAATTGCATAACAATATTCAGGAGACGAGTCTTTGACTCCCGCTTTCCAGCAGCGCCGTTGACAGCATCGATATCTTTTTCTAAAATCTTCTGGTACCACTTCACCTGCATATCAGACATGGGCACGTAAAGATTCATCTCTTGCTTTGGCAGCAAGCTCTTTTCAACGTCACTCTTCACACGCCGCAGTAGGAAAGGGCGAAGTACACGGTGAAGTTGTTGCACAACAGTATCCTGGTCGGATTCCTGGTTGGAGAACCATTGATCGAAGGCCTCCGAATCCCCAAAAACATCCGGAAGCAAGAAATTGAGCAGCGCCCACAGTTCATGGAGATTGTTTTGCAGAGGAGTTCCGGTGATCAACAGTCGGTTGCGAGAGTTGAAGAGACGAATAATTTGCGATAGCGAGGATTCTTCGTTTTTAATGCGGTGGGCTTCGTCGATGATAATGTATTCCCAAGCAAACTTTTTTAGGGCTGACTTCTCGCGGAGAATCATTTCGTAACTGGTAATGCACACATCAAATTTTTCATCCACCAAGCGTTCATTAATGAGGCGCTGTCGCTGCTCTTTATCACCTTGTAGAACGACGACGTCGATGTCCGGTGTCCATCTAGCGAATTCTCTCTTCCAGTTGTCGAGAGTCGACTTGGGAACCGCAACCAGATGAGGACCTGGAATGTCGCAGACATATCGTAGATATCCCAAAAATGATATGGTCTGCAAGGTCTTTCCCAGACCCATTTCATCTGCTAGGATACCGGAGATGCCGTTTTCATGAAGGGAAACCAGCCAGTTCAAACCGGCAACTTGGTAGTCACGCAGCTCACCCTGGATGAAAGCTGGGGATTCTCTAAAGATGGTGGTGGTCTCCCCGCCACGTCTCTCATCCTGCAGAAGCTCCGCGTCTTCCTCTTGTTCCGTTCTTCGACGACGATCTCCACCTGCACCGCCGGTGCGGGATGATCCCTTGCGAGCTCTGGCCTCTGATTCCTCATTTTGTCGATCGATTTCGGCCATAATCTCCTTGATTCGTGGATTGGGGTTGGTCTCAATAAAGTGGCGGAACAGATCCGTGAGGCCGAGCAGGTATCGGAATCGACGAATTGAATCATCCTCCTGATTATCAAATAGTGCATTAGCTACACATCGCTTATATATTTTTAGGGGGTACCTGTCTACCTACCTTAGACTCATCTAGGCGACTCTGCTTCTTGCCCAGAATGCTTTTCCTCAGCTGTGTCGCCTCTGATCTACGTCGTCGTCCATCACCTAGAGCGACATCGCCCGCGACGCTGCTCGCTGTTGTATTGGGGTTGGTCTCGGAGTCCTGCGGCGGGGGAAAGGTGTCAGTTATTTGTTGAGGGTACTTCACGACGAGTGGTGATATTTACCGTGTAGTCAGGGGTATCTTGATAGCTCTAAGTTAAGAAAAACTCCATTGTTAGCTCCATCACTGTCCACAGGCAAAGCACCGATATGATGCATCTGCATGGTGATGCGATAATTCAAGGCCAATGCGAAAATGGAAATCGCGTTCACTCACAGGCGCGTCGACGGGAACTGATGGGATAGCATCATCATTCGCATCAGTCATCGGCGTGTCCGCCTGAGACGGAGAGTCCGGGGCTGGTGCCATAATATGTCTTCTGTGCGCAGTGCGCGATAATTCCAATGCAAGACGAAGCACGTCTCGTCAGGTCGACCGTGTAGCTCGATATGTGAAAGTTGAGAAAAAAGGTTGAAACAAATCAGGAAGGATAGATAGTTCGAGTTCGCGTAGATTGTGTCAAAAAATTTCTTTTACAGAGGCTGTAATCCAAAGCAGTTTATGATACTGAGACAATGAGCGAGCTCCGAGAAAAGAAGAAACGCCGTCTAGTCGCGCTGAAGAAGCAAATGGGAAAGCGCGGGCGCATTGTACGCGCTTATTGGTTGACGGACTTATATAATCAACTTCAGTCAGCTTCGGCGAGGAGCAAGTATTATCCGCCAAAGTGGGGTCACGTTACCGGGTCAGTGCAAAAAGCGTAGCCGATCATCATCTGCAGCAAAGGTACTCGCTAGTTCCCCCCTCTGTATATTTGTCCTCCGCTAGATCATAGAGCTTGGGAACATTCACGAAGGCCCCTGGGCTTTAACCTTTTTGCTTCCGTGGAATCCTTTGAGTGAACAAACCCTTCCGTCGACTTCCATTTCCTTTGTTTGACGGTCATAACTTCCCAACACCACCCGCTAGCCTGTGACCCGATACCGATACATCACACCACACCACACTGGGCCAACCGGGCCACACATTTCCCCCGTACCGAACTAGCTACTAGCCACAGCAATTCTCAATTATACGCCACGTCATGGATTCTATGCGCTCTCTCAACACTTCCCTGCCGAGCTCAACCCCGCGTCCTCAGCCACCTGAGCAGCTTTTGCAGTCATTCAAGGCCGCCGCTCTATCTGTAACCAATCTCTACAAGAATGCAGTTTGCGAACAGGCCCAGGCTAGACAGGCAGGCTACCAAGAAGCTCTGGAGGATCTCCTTCATTTCCTTGATCGTGAGAACTTAGGCGTCGGTGATGGAGAGGGGTGGAGGGTCAGACAGTGGGCGACAGAGAAATTTGATGGAACTGGATCCCAGAGCGGCGATGAGGAGGAACGTGTCGACTCAGATAAACGTGATCGAAGCTCTACCCCCGTAACCTCTCGCAAAGAACCTGATTCTACTTCTCGTCCAACTCCGGCTTCTACCCCCGCTGCGCAGCCGACCCCTACACCTCGTTCAGAACCCACCAACTCCGCACCTCAACCCCAAGAAAGTACTTTGGGGGCTCCGACTGTGTTTACATTTACCGCCGGACCAACCTTCCCTCAACTCCAGGAACTTGATATGGATATGCAATCGTCGGACAACTCGACCTCACCTTCGCAGGATGGTGCTCCCGTCAGCGTCTCTGTCATGCCTCGAAACTCCCGCCAACAACACCGCCACAACAATCTCAACCGCCCAACTCCCCGTTTTCCCACACGTGAGTCGCCCGCTAGCTTGGGGTCAAAGCGAAAATTTACAGTGCCCGACTTCTTCGATTTATCCGGACTAGCAAGCGGTCGAGACATGTTTGGAGGGGGCAAACGAGGCCGTTTCACATAAGCGGGCTTACTCTGCCTGGGCCGTATGAGGTTGACGAAGTGACGATTTTCCTTTCTGATAGTCACGCAGCACTTGGGTGACCTTTAGTTCTTGGGGTTGGGTTTCTTTTTTTTCGGGTGCATACTGGGTAGGAGAGCTATATTGCATGGGTTCGCCGCATTTTCGCCTTTCATGGCTTTCCTTTTCGTTGTTTTAATCCCCTAGTCGATTTCCTTCAGTTTGTTCTACAGCATATAGAGGACTCATGTATGGTGATACCCAGCGCTGGCAGCTTTCATGGAGCCATGATAGTAAATCAAATAAATATCTTACAAATACCCCAAACTCGACCTTCTGAACATTCCCTAGACTTTATCATACACTCCCGACTATGCACATTTCAAAACATAAATGGAGAGTTGCACTGCTCAGTTAAATGCGCGCCACAGTCCCATGCCAATCAAAGTGGCCGAAATGCTAGCAATTCCAAGTTGCCTTGAGCCCATCTTGTATCTGCTTGGCCCTTGCATGATAATCTTTTCTTGTTTTCGGAGGTTGCTCATGCCGGTATAGTAGCTGTAGACGCCCAGGCCGATAAATGCAGCCGAGCCTATTCATTTAGATTAGTAAATCATAATTCTTGGTTCATCCGATGTTCACTTCATAAAGGAGGGGCCAAGTCTAGAAAGTACGAACCTGTCACTCTGCAGGATAGACAGTCGTCATATTTCTCCTCCGCCAACACCTGTTTGGGGTCTTTTTGTTGGATGTCCCAGTTGCGGGTATCTGTCTGTGGAGCCATGATGGAAGTGCAAAGAAAGTTCTAGTTTCTTCGTGGGACAGAGAGCAGATGATGATATCAATTTCAAAGCGCCGATTAAAGCGCACAAGTGTAGTCTGAAGTGTAGTCTGGGGAGGGAATCGCGAGCAGCCAGAAAGTAATCCAGGGCGGGAGTCCCCGGCAGAACCCAAAGCTTGATGGTGAGCTATACAACACCGAGACCCTCTTACCTCAACAACAGCCATCATGAGCGGCGAGATCGATGCTGTCTACATATTTGACGAGCAAAAGTGAGTTTCCCTATGGATGACTGGTGCGATTGTCCTAACAAATCATTCCAGTGCCCCTCTCGTCGAACATGTATACAGAGCACGCCCGCCTTCGGCCGCAACCCTCCTACCCCTCTACCTCGCTCATCCTGCCCCTCGCCCTTCTTTGCTATATATCCCCAGTGCCAACCCACCGGTCACAGTATTCTCAATAGTACAGTCGAATCTACTGTTTCTTGCGGTCTCTGAAGTCGATACAGAGCCACTGTTGGTGTTAGAGTTCCTGCATCGTGTGGTTGATATACTGGAGGATTTCGTTGGCGCTCCGCTTCTCTCTACCAAAATCCAGGGAAACTACAATGTGGTCGCCCAGTTACTACATGAAATATGTGATGGTGGAATAGTATGCAATACCGAACCCAACTCTCTGCAAGAGGTTGTTGAGGTCCCAGGGTGGATGGGTAAGCTTCTCGGGGGAATAAGTGTGCCTGGGTGAGTCTTCCTATTTCGCCTCGCAAACTAGGTTTAGTTCTGACTAATTGGAAATGCTTAGAACTTCTGCACAAACTACAAGTAACCCTCTAAAACAGTCACTAGCCGCTGCCAGTGCAGCTCAAGGTCCGGCGATTCCTTGGCGACGACCCGGGGTACGGCACACGTCTAACGAGCTTTATGTTGATATCGTTGAATCTCTTTCTGTGACAATGGCACCTTCAGGACGATTACTCTCTGCGCTGGTATCTGGCACGATCGCATTCACAGCCAAGATATCTGGCGTCCCCGACCTTCTCTTGTCATTATCGGCTCCCGGCGGCCAACAGGCCCTCGCCCGCAAGATCGAATTGCCCGTTTTCCACCCATGTGTTCGCCTTGCTCGCTGGCGTGATCGACCTGGAGAGCTGAGCTTTGTGCCTCCAGACGGTCGATTTATTCTGGCCGGATATGAAGTCGATCTGCTCCCAATCGATCCGGATCTTGACGAACCGCCCAGCCATATGGAGAAACTGTTCCTTCCTGCCATTGTAGATATTCGGAAGTCGCTGGGTACAACTGGATCGGAATTCGAAGTTCGATTAATACTCAACACTGACTTCCCTGGCCAAACCTCATCTTCTCGACCAGCCCCCTCACGAGGTGGATCAGGAACATCTACACCTTCATTCCTTGGCGGCGGTAGTAACGCTACAGGGCCGGTCTTGGAAGAGGTGGTTGTCAGTATCCCGATTTCCAAATCTGTACGGCACATTACGGACATGCAGGCCAGTCGTGGTGATGCGCAGTACTCTCACGGGACTGGACTGCTTGAATGGCGAGTCCCAACAGGTCGTGATGCTGGATCGATTTCAGGCACTGCAACTTTACGCTGTACTGTCGCAGGCTGGCCTTCGGCAGACGAGGATGTTGACAGTCTCGAAGAAGCCGACGAAGATACCGACACAAACCTTCTACAGGGCTATTACGAAGACCCTGCCTCTTACGATAATCCTTCCACCAGCAAATCCCGCAAGACCCGGTCATCCGACCCTACAAAGAAGAAGAAAAAGAAGAAGAAGTCAAGTAAAAAGTCATCCAAATCTGCTGCTGCTGATGCCGCTACGCTTATTGAAGATACGGGCGATGGCCAAGGGGAAGGTGGCGCAGAGGAGCAAGTGAAGGCTTCTGCTTCTCCTTCTCCAAATCCCTCCAACCCCCATACCCCAACGCTTTCCTCGCAACCTCAATCACAAACTCTTTCACATAATTCATCGAAGCTCCCATCATTCTTTGCACCATCATCTGCATCCCGCCCTGTACCCCGCAGAACCAAAGTCCAGATCAACGCGAACCTAATGCCAAACTCAGCCACGGTTTCTTTCTCAGTACGGGGCTGGCTACCCTCTGGTATCAAGGTGGACGGGTTGAATATTGATCATCGGCGCAGTCGTGGTCTCGGCGAGAGCGTGAAGCCATATAAGGGGGTGAAATATTTATGCGTGAGTCGACGCGGTGTGGAGAGACGTGTTTAAGCAATAAAGAGAAATTTTCGGCATGTCCAATGAATGTGAATAATGAACCAAATCATAAAGCGTGTAATATCTGTTTGGAGGGGCTTCATAATGGAGGTCATAGCATAAATCTTCGACTTCGTGGTTCAAAAATAAATGAATAACGATGATAGGGACACGTACTTCTAAGGTTTCAATATTGGAAGAGTAAGTAGGCAACTTTGCTAAATGGAGCTTTAATCCTACTATTCTACGATACATGTATGTCTAAGTTTATAATATCTATAAAACGATATGGATAGTCTTGAAGGCTAATACATGTATATGACCACATGTGCAAGTATTAGTTTTGAAAGTTTCCCCACTGAACGCTATGTATAGTCCCCAGAACTAGAACCTTGGCAGGACATCCGGGTCACATCACCAAGAGATCCCCATGATGGACGAGAATCTAATCCAACTAGAATACCCATAATTCTCCGGGTCAGATCCACTACAGTATCTACCGAAGGATGGTTAAGCAATGCCCTTATCCTTGAATGTACAATTTACTGCAGATCCTACTTGAATACCGATTTTTAATTGAAGATCAGCAGGTCCATGACCAAAAATGAATTCGCTAGAGCTGGTTTTGGCAAACAAAAAGGAAGCTAGTCAAAAATGGAATAACCGAAGAAATAACCTAACCCCAATTTCATGGCTCATAGTTTTGATGATCGGCGCTCCAGAAGCTGGAAAACGAAGTAGGCAACTACAGACGAGTTGGGTTAGAAACAGCTTCATTCATGGTAGTGATTGAGAGAAAAAAGGGGAATTTCTCAATTAAAATTAAGCATTTTTAGGTGTACTTAGTTGCTTTTTAAGGGGTATCAAGTGTATCAGGTGAACAGGGGGAGAACAAAGGAAAGAACAAAGGATGTGTAAGTAGACAGATATGCGGAAACCCGCTATCTGAGAAAAAGTACATGAAGCTGGTGCCTCGGTAGGGTATACAGTGCACGCTGGATTGTCATAGTCCAGCCGATTAGAAGATTCAGGTGGCGACTTAAATTTGACCGGAAAGGGCTCCAGTCTCATTTGTCGTCTCCTTCGTCTGGCAAACGGAAAGATGATGAGAAAATGACGGGAAGAACCAAAATAAACAAACATGGGAAATATAACAAGCTAAATGCCATATTGTAGATAGACAGAGAACTCAAAGAAAGGGTATTTACTCACTGGCAGCAACAACAGCAGCACGACCAGCACCAGCTTTAGTGGAGCCACCACCCAGGGTCAGGAAGTAGCGCAACCAGCCGAGGGTCAGCTTTTGGCCATTGCGATCAAAGTCGGGGGTTAAGGTGTTTGCAGCCCTGAGGGTCTTGATCTTGCCATCATATGGCGGGTAACGGATGGCAAGTATGGATTCGAGCCAGCTGGGGCTAGAGGTGATAGGGCGACGGTGCACCCAGACGTCGAAACTGGCACGTCCGCGGTATGCGCCGTTGCCACTCTCGCCGACGCCACCGAAGGGGAGAGTTGGGATATGTAAAGCGGCATCATTGATGGCAACACCGCCAGAGCGAGTACGGGAAAGAACTAGAGCATGTTAGTATTTGTGAAAGGAACGGGGTGTTCAAGGAGTATACATACTCTTCTCTACATCAGCCTTTGAGCCGAAGGGGTAAATACCAAGCGGGGTGCTTTGAACACCATTTGAAAGGTTAATAGCCTCATCCAAGTTCTCTACAGGAAGAATAGGAATGAATGGGCCAAAGCTCTCCTGGGTGCACATAGAGTCCTCAACGGAGTCTACCTGAACGACTGTAATGTCGATAAAGCGCTCTTTCTCATCCATGGTACCACCCATCATGATCTTGCCCTTAGTGTTATCCAACATACCCTTAAGGCGCTGGAAGCTTGCATCGTTGACAATGCGCGAAAAGTCGGTAGAGTTCTTCGCGCCCTTGGGGTAGAACTCATTATACGCCTTCTTGAATTCATCTATAACCTGGGGCACAATTGTCTTGTCCACAAGCAGATAGTTCTGCGAGGTACAGATCTGACCAGCATTCAGAGCCTTGGCCCAGAGCATACGGCGAGCTACCAATCGCGGGTTTGCAGTCTTAGAGATAATAGCAGGGTTGATACCTCCCAGCTCAAGTACAACGGGAGTCAAGGTAGGCGCAGCGGCCTTGGCGATGATGCGACCAACATTGGCGCCACCGGTGAAAAAAATCTTATCCCAGCGCTCAGCCAGCAAAGCTTGTGTTTCAGGGATACCACCCTGGACGACGGTGTAGCAGGAGGGATCTAAACTGGCTTCGCAGATTTTCTGCATCATAGCGGCGCTGCGGGGAGCATTTTCGCTGGGCTTGATAATAACGGTGTTTCCCGCGGCGATGGCACCAATAACGGGGCCAAGAGTCAATTGGAACGGGAAGTTGAAGGCACTGTATGGAAGAGATAAATGTCAGCTTGTTGATTCTCGGACCCCGAACGAACTCGATTGTGTCGCCACATACCCAATCACCAACACACAACCCAAGGGATCCTTCCTGATCTTGGGGCTCATAAACTTGAAGGTGAGGTCGATGTCCTGGGCCTTCTCATCCTTCACGAACTTATGCAGATTGCGAGTGAAGTAAACAATGTCATTAAGCATCCATCCGTATTCTGCGAGCTCAGTCTCGAATCGGGGCTTGTTCAAATCCTGGGCGAGGGCTTCGGCGATCTCCTCCTCATTGTCCTTGATGCTAAAATAAAACAAGTACATAATTAGCTTCAACCTCATAAACTAAAGGTCTGAGAGTAAACTCACGCCCAGTAGAGCTTGCGCAACTGCACCAGGCGGAACTCGACATCGCGAGTCTTGTGCTCGAGGAAAGCTTTGCGGGCGGTAGACACGCGAGCGGGGATGTCCTCGATCGGGGTGAAGTGCAGTTCGGGGATTGCGACACCCATTGCGACGGATGTTCAGGATGAATAAAATAAAATAAAAGGAGTAGAATTAAAACCCTTCAGTGTCAAAGTTCTCGTACCACGGGGAGTGGAGGTGTTCGGGTACTATTTAAGCAGTCCTTAACTTCTCCGCAGCCACATGCGCTCGGCGCTGTTACTTGAACCGACTGTCGATCCCGGACCCATTTTGCTGTTTTGGTCTGGCCCTTTCGCTACTCTTTAGTGTTATTTGGCAGGTTACACAGCATTATTACAGCCTCATGGCTTTAAAAAAGTATAATTCTCGCAATCTCTTTCCATCTTTTCATCTTTCCATGCCTTCATCCCCTCTGCCAGCTATTTTCTGCAGGAAAAACTAGCAAGATTGAAATTACTAAGTGGCCACTCCACCTGTGCTCTAACCGCGGCTTCACGCCACTAGCTAGCTACCTGCCCCACTTGAGCGTATTAAAGAATCCCTGATTCGGCATGCAGATTTAGCGCTAAAGACTATTTCAGACTTGCAACGTGACTGCAGTCACTTGGCAAATTTTTTAGCAGGCCAGATAGGGTAAGGGAATCGGGGTCGGGACAACATAGTCTCATTCATTGGAAATTAACTTTCATGGACTCATTTTGACAGCAGAAAAATAAAAGAAATGAAAATGCAATGATACTTGACAGTCCTTCTGCAAGGTCTGTCGACGGGGATCATGTCCAGGATATACAGAGAAAAAAGAAAAGAAACAAAAAACGACGAATTAAGATGTCAACGCCAAACATAGTCCATCAGCTATACAATTCAACAAACCCAGAACTTAGTTCTTGAATTGGTCCTCGGTCACACCCTTGCCCATGGCAGCAGTGCTACTCACACCACCCGAGACCATCTTGAGCAAGTTATCAACATAGTTGGCACCACTCCATTTTTGGTGGGTGACGACATCAACACCCTGTTCCATCTCTGGCTCTTGAACCAGCTCGCCATAAGCTCGCATACCATTGGTGGCAAATGCCTTGGCGAACTGGTGAGAGATGAGCGCGGTAGTGTGCAAACCAGCGAGAGTGATAAATTGCCAGCAGTAGCCCAGCTCACCGAGACGCTTGATGTAAGTCTCCTGCTCGTCACGGGGCATGGCCTTCTTCCAGTTGAACGAGGGGGAGAGGTTGTATGCGAGCTTCTGCTCAGGCCACACGGCGTGCACGCCGTCGGCAAATTGCTTAGCCTGCTTGTAGTCTGGCAGCTTGCTCTCCATCCAGATGAGGTCGGCGAATGGAGCGTAGGCAATAGCGCGGTTGATAGCACACTCGGTACCACCCTGGTAGCGGTAGTAGCCCTCACGGGTGCGAGGAGCGTCCCAGTTGAAGTAGATATCAACGCCGGTGATACCCTTGGCAATGGCACGAGCCTCAGTGTTGCTCTTGCCCTTGGCAGCCTTGAGGTACTGGTCGATGAGCGCTTGCTTGTTTCCATTGGTTCCAGCATTGATGGTGTCAATAACAGCTTGGTCGAAGAGCTTAAGACCAGCCTGGGCGGTCCATTGGTCCTCAATAGCCTGGAGAGCGTCGCCGTTCTTGCCGGCTTGCTCGGCGGCAACCATCAGGTCAACCAATGGTTGGAGGTTGGGGTTGGTGGAGCCTACGACGAAGGCGTGATCACGTTGGTCAATTGTAGAGAGAATGAGAGTGGCAGCCTCGGAGTCGGTACGGGCAATGGCCAGGAGATCGGAGCCCATGATATCGGCCTGGGCACGGATGGCTACCAGACGGTTGATGTGTTCGCTGATAGGGACCAGCACTTTACCGGCCATGTGGCCACACTTCTTGGTTCCGGGAACCTGATCCTCAATGTGAATACCAGCAGCACCGCGCTCGACGAACAGCTTGGTCAACTTCATAACAGCAGTGAGACCACCGTGACCGGTATCAGCATCGGCAATGATGGGACGCAGGTAGTCAACATTTGCCACATTGGAACGTTGCGCCTTGGGGGTAGTGAGGCGCTCCTCACGCTGTTTCCTGTCGTGGAAAAGCTGTGCCATGAACAATTGGTTGACCTTGCGGGGAACAGTGTCCTATCAAAGCAAGATTATCGTGAGTATAGCGATCTATAATGCGATTTTCGGCTGGAACATACCATAGGGTAATCTGCCAGATCAGGAGAAGGCTCGTCGGTTGACGAGGCTGTGGAGGAACTCTGCCAGCCGGAGACATAAATTGTGTCAAGGAATTTGGACATCTGGGTGATCATGGTGGGCTCGAGGCAGCCGTAGGTGTAGCTAGCTTGCTTGTTCTGTTCATTCAAATTTCACATGTTAGCAACCAAGTCAAGCTATACCATGGAAATTCGGTGATTTTCCCTCATACCTTCCAGTTTCCCTCAAGAATTCCCCAAAGCTTCTTAGCTTGCACATTGGATGGGTAATCAATTGTCAAGTTGCCGCGCTTTGCCACAATCTGCTCCGCAGTAAAGGGTCGCTTGGTGAAGCGCCAGCGGTCATCCTTCCACCAGTTCTGAACAGCCTGGACATCCGCCGCATACTGGCGGTCCTCGTCTTCAAACAAACCCATGATGAGTTCTTTGAGAAATGATGAGATTCTTTTTAAAAAAAAGATGTATCCTGAGCACGCGACAGGTATGTATTCAATGGAGGCGCACCGGTATCCAGCTAGCCTTAGGGATTAGGATGAGAGTATAGACAATATAAGTTGTCGCAAAGGAATATAATCAGAAAAGAGAGGAGATTCAGAGAAGTGAGAAGCACAGGAAAGAAGCACTGTATAATAAGAAAAAATCCCGATCACAAGCCAGAAGGGAGAACAGGGTACTTATTTACTTTTGGAATGCGTCACAGCCCAATGTTCGGCAAACGCTCGGCTGACCGGGACATCAGAGTCCAATTACAGAATGCCTAGGCTCAGTACCATACGTCCAATGAGTAATTTGAGCCATTGCTCAAAAGATACGCGCCGAAAGGCGGAGTTTGCGGGTGCGGTTCGGGAGAGAGGATCCAGATGCTGGAGATCCTCGGCCTAATGGACCATTTCACTTCTATGTACTCTCACAAAGATATTTACCACAACACCATCCCTCTTGAACTAAGTTCAAAACTGACTATCGGCATCTCATAAATGAAGTTAAAGAGCCCTATCGTCCTTTTTCAAATTCTCTAAATTAACGTCTGTGGCTTCGTAGGTGCACGCGAATGTGTCGGAACGATCAAGCTGCCATGACGTCGTCGAACATGTGCGTCGCGCTCGTTACAATACACTGTATTTTTCACGTGCATCTGGGCAACGGAGCTGAATGTGAATATCAACTTCCAAGACCCGTTGAGATTAGATAAAATAGATATCGAGTCACAGTGTATGGTTTAAATTACCTCTAAAGCCAGTCCATCAACTTTTTACTCTATCCTTTTTGGACCCCTGCAGTGAAACCTGAAGCTATCCAAACTCAATAATCAATCTGAGTCATCCATACCAGTCCGTTTTGCCCCGGTATTCGGCGTATCTCCACCCATCTGGATCATCAGTCTGCTGTAACCCATGAAGAACACGGCTTCTACACAATAGCCTGACACCAACAGAGTATATTCGCCTGACATATACATGTAAAATACCATGACTGTTACAAATAGATATCCGCACCAAACACCTGCACCACTCACCATTCGTATCTTCACCCAGTGCATAATATGAACGTTTACCCGCAACCAGGGAAGAACGAATATCCCACCCACTAAACTATGTACCCCGTATATACCGCAACGCAGACACGCACGACGTATCCATGATCTACCATGAATCTTGAATACTGGAAACAGCTTCCAAGATTGAAAACACCACGAATTCAGACCGGAGCCAGCTGACCTTCAATCCCTAATACTCATCCAATGAGGTTTAAGCATCGGGTGTTCATAAATGACTCAGGCTAACCGTCTTCGTTAGACCTCGGCTTCTTTCTGCTCATTCTACCTACTACCTATGGATAAGCTCGAACGCCCTAGACCCTGTAATGTCATAATAGGATTATCGTTAGTCCATTAGGATCAACGAGGGGTCTATGCTGCATCCAGACCTGTAAAGAAGTATCTATCTATGTTTTTCAAGTGCTTGTTCGTATACTTTATTTGTGAATTAAGCGATACCAAAATTTTAATTAGACAATATTAAGTATTAGAAGCAAACTCTGTATGTCTATGTCTATAGTATATAGTATTGATCTTATTCAAACCACGGCATTGTATACATCAGCTCTACACAAACGAGCACTTGCCCCCCGCCCCCAGGCGTATCCCGCCACAAGCACAGCAGCCTCGGAAAAACCAGGAAGAATCTATCATAATATCGACCCAGTGAGTTGGCGCGTCCCTAGTTTCAGAGCAATCGATAATGGCGTTTTATTTTGATAGGGATCGCTGGTTCGTTCGGACGTTGGCCGGGAAGATGTAAGGGTTGCCGAGTGGCCCGGGTTATTTTCGCGGGTGCCGTGTCTATATCGTTATACTTCAGGCTATACTAATGATTCATATTGAAATTGCGGGGAATGATCCACACGGCTGAGACTCCGCACGACGAGAGTACAGTCTTGGATACTTAGATCACGTAAATATAACTATGAAACAATGACTGGTAATCTTCCGCAGCAGGTAATTTATTTTGGGATTTTTTTATACTAGTATGTATATATCTGTACATTTGGACGGTGGGTATCCATGTCTGGTACACAGTCTTTCAAGGCTCCAAGATAAATCTATGAACAGCCTGAGGCTCAAGTTATTTTGGTGTACCTGGGTCCATTATTGTCTCAAGGGCTTGGGTACAGCTGTAACAACTTGAACTACTAAGGTAACTTCAAAGGCTGGAATCGTCTCCATGGCTGTGGGTAATTCTAGGTAGGTAGTACCTACTGGAACTACTCCATTACACGATTGATTTATGAGTATGATGACCTTGCGGGAACCAAGAAAGAATGCACATTTTTTTGATTATATATTTTCCCAAAAACTCATGCGACTTCCAATTTGACCTATGAAGCGTGATGGAATTAAATCAATAGACAATAAACCAGTGCATAGAATGAATGTATCAACCTGCTTTCTGTACATGTCCCACCTGCTCTGGATGCCGCCAGTGCCAGTTTTGCCAGTACCTATCGTTCTCCTGTCGTTTCTTCCTTAACGATCCCGACCCAAGTCTCATGTTTGCTGAATATGGGTCAGCCATGTGGCCCATATCAGTCAATTATGTTCAAGTTGACTTCCAGGTGTATACCGTTCACCTTCTTTCTTCCACTCTTTCATTTGGTGGGTTCGAATGGCTTCTGATGAAGTATCCAAGACCACAAACAAAACCCTTAAGATTTGTTACTCAGTTAAAAGGCATTCTGTGCATCAATTGCCTTCTTATACGTATCATATGGCGTGATAGTTCCCAGAGAACGGCGCATGTGCGCATTCAGGATCTCCAGCCCATAAACGTAGCTGGCGTTGACCCATCCGAAACTATACGGGGATGTGTTAGCAAAAAGCACAGATAAGCTCAAGAATACATAGAATCGACTTACCCTTCACGTGGTGCACCCTTGAAATCAGTGCCTTGGTTGCCATACTCGGCATCCACGCGGTGTGGATCAATCGGCCGTGTCACATCATACTTCTCCACAACAACACCATTGAAATCGACAAATGCCTTTGTAATCATGTACAGCCACTTGTATGCCAATCTCTCTGCTTCATCTTGGTATCCGTAGCGCAGGAATCCAGTCCAAGCGAGCATCTGCTGGGGTGCCCAGCCGTAAGGGTAATCCCACTGTCGGTTCGGTCGCTCCAAACCGACGGGGCCTCGAGACTCTTCTGTGCCCGAGACAAGGCCACCGAAGTTCTCAAATCGAGGAAGAGCCTTGGAGACCATAACGGCAGCTTGTGCTGGTGTCGCAAGACCGGCCCACATGGCCCAGAAGGTAGTTGCGGTCTCATACTCCTTGCGCTCCTTCTTCACAGTATCGTAGTCGAAGAACATTCCTTTCTCTTCGCTCCAACAGAGCTGATCCATCTTCTGCTTACGCTTGCGAGCACGACGGTCCCAGACAGCGGAAGTCTCAAACTCAACATTTTGAGTTTGGGCTGTTCTGAATTCAACTGGGATATCCAACTTGTCCTTGAAGTGGGTTCGAATCATGCGTGCAATATCAACCTCATACTTGTAAAGCAGTGAGTTAAGATCGACAGTAGCTAAGTTTGCGCACACTCGCTCAAGACGGTAGCTAGTATCGTGACCAGACTCACGCACTGCTCGGTCATGCAAGAAATATTCATCCAACTCAGGCTCGACGACCTGACGAGTATTGTATGCCTTGACAAACTCCTGGAATGTCATTCCGTGCTTTTCAGCATAAGGGTTGAGGATATGAGTGAAATGAGTAGGCTCAGTCTCAGGTGGCACGCCCCATCCCTGAGGACGGTATCTCGAAAGCCCTGTAGCTGGGTCAAGACGTGGCTTACAAGCCCAGACACTGTGGTATTCCTTGATAGCAGCAAGGGCTGCATTTCGAAGGAACTCCTTGGAATCCGGCTCTAATTTGATGCGCTCATAGACGCGAAGTGCCATATCAGTCAGGAAGGGAGGCTGAGAGCGAGTCAGGTAGTAGGTTCGGTTGGCGTTGAGAATCTTTCCGTAATGCTTAATCTCGAAACAGAAGTTCGTAACCATGCCCTTGGCAAGATCAACTCGGTCGCTCACAAGGAGGCCCAAAGATTCCATATAACTATCCCATCCGTACAGCTCATTGAATCGACCTCCTGGTACAACGAAGGGAACACCTTGGAGATCTTCTTTCTGGGTGGTCTCGTTGATCGTCTTTTCCATGTCGAGTGCCAATAAGCCTGGCTTCTCTACAAGTTTCATAACATAATCCGGGGTAATATCGGCATCCAGCAGAAGTACTTCCAATCGCAATTTGGGGTTGGCCTCAGCGATCTTAGAATAGTATTCGAATTGCTCCGGGGCACCTGGGGGAATGTAGATGCGTGGTCTGGGGTCCGCAGTCCAATCCTTTGGGTCTCTTCCAGCGATCTCAATATTTGATCCATCAATACGTCGTGTCAAAGCTTTCCAAAACACGTTTTTGATTAATCGTGAGAGTCGGGATACCGGGTTTTCGCTGAGACGGGCTTCATCGAGCTCGATGTGCTTGCGACCATAGTCTTTCGCAATAGTAAGTTCCTGAAGCAAGTTGGAAAGCATGTATGTGCCACGCACGTCCACTCGGTTAAATCCAGATGAAGCTGCCGTTCCGACCGAAATCACCTAGTGGAGTTAGCAAGCAGTAGATCTATAAGTGGGCCATTTAGCGCACCTTTGGACCAAGATCCTCGATTGTGATTTGCATATTCTGGTCGGTATCCTCTTGTTTTAGGAGAGCTGCGAGGGTCTTCTCTACGTCGATAAAGAATTTGCGGGGGCGGCTTGCCTCATCTGCAAGGCGGGGTCAGATCTCCGGACTCACGAATCCACGTTGTAAAGCATACCTTGACTTCCTCGCCTCGAAGGCAAAGTACCCAGGAACTCATTGATATCTTCTCCACTGTAGGGGTTAAAGCTCTGTGAAGTTGAGATAAAATGAGATTAGCCGGAAGTCCGGGGCGTTGACGATGGTGGCTGCTTACCGCCGAGAAGGTGCGTCCACGACGAAGTCTCGCTAGAGACTCCTCGTTGCCATAGTAGACATCTGGGTTTGAGAAAGGATCAATGGAGCCCTGCCGTTGGGGGGCGTTTGACGAGCTCATGGTCCGGTCGTGCAGAGGGGGGAAATGGAGAGACACAATAGTTGAGGTGTCCGAGTGTGTGCGTAACGCAAGGCTGGTGTGTGTTTCCACACCGACTCTTTACACTTTTGTTATGCTCCTTTCCCGGGGTAAAGCTTCCAGAAGGAAAAGAAAAGGCGGGCCGTTGTCGTATCGATCTGCAGCGGGGAGCACTCCTACACAATTGCCGATTATTTGTAGAAGAGGCGATTGGCAGCAGCTCGGATTTGTGGTTGTAGGCAGGTGAGAAAGGGGCAACCTAGATGACGGATTCAGGTAGTCTCAGTTTCAATTGGATGCGGTGTACAGAGTATGAAGAATGTATGAAGTGGAGGAGCCGTTTGAAATCTGAGATATGTTGTGTGAAGTGGGATGGTCGGAATGACGGCATTCGAGCGATGATGTCGCCGCTCCACAGTGAAATCGCCTCCGATAAGCAGTGATAACAGGTCAAACCGGATCACAGAACAAAGATCAAAGCACAACGTTGTGTTTATTTAGGATACAGGATTTGATAAGAAACTACTAAAAAGCATTGGAGATTTTTTTTGGTCATGGTATCTCAATTCCGGACTAGGACAGGGGGTTCACAAAAAAGCAATAATAGTGTGGCTAGCCACTCATCGGAATGTCAAATCCAAATCGATATGCAATTATTTGCCCCGGACTCCGCAATCGGGGCCCCGGAATGTTGGGACCAAGGTGGGAAAAAAGGTAAAAAGAGTGAAAAATAGGGCGAAAGGATAAGAATAGACCACGCTATTGGATTATCTACAAACTATCTATTTACACAGCCCAAGGATGTGTTTGATCATCTGGCGCGTTTAGCGACCATCTTAAAGCTTGGCGGAGATTGAACTACCTCCGTCCACGGAGATAGTTGCACCGTTGATATACGCGCCCGCCCGGCTACTCAAGAACAAGCAAGCGCCGGCAACATCCTGTGGTGTTCCAATTCGTCCCAGTGGTACTCCATCCTTGATCACATCACCCATGGATTCGAGGGTGGCGGCCATCATCTTACTCTCGAAAGGACCGCAGGCCAAGGAATTCGAGCTAGATAAGGAAACGTTGGTTAGCATTGAACTGCAGTGGAGAGAATGATGAAACAAAGTATATGCAAGGGGAAGAAGTAGAGCATCCTTACGTGATATTGCGTCTTCCAAGGTGATTTGCCAGTACCCGGCTCATGTGGTGCAGACCAGCCTTGCTAGTACTGTAGGCAAACGTCTCCAACGAGGGAACACGGAGACCATCCACACTTCCGATGTTGATAATGCGGGCGGGATCATTCGGAGCGGCCGCTTTCTCCAACAATGGGGTCACGAGCTGGGTAATATCGAAGACTCGGTGAAGGTTGAGGGTAAGGACACGGGTAAAGGCGGCGGTAGGATACTCGTCGTAGGGAGCGCCCCAGTTAGAACCGGAGTTGTTGACCAGGACATGGAGTTCTATCATTATTGAGATAGTTAGTTAGCGATCGGTCCAAGTATCAGATAAAAGCAAACCAAGATAACTCGATTGACTGACTGCTTTCGCGCTTTCCAAGCTCCTCTGCCAGCTTCTTGACGTCTTCATACTTGTAGAAGTCTGCAGTGATAGCATGTGCCTTGCCCTTGCCAAGCGCATTTAGCTCGCTAACAGCCTTCTCACCGGCCTTTGCATCTCGCGAAGCGATATAAACGGTGGCACCGTTGGTAATATATCCCTCCGAGATCATGCGACCGATACCTTTGGCTCCGCCGGTGACCAGCACCACTTTGCCCTGGGTCAAGTTAGCAGCTGAAATGACATCGTAACTTTGGCAGACATACCTCAACATTGAAGAGACTTTGTGCATCCATTGTAGTATTGTGAATATAGCACTTTAGCAGCCAACAAACGTGATTTGAATCAGATTTAATCACTCCCCCAAGCTCCTCCTCATTACACTGCATCATACCCGAGACCGAGAGGATGAGCCGAGGCACGATGATCGCATGACTAAGCACATGGCTATCCATACTAGTCCAAATCGGGACAGCACTTAGGGCAGCAAAATCAGGGTTTCGCGGGGCGATATTCCTACAGCGCGTTGTAGCTGCATTGACTCCAGCGTTGACTGTTATTTTTATCGCGATTTACACCTTTTATTTACTGATCCGGCTCTGGTGAATATACAACACAATGGACGAGCTACTATCAAAGCACCGCAAGGAACAAAAAGACTTGCAAGGCCGCATTACTCAAAAGAAAAAGTCCGCCACGAAGAAGACCCGCAGAGGCATCAATGATGATTGCGAGCGCATGCAACGAGAGCTTAATGAGCGACACCAAACAGAAATCGCACAACTAAATGGCGAACCACTTGAGCCAGTGGAAGCCCTAGAAGACCTCAACCTGGATGACGAAGCCCCCGCCGATATAGAATCGAACGAGAACAAGACACCTCAGGATGCAGAACCAACGCCCAACCCAGCAGAAGAACAACCTACTCAAACAAAGAAGCCCAACCGTCAAAAGGCCCGCCTAGCTCGTCGAGCAGCCGAGCAAGCTGCGGCGGCTGAAGCTGCAGCCGAAGAAGCCGCCAACCAAACAAATTATAGAGGCGACGAGAAAGAAGTGATGGACGCTGTATTCAAGAAGCTCGGTCTGAAGGAAATAGAAGTCAACCCAGATGGACATTGTCTCTATTCCTCTGTTGCCAAACAGCTAGACGATTCCGGACTCGGCTTGCGGCCGGACCCAAGCCGAATTGTTCTCCAGCCTACAACACAATCACGCATTGACACCGTTGCATCACCACAGCATGATGGCTATCGAGCCGTCCGAGCCGTGACGGCGGACTTTATCGATCAGAACAAAGACGATTTCGAAGCTTTTATGGAAGAGCCGTTAGATGTGTATACGCGGAAGATTAAGCTCACTGCTGAGTGGGGAGGGCATTTAGAATTGCAGGCGATAGCCCGAGCCTACGGTGTGGAAATTAATGTTGTCCAGAGTGATGGGCGAATGGAGAAGTTCGAAGCGAGCGACATGGACAGCTTTGATGAGGAGGAAAAGCGCAAGCGTGTCATTTGGCTGGCGTATTATAGACACTCCTACGGACTTGGCGAGCACTACAACGCTCTTACAAAACAATCTTGATGACACCGACCCGACTGCCGATTCATGTCCCCAGATATAGAAACTAGAATATTACAAAATATCCACAAATCCGTTTCAAGACCTACTTATTTATTTCAATTCCTCTTACCTTTCTATGTGTTTATCTCACATTTTTTGGTAGTTCAATCCTTGCGCAGAGAGCAAAAAATCTAGTTACGTCGACGCCAAATAGAAACTCTGTCATTGATGATGCCATTCTCACCCTGGGCTTTGACATGGGTCCGCTCTGGCTGCCAGTAGGCGACTCTTTCAAGGCCGGATTGACTTGGTGCGCGCAGCGGATCCTGCTTGACGACACCATTGACATATGGGATCTCTTCACCCGGGTGGCTCAGGTGTTCCACGTAGGCCTCCGAGGGTGAGGCCCATGGGGGTCCATTTTCTTTGGGGTCCTTGAGACGGGGAAACTCAAGGCAGATCAAGTTACCTCTGGGAGATGGAGCTAGAAGCTGGGTGTGGCGCAATGCCCACTTGGGACGAAGCGATGAGTCCAAGGCACAAAAGAACTGGATAATCGGTCAGAATATAAATCAAGCGCGGTTTGGTAGTAAGCGAAGGGAACCAAAGACAATTAAAGACAATGACCTCGATAAGAATGATGCAGGTACATCGGTAGCCCTGGATTATATGTATGAAAGGGGTTGGGTAGTAAGAAACAACTTACAGTATAGTCATAGACCAGATCGAATCCATTCCGTGGCACTCCAATGGTCTCAAGCCACGCATCATCGAAGAAGTCACCCTGTACAAAAGTGACCTTTCCCCGGCCAGTATTCTGGTCTCGCACACGGTACCAGCTGCGATTCTCTGTCTCCTCTTTCTTGCAAGCTTCGACAGCAGCAGAGCTATATTCCACGCCATATGTATCAAATCCAAAGCTAGCCAGTAGGAGCACATCGACACCTCTACCACATCCAGGAACTAAGGCTTTACGCCTGTAAGATTGGCCCTGTGCATCCTTCCCGATGGCGCTGCCAATGGTGCCGGTTTGCTGGGCCAACGTGTCCTCCAATGCTGGGTTGGGAAATCCCTCATCCCAGGGCAAGTTGTCACCTTTGTCCCAGAGTGAAGCCCAGCCCTCGACGTATTTGTCGCCCTTATATTGGGCCATTACGGCCTGCATCTCCTGCCGAGCTTTGGCATGTTGGGTTTGGGCACTCATTATGGATGGTTTTGTTTACCAATGCGGGGTTATAGCGGGCGATTGCAGAGACCGGGTAATGTTTATACCAAGGGGAATCGTGATCTTTGTGGTTTGAAGAGGGTTTGGAATATGCTGTTAGCTGATTCCAATTGAGTGTTAAACTGAAAGATTCAAGTCCTGGGGGTTTGAGGAGCTCACCGTCATTTCCACGCCACTTCATAGCGACTCGATCACTAGCTTATTAAGCACCTCCTTGCAGATGAGCGACCGTGCAAATCTACTATTTTCAAGTTTGCAATTCCTAGCTTCTGATGTCAGTTCTGATAATTTGAAGGAGCTGATCACATGTTATGTAGCAGGTAAAAAAGGCTGTTTGGGACCTATGCAATCATTGGCCCGTCTGTTTTGATGCAGATGCTAATGATGCAATTCATAGTGCATAGTATATGTTACACGTGCTCAATAAGAAGTAAAGTAAAGAAAGAAAACACAAGACCAAACCAAAACCAAAACTTTGAACCTTTTTCTTAATAGCTTACTACATCAAAGCTCTGGAGAACTTCGGCTCCAATATTGTGAGTTCTATATAAGATAGAGCCATGTATGGAAAAATCAGGCAACATCAGGCATCAAAATTACCTGATTCTGTGACCCCTGCGTGGCCGGCCCGCTAGTAGAGCCAAGATGTCACTGACAATCAATGATGAAGTGGGTTTCCACTATCACGCAATGCCAGAACTATAGATCTATAAAAGCCAAGCTGAGTCTATCGCGACCTTCGAAGTTCATCCGCTGCTGTATCCCATGTCATTCTATTCAATCTGGGGTTTCTTTTAACTCCCTCCACGTCGGCAATTGTCCGTCTTCTCACTCCCAAGGTTTATGCGGGAAGGCAACACAGCCATGCTCGACGATCACTGGTTCCTCTCATCCCTGACCCAAGGGGGTCACAATGAAAGCCAGGATTTGTACCTGTGATATTATTAGGTGCAATCGCCGTTCCGTTCTTCAGCACCGCGCAATAATCAGACAGCCTGGTGCCTTTTCCGCTTTCCCGATCAATGTCCTGCAGAGGGAGGGGGAGGTGCTGTAACATGGTGTGTGCCGGTCGCCGTCGGCCGCCCCGGTCACAGAAGTGATGTTAATGGTGGACCCTGTGATGATCCCCGAAGATCGTGATTCCTTAGAATACTACAGGCTGGATGAAGGTTTTCACTTGTCCCCTATCAAGTGAGACATAGAACTGCAATGCGAGGCAAAGAAAATTCTTCTGCCTTTCCATCCTGGAGCATCAACTAAGGATAGTGCCTGGCCGATCATCTCTATAACGAGATGGCCCCCGGATACTGCCCAGACTCGTGCCTGCTTTTTTGGTCCTCGAGTTGCCAAAACACGGGATCCACGCCTGCCCGCTATGGAGTCTGGTTGGTACATCGCTCGGCTCTTGGGGAATTCGGTTTTCCGGACCCTTGACGATCCCATCAGATTCTATTGTCTTGGCATAGCATGTATTGCTCGTTATCACTACTGCATTGGGTATAATTCTAGCCGCATTGGACCCCGTTCATTTGCCAGGCCGAGTGCGATAAAGCATTGCAACGCTGCAGATCGCCCGCTATAGCGTTTCGGAACATTCTATTGTTATCGATCTTCAGGAGATTGTTACAATTGTTTCATGCACACAAGGCTGTCGTCTGCCTCATTGGCGATCCCATGCCCACTTGGGGTATTCTGTTGAGAAAAAGAGTTTGGCTGCCCGAATCTCGTTCTGTTATCATTTTCTTTGCAAGTGATCTGATAACCCATTTCCTTCAAAATGAGCGACGATATGAGGAATTCACCAGCCAAATCCATTATACCACCACCTAGTACCGCGGAAAGCAATGAGCCAATATTTACTACGAACCATGAGGTTGAATCGGAAATACATCTTTCGGATGCTTACTCGCATGCTCCATCGCATATTTCCAGCATCACCGACGATGATCACGAAAAGAACCATGACCCCGAAATACCACAAATTGCTTTACCGCGCCAAAGCACTGAACTCGGCCCGCCAGTTGTGGTTCCACGATTGAGACGAAGGGGACTGCTCGGTCAATTTACTCTCGTCGCGGAGATCGAAAATCCGAGGACGTACTCTCGAGATATGAAGTGGTTTATCACATTCATTGTTGCATTAGCAGGGATTCTAGCTCCGTTGGGAAGCTCAATCTTCTTTCGTAAGTTTCATAAACCATATCGTATGCCATGCCCAGAAATAACGAGTCATGCTCGTACAGCTTCGCTTTCCCAAGTGTCCAAGGAACTGAACACGACCCCCACTTTAACCAACTTGTCGATCTCTTTATACATGCTTGCTATGTCCATTTTCCCTCTGTGGTGGTCCTCATTCAGTGAACGACTCGGTCGACGGACAGTCTACATAACTTCATTCCTTCTCTTCGTTCTTTTCAATGTTCTCTCCGCCATCTCTAACACCATCGGGATGCTTATCGTCATGCGAATGCTTATGGGTGGCGCATCTGCGTCTGTCCAAGCCGTCGGAGCAGGAACTATCGCAGACATGTGGGATGTCCAAGAACGTGGCCGTGCAATGAGTATTTTCTATCTTGGTCCTCTTTGTGGCCCTTTGCTGGCTCCCATCATTGGCGGTCTATTGGCTCAACGTTGGGGTTGGCGAAGCACACTATGGTTCTCGGCAGTCTTTGGTGCTCTTATACTTATCTTCATCATATTTGCCTTACCGGAAACATTGACTGTGCAAAAGCCCATTCTCCCTCCCGTCGATGAAGATGAAAACGATCCTATCAGTCGACCTCTGAGCCGTGTGTCAACTCAGCAAATGGTAAAGTCCACAGCAAGGTGGCTCAAGTTCCTGAAGATTAGCTTCATCGATCCTCTCAAGATTGTCTCTTACTTGCAGTATGTTCCAGTACTGTTGAGTGTATATTATGGTAGTATCGCATTCGGCTCTCTCTTTGTGTTGAATGTCAGTATCGAAGATACGTTTGGTAAACCGCCATACAACTTCAGCACCATCGTCATTGGCCTGCTCTATATCCCGAATTCCTTGGGTTATTTCATAGCCAGTGTTTTTGGTGGACGATGGATGGATAGCATCATGCAGCGTGAAGCAAAGAAAGCGAATCGCTACGACGAAAAAGGAAGACTGATCTTCCACCCGGAGGATCGTATGCGCGAGAACGCTTGGCTCGGTGCTTTTCTCTACCCTGCTGCTCTTATCTGGTACGGTTGGGCGGTGGACAGGGGCGTGTTCTGGCTGGCTCCGGTATGCCCATACCTTGCCCATTTAATTTCGCTTATGTCTGGCGATGCTAACTCTCCATCATAGATGATTGCCAATTTCTTCTTTGGCATCGGCTCAATGTTGATTTTTAGCATGGTAACCACCATGCTCACTGAGTTTATGCCCAAGAAGTCCTCCATCGGCGTCGCCCTGAACAACTTTGTTCGAAACATATTTTCTTGTGTGGGATCACTCATCACAGCGCCGCTCATTGGTGCCATTGGAAATGGCTGGCTCTTCACTATCCTCGGGATAATCGGCTTTGCAAGCGGCTCCGTCATTCTTTTTATGAAAATTTATGGCCCTCGATGGAGACTCAAGATGGATGAGCACATGAAGTGATCCTCCATGAGAAGATCAGCATTCTGCATTTTTAGGCGTTCGACACTCATTATTGTTTGCACTACTTTGGAAGATGCCCATGTTCATGATGATAAATATCGATACTTTCCAGGTCTCGCACATAAGTTTGATGCGATCGTACATCCATATTCATATTTTGTCTACAGTCGTTCCTTCGTTTGCCTTTCTTTCCCTGGCGGTGATGCCATTTCTTTCTGTTTCGGCCTGGCGTTTCTCGAGCGATGAAACCTCATATTTTACTTGCGTCTTGAATAATACCCCAGTTCAACCTGTGTTGATGCCATAGTGCACTGCCGCGGACTTCGAGTATGACAAGATTTTACATATTCTATAAACAGTACCTAGTCTATGACCCATCTCTATCCTTACTTGTATAAGAGCATCCACTGGTGCGTTTTATGATCAGACCTTGTCTGCACGACCCATCAGGCCCATTTCTGGGGCACCGAGTCCATCTACCGAAGCCCCGCAGCATCATGCGATGAAACTCAACCCCATCTACCAAGGCTTCGAAAGATGTGCGAGACTACGAGCCCCTTCATTTCTAAGGAAATACATCAACAGACAAGGTTCATCTTACCCCTCAATTTGAAATTGTTAGTATCCTCTACAGTAGGACCCGGACAAGATGATGGAGCCCACATTCTACGATGTTTCGAGTTCCTCTACTGGGGATATCTCTACTCGATAGAATTCACCACAAGATAGGACGAGTGGCGAAAGTCCTATGTGGTTACTGTTTTGTTTGCATGTTTACATAGCCAAACCACTTTCCCAGCCACCATGAATTATGATGCCCAAGTCCACGGGTGTTACTTTTTATTGGCATCCATGATGTAATTGTACCTGCAATCGAAAATTTGATGATAGAACCAGTGTAGTGGCCTTCTCGAAACATCAAGTTATTTTTCGTTGCACCAATTAACAAAAGTTGGCGTCATGGAAAATTTAAGAATGGAACATTTGAAGGAAGGACTTCGCGAAGAATGTGTGGGGAGGCTTGGCGTAGAAGAATGCAAAGTTAAGATTAAGGCAATATCATCTAGGGAGAGTAAAATAACTGTGACCTCACAAAGCGTCTCCTTCGAAGGGACCGGGTGTTGCGAATAGCTCAGCATCTACTATTTAATCTCCCTCGTACGCTTGACTTTGGACAATCAATTCGCTCTACATCTACAGCACAATACTTCATACGATTCAAGTTATTCAAAAAAAAAACCTCAAGACATTTCCGCCTTTACAATCAAAAAACTACCATAAAAAACCGTCGCAATGTTGACTCTACAATCCATATCGTTTGTGCTCCTCATGCTCTGTGGCACTACAGTATGTACTACTTCATCGACCTGAAATTCAATCTGCAAATATCTAACAATACCAAGATCAGTATGCCATTGGCAACCCCATCCTCATCCATTGGAACAGAGTCGATGAGAGGCGCTAAAGTATGTACTCCAACCTTCGAGTTAACATGGAATCTACAAGTACTAACAGTTCCAAAGATCAGCACGCCCACTCCATCCCCATCTACGGGAACTGAGTCAATGAGAGTCTCTACAAACCATCTCGCCCAAGTGCAAGATGTCGCAAACAAATACCAGTCAGCTCGACATGAATGCATGACCCAGGAGGGTACAGCAGAAGACAGCGTCGCCAGATATGAAGATACACAAGACGTCGGTTCTGATTTGGGCTGCTTTGCTGGGTGTGTGGGATATAAGATGGGCGCTATAAATGAGGGTGGAGGATTCAATGAGAAGAATTGGGTAGATCATGTTTCGCAAATCGATGATGCGGAAGAACGGAGAAGACTTTGGTATGAGGGAAGTATTATGTCTCACTCGGTTAATGGAATGAACCGTTGTGATACTGGTAATAAGTTGGCGAGGCTTTCGAAGGAGTTCTCTAAGCCACCTAAGGAGCAAAACCTGGAATCCGTTTGAGAGCTGGGCTCTAACTGATGGATGATTATCTCCGCCGTTTTTCTTGTTAAAAAGGACATGGATTGAGATTTTACTGGTTTGACTGTTTATCAATTGGCTTTTTGTGGATCAATTGCTTTGCTATTATGAGTTATGAGCTTCCTTGGTATCAGTTCCAAGTCGGCATTGATGTTCGCGGGATTATGTATTATCATGAAAACCATGTATGACTGTCATTGTTCAAATTGGATCACTTTTTTTTTCATTGAAATTGAACAGCCGTGCTTGAACCCTATTGCAATTGAAGAGAGGATCGACATTGCTACAGTTTTATGAATTCGATGTCTGCTAGGTTCGTCCCTGCTTTTAGGATGTCGTTCACTACATCGGCAGATTAAAACCCCGCCAAAGAATGTATAGCCGACTGAACAGAGTTATGATATGTGAAGGGCAAAGCACCAGTCTCAGCCTGATCATGTACCCACTATGACGAGAATTCAGGCCTGCTGTGTCTTTCAACCATGAGATACGTAATATGCCCCTTGTACGTTGTATGTGATTCATGTTTGTTGATCTTCAGAATTGGGTTCATAGTGGCTCCTCTACGGAATAAACAGGAGATTTAAACCTTCCATGTACATACAATTTGTATACCTTACAGAGCAAGGCAACCAATGGGACTGATGTCACCTCATATCAGCAAACGAACCCCTCAATAGCCTGCAGATCAGGAATCAAGCGGGGGAATTTGGAGGTTACACAGTTATTCGGAGCCATGCAGGCTTTAGAACCGGAGGGATTCGTCATCTGCAGTAGTGGCACGCGCTAGTTGGACTTATGTACACTGGCGAGAGGTTTGAGATTGTTGTTGTTTCCCCTCTAACCCCCCATATACACCGGGAAAAGGGTCCAGGGACCTATTATCCAATCGAGACCGAATTTAGAAACTTTATGATAAGCATTTTGGGGGGAAAGTGAAAGTCTGATAAGTCTTATTGATTTGTATTAACTATCGTTTCCATTATTCAATGCCTAGTTTTCTTCTATGTTGATCAACATTGGGCTCCATCTAGATGTCGGCTGCCCGAGCGCCCGTGAAATCTCCAAGGAGACTAGATCCTCTCCTTGGGTTTCAATATAGACTGATTGTGATGGATTAATTCAAAGGTACGAAGAAGGGGTTATGGTACATTGCAATCAGTTATTAATAGACGTAGATGTACAACAGACTAGATCCTTAGTGATCTAATTGACGTGGTTAGGCATGGCGGATCCTGCAAAGAAAACATGGGACCGAGAATGCTCGACCTAGTTTCCCAAAATACTTAGGCGTGACTGTTTTAGATAGGACTAGACTGATTGTCCATTGCACACGTTACAAATGCATTGCGACCAGAGAGTATGCTATAGTTATTGCGAGTAATTAGCGACTGCCGAGAACATCACCACTAGGTTTCATCCACGCCAGACTAAGGATGACAAGGATGCTCGGTCTGTCTTAGGGCGCTGGAAAGCCAATTGACTCTATTTTAGAATATAGCGAGGTTTCAAATTAGTTTGAGGTTGTTGTACGGCGTATATAGACATACGAAAGACAAGCGGGTGGTTTCCATGGGACACCGTCGGGCCGCCCCGTGGCAAGAACAACATGGTAGATTTAGGTGGCGCTGCATCCCGCTGGATTAGGATCTGTAAGACCGCAGATGAGTCCATTATTGGACACATGTTCAAAGACCCGAGTTCCAAAGTAGAAAGTAGTTCAATCAGATAATGCGATAAACGAACTGGAAAAAAGAAGAAGCAAACGAATCAATCCAAAGTGAGGCGTCACCTGATCCCCTCCAAGTTCCACAACCTGCGATATTCAGTTCAGGCTACGGAATCTTCTCCTGCACAATGCATCGTGGTGCATGATGACTCAAACCTCATTCCAACTGTGTGCGCCCTTGCTGCTAACCAACATAGACAACTTCATGCTGTCCTATTCACATGGGTTTGTGTTGTTGTTTTTTTTTCGGTGGTGGGCGACGATGATCGACCTTTGCTGAAGTGTCGGTGTCGGAGAGTGGGGTCTTGATGACTACACGACTCGACTCCATCCACTTCATTTCCGCCTTTTGGTGTGAGTCAATGGGCCAAAAAAAAGTTGCCCGAGGAGTGTGTCAAGTCCTCCGTAGTGTCTCCAGTGCCGGGTCCTTTTCGAGCGTGATCCTCGTCACTTTGTTGCCTCCCCGCAGCGCCAGGCTTGCATCCTATCTGCCGCCGTTACCGGGCGCGTTGGGCAGAAATGAATTGCTTTCGACTGCATCACTTTGAATCCAACTTGCCGGGCAGTCTTGGAAGACTATGCCCCCCTGGGTACACTGCAGACGCTTTTTTTCGGTGTGGCTTCTTAGAGACCACTCGATTTCTTAGTGACCCACCCTGGGTTCGGATCCATTTTTCCCCCACCCCACGGCGTGGGTGCCCGTGTGTTTTTTTTTCTGTCTACTCGTATACAGCGATGGCAAAAAAAGGCAAAGAAGTCAGCAAGCAACTCTAGAATAGCACAAAATTTGAATTGATAGAAAATTTGTTGGTGCCACCCACCCCCACTCAGTATTTTCTCTGGCGTTACGATAATGCCTTACCTATCTCGGGTATTGTGTTTCCTGATTCCCAATCCGATTTTGCTGTGGGATGCTTGCTGCAGCTTCTCCCTGCAAAGTGGAGCCTGTGCTGCTCTCACCCGGCCCTAACCAAGAAGCGGACCTCATTGATTCCCCAATGCCAGACGACTCCTGTATGGATACCAAATGCGACGTGGTCCAATGGTGTGCCCGACCATCAGATAGTTCGTTAATGACGTTCAAGGGCCCAATTACCGCAATTGCAGCGATTTGTTATTGCCATCCACCCTGGGGGCCGGACGAACCCTTATACGCTGCCTCACCATGACCGTCCAATTGTAATTTCTTTTGTCACCAGAGAAACAAGCATATGCTTCTTACCTTTTCCGCTCTCTAATACAGCAGTACTCTTCCCGTCTCTCGACTTATCGACTTTCCCAACGCCATATTTTTGTCTATTCTTTTCTTACTGTTCCAAAGTACCCTTGCATCGAGCCCGACTGTGTCTTGTCAATCTACCATTCTTCCGTTATTGTCTCATCACGCGCCACTCGGAATTGTCCAACCTGTTTTAATGATACGTCATTAAAACCCCGAGGGCATGGCTAAGAAAAAGAATAAGAGTAACAAGAAGGCCAACAATAATACTCGCGCCCCCGCCGGAACTTCAGCACCAGACCCTGACACATCCGATATCAAAGAAACTGAGGTTGCCGTCGAGCCCCCGGCTGTAAGTCCGGAAGATGCCCCCGGTGCCGTACAAGTATGCAGCCATTTCCCCATTTCAGTACCAATCGGTACAGATTCAATATCAAACATATGATTGGGAAAAATCCCAATTTGCAAGTTATACCATCAATGATTCGACCGAACGTCTGACGGGGGGCAATGATCAGGACAACAAAGACCCCAGCACCGACGAACCAAAAGAAGAAGCACCAGCTGCCGAAGCACCAGAACCACCAGTAGATGAACCTAGCCCACCACCAACAGATGGCTCAGAGACCCAAGAATCTTCGGGTAAGTATCATCATGTCATATCCTATATATGATCATGGTAAAGGGGTATCGTACATAAGAATAGTCACTCACTTGAAGAACAGAATCAACAGAGGCATCAACTCCCGCCGAGCCAGCCGATGCTCCTGATGCAGCAACCGCAGATGCCAAAGAAGAAGGCGCAGATGCGCCTGCTGGTGACGAGCCTGCGCCGAACGCAGAGGGCGAAGCACCGGCAGATGAAGCCCCTCAAGAGCCTGCTGCGGAGAGTGCAGGGCCAGAGCAAAAAGATGAAGATGCTGCACCAGCGGAAGATGCCCCACCAGCAGAAGATGCACCGCCAGCCGACGATGCACCACCAGCAGCAGAAGATGCCCCAAAGAATGACGGTGGAGGAAATGGTAACAACAACCCTTAACTCCTATTATCATAACTCAATTTTATTGTTACTAATATTGCAAACAGACGAAGATTTTCCAGACTGTGACCCTGAAGATGGAGCAGATAAGGTAGAGGCTGAGAAAGAAGCGGCTGCAAAGCAAGCGGCTGAAGATGCCGAGGCCGAGGTCACTAAAGCGGAGGAGCCCTCTGGTGACGCGGATAGTGCCAACCCTGATGTACCAGCGGAGGAAGCACCTGCTGAAACGTTCGAGGATGCTACACGTGAGGGTGAAGCTGAGAAGGAGAAAGACGCATCAGATCCTCCTGCCGAGGCCGAACCCCAACCAGAAGAGCCCAAGGCTGAAGAACCGCCAGCACCGAGTGAGCCCGAACCGCAAGCAGCAGAGGAGCCAGAAGAGAAACAAATGACAAGTGCCGAGAAGAAAAAGACCAAAAAGAACAAGAAAAAGAAGAAGGGTGGCAAAGGAGCCGATGCGGAACCTGAACCTACACCCCCTGCCGAAGCAGCGCCTGAACCTGAAAAACCTGCTCCTGCCCCGGCGGAAGAAGCCCCAACCGAGGATGTTACTCCTGAACAGCCACCGGAGGAAACACCTGCAGAGGAAAAGGCGGAAGCTGTAGAGCCTGGGCCTGAGCCATCCGTCGAAACCACGACAGAAGAATCTGGAGATGCTCCGCCAGTAGCAGAGCAAGAAGCTCCAGCAGAAAGCGAAAAGGAACCGGAAGCTTCAGCAGCGGAGCCAGAAAGTCCACCAGCTGAAGAGACAACTGCAGCTGAGGGTGCTCCAGAGGAAACCCCAGAGGCCGCGCCAACTGAAGCTCCCGTTGAAACACCTCATCCAGAGCCTGAAGAGGCTGCCACACCTGAACCCGAAGCCGTACCTGAGGCCGAGCCGGAGGCAACCTCTGAGCTACCCGCTGATACGCCTGCAGAAGAATCTGCGAAGGACATTGAGACTCCTGAAAGTGGTACTGAAGCTGTTGAGGAGCCTACGCCAGAGCCAGCAGCACCAGCAGAAGAGCCTGCCCCAGTACAAGAGGAATCGGCCAAAGAGGCTGTACCTGAAGAAACTGCTGTTGAGGAAGAGCCAACCGAGGAGCCACATGCTCCAACAGAAGAAGCACCAGGCGAGGCAGCGGTAGAAGAGCTAGCACCTACCGAGGAACTGGCTTCAGACCCTGCACCGGAAGAACCTTCACCTACAGCTGAGGAGTCTGCCCCGGTCGAGGCCGTTGCTGAGGAAGCCCAGTCTGCTGAACCTCCTGTTGAAGAGCCTCCAGCTGCTGATTCAGTACCGGGGGAACCTGCAGGTCCAGAACCCGAGGCGCCTGAGGAAACCCCAGCGGAAGCGGCTCAGGACGAGCCTGCTGCTGAGGTAGAGGAGGCTAAGGACATGTCTGTGGAAGAGCCGCCAGCTGAGACTACTCCGCCCGCTGAAGAGGCTACTCCTGCAGAACCTGCCTCTGAAAAGCCACCTGCAGATGTGGCGCCCGCTGAAGAACCAGCACCTGTCGAGGAACCGGCCCCCGTTGAAGAACCGGCACCTGTTGTTGAAGAACCAATACCCGTCGAGGAACCCTCACCCGTTGTCGAAGAACCGGCACCTGTTGAAGAACCAACACCCGTTGAGGAACCCACGCCTGTTGAAGAGCCTGCACCTTTCGAAGAACCTGCACCTGTTGTCGAAGAACCCGCGCCCGTCGAAGAGCTTGCACCTGTTGAAGAACCAACACCCGTTGAGGAACCCACGCCTGTCGAGGAACCAGCACCTGCCTTTGAGGAACCGGCACCCGTCGAAGAGCCTGCACCTGTTGAAGAACCGGCACCTATTGTCGAAGAACCTGCGCCCGTCGAAGAACCGGCACCTGTTGAAGAACCGGCACCTATTGTCGAAGAACCTGCGCCCGTCGAAGAACCGGCACCTGTCGAAGAACCGGCACCTATTGTCGAAGAACCTGCGCCCGTCGAAGAACCGGCACCCATCGAAGAGCCTGCACCTGTTAAAGAACCGGCACCTATTGTCGAAGAACCTGCGCCCGTCGAAGAACCGGCACCTGTCGAAGAACCTGCACCCGTCGAAGAGCCAGCCCCCGTTGAAGAAACGGCACCTATTGCTGGGGAACCGGCACCTGTTGTCGAAGAATCAGCACCCGTTGAGGAACCGGCACTTCTCGAAGAAGCTCCTAGAGGAGTTGCTCCAGACGAGCCACCGGCACCACTAGAGCCCTTAGTACCCGTGCAAGTGCCGCTCGTAGAGATTGCACCAGAAGAGCCAGTCGAAGAAAGCCGTGAATTCGACGAAACCGCCGAGGCCCCAGGAAGCAAGGACGAAGGACGTCGTCGCAAGAAGCGTCCATCAGGAGATCGCGAGCGACGATATTCCAAGACATCCTCAGATGGACAGAAAGGTCTTCAACGCCAAAAGAGCGAACGCGGCGTCTTCACAAACCGATGGGCCAAGGCTCTAGATGAGGCCAAAAAGCAATACGAGGAGAAGAAACGTGCCGATCAGCAAGTTCTACGAAGCAAGGCTGCCGTTGAAGCTGACAAGGAACGAAGTGGAGTCTCTACAACGTCTGAGAAGAAGCCTAGACGCTCTTCAAAGGACAAGGAGCAACCAATTGTCGAAGTCAAGCCGAAACGAAGTCCTTCCTCAAAGGAACCAAGTAGCAGTCGTTCATCCAAACCTCCCCCATCTTCTAAACCGAGTTCTTCTGCTCCGACCAAGCAGCCTCGCCACTTCCTCAAGTATATGAATAATGGGGAATCAGACAATTTCAAACCTCTTGTTCGTGTTAATACGTCAAAGTCTTCGGCACCATCTTCTGACCGACCTCGTCGTGCTTCGACGGCTCAAAGCCATGGCAGCGATGAGAGGAAGTCTAGTAGTCGATCCAATGGTTCTGGCTCTGGTTCTCGTCGTGAAGAGGAACCTGCTCGTCCGGAGAAAGAAAAGGAGAGGACAAGAGAAGAGGGGAGAGAGAAAAAACCTCGCCGACGTTCTCGTGAAGAGCCTGAAGCTAGTAGTAGCAAGCCTCGCGACAGAGAAAGAGAGAGGGAACGAGAAAGGACCGAAGATGGAGAGAAACCTGAAGGCGCTCGCCGACACCGTCGACACAGACGTGAACCCTCCCCAGTGAAAGAATCCAAGGTGAGGGGGTTTTTCAGAAGCATCGCTGCTCATTAAGTTAGACCTGTTTGATTGATTTTTGTACTTCGACGCCGCGCCTTCGGGATACTTTATGTGTGATGACGGATAGTTTGGTAGAGTTGATCCCATTTGTGTATGATCATGGTTATTGCATGAGGAGCGATGCATTGCTGGAGTACTTTCTGCTTTATTTTTGTCTAACAAGACTGGCCTGCATCCATGAAGTTGTTTTTGTTCACATATTCTGAAGATCACATTGATTGATTGCTTTTTTTCGCTCGAGTTCCAAATTGTCTACTAGTAAGCGCTTAGTCGTTCCAAGAAAAGGAATTGCAAGGATATCAATGCATTGCAGTGAATTTCATTACCAACTCTTCATTCATTATTCCCATAATACCGAATAGACTTAACTCTCGTGTTTATAAAAAGATCATGGATATCATTCGAATCATTATGGCTAAGATTAGGATGCAGTATCACTCAAGAATTAACCCGATCCAACCTCAGTCTGCGCCGGAATAATTCTAGAACACCACCCACACCAAGCACGATGCGAACCACACTCTTCTCGAACAAGATACTTCCCCGTCTCTCTCTCATCCTCATACTCAACAACACAAGCACCAACCATAACCCTCTTTTTCGACTTATGTTTCACAACACCCCCCAACCCAATAACCTCCTGTCGAAAATACCCCGGCTCTTCATCATCATGACTATCCGACGAAACAAGCTCATGATGATAGTGCGACGAAGCAGAGACAGAAACAGAAGCAGATCCCGCAGCAGATCCAGACGGATAATATCCGGGACTATGATGCCCAGTACTACTCGTATCACTCGAGCTCTCATCAACCTCACAGTCAACCTCTAGTTCAATTTCTTTCGCGGCAAGACAAGTCTCGCCACGCCCGCATTTTACGCCTTGGCTTCCTTCGCCGATTCCTGTTCCAAGGCCTCCGCCTAGATATGTGCTGTAGCGGGTTCGCCAGGCCCAGACACGGCGGTAGGTTGTATCATTGCTGCGGAGGGTTTGGCCACATTGTACGCAGAGCCAGACGGCGTCGGAGCAGTTGCATATGTTTTGTTTTAGGGTGGCGGCTTTTATGCCCTCTTCGCGGAGATCGGGAGAGGTATCATTATATGATGTATCGGGTATGAGGTGGTCGGAGAGAGGGGCGGCATTGCATGTGCGACAGAGGCGACGGATACGATCTTTCATGGCTGTTTGGGAGGGCGGTTTGATTGTGCAATTCTATACAGAAAGAGAATTAGTCACTGTTTCTTTTTTCTCTCTCTCTCTCTCTCTCTCTCTCTCTCTTTTCATGGTCAGTCGATACTCACTCTGCAGACAACCTTGCTGCAACGTCGACACTCGCCTACCATGTCGCGTGCGCATCTGCCCACTTTCCCGCGCGTCATACGGCCTGAGTCTGAGCTCCCTTGGCTCAGTAGTTTCAGTACCGATTTAACGCTGCTGGGAATAGCGGTCCCAGCATCTAGCATCTCCGCGACCGTCTCGATATACTCGTTTTCGCAGCGGAGAGTCTCTCGCACCAGCTGGTGTCGAAAAGGCGCGAGGTTCACGTGGAATTGGCGACATGTTCGCGATAAAGCATGCAAAGTGTTGAGATCGATTGCTCGAGCGATTTCCTTGACAACGCTATAGTACGAGAAAAATAATTAGCTGATGAAAGACAAGGATGCCCAGGATATATGGGCGAGCGTGGATGTTCTATTCGTGAACGTACGGGTAACAACTCAGTGCCGCAGAGAAGGCATTCCGGTTGGGATATACCGCTACCTGAGTCTCCGCGTCATGCTTTGGGTTTGAGCCCGAATGCGAGCATTGTACGTCGCGATCATCATCTAATGAAGTTGGTGAAGGTGGGAAGTCGCCGGAAGATGATTCTGTAGCCAGTGGAGCGACCGTCAGCTTGGGCGGGAACGGCTTCCCCAAGGGGATCGTAGAGCCGGGATGCTCGGTGAAGGCATCGTGGTCCAAGTCCAAGTCGACGAACACAACCATGCTGCTGCTGCCATCTGAGGCCTCTCGGATGAATCAGCACATCAGATAAGATGGGAGATCTGCCCGGTGGAGTTGGGCTTTTATATGGGTTCAGGTTTGACTTGTGCCGATTATTGGTACTGCTGGATCTGCTACGGCTGTCTTGTTCCGAGTGGGATGATTGTGGAACTGAGGGGTTTGAATGCTCCGTCTTCGGGGAGAGTGAAAAGTCTGATTGGGGTGACTAAAAAGAAAGGGAAATAGAAGTAGAATAGAGGTCTTCTCTTCTCAGCAAGGGAGAAGATGAAGTGAGGTTATTCCCAGGATTTCCCCGCTTCTTGTTCCTGGCCCCTTCCAGTACTCGTATTGGAGCTTGATCCGGTTTTTGGCACGATAAGATAAGAAACACCTGCGATAAGCGCGATAAGTGTTGTATAGTGTGGAATGCGATCAACTTGAATGTTCTTCTATACTTGTTTTCAGGGCCATATACATCATAGCATTACTCAAATAAACACCATATTTACGGCCAAATCTCCCTCTATGGCCACTAGAACCCTGGAAAGAGTATGGGGTAAAAGAAGACACCGATAGTCTAAACATGCTAGGGTAGGATTCGACAAGAGCAGATGATTTTTATGTATACCTAATTTCGGCAATAATGTCCCTTATCTATGCCCTGGTAGTTTACTTAAAATTAGTTTCATTCGCTGTTAACATCTCAGTTTTATGGCGCATGCAGTGGTCGTAAGCTCCCAATATTTGAAGAACCTGTTACCGACTCAACGGTTATATTGGAGGATAGTAATGCACTCTCCACCGGTGATTATCCGGTCTTGGCAGTGTACCCGCTTATGAATCAGCCATTTACCCTGGAGCCTGATGATAATGCAGGCAAGAAACAAATACATCCCGTGCCAATCAACGCCAACAGATACATTAAATCAGGATTCTGATCATCTTCTCCGGGTTTCAAGTATGCGTACACCACACTCGCACTCGGTCCTCCAAACGATGCAGAAGTAGTACAATTTGTAAGGATTTCCACAAATGAGATCATCCGGGAGATCAGGTTTGATCGAGCCATGTGGTGCCGATACCGTGTGATGTGAGACAAAAAGAGATTAGGGGTCTTACAACGATTCACAAGATTCCCGCTGTAGGACCCGAAGGAGCCCTAAGCAGGCAGCTAGCTCCTGCTCGCAACCGTCGTAACGTTCAACTTACTCAGGATTGCATGCCCGTTGGCTGGAAAAAGGTCACGAAGAAGCCTTGCATGCAGTATTTAGTCCGCAAAGCCCCTTAATCCCACCTTGACCTGGACCTGGACCTCGACAGGACCACCATAAGATTAGTATCATCATTACTACGTACTCCTAGTGGGAATTTCTCACCGAATAAACCGAGACTTAACCAGTTCCATAAAGGTTACTCCTTAACGAACTTGACAAATCCTGATGTCCACAAAGAGAATAGGCTACCAGATCCCCGGAATACAGCTGGCTCGCAAAGGCATTGGTAAGCGAAGCCAGCCGATCTGGAGCTCCATCTCCACCTGAAGAAAGAGAAAATATCGTTTAAAAACATTGAAATAATAAAATGAAATAAAAAACCAACATATTGTATATTGATTATGTTCATTAGTATTTCCTCTTCTTATTCCTCCTCCGCGGAGTCCCAAATAATGATATGCGAAGGAACACCGAAGCATCCCCACTCCTACCCGTCTCCCATACCAAAGCGAGTATTCCCTCCGTCTCCCAACAATCAACAATCCACTCCCTCCAACTTGAAAATCTTTACTCCCAAGGACCTATGTCCCCTTTCCCCTCTTCTTCCCCCTAAATCAAGTCATTCCCCCGAAGAGCCTCGTGACACTCGAGCCACCCATGCGTCTGAGTCCGCTACCCCCTGATCGACACGGCACCTCCACAGGTTAAATGAGCCTGATCGATTCGAGACGGATCGGCCCTTGAACTGTTACACGAAGGAGCCTATCAGGGGTTCGCTTTGTAATTGTTACGGGAAATAGCACCCAGTGCGCTTTACATTAGAATGAAATTGTGGGCTCTTATCCGAACGGTTTTCTAGGAGGATTTATGCGTGTAATTTTCGGCATAACTACTGTACTTTATGATTATGGATATTACATTTACATTGCTTCGTAGTGGTCAGCTCAGCTCCGAGTCCAAATCCATATGGCTACTTTCCCCGCTCCGGGCGCACACAAGAATCCAACCAGTCACAGCTCGTCTTACACATTCCAGAATAGGAAAGTAAACTAAAGTATGTATTATGCATGGTTGATTAACTTCTGATACTTATGGACATTAAAACCCGGGCTCCGAGACCTACATAGTAGAATGCGCGAGCTGAGCATGCACATGTGCACAGCACCAGTCGACCTTGTATTCCTCCAGCCGCACCACCAGCACCAACCACACGTAAATGCAATAGGTCGCCTAATCCTAGCGACCTCGGGACATGCATACACCACAGCCAACATCCCTGCCAATGGCGTTTGTACTAACGTCTAGACCGAGATTCGGGGGAAGTCATGTTGGCCGAGTCGGCCGCATCAATCAATCATATCACCTCGCACTTAGGTACGTAACTTAACTTTGGATTTTAAGTTAAGTTCAAGTTCTACTTATTCGCACCCTCCATTTACCATTTACTCTATATGGTCTTTCCCCTCTTGTCTTACCCCAAACGAAGGATTAGATATTCGAAGGATTCAAACAATGCACCTCTCCACGTGGATCAAAATCGAAAATCTTCTTCATATCCGGATCTCTGCCGTTATTGTGTTGTTCCCTTCTCCCTTTCCACTTTCCTAACTTTCTCCTTCCACTATCTCGGGCCCTAAGTGTACATAGTGTCCAGTGCGGTCGGTCGGTCGGTCGGTCGGTGGAGATGCCGGTCCACACCCTGGCAGGTGACACCAGAGACATCGATCGACACCGACAATCCCACGGTACAACATGGCCGTAAACTCGATTAAGTATTTGCGAGCTCTGGTGATCCACCGCGTCTGGGCGCCACGCACTCATAGGACAAGGTTTAGTTTTAGTTTTTGCTCGACAACGGAGGTAGAACCAGGTTCTAATCCCTGTGCACGGGATACCGGCAGGGGTAATATTTTCCATAGATGTAATCTCCATCTGAATCTCAATCTCAATCTCAAATCTACAAACATCCACATATCAATCTGGTTTCGAGATTATTCCTTCTCCATTTCTACTTCTATTTCAGTTCATTTTCCCGTTTCATATGGATATTCAGGAGTGTTGGTGGAGATCTACGGGAGCGGGAGGGATCCCTAGCCAAGGAGGAAAAAGGAGCTTGGCTCGCCTTTTGAACCATGTTAGGAACGATTGATCAAGGGGTGGGCACTCCGAGCTGGGCAAGGCAGAATTGAAAAATAAAATAAAAAATCAAATCAAATCAAAAAGACTAAAAGGATCAAAAATTCAATTTATTTGGCTTTTTCTCTATTCACCAGTGCGGTATATAGTAATTTCGCCTGTCGGAGCAGTCGGGGCAATGAGTTGGCAACGGGCACGGAGGCCCGATCGACCGATTCCACGGACGAAATGGGTAAAGGTCAGCTAAAGTACTAACACTAGGTTGGGAGAGAATGACGAGTACGATTAACCCTGCCCTGTTTTGTTTTTATAATTATTCTGATCTTTTTTCCTGGTTTTTGACCCAATTGCACAGCAGCGCACTGGTAAGCCATTCATCATAGATAACATGGATCTAATTTCTTTGTTCCGGGAAAATTTCCAGCGAGCTGCTTGCGGCTTGCGGCTTTTTTTTAGGCTTTCGTCCCTTTTTGGCCTTTTGCCTTGCTTCAACTGTAGGGCAGAGTGGGCAAGGTACTGTACCAGAGTTAGGTCGGCTATAGCGAGGTTCTCCGCGAGATTTGGAATGATCTGTATGGAGCTCCCAAGGATTAGCCGACCATGGCTCATGACGATCAGCGAACCATGGTTAAGAGAACGTGGGAGGTAAAAAGACCTATCAGATGAACCATAGGAGATTTTACTGGTTGATGAGGTCCATTTTAATATACTGGTGGGAAAAGGCAAATTTCGTTTCATCAATGCAGGCACATTTGTTCATATGTGTATGTGTAAAGATTGTAAATTATGTACAAGCGAGAACAAGCGAGAGTCGTGTCTCAATAAGGGTATAGAGCCAACAGTAAAAGGAGACGCGTTGGAAATCATCAGATCGTCATCCACAAAAGAGAAAAAGGAAAATCAAAAATCAAACATGAAAAACCAGCGCATAAACCATCAAAGTGAACCAAAAGAAATCTATAGCCCAAGTCCCATTCCTTTTTATTCAAAGGTACAAACCCAACATAGACAAAAAGGAAATTGAGAGAGAAAAAAATAAAAACGTAAAATGAAAAAGCTTTCCCTTTGTTTCCTCCGGTAGGCCACCGCTGGGAGCTTTCGACCTAAGTGGAGCCAATCTCCACTCCAAGGTTGCTCCGCGGTCGCGCCTTTCGCTCGAGGCCCGAGGCCGGGATTCTCCGCCCCGCGAATGGAGTTGAAGCATTCAAATGGGGAAAATACCATTGTCGAATTCGGGTCACGGTGGAGAGTGTGGGAGGATAGTTGGGAACTGAGTGCGCGCTTTTTTCCTTTCGCGGCCAGTCCCCATCGTAGTAATTAGGTGCGGGTGGTTGATTCCGCCCACGCCCGAATGGAAAAAGGGAGGGTCGTGAGGGCCAGCCCCACGAGGTAGCTGATAGAGAGTTGGAGAGTGGTGTCATGAGATGTCGTGAGAAGAGGAAGCATTCGGGGAGTAAAACGGAACGCTATCAAAAGAAATAAAATCCAAGACCCGAAGTGGGCAGGCTTTACATAGCCCATTGCTTCCAGCTGATGGGCTGGAAGTGAGCCAAGGATTGGACCTGATCATCGTATGGCAGGCAGTCAGAGCCGGACCATGATGGAGATGGGTAGTGGCACTGAACAGGCTGGGATTATTGTTAGTTGGGGTAATTATTGAATGGTGTAGGAATGGTAAACATACTGGTTGGATCAGGTTCTCTTCCAAAGACATGGGGACCAAATGAGATGTGGGGACCACATCTGAGCCGTCCCAGCGAAGTGGAGAGTTCATTGTCATTGGGGAGGCAGTCAGATCGGTGGGCTTCATAATGCCCTTGGGGTAGTGGTCCATCATTGAGATGGAACCGGAAGAGATAGAGCTGCTGTGGGTGGGTAGAGAGAAGGCGGTATCCGAGAGAGGGGAGGGGCAGGTCTCTGCGGGCGAAGAGTAGAAGGGGCTGTCATCGGCATTTTCTGGGAGTTGGTGGTGGAACAGGTTGGTGGATGGGCGAGGCTGCAGAGGCAGGTCCATACCACTCCAGACCAAAGAGCAGTCATTTGTGAGATCCGGGTGCACACCAGGAGCCACCAGGGAGCCGATTGACATAGAGTTGGGTTGAGAAGTACCAGAGAGCAGAGAACCAGTGTCCATAGAAACGCAGCGGGGAATTGAGCTAGATTCATTGCCGAGCTGAGACTGAGTCTGAGGAGCCCATTGAGACTGTTCAGATTGCGATTCGAGTTCGCTGTGGATTTTGTTAGTTGTTATTGTTCGGAGGGCTGTGCATGTGTAATGCGCAAAAATCTAGAACTAGTTGGAGACTCACTGTCGCTCGATGTGTCGCGCAAGTAAATCTGGGCGGTGGAAAGCCTTCTTGCATCCGGCGTGTGTGCAGCGGTAGGAAGCTTCTGGGTTGTGGTTCAATTCATGGCGTCTGCGGTGCTCGGCACGAGTGAAGACCTATAGAGCGGAGATCGAGTCAGTCTTTGTTGATTGTTGGTTGTTGTTCGGGAGTATGCGCAATTTACCTTGTTGCAACCGGGGAATTCGCAAGCGTGAACACGCTTGCCCTTCTTTGCTTTGCTGATGCGGTGGGTGGTAGGAGTGTAGGTGATGGGCATAGGAATCTCAGCATGGGGGCTTGGGCGCATGTTGTTCTTGCGGCCAACCATGGTGTGTGATTGAGATGGGGAAGGTTCTGGTGAAGGAGAGATAGATGTGCCGGGAGTGTTGAGAACCGAGATGAGGTTGGAAGGCAATGAAGTGGTTGAATTGTGTCGTCCAGTAGAAGAGATACTGATCATCCTGTGGATGGGATGAAATGTAGAAAGGGTGGGATGGACGAAGCTATATAGATGAATGGAAGGTGGAGTGATGTAATTGAAGAGAGTTGTCTTTAAGATGGGAAGAGTGTGCGAGAGGTGCGCAGGATTTGGAACTTGCAGAAATGAAGAAGAAGCGGAGGACAAGAGACTGATATAGAGAAGGCGATGACACTAGCAAGGCTGTTCCTACAGAGCGTGGTACAGCGATCTGCCGGCGGATTATTAGGCTTTCCTAAAATCAAATTGATGAAAATGGAATAAATGAATTAAAATATTAAATTAAATAATAAATCAATGAATAAATGAATATTCGAAAATAACAATAATAAGAATAATTAAATATATAAAAAATTAAAAAAATTAAATCCCAAAGAGATAATCATGGATAATTCCAAAAATACCCATAATTATTTGGCTTAAGATCAAAGGGAACCAAGCACGGGCGTGGAGGCGATGATCGCTGGAGCGGGAGGATCAAGCATCCTAAAATTACACCACGTTGTCAGGGGCCAGGCTTGTGCGGCTGAGGCGTGGGATTATTTTATTATTATTTGTTATTTTATTTTATTTTATGATTTTATCTATTTTATTATTTTATTTTATTTTATTATTATCATTATTATTATCCCATTAATTATGGGACCGTGTTAACGGCTCACACACAACGCCGATCCGTCCACTGACCACATTTGGTATGGTCGAAGGATTGCTAATGCGGCTGGCGCCAAAACGGTGTTCTGGCCATAATCAACTGTTGGTGTGAGATAGCGGCGTGAGTGGAGGATAGCCTCTACTGCGCTCTCGCTACCGATTACTCGGAAAACTAAAGTAAATTTGTGTTATTTTTATTCTCCTAGCAGGTGCATCTGCAGGCTAATTATGGGACATCTTACATCTTGTGCATTCAAGATGTTAGGCTTTTGTACTTCTGTTGGTTTTTTTGATTTCTATCTATTCTTGTATAGTGGTGGGAGAAGGAAAAAAAAGTACCCCGAAACCCATTCCAAATCCAAGCTCGTAGTGGTTTGTGAGTGTCCAAGCTCCCACGGAACGTAACGGGTTTGCCCCACTGGGGGTAATGGGGGGGGGAGACAAGGAGAGACTCCGTCATGGTTCCCATTAGTACCAGGTTAAGGCCAACTCTGTGTACTTTGGGAAGGGTCGCACCCCATGCCTATTTGGGTAATTTTTTGGTCATGGCCCCCCAACGCTGACTCGTTCGCGATTGGCTACCCACGGTCAGGATGCTGGTAAGAATGTAACACGCACTAAGTCTATCGTCGTGCATGGTGAAATCAGCATTCCAGATTTTGGATTCTCATGCCGTTTTATTTTTTGGGGGGATTTTATTTTCCCCAGACTCGTTTTTTCCCTGTTGTGTTTAGAACTACACCCCCTTTTCGTACAACTACCTTTTATCAACCTCGCAAGATCATCTATATTTGATTATGGGCCCCAGATAACAGCTTCGTCGGAATTTCCGAGTTGTGGAGTTCATTTTCCCTCAATTGGCCCATGATTCAAGTGCCAACAGCCTTGGATCAGCCTAGTGGGTCCTGTGGTCCGCCTTAAGGGAGATGGCGTGGTGAGCCCTGCCACCCTAGGATGCACTACACTTGCGGTAGCTTGTTTCATGGTGCTGATCCTTTACTCAATGTGGTGAATGAACACCACTCGGACTCCCAAGCCCTCCTTTCCCTTCCTCCCCACCTTTCTTCGGCCCCGAGCCCCAAGTCCAAACACCTAGATCCCCCCCCTCTGATCAACGTCACTGGGGTTCACGAGGAACTTCGATCATCGCGTAGCTCAAAGTTCTTCATTTTAAAATTTGTATCTATATTTGGCTTGTTTTAACTTCCTGTCTATCCATCAACCTTCATAGATCACAACATAGATAATAGATCATCATGACATACATTTCTTCACAGCAATCCCCATTTTAATCCTTCAAAATAAAATAGCACATAATAGCATATAATGAAATAAAATACACAATAAAAATAGTTCGACAGGGCTGGACAACACGAGAGAGACAATGCCCATTTGCCCTGTGCGCCCGCATCTACTAGTAATGCTTGGGAGTCCGTGGTCCGCAGTCCGCATTCCAGATATCCATGTGTAATCTGCGCCCATGCCTGCATGCTCAACCCCTCTCTTACAGACTATTTTCCCCCTTGGTACACAATAAGCACTATGCCACGCGGGATAACCCCGGGGAATAGCTTCCCCTAGCAACAAAAACCTCGTGGCACATATGTACCCGGGGGGGGACTAGTTCCAAAACAAATCTATTTTTTGAAACGGTGGCAAACATGCAGCTTGCATTTTGGGAGCACTGCTGAAACATGCGATGTGAATGATCACTCTCGGCAGACATTCTGGAATGAATCCTTCGTTCTGCACACTTCATGTTGCCACCGTCACTCGCGTGGTGGTGGTGATCAAGAATGGGTCTCCCCTCGCCATGCAGGGGCCATTTTTGTTTCATGTCTATTTTTCTTCTCGTTTTCGATTATTCTTCTCTACATCTTCAGTGCATATCATTTTGTTTCGGGGGCCGTAATAATTAAATGTACATAGTGGATCAACGATAGCAGCGGGAATTATCATATGTGGGGAGGGAGGATGAGGATGAGCCTGAGGAAGAAGACAATCTCGCACGCTCCGCTATTTGGTCTGATACTAGTATATTCTTAGATTAGATGAAGAGGAAGGATAGATAATTGCAACATTGTGCAGAATCCTCACTTATTTCTTCAACTTTTAAATGAGAGTGTCTAGTCTAGCCGTCTACAAGCACTTGCAGCAGGATTCATTGATATCAGCTATGATGACAAGTCAGAATCCTGTGGGAAATTGGCCAACCCATGCAACGAAGCTAAATCATATCCCGACCAACAAAAAAAAACAATAATATTATTATACATGATATCAAAAAACAAAAACAAGAAAAGAGTTTGAAATGAGCCAAGCATCAATGCAAGTTCAAATGTTCCAAATATAACTTCCAACAACAGAACCTCAACCAGGGGTACAGTTTGATCGTCTCTGTCCCCTGTACAACCCGTTCTTAGTCTTTAGCCTCCTCCCATACCCTCGCGTGGGAGCAGTGATATGCTTGGCCCGCTCGGATAACACAGACTAAGTAAGCCCCACACAAGAATAAAAATGTAATTTTAGTTTTGTCTTGCGTTGGGATGGCAGTCGATGCCTATTTAGGCTATAATCGACCTAACCCACCTAATGTGGTCTGTAGTAATCTTACTGGCCCGTCACACCGGTTCGCGCCAATTCCTTCGAATCTCTCCCTCTTTCCTTTTTGCTCCCCCCCCCCCCCCCTTCACGTGGGTGATTTGTACTGCAGGGATGTGATTCCTTCGCTATTTAACCCCGTGGATAATGACGAAATACCCGTTCTAGCCTCTGTTGCATACATATGTTCTTATACGCATTATGGCCCCTCCTTTGGAAGGATTCAATTCTTGTACCAACTACGTAGTTATGTGTAGTTTGAAATAGTTCCGTCGGAGTACGGAGTAAAAAAAGGTATACATGTACATTCTCCACGTAGTTTGCGATCGACATCAAATCGCGATGACAGCGCAATGCAGTTGTGTGCGCGGGACCCGGGAGACTTACCCGCTACTAGACCAATGCAAGTCTGGGCTGTGGGTATGTACACAGTAGCGCGGTATATACCCTTATTGGACTAGTGGAGTAAAAAGTAAAATAACGATAATAATAATATTCATATTCAAATATTCATACAATATTCAAGGACTCGCCAAGCAATAACATTCCCCATGTCTCACAGATAGTTATTGGCATCAGGCCTGAAGAAATCAAGGGCTGATGAGGATCAGCACCAGCATCATAGCCCAGATGACTCGGACTCTGCAGAAGGATTTAGTGTTGTGCGAGTTCACGAGTCAGAATCGAGCATTAAGTGTTGGTTCTTTTTTTAGCTGTCATTTGGCGATCCCAGCCTGGAGGGGCCATCGTAGACACGGCTGGAGTGCTACTAAAGGCACCATGGCGTCTTCCATGCAGCCATCGGGACCCATTACAGACCTAACATTCCGTGCTCACCTTCCAAATACTCCAATTCAGTAAAGTAGAAGTTTTATTTTTATTCCTATAGTTTTTTCTATTTGTCCTGCCCTCTAGCTTAGGTTCTTCTAAGCCTCTATCCCACTTCTCACCCGTTTCCGTGTATAAAATTAGAGAAGCCGCAATTAGGTTCAAGTTCCGCTTGAGATAGCGGGATATGGATAATCTCGCAAATTGGTGTATGCTAGGACCAGATGGATCATTAATGGTCAATACCCCGTTTAAGATGGGTGATCGCTGAGCGGAATGTTCCCGGGGATTATCGGGTGTCGACTGCAGTTGTATGGAGTAGGGAGTGCGACCACGTATCCACCCTTGCCTGTACACATCCGAGCGTGCCAATGACAGAGCACAGTTGGATCCACCACGAGGCTCTTGGGACAGACCAAATTGTTCTCGCCACCCCCGGTCGATCGGTGAACTGCCCATTTAACGAGCTACCTGTAGCTGCTGTGGAGCGTTACTCCAAGATCGCAGAATATACCTGTTAGAAAGTGGGAAATAATAATTAAAATAAAATAAAAATAAAATCCAACAAAAAATAGAAACATGCTAAGCGATCGTCGGTATGAAGGACTTTTAGCTACTTGTTTTGATTTGGTTTTTTTTTTCAGCGTTATCCTAGTCTCTACAAGTTTAGTATGCATCGAAAATGCGGCACAGAGTCAAAAATGCAATCTTAGTACGCTTTCTTGGGCTTGTTTGGGACTAAGGCTCAGTCATCCACGGCTCAACTTCAATTTCTGATGTAATATGGAGATGCATGCAGGACATGAGAATCTCACCTCAGACCTTACTGTAATCCTAATTCTAAATTGTTAGTCCATACTAATTATCCTTCCCATTTAAGCTCGGACACGTGGAGAGAA